CTACTATAGCTGGAACATAGGATATCCAAAAAGGATGTCGGGCGAGAGGGAATATTCGGCGAAGGGTCGCGCGCAGCGGGGGAAGAGCACAATAACGAGGGTCTGAGTCGAGGTCGAGAGCTCCGAGGTGGGTGGGCGGTCGTCGATCAGGTCATCTGGGATTGGACGCCCTCCTCAACGGTGTTTTGTGCGAGGTAGGCGTACAGCGAGAGGTTTATGTGGGTTGTGTATTGTATGCAGGCAGAGTACGGGGCGTCAAGGCACGAGAGCTTGAATAATTGTTGTGCAACGTCGATGGTAGCAGGGTGGCTGATAGACGGTCGCTGAGTGGTTGCGTCTCTTATCTTGATTTTCTCAGATTGGGAGGGGAAAGGGAGAAGGAGCCACGAGTGGTGGGCTGTTGGCGTCGTGTGGTTGTTGTTGTGGTAGTGGTTATAGGATGAAGGAAGATACACCAGCGGCGGCGGTGGACGACGAGGACGGAGGAGTTCGACGAGGACGCGGAGGAGGACGGTAGTGGAAGTACAGAGGTAGAAGGGAAAAGAGGACGAGGAAAAGGTGGAAAGACAAGGCTAGAAGAATAGCAGGCACCGGCTGGTTGGATTGAGGTCGAGAGTAGCGAGAATAGCGAGAGAGTAGAGGATTTGTTTGGATGGTACTCGTAGCTGGTGGTATCTAGCCCTCCCGCTGTCTCGATATCTCTCTATATTCTCTCTCTCTCTCTCTCTCTCTCTCTCTTTTGCTGGTAGGAGTACGGTAGTTAGGTGGAATTAGTGGAGGTAAGAAAGTGGTATGAAGTTGAGTACGGAGGAGTTGTAAGTGTGAGGTGGGTAGACCTCAGAAGGTAGGTGGTAGGGGAGAGGTAGAGAAGAGAATGAGTAGAGTAGAGTAGAGTAGAGTAGAGCAATTAGGTGTTGTACTCGTAGCAGCAAATAGATACGAGCAAGTACCTAGGTAACATGAACTACCTAACTAGTTAGTACTCGTAGTTACGACAGGGTAGTGTATGTAGTGGGAGTGGGTGAGTTTGTGGTGGGTGAGTGGTGGAGGTGGTGGTGGTGAATTGAGTGTAGTTAGTGGTGGTATTAGTGGTAAGGATTTTGGACGGGTCCCTGAAGCAGAGCACGAGTAACAAAGAAACAAGAACCCGCTAAGGAGGGACACCGCTTTCTGTTCTTCAACCTTTTCAGGAATCGTCTCCCTAAATCCACCAGCTGCTAATTAGAGAAAAGTAATAAACTAACCTGGTGCGGATATTTCTTGTGGTTGTGCGGTTGCGCGGTCGTGCGGTCACTAAGGAATACTGGTAGCCCTGGTAGCCCTGGTGGTGGTGGTGGTGGTGGTTGTCCAACTTGTATGGGTCAAAGTCCCCCTAATCCCAAAACTCTCTCAACATGTGCATCCTCTCTCTTCCACCTTCCACCCTCCATCAACCCTCCATCCACCACCACCTCCACCACCTCTACTCTTAATATTACTCTCTCCCTCCACCAAAAGATCAAGATCAGGACCCAAGACCAAGACTAATGCAGAAGCCGGCTTTCCCACTATCCACCTCTCCAGCTCTCCAGCTCCCCACTCTTCTAACGACCCACTCATTCACCCTCCAAGTCACCCTCCGTTTATGCTCTCATCCATCCATATCTATCAGTACACTACAACAGTAATACACTACACAAGAAACTACAATACACTACAGTTCACTACAGTTCACTACAGTTCACTACAGTTCACTATTCCCAACTGCCCAGCCCAGCATCATCCTCCCCAGTCCTCTCCACTGGGCTGGCTTGAACTCGGCTATCACTCCGGAGCATCTTGGTACTGCTTTCATTTTTGGTACTGCACTCCCTATTCTTTTCGTCCCAGTTTTAGAGTACGAGGTACATACTCCGCACATACGACTACCCGATTAGATCGACAGACCAACCTAATTACAGCCTGCATCTGCATCTGCTTGATATGCTACGGGGTTTTGTACATACTCGTAGTCGTAGTAGATGCGCCTGTTCTGCGTTGTGTACTACTACCCTGCAAGGCACACCGCACCACTACCCGCACGGCGCCATCCATCGTTGCAATGGAAGAAAACCCGTTCGAGCCCTTCTAACTTCTCCATCGAGTGCCCTATGCAGGAATCGACTCCGCAACAGAACACTACCATATACCCTATCTATGAGTATACCCGTTCCTAACCATCGCCAAATACGACTCTACCTCCCACTTGGTACAGGTAGGATTCGTTCAGAAACACCCTCTAACCCATCACAGTCCAAGAGCACCCTGAGGGAGCGGGCCCGCCTCTAACAACAGTGGCGCCAGGGGCCCAGAAATCGTCCAAACAGACCAGACGCGGCATAGCACTGCTGCTCGCCTTACCTCTTTCTGGACGTTTCATGCGTTTTCATGCAACATCCATGCTCGCTGGCATCCCGATCCAGCACCCAGCTGGGAGGGGAAGGGAATGGTCTCTCGACTGTGTATGGCACGAACCTCCACGCCACCCGCCAGCGAAATTCTCCAACCCATCCATCCTACTCGTAATTTCAAACCGTCCCTCGTGGATGGTGTGCATGCAATTTATAGAACTATAATTCCTACAGATACAGATAACATGGCCTCCCTGCCAATACAATCGCATAGTGCAATGGGTAAATCGGAATCCCGTTCAAGAAGATAGGGGCCTTGACCCACGTTCAGGTCCAGCAAAGCGCAACGCAGCGCAACGCAACGCAACGCAACGCAAAGCAAAGAGCTATTAGCAGAACGCTGTACGGGACTACGGCAGTTTCTTAACGGTGAACTCCTTCTGCACCCAATGTGATAAACACAGCAATCGTCGCATGGGGGTTAGTCTCCTCTATTCTCATCGTTTAATCCATCAACCGAGCTGCTGAAGACCTCCCCAAGGTGACGACCCCTGCGTTTGGAGGCAACACTTTGACGCCTCGCATCCGCTTCGCGAAACGACCCGTGCGTGCATACAGACCGACATGTAAATTACATACCGTGAATGGCTTTTGTACAATGTGCTACAAACACAATATGTACATGTATGTACCTATGTACCGGGACGTTGTTGACATCCCATACCATCCATATGCACGCTGCGCTGTCTAGATTGATCTGTGGCTGTCCTTCCCGTCTCCAAGCACAGATAACTACAGCACCCAGACACGGGACGTAAAGGGTAACAAAGGAAGCTAATGCAGGTGATAAGGGTACAAGTAACCTCGTACATTTTCTACAAGTATCTCAAGCGGCAAAAAGAAAAGATAATCCCACGATATGGAGTACGATCAACCCCAAAAAAAATCCATACGCGAGGGGTATTGTCGATCTACACAATAGATACCGTCCGACAAACAACAAGATATCAGAAACGGTTAATCGATTGTTTCATCTCCCTCCGCATCGGAGCAAGCACCCAGGACAGCGTAGATAAACATGCAACTCCCTCGCTACTCAACTGCGATTTGCGCAGAATTAACCATACACAACCGCACACTCCGTGGTTCCAACAATTTACGCTGCTAGGCATTCGGCGAATATTAAAAGAAGCTACCACCACCCGACCAATTTTATTTCTAGGTACATATTCAAGAAAACATGCTCCACTATTCCCTCTCCCGTTTTCGTTCGGCCGTGATATACTTACGAGGTACGGAGTACGATGTGTTGTCCAAGACTCTCCCAGGTCCATCCTGTCGTCATTCGGGATTTCCCCAATCCCCAAGCTTGTAATCAAAAATTACCCACAGGGAAATGATCTCTTGCCCATCAATTTCCAATCTCTGGACCCTGAAATGATTTGCCGCTTGCTGCTGGACCCTCAAATCGTTCATTCGCTCCATCAATTTAACTTCACTCTGGACCCCCTTTTTTTTCTTTCCTTTTTTTCTGTAGGTAAACAAGATGAACGCAAAGCACGCACGTCGTGTCGATCGATCGATCTATCAAACAAAATATGGAGTCGATAAACCGTACCTTAGTCTGATAAAAAAAAAGCAAAAAAAATGATAATCCAGGGCAGTAGCACGGTTGGGAAACCTTAATTCCTTTTTTTTCCTGCCCTTTTGTTGAAGCCAAAAGATGTCCTTTTTCTTTTTCCTTCCAGGCTTCCCCACGATCTTCGATGCCCAGTTCATGCGCTCGCTTGCGGTGGACGTGTCGGCTTCCTGCACCCGGAACAAGCGAGACGACTTGGGAAAGGAAAGATCGTAGGGAATCGGGGAGGTGAAGGGAAAGAAAGAAAAGAGGAGATTTGATAATCGATGATATCCCCTTGTGTCTTTCATTACATGTTTTCCCCTAGAATTATTGATGACAGTACGGAGTATGTAGTTAGTCGTAGCATGTCTACAATAATACATAGGTTCATAGGCATTGTCATCATCGTCACAAGCATCCCAACCCAAACAACATCACATGAAATGCCAATATCAGGATCCCCCCCTTACCAAGCGAGAAACACTCAATCTCAAACAATCCATCCCTTCCCTTGTCTTCCTTCCCGTCTGACGCGCATACAATTACATACATCACAATAAGTTTCCTTATAAGTTATAATAACAGCATACCAATATCATACTGACGCACTGACGCAATATCAAATTAACCATCAATCAAACCTTCGATCCCGGCACCACGGCACGGTAGCGTTTTTAAAGTAAAAAATGTAAAGTAGCCCGTATGCAAATACAAATAATAAACGACGTTTTGTGGTGACGGGAGAAGAAAGGGGGGATGTTTATTAATGAACTGTTTGTTTAAAGGTTGGGTTTTTTATATTACGCAATTAAATTTCCGTGTGGTGATGTAGGGGAATGGGTGTATGTATATAGGCTAGATGATATTGTTACTGTTTTCGCGTGCGTGCATGCATTTTTATATGTATGATAGAGTTGGTTGGTTTTGTTGAATGGCATGTCTATATGTGATTATATGTGTGTGTGTCTACATACATCTAACAATTGTTCGTTCATTCGTTTCGGGAACTCCCCGTGCGCGAATCCCTTCATCCCTTCATCCCTTCATCCCTTGACAATGCAGCACCACCCAGGACGGTGGCAGCGGCGTTGGGGGAAGCTATCCGGTTGGGTCGTGTCGAGAGTCGAAAGGTCCCGGTGGACGGTGTGATTTGCTTTCTTGTATGCCGATGACTTGGATCTCGTTTGTTTTGTACTCCTCCTGTATGTGGATACATGTGGGTGGGATCGCCCGCGGGATGGGGAGAGTTCTTGTTGGGTTTGGATGTTGATGTTGATGGTGCTGGTGATGATATGATACAGGTACAGGCAGTGATGTTTCTTCTTCTTTCCTTACAGATGGCTTGGCCTGGGTGGAAAGTCTCTGATGGGTTGCTTGGGAGGTTGTTTTCATTCTTTACGTCGCGCCGTAGACCTATACCCACCTTGGCCCGTGACTTTTCTTGAAGACAACTTCAATCACCAATCCACCTATTTCATGCCTTCCCCTTGAGCCTGCATACTTAACGCCTGCTTGTGAGCCACCCCGTGCTCAAAGACCCTCGATCCCCCAGCGCGCTACGCCACTGAATCGCGAGTTGGCCTAGGACCGTCCTACCGTCTCCCGGTGGTAATTTTCCCGCTGTTGGCGCCTGGTCGTCATCTGTTTCCTCGCCGTCCTGTTGCTGCTGTTTATGTTCAAGGAGAAATGCAACTTGGACTACGTCGCGTGGATTCAATATCGGAAAATTGAGTGGGCGCGGGCTTCCAGGGGATGGCATGTCCCAATTCAGCGATGTCGATTTGAAGGGGTGTTTTGGGTTGAGTTTGACTGCCTGTTTGGATCGTTAGCCTTGCCATTCATTACTGTTCTCCCAAAACAACCCAACGAAGGCTTTGAGTTGGCGTGCATGGTAAGGGTGAGCGAGCTGCGAGGTTGACCCGGCATGTCGGAGTGACTTCCGTCGGCAACTTGTAACTATGGTTCAACAGCTTACAGCCGACAGAGCGAGTGTAAAACCACGCATGAATAGTCGGACTCGAAATGGCTTGTGGAATGATTGCAACAGAGCGAAGAGACGCAGGGAACGTCCTACAATACACCAACGGCCGGCACGACGGGTGAGATGTATGCATGCACGACGTCGTTCCAGAGTGGCAGGTTTTCCATGTAGCGTGATGTTGTGGTGGACGACCAGATGGAAAGATGAGAAAATCACATACCTCGAAGGACACCGCTGCCTCCCCCATGTTCTCTAATTGTGCTTCTAATAGAAACTTGGGCGTGCCCCCTTTAACGCTGATCTCGCCTGCCTTCGTGCGCACGCTCAGGAGCTGTTGCGCGACGAATTGATATAATTTCCTGAACGTTCTGACTCTTCCACCGCTAGCTCTTCCTTCGCCTGCTAGAATCGTCTCAGTGTAAGTGACCGTGACCGCGAGAACATGATTTCCTTCCTCTTTCAATTCGAAGCGGAGTATCTTCTGTAGTGAATCTCCTGGCCCAGGCGACAATCCCTCTTCTTCGTCATCTGCAGAGCTGAGTTCAAGTGCTGTTCCAGATGGTGTCGATGGCGTTTGCATGTCTCCCTGTATCCTTACACCACTTATGTTTCGTGTCGTGTCGGTAGGATCCACCTCGTTGTTCGCACATAGTGTACATGCGAATGTCTCGCCGACGTAGGCGCTTCCAAAGGCTTCCGGAAGATTCAGGGCGGGGCTTATTATGAAATTGTCGTCTGTGTTATCAGAAGGATATGCGAGAGAGGCTTTGGGAGAAATGCCCAATGCTGCAGCGTTTGGAAGCGGGTACTGGAGTGCGAGCGAGGGTCGGGAGAGCCTGGTTATGGATCAGCTTGTGGTTGAGACAGCAGGGCTATATTTGAGATATTAAATACCGTAGGACTTTGAGGCTCACGGAATGCGGAGTCTTCAGGCCTTCGCCCGTAGACTGGTTCCGCTGGTGAGCCATATCGTCATTCAGCGCATGTTCGTCGTGGAATCCCTTGGAGCTGGGGACAGGACTTGAGACTTGAGGATGACGGATGCGGTGGGGCACAGGGCAGCCCCAATCAACTCTCTGCGAGCTAAACCCCTCTAAAACTAAAATCGGTCTTGCTACTGCACTGCAAAGAACAAAATCAAATCCCAATGCAATACGCAGCGTACAATTAACAATTGGATCCTGGGAGCACCTATGGACACGACTGGAGCTTCCGGCGCATCGAATTCGCACATTCCGCTGCTGCGATGCGCGGATCTGATGATCATAACCGATACTCCTAAAGGTAAACAACCTATAAACCTTCCGTCTAGATAGGATCAAGCCTAATTGAAGCAAGGACGTGGAGTTTTTGCTTCAAAGAACATCCCAGCCAAAACTATACTAGATGTATCACCTGTATTGGTGCTGGGACAGGAGGAAAATGTAAAGCATATCGAGCATACATCACTTTACCACTACACATAGTAAGACCGCAGAATATCCACTGTCAATGCCTGTATTGAATACGTTATAGTAATTGGCCTATTGTGGACAAGGACGGGCAAAAGAAGGTCGCTCAAGCGGTGATATTTGGTCTCGGGAGTATGTTCAACCATTCTCTTCAAGACCAAAATGTAGTGTGGGAACGCGACGCAGAACGTTTGATAGTCACTTACCGAACGCTACACGACGTGAAAGCTGGAGAGGAGCTATGTGAGTGCGCAAGATAACTATTAATTACGCTTATTGATCATTTTAGGCATATCATACGGATCGCATTTAACCTTCAAAGACGCAGACGCAGTAGTTGCTCCTCCCACCGAATCGGACGGTATCCACCAACTGAACCAGATACAGCTCGACTAAAACCGTACATGCGGACATAAAATACATGAGGCGTATTATAATCAGACAAGTCCTGCAAAAAGCATAGCTATCCCTTGTACGAATGCGACCGTCGCCACTTGTGCACTCCTAGAGTCGAATCGACCCGAAGTTCGCATCGATCACTCTCCGGATTCATTCTCCTCTGCTTCGTTTCTCAGCTCGTAGGCCAATTCGAAGCACTCTTCTAGTAGCTGCGTTACACTTCCTTGCCCGTCAGGGATCTCATTGCCGACCATGAATTTGCCGTCCACGCGCATGTTATCAATGGAATTTAACTAGAGATAATCAGTCCTGAATATGTAAAATTTACGTGACACATACCTTCATGCTGTAAGGATAGAGTTCACGGGGAGATGAAACTCCTCCTAGCTTCTTCACATCGAGCAAGCACTTGCGCAATGTCGTGAGCTGGTTGTAGATCGGCAGTAGAGCCTCAGATACAGGCTCCGAGGATACGATGAGGTGGTATATCGTTGCATAGCTCTTTCGGAGCAGATACAATAGTGTCTGATGCAGATTAGTAATGAAATGGACATGGTGCAAAGAGACGCCTACTCTTTGCTCGTATATCTCTGCCGGTCGGCCTAGAAGATCGAGGAAATTGCCGTCCACACGAGCCTCGTCCACCCTATCGAGTTGGCGCTGAAAGCTCCATAAGTCCGTCTCTCGTAATGACCAGGCCTGTGTCAAAGATATCTTCTCGAGCTTGTTCTTGATCCCAAGCAACTTGTCATATGTATCTTGGAAAGCAGGTGAAATTCGACCTTGCCTAGATCGGAGTCAGAGAGGAACTTGCGTCGAGATGTCGATAATAAATACTCACTTTGACTTGGCTAAAGCTACCCAAACAAAGCAGCGTTGGAGCAAGGTCTCAATCAGTTTCTTGGCCTCAGGCGCAGGTTCAGGGTGGGCCATAGCGATCTGCAGTTTTTCGGTCATTTCCGCAAGCTTCTCTTCTTTGGTTCCGGTACTCTCAAAAGCATGGATACCGTACTCCCGTAGCTCTTCTTGAAGTTGCTTGAGCTGCTCCAGGTATTCATCAACCTCGGCATTCGGAAACTGTCGATGAGGTCAGCGCGGACTGGAATATTGCGGTGGTTTGAAATACCTTTGACCTTGTGTTACATGCTGAGAGAGAGCGAAGAATAGACACAAGCTTATCGTATTTTGGCGATAGATCTGGTGTGAGAAGGGAAAGAGTTAACTCTAGCTCCGCCAGGGTCTTCTCGCACAGCTCCAGCCGAGCGTCCAGTAGAGTGAGCAGATGCGGGCTGTAGGACTCTTTGCCTCGCGATATATACCGTCGACAATCTTGCAGTCGGCCACCGATGGATTCAAGATCTTTGGGCGAGTAGAATGTCGCTTCCTTTAGATGATCCAGTAACCGCTATCTATCGTTAGCCCGGTATCATTGCGACTGACTGGTTACTAGCCTTGGCAGTTGATAGAAAAGAGTAACTGTATAAGGTCAGCTTTGAATATTATCAAGTGAGGTGTGCTGTCTTACACTGCGGGTGCTTCATGATTTTTACCCACGGTCATGTACGCCAGTGAGATGAGCTGGAAGCAGTCATCAAGTACGGTGTCGACTTTTGCGATCCATCTTAGTTAGCACATGGTTTTCCTAAAAAAGTTGATGTTGCATTTGATGATATCCGCGTGCTGCATATAGGACTCCACCGAGATATGCAAGGCAATAGCGAAGAACAATAGCCAAGCTCTGCAGCCCGGCTATTGAGGCACATGACTAGGAGAAAGTGAAGGGCATATACCTCTATTCTGCTCTAGGCGCTTTGTTGTTCGAATTTCGTTAAGTATCACCACTTGCTCGACGACCTTTTCATACAGATCGAGGACATCCTGGCTCTTGACGTATGTTGAGCGGTCCTGCTTCAACAACTCGAGTTTCGTCCGCACGGACAGCAGGGAGTCTAGGATTGGTTGCTCCTTCGGATCTAACGGAATGCGCACCGCCGGCGAATCAGTCATGCTGCACAGCGTGTGGTGTGTGGTTGTGGTCTGGAGAGTATCTCTGCACGTTTTGTAGATGCGTCTCGGCTTGGAGGGCGGCGAAGTGCTCGATTGAATGCTCCGAGTCGTTGACCGTTTGGGAAAGCGGAGTAGGAGTGACGTTGTTGGGCCGATTTGCATGATTGGCTCGCTTGCATCGCGGCCCGTGCGCGCAAAATCGCCAATATCGACCACAATACCACACAAACGATATCGTGAACCTCAACTCAACAACCTCGTTCAACCAACACACGACAAGTCCTACCGTCGCCATGTCTACCGCCGAGCTTGCCTCTTCTTACGCCGCTCTCATCCTCGCCGATGACGGTGTCGATATCACTGTGCGACCTGAGCCCTGCCTACAACTCTAATTGCGAGAAATACTGACCCCGCCAGTCCGACAAGCTCCAATCCCTCATCAAGGCCGCAGGCATCGACTCTGTTGAGCCCATCTGGACCTCCCTCTTCGCCAAGGTGCGCAGGAAAGCATTGGAAAATTAGGAATTGGATTCTGATATGTTACAGGCTCTTGAGGGCAAGGATGTCAAGGATCTTCTCTTGAACGTCGGTTCCGGAGGAGGTGCTGCCCCCGCTGCTGGCGGTGCTGCCGCTGCCGCTGGTGGTGACGCCGCTGCCGCCGAGGAGGAGGCACCAAAGGAGGAGGGTATGTCATTGCCGGATTCAGAAGTCGCAAAATTGGTACTAATTCGTGAACAGAGAAGGAGGAGTCAGACGAGGACATGGGCTTCGGTCTTTTCGACTAAGCGCCTTTCTTCTCCATTTTCTTCGCCTTTTGCCTTTGTCGGGGTTTCACAAAAAACGGATCAGCGGACGGTTCGAATGCATATTCCCACTTTCGGGCCAGGACTGGTCATAGCCTGACCTTGACGCTGTCAGCATAGCCTATCAACTGGGAGGGTTCAATGGAGGCGTCATGAGATATGAATGGCAGGTTCTAAATGAAAGACTTCGAAACAAGCACACTTTGGCGCATTGTGAAAATAACAATTGGGGTGACGTTGCGTGCAAGACTAATGAACAGATAAACGAACCATGATCAGACGAACCTTACCACGATTCACCAGCTTGGTCTTACCGATGTCTTATTTTGTCGACCTGTTTCATCCATCTGGCACTCGCCACAATCGCTTATTTCCACCTTCTAATATTCACTGGGCATCAACAACACTAGCGGACGAAAGTGTACCCACTCGAACCAATCTTAGCGCCAGAGGTGCAAAACGATAAGAAGTAAACGATTGCTGATGTACGACACGTTCACCATATTCACATTGTCGTCCCGTTCTGATATGTATGTGTATCCATTTTGCGCTCCAGCATTCTTGACCACGTCCACCAAATGAGGCGACGTTGTAAGGATCAACTCTCGACACGTTCTTGCCATTGGCCAAGCCAGGATTGTGTGATTTAAGATCGTATGTGCTGGATTTTTGTAATGATAGGAACGGTGAGCGGGCTCACAATTGTTAAGATTTTTGAATTCTACTTAGGTCTTCGTCTGATTAGTGTCAACCACGTCGTGCGCATCGACTAAAGCAAGGCCGCCGTGTGGGAAGCCCACTATACCTTGCGCTCGGGTTGATGTATCTAATGCGATACTTCCACCTTGCCGTCAGGCAGGGTTTCAAAAACATGGTGCATCAATCGAACTTAGCATTAGGATAGAAGAGGACGAAAATTGATCGCAACTATCAAACGAAGAACCATTTCCATTTAGTTGCTGAAGCACATGATACCTTACGCTCCATTGTTAGTCTAAAAGAATAGGTACTACTTATAGTTGGTTTGCTAATAGGACTATGCCTTTATCTACCAGACTCCGAGTTTTCGACCGACTTCATTTCGTCCTTCTGTTTCTTTCTATCTTCCAGGCCTTCGACGCCTTTACCCCAGGCACCTGCCCTCTTGCCCCATTTGGTGGTGCCCCATATGTGTGTCGACTGAATCTTGGGAGGTTGTTCGCTAGTCGTTCGGAAAGGACTGGCGCCGTGGGCAAACATTTCCTTCGGATCAGAAGCATCGACTCCCTGGCTCCGGACGTCGGACGCTCCACCATTATCAAACGTGCGCAGCACCTCACTATCTACAGTTTCCTCAGTAATAAGACCTCGCTCCCAGTGTCTTGATGCAAGTGGCAGCGGCCTCCACCATCCCTTCTCACTCTCTGAACCTAACACTTCATTGTCACGCGCCCACCACCTTCCAGAACACATCTCCCATATCCGGCTCCTAGCTCTCTTGACGGCGAAAAGCTCATCTTCACCCGTCAAGCCGCCGATGTTGGCGAAGTCAGGTGCTTTCGAGGCTTCGGCGCTGACCATGCGCTCGTCCGAGAAAGATGAACCGACGCGGCGAAAGCGGTTAGGCGGGTCGTCTTCGAGAGCATCAGCAGCCAGAGAGGGCGAGTACGAAGATACATTGGGACGGAAAGGTGAGGTTAGATCTTGGTGAATCTCCGAGTACGTCTCGGGGTAGACCGCATCATCCGTGAGCTCTTCTTCTCCATCTTTTTTGGTGAGTCCGGGAGTATTCACTGGCTCCGGGAAGAAGATGTCGTCGGGCCCTGCTGCTGCTGTCATGAGTAATCGACATCGTGCTTCGTAGAGCGCATCTAGCAGAGTGATCAAGCGCCGCGCTTCGTTCTTTAAGAGAAAGGTCATGACCGGGACGTCGGTCAAAATAAGAGTGTGATAAGTGGACGCGAGTGTGATATAGTCGGCAGGTCCGAGGGTAGCACCGCAGAGCTCATTGAAGCTAAAATGAACGAACCCGTCATGTTGGCGAGGTATTGGAATTTTTCGGCCATAGACAGAAATATTGGATGGTGTCCATGGGATGGGTTGACTGGCCACTAGGGACATTTCGTTATGTAGAACTTTGTCCAATTCTTCTGGATACGATGCGGTCGACTGCAATTCATGGTTTGTAACTGCGGGCGTTATGATGTAATGCTTCGGTAGCGTTGTGTTGGGTTCATCGTTCATCTCGTCCGCAAGGTCAACGACGACATCGTGCCCCGGTCGTGATACTCCGCTTGATGAGTTTGCTGAAGTAGTGACCCCTGATCTGTTGCTCTTGATCTTGATCCCATCCTCCGCTCCAGACAATCTTCGATAATCCTGTTTCCCTTCCATCTCCCAAATCTCACATCTTGAACGAAGAACTTCGAGGAACTGACCAAACTCCCCCTTTTGCCCTGGTCCATCATCCCTTCCTACTACTTTGCCAAAGCCCAAAGTCCATCCTAATTTACTAAAGCGCGAGACTGGCCTCATGAACTCCATACCGGCTGCTTTGGCTAATTCTTCCGGCATTCTGTTGCTTGTGGCAATTAACACACCGCCTAATTGAAAGAAGCTTGTCATGAGATTCGATAGGATTTTTGAGGCTGCTCGATCCGGAAGCTGAAACTCGTCAAGGAACAAGATAGGCGACGTCTGGATGAGGTCCCGCGCGAGCCATAACAATGAGTGTTCGTCCAGCAATGTTCCCTGGCCAGAAGAATTCCGACTATTACGCAAAGTCTCAAGTCGTGAGAAGGTTTCTAGCATGAACGTATTAAAATGCCACCTTTTCTTTTTGCGATTGGGCAGACAATCAGCGAAGAGATCTATGAGCATAGACTTCCCTGTACCAACTTCGCCATGAAGCATGAGGCCTTTCGGAGAGTTTAAATTCATTGCAGACTCATGACTAGTAAGTACTCTCGTGAGGGCAAGCGTATCTCGCTTCTCCTTCTGCTCGAGAAGAGACGTCCATATCCCTCTAGTGCCAATCGTACGTTCCACTGGTGAAGTCGATGAACCATTTTGATTGATCGCAACAGCTTTGCCAAGTTGCTGCAGTCGCTGAGAGTATTCTACGCTTGGTTCATAATCAATTAGATTTTCATACAATTTCTGAAGATGAAGAGCTGATCTCGGATGTTAGAATAGATCTTGGCATCGGGACATGGTGTCGTCACCTAAGCGATGTTGATTTGGGTCTGTAGTTATGCGATTTGTAGCGATAAGGCTGCGATACAGGACCAACGGGTTAGTGATGGTAAGCCCTGTTCCATTGGGAGGCATTTGTATAATACAGGAGATGAATTTCAGAAAGTTGTGGATAGAGGAATGATTGACCGAGGTGGTGAATCGATATATCAGATCGACACTAAACCACACTAGCTTTAGTGCATTTTGGCTGCAGGAAGTTCAGGAAGTCAACGTAAAGATATCTTTAAGGTAAATTTGAACGCGCCAGTAATCTATAAGGACGTTGGCTGTGTCCTGATACGGCCGATTTGTCTGTATTGCCATTGTATTTTAAAACGCCTGCAAATGCGGGAAGGTAGGTATCACTTTACAGGAAATAAATCAAATATTAGTTACTCCAGGTGACCACGTGTCTGCGATTCGTTTGACTTCCGATATGAACTTGCGACTTGTGATTTGCATGGAGCCAACTTTGTTCTCGGCTTTTCCTGTGACTGGAGAATGTTCATCTGGATTGTAGAATGGGTTGCGCAAGAGCATAATGTATGCTGTCTGTAAAGCGCGGAAAGCCTTCTATCATCAGCGAAGTTAATCTAAGCCAGACTGAGATTTTCTTACTGGCTTCAGATCCGAGTCCCGCAATCCTACGGCTGTTGCAGCGTTGCTGTCTAGGTTTGTGGCTGGCCGACCCTCCATATCGACAACAATGACAAGCTTGACTCCCGTATTAGTCAACCAGCCGTACATAGCCAAACGCTCATCAACAGCCTGGAGAAGTCCGAAGTCCTGATCAACCGTCTTATGGGGAAGGCGGGCTTCAAAGATGTCAAGACATGAGGAGAGTAAGAACTGGAATTCCAAAGGCGCACGTTTCTCTGGCGGGAAAAGAGAGATGTGAAGAGGATTATTCTAAGACATGATTCAGTACAATGATCAGCATTTGATATTATGATAACAATGCTCACGTGTTTTCCTATCACCCCAATGCATGCTATTGACGGCACCGTTCCACTCATGTTTCGAGGCACTTCTGGTCGAGGTGTGATGCAGAGGCAGACTGATTCAAATGATTCAGATGATTCAAGATGAAAGATCAATTATTGAAAGTGCGGAACACTTTCGTAGCTGAATCGATATTGATGAAGATGGGGTAGGCGATTTCACGGGGTACGACGTTCGTGATCATTGTGTGGAGGTCAAATCCGACCAACCAGGAGTCGTTTGGATGTGGCCGTAATCAACTCGCTAGCTTTCCTGTCTTGGCAGCTATTCTTCCTGAACGTCACCTCGCAAACCCTCCCCTCCTGCCATCGCCACCTCGAAAGGCTTCCTCTCCACTCCTTCACGGCAGGTTTTCTTTGTCTTTGTCGCCAATATGCTGTCGAGGACGAGGTTTGCTGCCTCAATGGCGCTGCGAGGTACGTCCGCCACCGTGCAAAACTTGCCGTTACGCCGGGATTAACAATTCGAACAGCCAAACCTACCACAGCATTGATGCCATACCGTGCAGGCTCCGCTGCCTTCCTGTCTTCTACTTCCTCGAACTCCGCGACCCCCGTCGGAACCCAACAGAGCCCAGGATTGGTTGCCGGTAACCCTGGAACACCACCCCCAATGAAGGTCGCTCGACGAGAGGTGCCATTGCCCAGTCAGGAGGGAAAGAAGGGAGCTATGCAATATGCGCTGTATGTCTCAATTGGTCGCCGAGGAGGGCGTAAATTCGGGTATAGAGATGGATTGGTGTTTTGGTGGCTAACACGGTACACAGGACCACCCTCGATCAAATTGCCAATTGGGCGCGTCAAAGCTCTCTCTGGCCCATGACCTTCGGTCTCGCTTGCTGCGCCGTCGAAATGATGCATTTGTCTACTCCACGTTACGACCAGGATCGACTTGGTATAATTTTCCGAGCCTCGCCTCGTCAGTCGGATGTTATGATTGTGGCGGGAACCCTCACCAACAAGATGGCCCCTGCTCTACGAATGGTTTACGATCAGATGCCTGATCCACGTTGGGTCATCTCCATGGGCAGCTGCGCGAACGGTGGCGGATATTACCACTACAGCTACTCGGTTACCAGGGGATGCGACAGGATCGTGCCCGTGGACATCTACGTCCCCGGCTGCCCACCTACCTCAGAGGCTCTGATGTACGGCATTTTCCAGCTCCAGAAGAAGATGAGGCATACCAAGATCACAAGGATGTGGTACAGGAAGTAAATTGGCTGTCCTTTTGTTTTATTTCAGTTTTCTGCGACAGTCTGGTCGTTCTGGTTGTTTCGGTCATCAGCCTGTGAGACTGGGAAGAGCTCACACATGTACAAATCAGGCCTCAAGCTGTAAAATCTTTGTTAGGCATCAGAAGGTCAATCGTTCAAGGATTAACGCTTGTTTCGAATGGCAAATGAATTTCATCAAAATTAATTTGAACGTTTACCACAAGTGATTCGTATGTGTAACTTCTTCGTACTAAAACTTTCTACTGATTAGGCATCAAATGGCACAATGTATTTGGCAGTAATATGGATCCATCAAAAGTACTATCTGGAACGCAAGCTCCTGATTGACCTTTTGAGGTGTTTTGTGGTCTGTCATAAGCCAATTGTCAGAATGCCAATGCTAATCGTGTCGGTTTCATTCAAGAACATGCTGAGTAGATAATAAAAGTCATGCATACGAAGTAGCATGTACTTCAAGTACCTACTACGCACAACAGCACTGTAGTTAGTATCCATTTTGCAAGGAGGAAACCGCCCACTCAGTTTGTTCGCTTAGGGACGTATTGACGGATAATGGTAGTGAATAGTCTTCTATTTGCATAATGTCCCATAGAACCTCTGTCATAAATTCACTTTCACAGTCATGTAATTGCTGAGATAACATGTTGAGTGTTATGTGCCAGGATCGCTGTTGTGTAAGATCTTATGTGAATTTAGCGTGGAATGTCAGCCACGTTTGAGCCCAGACAAGCGCCACTATTTTTACCACTCAGAGCGCTTACCACCACCAGCGATCTTTTAACCTTAACTCATCCCTTTCACACCTCGCCCAGCGACAAAAGGCACAGGACATTATACAACAGGAAACAGAATACTCAAAAACCATCGATTAGAAAGCTCTCGTCTGGAGATCTACTTTCAACCATGGCTCGCGGCAACCAACGTGACAAAGCCCGTGAAAAGAACCTGAAAGCGGCGGCGGGAAAGGTTTGTCTACCCAACCTATTCTAACCCTCAACCACGTGAATCATTCTCCTCGGCATCACTTCGAAATACTGACTGCTATTTTATAGAAATCCAAGAACACGGTATGTCCCATGGCTGGCTTCTAGAAGGAGACGCAACACCTCGTCGTGCCTCTTTAGAGTCAACTGTGCCGTTTTTCTGACTTTGAGTGTCGCAGGCATCGGGCTCAGAGCAACAAAAAGCCAAGGAAGACGCAGCAGCCATAATGCGCGCCAAACAGGCTGCCGGTACGTACCTGGATCTGGAACTTTGGTGTCGGCTCAACGTCGTACCGCATGAAATTTGGATGGATTTGCTAACGATGCGTGTGTGCAAAACAGCCGATGCAAAGAAGTCGGGAGGCACCTAATGGCTGACTGACCCGGTTCCTTTGGAACCCAAGTCAACGTTATATGTTCAAGACGGGAAAGGAGTTTGTTTGGATCTTTTTGGATAGGGGAGCTAGGTGTAGAGGCTGCATTTGCAGATGCCAGACAGGTCAATCGAATATTTGGTACTCAATTGCTTGTGATGTTTGAAACATTTCCCATCGCGACTCGGCACCTAGTTTCGTTCACACTTCTCTATATGCTAAACACAGATGTAGATTGTTTGAACATTGATCTTTTTTGAGTCTTTGCATTCAAGATTCTAAGTTTAATTGTACACAACACTACCACATTGTCACCTGCATAGAGGCATGTGGATTACGGTATAATGCTTCAACGCCGGAAAAGAAGTGGCAACAATAAAATGGTATAAAGGGCTCCTTTCGTCAAGATGCGCAATTAGCAGCATCAAACCCGATCATCAAAAGAACCAAGAAAACCTCCCCATCCTACTACGACGCTCGATAGTGCTACACGGAAGCTATTACTATCTTCCAGTGTCCATGCATCCATCCCTTTTTGACTCGAGCGACCCTTTAAGCAGCAGGGATCATGCCGGCAAATCCTCCGAAGTTGTTGACAGCGGCTTGCGCGGGGAAAGAGTTCATGCCGCAGAGACACTGGCACGCGCAGGCCTGGCCCTGTGCGTTCTGTCCATTGCCGGCGACGACAGTAGCGGTTGCGAGTGCGCCAGGAGCAGTGCCAGTTGCGACACCACCTCCGACTCCGGCTTCGATGGTGACGGTGGTTGGGGCGGCCTGTGCTCCAGGATCAACATTCTGGAGGGCTCCGGTGGTAAGAGGTGCTTGCTCGGTTCCGTTCTTGTTGATGGCGAGCTGCTTGAATGCTGACATTGACTTGTCACCGTCGGGCTTTGCGTTGATAGAGAAAACCATGCCCTTGCCGCAGTGGACACCGTTTTGTTGCTTGCAGTAGAACCCTGAACCCATAATTAGTCTTGTCATTTTCAATCAATTCATCAATGAGACTTACAAAGAGGCTCGAGAGTCTCAACGGTCATGTTCCACTCAACACCGGCCTTGCCCTCAGGGTTGGGCATGAAGCCGGAGTCCAAACCTCCCTCCTTCTTCTTGCAAGGTTCGGCGAAGGTTGATTCGGTAGCGGTATGGTTCTTCTGCTTGAATTCGAATTTGACAACGTCGCCAATGGCGGCATTGATAGCTTCAGGCGAGTATCCCAAGACAGGTGCCATTCCGGTCGCAACAGGTTTGAGTCCACCGACGACGATCTTGAAATCAATTAGCAATTGTCAACCAGCAAACAGTCCATCTGACTTACAGTGTGTGTCGCGGGTCCTCCTGGTGCTGCTGGCGCGAGAGACATGACTTGCATTTCGGCGGCGGCGAGGCCGGCAGCAAGTGCTAGAGTTGCGATGTACTTCATTATGACTAGTTGTTGTGTTTTTTAGAATATGTTCGAGAAAGAACGTGTACGCCTGCGCTGCAAGCTACTAAAATGGTTCAATAGAAAGGCAAAGACTGAAAAGGCTCAACTAGGAGGCCGGCTCGAAAGCTAAGAGATGAAGCGAAGAGTGAAAGAAAGGGAATGGAATAGATTGGCGCAAGACCGACACTGTTATGGAGAAGAGATGGGGTGAGAGAAGTACTGTCGCAGGGACATGTAGTGCTTTATCTACGCATGAAATTGAGCATCCAAGAAAGTGAAGACCCCGTGAAACATTGCTGCCCCCTCGGCTTGGCAGCCTTCCGTGGGAACGAAGAAGCATCTGCAATAGTGAGCCGATTTTTACTGAGGCACTCAGGCATGGCGCATGTGTCTGGGGAAATCTGAGAATGCCTGAGGGCGGATAAGTTTGAGTGGTGTTCGAAGACCGTCGCATCCTGTCGCGCATCTGTTTCGCCTCTCCGCAACTGGCTTAGGCTACCCAATCAGCGACCACCTCGCCCAGGGTTTGGTCGGAGAAGCCTGAAAAGGGCCTGTGAAAGGGAGAAGTCATCTGCATGAAAAGATAATAACGGCTCTGGCTATCCGAGCACTTCTTTTTCTTCAAAAGTTCTAACGTCGCCGAGCCGCGAACGCTGTTCTAGTCAGCATCCCGTATCACAGTAATACACAAACATTTCGCCCAAAGAAAATGCTTACCGCTCATTGGTCTAGCCCACCAAAATGCGGTCGTGACTCGTCCCCCATGACTTTTGACTTATCTTCTTTGACAATTATTAGAATTGTCGATAATGCTGCTTTGATGTCCCTCAACGCTACGAAATATGTATCTTCTCAATCCATAGTACTGCCATTCTCAAAGTTCCTATTCTTTAGATGCACTTGTCTGTTGACCTGTGTAAAGACCTGTGTAGTAGCCGGCATAGTACCAAGACATCATCAAATTCTTGAGATTTTCATCCTTGACTATATGGACCGTCAGTACATTTCTCCTTTCGAATAGACGTCTGGGCAACCCCCATTGGGCCGCTGTCAAGCCGGAAACTTACCTGTTCCGAGCATAGCCTGTGGCATAGAGGCCATGGAAGCAGCAATGTCTGTGTGCTGTCGGTCTGTTTCTACTTTGCTTGACGTTTCTTGGTTTGCCGGATCTGCTGCTTCCTGTAGAGGCATAGTCAGTTCGGTTACAACGAGCGTGTGGATGAATGTCAAATCGTACCTGTTCCGAGACCTTATCAAAACTTCTGCCGGGTTTACCGTTGGCACGCAGGTCAGCGGTTTCGGGATCGTTGAAGTCCGCATTGCTGCGTTGATCGACACTGTTTGGCTGTCCATCTGCCTCTTCTATGACATCTTCGCCTTCCCTGTACATGTCGGTCAGTTTGATTTACTATGAGAAAGTCAAGAAGAACCATACTCTCTCAATCGTTGGAGTTCTTCCGCACTCAGCACATCTTCCAGGCGCTTGCCTTGCGCTTGAATGCTGTGATACTTCTGCACCATATTAGACGATTCTTTTTAGTGGAAGTTGTTTTCAAAGAACGGACCTTGTACTCTGCGACTGCCTCGTCCCAAGAATCAATCAGAGCAGAGTCGTCCCAAGCATTGTGATCGTCCAGGCTGATGCCAGTTGCCATGCTATGAACTGCTCCGTAGTCTAGCTTGCGTCCCACCTTTCAACTTCCAGGAAAATGTCGCGGTGTGGATTCCTTGTTATTTTTGCTCAAAATTCAACGAGCAACGAAAGTTGATAAAGTCAACAATAGGTAGGACAGAGATGCTTCGTAGTAATTGATGGCGGTCGCTCTAGCCTCCAGGCTTGGTACTCTGCGCTAATGCTGCACTTCGCTGGTCCGAGCTCCTTCACTCGAACTTTTTTTCGCAACCGCAGACATGCCCACCATCCCACGAACGACAACACATAATTAACTTCGATATGGCTCCAGAAGATCTCAAGACCAAAAAGCGCAAGGGTAAGCCGTCTGAATTTCAATTGCTTCCAATTACTGACCGTCCCAGGCGCCACTGAGGCTGCACCTAAACCCAAGAAACAGAAGAAGGTGGATGAAACGACGACCCTACAGAAGGCCTCCGCAAAGGCGATGAGCGCCGCCGTCCAGCCGCTCGACGACATTGCAGTCAAGGTCAAGACTCCGCGCAAACGGGCCGTGGACTTCTGGGACGAAGACGCCGAGGTCGCAAAGCAGAAGGAGAAGAAGAAGAGCAAAGCTTCTGCGAATGCCGACGGAGATGACACTGGAAAGAAGTCGAAGAAGGCCAAGGTCGTTGAGGAGACTGTCGCAGAGGTCACTGTTGAGGATTGGACACCCAAATCAAAGAAAGCCAAGTCTGCCTCTAAGAAGAAGGAAGATGCGGTTGTGGAGGAACCTGCCGATTCAGAAGACAGCGACGCCGAGAACGAGGATGACCAGACAGCAGCTCTGCTTGCTGGCTTTGAGAGTGACCGCGACGAGGATGACGAAGACAATGAGGGCGGTGTCGCTCTCGAGGCTCCCAAGAGCATTCCCGAGAACGCTCGCAAAGCATTGGCTGCCTCCAAAGGCGAAGATGATCAGCCCGGTGTTGTCTTTGTTGGGTACGCATTTTTTTCTCTCAAGTCTACATTCAACAAAATTTTCCAGGTGAACTAACACTTATCCAGTCGCATCCCCCACGGTTTCTACGAGCCCCAGATGAAGGCATACTTCAAGCAGTTCGGAAAGGTCAATCAACTCCGCCTATCACGCAGCAAGAAGACCGGCGCCTCAAAGCACTACGCCTTCGTCGAGTTCGCCTCCTCCGAGGTCGCCGACATCGTGGCTAAGACCATGAACAACTACCTCATGTTCGGCCACATCCTGCAGTGCAAGACCATTCCCGCAGAGCAGGTCCACCCCAACCTCTTCGTTGGCGCCAAGGGACGTTTCAAGCGCATGCCGCGAAACAAGATCAACGGAGCGCAGATGGCGCGCGGTGCCGAGAGAGATGTCTGGGAGAAGAGGGTGGAGAAGGAGAACAAGCGCAGGTCACTCAGGAACAAGGCTCTCAAAGAGCAACTCGGTTACGAGTACTCAGCGCCTCAGGTGAAGGCTGTAGCCACCGTTCCCAAGAAGGCGATCACTTCCGGCGACGCAGCTGCACAGCAATTGCTACTCGAGGCACCGGCCGGTGAGGTCACGATCCTCGAGACGGAATCGCATCCAAACGGCGTGACAGTCACTGAGACCGTCAAGGCCAAGAAGTCAAAGAAGGGCGCAAAGGGAAAGGTCGAGACTGACGCTGCCCCGGCGACCACCGAGGTCGTTGAGGTCACCGAGGCCGTCGAGACCACCACCACCGAGAAGAAGGGCAAGAAGGGAAAGTCTACCACGACTGTGACTGAGACAGAAGAAGTCAAGGCCGTCCCAGCGGGCAAGGATGAGGTCGTCAAGACCAGGAAGACCAGGAAGTCTCTCGACAACGCCGCTGAGGGCACCACCCCTGAGAAGAGGCAAACCAGGTCAAGGAAAGCTAAGGCTTGAGAAGTATGAATTCCAAAATGCATCGTATTGGTTTGAATTTTGTAGCTGTCTATCTGTCCACATGTGTTAGATTTGATACCTTGCTTTAAGGGGACGGCACAATACCGGCGCCAGGGGGTATGTAGCTTATGTTGATGAAAAAAAATCTTTTCTTATGGGTTACCAAAATGTCGAAAGAAGAATCTTGTTAAGATCCACGGTATCACTACCATTCCCGCCTTTCTCCGTCCCTTGAAATGACATGCAACCGATCAATAAGCGCCAAATTCCCACGGCACTGGCAGACAATTCCCATTTCAAATTCCGGTAGTCTTTCAGCATTACTTAATACACACAGGAAAGAGCACCACATCATATCCAAGCATATGACTTAGTAATCTTTCAATTCTGCTATATGCCATGAAGAACGAAGAAAAAAGTCACTGATCATACATGTATGCTCATTACACTTCGATGCCTTGCCTGCCGTATGTACATGGAAACACACGCATAAACCGAGCACAAACTCATATACAAAGACCATCAGAAGAACCATGTACAAGAAACCCGAGGACCCAAATCCTCGCCCTTCACAAAGTTTACTGACAATGACGACGCCAATGCAATCCGCACCATCTGAAAAGAAGAATAAAACCAAATTGCGCCATTTCCCATGCTGATGTGCAATTAGACAGATTTCATAGCAACGGCTACAAGAACAACGAGAAAGCGACCGCGACGACGAGGCCAAGGAACGGTGCCGAGGGACCGGAGAGTATGGGCGCGGCGAGCGACTTCGTGCCGCAGCACTCGCGGTCGTAGGTTACGTTGTTGGCTCTGGCGGCGACCTCGAAGACGGAGCCGTTGAAGGAGCCCTCATTGTAGTAGTCTACTAGGAGGAAATTTGGCGGGCGGCCCCAGTCGTCTAGTTTTGGGGTTTGAGGTTAGCCTTTTGTGTGATTTTGAGGGTTTGGGGGAGGGAGGAGGGGAGAGTAGACTTACCGGTGCATCGGTTAGATTGGAGACCAAGGCTTCCGGTGCCGTTGAGGCCGTTGGTGACATTGAGCTGGACAGTGTTTGGTATCAGAAGACTCAATGAGCCGATGCTGACTTCGACGTTCAGGTTGTGGTTCGCCATGTAGAGCATCTTTTTAGCCTTCTCGTCGCTGATGCCGTCCGGGCGGTCGATGGTGCAGGGGAAGTTGATGTCTGTTGGCGAGAAGGGGGTCTCCCACATGTTGTAGAACTCCCAGAGCATGAATGGGACGGCGTCGGTGTCGTAGTTGTAGTCGATGAACATGATGACTCGCTTGCCGCTGATGATCAATTCACCCAGAGTCGGCCAGTCGTCGACCTCCATGGCTGTCTTGGGTGGTTGGTAGATATAGGGCATCAGGCCGGACTTCTCGATCGGGTCGACGTAGTTCTTAGATGTGACCAGCGGATTGCCATTGTCGTCTTTCTTCTCATAATCGTAGTTCCCAACTAGGATGGTGACGACCTCGAATGGGTTCGACTGTAGCCAATTCGTAACGTCACGGAAGTAGTCCTCGACGGTGCCAGCATCGAGGAGATCGCAGGATGTATGACAGTAGTGCAGAGTGCCGTTGACATCGTGGGTTTGGCCTTGTAGCATCCGGATACCATCGTTCAATTGCGCTGTAACTCCGTATGCCTGGTTCGAGCCAACGTTTCTCTTGACAGCGAACGGTGAATTGTGGGCACAGACTTCTGTGATATTCGAATATTTCCGCGTACAAAATTCGGGGTAGTTGTTGCAGGGCTGGGTATTGGACGGTTGAGGTGCTGCAGAAGTACTGCTTGCAGTTCCGTTCAAAGTTGTCGGCGTGCCACCAACGAGCTGTGTGAGAGTATTGGTTTTGGATGTTGATGACATGGAGGCGGTGGTATTGGGTGCGCCAGTGCTGACAGAAACGCCAGACATGGACATTGTGCCTGTTGCAAAGCTGCTTCCCTCGAAGTCAGAGGGAAGGGTAACTTGCGATACCTCGCTGGTCAATCGCCTATCTGAACCAGAGAGTGTTCTGACTTCCTGTGATGATGACGAGTCCTGCGCCATAGCGAACCCGGCCAGCCAGAGGCCTTGCAGCAGCAGCGTAGTTGTTGTTTTCATGGTTCCGAGTGCTATATTTCCTTTGGTATGTGCTTGTGTTGGTATTCGATGGAAGGGCGGCCACTATGTCAAAGTTGATTGTTATTCGGAAATGTCGATCCACTTATTGAACAATACCAATACGGATATAATGCTAATTATTCGTTCAGTGCCCACGATGAAGTTATTAATGTGCAAAGAGGGGTCGGTTGGTAGCAAAGACGAGCAACGAGTGAAAGAACAAACTTTTGGAGTAGCAGCAGTTGCTTGCTATCTGAAATGTACGAAGTGACGACAGCGGAGTAAGGAAAACGGGACGAGAAAAATAAAAGAAAGACCAAAGGTGGAGTTTCTTTAGGGATGAATCCAAGGATATTCCGGGAGCGGATGGCGATCCAGATAGAAAGTTTAGTTTACCCATTATTGAGGGTTGCATCATAGACCCACCCACTACAAGCCCAAGTGCGCATCCCAAGTCCATCCAAGTGCTCTAAAGCCTCCAAGTGCCCCCAAGACGCCCCTGGTCAACCTGATAACCTGGTCTCCCCTACTTTTTGGCCCAAGTCGGCACGACGATGCGGAAGATCGTTGGCTCCCAGGAGTGGCTGGAAAGGCTTGTGTGCTGCCAATTCTCCCAGTCAACAATTATTGTCCACGCGTTCTCGACCCGCCAGCACCAACTGGCACCACTCGCGCTGGGCTCAAAAGAACCAAATCACTAAAGAAATGTCGGTGGGAATTATCCACCATTTTTATGCTATGCGCACTAAGGGCCACATTCATTTGCGATTGTTGGGAAAGCAAACCTCTATCGTTATTATGATAATCCATTTCTTGGGGTTATTTACACATTACAAGACGTTCACATCCAATCTACACCATTGCATCCCATTTAGTGCATACTGGTACTCCATACAGATAGTATTACATACGTCAAGCTCACAAGCTCTATAGTAGTCGTTACTCGAAGAAGTTTGCAATACGGCTCTTCCCTTCCATGTTCTGTATCTCCTGCTTCATCGCATCTATCCGGTAATTCCTGAACGCCTTCTCGATGCGCTCCCTCGCTTGAGGGTCTTTGGCAATTGTGCGTGATGCGGACGCAGTCCCACTCAGCAGACCTGCCTCTCCGCCGAGAAAGAGCCCTCCCAGAGAAAAGAAGAAATACGACGCGGCATCCGCCCACTTGGATGGCTTGATCTGCTCCGTGATGTCGGGTACTGGCTCTGTTGCAGATCAGATATGTGCACTCCACTCACAACCACCAAATATCAGCTCTGCACCCAGGGCAAGGTAAACTTACGAGTTCGTCCATCGGCGAATTTGATCTCCACCGGCTTCTCCATGGCTCGGAATGCATTGAAGTACGCAAGCCTCATGTTGCGCAATCGAAAGGCGCAATACACGCCGAGTCCCAGGCCGAGCAGTGAACCAATGCCTGCATGTTGTGACACTTTTCCACCTGCACTCTTCAAGGTGTCACGATCGGATTGATTTAAGCTGCAGCTCTGTTAATTATGTACTGCCCTTCTGCTTCTAGAAGGGATTGTGCGAGGCGACTTACTCATGTTGAAGGTGCTCTTCCGCGAGGCGACGGAGATCGGCACTTCGCTTGTCTCTGAAGGCAGCTAATGATTCGGACATGATGAATGATTATGATTCGAGGGATATGTAAATGTTTGAGATATCAATTGGACTGGGAAAGAGAACAAGTATCCTGGCCTTCAAGAATGGAACCGGGGAATCTCAACAGGCTTTAAAATCGAGGTACCTTCAGGTTGAGCTCGAGAAGCTTCCTCGTAACTATGTCGTCACATCCCGCAGCCTCCGGCCGCTACCGGTAGTACTACCTCTGGCCGTAAATGATTCGCCGAATAGTCGGAACAAGCGTGATACAATCCAATCTTGGTCAAACTATTCTCGGTTCTATCAATCAATTATTTAAGATCCAGGGGCGTCGGAGTTTATCTAGAGTTCTCTCGTCTGCTGACTGGAGCCATCCGCCTATATGCGTACTCTTTCGAATATTCCTGATCCTACTTGAATTATCCAGCAGCAAGAAATATTAACTACCTGCACGTATGTATTATCGAGTATGACCAAAGACAGGATCTATTGTTTTCGCTGTCGAATGCACAACCCTACGCTCTACTTCTTGACAGCGGACCACTAATTTCAAGCATGCCTGGATTTAGCTACCAGCTACCTTCCCAAAAACCTTGACTTTCTCATAAATCGCAGCATCAATGGCCTTCGCTTCACTCATACACTTCTTGGTCCAATCCGTAATTGGGTCCAAAGGAGCCACGTCCTGTCCCAGTTTATGTCCCTCGCCAAACTCATGGATGGCCAAGAACGACATGCGTTGAGCATCTTTCCCATCAGGCCGGTACTGAGTTAACAGACTGTAACGCACCGTGCGTTTCCATCCCGGTTGCTCGGACATCTGTTGGTTGTGTTCCTCCTGATACCATGCCTCCAGATCAGCTTCGCCGCCTGGTTGTGTTTCCATGGCTGCATATATGATCGTTGTAGTTGCATCTATTGGAGTTAGATCACAGTCGTCCAGTATATTGGGGAAGTCATCGGATTGGAGACCTACCTTCGGGGTGCTCGACAGTCTGATAGACCTGTGCCAATGAGAAGATCCTCGACTCAAATTCGACAAAGTCCTCAACCGGCCCGTTCGTTGGGAAAGTCTCGCTGGTCCTTGGCACTTTCTGAAGCTTGCCAGCCAGTAGAGGTGCTAAATCGGGCACATTGTAGACTATCATGTGCTGCTTATCGTACGCTGGATTGGCGGCCTTGTATCTCCTTACAGACTCCACAACTCCGGTCTCGATGAGCGCGGGGGTATACACATTGTCGAGGAACTGCAGAAGGGTGTCTTCTGCGAGTTGCGATGATTGCGGGATGGAGACAAAAGTCTGTAAGATGCCGGGTCCCGACAGTTGTGGTGGTGATCCGCTAGCAGAAGACATTGGAGCTCACTCTGCTGGTTATCGATAATGTATGTATGTATGCAAGTTCTCGACGCAAAAGGGCCGGCTTTGATGCGAAATCAACAGTAGTTATCCCTACAGCTTACGTCTTCTTGTAAGTCTTACAGTGTGATATACTCCGCATGCTACCCGGATTAGGATAGGCTGTCGTTTACCGTTGCTATACTAGTCCCAACACAGTGTGATAAACATATATCACCCCGGATTATGCCCCTAATTGGTTTTCTGAATGAATAAATAAACATTTCGAACTTGGGGTTGGAATTGTGACCATTTCCCTCACGAGGCTGACATTCTGGGGACAACATTTGTGTGATTCGTCCTTTCGACTAAACTTTTCAGCTTGCTCCTGGCCCGTTACGCCCAACAGTCATCGATGATCGTCCAAGGCTTTCTCATGGCACATTTGATTACTTCAACTCCTGCTCTAGACTTGAAATGCCATTCTTGTATGTACCACCGCTCTTTATGAAAACTGATGGATCTACAGGGAGGCAGTATGCAATTCGTCCTACGCCTACGCCTACGCCTCGCTCCTACAGCTGCTCACGGAGCCATGAATAGCTAATAAGCTCTGCTGCCGATATCACCATTGAGGTCATACTCGTGCAAGAGCTAGATTAATTCTCTTCTAAAACGCTATCGTGGTGGACAATCGTTATCTCAATCAGTGTTGGCCAGTGGGGCCACGCGACATACAAGAGGCTTCCCTGTCACTATTTCCGGGTACACCCCTTACGATGAGCGACCCAAGATTTGCGAGGAACGAGGAGGATCATTGTCTGTTGTTGGCGTAATGGCGTGTTGGAACCAAACATAGACACTTAGGCCTCTCTAGATTCTGCCTGTCATGCTACTCTTTGTAAGGGGAAGGGTAATGAAAACTTCGTTGAAGATTGCCGCAATGGGAACATTTAACGGCTATTCTTAGACCAGGCACGGCACAGAAGGACCAAATGTCCACTAAATGATGCAATTCATATCTTTTGATCTTACCGAACGGTACACAGACCAAGTCAAGCGTTCGAGGTGCCTGAGTGACAGCGGGTGTGGCTACTGGCAGTAGGTGTGGATCGTCTTCCCTCTGTAGCGCAAGAGTTTCGCTCTGTGGAACAAGTCAACAACAACACCATCACCGATCAGTGACTTCTATTTTAACCACAAAACCTGACCAGGCCATGTGCGTGGCTGTCTTTGCACTCAAGCCCAACCAAACTGGGAATCACAAGGGCAAGGGTGCGGATCCTCCAGCCGCGAGCCATTCGCTCGTTATGTTGGAATAAATGAACATCGCTAAACGCGTCCTGCGCCAGCCCTACGCCGTAACAGTGCGCCATTTCGAACCCATCCAATGATCCCCGCTGCGAAGAAATGAAAACAGATAACGCCTGAGCTGATCCTATCCCGTGTGAGAGAGCGTTCACTTCTATTAGTTATGCCACAGACAGGGCGTAATCTTGTCCAATATGTGCAGCCTTATGGGTGGTGCGGGGCCGGGACGGTGCGAAAAGGCTCCTTCCGTTGGAACGAACGAATGAAGTTATTCTGGCACTTCAGCTCGTGTGACCGTAAGAATATTGGCAGAGTTGATGGTGAGAACAAGCGTTGTGGATCGTGATCCGGTGATGTTCTGTTGCTAGACGGGCCACTTCATCGCAACTGATAGCGAGGCCCACATAGCGACTATAGCATCTATATGAGTTTCAGTAAATTGGCCTGCAAAACGGCCCTCTTCAGTCCCCAAAGCCATGGTTTCGTCAAGAAGCATGGAAATTCTGCGCTGATGATCGCCGTTTATGCTTCTCGTTTTCGACGCGCAAAGACGACAAGGCTCTATCTGACCCATAGGCTGACACCTCGTGCATGTTTCCCACGGCGCGGCAATGATTGGTCGTCAACCTGCAGATGTTTCGAGAGCGCTTAACTTTCTTGCATCCAAATTAAGAGGTAATAAGGGTATACCCTGTCCTTTTGTGTAACTATAAGCTCTACTCTTTCATAGAGAGAGTGAGCATGTGTGCTATGCGGCAGTTCATTATTCATGGCTCGGCATGCACTGCTTACAATCCACCATCAGACGATGTCTCTTGGGCGGTGCTGATCTTTAAAAGAAGAGACAGATTTAAAGACACGGGCGTCATCCTTTGCTGAGGCGTCTGTTTTCACCACATCATCATCTTCCTCACTCCTCTTCACTTCTGTATTATATCTTTATCCCATCTGCAAGAGTCGTATTGCTGTGCTCTTGCTACTTATTTTTTTTAACCCCATCCAAACATCACACGTACCATTAGTTTGAGTTAACGTGCCTCATCATGTCTGGACAACAGCCCGTCATCATTTGGCTCAACAGCGTCCTCATGGTGCTTACCATTGCCGCATTGTGTGCACGGGTTGGACGAAGAATATTTGTTGTTGGTAAATTCGGCGGGCATGATTGTATGCTTCACTGTCTATGTTTTCAATGGAACATCGCTAACTCTTTACAGCTTTGATTACACTGGCTGCAGTATGTTTTACATGGTCAAGAAGTTATCTATTACTAACAAGGTCAAGGTGTCTGCATGCATCTTCTCCTCTCTTCAGATTGTTGGTACGTCTACATTGCATCATGAACTCAAGAGAAATCTTCTAATCGATCGTTATAGGAACCACATACGGTCTGGGTCGCCATCAAGATCAAGTCGATCCCTCAAATATGCCCAAGATTGCTAAGGTATATCAAACACATATCCACTACAAAAAAAGCAACATCATCTGACTGTACTGTTTTCAAATTAGCTCCTATTGGCCTCCAACTGCTTCTACTTCCTCTGCAATTGGGTCGTCAAACACGCCCTCCTCCTCTTCTACACCGAGATCTCACGTGAGAAGTCCCATCACTACGCCATCAACTTCATGCATTTCATCGCATTTGGCTTCGGCTCGTCCTCCATACTCGTGAACATCTTCCAATGCCGTCCATTCCGAAAGGCGTGGGCGCCGGAAATATCGGGATACTGCGTGAACATCGACTACTTCCTCTACGCCAACGCGAGCATCATGCTCACGACCGACATCGTCCTATACGCCATGCCTGTCGTCTTCACAAGGAAGCTGCAGTTGAGGAGGGCCCAGAGGATCGGACTGAACTGCCTCTTCGCATTAGGCGGCCTGTAAGTCTAACACTCCGCACACTTACCTCATACCCACAACCACTATACTAACAACCACATCAGTGTCCTGGCAGCCAGCGCCGCAAGAGTGAACGCGGTCCACAAGCTCGCCGTCGAACCCGATCTACCATGTAAGCTCACTCCCACCCTCAACAAACCCCCCATACCAAGCACGCGATCTGACACTCCTCTTCCCAGGGTGGTTCGCCAACGCGATGATCTGGTCCGTCCTGGAAAACCACCTCGCCATCGTCGTCGCTTGCGCCCCCAGCGTAAAAGTCATCGCCTTGCTCGCCTTCCCGCGCGTGACCTCCTCCATCCGAGGCGTCGTCTCGAAAGTGACGCCCTCGTCCTCGCGCTCCAGATCCCGCGCCTCGGGCGCTATCGACCTGGAGACCGGATCGATGTCGACGACGCGGAAGAGCGACCAGCTCAAGCCGACGCCGTACAGCACTCCCTTGCCGTCCCCTGCGCTCACTGTCGATACGCGGAAGAGCCGCGCCAGCCGCGCGAGCGGAGGGTTCGCGAAGTGGTTTCGCTCGCCGACGAGCCCGAGGGCGCTGGAGAGCGGGGACAGCATTGAAGGGCATGGGTTGGTGTATGCGGAGGAGTTGAGGAGCGTGCATGTCGAGCATACGATTACGGTGGAGGAGAATAGGAAGAGCCATGATGCTGCGATCGCTGGTGGGGGTACCGTCCATGCGATGTGAGTTTAGGCTTTGGGATGGGGGGTTGGGATTGTAGTTTGTTAGCGCTTTCACTTCTCTTCTTATGTATTTTACTTAGGGTTTCTTGGAACTTTTGATTGATGGAGTTGACGGTCATGGTGTTACGATGGGTGGCATGTACTTGTATGATACTTTCACGGTGTATGGATTCTGGGATCGGGAGGTCATCGTCATGATAGTGAAGGTTTTTTTATTGATTTGTTGTTTTATTCCGGGGCAGGACAAATTAATGTTGATCATCCCTGACTTTACGATGAAGCTTCAAGAGATACCTCAACTGCCAGAGTGATCAAACAAATGCCAATAGGACTGATGGCATTCGCCAACCCAACCCATGCCCTGAACCGTACCGTCCTGACGAAACGCCAGTGAATATTCGTCTCACTCATTACTCATTCCAATGAATACCAGATGTCGGTGAAGTTGAAGGCCCGTTTACCCGTCCAGTGAACTTGGGTCTGGTCATTCGAAATATTAGTTACGCTCACTCACTTCCATAAACTCGAACGATTAGGTCAATGGAACTTACTTAGACATATGTGTGTCTCAAATACGCCTAGTAGCTTCGTATCTGTTTTTAAATTGTCAGCTCATTCACTTCAGAATAGATGAAAGATTGAACTCACTCGGAGACATCCTCCCAGACAGAGTTGCCATCATCATCGGGGATCTCAGTGGGCAAGCCAGCCCTCTTGTTGTCGACGAAGACGCGCATGGACTTGGACATTGGAAGATTGTCGACCCCTTGGACATGCTGAAAGTTGGTGGGGAGGCCGATCTTGGGCTTGCTGCTGCCACCGATGTTGATGCGGCCGAACGTGCGCTTGACGCCTAGGCCGATCTTCTGCCAGACGGACTTCTTGCGGTGGATAGGCGGAGGCAGCTCGAAGTGCGCCATGGGCGGGACGGTGCCAGGAGGGTCGTTCTTGGGAAACTTGGGGAGTGCCGTAAGACTCTCGTAGCCTCGATCGTAGCCGCGCTCATTGCCGCGCTCGTCGAAGAGGGTGGTAGTAGAGTCATTGTAGACGCGGCGGGGGCCGTAGGGGAGCGCAGTCTCGGTGTGAGCGGCGTGATGATTCAAGTACGGGACCGGTGGAGCCTGTTCCTGAGAAACATTGAAGTCAGCAGTGCTCCTAGAGCCAAAGATAACGCTGTTCAAAGGGAACCCGCTATAGCTACGATTAGCCATCGTTAGGAGTGAAGGATTGAAAGTGGTGCCAGGGAATGGTGATGAGTGGTGGTGAGGTGAGAGAGAGAGAGGGGGGGAGGGAGGAGAAGAGAGCGACAGGAGGGAGAGAAGGTGATATAGCAAGCCAAGCTCGCAATCGCCCTTCACGCAAGCTTCATGATAGCCTAGCGGTCAAGGTGAAGGTGAAGGTGGCGGACACAATAGTAACGCAATTTGCACAATAAAGTCGTTTGGACAGGCACCGATTTGATTTTACGTATGATCCCTAAGATATCTCTTTCCGTATATTGTACTATGCGCGCTCATCTCATTAAGATCTGGATTGACATTAGGCCACAAGGCATCACCGTTGAACGGTGTCGATATAAGTTCAGCAATCATTGAAACATTATCAGTATGTGGAAAATCCTACTGATAGAGTGGTTATCACGTAGCTCGTGCAATAAGTTCAGTATGAAGATATGTGTATGTGTGAGTCCAGCATACGTGAAATTACAGAGAGCCCTCGTTATAGAAGGGTTGAGTCATAGTCTGGCGTATAAAACGGCAGTGAAGCTAGAAATCATGTCTTGGTGATGTTGGCGGCAGGAGAACTTAGGGCGGAATTGAGTATCATAAACGTTCTTCTTCGCAACAGATATGTGATCACGAACTGCAATGTATAGTTCGGCCATTCTATTTGAGAGGAATAGACTTCATTGTAAAACCATTCGGAATTGTTAGCTATAAGATAATAACTTGTATGTTGTTGTTCTGGCGGTAACGGCGGTGGTGTTGAAGTTGTGGAGAATATGGCATGGAGGGCGCTAGACCTGATCTAGGTAGTGAGTAAACACTTCTCTCTGATTGGTCCTCGGTTGGATTGACTGATTAACCGAACCGAGAGGGAGCGATTGCGAATGAGTCTGACGTGAAGAAACGTATGCCTGTACCTGGATGGGTTTTTACGAGATATGCGCTTCTTCAGGAGAATAGATGGACTCAAAATCATATCCATAAGTTGGTCGTTTACCTTCTGGATGTCCCGGCTGTGACCACAATCATAATAGATCCGATTGGAAACGCCTTTGAAGCCGTCGGCTGCCGACCTTGGAGACTACGCCTCATGATCCCTGCATTCGCTGGAGTAGTTACCCACCTTTAGGGTTCGACCCGCCACTTGAGCTCTTTTTTCCATTTAATCAGTCCAGACAATTACAAAACGCCTGCCATCGCACTCCCTCCATACTTCCCACATCCTTTATAAACTCTCCCAATCCTCCTACATCTTCCTCCCCACCTATAACCCTCTCAATCACCCCCTCGACCTCGATCCTAACCCACCGCCGCCATGTCTTTCTCTTCCCTCGTTTCAGAGATCGCCTACCGGAACTCGGAACGGGACGACATGCGCTCACAGGTCTCGAAGGCACGCTCATACGCCAGCACCGCTGCCACCAGTGTGAGCATTTCGGGAGACATTGGCAGTCAACTGCATGGAGGTTACAGCCATCCTCTCTCGCGAGCATGGCAGGCCGAGCGACAGCTGACAAAGGTTCGGAATGACTTTCAACTCTTCACTCCGCATTCCGCACGACTGACTCCCCCTAGTCCATGTTGATCTACCCTCTCTTCGTCTCAGATCAGCCAGATGAGGAAACTCTGATCCCTTCCCTCCCCAATCAGTACCGCCGTGGTCTGAACAAACTCGTTCCATACCTTACTCCCCTCGTCGCAAAGGGCCTCAAGTCGGTTATACTATTCGGTGTACCAATCGCACCCGGTGCGAAGGATGCCCTGGGTACTAACGCAGACGACCCGAAGGGACCGGTCATCAAGTCCATTCGTCTCCTCCGCCGCCATTTCCCAGACCTCTTCATCGTTGCCGACGTGTGTCTTTGCGAGTATACTTCACATGGCCACTGTGGAATCCTCCGAGAGGATGGCAGCTTGAACAATGCTCTTTCCGTAGACCGAATCAGCGACGTCGCAATGGCATATGCCCAGGCCGGCGCACACTGCGTGGCCCCGTCGGACATGAACGATGGCCGTATCCGTGCCATCAAGCTGAAGCTCATCGAGGGCGGAATTGCACACCAGGTTCTCCTGATGTCCTACTCTGCGAAGTTTTCCGGGTGCTTGTACGGCCCATTCCGTGACGCGGCTGGATCGTGTCCATCCTTCGGTGACAGGCGCTGCTACCAACTCCCTCCCGGCGGACGTGGTCTCGCTCGACGAGCCATCACCCGAGATATCGCCGAGGGAGCGGACATCATTATGGTTAAGCCTGCAAGTCAGTATCTTGATATCATTAGCGATGCCAAAGAAATTGGTAAAGACATGCCAGTCGCTGCTTACCAGGTTTCAGGCGAATACGCCATGATTCACGCAGCTGCTGCAGCGGGTGTGTTCGACCTGAGGCAGATGGCAGAAGAAGCCACGCAGGGTATCCTTCGCGCTGGCGCCACCATCGTGGTGAGCTACTTCACCCCCGAGTTCCTGGACTGGTTGAACAACTAAGCGGAGTTGTATCATTCTTTGGTCGTTTCCATTTTCTCTTCCTGGCGTTGGATCTCCTAAAATCTCCTCTTCTGTGCTCTTCTCTTTTCGTTCGCGATGTTTTAAAAGGATACCTAGGCGTGATTTGCATTGTTATGGATTCCATCTGTTCATGCGACGTGAAAAGTCAGACAGATCTTACGCGTACATACACATATATCTATGGTGATGACGGAGCGGAACACATTTTAGACATCCGTTCCGATTTACATGCTATATTCAGCTAGCTTCCACCCTACATTGAGATATAATGACAATTTTCATGACACATTATCAAATCTTTTTACTGCCTGTGTGTAGATGCAAGAGCCCTTGTGAAGACCTTAAGTATTCTCGCTCCGACGACTATCATTTATAGGTGTTTAAACGTGAGCTTGTGGTCCATCCCTAAGGCTACTTCTCGGGCAAACTTTGTCCACTTTGATAGCAATTCTACGGCTGCTACCTTCTTCGTCGGGGGGCCTTTCTCTTCCTCGGCATGCATGAAGTATGCCGACATTCACACGGCCGTCTAGAATATTGTAAGTTCACGCTTAAATGGATACTTTGTGAGATATCTCAAGGTTCACATAGACCGGCAGGTATGGCCCACAGCCGGTACTGCTAAGTAGGTATTCAATTTCACAAAACCAATTGTGCATGGAGAAATTAGCTGAACTGCAGGTTTTATCTCAGGTGAACCATGTTGAATCTTCCACAACGGTTCTAGCTACCAGCATTATAAGAAATCAAGCAAAAGCTACAGTCTGCCGTTCACACCATTGAGCAAAAGCCCTAGCAACACCTGTACCGTCATCTTCTTCATCTACCAAAGCCGCCACCAGATCAGGCCTCGGGTTCGGGTGAACACGTCCCCACGGCACGATGTAATTCCCCCCATCTTTCATACTCAGCTCACTCGAAATGCCCGCCCAGAGCTCAGTATAAGCCCCGTAGACAGGTTGATACAGCAGGGGATAAGCCAAGATAGTTACAACCCTAGGAAGATGACGCGTCAAGTTCGACTTCAAGTTCCCGGGGTTCGCAGTCACGCTGAGAATCCCGTCGTCTGCGGCCTGCGATGCAAGCTGGCTCGCGAGAAACCAATTCCCGGCCTTGCTGATCGCGTAGTTCTCCTGCTGGCTGCTGGGTGGGTCGGAGATTCGCGCAATGTCGAGTCCGTTCTTCGGGGCGCCGAAGTCGACGGCGATGGAGGACGTCCAGATTACGCGCACTGTTGCGGGAGGGCTGTCTCTTGCGGTCTTTCTGAGGGTGGGGAGGAGTAGTTGTGTGAGTAGATACGGCCCGAGGCAGTTTGTCGCTAGCTGGAGCTCATGGCCCTGGGTTGATACGGAGCCTTTTGGTGGGCAAGAGACGCCGGCGTTGTTGAACAGTACATCTAGTCGTGATTCGGCGGCAGTGAATTTCTCGACGGCAGGTTTGATGGTGGACAAATCATCGAGTGCGACATGGAGAAATCGAAGCTCTCCTGGTGTACGAGAGCTCAAAGCAATCTCTTTGATCCTCTGAATAGCATCTGTTGCGTTCGATTCCGAACGACCTGCCAGGTATACAGTGCCACCGGCTTCGTAGAGAATCCTACAGAGTTCGTAACCGATTCCTGACGAGCCGCCAGTGACAATAAACACCTTGCCCTGCTGACTGGAGAGATTGGCTTCTGTCAGAATAGGGCTGGGAGGGAAGAACTGTGAGAATGTGGCGCCCATACTTTGCGAGTTGCTGAAGTAAAGCACGTCTGAAGCAAGAGGTGTTCGTGATAACATTAATATAGTCAGGTGACCAGCTTACTGCTTTGAGCATTATGAACAAACCATCGAGCGAAAATTGCAGCACAGCGCACCTTCTTTGTCTCTTACTATCTTACAAAGATAATTGCCGGATTATCGGCTTCTTTAAATCGCACGTCGCTTGTTAAATCTTCAACTCGATGAGGTACGAAGCTACCAGTGTAGACAAACATTGCGGCACAGCAAGCTAGACACGTCCGCTACTCAGCGTACCAAAGAAGGCCTCCACTGTATTGAGTGGTTCAATTGGGCATATCACAACAATACCGAGCCATGTATGACTGCTATTCGTACTAAAAGCCGTACATTGAATGTTTCAAGCAACTAGGCTACGTTTTCATCCGTCTTACAGCCTACAGGTTAGAATGCGATAGAGTTTTTGATAGCTTCACAGTGTCAAAGAACTGCATAACAGCCTCCTTTTACAGTGGTAACGTGTATAACCGTTTGTATCAACGACATCATACATGATGTCTGTTCACCCTTGGGGTTTGATATTGTAATCTTACATCTAGATTGTTACACTTCCTGACAGCGCGATTGCTCGGTGCTAACCACTACGAAGTACACGTCTTTTGGTGAAGGTCCTTCCCTCCGGCAGAGCACTACTAGCAGGACGTTTCAATGACTTTATGGGCTCCGGTGCGGGTTTCTCGGGGCCAGCGTTCTCTGGTATGCCTTTTAGGCTCATAATGTTCACCTTTCTCGGGTCCCTTTCACGCAGGCTGACCGTGGGTGTGATTGCCACTGTGGGGTCAAGTTTCTCCAGCTGTCCGTGAGTGTCCACAAATACAGGTGTTTTGGCGGGCTTCTTACCCATGGTGTCGCACGCTGGCTGGTCAACCGCACCGCCAGCCTTCAGACGCCCCAAAAGTCGGTCACGGCTTGTAGTTCGTGGCATGGTTCTCGGGAAAGTGTAATCCTTGCGTTCCGGCGTCCTTCCAGTATGGCCAAAATCCTCAAGCCTGCTATATCCCACGCGATCCCCTAGCTCTAGTATCAAAGCGCGTGCGTGTGCATATTTGTTCGTGTAGTGGAAAGATTCACGGAGATCAGTCATCTGCTCTGTGGCGTTATGGGCATACGCTTCGTTCCGAATTATCGAATCTGCCAAGTCGTGATCAAGTTTGGAACTCAAGCTCTGGATCGTGGCATTGAGGTTGTAGACGTGCTGCTCTCGCGTACTGTGCAGTGACTCGGTCTTCTCCTTGATCTGGTCGATACCGGCCACGAGGTTATCAACATCCGAAACTAGACTTTGACCGTATCCCATGGCAACTTCTTTGGTCTTCTCGCGGGTTGTAGATCTCATGATTCTGGCCTCCACCATATGCTTTTCTGCCATCTGAGCAGGATTAGTCAGATCCGTACGATCCTCCGATGTTACTTACCTCGCAATCAGCATTGATGAGTTTGTCTGTCTTTTCGTGAGCCGTGGTGAGATTGTCGCCATAGCTGGTCAACCTTGCAACCAACTGTCCACAGCCTTGGGCAAATGAGGCTCCAGCAGAGGCATGAGTCTGCCCTTCGACCTTGAGTTGTTCCGATATTCCGGTGATCTCTCCCATGCGCAGTTGTTGTTGTTGAACATTAGCTTCGACCAGGCTTTGAATTCGCTGCATCATATCCTTGGTTTCTTGCTCTCTAATGGCCTTCTCTCTGTCCATCAAAACCGTCAGAGCATCAATGGAGTTTGACTGATTTTTATCCAGCTGTTGATTCGCTTGAGTCATCTCGCTTTGTAGACGTTCCAATTCTTCGCGCTGCTCAGCGGCTTCCTGTAAAAGGCTGTCAAAAATCGTCTTGAGATCTGCGTTAAGACTGGTGTAATTCGAGCACATCTGCGAGTAGAAAGTTTCCATTCCTGCTGTCAGACTGTCCACCAGTCGTTCAAAGATTTGGCTCATGTTATGAAAGCCCATTTCGGCTTTCCTCTTGAGCTCTTCTGTGAGAGGGTCCATCTTGCGTAGTGCCTGATTGAGCTCATTCTTCGCTTCCAGACTCTGCGCCGCGCCCTCTTGATGCGATTGCTCAAAGATTGTAACTCCCTCTTTGAGATCCAGTTTTCTCTTATTGAGCTCTGTTAACTCGCGTTCGACGAATTCGCTCATCTGCTTCGAAAGTATATCGATCAATCCTTGCTGCTCTGCCTGAAAACCGGCAAGTCGGCCATCGACCAACTTTGTCGTTTCCGCTACATCGATTTGGACTCTGCTATAGTGCGCTTGGTGTCTCGTGCGTGATTCTGAATGCCGTTCCAATGCTGAATGTAGCTCTGTGATATCCGAGGTGGATTGGTCGAGCGTTGCTACCAGCTGCTGATGAAGGTTCACAAGTTGCTGTTCGGTGCGCTCGAACTCCCGGCAGACAAGTGTTTCGTCATTCAGTTGTTCCTTTGTAAGTTCCAGTGCTTCTTTTGCTTCTTCCAAAGACGATTTTGTTTCCTCCAGAATGCTTTGTGTAGCCTCGCTCTCCTTTTTCAGGCTCTTACAATAGCTGGTGAGCTCAAGTAGGTCTTGTCCCTTACGGGTAAGTTTGCACTGAGCTGTTTCGATTTGCTCACGCTGCTCCTTGACGAGCGTTTTGTGCGATTCCGATTCACGGATCAGTTCCTCGTATGCGTCCTGTGGAAGGTACACTCCATTTCGCTGACGTGTAGCAGTGAGCTCCAATTTAAGCTTTTCGATCTCCTCGGTAAACTCTCTTAGGAGTGTCTTTTTAGGGATCAACTTATTAGTCTGAGGCTTGTTTTTGATATTCTTTGCGCGGAAAGCATAATCAAGCGTCGAAATCGTCTCTTCCAGGCTCGATCTTGCGGGGGATAGTGTAGCAATAATGCAAGTCTTCGTTCGCCCACCTAGGGAATCTTGTAGAAGCCGCGTGAGCTTTGATTCGCGATATGGGATATGTGGTGAGTGATCAACGAGAGCATTGATGACTCGACCCAACGTAAGGAGGCTTTTGTTGATCAGACCAGCCTCTGCTGCACGTTTACTTTCAGCGCCAGACCGTCCAATATTCTCAGATCCGGCGAGGTCAACGAGGTTCAGCTTTCCCAAAGACAGAACTTCCTCACCAGACGCTGATATCCGCTTGGTGTACACCGTGATAGTAAAAACGGTATGGCTACGAGAGCTAAGATCGTTGCATTTCGTTGCGGCGACCTGTCGCTTGTCGCAACCACTCCTCAACAAGTCGAGACCGGTCTTCGCACATGTGATATATCGTTCTTCCATGCCTTGCATGACGGTGGCGTGTCCTCGCCTGCTGTCTCCATCGAAGATCTTGAGTTTTGATTTTTCCTCTGAAGAAAGGAGATCTCGAAGCTCTTCGTTGTATAGCTCAATAAACGATATCTTCACAGAACTTTCGTTGCCATCGCTTGTCGCTAAGCCGTCCAGAGATCCAAGGTTACGGAAGAGCGAATGCAGCACGCGGAGAATAATACCCGCATCGTCTGGGAGAAGAACATGATCCGACATATCGCCGGACATTGTGTACGTTTTGCCCGTCCCAGTCTGTCCATATGCGAATATGGTGCAATTGAAGCCATTGAGAACCTTACGCACGTCAGTCAATCAATTCCCAAGCACGCGCATCTTCATTCGGGACACACATACCTCGTCTAGCACCGGCTTTACAACTTCGTCGAAAACCATCTGCTGATCCGCCCTGGGAGAAAAGACCCCATCAAATGCGTAGGTCTTGCCACTCATACCATTCGACCCCACCCCCACCGTCGTGCCTTTTAGACCATCCGTATGCACCACTACATCGCTCTTCTCTTGCACTTCGCGCTCGCTCCGACCGCGACACCGGACGAAAACATTGATCTTGGTTTCGCTGCCTAGATCGCGGTTCTTTGCGGCGGTCGAAGCTGACGTCGCGTCGTCGGAGTCGCGTTCCTTGCGCTTTGTGCCTGCGGCTGCAGATGCGTCGGTGTTGCTGGGGACATGATCTGGACGGAGGGAAGTGCTGGTAGACATTTGGCGGGCTCTTGGTATAGATGTAGTAGAAGGGGGTCGCGAGCCTGTGGTGATGTTGTCCTTCATGGTTGTGTGACGTTTGTTGTAAGCTGATGTGAAAGTGGATGCAAGGTTGACATTCCCAGTATTCGAAGTAAACGTCGGCGATGCTCTTTCTTTTTCGCCCGTAAGATTGAAGTAGATTATAAGTTAATACTCGGAAGTAGAATCGAAGTGGAGAGAAAGGGGAAAGGGTGGTTGAGAGGTTGTGTTTGAGTGAAGGTGGGATGTGAGCACTGTGCGGGCGTGTGGCTAAATGTGGTGTTTGTATGTAAACAACGTCCTTATTCGGCAACCGTTCTGCCACACAAGCAGTCTGCGACAGCACTCAGGCTTCCTCTTCTCAGTGTTGACAGCACAACTCGACTTACCTACCACCTACCTATACCTTGGTAGATAAATAAATACCAAATAGTACCTTTGATAAATGTTTGGTTAGACTCCGACGACACCAAGTAGAGACGCTGAAAATAGTGCAATCAATACACGCACGACGTCACATCTGGGGAGGGGGAGGAGGGGAGGGGAACTATTTGCAACGGTGACGGGGACATGAACCGTGATTGAATTCGTATTTGACCAGCCTTTCGCCAACTCGATATGAGATTTAAATGTGGTATTTAGCTACTCAGCAACCCGCCAGAAGAACGCCCATAGCATGCTTGCGTTAAGAAAAAAAAAGAAAAAAAGGAAATTTCATCCATTTTTCTCTTCTTTTCGTTCCTTGATTCTTTTTGTTCTCGTCCGTCTTTTTTTGTTCCTTTCATCATCCTAATCCATAGGCCATGGTGGTGATGATCTATTGGTCCTCGACGACGGTGGTCTGGAGACCCTTGGGGTCCTTGACGTTGACGGCCTGGACGTAGGAGTAGAGCTTCTCCTTGGCACCCTCCTCGTCGTTACGCTTACGGGAGATGCGGACGCGGATGCGGTATGGGACACCCTTGATACCGGCCTCCCAGACCTTCTTGTTGAGCTGGGGGTCGAGACGGACGTCGGAGGTACCCTGGAGAACAAATTCGTTAGCCATTTACTCTCGTAACTTCAAACGGTCCCGAGTGGGTAGAACGTACCATGGCCTTCTCGGCGAAAGCGCGGATCTCCTTGATGGCCCTGGGGGCACGCTTCTTGAAGCTCACACCATGAACCTATATCATGACAACCGTATATTAGCCTTCATGTTCGTAATTCAGTCTTCCGCCCGATGTCCCGCCCAACTGGCTCCCACGCCACGCACGCACCATACACGACACACGTACACATCGCTCACTCCGCACATTACCACCCTCCTCTCCCCATGTCGTCTCTCATCGACCATGTATTCCAATGGGATGGAGAGGGGAGAAGAGGCGTGCAGAGCTTTTGCGTATGTGTATCTACATGTGGCATGTATGTGCGGTTGCGTGACGGGAGAACCAAGTCGTAAAAACGAGGACCATCGATGGACTTCACAAAACTGAACTTCAACATACTCGCTTGTGGAGGTGGATGGTGTATTCGCGCGCGACGACGTCAGCGATGGCGCTGCGGGTGGTCTTGCCGGCGGGCTTCTTTGCTGCGGAGGACATTTCTGTAAAAAGGGTTTTACGTTAGCTGTCTGTCGCTCTCGAAGGGTCGTGTGCGAGCTCCTATGGAAGTCGTGCAAGGCAGCAGGGCTCGTTTCAATTGCGAATGCGATTGAGTTGGAGAGTGCGAAGCACAGGAGAGAAGGAAAAGGGTTGGAATGTTTCTTACTGAATGAGTGTCGCTGCGGGTTAGTTGGACGGCGAGATTGAAGAATTGCGACTGGGAGAGAAAATGTCGATGGTGTTCGATATTGTCGCAAGTGCGCGCTAAGCGAGGTTGCTTAGTCAGGCCAGCCGAAGTGGAGTTACCTCTAGAGCCTAATGCGGCCAGCCTCATATATAGACTATTAGTTCAAGTCGTTTACGACCCATCACTTTGTTGCCCAAATGATGTAGAAATAATGCCACAATTCAATTCGCATTCAATGTTCCTTTTTGGTATCTAGCTTTACGGTCCCCCGTGTAACGTTTAACAATGCCTCAGGAACGACGACTACCTTCCACCAGCCCAAGAACTCCTCCAATGCACGTATATAACATTTCGTGATTCATACATAATCCTAAGACCCCAATGTACTTTTCTATTTTCTTGTTCTTCATGATGTCCCCAAAACTCCGTTTGCTTTTATCATTGAAATCCCTCTAAACCAGTCGAGTTACCACATTATGGATGCCCTGGAAGATCGAACTCTTTGTCGTCGCCATCGGCGTCTGCCTCGTCATCTTCATCGTCCTCCCTGTCATCCATGCTCTCGTCGCTACTACTGTCATCGTCCTCGTCTCCGGACATATATCTATCATCTCTGTTGTTCCCATGTCTACTTCTGTGCGTTTGAAATGCGTCGGCGTCCCGACTGTCTGATAGATCTAGTCTAGGTATTTCGTCCAACGACTCATTGTTCAGGTAATTGTAAAGCGATCTACTGAAGCGCTCGAGAACGTATTGTGGAAGTGATGGCTGCCGAACGGTGGAACCGTCGGTGGCTCGAGTTTCTGGGCGTGCATCGCCCAGGTCGATGATGGGTCCACTCGGCTCTGAGTCCAGGTCGGCGGTGTTGAGATAGTTCCGGAAGGGGGAGAAGGACTTGCTAACTCGTTCCATGAGCTCGTAGGGGTCGGGCATTTGGGGGAATGGCGGGAGCTGGGGCATCCCCCGGAATTGTGGCATCTGTGGCATCTGGGGCATTTGAGGCATCCCCGGGAACTGTGGCATGCCTGGTAATTGGGGCATGCCAGGAAGTTGAGGCATTTGGAAAGGAAATGAAGGGAGTTGTCCTGGGAGCCAGGTTTCCTCTGGCTGGTCGGGCGTGAAATAGTAGCGAGGTGATCGTAGAGGTATTGATGCGGGAGAGCTCACGCTTGCGGGCGACCTAGATCCCGATTTCTCGTCGGCTTCGAGAATGGCATTGGCGGTTTGCTCGCTCTCTGGTCCATTCAGAACACGGAGTTCGTTCGTGTTGTAGGAATCGCAAGTGTTGCACTTGTTCCCTAGCCAATGGTACTTGACCGAAGACTTCGCAGAGCAGTCGTTGCACTGAATGATGACTCTCGTGTGCGTGAACTGATCGGGCATCGGCTGGCTTTCGATTGCCTGGGTGAGCTTCTGCCATTGCAATTCCATGTTGACGGCACTTTTCTTGCACATGGGGCACTTATATGCCGTCTCCATATACAGCTTATAACACCCCTTGTGCAGATAATGCCCGCAAGGCATCGCAACGACCGCGCTTGAAGAATTAAAAAGATATTCGCCACAGATTGGACAATCGCAGTCAGTAGCCCGCTCGAGACATTTATGGGAGCTGGCGTGAGAGATGGATATACAGACATTACACCGCTACAGACACAGTTAGACTCGAGTCCGATTGTAGCAACGTTCCAACTTACTTTGCAATGGATATAGTCCTTACCCAGCCCCTCCCCTTTCCTGCAGATTCCACAGTCAATACAGTGGTATATCTTCTTACTGCTGTTGTCGTCCCAAAGCTTGCAGATATCGCAGTAATAATACGCCGCACGCATCTCGCAGTTGATGCAATTCTCAGCAGCCTTTTGGGGCGTTCCGCATAGCATACAGAGCATGTTCTCAGTCTTCCGTCTGTTCAAACTGTGATCCTCGACGGCATCATGGCAATGCCGACAAGAATACCAACGACGGCAGTGAAAACATTGCACTTTCACATTGCGCTTGTAATGCTCGCATCCAAGCGAAGGGCCATCATCCCCCGTGTCATGATCCTCGTCCTCTCCAATGTGGTCCACACTCTGCTCTTGGGGATTTACTCTATACGACGGATCGGTGTCTCCTGGGCGTATATTGAAGGGGTTGTCTGGATCGATCTCGGTATGTAGGGACTCTGGTGAGGACGGGTGGACTTCTGAGAATATGGACTGGCCGGATGTGGGAGTGAACGGTCGGTCGTTGGATATGAAGCTACTGGGAGACTGCGGGCGCAGGAAGTTGTATCGTTCCGTCATCAAGGTGTGCATCATGCGTGCTTTCTCTTCATCGTCGACGGTCAAGTCTCTGATCTCATGCATGCGCGCGCGCAAATGGCGCATGCCATCGTCTGCCGGGAGGGATTCCGACATAGCTGTTGCATTATTGATACCCAGTCGAGCTGCAGCCGCTGCCCCGCCAATACTTTGTGATGTGGTGTTCGCGGGCGTGCTGTGCAGCGGCAAGTCGATGTCAAGTTGTCGGAGTTGTGACTCTAGATTCCGTCTGGGGTTCGACGACATGCCTGCCGTGTCGGTTGGTATATCGATAGGCTGGGATGTTGCCGTTGGCCGCTCGGACGATAAGCTCGACGGCGCATGCAGCCCGTCGTCATTGTTGTTGTTGTGGTTATAGGTACTGGCATTGCCGTTGCTGCTCCCCTCACCGCTAGCATCTCTCGGCTGGCCCTCCGACAGATCTGAGGCATCTTCATCATCTTCAAGCTGGAGGGCAGATGTGGCGGTCGAGGAAGGGATAGCTGGCAGCGGGGAAGGGCTCGCCGCGCTCACACTCGCAGAACCGGTATTTGCATGTGACAGCGACTGCCCCCCATTGTCATCGCTGCTCCCTGGGGGCGGCGAACGGGCTCCAGAAGAGAAACGACGCGCGAGAGAGGTTATGAAGCCGCTCATGAGGGCATTTCGGTGTGGTTAAGGCGGGGAAAGGATTGCGTGAGGGAAGAGGAAGAAGAAGTGCGAAGGGCGACGGCGAAAGAGCGAAGGTCTCGTGGACAGACAGTAACTACCCTAGGTACGTACCTAGGTACGTACAAGTAGTAACTAATGATGGAAGAATTGAAAGTACGGGCGACTTGGTTTCGTTACGTCCCTGCGACCAGCCGCCACCTTTGCCTACTCTTATTAGCCTCCCCGCGGGACATGGAACGTTGCTCTCGCCCTCACCGACTTAAGCCATCCATCATTATTGCATGTTCATGGCGAGATCCAGAGGGCTAAATTCGCTTTCCTTTTTTTCGCGTGGCTTTCCCCAGGAATGGAGGGCATGCAACCTGCACTGTCCAAGGCCTAGTCTAGTCCCCCTCTCTCGCGCTCATTCTCCCGCAACCAGATTCGCAAGACTATCTAAATTGGGAGTCATGGTGATACTCCAAATAGATCTATCGCGACGCGCACCGAAAGCGGAATGGGGAAAGCAGAAATCTATGTACACAGTGTATCATCGTCAACCAGTCACCCAGTGTCAACAATCGTGCAGGTCAGAGATATACATTAACAATTAGGTGGTCTTCCTTTGTTCATTATTGGCTCTACGAGTAGTATGACAGGATGCTTTTCCCCCCGACGGGCACACCCAGGGGTCTGTTCTTGGGCAAATGTATCCACCGCAAATGCCACCGTGATATCTAACTACACCGTCAATGACGCATCGCGTGGCCTTTGCAGACATTGTACGAGTACCCAGTCGACCTACTGTATCCACTATGTTCGCAGGGTCGGGTGCACATACTGGACTGAGACATGATTTGGTAGGGTAAAGTGAACGTATGATTACTATTTCGAATTATGATTTTGGTAGCCTCTTATTAAACAACGTAGATATGTTTTATGCAATGGCGAGCATGCTCCTGCGCTTGCTATGCTCATGCTCTTTTGGTTTCATGGTCACTTAGAAAACAAGTGCTTTTCTCCCATCCAATAATGTGGATGGCTTCTTCCACCCAGATAAATGAGATATGAAACCCCTTCCCGACCTCCCCGACACTTAGGTTCTCAATCCAATGTCGAACTCCGATGCTAGATGCCCCTGGCCCATAATGAAAAAGGCCAATGATGCAGAATCCTCTTCCCCCGTGTCCCTATTTCAGAAAAAGAAAATCGCTGGAGTGGTATCTCGAAAACAGTAAAGAAAGCAAAGACAGGCAAACAAAAGGAAATTCGTTAAAAGACCGTGACGAAAGTTGAGGAGCGAAAGGCACTATGCACAATGCCGAATCCCGTATCCCTCTTGGGGAAAATCCAAAATCGAGCGCCTCGAGGCTGATGATCAAATCTATGTGTCTTTGGGGGTGTTATTGTTGTTGGTGTTGTTAATTGTTGGTAGTGAAATGAAAGTTTAAGAACTCGAATCGGTCTTTCGAGTTTGTCTTGTTATCGACTGAAAATGTGCTTAGGGCAGTAGTCTCGACCGGCGATGAGGCTTTCGGCTGTGGAGGCTCGCGGGGTTCAAGGAAAAGTGAACGGCGGTAGTAGCTTTGAACATTGGCCTCATCGCTAGAGTGCATCCGTTCAATCTGCGTCTCAATCCACTCCTGCATCTCCGGGACCACAGCCAATCGATATGGCACCTGGAATGACTGTAATTGGCCAATGATCTTCGCAGTCTTCATGTGCTTGTCGAAATTGATGACGGATACACCATCTTGCCCGGTCTCGCCGGGAAGCTGGCGAGTGGTGCCATTTCCTACATCGACAAAGGTAAGATCTGTGAGATAGATGCCTACAAATGGTATGCAAGGAGCAATGTGATTTTGTAGACGCTGGCGGAGGACCGCATAGTTGCGGCCGACATCAGTAATCGTCTTCAGTTCTTCGAGACGAGCTTTCGTCTTAGCTGAAACCAATTCCCAGGTTTTCTTAAGACGCAAGACCATTGAGGAATTCAATGAACAGATGATCGCCATGAGAGAATCATAGTTATTTAGTTCCAGGCACTTGACGGCGATCTTGACCCACTGCTTGATAATGATAGCTCGCTTCTTCGCATCCTCGAGATGTAGAATGGTGTCGGCGACAAGATTGGCAAGATCGGTCGATAGTGTGGACATTGCGCGAACGTTCACGGCTTTCGAGCTCTTCTTCTTCGTCCACTCGGATGCCAACAGCTCATCAGGCTGAATTGCACAGAAAAGTTTCGACTCGATGAGCGTGAACTGCCTTGCGAGTTCGAGAGGGTCGAAATCGAGTATACTACACTGTGTCTTGCCTTCCTTGTAGCTACGTAATGCACTCAGTTGGCCTCGAGTCATGATAGGATTGGGAACATTGCTATCCGATGGCGTAAACACGGCGTTAGCTGCGCCTGTCTTTCCCAGTGACGATGCAAGGCGAGGAACCAGAGCTCCGACACGGATCTCTGTCACTTTAGAAGTTAACTCTGCAAGCCGTTTTCCCGCAGGAGGCAGAGCTAATCGGAGCTTTCCAGTAGCAAAAGAAAGTATTACACCAAGAGCGGCATTGTCACTCTCTGGGATCCAGTGGCTTTCAAGCCATCCCTTGAAGACATTATACACGCGTAGTCGAACCGGAACGCCGACGGCTTCACTGTCGCCGATGTAGTCAAAGCGTGAGATGAGACATTGTGCCAACTCCAACGGTGTTGTGAACAGTCGGAATGTCAAATAGAAAGCAGTGACGAACACTGCGTCTGGAGTTGCTTCGTGTGTAGTAAGCTGCTCTATGAGAGCTGGAAGTGACCCACCAGAGATCTGGCCTTCCTTGTTATAGACCAGTTCATGAGCATAGGTGGTTTCGAGCAAATGCTCCTCAACAGCAGTGACGTCCTCGCTGGCTAGAGATCGGAGCTCTGACGCACTACCGAAGCTACTCACCAAAGTCTGGGAGCTTGGTTGCTTGGAGGGGGAATGTTCGGGTGTTGTTGCTCGAGTCGAGGACTGCGAGACTACACTACCAGTGTCACCTCGCATACTGTACCGGTAGGTGCTACTGGTATCGGCGACTGAAACATTGACGCTATCTGCTCGACCTGCTTTGCCAAAGAAGCGCTGGGTAGCGCTCGCTGGGCTTTGAGAAGACTCTGATGGGCTAGGTTGTGGTAGATGAGGTGTTGGCAGGTGGTTGAGAGGTGGTAGAGATGATCGCGATGATCTGAATGATGTCGCAACTGGGCTTTCCACGATGGTCTGCTGGACGGGCTGGAGGGAGACCGCGTTAGTCTCCAAAGGTGAAGGCTGCGGTACTTCTGGGAGAGGTTTGGACTCTGATATGACAAGTGGTGGTGGGAGTTGACGGGTAGATGTAGGCGGGGCGGGTAGTGGTTTATCGATTTCCATGGGCGCTTGCTCTGGTTGTTTTGTAGATTCTAGGTCGTCAGGCTGTTCAGACTCTTGAGTCTGTTCCTGTGCATGTTCCTGTTCCACCTCTTGGTGAACCGTCTGGCTGATCTGCTCGAAGACATTTTCCGAGAGACCTAGACCAACGTTTTCGAACTCGAAATCTCCTATTTTCTCGATAACAAATCTGGATTTCGTCACGCAGTCGCCCGCGGAACGAACGCAACTGGTTGCGGCTGCAACCAGTTGCTTCCCGGAATCTGGTAAGATGACATCGTCCCCGAGAGCAGACTCCGAGTCGTTGAACATTTCTTTGGTCGCGTGAACTAATTCGGTGAGACGAGCATACATCGTGTCCCTTGCTTGCTCCAGCTGTGCGGATTGTCGTGAATCGCGTTCCCATACTTCGTCGACTACGGCGAGGAGTTGTCGGCAAGCGATGACAGATTGTTGGGTGGTAAGGGTAAGTTCGTTCGAGGAGCGCGATTGCAGGTGCAACCCAATAAAGGAGCCGATGAAACCAAGAAAAGAGTCGTGTGCAGCGTTCAGCCGCTCCGAGGCCAGGTTCTGTTTTCGCGGTCCCTGCGACTTCCCGGTGTACGACAGGCGGTGGGTGACAGATAGTCGCTTCGTTTGGGATTGGGGCTGAGGAGGGAAAAGCGGTGATTGGAGAGAATCGGCATCTGATGGAATCGAAAAGGCAACGGACAAGCGATTAAGGCAACGTGGTGGCTGGTTCGCCACATTGTCCGACTCCTCCTGCATTCCTCCTGTGGCTTGTGTAACAACGGACGTGTCCTCACTCGCGGGGGTCTCCCCCTCACCGTTGCTCTCTGACGTTGCTGGAGGTTCCACAGAGTGATCAACGGAGTCAGATGGCGGGGTTGGGGGCCTGTTATTACTTGTTTCGTTCAGATCGAACGACAGGGACACGGCATCTTGTGCCCATATATCCAGGAAGCGCACCGCTCTCGTCACCAGTTTAAATGACTTGAGCACGAGCTCGTCCAGATGGTCGAAAGCCGGCCCTGGGGGCTCGTTTGTCTGCAGGAGTTCCTGCAGCTTCTTGGCAGTCTTCACCAGCGATGAGAGATCTCCCAGAAGACCTTTGCGCATTCGCCGTAGGCCGACGTGGGCAACGATGAGGGATGAATCCCTTGTCAAGCACTGCGTATGTTCCTAACGAGGGGTTAGTCGTGTTCTGCGCGTCGCGTTTGCTCCCTGCGCTTCTAACTTTACGCAACTTACAAGAAAGAATCGCACGCCTGCAATCATGCCCCTTACATAATCCTGTCTTGTGAACACGGCCAGGTCGCCGTTTTCGCCGTCACGGACAAGATCCCAAAGATGCGTCAATGCATTGAGGAGGTTACGGATGGTAGGATGGTCATATGCCTCGCAATAATTCGTGGGCAACCAGCCACGTGCTCCAGAGGCCAGGAGCGTGCCATCGGCCCATCCATTAGGATGTACTGAATGCACCAGAATGACGTCGCCTTGGTTGATGGGCACAGTGATGGAGGATTCGTCCGTAGAAGAGGACACGGTTGAACTGGGATGGAAATGATAGAACGCTCGCAGATAATTATGGAAAACGGGTTGTGCTGGCGGTTCCTCTGGCATCGACTCCCGAGATGTTCGCGGTGTCAGGGGTGGTGAAGGGTGAGATTGCGAATGCGATTGTGATTTAATGGAAAGCGCTCCTCTCGAAGACGACTGTCGGCTGTGGCCACGCTCTCGACTCCGGGACCTTTTGGGGGATTTTTGAATGTTCAGAGGTGCCACCAGTGCACTGGAGTGCTTGTCCACCTCTTCATGATCTCGCTGAAATTCTGCCATTGCGAATGGAAAGGGAACCAAGTGAAAATGGAATAGGAGAAGTTGATGTTGCTGGTTGATTTCGGCGGTGCGCTAGTATTGCAGCACGGCTACTATAGGGCGCCACTCGAACATGAGGTCGTCAAATGAGCGAAGCCGTCGAGTAGATGGCGGCACGGCAACCGGGTCTAACGAAGTAGTAGTTGAAAGTGTGCTGAGGGACAACTTGGTGTTGTCGACAAGGCGTCAAGACTTGAGATGGCCCAGTTGGAATTTCAGGGCTTATCGATACTGACGTTGCTGATTGTGTTAGTGTTCGGTTGTGTACAGTGTGGAAATGTTTGTGATGAGGCTGGGAGGAATGATTCGGCAAGAATGAGGCTGGTGCGAAGGAATGCTACGCCGTAGACTCGACAACGGGAAGTGCCTTATCCGCGAATTGACGTTTGAAAAAAAAGATCGTGACCAAGCTGCTGAAGCGCAGGATGACGCAGGCGTCTCAGTAGACAATTGGTAGTTCGAACCCGTCTCAAACAAAAATGGCGAGGCAGCTAGGCATATACAAGTAGGATGCCGGTAGCGAGCAAAGGGCGAGAGCAACAGAGAAGGTCTTACCTGATTTAGAAGCCAGCTAGTGTAACAGAGGGACGAATTGGACGTCGACTGTGATGCGTGCCGCGAGACAGACTTGTTGGACTCGAGTAAAAGCGAGAATGGTCCTGTAACGAGAGGGGGATTCTGTTACGCAGAGGGCCGGGCAGTGTGGTGAACGATGTCAAAGCTGGCACACGGGTACGTAGAGTGAAACTTTCTTTGGCGGAAGGGGAGCTCGGCCGGGGTGCAGGTGTTGTGTTATGTTGACTCGAGGGAAGAAGGAACTAGCCTTTTGGAATTTACTTTTTCTTTGTCGCAGAGAGCTAACGAGCGTGATGAGAGCAATGCGAACTTTGTCGTGAATGGAAGGGAGAGCTGGCAATCCGGAGGGGGAGGAGGTGAGGTGATGTTGCTGGAAAGGTACAACGGAGGAGAAGGAGAAAGTGGTGGTGGTAGAGGTACCTCGAAGGAGTATTATGGGCGTAATGGCCTTGAGCGGGCTGGCGGCGGCGTCGGCGGCGATTGCGATGTGGATGGGGTGGACGGGGAGGGGGGGAAGGATGAGGGGAGGGTAGGGTAGGGGAGGGTAGGGTAGAAGCAGCGATGGCGAACTAAGAATCAACTGCAAGGGCCTTTTGCCTGACTGACGGCGGGACTGACTAGTGGACAATGGATGGTACACTGGTGACAGTAGTAGATAGTAGACGACAGTGCTCCGTAGTAGTGAACAGTAATTGTTGTAGTTACTGTGTAGTGGAGGACGGACACACCCTCGACAGTACACAGTATGTGTATGGGTGTGTGTGTGGGTGGGCACACAGACAGACAAAGGGCAAGACAGGACAGTAAGAGAACCCTTCCCGTCACTTATTACCACCTAGTCCCTGGTAAATTGTTACTTCCCACAGACTACCGTCCACAGTTCACAGCCAACAGGGACAGGGCAGCTTCCAGCTCAACGGCGTCCCGCGTGTGTTTGGGGGGTTCTGCAAGCGAGGAGAATCCTGCCCAAGGGTGGGGAGCTAGGAGCTAGGAGCTAGAGCTACTTGAAGAAGTTCTAGTTCCTAGGAGCTTGGACCGTGATGGTAATGGGTGAGGTGAACCGTGATGGCCAAGGGAGGCTCGAGGGAGAGAGAATGTCCAAGGGGACCGTGATGATGATGTGACGATGCTGTCTGTAGAAAGAAAAAGAAAGCAAGGTACGACGTAGGGAGAAAGGGAAGAGTGAAGGGAAAGGGGGAATGGTTGAGAGAAGAAAAGAGAGCGGGAAGAAAAACGAAGAGAGGAAGAATCAGAGCAGGATGGACAGCGGTGGTCTCGATAATATCACCATCCAGGTACGGAGTATACCTAGGTATGGGATGGGATGGGATGTTAGGGTTGGATTGGATTGGATTGGATGGAATTGGTCCCTCAAGAAGGCTTCCGATGAGTGGATTGGACTAAACTAGACCGTGGAGTGATGATCTGTGATAATGTGATAAGTTGGATTGCTTGCTTGCTTGCTTGATTGCTTGCTTGCTTGCAGTAATAATGACAATAAAATGATTAAAAGAATAAAGAAGCAGCCAGAGAGGAAGGGCAAGCCACCAAAGGATTCGCTAGCAGAGTCCTCGTCCTCGACATGGGGGGAGGGGGGGGGGGGGAAGAGGTAACTAGGGGGTTGGAGATGGGGGAGTAGGGGGAGTAGGGGGGTTCCTTGTCGTGGACCTGCGGGCACTTCGGCCCTGGACGCTTGGGGAGGAGGAAGAGCCAGAAGGACAGGGATGCAGCACTAGGGGGAAAGGTGATGGGATTGGGTAGAAACGAAGGGGAGAGAGTGTGTGATAATAATGGATTATTGTGTGGATGGGTGATGATGATAAGAGGTACTCCGTACTCCATGGTGGTAGAATAGGAATACTAATACACAGTAGTGATGGTGACGGTTATGGTGCTGATCAAGATTCCATTCGTACTTCGTAAGGCCCTCGTACTGGCAAGAGAAAAACGGCACACGATCGCTTGCGGCTTGATGGATCAACAGTTCTCGTGTGAGGTAACTACCTAGGTACCTAGACTAGATGCAAAGCAAATTCTTTCAACACCCTCGCCCTACCGTATGCACATACTAAAAGTACATTCGAGGGTTCGAACAAAGAGTCCCATCATCTACGGAGTACTACACTAAACAGTTACCTAAGAGACTGTACTTGTACTCGATAAAATCATCAAGTAAATCGGAGTTTTGCCGAAAGAGGATTACCCAGTGCCCTGTGTCGTGGATAGGATAGATGCACGCGCAACCAGGTACCGCCGTGAGGTACCTACACAGGTATCCATGCTGTTCACCGTCACCTCTGTACCTGTAGTCGCGGTCGCGTTTGTGGTCATCGCCGTCGCCTGGGTACCTAGTTAGTGGTCTCGGACGTGGTCACGGTTCGCGGTCGCGGTCGCGGTCGCGGTCGCAGCGGCGTTTGCAGTAATTAATTGTAAACACATTCCGCATATGTACCTATACCGATCTACAGAGTACATACTGTAACTACGGCATAGAAAAGCTAATTCGTTCTTGTTGATACGAAAAGATAGGGCTCACTCTCCGGAGAAGAGAGAGACGGATATAGGAAAGACTTAGGTACTTACGACTCCCTACTGTGAAGTAGGTACCTGGGTAGGAGATGCTCTGTCTACTACTCCGTACAGATAGCTTTGTAGCACGTTCAATGTTGGATGTACTCCGTACCTACTCCGTACCTAGATACCTATAGGCATGGATGTACATAGAATACCTAGCTATGGTACGGAGGATGCGAATCTGGCTCCTTCCTCAGTTGGATTGTTTTGGTTGCTTAGCATTCACCTACCATCTCCCTGCCACCTCGCACCATTACAATATAATTTGATCATCCTCATCCTCATCCTCATCCTCATCCGTCTATCTTCTCTTCCATTCACCATCTCCGACCCTATCACTGCGCCATCCCTGCTCCTCCACCCCCGGTCGTCGTCCAGGCCAGGATTAGTTCGTTCCCAAGGCCTCAACGTCTCCCACGCTTATCCAGGTCCGCATTTGCACGACCCCTGAGGGACTCTCTCGCCATGGCCAGGCCGTGGCTCGCCTCGTGTTTTTCCTTGCGCTGCCATAAATGACCATCCGTTTGCACCATTTCACCCAGCCAATGCCCTCTGGCACTGTTGCGGATGGCGCCGTTGCGATTAACAACATGTCCGATGTCATCTCTGCACCGTCCTATGATGATCAATCGCCTGCAATTATCCAGCACCCGCATGCTCTTCTCAGCGACGGTCCGAACCCGTCCGCTTCGCCTACCAACTCATCCCCAGATCCAATAATGGAAGAATTACTCTCTAGGGATCGATTGCCTAGGCTGGGTCCGTTGGGAGACGGAAGGCACTGAGGGATTGGTGTCCAACATCCATGGCTTCGCAGTTCGCACGCATACAATACGGAGTGCAGTATTATCGTATCTACCTAGTATCTATTACTGCACGCGCTGCCCGGCTGTTAACTGGTACGCTACGGCCGACTTGCGGCACAAGGCCCCTGCGACCAGGAAGTGCTCGAGGCCACAGCGGCCGCCCGCATGAGACCCGCAACGCGCTCGTTCCATCAGAATCCACACGTACCAGGGTAGCTCCAGGTTCTCAGTACCGCATCAACAGCATCTGCTATGTACGTGAGTGACCTATGCCGCCCTCTGGCCTCCTCTTTGCTCTTCTGCTCTGCTTTGCCCAGATCCTGGAAGTAATGTACCTGTAGTGTGCGCCAGCTAGAAGGGCAACACTTTCAATCCCGGACTGAGTACGTGGGAGCATCGTAATAGTTCAACCACTTGTCAATCGTCACCCATATTGGGCCGCCATCCTCGCACCTCCAAGACGACTCACTCTGGTGGTAAAAGGTTATCTCTGCTGAATTGACTCCGGCGACCACGGCGACCACGGCGAGGGCAAGATGAGCCAAAGCACGCCCAAGCACACGAAAAACACAAAAATCCCTCGTTGGGGCAAAGATCGACTCCACCCCCCACTGTCTAAACTGTTCCTGCGTTTTCGGCTGCCCAGTTTGAGACATCCCCCCCGAACGGAACCTCGCATGCTTCTCCCCGCCCGCATCCCCCAACCAACGCCTTGCTAAGTGGATTCATCCAGCCACTCGTCTCCCATTGGCCGAATTGATCCATATGCTGGAGGAAAAAACAAAAGATTCCGTTCTGATATCGGCATCTCGTGCTGATATGCTTCAAGTGCACATCTTCCCGCACTACGCGTGGGGCACAGCAAGTTGAATCATGCCATAGCACACAAGACAACTTCGGTTCCAGCGATAACCCTCGCGTGTCTAATCCGCCGTATGGCGAAAGATCGCTGTCGCTTCTTTCTTGCAGGAAGGACGATCTGTTACTCCAACGTGCTCCAAGAGCTGGAGTACTGGTCGCTGGGTTGCTCATATCGTAGGGATGGTACCACCCAGACCCACCGCCTCCCCCTCATTCTGTACCGTACCTGTCTGGGGGTGGTTAAAGATTCAAACTGCTACTGGGTGTGTTGGCTCTCTCCCACAGAAACACCCATTACTACGACCTTCAGTAAAGCGTCAAATTAGCCGTATAACCTACTCCGTACTTGTCTTCTGATGCTGTTACCCTCATTGATAAATCTGTTTTGTCAACCAGTTGGGACGCAATACCTCTTTCTATAATTGTTGGGGTGGTCCGAGGGATACAAACAACAAATCCAATGCCGCTTACCTGCATTAATAAAAACGCCCATACGCAAGCCAATATAGGAACAAGTAGACTACAGAAGGCCACTGGACGGATTATCGTGCCCCCATCCAGCCGTACCCACTTTGCAAGCAAGAAGCAGATCCCACAAAAACCTCTCGTCACATCCTGCCTCTGCACGTCTTTCCGAATCACATGCCCAAGTCACGAAAGCGCCTAGCGTTGAAATACTTGAGAAAAATGATATTCAGGCTAGCCTCTCTGCACGACGAACCCTGATACAAAGTTCACATACAGAGAGTTCTTGGATTCATCAGGGTCGGAAAAGATCAACCTTCAAGTGACTACCTACATCATTGGGTCCGCTGAGATGAGATATTACCCTGACTGGCTTTGCTACGAACATTTTCAGGCCTGGGAAATACGTGTCCCGCTATGTCGTGCAACGCCGGGTAGCTGCACGACGCAGGTGTTGCAATGTGCATACTGCAGTCCTCCGATCCCTGGCTAGCAACCTGTTCCTATTAATCTGTTCCTAAACCGCAAGATTTCACGCGATATCATTCGACTAAATAAACAACCATTCAGATTGAGTCCTCGGTTTTCTCTTCTTCTGTCTCCTGTTTCGGCAGATTGAGATAGTTCCAATGGGTTTTTACGACCCAGCTTCACGTGACTCCTACTCAGACAAATGAATGTACTTGCAGGCCGTACGCTAGCCTACATCCACAACTCGAGCCGCGTGCGGCCCTTACCTAGAGTACCACAGATACGCAACCAACTTCATTCATCTCTGAACACTCATCGCTTAGTTAAACTTCAATAAGGCTTCCAGACTCTTTTCCTGGGCGGGCCAAGGACACAAGACAATTGTTCTTTGCCTTGACTACGGCGTACCATAAAAGCAATGCACATAAAAACAACAACTCGATACTTTGGATTCCACCGCCAGTGTGGAACTAGTAGCTCCACAATACCGAGTACTATGCATAGATCAATCAATACAGGACAAAAGAACTCGCTCGTACATACTCCGTAGAGAGAGATTGCTCATCAACAAGAAGAATTGGACGCCACCCCATCACACCACCGCCTACTTCCTCGTACGCGGCAGCTGGGAGCAACTTCCCTACGGTGCTGTGGGAGGCCACTAGCTTCGATGCAGCTGTACGGCGTTCCTCAACGACCCGTCGGCTTGGTTTAGTTTCCAGCGAGGCGCAAAAGGTCCGAGACTTACGATGTGCTCTCAGGATGCACCAGCAATGAGAAAATTTTGCATCTGCGCGAGATTCTGGTCCTCCAGGCCGCTTGCCCAAGCTCAATGCCATACAACATAGCAGTCGTTTCTTTGGCGGTAGACATCACGCCGTCATGCTTCGATTGACAAGGTGGCTTCAGAACCGAAATCTGAGTAGAAAGCCATCAGGACGAGCAGTTTCTGCACCGCTCTGCACCGTTCCCACGCTTTCTTAGTTCCCACTTACCCGGGAACAACCGCGCGGCGCTCGGCGGTATAGTGGACCTAGCTTCGAACACATAAAACACGCCGTCGCTGAAGTCTATCAAGATCTAAATGAGCCAGTTTGTTGGTGTGCCTTCCACGCGTTCCTATTTCCATCTTCGTCATGTCGGCACTTATGAGCACCTTTTTCAACCCAATCAGAGCCACCAACGACTCAGAGTCTACCTAATCAGGAATCACTAACCCTTTCAGCAAACGGGATCTGCGCAAGGGTACCTAAAGCAACTGCGCTTCCCATTGAAACAACGCTACTGTGTGCAGAGTGGAGTTCTAACTTGAAATCTTGACGACTAGCAACATATGTAGGTAGATTCGGATGCCATCTTCTCCGCCCCCCTTCGACCGTAGACAGTGGACACAATACATCATCATCATCATAATTAGTCTCGCGGGACATGGCTTCCCTCCCACACGATCCTTCTTCTCCTGGGAATCGAGAAATACGAGCGCCTCCACACATACTTCAGAGCTAATGGCATTCAGCGGTGCAAGCCTGGCTCCTGGTGCACCCAACTCTGTGGCAATGGGGCCCACTGCTCTGCACCGGAGCAAGACTCCGCACAGCCAATATGCTCCTGTATGAATACCACGCAACACTATCAAATCTACAGTACATGTCGATGGCACCCTGGATCCTGGAGCTGTATAAATCAACAACGCGCACAACCGCGCATTATGGCTGACCGTCGACATTTGAGCCTTCATCCATTCCTTGGAAGCCACAGCAGAATTTCTAGAGATCATTCCTTATCTGACCCAAAAGCTTTCCGCAAGTGAACCGGGAATGATAATCAACGTCTCAATTTCTTCAGAATCGTTAATTCGACTTCCTTCGCTCGTGCTGTGTCACCAAAAAAAATACATACGTAGATATCCAGCTTGGACCTTGTATGGCGCCGTTGCTCACCAACGCTCAATCGTTTCCTTGCTCTGTAAGCATCAACAACCTAGTGTATCGTATCCTGTTTCCTGTGCGCAACCAGCCTTTCATTACTCCGGAGATTCTTCCGCAGCTCGACGATCAAGTCCCCTCTGGACTGGTTGCCTCTTGGCCGCTTCTTTGCCCACCGTCGAGGTCAGTAAAAAGTACGAAGCCGCTGAGCAACGTTGGGTATCAATATGTGACGATCCCAATTCCAAATCTTTCTACACCAGCAAGATGGTTCACGCTGGGGTCCTCGACTCGGAGTCGTCCCACCAGCGCATGAATCATGCCCCGCTGTCAGTTTTGCCATCGTCCTTCGCTGACTCGAAAGAGAGCGCGCGAATTGACGAGGCGAGCGCTTCGAATAAAACCCCTTCCCCAACGAGTCGGAAACTGTCCCAGAACGGCACTCCCTAATCCTAAAAGATCCCAGCACCTCCGTATAACCCCCACAACGTCCCGATGTCAAGGTTGGGTCGCCGTATTGTACTTGACAGAAAACGATGCCTCGGCCGTAATTGACCTTGTTCCACAATTGCTCAGCGACTCGTATGAGCATCAAAGGATTGCTCGACGCGCATACATTTCTCAACCATCGTTGATGGATTAGCTGTCGCCTTACAGCTCAGGCATTACTGCTCGACGCTGATGATGTGCCGCCCTACGCAAGACCTGTAGGGCTTCTGAAATCCTTGCTTCACCTCTTGATTTGGACGTGGAGCTCATCGCATCCGTTGCTAAAGGCCGCTGGTTCCATGCGCGTGATGCGTTCTTGACTCAAGAAGGCCCTGAACACTTCATCATTCTAGGGCTAACTACGAGTGACTCTGACAGATCTTCAGTGCATATTTCTCCTAACGGCAGTAACGTTTCGCCTGCGTGTTGAACTTCTGGCCCTCGAGGTCTCGGTACAGACGCTATCGCGATGGAGCAATTTCCTCAAAGTTCAATACCATGGTTGAGCTCGTAACACTGAATGCCGGCTGGATATTCATTCGAACTGGTGTCTGTCAACTCACGTATGCTGTAGATTCTCGGGCAACCACGTGCGCTGAATCAATTCATCGGAAGGGAGAGACATTCGGCAACATAACGTTGGATTGGGAACTGGGGATGGGTAGCCATGCTATTCCCCACCAGGGTATCCTTTCTCACCACGAAACGATGTGAACCCAAAACAGCTCGTTATACATTGCTTATCGATTTGGAATTTCCGATTTCTCACCTGTCTGCCCAATCTGTCTGCCAAACATGCCGATCAATCGCACTCTAAGCCTTGAGCGAATACTTTCCGTGACCCTGAGAACCAGAAAAGGTAATGTCCAGAGTAGTCTTGCAGCACGCAATCCACATGGAATGAACTGGCCCAATGTCGCCGACCTCCATTTCTCCAGTAGAGGGAGACCATTCATATGTGCCATGTTGCAACATGCGCGCCAAGTCAAGCCCTATCTGTAGCTCTCGGTGGCCCAAGTTGGAGGAATACCATACCATATGTGTACTCACAATCACCCAGTTTGGTCACGGTATCTGCAAAGATTTTAGGATCTTCTACCAAACGATCACATGGTACACTTGCTTGCATGATATTTATTGAAAGATCAACGTCCAAACCATACGTTATGGTGAACGATAACCTTTACCTGGGTGACGGGTCTTGGACTACTGGCCAAACCAGCACTCTCTGGAAACGCTTTATGTCAAGATTTACGGTGAATCGATAGCGTTCTCTTCCCACCAGGATTCGAATGAGGAGTCTGCAACCCCTTCGAGCAAGTTCAATAACTGACTCCACAATGTAGAATATCGAATTCTGATCATTTTCATCGTTTGCCTGGCATCCAGCTAACCCAACCGCTTTCACCGCCATCTGTCAACTGGCCAACTCCCCACTCCAGTACCGGATGCCATCACTGAACACTTCGAGGCGGACTACTGCTCCATTACTCGTCTACCTGGATTCGAATGCGCGTCGCTCGTCCAAGGCTGCATCGTGATTCAGAAACTTGCAAAGCCTGTTCCCGATCCCTTTACTTTCTTTCCAAGATATACGAGAAAAGAGCAAAAGTGAAGCGTAGCGTCAGTTAGGCCATTCGGGTCGTATCCGAACCTGTATTTGTTTTACATAACATGCCTCAGCGACTCGCGGCTCAATGGTCATAGTTGTATCTTGACTCGAGAGTGAGGGCCTGAATAATCGGCTTGTCAGTACTGTTTCCACATGGTCATGTGGCACAATCATGAGGGGAAATGGTCGGGATCCCTTCATGCTCCAATGTCATGCGAAGCGAAGGAATGACAATGTGCAATTGCATTCTCTACAGCACGAACTACTACATCGAAAATGAACCCTAACTCCCATCCTAGCCGAGGAGTTCCGTCGGCAGTGGATGAGTCTCGATTCTTTCCAAATAGCTAATGACGACAGTCCGATAGTCGGCATGCCATCTGCGTCGATTGGAAAATCCAGCGTCATCATTAGCGCTTCCTTCACATGCTTTTTGGCCATTGTTGTCATTGTTGATTTTCCTTATTCTTCGCGTCGCGAGAACCGCGTGTTGAAAAGGTTTCGGAAGCGGCATGGACATTGCCGTACCTGCATGCATGCGTGCTGTGCTAATGCAGCTACAGGGCTACACGACACGGAGGGGAACCAGAGTGCTGGAAGAGCTGACTACATACATGCCACGGGTGACGGGACTCGAAATTGCAATGCATGAAGAAAACCCAAGGCAACTAGGATGATGAGGAGAACGTGGAGTAACATCTGTCTCGTAGTTTTTTTTTCTTTTTGTTGTTGTTCTAACAACTACACCCAAAGTTTCATCCTCCCTGACCGTCCGTCCCTATGCAAGCCCACGACGTGCGCCACGCACATGTATGTGATGAGCAATGGAGATGTCACTTGGGTAAGGGAAAGCAATCCCTTCTCATTACCACTATTTGCTTCGGCTTCAGCAAGCCATAAGACGTGCATGTCGAGAGGGCTCCGATTCGCGGAAAATCTTACATCACACCCGAACATCAGCAGCAGGAGCACCACCACCATGCACGACGCCCAACAGTGGAAGGCACACAAAAAGAAGATTGCCAGCATTTATTGACTTCATTGCAGAGCGTGTATTTCAAAATGGCGAGATTTGTTCTCGTAGGTGTTGTATTGAATCATTATATTGTAGTGAAACCATTGCGCCAAATTGGGAAGATCCTCTAACATCTTCGTTCGAAGAGAGTAATAGAAATTTGGGAATAATCAATAGAATCAACAATATCGTACCCACTCACACGAGCAACCAAAAACCCCATCACTGCATCAATTGCTTACAATAAATAATCATTAGAACCGAAATCAGAACCTCTTCGTCCTGCATATCCACTAAAAACACCACAATGCTCAGTCGGACGCAATAACTACCCAATATTAGAAACACCTCGCCAGCCCGCATGCCCACACTGCAAGCCACTCACTCACCACCAAAGCCATCGCTCGTCAACAACCCATCAAAAAGGGTGTTAGATACATGCCATGCCATGCCATATCCCCCCATCCCGTCCCTCCCACGCACCGGGACAGCCCTTCCGCATCGCTGCAGCCTCACCGTCTCACCAGTGAATCATGCGGCAATCCCCCATCCCTCCCCCCGGCCCCATCCTCCCATTCCCACCAACGAAACACTCCTATTCCGCTCTTTCCCTCCTCTTCCGTCCTCGAGAAGTGGATTAAACTTTGCAAGAACCGAGTCGAGTAATCTCCGATCCCGTGTCTATGACATATGTTGCTCTTTTTTACTCAATGGAGTAGGAGTTGGGGGGTTTGTATGTCGGTAGTGAGGGTAGGTGTCGATTGCTGATATGAGGGCCCTGGTCTTGTATTGCAGGCTTTCGACTGGGATTGGGACTGCGGGCTTGATTCTTTGAGGTTGGGGGGTTAGTGAGGTGTGGATTGCGTGTGTATGTGTGTGAGAGGGGGTGGGTGGCTTGTAGTGGTGGTCGTTGTTGGTGATTGGAATGGCGGGTTTGTTATTGTCTTTGAGATGGTTGTGTGTGTGGTTAATGCAGGTACGCGTGCGGTTGTGACTTTCCATTGGGGAGTTCCCCTCTACTCCGTTCTTTCTTCTACTTTCCCTCTATTTGCGTGTAATGCATGAGTGTCCGGATTTGGTTAATGGTGATAGTTGGGCTTTTGCATCACTGGACTGGATGGCACCATTATGATTGAGTGACGCCTCAATGACTGGGATTGATCGAGTCTGAAGACTGATGATGTGTGAGATACGTTAGTTTGGTGGAGGGATATTGGCTTGTCGGATCGCTGTGTCCCCTATGGGTTCATGGGATGTCTTTCAAGGCATGCGGGGATTTGATATATCAGCTTCGGAATCACTAGGTCTTGATGCTAGTTATTTGAGACTATTGGTGGGGCAAATTGAGTGACATGCTATTTGTGATGGATTTATTGACATAAAGTCATGATTTAGTTGACTGGTTTTAAAATAGGTATTATTTGTTTGTATAGTTTCAATATACGAGAAATTATATTCAATATGAAGGCAAACTTCGAGACTCGAATTGTTGCACACGACATTCTTTCATAGCTTGTAGATTTATGTATACCACCATACACAGCATCTATTTCTATCGCTGTCGATATATTTGCCCATTACTATTTGAGTCTTTGAAGCCATAGAGAACCGAAACTTGTGACCTCGCTATGATGTTCAGGCGTCTCGGTACGTCCAATGATATATTGCTGGAAGATCGAAACAATTATCGTCGACTTCCTATATCTGATCCATTCCGTCGGCAGCACCAATATTCGACTCCCACCCCACACGTCCAATGTATCGTATTGGACCCGTGGCACCCACCAAGGACCTTCCCTGTTCGGACGAAGTTTTATCGTCTCGAACGCACGTGGTCATGTTGGGCGAATGCTCTGCTGCGTTACTGGTATCCGTCTCCCAGCGCCACTGTTGCACAGCGTTTGAAGCATTTTCTCGCGCCACGCGTCCCCGCCTCGACACAAAGTATGTGATAGTCATGGCATGTCAGACGGAAAGGACGTTCCTTGAGAGGCCCACGGCTGACGTTCTTCTTTCGGAAGAGCGCACGAAGGGTGCACGCGTCGAACGGTTGTGCCGGCCTCGGTCAGCGTGATGTGACAGTAGGGTGCAGCACGTATGTGCGGAAATTGTGACAGCAACACGTCAACGTTGCGCCGCCGTGGGGTATTCCCAGAGTGACCGAATCATTGAGAAAGATGGATTCGAATTTGTCAATCCTGCGAATGGCAACATCCATCTCTGGGTAGCCTTGAAGTGGGCGACCAGAAAACGTAGGCATTCATGATTCATACCCGAATAGTATGAACGGTATTTGGAATGGAGATGCGTAACGCATCACTGCATTTCCATTTCGTCGTCTTCGTCGTCGTCGGCTGTTCCTGGGTATCCCCCCTCTCCCTCCTCGCGCTCTCTGTCTCTTCTCTGCTGTTCTCGCGATGCTGAGATCTTCCTGTCCATTCATTAGCAATCATGCGTGTCGCCAGTATAGGGCCCGAAGCATTTGCAAAATGCGGTTCCAACCTACCTCAGTCCATCGATTACACCAGTGATGAATGATCTTCCCTCAGCGATCTCCATTCCTCCAGCACCAGTCAAGCTAATCGAGCCAGCTGCCACTAGCTGGTCTGTACCTCTCCGAACTTTAGACAGTCGGACCTCCCTAAGATCCCGTAGATATCTCCGCACACTTTCAGGGTCTTCAAAGTCATCTTCCGCGGCCTCCAGCAGCATCTCTCCCAATTCCAACCAGTGATATGGCAACGCATCCGGGGCGGCATCGGCGGTCGAGCTCGGGAGGAAAGGCGGAGAGAATATCGTAGTGGTATCTGGTGCGACCGGAGGTAATCGAGGCGGAGGAGAGAATCGTTCATCGTTTTTTGTCTCATCGTCAAGGACAGCCTTCAGTGAGTGAGGGTTGAGCCAAGGTGGAGGGATGATGTTGGCGCGCCGTTGACGCTTCAGCAACAGCGCAAGCCATAGCGGTAGAACAGCTCTGCGGCGTGGATCGAGAGGAGGAATAGAACCCTATCTTTATTAGATCACATTCAATCCATTGCCTCGAACAGCGAATTCATCAATGTCTCGTGGTGGGGTTCCGGCGGGGCAGACATACGCCTAGCAAATCTAATCCTTCCAAAGTCTGCCGTGGCATAACGGTCACTTGCTCCATTTCGCATAGGAATGCTACCTCTGCGGGCGTCAAACCCGGCGGGAGGGGCAACGCCATGATTCATACGCGTTGACAGGCAATTGTTCGTTCTTGCAGTCGAGGTGTATTGTAGAGAGACGCGTTCGGGCGGACTTTAGCCGAGGGCACTTCCTAGGCTACATTGGGACGTTAGCTGTCTGTCCTCACTTCATACCACAATCATTGCATTCCGTTCTATCGTGACTTGTTCATTGACAAGGTAGATGCCGTCGTTATCTACTGGGTGGGCATTGCCCCTCGCTGTTCTCACCATTGCCAATGTGGCGGGAACGTGGTTCAAATTGATCTCAGGAGAAGTCCCTGATCCCTACTTGGTACGACTTGTGGTCGCAATATACATTGGAAAAAACTCAATGCTAACTTTCCTTGAAGGACGAGGTATTTCATGTGCCTCAAGCACAGAGATATTGTCGAAATGACTGGTCTTGGGATCCAAAGATCACTACCCCGCCTGGCCTGCAAGTAATCCTTAACCATTGATTCGTGGAGAAAGGTACTGACAAGTCGCTAGGTATTTATTGTCATTACTTCTGAAGCCCGTTATAGGGTGTGATACAGATGTACTCAGACTACTCAATGTGGCGGCTATATGTGCGCTTTGCATTGTAGCATACGACGTCCTTCGAACCCTTGGAGCTCCTAGATTGACCCTGAATGCCCGCAATAGCTCGCCTCAAAAGCAAGTGGACAGGCAATTTGAAACCGATGTGAAGTATGATTGTTCTCATACAGCTCTCAACATCTGCCTTTTTCCGCCATTGTTCTTTTTCTCTGGCCTTTACTATACTGATGTCATATCGACGCTCCTGGTTCTCATCAACTATCGAGTCTTTTTAGCTGGTGGTGCGGGCAATTTCACTGCACTCAAGAGTGTGTCCACAATACTAATGGGGATATTTGCACTCTTTTTTCGACAGACCAACATCTTCTGGGTTGGAGTTTTTCCAGCTGGTTTGGCGGTGGTTGAGTCCCTCAAGCGGCAGGACGCGCCTGCTCCTGCGACAGACCGTACTTTCGCAGAGATTATTGGCGATAGCTGGTCAAGAGGAACGGTGTATGACGTTCCCGTCCACGATGCCGACCTACAAGGTATAACGACCTCGACCGTTGGGTTGTGTTCGCTAACAGATTTTGGGAGATTATGCGATAGTCATTGCTTCGGTGGCCCTGGTTGCACTAAGGTCACCCATCATTGTCATCAAATCCGTAATGACTTACGTTGTGCTCCTTTTCTTGTTTGGTGGATTTGTGGCCTGGAATGGGGGAGTAGTCCTTGGTGAGAAACACTCAACCCCAAGCACGAACTCTTTACTGATGCATACTATCTAGGGGACAAATCAAACCATGTGGCTACAATTCATCTGCCACAGATGCTTTACCTCTGGCCGTACATTGGCTTCTTTTCGCTCCCTCTTCTTGTCGCACCTCTTCTCGCACCTATTGTACGACGATTGCCTGGCGGTCTCCTGAAAACATTCCCGCTGGACAGCCTGATAGGGCCTACTCGGATTTCTTTGCCAGGAATAGCTGGTGTCGTCCTGTTCTCTATCTTTGGGTTGCTCGCGGTTCACTACAATACGATTGTCCATCCCTTTACGTTGGCTGATAACAGACATTACGTTTTCTATGTGTTCCGCATTCTGCGCCGACATCCAACGATAAAGTATCTCGCCGTGCCAGTCTACTATACTGGCGGATATCTGGTCATCTCGGTACTTGGAGCAAGGTCCTCCAAACAAAGTAGCAGGCGAGCTGAAAAAGGTCATCAGCCAACCAGCGCAAGGAGCATTCGGAAGCCCTGCCAAGCCAGCTTCGTCATTGTATGGTTGGCAACAACTGCGCTGTCAGTTGTTTCAGCTCCTCTGGTCGAGCCTCGCTATTTCATAATCCCTTGGATGATGTGGCGATTACATGTGCCAGCGAAGTTAGCCTCACTCTCAGATGCAGATGCTCGATCGAAGCAAAGAGCTTCGTCTGCGTCGCTAGATCTGCGGCTTACGCTAGAAACAAGCTGGCATCTCGCAATCAATACCGCTGTCGGATATCTTTTCTTATATCGTGGTTTTTCGTGGGACAATGAGCCTGGGCGCATTCAGAGGTTCCTTTTCTAGGCAGAGCGAGGCCACCAATCAGACGTGCAGTCGGGACGTCAACCTCACTTTGCGATACGGGAATGTCTAGCCAAAGAGTGAGGCGACAAAAGTCACAGAAAAGCGATTTACCAGTCGCAGACTTGCATTTCAGGGCAGCCTGTCAGACTTTATCAATGTTGCGGCAATTATTACGCCAAATGTGGTTGCCTAGAGCATACGTGTCTGCGGGACACTCCCTCCGCACCCCCGAAATCGCCTGTGGCATCTGAAATGTATGTACAAACGTACGAATCATCGGTTCATCTTGATAATTAAGTACATACATTTAATCCAAAGAGGGAATGCTTGAGAGGTTTGATCCAGCTGTAGCAGCTTACAACCGTGATCTGCCTTGTCATCTAGGAATAAAAAAGAAATGAGAGCTCGATCCTAGTATTCTAACAAGATGGAACAGCACTGAGAATGCAGCTGTACCGGTCACTGATCTCTCCCAAACTGACCTGGAGATTCTTGTGAGACCAATCGCGAACCCTAGCTTGCAGTCCACCTTGTGCGGGATCCTGGAAAGGACACCCGCCATTGTCCTCCGGTGTCCTGCTGTGGTAACCGCTCGCAGCCAGATTCTCTACGAGCCGCATAGAATAGGGCTTCTTGAGACTGGAGAAAGGGCGTTGGGCTGATTCCTGTGACTGCACACGAAAGCACAAAATCAAGGTCGCTCCGTCTTCAGACGATAAACTGTTCGCACCACTTGAAATGTTCTATGCCAAAAACTTAGCCCATGCAAATTTAAACGGTCAAAACTTCTTGCCACAAATATTCAACACGTTTCTCGCCCTGTGTATGCCTCAAACCAGTCTTCCGAACAAATGGAATATACCGGCCACAAAGCATCGTACCCTAGTGAGCACTCATATCTAATGGAAGATGACCGGAACCAATTCGAGCAAGCCGCCTCACCCTGGAAAGCAAGCCTAGCCGTTGGTAGCCACCCGCCTCGTCATACCCCACGAAATGAAGATGCCAACCAAGCAAACTTCATTGATGGTTATCCCTTTTCTGAGGCCGGGTCTATGAGTTGTATCAACCCTTCACAGCTATCAAGATCATCCTCCGGATTCGCCCTGCCTCAGGGCCCGGCATGTATGGATAATTTGGAACATTTGGTGAGCTATTAATATTGAGCTCAGCTTTCCCCTGCAGAGCAACCAGGCATCCACGAAATAATTCAACCATCGCTACATCGTGAAGAAAACAAAGTACTGATTCTCCTACAGAATTGTGGTTCGGGATATGAGCAACCTGGATTTTTAAGCGCGACACAGTCTAATATTTCACAGAACGTTCCAAGCTCCGCGTATGATACTGGCCATTTCTTCCCTGCGGTCCACTCTGCATTTGATCAGTACTCTTCGGGATATTCGCATCAGTTCATGTTTCCAGACGCGTCCGAATTAGGGGAAGACGGTACGCAATCACTTTACCATTTCCCACAAGCCGATGTTAAATTGAATACGCTCTTACGCATAACTTCTCAAATAGGTTCCATAGGGAAAAGACAGCGAGGAATGGCCCGACAGGGTACGCACGACCCTGATGAGTTCTCTACACGACCCAACAAATTCCAGAGACTTGATCAGACGCATCGTGAAGGACGGAAGTCAAACTCTTACAACCATTCTCGTCCCCACAGATCCGTGTACCACCAGCATGACTCGGTACACAATCTTCTCGGTAACACTAACATAGCATCGAGGGAGTATAGATTGAAAAGTGAACAGAAGAACTTCGTTCGTCAATGGTTCAGGAAATTTCGCAAGGTGGATGAGCACCCACATATCGCCAGTGAAGAGATACATGCTTTTGCTACGCTATTGAAGGCTCCACCGCAAGCTATAGCGGGATATATCAGGGATAGGGTCCTGATCGCTCGGGAAGAACCAACGTCCGAAACTCCCTTATCTCCCACTTCACCTCGGCCAACTGGAGGAATAGATGCTCAGAGGACATCGTCTGAATACAACCTGAGAGCGGCCAATACACACCTCGAACCCGATACTCTGGACTTGGTAGAGAAGTACGTCGTTGGGTCTCAGCGTCGCCGCACCCAGGGAGATGGACGCCGTAGCGTGAACGAGGGGCATTTTAAATGTACTTTCGGCTGTGGATACCGAACTAGGCGTACATTTGATTGGCGAAGACATGAGGAGACTCATGAGCCCCAAGAACTCTGGCTTTGTCATCTCTGCCGGCAACAACATGATAATGGCAACCCCTTTCTTGTGAACAGGAAGGACAAGTTTCTGAAGCACGCACGAGATTCGCACAAGGACTTCGATGAAGAGGCGGTGCTCGACATGTCCAGAGTCAATTTCAGATCCAACTTTGATCCGATATGTCCAATCTGTGGGGAATTCTCGAACACATGGGACGACAGATGTAAACACATCACTACCCACTATGAAGACGAAGAGTTCCAAGCCAAGCAACGAGAGTCCAAGCAGGGGAAATTGCTGGGAAAGCCCACCAATGCCTTGGAAACTTCGACTTCTGAAGAATCGATGGGTTTTAGCGGCAACGACTCTGTAGAGAGCGATACCAATAACCACTATCACCCATCGGCATTTATGGATTACGGCAATCGGCTGAGTGAAAGACAGGCAGAGTCGATGTATAGTTCGGCTTCTCGAACAAAGACTTCAAGGCGAGGTGGAGAGTCTTCAGAGGGACGGTCGTCGATCAATATGACCTCCGGGTTCAATGAAAGCACCAATCCGTAGCACCAAACAGTTGTTATCTCCCGCTACTGTCCCTTTCGCATGTGCGCTTCACAGTGTCCTAAACCTTCCGATTGCTCGAGGGACCAGTTGATTCCTTGCACACATGACAGCTTCAAGGCCATATCGTCTGCGTTTTGATGTCGTTTCTTCCCTCCAGCTTGCCATCAAGCGTTGATACTCTGTCTCTTTCTTTGATTCGATTCTCTTCATTGATCCTTTTCAACCTGACTTTGTTCTTCTACCCATAGACCTGTACCGCGGAGATATGCGATTTTAGAAGACCGGCCCCCGGCTTGTGTGAAGGTTATTCGACAGAGGAGGAGTCACAGGACGCGTACGACGGGACGAAATGTTGTCTGTGCGGTGCATAGTGCGTCGGCGGTGATGTTTTTGCAGACAAGACCTGATTGACTAGTTGCGCACGCACGGAGCTTGTATACTTTATCTACAAGATGTTGGTCGGCCTCGGTGTGCCGATCTGGGGGCGACATCGGGTTTCCAAGTTACGTCCACCAATACGAGGAATAGCCGGTGTCCAGTCCCAGATGTGTGCAGCAATTAGCGATGGATTACTCGTTCGAGCATACACATACACTACAGATCCACGACCCAACGTCAGCCTCGTGGGGTCATTGGGCATGCATGATGCGGCTCAAGTAGATCAGGGACCAGTCAGATGGGAGCAACGTAATATGCCAAGTTCTATTTCGGGTAGATCGGGAGCGTAGAAGTGTATTGTGGATTGTTTAGAATGTTTAGAAGGCTTCGGACCGGGTCACGAGACTCTCGGCCCTTGTTCATTCTCTTGTTAGCTCTTGGTTCCGACGTCGTATTATGTCACCTGTTCTACTCTAAATCCCATTTCTTCCCCAAACAGTTCAATTCATCGGTGCACGGTCCATCATCTCGGCTTGGAATAGCCGTTCTCCCCCAACAAGGCAGACCTCTACGACCTCTGACTAGTCGTTCCCCATGTCATCTGTCTACACTGTCCAAGATGACTGCAGAACAAGTTCCTTACATCCTGACCGGTGTCAACTTTAGTGCTCCACTTATGAAGCTTAAACGGAAACCACGGTGTAGATTCCCTCAACGCTGCGAGCAATCATTTCTTGGCGCTCTTTCGAGATAAACATATATATGATGCTTGATGCCCGCTCTGGTCTAGATTTCAGAGCTTCAGAACCACAGTCCACAATTCATACTTTCCCAATTGGAACCCATTCTGCATAAGCATCATTTTCATACATACTTTACTACTTGATTGACTGTGATATCATCTACAGTCACCCAACTTCAAACACTCATCTTATCACAACATCGACGTCATCGTATACTCAAAGGCACATTCGGCCTAAAACCCATATAGAATTTACCTCTCAACAAGCCTCAGCGGCAACAACCCTAAATTACCGGGCGGTCAAGATCAGACTGTCCATTACAACATCCAAGGCCCGATGAAAGACCAATCTTACGACGCCCCGATCGACTCTCGAGACCTAACGAAACGTTTGAATCTCCTGCAGAAGTCCGCATCCACACCAAACGATGGAGACTATGTCTCTCGACTGCCTAGAATGTCAAGATCCGGAACCACCTCCTCTTCTGACAACGCATTCATGCATCGACTACCAGCCTTCCGCAAGAGTCCCACTTCTTCCACGACGGGCAGCGATGAAGTGTCTAGACTCGAAGTCATTCGTACCATTCCCACTTCCAAGACGCACAGAGAAAGCGTCGAAGTTGCGCAGGGACAGTTCTCCAAGCCACGAGTCCGACGCAGGAGGGAGAGCAACGAGAGCACAAAGAGCCAGAAGGAGTTCCAGTACTACGGGAGGCACGCGAACAGCTGGCTCTTCAATGACTTCAGCATCACTGATACTGTCAAGAAGGGCTTCGGGAAGGTCTTCTCCAAGGATGACAGGGATAACTAGGACCGATCATCATACTACCATCGTTTCTACACTATTTCTTTTTTATTTTGTCAGAGTTTCTGCCGATTACGTTCGATATTTTTTGGACTATGATTTCATGACCTTTTATTCGGGGTCGGAAGTTTCATATCTTCAGTGTCAGTTATATAGTCGATCAATTCATCCAGCAATATTGCATACAAAACAATCATTACACCGCCTACCATTGCAATGTGCCCGTGATCCCCGAGATCCCAACTTTCAACCTAACCTTAGCTAATGTTTAAGCATAAACTCTTTTTTGAAACCTTCCATGTGATTATTCGCAAGATCCTTGCTGGTTTTTAAACGCCCCGTTATGCTGCGCCTTTGCCCGCTCCTCTGCAGGCATCGCATGTCTCAGGACATCGCGGCGACCAATCATTTGCCGCCCACCGCGCCATCATCCTGCAATGAACATGGTATTTACTATCGGGCAACGATTTGAGCATAGTTTGAGTTTGAAGCATGTTTATGGCAATCGGATTCATATATAAGTCAGAATTCCACTGTTAAGTTCGGGCACGTCAGAAACATTTCGAAGCTCGCCATGCATCATTGGTACGCGAACGATCTTGCGGATAACGAAGATCTGTTCTCCGCGAGGAACGGGCATCGATATGTAGAGATTCGGCACCATGGTGTGAGTCTTTGCTAATTCTATTGCTATTACCTATTTCTGAGCGTGACCATACAGAATGGTGGAGGGAATGGATTCCATACAGGTTATCTAGAAGAGAAAGAGATTCTAGGTTGGATTCACAAAGTAGATCACCAATACACCCTGATTAAGGCTTCATTCTAATCGCAAGGTATAGAGAAGGTCTTCCGAAGTGCCGATACAGTCCAGCGTGGATATTCTGTAAGTCTCACTACCCACATGGCACTTAGGACCGTCTTTCCTGCATCAATTCCACTGACCGTTATCATGACGAGCAAGAATGTGTCCTAAATCGGCCGTCAAAAATAGCAAACTACCATTCACACAATCCACGTATCTCTCACTCGCATCAGCATGGCAGATCTCGCCATCGATCATTCGCACATTATCCCAAAACTTGTCCCTAGTAATGCTATCCTCTCCTTCGACCTCTCCTTCTTCCATTCAACCCAACAACAACAGCTTCGGTACCAGCTCCGGCACCAAAAACCCAACGACGCCGACCTCCACCCCTCCTCCCAGCCTTCTCATCCACAACGCCGAAGAATGGACTTGGGATTACACCCTCCACCTCACATACACTCCCGCATCCAGAGCCACACAAATCCTCGTCACAGGCCTCACCGCCACAGAAATGAATCTCATGATACGCTCGATCTCATCGCTCCTTGCTCGTCAGCCCAACTCCGCGCTAGCGCCCACCTATACGCACCCTTTCCTCGTGCCCATCGTCCTGCTCGATCTCGCCGTGCAGGAAACCGCCGACTCGCTCGCTATGCGGACGAAGGTTCTGAGGGAGATTCAAACGCAGACGGGCATGGATAGGTTCAATACGCTGAAGAGCAGGAGGGTCGGGCTGTGGAATCGTGGGTCCATGACAGCGGCGTGCGGGAGTAGGTGTAGGGGTGAGGAATTGATGATGGAGGAAGGGGCGATGGGCGAAAGGACCGACGGGCTGGACCTCGATGCTGTCATGTTGCGGCTCACGTGTTTGAGTGATTGGGTCGCGGCGCAGAAGGGGGTTGTTTCCATGCAGAGGAGTATTCGTGATGTTCTGATACGGATGCGGGAGGGCGAGGGGTTCGGAGATTCGGTGGAAGGAGGTGATGTGACGATTTTCTACGAGAGACTTGATTTCATTGAGCAGAGTCTCGTGGCTGCGGAGCGGAAGTGTGATTATCTGGAGCGTAGCATTGATGCGCAAGTTCAGACAGTGAGTTTCCCTTGCCGTCTCTTATGCAGACTATTCCTCAGTTTCTGTGGTTAGACTGGCTGGCAGATGCTGGACGAATTTAGTCTGACCAGAGGAGCAGATATACACACTCGTCGCGCAAAAAGACAATCAGACCAATATCGCAGCGGCATCGGCCTCCTACCACATAGCATCATCCTCTCGCCGCATCGCCATTCTGACAAGAAAGGATAGTACCGACATGCGAATCATCGCCGCCGTAACACTGGTCTTTCTTCCTGGAACTTTCGTAGCCACGCTTTTCTCCACGGGATTGTTCGATTGGGGATATGGTGACCCGACGTCTAACGACACCGATAACGAGAAAGGTTCGCAAGATGGCGGGCAGAAGGTCGTGTCGAGGTATATATGGGTGTACTTCATGCTGACTGGGGTTCTTACTGGAGTGGTGTTGGTGGCCTGGGTACTGTTTTCGTGCTTGCAAAAGAGGATCATGATGAAGCGCTTTGGTGATGACTGTGAGGGGGAGGGTCCTGGAGACTATGACGGTTGGAGGCAAGGTAAGAGGGAACTAGAGAAGCCACTTTCCAATCGCTTGAATGTAGGCGGCGGCTTGAGAGAAAAGATCTGGGGAGATGTACGGACGGCCATTGAAAGGAAATATTGCTGCGATAGAGCGGTCAGAGTCGAGAGAGAGCTCAAAGGCGCGTGATATAGGAAGTTGTATCGTATGAGAAACCCGGGAGATTTGAGACCATGAGCGATGTTGCGAAGTCCTCCATCTTAGCTCCACATATATCCATGAAACCCGTGATTCGGGAGCCTACACAATTAGTACGTAGCACGACAATTATCTGGTCCCCGGGCTGCAAAATATGCATTTAGATTCTTGACCTAGTAGGCTAAATGAATCCGACTCATAAACCCATGCGCTCAAACAATGTAGCCTTTTAGACCTAATCAAACAAATCAACGCAATACAGATAAACATACTTTGGAACCAAAACAATATAATATGACAACACGTGCGGCTCGCGTTGCGTATACCGCAGTCTACTGCAACCTGGCACTATGGCCTCCATTGAAATCGCGATATGCCGTTGCCGGCCCGCATGGCGATCTCTGTGTAGTCCTCTCGTCCGTACTTTCCGTTCAACCCAACTCTTCTTTGCCCGTTGTTCTCCTGTCGTCCTTGACTCGGTTCGTCGGTTTATTTATTTTCCATTTCCGGGAGCAGTGAGCCTGAGGATGAAGTTGACAATGACAGCGGCGAACAAGAAAATCGTGAGAAGAGTAGGGCCGAGTCTGTCATCGAAACCACCCTGCCCCCTTTGGCGGATGCTCTTCGCGCGCCAATGGAATGTGACAAGGGCATACAACATGGCCGACACAGCTACGAGGGTGAACAGCCCAGCGCTGATCTGGCCGACCCTATCACCGAAGTTGAGAAGACCGATTGCGAGGCCGCCGAGGATAACGGTGAAGTTGAGCCATGAGAGGAAGGTACGCTCGTTGGCGAAGAAGACCTTGGGTTCAACGCGGGTGGGAAGAGCAATTCTCTTGCCTGTCGCAACGAATTAGCTGGAGCTCAATTGAACTCCGAAGTAGGAGGGGTATCATACCAGGCGCGGTCTGAAGAAGAGGCTGGGACGACATGACGATCGAGTATCAATGGACCCCGCGAGGTCAAAACAAAGGATGGATCTGGTGTTTGGAAGCTGAGAGTAGGTGAGTACTGCGTCGCAATCGACACGGAAAGGTTTTGTGCAGTTCGGGTCGGAGAATTTGAAGGATTGTTGAAGAAGTCAGGTTTGACTACGGCATGCGAAATTGATGAGGTCAAGCTCTTCTTTTCCTCGTATGTAGCGCCAAAGCCAAAGACGCAACAAGCACGTTCCATCCATGGTCGGGGGACGTCGAATTGGTCCAATTGCAGTCGCGGATTGACCGCACGTGAAGAAGGCTAGCGCTAGTCCAGATGCGTACTGGTGGTGTCACGGTTCACCCTTGGAGTGGAGCTCGCCTTGCCTTGCCCGCCCAGTGACAAAACAACAGAACGTACAACGTAAACATTCGACTGTCTATCAACCCGTGGATAACTCGACCTGGACATACGCTGCCCGATCCATATTACCCTACTCATCCCCAGTATTCATACTCAACACAAATAAAATGGCTGTAAGTCATACATCCCATTCTATCATTACCTATGCCGACTCCTAACCCCATTATCTTAGGCCCCTCTTCCGACAGAAGAACTCCTCCAAATTGCGAACAGCGTAAACAACCCACGCGAATCCACATTCGATGCCACGCCTAACATTGCGATCTAGGCTGCTGATTCCGCATTCGGCTCCGCAGAGAAATATGACCACTCTCAGGTAGCTGGATGGAACACGCATATCATTGTACGGACCGACCCGCACACCCCCCTTCCACCCCCTTGCTTCGCGCGCACGCGAGCATGACGATGCATTGAACGTTCTACTCACCCAGATTTGCTCCTTAGAACACCATCCTTCAGTCGCTCATCGAGAAGACCACCCCCGGAGAGGGCAAGTCCCCCGCCTACAAGTACGTCGTCGGCAGCACCGTCATCCAGCACCTAGGCTCCCCCGAGGACACCAACTCTGGCCGCCGCGGTATGCACAGCGCTGTCGGTGCCTTCTGGAATGCCGAGAAGGATGGAACATACAGCGTCAAGTGGGAAGGTGGCGAGAAGAAGGGCGTCGATGTCGTTATCACCATCACTTGGATTGCCTTGTAGATGGGGTGACGATCCGGCTGCTCTGTGCATGATGTTAGAGAGAACGAAGGGACTAGAGGAAGAAGGAATAAAGCCAGCGAAGGGAAGAGGTCGGTTGCAAAAATGATCATTCGGAACCATGCATTTGTCGCGACGGCGTCTTATTCTTCCCATTGTCTAGTTCTGGCCATGATCATGTTGCGAGCACTTGAACATGGTTGCTTATGGCGGGAAAATCCTCTTTATGTCGAAATGTCTTCGCACATATCCGCTTCTTTACAAACTTCTCTATAATAAGACTCTTTGAAGATATCCCCCCAATCGTGGATTACTCTGATTTGTGATATGATTTTATGGCCGAATCTTAGAATCCGCTCAAGATTTCTACGTAGCATGTACCCACCTAGTACGTAGTACGTACAATGACTTGAACACGCCATGATTTGATAAAGAAATTGTGCAAGGATGGACAATTCAATGTCAAATCTTGTGTTTTTACCGCGATCACCTGCGAACATCCCTAACACACCTCTTCCATCGTGAGGCTTTCCTGTCCATAACTTTCATTTCTATAATTTTTTCTCCACTTATTTAGAGCAATCCGTCCTTTTCTATAGAGCACAAGGATAATAATACTCTTGGTATCATCCGACACCTGCACACTCTGTAATATAATTCGAGGGATGCTTCTTTTGATTTGTATATAAATTACCTTGATATAAAAATCAAAAGAAGCATGACTGAATTATCTAGCAATATATACCCACTTTCATGGATGTACATAATGTTATAAGATAAATTTGAAGCAGTCATGTTCGAGTCCAGTAGTTCTTTTAGTACCTCGTCATTTATCTTTAAATATAGGCAACCACTGCCAATATAAGACAAAGGCATGCAGAACACTCCCGTCCATGGAGATGAAGTATAATTACGCTTCAAGGTTCCAAATAGCCATGACCAATCACTGAACGCCAAACCATAAGAGCGATGATGATTGGATCGAAAGTTCCAGGCGTACCAAGCGGAAGAGAGTGACTTAACACCTTTTCCGACACACATGCTAACGATACCGATTGGCTATACATGTTGTCAATTCCTGGTAGGACCAAATGCAGATGAATCGAAGAATATGAATTACCATCAGGGAAACTGAGAAATGCATGTCTACCCATGTACTTATAGAAACCCAACATGTGTCTCTTATGGTTCTAGCCAGCTCTATCCTAGCGAAAGAGACCTGGACCTTGGGCATATAAATATAAAAACCACATTGCATTCGCTCACTCCAACCTACGCCCATATCGATGAAGTTTCGATGGAAAGAATCGAAGCAAGAGACAACTGGAAGAACGTGTACGCGCTCCATACACATGAATTTGTATAACGAGACCATATACATATGTCATACACGTGCAATGTAGTGAGTGCGTACATTCACGGGTCCAGTAACTTGACAAATTCGAAACTACCAACAACATGTATTATTGCTTTCACAGTTCTAGTTACCTCTAAGCAGTCCTAGTATCTATCGTCGTAAACCTACAGAAACTGTAACAGTGAGGGTAGATAAATGGAGCGGCATGTTCGCTAAATAGTTCATGTTTTAACGAGTATTCCGTCACTGAAGCCTAGTATCACAACATACCTACACGCTCACCCGCACTCACACCCACCCACCCGCGAATCCTCTCTTAATACCATGACATAGGCATGTAGTCTTAAGTTGGCGGCTTCTCCCTCTTCCCACAGATACGTACAGAAGAAGAGACGAAGGGTTATTGTAATACATATACTGTGTATAGACATTCATATCCAAAAGTCCTCGCTACCGTGCATGTGAAGAAAGCAAGTCATTCTTGAACCACTCCTATAGCAGGGAGGGATCACCCCAAGAAGTGACGGGAAACCTCCCGACGACGGAACAGACTGACAGAGACCCTTTGAAGAGCCCCGAGTGTGCGACCTACCTAGTCACACTACACTTCCCTTCCGTTCCATCAATACATACATAGCTGGGTCGGGCTGGGCGTGGGGTTGAAAGACAGCGAGAGCACGAACCAAAAGGAAAGAGAGGGTGTTCACACCACGCACGCATCTAGCAGGCCGCCCATGTCCAAGATGGCCACTTTCGCCACAATTGAGCGCATGCATGATCCTACACAGGCAGGGCCGAGACCAAAGAGGCTTCATCCAGTGCGGCGCGCCAAACGTGGGTTGGGCGTCTGTGTTGCGGCCAGGGATCAAAAAGCAGAGTTTTTTGATTCAACGGCAACCCGACTAATTACGGATCGTGTGACTGAGTACGCAAAAGCGTAAAGAACTATTCCAACCATCCACGCTTTCTCCGGAGCGTGAGCCACGCATTATGTAAATGATGGGGGGAGCAAGGAGTAAGGAGGCCGGGGCCGTAACAACCCCCCTGGTGGATGGACATGCACGACACACTACATACAATACATCATATACATACAATACCTGCATACCATGCCATGGTATGATGGGCTGGGTGCTCTGGATGCGTGGGATGAAGGGTGCATGGGGAGGGAGAAGGAGGGCAGGTCCTCGAATCTGAAGGAGATCTGACAATAATGAGATTGAGGCGTTTAGTAGTTCGTCTCTGGGATCATGTCGATGGGTTCTCATAGGTTGAGCGTCTTTATGGGTGCGTTCTCCAATTCTCTGTCGTTCTCTGAGGACGAGTGAACGCTACTGGGTCTCTTGTGTAAAGAACGGCCGTTCGAAATCCACGCATTGAAGGAACGGAAATACATACGGAGAGGAGCGCGGACTCGAGGCTCGGGTCGGCCGGTGGGTTACAGAGGCCTTCCGTTTCTTGATCTTCCTATATTCCTAGCAGTGCTTGGATAGGCAACATTTCCCTCCAGGCTTGAACAGTAGTCAGTTAGTAGCAGTGTCGGATGTTGAGGGCGTAGAGTTTTCATTCAGGCGCTTGGAGAGAAAGGGAAATGAGAAGAGAAGAGAAAAAGCGACCGTCACCCTGCTAACCTGAGAGAGATTAAGGTGGTCGGGAAGCACGCGTGAGGCGGTTCGGATGTCGTGATCTGGCCCTGAAATTGTGTATTGAGCACACTCCTTCCTCTTCCCCCCCAACAATTGGACTCCCGCAAGTGCCCGCATTTTGGGGCTCTCCGCGCCGCTGCCGCACGAGTAGGTGAGTCCCTGAACAAGGCAGAGTAGTGGGACAATATGTGCGTGTTGTTGTACACAGAATACATCTAATTATTAGTTGGGGCGTAGTGATGGAAATTTCAAATAGGAAGAGTAGACACGAGAGAGGAGATATTTGTTTCTGTCGTGAAAAGAAGTGATAAACATCCATGTATTAACTGAAACTAATATCCGTGTACTCATAGTATCATGAGCATCGCATGTAGTTTTCTCTTTCTTGTCTTCGTCCTGGGCAATGTATACATGGTCTTCCAAAACCCCGCCCACCCTGAGACCACGCTCTACACCATGAACAAGCGAAGACATATGTATAAAGAGATATGCGCACCAGCGATTAGCCGGCGGGAAGATGAACAAGAAAAGTTCGGAAGGACATGCTTTGGAAAGGTAAAAATGTTGACGTAAGAATTTTGGCCGAAGCCTTTAATTGTCCTCGGACTTGGTGCCAACGCCGTCAGTGTGCGTATCGCGACTCCGCTCGCTGCTGTTCTCCTCGATGTGTTTCTTGAGCATGGCGCTGACCTCCTTGCTGGATGCCTTTCCGTTGTTCTTCTCAGTGATGAGTCCCTTGAGCCAGGTGTTCTCCGTCTCGAGTTGTTGGATCCGGGTCTCCAAAACGCTAACGCGGTCTGACATTTCCTTTGCCGTCTTTTCGAGAGCCTGCTCACGCTGCTTCTTCTTCACTCGGAACCTCGCACTAGCCGCAGTGTTCCGGCGGCGCTTGTCCTCCTCTGCGGCGACACGGGCGGCTTCATCTAATGCTGGTTCACCCTGTTCATCGATATGTTCCGACTTGCGCTTCGTACCTGTGGAGTGATCGAATCCGGGTGTGACGGGAGAGACGGCGGAGACGGGAGAGTTGAAGTTGTGGTTGATGGGGTAGTGGCCGACCTGGGGAACGCTCTGCATGGAAGTATCGACGATGTGGTTGGGAAAGGTCGAGAAATCGGCAAATTCGAAGTTGCCTGCGAAAGGGTCAAAGTTAGAAGACATGATACGAGAATGAATGTGTGGAGTAAAAAAGGTGGAGTGTGTGCGTCTGAGGTTGAGATGAATGAGGATGGAAGAAGAAGTTCGCGAAGTTGCACGGACAATTGCGTGCTTAGCAGGCCATATTGCCTTGCTAGGTCACTGCGAGTGTCCCGCGTGTAGGGCAGGGCAGGGCATGGCAGGTCAAGTAACCGCTAGCCCACCAGCCTGCTGTATGTGTGATGGCAGGAACATTCGCAGCTCCGTTAGGCCCGTGATGTGAATGGCCAAATAGGCGGTGGGCGTGGGGTGGGGGGTTTGAATGGTGCAATGCATCATCCCAATCGGCGGGGTGTGCAGCGACCCTTGGCAAAGAGCCTATTGGGTTGAACTTTGCAGAAACCATATAAACCCCCCAATAACCCATAACCCATAGCCCATGCTGTGTAACAAGGCTGGATGGAATGGTCGAGGCATTGAGACGCGAAATTGAATAACCAGCGATAGTACAAAAAAAGCGATTATTGCTGTAGGGATGTGGAAACAGAGAGGAAACGTAGAATTGGAAACACTGCACGTCGAAGTGCTGGAAGAAGAGCAAATAAATCCACATACCTAGATCCATATTGTTGGAGTTATCGGCGGTCGCCGTGACGTTGTTTGCTGGAGAATTGGCAACGTTCACATTAGGCTTCTCGTCGAGGTTGAAGTGGAAATCGAGGGAGGCGTTGGGATTGAAGCCGCCTTCTGAGCCCCCGTTCCAGTCGATGAAATCGCTGTTTGCAAAGACTGCGAGGTCGTCGTCCAAGTTGGCAGGTGCCTCGAGAGGGTCGAACGTAGATGTGAGGGCCGAATTGTTATTGAGGTCAGCAACGTAGCGAGAGACGTTGGGCCCTCGCCGTCCGTTATACGCAGACATTGGGGTTGAGGTGATATGAAAGATGGAGAGATGGAGATGAGATAACAGTAGATATCGAATCGCTCCTGGCTGAGGGGGAATATTCCGGAGTGTGCGCCGGCGGCTTTGTGGTGAGGCGGATCTTTGACGTTTCGGCGGTACGGTTGCGTCAGGACGTTCAAGATGAGTAATTCCGAGGATTTGGGTGCCGGCGGGAATTTCGCAACATCCAGTCAGTGTGTGCACGTACGCCCAGCGAGTACTGCGCGGTCGACGCGAAATATCGGGGTTTCCTTGGTGGTTACGCAGTTGAACAGAATCTCCAGGTTGTTTTGTTCCTGCGGTGGTGATGATTGAAGATGTGTGGTGTGAAAGAGAGAAAGAGAGAGAGACAAGAGCGTGTGGGTATGTGTGGAGTGATAGGGTAGTGGGTAGGTAGAGCCTGGAGGTGGTTGAGTGAAAGGGTTTGCTTGGTGGGCTGGTGCTGGGGTCTTTTTCCGTTGATTCGCATCTGCCCCGCCGATACTTCGGCCGTCTATTATTGATTATGATGACCACTTGAATACCTCACCAATAGCCTTTTGAGACTACGGAGGCTACGAGGCCACTGTCTACACACTACGGGTCCTATTGTATGAAAGGAACAGAAAGCGTGCGTGGGGACCTCGTGTGTGCTCCGATCCGGCTTCACCCTACCTGGTTGCGCCGGTCGCCTTACTTGTCTACTTGGATTGTTAATTCACCTCTTAGCAGTCCCATACTATACCTCTATCGTACTGGGCGTGGGATTTCCTTCCCATGGCTTTGTAATCTATCCTTCAACTCCCACACTCCTCTGAGTCCTCTCCGTTGTTTTACACTCATTCAGCCTGGGGAACTGGGGGTCATGGCGCTTCACGCGCCCTCGCGACACAATTTACAATACACCTCCGCCTTTGTGGCTTCGTCTTTTGCCTGTCAATCTATTGTACCCCTCATCTGTATCTCTCTATCATCAGTTCTGGGCGTGGCCACCTGTTTTGTTCAACCAACAAGGCTCCCCTTCGTCATGGATCTTCTCTCCCCTTTCACCCAAGAGGCGGCCTTCATGCGCCGACGGGGGCGCTTCGGTGGATCCTTTCGCTAATCCATCACCGGAGGTCTCATCTTGTACAATTCAAGACAAGTATTCATTTCAGACCAGACAGACCCAGCAATAAAAAGGGTCCGAGGTAAACTGCCGACCATCAACCGGGAGCCTTTCCGACGCTTTTCCCCGTCCGGGACCTGCTCGTGGGCCATCATGTATGCCCAGCGATCTGACTCGCTGATTCGTTGATTCGTTGCGTAGGGTTCATCGTTGCTCGATCGGACTACCGGTACGAGTAAGTATCTTCAGCGTGCGTACGTAGTGCCCAACTACAAGTACGATACATGTACCCGTGGGGTGACGTCTCGAGGTCATCACGTCGTTGTGACGCCTACAACGCACTCTAAGCTGCATTTCTGCACCTCTGCATGCCACTATCACGTCCACCGCAGCAGATGGTTTAGGGAGGATCGTATTGCATGAGACCGTACGATAATGAGAAGAAGTGCATTCCTCCATCATGGTCAGCATGGTCGTGACCAATATCTCACTGACCGGAAAGACTTTCCTTTCGCGGGTTGCGTATGGAGACTGCGTAAAGTTACGCTTTACAGTCCATATGTGCATGTGCATGTGCATGTGCATGTGAATACTACTGTGTAGTCACGTCGGAACAAAAACCTGGTTTGTCAGCCACTCGTAGATTTAATTTACTATGATCATCGTCACGTGACATCTACGCTTGGCCCGTTGAGCTAGCATGGCAGTGGGGACTCAGCTCGACGCGTTCCGCGATATCTACTAGCACCAATAAACATCATCAACAACATGCCAGCAATACCGGGAAAGAGTCCGTCCCCCATGTAGACCAACATGGCTTCAACTACAAAAGTCACCGCTCCGAACTATGGGAACATCCCTCACTCGCACAGGCTCCCCGTCACCCACCGCGAGGTCGTCCGCGCATTCGGCAAGCTTTCGCGCACATCCCTCATCACCCTGGCCCAACAATGGCTCCAGAAGAAGAATCGCGACTTCTGCAAACCCTACCTGTTAGGTGATCAGGACAAAAATGCCGAGGAGGAAGACGATGCGCCCTACGAGCCAGCGGAGAGCTACGAAGAGCTACAGGAAATCTACAAAGAATTGTTGTCTCGTAAGGGCGGAAGAAGAGAAGTTATGGATCGCATTCTCGAGGGCGACTGGCGCACTGGCATCTCCATGTACCAGCTTGCGACGGCGGAAATACAGCACCTGCTCGATCACCCTCAAGCGCTCCGCTGGACCGCGAAACGAATGGCCAAGATTCCGAACAACAGAGTGGTTAAGGACATGGAAGTGACGAATGACTCGGAGCATCTACCGCGATTCCAGGCGCAAACATTCATGACGAACCTTGCCAAAGAGCTGAGTCCGTTGATGAAGGCCCATTATCTGATCACCAAGCTAAAGACGCTACCCATCACCATCCTCCGCGTATACATACACGATTCCCCGTACAGCTCTGAGGCATCATTGGCGACAGATTCCAATTCTTCGGATGGTGCCAAAGCCGTTTTCTTCATCTGGCCCAACGGATCGCCTTATATCTACGTATCATTAGCCACACATCTGGGCCAGGTAGTCGGAGACGAGGGTCGACACCTGCGTGATGTTGTTCTCCAAGCTATTCCCAAAGCATTCTCCCGCCCATCATCTCGCTATCAACTTACCCCCACCAATTTCACCGCGAGATCGCTCAGTGCGCTTCTCGCATATCGCGGACCTGGAAAGAGCAATGCAGCAGCTGGAGGATGGAGCATCTTTGCCGACCACAGCTTCAGCCAGAACGCGCTGGATTTCGTGGCTACTGGGAAACTAAGCGAGGCCAAGGGAACATCTGTCGACGCGGTCGCGCAAAAAGCTGGCCCGGGACGGCCAAAGAGACACATTGATGCAACAGAAACCCAGGAAGTCAAGCGGAGGAAGGCCGTTGCTGCGGGGCGCTTTGGTAGCTCGGGCAAGGCCAACGACGGGCAAGGCATCGAGCGATTTGAGGTCCGCATTGACGATCCGTTCCCGCCGCAATCGAACAGCACACAGCAACAACAAGACGCCACAGGAGCGAGCGCGGAGACTTCACGAGGCAAGCGCAAAGGGCGGCCGTCCCTACTAGATCGATCAGCCGAAGACATCCAGGAGATCGAAGAACTCGACAATGCCTGGGTCCCAGATGTCCGTGTCACGTTCTCCGGATCGCATGTTTTCGCGGGTGTTAGGGAACTCGTCGAACAGGGTGTTGTGGACGGAGAGCAGATGCCGGGATGGATGACGGGCGAGGCAGGCGTTACGATCGGCGCCATCAAGAACGGACGGATTCGGAGTAAAGGTGCTGTTCCCGGTGTTTAAGTAATACTCTATCGAGCGGTGTTGTTTTTGTTCGGATACCCCATGCTCTTAATTGCGGCGTTTTCAATGCTCATGGCGTTTTTTTGGTCGATGGAAGCTTCACTCTTGTTTATGCATACCAAGCGCTTGGTTCGTTATGGGGAGGAGAAATCATGGCGGCAGACATACCTCTCAGTCTAAGTGTTAACGAAGTAGCCACGAATTCCATTGTTCGATATACTATATGCTATAAAAACTTCCAAACGCCTCCATCTAAGGGATTGAATCATCCTCGTTTAGAATTCTAATGACTCTTTCTTCCTCCGTTGACTCCTCCGTGGCCCCGCCCCATCATCACCCTTTGCCTCTCCAACAGTAGACTCGTCAACCTTCCTCTTACGCGCTTCCCCCTCTTCAACAGTAGATTCCTCAACCTTCCTGTTACCCTTCCCCTCGCTCTTACTTTCCTCCCCCAACTCTTGCCCTTCATGAGTAACATCCCCTTCGCTCTTCCCTCCCTCCCCAACCTTCTGCGTCTCATTAACAACCCATTCCTCATCGAGATCCCAGTCCGCCATCCCGAGCACCCAAGCAACCTTCTCGATATCCACCACGCTGACCACCTCGTCCTCCCCCGCCTCCTCCTGCAACCTCGCCCTCACGGCCTCCACCCTCGTCGCCAGCTCCTCGTACTCCTTGGCCGTGTACTTGATCTTCCTCTTCCACCCGTCCTCCCCCAACCCATACTCCCACATCGCCCATCGGAACAGCTCGTCCGAGAAGAAGGGCACCGTGGTTGGGGAGTAGGTAGATAGGACCAGGGATGCTGTTGCGGGTCCGATGCCTTTGAGTGCTTTGACCAGGGTCTTCAGGGCGGGAAGGGGAGAGGTGGATTCAGGGGATGAGAGTTCAGAGAAGGCGGTGGCGGTGGTTTTGGTTACCAGGGCGGAGGGGTTGGATTGCACGAAGGCGAGGAGGGTTGGGCGGAACGTGCCGTGTTTGCTGGGTGGGTGGGTTAGCTTTTTATATTTACAATTGTGGGAGTGGGTGGTGTCGGGGAGGTTTGGGTGGTGGAGATGGTGATGATGTTACGAGCTTTGGGGAAGGGGTTGAATGATAATGGTTCAGGGGGAAAAGTGTATGATGGAGAGAAATAGAAAAGAGGAGATTATTTACAGTTTCCACTCGACCAATTTCACGAGTTCTTCCTTGTTGAGCGACACTGTGGCTGCATCGTCATTGTCGGCGGCTGCCTTCCTGGCGGCGAGCTGCGCGGGGATGGTATCATAGCGCTGGACGTCGAGGTCGCGCAGTTCCTCTGGTACGGCGTGTGGGTAGCGGGATAGGAGGACTTTGAAATCAATTAATGAGATGGTCGAGGGCACCAAGTTGGGCATGATGGATGGATGTGGTGCACGCCTTCTTGCTCTCTCGTTCTTTTCAGCTACATGAGCACGCGCAAGGGCGGAAATGTATATCACGCAAGACGATGTATACAGATACCACTGGACAACTAGAGCAATCCTTAGCCGTTGGTACTCTTCGTAATCCATGATGACGAGGTTGGGGGAAACTGACAAGAGAGGTTCGGGAAAGCACAGAAAATTTTGTATAATCGGCCCCTTACTTAGCGGTCACGAGTTGCTCAGATAGCAAAATATCCAATACCCAAATAACAAATAACAAATAACAAATAACAAACTCCGTAAACTTGTTGAAACTTTGTTATTTCAACTTTGATATTTGGTGGCGTCGGTCTTATAATGTCTTAAAAGCACCGACCGCTAGGCTCAATACAACCTAGATACAAGCAGACGTAGCGAATGACAGCCCTGGAACGCTCTCTATCACCTTTAGAGGTCTCCAAACTTGCAACGGATAGTTACAAACTTACTGTGTACGATGACAATGAACGATGTATGAATGGCATCAATGCGGTGAGATGCTCGGACGTGATGCGTGCTCATGTGTGTTTTGATTATTGTTCACAAAGCATACATACCTGACGACTTCGTAGAATTGAACAACTAGTATACACTACACTCACTCCACGATAGCCCTGGGAATGATCAGACTAGACATCATAATTCATAAAACGTTTCATTGATATTATTTCATCTCCATAGTGTAATCATACGCTTTGGCTGCAGATCGTATCCTCTCTTGGCGTTCCTCAGCATCGTAGCTGATCCATTAATGAATTGAAACGCGATGAGTGGTCTATACGACCTTGCGTGGCCTGCCACGGCCCCTCTTTGCCATGCTAGATCCTCGAGTAGGCCTCATGGTAGGCCTACCAACTGGCCGGGTCGGGCGTTTAGGTTCGGGCGCTGTGGCTGGTATCTCATCCTCGCTGTCGCTTTCTGACTCTTCCGACAGATCGACAGCCTTGGGATCCTTCTTACGTACGGGCTTGGGATCGGACGTCGAAATTGGCGATGTCAACGATGTAGCAGAGGGACCCGCAGTCGTACCATTTCGCTTAGCGGCTGTGATCTTGATCTTCTTACCAGCCATTCCGGGTCGTAAGAAAATTGAATTGGAAGTCTGTGGAGGGCCAGTGCGGACAGAGACAGGAGGGGTTTCTGGCGTGGCCTGGTTATCTCTTTCTTCGTGCAGTCGCTCGTCTTCTGCGGCTAGGGTATCAATTATGTTGTTCACTTCCTCATCCTCTGAACCATCTCCCCAAATAGCCATTTTGGCCCTCATGTTGGCTTCGGCTTCCACAGCAGCTGCCTCCTCACGAGCCTTGGCCTCCTCGTCTCGGCCCAGTGCTTCATCAGCATCGCCAATGGCGGTCGCCGCTGCCGCTGCCGTTTGGGCGAGCGAGAACGCATCTGTGTCTTCGACATGTGGAGCATCTTCTTCATGGTCCGACACGTCTCCAGTACTCTTTCGCGACGGGCGACCAGGTTTGCGAATGCCTGCTTTAGAATTTGACGGCATAGTCTTTCGCCTCTCTCTTCGTTCCTGATCTCGCTCGCGATCTCTCTCCCGACGAGGGTTTACATCACCATCCTTGAAGTTGGATGGAAGTTCTGTCGGCATATCCTCCTCTCCCTGATTTTTCCGTGCTAGCCAGGCTGAGCTTCGGCCTTGCGAACGACCATTCCGATTCCCAGTATACTCAACATAATCATCTTCGTCCACATCCTCTTCGGAATCAATGGTAACTTCTTCGTATCGCGCTGGAGGCCGGCTGGATTTACCCGTAGCACCACCCTCTCTATCTCGCCTCCTCGTTCCATAACTTTGGTCCTCATCGACTCTGATGCGGAACGATTTCTGAGTCTTGGCTTCTCCGTTAGTTGGCGAGACAGCTTTTGGATTTAGAACATCTGATTCAAGAATAGAGCCAATGGTGTTCTGTTCTTCTCGCTGTTCGTCAAGACGGGGCTCTGATCGATGCACTAGCGTAGACCGTTGCCTTATTGTATCCAAAAGACCGGTGGTGAGAGATAGTTTCACAATCTTGGACTTCTGTCTCATTCGAGCATACACAATGATGAAACGGTCATCTTTTTTGGCTTCCTCGAGAAGCTTCTTCTGAACCTCTTTCTGGTACTGTTTGCCAGAAGCATTCTTTGGGGGAAGTGGTTGCACGGGCTCATCTTTCTTCTGCTTTTTGGGCTTCTTCCGCTTCGGTGTCTCAAGCTCAAGGTCAGAGTATTCATGAGTTCGTTTCCCAAGGCGCGGAATATCGCCGTTCATATAGGGGTCTGGATAGTAGTAATGGTTAGTGTCATCTTGGAAATCCATGTCTGGCTGGAACTGCACAGCTGATGGGTCTATGAAGCCATTAACTTCGGCCGTGCCATCAACCACTGGCGAATATGCGATACCATTCCTATACGAATGGTCGTGGTCATCGTCCGTGTATCGATCATCAAGCGCGGGATCGACCATTTTCGCACGCTCAGCTTCTTCGACTCGTCGTTGCATCGGGCCAGTGCTGTTCCCAATAGACTCGCCCTCCCGCAACCAGTTCAGATTCGAGACGCTGAAATCCACAAGACATTCCACAGAACGTGGGTCTGCAACCTTTTTCGTATCATGTCCTAGTAAGGTCCCCTTTGGTTCATATGGATGCTGACGAGGGTCCCGGCGGCAGGCCCCTGTATTGCATGTTCTCTTACAGTGGGGGCACTTCCAGCTGGGATTCTCCATGACCACCAAGGGCATCATGTCATGAGCTCGGAAGAGCGTACCGTAGCAGTAGCCCAAGTCGCAATTCGAACAAAAGGCCATCTTCCAAGTTGGATGTCGATGCAGACAGCAATGACAGGACTTATTGTTCCTGAGCCACTGCTTCGACTTCTTTTTCACGGTCTTCTTGACCGTGCCATCATCATTGACGATGATTTCCTCCCCATCGGATCCGTCATCTACGGGTACGGGGACGTTTGGATCAACAAATGGTCGAAGTTTTAGTTGTTCCTGGCAAACCTGTGCTAACGTCTTCTTGCCTAGATATCGGCGCTCTTCCTGTAAGGGAAGGGGTGTGCTCTCGGTCATTTGCCCATCAATGTCGATTATTTGGGCGCGCCACTCCTCGTACTTGCGAACTAGATCTTTCCATTTCCACTGCTCCACCCACTGATAGCCAGACTGGCATTGGCAACTGCGACCCATACAGTAACAATCCATGCACACGTCATAAGGTTCATCGATATCCTTGCTGAAGGCGTTCTTGCAAGTTTTGCAGGTGAGAAAGCGGTTGAAGATGTTGCATCTGCAATAAGCGCAGGTGACGTTACTGTCGTACGGAAGGAACTCAGGATGTTCCCGGGAATCCGGCGTGAACATCTCTGAAAGGAGGACAGACTTGTAGAGATCGAAAAGCTTTTTGAAGTCACGCTGGACCTGCCGAACCTTCACAGACGTTTGGATACTCTCAGCTTGCTCACCACCAAGTTCAACTTGAGCCCTCGCTATGCGTAAAAGATTCGCGTATTTTAGAAGGGTGTAGTAGATAATCGTCTTATTTTTATATTGCTCGTCCCGGCATACGATTCGCGAATTGGGTAGAGCTTCGTTCAAGGCATGTTCGAGGGTCTCCACCGTGGTCCTGTTCCAAGCGATTTTCATGGTGCGGGTGCCACGGTTCCATACTTGATGCGGCGCCAATGGTGGAATTAAAATGAAGTCGCCGGGTCGCTGCTCGACAACGTATGTTGTAAATCGTGCCTTTTTCCAAGCAATCAACTGCGCAAAATGATTCTCAACTTCAATGTCGTGTCCTAAAACAGAGAGCCAATACTCAGAAACAACCTGGCGGTCCTTAGTTTCTGTCATAAACCAAAGGGAAGAACCAGGGCGCTCGGGCTGTCCATCCTCACTGATCGTGCCGGATGCGTTGACCATGATGTTTTGACCAAGGGAAGCACACATTTCGCGATGCGACGGGGTATAGGTTCCTTCATGCCCGATATAACACATAAGGTTCTCGGCTCGCATTTCAGGTGGCAAACTGCTCATTAAGTCACCAGCACGCGCAATTCCTCGACCTTTCCTAAAGCCAGGTTCATCCAGTGCGCCAGGTCCTCCCATCTCTCCTGTGTTATCATTCAAATAGTATAGACCTGCAGGAATGAGCTCCTTGAGTTTGTCCTGCCATACTGGGGGACAATCGATGTCCTTAAGATAGATGCGTTGCCTTGTTTTGTCCCTGTACCGCTCGGGTGTATCAAAAAATTGCTCCGTAAGCTTCGCCATATGTTTGAGATAGTGTTTGATCGTGAGTGGGATATTCTCCTTGGTAGTCAAGTTGCGTGCGTTTTCCACTAACTGGGTATTAGCAAAGCACCCTCGGCGCATTCGAATTCAACAACTCACCTTTGTCGCCGCAATTGTCCCGCAGCCAGGAAGGTGTAAAGGTCCAGGGATCCAACACCTCTTCGAAACCTTCTATTACCAAAGGTTTCCCACCTATTATGACGTGTAAGAGAACCAACTTCTCAAACTGCTCCATGCCATTGTTGGCGATCATCTCATACGTTATGCGATCGGCATACTTGAAATTGTCCGCCGTTTCGACGAACGTTCGCACGTCAAAATCCGGCGGGATGGGCTCGAAAGAAGCCCTTGGGCGGGCCGCGGGCATCGTGCTGCGGCCCTAATTAGATCCACGAAAGCCGGTGAGGTAATCTCTGTAGTCCATGTCACCGAGACATAACCTCAGTCGCGTCGTCCGAATCAGACGAGAGAAATATCGTCGTGAATCCCGAGTATACGCAAGGGTGAGAGTCTCGTCGACGCGGAAGGTGAAGGAGTGGCACAGTTTACGAAGCGTAACGCGACGGGTGAAGCACGTGAGTTTGCGCACGGGCCATTGGCACCATCTCAATATCTCAAAACAATCTTTACGGCCAACAACATTATTGATGATGGGGATTTGATGAGTGAAGAAGCCCTGTATCTCAAAGTGCATCAGAGTACCATCTCAATTGGAAGCATCAGTTGTTTCATCATTCCCGTTATGCTTCGCGAGTAAGCTTCTCGGCGTTAAAACTATCATTCTTTGCTGGAACGAAATTCTTCTGAGCTGCAGACAGACTAACCCAAACCTCAAGAGATGGGATCACCACTTTTATTGCGATCACTTCGGTATAGTGATGCGTGCCTGAGTCCTCTCTCGGGTGGATTGAAAAGAGCGCCAAGGATCAATCTGAATTACTCATTGACAAGGAGACAATATGCCACCCAAAATAGGCCACTCAGTGTTACTATGCGACCTCTGACAAATGGCACCCACCTGAAAACTATACAATGTCTACAGTCACGAAATGTGGCTGTAGCATCAACTCATGAAACTCCAAAGCAGCTCCAGGACTACAAGCCTCCAACTACAGGACTACTTTCATATCTTCCCAGGCCTGTGGTTCCATATGCCGAGCTTATAAGACTGGATAAGCCTATTGGTACATACTATCTCTTCTTCCCATGTCTCTTCAGTACTCTGATCGCTGCTACGATGGCAACACCGATGGCCTCACCCTGGGCCGTCATCAGTACGGGTGCGTTATTCTTCACGGGAGCATTGGTTATGAGAGGAGCAGGTTGCACGATCAATGACCTCTGGGATCGAAACTTGGATCCGCATGTTGAGCGTACTAGACTACGCCCTATCGCTCGGAAGGCTATCAGTCCACAGGCAGCTATTGTCTTCACCGGTGGACAGCTCCTTGTTGGCCTCGGTGTTCTTCTTTCCTTTCCTTTCGAATGCTTCTGGTACGCAACCCCATCGCTACTTTTTGTTGCTACCTATCCACTTGCCAAGAGAGTGACGAATTACCCACAATTCGTCCTGGGGCTTACGTTTTCCTGGGGGGCCATGATGGGATTTCCAGCTCTGGGGGTTGATTTACTCTCGAACCAAGCTGCGTTGATTTCTGCCGCATGTCTCTACACTAGCAATATTGCTTGGACGATACTATACGACATGATATACGCTCACATGGACATCAAAGACGATGCGAAAGCTGGCATCAAAAGCATCGCTCTAAAACACGACAAGGAAACCAAAGCTGTTCTGACTGGTTTGGCTGTCGTGCAACTTAGCCTGTTGGCTGCTACTGGCGTGGCGGCGGGTATGGGACCAGCTTTTTTTGTTGGCTCTTGTGGAGGCGCGGCAGCTACTCTTGCGACGATGATTTACCGTGTCAACCTTAAAGATGTGCAGAATTGTTGGTGGTGGTTCTTGAAGGGTGCTTGGTTCACTGGAGGAGCTATTACACTGGGACTGACCGGCGAATATCTCATCCAATTATCCGAAGCCGACAAAGAGGTTGCGGACGAACGACCCAGTGGTGCGTAAAGCACGTGCACAACTCGAAACCCTATTACTTTTACCACTTACTGTTAACACAGTGAATCTGTGGAAAGACAAAGGGTACTGGCCAGGCCAGGTCTGAATTGTTTCATGTATACTATCTGTGCTTGTTTGGAACCATGTAGCTTTTACGATGTATTATACTATCACTCCTGCGCAGGGGGACATTTCGCGCCCAACAATCTCGGCTGTATGGAAGAATTCCGCCAATAACCACTCTCCGTTACATACAAAATGGTTCCTTTAAGACCAAAGTCTGAAATGGACAAGATTTCCAGGCGCCTTGCTACAAAGCGACGCCTACCGAAATGCACCGAGTATACAAATCTGCGTATCTTCGAAACTGTCACATTCTACCGGATTGCCTCTAGTATATTGTCTCCGTTTTACTGGCTCTGTGATATCGGCTTATCTTCAAGGAAAAAGTTGGCGAGATTGTTGGGACAAATTCTACTTGCTGTTGCTATAACACTAGGAGTCTGCGGCAAAATGAGATGGTACTCTCGTGCATTCTTAGAAACCTCGCGGAGCAGTCCAAGCCTGTAGCACATTCAAAATACTTTTGTTATGTTCGATCAAGGTAATTGGAAAAGTAAAATGCGCGACATTTTGCCAGTACTTCTTTTGATCGAAGGACTTTTCAGTCAGGGCGCATTAGGGGCATACACACTGGTGGACAATTTTGCAGGGACAAGTTTCCTGTCTGGTTTTACATTCTTCAATGAACCAGATCCGACCCACGGTTTCGTTAGGTATCTGTCGCAAAGCGATGCCACTGCCCAAGGTCTTGTCAAATCTACGACGTCTCAGTTTTCCATGACTGTTGATAGCAAAAACAAGGCACCCGATGGCCGTGCAAGCGTGCGTTTACATAGCAAGAAAACCTATATGAAAGGCCTCTTTGTTCTGGACGTGGAAGCAATGCCAACAAGCACTTGCGGTACATGGCCAAGCTTCTGGACCTGGGGAAGCGAAAAAACGTGGCCAGAAGAGGGAGAAATTGGTTAGTATATCCATGGGCATGAAAGCAAAAATTGAGCTAATATGAGTAGATATCATCGAGGGTATGAAAACAATGTTACGGAGAGCCTGATTACGACACAGGATGGCTTCGCTGACTGGCACTAGGTGTCCATACCAACACTGTTAACGCTATGAGCTTGCACACAGCGGATGGATGCAGCATATCGGGAATTGGCTCGGCAGGCACAGTCAATACGAAGAATTGTTTCATAAATGCTCCAGGCCAGATTAGTAATGCTGGTTGTGGTATAGGTTCTTCTTCTCCCTTTTCTTTTGGGACTGGGCTAAACGCCATCGGCGGGGGTGTATATGCCATGGAATGGACCTCAACATCAATCAAAATATGGTTTTTTCCTAGAGATTCCATTCCGGTTGATCTCAAGAACAACATTCCAAACCCGGCGAGTTGGGGCACTCCGCAGGCAAATTTTGAAGGAGGTGGATGCAACTACGAGAAAGCATTTGGGAGACAAAGGTTGGTCATCAATACAACATTCTGTGGAGATTGGGCCGCTGCTGTATGGACTAGCAATCCAACTTGGTAAGTAATCCTGCAAACTCAATAGTATTTGTATTGATAATGGCACAGTAAGGCTTTGGCAGCAAGCTGCAACGATTATGTCGCAAATAATCCAACTGCGTTCAGAAATAGTACTTGGACTATCAATTACCTGAAGACATTCCAACAGCCCTATACAAATATTTAGGTTCTAATTTATGCTCATTGACTGCTTTCATCTACGGCAAATTCTGTGCCATGCTATGCTTGATGCTTGGTGTATGCTCTATGAAACCTATGCGCAAGAAATTGCTTTGTTTACTCGGCCGTCTCCCCCAAGCCAAACATTCGAATAGAATTGCGCCATGCACTAAGAACCGTCAGTGAAGAGCAATGCTGGTTTTTTAATGCAAAAACTTACGCTTCACACACTTCTTCAACAGTTATTCCCTTGATTTGAGCTATGGCATAGGCAACGTGCGGTATAGTAGCAGGCTCATTGCGCCCCTTGACCATGAGGCCCTTGCTAAACTTCTCTTTCTTGACTGCTTTTGGCAAGACTGGGGCGTCTTTCAAGTACTTCGCCGAAGCATGACTTGGCCTCATCTCACACCAAGGTCCGTCGGTCTCTATTTGCAGGTGTTCGAGTGGTATCGCCCTCACGACCTCGACGTTTTCCTCGGCTAGACAAATGGTCAGTACAATGTTTAGAGGTATCAGGGATGACGAACTTTTTAAACTACAACCATTCACACCTACGTCGAGGCCGAGAGCGATCATGTGTTCCATTTCCTCGAGTGTGCCCGTAAAGCTGTGCACTAAGCCTTTCTTCGGCAATTGGGGCAATACAGCTCCTAGCAACCTTTCAAAGTCCTCGCTCGCCGCTCGCGAATGGAGGAAAAGTGGGAGTTGAATTTCGACTGCAAGCTCTAACTGAGCTTCAAAGTACTTTAGCTGTTGGTCTTTGGGAGTCAAGAATAGGCGGTCATAATCCAGGCCAATTTCCCCAAAGGCTACAGCTTCTCCAGACTCCTTCGCGGTCTTCGCAAGATCTCTGAGAGCTGAAATCAGAGCAGATGGACCGCCCGGGTGGGTATCAAATTGCTTTGCTGAGCATGGGTGGACACCCACTGTGGCATAACAGACACCGGCTGGATATTCCGGTCAGAAACAATAATGCTTTCGTTTCTCAGGATTTCTTACGATGATCTTTTGCGATTTGCACTGCATGTTGTGACTCTTTAAGATCAGAACCAGTTACCATGAACTTTTTACATCCAACATCTAAAGCACGTTGAAGGACGTCGTTGAAATCACTTTCATGCCTTTGAGTCCCGTGATACTCTCCGCGGAAGACAGGATCTCCCAAGTTGATTCCAATCTGAGAACTTTCAGCTTACAGATTCTTATAATAAAGAATTTCCCGCGGACCAACATCAACATATCGTAGCTGACCTGTTTGGCTACCCATATTGGTAATGACTCTTTGAGTTGTATACGTCACGGCTCGAATTCTCTTGTGCTGCCACAATGGTAGTTGGAACAAACCTGAGGTTTGGACACTTCTGGAAAAGACAAAAGTCCTGAACCCACTTTGTAGTTGATATGGAGCTCTTGACATATGTGATTTGACGGTAGTGATTGGCTGTTCGAGGGTCAAATATCTCAGAGGGAGACGAAGAGATCGAGACTGGCACTAATCCTTATCGGGGTTAGCTGTTCCACCCTAATCCAACGACCAGACGTCTACCTAGTCTGGCCGTTTCTGGAGACGTCCTCTTTGCTTCGAATATCAACTCCAGCTCCGTGTTACTCGTGATATAATTTGAAGCTCCACAAGTTTAAAGAGAAGGATTGAATGGGGGTTTCAAATATCCGTCCAACAGCAGGAACCGAACCATTCGACAGTAATCGACTCACAATTCCAACACATCTCGAATCACTTTATGAATATTGACACTGATTAATTCACGTGTAACATGTCCGTTATTCTCCAGAATGTTTGGCATCATCGTCGAGTTGGGGATGGCTCAGCCAAAGCATGCTGGATTTGCTACAAACCAACGACTAGCGTAATGATCACACCTGACAACAAGGTATTATGAATGTCCAAGTGCCACCGATAACCTCATACTTATGGGGAATAGGACTTCTTCTATATTTGTATTGGTCATTTGAGCGATCGTGGATTCTGCCAACCTGATGCAGATGAAGTGGCGGCTGCCGCTGCTCGAAAGAAGAAAGAAGAGATGGATCGTGAGATTGAAAAGGTCAAGAAGGAGTATGAAGAGAAACAGAGATTGAAGAAAGAGAAACGCAAAGAAAAGGAGAAGGAGAAGGACAAGGACAAGGATAAGGACAAAGATGCTAAAGCAAAAGAACAGGAGGAGGATAAGGAGGATGAAAAGGCCAAAGACGAAAAAGTATGTTCATCTACTTTCCATATCATCATGATTCATACTAACGACTGTTATACAGATCAAGCAGCTCTCCAAGTCCAGAGAAGAGGTGCCTGCTGATCAGGGCCCTCGAATTTTCTCATTAAACAAGTGAGTAAACATATTTTTCTCACTATCCCACTACCTCTAGCACTATACACCCATCACAGTATTGGATCATGCCGTCTTCATATCCACTGATCATGGCAATGACTACGGTACTTCTCCAAGTTGATATATCCATGGATATAGGTTGCCATTTCTGAAGCACTATGGCACATGTCGGACCTTACTCCACATGTTCAGGCTAACACTGCCAGGAATTTCTACCAAATGCGGATCGACAAGATCAAGAATGCAGAGATCGCAAAGCGTAACCGAGAGCGAATGAAGAATCCATCATTCTTTCCCTCGGTGCCCAGCGGCGACCCATCATCGGGTGCCAAATAAGCATAGACTCGGATGTTCATCCCTTGTCCACGATTGCCTTATTGCCTTAATGCCCATGTACTTCAGGACCAACGACAACGAAGCGGGGACAGTCACCCTTGACATGATTCTCGCCAACTGTCCCTGTATAGGTTAGAACAATGACCTCGTTGCTCCCGTCAGCTTTGTATCCACATACAGATGCAGTCAGCAATTAGTGGCCGGCCAGCAATTACACAATCCACAAATGGTCAATAGTATAAAAACGGAAATTGGTCCTAAATCCTTGAGATGGGTCGGCTTTATTGTGCAGAACTGTCCCAAAAGCTTTGCGGGGTTGCTGACATATTCGATCTTCGTGAACTATCATGATGCATTCGTTGAAGGCCAATACAGAATTGTGTGCGCAAAAGATACACAAAGTCTAATAGCTATCTCAAATCCAGTTCAATGTGTAAGTTAGAGGTTTCCCACTGAGATTAGTAGCTCGGATTCCGAACTTTCAGTGTCATTCTGCCCATCTCTCCCAACAAGGCCACTCCCCCCCAGTCACTGCAACAGAACCCAACTTGTGGTGCTGACCCGTCCATTTACGCGAAGGGTCTATCCTCCATTAGTAATCGTCAGCTGCACGCAGAGGAAGTTCCTCTGCGGTCCCACCTTTCGCTCTGCCCTGCTCAGACTCTGTTCGTGGAGAATGTCAACTTATCACCACCATATGCAACTTGTAATCTCTGTGATAATACAAGCGAACCACTTGGACCCCGGGTCGACCTCTCTTGGAGAAAAGCTACGAGGTGTAGGTGCATATAGCAAAAATACTTCGCCGATGCTGATGGGCCACATGACACCCATGAGACCATACCATCACGCACACTGACCGATTTTCCCATCATGTTGCCTTGGCAGGCATGTGCAGCTATATACTTGATATGCTCTGCGTTCTTCTGCCACCGCTTAGGGAACGCCACGAGAGCCATGCTGCTTGAACTTCGCACATTGCATCGCGTGGATCAGTGTCTGTCACTGCTGTTCATGGCTGTCAGAACGTAAGCGAGGGTCTTCTTCGTCGGCAATTGCGAGCCGATGAGTGTCAGAATCTAGTTCAAACTAAGCACTCGTCTCTTGATCATGATCTTCTGAAATTCGTAGCACTTGATAGTTGCGATCTTCAGAGTACAGACTGGAAGACTGGGAGACGGATGCTACCCGATCGACGATGGTTCATATGCAGTTCAATGAATCAGAAAGGCGAGCTCCCGGGACTAGTCTATCCATTCGATGTCAGACGCTCCGACATCACTGGAACACTACAGTACTATTCTTCTCTTGGGGCTCGTTCGTTTCTCATCTGCATTACTCAATCCTAAATGGTCTACCTGCATCAGCAGAACAAGACAATCACAGTCTTCCCGCGTACATACATTGACGTGACGTGTCGAGCCGTCGCGGAAGCACTGTATGTACATCTAAGACACCCGTCGGCACCTACATGTGCTAGGAACGGATCGTCCCTGTCTACCCTTCAATGGTCTGAGACACGCATGATGGGACAGCTGCAGAGCGTTTTGGCACTAAGCTAATGCCGGGAGCCGCGCTGCACTTCATTTGACCATAACGCCATACTCGAGAGTCTAGTCTTTAACACACACGCTTTTCAGCGTAGCCATTTCCCTTTCAAGTAAAGCTGTCTGGTCGTGAAGCGCGCCTGATGAGATGTATTCAGTTCATTAGTTCGAACGGCATTAACAAAGATCATGCTACATGTAAGACATACATAGAAGCAATCGACGGCCAGGGAGACTACTTCCTCGAAATGGAATATTGTCATCCCAGCAATCTGTGTGTGTGTGTGTAGTAATGCCAATGGAGCAGTATCCGAGCCACATACGAGTATGCTCGCCTTTCCGCGATCCTTTGACGTTTTGCGAAAGCGAGTATGCAGAGACGAGTCATCGCCAAATGTTCCCTGCCATTCAACCCGCAAATCATAACCGACAATTCTAATTCAGGGAACAATGTTTATTACATCTGAACCCACGCAAAACAAACACCATCCCCAGTCAATAATAACGATAATCCGCCGTCGGCATGATAACGTCGAGCCCCATCACATCAGCCAATGCGGTTAAGGGACCCAGATAAAGCGAGAGCGAGTTGGAAACGTGCAGGAGGATGTGATGGTCAGTGCTGCGAATCTGTTGGTGCTCCCCCACCCTACCGCCAGCCTTACGAATGAGTTTAATCGATCCCTCGCCAACGAACTTCAGCCTCACCGACACGCCTGACCGGGAGGGCTGGTACGTCGGGCTTGCCGGTTGTTGGCCTCGTGTGTTGCCTTTCAACCTGGAACCGGAAAATCCTAGATCATAAGGCAGGCAGCTAGTCCGAAATATAGAGATCTGGATTGTCCTTCCCCTTCAAGCTGAATCCATCCTACCAGTATGCAGATTGCAGATGGCCAACCCAATTTCCCCTATGCACCCACCTGCCCTGCGAATAACAAGACCGGCATGGCCGACTCTCGGTGCAACAACATCTTCTCGCCACCCAAAGACGTTGTAACGGTGACCCAAGGAAAATATACTGTGAAACGGGGGCGATTCTCATTACATCCATCCCGTACCAAAATAGAATGCGGAAGAATTCTCGAATCATTCCGATCCAATAGGTACCGAAGCGCAACGAGCCCAAAAAGACTTCTGCCTCGAAACGCCCTCGGTTCGTTCAAGTCCGTTGTTTACTGTAAACAGCATCCTGTTCCATAACCTCGGGCCTTGAAACCAACAGTATATGTCCATTGACGTACGATGCGCTGGCCCGAACTGGCGGTGACATGTTGCTAGAAGATGCAGTTAGCAGCAAGCAAGCAACGGAGATATCCGCATGTCAAAATCGTTGATCGCTTGACCGCCGACATGGGCAGATTGGGGACCGTTAACGTGATGAGAGGATCCATGGACCAACACCAATGCTGGTGGTACCTGCTTCTTTTTCCCTTGCACCCGTCCGTGCGGGAAGAGAAGACATGAGAATCTGGGTGGTAACGGTTATTGATAGTTGAAGGTGAGACACAAAACATAGCAACTGGAACCCTCGCAATCCAATCCACTCATCTCCCTCCTTCCGGTTGCGAATGTATCTCCCCACACACAAGCAATCCTGCAAGGCCAAAGGACGGACTACAGCGGAGCTCTAAGTCGCGGTACGCCGACTGCCAGGCTCCATTTAGGGAAGCGAGATGTACTGTGTACATGGGCTGGGGCATATGTTGCAACGCACGAGCGACATTTGGCGAACGGACGTAGTGGGGGTTCACGGGGCGGACATGGGGCGACCGACCACACGCAGGACAGGGCAAGGATTCCACTGCTCTTTTCGAATTGAACGTGCCTTGTAGGCTACATGTGGCCTTGTATATTGCCTTGTGGCATGAGGGAGAAGGATTGCTTTTTTGAGCATAACACCGACCGTATGTGTCCAATTCTTCAATGCGAAGAGTCTAGGACCACCAACATGCAGAGCAAGATAGTAGGAGATACGACCAAGCGCCATGGACGTCATTCTCGATGCGTCGTGGGAATCATGTAATATGGTGAATATTGTCTCGTGCGAACGACCACGTTTGTCACGCCCGCTTAGGTTATTGCCCAGGGCTACTACTATTCATTTCCAGGAATCTGTTCCTCAACATACACACATGCATGATTCGCTTGCCCTGGTCCAAGAAATATCTGATTCGAGAAACATGGTAAACTCACAAGAAACAGTGACCGAAATGTAAGATATGCGGAAGGAACTCGGAAATGATACAACTACAATGTTACGTATCTTTGTGATTCACATGCACAAGCTATGCATATCAATTTCACACAGCATGCCCACTGCCGAGACATAAGAGGCATCCCATCATAATAACAAACGGTGCGTTCAATCTACACAGGGCGTTAGTCCTTCGCTCATTCTCACCTCTGTCACGTTTTGATCGTCGTCCGGATTCCCCCATACTACCATATACTCGATCGAACTACCCGCCTTCCCCAATCCATCCATCATTCACCACTTACCACCGATAAACTGCACACCATAATCTCACTCCCCCCTCACGATCGGTGTGTCGTGTGTTGTACCTCCTCCTCCACATCTTATTATATCAAGCCATCATCATTTACTTTTTTTCTTGTTTTGTCTCCTTGGCGCACAGAAGGGACTTCCCCATCCTAACCATTTTGGGGAAGAGAACGGGGTACACATGCATGATTTCTCCTCTTTCCCTCTTCTCTATGCCTTTTATTGCTTTCTTTTTGACATCAAAAAAGCGCCTCTTGTAACGGCTTCCCGCTGCCTACGTACGCCCATGCAATGCAATGCATGCACGCTATGTGGACGGTAGAAGTGGAGGGGTTTTGGTGAGAAAGAGTATGTTCATCTCGTCGGGCGTTTAAGGTTTTGAATTAGAGTTAGTTGCCATATCATATCAAGTCTACTCCGCAATGTGTCTCAAACAACTAATTAACCCCCTTCGATGGCATAGCTCGCCATGTGAGAGAGACATCTTGGGCAGAGTTGAAACTTTAGTTCCCAGCTTGAGTCTGTATAAACAGGACCCAGAAATAGGGACACTATCTGGGCTGTGAAAGCGGTCGTGGCTGTACTTAGCCAAATGGCTTTTTGGCTTTCTCCCTGGCTGGCTGGCTGTTGGTTGGGCTGCTCGCAAGCGAACGAGGGACGTAAGGTTTCACGCCCAAGCCAATTCTTTCCTTTTTCCCTTCCCGTCCGGAGAGGTCCAGCCCTATCGTTTAATATATATCGAGAATTTGCGGCGCGACAAGGCTGCGCGATGATGGTTCGCCTTATACTACTAGCTTGTCTGTCTGACACTACTGTATTGTGATGAACGGATGTTTTTACTTTTTCCACCTTCTCATGGCGCATCATCCATGCTGCCACCCACAATGGGCACGTTACCTTTTCGATGTTGATTTTCAGGGTAACTTGTGTCCTTTTTCGTCGATTTTCTCGGGGAAAGTGGAGCAATGGTGGGTTAGAGGTGATGATATCACATCAGCGCTAGAGTGCAGACCACCGGATCTCCGATGGACGGTTTGCTGGCGTTGAGTTGAACTGAACAGGTGGGCGTAGACGAGGCTACGGATATAGCTACAGCTACGTGGGAAGCAGCAAAGAGGAAGCAGCGTGTGATAATATTGGTGGTAGTGGTAGTGGGTGTGTGGGCGAGGGAAAGAGTCCATTAGTTGCCATGTTTGAGATGGCGCGCGGCTCGCCTTGTTTCACTCGTATATGCCGCCCCGGTGGAGCGAAACGTTTTCCATGTTTATAATCCGGTTGTGGTCGATGGTGTTGAGTTGGGAAAGAGGAGCAATCCCGGTGCAATGTGACACAGTCGTGGTGGGTAGTACCCAAACGGTGAAGAAGGAAGGATTGATATGGATGGATGTGATGTGTCGAGGGAAGAGGCGCGGGAACACGGTAGAAAAACCGCCATATCGCTCGAATTAGCAACAGCCAGAGTCAAAAGCATGGAGGAACCGGCCCAATCAGGGGTGTTATCTGCTGGATTATGTTTCACATGCGGACCGCATCCGATGATGACGGCTTCAAGAAACCCTTCGTTTATGGTTCTGCATGTTTGAAGGCACAGAGTACACTCTTTTGTCCCCTTTCCCTTTCCCCGATGTTGGGTCCGTTCCGTCGTTTGCGTTTTGCACGCTTTGGCACCTTGGATTGGATACGGCATTTTGTTCGATATGCTGACAGACGTGCAATCATGCAAGCAGGCAGGATGGCTGCATATCGAATCGGCACTTCCCAGGAGACTGCAGCATGGACTACACAACTCCGCTCCCCATTTCTGCAACATGTCAAGTCATTCGAGGGCTTAGTAATAGCCATGGGCAATAACTATCCAATATGGAAACATCTCGGAAATTATTGGCAAGCGTGGTTTGCCCCTTGGAGGAAGAAGCAGAAGAAGAAGACATGCTGTGGAACAGACCGATGCGTAATATCGAGCGAGATGCACGAGTGACAACCACAACCAAACCCAAACCCATACCCATACCCATATCCATACCCATACCAATAGGCCATGGCCGTTACCCATGTCCTGTCATGCTCGTTTATCAAAAAAGATAGCGGGGCTTGTCCTTGCTTGCGGGCTTGATTGCTTGCTTGCTTTCCTTCCTTCCCGTTCGTGTGTGTGTCAGCAGCGATTATCCATCAGCGTGAAACGCCCGTATTCCCTCATATCGCATTTTATGGTTCTTATTCTGTCTTCCCTTGCGTGCTGAGATGTAGCATGTGCATCGCATGGGGCAGTGTGGGGGATACGAACAACCCGTCTTCCCACTGGCAGAACCTATTTCCCCCCCGGTTCATCATGCTATACCACCAGGCCCTTGTCTGACTGCTCGTATTGGATCATGCGTTTTTGTTTTTGTCCTCTTGCTTCTCGACAGCGATTCAAGGGCATGCGGAGATTACGAACCCCGACATTCCCAGCCCCCCCCCTCCGTTGCCCATCATGCTCGGATCGAAATGCCCCAAATGAGATCTCTCTAGCCTTGTGTTGCACAAAGATGATAATCTCGATAGTGCGTGGGCGCGTGGTAGAATGCAGCGTTCCGATGGCGGAGCTGAACCTGCAGAGGTGTACAGCAGTAGTTTAGTGTGGTAAGAGCAATCATGCATGCTATGATTGATGATGCATTCTTTGCGGAGCTTGCGTCCCTGCCCCGGAAGGATCGTGGTGGCGACGGTGGTGAGTGGTTTGACGTCGGTAGACCGTACCGTATACCTAGCAGCCAGCATCACTCGTGGCAGAAATATGTTCATCGGCTATGAATGATCTGATACCGTCGAGATCGGGGCGATGCTAGTTGTCATCTGTGACTCGGAAACAATGGATCCGAATGACCCTCTGGCGACATCCTGCGTGAGTGCAATAAGATCTGCATCCTCGCTATGGCCCGGACTATTCTAAGAGGCCCCGAGGTTCTGCAAATAATGTTCCCTTGCGTCACCCAATTGTAATACGTCGAGCACTGCTTATGAGACCATTCCGAACCTGGCTGATGCTCGGACCGGAGTTGCAAGGCAAGAACAAACAATCAAGTGTTCGGTGACTGGCTGATATTGATTACGCGATACACAGCTCGATAGGTTGGAGGTTATATGCTAGTCAACTATGGGATAAGTTGCAATAAGACTCATGAATCCAATGATGATGCAAACAGGGGAAAGCGTCAACAGCTCTCAGCTACCAAGTCGACTTAGTCTACGCCAACCACACAATTACACCGGTTCAATGCGCCCAAGCTGATTCATCTCCTCCAATAAAAACAACATGGGTCTGTGAAATATAATGACCACTTGACCAAAACTCCGTCATCAAAATTCGTAGATGGTGATTTGAAAGGATGAGAAGGCAGGTTCTGCCAAGCTCAAGCGATAATCAATTGTCGCACTGCGACGGGATATCAAAGCGATTTTTTTTAGGGCGGGCAAGGGGTATGCGAGATGCGAATATCGATGGGGTACGATAGAATGGGCACGCCGATGCGCCGATGGATGTTCGTTCGTTCGTTCGTTCGTTCGTTCGTTTTGCAGAGATGGCTAATAAATGAAATTGTTTTGGTAACAATCGAGGGTCTGAGGTAGCGCCAACTGCTCGTTCGTCGCGACCATTGATGCTGATATGCTACGCTCAATTGATATATGCTCAGGCCACCTAACGCCTCATGATTCGTCGTGTACTTCGTTAATAACATCTGGTTTTAGTGGGCTCGGTACTGAAGATCCCGTGATGGACCCGATCGAACCCACACGATCTTTTGATGGGGGCTGTTCGTCCTTCATGCATGCATTCTCGAGCATGTTTGTCCATTTTCCGCTAACACCGCCATGGCTATGCTTCAAATGTTGTCTAAAATGATCCGGTCTAGTGACTGTCAGCAGGGACGAGGGCCGGCTTAGAGAAGCTACATACCTGTAGAATTTCTTTGCAGCATTGCACTCTCCGAATTTGTGGACATGGTTCAGGTGTTCAGACCTGGCCTCCCAATTCGGAGGATTTGGGAACTCTTCTCCACAGTACCCGCACACATCGGCAGTAGCCACATGTGATGGCGCCGAGTGAAAAGCAGCTTGAACACCAGCCAATGCAGCACATGACCACGAGTGACGCCGCAGATGGAGCGAGTTTTGATGGCGCTCTGCCTCGTTTTTATTTTTAAACCGATTAGGACAATAGGCGCACGTATATTGCTTCTCTAGTTCGTGCATGCTATGCAGTCTTTCATGTTAGCAAAATGCACCCGATGGCGTTTCATGTAGGAAGAGGGCATTGATTAATCACAGGAGGAATGGATGGGGATGCATCCTGGAGGCAGGGGAGGGATGGGGAGTGAACTAACCGTAATTCGTCCTCACTGTCGAATTTCTTCGGTTTTTTAGGACAGCACTCGCAAATGAATGCACCCGGAAGTCGGCCAGAGACTGAATTGTTTCGTGACTGGAGAATACTGTCTGTAGACATTTTGCGACTCTGCGAATGCTCATGCTCTGAGAGCCCACGGTGGTGGTGCGGTCTGGAAAGGGAAGCGCGCGGGCTAGGGTTTAGTGACCTATTAGCTGCATAAGGTGAGACAGGGACCAGGTCCGCTTCCGCTGAGGGGGATAATGCGCTTGGGGATAGTCGTTGATCACCGCTGTAGCTGGTCAGACTGCTGGCTTGTGAGATGCCATATGACGATGACGGAAATGATGCTGTGCGTTGGCTCAAGGACGAGGCTGTTGAGTGCGACCCCTGGTTTGCCGGGAAGCGTGACACGGGGGAATTGCGGCTGACGAGCATTTGAGCCGAGCGGCGGTGGTACAGGCTGGATTCAGGGTTGCCACCTGCTATCGGGCGATCTTCACGCGCAGCCTCCGAGGGCGGCGACGAAGCACGTCGTTTCGAGCCCACCTTACAGCCCTGATACTCCTCCGAACCGGTCCGATCATTGATATTGAGGTCGCGCATGGCGCTCTCTTCCATGTGGAAATCGGGATCTGAGAAGATGCTATGATCGTAGCTACCGCGAGGATGGGTAGAGGACACGCTGATCTCGTCCAAGGTCCCTGGAGTTGACACACTCCCGTATCTGCGCTGCTGGGGCTCCACGGCCGAATTGGGCTCGTATACGGGACTTCGAAATCCCGAGAATGCGGGAGAAATTGCGCCCGAAGGCGGCCATCTTGAGGTGGATATGGGCGAATCGAGTGAGGGGTTCAATCGGTCGGGGACTGACAGAGGCTTCAGTTGGCCATTGAGCTTACTGAAGGGAGTAGTGCCTGCCTCTTGCGCGCTGACCGAGAGCAGAGGAGGCGCCGTAGTACGGGTAGGCGTGTTCGGTGTGTTGGGTCCGCCGATCTTGGAGAGGAGTTGTTTATCATAGGCTTGCGACGAGCTCTGTAGAGCTTTCTGGCCAAGCTGCCGTTCACTAGAGAATCTACGGTCCATCGGATTAGTACATGTACATGAGGATTGGAGAAGAGCAAGATGCTAGAGGCGTGTCGAGCGTAGACGCCCAAGGGAAAAGGACAATCGGTTGACATGGACGAGTAAACAAGACATTCGAGGTTCCACGCGTTGGGGTGGTTTTTTTTTCCTCCCGTGCCCCACATGTGCGAGAACGTACCTGTGATCTGCGAGGGATGGCCGATGCTTCCCGGCATCGTTGCCGCTGCCATTGGCAGGATTCTTGTAGTCATCTTCACTCTCTGGAGAGCCCATGTCGTCGGGTGACCGTGAGATGGAAAGCTCTCGCGCTCTGTGTGCAGTTATCCCCACGGAAGCACCACCCCGGAGGCTAGAGCCATCCTTGACGCTAGCCGATCCGCCAATGGAGCTGTTGTTCCTGTTGCCCCATTTCCAACCAGGATCTTGGCCTTCATTGAGGTCATCGATGTAACGGGGAGGAGGCAAGGGTGGAGGCACCTCTTCGCGAGCACGAGGGATGGCCATGGCGGCGGAGGAGGTCGAGTAGGAGGGCAGGGAAGAGCGGTGGTGATGTGCGAGCGGGTGGAGGTGCAATGGGCCGGAATCATATATTCGTATCGACGGTGTTGAGCTGGTGGGCGGCATAGTCATGGCAACGACGGTGAGAAGCGCAAGCAGGGATTTGACTCGCCACTAGGGAGCCTCAGGGAGATGAGGCTCGTACCAATAAATGTCAGAGAGCCCGAAGTGGCAAGTAAAGTTGAATGGCAGAGGGTCCAAGCCGAGTGGAGAGTGTATGCGAGTTTAGACTGACGAAAGCCAGCTGGGGTGATGCTGAGAATAGGTCAGGTCTTGGAAGTGTACTCGGTAGAGAGGAATGATGTTAGCTAGCAAGCAAGCATGCATGCAATGACCATGCCCACTCCCAGGTGACGACGACCACGTTGTCGATAATGACCACGGGGAAGCCGAAAGGAGTATGTAACGAGCGACGGGAAGAACAGGAGATGGGATGAAACGGGAGAAGAGGTGAACAGGTGAAGGGTAGGGAGGCAACTGGGGCGAGGTGAAGAGAGTGCACCAAGGCGACGGCGAAATGTAGGTAAGTGTGACCCGAGCTCACGAGGAAGCTCTAGTTAGAAGCAATGCGCACAGAAGGCGAGCCGTATCATGGTGGTGAACGAACAAGCGGTGGCAGCATTGTTGAGGGTGATCGGGGGTGGGAGGGATTAGGGAAGAGGGGAGAAGAGTAGTTTAGGGTAGGGTAGGGTACTAGTAGGGTAGGGTAAGGTAGGATAGGATAGGATGGGATGGGAGAGGATTTGGGGGTTAGAAAAAAATAGTTGGTAGGCGTAGAACGGTAGGGTAGAGTAGGGCAGTGACAGTGACAGGGAAGGGTAAGGGTGGAAGGGCCATAAGGGAAGGGAAGGGTTAGGACAGGACAAGGCAGGCTAAAGGATTAGGGTGGAGGGTAGAGTTAGGGTGGACATACGCCATAAGGCAGGGCAGGACAGGGCAGGACAGGGCAGGGGCAGGCAGGGAAGGGCAGGACGGGGGGATAGGAACGGTAAGGAAGAGTAGTAGAAACTTCTCCTACTCCTCCTAGTGAGAAAAGAAAGAATGAAAGAACGTGCGGCCAGTCTGCCAGGTGCATGTGTAGGGTAGTGTAGCCTGTAGGTAGGGTATAGTGGAGTGTAGTGTAGGTGGTAGTGTACGGAGTAGTGTGTAGTGTGTAGTGTGTAGTGTGTAGTGTATGGTGCGTTGCCTTGTGCTTTGCGTTTTTTGTTCTGGTGTCGCCTTGTCTCGCCTCGCCTCGCCTTGCCTTTAGGTAGAATGGGTATAGAGTAGATGAGGGGAAGAATACGGTGTAGTGTGTAGTGTATACCTTGTATGGCGTACGCCGTACACAGTAGTGTTGTGGTGGTGGTGGTTGATGTTGTTTATGGGGTAGGGTGACAGTGTATAGGGAATAGGTAGGGCATAGGGCGGGCATAAGGCACAGCCTGCGTAGGGCTGGGTCTTGCTGCTGCTGCTGCTGCTGCTGCTGCTGCTTCTGCTCCCGCTACACGGGGAGGCCCACCGAGGGCTGAAAGCTGAAAAAAAGAAACCATACGTACCTTCAAACTTTCAACCAACGACGTTCACCGTACTCTACTATTCGGCTCCACTCTGGGTACGCAAGGTAGATAATAGCTATTATATGTTGCGAACGTTCTGCACAACCTTCTATCGTTCGTTCGGTGGATCCTAGTACCGACAAATAGTTCGCTCGATGGATGGTTCAGCACTTGGTTCGTTCGTCTGTCTGTCGTGTCTCCCTGGTGAGAACTTTGGGCCCAACGTTGCCGGTGGTCGTCCTACACTACTAGACTACCGGAATGTTGCCGGTTGAACTTGCTGGTTGCCGGTTGCTGGTTGCTGATAACTGCGGTGGTGGATCGTTCGAGGTGCCTACAGCACATGGTAACACCTAGTTTCCTCTAACAAGCAGGCGAAAGGCGGCCATTCACTGGGTGCAGACAAGCACCAGAGAAAGGATTCGGTTCTTTCTTTTTTTTCTGCGGGAGGGTGGCGTGCGGCGACGGCAGAACCTCGTGCTTCGCCCGTGCTAGGCAATGTACAGAGACAGAGGGAAAAGAGAGGTACAGGGTGGTGAGGGTTTTGCAGATAGAAGATGCGGGCAGCACGGATGGTACGACCGACGACCGACTACTGGCGGAGCAAAGAAAAGAGTCGGTGGGGGTTGAAAGCGCACGAGGGAAGGGGAGAAAGGGACTGGACTGGACTGGACTGGCACGACGACTGGATGGTGGTCGATGTCTTGGGGCGAGGCCGTGAGGGGCGAGGGGCGAAGTGGATACTTTTTTTCTGAATTCTTCCCAAGCAAGAATTCCACAATGGCTCGAGGGTGAGATGGAACGAGGATGGTTGGTGTAGGTTGAATCTTGTAGTTGGGTAGGAGTAAGTGAGTAAGTAAGTAAGTGGGATGAGAATGGGGGATGTAGTGAGTGAAGAGAATTCCCCAGTTAATAATTGATGGTCCGCTCACGCTCTCAATAATAATCGTTAATGGCCCGAGGGAGGGTAAGAGACGCTGCAGCAAAGCACAAGCAGAATGAAGGTGTCCGACTCGCACCCTCACACACACACACACACACACACACACATGCACTCAAGCACACACGCACAGCACACACACACTTACCACACTCACACTCACACAAACGCACGTACATGTATGTACCTACTGTACACCCCCCCGTGTCGAAGGTTCAAAAAGCCGGGGATGGTGAGGGGATGGCATTGAGGATGGCGATTGGACCTTTCCCAACTGACGACTAGCAGCATCAGCATCCACTGTATGTAAGGTAAGTTATGTATATGTATGTAGCATGTAGCATGTATTATGTACGGGGTATTATGGCTCAGGTATTAAGTAGATTGGTGCTTGCTTTCCTGCTTTCTTGTATTAGGTAGCATGTGGGCACATATCTAAGTACACAGGTACTCATACAAGTAGCAGCATGATAGCATCAACAACTACGAACCAACAGCCCTTGCCAGTACAAGATAGAGACATACGCAGTGCCCGGTACAATGACATGGTTGGCATGGGTGTGAGGTTGAAGTCGACCAACCGCCTAGACAGTTGGGAATCGGTAATCAATCAATATGTCCATCAGGTCAATCAACCCATCATCCATCAATCAATCAAGTCGTTCATTCAATCAATTCACCTCACCCTCCTCCATCCACCTCCATCTGACTCTTATTTCCTCTGCCTCGCCCTACTTCATTCCTCTTCACACCATTCCCACGTTGTACTCCTCAAAATCCACATCATCACCATCATCATCACCATCATCATCACCATCATCATCATTCCTGACAGAGTAATCACTGGCGAACAAGCCTTCGACGGCATATTCCTTCCACTAATTAGTTGCGAACTACCACTAACTACTCCGTACTGCTACTACGGTGTAAGTAACTAATCTAAAGGCTGCTGATACGGAGTACTACGACCATGTACCACACACTGCCTGGCCACTTACAAGTTGCTATCGGCCCTCCTCCCAAGCGTTTCCCCTCTTAGACCCAGCCTCAATCGCCTCTGGTACGTTTCAAGGCCGCAATTCCACAATCCCACAACGGCGGTATTCTCCTTTCAACCTTTAGTTACCGCTTCACATCCCTTCCCATGGCCATTTTCCAACCTCATCCCGTGCAAGTCTCGGTAATCAAATCAAATCAAATCAAATCAAACAATCTACTGTGTACTCGTACCCAGAGGCTGGCATGCGCGTGCCCGCTCACCCGCTGTAATCCCCCCAGGCGAAAAGCCCAGTCCAATACGCCCTGGGAGACGCCCACGCCCACGCCCGTTATGGTAGCCGATCTCCACCAAGACGTCAGGTCTCTCCCTCTCAACCCACACCAAATCATGGGCCGTCACTACTGACAAGCGGGAAGCCACACCATGTTCCTGCGACATGCCGAGTACGAGTTTAGAGGACGGACGGACGGCCTCACATTGGTGTTCTTCTAATTACACCTACTCCGTACACATAGTACTGTCTGTGTCTTGTATATTTTGTGCATCCGGAATCCGACCTAGTTCGAATCTACTCGCCTGTGTCTCTGTCTCTGTTGGAGGGGAAGGGAAGGGATGGAAGGAGGGTGATGCAAAGACCGAGTGCCAGATAGCAGCATACACCCAGTACGACCAGCAGAGGCACCGATGCTGCAGCGATGCCTACACACAATGCAGTAATGCAGAGTGCAGTGCAGTACAGTGCAGTGGAGTGGAGTGGAGTAGGGTTTGAGTAGTGGAGATGCATTACACAGTACTCGGCACCTGGCACGAACTGGGAAGAATTGGACACAAAACGCAAAAGAACATGAACGAGCGTCGACAAGAGAAATTCGGCGCGCGGGTATGTGAGCGGGAAGATGGTGCAATGGGCGTTAGAAGATCTGTGTCTTCACATAGGGCTACAGTCAACCGTCCAATCCCCTATCACGTACCGTCACCCACTCCCGACCGCATCTCCGTCCATCCTTACCCTTACCTGCACCCCTACCTATACCTAAGGCTACACTGTAGTTATAGGCTACGACTCTATGAGTACTCCGTATACCTAGGCAAGGCTATAGTTACCTCCACGGTATGTAACTAACTCAAACTATGAGGGTATCGTCGAGTGGGAGAATACCTCGTCCTTCCAAGGTACGTAGATAGATACCCAACCCAACCTCATCCTCACCCTCACCATTCACTCGCTCTGAGTCGCTCACCCTGCATCTCACCGTTATTGTGTCAAGCCCAGTGCCCATTGCCCGGTGCCCAGCCCAGCCATTCCTTGCCCACAAATCTTTCGTCTTCACCCGTACCCACCCTCCCAGCGCGGTGATCTTGTTGATCGATGCACCCGCGCTGTTTCTCCTCTTACCTACTGCTCCTCATGGTGAGGGGAAGGACGCCCTAACCGGACTGCTGACAAGCGCCAACCGGTACACACGCCTGTCGTTCGCTGCCCGCACCCACTCGTCGGTCACATCTCATATATGTGTCCAAAATCATCTGACGCACATCAATCTGGCAATCCTACATAGTACATGTGCGCATAACGGCATCGTATTGGCCTGGGGAACCTCGTCGGCCCTCAATCAACGCTTCTCCGATATGCAGTACAAGTAACTTATCTGCAGCCTTCTCGGACCCCCCTGGCCTGTTGTGCAGGGATTCCTTTTGGCCTGCGGGACGTGTCCGCCTGCGCAGCACAACGAAAGACCATTTGACGATAGGGCACGGCAGAGCAAAGCAGGGCATGATGCGTTGTGTGACTTGTGTCGATTGCAGAGCCCTATTCGTAAAATACTTGCCATGCCACACGGATCTTCACCAATCAATGCTACCCATCGTAATCCGAGTCCCTCAACCTGCATGCAGTAACACCGTTCCAACCTGCAACTATCAACTACTTTACTGCTTTTGCCTAGGTGCTTGCCCACGGAGAGTTTCCGCGCACGCGAACACGAGAATGTTGCATCGATCGATGGAAACGAGAAACGAGATATTTGATTTTTTTCCTCTACTGCTCAGTGCTAGCCCCAAAAGCCAACTGTGATCCAAGCGGCCGCACTAACATTTGAGGCTCTCCTATCCTTAGGCGGCAGAGTGATGTCCAAGTTCCCGAAACCCAAAAAGGCCAAAAGAGAAAGCGAAGACCATCCCCCTCCCATCTCCGACTGCAGCAAGGCGGCGCTCTAGGGCTGCATCCCTAGCGCTCGAATCGCGGTTGCAGCATACAATCGGCCTTGCCAAGATATCAGGTCTCGTAAAGCCTTCATCTAGCCAGTGCGAGGTATGCACCCAAAGGGAGGTAGGTATGGCATACTACGACGTTTCTAGGTGTACGGTGCGGCAATATCGTAGGCTGTGATTTGAAGACGTCCGACTGGCCAGGACCAACCATCTGATACCGATGGGGCTCGATAGTGAAGTCTTTGGTAATGCCCTTAATCACGGCAAGATGCCATTACCACGCGCTGCACGCGGCGAATCCTCCGAGGTCTGCCTTCGCGCGTTGCAGTCCCGGTACCGTGCCTTTTCTTGAAGTCGTCTTACGTACTCGTGCACTTCGTACTAGCACCTGGTAAGGCTGAGCTCATGCTCCCAAGTGGAAGAGGTGGCTTGGTGCTCCGGCGCTTGTCCCAGGTTTGTATGATTCGCGTGAGGTTAACCACGGGTGATGCTACGCCTTGACGGATAGTCTATGCTACAAGTGAGAACTGAGGTTAGCTGCCCTGGTCGAACCGTCTTTTAGACCTCGCCGACCTCGTCAATTCTAACTTCTCCCATAAGCCAGCCCTCTCGATTCCAGTAATTTAGTTAAACTACTTGGTCCAAGTGCTCTTTGCTTTTTTGGAGGGGGAAACTATTTGGCGAAATTCAAGTTGCGTCCTCCCCTACGCTACCTATCCAGCGTGCCAGCCCAGTGGGTCGCCCTTGTACCACTTCTAGGCATATCCCCGCGAACCGCGTAACAGAGGCCAAAGCAGGGCCTCCAGCAAAGCACGGGAGTCTCGATCTTTCATACGAGTACCTACATACTACGGAGTACATGCAAATAGTTTACGGAGTACAATAGTTAGCAATATTGATCCTTCTGGCTTGCACAGTACAAGCCTTCGAGGTGCATCAGCTGATCATTGTTATATACATCACGTGAGACGGAGAGGGAGGGGGGCATCGAAAGACTTGGCAAATGTTCTTGGGTACTCCGTACATAGAGATACTGTAGGTACCTAGGTACCTAACTACAAGTACCACCTATAAGGCTATAAGTATCCATCTTATTGACTACCCGGACGGAGTACATCTACTTCGCAGAAAAACAAGTGTAATGTACATCATACGTGTAGGTATTGTACAACTGCTTGATCCTCCATAGAAAGGCGTGTTATAAGGTATCTTGGAACCATCAATCAAGCCTGTAACCTCCAGCCTATAGTCTGTGGTCTTATGGTCTATAGTCCGTCCATACACAGAGTGACAGAGTACCTAGGTACCTAGTCTAAACCCCTCGTTCTACCCTATCGGGAAACGAGCCTCGGTGAAAATTCAACCTTCACTCTTCACCACTGTTACTGTCTGGATCAATTACACCGTACACGTACTCTCTACTCTACTCGTAACCACAGTCTACTCCGTACTCCGAGTCTGTGTCGTCCGACCGCATACACTAAACCTCCATCACCTTCTCCCGTCGCCGTCATCGTCGCATGCATCAAGCTTCTTGCCCCTAATCCACGCAATCACGCAACTTTCTGTCCCTCGTAACACCAGCCTCTTCCCCCTCCTTATCAATTTTTAGACCCCGCTACACGGGCCCCTTCCCGCCGAAGCCATGGCCCTCATCGACCGGGTCCCAGGCGACCTCAACCTCTACATTGGCGGGTGCGTGTTGCAACCAACTCCCTTGATGGCTGATGAAAATCACGACTCTTGTTTACCTTGCATCAGGGACCATAATCATATTCAAAGTTATGGCTATGGTTATGGTTATGGTTGCGGTCCTGATTACCTCGCCATCACCATGGTCCGTCTAGAATGACTGACACATAATTGCATAGGATGTTCACCCTGCGCCGTCGTGAAGCACTGCAACAGGCCAACATCACCCATGTCCTATCAGTCCTGCGCACGCCGCTTGACTCGAGTTTGTTCAGCCCGTTCAAACACATGGTCGTAGAGGTCGACGACGTCGAAGATGAAAATCTTCTGGAGCATTTTCCGTCCACCAACCAATTCATCCAAGAAGGCTTAGACGGAGGTGGCGGAGTGCTGGTTCATTGGTAGGTTTTCCAAGATCCCAGTGCAGCTGAGGCATGCAGGCGGACACCAAAACCCTCTGATCTTCATGTTGATTCAATCTCCTTGGCAACGCGCATTCTTTTCGACGTTGCAAGATTCGATCAATCGTTTTCCAACTCGACACCGCGCTGCAGATTTCAATTCGCCTCAGTCCGCGCGTCATGCAGACCAGAGAAAAATTATGTTTGCCTCGTAGGGTTGCTCAACATCCCTCCACCTTGCTCTCTCTATACCTTCCCCTTTCTGACACCCTTTTTTCCTATCAACGCACACACCGCTCGTTTGCCACCACCTCAACACCCTATCCAAGCATTCACGTTAACATGCCAACCATCTATCTTTATCTAGTGCCATGGGCAAATCGCGATCGGCTACATGTGTAATCGCGTACATGATGCAGAAACACAACATCAGCGCAACCGACGCCCTCACCCAGATTAGGCAAGCACGTTCCATATGTGAGCCAAACGAAGGCTTCATGAAGCAATTGGAGCTGTATGGAGACATGATGACGCCTGAAAACGTCGAAGAGTCGCCTGCTTACCAGCGTTGGGTATACCAACGAGAGATTCAGCTGAGCAGTGCCTGCGGACAGGCTCCTGAAGCAGACAAGATCCGCTTCGAAGACGAACATCGCACTGAGCAAACCTCTGAATTCGAATTGAGATGCCGCAAATGCAGGTATGTGGACCGCCGTTACATGAGCGCCACCCTCTTAGAATCACATTTCGTGCCTGGGTGGGACTTGGCCGAAATCCAATGACTGAGCGCTGACGAATATCTCAGGCGTCCCCTTGCGACTTCACAATATCTCAACTCTCATGCAAACACTGCTGCAATGAACGGTGAAGAGAGCAACAAAGGACAATCTGACCCTTCTCCGCGGGATTGCGCTCACTACTTTGTTGATCCGCTATCATGGATGCGACCCGAGCTTGAGCAAGGTAAACTGGACGGACGCCTCGAATGCCCCAAGTGCCATAACAACGTTGGCAAGTATGCCTGGCAAGGAATGCAGTGCAGCTGTGGTGAATGGGTAGTTCCAGGCATCAGTCTTGCCAAAAGTCGCATTGATGAAGTTCGCCAATCCGTGTTTGGCATTCGACGGCCACCAGGCATGCCAAGCCCCAAGCCCACCATAGGGTTGTCGAGGCAGAATCTATGATTTACGAGTATGACTTCGGAACATTATTGAAATCATACACAATCAAACACACTTCGCGGGAGCCTGCAAGGTACACCGCAAGGCAACCGTGCTTCCCCGCCAGTACGATGACATAAAATGGCTTCCCACGTGGAGGTCATGGAGCATGTAATATCCACTCGTCGGTCTTGATATCGATAACGGGGGAGACATAATCTGCCTAAGCCTTCACCGGCGTCATCATTGAGCCATCAAAGTCTCCCATATTTGTCTGTGCCACTCCGGATCGAGGCGCTTCCCGCTCGCAATCCTCATCGTAACTGAATAAGTAGATGCCACCGTGCTAAGCGAGTCGCTTCCCCAAAGTCGCAGGTTTTGTCCAAGCATCACTAAGCTTTTTGTAATTGTGCCGGTGGCGATCGTTTACAGTACTGCGGCCAGATCAATATAGGGCTTTTCTGGGCGCTGATTTTGCATGCAGCTTTGTTCGTTTCAGCCTAGCCTCTCAGGAACAGCTATTATTCTTTGTTCTGGCCATCATCCCACGTTGCCATACTCAACCTCACGCGATCTCCTTATATCCCGAGATGGGATAGCTACATATAGAATTCCAAAACAGCATGCTCCAACCACATAGCATGATTGAAATTTAGCATTGGCACGATCGTATCCGTAATAACAAATTGCCATACTCTGGCATCCTCAATTGTCCAATATCACAGGCCCACATTGCCTTGCCATCATGCTAATCACACGCCTTATGAGGATCCCCTAGGCATTTTCAATACGGCCGGAGTGCGAAGGTAGCCGGATTTTTTTCCTTCCTCGACCCACAGTCAAACTCACCTCGACAGTGCCAACCTTCGATCGAGCGATTCCCTTGGAAGGATCCATCGGTCATCTCGAAGCAGGGAAATATCCCCTTCACCGGATACCCGCTACTGCAAAACCTTGAATTTGAGACACGCAGAGAGACAAAGGGACCCGTGTCAGAATATAGCGTACGGTGTCCCCGATGAATATCAGAACCATACCCGCGTTGTCTCTCACGGGTTTGCCAAGTCCTACCATCATTACTGACTGCAGGTCAATGTCACCGTGTCGCTGCTCTAGTTCCATACTTACGCACCTACTTGATCAGGAAATTTTCATCCACGTGCTCCGACGCGTGCTCACCCGTCGTTGCAGCTTATTCTGAAACATTCGACTAAAGATCAATCTAAGATATCGTTACATGCGTATACAATCTGACATTCACTTGCATTCTGCCTCCACTCTGTAACCCATGTTACGAGGTAGTGGAGAACTCGGCGTCGTATTTCGATGCCCTCAATCTACAGCAAGAAGTAGACCTTCGATTAACTACTGCATTTTCGATCTCAAATCCCCTCCTCCCGTCCCTTCGGCATACCTGCCGTGGCAATATCAATGTCTGAGTCGTTCTCCGGAGGCCAATCAATGTGCTTCTTACTGGACAAGACCCTGCATCATGCAACATGTCTATCCCAAGCTTAGTAAAACATGGCAGATGAAAATCGCGCCAAAGACGGGAGGTAAAAATTATTGGGATTTGTTCAACTTTCGGAACGACACTGCCGATTCGATGGCATTGCATGGGCCATTCGGTCCTACATTTACCACCATGACCGCCGCCACCACCGCCACCACCATGGTGAGGGTTTTCCTCGGAATTTAATTGATTGACTGTTCGGCACATCAGACCATACCCACGTCCACCAAATTTCGTGCAGATACACTTGTGAGACTAGATGCTAGATGCAGTGGAAGATTGCCTCGTAGGCCTTCTATTCTTCTTCTCGGGAAGTTGTACCGAGGAATACGAATCATGGTCTTCATTGTGCAGCGAATCTGAATGCAATATCATCTCGTCACCTGTATATTTGTGAAACCTGCTACTGACTCTGATTGAGCAAAATGACATGTGATTGATTCGTCTGTTTAGGATCAGATATTTGGAATTGTAGCTATGATGGAGGAGTACTGTGTGCGATTCACGTGAATTGATATCTATCTTACGGATTGGGAAGATATTGAATATCGCTGTGCAAATGACCCGAGAAGATCTCCAACGTTTTAAGAAGTAGTCGCTCAATAACTCGGTGACCTAATGATGCCCTCAATATTAGCCGTACACTCGTGATCATACAAGACCCAGTCTCCAGGAATCCAGTTGACCTCAAAACTATAGACCAAGCGTTCTCAATTACCCCCAACCATAGCCATGGGCTAATCTCGCAGAGCTACCTATTTTGAGAGAAGCCACGATCCTTTCCTTCCCTACTGTTGGAAACAGCCTTACGGACTGACCAACTGATTGAATGGCTGCATGTGTACAACATTGTCTTGTTGTTTTGAGTTCCTGTTTTGGGCGCAGCAATTCATGTCGATTGGTTCTATCGTGCGAGAACTTTGTAGCAAGGCGAAAAGTGAGTTGCCCGAAAGTGATCTCGTCGTCATCTATCCATCATCACTCTTTTCGAACCAACACCTCAAATGCGATAGTCAGCCTTACCCACTACCGAAGGTTTACTTAGATGCAATTTATGTTGCTGCTGGCAGTCGTAGTCTTTATATTCACTTACTCCTATTCTGTACCAATAAGATATAGCCAAAACGTTTCCATCTATGCTTCCATCTATGCCACTCATGAACAACAACAGGTCCCATCCCTCTAACCTACACCTAAGTTGAACACGCAACATACACCAAACCCAACGAAAGCCCCTCCGCCCCTGTGCACCCCCATCCCCCACCAATACAGATACGATCCTTCCCGCATATACATGCATACACGCATCCTTACCCTGAAATGTACGCCATGGGATGAAATCCGCCTACAACAGTGCCACCAAGATAATCCTTCCTTCCTTCCGTCTCTCTAATCATTCCATTCCTTTAACCCGACTTCTCCTTGCCCATGTACAAACATAATGTGATCAGTGAGATGTACATGCATGCATGCATGCCTGAATATGCCATGGGGCATCCTTTCTACACGGACCCACCAACTCCAGTACTAAAACACGGGAGTAATGGCAGATAATGCATACGAGTTTCCACTCGAGATTCGACATGGAAGGAGCGGGGCGGAGCGGGGCGGGGCGTAATATGGAAATTGGAAACATATCGGCTTCGCCGAGCGGGCGACGGCAAGGTCGTGTTGTATATACTGTATGTTTTGTGTATCCGACTGTATGGATGGCTAGCTTCATGTGGAAGCCTGTGCGAGAAAACGTCGAGGATTCAACATGGTGCGTGTTGTGTGGTGTTTGGAATTGGTACTTAAAAGCCGCACTGCAAAGTGTATCTGGTTTCGTACGAAGGAAGAAAGGGTTGTTCAATTGGGAGGACGTGGTGTTTGGCAAGAAGTATTGAACGTCATGGGCTTGGTCAAGGCTGGGGGACGTAGAGCCTGTTTGGTGGGTTATCTTTCTTTTTTTTTGGATGGAAGATGCTCTATGTAGAGAAAGATGTTTCTCGCGCGAGTGAGTCTTGCGGGGGAAGCTTTCAACCGTTCTTGGAATAGTCCGTCTTCTTTGGTGAATTAACTTCGAATGCTCTTGATGAGGATTGTGACGTAAGGTGGAGTCCGTATGTAAGAAAATATCTGAACCTCGCTGGCGAAAGTATGTGTGGGTGAGGATCAGGTGAGGTGCGTACTATTGCGTCTTGTTTACTCTTTGCTATAGAGCCTTTGTTTGAAGCCATCAAGCTTCAAGGGCCCGATCGAGTCATAGTCTCCTGATCTCGTATTATCAACATCTTTCATGCATCGACTTTGAAACATCGTCCATGGACAGGAATGACATTCGGGTTGCAGCCAACGGGATCAATCTATCTCTATTCAGATGAACTGGGGACTGAAGTAATACTGAACTGTTCATATACTTCAATAGGGGGCCAAATAGTTGTTACCAACATTTCCCCATGAGACTGCAATTGATACGACCTACATGAGAAGTAGCCCGAGTGAAGCTGCGTACATCATTTCTGGTGCAATAGCCCACCTTTGACACACCTATCATGAAACAGCTCGTGCTGCCTTGTGTTGAACTACTCAGTAGGCAACTCAGCCTGCATGCTAGTTCGAGTGCACTTCCCCAATCTAGTCCTCCAACGCTGAGGAAGCCAGTCACGGCAATCCGTACCTACGAGTACCTACCTAGGTATGCACCTAAGGACCTATAGCTTGGGTGTGCACATTCGAGTGTGGATCCAAAACTTAAAGCACGTTCCCGAACAATGGAAAATAGTGTACTTGATAATATGTCTCATTGCCTAATTTTGCTCTCACAAAATAGATATCAGAGTTTACCTCGCCGTTTTGTATAGACACGTGATGCCGTAAGAATATTGAACAGTCCATAGCACCGAAATGACGCCTCATACTTCCTTTTTGTCGTAGCATTCTAGTCACTCAATTCATTCGCTCTGGTGAGCTCCTCGACGTCTTCCCGGCCCCTGCGAGCCAGAAGGTTCAAAGCACTGCCTGCAAGCACGAAACCGCACTGGTCCTTGCTGAGAGTGTGCTTGGTCTTGATAACCTTCTCCTCACCTCCCTTCTTAACCACAAGCTCAACCTCTCCCTTTCCACCGCTCTGCAACACGTCAAGCAAGCCGCGGGTAGAAACCTCGTCACATGCCTCAAGGAGGTTGTAATCAGCTTCATTGACGAAAGTCAACGGGACGATGCCCTGCTTCTTGAGGTTGGTCTCGTGGATGCGGGCAAAGGACTTGGTGAGGACGATGCGGCCACCGAGGTATCTAGGCTGGAGAGCAGCATGCTCACGGGCGGAACCTTCGCCGTAGTTGTGCTCCGCAACGACGAGCCATTCCTGGCCTTGCTCTTTCCATTTCTTTGCGAGGTCGGGGATGCTAGATGTCGTTCCGTCGACATCGTAAGCCACGTTGACCTCGTCAGTCTTTGCGTTTACGGCGCCAATTAGAGTGTTTTCTGAGATGTTAGGCAGATGGCCCTTGTACTTCAGCCATGGACCTGCGGCAGAGATGGTATCGGTGGTGCATTGGCCCTTGACCTTGTACAGGACACGGAGAGAAGTGAGCTCAGAATCGGGGAAAGCAGGGAAAGGATCGAGGAGAGCTAGGCGAGTGGACTTAGGGTCCACAACTACTTCCACAGACGGGTCGGGAACACCGGGAGTTGGGTCGAACTCGGGGTTGCCATCTGCGAATCCCGCAGAGGGCAGTTCCGAACCCTTCGGAGGGGTGAATTTGAAAGGACCATTGGGCGTTGGGATGGAATCGGTCATGGGGTTAAAGGTGGTAGACCCGGAGTAGGTCATGGCTGTGATGAGCTCGGGAGAGGCGATGAAGTTCATAGTTGCTCGGTTACCATCGTTGCGGCCTGGGAAGTTTCGATTGAAGGACGTGAAGATTGCGTTCGACTCGCCCTTTTTGGGCGCATCGTTTCGAGTCCACATTCCAATGCAGGGGCCGCAAGCGTTTGCTAGGATAGTTCCGCCGGCCGAGGAGAAAGTCGAGAGCGTGTTGTCGCGGTCGAGAGTGGCTCGGATCTGTTCACTGCCAGGAGTTACAAGGAAGTCGGCGACCGGCTTGAGACCTGCAGCAGAAGCCTGCTTAACAACCTCTTCAGATCGAGTCATATCCTGGTAGGAACTGTTCGTGCAACTGCCGATGAGCCCAGCTCCGAAAGTCTTTGGCCAGTTCTTCTCCTCCACCACATCCTTAAACTTCGAAAGTGGCGTAGACAGATCCGGAGTGAAAGGACCGTTAATATGGGGCTCGAGCGTAGAGAGATCAATCTCGATGACCTTGTCGTAGACAGCTTCCGGATCGGCTCGTAGAAGGTTCTGTTGCATTGGCAATGATGCAATATTGGCAGCGGCATCTGCGATAGGTCCTCGGTGCGTTGCTTGAAGGTAAGGGATATGTGCTGGCGAGAATGGGAACAAACTAGTTGTAGCACCAACTTCCGCACCTTTGAACAGGTTAGTTTCCCCATGAGCTTCACTTGAGTAGAAATGCCTGCAGAAACTTACCCATATTACAGCATGTAGCCATTCCAGTGCAGCTGAGTGTCCTCACGCCAGGGCCAAAGTACTCGATTATGAAGCCAGTTCCACCCTAATAAAATGATCAGCGTACTGATTTTAGTGACATTGCGGAATCTCAACATAGGTCTACTCACCCGGACTGTGAGTTGACCGGCCAGATTTAGGATGACATCTTTGGGAGAGGCCCAACCGCTCAGCTCGCCGACGAGCTTGACACCCAAAATCTTCGGTGCCTTGAGCTCCCACGGCGCATCGACAAGTGCATCGACTGCATCGGCACCACCCACACCAATCGCAATTGCTCCTAAACCGCCCGCGTTGGGTGTGTGACTGTCCGTTCCAAGCATCATGAGTCCGGGTGCCGAGTAGTTTTCCAAAACAGACTGGTGAATGATACCAGCGCCTGGTGGCCAAAACTCAATGCCATACTTCTTTGCAGCAGACTCTAAGAAATCGAAGACTTCCTTGTTTCCAGCAATCGAATTGGGAAGGTCCGTATCCGCTCCCTTCTCGCCTACAATCATATGGTCGCAGTGAATACTAGCGGGCACGGCTGTTGAAGGAAGACCGCAAGACATGAACTGAAGAAGAGCCATTTGCGCAGATGCATCCTGCATGGCCACACGATCGGGCTTGAGCTTAAGGTTGGCAGTTCCCCTGATGTCCCTTCCATTGTTTGTGTTGGAGAGTAGAGACTCCTCTGGGTTCTCCAGATGCGAGTAAAGGATTTTCTCCGCAAGGGTAAGTTGTCGTTCCGACCCTAGTACCCTCCTCACTTCCTCCAGCTTCGTTACAAGTTTATGGTATGGAGGGGTCCGTGATGCGATGTCTACAGGTCGGCGAGGCGGTATGGAGTGCGTCGTGGCGAGACCTCGTCTGGATGTGCCATTAAGGAGAATGGGAGAGGCGCATATGCGTTGCTACAAAGAGTGGTTAGTTTTTATGACGATGACTCGAATGGCGCTTGGTTTTTGCTAGTCAGACTTGGTAGCATTCGATGGTGGGTTGTTTGAATGAAATAGTCTATCCTCACCCTCGCTCTGAGGCTCTGGCTGAGCCGAATTGCCTGCGACCGCATTTTTGATATACGCGCGCAGTGGGATGCGGTGCTTTGGTCTTGTGCCCGCGAACTGGGTAATAGAAAAGTGTCGACCGAACTTCGGCCTGCAATTGATCACCCACGCGAGATCTGGGGTAGCATTGTCCAATCACGTATCAGACAGTAGTCATCATCTTGGCAACCTAGAGTACCTAGGTATCTATGCAACATATCAATCTTGCTTGTAGGACATTTGGGTGTTGAGTGTTTGGGAAATGATCACAGAGAAGAATTAATGTACTATGGCACTTTATCACTTTGTCACCGTGCAAGTATGAACCCTCACATTATACAGGGACGACTGCTTCGACAGAAGAAGCAGTATGAAGAGTACATTGCAGCTCGCAGATGCGAATCCTTGCTCTTGGCATGGACTGCCGGATATCTTCCATTCCCAACGCTACAAGTCTGTCCTTGTGATAATGCCCAGCCGACTGTAACGAGCAATGATTCCAAGGAGAACTATGGAAACTATGACGATCCCGTGGATAGTACCTTACGTACTTGGGGCTAAGAGCAATAAGGACCATCAAGATTAGACTATTTTTCGCCATCCTATTCAGAGCGAATCTCGCATTGCCACTGAGTGTTCCATATGTTGATCATTGTGAATTTTCGACCCTACATGCCTGGTGGCGGAGGAACCTGATTTGCGTCAGTTTATGAATTCAGGAATAATCAATTGCAGTGGACATACAGCATTGAAACCGCCAGGGGGAGAGCCCGATGGTGGGGGTGGGGGTGGGGGTGGAGGAGCGTTTCCAGGAGCAGGTTCAGAAGGAGGAGGGGGTGGAGCTGCTGCTGCCGCTGCCTGGCCTGGTGCTGGTGAATTCTGTGCCGCTGCTGCAGCGTAGTAATTGTACCAACTCACGTAACCCTCGTAACCGCCATAAGCAGCATAAGGATCAGCACCCCCAGCCTGTGCGTAGTACCATGAGTTGGCGTCATAACCGGCAGCGCTCGCAGCTTGGGCGCCTCCTACACCCGTGTTTACGGGGGACTGCAAATCCTGGTGACCGCCGTAACCACTGCGTCCACCATACCCACCCCCTTGCCCATAGCCGTGGTTGCGGTCTCGGTCACCACGATCACCGTAGCGATCACCATAACCACGGTCACCGTATCCACGTCCGTTCGAGTAACCATCATTGCCAAAGCGCTGCTGTGGCGGTCTCTCTTTGAAAGTGTTGTAATCTGATTTGACTTTTTCAAGAAGTTCATCACATAATTGCTTAGCTTGTGCAACTCCCTCGGGGCGAGGACCACTGCCTTTCGTCAGCATAAACTCTCATAGATCCAGGTCTGCACTTACGCGATATGAAGATACATGGGTTCATCGCTTTCCTGGCCAGACTGTGGTTCCATGAAGCCAGAACCGCGACCCTTGATCTGAACCTTGCACCCAGTCTCTTGCTGGATATACTTGACGTTATCGCCACCTCGGCCCACCACTTGAGCTCTCAAATTGAAACCGTTTATAGGTTCAAGGTCAACCGGGATCTTCTCCTCGGGCCATTTGCGCTACACCTGTCAGCTTTCGTAGACATTTTCACCTTCTCGAATCAAGCAGATGCAAAAATGGGGATATGGCAGAAAGTGAAGGAGGTGGAGGGCTTCTTACGCGACCGAATTCATCCTTTTCAAACTCTTGAGGCTCACGTTGGCGCCTAAATCTGCGCTCATCAACTAGATTAGGGAGATCCTGCTGCATCATATCCTTAATAGCGACGACAGCGGCATCTAATCCCTCCTTAGATGTACTAGTAACGCGAAGATACAAAGGAGGGCTCTGCTTGTATGTCAGCTATACTCGAAGAAAATGTCATAGAGTGTGCGACATACAGCAGCTGTTGCCATGCTCTTATCGGGATAATATTCTCCTCGGGTGGTGACATCTTGCATGCATATCAGTAGGTTACTCTTATAACAACGTGATATTAGGCTGCGTACCAGCGCCAGTTTCGTCTTTGATCTAAATGTCACACAATTGAGGTCAGCAGATGAAAAATGTAGTGCAGGACAGCTAAAGGTTTGAGTAAGCTCCAGCTCCAAGACACAAAAGCAACGCTTGGAAAAAGAATGAGTTGTTCAAGACTTGGGTGTTGATAATGCATGACTTGCATACATACGCAACATTACGTCTGGAGAGGAGGGGCAGTGGCCTGAGAGAATCAGTTGGGCGACAGAAGCTTAATTACCTTCTTTTGTACGGCTCCTTTGGTCAAAGTATACCGGTTGCGCAGGTCGTTTATCTCAATATCCTGAATGAAGTCGCCATCTTGTTGATATGCCTCGCCGATTTGTGCGCTTCCTGGATTTGCCGGTGTAGATGGTTTCACTAGAGTTGGAGGAGTAGATACGCTAGGCTGCAACGACTCATTAGCATTTGTGAGAATATACGTAAGTGAGAGAGGATGTATCTCACGGAACGGATTGGAGGAACATCCACCGCCGGCGCAGCTCTCTTGGATGCAAGCGCAGCGTTTATTCTAGCTGCTGCTGCTCTGGCTGCCGCCGCTGCATCTGCCGGGTTGATCTTGGGTTGTGCACTGGCCGTGGCAGGAGAGCCGGAAGCTTCGCGCGCGATGGGACTTCGAGTACGGCGAGACTCAGAAGTCCTTGACACCGGAGAGCGCGAACGGTCAAATCGAGAACGGGGCGGCGGCGATTCCCTATCAAAGCGCGAACGAGGTGGTCGATCGTCAGACATGATGTGTGGTTAACACCTACTGCGATCAAACTCTCGCGGTGGAGGTGATGTAGTTCCGTGGAAACTTTGTAGAGGTCAAAGTCGCAAAAGTGGAGTGAAGTTCAGCCTAGGTAGGTCGATACACGAACAATGGACTAACAAACTGCAACAGTATTGGCTGGAGCAGGGACCACTTTCACGTGACCATTAGGATCCTTGCTGGAAGTTCTTCGGCCCGCCGTTATCGGCCGTTGAACTTAGCCGTGACGGAGTCAAATTCCATTGTTCGAATTTCAACCTCAGCTCGCACAGCTGCACATTCCCAACCCCTCAATTGGCCTTGTAGAGGCTTTCTCCTCACAATGGCAGCACGCCGGGTTATTCAGGCGCTTCCGCTGCGTCAAATTCTGCGACAACAGACTCCCGGATCCCTACAACAGTTTCGTTTGTCGAGCTCTTCGTCGACTCAAGCCCTTGCGTACAAGGCTCTTCACCGAAAGGTTGCACCTTTGCCTACAGATGACCGACCCCCAGCCTGGTCCGTTCAAGCCGCCGTCAGCAACATCCTCTACGAAACGCCTGTTCCTTCCCGCGATCCCCCAAAGAGGCACATATTGAACTGCCTTGTTCAGAATGAGCCCGGTGTTCTCTCCCGCGTCTCTGGTATTCTTGCTGCTCGTGGCTTCAACATCGACAGCTTGGTCGTATGTAACACCGAGGTTGACGATCTCTCACGGATGACGATTGTCCTCCAAGGACAGGAGGGTGTCGTAGAGCAAGCTCGCCGCCAACTCGAGGATCTCGTTCCTGTGTGGGCTGTCCTCGACTACACCACATCGCCACTCGTGCAACGCGAACTCCTGCTCGCAAAGATCTCTACCTTGGGCCCCGAGTACTTCGAGGAGCTTCTTGCCCACCACCGCGAGATGACCTATATGCCAGAGCCTGAGGAAGGATATGAGGTCGAAGAATTGTCCGAGGCTGACCGCGAGGCTCTAGCCGAAGCAAATGCCCGCGACTCGCTCAGGAAGGACTTCCATCCCAACAATTTGGCCGTCAGCCAGGCTCTGAGACACAAACACGAACATCTCCGCGCAATCACCTTTTTGACTCATCAATTTGGCGGAAAGGTACTGGACATCAGCACAAACAACTGCATTGTGGAAGTATCCGCAAAATCCAGCAGGATCGATTCATTCATGAAGCTCATTGCACCATTCGGAATTTTGGAGTCAGCTAGGACAGGTTAGTCAAAATATGCCACTTGACAAAATGTGGGAATAATGAAGATTCTGACTCATACATAGGTCTGATGGCACTGCCTCGTTCTCCCCTGCATGATACGACTGAGATCGAGGAGAAGGAGGCCGAGGATGTTGTGGATCAGAGCCAACTCCCTCCAGGTTAAGCGGCAGAATGCATGAAAAGATTACTACTAATAGGTGGCATTCGGATGCGTAAAATGAATGGCTCAAAAGGGTTCGGTCTATTTGCAGCAGGCGTTCCTCAGATCAAACATGTATTGTACATAGTGGATTGGCGTTCCCATCACTGAGATGCGAAGAGAGTTGGTACAGGTTCAATCCAATAGCGTTTGGCGATTTCCGTAATCGTCGTGACGAAGATGATCATGCAACGCCACCTCGTCGCGAGGATAATTCCCATGTGCGGTATGTTTACCATGTGTAGTACTCGTAGCTATGAGACGTAATTGGTCTTACACATTCATTCCTCGACCACATGCGGCAACATGGGCGGGGTTGGAATCCAATACGCAATAATCGCACGCAGCAAACCAAAAGATACATGGCCAACGATACGAGGTACTAACTACTAACGAACATCCTCATCCTACCATAACGCCGCGGATGGAAAGTCGAGATTGGTCGGATAACGGCTAGATAACGGCGGCGAAGGGACGATTCGAGCATGCCAATGAAGGACCACAGAGTTCTTAGCATGGAAGGGCTAAGTAAGTACGGATTGCTGCGTACCTAATGCAATTGATTTGGGAGTCACCAAGGCATAATAATCTACGAGGAGTAATTGAGATGGACGCTACTGCGTAATTGGCAGAGCATCACATGTCTAGATGCTCTTTCGATCGATACACTGCAGCAGTTCTGCGTCGCCGCGTGTCGTCCCGCAAGCTCCGCACCTGCACACGATTGGCCCCTGACCTGGATTGGCAAATTGGAGCGCCGGGAATTTACAAGGAAGCAATGCAGACCACGCAAAAGGATAGGATGTATGCACTGTAAGTCTGTACATACTCGTATGATGCAGCATGTTAGATGCAGGCTGCGGTTTGTCCCCCACGCTCATGTGTTCCAACTGCTTGTTGATCCTGCCTCGATATCGATTTGACTGCATCATGCTACATGTAGATATGTATATGTAGCATGCACACTGAATTGAACACCTGCTCAGCTACAATTGTAAATTTCCAATTGGCACATATCCATGCAGCAACCGCATGTTAACGTACTCGTCAAGTCGTACCGTACTCGTACGCAATCCAATGAGCTAAAGGTGTCACTCGTAGCATGCACGGGCGCTACTGGTAGCATCAAGAGGTGGTGCAAATATAATCTTGTCGCGAGAAATGCCTCGTAGGGTGGTTTTTAGCGAATTGAGACTACTCCCGATGACTATAGCGGTACACAGTAATTACGTTACGGTACGCATGTGCTGCTGGATCAAGGGTCCTTCAAGACTATGGGAGTAAGGCAGAGTCTGGAAGTTCTGGGGGAACTTCTGCACGAGGGCCATCGGGCCATCTACACAGTAGTGAATTTTGGCAAAGCTTCCTATGGAGATCCAGTGGATGCGCTCCACCGAACTCCATGGTCCTGGAATTTACTCCCAACTCGTAATTGATGGTAATAGTAATACGAGACATCGTAGAAGCTGGAATTGGACTTTTTTTTCTTCCAATTTTTTTTTTGGCATGGCCTGGCCTGGTCGGGGAGTCATTGGGGGGCGTAGGGTAGAATACTGTTGAGTCAAACTGACAATAATCTACTGCAGCTCGATGCCCACAAGTGGGGTCCGACGAACCCTGGCAATTCCTGGCCAGAGTCGCAGAACTTAGAAGCATAGTGGGCTGTGGATTTCTCGTATATTGACCATGACTAGGATTCTTAGGCAAAGCTTCTCGTAGATGGCCCTTGCGAGCAAAGGAAGAGAGAGAGAGAGAGAGAGAGAGAGAGAGAGAGAGTTACTCAAACTACTCTGTACACCATTCTCGCCGGATCCAGAGTTCAAAATTTGACCTGGTAAAGCTATACAAGTGGCTGGATTGTTGCATTGCTGAGGAACGTGAATACGGTCCGTATACGATGGAGATAGAATGGATCCGGAGATGCGGCCGCTATTCATTAGCCCAAAGGATAATATATTCTTACTGAGTAAGTACTTGTAATTCAGTCGTGATCGATCGTTCTTGGGGAAGAGATAGACGAATGGGAGCATTGTTACGGCATGAAATCCTCGGCAGACTTTCGGTCTTCTCCAATGGTCTTCTCACTGTCTACGATTAGTACCGTACTCACGAGAACTGTGATGTTCACTCTCTAACTACACAGTAGTGTCCCGTGCCACTTACGCTTACGGGTGTCAAAGTGGATCTCTTTAGGTAGTCTGGGCTCTTTTATTTTACGGCGGACTATGTACTCCGTACTAAAGCAAATATTACTTGAATTATTAACTAATTGAGACGAAACTTGAGCAGTTCTGAGACTTCTGACTGGAAAGTTGAATCCTTAACCAGCCGTTTACCTACACAATACTCGTAACAAGCCATCCTCAAACACCAAGCCTGTGCATTCACACGTTGGGACTGGCCTGTCATTCAATGCGGGTGCTTGCATCCTTTACGTAGCAGGCGGTAGGTATTAGTAGTCTAAGAGTCTAGTAGATGATAGATGGTAGATGGTAAGTGAATAGCTGCTCGTCGGTTCATAGGCCTCTGTTTGAGCTCGTGCTCTATTCTGTGGTTGAAAGGCTCGCGATGCCCAGGGTACGATCGTAAGGTGTCGCCATTTTCCCAACCTCTGAATTGCCACGTTTGGAAGTCCGAAAGAGCGACATTGCAGATACTGTGCATATGCATGGTTGCTGTTAATTATTTTTTCCATCATAATCAACAACAACGATTACAGCATTACTGCCACTTTCTCCACACCATCTTCTCTTTCTTTCTCTTGTCTCCCTCTCCCCTTCTACTTCCTCCTACAACTTCCCCTTCTCTTCTGAGTACATAGGCGCCTGTCGCCATCGAGCAATCCTTCCCTCTCCCCCTCCAATCCATCTTCCTCCACGGCTTATCACCTTACCTACCTACCTACCTCGGTACCAACTGCTTTCCTATTCAATCGATCATATTGTCACGGTATCTACGGAGTACCACCTTACTCTCCGTCTCGATCATCCATCCATCCGTTGTCAACTTCAATCCGTATCGTGCCATTCGCGACGATCTTATTCTATCGAATTGGGCCGTTTCCGCCTCTCCCGCTCCATCGTTTTCCAAATTATTATCGCCTCTCCCAATCCGTCGTTTAACGTAGTATTTCCCAAAACGACGTCACCTGCTTCCGCTAGCCCAGAGCTCTCGACTACGTAGTACGGAGTACTGTATAGATTATCTTGGAGGTCGTACGGAGTTGTAGGCTCATAACAACTAACTAACGACCGCATACCTTGAGGGCCGAACTATTCCACCACAGCCCCAATCCCTCCCAAACCATCCCCAGGGCAATCCCCTCCCCACCCGCCTACAGACGCTTGCAGACGCTTGCACCAGGTCCCTGGCCGTGCATACCAAGTACCTAACCAAGTACATACCACCACCAATCTCTCTAATCGAAACCTCCATTCGCCAATCACCTATCAACAATCTCCAGAAATCGCCAATCCCCTGTAACGGACGCTTTCCGTTTTCTGTTTCCCAGTTTCCACTAGATACGACTACCGTCCTGTCTACCACACCCTACGGACGAGTACCTTATCTCTCACATTCTTAAACCACTCCTCAACATCTTCGTCATATATCAATCAGCTGTGACACTGTTCACTTATCGCTCGTGTCACAGCTTCATCTTTCCAGTCCCGACTGGCCTCAACCTAAACCTCAACTAAACCTATGCTTCCGCGGCGCCCGCGCTACTAGCCAGGAACCAACAAACATCCTCTTCGACAACGTCATTTCTCTACCTGTGCTGCAGCCACCACCACCACAACAACCACCACCATCGAGCCACAATAGCAGGACATGAAATACGGCGATACATTGCGCCAGCGCTCCATTCCCGAATGGGCACACCGTACGGTGCATTCCTTGTGTCACGCATGAGCTTAGAACTAATCGAGACTGCAGATAACATCGATTATGACTACCTCAAAGACCTGATCAAGGACCAGACTACACCGGGTACTGGCAAAGCCCTCTCAATCCCCGGCCAAGGCGAAACGATCGAACGCGCTTTCGGCCAGACATTCTTCCTCGTTCTGAAGGAACAACACAATCGCATCAATTGCTTCGTGAAGAGCAAGAGCGGAGAAATCGAGAGTCGGTTGGATTACATTGGCAAACAGCAAGCGCAGCTCCGAGCGAGGTCGTCAAGCTATGGGCCGGACGCACGTCTTCCAGCTAGGATAGTGGAGCAGTATGCGAAGATTGATGCGGATGTGACCAGGTGAGTATTCTTCTTCTTCTTCTTCTTCTTCTTCTTCTTGCTATCTTGAAGGCCCGAAACCTGAGCCTTGGCGTAAACAATACCCCCGGTTCAGGATCGTCACTTTTGCTATGGGCAGCTTATCATTCAATTCTGTACGCACCTTGCAGTCCATGGGTAGACCCGAAGAGCCGGGCAGATGCAACCGCAGGACTGCCGACGCCATGGAACGAATAACAACTAACTCCGCCTAGGGCCGGTGAAGAAATCCGTTCACTCTCCCGTTTTCGCACTGCCCAAAAGACGGGGTTCTACAAGATTTTGAAAAAGTACAAGCGATGGACAAAGGATACGAACCTTGCGCATCGTTTTGAGGATGAGGTCTGCCAAAAGCCCGATAGTTTCTTTCAGCTGGATCTGGGAAGTCTACTAGACCAATACATTGATGTTCTTGCTGCCGTCCGCGCGCCAATGGGCAACTCTGGTCCGTTGACTCCTTTTACTGGTTCAAGTCAAGGCGCAGCTGCTACTTTGGCCCAAGCGATTGAATCTGGTTCCGACGTAGAGTTTGACGTTGCCCTGTCTACAACTCCGCTCGGCTCCCGCGGAAACACAGCCATGTACTGGATCCACGTTGATCACATTGTTGAGGTTCAGGTTCTCCTGCTCCAGCAATTGCGCCCCCATTCTTCCAGGCCTGGTAGTTCCAGAGCCTCTCCCCATGCGACTCCACATCGACGGATATCCACTGCAACAGTTGACGGTTACTTCGGTAAAGAAGACGACGTCGGTATGATTGTGCTTGATCAGCTTGAGTTTTTCGTCCCAAAACAAAACGCGAGCACGGTGAGTGCCAGTGAAGGAGCGACAGGCAGGACGCGAGCTCAGGCTGCAGGATATGTTCACTGGACTGGCGAAGAGGCATCCGTCATTGTTCGAGGCCCTGAAGGAGGGTTTGGGGGGCTCAAGACCGCCATTATCAAGCGTAAATTAGTCGAGTCCTTCCTCGATACACCCAACTCCTTCGCCGATATACCGGAAGCTGAATCGTATGATGCCAACGGCAAGCATGGCGATTCGAAGAAAACGGGATCGGTTCGTCAATGGCTCTCGGGTCACAAAAACATTAGGCCAATAGCCGGATTATGCTCGAAGCGGACCCGCTTTGTAGGGTTGCAGAATAGCTCTTCAGGTGGGATCTGGGCAACACTGGATAGGGACATAGCCTTCAAAGAATCCGTACAAACCGATCTTTGTAGTCATGAGTGGGCGTCAGAAGCACGCAAGGGAGCCCATCGATTCGGGCATGCCGTGTTAGAGATCCGGCGCGAGGGGGGTTATCCAGAGTCTCTGATCCAGCGACTTGATAACAGTCACTTGGTAATTACATCAATGGATCTCACTTTCTACTTACAACGCTGACATTTCTCAGGTTCAAAGGGTTCATGGCTACTCACTGGAGACCCATGCAGTATGGTCCTGCCACAAACCTGCCGCCATGTCGCCACCTGTTTGGATATCTCTGTTAGATCAAGACCTCCTAAAAGTCCCGGCACCCGTGAAGAAGAGACGCAGGAGACAGGCAGCGACTGTCCCAGACACACAATCCAACTCGTCGCGCCCCGATACATCACCATCAGCCGCATCCCTGACGGACGGCCAGTCGACCCCCTTTACTTCGAGGCACGACGAGACTCCAGGCACTTCAGCCTCTGAGATGATGAATGTGCCCTCTTTGCAGGCCTTCCGAAAGAAGCGCAGGCGCCCATTTGCCGAATACCCTCCCCCTATCGAATCAGAGGAGCCTCCGCAAAGACAGGGCTACTGGAACGAATATGACAATCCGGAATCCGAAGACGATGGATATTATATATATGTGGACCCTGACGCCTCCATGGGGTTCCCAGGGCAAGAAATGTTTGAAGATCTTGCGCGCAAAGCGAAACGCTTCTTTTGGAGGAAGAATACCTCGGAGCAATCGCCTCTCCTTATTGCAGCCGAATATCCATCTAGCGACGACGAGTTGGAGACGGCAGGCGAGCCTGCTGCAAGCAACAGCCGCCGCCACAACTATGGAGCCATTGATCCCGTCGAGGGACAAAGGAGTCAAGGTGGATATTGGAGTAGCCTTTTCCGTTCATTCCGTGACCCAGCACGAGATGCAGAAACGCTGGACTCGTTGCATCGACAGTCCGCGCTCGAGAGACAAACTCTTATGGCGAGGCTCCAAGTCCGGCAACATCAGGGTGAAATGGCCAAACTCCAAACCTATATTAGTTGTCTAGGGGCGGCCGTCGTTCTAGACATAGTCTTGTGCGTGTTGGCCAAGACCAGCCGACGGAAGCTTAGAGGGGAGGTGGACGTTGCCATCATTCTCGGGACGTTGTGCAACCTGCTGCTGCTGCTCACCGCAGTGGTGACGATCCAGACGCGACACGACCACATTGGGTGGATTCACCAGGGAACGGTTTACATCATGGTGATAGGGATGGTGGTTGTGGATATCTTGTTATTTCGATGGGCGTTGAACTTGTAAATAGCTGGCACGCCTTGGCCATCATGATTACGGCGTTGTGGGGGCATTTGTGGGTTTCTTTTAGGCATGTGGGCCCCTACCTTGGGGCCATCACGATCCATGGGGGGTTGCTTGATACTCGTTGGCGTTCTTGTTTTACTGTATTTCTTTCCTGCGGTGCGCGCGTCCGTGTTGTCTAATTTGGACTGTCGCGATGAAGTTGTTGATTGCGATACCTTTTGCGCTTTTGCTTGTACATGTTTCGCTCGGAAGGGATTGCCGGCAGAAGAGGAGGTAGGCGAGTTTCCTATTTTCTCTATGGGCATCTCCTACGTACAGAATTTGCATATGGGCCGTGTCTAGTACGTACAATATGTAGATGGATGGGTGGATCAGGCAATTGGCCACTGGATATGTTTGTATATATACTCCATAAAGTAGGAAATGAACTACAGATTGTTATTTGATGATGGCAATTATTTTGTAAACCGACTTCGGAGTAATGGGCTCGGCGCAAAACGATTCATATGATGGAAACCCGCGAAGCAGACGGTACCCAAGAACCAACGACAATTGACGATTGGGAGAATATAAAAATCATCTGTCGTTATGAGCATAGAGTGATGTACTGTTTGGTACATGTATGGATGAAGTGAAGTGTAAACATATGGATGTATGCACATATATTGAGAGTTGTAGAGTATAATTATATGTGCATACTTGGGCACATACATGTAATTATTCTCCTCATCACCATTATATAGTGCTGCCGGTATATACTCCGTTCCTACCTACATATCCGTCGAGTCACCAAGTAATAGACTACTGTGTACGTATGGGATAGGTACCTATAGTAAGTCAGGTCAGGTGCGTGGTGGAATACTGATCGATCTTTGGTCCGTCTGCAGCCGATGCGCGGCCGTGGGGGGGGGAATAATGGGGGGAATAATGGGGGGAAAGAGAGAGGGGAAGACTCATAAGGTTACCAAGTGCACTTAACGAGTTTAGGGCCGTGTGGACGTGTGGACGTGTGGGCGTGTGGGCGTATGAGGTAAATCCGTTGTCACTACGGAGCCGGGAGTAGTTGAATGTTTGGTAGTCATGGACATTTCCGTAGTCGCGGCGCATCGCAATCGTTCGTTCTTATGCAAGCTATCAAGAAAGGGACTGAGAGGATTCAGAGAGTCGTCAGCGTCGGTGTAGCCAATCCCGAGAGCCCATCCCTCCCTCCTCTCACTCCTCCGACCCAACATTTTGTCGTCATTGAAAGCTTCACAGACTTCTCAATTCGCACGTCCTCCATGTTCCACTGTTCCACTGTTTCCACTGTTTCCCACTCTTCGCCGCTCCATCCACAACCCGCCTGTGACCGGAAAAATCTTCAATCCTTTCCATCACGCCCTCCCTTTCCCAACATGCTGTTTTAAACTTTTCCACGGTACGTTTCCCCGGCCTATCAATTCTCCGGCGCAACCAAACCGCAAAAACCCCAAAGAGCTAACCACTGGTCCATGTGAAAGGGCTTCGTCCCTCCCCAATTGAATCGTTATTTTTATCTTCCAACATTTCTTTTCTCCCTCCATCTATTTCTACTTCCCCCTTCCCTTCCTCTCCCCCTTCCTTCCTCCTCATCCTTCCCATCCTCCCTCTTGGATCCTCAATAGACCTTCGTCCCGGTCGACTTGGGTACAGTCTAGCACATGGCCACTCGACGCTCAAGTCGAATATTGAAGCCGCTGCTTTACACCACCGGTGTCGGTCTCGCCGGTGGTGCAGCGCTCTACACAGTCTACCGCCCCCGTCACGTCCCAGGCCAGGAAGCAGCCGCTGTTCCTCCTCCCACCTATGGCGAGGGCGGCGTTTTTCGGCCACCTCAGTTCCCCCAGAACAAGACGAGAGATGAGCAGATCGCGGACCTGAAGCGCAGCGCCGGCGTCATAACTGATGGTGCAAAGAGCGGTTCGAAATGGATCGGAGGAGGCTCTTCTGCCGAGCAGAAGGGTGAAGAGGAACCATACGATCTGTTGATCATCGGCGCTGGTGCTACGGGTTCCGGTATCGCTCTCGACGCAGCAACTCGTGGATTGAAGGTTGCCCTGGTCGAGCGGGATGATTTCAGCAGCGGTACCAGTAGCAAGAGTACCAAGTTGGTCCACGGTGGTGTAAGATACCTCGAGAAGGCATTTTGGAACTTGGACTACAACCAGTAAGTAGGACCCGTCAAACCATTCGGAAGCAAAATGTTGAGCATCGGTCTGCAGATATTCTCTGGTCGTAGAGGCCCTCCGCGAACGTCGTTACTTTTTGGATACCGCTCCCCATCTGTCGTCATGGCTCCCGATTATGATTCCCATTTCCAAGTGGTGGCAGGCTCCCTACTTCTGGGCTGGTACAAAGATGTATGATTTCTTGGCTGGATCGGAAAACATCGAGAGCTCTTACTTCTTGACAAAGAGTAAGGCTATCGACGCATTCCCAATGTTGAAGAAGGATGATCTTTTCGGTGCTTTGGTCTATTACGGTAAGTGCTCAATTGTCTGGGGAATAGTACTTTGTCTGACAGTCCGCAAGATGGTGCTCACAACGATTCTCGCATGAACGTATCTCTAGCAATGACGGCTGCATTGTATGGCGCAACGGTTGTTAGTCATTTGGAAGTCACCGCTCTGGAGAAAGACGCTTCTGGCCAACTCAATGGCGCTCGCGTCAGAGACTGCATCACGGAACTCAATGGCAAGAAATCCGAGGAATTTACTATCAAAGCTAAAGGAATTATCAATGCGACGGGACCCTTCACGGACTCAATCCGAAAGATGGATGACTCCACTGTCGAGGAGATTGTGGCGCCCGCCTCCGGAGTGCACATCATCCTGCCTGGTTATTTTGCGCCTTCAAACATGGGTCTCATTGATCCCTCTACCTCTGATGGACGTGTTATCTTCTTCCTCCCATGGCAGGGTAACACGATTGCTGGAACCACCGACACCGCAACCGAAATCACACAGAACCCTGTTGCAGGCGAGGATGAGATCGAGTGGATCTTGAAAGAGGTCCGCAGGTATTTGCAACCCGATATCAGCGTCAGGCGTGGCGATGTCCTTGCAGCTTGGTCAGGTATTCGACCTTTGGTACGTGATCCCAAGGCAAGCAAGACGGAAGGACTCGTTAGGAACCACCTCGTCACCAGCTCGCCTTCTGGACTTTTGACCTGCTCCGGAGGCAAATGGACTACCTACCGCCAGATGGCCGAGGAGACTGTCGACGAGGCTATCAAGGAATTCGGACTTACATCTAAACCTGTCGTCAACGCGCCCCGTGTCAGTGGAACCGAGGTCTCTGACGAAGCGCCTCTTGATGGTACTTGCCAAACCCACCGCGTCCGACTGATTGGTGCCCACGGCTACTCCAAAACCCTCTTCATCAACCTCATTCAGCACTACGGCATTGAGACGGAGATTGCGAAATACTTGACCCAGGCTTATGGTGACCGCGCTTGGACCGTGGTCGCACTTTCTGCGCCAACAGGAGAGCGTTTCCCAGTCCGTGGCAAGCGAATCTCGTCCTTGTACCCCTTCATTGACGGAGAAGTCCGTTACTGCGTCAGGCACGAGTACGCCCAGACTGCCGCGGACGTCATCGCCCGCCGAATGCGTCTCGCTTTCCTAAATGCTCAGGCCGCGCTCGAGGCGCTGCCCACGGTCATCGATCTCATGAGCGAGGAACTCCACTGGGACTCCGCACGTAAGGAGAAGGAATGGAAAAACACAGTTACCTACCTCGGCAGTATGGGTCTGCCTAAGAGCAAGTTGGGTCTGACACGCAAGGAGGTCGAAAGTGGAAAAGTCGGCAAGTACGCCGATGAAGAGTACCAGCTGTACGCCCGACACGGTATGTTCCTGGGAATTTTCTCCACAGTCTCAGATTGGTAGCATTTGATATACTAACATCGACATTGTAGATAAACCCGACGAGACTCTTCAATCGGATTCTAAGTACCCCGCGGGCCACAACCCCGTCGTTGGACGAGAGTCTCCCGTGAACAAATAAACACGAGCCGTAAAACGAGCTCCCGTAACACATTACCCCTTAGATGTGTATGCCACATGCACAGCATAGAGAAGAGAATCCGTTGGTCACTGCCATACCTCTCGAAAGAAGGAAAGAAGGGATCTACCGAACATCTACCGCGGGTGGATATTTACGCAAAGTGTTGTTATTTTTTAATACCATTTATTCAATGCACTTAGTGTAGACAAAATGTACACACATTTCTCTGTAAAGAAAAATACAACATCCCCGAGTCCTTGGATGCATGGATAGAAACCATCATCACAAGAGCCGGCCTCCACCACGTTTTCTCTGACTGCATTACATTACATGTCGTGAAGGGCAACAGGAGACGCCAACACGCAGGAATTCGAAGAACGTGACAAAATCGTGCAGAGCATGCATTCTTGGGAAGAGAAGGGAGTGTATCTAAGACTGAAAACCAGTTTCCATAACCTAGCGAGTATCATTCTTTCATCATGGTTTTAGGAAAGGTCCTTATTGGCCCTTTCCTATTCATACATAACATTACCCCGAAAAGGGATCATGGTATTCCCCCACTCTCGTGGAAGAAAGAAAGGGAATATCATGCCTGCCCTTCATATTTCCAATCAAGAAAAATAGACAGGAAGACGGCGTACGTATATATGGGCCTGGTTCCTATGACCCGTTATTCGGAGAAGGCACTTATTTTCCAGCTGTTCCTTCCCCCGACCTCCTACTGTGGTCCCTCACAATTAAGAATCCATTGTAGACAGACCTCTTTGGCACCTTCGTCTCATGGTCGATGAGTAATATCTGTCCCTTGATCGGAGCATCAAATACGCGTCTCGTCTTCATTTACTGACGGTATGTGTCATGTACCAGCCAACGCGACGTCGAGAAGTGCCTCTTGCCAAAGCCCCCAGTCTCCTATCTAGTTCGCAGATAAAACAGAAAAGTGGTTGAAGGAAGCTCCACGGTGTAGAGCATGCAGCAGGATGTGGGATGAAGGACTTAATGAAAAACACAACCCCCAACACTGACACTATATGCTCACAGATGATTCATTGTATAAGTTTACGTCTGCATCACTGGAAGACTTTTGCTTTCGCACTTGTCACAGTGGTTGGGAAGTGAGTTGGCCATAGTTGGTTTCCCTCTCTTATGTTCTGCTTTGGGAACTATACGGAACCATCGGAGGAGGACTCGCGTTTTGGATGACTCTGGCTTCCAAGAGGTGATATGTATTAGTTAGGCACATTGTAGAAGCGAGCATGAGTCCAGCTGTAACTTTTGGTGTTCATTGTATGATGAAGGGGTACAGAGGGTAAGGGTGAGACCATTGAAGTTACTGGAAGTGCTGTTCTGCTTGATAGCTGGGACTTAGTATTGATCGCAGAAAATGAGGTACATGGGTTGTTTGGCGGTCATTCGCTCTATGCTCGTTGGATGGAAAATTTGCGAATGACTGTTATTGAATGGCAGATCGTAGTAGGAAGTCAAGTGGGGGTGGTTGAGAAGTAGCAGTGATGATAGGCATTCCTGCCTTGAGCGACGTCTCCAATTCTCCACGATCAGAGGCTTTTGTGCACATCTATATCGTATGCGCCACTCGAAGTAGTCATGTGCGTAAACTACGATTCTATTCATGGCCCCTCTACGATGGTTATCAGATATTCAGGCTAACTTCAGAAAATGGATTGTTGTGCTTTACCAATATAGTAAAAGTTAGCTTCTCCACCACGCCCAAGTCCATTACGAGCAGTGAACTCAGGCTCGGAGGTCAGGTTAGAATGATTGAATGGAGATTGATCGATTCCCGTGACGCAACAAAACATGGTACAGTGATCATTGTCGTTAGCTGCAGGTTTGTAGACATAATTCTGAGACAGTCAAAGCTACCTATGCACTATCATGACATCAAATCTACAACACAAACCTCCCTCGGCCAAAACAGAAGAGCTGGTTACACATTCGCAACGTCTTCCCACGGAAACGACTCCGCACACCCCAACGAGTTCGCAGCAACATCAGCAGCAGTGAAACCCGAAACAAAGAGAACAACAATATGCTCGCACCGAACGCTCATGCAGTACCACTATGCTGGCGCCCGTGTCCGCGAACAATCACGCTCTCCAGACAATCGAAAGACGGTATCACCACAGATAGTGCTAGTGCAGCACGCACGACATTAGGCTTGCATGCACGCCTCTCATGTCGTACAGCAAGAATCTAAGACCCGATTTAGGGCATGCGTAGAGACACTCGCACACAGATGCAGCCATGGTGACACAACTAAAACCATGCATATCTTGTGCCTACGGAAACCCGTACGTATCGTGCAATGCGGTCCTCGCCCTTCTCCTGCCGGGTTCATGCAAGGTGGAGTATAGAACTAACTTCCACTACTGTACGAAGGACCCGAGAGGATGAAGTTTCCGATTCTGTCTTCTTCTTTCGTTTGCAGTACCATCGAGTGCACGCGTTGAGGTGCGTCGTACGGAAGACTGCGTATGCATGGACGGAGTTTATATGTACTAGTGCCATGCAGAATCGGAGTTTGTCGAAATGGAGAAGACACAATACCGAGGCAGATGAGGTAGCAACGGTGACCTTGTGTGATGTTCGGGCCGGACCATTGCACAGTGTCCTTCACTCTCCACCGCTACGTGCTGCGATGGATGGATGTTTGTCTATCCGTGCAGTTAATCTCAGATGTTCGAATGTCCATGCACTTGATTTGCCCGTCCTTGACTTGCCACCCAAGGTCCCCTTATCGCCTTATGCAAGTGTTTGCTTGATCGCGAACAGATACACACTTTGATATGCATCACCAGAAAGCGGTAGCCGTCCGAGATTGCACTGATACCCTTCCCATGTCACCAAACCGGCATGCGTACAGTGATAACCACTCATTACTCGCACCCTGTGCTCGTCAATTTTCCTCGCCTCCTTGCCCTGCGAAATCGGACCGAGAAAGATGATCCAGGCTGCTGTTCAGCCGAAAGGTTCGGGCAGGGAACATGGGCGGAAGGGGAGGACGGCAAGGATGCCGTTTAATATGGGGATAAACGTCCCGGAGAGAACATGAGTCCATGCGTTTGTACGTGCGTGCGTGCATTATATAGCGGATCTAGGGAATGGGAAATGCGGTGGTGCGGGTTCGTGCATGTTGTACTCCGTACATATGAGATGATGATGAGGGTGTTTGCGGATGGAGTCGATGGTGGGAGGGCTGGGTGCTGATAGTGTCTATCGAGCGAGATCGACGTTTCGTTTGATTTATCTACCAGCCCTGCGATGGGATACGGTCTGCCTATTGATGTTGTGTACGGAGTAGGGTTTGCTTCCATTATAGCTACATGGATCTAGAGGCCAGCCATCTGTTGTCTCTACTTGCATCTGTTTAGTCACGATAGATTTATCCAAGGTTGTGGAAACATTAATGCTACCATCATCGATGCATTCCGATCGAAGCAAAGACAAAGCACAAGCACGCCTTCCTATCTGATCAGCCGTCGAACGTTCTCCCCAACTTGCCAAAACATAACCGACTGCACTGTCCTACAAATGAACATGTGCATGTACAGAGTACTGTGCGTGTAATCTCGGTGGGCAAATGCATGCACGTAATGCGCTGCTGCTTTTGCCTACCTACACAAGATACCTGCATTGGCCATCTACTATATATCCTTCTCTAGGTACATGGCGGCCCCCCGTCCCCTCCCCTCGACCCATGCAATACCGGGAAGTCCAAACCTTGACAATTTGCCATGTCTTTCATCATACATCATCGCCCATGAAACGTTTCGGGCGGATAATCTCCAGAGATTGGGGAAGGGAGGGGAGGGGAAAGTGGCACAGATTGATCTCTTGCGAATGTTGAGGATGCATGGACCAATGATGCGTTTGCTTTGATTGCTGTCGGATGGAGGGGTTTGATGACATTTAACCGGTTGGGAATTTGATTCTTAAGTGAGAGTGCTTCGGTAGGGAGATGCGTATAGTGGAGGGACGTGCAGATTGAGGCTCTCTCTCATCGGACTCGGTATGAGATGGCGCGAGTTATATGAATTTGGGATGTTGTGTTGTGTTTATAGGGGGTGGTCTGATCACTGGACAGTTGTCTTGTTTGGGTGTACACATCTCGGTGTGTGTTGGGTGGCTTTCCAGCAGAGATAGCGATGACTCTGATTTATTGAGAATGATGTACTAAGATTTAAGTATATTGATAGACCAAAAGCGGTAGATGCTTGCAAAGAAAAAGTATCATCTCATGTGCATGGGAAGCCCATCAATGTTTATCCTTCAGGATGTGGGATGTCGGATAGATCTGAGACAAGAGATCTTGTACAATAGGCGCCTGCTTGGATGGATCATCGATGATGTGGTTGGAGGGTGGAGGCCCTGGAGGGTAAGCAACCACAGGGCTGAACTAGCCTTGTTGTGGGGTTGAAACGGCCAACCTCACACGTTGGCGGGCGATGCTCACAGCTACCAATGACAACACCATCAACTGCAACAAAGGTCTTCTTCACTACCATTACTCATCTCTGTTTTTCAAAATCATGCGATGACCGCCACGTACTTGGCGAATTCTCCGTATCGTTAAGGCAGTGGAATGCCCAAGCTCCCTAACCATTATTCGAGCCCTGTTACCAACATCTCAAGTACAACGACCATGAATACTATTGAACTTGAGATCGTGGAGCACGACGAGGCGGGAAACTTGACATGCTCATATGTCTCATCCTCATCCAGTGACTCTATGCACAGAGTCGACATTGTGGTTTGTTGCATATTCATGACTCCCTTGTTCCCCATCTCCAACTCCACGGTGTGGACTTCAAAATCACAGCTTTGGCGCCATCGCACGGCAAGCATCAGAGTTTACTTGCTTACTTTGGCCTTCCTTTCCAGCCTCCTAAATCGACAAAGAGCTACGTCCAACAGCTTATCGACGTGCTCCTTCCTGTAGGGTACCCGCATAGTGTTACGGACGATTATATCGAGTATGTATTGCACGCACTAGTTCCCCCTCCTTCTTCGACAATAGTTCAAATGCAATTTGAAAAGTGCACAGGGCTAATGTGAGGCCCGAGGGGGTGCGGACCTTCACTAGGTACCAAATCTATGTAAGTTGTATTCAAAGTGTCTGAAGTGGTGGGCACCCCCTACATTGCATGATGGGGACAAGGAGGCATTGGTTGTTCATTCCCGGTTAACATTTGTTGCATAGGATTCGCTTCAAGCTTTCTCATCTTCTATTGCTGGACTTTTGTCGTCCAGGGCTGTCCTAGAGGGTATGTACACAAGACACAGTAGCCATATTGAATGTGCAAAGCACATGATTTCTGCAAATACACCCTGCATATACCATCCACATCAGGTATCCAACGACCACCATGCATATCTGTTTGGAGAAGTATAGTTCATTTGCATTCTCGCTTTACATTGGACTTTCTACAACAGGCCAGATTCAATATTTCTGAACCCTCTACATCCATAAGACTTTGCATATCAATAGATACTAATCAACCCTTCCCAGGCGTCGGCGTCGGCGATGCAACCGCCTCCCCGACAGCTGCGCTCCTACTGAATGTCTTGCAGGAGTCCATGGGCCGCATCGCGACGATACTCTTCGCGCACCGACTCGGCACCTCGCTGGAGCCCGAATGCAAGATGTGGCGCCTCGCCGCCGACGTCTTCAACGACATCTCTATCGTGCTGGACTGCCTGTCCCCGGCCTTCCCCAAGAACATCAGGGTCGGCGTGCTGGGACTGTCCAGCGTGCTGAGGAGCCTTTGTGGGGTGTGTGCTGGGAGCTCCAAGGCGAGCTTAAGTGCGCATTTTGCGAAGAGGGGGAACCTTGGGGAACTTAATGCTGTGAGTTGACTTCCAACAAGGGGTTGTCTATATCATTCATGAATTGGGATGGTGTGAAGCTTCAACTTCGCTTCTCCGTGCCTCCTCGTTCGTCTACCTGGAGGCACGGAAAGATAACGTAAAGGAGCGTTTGATGAGGAAAGCACGTGCAACAACCATCATGCCTGATCCAGGACCCGACCGTTATGTTAAGCTTTGACACTGATGGATATTCATCTACAGAAAGATTCGAGCCAAGAAACTGTCATATCGCTTCTGGGAATGCTAGTAAGTCCTCATTTGTTCTTTAAGTGGCTTCCCCCAGATAAAACGTGCCGTGAGCATAGACCACACACTATAGCCCGCTGGTGTCCTGCTCCGGCTCGAGAAAGAGATAGTTCTAGGGCTGCAACAATATCAGTGGGCCTGATGCGGTAATCCCTCATATGGGGCGCGCATTATGCAATGGCACACCCACCTGAGGGATATTCCCCTTCGATCTATCGAAAAGTCATACGTATCGAATTTGATGGGCAAGAACAGATGGGCTAATGGTGGATAACTTTCCACAAAATTTAGGCTGGCAGCGTTGTAGTGTCATGGGTGTCATCGCCGATGGCGACGTGGACCACGCTCATCGCGCTGCTCTCCATCCACTTGGCGACCAACTACAAGGCCGTCCGCGCCGTCAGCATGCGATCGCTCAACCGGCAGCGAGCCAACATTGTGCTATCGCACATTGTGGAGCATGGCCGCGTGCTGCGGCCGAGCGAAGTGTCCCCGCGCGAGCGTGTCTTTGAGCGCGACGGAGTCCTACGTTGGGCGGCCGCCGCTGACAACGGTCGGATCCTGGGTCACGCATGCATAGGCGTCACGCTGAATGCTCTGTTGGGCCGGATGGACGGCCAGCGGCAGCAACGGGATGGCCGTCGGACTGGTGCCAGAGAGATGAAGATGCGCGGCATGAAATTGTCCGATGTGTTGCGCATCTACGATGACGATGCTTATGTACTCTGGTTCGAGCAATCCGAAGCTGTCATCGTTCTAAAGCATGGGTGCACTCCGATTGATCAGCTGAGGGCATGGACGCAGGCTCTGTTGTTGGCTAGGCGCGCAAGGAAGAGAGGTGATGCGTTGCGGCGTAAGCAAAGTGGGGATGGCGATGTTGATGACGGTCTCGTGTCATCGGACGGACAACAGGAACAACTCACTGAGTTGAGGGCAACTTTGGAGGAAACACGGACATTGTTTGAAACGTATGCTGAAGAACTGAACAATGCAGGGTGGGACTTAGAGATTGCTGCATTGGAAACCAGGGCTGGGACGCGGACTACGATTAATTTGAAGAATGGTTCATAAACGAATATTCACGGTAACTGCCGTAGGGCAAGCAACTTTGATTAATCGAGAAGAATGAGCACCCTCCTACCTGCTGAATCCCACCTGTTGGCTCCATGCAAAAAGTATACAACGAAAGAAAATTGAGGCGAGTTGATGATTGAGCACATTCGCCCGAATAATGTCATTACATAGGAATTCGTAAGTAAAGCATTTGGAATTGTAGGTTAAAAGGACCTGGTCGCTGCGAGGTGTTCATCACGATGAAAGTGCTCCACATTCTGAGCTTTGAAGACTAGAGCGTGATCGCCATGTCGTTCGTTTCAGGACGGCAATTCTCTTGAGCAACCGCTAGTGCCGACTACATGCATCAATAGTGAGATGAGGCTCACAGTAATTTTATTTCCCTTGTAGGCTTATGTCGACAGATCTAAGCAGTCAGCAACGCAAAATTTCGAGAAGGGATCGCCTGGAACAGTCTGCGGTGGCTGACTGATCCTGCGATGTTATGGAGGACTGATACCTTCCTTGTTGGGAAATTTTCATCGTCGCTCGGATCGGATCTCGCACAGAGGGAACTAGGACCCTGGAAACCAAAATAGAGTGAGATCAATGCCTTGCAGCATTGCCTCTGTGGATACCCGTATCCGGCCCGAGATGGGAAAATTCCGGCTAACCAAGTGATTACGTTCTGTAACACATCATACACGAAAAAATATCGTGTGCATAGTTCCACAACGTGGCAATGGCGGTCTAATCGACCACATGGAAAAATTAGTAGCGGATACGGAAGGCGAGCGCAATGCAATTGCAAGTTTTCCGTAGGGGTTCGGCCATAGTTCTCGCGAGATCGTGATGTGGCCCGAAAGTTTCTGCAATCAAACTACGTGCATTCTTTTGTGGAATCGCTCCCCGTCGCTATCCCGGTATTGTTCCTTAATGACGTTCAGGTGAAATAGGCTATAAGGGCCTACTTTCATATTATGGTGGCGTGTGCCTTGGAGCTGCCAAGTGTTGAGAGATCAAGCGACATCAGTTGAGGACAGTGATTTCGATTCCATACATTAGGCCACACCTAGAAGTTCACAGCGTATCCACCAGGCGGTGAGTCGGGAGTGTATACCCAGGAGAGCATACCCGTACTACGCGAGTAGGTGTATGCTGGCTCCCGGAGGGACTGGAGATCTTAACCTGCCCTGCCTGCTATTCCTATAGTGCTGCATCCGTGCAGGGTGATGTGGTGCTGTAACCGCTCGTTCGTGGAATGATGTTGAGTAACAGAGATTTCGACGCTCTCTTGGTTTACCAGGGCGGTGTGGTCATCCCAGAACAGCTAGCTAAAGCATATAAGCGCTCGCACAGGTGGTGTTGAGCATGGCCTCGGTGGGTTTTTCGCCTTCCAGAAGCACCTGTGCAGGGAGCCGCAACATAGATCCGGGATGGTCAGGTAACGGTCCACGATACAAGAGCGCCGGGTGGATAAGCCAACAAAAGCTTGTTGGTTAAGGCCGCGTGATGTCAGGTGCCTGGAGAAGTATGGGATGTGCGGCCACGATGTCAGACGGTGTCTCGACGAGTTGAGTGAGGTGTGAAGGGAGAAGGGAGGCGATTGTGACAGGGCGGGATCTGCATGGAAAAGAAAAAAATTGAACGGATCGGCCTTTACCCGATCAGGCAGGCTTCGAGAATTCCAGAATGTTTCCATGCAGCCACTGAGATGGCCTGTGCGTGGAGGAGGGGGGTCGTCGACTCGTCGGGGCCTGGCGACGAAACGTCAGCACAACACGCTGCTTTTGAGCTGAAGGTTAACCCCCTCTTTTCGTGCGTGCTGTCCCCCTAGTGCTACGTATGATGAGCCCCGGCAAGCCGACAGGCGCCTTTGTATGGACAGTGCTGTCAGTGCTGCCCTTGAATGGCTCGCCGCCAGAAAAACTTGTGGTGATGGCGCATGGTGAGGCTGCAAATATGGCCTTATCATTGAGAGACGCCGTAAATTGACTTGATCGTAGAGACATGAATCGGCCGAAGACCCGTAAAGGCTGAATTCCGGCAGATTGTTTTCTGTGCTAAGTTTTGATGGACTTTGTAGCGTTTATCTTATTGTGTTGGGGGGACGCCTTCATAGTACACGGCCTCAACGGAGTTCTTCAGCCTGCCGGGTGCAATGATGCAGTACAGTACACGGTGCAACGAGGAGTCGTAGTGTATTGTAGGCAGTACCGGTAGTGTTTGAGACACCGAGCGATCACCATGCGGCTCCGGCAGTAGTGCAAAGGAAGAAGCAATGGGAAGACCAGCGTAGACCCATTTAGCCTTAGTGATGAAATTGATGGACTCACGTGAATCGCCCAAACCCAGTTTTAGGGCCGGAGAGACGGCCTGCAGCGAAGGAAGATGGAAGCGCTCGCTGTGGGGAGATGACGATTCGCGTGATCGATGCAGTTGGAGGACGGAGGGATCGTTCTGATTGGTCACGAGAAAGGAGATGCCAAGGTAGCGCGTGTGAGCGTGGTTGGAGAGGACGCAGAGAGAGATCAAGAGGCTGAGGGCAGTGCAAAAGACTAATGAGGGGGAACACAAGCTGTACTCTGCAGTACGACTTCTCCAGGAGCGTGTACCATAACAATCATGAGTATACATACTTCGTACATAGTAGTTGTTGGAGGACGAAGAGACCAGGAAAGGAGGACGCACAACGGCTTGGTCACGCAATGATAGGATGTCTCTTACGTCCATCTCCGTAATGTGCCCACACATATGAGGGCAGTGCAAGCGGGGGTCTTGAACGTCCCCTCTCTACACAACAATAATGCTCGTGGATGTTGAACTATGGGAACCACTGCACGCGCTGCGCTCATCGTTCTCTACGTGCTATCGTATGTTGCACAACAGTCGAACACATGGCATCATGTTGTCATCGGCTACTGCCACTGCCACTGCCACTGCTATATTTGATGAAGAAAATACCGGTGACAGGTGGAGGACCGGCGGCAATGATGGCAGTGGCAATCTCAGCCAACCTTTGTCTGGCCGATTACTGACACCTTCATCTGCGTGCTGTCGCGCTCGAAACGCATCACGACCAAGGGAGAACAAAGGAAACATGACGGGGGCTACAGGGACGACGTCTACTGTCGCTCCGTTGGTGCCCTGAGTCTTGAGGGCAGTACAGACCACCAAGAGGGTCTTTCTCTAGGCGTGCGGGAGAGACAAGGCTGGCGGCTTGGGGGTTCGTTTGCGGCAGGCCTGGTGGTGAGATGTGGTGTGGGTTTCAAAGGGGACCCAAGCCTGTAGGCCTTGTTGCGTTTTGAGTCGTTCGCGCATTCTACCGCATGATTACAACGTTATACAGCGGCTAGTAAGTACATGATCTACGCATTATGATATGAGAGATCGAGCACATGTGTGATTTGTTTGTGAAGTTTCTTGTGGATGTGTACGTACTGTGTAAGGAGTGCTCCATACAGGTTCTGAGATTCTGCAATTCTGCGACTGTACGACGAGCACACGCTGATGTGACTGCTACTGCAGTACAACATCCAGTACTACGACCCAGGCAAAGGCGTGATCCAAACTGTATCTGTGGTACAATAATGAACAATACTCTATACAGCACAGTGCTACTAGTGTCCCAGTTTTGATGGACGGATGAATTGAATGAATGATTGATTGAGATTGATTAATCAATTGACTCATGTGAGTGATATGTCTTGTAGTACTATGAGTAGGTACCAGGTAGATACTACTCCATACGTGTACAAGCTTCCGACTCAGTACAGTATCGCACCACGAGGAAGTTGTACTATTGTGGAAATGAATATGAATTATTAATGTGCGAAGAGCAAGAGAGTTGCGATAGGTGGGTTGGTCGTTGGTGGCAAAACAATGGCGGATGGCTATGGTTGATGGTTGATGATGGCCGCCGATGGCTGATGATGGCTGATGGCTAATGGTTAGTGTTGTTACGTATGAATTGGGCATAGTGGGATCTTCCTACACAAGGCGTGTTGGGAGGTGGAGTACCTGCAAGTAGCGGGCGCGCGACTATTGTGCCAGTACAATATCTACTGTGTGGTGGTGTACAAGCAAGTACAAGTCCATGTAGCGCGTGCCATGCTCTCTTACTTGTACGAGTAATTAGTGGGGATGCTTCTCCCGCGCCTTCCTTCATCTAGCGCATCGACGCTGCTTTTATCATCTCGTTTTCGGTTTTCGGTCGCGGTTCGCTCTTCATCGTGTTGCCCTACCGGTTTGAAGCGCTCTTCCTCTGTCCACTCCACTGTCCACTGTCCACTGTCCACTGTCGAGCGCCTCCACCAACTACCTAACTATCTATAATCTAAGTCAACTAACACTCACGCTTCCATACGAACTCTGAATTCTTCCACGGAACTGGAACAGGGAATTACGGGAATAACTTGTACGGAGCAGTCGTTGGGTACTGCTATGGAATCTCTAGGTAGTTCCTCGTATACTCCGTACTTCTGTTACTCATTATCATCCTACATTACAATGATTCTTATTGTTTCAACTATAATTATTACTGTACTCTGCTCTCGTATTCTACACAGCACTATTATCGGAGCGCCCTCTTGAACGAGTACGGTCGGAGTACATTACATAGTGAACACAGCATGAACGACACATGGAGCCCCATCTAGTCGTACCGAGTACTCTTGTCACTTGTGTACTGTGTAACTACAAGTAGTTACAACTTACAAGTATTCGATCAGTAGACCCTAGTCGGGGACGCACGCTTCCGTCTGCACACTACTGTGTACGCAGCGGTATGCAGTGCGGTGCGGTGCAATGAACGGAACAACAAAGGTGTCGGCACCATTCCTCATTGACTACCCGACATTAAAGTATTGGGACTTGGGACTGGCCACTGATCGAGCAATCGGCCATGGCCATGTTTTGATCGTGGGCATTATTCGATGGGAGGGTCACGACTCACGAGCCAGCCGAGTCCAAGCGCCAGCCGGTGCAGGATGGATCGTGTGTTGTGTGCACTGGGGACTGAAAGTAAAAAAAACCGCCCCAACCTAGGGTCTCCACTCGGACCCAGAGAGTGTACTTGTAGAGAGGAAACGACGAACACACGGACAGGTCCTACGCCAGAGCCCGAGCCAGAGCCAAAGGCCAGAGCCAGAGCCAACGCCAACGCTAGGCTTGACTGGGGAGGGGAGATGAGAGAGGAGAGGTCGGAGAGAAGAATGCCTGAGAGCGGCGTCAAGGATGGAGGAAGAAATGGAAGACGAAGAGAAGATTTGAAGAATACAATAAGAAGGCGAAAGACGAAAGACGAAGGCGAAGACGAAGGAGCCCTGACGAGGCCAAAGCCGAAGCCGTCGCTGCCTTCGCCTCCGCCGCCGCTTTGACACGAGTTTCTGGGTACGGAATACTGATTGTTCGCAGCATTCCTGGCTTGTACGGAGTAATATAATGTCAGGCTACTGTCTACGGAGGAGTACTCTGTGCAATCTATGAAGTCTACAAAGTGAAGATAGTATTAATATGTACTGTATCCAGAATCCAAGTGCTCGTAGTGTCTAGTAATAGATGGTTACCTACTTGTACTGTCTCACATACTGTACACACACACACACACGCGGTAGTTGGAGAGATAGAGAAGAGTAAGAGAGTAGAAGAGAGTGGGAGACTAATCGGAATAGGACTAGAGTCGAAGTCTTCAAACTGAAAACTGAGCCAGCCCAAGCCCAAGCGCGCAAGCGTCTTCTTCATCTGGTCAAGCGGCATTGACAAGGGGGTGTGGGGATGTGTGTGTGAATTGAATCCTGGTCAGTTATCATCATCATCATCATCCATCATGTATGTATTATGGCAGTAACTCCCTACCCTTGCTCTTGCCTCCCCCCACACCCCCTTGTCATCATCCCTACCCTTCTCTTTTCCCTCCTTACCCTTGTGGGCCCACATAAATATGTATACCCTTGTAGGCCCTTGTACCCTTGTCTTGTCCTTTGGAATCCTTGAAGGAATCCTTGACAGTTGAGTGGCCCATGCGCCTTCTGCTTCTGCTTCTGCTTCTGCTTCTGCTTCTGCCTCTGATCTCTTACTCTTCAGTTAGTCTCGTCTTCTCTTACGGCTCTTACCCTCCTCTACCCTACCCTACCCTACCCTACCCTACCCTACATACTATTAACTACCACTACCCGCTGCCTCTACCCTACTCTTACAGTCTACCCACCACTCCGTCACTACACCTCACACACCTCACACACCTCACACATCACACACTACACTCTGCCCACTGCCACTAACCTACCCACCCGCCTACAACAAAACTCTCCGCTCTCCGTCGTCCATCATCCTTCCAAGTTCCACCCCCCAACTCACCTCACCTCACCTTCTCGCTACGCCGCATCATTCTTTCATTCAAAACTCCTCTTCACTCTCCGTGTCCGCCACCCACCATCGTCACCATAATATACAACACACACACATTCCAACCCTCTCGACTCTACCTCTACCCTATTTACTCACCTCTCCTCCACCCGTCTCGTCGCAGTAATCCAAGAAGAACGAAGAACCGCCATCGCTGCTGTGTACCACCCACCTTCGGAACCTGTGTTCAGCAACAAACGCAATCCCCATACCACCACCCCCTCGTAACCTACCCTCCTCGTTGCTGCTGTGCTGCATTCGAGAAGACTTCGTCGTCGCCGCCGCCGCCGCGCCTACTCCATCCACAACCACCGCGACAACCGAAAACGGACGCTCGCTTCCTGCGTTCCAGCGCCATATCTTTCTCCCTCGGGCTACACACATATCCCACCTGTCTCCCTCCCTGCGACCCGATGCTACCGTCGTCGCAGCCATAGAAGTCCACTTCCAAGCCCTCTCCCCCACCTCCCTCCTGGCACTTCCACGGGTCTCAACAGTCAGTCAAGCTGGCGGAACCATTACGTCCAGACTACTGTTCTTATCCGGGATACGACCACCGGGAGAAAACAAACGCCCACAGGGTGTATAAACAGCTGTGGAGAAGCGTCATGAACTCACGGAAACTAGGCGGCAACGCCCTGTCGATAAAGACCTCTTCGTCGACGGCGTCGTCGCCCACCACATCCACAATAGACCCTGAAGACGAGGACGTCACCATGGTCGACTCCCTCCCCCCATCCAAGCCACTCACCGTCTCCATACCCAAAAACATCGCAAACTCCAGCCACCGCAAACCCACCCTCTCCGAGATCCTCGCCAACACCGCGCCGCCGCCATGGACATTGACATCCTTCATGGCGTTCCTCTCCCAGAACCACTGCTTAGAGAACCTCGAATTCACCATGGATGCTTCGCGATATCGAAAACACTACTCCAAGATGGTCAATCGCCATCCCGGCAGCCCGATATCCCCCCTGTCCGATGAGTGCACATACGTCCTCATGCTCTGGCGGCGATTGATCGATGCCTACATTCGGGAATCTGGCCCACGTGAAGTGAGTGCTTCCCTTGCCTTCTTACTGCTCTGAACTTCCTTCGCCCAGATTAGCAACTAACCACTATGATCAGGTCAATCTCCCCGCCGACGTTCGAGACACTCTGCTCAACCTCTCCGACTCCTACACCCCACCTCATCCCTCCGCCTTGGACGAAGCCGTATCCAAGATCTACGAACTGATGGAAGAGAGCGTCCTTGTATCCTTCCTGAACTCTGCATGCCCCCAGTCCGCGTATCCCCAGTCCGCGTACCCGGCCTCGACGGGTCACGCTAGCCATGACTCAAGCTTCGATCGATCCCACACTCGCAGCTACGATGAGCGAACCCTTTTCCACCGAGGCCAGCCACACCATGTCCCCGCCCACCAACGAGCCTCCGCCCCGTCGTCCCTCGCCAACACATTCATGCACCCGCGACCCTTCTCTCATTCCCGTTTCAACTCTCAGCCTGCCTCAACCACCTCGGCATCGTCGAACTCCGCACGCATAACGTCGGGCTACGGCAGTGGCAGTGAAGCCTTGACGGACGACTCCGGCAGCGGGAGCCCCAGCGGACTGAGCGATCCCCTAACACCCCCCGGGACGCCCCCGATGAGCGACTACCCCATGGCCGACTACCACCAGGCCTACTACGAAACAGGCAGTGGCACTACCAGTGGAACTCCAAGCCCTCGAACCAGCCGTGGCGAGCACAACGGTCTCGCCAACGCCACTCGGGACAGTTGGAAGCGTGTGAGCAGCAAGCTCTGGCCGAAGAAACGATCCGGGGGCGCATTGAGGGAAGAGGACGGAGTTGTTGAAGGAGGCCTCTTCTGAGGAAATCACGACATACCCGAACGAGGAAAAATTTAATACACGATCACGACAGTGCGATATCGAAAGCGTCTTTTCGCATAACAAACCTGCATTTGGGCTGCATCATCCGGCGTTCACCATTTTGTTATCATTCCAAAACTGCCCTACATTTACAGATGGCGAACCGGCGACTGTTGTATCAATACCCTGGCTAGGGTCCTTGGATTTCAACGCAATTTTCTGATTAGATTTCGTTTCCACAGAGCGGGCTTTCCCAATTTTCCGGGGAGCCTTGTGAATAATGTGTTTATATTGTGGATTTATTTTTTCAGGGTTTCATATATACACCATCATTGGCGGGGCGGACTGGCGTTTCTCAGCATTTTCGAGCCGACAGATGCATACATTCGTTGGTGTCTTGGTTGGGCGGCGACACTTGGGTTTCCAGGGTCACGAATTTTCCTATCGAGATATCACATATTATTTTTCGAGTACCCCAGAGCCTCTAGGGCTCTTCATATGGGTGGATTGGCGTCGAAGCCTCGATAGAGCATCAAGGCTGAAAGAATGAAGAGCATTTCCGTGGACAAACGAACATCTGCGCATCCCCTCAAAGGGCATCATAAATCTTATTGAAATGTTACACTTCTAATATCCATCGATATACGTGACTATGGCAGACATCCTGACAATTTAACACCCTGCCTGCCGGCCGCAGACCTGTGGACGCCGAATAGTTAGTGCACCTAGACACTACAAGTACAAGACTCAAGTAACTACCATTACCTGTTCCGTCTGGGCATCTGTAGGCGAACGAGTTGTATGATGTGTCCCAAGGGTTCTCCACAATTCAGTGTCTCGCAGCGCACTACTCACTACTTACCCGTCCTACTAATCTTACAAGTTAACTACCACTAACCCTAGTTATCCATGTCGACAACATTCACAGTAACAACTCCGTACGCACTGCACAGTGGTTACCTAAATCAACCCACAAGTAATTACATGTACATTCATTCCTACCGAAATCCTACCAACACACTACACGACGGACAAACAAACCAACATGATGCCAAAGCCCGTAACCCGTGCAGTATTCGCTCCCATCAACGCACTCCCCCTCCCCGTCTCCGAATCATTGACCTCAACAGTACCCCAATTGATTCTTCTTCACCAACAACAAAATAAAATCATACTACAACGGGGAAAGTACGCGCATGCACATGAATCCGCATGAACGGACGGAGTCTGGTGAAGTTTGGTCGGGCTACGGAGATGGAAAGGAAGGAAGGGAGTGTTTCCAGGCGTGTTTCATTGGTCGCCCGTCCCCGTACACTAGAACCTTAGCTACCTAGGTACCTACCTAGATTTGATGTAATTGTTACTTGAACAACCCCTAGTAATTGGCATACAATATCTCCTTTCTTAGACGCTTGTAAGGGTAAAGGCAAAGGGAAGAAAATCACATTGCTATCTTTGCATCGGAGGTTTCACGCAGAGCGCTTCGAGGAAGCAGAAGAATGGAATCAAAGGATGCTTCTAGCCGTCTTCTTCTCACTCGTACGAGGCAGCGCATCTTCAACTCCATCCATCCATCCATACATGATTTAAACCCATGCCGCATGAAGCATGTCAGCCTTACAGCCGCTCCGCTCTCCCCTCGCAGTCTCCGATCCAGAGTTACACTTACCTAGAGGGTCTGGTTCGCTATCTTCCATCATTGGCGGCGCCTTGGGGACGATCCAGCCTTGGACGGGAAAGCATGAGTGAGATATTTCCCCTTGGAGCCTTGGGGGAAGGTAAAAAGAAGGAGAACGCAGAAGAAGAAGGAAAAAGGAAAAAGCCGTTTGTCGATCGTCCCCGAACCTAGGTTGTGTGCCATGTGTGCATATGTATGTATTATGTATGACCGTAAGGTCGGACTGTGCCTTGTCCGGCCGGTTGCTTTTTCTCTCTCTTCGATTTCCTTACTGCATTCTGCATTGATTCTTGCGTTCTAGAAAACCGACAATAATGTAATAGAAATAAGGCAACAATGCTTAACGTGGGAAATGGGCGGTTCGCGGATTAGGGCAAGGTTGGGAATATCCCTTTGCGCTTTGTGGCAGCGTCTAGTAGGAACAAGATCCACACACACGCACTTCCTCTCCCCCTCTATGTCCAGTACCGCCGCGAGCTTCGAAACATGTTCAAGGCAGTCAAACGCAATCTCACCGAATGCTGATCACAGAGGAGGCGAAGCGGCGCGTAAACAGGTCATGCTACTCGCGAGTACACCTTTTTGGGGGCCCGTTCCATCATGGCTGGGCCGTTCCAACATGTCATAAACATAAGATGCGGCGCGCAATTAACACACTACATCGAATCGCCCATGGATTGCGTGCTGCTGCTGTTTGAAAAAAGAAGATGGATCATGGGACCGGAGTTTCCGATCTTTCTTCTTTCTTTTTCCCTGTTGAAGGAAGGGGAGCGATGGCGGGGGAATGGTTTGATATTGTGCTTACTTCGTTTGTCCGTTGGTGTCTACAATGCTCCTGGTTGTCTATCCGTCACCATAGCTTTCTTACCCATGCGTGTGCGCGCGCGGTAAAGAAGAACGGTAGGTGGATGTATGGGCCGATGGGTGAATGGATAGATGAATGGAGGAATGGATTATTGAAGGATTCAGTGATATTGTGATCTTGTCGTCTATCACAAGGTCACTCCATTATGAGGGCTCCACATCGTATCAGGAACATGCAATCGCCTTCTTCCTATTCTCTCAATTCCTTCTCGGCGCCTGGAAAAAAAACGCCAGTACGGCACAGATCGAACCAGCGGAGGCGAGGCAAAATGAGGCTGTACTGTATGTCAGAGGGGAAGGTAGGTGGTTGTCCGGGTCGGAGCGCTGAGGTTCGTGACCGGGGTGTGGTTATGGATGCATTATCGCCATTGTCCGCCACCTGGGTCGGTCGCAAAAGCGGTCACACAAGCAACGCGCGCACATAACGCCCACAATCTCACATAGTTTGAGAGAGAGGGGAAGGCTATGTTTAGACACGAAGCGAAATTTCGTGCCTGGGTGGCTTTTCTTCCCTCGTTCTTTCTTCCTTTGTTTGGGTTATGTGCCCTTTCTCTCGGGACTTTAGGCGATGTTGGTGGAGGGCCAGGGGTTTCTTTGGGGTGTGGGCGGGTGGATGGATGAGTGAGAATTGAGGGACCAAGGGAGGCCTTTTTTCCCACGCACACGAGGATGAGAAGGTTGGTAAGTACTGTGTAAGGCTGGCTGGGGCCGAGAGCAGAGGATAGGGCTCACGATTATTCAAGCATCACCATTCTAGGCTACTTCTGAATCTCTCTTCGCCTCTTGAATTACCCGGTAAAGAAGGATTTGCTGCGTCTCCCTATCCTCTTCCGTGCTTCTATTCGTTTGTACCATGTCATGCCCGCCGTTGGGTCCATGGATTCTTCATCTAATTAGGTACAAGATGTATGCCCCGCACGCACGCATGTCAGAGGCCTGCATCCCATCCCTCGTGAGAAGAAGGATTGGGATTCACTCTAATCGAACCTGGATATCTTCCCTTCGGAGCATCATTCGTGTTGCATTTCTTGGGGAAAAGCATGGCTTGGGCGTACAGCAGGGCCGCGGAAACCAGGGCAAGGGTGGACAGACTTCAAAGTTCAAGGTATGGTCGAGCTTTGACATCTTGCTATCCTGTCTCCTCCCTTCCTACGTTCAATTCACCCGGGCCTGAGGTTACGATGTCCCGGGGATTTGGGGAATTGTGCGCACAGTACATGTCGACCGCGAAAGGTAGAATGGTCTTTGGCGGGAAAATGTAGTACAGAAGGTATATGCCATGCGATGCGTCTTAGATTGATATTGAGCCTAACGTACATTACATACACGTGCATCACGAAGCCATGGCCCATAACCCAGTCCCATCAAACACAAGCGATGGGCGAGGGAAGTACCCAAGAGTCCCCACTCAGATATCGTGTGGCTTGCAAGCCCATCCTTCCCTCCTCTTTCATGCGGATAATGATGGTACATAGATGGCTAGGCGGGCGCGCGCAGGGACCCGTTCTCTTCTCTTCTCGTATCCAGGTTGGGGACGGCATAGCGGCTCCAACTATGAGTCTGACATTTATTCAAATGACCTACAGGCTACCGGGCGGTCGCGAGCTTGGGAATCCTAGGGCAGGGCAGCGACCGATCGTGAGCGTGTAGTGTGCCGAGGTGGGTTTGAGGTGGTTGAGATGGGCGACTACAATTATTGTGTTTCAGGGCAATACTGTGCTGCGTCAGAGTCAGGCATCTAGCGGTGAGCGATGGTTGATTTGCTTCAAGTTTCAATCATGGTGACGAATCGCCAGGATTCATTGATTGATCCAACTGTGCCTGTTTCTCATGAAAGTTCAACGGTGAGCATCCGTGAAGCATGACTTCAATCGATGCTGTCTGATACAGATCTGAGATAAGGCAAACCTGGAGCTTCCTTGCATACAGAAGGGGACATCCTACACGACACAGTTAACTATACTGTGTACTCCGTACAAATCGGGCGTATCCTCACGCACCGCATGAAACTGATTGTCTGCCCACACGACGAAAGCATGGCGAAACGTATCTTGTGATCAGCGTCGTTACTGATATCGCGCACGTCGTTGCTCATAATGCTGTACCCCCACGGTGCCCCAGGTTATCCCACGATAATAATATAGTGGTTGACCTCAGCTTCGGGTCTTGATCATTAAACGAGATGCGAATCTCGTGCCGTCCAATCCAAGTAGAAGAGGTATTCTTTGGAAAAAGCGCCATTGCCGAACCCTGCCCTCGTCTTCCCAGCAATGAATCTCCAAGGACCCCATAGCATTGGTGGAACTACTCACTGTGTTCCCAATGCCGGGTAAAAGCGAGAGAGCATTTCTTTCACGATGCCTCAGGGAATTGCTCCCGGTTTCGAGCAGGAGGCCATTGCGCTGGCGCGCGCGCACGTCAAGTCACGCACAGATGAATCGCTACGAAAGGCGGCATGGCATGGCATCACGCACGCACGCGAAGAGCAGAGTAAATTGCAAGCGGTCACAAGCGAACGCGAGCACGATTGGTTGTGTAGGAGAATTGCATTCGGATTCACATCGAAAATGCAGGACTGCGCAAATGCAGCTTAGCACAGCGGAATCCCTCACACGTTGTGGCGTCTTCCTTGGGTTTCCCGGCATGGCGACGGCACTAACACGTAATGGGTTGGATGAGGGTATAGCCCTGTTCTGTTATGGGAGGGGGTTACTGGGGGGGAAGGAATGATGCCAGACAAGCGGTATGCTGTGTGACGATGTCGAGACTGCAGAGAAGCGATTTGCCTTGCTTCGATCCACGTCCACTCCAACAGTAGACAAGCGAGCAACACGTGGTGGGCTGATCAATTCTCGTTTGCACTTTTTTGCTTTTTTGCCACCTTTCTGGCATCTTCTGGATTTCTTCTGGAAAGCTTCTGTGTTACTCGTACTACGAGTATGATGTGACGAGAAGTGATGTGCCGACGGGTCGGGTGATCTACAAGAACCATTGCCAAACTTTGATGAGAAGGAATGCATACAATATTGACGCATCTGGAGCTACAGAGTACTAATTGACAAATGGATAACTATGGTGAACACTGCTGCTGCCTCGTACTTCTCGGAATTTCGCAGCAAAAGTAGGCTATGTTTGCATAATCGGTAAACAGCAAATAACTAATCAATCAATCCCCGGATGAATAATTATTATATCGGTCTTCTGGGGGTAGAATTGACAGATTGATAGCTGGAGTGCTCCGTAATAGCTAGTGAATTAGTCGGCCAGTTGGTCGGTTGGATAGTTCGTTGGTTTACTTACAAGTACGTGCGAGTACAACAAGCACCCAACCATCTGCGCCTCAATTACGAGTAGTTACAGCAACCAACCAACCAACCAACCAACCAACCAATCAACCAACCACCCAGACCCCATTCACCCATGTTCCTTTCCCCTCTTTTCCTTCCCCAACTTGTCATCGAGTACAGCACAAAAGCAGCAACAGAAACCACTGCACTATTCTGACCACGCTATTCGGATCGACATATCATCTCACTTCGGAACATAAGCACGAATGCACCCTCCCCCCTTCAGCCCAGCAACAGCACATGTTCAATAATTCCCAAGACTTTGCCACCTCCCCGTAGATTGCTAAGAAAGTAGACGCAACGGTCATCGGGTTTGATGCTTAGCATCGCGAACCATGGCCAGTAGCGCCCGCGGAGGGAATTGCAAACCGCTGCCGTCTCCCGTCATAGACGCACGCTGAACGCTCCACTGCTGATCAATACTACGAGTAGCCGTCTTACTGTGTGCTGCATGAGTCGTGGTCGATCGTTGATGCCCTCGTATGCTGGGGAGTCAGACGCAAGGGCTAGATCTATTGTATTCCTCCAGAGTTCGGGACAAACTCCTATCATTCGTTCGAATAGGAGCATTGCATTTCGACAGCCACATATGAGGTTTCCCATCTAGATGGGCCTCAGAATCGTCCCTCGCCTGAGGTGTTCACACTCTGAACTCTAGAATCTCAAGCAAGCAAGCAATAATGCACTGAAATCGGGCTTCCTCGAGAACGGTCACCGAGACTTCCAACTCTATCGTGATTCAATCAACCCGAAAGCAACGTTACCAGGTAATGTCCTCCGATCTAATTTACGTTCTCCCGGGATCGCATACCTCACCAAGCCTTTTCGAGACAGTTACACTCTCGTGCGTGCGATATGATTTAATTTACATTCATTTGCGTCGCGGAAGTAACCCTATTGTGGACTTAGTGCATCGCTGGCATCTGATCGTATTCGTTAGCGGCTTTGCCATATCTTTACATGTCCGACAACTGACGCGTAGATTCAATTTGCGAAGGCGCAATAGGTCACGATGCACTGTCTCTTATCCTTTAGGTAGTATCGCGATATGCGATGAGCAATAGATAACTGTGATGTAGAGCACGGGACATGTCCTCTACGTCAAGCACACTGGCTGTACGGCATACACGTCAGTCATCATTCACTCTGGCCATAAACGCCTGCCCACCGCTTCAGACGCTGAAAAAAGCAAGCGGTGTATCAAGCACGGGTCCCGACGCGAGGATGTTGATCCAGGTATTGTAATTTTAGCCGGCGACACAAAAGGAGGTGGGGACCATTCAATTGTAGAGCTTGGAATTCAGTACGAGTAGGTGCAGAGGCCCCCGTTGCCGGAAGCCTGGGTACGGATCGTTCAAGTGCCGGATGTGAAATGACCCTACCTCGTAGTTCCACGTTTCTGGTACATTGATTCCAAGCCACTTTGCTATTCTTTGTCGAACATGCTATACTGGGGTTTTGAGACTGGGTCGCTGGTGAGTTTGTCCCCTTTCGATCTTCGGCCGCGTTATCCGACGCAATAGAGCACAATGTGGAGGCCGGCTGCCAGAGAGCGTGTGGATCCTGGTATGATACTACTCGATCGTATTATGCTATAGCAATATTGCATCAAAGGCGAGCGCTGGGTGACGGACATGACGACCGAATCCAGCAAAGTAAACAACGGAGGAGAGAGCGTGGGGGCACCCGCGCGTTCATTGCTTCGGGAACGGAACATACGTTTTTGGTAAGACGAATTCAATATGGGTTAGCCTTTTGCTCAATATTCGGCCTGCGAACAATTTGATATTCAAACGAGACAGCGTGTATCAAGGTCTTATCCGTAAAAGCAGCAATGTTGTCAAATGGGTAGATGAATAGCTTGGAGACGGTATGAGTCTGGGATGAATATTATGATCACTGCATATGAGCGTAGGGCCTTGTGTGGCGTAGTATGTTGAACGAGGATGGAGATAATCAAGATGCCCTGGTTGGCGGAGCACTGGGTCACTAGATGATAATTGCATGAACCATTTTCGAATCCAATTTTTGCTTCACTTTTGAGAGGTTGTAGTCTTCATTGTGGATGGTTACCATTCATACCGCCGAATTGCCTCAAGAGTGCTATGCAAGCAGATATGCCTTCTAGCCATAGGATAATTCTTACAACACAGCGTTACCTCCTATTGGGCTCATCCATTTCCCCTTCCTCGCTGCTTTCATCTCAGCGTACAATGCTGGATTAATACCCTTCTTCTTGCATTTCTTCAGCTCAGCCTCGCTCAGTTTGCTTGTATCAAAGTCACTGGCCTTCCAATCGTGACTGTCTTGCGACCTATTACTCGTGGATGTCGATGTCGATGCTGCAGGATAGATGTCGGAAGGTCTGCTGGAAGAAATCGTCAAGATAGAGCTAGACGAGGAGGTTCGGTGTGAGACTTGATCCAGGGACACAGTGCGAGCGATCTCGAGATGTTCCGGTTCTACCAGTGGTTCTCTAAACTTCTTCGGCTTTAGCCTTTGTATTATAGAAGATGATGAGGGACTTCGAAGGGTCGATCTTGTTGGTGAAGATGCCTGGTTTGAAGGCTGTGTACTGCCCTCGGATGATCGTATAGAAGGAGACCCTTGGGGCACAGACAAATTGTAGAGCGTCGGTGAAGAGTACTCCTCTTCAGAAGTCGAGTGGCTAGCAGCGGCGGTTTCATAACTGCCCCGGGGTGTGGTATCTCTCGCTGAGCGTTGAGTATTCACCGACACAATCGTCTCTAGCGAACTGCATCGTTGCAAATGCAATGGTAGACGGGTGCCCTGCCGTGATGGAGAAGGTCTTGTAGATGGCTTTCGATTTGATAGAGGACCGCGCTGTGTAGTTGTACCGGATTTTGTGCTATCCAGAAATCGGTCTCTCGGCGTGTGTTTTTGAGAGTCGACGCTAAAGGGATGTGAGAAGTTCCGTGGTTCTGGCGCATCAGAGTATTTTGCAGTGGGATTTGGTGTACTAGATACAGTCTTTGGATGATTCGTGGAGTTTACGGAGCTTCTTCTTAATGGACTCTTTATTGGAACCGATGGTGTTTGGAAATAGTCAACCTCCTCTTCTCTCATTCGTGCTTGAACTAAACAGGATCTTCGACGAGGAATCGACGCTGGCACTGCAGAGTCCGAATCTGAAGAGGAATCGGTATCATCGTCCAACCAAGTGCGTCGTGAGACTACCTGAGCTCTCGTAACACGCGAAAACAATGGCGAAGGAAACGGCACATCCGCGTCCATGAGTTGATGATAAGAAGCCACTAGGCCTTCCCCAACAGCCTCGAAATGTATTCAAAACTGTGGGCTGACTACACGGATTATAAAGGGAAATGATGGGACCTAAGTATTCAGTGGGGTAAAGCATGAGAGTTGAACAGTACGATGACGATTGTGCTGCAACCTATCGGTCCCGCTACCGCAGTTTTGACCTGCTAGTGCGATTATAAGGTTTGCATCACTGCCCTATAAAATCACTTTCCGTCTAATCAGCGGGCAAGATCCGATCGCTCTGGATCTGGATGAGGACTTTTATACGTATATGACCAACGTAATTAGCAGTAAGGCTGTTGACAACGTTCTGTCATCTTGCCTGTCATTCAAAATAGGTCCGCGCTAATATAACTAGGCTCAACGGTGACCCGTTCCTCAAACGGCTGAGATTAGGGATATCATTCCATGACCTACTCGTATGTAAACCATGAACTATTCCAATAAAGCCGTTGCGTGATTGAAGACTTCGTTTCAGTTTCATCATGTTCATTCAGGCGCCTTCGAGCTGCATTTACTCAACGACAATTACTTGTCGTCTCACATGCTAGTTCATCGGGTGAGACTTTCTCATCCGAGAGATGCTCTGCAAACGAGTTCTGTTCTGCGACTAGAGCATGATTGTTGATAGAGAACATGTACATAGGCTCTATCAATTTATGTTCGCCAAGTATGGATTACACTTTTGGTTCTCTTGATGAAGCAAACTGCATACCATCAAACTCGATGAGTTCTAGAGTATCTGCGAAGTGCCCACTTATAGAATTTTCTTGATAATCATGCTGCAATCGGCAATTAGCAATTATCTTGAAGGGTCAGACTTGTGAGCATGGGCTGCCTTTTAGATCTAAATACTTCTTCTAACGTAGCTATGAATTCAATAAAACTAAGTACCGTGTGCAAGACAAAAAAATACACTTGCTTAGCACAGGTCCTGTAGACAAATATTTACATGTAAAGGATAGTGAATATATTTCTATGTAAGCAAGGACTTGCGTTACAAGTAGTGGAAGATATATATGCACAGAGAGAGGGTGGTCTTCTATACCTAAAGTATCTATTTAAGAGTACACTGTAGTAAGTAAATTATCCTAACTTCTTAATATAAGATCTTATAGATGCACTATTGTAGGCACGATATATTAGCAAGGGGACAACTTGCTAACCCTCTATACACACAAGGTAGCTTGTGTATATATTGTCTAAGAGATATAAATAATGCATATAGGGGAAAAAAGTGCAAGCTGCATCTATGCAGTTGCTCGCGTTTGATGACTGTAATATAGCAAAAAAAGAAATCTTTCGAAGTCCATGGGGCTCGAACCCACAACCTTTGGTGGACAGACTGGAGATGACTCTCATCCGGAGTCATTTCGGCCGAAAACCAACGCGCTACCATTGCGCCAAGACTCCAATTGACTTGTTTGATGAAGGATTTACAATTTAATTATTTTATATACCCTTAAAAACCATCTCTGTAAGTGTTAGGAATTTGAGGAGAATAGCACGAAAAGTTATTGCAAAATGTGGAGTTGAGATGACTTTTAGCGCGTCTACCAACGCTAATCGACCAAACCGGAAAGGGCTGATGGTTGCAGATGCTCACGTGCCATACCGGATCCCAGTTTCACACACATATACCTAGATACCTATAAAGCCAATAGGGACATGCTTGCGCACTATATTACTCCTAGAAAATATTTTCTAATATAAAGTGAGTCTTAAATAGTCTAATTTGACTGTCTTTACACTTGATTGACATTAGTTTGTTACGTCAGCAATAAAACGTATGACTGAACTCGCGTTCAAAAAGATCGATAAGTGTTTACTTGCATCGGAGCATTCAGAAATAATAGTTGTTTGTACACTACTCATTGATGGTCGCAAATAGTTTCATGCACACGCATATAAGGAACCTATCTACGGACACGGAAATGACCATTGGCCACACATGTGATGTTGGTTCATGAGTAAAAGCGGAGAGTCAAACCGTATGGACAGGGTTGGTCAGAGAAACTCACTACTAGCACTGGTCTGGATATTTTCTACCTCTGCAGTACTACTACATGCAACAGCCTCCAAAGGACGCAACCAGTCACGATGTATGGCTAATGTACCTGGACTTTGCATACCTTGACAATACCTAGGTCGACGATGATGACTCTCAGCCTAAGGGGGAAGCCGGAAACTGGGAAGGCTCATGAGGTTATTTGACTGACTACAGAGACATTACAGAGGGTCAAATAACAAAAAATCAATACCCTTTCTTTAACCTTCGTGACATTTCTATTACATTTAAATATTTAATCATATAATATCATTTTCTGGATCCAAAGGTGTTCAGTTGGTCGCAACAATAGTGGGTGGCCAGGACTACTTCCGGCTTCCCCTTAGGCTGAGAGGGCGATTATGAAGCCGGAGAGCATTCTCTGTTGGCGCTGGGCGCCCGGGGGAAGGGATGACACTGATTTCAAGAGTAGTCTTACATTGCTATTCATTGTAATCTGAACTACTACCGCTGAAAACAGAATATAGTACAAGTTGTGTAGAAAACTCAAAAAGGTCATGAAAGCTTTCTTTGGTATCTCAATGCCTTCGCCCTAAATACTAGAAAGGTATGGAAGAATCTCTGTTCTCCCTATAACGCCGGACATGCTGAGTGGAAAAGAGAAAGTACCATTGCTGTGATGCTGTTGGAGTTCGATTGAAGAAAGCTTCTTCACAGCGATGGGTATGTTAATAGAGAAGTAACCAAAGCCATGAGCGTAGATGTTTGTCGGTAGACTAATTTCCCCCAGCAGCGCCACGGATTGAGAAGCCTCCACTCTGCGGTGCGGCCCCGCGGATGTTGTAACCGATCTCTTCGTCATCTTCGTCATGTCCACCCCGATCGCGAGTCCAGGTGATGCGGCTCGCAAGGTCGCGTCGGCTTACCGTTGGCTCCTGGAAGCTATCCTCGCGGGGGGCACTGTAGTCGTCCTTTAGTCTTCCATAATTCGACTCTGGTCCATCTCGGGTGATCCTGTTGGCGAGCCTTCCGTGTCCTGATGATGGCTCATCGCGAGTCATTCTGCTTGCTAAAGAGCGGCTTTCAGAGGACTCGGAAACAGGTTTTCCATCTTTAGTCATCCTTGATAGCAGAGAGCCTTTGTTGGTCTCGTCCATGGCATCCGATCGTCGGTGATTGCCCATATCTGCCTTCTGGTGTGTACTAGAATTCTTCGCCCAGCGTCCTGATCCATCTAAGGTGATGTTTTGGTCCCGTTCCCATCTAGCGCTTTCGTGGTTAGAATGCCTCCTTTTGAAATATCGTTCTTGGGACCGGCTGCGACTCCTGCGACGCGTAGTCTCGCGGTCTCTACTTCGGTATCGGCGACTAGAACTCGATTCTTCGGCAAAGCCGTAGCGGCCGTCCTCACCTGATACAGGCGACGCACTTCTTCCACGCAGACGTCCAAATCTAGATTCACGCGGGCTAAGGTTATGTCAACATATGCGGTAAGTGTGAGCAGTCATCGAAAGAATTTCCGTACCTCCTAGAGCCAGGGCGGTAAGTGTCAACGTCCCTAGGCTGCCTTCTTCGATTTTGATCATTGTCTCGGCGTCTAGGCGCCGGCGCATCGTCATACATTGACTCGGTGAAGGTGGAGCTGGGCTAGTTAGCACAAATAGTGGAAATCAGGAGCCGACCGACTGACGCTTTCTTGCTCTTATCAACTCCCTCATCGCCATAATCCAAGAAGACTTCGGGCTCAGGCTCCTCTCGATCGTATCGACGCGGCCGTTGGCGATCGCGGGCTTGAGGGTGCTGTTTATAGTACTCGCTGTGCTTCGCTGCATTTCGCTGCTTCTGGTCACCAGTGTTGGCCTGACGAATAGTGAGATAGCTGTCAGGGTTGCCAGAATAGATCTGGGCTTTGCGCGAGGTCTGAGGATCTAATGAAGCGGCTCCTTCGACATCGGGATGCGTCAACGCAAGCAGCGCGTCCGCGGCGTCTTGTGCATTGTCGTACTCGAGGTTCACAGAGTTGTCGTTTATCCAGCGAACATTTCGTGGCCGTCGCTCAGGGCAATGCTCGAGTGCATAGTCGATTGGCGCATTTGGGCCGAACTGAGATCCGCCTTGAATATTGAGGAGCTCGGGAATGGGCGCGTGTGTCTCGAGTGACTCAAAATAGGCGGCAGGCATCTCTGAGTCACCTCCATCTCCGCCATTCGGTCGCGCCTGCTCGACAGTCTGGTGTTGTGGTCAGCGAAGGGCACAGGTGAAGCGGAAGCTAGGGCGGGGAAGCTCACCAGGGTCGTCTCCGGGGCCTGGACCACTTCAATCGGCTCAGTATCGATCTGGATATCATAATCTGCATCCGTCATGTCAGTATCCATGGTTGCCATCTCGAAAAAAACGACAACGTTGAGACGCAGGAAGGTGTGGGGTTGGTGATAGTACTGGGGATCCACGTACGAAGGAAACAATAGGATCGCGGCGTTAGCGTGAAAGCGCTGGGCGGCGCCCAGTCACGTGGATAAGATGAAGACAAGAGCATATTATTTGTGAAACAGTTGATTCTGCATAAGTTTCGATGGAATCATAATTACAGACATTGCTAATGGTGAATAATTCCGCACAAGATCAACCCCTAATAGCTGTGGCGGTGGATGCATATCATAGGCAGGTAGATGAACCATAGCTCATCTATATTGACTTATACATTATTTGTCGAAAGGAGACGGAAGAATGTTACGATTGCCCTTCCAAGGTAAAAGTGCCAGTTTTGGTAATCAGATATTCGGCTACAGCAACGTCTTTTCCACTTTCTTTCCCATAACCTGACTGCTTGATGCCACCAAAGGGCGATTCTGCTGCGGACGAGTTACCTAGTTGCAAAGTCAGAAGTTATCTTCTATCACATAAATCATAAGTCGATTGCTTACCCGTGTTCAATCCGATCATGCCAGCCTCCAAATTCTCAAACAAACGCCACAGCCGGTCCACATTCTTTGTGAAGCAGTACGAGGCCAAACCCATACTGGTATCGTTGGCTGCCTTGACAACTTCGCCCTCATTCTCAAATTTGATGAACGTACAGACAGGCGCGAATATTTCCTCTGAAGCAATGTCCATATCCGGTTTGATGCCCGTAATGACAGTCGGTTCGAAGAAGTACCCACCATTCCTCTCCAGTTTCTTACCACCGACGTGGATGGTGGCGCCCTTGGCCCTCGCATCTTCCACAAGTGCAATGGCCTTTTCAACACCTCTTGGTGTTGTTACAGGGCCCATTGTTGTAGCCTTGTCAGAACCATGCCCTACAACAAGCTTCTTTGTCTCAGCAGTCCAGCGTTTAAGGAATTTGTCAAAAATGCCGGATTGGACGTATACGCGATTCGCCGTGATGCAAGCCTGGCCGGCATGGCGGTATTTGAGAGCAAATATCTGGCTCATTGCTTGGTCGATATTGGCATCATCAAATATCAAAACTGGACAGTTCCCGCCCAGTTCTAGAGTGACCTTCTTCAGACTGTCTGCGCAAATCTTTGCGACCAGCTTTCCTACCCGTGTGGATCCCGTGAATGAGACCTTTTTGATGAGATCGTGACGGCATAGGGCCTCACTAAGTTCGGGAGTTTTCTCCAGATCCGTTGTTAAGACGTTGAGAGCACCTTTTGGAAATCCAGCCTTGTCCGCAAGATAGGCTAAGGCGAGGACGGTGATGGGCGTCTCCGGACTGGGTTTCACAATCATAGTGCAACCAGCTGCCAGAGCGGCTCCGGCCTTTCGCAGAATCATGGCGATGGGAAAGTTCCATGGGACGAGTGCTGCCGTCACGCCGAGCGGCTGTTTAATGGTGAAGACGCGACGATCCGGTAATGCTGGAGTAAACACGGTCCCTTGGATTCGCTCTGCCTCCCCTGCAAACCACCATGTGAATCCAGTTGAATAGTCAATTTCGCCATACGCCTCGGCTCGTGGTTTGCCAGTTTCATAGACCAGAATGGTTGCAATATCCTCTCTATTTTCTCTGATCAGAGAGTCCCACTTATATAGCAACTGAGCCCGTGTTCTAGGGCTGAGCTTCTTATATTTCTCGAAGCTCTCATGGGAGCTCTGCACCGCAGCATCGACATCTGATGCATCGTTTGTCGGACATTCTGTCCATGCCTTGCCGGTTCCGGGATCTAGGCTAGTGGGTTAGGTGAACGAAAATACAAGAAACACTTCTAGGATGACTGACCAACAACTTCGAAAGTCTTCCCTGACTTTGACTTTACCCACTCTCCGTTGACAAAGGATAGATTGTGAAGTAGGTCGGGGTTGTTGAGCTACATACCCGTGATTAGTGGAATGCTCATAAATGGTCGCGGACGGGGTTGTCAAACCGTGAATGGTACTTCGAACTTTCCAGATGAACCCATGGTGTACGGATACTACGACCGAAGGGCGATAAAGGGCCGGAAATTCGATATGAAAGATGACTATTCGACTTTGTTTGTGGACTGAGTTCAAATGGGGTTGGAACCGAAGCTATTGATTTGTTCCGCGTGGAACGATCGTACTCGTAGTCTTGACAGCTAGTTTTTGGGTCGCAAAGCAAAACTTGAGAGTGATTTCGTCACCGTAGTTGTTACTGGGGTTTGAGTAATTATTATGTTAATAGCAAAAGAAGATTGCCGATGATTAGCTCCAAATCTCTAGCTTTGCATGGAGCAAGAAGCTTCCCCTCCTTCCCGCCAAATAGCACAGGAGAGTGCCTCGTAGGTGACAACCAGGTAAACCAATCACTCCATTGCCTAGGCATTGGCATCGGTACAAAGGTAGCACACCCCCGCCTTGCGCATATCCGACCGCTTATCCTGAATTGGGGCATGCGATAATTACTCCCTCTCTCATTTTCTCTCCAATAATATTCAACAACTACCTAGGTACTTAACGAATAACCCATAACAACACAGTACGAGTAGATGCGCATGCGGGACCTACGATCTGCCTCGCATTATTAATCCTACTAGTATAATCAGAATATCCTAGAAATGCGTTAGGCTTTGCTCTTTCTGATACTGATGCAACAATTGGTTGGCATGGGTATAGGTCTATCGGCTATTTCGATTGATGAAATAATCTCACATAGCCTATACAAGTGAACGCATCCAACATCTCATGTCTTGCATAAGGGCTGTTAAACATGAAGTATATTCCGAAAGAAGACGCTCAATAGCAAAAGTATCTGATTAAACCCGAAAGGAGAAGTGGAACTACACTCCGATGCTTGCACACATGAGGGAAATGCGCGTTTACACATGCCCATCTCCGAAGGTCATATTATTGTTGCATTTGAAGGAAATGTTTCCGCGAGCTCTTGGCTCACGTAGACGCTCCATCCAGGTGCTTCCTCCTCTTTCCCCACCATTCAATGAGTGCCGACCCCTCACCTTCGAGCATTTCGTGTTCTACTCCGAGAGCGGCCCCTTCTCGGTTGCTCACATTCGGGGTAACCGGTCGGCATTTTGTGGGGTAGTTAGTACAAGGCAGTACGGGGATGCGTAATTAAGCATATGAACATACCTACCCATCTCTGGTTTGCTCGTTGTTCGTTCAATCAGGTCTTCTCAACATTGTGCTCACTGCTCTTCCACTACAGTCTTCTATTCTATTTTCAACACCCAAAACGGTACGTCAACACGGTAATAATGGGCCGATTAGATGGAAAAGTAGCTCTCGTCACAGGTAATACCTACCCAACAAACCCCGGTTTCTCGACCACGTACGATTGACATAGCCCTCCACAGGCGCTGGATCTGGCTTCGGAGCCGGCATATCGATAGCCTTCGCTGAAGAAGGTGCCAACGTACTCGTCTGCGACATCAACCAAGCCGGCGGAGAGTCAACATGCCAGTCCAATCCAACCGCGCTCGCCTTCCACAAAATGGACGTTACCAAGGCCGCAGACTGGAAGTCCGCTATGGATGCCGCCACCCAGAAATGGGGCAAGGTCGATATCCTCGTGAATAACGCTGGCACGAGCTATGTCAACAAGCCTACCATAGAAGTCACAGAGGATGAGTTCCAGCGGACATTCGACGTAAATGTGAAGGGTGTGTACTTGGGTTGCAATGCTTGGGTGCCGCAGGCGATCGAGCGAAAAGAAGGTGGCGTCATTATCAACATTGCCAGCGTCGGCGCGACCAGGCCACGACCGGGTCTGGTCTGGTACAATGCCTCGAAAGGGGCAATATGGAATGTATGTCGTTTTCTCGATTGCTTTCAAATTGAAGCTTGTTGCTGACTCTACTCGAAGGCAACGAAAGGTCTGGCTGCGGAATATGGGCCACACCAGATTCGCGTCAATAGTATCTGTCCTCTGGTCACGGGCACCGGATTGTTCTCACACTTCACGGGTGTAGAAGATACACCGGAAAACAGAAAGAAATTCATAAGCAATGTGCCGATGGGGCGTATTGGAGAGGTCGGTGATGTGGTATCAGCATGCTTGTTCATGGCAAGCTCGGAAGCAAGTTTTATCACTGGAACGAACCTTGAAGTTGATGGTGGTCGCTGTATCTAACCAGAGCGACAAAACATCATTTGTCCAGAGATGACCATAATGAAATTAGTAATGAATTATATGCATCAATTGTTCATTAAATGTAGGAGATTACATGAGTTTAAATGCCTTGTGAATGTCCCCAATACCACAGTGTATTCGTCAGGACCGTAGCATCTTACAGAATAGCCACTGTCTAGCCGTTAACGACCACACCTCCATTGGCGTGGATTGTCTGGCCACTGATCGAGCTGCTATCAGCGCTAGCAAGGAAGACGAAGCAGGTTGCAATCTCGCTGGGCTGCGATGGTCGTCCCATTGGACTAGTGAATTGCTTGATAGCTTCATCTGTCATGGTGCTGGGGATAAGAGGGGTCCAAACAGGACCAGGAGCAACAGCGTTCACGCGGATGCCTTTGCTGACATATTGGTTGGAAAGACCGCGAGTGAAGGCGACGATGGCACCCTTTGTTGAAGTATAGTCAAGCAAATCCGGTCGGCCGATGTAGGCATTGATAGAGGCATTGTTGATGATGGCGCTTCCCTTCTTTAAATGAGGGATGGTGTACTTGGAGAGATAAAAGAAGGGGTGAATGTTGGTGTCGAATGTCTTAAGCCATTGCTCTCTACAAGCTTGTTAATCACTGCTTTCGGCAGAGAGTAAAGGTATTCAATGTCAACTTACTCATCGAGGTCTTGAATATCCTCAACCATCATTTGGTAGGCGTGATTGTTGACCAAAATATCGATTCCGCCCAAGTCGCTGACGGCTTTCTCGACGAGCTTTTTGCAGTTGGCGCGGTCACGCAAGTCAGTTGCATGCAGGTAGCATTTCCTGCCTTTCTGTTCGACTAGCTTCTTCGTCTCTTGTGCATCCTCTTCTTCTTCGGGTAGATAAGCAATGAAACTATCCGCTCCCTCCATGGCATAGAGAATAGCAATGGAGCGACCAATTCCGGAGTCACCACCCGTGATCAAAGCCTTCTTGCCTTCGAGTTTGCCGGCAGCCTTGTACAGCTGGTAACCTCCTTCAGGAGTAGGGATCTGATCATATTGCGGCTTGGGGTCAAGTTTTGACTCAAGTCCAGGAGCCTTCTGGTGTTGAACAGGGACCTCATATCCTGTTACATCGTGAGCTTCTTTCTCCTGTTTCGGCATACCAGCGTGGCATACCTTGATCGAATTGCGATTTGTCGGTCATGATTGGAATTTGATTAACGGAGTGCGCTTGATTCTAGGTGAGTCGAATTCTCTGGTGCAAATATCGAGCGAGATGCTATTTCTTGATGATGTTGGATGATTTTTATTTGATCACTGATTTTTAAGTGACATCACAACTACGCTCATGAAAAGAAGTGGAGACGTGAGATAAAAAATGCATCGATTGATGATAGCTAAGACGATTCTTGAACTTCATATTGAAATGTGCTGGGTAAGGGAGCAGTGTATGTGGACATGAACAATGGTCTCGAGATGCAAGAGATCCAATGCTTATGAGGATCAAGCCTACCCATTAGCTTGTGCTGGTCCCATTCCACAGTCGAGTTCGGTTTATGGTAAGGCATGGCGCAATTCATCCGCACGGAAGGCACAACGACAGCGACTGCTACATGCTTAAAATCTACGAGCTATGAGGGCTGGGCATGGGGAACATTTGAAAGGTACCTAGACTGAAAAAAAATATTGTGCGTAGTTTCGAATTGAATTTTGAGTTTGGGTTCATTGTTGAAATGCCGTCACTCCCACCACACACAATGACGGGATGCTCCCACCACCAAAAACAGCATATGACCTCACAGTCCAATGTGCTATGACTCGCGGCAGAATTAACGAGGGCAAGATACAGTAATGATACTCCTGCAACCGGGTATTCGGACTTCTTCCCAGTCGTCGCAAGCTTTTTCTCACGATACGGCTTGATTGCGTGCAGTGGGGGTTGGTGGAGAATGGGGATTGGGATTCGGGGTTGCTTGTCTCGTAGGGCTGAAGAATTTACGTCATTGGCGGCTGCGTCATAGCCTCGACTTGTCATCTCGACCACATCTTTCATTTGATCAAGGACGACCTCGATCCTTTGTATCCCTGTAATCCAATTAACATCCTGTCTCGACCGCCGAAGAAGGAAATGCTCTGGAAACTCCCAAGCCACCTCTGTTGGACGCAAACGTCAGTGCCCCATATGAAGCAGCCACATTCCAAGCTACCCATCGCCCTGCATGACGTTTCGTGATGATCTCCTGCCTTTCTTGTGAGTTTTGGAGAATGAACCTGTTTTCAGGGTCTCACGACAAGATACGAGTATCTCCATCCTTAGAGTGACAGACTTGTCCGATCAATGTGTATATAAATCTAACCGTTGTCGACCCTATACTCCTTTCCTTATCATCCAACAAACAAGCAACCAACCCACTAAACAACAACTACTACTACTACTTCGAGTCAAAGACTCTATAGCCAAAAACAACCTTCAAACCCTATCTTTCAAACCTACATTCTACTCATCCATTCATCCATCATGCCTATCATGCGCCGCACTCACCACACTACTGCTCCCCGCACAACCCGCACTACTCGTGCTCCACGCACCACCACCACCGCTCGTCCAAGCATGAAGACGAGACTTCTTGGTGGAGGACGGACTACCCGTACCCATCGTACACCGGCAACTACCACCACTACCACGACCACCACTAAGACCACTCGCCATCATGGTGCCGCTCCCGTGGGCCACCACCATCACCAGAAGCGACATGCCACCATGGGAGACAAGGTCTCTGGTGCCCTCATGAAGTTGAGGGGATCTTTGACTCGTCGTCCGGGTTTGAAGGTTAGTTCTCCCTCATCTGTTCCTATCTTCTCGAATGGATAACTAACACATCTCACAGGCTGCTGGCACTCGCCGCATGCACGGTACAGATGGACGTACCACTCGCCGCCACCACTTGTAAATTATTGATGATTGAGCGTTTCAACTAGTGGGGGAGTTATGAAGTGGCTGTAATGATATTATCAGATATTGGTTGAACGGACATGATTACATGATTGTACGATAGTAATTGTTGATACCCTCATATTGAGTACATTATTTCACCAAACATAATGCAAGTTCCATGAAGTTGTGATGTTGCGAGCAGTACACAGTCATTATCTTAGTACAAACTCAGAAGCAGGCTCAAATAGAACAACTTGGTGAGTTGCGGTCATGTTTTGATAAGTAGTACATGGCTAAACAAGTGCATTACTTATCAAGATTCTCGTCTCGTGCCACTCCCACGACGACGGTTGGGTGAGTCCAACGCGCTCAATGCGTCCACACGCATTCGTATGTCATCGACATCGACCTGGAATCTCTCCTTCAGGGAATTTCGCCCCTGTTGTATGGTGGACGACAGGTCAGACGATAAAGGAGATGCACATGCTTTCTCCAATCGCCGAACACTGTCTTGGCGAATATCTTCGCTCTCTTGTTGCACACTGTTCAGCATGTCATCCAGCTCGCGAACATCATCCTGGAGCTTCTGCCTCATCGAATCTTCACGCGAAGACACATGCTCGGTGGCCGCGTGTCGGTTAATATCCCAATGACCCATTTTTGAATTCGGATCAAGCTGGGCGAACCTTTTCCTTTCCTGCGCTTCGATTGCGTCCATGCTCGTACCATGCTCGTCATATTTCTTTTCCCTCAACTCACGCATCAAAGTGCCAACAAAATATAAGCTGCCTGTTAGGACGATGAGGGTATCATCTGACGACAAGTACTTTGCTGCCAGTAGGGCCCTGTGCGCACCAACTTCGGGTACTGCCACGCCTGCAATGTTCGGATGTAATCTTCTCGCGGCCTCAAGTATCTTTTGAGGATCCATCGCTTGGACCCACGGCATGCCTTCCACGGGACCGAACTTTGCAGTGACAACGCCGTCCCCATCTTGAACCAGTGTCGCAAGGAACTTATCCACATCTTTTGTGTCAGACATGGCGAGTACCCAAGTAATGGGTTTCCGCGTCCGCAAAACGCCCGGATCTTGCATTGGAGACTTCCCAAATCCTATCCTCGAACCGCTGATCTTAGAAGAAGTGCCAATGTACTCACGGAGAGCCTTTGCAGCGTCTTCGTTGTGTGCACCGTCTACAAGAACAGTCCTATCAGGTCCAAACACAGCCGGTACTCCTTGATTGTGGAATCGTCCTGGAAATGGTTTGTTTTTAAATGCATCAACAACTTGACCCACTTTTGATGGAGATTTCCCCAGCCCCTTAAGCGCTTCCTCTACAGCAAGGTATGCCAGTACCGCATTGTCACGTTGGAAAGGTGCCAATGTTGATGCGAAATTCTTCCACTTAGACGTAGACCAGATCCTCTCCCTCAGATCTTCGGTATCTGCGTGAACCAATGGTCCGGCCCCCACCTCGTTGGCTATCTCTTCAATGACGTTGCGGACATTCCACTCATTACTGGTATTGACAACATAGGGTACATTCGGCCGCAAAATCCCTGCCTTATGCCTTGCAATCTCGTCGAGTGTGTTGCCAAGAAACCCCTCGTGATCATAGGAGATCTTTGATATCACTGAGACAGCCTGGTTGTTCAATATATTTGTGGAGTCGAGCTTCCCGCCCATGCCGACCTCGACAACACCAATCTTGACTCTCTCGTGCGTGAAGATCTGAAAGACGATTGCGGTCAGGATTTCAAAATCCGATGCTTGAATGTTTTGTGCCTCGTTCAATCTCTGGAAGTACTTCTCCGCATTCATAAACTTCGACTTGGATATCCCCCAACCATCGATCTGAATGCAATCCCATCTGGCACCATGATTGATTAGATCGTTGCAGCACGGCCACGTGATTAGGCGCCTACCTATTGACTAAATGGGGGGACGTGAAGCGGCCAGCGCGTACATTGCGTTTTTGGAGGAGAGAGGCCACATGGGCGCAGATTGAGCCCTTGCCGTTAGTTCCAGCAACATGTATGGCCTTCCATGGGAACTCGAGATCCTTCACCAGAAGGGCTATGCGTTCGAGGCCCGGCTGGATCATGGCCTCGAGAATTCGACAGCCTTCAAGGGATCATGGGCAACAATGAAGACTTTCTGGTATTACCTAGGCAACGGCATTTGATCGTTCGTTTTGAAACGCACAGTCACTCTGTTCCTGCAGAAGCTTGTGAGTCAGATGGAGCAGTGGTCGAAAACGCGAATTGGGATTAAGCGAGCCTTTCCCGTTTTGGGATATCGGTCTTGGCGTCCGTGGTTGGAGTCCAATCCCTCCCCGTGACGTTTGAGGTTGTTTGGTTTGGTGAGGCTGGAGAGGACAGAGGGACCTTTCCTTCTTGTAGGCTTAAACATCATTGACTATCACGAAATATTCGAAGAGGAAATTGATTCTTAAGCATCATTCTTTCCGTACTGTAGGTACGAGGTTATTAATGACAACTTATTTGATGGAAAGGTGGATTATTCACTGAAGGAGAACGTCTACCCGCCACTTTCTCGCCTCGTACTCTCCCTCTCAGCCTCACTCTCCTCGCATTCCTCTGGTGTTACTTCGCCGCTCGCCGCAGGGACTCGCTTACCGTCCGTTCCTTCCCCGACTGTCCCCCGTCCCCCCCCAACCCTCACCCTTCAGGACTCGCCTCATCGTCGCTGGCACCTCCACCTCCCACCCATCACTTTTCCATCTCCCATCACCAGTTTTTGTTTCTTTCGCACCACGAAATGGGTCTTCCAGTGTGGCGCGCACCCTCTCCAGAGGTAAATAACGCGACAAAAGTCGACCCTTCAGCCTCAGCGCGCTCGCCCATCCGCCGCCGTTCTCCGTTCGCAGGTCGACGCGCCCGGTCCTCACGATCCCCTCGATCTCCACGATTGCTCGATCCTGAATACCTCGCGACTGTGTCGCATGGTGACCCTATCCCACGTCCTTTGAGTGGTCGTCGCAGCGCTGCTCCCCCAGCCGCGCCTGAGCTGCTTCAGATACCACGAGCCGAAATCTGGACAACAGGCATCGAACGTTATCATCATCCTGCCGAATCGACAGAAGATGACGAAAGGTTCGCAAACGCCATGCGCCTGCGCCGGGACACTATTTACCGGACCATGTACGACTCGAATGCCTCATCAGGCCACAGAGACACGCACCGCTTGAACGGCCAACTCGCGGCCCTAACACCAAACTTTGCCCCCGCTGCTGCATCGCGGAATGCCCGCGCGGATGGTACCGTGGAGCGCATTAGGGAGCGTTATTTGAGTTCTAGGAGGTCGCCCTGGGACCCGGCGCGCTCGCATCATCCTATGAGCGGAAGTCTCCTTCCTGAGAACATCATTATTATTGAAGACGCCGATGACGATAACGACAGCAATGCAGTTGGGTTTCCACCTCTTCGCAGAATGGGTCGTCGCACTATCGCTGATGGACCACTACCGTCGAGCTCTCTTCGCGAGTCCTGGAGCCCTGCCACCACTCTCGACGGCCTTGGCGATCGAGAACGCAGCATGAGTCCTATCGACGACCACTGGGATACAATGCTCAGCACCGTTGCGCCGGATCCTGTCGCTCCATCTGCGGATTCTTCTTTCACTTCTGCGGCGGCGTCGGCTTCCTTTTCAAACTCACACTCGAGCTCCCGAGCCGGCAGCTCGAACTCTAACTCAGCAACGTCATCGCGCACACATTTGACCATCCCTTCGCGGCGAGGCTCTCCACCGAACGAGGTCTTCATGCGGGCCTGTGACACCTCCGACGACGACACTGCGTCCGACACAGAAGAGGAAGAAGACACGACATCACGTCTTCACCGTTCCTCGCTTCGTCGGAGGAGCCGACAAGGGTATGCCGATGAGCCGCCGTCACGCGACCCCAACAGGTACTCGCGTGGTATTCGGGACCGCTCGCGCGAAGCGAGTGCATACGTTCGGGGATTCTATGGAACCACGTCGCGCGACAGTGCTCACCCACCCGAGCAGCTCTTGGAGGACCATGCGGACGGGCATCTGGAACCTTTTGCAGATGCGGAGTCGCAGACGCTAGACCAGGAACTCCGCGATGCACGCGCGATTCTCGAGAGGATTGCTCAGCGAGACGATGTTTCGGACGATTTTTGGGCCTCGGTCGGTTTGACGAGGACACTGGCGGATCGTGTCGAGCGACTTCAGCAACGCGAGCGACTATGATTGTTCTGGAGCTTTCAATGACCTGCAGGCTGGTCAGGCTCCGGATTGTATTTCTTATCTGAACGTTTACATTTCACGTTCATTCGGTTTGCTTATGGGTTTCTTACGCCCTCTAATGATTATTCGGGACCACTATGACATAGTGACGGGGGAGCATTGCAAGAGCCACCATTTGGGTGGCTCGTTCATATTTTCTGAGAAGCAAGATACACATGATGAGGATGAGGGATTCGATGGCGGAGCAGGTTTGGCTCCGCTTTGGGAAGTGGACGATATAACTTTCTGGGATTTCTTTGACTGGGCTTTCAGCTATGTACGCTTATTTTGCAGCGAGTGCTATTAGGGATTCCAGCATCGGGAGATGCATCATTCTGGCAGAGAAACAGAAAAAGCAATGGAAAAAGCTTTCCTCTGGCACGGTCATCAACGTGCCTTGACCACTTCAATTTCTTGCCTTGACTTTTGTGTATGAAATCCAAAATCGCACATGTGGCAAGTGCTGTGATTCAATTGGAGGCACAAAAGGGTTGTTTAGATGTGTGAAGAGCAAGGTAAGACTACTCCTGGAATCAATATCAGCCCATCTGAAAAGTCATGGTTCCTTGAGAATTGCTACTGGTTGTTACTGTGCTGCTGATATGAGCTAAACGCAGCCAGATATTCAGGTAGTATCATCTTTACTAGTATAGCAAAAACTCCGCCCTCGTACTCAGTGTTGTATTTGTTTGGTATGTTGGATAAGCTTGAGCTTAGGCCCGTGAGCCAGCAATTTACTCTTGGGAGGAATTAATTATACATATTGGTTTCTCCTGTCACATCCCTTGCTACTTGTTACACAAAGACGACTGACTTGTTATCCGATTGACTCATTCCTCCATATCCATGCGGATCGCCAAAGTGCCTATTCATCGATGGATCGAGAGAGAGCTCAGTTGTTGGAGGCAAGCGTAGGTGTAGAAATAAGGTCAAGACTCGAGAGAGGGTCGAATGGTTTTCGAAACATTCTCTACGATGGACACAACCTGCCGGATTTTCCCCAAGAGGCTCCCATAGTCCTGAGTAACGTGTGAATGGCCGTCTATGTGGTCATCACGCCCTTCCCTTTTTTTTTAGCAGGCATCTGAGTATTTGGTATATCAATAGTCTCCCATCCACGAACACCTCGATGTTCCTCCGGCATAGCTTTATTAGCATCCTCGAAAGATTTCCAGAAATTTCGGAGACCTGTTGTACCATCTTCATGATCGTCCATCAATGAATTGTACAGTTCTTGTGTTTCCTCTTCGATTACGAGAATGGCTGCCTTGAATCTGTCCTATTGAATCATCAGCATGAACTCTGTCAACTCTTATATCTAGGTCATACTTACATTGAGACCAGTTACTTCAGTTGCAACAGGCTTGTTTGTACCGATAAGACCCATGGCGTTGTCGTATAGACCTTCCATACGCCGTTCCATGGCATTGATCCGGTGCCGGATGTTTGTCTATATGGCTTGTAAGCGCTTGGATCGAATCCTATTATACAGGATCAGTTACTATCGATCTGATTGATCCTATTGTCAGGCTACGAAATTCATCAACCTGCGCGGGGCTTTTGCGTCTGTCGTGCCAACAAAGACCGTATCTACTTTCTTCAATTCCTTGCTGAGTTGTTCGATCTCATTGTCCGTTTTTTCAGCTTATTGATGAGTTCTAGCGCGAACTCGACGCTCGGTTCCAACAAACTCACTTGCCGAGGACGTTTCGATCTCGACTAGAGTCCGAATTCCTCGAGCGCGCAGACGAAAGATCCAAAGCTGGACGCGACAAAGGAAGAGACGGTTGCACTACTGAGGCGAAATTTCATACCACGGTGATTGCGACATTGGATCTCGTTACCGTTTTGTCAGTGAACGTGACGAAGCCGTACTTACTGTTTGCGGATCAACAGAGATCTCAACAGATAGCAAGTCAACTGAACCAGCCACGTATGTTGAGACAAGCCTGTCGGACCTATCTCATTCGTGAAACCGATCACACGCGAGGCAATAATGTACCACATACTCACATGTTTAGTAGCAGACTCATCATAATCGCCAAATCATGTACATGACAAGGGCGCAGCTCGAGCGCCTGTCACCTGAAGAACTGGCGGTAGTGTGTGCCAATTTACAGGACGATATCACGACTCGAGAAGCGGAAGAGCGCTCTAAGAAAGATCAGTCGGATACCTCCCACCAAACACTCAAGAACTAGCGATTGTAGGAAAGAGCTTGTCGTGAGGTCTACGACCGACCACACCAGAACTTATATCTCCATGGGTTGTATGTAGGAATGAATACCTCTCAATCGACGATACCCTAGCAAACGCAGACCGTCAAATCGATGAAGCTCATCAACAAGGATTAAAATACAGCCAGGACAACGCTGAATTCTTCACTGCACTCGACAAAGCGATTGAGGACAAACGCAAAGAGATTAATGACAAGTTGACGGACCATGTGATCACCTGCAATGTGTCAACGGCAAGCGTCCCCGAGATGTTACAACGAATGCAGGACATGCATACCCGAGAAGTTACGGGGCTTAGAGCCCGAAACCAACAGTTGACAGAATTGGCGAAACAATTCAGTTCATATGGTCACCGAATTACCCGCCGGGAAGAATCGGTAGCGAAACTGGTAGCTGGACGGAATAAACAATCCGCTCCTAGTCAGCAAACATCCAGTCCTAAAGAGCGCGGAGGAAATGACCTTGTCAAGACGGAGTTCAGCGACCTATAGGCATTGGAATATGTTGCCATCAGGGGAATATTTCGCTCATTGAATTCGATCAAGGAGAGCTCGTCTATCTCTCAGAGCTTGGGAAGAGATTCATGTACGACGACGTTCCGAAAGATTTCGCTGAAGTAATCGATGTTTAGATATGGTTCGACATTTCGATCGATCCACCTGGGAGCGGAGACAAAAAATACATTCAATTCTATTCAATCAGACTTTCCAAGATTGTTTTCGCTTGCATATTATATTAAAGATGTTTCGCACACATCAGTAAACCCCGTGTGCATCATTGATCTCCTATGGACGATCGTGCGCTCCTGGCAAGTTCCTCTACTCCTTAATCCTGCCATCTTGCACCATCTCTCTAATCGTCTTGATACTGCTCTCCACCGCCGTCTTCGCCAACTAAACATCCCAAAGTCAGCATCAACTTTGCTACCAAAAGAGAAAGGCCGCGTACAAAGGAAAGGGGGAAAGAAAAAGAACTCACAGCAAGTAACCTCTTCCGCTCTTTCGCCTCCGCCTCACCTGCCTCCACATTGGGAAGGCGGTACTCAAAAACATACGTCATGTGTAGGTCGTCCGGCTCGCCAGATGGACCGTCGGAAACGATGTTGCGGATCTGAGTTCCATCTTGCTGCTCGAAACATACCTATTGCACACCACGGTTAGCAAAAGGGGAATTGGCCCCGATTGTCGTGTATAGGAGAGGAAAGGAATGGCGACGTACCCAGCTGGGTTCATAGCTTGTGACTGTCTCGATGAACTCTCCTCCCGGGCTTGGTCCGCCGAGCTGGAATTGGACTTTGCGTTTCACGATGCCATCTTGGTCGGAGAGGACTTCGCATCCCTTGATAACGGGGACGAATTCCTTTTTCCCTCACACACTTGGTTAGCCCTTTTGGTCTTTGTTATAGAAACTTCTCCTTTCATGCTGCTTTTGGGAGTGGAGGTAGATGACTGATAGGCTGTGTGCCTAGGGAGGGAGGTACGAACCTGTGCGAAGCGGATTTTCCGCTGGAGACCAGCCCAGATCTGGGGGTATGTGAGGACTGGAGTGGCGCCCTCTGGGTTGATGCGGGCGGTATAGGCGAGGTTAATGTTGACCATTGTGTTGAGGATTGGTTTGGTGTGAGATGGTGGAGGATTTATTCTTTCTAGAGGTTGTTTATCGTTGGAATGTTTTGTTCTTATGATGGTTCAAAAAGGACGTAAATGGAATGTAGTTCTTGGGTCGTGTTTGGTTGGAAGGTTAGAAGAGAAGTGATGTTTTGTATTGCCACAAGTATGTGCTGGGTACCAAGATATTTATTTATCTTTGATCTTGGATGTTAGGTGCTGGTTGTCACGCTGCATGCACATCAATTCCGTCGTGTCTCGTCCATTTGCCTTCCAATCCTGCAGGTGTATTTGCTTTACTTGGTAGTTAATTCTTTGGCGGCTACGATGCACTCACTGCAAGTAGGAACCTATGAGGCAAGCCAACGGGCCGCTTCCCCACCAATGCCGATACAGCGAGATTGATTATTCAGTCGCTCCCGTTTGCCAAGCGATTTGTCCGAAGATGCGATTGTCCGAATACCGAGCAATTCAGCGTAAGCAAAACTCGCTTCCTCCCATGTATGTACTCGTGCGGGAAGTGCATACACGGCTGAAGTTTATGATTTCGTCATTGCTGATTATGGCCCCTGTGGGAGGCTCTTGTCTCTAATATTACGTAGTAACTCTGTCCATGCTGCTCTGCCGGAGACAGTTCGCTCCATATAGGACATTTGCCATTTTAGACATATTGTCACGTTAATGAAAGCAAAGCATGTATGAGTAAGTAGGAGGCCCGTAAATGTTGAGTTTAAATTCATTCCAAGTCTATGAAAGGTAACTTTTGAAGACAGTGTTTATATCATTGGGTGTTCTATTTTATCATGAGTCTTGATCGCCTTCAGCTATTGCACATCTGGTAGTTATTGTTTATGCATCCTTGGTGATGTGACCCTTGTTGATCACGAATGCTTCGAGTGCAGCTATACAAAGATTAGTATTTGTCAATCTCGATGTATACATGGTAACTCACAAATGGCAGTCCACAGCCTGTTTTCAGCTTCGGGGTACACAAGCGACCTAGGCCCGTGGAAGACCTCATCGCTGACTTCCTCAGGATGACGAGGCAAGCAATGCATGAACTTCCAGTCGTCCTTTGCGCCACCGCGCTTAGCAAGCTCAGACGTGATCTGGAACCCCTCGAATGCCTTAAGACGTTTGGCAGTTTCCTCTTCTTGACCCATGGAGACCCAAGTGTCTGTGACGAGGATATCCGCGTTCTTGACAGCTTCTTCGGGCACGTTCGTCTCCAACAGGGAACCAGCCTTAGGCGCCGTGGCAGCTGCTTGGTCAATAACTCCACGCATCTCCTCGGGAATCTCGTATCCTTTGGGCGTTGCGACGGCGACATCTACACCCAACTTCGCGGCACCAATGGCGAGGTCAAACAAAACATTGTTGGCATCACCAACCCAAGCGATCTTGAGGCCCTCTAGTCCAAGCGATCCTGCTGAGTTCGAGGGGTATGTTTCGGCAATCGTGAGGAAGTCGGCGAGGGTCTGGAGTGGATGATAGAGATCGGAGAGGGCATTGATGACAGGAGCAGAGGAGTACTTTGCTAGGTCTGCGACGTCCGAATGCGGGCCCACTCGAGCTATGAGGGCTGCAGTCATACTTGACGCGACAACGGCGGTGTCGTATACTGACTCATTGACCTAACTGGTGGTGAGTAGACGGAACTCGATTACTAGAGCGAACTGGATGTGATAACACACATCATGGATTGAACGGGGATACATACTCCCAATTGAATGTCATCTTTGCTCAAGAAAATAGGATGGCCTCCCAGCGCAACGACAGCACCCTCAGCAGACAACCTAGTGCGAGTGCTTCGTTTGCTGAAGGTCATCGCGACTGTCTTTCCAGCCAATCCACTTCGGAGGGACAAAGGCACTTGACCCGTAGGTTTGATAACTGACTTATGGTGGTGTGCATTACGGATGAGTGTGGTGAGTTCTGAGGGAGTAAGGTCTGCTATCGATAGCAAATGTCGAGGAGCAAATGGTGATGTGGGTGGAGCAGCGGGGGACGACGTGGAGACGGAACGCAATTGAGCACGAGGCGAGCTTCGAAAAGCTGTAGTAATTGGTCGTGTAGACGCCATTGGGGATTGCAGAGGTTGAGCGATCAGCAATTGAGAAGAAAATTTGGTGTTTTGTTTTGTGCTGAAGAATAGAAGACACGAGAGATAAAGAAACGATGTGATGCGTCACGAAAATGATAATAAAATCTGGGGTTCGGTGCACGGTCCACTCTGACAGAAGTTGGTATGTGATTGGGCCCTGACTCCCTGAGCTGCTCCATCCCAACTCTGACCAGAGTAGTCTACTCTGCAGTTAGATACTTGTTACCTCGTAGTCTCAGGTATAGAAATATCTTCTACACCTGAAGTAGCTAAGCAAGAATGTCCTGTAGCCAGTTGACAGTCTTGGGGTCCCGCAAAGCGTACATGCATAATGCACATGTTGTAGGCATACACAATAACAGGTACCCAGTGAGAATACTACTAGCAAGGGTCAGCCCGACCTGCCTTCTGTACGAACAAGAGTGGAGAACACATGAACGGACTTGGGAGCCTAGATTGATAAACTCATTCCTTTCTCTTCACTCTAGGAGTCTAGCTAGGTACACCGTCCGAGTCGTGTTGTAGTTGAGTCCATTATTCCATTCTAAGATAAGACGAGGAACACGAGGGAGGAAGGTCACTGTCAGTCATCCTTGGCCCGACCAATCATGCTCCTCCCAACCCCCAGTCCAGGTACCAGGATCTCCGCCGCATTCATGCCATGGCATGGCTCTCGTGTTGATGACGACCTCGATACAAACCTACACACCTACACATACTACCTACATCTACCTTCAACTTCTTAATACGCAAGCCCTTCCATCGCACCTCTGCGCTCGCCTACATAACCTAAACTCGGTGATTCGACACATTACTACGACTCGTTGATGACTGCGACAGCCTAGAGGCCTGTCGTCCTCCCGGCACAGATCATTCGCCCCTCCGCAGCCATGGCCACCCCCGACGGACAGTTCGCCTCGTCCAACGCTCCCAGCTCGCGTCCAGCCTCGCAAAAGTCAGGTCGCTCCTCGCGCTCCTCACGATCGCATCCGTCAAGTCGGACCACAGAGCAGACACCTCTGCTTGCGAATGAAGACAGATCCCATGAAGATGAGCATATAGACGAAGAGGAAATACCCGAAACCCCCGCAACAGCATCGCTTCTCCAGTCCTTGATTGGTACCACAAAGGAAGGGAAATTCTCATCATGGAAGAAGCGATGGCCCAGCATTGTTGCTCTTGTTCTTCTATGCATTGCTGTCATTCTTATCATGCTAGGCTTCTTGGCCACCGAGGGAGTAGAGGAGTACGCCATGCAGGCCGCCGACTTCAAGCCTACGAAGCTCTCCCTCGGCTCATTGACCCATACTGGTGCCAAGATCCACGTTGAGGGGGATTTCAGAATGGATGCTTCCAAGGTCGAGAAGAGCAGTGTGCGCAATTTAGGACGCTTCGGAACGTGGATTGCGCATGAGGTTGAGAGTGGACCTACAGATGTCGATGTCTACCTGCCGGAATACGGCAACGTGCTTCTCGGAACGGCCAGAATACCTGGAATCAAAGTCAATGTTCGCAATGGGAAAACCACCCACGTTTCTTTCGATGCCGACGTAGAACCAGGCTCACTTGAGGGAATTCGCAATATTGCCAACGACTGGATCGATGGCAGATTGGGCCAGATCAGAGTCAAAGGCAAAGCTGAGGTTCCTTTGAAGTCCGGATTGATTCGCCTCGGCAAACAGACGATTGAGAAATTTATGATCTTCCAAGGTTAGCAACCCTCTCTACATTGACACGGTGTTTCCTCACTAATGCATACGTAGGAAATGACGTTCCTTCCTTGCCTGCATACAACATCTCTAAGATTAACATTCACGAGGCTAAAGATGGCAACAAGGGCATGGGTGCTGATGCTGAAATCGACATTACCAATCAGTTCCCACTGCAGCTAACGCTTCCACCGGTAGCTGTAGATGTACTCGTTGATGGCTGCCAGCCGTCAGACAAGCACATAATGGTTGGCACTGCCGAAACTCCGCGTCTAGATGTCGAACCGCATACCGATCTTCACGTTAATGTCACAGGAAACGTTGAGGAACTACCCGATTCTCTGACTGCCATCTGTCCTGATTCCGCCAAGTCACCGCTCGACTCTCTCCTGGGGGATTACATGCACGGCGATGCCGCCACAGTGTACATCAATTGTTGCAAGTTTCCTGATCCAGACACTCCTAGTTGGGCCCGAGATTTGCTTAAAGACATTACGGTTCCCGTACCCTTTGCTGGAAAAGACATGGGCAACCTGATTAAGAATTTCTCCCTTGCCGATGTGCACTTTTCTTTGCCCGACATGTTCGCCGATCCTGATTCCCCGGAAGCATCGCCTAAAATCTCTGCTATCATCAAGGTGGACATCAATTTGCCCAAGGAGATGAACTTCCCCCTGGATGTCGATGGTGTCAAAGCTGATGCTGATATCTACTATCACAATAAGAAGTTCGGGAAGCTGAATCTAAAGAAATGGCAGAAAGCGAACTCGACCATGATTGACGCAAATGGTGATGAGTCAGCTTCACTGCTTGTAGAGGCCCAAATCAAAGACGCTCCTATTGATGTTCTCGACTATGACGTGTTTAGCGAGATCATTCAATCACTACTAGGCGGGAGCAAACCGGTCATGCTAGATATCAAGGCGGCAGTGAGTGTCAAGGTAGACACTCCAATGGGCAGCTTCGCTGTACGAGAGATTCCTGCAGAAGGAGTCGTCCCCGTTAAACGTTCGTGACCTAGTTCGTGATCCTTTTTCTTAGCCGGCCGTTTGGCAGTAGACTGACAATTATTGTGCAGCTATCGGACACGGTAATGGCGATGGCGATGGCGACAAAGCGGGCTTCAATAAGAGTGCTCTAAATCTGCAGATGGGGAACCTTTCCATCATCGACACTACGCGCACATCAATCACCATAGGAGCAATGGCCAATTTGACGAACCCGACTAATTACTCCGCTACTGTTCCATACGTCAATATCAACATTCTCGTCAATGACACTATTGTCGGACAAGCTGTTGGGGAGAACATCTCCGTTCATCCGGGTAACAATACTAACATCGCTGTCAAAATTGTTTGGGATCCATTCACGCACAGCGGAGATAAGGGCAAAGCCATTGGGGCTGAATTTTTATCTCAATATGTGTCTGGTAATTTACCTTCCTAACACTCTATGTGAAGCTATCCCAGGCTGACGTTCATCCCAGGATTCAATACATCACTTACGCTCCAGGCCCACAATGGCACCATACCTGCCCAACCGGGTATTGGCTTCGTTCTTTCCAGTCTGCCAATAACATTCCCAACACCTCGTCTCAACACCCCAAAGAAGCCAAACGACGGCGACGGCGACAACGATCCAGACAATGATCCGCCTTCAGAAGACGGCAAAACGCATTTTATCCGCGGCGCAACAATGCATATCATATCCAGCACTGCAATATTCACACTCTCCTCACCATTCTCCTCAACAACCCTCTTCATAACCAGTCTGAACGCAACGTCCTACTACGATGGCCACCCATCCGGCAAGATCTTGTACGACCTTCCCTTCGCCGTACCCCCAGGTCTCTCTGACACTCCACGCTTGCCCGTGGATTGGAGTATTGGCAGTATAGGATACGAAGCGATCAAGAAGGCGCTGGGTGGTACTCTGCAGCTCAGCGCGATCGCAGACGTAGGCATCCGGATCGGGCAGTGGAGAGAGCAGATTTGGTATAAGGGTGGCAAGATCGGTGCGCATGTTCGATTGTAAAAGACGAAGCGTGCCTCATTTTGGGATCCTACTGTCGGCTCCCTACATTAGCGAATATAAACGCATCCTAGGCTAGGTTACGTCTTTGTGTGTACAAATAGGGATGGCAGACATATCGTACCATATATGCCATTTTGCGGGGAGTTTTTGTTTTTGATATGTGTATTGGTTCTATCCGGGTAGATTACTTTTTGGCAAGCGGCGCTCATGGCGTATCTTATTTTAATGGACTGGTGTACGTTGTACTTCCTCAAAATCATATCTTTTGAAGCCCTTTTTCTAGACATCAAGCAAAGAACAGGATGGACTTTGCTGTCGCGAAGATAGTGAACCCTGCTTTTCCCTCCCTTTCCTGATACTTCCGTTCACTATGGTTCCCATACAGGACATGCGATCGGCTAATCCGGGAAAATGTGGAACATACTGGTCAAAGGTCTACGGTATCATTATGCCCATGGCACTTTGAAGCGCCCTTTCCCCTTGATTAGATTGCACAATGCTCAGTCTTATAGAAATAGGTATGAATCAAGTATCGGTTGATGGAGGTATAAACAGAACTCAAGTCACGGACTCATGGATGAAACAGGACTTGTAAACGCGATACTAATCTAAATTGAGCTTGGCACACGATGAATGCACTCGTACTGTACCGTGGCCTTGGTACTGTATGTACTTCCAACGGTAAAACTGTTGCGGCGTAGGCGTAGTGAGTTGGGAGCTAGAACCTGTAGCGTTGAACTGATAATGGAATGGTCACAACGGCTTTCCGTATCGCCCTCTCGGCATTCTGGGGCAAGCAAATCCTTAAAAGCTCGTAGAAGCGTCGTATCAACTGGACGATGTTTCCGAATTGGGGTGCAGTACATGTCTCGCCAGCGTGACACGTTTGAAGATATACGAGTACCGAATCGGTCTTTCAGGCTGTTGTTCTTGTTCTTGGGTTCTTCGGCCGCAGGTCCCGGTACGGGGCTGTTTGAAGTCGAGACTTGATTAGTCCCAAATGGGATTAGCGGACGGACCCACCAGTGCAGAAGGGCCCCTTGCGCTTGCTATCTTGACTCGCTCGCCCGCCACGCCACGCCATTAACCAACGATTACCCATACCCATACCCATACCCATAGCACAATGAACGCCGGACAGGCTGTCTTCTCTTCAGCAGTCGCAGCAACAGCAGTAGCAGTAGCAGCAACGGCAACGGCAGCCTCGTCACCCTCGACCGCTTCGAAAGCCTCGCCATCCACATGAGCACGCTCACCATGAGCAACGACTCTACAAATCCCGTCTCCGACGAACAGGTGCTCGCCCTTGCGAAAGCTGCCATCTCCCAGTCTCGCGACGACATCAACCAGAGAGCCGTGGCTGACACGGGACCCCCGCGAGAACTGCAACAGCAGCAACCCGGTATAACGATCGATCTTGGTCATAACGGCATCACTCACCTCCCAGACGAGGTCATTGACGTTATCAGAGCTGAAATAGAAAGGTAGGCTCAACCTCGTTCTGCCGTGCTTATGACATCTGTGAAAAGTGGCATGGGCAACTTTACCTGCTCCGCCATTTGCTAAACTTCGCAGACTTGCCCTCTCCCACAACCTTCTATCGACACTTCCTCTACGCCTTATAGAATGCAAGCGCCTCCGGTATTTAAATGTGCGCTATAATGCCATGCGCGAGATCCCCGATGCCGTTCGTCCGACCCATTCCCGCAAAACCATTGACAGAGCGTTGTGAAGCTGATACAGATGCAGATTCTCGGATTGACATCGCTCGAGATTCTTGACGTCAGCAGAAACAAGATTACGGTCATACCCCCGCGGATCGCTAACCTGACTTCCCTGAAAGTTCTCGCTATCGCAAAGAACAAAATCGAAAAGCTCCCAGTCTGCCTCGGTGATATCAACAGCCTGCAGGTCCTCAAGCTTGATGGCAATCCACTAGTATTTCCTCCACCAGACGTCTGTACGATCAAGGATAATGCACCCTCCCCAGCCAACGAGAATGAGCGGGATGTGGTTATTGCAACCCAAGTGAAGAAATTCATGCGGCTTCATGCGACGAAGGAGAAACAGAGGGTTGAGATTGAGAAATTGCGGGTGGAATCATCCGGGGATGAGAGGTTGGTCACTCGGAAGCTTTCTTAGTTGATAGGCCGCAAACTAACACCTAAGCAGCTGGACCGAGAGTAATCCTGAGACCCCCCGCCCCTCGAGACGTATCAATGGAGGTAGATTTCCTGTCAAACCTAGTGTTGGGAGTGTTGAAGGCTTTAACGAAAATCGACCCGACTCTCCAAATCTCATGCCGCCTCCGATACCTACAAGGTCACACTACCGCATGCCATCGCAGCAGAGTAACGGTGGATTTTCTCGAAAACCTGAGCTTACCCCTCTTATATTGACGAACGGTACCAATGAGAGAAATCGAAGCCAGAGCGATGGCGCAGGCTCTGCAACCCATCGACAGAAGCGCATGGGTATCTATACGAATAAGAATTCGGAGTTGGGCTCTGTGGACGAACTGAAAAGAACAAGCCATTTTCGAGGTTTCAGCCAAGGTTTTGTGGTACCTGGTAGTAATATGGGCAATGGTATATCAGGTCCGGCCACTGCTATAGGGTATGGAGATATGGCAACGATGCGGTCTATGGCAAATCGTCCTCTGTCCGATGTCCATGAACACAGACGAGGCTCCAGGGCCCCTGACGTCGTCGTGGAAGCCGCCAAAAACTTCCTATACGCAATATCGCAAATGCACGACACCATCTCAGTCATGATGCGCTCCATAAAGAGAGCCGATCGTTCCAAGGAAGGGATACGACGAAGAGACGACTTCAACCGTCGGTTTTCTACAACTTATCTGCATGTGCGTGCTTTGAGCGAACTCTTGCAACGTTTCGACACTCTGGCCGAGGAAGATGAAGAGGATGCTCACAACATATCTCAACACGTATACGATTACACGCTGAAATGTCTCGACCTCTTCATGTCAGTCATGCTTTCGATCGCGGAATGTCGAAGTGATATCACGCAGCATGCAGAACCTCGATTCCTCCGTACGTTTCTCTTCCTCCAACAGAGCAGTTTGATCGAAATGAGGAATGCTTGCCAAATTCTTGGGGCACAGTTCAGGGAGATAGCAGTGATGCCCCGAAGACCCAATCGTAGTGATGCCATGGCCACAATCCGTGCTCGCCCACAGAAACCTCGAAAATACCAGGCTTCGCCGCCTCAGAGAGGTGGTCACTACAATATGCCGCCACCTGTAGTACTCCACAGTAACGATAGCAGCCGCACCAACACCTTGACAAGCATCACTGCAGCGACACCGCGGTCGGGCGAATCATTCTCTACTTTAGCCACCATCACGCGGACGAACACGCTGACTAGCAGCTTCGATGAAGCTGAAGAAGACGCACAATTCGAAAGAGTGTATAGCAAGCTCCGCAACGCATGTGATACCTGCCGAAACCACATACCTCAGATATCAAGGCTGTTGAAAGGCAACTTCGAGCTTTTGCGAAGAGAGCTAGATTCGGACGATCCCAAGATCAAGGTCCTTGCTGGTCTAATTGAGAAGAGTAATATGGTTCAGGAGGCAACGAGTCCGCTAGCACAGGCTCTTTCACAGATGCAGCTTAAGGACAGGTATACTAGGAGTCAGCCTGTTCTCTGGCAGCAGTGCATGAACTTCATCAAGGTTCGTTTCACAAGCGCATTTTGTTTCACAGCAACGGCAGCGACACTAACACTTAATAGGCATGGGGTGAACTTGCATCAGCCAGCACTGGGGACGGTCGCAATATGGGACTCTTGAGCCCTGAAGTAAAACAACTCATGAAGCCACTGCACAGGACAGTCAAAGAAGCCAGTCTTGCGATCAACGATTCGCCCTGGTCACATCTCACATCCAACAATACGGGACTGATGGGCCCACCATCTCTGTCGTCTTTCACCTCTCGCACTCAACCCCCCAAGTTCCTCAACAAAAATCTAATGGTAGCAAATGGCGGTTCTACTGTACCTAATCCGATCAACACGTCTATCACCTCTATCGCGTCGGCGTATTCCCAACATTACCCGACGCCCAGCCTCACAGCCAATTCCACATCTGGGGGCTTCGCTACTCCAGTTCCTGCAACGCCGTTGAGTGCAGCCCTAGGCGCCGCAGCGCAAGCTACAGTACCCAACACGCCAAATCATATGCCACCACCGCCTACTCATAACAGTACCATCAACGTATTCGAGAGGGCCGACAGATTATTGAGCCAGACGGCACGGCGGGCCTGACTAGCCGTCCAGCCGGATATGAGGGTGGACGATAGACTGCTGGCAGACATCCCATACATTCCCAGATGAAGTATGCATGGATGAACCCCGCGAAGATTCATTGATCGCTCCAGCATCTTGACACTTGACCAAAACCCTCTATCTCGTCAACCGACGTATCTGGCTACAGTATCATACACACTTCACAAAGCTTTTGCTCGAGTGCTTTTGATTTTTTTTTGTTTGTTATATCTTTGTCTCTAGCGATGGCGTTTCTGTGGTGGGGATATCGGACGCTTTCTTTTCCCCACAAGGCATATGCATAAAGAATGGTGTTGATTTTTTATCGTGATTTTTTTTAAGGGAAAGGGAAAATGAACAAACTGTCCCGTGGGGAGCGATGCCTGACTCCACAGTTGTCGTCTGGGTTTGTGGTGTCCAGATTTTACATAACAAGGATTTGCGTAATGGGAAAGAGTGAGGACGGGAAGCAACACAATGATCTCGCCTTTTCCCTTTGGATTTGGGCTCTGCAATGAGAGAAACAGGAACGAAGGTGGAAATTGAAGGGTTTCATACCATCTTGTATAGATAATAGCCATGGCACATGATCTTGTTTCCAGGCTTTAGAAAGCGTCTGGGGATTATCTAGAGTATGATCACGTCGCTAATATCTCGTAACTTGCGAGTAGTAAAACTGCTTTTTGTGACAAGCCAAATGCCCTTCCACAACCCTTGAACCTACAGAGGTGACCTGGCATATCCGGCCCTGATAGCATTGATCAGCAACGAATTAGAACTAATGTTCTGGGTGGATGGTATCTATCTAGCGGCGCTTTCAAAATATACGCATCTGAGTTTAGTTTGTTCATGCAAACCTATCCTCTTGAGCATTTTGATCCTTTGTAACGCACAGTGGCAATGTTTGTAATCGTGCAACCAATATATTGTAACCAATTGACGGCACAACCGCATTGCGTTTTTAGAAGTCTTTCAAACTTATGAAGGCTTACACAACATCATCATCATCGCTCTCTTCTTCATGGTCGTGAGCCATTCGAATAGTGTTCCCGACCAGGAAAAATGTTTAATTATTCTACATGTATGTAGCTACTATGGAACATTAAGCCAATAAGCTCAGTATCCTATCTTCATTTACCGATGACGAATCATTCTTGTAATATATCATGTTCAACGAAGCCGGTATGATTGGAGCAAAAAAGAGGAGGTTCTGGCATGTCAGTGATGGGGAGAAAGAAAATGTAAGAGAGAGACTTGCTTGTAGAAAAGGTGTATGCTTGATAAGTAGTGAAAACGATAAATATCACCTGTCTCGCTACCTTTCTTAACGATCTACTAATGCTCAAATGGTTCAAAACATTCCTTCGCTGTGCTGTACTTGACCGATGATCCATTGCGGCGATAATGCCCCCATATGTCTATCTTCTCAACGACAAATTTATACATGAATTGCGCGTAGGCCATATCCGCATCTAATAAAGTCTGTCGGAAATTGTTTGCTGCAGTTGGGGAATCATCCCATTGGATCGTCTCTGAAGTTTGGACACAGGTCAATAATTTCAGCAAAACCATCTTCTGGGTCGCACGATGCTCATATGTTACATAGTCACAATGTTCGAGGCATGTTTCTTTCATTGCACGAATATGCGCTAGTCAATGGATGGCGCCAACTTGGCTTACACCTGCCAACTGCAAGTGCCAACCAAAAACTCTTTCAAACTAGTGTGACCACTGTGTCATAAGCACCTAAGTGGGTAGTAATGAGTGGCTTAGCGTGCAATATTTTGATCACTGGAAGGCAGGAAGCCGACCGGTTTGGTATTCATTCCTCGTCTTCATTTTTGCATAACTACATAGGTCATCTTGTCCGAAAATTTTGTCAAAATCGAGATGAACATGCTCGCTCCCCTGGCGCAATGGTAGCGCGCCAGACTTCTAATATGAAGTATTGAGCTTTCTCAAAACCCGAACTTCGTTGTCCAGAGATCTGGAGGCTGCGGGTTCGAGCCCCGCGGGGAGTGCATTTCTTTTTGTCCTTTTTTTAGGCAAGTTTGTCGTCTAAGTTACTGAGTGAATTACATATATCTACATACATATGTTATGAATTAGACCGCGAAATGTATTACATTGTGGTAATTCTCTTTTTGGCTGCCTTCTAAAAGATGTAGTGTTTTGAAAAGAGTGACTCGACCCTGCAAACAACGGTCCGAATGTGTTGAACTTGTTGCTCTCAAGCTAGGTCCGCATTACTACTAATAGTAACATCCAATCCTTGCTTTATTTGAATTCATTTGATGAAACTAGATAGATATATAAGATATGGTTATTACACAACAATGTCATTAGGAAAGACTGAACTGTTGTTCTGATAACAACTGCTTCGTACACCCGGCCTTTTACAACTCCAGTAAATACTAACAAGTGCGTGGGTTGAGTGTAAACTTCCAGAAGTGGAGCATGCCTGGAGGTGTGAATGTGGGGTACTTCGGTATGTGATCCCCTTGTCACCACGCGACAGCCGTGACGCTGAGTGATGTGTTCCGCATATCTTGGAGGATGTGGGGGCGTTGCAATGATATAGCCGGGTTAAAATAGTCCTTGTGCGACCAACTGGTTTGTGGATTGCCCAAACCTTTATGTTCTCGCGTTATTTATTCTACACAATTGGCTGGGCTACTTACGAGAAACCACGACAGTGCTCGAATCGAATTTCCGAATGGCTGTTCGCTTACAGGAACAGGATTTGCGAGGGAAAATAGCTCTGGTAACGTGCGTCTCATCTGCCCATTAAAATTCCCCTGTTTGCGTCTCAACAGCCCATGTTTGAATGATTTGCCATTCCCTCCCATAATCAAGGCAAAACTGCTGGAAAGGTTCATAATTCATTATGCACTCTGGATGCAGCGATTGCGAAGACTTCACACAAATCAAAGAAAACGGGCCCACCTTCGTCGTAATAAGTCCCACAATTCTAGATACCATCTAGAACCTGCGTCCGAACCGAAGCCCATCTAGAGCCGCGAAACTTCCTCCAATAAAGATCCATAAGTCATATACCTCTTGGTGTCTTTGGCCATGAATCAAACATAAAAGACTTTCCGTTGAGCAGTCTTGCTCATCATGTGGCATGCGCTCAAATAAGGAGAGTTGTTACTGAATATGCTCGTTGGATGGGAGGAGGATTGTGCTTGATGTCACAGGCGAGATTGATCCTGCGAACGACAATTATGTCGTAACTTCCTACAAGCATTCCTGTATGCCCATTATGGTCGCCATTGGTCCTGATATTTTTGATGGAATTGTTCCTAGGCTAACAATGCGATATCCAGAGGAGCGACAAAAGGTATCGGTCGGGCGATTGTCCTTGATCTTGCGACACGGGGTGCATCAATCCTGGGTACCTATACGCATCCTTCGTCGAGCCGCCTCTTCGATACCCTAACCGAAGATATCTTCAACATTTATTCCTCCTCTTCAGAGTCGTGTGAATCCAGCCTCAAGCATCCCCAAATCGTTGGCATAGCTGCGGATATTACGTCCCCCAATAGTCCATTGGTCATCCTTGATGCGTTACGTCAACATTTCGATTCCAGAGTCGATATCGTAGTGTTCAATGCGGCGGTCATGGGGCTTGCGAAGATGGGCGAAGGTGGCTTGACGGAAGCCTTCATAGGGCAAGCGTTGAGCGGGAATATACAGTTTCCCATAATGTTGATGGAAGGTCTGGTGACGGGAAGTTATATAGGAAGAGACGGTCGGGTGGTCGCAATCAGTAGCGATGGCGTTAGGTCGAAGAGACCTCCGGGAGGGTGAGTAATGCATTAATTCTTCCGGCGCGATAAGATAATATGTGGGGGACAGGTGGAAACCTACAATCAAAGCCCGGAATATCTCGAAGACGATGCCACGCAGTGTTGATTGTCTTGCAAACTGCTATTGGTGGATTACAGACCTCTCTACTCGATAATAGAGCAAAAGGATTATCAATTCTTGGAGATTGGTCACGACCGCTTCTTCATAGGCGTCCAAGAGGTGGCTTCCGAGATACTAGCACGCAAGACGGTCCGAAGGAGTCAAATCATGGCAACGTGATGGTATCTTCAAGAAAAGTTTCCGTAGAAACGTCGCTGTAATGCCATACTCAGTTTCAGGCTAACGGGACGTTCTCAAATAGATCCGTCTATGGTGCCACCAAAGCCGCGCTAGAATGCATTATGAGGTGAGTTCGGTTCTAGGCAATCCTCCAACACAATATTGTAGACCTATCACGGAAATGTTAACGACTCATGCATATCAGGTCTTGGGCCGATGAACTGGGAACTCGCCCTGGTATGGAAGGAACAACATTCAATTCGGTCAGCGTGGGTTTCACGAAGACGGAAGCCTATCATCGAATACCGCCCGAAATCCGAGAAAAGATCACCAAAGCCGATGCAGCAGATGTGGCAGTGGGGAATCGAATTGGAGAAGTAGAGGACGTCGCAGATGTGGTAGGGCTTTTGGTCGGCGACAAGGCGAGGGTAAGTGTCATTTCCTTCGGACAGGTGGAGATATTTACGCGACATTTAGTGGATCAGTGGTAGCGTAGTTGATGCCTCCGGAGGACGGGTAAAGATCATGTAGCCTGAAAGAATAGGAACAATCTAATGCAGGAGAACCCATTGCCAGATTGATTTGATGATCCAAAATTCAGTACTGATAGCAGTGTTGTTAGAAGGGTACTTTCACTCACGGGTTGATAAAGCCGAAAGCAAGAATGATATAGAAAACGTAGCCCGAAGAACTCAACCGTGTGGGGAGATACTGGATTGACCCGATCTTTCTGTCTTACGTCTGTCTTCTCGAGTGAGGTAAGGACACATCATGATAGTCTTAAAGATAATTTGTTTGATGGTGGAATTTGGGGCGAAGAACTCTTTGGTTAGGATGAAAATGTGAACCCATACACTCTGTGCGCCCCCACGCACTCTCTCAAATTGTCGACACGCCACTACTTTATGTTCTATTGTAGGTGGATCAATATATCGGAGTCTAGAAGGTAGACCTACAACTTCAAGTTTTGTAGTACCTAAGGGCTTGAAGAGGCAGAGTCTCAAACCCGACTTTTGGATTTAGCGTAGGCAGAACGTTGAGAATGTGCTGTATGCTCACGACGGTACAGCTTCAGGGTACCGTGGTGATTATCCAAACAGTTCCTGACGATCTGCCGAGACATGCTGTCATACACGACTGGTGAATGCAGTGATCTGGCCGCCATTTGCATAGCAATTGTTCCTAGCGTTCTTCCAGAAGACCCGCAGGGTATTACCGCCGCCGAAGACCGAGATTGTAGCCTCGAATTCAGCCTTATAAATTGGACGATCATCAGTTCAAAAAATGACGCCATGCATCACGACAGGGTATTGATGTAAGGCATCGGTGGACTCTATTTCGAGTCTCAGTAGTAGTTGAAGTAGCACAGTCCATAGTTGTGGGGTGACGCTCTGGAAAACGAAAATCTTGAGATAGTCGTGCTTCTGCTGCTGTAGCCTATGCTGAATCTAACTCTTGCCCGAATACTACATTGTTTCTTGATCTGTCGATAAAGTCATGATCGAAGACTACCCCATACTAGTTTGGTCTGAAAACCAGTAGGCCCGAAGCTCGTGATACCGCATTCATCTATACCTCGTGGTTACTGCCGGCTAAATGTTATAGGCGGGTAAAGACAACTCATCGATTGCGATCGTGAGGTTGAAAAATGAACCGGTTAGCAAGGTAATATTCATTTCTCATGTGACTGGGTTTGAATTGTTGTTTTGAATTTTGGAGAGGGGTTCGCTGTTTCACTGTTTCAAACCAAGAAGACCTGCCGTGCACTGGGGTGAATAGGTTAACGTTATGTGGCTGGAACTGCATTTGGTCGAGGAAAGGGCGTCGAGGGCATTGATAAGAGAAACTCGACAAAGATCAAGACCATATCGAGTAGGAATATATCGACAGTGTCACGGAAAAGGGTTCGGCAGCCACCAGAGAGGTAATCCGTATGTGTGCATGCACTAATTACAAGTGCCTGACTTGCAGTAAGCCTCATGTAACTAGGTTCCGTTCCGGATAAGGTGACCACTCTAGAGTCTAGGATAGACGGGATTCGTCTTTTCGGAAAGGGAGGTGGGTGTACATGAGGGGTGGCAATCTTCCACCCGGTGTGGTCTCGAATCGAGGTTTATGAATTGTATGTGTGTGTATCTACTATTTGCATCCGTAATGAGGATTATGATGCGTAGTCGACTGGTCACCGTCGGATGGAGACATTGGAGAGATGATGATATGGGACGGTGAATGGTACGGTATTATGTACGTGCAGGCGACGAGAGAATGGGATCCCACCAATCGTCGACGTCCGATTCGATCTTGTTTCACGATCAGTTCCCCAGATACGTTGGTAATAGACGGAGTGCGAACGGATACGGCGAGGTACGGGAAGTGTCTGAGAAGGAGATGGAATTTATGCTTGGCTCTTGGGGCAGTGGATGTAGTGGATGTCGAGGATGTGGGTTGTGATGGGGTAAGGGGAACGGGGTGGGACGGGGGTGCGGACGGCGGCGAATGAAAGGCCGAGGATGATTGGTGCGAAATTAACGCCGTTAGCGACCCCATAAGAAAGCTAACGGATAAATTCGAATCCCAGCATTCGGCGCAGAGCCCTGGATGTCTTGCCCCCAATTCACTACCAATTCAACTGCCCGACCATGCTTCCACTCAGTACTAGACCCTTTCCCGAACGGCATATTCACAGTCCAGCCATACGACGCTGCTGAAAAGCTCTGTCAAATTCGTGCGGACCTTGCGGAATCTCGAGTCTTCCGTATGGACATGGTATGGTGCTACTTCGCTATCAGTCCAGTCCTCAAGCCGGCGTCGATCAATCCCTCCGACTGGTTTATATCTCAACTATACTGCATTCCTGCTACCTGAATCCGCTGGCCGCGCGTGAAACTCCTCATATATCGCCCCACCGCCTCCAACCTGCGCACATCTCGGCGGAGATGGTAGAGACGGCCCTCGAAGCCTGCCAGCCGAATACCTCCCGCCGCATCTTCGTAGAAATCCAGTGCCGCATCAACGGCTTCAACGTCTACGGCTAACAATTCAGTCTTGCGCATTCAACCCTACCCGCTCTCGACTGAGACCTCACTCAAGATGGCCACCATGATTGAGGCAGGGAGCCTCTCCACCACCACCACTACCCGCCTGAAGGATACCGCCGTCGTCGAAGTATTGGAGGTGCCAAGCGGAGCTAAACCTGCGCTGCTACTTATACATAACGAAGGCGAGGGGGATATTGTCAGCGCTTTTGCGGATGTCCTGGGACAGAAATGGGAATCGGCTTCAACGATACTTGAGGTACAGGATGGACCTAGCGAGACCGTTTATGGAATGCCGTCCAGTGCGGTCGGGCCCCAACTGGACTCGTGGGATCGCTCGAGATTGGTAATTAACACACACTGCGTAGATGGGGGACACACACTCGACGAGACTCTGACTGAACGCTGTAACTACGAATACCTTTACACAAAGTCGCCTTTCGTCCGGCGAGACGTCGCGCGCTTCCTCTCTTTTATACTCGGACAAATTGGACATCATCGTGACTTGGCGAAGAAGGCGCGCACCACTCTTATCTCGACAACCTTTCCAGATGTACACGCAGCATTACCGAATCTGGACATCCTTTCAGTCGGTGCCGATGCGATTGAGATCCGGGTTGACTTGTTGCGTGAGCCCTTGCCGGGCGGAGGGTTCAGCAACGTTCCAAGTTTGAAATATGTGGGAGAGCAAGTCATGACGCTGCGACAACGTACAGAGCTGCCCATCATCTTCACGACAAGGTGTGTCAACGAGAACGGCCGATTTCCTATGGACGATCCCTCGCTCTTTCTGAAGTATCTGTCGCGTGCGATTCAATGGGGGTGCGAATACATAGACGTAGAGCTGTGGTTGCCGGAGGAGATCCGGCGCGAATTGGCAGAGAAGAAGGGAACCAGCAAGATCATCTCGGCATTCCACGACTTTTCAGGGAATTTCAAGTGGACGGCGCCGCGGACGCAGGAGCTTTTCGAGCGAGGAGCCCAGTATGGCGACGTGGTCAAGATATACGTGCTGGTCAATTCGATGCAGGACAACTACGAGCTTGAGTACTTCCGGTCGACCATCCAAACAAAGTACCCGCACCCGCCCTTCTCAGGACTCAACATGGGTCCCACTGGTCAACTCTCCCGGACTCTGAACAGGATATTCACCCCCATCACCCACCCACTGCTACCTATGATTGCAGCGCCGGGACAATTAAGCGCAGCCGAGATTAATACAGCACTTCACAGCATGGGTCAGATGCCCAAACTAGACATATACGGCATCGGAAGTTTCCGGTCGACGTCGCAGGCCATGTTCTTCGAGAAGTGCTTCAACGAGCTGGGGCTGCCACATCAGTTCCTTTTCGCAGAGAGGGCGCCAAAGGCATCGGTAGATCACATACTGCGACGGCCAAACTTTGGAGGCGCATACATCAACCCGCCACTGTCAGCAGCCAACAGCCGCATCCCTACGCTGTCGAACGCAGCCCGGGCGATCGGACAGGTAGACACGGTGCTGGTGCCTCAAGAAGGGGGGAATGGCACCTTTGTAGGGGACAATGCGACGTGGAAGGGGATTCGGGCAACGCTGACCCGAGATTTTGTGCCGTCCGCATACAGTGGACAGGCCGCCTTGCTACTAGCGAATGCAGAAGCGGACGCAGCCGCATCCATATTCGCGCTCAAGAGCCTGGGCATCGGACCGGTGTACACGATAGGATTCAAAGCCCATGGGTCGCTCGCCGCAGAGGTGGTACCCGTACGGTCTGTGGAGGACGTGAAGAGGTTGGAGCAGCCGTTCGTCATTATATCGGCACTACCAGCAGAGAAGTCATTGCTGGTGGTGCCTCTACTGAAGCACTACCGTGTCGACGGTCGGAATGGAAATGGATTCGCAAGCCCAGGGGGGAGGGGCGTGGTTGACAAAGGCAAGTCGGCAGGGAAAGTATTTGTCGACTTGGCGAGCGGTCCTCGCAAGGCGGACCCGCTTTCAATTGCTACGTCCGCGGGCTGGACCGCGTATGGGATCGGGGATGTGTCTGCATGGACGACGGTGGAGACGATACGCCTGCTTGTTGGGCAGAACGTGTGTTACGATTTCGTGTGTCTGGCTTCGGGTCGAGGACTCTATTAGAGACGCACACACACACAGAGAGAGACACGAAGTGAAATTTTAAAGCGCACCAATACCTCTTTCCTTCCCTTCCTTCTTCTCTCTACGGATATCAGTGTACATACATACATGCATAGGAATTATATTGCTCTGTCGAAGGGTGTTCCATGAAAGGCGAATACGTGACATGTTGTGATACTCTCTGAAGCAATGGTGGGCATTATCACAATTTGCGCCCCCCCCTCTTCTTTCCCCCCTTCCCTTCCTCGGAGTAAATTATGGATCGGGGAAGGAGGGAGGAAGGGTAGGGAGAGAACCCAGAGGAGAGGTGGGTGCCAATCAATCAGTCCACTTCCCACTCCCAAACACGCCAGCGAGGGACACAAGACGGCATGTAATGGTGGTGATGATGAGCGGTGACGATCAGGGATTACGGGTCACGCAAAAGAAGAGATGTAATCATGTCCGGGTTTGGAAACAGAAGAGAGAGAGGGAGTGCACGAGTCATAAGCGAGTGAGCAAGCGAGTTGGACCTTTACAAATAATGTACTTGTACGAAGTAGGTGTGCAACGGGCGCAGAGTGACGTCTGGGTTCTGACTTCTATCTGCACCTCATGGATTGTGTAGATAGACAATTATTGCTTCGTTAACTAGATACGGTGTGGAGTTGGATATTTGTGGTACACTCCGCATACGGAGTATGAACGCGTACAGAGGGTTGGCAGTGTCGGGCTGGCCACCTACTAGCTTCATGTATCTTCTGAAGTAGCTCTTTAAAAGTGCACTGTAGCCAGTCAACAGTCTTAGATCTCGCGAATCTCCTGTTGTGGGCATAGAATACAAATACTACCAGCCGGCCAGCCTGACGTGCCAACCCTCTGTACCAGGTGCAGAACCTAGGACGATTAAACCTGGGAGATGAAACCTGGGAAGCGCTGAGTTGATATTGTAGGTACAGTAGATGTAAGCGCCCGACGTTTAGCCATGTGTGTATGGCGTAGATATGGTGTATAGTGCATGGTGAGCAGTGATGGTGGTGGTACAAGTACTGTGCTGTGAGTGTTCAGGAATGGAAGTGTGAGGTGTGCAACTGTACGTGCAGGAGGTGGAACGAAAGGTCATTGACCATTGGCTCGTTTGGCAGGTTTTGCGGCCTTACCCCAGATTCCACGGGAACGTCTAGAAGGAAGACCCTACATACGAGAGATTAGGTAGATAATTTCATTGGGATGAGAAGGGATTGTGGAATTGTGGATGTTCATGGGTTGGCCGTTGACTCGATGGGATTGAATGGCTTTGGATGAATGGGCCCCTCCTCTCCCCGTGCTTCGCCCTTCAACCACCACAGCGACCACACCCTTCCACTGCCTCCCGACGCCATTCCACTCCCAGCCAGGAGCCTGGAAACCCCGTAATCTATTCGGTTCCGATGTGCAAATTGCCCAGGTACCTACATATTGGTACAAGTCCGGAGGAGAAAGAGAAGATTGGAGAGCAGGGCAGGACGCACGCACGGAGCTCAGGACAGAACGGATGACGGTTTGCGTGCGTGTGGAAATGTGCATGCAAGTGGGTGCGTGGGCAAAGCGTGGTCATGGCATGGAAAATGTGTTCCACAGCGCCATCATATCGTACCTTGTATCGTACCACGCAATCCACTACTACTTATTACATGCCTACCTACTAACTAACAGCTACAGGACTGGCCGATACCGAGGTGGGAGAAGTCTTTAAGGACACAAAGCACAAGCCTTCAGTATAGATAGGATTACTGTTACACTACGCTGCTATGACACTCGCGAGAGTGGAGACGACGGCAACTTGTAACTTGGTGCTCGGGAATGAAAAGGAGATTTTTTTTAATTGTCTTCTTCCCTGAAATCTGGACGGGGGTTGGGACGAGATCACGACCCACCACCGGAGCAGAGGGTTGTCAGCAGTTTGTGCTCGAAGCTAGTGTGTGGATAGACTGCCAGAGATGGGATGGCCGGAGTGGAAAGAGTTGGCACAATGGTTTGATGGTTTGATGGCTTGATGGCGGCTCGATGCCTCTGTAGATCATCACGGACTGTGCCATCGCCAGTACACCGCACCACATGTCATGCAAAGCCCGTGTCGGGTGTCTAGAAGAATCTTTGGATGGGACGAACGAACGAAGGAACCAGTGAACCGACCAACCACAGGACAGGACGAAAGGACGAAAGGACGACTATTCTTGTACGGTTGTCACTATCGTTTGATCCATTTTCCATTTCCCCCATGCCAGACCCCTTGTATTTGTACATATTGTACGGAGTACAGAGTAGGTATGGGCATGGACTGCATGGTTCATCAAGCCCCCTGTTACAATGCTACAGATGGCCCGAGGCTTAACCTACTTGGACCTACAAGAAATAACACTGGCCTACCTTTGAGCCTGGATAGACTGGGGAGATAGGGACATGTCTTCGAGATCACGGCCGGCCGCCAGTAGTCAGTCCTAGTCAGCGGTTCGACTAAATCGTTCCTAAGCCCAATTACCCTTAACCCTGATCATCTCTCTCTTACAAGTACTTGTACTAACTCACTTGACTCTCCGTATCTATCTAGGTAAGGAGGCCTGATAGGTTACTAGTTAGGTAGGTAGGTGGTTTGTGCTTTAGATATCTAGAGGTAGGGAAGAAAGAGGCTCGGGATTGACGATACAAGATTCGCTACAGGTAACCGCCTACCAATCCTAGTCCCATCTTTCCGGCCGGCTGTCTATTCATATTTGAGTCTTGTAGGTAAACATGCATAGTAACTGCACTACTAATTACTGTGTACATAGCTACTCCGTACAGTAACTAAGGTACCTATACAAGTGACAACAAGTACCAGTACCTTAGGCAGTTGACTACTGTACAGTGCATATAGACTTTCCCTACACTAATTAATTGCTACGAAGTACTCCCATTGACGATTGACCTAACTGTTTCTACCCCGACTCCCCTCAATATCTCATCCCCCTCCATCTCCATCTCCATGTCCATCTCCATGTCCATCTCCGCATCCCCAGCAAACCTTGACGCCCGCCGCCCATGATCGACCAGAATCAACGGAACGGTCAACTTCCATTCCCACCCCCATCTCGTCTCATCCACCCCATCCCATCCCATCTTATGCGCACACCAATCCGCAATCCTTCCAACTGCCACTAAACCACCACTACTGCTAGTTCACGATCGTCACGCGCCCTTCCCATCTTTTTACTCGCATACGGCATACCCTCCTGCATCCTCCACACTCGCATGTTTTTCTTTGCGCCTCACCCCTCGTCACTCGCAGCCGCGCTACTGAGTCGTGTTCTGTCGGAGCTCGAGCTCCCGCACCGCACCGCACGAACCCACCCAACGATCTATTGTTTTGTATTGTATTATTCTTGGACTCCGTATCGAACTGTCACAGACTCCATCCCTCTTCCTTGTCGTTGTCATTGTCGTTGTTTTGCAACTGGCAACTGAATGATGTGATGTAGAAAACCAAAAGGTGGTGGCGGACTCTATCATAGTCGGCAGTAATCAACATAAGCCACGATATATGCTTGCAATACGGAAGACCTAGAACGTTACACGACCTGAAGTTCCTACTGTGTATGTGAATACTGTTCCGTACCCCGGACCTACAGTGTCTCTTAGAGTACAGATGAACAGAACAATCCAGGTTCGCATGCGCACACCCATACAGGTACTTGTACTAACCACCTAACCTAAGACCCGTAGACTAAGGGTAGTGGTAGGTACCTAGGTAGTCATCTCCTCTCAATTGCCTTCCCTGCACTCTCGCACTCGCACTCGTCCTCGTCCATTTCCTTCTCCTTACGAGTATTAGCATTAGGTAGTTCGAGTACCCTACCCTTCCCTGCCCTGCCCTGCCCTGCCCTGCCCTGCCCTGCCCTGCCCTGCCTGTCACACTCACGCCTACCTTTCCCTGTCCTTCCCTGGCCCTGCCCTGCTTGACCTTCCCCCTCCCTCCTCCCTCCTCATTCTGTGCCTTTGCCGTCCGTGTGTCCCCTCCTCCACTACCACCATCACCATCACCATCACCCCCCCGGTCGACTCTCGTCCCCACTAACCACCTAACCTAAAGTTACTGCTGCTGCTTTCTTGTCCTGTGCGGACGCCAAAGGCCTTAATTTGGACCTACATCTCACATCAACTTCCTCTGGCTTGCTTGCTGGCTTGCTTGCTTGCTTCCTTGTGCATCCTGACGTCTTGGTCACTGTCACCATTGTTGTTCTGATTCTCATTTCTCATTGTTGACCTTCATCGGAGCACTCTGTTCGACCCAATTTCCACCTACCTGCCTGCCGACCAGCCTGCAATACATATGCCCATACTTCTCCGCACACGCGCTTTACATACCTAGGTAGTCAGTTACCTAGCACTCCTAGGTACCTACACTACTACATACCTACCTACATCCCACGCGCTTTTTCCCTCAACCTCTCCGTCTTCTTCCTCCTCCACAACGTCGAATCACTTCCTACTACGCCAGAAAGACATGCGCCTTGCCCTACGCCCATCCCCCGTTCTACCTTCGCCAATTTCCTCTACTCCTTTCAATCGACCAGCTGGACATCAAAATGTCGAGGCCACAGATCGGCATTGACCGTCTTCCCGCCCGTCGTCTTACCAATGAACCACGAGAATCTATGAATTGCAAGAGCTGTCGGAAACGAAAGGTAACCCCTTTCCCTTTGATTTTTTTTCTCTTATTCAATTCATTCTGCAAAAAAGATATTTTTCCGTCAAGAAAATCGCTGACATTATTCTTTCATTTCTCTTCAGATCAAGTGCAACCGTACACGTCCCACATGTGAAGCCTGCCAGGTCTTCGCATGCCCTTGTATCTACGGTAAGACGAACTGCTACCCTCCTACCCTCTTCCAAAGGGAAAAATCAAATCCATCTTGTCGTCAACGCCTGGCCTGTTACGTTTATCAATAATCGAAACTGATTTGTCAATGTTTTTCCAGATGCCGTTCCCAAGAAAAGAGGACCAAAGACCGACGTTCTCGAGGCTCTGCTAAAACGCGTCGATGGCCTGGAAAAGCGGCTTCACTCCGAGGGCAAAAGCGATGCCATTCTCGACCCAGAATCCTCCCCCAGTGAAACCGCCAGCGACAGCAAGAATGAGCTTGGGAATGGAAATGGAAATGGAAATGGAAATGACCCGGCCTCCGCAACCCGACCTTTGCTCGAGATAGCCCCGAATCCCGCGACGGGGTCTGCAAATCAGTTGATGTCACCAGTAGAGCCAAGGTACCTATATACACCCCATATACAGCCTCTTAGAGTGCAAATCTGGAAAATAGTTAGCTAACACGACCCTCACCCTAGTCTCCAAACCCCTAGCATTGTACCGGATCTGCTCCTGGACACTTACTTCACCAGGATTCATGGCAAGCCCTATCACATTCTGGATGAAACAACCACCAGGCAGCGCATGCAGGCCAATCAGCTACCATCCTACTTAGCCTACGCCATATACGCTGTCAGTGCCAGGTATGAGCGCCATCACATGATCAACGAATGGCCAGCAAGTCTAATCACACACTCATAGATATGCACCCCATTTCGGCGGCTACAATGCTGCAGTGCGAATCGGCCAAGAGTATGCAAGGCGCTCGCGTATGGAGCTTGATATTGACGAGCCATCTATCGAGTGCCTACAAACCCTGATGTTGCTCGCCCAAGCGAGCTTCCAAAATGGCAAGGGCAAGAAGACTTTCATGCTGTTGAGTATGTACCTGCGCCTCCGTAGCAGATCATTGCGCTAATCATGATTTTCTAGCTTCCGCGATCAGCATGGTCATTGCGCTCGATTTACATCGTGAACTACCGATAAATCTGAAAGTTACGCCAATGGAACGTGAAGGCCGCCGACGACTTTTCTGGAGCTGCTACCTCATGGACCGCTTTTCCGCCACCGGCTCCAAAAGACCTTCGTTAATCGCGGATGAATCAATCGTGCTTCGCTTACCATCGTGGCAGTTGCACCCCGGTGCCATGCTCCTCGAAGGCGATTATTTTCCTAATGGTTCCAATTTGCAGTACATGGCCGGCTCGGGTAAAGGCGCACAAGGAAGCATGGGTATGCTGATCGGCATAGCGAAAGTCCTGGGTATAACAAACAGATACCTCGCAGCCGGAGGGGTCAAGGGCGACTCACATTTCCCTTGGCATTCCCTTTCCAACTTGTCCAAGATCCGGCAGGAACTCGACATCTGGGCCTCGGACACGCAGGACACCTTTACCACTATCGAGTCATTGTTTGGTCAGCCTGACAGTACAATATTGGTCCTGAGCAAATTGGTATATCATCTTATACATTGTCTCATATACCGGCCGTTTTTGCCGGTAGACTTGGCCGAACTATCGGGAACCTCACAACACCAATCCTGGCAAATCGAAGCGACAAACCTGTGCTTTCTGCATGCAAATGCGATTGCGGAGCTTGTCGAGATCGGAAGAGCCTCTTCCCTCCTCGACTGGCCCGCTTTTGTTGGCTACTGTGTCTGTACAGCTGGTACGATACACGTGCATGGCGCACATTATCCGGGTAGAGAAGGCGAGGTCTTCTCCGTGAGCCCAGAATTCTTGTCCCGGGAAATGAATCAGCTCTCCGAGTTGCGCTTCCTCTGGGCTGGCGCTCAACATCAGAGGGACACCCTCCAAACCATTTATGGCTGCCATACGGAGCTCGTCAAGTCGTTGGCGAGCAATCCAATCCGCTTCTCGCCAGTCTTCCAGCTCGAAGACTTTTTCGACCGTTATCCCGGCCAGATATTCGACGGGGCTCATGTCACTTTCACTGATATACAGATGGAGAGCGTTCATGAAAGGTATGACCACCTATTACACACTAAAGCGTAAGGACGTGCATACTAATCATGATCAGCAACTTGACCACTTACAACATCGAACAGCGAAACAATATGTACATGAATTCCAGTGTAGTAAATCTGGACAACTATTCACATTCGGTTTCTAACAATGCCTACTCAAATGGCCATCCCACGAAAAAGCGGAGGTCAACCGCTTCCAGTGCGCCAAAACCACCAGCACCTTCGGCACCTCTCCCAACCCCTACCTCGGCTACATATCCTCCTCACAACATAACCGTTGCGCCTGCGGACCACAAACAACAAGATGCTAAGAACCCTCCTACGACCTCGCTGCCACCCTTCACACCCCCTGGTGGAGCGTCATCCTCGGGTCTCGCCAACCACCCCAGTGCTGGTAGGGATGCCAACCCTAGCAATAACAATAACAACAACAATCACCATGGCCTGAACATACCATTCTCTCCGAACTTCGTCTTTTCACCGCTCCCTCAACTAGCAAGCCTCACACAAACACCTACACCCGCCAATCATGATCAATCGGTCACCGCCTTCGATCCCATGTTTGGTGTACCCACTCCTTATGACCAGCAACCGACCCCAGGAGGCGCCAGTACTTCAGGATCGGTTCACACAGATCCAGACAAGGATCCTTTCTTGAGCCTGCTGGAGCAGTTGGCTGAGAATGAGGTCAGCCGAGGTGGACCCAGTGAACTGGATTTCTTTCTGGGTGGCGGAACCGCCTAGAAACCGACTGTGTTCCTGAATCAGGGCATGGCTCCTTTACATTCGCGGTGCATTCATTCTGCGCCGCTGCAACATCCGTGATGTTGCGCGACTACTTTCTAGTATATAATTTTCAGTCGTCAACCAACCTTTTTTTTAAGGATCAAGTTATCCTTGAACCACAACATATTGGGTAGCGATACGATGGACATGACATTTTTCTTATTTTGTACCTATCTGGATCTGGGGGGACATGGAACCAAAGCCGTGAATAGGAAATGGGAGGGAAAGGGAAGGGAAGGAATGGCTTTGTGACGACCAACTAGCTCCACGGCCGAAAAAACATCTATTGTACGATATCAGCGAGGTATAACCATCAAACAAGAAAAAAAGACTAGCGTCCGGTGGGAAAGTCTGTTTCCACCCACGGTGCCATCTCCAAGCTCCAAAGCAAACCATGCAACCCCGCCAAATGTGTCTATCGTGCTATTCGTAAAATGGGCGTACGGAATCATGGATTCGAATAAATGGCGCATTCGGGTCTTTCCCCCGTACGGTTTTGCGGGGGACGACTACTACATACCTAGGTACGCACTGCGCAGTAGGTACAGCAACTAAACTACCCTAAGTACCTAGGTACCTACCTAACTAGACCAATCGTCGTGACCAAACCCAAATCCAAATGCAGAATCGCATCCGCAGACTCCCATTCCCTCCCCCATGCATAGTCAATTCACAAGCTCTGGCTCGGTACTCGCATTACCCCGAACGCCCGATGCTTGAGACCCAAAGTACCCCAGATTCCACCCTATTAATTCTTCAGGAAATTGCGGGGGAAGGGCCAAGGGGCGAATGATTGCTGGTCCCTTTTTTGACGAAAAGAAAATGGAGATGATTGACGTTAAGGCAAATAGATCGCTGCAGTCCGTTGCTGCATCCTTACAAATCCGATAGAGATATTCATCATCATAGGGTAGTCGATTGCGGAACTTGGATCTGATTCGAGCTTCCTATTCATGTGGGGAACAACAACATTCTCCCACGTTGAAAATGTAGACCCCCTAAGTGGTTCGAGCAGGGTCCAATATGGCGGGAGAGTGATGATGAACCGGTTTGCATAGTGGGAGGCTTGCCCGAGTGTCTCACTATGTTCCTCCGACATTGTGCAATTGCTTTTTTTTACGCACTAGGATATGCAGATAACACTTTCTATGTACGGAGTGAGTGTCGGAAATCCTTTTGTACGCACAATGGACATCCAGATGGGGATGAGAACAACATGGATAGAATCGAGTGTATTGAAACTTGACGTGGGCGTAGCTCCGTAGATTCGAAAACAGATCGTATAGCTGACGATCAATACGCACAAATGTGATAGAACGAAAGAACGCGACGCAGGAATTTCCAAAATTGACACACCTACCACATCGCCAATCAGAAGACAAAGCCTCCGAGAACGATACTCCGAAAGTTCGAAGCCAAAGGGGGAGTAGGGGCGACATGATTGGCCTACCTTGTCCTCGCATGAGTAGCCTACCTACTTGTGAGTGACAAACATGAAGGGTTATCGCATGTACTACTACACTCGGATAGAGATTGCGGGGTGGCCGAGACAAGGGGTTCCAAACGGGTTTGCATGCGTGCATGGCATGCATGGGAAGGGGGGGGGGGCATCGGTGTGGAGGTGTGTGTGTGGAGAGAGAGCAGCGCCAGACGTGGCTGGGGTAACCACTGTAGATGATAATATATTTGCATGGGTATCAGAGGTGTGAGTTGAGTACCGGGTAGGCATGGCGGCGTGCTTTGATAAAGTGGATGTGGAGAGAATGTAGGGGGAGGGTTCGGGAATCGATGGATTCGACTGGCTGGACGGGAAGATCGTGTGAACAAGGTCTGGAAGAGAGAGTGATCCAGAAGCGAGGTGTGTTGTTAATGGCGCAGAGCAAGCACGCCGGGGTAGGTAGGGTCAAGGTACAGGGTAAGGCTGAAAAGGGCCGAGGGTCCGCTGCCCGACGTCCGAATGATGTCTGGTTGAGCATACCATTTTGCTCTGCCTACCCTATTTTAGTTCTGTTGTTCAATGGACAGAAACTGAATATATGGTTCGTCCGGGGAAAGGGTCGGTGGTAGTGGTGGTGGTGGTGGTGCGTGCGGGCGTGAATAAGTGTTCATATGAATGCAAGAAACCATACGTAATGTTACGGTAATTTTGTACAAGGTTGTTAAGTGCAACATGGATATGGCTGGTGTCATTGCAGGAGACTTGAGGTTTGGTTTTTGTCACGCGAACAGATGGCATTGTTCTATCCGTCTTCTAGTCAGGGTCCCTACATTAGCAGGTTACAGACACAATGGGCACCGTGGCACAAACATATAGAACTAAACTCGATTGATTTCTCTTGATGATCATGAGTCTTGAAACGTGCATGGTCTTGTTACTCTATTTCTCTCCAGTAGAAAGGACAGGAACAAGCAGATGATACTCTCTATATTCCTCTTTCGCTTTCCCAAGATAACGAACCTCATCCTTATATGTTGTTTGTAATTGGCATTCTTCTTTAAGTCATCGTTACGAGTTCCTCGGCGGACACGGGGTGAATAGCCTAGTTGGTGAGTATTCGTTAGCCATAGTGTTCAGTCAAGTGGGGAAGTATTGAAAGTGTGTAGAAAAGTATGAAGACGTGGTCAATCGCCAAGTAGCTCGCTTCCCCGCAATACGATCTCTCCGCCATCGGCGAGCCGCAATCAAGACGAGGCGAAGCACTGGCTGCAGTATGTAGTGTCATGCAGGGCTAGGAGGGATCGCCTAGGCGCGGGAAGGAATCTGGAAGGGGGGCAGAGTTCTGCGGAGCAGCGGGAACGGAAAGGAGGCATTGGGCACGAAAGGATATTGCAATCCGTATGTAAGGGGCGCACAAAGTGAATAGCGCCCGAATAGCCATTTGCGTCGAAAAGCATGATGGAAAATGTGGTAAGAAGACCGAAGTAGAAGGTGTGACGTGCAAAAAGAATTCATAGTACTTACCACGCACGAGTCAAAGTCCTTCTTCGTAGCACCCATCTTGATTGCCACGCCGAATCCTTGTAGGATTTCAGAGCTGCCCTGGCCCAGGATGTGCAGTCCGACGACCTTCTCTTCTTCTCCCACGACGACGATCTTATACGCTGTCGGGCCCTTCTCTTCCGGGTCCATCATCGCATAGTACATGCCCGTGAACTGGGTCTTGTAAACCTTAACCTTGTCGCCGTACTTTTCCCTGGCTTGTGGCTCCGTAAGGCCGATCGAACCAATCTCTGGATGGGCAAAGACCACAGACGGGATGTTGTCGTACTCAAGATGGCGATCCTTTTGGCCGCCGAAGATACGGTCGGACAGACGTCGGCCGGCAGCAATGGCTACCGGGGTCAGCTCGAAGCCACGATCGCAGACATCACCAATTGCATAGACGTTCTCCAGGTTGGTATTCTGGTACTTGTCGGTGACGATGTGGTTCTTGCCATTCAGATTGATGCCTAACTCCTTGATGTGCAGGTCCTCAATTTCGGGGGTGCGACCGACGGCAAAGAGGACAGTGTCTGCCTCCACAACGGTCTCCTCTCCGGTCGAGGAATTCTTGATGGTGACCTTCTTCTGACCGTTGCCAATGTCCTCCACTTTGGTGATCTGGCTGCCCTTGTGCAGGTTGACTCCTTGACGCTCGTACTCCTTAGTCACGGTATCCTGGATCATGGGATCGAACGAACGGAGTAGGGTGTTACCGCGGATAACGAAATCAACGGTGGATCCAAGAGCGTGGAGCATACCGGACATCTCCACTCCGATGTAGCCAGCACCGCTGGTTACAATGCGCTTGGGCAGTTGCTCAAGGTCGAAGAAGCCATCACTATCGATGCAGAGCTCCTTTCCGGGAATGTCCGGGAGATGTGGTCGGCCACCGGTTGCTATCAGGATGTGCTTGGCCTTGACGCGCTGGGTTCCTCCAGCCTCGAGGGCGACCTCCACCTCATTCTTGGAGATGAACTTTGCTCGGCCCTTGATGTGCTCGATCTCATCCCTGTTCAGGTTGTTCTCGTAGATGCCGTTCAGTCTCTTGACATAGGCATCACGCTTCTGCTTGAAGTAGGGCCAGTCGAAGCTGGGTTGCTCAAACCCTCCGAAACCATACGACTTTGCGTCACGGAACGTCTCAGCGATGGCTGCTGCATTCCATGTCACCTTTTTAGGAACGCAACCCACGTTCACACACGTGCCGCCCATGCGCTTCGATTCAATGGCAATGACCTTGGCTCCATGCTTTGCAGCTCGTCGTGCGGAAGCAATACCACCGCTACCGATTCCAATGACTAGATAGTCGGCCTCTTTGGGGACGGGAGCCATGGTGGGGTTTGCGCTGGAGAAGTGTCGAGAGAAAGCCGATAGCCGCTTTGCCGCCAGGATAGCTTTGGATGACTTGGAGGTTGATAAGAGAGGACGGGCGTGTACAGAAGCAGCAGAAGTAGACGGGAGAGGACTCAGTGTTAAGCCGGAAGTCAAACCTTGCGGGAGCCGGTAAAGCAATAATCTCCTACTCATGAAGAATGGAAGGAAAAAGGCAACAGGTATGAGAACCGCCCGCCTACTTATAATGACGCAAAAGCTGCTAGCTTACAGGGGACCGGATAGTGGAAACGTGGGTGGCTGTTAGTAATCGCAGCAGTTGTCCGTGTTGGAACAGAAGCGACGGATTGAATGGGAAAGTATTCAAATAATGGCGGCGTGCGGCGGATGTGAGGATGAGAAATTCCAAAGGGGAAAAAAACTTTGATGGATTTGTCAAGTAAGACTTGATGGAGCGAATCAGAATAAGATTGCCGTCTTGGGTAAGGAGTCGTGCCTGGGGAAGCGTCCGTTCTGTGTACAATGGGCGATACAATTGATACAGAATCAGATAATAATTACCTAGGTAAGATGGTCAACCTAGGTAGTTACCTCGTACGGTAGATGGTGGCACCGGACAGTGGCAGTAGTGCGTGTGAGATGTTCCACGGTGTATCTAGAATCCTTTGAATTACTGTACATGCACGATTTCTGATGACGAAACTACGGGGATGAGACACCCAATAACTAATGACGATGAGCAACAACAATCACGGACGAAACAAAAATAACATTTAGCTAGACAATTAACCAGCTACTCTAGACAGTCGATGATGGCGATTATAAATGACAGAGATGACAGACCCCTCCATCTCCATCCTGTGCCTCCATCCTCTGCTTATTCCCCCTCCATCTCCCCCCCTCCCCCCTAGCCTCTACCTGTCCTACAATCCACGCTATACCCTTTCCAGCTCTCAACTTCAATTACCTCATCATTTCTCGCCCAAGCTCCCAAATAAACTACCTCAAGCCTCATACACACTACTACAACACACCATGTGATTCCCTACCAACGTTACCCACAACTGATCCTCATAGACTTATGCTTACGATGCTATCGTGAGCTACGTCAGAAACATTATACTCACTATAATTCTATCCTCAGACTCACCATCCCTCGGCTTGTGTCTTCAATCTAGACTGCCCTGTTACAATCATCACAAACATCACGAGAGCTACCTCTCCGCCCGCTCCCACCAAACCAGACTCAGGGGCCTGTCGCTATTCGCTTGTCATATGCGTCCGATTTAGTCCGGCCTCGGCTACACCTGTAGCATACACCTACCTATCTATTCATTACTAGATTCCAAAAACCATGGGTGGCAGACTCTCCATGCCCCGTGGCCCAGATGGCATGAACGAGGCGTCGAGGCCTACCTCTGCCAACCCCGTTGCGCGACTGACGCGGGGCGGGGGCATCATCAATGGCCGTGTAAGTAGTTCCATCCGCCCCATGTACAATATTACGCCATTTGCTCATGAATTGTCTCAGACCATAATGGCACCCCTTGCGGCCTTCACAATGGCTGGCCTCTTGTTCGTATATTCCAGAACATCCATTCGAGCGGCGAAACTCAACGCACAGAAACATCGTGAGGCAGATGGAGGACAGATCAGCTGGCATAACGAGAGCAGGCGAAGACATGGACAGTTGGACAAGGTCGAGAACGATCGAACCACCTTCAAGGAAGCTCTCCTCGCAGACGTGAAGCGAAAGGGTAAAGCCAAAAAAGACAACAAGCAGGACCACGAACATGAGATAGAAGGAAGGGCTGAACGCTCTAGCGAAGAGGCAGAACTGCGGAAAATGATGGGAAAGAAGGATTGAGGGGAGTGGTTTCGTGTTGGTGATCGAACCTACTTGGTGTATAAAAGTGACATTATGTGGTATAGTATCGGGATTTGGATGACAGAAAAAGCATTCATCACCGCGTCAATGGTAATGGAGAAAGTACCCATCGAATTCAAAAGCAAATTCTTGAATAGTACATCTTATACAAGTTACATACCTTAAGGCTTCGGACAATGTAATGTGATGCTAAACCAAGGCGCCAGTAATTCCAAACCAAATGCATCCCAATGGCACCCGAACGCCATGCGCGCTTTGCAACCATCTTGCCGCTTAGTAACCTAATAACTCCTTCTTGAAGAAATAATGTGATACCTTACTGAATGGCTCCCGAAGCCTCCGGAACGACATTGTCGTGCCCGTTGGGAGCCACTGTGCTCTCCTTTCTCTCCGCAATGGGGACACCCGCTTCCTCCTTCTTCTTGATGCTTCTCGCACCCGGTGCAAGATATGTATTGTCAAGATTAGGGAAGTCGTCGCCCTCGGGAGGCTGCCACTTAGCACTCTTCATCGGGTTGACGCCCAAGATGTACATCGTGTCGATTTCCTCGAGAGTCCGGCCGTGGCTCTCACAGACAAAGAGGAAAACCACTACTGCACCAGCGAAGGAGCATGCCGCAAAGATGTAGCCATACCGGTAATCGATGGCGCTTGTGATATAGGGTGTGAAGAAAGAAATGAGGAAGTTCCAAGCCCAGTTGGATGCCGTTGCGAGTCCCATACATTTGGCACGGTAGCGAGATGGATAGAGCTCTGCGACGACGGTCCAGATACCAACTCCCCAGGTCATGGCAAAACCAGCGATGAAAAGACATGCGAACACAATCATTGCGTATCCGATTCCTTGGGTCTGTGCAGGATCATCGCGGTTCAGTGCAAAGTGGCCCAAGGAGGAGAACACCATAAAGCACATGAACATCCAAAGGGCGCCAAAGATCAAACTTGGTCGACGTCCATACTTCTCGACGATATAAAGTCCGGGGAACGTAGTACCGAAGTTGACCGCGCCGAGGATCATGCTGGTAACGTACGGATTAGGTAGGCCGACAGACTGGAAGATGGTCGTGCCGTAGTAGAAGTAGAAATTCGCTCCTGTAAGCTGTTGGAGGGCTTGCAGGGTGATCCCGAGCAATGTACGATAGAGCATTCGAGGTCCAGTGAATATCTCATACCATGGGTGCTTGCCACCACCAGCTCTCTCAGCATCAAGTTTTTCCTTGATCTCTCTTATCTCGCGATTGACCTCTGGATGATCTTCCGATACGCCGTACGAGATGGCGATGGTCGTGCGGGCGGACTCAATCTTTCCTTTGCGATACTCCCACCTGGGTGACTCACGTAGAAACAGCATTCCGACTCCCATGATGACAGGCCAGATGAAGCCAATGCCAATTGGTAGGCGCCATGACCGCGCGCTGTCATCTTTCGATGTTCTAAAATTGATGCAATATGCGGTGAAGATTCCGAGCGTGATGAACAGTTGGTAACAGCTAACAAGCGCACCACGAACATAACGAGGCGCCGTTTCACTCTGGTACATAGGCGTGAGGACTGATAACCCTCCTACACCGAGACCAGCAACCCAACGCCCAAGTGCCATCTGGTACCATTTTGTCGTGGTTGCAATCTGCACGATGACTCCCACACAGAAGACGATGTTCCAAAAGGTGATCGACAGCTTCCTTCCGAATTTGTCGGCGATGGGTGCAGCAACAATGGCGCCAATGAGGGTTCCAATGGAGAGCTGGAAAACCGTCAGGACATGTCGTTCAAAGTGAATGGGGCACTTACCAAAGCAACAATGGTTCCAGACCGGGCATTCGAAAATGCAAGCTTTCCTGTCTCAGGGTCTACCTTATCATGGAACCTTCGGAGGAAGTCAGGCATCTCCAAGAATCCAGATATCTGACCAGTGTCGTAGCCGAATATGAAACCGCCCATGCTAACAAGGACTGCCATCACTAGGATGCGTGGTCGGAAACGATCTTTGGTACTGATCTGGAGCATCACTGGCTTCTTCTCCATGTCTGCAGTAGAGGAAGCAGGAGAAGGGGATTGCCCCCGAATTCCACCAAGAATCGCCATAGCGCCTCAGGAATATGCAAGTAGTAGTTGAAGAGTAACAGAAGATATTATTTTTTTGAACCAGTCGCTGAAGGGGTTCTGCGGAGATTATAAATTGGTTTCCCCAACTCGCCCCAACCTTTCCAATGCTCCCCCACGCAGTAACCTCGGAATCTTGACGACCCGCATCCGTTTGCTAGAATATCAAGAATGACGATAAGTAGCATCTCGCGATTGACAACGTCATGGTCCCGATCGGGGCCCTGCCACTTTTGGTCTAGCGTGAAGCCAAGCGTGAAGAAGCGCTGTCAAGCTCCGCAAGAAGAAGCGATCCTGTTCGTCCGGAGAGAAGTCGGCCACCATGCTACATAAATTTGAGCCTCAAGTACCGTAAAAAAACTGTTCAAACGACGTCAATGTCCGTTGACGCTACTTTGCGCAGTGGCAACGGGCCGCATGCACGTGTGGCTAAACGTTGCAAGAAAAAATCTCAGTTCGCACGATGTTCCCCGTGGGATACCCTCGGGACAAACTGCCGATACTGAAGGCGGCTTGATATGATGTAATTGTTGTATTGCCTCTCGCTTCCAGAATGGTCCCTCCTCTGTAGAGCAAAACATAATGGACACCACTCGAATATGGTTGTTGATTATTAAGGCGCTGATCCGAATGGAAATGGACATGTTTGCACGTCGAATAATATTGTGCCCATAGAAGGCAAAGCAAAGGCACTCTCAACCTCGAACTCAAGGACCTTGACGCGGGAAATCACACAAAAGTCATGGTTGAGTTGAAGAAACATCCACCCTCCCATGCGCGACTGATCTCCAGCCTTGAAGACCGCATCTAAAAGGACTCTGGTGACCAAGACGAATTACTACTACACGCTGCAATCACGGAGTTGTTTGGGCTAACTCATGTCGAACCACAAGACTTCATTATCCCCCGACTTTAGAAGATATTTGGAACTGAATAAACGATGGCTGCTTTTCCTTGCGGTAAGCAAAAATGAAGAACCTCGTATGTTTTTCAAGAAGAATATGGCGTTCTACAGCTACCAAGATGTGACAAACCACAGTCGTATATCAAATAAGAAGACGCAGTGGAGAATATTGTTGATTGAAATTACCTGTAACCTATCTAGCCATCTACCATTCTGGGTATTGTCAAGGCCGGCGTTGGGAAAGAAGGTGGGGAGGATTGGATAGGATAGGCAGAGGAGTAGGTACTGCACCAAGATCGTTACACTGCCTTTGGAGTCAAATGGGGTCACAACCAACCAAGCAACAATACTCTGTGATTACTTAACAACAAAATTCCAATCATCTTCGCACGGAAATTGTTAAACAACAAAAATCACAAATTACAAGGTATAGAATAATTCAACTTCTTCAATTATGAATCTTTCATACGGTCCAACGAGATAAGGGGGGCTTTTTGTAAGGAGGCATGGAGCTGGTGGCAGAGGAAGGATTAGGTAATCAACCACTAGTGAGATAACTAGATAGAATGGATATCACCTGGTTCCAACGACAATCAACTTTCCTCCTCACTACTATAGTGATAGGACGTTCGACCAAAACCACCTACTCATTGTAATCTTTTCAATATTCCAACATTTTTTATGGATCAAACTCGGTATTAGAGGTGCAATATCACGTCGAAGTCCGGTACAGCCAACCGCCACAATACACTATAGAACTACTCTACTACCGTATGGATCGAGGAGATCTTTCTGCTGCAATATGGTATGTTATCACTTTTGGGCAAAGAATAGGGGGGTGAAGGTGGGTTCGACGATGCGCCTTCCAATCTAGGCGTGCCTTCCAAGTTGATCACCCTAACGCCATGACCCCGCAATAATGCGCTGTATAAGGTCGATTGTTTTCACCTCCGTTGTATTCATCTCTAATTTGATCTTGTAGGTTCAAACCTATGCGAGGCAATCCCATTTGCCTAACCATCCAGATCTATGCGACAGCGTCAGCTCATTGATATCTCGCCCTTCAGGTTCCGGAAAAAATGGCCACGTACCTTGCCAGTAACTTGCTTGATCACAACGGAAAGAGAGAACACTCCCCTGTGCTGGACTCTCTAAACTCCTTGCGCTCGTCGTCTACTGGAAGGCGGAAGAGTCTTGGGCTTAATAGGGACGAGATTGATCAATCCAAAAGTTCGCTCACACGGGATGCAACTAAAAGCCACTCCCGCTTGGTGATCCAGGCATCAATTCGAATGGCAAATGACTGGAAGTAATCATTATCAATAACTAGATGACCGGGCGATATCAAATGCTAAAGGACCTGAAAAGGTTGGAGCAACCGTCTCGTATCAGCAAGCCGGTGGAGCACGTGTCGGATCTTTTCGATGCCAATGTGGTTGACGATCAGTAAATCAGATGCGTGTCCATCGAATTTCCATCGAAACACATTTCTCGGGATCCGAAATGGTTTATCGTTGGTGAGGCATTCAAATCGGCGAAATTCGAGGACGCTACAAGCAGTATCTCATTTGATATTGACATCTGGGACGGGAGCACGCCCAGATCGAATGATGAGATTTGGGTTTTGGCGGGATTCGTAGGCCAATTCCTAAATCGCCTACACACTCCATGCATCCAAGATTAGGTCCTTCCTAAGAAGAGGGAACATTCAACAAGTTCGGAACCTAAGAGATTCGTATTCCACGAGACATACCACAAGATGGCGCTCGTTTTTTTGCCTCAAGGAATGCCTTTCCTAATTTCGACGGCACCCTGCCAATGTTTAAAATTCCGTTAAAGTCTGCTGGTAGATTGCAATATCGTAGGCTATTTCCGGACGACGGAGAGAGGATATTGAAATGCTGGGTAGATGAAATGCCTCGAGACTTTCCATATATTATGGCCGAATTTTCCTAAAATTCACGGAGAACCGTCAGCACATTCCTGTGGAATTCGATAAAACTATGATTGATCGCGGGTTTCTCATGCTTAAGGGTATGATCTGGCAACTTTTCGGGGCTGTAGGAACGGACGAAGCGGTTCAGAGACTAATATTTGAATTACCAACCCAGAGGCTCGTCCGAGGCGAAATGGTTTCCAGGGACATACGGTGGCCCTCAAATATGGTGCCGGCCCGTAAGATTCGATTCGATTCGAAATGGACACGCATTGCGATGAGAAATGCTGTCCGGCGAGACATTTGCAAGAGAAGGGCCAAATTCCATGAATTTGCCATCAATTTCACAGGGTTTTCACAACGAAAACGTGTCTACACCCTAGAAACAATCTATCGTACCTTCCAAAAGGGAGAAGGTATCATGAATGCATGGCAGGATGGAATGGTAACGACAAGGGCAATCGAAGCCCAAATCATACCGATTGTCCTAGATTGTGAGAACCCGTCCAACACACATGGACATGTATGTTCTGGATGCTATATGGTGTGGAATTGCCTCGATTTTGCCCATACCTTTAGAAATCGCCTCGAAGATCGATTTTGCCCGCGTTGCATAACCAAAGCCTCTTCGAAACATGAAGATGTCGAAACGATATTACATGATTTCAAGACAAATGCAAAGCGATATTCACTACAAACGAAGGAACTAACACCCTCCGATCTAAGAGTCACTCAGTATTCGATACTAACAGAAAATATGTCATCGTCAAATATCAAGGCTCTGAAATGCTTCATTTGCCGCCTTGGGGCAAACATAGCGAGAGAAAAAAAGCAATTTCCTCGTCTGAGAGACTTGTTCTCATCACGATTTGATTCATTTATCAAATTTATTCCAGCATTTGTTGGAGATGGTTGGCAAGACGCCTACGTCCCAGTTCGTCGACTAATAAACCCAAATCCATTGACAGAACTGTCAAAGTATCCACTTCAGGCACTCCCAGATGCTATTTTCCCGGTAATTGCTATCAATGGCAATACGATTTTACATGGCGTTGAAAATGTCGCTCCAACAGCCATGTACATCAATTTTATGAAGCATACATATCTACCCGGCGTATTGGGGCTGGTATCAGAGATCCAGCCCATGCGATTAATGAAAAGAGATAGCCAACAGTGGATTGAAATGATCCGCCGATTCGACCACCAGTTTGCTCTAAGGAGACAAATATCCCATATGCGAAAGGACCGCATTGGTTTGGTAATGTCTGAAACAGAGTACCATGGTCTTGTGCAAGGGTGGATCTCGGGTGAGTACAGACCTCGCAGTGATGTTCAACTCAACCATCATAGCAGATATACATACAGAGAGTTGGAACGTCGGACTGGCCACCTGCTAACTTCACGTATGTTCTATACCGAAAGTGTCTATCTAAGAGTGTACTGTAGCCAGTAAACTATCTTAATGCTCGCGACAAACCTCGCGAAGGCACTGCTGTGGACATAAAATACTAGTAGGGGGCCAGCCTGACGTGCCCAACCTCTGTACATATACAATAGCTAGCTCCGAAGCAGACCAATGAAAATGTTCCCACTTCACCTGCAAGCTTCCTTAGTTAAGAAAGTTCTGGGTTGATAGCGGTTCTTGGGGGTGACTATACATCAATAATGTAGAGTAAGCGCATTGCCGTATCCTCGCGCATACAGCAATCCTCCGAAAGGCCTAGAACATGAGTGGAAGATACACTCAGCCCTGCAGGGACCGAAGAGGGAAGATAGACAACGAAGATGTTGGCGACCGGCACTGGAATATTACAATAAAGATAAAGAAGGCCATGCCGTCGGATGGATTGCCGGTCATTATTGATTACAAGGAGTGTCTACAAGACGAAAGCTCGCTAGGAAACAAATCACGCATGCGGTGCAGCATACAATTGAACAGGACATGATCAGTGATGTTTATCGAATCAGACAGATATACACACGACCGCCACCTACCTACCTCTCGTATTTCCCGCGATACGTGATGATGATGATGGTGGTGGTGGTGATGATCACTAGACATGCATCTTTCCAATGAACCCCAGCAGTGTCGCGATGGAAGGAGAACGATTTCTTTCTTTTTCTCTCTCGCATGGTATTGGGGAAGTGAAATCCTGAATCAATAGATCGATGTGGAGGTATCAAGTTTAAATATAGTATAATCGTTAGGAAAACCCGTATATGCACGTCGTTTCTCTCGCCAGCAGATCACGCGCGGGCCGACTCGGTGTTTCCCTGGTCTTTGTTGGACTAATAGAGACGTGGGAGGGGAGGGGGAGGGGGAGGGTTACTGGCGACCACTAAAGTTACTACGAGGTACCTATACTGGACTACTGGGGATGCTACCACGTGAGGCACTTGCACTCGCCACACCCAAGAGCGCCGTCGCTGCGCCGTCCACTCGTTCGAAACTCTGGTTATTGCCCCAATTTTTTCCAGTAGCAATGTTGCAACAATGGTTCGGCCGGGAAGCGGAACCATTACCACAGATCGTGTAGGTCGGTCAGAGTTTGAGCGAAGAGGAGGGGGAAAACAATCAACAAACAATGGATTTGCAAATGGTACTCCGTAGAATCAATTGAATTTAAAGACTTTTTTTCCAAATTTACTTTTGCTATTCTTAGTCGGAGATTACATACAATGAATTTTCGCCATTGCGGCCGTTGGCGGAACATGATGGTGATATATCATCCTTATTGACTACTCCAACCCCTCGGACGCCCGTGGTATCTAGGAACCACAATCGACTAGGAGGTGAGTGCATCATGTATCATATACTACCTGTTGCACGAACAGCACGGGACAGGGCATTATTATCGAGAAGATGTAGTACATAGGAGGGGCAGAGACGGTTCGCACGACTGATGATGCTCGAGCAATTGCAGTCGTGCCCTCTCAAATGCGGAAAAGATGGATCCGGAGAGCCGGTTTCGTGTGCTTGGCGGTGGAACAGAACTGGTGGGTGTACCCACGCAATGGAGGAGAGAAAACGGTCGTGGAGAGCGTGATGCTGCAATTGAACAGAGAAAAGAAATGTGGTGTGTCGGGTGATGAGTGATTGCGATAATATTCGAGATTACATCCACCATGTGGCGTTTGAGATGATTACTTGTGTATATATAAACCTCGCTGGACCCTTAAAAAGGGTGCGATTGCTTGTCACCCGGCAATGCGGGACGTACAACTTGGAGAGATAAGAGGGTTGGGGGGATGCGCATGCCGATACCCGAATGTGCAGATCCGCGAAAGAAACCAGTTTGAACCGCCCAGAACGCCATCAGGATATATGAGTGAACGAGTTCGAAACAAACAGACAAAAAAAATGTACGGAAGAGAAAGTGACAGTATTAAAATGCGACTAGAAGTTTTGAGCGATGCCAGTGTTTCCTTGCTGCGGGAACACTGAAGGGTTTTCGATCCTCGTATTCCGTCGTGCTGACACGTCTCGTATTATGGGTTGCTGGTTGGCACCGTAGGGGTCGGCAGCGTATGGGCTGGTCGCGTGATAATAATTGTTGTTGTTGTCGTAGTAGTCCTGGGGATTGTTCATGGGAATAGGATAGTCGCCGGAGTGGTCTGAGCGATTGGCCATTGAGTAGGAAGATGAAGCATTGGAAGGTCCGCGACGAACACCAGACTGGTTCTGGTTGGCAGTGGGAGCAGCACCGAGAGCGCCGATGCCTTCTGAATCCAGAGTCTCGCGGCGACCGTTCATCAAGTGGTCGTTGGATTGGCTGTCGGAGTAGGCTTGGGTGGGTGATCCGGGACTCTGGTAGCCACCAGGGTTGCTGTTGCTGTCCGAGTATCCGGTCATACCGCTCGTGAGGGTTGTCGACGCTTTGCGGTTGGAGCTTGTGGTGGTGTTTCCCCATCCTCGGTAGCCGCTCTGGTCCTCGGCCATCTCAGAAGTCATGCCGACCGCTGGGAGTGTCGGGTCATTGTTGGGGTTGAAGCCATATTCCTCAACCTCTTTCCTGCGGGCCTCCTCCGCGTTCTTCTTCGACTTGCGCCTCCTCCACAGGAGCAGACCGGCAATGACAAGGGCCGCAACGACGACGACCGGGACAACCACTGCAATGGCCGTCTTTCCACCCGTGCTCAGGCCACTGGTTTCCTGCTTGTTCTCGGGGTTCTGAAGACCTGCGGGGGAGGTCGAGGACGAGGAGGGAGAAGAAATGGCACCCGTGTCGGTAGGGTCGGCTGTCGATGGGGGAGTTATGACAGAGGTGATGAACACGACCGAGGGAATGGGTGTCTCGCCGGGGGCCGTAGGTGTTTGGGTGACGATGGAGGTCAATACCTGCGTGGAAGGCTCTCGAGAGGGTGCCGTCACGACAGACGTAGGTGCTGCGGATGAAGCAGGCTCGGGTGCCGACGAGGAGGGAGGTGCTGGGGTCGACGAAGGTGCATTTGGAGTTGAAGCTGGGGGCGCGCTGCTGGGTTGCTGCGAAGACGGAGGCGGCGGAGCGGACGATGGCTGATCGGTAGACGGAGGAGGAGATGGAGTTGGAGTCGACGGCGGCGTCGATGGGGCCTCGGTGGGCGTGGGAGCTATAGAAGAATCGTCGGCGGGCGAACTTGGAGTAGGAGAGGAAGGAGGAATTGAGGAATCAACGCGAGCTGACGTACTGGGAGCAGTGCCGTTGGACGACATGGCGAGAAAGAATGAAGAAGAGAAAGAGAAAGAGAGAGAGAGGGAGAGGGAGAGACGACGAGCGATGACCGTGGAGAAGGTCAGGTCAAGTCGAGTGTAGCGATGAGTGGTATAATGTGTTTTTGGAGGCGACACGTCGGTGGGGATTGGCCGATCTCTCTTTTCTGTCGAGGATGGTGGACGGTGGATGGTGAGTCTTGGGTGACAGGACTGGTACAAGGAAGGGTAGGTTAGGTAGGGTAGGGTATGATAGCGGTGGCCGTGGTAGCAGTGGCCGTAGTCGTGTCAGAGTTGTGAGATGCTTAGGCGCGGAATGTGTCAGGGAGGATGGGGCACCTGCAACCGGGAGAGGAAAGGCGTAAAGACACCGTCGCGAAACCGTCGGTAGGAATGACGATAGCGAACGGAAGGAGGAGGTCGGTGGACGAAAGCAAAAGCGCGAAAGAAAGAAGAGGAGAAAAAGAGTGGCCTCGCGAACGGAGTGGCAGCGGTGAGTGGATGGGAGGAAGTAAGAAAGAGGAGGAGGTGGAGAAGAGTGGAAAGGAGACGAGTGTCGAGAGAGGGAATTGAGAGGAGGAGAGGACTGGGTACTGAGTAGAGTAGAAAAGAAGTGGAGATGAATGGGCGGGAGGCAACAAAACAGCCGAAGCAACCACTGGCACCACCAGTACGAGGTAACTACTTGTACTGATCAACACAATCAAGAGCCGCCCAACCGAGATGGGATGGTGAGGATCAGTCTCGTCGTGTTACAGTTTCGTCTTCTTCTTCTTCTTCTTCTTCTTCTTCTTCTTCTTCTTTTTCTTCTTGTTCCTTGATTCCCTATTCCTTCCAAGTGGTGACGTTGGAGGGACAAAGTAAATTACTCGTCAATGGGAGCTGGGAAGGGGGAGGGATCACGCTGGTAATTGAGAGAGCATGAGCACTGAGTAGGCAGGGAAGACAAGGGAACAACAGGATTGCGCGAGCTGACGAGGGGGGGTTTGTTCCAATGATTGTCATAGTAGGAGGGTTTTATGACCTGTGAGAGATGGAAGCATGTATCGTATCATGGCAATAATCATCATCACGATACTCTGTACAAGGGACTAGTTCAATAATAACTACTCCGTACCTACTTTCTTACCTAGGTAATTACTACCAAAACGCATGCATAGGATGATATCTAATTAGTATCTGTTTGGGTGGTGGCACTGTGCAAAAGTACGTCCTGTCATATTCCATCAAGTGGCCATGAAAGGAACAAACTCCATGTCGCTCTGTTTCGTCCAGCAGCAACACACAACAAATGCATCAATCATTTTAATCCTCTTCCACTACTGCTAGTTACCGATTAATTGATTAATTAATTACAGCAACGGTAGCATCTAGTAGGTTAGTTGCCTTAGTGTTCCTGCGGGTTCAACTCTGTTTCGTGCCAGTCCATGCCAGACCAAGTCGAGTGAAAGGCGTGAAAGGCGATTCCCAATCGGGTGGCCATAGCCCGTCCATTTCAATGCATCCGATCCATCCCATCGTTAGCGTGTGGCTGTACAGGTTACAAGTTATTGTACAAGTTACGAGTACAGACGAGTAGTTCAGGTAGATACTCTTTTACAGCAGAACGTTGAAGCATCGCTGGCATCATCATATGATAGATACCCTACATGGACTTCGACTGCATTGGACCCGACTTGACCTGATTCGATTATTCATCACCAACATGATCGACTTCACCCGCTCCAGCCAGCCCTATCTCCCTCTCCCTTGGGCTTGACCAGATACTGTACAGTACAAGTACAAGTAATACCACTAGATTAGGTACATTTGAATCGTAGACTTTCGTTCGCGGGCTTCGCCTCCGCTCCTCACCTCAACCTCTTTGTCTCTCGAGTCTTGAATCTTGCCCGACCGACCGGCCGCTCGCTCGACGATACTCGTAGTCACATCAATCAACCATCATCACCCGCTTGCCTATTACGCTATAACGCCGCCGTTCTCGGCCTCCATCCCGGCCTATCGACATCATCTTCCGGCATTGTCTCCTTGTTCTCGTAAAAAGCACGAGCTGGCCCATCTTCTGATTGGCCACTCTATATTAAGGTCATCCACATCCCTACCCCTTGTCACTTACTGTGTGCTGTGTATGCTGCCCATTGGCCATTGGCTATACTCCTCTCCCTCTCTCGTTCTCTTCCTCTTTCGTCTCACTCTCTCTCTATTTCTCTCCACCAGTAAATCCTCTAGCTCTGAGGACCTCGGTCGGCTCAACCACAGAACACAAGAAAATTGCTCGTGCTTCTTCTTTCGACTGCCTGATGTGGCGGTAATGTATTACTGTATTGTATGACTATGGATGTATCGTGTAGGTACCAGGTAATGCTCGTGCAGGACATCAATCACGCTTTCTTGCAGCGTTGCATGCACGATCGTGTTGCACAGTGCACTGCAACATGCCTGTGTACAATACACACAGTATTTGACCTGGCCTGACCTTTCCCAATCCCCATTCCCCATCCAGTCTCGGCTTGGCTGCTGCTCAATCGCATCGACCTGCTCGAGTCGGTCATCGTCACCGTTCACCGGGTCACCCAACACCGCATCGAGTACTTCCAACCTTCTCTCAAAAGGCATACTGTACTGAGCATCACTACCCTTTCTGCATCATGCGTCCATGCATCCATCTTGAAAAAGATTTTCACCATCATCTACACCTGCATCTGGCGTGTTCCCGTGTTCTATCCTTCTTCTGAAATGTATGCATGCACCATATACTGTACGTACAAGGGTGGCTAGGGTTTCTTGGACCATCAATAATCATTATCATGATTAATACGATACGATCAGGCCTTTTCGCTCCCTCTAGCTCCATACATCCTCGCCTAAACGACACAAAATGAACTCACCTGCTCGCTTCGCTCAACGTATTGTGGAGACATTTGTGCTAGCTTTCAAACGTTACCACGAGCCTCATTCGGCACCAGTGACTACCCGTCAATCATAGCAAGATTGAACACCGATGAAATGAAAATTCGCATTCGAGGCATATCAGAAAGATTCAAATCAAATCACATGCAATTCAAAAATACTACCGAACCCTCTAACCAACTAATTGGCTGATCTTCCCGGCCAATCCTCCCTTTCCCGATCAAATCAGTCCTGGTATAATCGCCTTCCTGCTGCCCACCTTATCCTTCCCAAACTTCTTCTCGTACCACCGCTTGCCCTGCAGGGCCCGCGGCAACATGGTCGCAATCTCGTTCACGAGAAACGTCCTCGCAGGATGGCAATGAACCCCACCAACCATCCAAAACCCAGCCCACTCGATCCACTCACATAGGTAATGCGCGAACAAGACGTACTGAAACAGACCGTTCTTCGGGAGCATATACACCTTGTCCACATTGCCGGGAGCCTTGCCTAACTTCTCTGCCTCGCGACGTTGCTTGCGATCCACTGCCCTTCTAATCTCCCTCAGGTCGTCGTCGTGGAACATGTTCCCCAGTAGTCCCCATGCCCAGATCACGAGCCCGAACTCCATCGCCCAGTACCGTCCCGCCCAGTCTTCCACCGTCGTGGGTCCGTATCCCGACACCCACCCACCTATCGAAATCGCATTGAACACCTGGAAGAGAAACGCGAGCATCCAAACGAGCGGGCTGATGGGCGACATGCTCGGATTGAGAAACAGCGGCGAGATGATTGCACGGTAGATGTAATGGATTACCTATGTCACCGCCTCGTTAGCTCGTCTTCCGAGAAGGGGGGCTTCAAAACACGTATAAGTGAGGAACACATACGAAGCATCCAACCATGGTCCAATTTCCCCATGGCAGTTCTCCGATGCCCAACTCCTTGGGCAGCGTGTAGAATATTACCAGAAGCAGTAGGAACCCCACGGATTCCATCGTTGCCCATCCAATCTTGCCGGGGATATTGAAGCGAGATTCTGTTGACGTCTTGCCCTGCGGGTACCAATCAATCACCCACTGGATTGCCGTGATCTTTCGTTCGAAACAGTAAGCTTCCATGCACTAGATGGCGTACGCAGTGAATGCGTGTAAGGGGCGGACGTACCAAGGGAAAGAACTGCCAAACGTAGCAAATCCATTCCCAGTTCTCGCGCGACGGCGGGATCAGTCCCTGAACGATTGCCATGGCTCTTTTCGAGTATGAGCACGCAAAACACAATTGAAAGGTTTGCAGAATGTAGAAGAATCGAGAGAGAGGGCTCGCGCGGTTCAGCTACCGGGAGGATAAAAGGCGTGTTGAATTGATTTAGCCATGCTGCCATTATAATACGCGACTGAACGGAGAATCGTGAGGTCATTGCACCTATCCTGGGAACCCGAAGTCACGCTAACCCAAATCGTGCTCACTCGCTGCTTGGAGTATTCTTGTCATTGCGATACACGGACTTAACTAAAGCAAACATTGCTGTTTGGTCTATGGGATGAGCTGGCGTTGAAGATTGAGTCAAAATAAAACTGTGTACTGCGCGATTGCCGGGGTGAGATCCTCCCATGATCTGCATTGCTGCAGTAGGGCGTGGAATCATGTCCCGGTAAAGCTTGGATTCTTGTGGCTTACTCCGCATCAGAAGGCATCAAATTGCTCGTCCCATTCAGCGATGAACGACTTTTGTGAAGCGTCTTTTGTTGGGGCGAGCTATCCAGATTCACGCACCACACACACCTCACGAGCGACCGCGGGTGAGGAGACCTCCTGGAATGAATGAATGTAAGCCGGAACCTACATCCGGTGTTCTTTCTACTCCTTGGATACCTTGGTAACTAGTAGAACTCTTACCATACACCTCATCACTTGTTCAATCCCTTGCATTTGACTAGTTCTACCAGCAATTGCCAACTACGAGTAGCACCTATCGCTGTATTCCTCGTGTGCCCATCAGATAATAGTCACAGCCATCAACTGTTTAGTGTCGTATGGTACTAGATGGTCAGAAGTGTCAAGAGATCTAGGCTCTCAAAACTGCATATCAGCTGAACCTACATTAACCTACAAGTACGACGACAAGTATCCAATCCCACAGCCCGTGCTCAGGTGAACAATTCTTCCGTTCGCCCTTGCCTAGTTCTGAATCTGTAGATCTAGATATCGAAACCAGCAAGGCATTGGTTCAGCTAATGTTTCGGGAGCGGCAACTACACTTTCTTTGTTCGTCTTCTCTTCAGGGTGTTCATGTTTCCGGAACTAGAGAAGGCCCAAAGTCCGGTACGCCCTCGTCTCGCTATTCTTGATTAGCGAACCATAGATTGCGGGGTTTATCTGAAAGGAAGGGGGCACGGGGGATCGTTTTAGCATGTGGCCATTCAACAAGGGAGGGATGGGGATCGCATCTTTGGTTCTGCTTGCTCACGTGCGTAATTGTCTATGGATGAACTAGAAGTAGTCCCTGTGGCGATGAAGTGTGGCTATGAAGGCTGACGCTACTGAGTATGGATGGAGGTTTTGTTGTGGGAATTGAGAACGCCGGGTAGAGTGAAAGGCCTCTTTTTGATTTTGAAGCCTACTAAGGAGGAGGTGAATAAGCTACCTGAGTAGAAACGCGGCTCCGACCATGAACGTATTATGAAGCATAAGGAACTATAGCATGTGTCAACATATCAATTAGGTAAATCGCCCACTCATATCTAATTGCTATATTGGTGTATCAATATGATGTGATGCAGGTACAACATAACAAATACGTCAAGGTTCTACTGGATAACTCGCTACGAATTTGTATCAGTAACGACCGATACCTCCAGTAAATGCAAATTCGTTTGTTTGTGGTTGATTCGATATTCGATACTTTAAATTTCATAAGGGAGGGAATAGAGCATATACCGTAATTATGTTTGGATCAGGCTTGGCTATGTGATTATTGAAGACCGAACATGCAAAGAAGATTCCTCTTTCTATCGGTAACCTCATTTATCTTTCATAGAACTTCTTTCCTCTGGAATGTTCGGTTTTTCTTCGTACGTATCGTGGACCGGGAACACATCATCTTCACCTTTTCTCTTTTGCAAAAGCTTCGCAGTACCTCACAGCTACGACCGAGTATAATAACCATCTTGCGTTCCGTGATAGACAAAGGTTCATATTGCACAATGCCCAACGCAGATTTTGGGAGTATTTACAAAGTAGATTGAAGCTTCTAGTGAGCTGTTCCCCAACAATATGTCTAAAACTTCATCATGATACCTTCAGGGACCAAATCCATAGTTCACCCGAAAAATTTGGGCCCCAAAAGCAAGCCAAAAGCAAAGATTCAATGGCTTTGCTTACTCAGGTCATATGTATGCTGCCATCTGTCTCTCGGTGCCTCTATCCTTGCCATTCCCAGTCTCCTGCTTTTCCGGAGCCCATTCACTATCCTCTATACTCTTGACCATCTCATCAACCTTCAACCGCCCCTCAACAATCTCCTTTCCATTCACGAGATCGTTCTCATCTGCACGCTTGCCCGCCTCCTCCTTGTCCTTCGCTATGCCTGCCTTAACATGTCTGTGGACGAGGCGATCTCTCGCCACGTCGAAATCCACATCAACAAACCACAGCTCATCCATCAACTCGCTAGCTTCCTTCCACGGACTCTTGTCTAGACTCAAATAATTCCCCTCGAAAATTACGATTCGCACACTCGACTGTATTGCAATGTCGTCTTGGACGGGATCCTTCACGGCGTGATCGAAGCTAGGCGCGTACAAGGTCGACGTCTCGGGACACAGAGGCTCACGTAGCTTCTTCACGAGCGTTAGGAATGAGTCGCCGTCGAACGTGAATGCAGCGCCTCGGCGAGCATGTGCGGTCACGGGATCGGGAAGGGCGTCCAGCTGGGCACGGGAGAGGTGGTAGCCGTCCATAGGTACGAAAGCGGCGAGGGGGCAACTATTGTGGGTTCCTGGAGATGCTTGTGCATGTTTCTCGTTCAGACGATTAGCTACGATTGCAGCGAGTGTGGTTTTGCCTTAACTGTCGTCAGTATAGATATGCGCGTAGGGGTGGGTGGTGGGCAAATGAGGGGACAGTACCCGAACCGGGGATGCCTGAGACAGCAACTAAGATACGCTTAGAATTGGGGAGGTCCTGGAACTTGTCTATCGCAGTGTTAATTTTGAAGAAACAAGAGTTGGTTCCAACAGGAAATACCCCAAGTCTTTTCAACCAGTCGCTCAACCTGTTCTTCCATCCTGAATTACAACGAGAATGCGGAGTTCTTATCTAAGCCGGATCTAAGTCGATAATGGATGAAGCGATACTTCACCCTAAATATGTTCATGTATATTCATATATGCTTTAAAGGGGTGAAGATGCCTCTTGTGCAAATGCTCAGGAGCTTACCGCTGATCGTGGGGTATTGTGTGGAGTTAGGTTAAGCTTAGTCGTCAGGAGGTTCCTGTGACGTAGCTAGTGGGGAAAAGAAGCAACACCAGCTTCCAAAAGGCGCGATAATGTGTAAAACAAGTTGGCAATCTTATCTTTTGATTGAGAACCAATGAAGCGTGTCATTAGGGTACAATCCTGGGGGCTCGAGGCACTTGCTCAGTTTTGCTTTTCCTCCATGTAGTGTGAACCACAGATGGATAGTCCTCCTCGCCTTGCAACGTAATTGGTATGATCAGTCGCGATTCAATGAGGCATTAATAAACATGAATACTAAAATCTAGGAAACCGAGTGATTTCATGACTGTAGAACATGGCTCAATGCGACTATCAGAGGCGAGGCTATGATGTTGTGCCTTGCCAATACGATGATATAGCATTGGATTATGATACACCCTTCCACGAAGATATATTTCTTCTTGTCATTTACATGACTCTGCCAACTTCGGAAAGCCGAGTTTAGCAAACCCCCCCAAAAAGAGACACCGAAAACTCCATTGCTTTGACGTATCCTCCTCGTCGAGATGATGCACATATCATATACAGAGAAGATGAAAAAGAACCCAGATGCTCACTTAGGGATATCACGCTCCCGGAAACATCGACAACGCCTATCGGAGGCTCTCAGCAGCCTTAAAGTCCGAACAGTGAAAGTAAGGAGACATTATAAGATCAACGACCACGCTGGTGCTCTAGTGCTTCATTTTCGTGTTTCAATCTCTGCTGCCAGGAGCGGAGCGATTCATATGTCAGCATGGTTGTGACCGCTGCAGGGACAGCCCGGACCATGTTCGTTCCCATGCCGCTGTAGAATGCTCTCCAGCCTTCTTCATGCAGAATTGTCGTGCATGTCTTTAAGACGCCACGGTATCTGGGGATATTAACCATGCCATCCGATGACGCCGTCCCTGGCGGACGAGTATGATGTCCGACTCCCTGAAGGCCGCCTCGAAATGATATCTCGTTGTGGGAGCTTGATGGCAGTGACCGTTGTTGTGTCTGAAGACGGGTACGAAGAACCTCATGGGGATAAGTGGCGGACGTTGCGCAAATTTTGCTTAGAATCGTGGCCGATAACACACCCACCCAGTGAACCTCTTCATCAGTATTCGTCGCTTGACCCATTTCTAATCCTGTGAACCTCATCTTGAAGTATTCATAGAGCGGGAATTGTATGGCAACGTGCGTAAGACCAAGTAACGCTGGGGCCAAGCCAGAGTAGAATGCGCCGATACCCTCCATTCTGTACATTTTGCGGAATGCGTCGAAAGTTCCCTTGTATTGCCATGGCGGTCGATACTCTTCTGCTGTGTGGGAGCTCACTTGGGACATAAGTCGAGTTTTGATGACCCATATCGGATTAGTTGCTAGCGTCGAGCATGCGCCGGCCGTGATAGACGCGGATATGCGAGATAGCCACTTGTTGTCTAGCAAAATTTGTCAACATGTCGAATCGACATCTAAGCACCACCAACTAACCTATTTGCGTGTAGAAAAAATCCTTAGAGTAATCATACACGCTCATGTAGACGGCCCATGTCGGAATGTATCCGAGTAACATCGGGCCGAGACCTCTGTATAAACCTTTGACGCCATCTTCTGTCCATATCACACGCGCAGTCCCCGCGAGGCCTCGATATACTGCGCGGGTAGGTCTTCCATGGTTTCGGGGCCGGAATGCTCCCTGAGCTTGAAGCCGAGTCTTGATGACGTCGAGCGGGCAGGTCACGATGCCAGAAGCGATACCGGCCGCAGCACCACAGATGGCATTGACGGAGGAGTTTGGAAGGTTCGCACACCTCACAGCAAGGCTAGAGAAGGGTTTGGGAGGGGGTGAGGAGTTATAAGAAGATTTCGAGGTCGTCGTCGTCGCATACCGTTCTTTTGAGGTAGTCGGGGACGGCGGCGGCTCGGGTGCTTCGGTGGACATGGTGGGAGGCTGTTCATGATGGAAAGATCAGAGAAAAGCATTAAGTTTTTTCAGATAGTGATATCCTACAGGCCGTCGTCCCCTTTACAGTGCCTCAGTGTGCGGAAACCCCGCAGCACTCGAGTGACACAATAGCTAGCGGTCGAGCAGATCCATTGACCGTCGGACGCAAGATGCAGGGCGGGGATCGAAGCGATGCCGGGGTCGATTACGTTTGTTGGAGTGATGATCTGTCGCTGCGATGGGCGGCGACGGGTTGATCAACTATACGCACGCAAATGATTCGCGACCTGAGGATGAGAGGGAACGTCTGGCTAGGCACACGAAAGAGAGAGAGAGAGGGAGAGGGAGAGAGACAGACAGAGAGGGACTGACGATAGGAACAAGTACGAAAGTGCGGTGGGGAAGGATGGCACATGGATTGCAAGCTTGCTAGTCTTTTGCCAAGGTTCGGCGTTCAGCGACCAGCCAATTCGCTTCGAGCATTTCAACCTTACGAACCTTGAGAACTTCATCGACGACACTTCAGCGACTTCCTCTCCCGACCGACCCCAGCACCCGCTACCTCCACACAACTCTGATCCATCCTCAGAGCGCTCCGAAACGATGTCCGCGCCGTCGCTCGCACCCTTCATTCTCAAGCGCCCCTGGCTGCAGAAGTTCGTGTCGCCACTCGCCAAGTGGTATGTGAACGCTGCGGGCTACAGGCAACTCGGATTGAGGTATGAATACCCTCTAAAATTGGCCAATTCCATGCTGGAGTGTCGCATAGTCACACTGGCATTGGATGGTGACTGCTAGGACGATGGATTAACACCAATTCCTCCGTAGGGCCGATGATTTGATCCCGGAAGAGAACAACACTGTTCAGCTTGCCCTCAAGCGTCTCCCACCGAAGGAGGCTTACGACCGTGTCTTCCGTCTGCGACGAGCTTTCCAGGTAGATATGACCGTTGATGGAGGATTGCTAGAGACGTTGCTAAAATTCTATAGTTGTCCGTTGCACACCAGCTTCTCCCCAAGGCGGAGTGGACCAAGCCGGAAGAAGTAAGACAGACATGGACAGCGAGTAAAGAAACCATCACATCTGACAATCGCTGCAGGACACCCCATACCTAACCGAAGCCATCCAGACGGTCGAGGCCGAGATGAAGGAGCGTGAGGATTTGGAGGCCATGGTGATCACCAAGAGGCAGCGAATTGCCAAGGTTGCCCACTAGAAAGGGCGTAAATAAGACCGTTATCGAATTTCCTTTGAATCAGTGGAGGTGGAGGGAGGGAAAAACTGTGCATTAGAGTGTATATCAGCAAGACATCTCCTTCGCAGTACTGTTCTGATACTACGATCCCCAACGACTTTGGATCAAATCAAGATTTGCCACATTATAGTATTTCGTTCCAAGACCGTCTTGTGAATTGCCGGTACCCTTTGGTGCCTCGACCATTCTGCATGTGAAAGGACAGGATTCTAAAATACAGCTTACTCCGTACTTCGAAAGAAATTGGCACTGATTTGCGAAAGATTGGTCTCAATTGTGCCTTTGGCTAGCGGATAGATATCAACCGTTGCCAATGGCATCACAGGATCCAATCTATCGGCGGTATCCAATTTCGTATGTAAATGGCACCCACGAAACCTTCCTTACAAACTCAATCAGCAGGTCACCAAGTCAGTACAACTACTATATATTTGTCTTTTATTCTTTCCAGTGCATGATTTTACTTAAGTTCAATGAGTTCCATAACGTGATAGTCAGGGCATACCAAGAAGCTGCGATTCAGTAAAAGTCCATTACATCATGACAAGCACGTGTGCTAGGAACATGGCGCCAATTCTTAAAAACCAACTCTATAGATACCTCACAGCTTCTGTTAAGACTAGCGGACACATATAACCACGAAGTTATGGAGAGTAAGTCTAGTTATAGTCAAGAGGTTGTTCGATCATACATTCGAGGATGAGAACCCAAGTCGTGCTAAAATTCATACCAGCAGCTGCCTTACCACATCTAAATGTGGTAATAATTCAATTACAATAATAATACAATATCAAAACCCGAATTCTGAAATGATGCCCAAATTTAATGAACATCGTAGAATTGATAGGATGATCGCACATGAAAACAAATAAAGTGTTACTCCACAAAGTGCATCTTGTGTACCTAAATCGTGCAAGAGAAGCTCTCAATAGTAACAAGTAAAACAACAATCGGTCTGAATTATCACGAAATCGCAGTACCTCGTAATTGAAACAACTTATGTCCCATTGTGTTATTATGATACATATTCGAGTTTTCATTTGCAGAAAATCCATTTGTCAGCGCGAGATCATGTGCCCAGGCGTCAGCCCGATCGCCAGACTCGGGTTCCATCCATTCCCCCGCACGCGCACCACGCGTCAGATTCGAAACTTGTCCCATCTTTCGGATGGGCATGAAAATTCTCTACAATATCTTGCATGCTATTCTATACGTCACCGTTTGCACGAATTTTGGTATGTGGGAATTTCTCAGGCGAATGGAATCGACAAGTGCTGACTTAGAGGCCACGATAACAGAGACGAAGGTTGTCACCAGTGATGCAATCAGCACCATTGACCATGTCCTCTTTACGGCGCTCGGCGCGTATCTCGATGAACAGTAACAATGTTACATCCGAAATAGACCCTAATGGCACGACTTCGAAGATTGGGGCAAAGTATGTGAAGAAGCCTACTGCCACGACGAAGAAGCGTAAAAGTAGCGCAATCCCTACGGACAACAACGTAGCAAGCAGCGTCAATGACCCGCCAGAGAACTTTGCAATTCCTGATGCTCCAGCAACACCTCTTCCAAAGAGACGTAAAGCACAGCCTTCTGAATCACCGGCTAAACCCCCACCATTCACGCCGACGCCTTCAGGAGTCGGGCTCATCGCTTCGTCCACTGAATCCGGTCATCCTCTCGAGGACCTAGCCGGCTTCAAACCGCGACCAGCTGAGCCACATGCGACCAACGCACCTCTATCCACCCCCGGAGGAACACGCGTGGTCGCTTATTCCTCTTCGCCCATCAAGGCTCCATCAGCGTCACAAGAAGAGACAGCATCACCGGCTAAGAAGAGGAAGGCCAAAGAACTTGTTCCTCCGGATGTTGGCGCACTGCCGCATCCCACCTCGACGATTGATACGTTATTGAAAGACGCATGCGAGCACTTGTGTAAAGTCGACCCGAAACTGAAGAATTTGATCGATAACCATGAGTGCAAGATGTTCACGCCAGAAGGGTTGAGGGAGGTTATCGATCCTTTCACCGCTCTAGCCAGCGGTATCATCGGGCAGCAAGTACGTATGCTTACCTCTGGTCATGCTTCATGAGACATGGATGAAGTCAATATTTCCATGCTTGGCTAACCATATCAACGTTTCAGGTGTCAGGTCAAGCCGCGGCTTCCATACGTAAGAAGTTCACCGCCCTCTTCCCTGATACCCACCCGTCGTTTCCTACTCCCGCACAGGTGACCCAAGAAGAAATTTCCACACTCCGAACTGCGGGCCTCTCGCAGCGCAAAGCAGAGTACATCCAAGGATTGGCAGAGAAATTCACGACCGGAGAGTTAAGCGCACAGATGCTGGTCAGTGCAAGCGATGAGGATCTAATTGCAAAATTGGTAGCGGTACGGGGCCTCGGGAGGTGGAGCGTCGAGATGTTTGCATGTTTTGGCTTGAAGAGAATGGTAAGTGCCTTCAAGTCGTAGCCTCTGGCAGATGCTCACACTTCTGGTGCCAGGATGTTTTCAGCACGGGGGACTTAGGCGTGCAGTAAGTTTGTTTTCCTTGCACTCAATGGTGGTAGCCTTGACTAGGCCATTAGTATTGATCCTTGCTTTACCAATTGATCAGCGTCAAACTCCGTCAAGTTGACCACTGCTAACTGCCCCGTAGAAGAGGCATAGCGACCTACGTAGGCAAAGGTAGGCGGCACCAGCAACTTGACACCAGACTCGAACTTACTATAGAGCAGACGTATCGAAATTGAAGGCAAAGGGTGGCAAGTGGAAGTACATGTCTGAGAAGGATATGCTTGACACGGCCGCGCCGTTTTCCCCCTACCGGTACGTTCTAGCCCGAGCTTATCCTGTCAAGATATTTCGGTTACATACCCACCGTTGCTAACGACTCGAACAGCTCACTGTTTATGTGGTACATGTGGAGAATTTGTGATGTAGATATCAGCGTCCTCCAGAAGGAGGACTAGACGGAATTCAGTACGGAGTAGAGTGGCGAACTGGCCATCATTAGTCAATGCAGAGCATTTTTGCGTAACATGTGTCGCATCTTGGCTACATTCATGATTTGACCAGGCCAATATATGGGTTTTCTAGAGGACTCTGGCATGGCGTAGTGCAGAGCAGGTGACGTTGCAGTACATATCAGACGGCAGCCTGTCAATTTTTCCTTCCTGCATTGTAGGGACCAAGGAATGGGGCCACGCTCACTTTTGATTTGCGATCGCGAGCATTCCTCGCTTCTCCGTGCCAAATCGAGGACCGTGAGCGCATTATGCATGTAAATACCCAATCCGATCTGCAAGATATTGACAGATTGGGTGCTGAAGGGGCAAAGCGGGAAGGAAAGTGGACCAGCCTGTGTGAATGTGCCTAGGACTGGTACATGCCTTGGACATATCACATGAAATCTGTTGTAACACAGCGGCACCTAGATCCGCTTCGTTTTCGCCTCGCGGTATGTGTATGACGGAGATGCATCTACTCCGTACATACCATCTGATTATGATAATCATGGCAACACCACAACTCGTATTGATGCCTGTTCAGTTGGCCGACATCTCTCCATGGCGATCCGGACGGGGGGAACGAAACACTCGCAGTGGTTAACTATCGTTTTAGGTTCATGGCATCCGATCGATTCAGCTACTGGCCGTTAAGCGGTCAGGAAACCTGGTAACAACGGTGAATCGTTTCTAACGGTTATTGGTGAGGGGGTTTCTCCGTTTTCAAGGGGCCGGGGTGCCGCAGGCGTGAACCGTGGATCGATTTCAAAGCGCTTCTGATTGAGTTCAGGGAAGGAGTCCCTGTGTAACGATCAGCATCTTCAAGTATGGCGGAGGAAAGAAAATGTCGAGCTACAGATGACATTTTGGTATACTCCGCATCGTGCATGCTATGTCTTATTCCGCGAGTGGATGGGGAAAAGTACCAACTCGTCAAGTCACATCGAGTGTTTTGAATGGAGAACCCCGCAAGCTGCAAAGCTCAAAGGGGTTGATAGATGATTCAATGGCCCGTTCCCCAAAGCAACAGCTGACTGCTCGGTGTGTATAGAGGGAGAGTTGACAGTGGACATGATCCAGCCACATCCAACGCAAAATGGGTAGATGACGGCCGACTTCGCTCGTCGAGGGTTACACTGACCGTTTCTCGCAAGCTGTTGGACCATTCAAAGCACGGTGGAGAAGAGGAAGGTGCGGCATAGGCTTCCGCGATTTGATGTGGACCAAAGCCGGTGTATCGTAGGATTCTGAGCTGCATGTGCTACTCAGTCTATTCTTTGTACAGAGTATGTGTGTTACAATTGTTTTTTGTTGTTTGTTTTTTCTCTGGCGGCTGCAATGGAAGTAAAGCCAGTGCTTAGGAGAGTGCCCAAGTAACACAGAAACTGCAGGGAAGACCTTTTACTCCCGAACCACAGATTGATCTAAGCAGGGGACCGCATGTTGTAATGCTCTTTGGGCGTTGACAGGTCTTGACGTCTGCTCGGGCAGAGAGCCCTGTCATCTGCAGTGCGAGTATGCACTGTATAGTGCTGTAGAGCAACCCGTAGGTGCATGTACCTATGTACCATGTATGTTCATGGACATGTTGGTCGTCCAGTGAAAGAAATGCAAGCTGGGTCTATCGATGTACGATATAGCTAAGCTCGCTATCGACTGTAATTGGTTTGCGGTATCTAGTGTATGAACAATGTATCAAGGTGGAGTTGAGGTTGTATTCTGAATCTCAGGGTTGTGACGAATAGAATGTCTACTGATGTGTTTCAAATGAAGCCATTCCCCAGACCGGAAGGAAAATCGCAATCTGGTCGATCATCTGCCAGCGAATGATGATTAGAACTATGGTTGTTGTGATTTTGGAGATCATATTGGCGCCGTGATTGGAAGTACGGACCATGGATGATTAAAATATTATCAGGAGGCTCCAATGAATTTCGTGCCATGCCGTATGCTTGCTTGTATATTGTCAAGACCAACATTTGCTGATTGCAAGGTGGAGGTTAGATAGAGAAAGCGACGGGGGTTACGAGTAGACGGTGATTGGAATAGCGATGTACGGAGTAGTTAGTCAGTCAGATATCAAGGGAGGAGTGAGATAATTACTTGTGAGATGGATCAAGGTGTCATATCTTGTCTTGAGTCTTGACCTGTCCTAGGTATGATCCTACTGTGTATAATGTGTATTTGTTGGTGGTTGACCCAGGCGTGTGGCGCCAATAGACTCCATCCCTTTCCGCGCCCGCTAGGCTAGTCCCAAGGCGGATTGGGAGCCGCCCCCTTCGAGCGATCTCCAGGGAATCTCGATGTGGACTAGCAGGGATGGCGTGCAGATGAGCCAACGCTACATACGCTCTCGAGTCTCTATTGACACGGCCCCCTCAACGCCTCATCAGCCAATTCCATCCCATCCGCGACCAGCGACGAACAACGAACGATGTGGTGTTTGGATAACCTCGTGCAGTCTGCAAAGCACCGTTGCCCATACAAGTGCTCTGTCGCCCCCTGGTCTCAGATGGAGGAGGGGTGGCCGCGCGGCTATCGATTGGGATGCCGTTGTTTCGTCTTTGCCAGCATCGGTGTCATCAGATTTCAAGGCATCGGAAGATGAAGTCAGAGACCGTGAGAGGGCTACCTAGGGATTTCCTCTCCTTGTCCGTCATCCTGCACAAGCCTTTCGCATCGTTTTCTCTTGTCCTGCCCAGTAGTATTAGCTAGCCAGCCCAGCGATAAGGTGACCAGCAGTGCGGTAGGGAGAGGTCGCAGAACGGGCAGGGCGTCCGCGGCGTGCAGCGGACGGACATGACTCTCTGACAGCGGAGGCGTGGCTCGTTGGAGAGTTCCCGACTAAAAACAGTTCAAGCATTTAGGTAGGACTCAGGAGCAGTATTGGCTGTCCGTGAAGGTGCATTATTGGCGAGTTGAAAAGCAGGGTGGATTCTTGCTAGGAACATTCAGCCGAGGATGGCAATAATGGTGAATGCGCGGCCACACTGCTATCAACAAGTCATGCGTTTTGTGCAAGCTCCATGGTAAGCACCTTGAGAAAAAAAAAGGAAAAAAGTCCTACGAAGGTGATTCGATCGGCTTTGGGTCGAGGCAAGACATTGTGATTGCCGTCGGCTTCTGTCCTCTGGCTGGTCTATAATTCGGTACGACAAGTCTAGGCGATATCCAAGATGAAACGAATTCCAAGGACGAATGCTAGCTGACTGGCAATAGTGCGCGGATTTATTGTGGAGAAATCAGGATTTGCGGAAGCCGTGGCTAGTGCTATGGGAGTCTGGAAGATGGGAATGATGAATAGAGACGCTTGCTACGCTTGCTCCGTACAGACTCCAGACTCTAGAGTAGGTACTCCGTAGAAGCAAATCAGAGGTTCCCCGTCATTGACGTCGCCCCTTCACGGTTGAAGGCGGCCGTCTGATCTGCTAGGGGTGGGAGTATCGGATTGACACATGGGATGATGGGATTGATTGATCCCTTGGACAACAAAATGAGACAAAACATGTCCGACGCACGAGCGCAAGCCGGCGCGACCGCAGGCATTCATTCACTCATAGTTATAGAATGTTGGCAGCTAGCGGATCGAGATCATTGGATGAAGTGAGTTGCAAGGCGAACCGTTTGTTACAAATACATGTACTGTGTACTCCGTACTGCGTAGTATCTCGTTAAATGGTTGGGTGGATCAGGAATACTTTTAGTGTGGACAATAGTAGATGATGACCAGAGGGTGAGGAATCAGGATATTTTTCTTGTTGAAGGTGTCGGGGCACGGATAAGCGTTGGGAAGGGAAGAGGCGTGAAGAGGCGCGAGGAGGCGTGGGAAGTCGCGGCTGGTGGTGGGGGGAGGGAGGGGGGGGCTTGCGCGGCATTACTGTGTATACTTTGTAGAGGCGATCGCGAGGCCAACGCGAAAGCAGAGGAGAGTATCCCTAGGTTAGGTAACTAGCAGGAAAGCATCGAGCGAAGAAGCACATAGGTATGCACATAAATACGGAGTACACATTCCAACAGGATGAACAGAAGATAGAATGAAGCGATTGAATGGTACGGAGTAGATGTGAGAGAGTAACTATAGAAACATCATCGTCGTTGTCGTCATTGGCTTACACAGTAGATCGGAGTACGGAGTAACAGGTACTTAGTATTTAGTGCCTACTAGGTACCTGGGTAGACAAAGCATCATTTCATTATTGCTTAGGATGTGTTTCGTAGAATCGGTATTAAGTGTGTTTCCAACTTTTTGATGATGATGAACGAACGATGAGCAAGAATCATACCTAGGTAGTTTAATTAAATCATTAGACGCATTCGTTCATTTCATTTCATTTCATTTTACTTCATCCATCCCCTACCAAAGATGATAGGTACTTGTACAAGTACTGTGTACATACTGTCTGTGTACATGGTACTTGTTCATACATGGTCGGTACCTGGATGTTATATTTTATTTAATAGTTTACCGGGTGAAAGAGGGCAAGCGCGAGCCTTTAGTTGTCCGTGCTTCACGGTGGTCTTCATACAAACATACCCCTGTCAGCTTCTCGACGCCAACGCCAACGCCAACGCCATTCCCAATCTCTCATCCCTACCCAAACTGTTTTCCCCTTTCCCGTCAACCATACGACTCCTTCAACTCTTCCTTCTCTTCCTTCTTTCTTCTTCATCTACTCTCTCTCGCTCTCTCTCTCTCTCCTTCCCTCCCCATCACACCTTCATTACCAAACCTTCTTCTTCTAGCTCGCCTGCCTCGGCGTTCCTAAGGTACTACTACTAATCGTTAACTCTTCTTTTCAACTCCTCCTTCTAAAGGGCCTTTCTTCTTACACTCGCTGTTTGTTGTCTTGTGTCCACATTCTTCAAAATCAACACACACACACACACACACTTCCATCATCACCCCGTATTCAGAGCGCGTTCTATCGCACTCCATCGTGATCACTCCCACTCTCGAAAGGTTCGTTCGTTCCACACATCCCCTTGGCGTGCCAATCGCTCCGTAGACGCGTTGCTGATCCATCTGCACACCACAGCTACCCAATTGCTTCGACATCTCCGCCCACATAATGTCTCTCTCAAAGTACGCCGTGCCTGTTCTGGCCGTCGCTGGCTCTGCCTACGGTATGTCGACATACCCTGAGTCCTCACAGATGTTGCCTCACCAATACTAACCAATCCATTTCTCCAACAGCTGCCTGCAGTGCTTCTCCCTCGCCCACCGTCACCGTCCAGAACGCTGGTGATGTCGCCGCTTTCACTACCTGCCGTACCTTCTCTGGCAGCATCGCCGTCGCAACCGGCGCCACCGACTTCCAGCTCAGCGGCGTCCGGGAGCTCAATGGCAACTTGGTCGTCTTGAACAACACCCAGATCAGTGGCATCTCGGCCGACAGCTTGGAGACCATCAAGGGTACCTTCAGACTGGACAACCTCGAGTCCCTCACCAGCCTCAACTTCCCCAAGTTGACCCAGGTGGAGGAGATCGAGTGGACTTCCCTCTCCAGGCTCGACACCATTGGCTTCGACTCCGAGGTCACAGAGGCCGACTCTGTCAAGATTGAGAACACTTTCCTTTCCTCCCTCAAGGGAATCAACCTTGCCACCGTCAAGACCCTCAAGCTTGCCAATAACAAGCAGATCAACGATATCACCATGGAGAACCTGGGCAATGTGTCTGAGATTCTCGACTTCTCGGACAACAACGTTGACGTCAACGTCTCCCTTCCCAACTTGCTCTGGGCTTCCAACATGACCTTCCGCAACGTCTCCTCCCTGGATCTGCCCTCCCTCGAGACCCTCAACGGCTCCTTCAACTTGGTCAACAACGCTTTCTTGAGCTTCAAGGCCCCCAATCTCACCACCATTGGCGGTGCTCTCTCCTTCGTCTCCAACACCGAGTTGACCAACCTCACTCTCCCCGAGCTGACCGAGGTCAAGGAGAACCTCGAGATCGCCAACAACACCAAGCTCCACAAGATTGACGGCATTCCCAAGCTCAAGACCATCCGCGGTGCTCTTGACTTCAACGGAAACATGTCCGAGTAAGTTTTTTCAATGGCCATGATACTACGTACAAGACTAACGATCTGTAGGGTTGCCCTTCCGGCCATCAACCACATCTTCGGTGCCTTCAACCTCCAGTCTACTGGCGATATTGACTGCGACAAGGACTTCAAGCCTCTCAAGTCCTCCGGCAAGATCGAGGGAAGGTACTTCTGCAAGGGCAATGTCGCCAAGCCCGGTGGTGAGGGCACCACCCCCACTGTCACCGGATCAGGAGCTTCCAAGACCAACGCTGCTTCTCCCGCCAATGTTGGATCTAATGTCCTCATGGCTGGTCTCGCCGCCGCCTTCTTCTTGTAACCGACTCATGACGCTGGCGTTTCACTTTACCAACATAGACTAATAATTCGACAATCTGTGTCCTTTCTAAACATATGGTCCCGTGCACAGACCCTCCTAGACTGCTGAAAGATTGCATTTGTGGGGCCGGAAGAAGCATTGCGAAGGGGGGAAGGATCGCTCAACGTACATGATATGCGCGTATCGATTGGCTAGTGAGGGCCGCAGCTTAGCGGAACTGTAATACGGGCACACGGTGGCCTACCTTCGAATGTTTCGTCCGCCTGGAGTTTGGCGGGTGCCTTTTTGGGGGCGGCAGAAATCATGGCTCGGTGCTTTCTCTCTCCTTCTCTCATTCATTTTTGTGTCCATAGGTAGGCGCTCTCTATATCATGTATGCTACAGCGAAAATGCATTTCTTTATCAACGTCATTGCTACTCGTTTTTTCGTGGTGTGTATTATTGTGCATGACGTCTTTGTTGATCCTCATGGACCGAATGTTACATGTCATTTCTCTGGCAAATCAATCACACTAAGTCACATGACATGCAACCCGAACCTCATCACTTCCCATCCGTCGACTTCAGCGCGATAGCTCGAGCCCGCGGGGAACACGGGGCTACTTCCATTAGCGCAGTGCATACACAGTACGTCCAGGCCCGGGGTCTGCAGCTTGTACAACAATATGCTGTATCATACACATTCGATAATTAGCGCCCACTTGGTGCTTTGCGCAAGCGACCCATGAAGTGCCCACTGTCCAAATTAGAGAGATGCTGGCCCAGATCGTTGCAAACAGAGCAACTTGCAGAAGTCTGCTAACCATGAGCCAGGACAGAGGTCACGCCTAAGATCTTCTTAAGATCGCATCCGATGCGCCACTCGATCCCACCGTCTCTCAGCGAGACAGAGCAACACTCATTAGGGAAGCCCTTCATCCAAGTCGAGCGTTCAGCACGCCGAAGGCTGCACGCGCATCTCGAGGTTTGACAAGGTCGCTCTACATATGGACTACAGATGTCGTCCTTTCGTTGCTCAACCCGTCATCTGCAGCTGGCATCGGGCAACCACTGGCGGTGAGTCCATCCTGAATTCGCCTTGCAGATGTATGGACCCGTACCGCTCTTACCGGGACATCCTAGTCTGTCCATTTCCCCGTCGATTAGAGTTGTTTCATGGGGAGGCAAGGAGTGGTGGAGGCAAAAAGCCATCTCCCCCACATGTTAGTAACACTTGTGCAAACCGCTTGCCTGTGAGCTCTCAATAAGTCAACAGTAGATGCAATGCAGCAGGGGCAAGATATGGTAGCAGACAAGGGCTTCCTTCGAAGGTTGCAATGCCCTTGTGCAGGCGCGATCATCCCGTTGCCGCGCCCATCATGCTTCAATTGTTTACACAGGGTGCAGTGGTCTCTATCGAGCAACATATAAGGCGCCAGTGCTTTCTCGAACCCATTTCCAGCAACTATCTGTTTTCATTAGACATTTCGTCAGGCTTCATCTCAAGCCGGACCTGCTTCTTTCATACTTTCTAGTTCTATCGTCGTAATTCAAGACTTCACCATAATGTCCCTTCTCACTCTTCAAGTTCCTTTCCCACACCCTTCCACCATGACCAGCTACACTAAAGAGGCCGAGTCTCCGAGAGGTGATCACATACTGTCCAATCAATTGCGAAGTATGGACATGGACAACGTGTACGTCAATGTTGCTCAGATGCCCGTGGACTATTGATCGCTAATGCAACTCTCAGAAAATATGACCCCATGGTCCAGCTACCATCGATCGAGCAACTTTTCGGACCCTTGGACGTGAGTCGACGTCTCTCGTCGGCTTCGTCTTCCACCACCTCTTCATCATCTTCGACATCGGCATTGGCGTCTACCTTAACCTCACCGGCTTTGACCCCATCTGATATGTCTCTCAACAACTATCAGCAGACTGCCACCCGACGACTGAATCAGATCGCTTGCCAGATTGCGCCATACTCCAATGTCTCGAAAAGACCTCTCTCGAAGTCGGCCAGGCGAACCGCGCTCAAACAAGGAGGACCCGCCCGAGCCAGGTCGTCCGTATCTCCAGACCGACCTATCAAGAATATCATCAAAGCCGATCGAGAGAAAGGAGCCCGCAAAGTCCAATGCTCTTCCCTATCAAAGCTTCAGAATGCGCTACTGTTCATCAAGCCGGAGCTTCCACATACTGCCCATGGTCAAGGGTGGAAGCTACTGAAGTCCAACAACATCAATTGGGACATAGAAAACGCACTTCGACACAGGAAGAATGATGTGCTCGACTCCAGCACATACATGATCTTACAGCAGCACCATCTCCTTCTTCAAATAGTTCAACATCTCCACCAAACCGGTGATGCATCTGCTGCCAGCCACTTCTCTACACTCATCGATCATTTGTGCACAGAGAAATTCCCCGAGCTCCCGCCAGCGTTCACTGCGAACCTTTAGTTCCAGGCTCGCTGCTTCCTCTTGTCTTATCATGCGATGTTTACGATTTTTTCATACGGCTTCTTTGCTATGTCTGTACGCATGCTTCTCCTCACGATTGTGCTGCCTTGTTTGTTTTCATGCATTCACCAGGTGGCAATGTTGTTTCAAAAAAAAGTTGTTCTATGAGATATCTCGGTCGGCTGTCTGTGTATTTTTGTTCATTTCTTACTGCTGGAGAGAATCTCATACTCTCCAGCAAAGATATTTTTATTAGTTCCAGTGGTGCATCGCGCATTCAGGAATTCAGTATTTGATTGCGAAGGGCATGTGCCCACACATGTAACGACCAACCAAGTTGATACGACCTTTGAGATAGTTTTCGGTCATATTTACACCTTAATTTAGTATTTAGTGGTATGAAATCGGATGGAATCAAATGAAATGTGGCTTGACAACTTTGAATACCTTTAGGTGATTTCGGGATACACATACATCAACAGTTTCTTCTCTCCAGTGTCAGAATTCAGGACCTTACGAGGGTTGTCAACCACTGCATAGAGAGAAGGGTGTACAACTAGCATCGTGTACTACAGCCCGTGAGGGAACAAAAGAAAATGATCGGTCGAGGCCATGGTAGGGGTCCCCAAAAACGAAGTCGACCAAGTCCCGCCTGCGACTTTCGGATTCAGGGATAAATGATCCGCAAAGTTTCGGTACCAGTGATATCCCTCTGCACTCTGATCTAGGTTAACAGAAAGCAATGATAGATCACATTGTAGCTCGCGCTGCATGATTTGAGAACGGTGAACGGGACGTCGTTGCAGTGGAGGACGCTTGATTGGTCGTAGACCGACACACAAGCATCCTTGCGGCATAAGAAAGGCTTCCCTCAACCCTTGTCGATCCGTCTTAGTTCTTTCGATTTCCTCAATTCGACATGGAACGCGCCTAGCCACATACACAATGTGGAGAGTGTCGTAGCTAACTGGGGCTAGCGGGTATGTCCCGTCCGCCTACTATCTGTCTAATTGTACTCTGTGAGTTTACCTGGAATCTATCTCAGCTCACGCCTTGCGCCGAATGCTTCACCCTACATCAAAATTCAAAGATCCTCAATCACCGTACGTACAGTATACCCAAGGTTGAAATGGGGTGCCTCCAAGTCCACCAGGTTGAACGGCTACCTGCAGATGCCACCGCATTCACGCAATTTCCATAACACCAAGCGCGTGATGCTCAATGCTGTTATCCGCCTGCGAATAGGCTCGCCCGCATTTGACGTGCTCCACTCCGACGACATATATCTATCTCTCTTCTCTAACTCATTCAACCGACCGTTTACTGCAACCATGCGAGCAATCGGAGCCTTCCCCGTTAGCCTAGTCTCGCCTTCAGACATGACGCACATTTCCATTTACAAGCATTAGGGTGCCAGTTTCGCTCCGGAAAAAGATGTCCAGGGGACGTTTCTTTTTTCCACATCCAAACGCCACACGCCCATGCACGTCGTCCAGTTTGGTTCCCAAGAAATGTCCGGTCTGTGATACATTTGCCTTTATTCCCAGCCAGAAAGATGTGGGCTGACAGACTGCGGCTGCTGCTGCCGTTTCCATTGCTGCCGCTTCTCCAAGTACGGAGTGTTGTACATCTGAAATGAGTTTGTGTGTTTCTAGATGCCGCCGGCTCGCCACCCTACTCTAAGACATACATTTCAAGCATGCGGACTCAGTCCTTTCTGTCCGCCGAATGGACTCATTAGAACGTATTTCTTCTTTCCTTTTGCCCATTCTCCACCCGGGACTTGTGTCCCAACCCCTCCTCTTTCCTTTTGGGCTTTCTTTGCACGAGCATGCATGCATATCGTTTCTTTAGGGTCCTGATCACGACTAGAGGGGGGAGGGGTAGGGGCTCGCGCTGGTTCAAATGACAATGCAGTGAATTGCTTCTTGAAACATGTTTGGACTACTAGATCTTCCCCGGCTGTATTTGCTGTTTTCGCTTGAGGGTGTTAAACCCTTTGAGTGATTATGGTAGGTAGGGGATGTTGTTCTGTCTGATTACATAGAGGGGGCTTGTACATTTTGTCTCACTCGGTGACATATGTGGAGATGTCAGGTGGTAAGCGCAAACAGATATGCAGAATCGCGATATTCGACCTCATTAACGCTCCGCTATGTGTCCTTCAGCGTTTTCCTCTTTCTCCATAGCATTTTGGCAGATGCAAGAGGTCACCCGGTTTGAGTGATCGGGATTAAATGGGGACTGAAACTTTAAGACGGATGATCTATGTTGTGACGCTTGTAATACGAGTGATATGCCCTCAAAGTCACCGCAGCGACACAACGTCCGGAATACTGCAGACTAATTTCAATGGCATCCACATTGCCGAGTTGCATCTTTATCGGAGCAACCCCGTTGGAACGATCGTACTATGCATCGATGGATTTGCTGCTCGCTCTCCTTGGACATGGGTTCTGTCTTGATGGTGCAATCGCCAGGTTGTGAAATAAACTAGGATGATGTTCATCTTCGCACGGCTTAGTATAGCAAGGTGCCGACGGTCAGGATATCGCCAGCTGAACCGCTGGCCATTCGTTGTATAGCTGGATAGTGATTGCAGCAGTTAAGATCACCAGCGGAGACATTGAATGGGAATCTTGTCCGGTCAGAACTCCTGTAAATGTTGGATCCTAGCTGATTTGACCTCCAGTTCTTATAGTGACAGTGAAAGCGATGTAGATTTGTTACAAGCAATTAGAGTTCTTGACACATTGCTCTACATGGAGAAGGGAACCTTAGGTTCCAAGTTCAACTATTGGTGATTGAAGATCACCTCGTCACGGACGTCCTCAATGCAGACTTCGATTCGATATTGCACTTGATAACCTTACCTCCCTTTAAATTTACGGCTGATTCCATAGCCGAAGACAGTGCAGTCAAGGGAAAATGTAATTAAGAAGAGAACACAGGTAGGGGGTTGGAACGCATACATTCCCGAGACTTGCCCATCAGAACGCATGAGAAATATATAAGTATAAACTGATGTATGATAAGTAGGTTCTATTACACCACAATCTCCATGACAGGGATTGGGCTCGAAAACTTGCCGAATCTACAATAAATACTACAACACCGGACGGAAGGCGGTAGCTATTGTGACTGACGTGTTATCGGTGGTGCGATTTAGACAGAATGACCGTTGTTGCAGCATGTCTGTAAATTCTTTGTGTCCATGTTGTGAACGTAGCGTAGCATGCTGCTTCTCGTGGGCGGTAGCAATGGTTTCTATCAGGGGTAACCCACGAGCAAATGAGCAAATGAGCAAATGAGCCAATACCCGCACCCTCCCTTGCCTATGCCGTCAACGGTCGTTGGTGCATGCCCGTTCTTGACTATTGTACCATCACATGTCTGTCTATTGGAGAGAGTGGAGGCCGCCTGGAGACATGATGAAATATTGATAAAAGATCCCCCTCGTATTTTATTCGTACATATACATACTGTACTCCAGCTACGAGAGCTGAATGCACCCGTGATAGTAAATGTTGGTTCCGCAATCACCACCAACCCCCCTCCTCCCCCGTCCCGACTCCCGCCCATAGAGAACGAACAAGAGCTGCAATCTGCAGACATCCGCCCAACAGCAGGAATGGCAGAGACCAAGGCAAGAGCCCGCTCCACTTCAACAACGAACGGCTGATTGGATTGATTACTTGCAAACAAGTCCGGAATAAGAGTGGGTTTTCTCTTGAGTTGTCGTAATCGTTTCTTAGACGGCTCCGGGCCAATCACGGGCCAACAATGTTCGATACGCGATCCCTACCTACTACCTACGATCCTCGCAACTTCCCTTGCGACATGTTCGTGCGTGTTTCCAAGATTCCTTGCCGCTTCAATTACTATCGTCGCCTGCCTCTCCTCCTCATTGATCTCTTTCCCAATACTCCCTATCTGTCCCGCCGCTACCGCCTGCCGCAATAGCAACTTCTTCTAGCTACCCCGCCGTCACTGTGCAATTCTTGCCATCTTCATTTGCATGCGGGAAGCTTGAACTGTGGGCGCAATAACCTCTGCTGCTCCGCCCGCCTTCCTCGAGTTACCTGACGCCTTTCCTCTCCGTCAAGCTGGCTTCCACACCCTCGCCGCCGATACACACGCAGAGGGAGAACGGGAATCCGCAGAACATACGGGCAAGGAGTGCTTCGGTTCGCATATCACAGGCGCGGGAGGACGACGAAAAGGGCGGCACGGGCAGGTCCCGTTTCAATATGCTTGTGGGAAAGGGCTATTCATGGAAAGCTGCTAGCTCGAGATTCCCGCCTTCGCGGCAATTCTGGCATATGATACGGAATCCAAGGGTACTTCTTTCCATTGGTGTTTTCACAGTTATCGTGTTTCTATGGCGGTCAGCAGCACCCTCCGCAGGAGATCTTCAGAGGTATGTAGTGCTGTGAGAGGATGCACAAGATCTAGTCGCCCCAGAGGATCGAGAACGTCACACGATATATCCGAACGACCACTGACAATCTTTACAGATTCTACTGCTTTGGGCCAGCAAAAGCACCCATGCATATGACACCGAATGAAAACGCAGAATGGTACGGACACCTTAAAACGCCGGTGATATTCAACCACCATAAACCGATCGATGTCAGCCATACAAACATAGAACATGTCAATTTGAACAAAGTGGAGTCGACTCCCAAAGCTGTACAAAACATGGAGCGTGTCCTTATCCTCACCCCCTTGCGCGACGCGAGCTATTACCTCCAGAAACATTTCGACCTCCTCTCCGAACTTACATACCCACACGATCTTATCGACCTCGCTTTCCTCGTTGGTGATACCTCCGATGACACTGTAGCAACATTGGCATCTGAACTGGCGCGGGTCCAGGAAAGTCCGCAAGCATTTCGCTCGGCCATGATTGTAGAGAAGGACTTTGGGGTGACATTGTCGCAAGATGTCGAGTACAGGCACAGTTTTGAGGCACAGGGGCCGCGGCGAATGGCCATGGGAAGAGCTAGGAATTATTTGCTCTCGGCTGCGCTCAAGCCTGAGCACAGCTGGGTGTATTGGAGGGATGTAGACATTGTGGAAAGCCCCAAGAGGATTATCGAGGATTTCGTCGCACATGACAAGGACGTTCTTGTTCCCAGTAAGTTTCTACAACTGGAACTGGGTATTTCGATTCGCTTACCCTTTTAGATATCTGGTTCCATCGATACAAGGAGGAGAATGGAAAGAAGGTCGACATCGAGGGCCGTTGTAGGTTTTTTCGTTCTTTGCGCAGGGTGAATGTTGCTGACCATTATTAGTCGACTACAATTCGTGGATAGAGTCTGACACAGGGCGAAAGCTTGCCAACTCACTCGACAAAAATGTAGTTCTAGCCGAGGGTATGTGTTTCCCAACATGTCATCATGCTCTGTACAATGTAGCTAACTGGCCAAGGCTATAAACAGTACGATACCAAACGCACATACATGGCGAAGATGGGTGATTGGCGAGAGAATAAGGATGAAATCATTGAGCTTGATGGTATTGGTGGTGTCAATATCATAGTAAAAGCAGATGTCCACCGCTCAGGAATTAATTTTCCCAGTTACCCATTCGAGAACCAAGCGGAGACCGAGGGTTTCGCCAAAATGGCAAAGCGCGCCGGATACGGTGTTTATGGATTGCCAAACTATGTTGTCTGGCATATCGATACAGATGAAAAGCCCGGCAATGCATGAAAGTACCATAAACAGGTTGGGGTGGCTTCCACAGGCAGGAATTAGAAGGGCGTCAGTGTGTTTTTCTTCTCCAGTTTATCGAATTTGGCGTGCATCACAGGAAGCGTATGTTATATTGGGCATCACGAAAGTTTCATAGCTCTTTCATCATAACGGCGGGACTCTGGGGATGGGTTTCGTCTTGTATTATCCTCTCGTCTTTTGTTCCACAGGATGTCGTCGCGGCACCAGATCCACCTAGCACTTGGCTGGGGTGGAAAAAGAGCAAGGCGGCCTTATGCTTTGCGCTCATAATAGCAAATGTCATCTCAACACCGTGTAGGATATGTCAGTCATAGTAAAGTATCGCGACCGAGATTGGTCTTCAAGCGTACCATCAATGCCAAGGGCTACAGACATGCTGTTCGATGTTTGGGTAATCTGTAGATACGGGAAGATTGACAGTCATGCAATTGCCATTGTACCAGTAATGCTAGAATACACATACCAACCCAGGCATTTCACATCTTGTGTTTGAGCTTTCCGATTCTTATGCTTTGTCACGAGTAATTGACTACAGATGAGAATCGATGGTTTCATCCAACTGTTTATAGAAAGTGTGGAACCACCTACGAGGAGAAATCCGATAAATTATATTCCCCATCAAAATTAGAAAGGCCCCCACTAAAGCATCATCGGATATTTCCAAAATAGCAGTGCAAAAAGAATTAAAATTATTTTTGTATGAAATCGTTATGATGTTGGGCAATTCCTAATAACTGCTCAAGAGTAAGAGGAGAATTACTCCCAACATAGGTCCATCAGTCAATATGTATACTTCCCCACCTACAGTTACAAGGCGGTAATATATTATCAGACCAGTGGTCCCGTGTTCGTGAGTGGGAAGAGTTCAGCTAATGTTGACAAACGTAGACACGTCTGTTCCATGGAATATGGACCAATGACGAACAGTATAGTATTCACAAACTTCGAATTGGCGGTGGGAGATGGGTTTGGAGCGCGCAAACGGGCAGCCATTCACACAAAGGTATATGAGCAATGAAAAGATAGGTCTTCAACGACTTTTGTTGTTGCGGCTAACAGGTATTTATCTGAATGAATTCTACTCTACTTTCTAAGGGAATATCCAAACACTCTCGACACCATCTAGAAGATAGTTCTGAGGATTCAATAGCATGGACAGATCACCCAAGCCAGATCCACTACGAAAATCTCCTGGGCAGGATGTATTCCGGTCTTCATCTCTTACGGAATCATACAACACTTCTCAGACATCAAAGGTCTCAAGGGACATCATGACGGAACTAAACGAGCAGCTCAAGAACACACACGACGACCTCATGTCCAATCTATCCCTGTGCTCCGACTTTCAGCCGACTTCTCAGAATGACCGAAGGACAGAAGGATGGAGTGCGGTGCAAGAAGAAGATGAAGTACATGCGTATTACACCACTGATTCCATCGACTCCGCGCCTTCCAGCTGGGCTGCAGAACCAGCCGCACGTCCATCGGCCAAGAAACACGAAGATTTCAGAGACGAAGGCACTACCGAAGATGTTGCAAGAGATCCCGAGTACGCAAGCTCGTATACTTCAAACGTATCATCCTTCTACGGTAGTGAGGAAGAAGTGGTGGTTGCACATTTGAGAGAGGAGAACACAGCGCCGGATAATCCGTTTGCGAAGCGAGAAAGAGTGGAGTTTACAAGGCCAAGGAAGGTTCATTTGTCTAATCGGTCGGCGGCTTCGACGGAGTGGACTGGAGTGTTGGACAGTCAAAGTCAATTCGGAAGAGTCGAAGACACTGCGCCCACGGAGGGAAAAGAAGCTGAGGTAGCGAAGAGGCGAGCTGGCGTTCAGAAAGACGTTCACCCTGCTCTACGGTCTGATCAAGGCAATCATGAGCGTCAAATTACCAATACCAACATTGCACCCCCACCCAGAGACCCCATCTCTTATTCTCTCGCTCCGAATCGCTCATTGACCCAAGAGCATCAACGCCGGCGTCGAATTGAAGCTCCACCGATGCCCCCAACAACGAACCTCATAGGCCCAGGGAAACATTTGATCAATCGACTATCCGACCCCTTGGCTACCTTGCAAGAACAAAGGCGTTTGCATAATGAAGGTCTGCGCTCCGCACATCAGTACGTCGCAAACATCCCCTCTGAACTCGGGGATCCGAACGAGGTGGCCAGTCAGTGGCCGGAGAGCGCATTCTTGGGAGTGAGATCACACGTTGGGGTTCATGAATCGCCATCTACTATACATCTCACTCGGCCACCGCAGCATGAAGCGAATGCCGTAACGAAGGGTTTGATGAGCGAAAATCCCTCTCGTCAGGTCGCTAGTTCGGAAGTTGAAATCGAGGCGGCGGCCCTGGAAGCAGTGCGTAGGAAAGAAGCCGTCCGAAAGAGAATCGTGCAAGAGTTTCATGGCAGATGTATACTCATCAATGCCCAGGCTGATGGTGCAAAAGCGAGGATCGATAGGGATGATTTCATGAGCGAGAGGCGCAAGGAAGGGGAGAGAGTGCACATCGAGAGAGTCAGGCGGATGAGGATTGTGAAGGCGAAGGAGGAGACTGGGTATGATGTACGTTTTTGCCTCTTCCACGTCTCACACTCCCTTTCTCACATTGGTTGTGAAAGAATTCGGTAGTCGCAATTGTGCTGATCACATATCTAGGATGTCGACAATCATGAAGCTATCAGCCAGGCATTGCAATTACCCAGACTTCTTGAGGGCAAAGACAGTAGCAGCGGCGGAACTGTGGATACAAGCAAGGATACCACGTTAGTGATATCAGACCAGGAACCTCCACAACGTAGCATTTATACTGGGACGACAAAGGAGACTTCTCACGGCTCGGTGGCTCGATGGCTTGCAAGTCATGGGTGGAAAGTGGTCAAATTCTGCATGGCCATTCCTGCAGATCCCGCATTGAAGTCGACATCGGTGTATCATACTAAACACAAGAGTATCGAAAACCATCCTCAGGTGGTGGGCGCAATTAATGAAGAGACAGATCACCAACCGGGTTATGCAGCGTCGGCCAACGTGGAAGTGCGGAAAGTCTCCATAGAAACAGAACAAAGCAAAGCCAGTACGAAATGGCCAACAGAATCGGTCATTTATGAAGCGTAAGTCCATATCATGTAAGTTCAGGCCGAAGCAGGGGTAACTCATCATTGTCTAGATCAAAAAAATCGTCTAATCCTGCGATTGTGGGATGGCAACATCTGGATGAGGTCAACAATGGGGCACAAGCTCTCGATAATCAACCAAAAGTGGGAAATTCTCAGTAAGTGGCGAAAAGAGACTAGATGGGAATGTTGGTTAACAATGACAGCAGTATCCGAGAGGCAAATAGTCCTTTTTCTCAAAGACCTCCAATTCCAACCTCGATAGTCACCAGCGCAAAGGAGAGTGGCACACAATGGCCGCACCAATCGCAGATCTACGAACAGTCATCCAAGGAAGCATCACTTCGTGGAAGCTCCATTACACGTCGGTTACGAGAAAAAAAACAAAAGGCTGATAGGTAAGCTGGACCTTGCATTGCCTGGTGTAGTATTAGTAAATGGAACATGTATATGGAGTGTGAAGCTGACACGTGACTAGAGAAGCGAAGAACAGAGGATATGAACAATTGATAGCCAGCCGGCGGATGCACCTGGCTGGACAATTCTAGGACGCGTGGATACGAGTGGTACCCGACTACTAGGAAGTTAGTCAGTCAGATACGAGCTCGTACGGAGAGATACATTTGTACGACGCTTTATGGATAAGATAACAACCTTTGACAGGGGCCCAGCATCCAGGGATGCGGTTTAGGGGGGATATTAGTGAGTAATTACAATCGATTGCAATAATGGTTCGCAGCAGATTGGGAAAATATACTCCGTACCCGGTGCGGGTTGCAAATATATTGGCGTTGTGTGTCTCCTCGATACTTCGGCAGTGTTTCACGGTGTAGAACATAGGACAGAGACAAGGCGTGGTAGCCTCGTCGACACCACATGTCGAGTGTTCATATCAGAGTCATCTTAATGTGGTCACGTTACACGTTGTAATCGGTTACGTGATACAAGCTGTTGACAGTAGTTATGTCTGACAGCAACTCACCATTGTGGCTTCCCAATAAATACAACTGAGATAATTCAGTGTTATGTTATCGCACGCTCAAGCTCAACTGTGGCCAAGCCGAGACATGCCTCCATTGCCAAGAATGAATACCCCTTCATAAGAGAGACGTAATTTGATACAAGGCGGCGTACAAGCCACGGCGTGAGGCTTTCCGCGTCTGTCAAGAAACCTGATGCAGCCGAAGGAAAGCTTTGGAGATGGCGGCAGTGGTGTGGTGGAGGTGGCAGGCGGCGCAGTCTCAGGACCAAACGTCTTCGCGGACCGCCCGGCGAGCCTTAACCAGTGAACCGTCAATTCTTAGTTTGGTATTAGGTTGGCTTCTGGACCGTTACTTGCGCGAATTGGCGGCGTGGCGTGGGGTGGCTTCTGCCACCCAAGAATAAGGGGATACCGAGAGTTGAATCCACTATGTGACACAAGGGCCATGACGTCGATCTCACAACTGAGACACAACACAGAGTCGTGTATTTGGCTTCTATGAAAGTAGGTTACTAGGTCGAGGGATTGGTTAATGGTGATATGGCGAGATTGGCTGTGGTACTCCGTACTCGAGCACAATCTAAAGAAATGAGCGGAAGCAACTTGGAGTCCAGACTAGATCAGCGAGGCTAATGTACCGAAGGGGGAGAGGGATGTCTTGATCTTGGCCCACGGGCCTGAGGGTGTGTGCTGTGGATGCTCGCTCGGGACGGAGTTGCAGTGCCCCATCGAGGAAGGTTGTGGAGCAGCATGAGAGATGTTGCTGAATGTGTTAACGGTGGAGTATGGTCGGTGTGCAAGGCGGACGAGACAGGTTGGTCGCTGAAGAAGAGTGGGTGGGTGGATGCACAGGAGATTAAAGATGGAAGGTCAGATCGACGGCGCGGTCATCATTTGGATGATGGCAGATGAGAGTGAGTTTATTATTGTTGGTTAATTATGAAGGACTTTTCCTGAAATAGAAGAAGAAGAGCATTTGCCAGTATGTACGAGTATTTTCAACGAAGAATTCCATGCTGGTGCCCATACGGAGTACTCCATAGATGCACTGCATATACGTCGAATGTTAATACCGAGTAGAGGTTATACACAATATTCACTGTGTGCTGTGTACAGTGCAGTGTGTTGTTCTGGATGGGGAGATAGAGGCCGAGGAGACGGGGGATGGCACTGCACTATGGGATGGTTCAGATGATTCAGGAACAAGACGAGGACGAACGACAAGGGGGGTTAAGTTTAGGTTTTATCAAGGGCAGCTGTGATTGGTTATCAGCCGTCAGGGGTCATATTCCTGTTCCTGACGTTAGTCCCGATCTGGATTGAAACAGGGTGTGGATGGACCGCTAGCCGCTCAGATGGAAAACATGGGCCGAATGGGCGCGGAAGACAGCCGGGGGAGGCCCCCTTCTCCCTTTGACCTTCTCCCCTCTTTCAATATCCCATCAATTCTGTCTGCTTCTTCTCAATCTCAGTTTCTAATCTCACCCCTTCTTGTCATCCTCCACGGGCGTGCCTCGTTGATAGCCTAATAATAATAATAATAGTACATAGGACTCCGTACCCTACACAGTAACAAGTACTCCGTAGAGCCTGTACAGGACAGGATATTGAAACATTGGTATTGGAGTGTAGTGCTACTGCTGCCGCTGCTGACGTCTGTACTACGACTGCGCTGAGATGGGAGTTTGCACTCCATAATCACCGGTTTGTATTGGTTTGTGTTGGGTTGCAACTACAGTACGGAGTATTCTAGTTTGTACGCCATACATAGGTAGGTGTGAGACGAAATTGGTAGAGGGAGGCCACTATGTGCGCATGTCCTATACACCAGTCGACATAGATCAGAAACATTTATTGGATGCACAATGGCTACTGTAGGTGCTCGTGTATCGTGCCTGTGCTACACAGTATGTACAACTACAAAAACATGCAAAGCTCATGGCAACCGTGTGGCATCGGCTCTCAACGAGGAATGCAATATGCAGGTTTCCCTCATCCTCATTGCAAAGTACGGAGTACTCCGTGGTTATTCGCCTCTCTCCTTCTCCTTCTCCTTCTCCTTCTCTGCTGAGTCTACTCGGTGACTAACGTACTCCCTGGATGGATGAATAATGGAGCCTGATTGCACAAAACCACAATCAAAAAAGACAAGGCTGCCAGTGGCTATGGCTAGCTCTGTCAAATTGGTTCGTTCCTAGGTAATGATGGTATCCCTGGTCTATCCCTGATTGACCCTTGTCTTTTTCCTCTGGCCATTTGCTGTGGTGCGACATGACGCTTTCTACTTCATCTGGCCCGGGTCACCAAACCCCCCAAGCGCATGCACTGCCAGCCAACCAGATGCCGTTGTCACGACCACCCAAGCTTAGCCGCAACTCTCTTCATCTCTTCACGCCCCAGGCCATTCTTTCTCCTCTTCACCTCACCCCGTGAGAGAGCCGCTCTTTACAACATCCTAATCAACTCACTCACTCACTTTCTCTCCCACTCCTCGCAGTCCTTCGTTACTTGCTTTCCTACCCCAGTCATTCTTTTGTTCGAGGAGACGAGATCGTGTTTGCTGTGTTTATTTGTTGTTTTGAAGCTCTCGTCCTTGTTCCCGGCCCTCACCAACCGAAGTCACTCTTTCAAGCCCAGTCATCTCAGGAAGACAAAATACACCGAATACATTTGTTCCCGTAGTCTTATAACCTTACCCACGATCGCTCAACGCCCCTGACGCTGTTAATCATCTGGCCATTTGGACGTCTTTCGACCGCTATAATACCACCTCACCTCCGACCGTCCATATCTCCTTCGCTTCGCGTCGAGTACATTACCCGCAATCTTCTTCAAACCAGACGGATGATAAATCAAGTTTTCCCACATCGATAATGGAACATATACATTCTCATGGGCATCGACATGTCCACTCACGACTCCAGGCCATGCACGCAGAGGCAAGACAAGCGCCCAGCAGAGTTACATTAATGGAGAGAACGTCGGTGCAGCTTGCTCCCCGAATGGAGTGCACTAGCGACTCCCAGCCTGGCTGCACCAAGCCCACTGTCGTTCCAACCGCAGCCATTGCTATTGCCGTCATGTAAGACTAGCGATTGTTCACTCGGCAAATTGGACCTCGAGCTAACATGCGTGTAGTGTGCCCGTCGTCATCGCCGCGTGCGTCTTCCTGTGGCTCCATCAGAGGCATAAGAGGAAGTTGAGGGAGGAGGATGCAAAGGACAAGTACAAGTCCCTCGACTTTGGTATGGGTCTACCTGGTGGACCCCGAGGAAAGCAAGGCGGTAAACGCCCACCGGAAATGGCTTTGACCGAGAAATCCCTACATCGAGGCAAGGGGATGTCCATGGATCTGGATGTCAGCAGTCCTTATATCCTCCCAGCAGGCTTGCACGGATCTCGCGAATCTTTCCACTCCCTCTCCCGTTCTATGCACGACCCGAACGACCCATACCGCCCAGTGAACTTCTTGAAAGACGATGCTAGCGTCCACAGCCCAACTCGAGCCTATCGACATGACAATGGGTCCATGTACACCACATCCAGTGCCGGAACCGATAAGGATAGAATGAACAATAGCCTCTTGCAGAATGCATCGAGAATGTCCCAGTCCTTCCCTCCGCGCGGAGAGTCTATGTCGCCATCGGAAAAACGCTACCCTGAGATCAAGTTCCCAGAACCTACAGTGTCCCCCCGGAGCCCCCTTCATCCTGATGGCCCTCATCCACCACCGCCACCAGCACCGCCAGCTGCAGTTGTCGAGCGAAAGCCCGTTGAACAGCCAAGTGAATACACTGCATTTAGGCCTACCCCTGTTGCCGAGCCGGTTGCACCTGTAATGAACGAGGGTTTACCTCCCGTTCAAGAATCTACAGCTCCTAGCAAAACCTCACCCAGTCCCCCTCCTTTCCCTCGAATCCAATCTCAGGAAGCGGTGGTCCAGACCAATCCAAACACAATGAGCTACCTGAGCACTTCGAGCTACGGCGACGGGTTTCAGATAACACCTCCGTCGCCACCCCATGGACACTTGCGCCGTTTGTCGGAAGAAGGTCCACTTGCCCCTGCACCTTTGAGACCTCAAAATGAGGGGACCCACAACGCTGGACTTGGTATTGAAAACCCCCATGCGAATGCGAACCGATTGTCTATGAGCCTGCGCCCGTTGCCGCCAGATGACCCCAATGACAACCCCGAACAACGAGCAAACCGTATCCGCTCATTCTACAAGGAGTACTTTGATGATTCGAAACCAGAACCTGTTGGCGGCCATGTGTACAATGATTATTACGAAGACTACGGATCGGAATTCCAGGACGGCGCAGTGTTTGACCCCCATTCTGGTGCATTCGTCGTTGCTCAACCGCAAATGCCCTTCTCTCAACCTGTCACTAGACGTGCGATGACTCCTCCTCCTCGCGCACCTCCAAGGTTCCGTAGCGGCAGCAACCCTGCTCCACGTGGTCCGCACATGTCTAACAGTTCTATGGCTTCCTCCAAGCACTATCCACCGCGAGGGATGTCGTCCATGAGCGGACGCCTGCCACAACCTAGGCGACCGATGCCACCCCCGTCGGCGCTCAACTCCTTGCCTACTCCTGCTAAGCTCACGGAAGATTCGATGCTTTTCAATGCAGCAGATTTCGCACCCCCTGTGTCCATTAGGGATTTGCAGAATGGCATGAGGCCTGATAGTCCTCTGGGAGCGCCTCGCCCATACAGCCCAGCCGTCAGGCCGCACACACCTCTCGTCAGTTCCTTCGACGATCTCGCAGCATTGCCCAGCCCACATATGCTTCGTAAGTCTGGTACCTTCATGGCGTTAGACTTTGCACCTCCAGCGCGTATTCGTGACCCTGCCGGCTCGAATATGTCCGATGCAGGCTCGATCCGCTCCAATCGCTCGGGCATTTCTTCCGCTGGAAGGATGGCAGTACGAAACGGGGCCTACCGTGTCAGCAGAATACCCAAGGAGGTTGTCGGCACCAAGGACGATATCATGGAAAGCCTGCGCCCGCAGATGAACTTGGTCAGCAAAGGATAGACGATTCCATCCCAGGATGTGTTTTTTTTCCTCGAACAATTTATCTATAGCACCATGAACCAACATTTGTTCGCGCGTTTAGCAGCCCGGTTGGATTTCTTTCTTGCATTCTGGACATGACAACGACTCGTTCTTTAGAGAACAGCATAGACAGCGTGGCTTTTGTTTTACATCAAGACTCTCCAGCAACCAAGAGTCTGTCTCCTCTCGTAAATACTTGATACAATCATTCTTCTGCGATGTACACGACCGACATTCGCATCTTATCTAGGGCTCAAACAGCGGGTCAGCGGAAATGGAAGGCGTTAATTCTTGTAATTTTTATTTTTCAATTCGTGAAGGAGGGGTAGAAGCGATCTGGAGGCCGAGAAGAGATAGTCTGCAGGTGTACGGAGTAGTAGAATGCAGATGAGGAATGGAGACGGGATCTGGAGAAATGGACACTCTGTGTGGAGGTGTATGTACATGCATATTTTGGAGACTATGTATTCAGACCATGCAGAAAAGAGAAAAGTAAACAAAGAGTGGAAAGAATGAATAGTAGATCTCAAGCTTCAAAAACAGACTCTGAACAATAGTGTCGTGTGGTATGGTGATTCTGTGACGCGCGCCGTGCATGTTGGTTACTCTGAATAATAAGATACCTTACTGATCCGACGCATCCGGGGCCAGATGGCTTGGCTCAACAATATCAAGTCCCAACCGACTGACCCTTCTTATCCCCTGTTCCCTTACTGGGGCTCGATAGAAGGAAGCTCATACTGGAGTCCTTTTTTTTATTCAAAAACCATCAATGCACGGTCGATCCTTGCCGCGATCTACCAAGTAGTTCAAAGACTCCAGACCCGCCGGGCATCAATCACAGCGCAGTAGCTAAATCATCAATGATGGCTACTCAATACATGCAAGCATTTATAAGTGGAAAAGGACCATATCAAAACAAGTGAAAGAGATTCTTTTCTTTAGCAAAGCCCATAATCGTTCTCATCATGGGTAGGCCTCTGTCGTGTGCGTGCATTGGGTGATTGATTATCCACAGCCTGGATCATCCACGCGTCGATTTTGGCTGTGCATTTTCTTTTGGGATTCGGATCTTCTGTCCAATCGACACCACCGGATGCGCAACGATTCAAGCTTCAACAATGCAGCTGCTCTGGGCTGTTAGCGGCTGCTCTGGCTTTGTTTTGTTCGTCACTAGGCTTTAAGGTAGGTCTTCACTGCTGGGCCAACACCGGCGGCGGCTCTTACTCTCTGAGTCCACTCCTTTTGCAGCCAGCGATCCCTGGATCTGGTACGTCATCAGTCATTGCTCCATCTCCATAAAAACTTCGACAACTGGGACAGCCGCGCGTTACGCCATTGTCGCTCATAGGAAGGGCATCGACACCGGTTGATCCCTCATTCAGCTCTTAAAGAACTTCAATTCACCTGCCCGCCCTCATCTATCTACCTCTTCCTGTCCACGTTCGCCTTGCCATCTCGCGTCCCATCTTATCGCTACCCGCAGCTGTCTCTGCCCGTCCGAGACGAGATGCATTTCTTCAGACGGCAAAAGTCCAACACCAACTCGTCAACCTCATCGCCAACTGTCGTACCTGAATTGACCAAAGACCAACTCAGACAAGCGACTCGGACACGCAAAGCATTCGCCTTAACCACGTCCTTCTTTCTCTTCATCACCGTCATATTTTTGATCCTCGTCGAAATTGGAGGAACGTACAATAGATCCGTCATCCGTAATTGGTACTTTATCAGACTCGACCTGAGCCACATCATTCCCGCATCCGTACCCAACTTTGCCCTGATCAATACGATCGCACAGACACTGGGCCTGCACGATTTCTACCAAGTCGGATTATGGGGTTTCTGCGAAGGATATAAGGGGGATGGAGTGACGTATTGCTCTCATCCTCAGACCCTCTATTGGTTCAACCCGGTCGAAATTTTAAGAAATGAACTGTTGGCTGGAGCATCTAGTACGTGCCATATAGTCCTTTGCACCATTCTATGCTAACTCCAGATTTCTAGTCAACTTGCCAAACAACATCAACGACATCCTCGACCTTATCAAGCTAGCGTCTCAGGTCATGTTTGGTCTCTTCCTAACCTCTGCCTGCTTGTCCTTCGTACTCATATTTGTTGCTCCGATCAGCGTATACACGAGATGGCTTGCTCTGCCGGTAGCAATACTCACCTTCCTCAACGCCCTCTTCGTCACCGCTGCCTCCGTCGTCGCCACGGTCATGTTCGTCATCTTCCGCAATGTCATTAGCGGTGTTGCAGAACTAAACATCAGCGCCGATATTGGGACCTACATGTTTGGGTTCATGTGGACAGCGAGTGCATTTGCCATCTTCTCCTGGCTCATACAGACAGGTCTGTGCTGTTGCTGTGCGAGCAGGCGAGACATCAAGACGGGAAGGAAGAGGGGGAATGAAAAGGCCTATCAACGTGATGGTGTCATACCTGAAGGCCCTGCTAATGGTGTGCAGGAGAAGTCCTCGGGTAGACGTCGATTCCGTTTCGGCAAGAAAAGCGTCTAGGTGACGGTGTTGAAGATAGAGGATGACGACGAGTACATACGATTGTAATTTGGAAGTTTCCCGCATTCTCACGATAAGATGGGAATTCATGGGTACATTAGATCTGCTTCTCAGCATCATTAGCTTTGCATCGTTATTGGAAAAAGGCATCCGGATTTGGGTTACTTCTCTTATGATTACGAAACGAAGAACGCCGACCACGTAGACAACTGCCTGACTAGTTCTGCGTCTAAAGAATCAACAATACTATGGGCTGGTGGAGTATTGTCGTGGCGATGTACCTCTTCTGTTCAGCGACTTCAGAGGAAAGGATATTACTAGAGCACTAGAATACGTCATTGGGTCACCCACTGAGGGGCCTATTTTCATAACTTAGGTACTAACTATGTACCTACCAAGAATTATATAGCTGTCAATCAGTCAGGCCATAGACTAAACACTGAAAACGCATAGAATTGATCAATCACGATCCACGAACGGCGTTGTGTGTAGTCTCAATCCTCCCTTAACACGATTGGCTCCGGTTTTCGGCGGTTGAAGGTGTCCCGCTTTCCTATAGCATCCCACCATAACATTTTTTTCCTCACAGCCCGTGGGGTGAGCGGAGCCACGGCAACACACGCAACTACACAAATACTCGCACGGGAACCACCGAGCTCTCTTCCGTGCACCCATCTCCACATACACCCAGATCTGGCAATTCGAGGATACAGTACGTATTATAATCCAAATTCTGCAGAATGAACGTCGAGCTGATGAGTGCACTCGTAGGGAAATTTTCCGTGCGACTGTGAAGAGCCTTTTTGAGGTACTTACCCAATCCGTACTTTTTTTCCATGTGACGTCTTCAGAATGATTTGGCTGGCCTGGCTGTCAGCGATCGCAATACATCCACCATAGTCCTTCTTATATATAGGAGTGATGGTGGACTTTATGTCAATTCTTCATTCACTTTCTCTCCTCAGCTTATTTGCTTATTTACTTGCTTGCCCCACATACTGATCTACAATTAGCATCATGTCCGCCAACGACACCTACCAAGACCCGCTGAACTCGCGGTACTCCAGCAATGAGATGAAATATCTCTTCAGCCCGCGTAACCGCTTCAGCACTTGGCGCCAACTGTGGATCTGGCTGGCAGAGAGTGAGAAAGAGCTGGGCTTGGACATCACCGATGAAGCTATCCAGCAGATGAAGACCAGCCAGATCATTCAGGATGAGGAATTCAAAGTTGCCGCCGAGGAAGAGAAGAAGAGGAGACACGATGTCATGGCACATGTTCACGCTTTCGGATTGAAGGCACCCGCTGCCGCCGGTATCATCCATTGGGGAGCCACGAGCTGTTATTGTACTGACAACGCCGACCTGGTACACCATCACAATCTCATTGTTCGTTACTTTTAGGCACTAACTGATCGGACTAGATTTTCCTACGTGATGGCCTGGACATCTTGCTACCCAAATTGGCCACTGTTATTGAGAAGCTTTCCACATTTGCCAAAGAGAACAAGGACTTGCCGTGCTTGGCCTATACTCATCTGCAGCCAGCTCAGCTGACCACAGTCGGAAAGCGAGCGTGCTTGTGGATTCAAGATCTTTTGAGAGATTTGGTCAACCTCGAGCGAGCTAGAGATGATCTCCGCTTTCGAGGTGTGAAGGGCACGACTGGCACACAGGTAGCATCTTTCGCAACGAACAACATGTCTTCATCAAAGCTAATCAGCCAGCAGGCATCTTTCCTACAGATCTTTGACGGTGACCACTCTAAGGTTGAGCGACTTGACGAGCTGGTGACCGAGAAGGCAGGCTTTGGATCCGCCTACATCATCTCCAGTCAAACCTACACCCGTAAGATCGATGCTGATGTCCTCAACGCACTCTCCTCTTTTGGCGCAACATGCGAGCACATCGGTCAAGCCATTCGCCTCCTCGCCTCCTTCAAGGAGCTCGAAGAACCATTCGAGTCTACCCAGATAGGATCCTCGGCCATGGCCTACAAGCGCAACCCCATGCGTAGTGAGCGTCTCTGCTCCCTGGGTCGCAAGCTTCGCAACCTCAATGCCGATGCTTCAGCAACCTACGCCGCCCAGTGGATGGAACGTACTCTCGACGACAGCGCCATCCGCCGCATGTGTCTTCCCCAAGCTTTCCTCAGCGCCGATGCCTCCCTGATCCTCCTCAACAACATCGCCTCAGGCCTTGTCGTCTACCCGGCTGTCATTCGCAAGCGTGTACAAGCCGAGCTTCCCTTCATGGCCACGGAAAACATCATTATGGCTCTTGTCAAGAAGGGCGTATCCCGCCAAGACGCCCATGAGGAGATTCGTGTCCTCTCCCACGAAGCAGGCGCAGAGGTCAAGCAGCATGGCAGGGACAACGATCTCATCGAGCGCATCAAACGCACCCAGTTCTTCGGCCCCATCATCGGCGAGCTCGACGAACTGCTCAAGCCCGAAACATTCATCGGCAGATGTCCCGAGCAGGTCGAGACGTTCTACGAACGCGAGGTCAGCAAGGCATTGAAGAAGTACTACGATGCTGGGTCTTTGAAGGTTGGCGAGGCGGCCGAGCTGCATGTTTAGGTGAAGTTGGGTAGATGAATCAGGTATACGTATAGGGATGACTTCTGTTCAGGTCCCAAAAAGAGTGGACGATGGATAGCAGAAACTCAACAAAAGGGAAACATAAAAAATCACCACTGTAGAAATTCAAAAGTATAGTATGGTATTCAGTATGGATGAAATGCTGTAAAATGTGATGAGAAATAATTCCAATATCACAATGTTGGGGCTACATCACTCTGTGTTCTCAATGCCTGCCGAAGCAGCCTTACTATTATTCGAGAATATCGACACTATGCACCGATAGACACTGCCATAGCGAGTACTCGTTCCTTTGCAATCAAGCCTCGATCCGTCCAGGCTCGGCAGCCCATACATCTGACACGCCTGTCGGTCTAGAACTAGCCTCATACAAATCGAACCCCACCCCGCCTTCCGTTCACACCGGGCGGACTTTTTGACAACAGATCAAAATCTTTGTGTACGTTAAATTTTCATGTGTATATAAGTTATTTTATATCAAAATTTATCATCTATCCAGGTAACTCAGCAATCCTCCATGGCGCAATTGGCTAGCGCGTCTGACTGTTAAACAATCACCGCATGGTGTGTTCGACATCAGGAGGTTCGTGGTTCGAGCCCACGTGGGGGAGTTGAAAATTTATTTTTTGCACTTTTTTGGTTTGTTTATAACCTGTGTGTATAATATATCATATACATATTGTAACAACATGGAATTGGTAGAGCATGTTAATGTCCTATGATTTTGTGGTCTTTGCCTTTGTGTGTGTGAGTGATTGAGCAAGATTTTCCAAGCTGACTGCTGTAAAGCTGTAGACGGCTATGATACCTGACTGAATAGGTACCGATTCAAGTTGGTGTTCTGTTTCTATAATGAATCTTACAGACTTCATAGATATAAATTTTGATAACCCGAACAACCAGGTGGTACAACGTTGTCGCAATCCCAACATACGCCCTCCTGGGACAGTTGAGGACATCTACTATGTATTCGTAATACATCGCACTAGACAGACATGGATAGATAGATAGGATTGCATTGGTGGTGTTCAAGGGGTGCTTCGCAAATCAATTCGTATCTAATGAAAGCGCATCTGTCCACGTGTCCAAAACAACTGTTGTTATTCCAAAATACACCAACTCCATGCAGACAAAGACAAGTAAAGAAAACAATAGAGCGCGATGAGTGAGGCAATGGCGATTAAGCTTTATCGGCATCCACTTTGGCCGCCGTGTCAGCAACCTCACTGGCAGTTTTAGCTATCTCAGCTTCTTCCGCCGTAGCCTCCTTCTCTCCCGCTCCTATAATCTTCTGCGCGACCTTGAGAGTACCATCTGGGCTGCCTGGTTCGGCTGCTAGGACCTTGCCAGACTTATCGACAATGAAGATACCTCGGGTGGTGCCCTTTGCGCTTTTGAGACCGATCGCGGAGATCAGGGTTCGCGACGGATCGCAGAGAAGTGGGTAAGGAAGGTTCTGCTTTGTCTTGAAAGTGGTGTTTGATTTAGGGCTGTCGTTGGAAAGGCCATAAATGTCAAAGCCCGTTGCAGTCAATGGCTCATAGGAGTCGCGGAAAAAGCACACCTGCTTAGTGCCTGCGAGTGGGATCAATACGCTGCGCTTACAGATGCAGGTGAAGATACGATGACTTACATCCAGGGGTAGAAGCCTTTGGATAAGTGAACAGAACGACGCCGCTCTTGCTCTTTTCCAGAAGCTTTGCGAGACTGGTTTTGACACCATCGTTTGTTTCGACCTCGCCGCCGAACCCAGAGATGTCAATGGTCTCACCAACCTTGGCGGCACCTCCAGCAGCTACTGGGGCTTCGCTCTTCTCTCCATTCGCGCCGCCACCGGTAACGGCTTCCTTGACGGCTTCAACCTTTTCAGCGACAGCTTCCTTCACCTTTGCGACTGCGGATTTGTTGGTCTTTGGGGCGGCCTTTTTCTTAGCTGGGCGGACTGGAGCTGGTGGGGGTGTCTTGCGTTTGCGAAGCTCGACCATGATGGATTGAGGATGGAAATTGGGGTCGCAAAGCTACAGTTCGACAAATGTCAGCGTCGCGACCGAAAAGTACAATGGTTAGAGGTAATGCGACGAAGGTATGAGTACTGGGGGAGGGTGGAGGAGGTTGGTCTCGAGCCCAAACCGGAGGAGGTGGAATATGCACACGATGTTGGCGCTTACTGACTTTGTCTTGGTCACAACAGCGGTATCACGTCTTTGACGGAGTACAATGGCAACTACAGACAGACGATTGGTAATGGGTACGTTTTGCGCGGGTGCGGGCGCGTGGGAAGAGAAGTGGGAATGGATGAAGATTATCAAGGGCAGACCGACGCTGAGATATCAACAACAACCTGACACCAGCAAGCGCTTTCCCGTTTGGATGACAGTACTGGACTCGAGGCCCGAGGACGGCGTCCAGCCTCCGCTGCCACCCCCTTGGTGGGCGCAGACGTCCATTTTGATATTAGGCAGATTACTACGGAGTACTGTGTGTGTCGTTTTGGGGGGTTATTGGGTTACTGGGGGATACGGGATCTGCTCGATTCATCAGCTCTGCCCTGGGCCACTCGGGCAGGTTGGATGCGCTGATTGGAGTGGAGGAATCCCGGGGGGTGGCAGAGATGGTGAACTTGGAAACTTGGGAACTTGGAAGGGAGAAGGCGTTTCGGCTAGTTACTCGTACTCTGACCGACTGACAAACCGACTGAAAATCCCAGAGAAAGATGGATGGCTTATTATTACAATTTTACTCCGTGCTTTCGTCAGTTTCGCTCTCAATTCCCTCATGCTCCCCCGTACCCCCTTAACCTCACAGACCGACCGACCGACCTGTTGCGAATGATGGAAGGATGCCGTGAGGAATGCTCTTTTACGACCCGAGCCGTGTTCCCCAAAAGGAACAACGAATTATAATAATAATATCCCTTTCTCCCAATTTCCTTCACAAATATGGCCCAGGCCCATTTGCAGTCCGGAATTGAATTGCTGGCCCTAGGAATAGGGACTCTGCACACCGACAGTAATCCCATCCCATACCCCGCCCCAATAGTTTGGTATATTGATGTTTTAGACTGACCTTCCACTTTCGCCAAACCTGATAGAATCCTGAAACGCTGCCAACATTGTTCATTCTTGTCGCATTGTTGGTATTGCGATGAATTTGATTGTCAATGGGATGGGGTATTGTGGTGGTCGAGTGCTTTTCATGCCTCTTGTATGGACATGCATACATACATACCTAGGTACTTAGATACCCACATATGTGCGACTCCGCATATTTGACACCATACTACGAGCCGCTAAACAATCTTTTCACGCGTCTTTAATTCATACCAATAATCATCTTGACGCATGAGAATCGTTGACGGCGCCTCATAGATGGATCTGGATGTTCAACCTATCTGTGGTAGTACAAGTATTGTTGGGTATCGTTACCAAAATGGGGGGGGGGGGGGGGGGGGGGGGGAGGCATTCGCTTGGCTTGGGTGACATACAGAGATGCGGAGAAACTGGGACTCTTCAACGTGCCATTCCATCACCCACCGATGTTTCCAAGGGCTGCTCATTATGATCATTACTAGGTATTAATACCGTCAAGCAGTGATCTTCAAGGTAAAGCTAAGGGCTTAACATCAATATGCCACAGTATCCTTCCACGATCTCCAGTATCTCCTGAACGGTTTGATAGGGCTTTTCGACCACACTATCAGATCTGTTGGCTTCCTGGGGAAGGAGAATCATAAGTCTCCACCCTTGGGAAGGCAAACAGGATATGGGAAGCTGAGACTGAGAGGTGCGACTACTCGAGGTGATCGCACAGCATGCCAGTATGCGCCCTTATTCGAAAGCGATCAAAGATAAGCGGCCGCGGAACGATTGATCTTATTATGACCCTAGGTATGAGTACCATAGGAAACTTGGGAGTACGTAGTGGCTACTGTCCTGGACTACTAATAAATATGTTCGGTGCCATTATTTATCGCCATCAATTCAGTGGTGTCTTGTCACAACCTTTTGGAGAGTAGCTATTGAATTGGCCTAACCACGATTTCTGTGATCAGCCAGAGTCAAATACCTACTCGTAGCTTTCACATGGATGGGGAAGCTCTCCAGCTCCAGCTCCAACTCCAGTCCAGCACCAGTCCAGCTCCAGCTTCCAGCGCGGCCAGTCATATCGTGCGTTGTGCCGTATCATCTCGCCCTAAACAGCTTACTGTAGCTGTCTGATTCGTCGCTCATACATCGTCATCCCGCCGGGATGGCAGGCTTAAGCTTTGGTTCACATGCTTCCCCGCATTTTGCGCACCACCGGTTTTGAAACATTGTATTGATTATTTGCAACTCTCGTCATACAAAAGTAATCAGTAACTTTTCTTACCTCGTAATGTGTCGTGGTTCAGAGTAATAAGCTATGTATCTGTTAATTGCTGAAACAAGTGGGTTGACTGCGATGATGAAGCTGGCGCAAGGGCTCTCTCTGTCCACCTATACAAGTAGCGTTTTACATACATCAGGCCACGAACACACGGCCGGGAACCAACTTACCTAGCACATCTAGGTATGTTAAAATGTGTGCCCGTCATCAACGATTAACTCCAACTAAAATTGTTAACTCCTCGCGTACCTGCGAGCAACTTGAACAGTATTTAATACTGTCGATCCTATCTCTCCGACCAATTGCAGTAGCCCGTATTATACCGCTTCGGGTATCTTGCTGCAACAAAGCAGTTACTCAACCCCACCATCTCCATCACCACACTTCTCAAACCTCCCGATTACTGCCCCCGTCCACCTACGCACACCTGCCATTGCCATCCTCCACCTCAAGAAATCCCATACACATCTCACTGTGTACCTCTGACAGCGGAGCAGCTACACGCCATACTACTTGGACGCGCCTTGATGGCGCTTGCACGGCTGCTGGCCTCGTCGCGATCGCCGTGAAGACCCGCCGTCTTCCAGCTAGCGATAGATAGCCAGCATGCCTGAGCGCGAAGAGAAGAACAAGATGGACATTAACAAGTCATTGAACAGCCCGCAGAGGGATCTGACCGACGTTTCCCGAGCTGTCTTGAGGAGCGAGCAAGCAAAGCGTTGGACGAAGCGTTATCGGACGGAGGTCGCTGCGAGCTCCAGCAGTCTACTGTCCACATTCGTCGCTGTAAGTAAGCCTCATGGCTGCACACGTTTATACAGGGCAGTGTAGAATCTTGGAATGTTACTAACGCTGTGCAAAGTACCCTCTCGATTCTGTGAAAACCCGCCTGCAAGCGTACGGCACCTGCTACCTCCTCTCATAAACGACGACATGCTGACATGTACAGCTATAAATTCAATTCCTTCACCGACTGCGTAAGGCACACATACAAGACCGAGGGGTTCCATGGATTCTGGCGCGGTAGGTCGATAATGGCAACCGAGCATTTGCCTCCTCTGACATCTTTTAGGCGTTTGGTCCCCGCTTGCTAGCATCACTCTTGTACGGACGGTATCCTTCTCCATATATCAGAAGTCGAAATACACAATAGACGATTGGATATATCGGACTACTGGGAGCTCGCCCCTTGTCATTGCAAACACACGAGATGCACTTCCGACCTTTTCCACCATTGCGTGCTTTGGACTGGCAGGTGCAACCGCTGGAGCAGCCATCACAGCCATTGCTTGTATGTAATTTGTTGAGCTGCACATTATACATGAGATGACTGACTGGGATACTAAATAGGTCCATTCGAGTTGACTAAGCTGAGCGCCCAAATCTCCGTACTGATGGCCGATCGGAAAGATGGTGGCGGAGAAAACGATGCTCTCCGCAAGAGCTACCAGAACAAGGGCACCCTGCGAACGGCCCAGAACTTGATCAAGCACAGAGGATGGATGGGGTTGTACTCAGGGTTTCACTTACATTTGTGTATGATGCCCTTGACCCTTTATATGGAGAACGAATTGATTGACAAGAGCAGTGCGAGATACGATCGGGACTGGCATCTACTTTGTCACCTATGAAAGTGCTAAGCAACTTTTGGCCAATGCTCGCGGTAGCTCCCCTACCACACCACTCGCTGTCGTCATTGCGGGTGGTTTGTGTGGTCTTGTGAGCTGGGCATGCGTACGTTTTTTTATACCTACAGGCTGTTCAAGACTTGGAACTTAACTGACCAAGTTCTAGATATTTCCAATCGATACCGCGAAGAGTATTTATCAACGAAATTGTCTTTTGAGTGGCAGGGACAAGGCCTCGCGGCCGAAGATTCAATACCACAACCCCCGAATGTTCCGCGGTGAGTCTAAGTTCACGAAACGCAGGAAAATATTAAACCTAATTTGTGTCCGCAGGCCTTGGTGTCTCGATGAGTCGATCTTGCGTAGTCAATGCCATCTTCTTCTCGGCCTTCGAGTTCTCGAAGAAGCGTATCAACCACATGTCTGTCGATGAGGAGCTGCTACGTGAACATGACGCGTAGTCCCAAGGAATAAAGTGTAAATTTCCACACAAAGCTACTTGAATTTGCATTAAGGTATGGAGTCTGGGGTTTTGGGGTCTGTAGTACCACGAGGATTACTGCCGCTTTCTGGATTGGCATGGCATTTAGCCAAAGGTCAAAATGCACATTCGATAGGCCCTATATGTACTCGCGAACAATTAGCATTGCCATGAATTCATAATCGCTGAGAACACTTTCATTGGTACACTCCACTACCCATTATAAGCGGACTGCAAGAATGGCTATCGAAAGCATATCACTGATCTCTGCATCCTGGGCTTAACTCATCATCTCAATTCCCGACGAATACCTAGGTAGAGGGTTGCTTATTGGGTCGGAGTCACCATTCCAGAAGCCGACTACTTCCGATTAGTTGTGGCAATCCAAAACTTGTGGAAGTGACTTTTGGACTAACCTTGGCGGCCGATGTTGTGCGTCCTCACTACTGAAAGACTATCAATTTTTTCTCTCTCTCTGAGATCCGAGAAGATCCCGATGGCCGATCACTTGCTCTCGTATCATCACTGCTCAATTCTGTAGGATTGGCGATCCAATGACTTCTCTCTGCGCCTGGGTTGATGTTCGTGGAGAAACAATTCGGACCTTATCGGCGTGCATGATACGAGTACCAGTAACTAATACCCCAGCTTACTCAAAAGATCAGCCCAGCTGCAGTGCAGTCACTCAGTGCCAGCCAGACCAGTCCACGAGTCAGTGCATCGGCAATAAACCATCTAGATTTCCTTATGCATGGATGGAATGGACGAGTTGCATTCGCAATATTTCGAACATGCATTCGGACAGGATGGGATTTGGGGGTGCAGCAATCAGGCGGTGAGACAGTCAGCTTGTGACTTTGCCCACAGGTACGGAGTACAGTACAGTACTCATACCTACTACTCATTACCTTGTAGGCTCGTAGTCCCAACAGTGCCACCGAAAACCCCTCGCTCGCGGTCGCTCGCACGGAAGCTCGGGCGAGCCATGCGTCGGATCAAATTCGCCTATCAACGCTAATCGATAACAATTCGGGGAGTGTGGAACTTGTCATCCCCCCTCCAGATTATACTTGTCCTGGCCTGCCCTGGACTGGCCCGCCATGTTTCAATCGTGGGTCGTGTTCGAATGCAGGTAGTGTCTAGGGACCACCTCGGTGCCTCCATGATTTGATTGACTGTATGACAAAAAACTTGCAGCTACCAGATGTGCCCTTAGAAGCCCACGTACTACCTCTCGAGTCGCTATCAAGACGGTCGAGATGCCACGGAGGTCCCTCGATACTTCCCACGACACCCAATGACCGTGACACACAACGACAACAACACATAACATATCCAAGGCTTCGGCCACGAGGCTCTTCCAAATGGAGCACATTGTCGCTCCTTGCCGGAAAAGTACGAGTAGCGTTCCTCCAGTGTCCTTTCCGTCAATTTCGGCCAATCGCCATAACGCAGCACTCGATAAGTAATTACGAGATTACAAATGCGGCTAGCAGAGTTTTGGACCCTGGATCTACGAGTTGCCCTGCATGATTGCCACGAGCGAGCCCGTTGTCGGCGAGCACTCGCGTTGGGGATTCATCCGAATGTTTCATGGCCAAATACAACACCTTCCCAGTTCTATTCGAGCAAGGATGAAGGCAAGAAAAGATCCAGAAGAGTTCTGCGATCACATAGATACCCAAATCATCATATTACAGCAAGGGACAAAGGGCGTAGAAGTGGCTACGTTCAAGGCTAACCACGCCATCTAGTTGTACATCCAAGCGAGTAGATGCAAGTGCATTCCCCGACCCGGCTGTCTAGTCAGCGTGGGTCCGATATGCCGGCTGGACCGCCTCACGTTAATCAAATAGACTTATCAGAAGGTAGCAACTAATCCGGGGTTTGTCCAGTCATACTGGGATCCCTTTCAGTTTTCCAGGAGCTCGGCCATGCGCCCACCGAAAGATGGGTGGGGAGTCAGATCTGGAACGAGGGATTTCACATAAAGCCGCCCTGACCCTCCGAACTTCTTTCGCAAAGAATAAAGCTCTTTTTCTTCTCCTTATTGTTTTGCCTTTGGCAAATTTGTCGGTCACTTTTGAAGTATATCGAATACATACATACGGGTTCTATATTGTGGAACGATTAAGGACACACACATACGCATACGCACACACACACGCACACGTACAAGGACACACTTACTCACAACTTCGCTCTTCGGTTTTGCTGTTTTGTGGTCGTGGAAAGCCCGTACATCAATACATCTAGCAAGGTGAGTAGATGTCGATTCTGGTTCTGGTTCTGCTTCATGGCTGCCCCACGCCTTGTCTCCGGTCCAGAACGCATCTGCGTCGTCCAGGGGCGCATCAGACCGCAACGCACGGAACAGTACAGAAATGAATAGGGCTGACACTCTGGAAGAATCTATTAGACAAAAGCTCTTGCCTCGAATCTCTGATCTGTCCATTCATTTCGCCCCGGCTCGGCGTCAGCGACCATTACACGGCCTTCCATACTTGTTATAAGCCAATCTCGAGAATTTCGAACGCCATGTGCTCCTACACCTACTCGTGGTACTACTGCAACCACGACTACTATATCTGGTGAGTTAATAAGCTGCTCCCTCGCATTGGCGTCTGCTGGTGGATGCCATACGGGCATGTAACAGCATTCATCACGAGATACCCGAGAGGAAAGTGATCTGACAGACGAATTCACAGGGCCAACAGCATTGAAGTCTGCCATAACCGCCTGCTGTCCGGCTACTCGTACGACGCCTGGAGCATCGACATGTGCAAGAACATGCAAGTGAACTGCGGCGGCTTCTCCAACTATTACTGCTCCGAATGCTCCGAAGACGTTGCGCTAGAGTTCGAGTTGGACGAGTTGTAGGAAGTTCAAAGGAAGGGTTGTGACACCCGCATGTGCGCTTCACCTTCCCTGTCTCACCGCCCGCCCGGGATGTGCTCCTACGGCATTAGCGGCGCTCACCGCCTTTAAACCATTGCGACAAGGCAAGGACCCTCCAAACCCCCACATGGTACACCACGCCTTGTTACCATTTTCCCCACGACTACTTGTATTTCCCGAAGACATCCCCACACACTCGCTCTCCCAAGACAGCAAAGAGCGTGAGAAACAGCCACCACCGCATTCGACAAACAAACTAGCAAAAAACGGTTTCATTCATCGACGAACAACAAACAACAAACAACGAACAACCCCACAACTCTATATTCACTCCATCATGAGCATTTTCTTTGAGCTGAGCGCTAGATACCTTCCGACACTTGCGTCAAACCATGTTTTCGATTCCTGACATTTTCATTTCTTGTTTTTTCTATCAATGGAGTTACTAGAGATTGATTGTTTTGTCTTGTCATATCTTGTTTGTTTTGTGACACAGTTTCTTTGTCCTCAAGACGACACAGGCGCGTTCCATTATTCGCAGATTGCAAGCGAGCGGATACGCGGCGACATACAATTACAATCTACGATCTCATGGCTCGGCGGCGCAAATTCTAGCCAGATTTCAGACTGGCATATGAAGGTTAACCCAGAGAAGCGGAAATTGCGATTTGTATGAGTTGTCTTGATACACTTTTATTCCTTTATTCTTTTGGCATGGTTTGGCATGATATAAGCGCTTGCGTTACGATAAGACCTCCGTTACTAGATTGCTCTTAAGAATTCTAAATAAATACCGTAGTGTGCATACATGTTAGATCAATGGCAGATTACATCCAAGACTTAACCCGACTTTTCTACAATACCCTTTCGTAAGTTAACTTGTGACCGCCTATTCAGTGACACTGGCCTCGGCTGCCTTGGGACTGAGTCCTGGAGTCTTTTCTTGTAAGCTGTCCTGGACGATCTGTGCACGTCTGCGCGCATCCAAGTACATCATGAACTCTTGGTAGGTTTGAGGCATAACGCGGATGTTCTTTTCCACTGTGAAGGTGTAATTGAATTGACCAGTCGGTTTGGAGTGTCCGTGGTCCACGTCCCGCACTTTCGAGTCTACCCTCACTTGAACTCTTGTGTATTTACTATCATGATCCGAACTTTCGCCGGGCGCGTCTATGAGGGGCGGGTCTGTATATACGATTGTTGCAGTGAGGTAGAGAATGCTGCCTACAGGCACGGGGTTCTGGAAGGTAGAAGGATCGAGGGAGACGAAAGTGGGTCGGGCATGAGCGAACGCTGCCACACATGTGAACGCAAGCTCGAAGGTCTGTTTGAGAAGGAAACCGCCAAAGATCATGAAGTGATGTCGGTTACGATTCTGCGGCTGCATGATCATGGCCGTCTGAAGCCGGGTCGTGTCCATGTGATGGACGTTGTCAGGTTTACGGAGGTCGTTGTGCGGGTCATGGAACTGGAGCTGCTTCTGCCAGAAAGCGTGAATGAGGTCGCTCTCTGCATCGTTGGGTGTGTGTTTGATGAGGGCCGTTTGATTGCGTTGCTTGCGAATCTTGGAATTGCGCTCACCAAGCTCGAAAAGGCGCTTCTCTTCGGGTGTTTCGACAATGAGAGGATTTACGTTCACGGGTTTCCTGGTTGCGGGGTCCAGAGACACCATGGTGAATGTACAATCGATGAGAATATCCTCGTCCCTGACGGCCTGTCCTTCCTTAGGTGCTTTCGCGACCTGCATGGAAATCTCCAAGCTACTTCGACCTGTAGCATACGTGACCTGACCCGACAACTCCAGATCGCAAATCTCTGTCAAAGGATGTTTGATGATTATTCGATCGCAGGAGGCTGTGACCGTCGTCACGTCTTCGCCTGTGTGCTTGTAGCTACGGGATATTAGCAATCTCCTTGTACCGTCCTTTTGATGTCATCATACGCAATGACTCCCGATAAAGCGTCTAGGTCCATAAAAATGGTTCCGAGACGAATGTGACCAGACGAATTGAGGTATGTGTCTAGGAGCCATGGATCTTGAGCGAGCGGGAGGACCTTGGAAGGAATTGTGAGCTTCAACGAAGGGCACGGTGGTTTAAGTTTCGCGACTCACCACTTTATGGTACGAGTCTGACATGCGCTTTGGTTCAAGCTTTCGATCTCGAGGAATTTCCTTTTTCCCAGAAGCTTCACTGGAACCTTCTCCTTCATTTTGTTGTTTTCGCAAAGCTTCTATCCAAGGTGTGCGTACGCGCATCGCCGTAAGCTCGCGGAACACTCCATCGGTATGGGGACTATGGGTCGAACGAAAGCCTCGAGTGGCTGATACGGGCGTGAATCGTGAGCGACTGCAATGGCATTTTGTTAAAGTCTGCAGACGACGAAGCGTCAGCCGTGAGATATGCGCCATTGTGTGTGAAAGCTGAGGTTGTATAATTACGTTGATTGAGGGTGGGTGTGGCAGCTGCTAAAAAGGCAATGACGTTCGAGTAGATTGCCCGCAAAATTCCGACTCCCGGCCGGAATGTCCTTTCCAATCGCTAACGCTAACCTTTCCAACCTCAAGAATCCCTCAAGCGTCACAACTGTCAGCCACCAGCAGTCACCGGCATTTTGCCCTTGGAATAATGGAACGTTTTGTCGAAGCATGTCCAGATCAATCGAGCTTGGAAGAGCTGTTATAGGATGTCAAACTGCTCATTTGCAACTGTGGCTGACCACATTGATTACAATTTCACCACAGCATCAAACCACAAATCATGAGCAACTCACTTCGAGACATCTACTGGAATATTTGTTGTCTCAAGAAGTCTGGATCGGTCGTGGGAACGGTTTGCATATGCAGCTCGCTCTCACAGTTCACGGAGAGCCATTGAATAGCGAACAGGTCGATAAATTGGCTGCGAGACTTGTCAATGCTCCCGTACGTTGTTGACTACGTTGCCGTTATTGTCGTCTTCTTGCCTCTCTTACATGCGTTCAGGTCTGGCGCCAGCTGAGACTCAATGCCACCTTGCCTCACAGCTTTAATGACCATAATGGTCGTGATCGGGGCTCAATTCGACTTGAGGTTGATCATATTCGTGACTATAGTAGCGATACACAAGACAGACGGCACCGAATTCTTTCAGATGTCCCATTTGCCGATACCCAGCCGCCAGAAGGCGTACCCTCCATGACATTGGACTCAGTCTCGCTCCAAATGGAGGTCGTGGCGATGATACCACGCACCAAGGGAAGGGCTACAGGTCTTAGGACGATGAATATCAATGGACAAAGCAGTATCCGTGATGAAGTTACCCCGCAAGTGGAAAACTCTCATAACAATCTGAATGATCAGGAGACTGGGGAGAGCGTTTTAGATGCCTCTATTGAATCGATGCCGCGTGCCGTTCCACGGGCGGTCGATAAGAAGCGCAAATCCACAGCCGAGCAACGAAGGATTCCATTTGGAACGCCTGATTCACCGGTCGAAAGTACGAAACGATTGAAAGGCATTGGATCATTTCACATGAGGACCAATTATGCCGAACATGATGTGCATCGACTGGTGGACGCTGCCATGCGCACCTCTTTCGGCTCAGGGACATCTAAATTAGTACAGGACATAAAGTTACTCACGAGTACCTTTACGGGAGGACTGACAGATATTGCACCTGCTCTGTTCAGCGTAGATTATTTCGTTGTACTCGAAACTCTAATCCAAACATTAAACTTTGAATGCTAACCTTCTTAGGCATTATCGCAGCGAGCCCGTCTCATCCCCACTATTGGTCGATCTTTGAGTCGCATACAGTTCAGAACACCACTATCTATGGGTCAAAATACCACTATACTTGACAGTGGTGTGCAGACCCCCAGTACGATGCACTCGCGAGCCGATCTACACCAAGGATGGGGCCGCCATGCAGGTCTGACACTTGAAGCTCGACTATGGATGCATAGTCAGAAAAGAATACCGACCAAGGGCAAAGTGGTACTCCAGTCATTTATCGACCATACTGAAAACTCATTACCATGTGATTTAATTCCTGATGATCTTGAGGCGGAAATCGGGACGATTCCCCTGAACACACGACGTGAGTTAGTCGAACTCTCTCAGGACAACGACCTCCTTTACATCGACGAGCGAATACCGGCGGGAAATGACTCGATCTTACCTTGCGAGTGTCACACCACTGAACCTACAGTCATTGATCTATTGCTGGATGAGGAGGAAGATCTTTTGTTCAACCAATTTCATGCGAAACTTTGTGCTTCCGACCAAGCCGCAATCAACGGCAGTACAGATGAAATTAATCAGAGTATAATGCTTTGCGACTCGTTCAATCTTAACGAACACATATCCGAGGAGCGCGATGATTTACTCTTTAGGTCTGATGGGAGTTGTGTATAGCAAACGAATGGCTAGGGCTGGGGTCTTGCGTGATCATTGAAGATACAACCAACTGCTTAGCATCAGATACTTCGAGATTTTTCTAGGCTTCACTCGAGCAACTCGTGATTCATGTTAGGTGTATGTTACAACTCAGAATTTTCAGACAATAACCACCAATAGCCATTCAGATCTAGAAATGGAAATCCTAGCTGGACGAAGTTCAAAAGTGCACTATTCGATTGGAGTAGGGTCTGGATCATTTTTGTACAGTTCCTGAGCGCGACCAGCTGTTGAGGGATCGATTGATGCTTTGCATGGTGCCGGGCAAGCCACGTATTGTTAATCCCCAGTCGTTCAACCAACACTACAGCCACTTCAGTTCGTGTCCGAAGTTCGCCGTTGCCACAAGCCTGGGCACCATTGGGGCCGTCCACTCCGGGCGCGCCGTTTCAGTCTGGTACTGATAAGCTGTTGGCTGTGTAACGTTAAACTATCACGATCTGCCCCTGACTCGATCATATTTCAACTCTCTTCAATATCCACCGTGCTGGTCGGTGTGCAAGTTATAATCTGGTACTTACAGATCGAGTGGAGAGCCTGCTGCCAAAGCTAGACTGAGTTTAAGAAATTCAAGTTTGACGCCTAAGCACACTTGACGGCATACGAGTATACCGGGCACGAGAAAACTGCCAGATTTGCCCGTGTATTCTCCAACTATCTAAACCCACAGGCTTTCGTATTAAAAGGAGCTAATTGTTGCAAACGTTGACCGTGGTAGCGTGGAGTAACAGCTTCTCTGCTGCCCCATCATCTTAGCCTATAGTAAAGATGATCAAACAAAATACCACGCAGAAAATTCAGACTTTGCACGTCTTATGAGAACGTTCTAGAGCCTACTTTACGGTCATAGATGCGTTCAGGCTTTGAAACTGATGAGCAAGGATACCGAGAAGTTTAATTCAGTTGAGTGTTCTCCGTACCTGAAGGGGACCCAGGAGTTACCACCAAACAGGTACGAGTAGTTCCCAGCCTTTACCTAGATCGTAGCGCCACTCCGACAAGCGAGCGCCGATCTGATCGGCCGGGGCGTTTGGTCAGCTTGGATTCGCACGGAGATCACTTAGTCCTCTAGCCTAGTAGCTATCTAGCGATGTGACTGGAACACGAAGGTATTTCTCATTCAATTGTTAGAACTATCCTACTCTGTTCCGCGTAGTTATTTCTCTTAGTTGGCTGGCCTCAAGTGACGGTCTCCCACATACACGAATGAGAAGAAGGAGAGCCGTTTTGCTCCACATATGACCACATTGGACGCGGGGTATGCACTTCAACTCACCTTCACAATTTCGTTCTGATCAAGTACAATACTGAGCTCCTGCGAAATTGGACACACTGGATTTCCCGTAAAAGAGGCTCAAATATTACCATGCTGTTGCTGGCCTTGCGTCTTATTGGCACATCAAATTCAACATTTTTTACTGACTCTCGGTCGTTGCTCTTCGTGCCTACCGCAGCCGTATTCGGGTACAGTCTCAGTAAACAGCCATATCTCGAAGATATGCGCTGTATAGTCTTAGTTTGGAGGAGTTATAGTTAATATGTGAGATACTCTGAAATATATGCTAGAACTTCCATTGCCCCAATATTGAGGAATTTCGCGTGACACATAGCCTCCATTCCTGTGCTTTAATGATGTTTCTGCGCTCAATCTAGCTCAACCTGCAAAAGGTCAGTAGCAGACTAAAAACGTTCCATAGGCCGCACAAGATTCGGACTATCAAGTTCTTCACGCATTCTTTCAAGCTGATATAGTAATCGATGCATTGACGAGGAGTTTCACTAAAGAGAGAGTCAGCCGAGACTAGACATCTTATAATAGGCTTTGGCTAGCAAGTGCGCTAAGATAGTATAAAGCACTAGATGTTCACATTGCTCCACGATGTGCCGGTACTAGGTTCGTAGCACGCCTTATGATCAAATGTGACAGGCACTCTATGATGTGGCGCGCCAGGGCACCGTTTTCACAGGCTGAGTTAATGATACGCTATCTCTTAGAACGTCGTGTATTGGCCAAAACGGCTCTAATGGTGGGATGGCAGGTCTATTGTTGCGATTGCGCATTTGACCGAGGCAACCCAGTCCACACCACGGGGGCGTTCACCTGAAAGGCTATTCGGCACCATGGAATCTGAATACAAAAGAGGGCATATCCTGCAAGTCACGTCTAGTGGCTAAGTTTCATGGTCAATTGTCCAGTTAGTTCTCCCCTTTCGTCTATTCAAGAGAAGTTGAGGCGTGGACGACTTGGCCCGAAGATACATCACAGTGTGTACATATTCTTGGAGTGATTGTTCGAATCTCGATTTGATTACGTACCTGCGTCCGGAGGCCAACTCCGAGATTAATATGAACGGATATAACGCTTAGAGAAAAGGCATCTGTAGAGGCCAGACGGACCAGCTCCGGGACGGGCCAAAGTGACCCAACAACCGCACGGCTGGCTTTCAAGTGTGGGAAAGGTAAGTGATCAAAAATCCACCCATTGCATTCTTATCTCGGTAAACTGACTGTTCTTGAGTAGAGTACTTGATCTTTGCTTAAGAGACCTGAACGGCCCGACCGAGTGTTTCTATCCCACTTCTACCATGCAGTCGGATCTCAGTATCAAGTACCCAATTGGGAGTACGCCGGCTATTCATTATCTTCCATACTTGATTTTCATTTCTTACATCGTGAGCTTGATCGGTGCTATCACGACAGTTGAGCTTCTTCACAGACGGGTTGCTGTATCAGGATGGCGCAACCTGTATGCCCGCACTTCGTGTCTAGTTGGCAAAAACGATTTCTAACAATTAATTAGTGTACAATTGGCAGCCTGCTCGGTATCATTCGGATTGGTCTCAATATGGTGCATGCACTTTGTTGGTAACCGTGCGATCGTGCTCGGTGATGGAGAAGATCAGATCCAGCTATATTACAGTGCGACATACACCACGGTGTCCGCCATTTTGCCCATCATCGTTATATTCATAGGACTCCTCGTTGCAGACACCTTCTACAAAGGGAGCAAAGGCTCTGTCACTCGTTATATATCGCTCATCTTGTGTGGATTATGCACTGGTGCATCGGTCACGGAGATGCACTATCTGGGCAATTACGGTACTACAAATTACGTTCTTAAGCCTGATTTGGCTTACATTATGGGTGCTGCTACGATTGCCGTTATCGCTTGCATGACCTCATTCGGGCTTTTCTTCCATTGGACTGGGCGCTGGGTGAACAACACTTGGAGGCGAATGACCGTGGCATGCTTCCTCGCGGTGGCAGTATCCGGGATGCACTGGACTGCAGCCGCTGGGACCTCTTATAAGATCCAGGGATATCACAACGGGCCTGGAAATGCAAGGAATGTTAATCTCATCATCGCAGTCTGTCTTGTAAGTTTCTCTAGAGCGTATCTATGTCCACGTGCTGACGTTAGTCGAAGAGCCTGGCAGCTTGTGGGGTCTGCTTTGCACTTGGATTCCTCAAGCAACGCGAGAACAGGAAACTGAGAGATAGGGCTCAGCAGGTTGTGCTAGCTGTAGCAACCTTTGATAGCCAAGGAAGAGTGTTGGTCAATCAGGGAGGTCTCCTTCCCTGTCAGACGATCACTAGGCGCTTCCATCAGCGGGTGAGTTTGAGATGTTGCTATACCAGCTAGACGACACGATTATTGATCATGCTAGACATTCGACGAGGATTTTAATATCGCACATCCCGTTTTTCAATGGATCTTCCGAGTTTCGAGGCATTGGAACGGGATTGTCGACCTCATCCCATCGATGCGTGATCACTTGCTTGCTACAGGAGATCTTCAGCCTAACACGCCTATCATGAGTGGCAGTCGTTCCTCAATGGGATTCGAAGATAACACCAACTACTCGGCAACTTTCCGAGAACTCTTTTGTGTCACGGCGCACGACATTGCTCGCAGTCTTGAAACGAGGCTTCAGGATCTTGGAAATCTCTACGAGGATGTGCTCACCACTGGAACACTACTGAACAAAACACTTTGGACAACAAACCACGGGAACAAGGCAATTCTGGCAGCAGATATTGCAACGTCATCTGGTGATATTGAGACTGGCCTGGCAAATCCCATCCTTTTTGGGAGAGGTCAGATGCTGGTGCTCACCAAAAAGATTGGAAATGAGGAAGCAAACCGACTGCAAGATATAGGATATCGATTCGCAAGCATAGATCAAGTGGGGGATACTCTTGCACGCAGCTTCCAGATTCCACGCCTTGATCTTGATGCCTTGATGTCGAAACTCGAGCGTTCCAGCCAAAGGGAAGCCTGGGCACCTCTTAATGGAACCTTCCTGGCTGCTTTCCTTCTCCAACCCTCGCCAGTCATCAAGGGTCTGAACGTCATTGTGCCAACAGCCAATCCAGACCGATTACCGATGGTGCAACTCGCGCCTCATGAGCTTCATCCAAACCATGCTCGACTACTTTCTCAATTCAACGGACTGACTCTCGATGAGTGCATGAATCGCATTTCACAACGCTCACGCACTGGTTCAAATGATGACATTTGGCTGGAAAAGTTTCGCAGTAGAATTTATGAGCTCTACCAGGACGTATCTGAACAATCTTTGCGCCAGGCCATGTTTTCGTCACAACCGCTTAAAGCTATGCATGGAATTACTGGTCAGAACGATTTGAGCGAAGCCACCGTGTTCGCATTTTGTGGTATCAAGGAAGTGAACAATCAAACGCTTCAGAATCAGGATTTGCAATATGTTCCATTGTCTTTCTTTAGAACGCAACAAAGGACTTATCCTGGTTGCCCCGATCATGCAATCCTGGCTCACGAAAACCACAAAGAATTTGCCACTATTCAGACTTTTCGAGCCGAAGCAATCTCACCAACATCACCAAAAAGCAGCAAATGGTCATTGTGGCCATTTGCGACAAAATCCGATGCGTCTTCGGTGATCACAGTTCAGCCCGATTCAAGTTCTGAAAAGGGGTTGGTTCCTATTGTGCGGCAAATGTCCTCCAACAATGTTAGCTATCCTTTTGGAGGTATAATGGTCAGTCAGGATGTCACGATCCATGATAGAAAGGAGACCCATAATATGGAACTTAGCGACATGGGTGTTCGGGCTGAAGCCGGCATTGGGGACCAGGAACGACAGACTATGGCAGACAGGTTGATGGCAATCACAACTTCTTTCCGTGAGCCACACAACAAAACGCTTATGAAAGAACACAGCCATGTCCGCGCCTGATCTGAACTACTCTCGTTTCCATCCCTAATCTCTCAGTGGTTTCTTTGTATCTTTTTAATTAACGACATCTTCTTTTGCATATCGGCGCTAGGACTCGTCCTCGGTGGAAATACCCAATGAGGTTCAACATCTACCTTGGCTCTTTCGTATCTTTTACTCTGCACTAGGGCAACGTGTTTTTTCTTTTTCATCATGGACACGCGGAACGGCGGGAATGTCATCAGTAACGGGAACGTTCTGGTTGGGCGGTGGGCGTTGATGGTTGTTTTAATTTTGAATCGTAAGATGTAATACAATCAGGCACAACATGCGATTGCCACTCCTTGATAAGAGATATAATCGTGGACTGAGTAATAATACCTAAGTCGTTATTCCGCATGCTTAGTTACCTACTCATTAGTCCTCCTCCATCTTTACTTTACCATGCTGCCCTGTCGTGCCTGTAACCATGGCACGCATGGACATCTCCGGTCCCGAGTGGGCGGAGCCGATGTGCGTAAATCCTTGGCAGCCCAAAACGACGTCAATCCACACTTTTGTACCCCACGCGCATAGGATGCAATTTCTTTTGCCTCGATCTTGAAAGCACCCTTATTCTTTGTACAATATAGTTTTGATAATAAATTGAGTCCCCACGAACAACTTCATTCCTGGTCGGCAACATATTCACAATCGCTTTCAGCTCGAGCTGACCGGCCCTCATCTTCGAGATGGAAACCCCACTCACAACGCCCTCACACAAGATCGAAGCCCTCGCAACCCTCTCCCCACCCTCAAATTCCCGCACATGGCAGACCGCACCACATCCAAGCCTGCCGTTGGTCGCGACCGCATGCTCTGATCGTACCGTTCGAGTGTACAGCCTCACGTCATTCACGTTACTCCACTCCGTCGCTGGTGGGCACAAGCGGAGCGTCCGGGCGGTCAGTTGGAAGCCTCACACCGCGGGGCAAAGCGTGCTCGCCACGGGCAGTTTCGATGCCAGTGCGGGAATTTGGAGACGGGAAGAGCGGGGCTTGGAAGAAGATTACACGAATAGACGAGTGGGAGGTGACGAGGATGACGAAGAGGAGGATGACGCCGACGATTACCAATTCTCCTGCATTCTAGACGGCCACGAATCGGAGATCAAGTCTCTTTCTTGGTCACCCTCAGGACAATACCTGGCGACATGTTCGAGGGACAAATCGGTGTGGATCTGGGAAGAGTTGGAGGATGACAATTTCGAGACCGTGGCCGTACTGCAGGAACATGATGGAGATGTCAAATGTGTAGCGTGGCACCCTGAAGAAGATCTGCTGGCCAGTGCGAGCTATGACGATACTGTAAGATTGTACAGAGAAGATGCGGATGATTGGGTTCAAGTGTCTCTTATCAGTGGGCATCCGCAGACTGTCTGGTGGGTGCAATTCGAAGGCAGTGGCATGTCGAAGAAGGATTTTCGCCAGGCAGGAAGTAACGGCAATGAAGAAAGGTCACGGCACATAGATTTACTAGAGCGATCAGGCCCGCGATTGGCAACGTGCTCAGATGATTGCACAGTGCGGGTATGGCGTCGAATACCTAAAGACACAACAGGACAAGGTTCCTTAAATGCGGGAATTCCCAGCATAATTCGTTCCTTTTCCGTGGACGAGGCATGGATACAGGAGGCAATTCTCCCGAAACGCCACGACAGAGCTGTCTACTCTGTCTCCTGGAGCCAAAGGACAGGCATGATTGTGAGCGCAGGCAGTGATGGGAAGATCGTGGTATACAGAGAGCGTTGGAAGGATCAGACAAATGGAATTACGACTACAGGCGAGGTAGATAACCCGACAACTCAAGATGCTGAGTTCTCGCCGACCGAATGGGTTGTTGTCGCAGAGTTATTCTCAGCACACGATGTCTTCGAGATCAACCATGTGTGTTGGGCGAAAAGAAGTGACAAGGGACGGCGCAGTGAGGATGAAGAGGTTATCGTCAGCACAGGCGATGATGGTGAAGTCAGGGTATGGACTGTATCAGAAGAAGGCGTGTAGTTGTGATATATCGCCAGCTTTGAGCATATCAATCCATTGCACATATCGCAAGTAAGCCAGGGAACGAGATCGCTACACTGTTTGGTGTCCCGTGACGATGTGTTACAGAGAAGTTCAAAACATGATAGCTGGTAATCTGATGCTATCATAGTAAGACAAGACCTGGAAAGGTTATCCAATGATAGGCTTGCGCGGTTTCTTTTCCATGACCAAACTTGTCGTGTCGTTGATCTGACGTAGCGGGGTTCCTCCAACGCCCCCTTTCCTGCGGTACTCACTGTGCACGATTGCATACTACGTACGGAGTATTGTGTGTACGTGTGTGTGGGTATCTACTCTACCTACGAGTAACGATCTAAGGTAAGCTTAAGTGGGGTGGGAAAGTATACCTCAAGTAAGAGCAAGTAAGATGGCATGCCTGCAATACGTTATCTCGATAATTGTTGAGTTTACTACATGTATGTACCTTACTCAACAATGGATATCTACTTATACAGTGATATCATTTGAGACATGGTAATGATAAGAGGGCAGAAGTTGGACAATGGGTGAGATGCCGCATCAGGGGGGTTGTTGTTGTCGATGTGAAGAGGCGAGGGAGAGACAGCGTCATGCCGAGCAATGACCTGAATCAGGGAAGTCTGGGAAATTTAACTCTAACCACAATCATAACCATGTCGCATCGCTTCCGCGTTCACGCCATTTCTCCCTCCTTTACCTTTTAATCTTTTTCGTCACTGCCACCCATCGACAATATCCATCCCGACTTGGTTGACCCTTTTTCCTTGTCTGCCGGTCGGCCTTGAAGCTCAAGGCGAAGGACATCCACCGATTTTGCCATCCCTGGTTCACGCACGTCATTAAGGGCACCTTCGCAGACCCAAGAAAGACGCGTCGTTTGGTGGGCATTGCGGACGACCTCCGCAAAACGACACACATTCAACAAGAGTTCGCCGACGCCAATTGCAGCCACTCCGGATCTGTGCCCTTTACCTCTCATACGAGTGAACTACAAGCTCCCCACACCTGAATCTCTTTCCCCCTTATACCGAACCGAACCGCATCGCTACGCCGCCAAGGCAAGCATTCAACAATTACCTCAGATGCCCCCGAAGCGCAAGCGATCGACGACACTCTCCTCCGTTAAGAATTTAGAGATGGATATCGCTCAGCCATCCTCTCGCGATGCTTCCGGCGAAGACGTCGAAGACCCTGTGCTCCAAGAAGTCACCTCGAAAAAGGAGCGACAGGCAGAATCACATGCACCCACGAAGCGAGCCCGCTCCATCAGGAACGATGTAGATGGAGGTGAAGACAATGAGGGAGAGAGCGCTACTAAAAAGAGCCGACGAACGTCGTCTGGCGAGGCCTCGAAACAGGCTGCGATTGACCGCGCCGAGCACGGCGAGAATGGAGAAGCTGGTACAATGAGGATGCCGGACCCTCCAAGAGCAGGCTTGGTAGATCCAAAGGGCTACAAGACGAATCCTCCTCCCACCGGCAGACCCGTTCGCGTATACGCAGATGGAGTTTTTGACCTGTTCCACTTGGGCCACATGCGTGCCCTGCAACAGGCAAAAACTGCATTCCCTGATGTCCATCTTATCGTTGGTGTCACTGGTGATAAGGAGACGCACCGCAGGAAGGGTCTCACGGTGCTTTCTGCCAGGGAGCGCGCTGAGAGTGTGCGACACTGCAAGTGGGTAGATGAGGTTGTTGAGGATTGCCCTTGGATCATTACCGATGCACCTGAATTCCTCGAAAAGCACAAGATCGACTACGTCGCTCACGATGATCTGCCTTACGGTGCAGAAGAGGGCGACGACATCTATTCCGAGATTAAATCGCGGGGCATGTTCCTGGTTACTCAGAGAACTGAAGGTCTGAGCACAACGGGTATTATTACAAAGTCAGCATCCTACCCCCCCAATCCGTTGCTTACACACTGTTAACCCATTTCAGGATTGTTCGCGACTATGACCAGTACATTGACCGCCAATTAAAGCGTGGAACTTCCCGACAGGAATTGAATGTCTCGTGGCTGAAGAAGAATGAGCTGGACATCAAGCGCAACATGGCTGAGCTACGAGATAGTATCAAGTCGAATTGGCTCGTTACCGGCCAGGAATTGAGCAAGGATTTCAAGCACTTTTGGCAGTCCAGCAGGCCAGCAAGCCCCGCACGGACGCCGGTCCAGGAACGTACGCAGGAGGGTGCAATGACACCCAATGCTGCAGCTGCAGCTTCTGCGGTTTCTCCATCCGCAGTATCACGCCTGAGTCACCTTGATATTCCTAGAGCCGGCGCTCCGGAGAGGGGTTCCTCGGACTTTGCTGCTGGTTACAGTCTTGGCATGATTGGTGGTGTTCGCTCCTGGGTATGCATAATTCATTGTACAGACGTGTAGGCTCCGAGCCCAGCTAATCAACATGCAGATGGCACGCAGCAGGCGGAACCTAAACGACAGCAGGCCCCAGAGTCCGCTCAGTGACGAAGACGATTCTGACGAGAAGAGCCCTCAGCCACCACGTGGGCGAGCAAGCAAACAAACAAAATCCGAAGCGATGGATGAACGTGCCTAAAGAGGCCAGCCTATTCTTTTAGTACCCGTTGACTCCAGTATCTCCTAATATCCTCCTTCGTCCGAATAGCGCTTAGCCGACTAGATTTCCAATCATAAGGTACTGACAACGAGAATTGTAACATCTTTTTCCTCACTTTATGTGGTTCGCTCTTCAAATGTACTCACTCTGGACAAACGACAAACGCCGCACCACCTACCGGCGCGATTGACTACTGCCAGCGAAATGCTCCAGCGTCCTATCCACTTCTTTCTTGAACAAGTATTACTATCACAATTAAGATTTCCTCCTGTTTCCAGAGCTGTCTGTCTGTCCCCCTTATGAGAACATGGTTTGACCTTCTAACCTTTCGGTACAAGTAACAAGAACCAGATTGCTCTCAAACGCTGGCGACAACCCTGATGTGAACTGTCCATTTTTGATTGTTGGAGTTTGATACTGCTCTAGCCTCTTTGATGATTGTAGCAATCCGTTTTCTCACCCTTCCTTTGTCTCTTCATCCGAAGTTGTTGTCTAATGGCTTGCTTGCACGCCTATATCTTTAGGTTGCAAAATAGCTAAGTGTAGGAAGGTACAAAAGCAATTGCCAACTGACTGGCTTGACTTATCGCATTGGAGTCCCAACCCACTCATAATACGAATTGGTTCACCGAAACACCTTCTTGACACAACAGTCCTTCCGGATTAGCATGCACAATTCCACCACATTGCAGTTCTTCACGCCTTACTATCAATACCTCATTTTCCGCCTACACTTACTATACGATAAACAACATCTCGCCATCAATATCTGAAGCGTACCAAGGCAAAAGGAAAGGAGCGAAGAACAAGACCAGAGGGGTGAAATGTGCTATGTGCTATTCGCGTACGGAACTTGTGGATGCCCCCCTTACCCAACCAGTCCGTACCTAGACAAATGTCCACTCGCGATACAGACAAATCGGGGCTGCATGCCCGGGCATCGAAGATTAAAGATTGGGTTTACAGGAAGGCAGTGCGGGATGTGTCAGATAGCCGAGAGGGAAGCTATGATGGCCGAGAGGAGGGACTTGAGGCGGGCAGGGTTGGTGAGGGCCAGTGGTGTCCGTGGTGGGTCTGCTAGAGGTGAGGCGGACGGGAGAAAAGTGTGCGGATTGAGCGGAATTACGAGGCCGAGCTACTGGTAGGGAAGAAGAAGGTCCTCGACAGCAAAGGGAGTGGTTGTGGTTGATGTACTTTACGGTTTAGGCGTATTGGAGGATTGTCGGCTCGCAAGAACATGGGTCATGAAGTGGTGTATTACGATTGACGATATCTGTTGTTTCAAAGATTCGTCCCAGATATCGTGCCCGAAGCGACTAAACGAATTCCGATTACTCTTTCATTCCAGAGAGCGAGTTGGCATCAAATTTACCATTCCCAGAGAATCGAAGTGTACAGAGCACACCCAGGGTCAAATAAGAGGGTCGAAGTCAGAAATACCAGGCAGGGAGTATTTATCTAGTGCATCCGGCGATGATTGGGCAGATAAAAGAAACGATACTTTATTCCTTTACTACGATTCGTTGAGACACATGTTATAATAGAACGAGGTGTGGAGCAGACCTACGTTCGCTCGCCCCGTTTTTGTGGGATGCTGGTATTTATCAAAAGTCATGGTCACCAATGAAGGTGGAGAAGCTAGGATGGGGATGGAAGGCTGTTTAGGTTCTATCAACTCCATTCCCAGATTATTGGATGCGCGACCACTTGGTTGGGGAGAAGGCTTGGTAGGACAGAAAGTACCCTGTCCTTGTTGTTGTAGTTGTAGGGCATCGAGCAGTACAATATGCGCGGCAGATGTTGATGCGTAGGTCGACTCGTAGTGTGTCCCAGTAATCCTATCCATGCTGTGGAAGTCTCCTGAAGAAGGGTATAAATGGGTCTCACTACCGTCATCAACCCCCTCCCTTCCCCCCTCATCGACTGGTCTTCACTTTTTCTCTTGAATCAACTTTCCCCTCTGGGGCAGTGATGCTCATGAAGCTCATCGAAGCCTGTGTGAATGGCCCCGACGCTCCTGGGATTTCCATGCCTTCAGCCTTCATTTAGGAAAGCCGTCAAACCACATTGCTTTTATCTGCTGGGTCTACAAACTAGTCGCTCTGCTGCTCATCACTGCTCATTTCTGTCACCTGTTGCTCACACGTTCGCTGCTCATTTGATGAATGTGCCATGCAGCCTTGCCAATCCAGATTGACGCGCAAGCTTCGATCATCTCTCATCCACACATTATCCACGGAGAAGGAGATCCCTCATTCTGGCGTTACTGTTGCACGATGCAAATCATCCTCGCTCGGTATTACAGCGGAGAGACTGTCGGTCGTCGATCTGTGACGGTGAGGCTGCTGGCCGACGCTACGTACCGAACTTGTCGCATCTTGCAAGTCAGCCATGCGCATGCGGAGAGTGGATGGAAGAATGCAGCCGTCTGACAGGGCGGTCCGCCCTGGGTGCAGTCGTCGTTGTCATCGTGCGAGTTGACCCGATGTTACGGAGTACCTAAATTCTAATACTCCGTTGTCTATCGAATGGACGGGAGTAGCCTGGAGAGCAGGGTAGGCATTCCATAGGATCACCTCCAGCCGCAGCGCGCAGCCGTAATCGGCTCAGCAAAATGCATCCACCCATCCATCCATTCACCATCATCACTTGAAACCACCCAACAGCACCAACAGCTAGCTATACAGGAAAGGCACAGACGGGATCCCATACTGTCATCATCAAAGGGACAGACCGCCATCGCCACCAACATGCGGGCATCCCACGCGGTCCGTCTTTCTAATCACATACAGTACTCCGTACATGACTATTCGCAATTCAATAACGGCACCGACGGCGACGGCGACGGCCTAGATAGACTGATATCCTGCATTCAACCCAGGAGGCCCGCGAGACGATGATGGCGGCTGTGTGCTTTCCTTTTTGCATCAGTTATTCACTCGGTAACTCCAAGTGGAAATCAATCAATCAATCACTGGAAATCTGAGAGCCGGAAGCGGGAGGACCATTACGAACGGGTCTGATGCGGGCTTGAACATAGAGATCAGAACACTAACCCGACACATCCACATCCATACGACATTCACATACACCGTACATACACATACACATACACTGGTGACTGCACACATACTTCGTACATGCATACATGATACAGACAGACAGACACGCACGCACGCACACGCACATACGCACATTCGCACATTCGCACATTCACACCCACATACGCAGGCCGCCTACAATGTTGAATCATCCACCTAGGTTTTGTGTGGAATTTTGTGCATCCATGGCATTATTGAGGGCGCCGTGTCATGGTCTTCGCCCGCCCTGGTTTTCCTTTTTCCCTCTTCGCTCTGACGATGCGGTGTGGTGCGGTGTTCCGGGATGGGGGTGTATCTTCGCAGCCTCACTTTTTCTTCCCTTGACGAACTGCGGCGCCAGGACCGCCAGGTTAAAAGACAAAAGTCATGTTGCACAACCTGGTTTAAACGACTAAAACGAGCCCCCAGTCCAAACTTCCAGGTGCATGCGGCTGCCGACTACTACTAGCTCATTTCGCTTGCATCCGTCTTCCCAGGAGAGAAAGTATTACTCGTTGTTGCACCAAGTAACGCTCCGAGCGAGATACCGGCTCTGGAATTGGACCCATGGGCCAATATGCATGTCCACATTCTGCCCACTGCATCTCCATATTCTGCTGAGTCGACTCTCCCACTACGGAGTACACCATACCGGCATCTGTCGTTATTGCCAGTAATCTCAGACTCCTCTACCCTAACCTACTCTACGGAGTACCTAGTACCCATATGCCTTCAAAACATTCCCAAATTGACAGTGACATTGTGGGGAGGGGGTGGGGGTGGGGGTCTCTTATTGCTACATACACACAGCTCTTTGTCCCTCTATCCTTCAGCACTTGTCAGTATCTACGGAGTATCGACCATACAGTAACTATTCACGAGCAGTGGTTGAGTGGAGTGGAGTGGAGTGGAGTGCAGTGGAGTATTCGTTGTCCCGGTCAACATTGGCCAGGAGGGCCTTGGTGGACGCTTCACAAGTCCAAAACCCATTAACCCCCGTGCATGCATGAATTGCTACGAAAAGCCACCTAGAGCTATGGACGGTGGCGATCCTGGGGCCCTGCTTTGATATAAGCCTGCCCGGTCTGTTATTTCATTGTTGCGTTCGGACACACATCATGCAAGGGTTGTTGTTAATGTTCATATTTCTGAACTCCCATCGTTCCCTTGTGTTGTTGCTGCGTACTCTTGATTTCATACCACGCAACCCAAACTCAGCGTAATCGCACTCGCACAGAGTCAAACAAGAGTAGACCCCGAGTCAGTCAGCGTGTTTGGATTCCAACGCAGTCGCCAGTCGCCTTGCAGACCGCGTCTCACTCTCTTACCTTGCCTCTCTGCGCCCTCCATATTACTGCATTAATATTACAGTAAAGGCGTGAGTATTCGATTTTCTGTCCTCTTCTGCTTTGCCTCTTTGGTCTTTTTCTGTTTTCAACCAATTCTCGTCCGAAAGCCTCTTGCTTTCGATTTTCCGAAAACGTCTCCTTTTCTTCAAGTCTCTCTATTCTCCTCTGATAAACCTGTGCTCCCCAACCATGTCATCGCGCTCATTCTCCTAATTCGCGCCTCTTCCAAAGACACTTTCTACAACAGAGATGCCTTTGGCTTCAGCACATGACTAAAAGGTAGCCAACCACATCCGTAATGTCCGCTTGCCGCTGCGCTCCGATACTTGTCTGATACTGGGGGGAATTGCCTAGTTCATAGCAAACTTCCCCATCGCCAGTCAAACCGCCACCAGACACGTCTCTCGAGCTTGTGACCTCACAAATTGCACCTTCTCTGCAATGATTTGTTCGCTGACTTGTCCTAGTGGATGCTTGTAGCAACATATGCGCTTGAGCAATTGCGTTCGCTACCGAACCTCACTTTCAACGCCATTGCGCCACTCTCTCATATCGACTCAGTAACTTCCCTTTTGAGAGATCACTTATCGCCAGCGCCTGCCTCTTCTCCATGACCTCTCGACATCACTCGCATCGTAGCATCAACCGTCGACGGCAGTCCAAGATGATCCCCGACCACCCGCCGGCGGCCGCAGGTACTAATGCGGCGGCTCCCGTTCGGGCAACAGATCAACCCTACATGTCTCCCTTAACACAAGTCCCGAGCAATGGGGACGGCAATCCCTGGCCAGAGCATGTGGAGTCCACAGACTCCTCAATGGTAGTCGACGACTCTTCCCGTCAAGAACGAAGCTCGCCAACGACTGCAACCTACAGCAGCAGCCAAGATGACGAGTCAAGAACGCCGACTATCCCACTCGAAAGCATGCCACCTGAAGTTGGACAGTTTGGACAGCTCCTTATCCGTGCATCACCGAGATCTGATGCTCAAATCCTAGCAGATGCATTTCAGAACGCGGCCGAGTGTCCGCCTATAACGAAGCAGTCCCTGTGTGAACTTAATATTGAAAGTATCATCACCAACCCCAAATTACGTCATGATGTCAACCATGATCGTGATTTGAGCTTTCGTCCCAACACCGATGGAACTAAAGGGCAACAGAAGCGAAAAGAAGGAGAGAAATACTGGTGTGCTCTTGAGGCTGAATTAGAGCTGTATACACTGATTCACGTCAATGGCGCCTTGTTCTGCAACTCTCGAGATGCGGATATGATTTGTATCATGAAGACCGCACAGAGGCGGATACCGATCATATTTGATACCATCAAGGATATCTTGAAGGGTCTGGTACCAGAACGAGACCACGAAAGAGTGAACGAGCACCTCGACGTACCGAAATTGATGCGGGAAATCGAGCGAGGTGTGTGCGATTTAGTCCGACTCGCTGAATGGGTGGCTGTCCTCCTCAAGGAACACTGTGCGCCGATGAGGGATATCTCTGTCGACAAGATGGTACAATCAATTGCCTCAGGCGCTCAAACCAACAATTCAAGGTTGATCGTGGAGGGACTCCGCCAGCTTCTCAGCATCCTGGAAGCCATGAAGCTTGTGAGTAATCCTAATTAGCCCCCAGTTTGTGCCCAGCTGATGCATCAAAGGACGTCGCCAATCATCAGATCAGGAGCTTGAAAACTCTACTAATCGAAGAGACGGTCCATTTTGAGAAGCAATACCATCTAGAAAGAATTGTTTCCCATCGCGCACGCATTAATATTGACGATGCTTGCGACTGGTACAACAGAGCTGTGAACCTCTACGAGAAACAATGTAGACCATCAAGAGATCAGAACAGTTTTCACATGGATATATTTGTCCGGGCCGTCATCTCGAACCTCCTTCGCAATCGCAGTGCGCAATTCCCCGACACTTTCTACCTCGACCAAGACCGACTGCGAGTCCTTAGAAACGAGATAGACGATCTCATTTGTATCGATATATGCATGGACTGGTTTGAATTAATTCTGAAGGGGTTCGGCCATACTGGAGAGGTTCCTACCAGCACAAAGCAAAACATGCGAGCCTCCCTAGTTGCTCTATTGGGTGAAGGGCTAGGCCATGGTTCCCTGCATATGTGGCTCAATAGCAGTGAGCATATTGTTGTAGAGCTTCTCCGTCAAGCCTCTAAATTCATTGGATATGAACCCGCAATCGCACTTGATAATCTTCAGAAGCTCGATCAGAATCTACAGTGCTCCTTTCGTCAACGGACAAGTAGGCAGACTGAGAGGATGGAGGAAAGACTACTGACGAGGGTGTTGTCTGAATCAACCCGTCACATGCAATCCTCACCCCTTGATCTGTTCAACGCGCTCGTTGCCAACTCTACACCACCAACAACGAGCTCAGCAATTCCTGGTCTTCCTCTGTTGTTCAACAAGCAGAACGATTCGGATCCATCTTCAGATCAACTGACCGATATATCGGCGCGTATAACGCATGTTATCCTCCTGCACTGGCGCACTTGGGCAGATATTGCCTATGTCTGTACGGGGGATTCCACTTCACATCCACAGGATGATTTAGAAGGGGGGCAAGTCACCACTGCTACAGCACAAACGAAGCCAACTGCTTCAACAGCAAGCGTCAACAGCACCGACCATAGAACAGGCATAGGCCCGCCAAATATCAGCGACAAGCACGAAACGCTAGAATCCCCAGCACGGCCATTTCCCTGATGACATCTCATTTGTACAACGGTGTTTTTGCATTTCACGGAGCATTCGCATACCCACCGGCGTTCTATATCAAACGAGCCAATAATCTGGCTCGTAAGTTTGCCTTTTGCCTTGTTCTCTCTTCTCCTGTTTCATTCACCTCGCAAATTATACCCTCAGCATTGTCCCCGACCTTTCGCATTTCCCGAATAAAGCCAGAAATATTGAATAGGCCGAAGTAAAGGAAAATCTCACCGAAAACCAACAATACGATCATGTTCTAGATGTTCTTCGTTAGATGATTGATGTCAAGGACGCCATAGACAAGGAGTCGCTCGGTAATACATTTGGAGGAACGAGGCGTCTTTGAATGCTGTTTTTCTACAGTCGCAAGTTTTGCATTTGCAAGGGGTTTTCTTTTCTCTTGGGCGCTTTGGATAAAAGAGGTCTGGTTCGAATCGGTTCGCGACTGGACGGTACCAGGACCTCTTTCTAACGCAACATGAAAAATTGCTGATACACGGCGAAAAAAATTGGTCTAGGAATCGCACGTCTATCACTGATCGGAAGCAAAGCCCTAAAGCACTACGATTCTTCCCATCTTTTTGGAAAATCAAACGGAACAGGAGGATGTACGATCCCGTCGTTTTTGCATGCGCAGGCATTCTTAGTCAACCGATCCAAAATGTAAATAAAGCAGAATAGCTATTACCAGAAAGAACTCTATCTACGGATTTTTAATCGAATAAGAAACCATTAACTACACAAAAGACTATCCCTCTCTAATATCTTCCACAGATGATGAGGCATACATTCGACCACTCGGATTTAACGGACTTGGAAATACTCACGTCTGAACAAGCATCGAGCGTGTGATTAGCATTCACCGAGCGTATGGACAAGAATTGTCACAAGATGTCAAGGCTTCGACAGCCTCCTCCACATTGTAAATCACGGCATCTAGTCGTCCGCTTTACTAATTGCCAGCCCGCGGATACGGCATCGCATGTCCCGTACCATGTAAGCCCAGGCAAACGAAGCCGGGCAGGGATAAGACGCACGTGTTATTTGATATCGCTGCTGACGGTAGGGAGATGAAGTGGCTGAATATCAAGGTATGGGTCTATGATTGGTATGAGATGATGTGAGGTGAGACGAAACGAGACGGAATGATATTCGGGTCGTGGTGGATGTATAATAATAACCAGTAAACATGACATATTGTGACATGAAGGACATTGCCGGAGGCATTCTCCGGGGCGTTCTATAAGGGCATCACCATCACTACTGTTTCCTAATTTGGTATCCCATTGTTGTGGGGTGTGGAACGAGGATTGCGAAATGCGTTTACGAAATAAGTGCTGAAAGACAAATAGTAAGATGTGGGAAAAAAGATGATCATGAAAATGGTATCATTCTTCATTATTGGCCAGCTAATGTGCATGCAGGTATTGGAGGTCTCGGGTATGACGGATTGAGCTCAAAGGTGAGTTCATGGAAAAACATCTAAAAAAGTGAGGCTTGTATAATCCTAATAAAGTGACACAGAGAAGTGAAGCTGTATACTTGATAATGGCCAATGATATTGTTGTATCATTTTAGAAAGGCACTGGTGGCGAGATCGTCTGTTGATCTGTGGAATGTGAAGAGTAATACCAGCCAGTAAGAGTGGAGAGTGAGAATTTGGGTATTATTGATCAATGTGAGGCTGAGCAAGAACTGGAGGACCAAGCAATAGTTTCCCTTGGTAAGATCTTCTCGGAATTGCTGTGGGTTCCCAAGCCCAAGATGGATACAAATCCTGTTATCCCCGTACTGGATGCATCATCTCGCCACGAAGAAAAAAGCGAGGGGAAATGCCGTGATGATGAGTGTACACGACATCGATGCTCCTCTCAATAGGAACCCGTCGGAATTATCGGTATTTACGGCGTCCCCGAAACTGCTGCCTCACCCAGGGTTGGTGATATGTCGAGTAATCGCGTTCACCAGACAATCCAAGTCGACTTGCAACATTCACGTACCCGTCCTCCCCAATAGTGGCGTCTTTGAGATTGACACCACCCACGACTTCGTCCATGGCCCATGCAGCACGGCAATATGGACAAGTAGGTCTGCCCTTGCAAGCAGCTGTCCAGGAAGACATACAATCTTTGTGCACGTTGTTGCCACAGGCTGCCTTGCAATACACGATTGCCTCGCTCTTGGGTTCAAAATCGTAGTAGCAGATTGGGCATGCATTCTCAATTGGTTTTCTGTTCCCATCACTTGAGTCCGCATCCGCATCCGCTGTCGGAATGGGAGGAGCCTCTGCAAAAATTGACCGGAGCTCTGAAGACAATAATGCGGCTTGCCAGCTGAGGTTTTCTGGAGCTTTGAGAATGTGGAGCATCACCTAGCCAGGGGATTAGTCACTCTAACCGGAGGCTATTAGAAAGGTATATTCTTTCACTTACATAGATAATGTGTTTGCACTGGTTACCCTTACTAGCATGCGGGCAATCGCATGATAAGATGCGGGCAATGCTCACAGTGTAAAGGTTCCCCGTGCTCCCTGCAATAGTGACTCGCTCCTCTGGAATCTCCTCTGTACCCATGCGCTCACGGCCCATGACAGTTAGTCGCTGGGTCAAGGCACGGTGTTTAACTTCTGCATATTTCTGAATGGATGTAGGCCGGAAGCGCTTTAATCGTTTTTCCTCTTGGGCAACTTCAAGACCAACTGCACCAACATTCTTTCCACCCTTCCTTGGCGAACATTTTATGGTATTTGTAGATTGAGCCTGGACATTTGGCTCTGAAGATTCGACTTCAGAGGCTTTCTGTTTCTTAATTGAGGTTGCTAGAGTATCCACTGGATAGTCATGATCTTCGTCCTGGTCGTCGTTGTTGTCGAGCTGCTTGCGCTTGCGTGTTGGACGCGAATAGGCTGAAGAGCTGACATCCTGATTGACCACAATTGAGGATTGAGCTTCACCTTGACGAGCCATTACTATGTATAGTAGATTGTGAACGGTGAGGATTGGGTGCTGAGTAGGTTACGGAGAGGTGGTCGTAAGGGAAGGTGAAGTGGCAATTTTCTTGGCATTCGCGAATGAGCTGCGAAAGCACGTGATGAATTCGCTCACCCGAGAGTGAGTCGAGACAATTAGACGTACAGTGTTCAAGGGTCATATATCACGAGTATCTTAGAGGAAAGACAGACTGTGTGAGATTTCACGGGTTTAATCAGCTTGTGGCTACATGGCTCGGCCAACGAGTCGACGACTGGCTTATGGAGCAGACGTTGAGAACAAGCTATTCACTGGAAGAACGAACCAAGGGTCTTGATTTACTAGCGCAAGATCCATGACCCCATCAACTAGATAAAGACGGGCAAGCACGCAGGTCATATAATTCATCTTGTTCCTTCAGTATCTAAGGTCGCTCACAGCAAAACCTGTCATGTGAAAACACCATCCTGGAAATCTATGACCTGAGCTTTCTCTACAATCTCCTTGACCGAATCTTTGAACTTTTGATGCTCGGGATCGTGGTCCACATAATAATTTCTGTCCTCATTGGAGTAGAACTGAACAATGAAGGCATGGCTTATGCCATTCTAGTGCATTATCAAGTCAGAATAGAGATGCGAATGCAGCCTCATAGAACTATAAACTTTGAAGGTATGTCGCACCTGTAGGTTCTCGATTGAGATGTCTTTTCCGCCGGCGATGGACTGGATGTATGGTCTTCCAGTACTTGGATGCTTGCAGTTGTTCTTCAATGCAAGCATCCTTGAAGTTGCCTAAGTAGGTAGGTAAGTCAAGTTCCCAATCTTGTTTACTTAGATTTGGATGATCACCAACCTCCTTAATGGATGTATGGCTTGTTGAGTCCTTAAACTGGAACAGCACCAGGTGGGTAGTTAGGGACGCCGTATCTTGCTCATTGTCATTGAATACTCTCAAGATGAGGTTCCAAGGGTTCAATGGTGAATATGATATTGCGAGAACGATCGCGACGACAACTAACGCACGCACGACAACGAGTGCTCTCTTTGATAGGATCATAGGGTCGGAGCACGGACTTGTATCCTCCAGCAAGGGAGACAAACGCGAAGCTAAGTGTCCAATCAAGGAGGATGCACAGGGTAATATCTGCACTATGTCTTCGCGTTGTTGAGAAGGAGGAAGGGACGAGCGCGATGTGCGAGGTGGACTTTGTTATTGAGGCACCGCAAGCAATACCAGAGGAGGTTCTCCGTAGATAGATACTCCGTACCTAGGTAGGTAGTTGCAGTTACGTGTTTGAAGGGTGTTGATATTAAGCTCAATTGCGCTAACCCGGATCGACACAGTGCGAGCTAAACCCTTCACGGTTTTTGCGGAGCAGATGTGCGATCAGGTGGGACCGTGAATGCAGGATCGAGAGAAAGGCATGACGTTTTGTCCCCGGCGAACATGGGCAATTGGAAGCGGAAAGCAAAGGGGAAGATGGGCGAAAAAGTTGAGATTTCGATTCGATCGATGGGAAAATGCCTTGGAAATTGCGGGTCTACCTCAATCCCCATCAAAAGAATAGTTCGTAATAGTCGTAATAGTCGTAATGCTAACACTACTACGGAGTACTGTGGAGGTAAGTCGTCTCAGGCGTTAATTAGAACAGGCGGGCTGGATGGGATCTTGGAAGTGAAAGCGATGTGATTGGTTGGAGCTTGGCGCATTCACCAAATTACGTCACAGATCGGTCACCTGCAAGCTTCATCACGACATTTGGGGTTAATGAGTTAATGGAGAAGAGACGACGTCGCAGGTACAAAAGCCTCGCCCATTCCTCTTTGTCCCTTTCCGCTACTGACTGCCATAACTACTACAAACTCCTCATTAACTCCATCTCCCATCATCTACAACCAAAACAACCAATTTCCCATTCACCACAATGGCCACTCTCCACTGTACGTTTCTCCAGCCCATCCATTACATCACGTTGCCCCTCTTGTCTCCGCGTGAAATTGCTCCTTCTCCGTGCATAGCCGATGAAAGGAAAAGGTGGTGCACCACAGAGGAAGAGAAAGGAATTTTTCTACTGATCAACTCTACTCTTCATCTACTCGCACATCCTCATCTATACCCAATTGCAATTCCAAAATACTTACATCAACCTCCTACAGACCTCCCCCCCGTTAAGCCCTCGGCCATCGCCCTTGGAACGGCTTTCAACCACGCTGTCTCCCTCGCTGTCCTCGGCCCCGTCTTCGGTGACGCCTACCGCCGCGCCCAGCAGGCTAACACCAAGGAAGAGTACTTCCACTCTAAGGAGGCTGCCACTGCTGCTGCTTCCTGGGGAAGCTCCGTCGTCGGATCTGCCATCCAGTCCTACGGTGTTGGTGCTCTTATCAACGCTACCGGCACCTTGACCTACAAGGGCGCTGCTTACCTCGGTTCTTTGATCTTCTTCGCCTCTGCTGCTCCTTCCGTAAGTCTCCAATGCCCGCACTTTTATCTCGTCTCATTCAATTGCTTATACAACTTCCAGATCGTCTCCCAGGTCCTCACCGAGAAGCGTCCCCTTGACACTATTGCCATCGGTGCCGTTGCCCGTGTCCTCGAGACCGTCGGCCTCAGCTTGTTCCTTACTTACTGGGGAACTCGCACCAACCCTTTTGACTAAATTAATCGTAATGCAAGACTCGATGGCATGGAATGATTTCATTGTATCGGTTCGGTTCGTAAGGTGTTGAGATTTGAAAAGCCCAATGATGCTGGCTTCTTTCGAAACATGATATATGTATAAATAGCTGTCAATGAAATGACAATAATCAAGTTCAACCATGTGTTTGTCAATCCGTGCGAAGTAATCGCTCTGTGCAGTCTACACGGCTCTGATGGGGCATTTGCTCACCATGCTTGTCAAACTACCTCGATCGTCCTGTGTCGGATCCGTCTTTGGCCGGTGCCAAAAGGGGCAGAGTGGTGCACAACGAATCTAATCACTTATCTCCCATGCTCAATGTAAACTCCCACGCGTTTTTCCAACCAGAGGGTTCTAGGTCAGGTGGGAACGAGGTGTTTCGTAGATCTCTGACGACTCTAGTTATAAAGTGATAACTACTAAACAAACAACTTCTCTGTTATATGGTGAAGATTATGAATTATATCACTCGAACTAGTGACCGTTCATTTTAAAGATCAATAAAACTAAGGTATAGTGACGAGTTTTACTTGGTAGGAGAAACCTAATGTTGTAAGAGACAAATACTCCCGGGCATAATTTGCTCTGCCAGAATTTCCCAAAGACGTCGACATTACGATTCACATGTAATAAAAAGTACCTACATAATGACGAAGTTTTCATCATAAAGTCATCCCAATTATTCAATTGTACAAAGATTATTGCTCATAGAAGCCATGCGATACCTTCCAGCATCTTAGAGCGAGAACTGTGCCTAGGTGTACACTTTAACTCATCAAGTACTCCCAGTCGATCATTCTAAGATCGGTCCGACGCCATCGGCCCCTCCTTCATCATTTTCATTAGCCCGCCGAGTCCTTTCTTGCTTCGTCCTTCTGGTTCAATCTGCGAACCAGACACCCCCGGTCGACTCAGCCCTGGATTAAAAGGAGTTGGAGCATTCGACGAGGAAGCATTAGTTTCATTTGCAGGTATTGTTGGCGGAGGGCCGTGGTAAAATTGTCCAGTTTCAATCTCGGAGCGACCCGCGTCGATAGCGGCTTGATTCTTAACGTGGACTTGCGCATCCGGTTTGGAAAAACGTTTGTCTACTGAAGAATTTAGAGTTCCGCGTAGTGTCTCACCGGCACCCTAAGTGTGGTCAGAGATATACATATGAGGGAGTAATTTGTTGATAACTTACATGAATGCCTGCCGCAGCCGTTTTGAGGTTGGCAATCGTGCCTTGCTTACGGGCGGGTTGCTGCTGCTGCGTTTGATGGAGCTGTGGTTGAGCATGGGCGCCCGGCTGTAATGGCGCTGGATAAACAGATGGTGACGGATCAGCATAGCCAACTTGATGGTGTGCTTGGTGCTGATTCAGATGATCTGCTTGCTGGTGTCCGGTAAGCGACTGTGGCATCCCCTGTTGTGGTGCTGGCTGTGGTATCTGCCCTGGTATCTGCTGCCCCTTTGATTGTGTCGGCAGAGGAGGTTGGGCTTGTCGCGGAACCTGGTAATGCTGCGAAGGCACCTGTCGTGGCACCCCTGGCGGTGGTGTTCGTGAGGGATAGGAAAAGTTGCTGGCACGCGTGGGACTCGAGGGGCTGACCGGCGATGCCATTGGGTTTGGGTGCTCAATTGCTGGTGAACATGAATCGAGCTCGACCCGATGCCTGATATTACTCTTATTTGGAACCGGTGGGGAAGAACTGGTTTGTTGTGGATCTAAGTGTGATGGGTTTGGCTGTGTTTGGTTTGTATGTGGAATGGGTGGAGCAGGGGCTGGAGGGCTTGGTCCAGATGTGTTTGTTATGCTAGCTTGCGGAGATGCCCGTCCACTGTTGTCATTTGGTGCTTGTACAGTGGTACTTCCTCCCGGACCGGTCGTTGTCGTTGTGGTAGTAGTCGTAGTTGTGGTAGTAGTGACAATGTTTCCAGTCTTCGTATCCTGATATGTCTCTCTTGCGATGTTCTCTTGGCTTGAGGGTTGGCTTATAGGCTGAGGCTGTGGAATTGATTGATTCTGTTGAGCTTGGTGAGCTTGTTGACTGTGCTGAGTCGCTTGTTGGACTGGTGGAGTGGGAGGAGTTATATTTGTCGTAGGGGCTTGCAGAGTTGTTGGTGGTGGTCGCAACTCTCCACTGACTGGGCGGGTTCGCGAAGGACGCCGTTCTGTACTCGAGAAACTTGGAATGCCACTGCTGTTCACATCTGATCTCGAGCTATTGTTCGGCTCGCTGCTACCATAGGTTGAATCAACTGGTGGTTCCTGTGCCTCGTTTTTGGGATCCTTCTCCTTCTCCTTCTCCTTATCTTTGTCCTTCGAGTGGAAAGGATTCGAAAGCCGCCATTTCGACTTCTTGTCCTTTCCAGGGGATGGTTGGCTGGTCGAAGGCATTGTCGAGTACGAAGAGTTGGCGTTGTCTGTGTCCAACGGGGACACTATCGGTACAGCAGGAGCATTGCCCTGGGTTTCGGATGCTCGTCGACTACGACTGGGCGATTGAACTGGTCTTCTCTTTACGAGTTTTCCCCCTTGTCGCACTGGCTCGGACATGTTCAGATAGATGTAAAGTGTGATTAAGGAGTTTTTCAAATCGAAGAATTCCGGTGATCAACTCGCGAGAGTTGCAGGAGAGAACCCCAACATTACCCTCAGGATTTGATTTGAAGTGATGTCATATTGGGGTGTGTGGCGCATGATTTATGTGGCGCCCCGTACTACAGCCCGTCAACCAATAAGAAGGATATCTTCCGGTCGATCGTGAAAAGAACGGGTTGGGAAGTCCTGGAAAAGCAGGTTAAGGTTTGTAGCAGGATGATGGATGACGATTGGTGAACGTTGCCGAATGGAGAATTGAGCCGGCCCATAACCAAGTATGAATGACATGACCCACCATGTACCGCCCTGCGAGCGAGCGGCCCAGGCGTGCCGTTCCTGGTTGATCAGATAATATGTGTGTACCTTTTCAAACACTACTTAGATCGGCCGCACAATATTCTTCATCGTCGATAGAGATAGAATGAGTATCTTGGATGAGACTTTATAAGAACTGTAGGGTCGCCTTGATGACTGTTTGTCGAATGAGCCTTTGGATTGCTAGGGTGACTGAGGGGCACCTAGACATCAGCCACGATTCTCGGACCCCACGCAAAGTCACGCCGCATCCTATAAACAGAAACCACACGTAGACATCCTCATATCTAACACCACAGAAGATTACAACTTTGTTCTGAGTTTTGAGGCTGGCGAGCTTCAATGGCGGAGGTAATCGGCCTCGCAGCTTCGATCATCCAGATCGGAGCAACAGGCCTGAAGCTTTCAGAAACATTGTACCAGTATGCCGAAACGGTTGCGTCTGCTGACAAACGTGTTGGCGATATAGCACTTGAAGTAAACCTCACGTCGTCCCTGATCAAGGAGCTGGGTACGATCTTCAATGAGAAACGCAATGTGTCTTTGCTGTCGCAAGATGCAGTCAAGACGGCCAATACGACGATCAAGGCTTGCGAAAATGTTTTCGTGAAAATGAGCGCGGAGGTGAACAAGACGAATAAAAACAAGCTAGGAAAATTCACGCTGCCGTTTCGGGAACCTAAGATCAATCTTTTGAGGACACATCTTGACATGCTGAAAAATACACTGCAGCTGTTATTGGGGGTGCTGAATCTTGCTCATTCAAAGCTCACACAGTGTGTTCCCCTTAACAAACAGGTGGGCTTTAAATACTAACCGATACTGCAGCGACGATCGCCGGGTAGAACAAAAACTTCGCGAGCAGATCAAGACTTTATTACTCGAGAAGAAAAAATCTACTAAGCGATACGAAGAGTCGTTGAAAAACTATAACAGGTATGTATCAGTTATGAGATCCAAAATTCGGCTTCTTCTAATTGATTCTGTAGTGACAGCGAGGACGACGAATGGGAAGAGCAACCAAGTCACAAACCTTCCTTAGATAGCCCAAAGGATGGGACTATTTCCATATCTCAAATCAGTACAACAATAACGACTGACAATCTTGCACAATGCGTCCAACATGTCCAAACTCTCCTCGGAGATATCGAGAGACTACAGCAGGTACTCGCAAAAGCAGAAGCTGGTGTGGATCATTCAGAACATCATCAAGCCATCATCGGATCGTATCTACGGACCAAAGACCATCTCGATGGTATTTTCTTAGGCAATCCAAAATCAGCCGGCGACATTGCAGTTGACCAGATCGAGACTTTGTCAAAGGACCCAAAGAATGAAAGCGCCACATCACTTAAGCAATCACTTACAGGGTCAACGATACGAGGCACCACCCCTCGTAATAGTGAGGACGGGAGTGTATTGTCATTCCAATCACGAATGTCCGAAGCAGAATTCAAAGTTGCAATCCAGGGGGCTATAGAAGAAGGCAAGCGGCAGGAACGGGAAAGACTTTCTGAAGAAACCAAATACAGCCAGCAAAAAGAACCAACTGCGGTGGAAGCAGCCAGAAACGACGATTTCCAGCGTGGCAGTGACATTTCATTTCCTCAGGATGGGAAACCTACGACTACAAAGGGAAGTGGGAAAATACCAAACGATGCTGACGTGATGGATTCCAGGACAGGTCCATCCATATCTGAGGAGGCAATGAGGACAATACCTCAATCGAGCCAAACACCATCACTCGAAGGTGTTCCAAGTATCGAAGACCAAAAAGCAAATAAGAACTCGGACGAGATCATCTTCTTAGATGCATTAGGAAGGAAATTCAGATTCCCATTTGAACTCGTCAATGAATTCGACGTAAGATATTCCCGCCCCATCAGAAGTTGTTTGCCGTAGACTTTGTGTTCAGATTATTCCCATTCTTCCAAATTTCAACCAAATTATGGTTGGAGACTAGTATGCTAAGCAGAGAGCAGAAACTCAAGGCATTGATTGACAAGATATTCGCAACTAACGACAAACTAAAACTGGAAGTCAACCTGGGTAGATTTGATTTGCTTGGGTCAGGCCAACGAGTCATTACTTTTGCGACATACGATAGAGAAGTCCAGCCTGGGCGTATGATAGTCATGAGTCTATGGTCCGCCCCGATCCGTACTGATAGTTCAACCGCTTCAGAAGGAGTACCCAACAGAAGGCCGAGATCAAAATTGCACGTTCTGAAAGGTCGACATCCTGGCATGCGTCTCGAAGTAGTAGAAGCACTTAGTGACGATGAGTCGACCAATTCTACGCCAGCACCTTATACGCAAGCACCGCCGCCACTACCACCTCCCGCAATGTCTGTACACATGCGTCCCTCGATGTCCATGCATACGCCTCCCACAATTTCGATGGAACATGTAAATGTTTATAATCGTGCATCGCCGTCACACTATTACTCAGCCAGATATCCCGCCAGACAATCCACCCACAGTGACTACAGTCTCCCTGTTACACTACAATCTAGAGCTACAAGCTTTCAACCTTTCAGTGCCCCTAAGCCGTCGCCAGATTCCATCTACAGAACAGAACGCATGGATAACGAAAAGAAAAAGGAAGTGCCTCATAAATCTTCTTTACCTTCTGCAAATGAGCTGCAGTCCAAAGCATCTGAGAGGGGTCGTTATTCATCATCTTTCCGTGCTAGAAGGCTGGAAAGGCAGAAGGAACAACTCAGTGACGACACTGACAAGCACTCTCACGGTCAGCAGAAGGGCACAATTCCTCCAGACCTTTCGAACACCACGGGCTATGAAATTCCCCCTCGATCAACAGTCTTAAACACTTCGGATAGACCAAGTTACACCGAACGTCAACGCAGCCCAATACCAAGTCGCTTCGCTACATACCCTTCGGCACGTTATGCGGAGCAACCCCAATCGGCAGTAAATCCATCGGACGATACTGAGACCGATCACACAGACTCTTCTGACACTTATATCCAAAGGAGGTCAAAAAAAAGGAATCAAACTGACCCAGCTGGGTCGGATGAAGATGCGTGGGAAACCATTGAAACCGAGACCGAGACCGAGACCGAGACCGCGAACTCGGAGAAGGATCATACGCCCCGGCTTGTGAAACGAAGGCCAACGATAGAGTCTGATGTGGAACAAACACGACAGGCATCGGCATATGAAAGAAGAATACTGGCACGGCGTAACGAAATAAACTTATCCAGAACTGTAAAGAGTCTGTCCCTGGAAAACCAAGAAGATGAAATCAAGGCGGAAGACAGCGCGAAAGAAGACCGACAATGGCGCGTTATTGTAGAGAATTCGAAGTCTGCAAGAAGAGAGACCCGTCTTCGTGTTGATCCTAACGATAGCATGCTCGCACGGCTGGGAATCGAACATGAGAATAAGGTGGATGAAGAGAAGGTGGCAGTTGAAGTCCCAGCTTTGAGGACGATGGTGGAATCATTGGATAGCGAAGACGATGAGGACGAACCGCCTTACACTAGCAAGGAGAGATCGGAATTGCAAACTTCGGACACAGAGGTCGACGAAGAAGTAGATGCTCTGCTCCGAGACTGGACGACTGTTGTGTAAACACGAACAATGATTGAGCCAAGAAACTCGCAGATGCATACAGACCTAACGTACCTAGGTAGGTACCTAGGTTAGGTACCTTGTATATGAACACCTCTGAGAGATGAATATAATAACGTTCACACATATCAACCTGTCAATGGAAAGAAACCGCAACGGCCCGCACACCCATATGCATCTCTTATCTTTGCCCTAACAGTTGCCGTTACCTTAGAATTTAATCTCACGTCTTGCTACTGCCCGCTCCTACCGTACAAGTTACCCCTCCACATCCACTTGAATTTCCTCTTCAGGCAATCCAGTACGTAACAACTATCCCATAGTATACCCGACACCTCCCGCCCAACCTCCTAACCTTCCGTTTTCACCCATTATTGAGTACCTACAATGCTACAGTGTACGGACTACGGAGTAACTATTAGTCTGTTACTGTGTAGTAGGCAAAAGGCAGTGTCAATCCTTATCGTCTCACTTGCCCCCAACCCCAGCTTGAAGTATTTCCTCATGGGTCTAGGCAAAGAGCACCAAGCCACAATTTCCCGACACAATTCTCCCTAACTACCATTTCTCCGACGAAAGCGAAATCGGAATGACTGCAAGGGGCTTAGCGTACTACAGCTCCGCACCAATAATGTATATTTCCGGGTATGCTTGGCGCAAATGACCATCATAATACCGAGTTACGAGTAACCATCAAACAACCTCAAGTAAATCTGGTCTCCACATCTTACAATTGAGCCCGGGGTGACCTCAAACGAATGAATCTAGTTGTATTATTGTACGGAGTATTCAAATACCGTTCTCCTCGCCAAATATACGGCCATCACCATGGTCGAAAAATGTTCCTCGATCCATCTTTTTTGTAACAACCTACTGGTAAGGGGAGATTCTAAATATGCTAGATCTTGCACATCTACCCCGAAAATGCCCTATGAGATGGTGTCGACATACACACTGCCACAACCTCATCATGACCGAGGATGCAAGCAATTGTGATATTCCATCTCCCTGTCGCGTCCGCGTTTTCGTGCCGCAGTCCCGCAGTATGTACAGTACAGGCAGCAATCCGCTCGCGTGCGCATCAATTAGGCGAGACATGCACATAATGCCCGCTCCGCTGTTCCGCCGGTATGTATGCACGTCTTTTGTAGGTACCTGTTAGAAATACGGCAATTACAATGGCATGGAGGACGTGGACTGGATCGTGACCTGGCCAATGATAGCGGAAGTCGTAATGGAGAGGGAGGATTGGCAGCGGCGGCGGGGGCTACCTATTACTCGATTCGCTTACTCGATACGTTGTCCAACGTTCTGTCATCGCTTGGGTACAAATGTGCAAATGTAAGTTGACCACCAACCGTGGGTTCAGATTCGGCCTCCCCACGGCCGGCCTACTAGCCCTCTCCTTCATTTAAGTGGTTCGTACTCGGGTCGGGGAGTGCGCACACGAGCAACGCACGCACACGACCCAGGACAGTGGACTCCAGCTGTTGCTCCCGTCCCAATGCGGTAATGTAGCCACAGCCAATCAATTCCTCTGCACCCCTCCCCCTCCAACATTTTTTTTTGTTTTCTACTTTCACATGCCACACCACATGCACCGTCATCCTATGTTGTGTTTGGGCGGCAGTGCCGCGTTTTCGCGCGCACCGAGAATTTTCGCCTCTGTTCGTTCGGTATTCTGAATAGAGGTGGTGGTATCATGGTTACAAGTCGACGGTTTTATATGTCGCATTGTGCACAGCGTATAGTTTACTTGTCTGCTTGTGGTGACGTTCGGCTCGTGCGCGGAGACGTCCGATTCTAACGGACAGTTCCGAGACTCTCTGCACTGAGAAAACCACGGTGGGGGTGGACTGGCAGTTACGTGTGTACAGAGAATCGCCGTGTGGTTTGGCAGTCGACGAGTATGTGTTTGAACAAATGTATAGCACGCATCTATGGTTCAACGAGGCAGGTTTGATTTTTTGGTAATCGTTATTGCATTTATTCATCATCAATGTGAGGTATCGTCTATATACACAGTCCTGAAGTCCTGCATTTTGCACCATCCTCGTCTAATGGACTCAAGATGCACAAATCGTTGAAGAAGGAAACTCGCTAGTTTCCCATGACACCCCCATATCCCGTTCGCCGACGACGCATGGAGGAGAAAAAAAGGTATCGTAAAAAATTGAGGTATCGGAAAGAAGAGAGACAGCCTGTTCATTTAGCACCAGCTAAATGATTCAAGGCCACCAGTCACCCTGGTCCTTCATGGCAGCGGCGACCTTGACGAAGCCGGCGATGTTGGCACCAGCAACGAGAGATGGGAACTCGCCCTCCTTGGGGGAGACGTAGGTCTTGGCGGTCTCGAGGGAGTTCTCGAAGATGTTCTTCATGATGCCCTTGAGCTTGGCGTCAACCTCCTCGGAGGTCCAGCTCAAGCGCTGGGAGTTCTGAGCCATCTCAAGACCAGAGACAGCGACACCACCGGCGTTGGCGGCCTTTCCGGGTCCGTACCAGATGGCATTGCCCTTCTGGGAGACACGGTGAGCCTCGAAGATGTCGATGGCATCCTGGGTGGAACCCATGTTGGAACCCTCGGCGATGAACCTGCAGCCAGCGTCGATCAGGGCCTGAGCCTCCTCGCCGGAGACCTCGTTCTGGGTCGCTGAAGGGAGAGCGACGTCGACCTTGCCAACCTCCTTCCAGGGGCGGGCACCCTCGACATAGCGGAAGTTGTGGTTCTCGAGGGCAGTAAGGGCCTTGTGCTGGAGCTTGAGGGCGGCGATCTCGTTGACGATCTCGGGGGTGAATCCCTTGTCATCGGTAGCAATCAAGGCACCCTTGGAGTCGGAAAGGGAGACGACGGTAGCGCCAAGCTCGATCAGCTTAAGGGCAGCGAATTGGGCAACGTTGCCGGAACCAGAGATGGCGACCCTCTTGCCAGCGAAGGACTCCTTACCACCGGTAGCGTAGTTGATCATGTGGTCGACGTAGTAGACGAGACCGTAACCAGTGGCCTCGGGGCGGATCAAGGAGCCTCCCCAGGAAGCACCCTTTCCAGTGAGAACACCCTCCCACCTGTTGCGGAAGGCACGGTAAGCACCGAAAAGGTAGCCGACCTCGCGGCCACCAACACCAATGTCACCAGCGGGGACATCAGTATCGGCACCAATGTGCTTGCTGAGCTCCCTCATGAAAGAGACGCAGAAACGGCGGATCTCGTTGTCAGACTTGCCCTTGGGGTCGAAGTCGGATCCACCCTTGCCACCACCCATGTTAACTGCATCCGTCCGTTAGCCTGACAATCCTTTATTCCAATTGTTTGCGGGGAAGATACTCACGGCCGGTGAGCGCATTCTTGAAGATTTGCTCGAAACCCAAGAACTTGAGGATGGAGAGGTTGACCGAAGGGTGCAATCGGAGACCACCCTTGTATGGGCCTAGGGCGGAGTTGAACTGGACGCGGTATCCCTTGTTGACCTGGCACTCGCCCTTGTCGTTCTCCCAGACGACGCGGAACTGGATGACACGCTCGGGAATGGAGACGACCTCGAGGGCCTTCCTGTACTCGGGGATCTTCTCGAAAAGCTGCTGGACGTTAGGAATTGCCCTCGTTGACAAATGCTGAATCGGATAAGGCTGCATACAGTGGAGTTCTCAAGGGTGGAGACGAGCTCTGCAGAGGTGAGTTAGTTTGATGCTTGAATTGAGTGAAGGCCAATCAAAGTGTGAGAGAGGCGCGCCTGTGAGAGCCCTTGCACATGTACGGTAGGGTTCGTGCGACCACTCTCGTGACAATTGCTAGAAAGTTGAAATGAAATAAGTGTACTTACCCTTGTGGGCTTGCTCAAACTCAGGCTCGGCCATTGCGACTGTTGTTGGTTTTGGGTGTCTGTTTTTGGAAGTGAATGTATGAAGGAAGGTATAGACGCCTTGATCAATTGAGCTCAAGGGTTGGTTGAAAATGAATTGAGGTAGAGTAGAGGTGATGGAGAATGGAAGAAGGAGGAGCAAGAGGAAAGGAAATATATAGATGTTCAAAGATGGCCTTTGTCGGCCGGTAGCTGGAGCTCAAGCTCTCGAAAAGAAATGATGGGCGGCGAAAAGTGTCCAAGACGGCGAGGGACTTGAGTGGCCAGAAGTGAATGTTAGGATCAAAGAATGGTGTACGAAGTTGAAGATAAGGAATCTGGCCAATGGGAGAGAAGCCTGCGGCCGTCAAGGTTAGCGTTGAGGGCTGTAGTTGTCATGTAATTGTCGAGGGTCAGAGGCCGATGTCAACTTCCGGTGTCGGCACGCACTACTAGTACAGTCTACTTCCCACCACGACCACCACGACCACCACGACCATCACCCGTAGGTACGAGTACTTTGACCTGTATACTCCATACTAATTGCATACCTTGTCGGTGGTTACCTCTCGTTTCGTCTCCCTGATCCAGGGAGGTCCTACGACTGCTACCCTAGTCACAATTCCGAGAATCTGCTAATTACTCTGGTGAGTCTCTGGTGAGTCTCTGGTGAGTGGGGGACAGGTGGGATGCTGTGGGAGGGGATTCTGTGGGAGGTTTCTTTACTTTTTCTCTCTCTTCTGGGCCGAGGCGCCTACCTTTGCTGCTGCCTGCCCCTCCTCCCACAATCAGTGTACAAGTACCTCAGTATCTTGGTGGTAGACAAGCATAACAGAATAATGAGAACACACAACACAACCACCATGACAACCACGACGACCACCACCAAAAAAGAGATCACGTCACGACCATGTCAATCAACTCCACGCCAACTCCATGTCAATCCCATACTGATCCCCATGCTTACCCATTCTTACCCCATTCATTTTCTTGACAAGCTTTGAACACTACGTAGATGCTTACGAGTACTGTGTATGAATGTACCTAGGTACCTAACATACATACAAGATTTTGTTATCATAAGCATCTTATCAGATCGTTTAAACTTCGGGCACTTAGTGCCAAATACCTCCGGTGCTCCGCTCCACTCTCTCTATCCTTTCCGCCCGCCGGAAAACCACCTGGTTAATTTGTAGGGTGGCATCGGGGGGTAGGTTCCAGGTAGTAATGAAAATATCATTTCCCATAACCATTCCACTCATTCTACCGTGTTCAGCCGTGCTCCGCTCCCAACTCCGCCCGGAAAACCAACTTCACACCCAACTTCTGTGTACATACTCTGAGTACGTATGTGCCCGCATCCCCCACGCGCCCCGCCACCACCACGGGGAGGACCGGAGGACCGGAGGACTGGAGTTACTTCATCTACGACATAACACAATACGTACGCGCTGTCCTCTCTACCTCTACGGAAGTGGGGATAGGTCAAATAGGTATCCATTGGATGGATCATATATTGGTGGTGCGTTGCATTCCTCTCCAAATGCCTATTGTGGCCATGGTCCATTGTCTCCATCTTGCCTCGTAACATCCTCTGCACATCCTCTGCACATCCTCTGCACATCCATAACACTCTCACACACACATAACCCACACAACCCACTGCCCACTGCCCACTGCCCACTGCCTATTTACCCACCCTGTTTCCCACTGCCTGCCCACGCAAAAACAATGTCTACTACCCAATCCCAATCACGAACAGTTGGTGGGGTCCCAGTCTGACATGCCACAAATATCAGCACATGTCCCTCAGTGTTGGTAATGAGGGGAGGTTAAGGGAGGGAGGAGCAAGTCGAAATGAAAGGTAATGTGATGTGCTCACCTGTCACGAGATATTCGTCCAGTCCATCCATCTTCTCTATGTCTACCTGTTCGATGGAGAACCCGCCGACCTGGGAGTTCTCGATGATCCTCTCCTTCTTGACGCTCTTTGGCAGTGGCACGTAACCCTTTTGAAGGCTCCATCGTACCAGGAGCTGCGCTGGCGTGCATTGATACTTCTTCGATAGAGATACTATCGTAGGGTGCTTCATCCGCAGGGCTCGTACCAGAGGGGCATATGCTTGGAATTGGTTAGTTACTAAACATCATGAATGACATTGGAGCACAATAGCAATGGGTACGACCAAGGTTGGCGCACATGGCCATGGCAAAAACGGGAAATTTGTAGGTAAACGGGAAAAGCATCATTCCGGGAAGTCTGATTGATGATACTGTACCCGTATGGTATAATATTGATGTTGCTTTGCTCACCTTCTACAACAATGTCATTCTTGTGACAAAATTCAACAATGTCGGTCCGAGTATTGAACGGGTGAACTTCCACCTGGTTGACCGCTGGAAGTATCTTTGGCTTTGAGTCTAGCAATTCTTGCAACTAATGACGGAATGTCAGCTTTGGCATTCATGATTGACATTCGTGGCGATGTCGAACACATCATCCATTGAGCAATACTTTCTGAAGCAACACGCTCCGCGGAGCATGCTCGAGTAGATACCAGTCTCACGCAAGACGTTCCGACAATAGTATAGACGATGCATGCCAAGCTATGTCTCAGCGTAGGCATAGGCGCCTGACTGCTTGCTTGCTCACATTTGATCGCGATTCCGAGAGCCACTTACATGCTTGACGCCATAGTTTGATACGCCTCCGATCCTAACTTCCCCGTCGGCAATGGCGTCCTCTACAGCACGCCAACTCTCCAGGCGGGCCTCCCTGCCCCCATACGGTGAGTGCAGAAGGAAGAGGTCGATGTAGCCCAGTCCGCATTCTTTGACGGATCTCTTGATGGCATCGCGGGCTGTGCTGTACGCCGAATTGGACGCAAGCTTCGATGTGAAGTGGATGTCCTCTCGCTTGAGACCATCCACATTGGCACCACTGGATAGGAAATCCAATATAGCTTTGCCCGATTCTGCTTCGTTGTCTGAAGATAGGAAAGTTAGCAGGACGAAACAGGAAACAGGGACGAGTCACATGCCATACATCTGGGCACTGTCTACTGCACGATACCCAGACTCGAGAGCTAAACGCACCGCTCGGGAGGTCTCACGACCCGAGGTGAGGTACACACCCAACCTAGAGGTAGCAGGACGAAATCAGCATGGCACTTCCTTTTGATCGGCGACCAGATGGTTCCTTGATGCATGGGGTGAAAGAGAGAAACCGGCCAGAGAATGTCTCGCAGGAATGCATCAAGTCATCTAGCGAGATCGCGCAGATCTGGATACTGACTGGATGGTAGGCATTGACAGGCCATTGGAAAGCTGGATGTTGTCAGTATGGGCGTCATGCTGTGCGACTTGTCTGCACAAACCTTGGTGCGAGAAGCTAGCGAAAAGGCGTTTTGGGCCATACTGGTGGGCTGTCGTCCGAAAATGGTCAAGATCTTCGATGCTGCAGGTAGGTTGGTGCAATGCAAGTATAGATGGTGGGAGATGTAGATGGCGTAGATCGAGTTATGATGGGATGGTAGAGAAGTGAACAGGACGGTAAAGCTCGGACTTGGAGGGTGGATGTGGGAGGCCCAGTAACAAGCAATGAGTGGTTACGTCAATGTTGGCATCTATAATTATGGAGATCTCGGTTCCGCATCCCGGGGAAGAGAATCAACAAGCATTATTGTTTGAACACTTGCAAACCATCCCTACACTGTAGAGTACGAAACGGGACCCAGGGGGACGGTCGTAAGCAGAGGAGACACCTGCAGCCACCGTGACTATCTAGCATGCACTACTCCGTACATGGCTGTGCTACAACCAGCACGATACACAATTCCTCAACTTCCCAGTCGCTCACTACTTTAGACAATTCAGCTTGGACGATTGCATGGGGTTTCAGGGCCATGTGTGGCTGCGCCATCGTGGATGGTATGTGCCTAATAGAGATTATTGCCTTTCCAGATCTGGCATACGTTGGCATGGCTGGTCGGCGATTCTGCACGATCAGGGTCCTCCTCTACTGTCAGATACTCGGAGAATAGTCGAAGGGTGGTCTATGATTTGTCCCTCGGCATGTGGATGTATGTGGACGTATGCATTGAAGGTGAATATTAGGTTTTAAGAGCAATTGCTTGGTCAGTACTGACGCCACCCTGCAAAGGAACTCGAATCTGTCGCCATCGACGATAGCAACGAGGCACGACATGGCCAACATCGATGGTATACGGCAATAGAAATCGAGAACAACGGCTCTCATGGGCACGCCGACGGAACAAGAGCATCCCGGAGATAGATGCATCACGGAGGGTCTCGCGTGCAGACCAAGTGGATTAGAGCTATTTTGAACAGGCACGCGATGGACTAAGCCCTGCGCTTGGGAGGATGGGAATTTTGCAAAATGTTGGTAATTGAGAGGGAAAAAGAGAACTGGTGAGAGATCCAGGCCCGTCCCAAGCGGCCACGCCGAACTGCGCCGGGATCAAGCGAACCAGCCCACGCACCCGCCGACTGGGGAAGACAGAAGAAAACCTTCAATCAATTGATCAATCACTCATGCTCGGCCAGACTAGTTTCTTGACTGCAGTTTGACATCTCGTCATAGACTCCGTGAAAATTCTCAAATCTCGCCGACAGGGAGGGGGAGCAACAGCTGAAACTCCATCACGACAGCGGGGATTCCCTGCAGATCGAGGTGCAACAACGCCTACAATACCCACTCACACACACACACACCCACAACACACTAGCTAACTACGAGTACTGTACGCAGTACTACCGGGCACTAGGGGGTTGGGTACCTGGGTAGTTAATTGTACTGGTACTATTGCAGGCTGTTCATAGGCCCTGAGAGCCTGAATGCCTGAGAGCCTGAAAGTGACGGTCTGGGATCCGCCACCGCTGGTGGGCAGACAATAATATCGTACACACGATACAGCACAGTGATGTACATTAAGTGCTGTGTACACGCCATCCGTCTATCCTCATGCGTATTGGTGTGCGTCTGCGTATGCGTCTGCGTATATGGTATGGTGAACCACTGCCCCTTTCGCGAGGAAACCTCGGGCTCGGCTATCCTCTCCTATAGTTGTACATGTCGATGATTGCAGTAATACTACGGAGCATATCGTACCTATTCGCAATCTTCACGCGGGCAAAGCCTGATCCTCTCTGGTGGGTTCGTGAAAGCCACAAAGCGAGCAGGACAGGGGCACGGAGGGCTCCCCCGAAAAGTGGCTGGATTTGATCTGCTTCCAGGATATTGTTGTAATACCGAAGTCGACCTCACACCTTCAATAATCAATCGATAGACGGGAGCGGCCGACTTCATTTGACTACTGCTTAACTCTCTCGGGCAATCCTTCCTAGAACCCTCCTCCTTATACTGCCCGTATATAAAATTATTCCATCTCCCCAATCCCTTCAAACATTGTCGATTCGCGCCCTTCTATCTTCCACCAACCAGTCCCGCCAATATTTTAGACGGCCTTGTTCGATGCACACTGCTAGTCGTTCTCGAGATCTCACATCAATCTAGACCCTGCGGCTCCACTCACAGAGCCGCGCCAACGAACCTGTCAAATAGCAAGCCAGCCAGCCAGCCAGATACCACAGGCAAGTCATTCGACGACACCTATAAACTTGCGTTATATCTACTCCTCAACTAACCTACTGTTGTGTTCCTGCAGTAGTCAAATCCAAACCACACCCAACATGTCTCAGGATTTCTTCAGGACAAATTTCCCCCAAACCGGCTATCCCACATTCAACACAAGAGGAGGCGGCGGTCCATTCGAAGAGGCCAGTTCCTCATCTGGGGGCTCCGCGCAAGGCCAGAGTGCCTCTGCTACACCCCAATTCGACATTTTCGAATGGCATCCAGCCTACCAAAGCTGCCAACGCTACTTCCTCGACCACGCACAACACGACAACGGCGTGCAGGCAGTCGCTGCTCTTGTCAACATTTGCTTACCTTTCCAATGGACTCCCGCCCCCGTCATGAATTCCACAGGACCCCTTCCACATTCGTCAGGACCAGCAGCATACAACTTGCCTTGGCCAAGATCAGGACCCGTGACGAATTCGAGGGGACAACCTGCGCCTGCGTGGGTTTCCTTAGTTCCGTTCATTAGGAGACTTGTCATCACTGGCATGGACCGAGAGGGAGTCATGCATGGTTTCTTTGGGGACGATTGGCGGAAAGGCGTTGGACCAGTGCACGAGTGTGAGCGTCGAAACTACCTATTCGCGGCAAAGAGCGTTGGCTGGGCCAAGGTCAAGTATCAATACGACATGTCTCCGCACGAATCGGTGCCTTTCCTCAAGCCACTTCAAGATGTCCAGCTGGCAGAGATAGAGGGAGCAGAGAAGACGTGGAGTCAATGGCTTGCCATGGAGGATTGGATGGTCGGCCCGCGCGCGCCAGACGCAGACGATCAAGGACAGGAGGCAACTCGTCGCACGTCATGACCATTTCTTATTTTTCTTATTATCACCATTATTCCTTTTTCATTTCTTTTTGGGCTTGGAGTACGGCGTGGGACCGTCGAATGTCAGATTCCCTAGGGCTTGCAGGTAGTCGCGCAGTGGGGAATGCATGGGTTTTCAGGAAGGACACACGTAGTCTTGTGGTGGCACTCGTGGGAACCTGTTTTTCAAGGGTTTGAAGAGATACGGGATGGAATGGGATGTGCATACCCGCGAATTGGGAGCTGCAATCATGTATCAATACGGCAAGGATACGCTTGTAACAACAACGAGATCGGATCTGTCAAGATCTTGTGCTATGCTATTTTGATGTTCCTTCGTCAATGCACGATGGGAGAGGAACGGGACAGCCGCCAGGGGCGTTCATGATTGAAACTCCACCCATCATCATCATCGACTTAGCGACAAAAAACAACAACAACGACATGTACCTTATGCTCAGAGTGGAAGGTAATTACGAATACATGCGCATGGCCCACACTATAACACAATAGTCTGTTATGTTAGGCCACAAGTAGGCGCTGCAGGGTGGTGGTAGTGTAGTGTAGGTAGTGGTGTGCACAGCATCACGTGGCCAGCCCCTTGTCTGGAGCGGACGGGAGGGATCATGATGAGCAACTAGGTAGTTGGGATGGGTCGTGATAATTGCTTATTTCGTTTCTTCCGTCTTCGAAATCAGGTCGCTTAGACCGAGTATCATTGATAGCATGCTAGTACGGAGTACTTGTCACTAACTGCTCCAGATGGAGTACCTAGGCAATTAGGTATTATTATCTCTACCTGGGCAAAGAGTCAAGGACACAGATGATGAGGCTGTGGCGCCAGTCATAATCCATTGTGTCCGTGCCAAGTGTTGAACCCTGGAAATGGATCGGCGGCGCAATAGCCACCCCAACCTCTTGTACCTCTCATCACTCACCACTATGGATAGTTCATCATTCTTCTCTACTCAAATCATCGCGCCTCAATAAACGCTATACCTTCGACCGACTACCCCGGCGTCGTCAGCCGCTCCCTTTCTCATGGATCATGGATCCTTTGATCAAAGAGTGGACACTTTTCCTGGATCGATGCCTTGAAGCTCGCCTTTCTCCTGTCTTGTTCGATGCAACAGCCTCCCAACTATATCGAAAGTCTCCTCTGCCGGCCCGCAAGCTTGCTACTCTATTATTCAAACCCCGCTCTGCCGCCTCGAATAGTCTTGATCCCCGTGTCATAGTCTATGCCGAGCGCCTATTGGCTTCAAAGAGATTAGATGCGGCTGATATTCTTGCATCCGCATTCCAATTTTCACGGGATCACCCTCCACGGGCAGGCGACGATGCTGTACCCACCAAGGAGGATTCGTCGCGATGGTTGAACCCCCCGGAATTGGACGAGATTGTCTTTCACCGCCTACACAAGGCTTTCTCAACTGGAGAGCGACCTGTTTCCAATGCGGAGGCCGCGAGGACCCTGATCGTTGTGTCGAAATGGATGTCAGCCATGGTGACCTCGCATACGAGCGATTCAATGATTCAAGCCATGGCCGGTATTCAGCAGCACCCTCAGCAGCAGTCCCTCAATGTCCGGGAGGCACTCGGCATGCTCGTTATGGCCTTGATAGAGAATGTGAAGATCCTCAACTTATTAGCTAGTGAGCCTGCTAAAGGTATGTCCTACAAGAGGGAGGTTACGAAAGAACAGTAGCGTCTCCCCCCAATGCCATCTTGAACGCCTTGTGGCAATGCAGCTGGCTTACGGAACAAGCAGATATACGAAAGCAGTTTGCACAAGCCTTGACTACATTCGTCTCATTTCTATCACAGACTTCGCTGCAGATTGCAAACAGAATAGAGATCTCTCAGAAAGAGCATGATTTCCACGACAAACCGACCGCCAATGCCGACGGTGATGTTAGTGAAAATCATGAACTCGAAGTAGCTGCTTTACAGCTCGGGGCTGTCATTGATCTACCAATGATGAATACGCGGGCCGGTCTCTATGTGTATCTAAATTCTCTGGTATGAGAGCAAAAATTTTCTCAACGAGGAAGCATGCTAATCTCTATAGCTCGTTGCTCGCCCTCTTACAGACAGCGCTGGTATTATCAACTATTTACATGCCCGATACAAGGTTAGTAAGATGTCAACAGGTGTACATCGACCAATTCTAACAACAGTAGGTTGACTACCAGTCAATGGCTACAGATTTAGTAACGGCATCTTTCGATGTTCTCGCCAATGCAATGTATCGTAACGAGTCAAGCCAGACGATGTTTTGTCTCAAGTCATTCCTTTTCAACAAGGTTCCGCTGCTGTTGGTACAGATCAATACAACAGTCTATCCCATTGCAGCGGAAATGTGTATTACACAAGCGCTCAGTCACGTAGATCCGACCGCCTTCCCTGCCTTCTCACAGGGATTTGATGATATGATGGGAAGCAATAATTCTCTCGCAGACGTTCGCCAAGATTTTCTCAACGCATGTGCGTTGCACGGATTGATACCGACGAACACAATAGAGCGTTTGCTGGGAGAGACCCCATTGCAAGGCCCACCTGAAACGAAATATACCAAAAAAGAGCTCCTGAGGCAGTGCAAGGATAATCTCGACAAGATAAATTCGCTCATTGACGAGATGGAAAACCTAGATGGGAATGCGGGCGCTATCGCTGGTGCTGTAACTGAAGTAATGCGTTTTCCCCTTCTGATATAATCGAAGTGCTGATGACAAGCTAGTTTATAACACACCTATGTGAAACACAAATGACTATGTATCTGAAATCCGCCTGCAACACATTATCAAGAAAGCCACAAGCACTAGACATCATACTACAATTCAACTCGCCAGAAAGCATTCTCCGGCCATTGTGCCAATTCTTGGATGAGTGGCGCTACGACGGAGATCAAGGTTTGTAAGATTATGCGTATCACAAGATCTAGCTGATCGGTTTCTTTAGGAGAGTATCAGCCAGTGTACGACGAGTTCGGCGCGATTCTCATCCTTATCCTGGCGTTCATCCATCGATATGATTTGACGTACCACGACCTTGGCATCGGCCATGATTCTTTCGTCGCACAACTCCTTGAGCGCGGGCATCATAGCGTAACTCCCGACCAATTGACAGAACAACAGGGAAAGTATTTGGGCAGTTGGCTTAAAGAGCTGTACGACTCTGATAAAGAAGGCCTAAGCAACGAGGTCTTTGCTTCATGTCGTCCACAAGACTTTTATTTGATCGTGCCTACATTGTTCAGCCAGACAGTGTTAGCCTGCTCTGCTGATGTTTTATCTTTGGATTCTGTCAAGGGGGGGCTAGAGTGTAAGTGGTATCTTTGGAGAGTTTTTATTTCCAGCCTCTCACAGTGTTCAACAGATCTCCACGAAACTTTTCTTTTGCCGGCTTTGGTCGGTGGGTTGACGTGGATGACATCCCACGCACTCAAGCAGACCCATCAAGATCTAGACGTTCTGGTGCAGATATTCCACAAACTGATCCGGTCAGCTCCCACATCCGGAGATGCACAAGCCATGCACTCCACCATCCTCTCAATTGTGTCGAGTCGGCTGGAGAAATGTTTCCGTACTTTGAGGCGGCGCCACCCGAGCCGCACAGACATCGAGCCGCTCTTACAGGAGATCAAAAGCAATCTCAACTACGACCGAACATTGTATTCGTCCGTGGCAGAGCTGGAGCAGTGGACCAATGCGTCACATGGTACTCTGTATACGTCTCTGAGGCATACCGTACAGCAACTTTCCCAATGGGCCGCAGCGGCGGCACTGCAGTTCAATCCACCAGGCTACACTCACCGGCTGGTCTATGCGTCTATAAGCATCATAGGCGCATCTAAAACCCTTCGCGCTATCGTAGATGAGATCAAGGCGCAGTCGGAAGCCGGCAATGGCGCCGCTGCCTTGGACATTGGCGTCTCGATCATCTGTGCTCCTACGGTTGAGAACAGTGCGTTGTCTCTTGAGCAGTTGAATGCATTGTCAGCTCCACGCACACGCATGAATCTTCGCGAGATGCTGAAGGCAGAATTCGATAACGCCTCCAGCCTCATCTCAACCGATCTACTTGCTGCAGAGACCATCGTACGGCTGCACCGTCGTGTTGAAGCACAACTCCTTGTCGCTCAGAGCAATTTACAAACGTCGCGGATCGATCTCACAGATGTCAGTATGGTAGATGTCCAAGGTCAAGATATGCCTGAGCTTGCGCCTGAACTCGACAAGGCATTGAACGATGCCGCTGCAGCGACGATGGCTGCAGCGAACGGCGACTTGCAAGCACAGGATCAGGAAGCCTTGCAGAGGAGTTTGGATCAACACCTCGACCTGTCCGGCGCCGCTGGTGGGCTCGATCTGAGTGCGATGGGTGTCGGCGTCGGTGCACAAGGTGGTGCCGGCGACTTGACGGCAGATATGGGAGATCTGCCTGATTTGGATCTTAGCGATATGGGAGGAATGGGAGGCATGGGCGGGATGGGAATGGATCTTGGGGACGATGACAATGATTGGGGATTGGATTTCGATAACATGTAAGGAGTATCGTTGAACGAGCTGGAGCAGCAGCGTGTTCTTTATCTTTTCGTATATATAGTACCCAATATTCGTCAAGTACATCGTATTTCAAGCGACTACCGATGCAATTGCCATTTACCTTGAGATTCACCTGTCATCTGTCGTTAAAACATCCATTGCAATTAATCATGGGTAGGCCGCAGTTCTGACAACCGCTTACCGAGGCAGTTAATATGTATTACCAAAATGGGCATGGTGGGGTTAGTGAGTGTGAGTGTGCAGTGACTGGCAACTGCACAGCAAGCCCCACCTGCGAAACATCACTTTATATACGAGGTACGGGGACCACTATCCAACTCATCATCAATCCTCGCAACAATTACTTCTCACCTACCCGTTATTGCCCTACACCTCCCTCCAAGATTCCCAACACAATTGAATCTTAAGCTCTGCTAGTTTGAGTTCATCTCACAAAGCTCTCACCTCACTCACTTGACAACAATCATGCCCTACGATCTTAAGGGCAAGAATGTCCTCATCACGGGTGGATCGGCGTATGTACCTACCTAATCTACTAATAAGCATACATCTTTACCCCAACCTTGCATCTCTCACTCTACGATAATCAACCATTCCCCCACATCACTGCATCCACCCATACTTTCTACCAGATCAGTTCTTACTAACTGCTTTCCCCACAGTGGCCTCGGCGAAGTCATAGCCCACACCTTCGCAAAAGAAGGCAGCAACGTAGCAATAAACTACTTCAACCGAAGCGAGAAGGCCGAGGAGGTCGCTAAAGCATGCGAGGCGTATGGCGTAAAGGCTATCATTGTGAAGGGAGACGTTGCCTCCACGGCGGATTGCAAGAGGAGCGTCGAGGAAACGAAGGAGAAGCTCGGTGGCATCGATATCATTATTGCCAATGCTGTGAGTTCCTAATCCAGACCTGTCATACGAATCAGTATGGCATGTTTCTCTATCTATCATGAAAAGAGAAGGTTCCTGACAAGATCGGTACGGCGCATTAGGGATGGACGAAGTTTAGCCAGTTCGGGGATCTTGATGCTTTGACTGAGGAAGAATGGGATAAGGTAATTTTGCCCCAAACACCCCTCCTAGGAAGGATTCAACCGTTATTCGAATACTGAGGCCAACTGTGTAGTGCTGGGCTGCTAATGTCAAGGCCCCACACGCCCTCCTCAAAGCCGCAAAACCGACGTTCAACGAGAACCCCGAGGGTGGAGTCCTCATGACCACTGGTTCAATCGCGGTATGTGCAGTTCTTTTTGCTCTCCATCGTGGATTCTGCAGGACTTGATCTTGCTAACACTGAAGGGATGGTGATGTTTAGGGCACTTCTCAAGGAGGTTCATCAATGGTAAGTGATATAGCCTCACACTAGAACCATGAGGGCAGCTCTGTTAATCATTCGACAGGCGTACGCTGTGACAAAAGCAGCACAGATCCAACTCGTCAAATGTCTCGCAACGACTCAGGGACCCAAAATCAGAGTCAACACCGTTCTGCCCGGCCTTCTCCTCACTGAATGGGTAAGTCATCTTCTGTGCCTGATCGCACCGCATTTCCATGAGACCTCCTTGTCATGAACATCTGATGAACTATCGCTCACATCCGTCTCTCCTCCCTCAATATAGGGCCTGCGATATTCTCAAGAGATCATCGATGCCGTAAAGGATAAGGCAGCATTGAAGCACGAGACGTTCCTTCAGGACTGTGCAGATGCATTTATCATGCTGGCTAAGAACACGAGCATGACGGGGACGAAGATCCAGGTGGACGCTGGCTTGAACATTCAGGGCAATTAGATACTGAGACTACGGCCTGGACAGCCTTCTCCCGAAGGAAGCTACACGATGGTGCGCAAGACGTATGAAGGGTCAAGTTCGATGAAGTGATGCATTTGCAATTCACAAACAGTGGAATATACAAACCCATTAGATGACCAATTGATCAGTGTATTCCCCTTTGTAGATGTACAAAATTGAGGACAGTGGCTAGGGTATATCTCCAAAGACGCCAGAACAGCCTTTTCCAAAATTCGCGCTACCAATTCAACCGTGACTCGGAAAATACCATGTCGTCGTTGGGTTCATGCGTGAGGCAGATCGATCACTACTCGTCGGGACAGTTTTCAGTCTCGTCGAGTGCCTTTATGACCTCCTCCATCTCGTTGGGGTTCGTGATGCCCCAGACGCCGCCACCTTTGACGGCACCCTTCATGCCCACCTCCTTTCCAACAAGGTTCCTGCCAACTTTGCCAGGCCCGATCCCCACGTACCTCTTGACCTTTTCTTCCTCGTGTAGGTACTTGACTGACCTCCACCATTGCACCGTCTCCACACAAGCCCTGGCAAGCAAATCCTTCAATTGATCCCTACTCTTGAACGGCCTCCCCGTGACGTTCGACACGCATGGCATCAACCCCGGCCAGGTGATAATATCGTCACCATCGGGCCACTCAGTATACAGGTACCTCTTCATCATATCCTGCGCGGGCCTCATGAGTGGCGAATGGAACGGGCTATCGCTCTTCAGCCTCACATGCCTGGGATCGTGACCGCCGAACTGTCTCAGATTCGTCAACAGGGTGCTGATCCTCTCTATGCTCCCGCTCAGCACGATCTGGTTCTTGCTGTTGATGTTCGCGATGAGGACCTGCTGAACGGCGGGGATGTCGTTGGAAGAATCGGACTTGCTGCCGTCAGACGAGAGGTCGAGGAACTTGCGGATGTCCGCGACAAGCGACTTCATGTGGCCCTCGGACTCGCAGACAAGGGCAATCATGCCGAACTCGCCGCCCTCGAGGGATACCGCCTCGCGAGAGCAGCGCGACATGACCTCGGCCCGCCTGCGCACCATCTTCAGTGAATCGGCGAATCTGAGGTATCCTCCCGCCACGAGCGCGGCGAACTCGCCCAACGAGTGGCCCAGCGTTATGTCCACCCTGTCCGAAGTCTTGAAGCCGAACTCCTCCTCCATGACGCGCAGGATCAGGATCGACGTGGCCATTATGGCGGGCTGTGCGTTCTCGGTCTGCGTCAGTTGCGCGTTCGTTCCGGACTCGATGATGCGGGAGAGGGGCACTTGGAGAGTGTGGTCGATCTCTTCGAGGATAGGCTTCACGGTTCGAGGGAAGGCTTCCAGCCATGGAGTCGCCATGCCCACTCTCTGTACGCCTTGGCCTGGTGATGTATGACGTGGTCAGCTCAGCTGAGGATGGAGAGCATCGAGGGCAATGGGAATGCAAAGCATACATACCTGGGAAGAATATGGCAGTCTTTGGCCGCTTCAGTGGTGGCGTGTTCGTGCTGCTCATCCACCGTCTCCTACCATGATCCAACATGGGCGTTCTGACCTTGTCGATGACATCTCGCTGTGGCCTCCCGCACCGCCTGCAAGAATCACATGCAGCGCGCTCGAGGGTCCGTTTCGCGGGCGAGGACAGTAAATTCGACATTCTGTGCAGTATATATGCGCCGTATGTCTCGTAATTCGATTTCGGGGCTATGTGATTTGTGCGTTCATGGCGGATTGCGGGCTTGCGGAGGTGACGAGCGTGAATGCGGGGACATGAGATGTTCGGGGTAATGCCATGAAGCTTAGCTATGTGTGCACGGGCCACGATTTGGACTGGATGAATGGCCTACTGGTCCCTGTCCCGAGGTATTGGGGTTGGGTTATCCGCCTAGCCGTGATGCTTTCCAAAGATGCTGCTCCAGATAATACCCCAGATGGAAGTGTGTGGGGGTGGAATGTATCGACATATTGCATGGTCGTGTTTGACTAACAGTTGCATCACTGAAAACCTCACGAGACAAGAAGCAGATTATACAGAGCAAGAAATATTCTTCATAGTTCGTAAGAGCATAAATTAGACACAAATGATCTATGAGATCATCAGACTGAGAGGAAAGCCGTATCTATCGTAGGTCTAATGAGATGCTGAGAAGGCATCATCTCTAATCTCCATCGCGTACAAGCCCTCTGGGCTGATGAGGGTATTAGATTACGCCAAGGATGAAAAAGGTGAAATAAAAACGCCAAATCGACTTTTATGCCACCGCTGTAACTTTTTTTTTGGAAAAAAATAGATATGAACGCCGTCGCCCAACATGTGGGCGTAATGGTAGATGATCGCTGGAAGAAACATTGGAAATCCGGAAAAAGGGTTCCTGGTATATGTACAGCAGGTTGGCGAGTGATTCGGTCTTGAGTCTATGCGCTGTCTAGGGCATCATGGATGATGCGTGGTGTTGTTGTGTAAAGGCTGGAATGAGACTGATGAACGCTGCGCAAATTCCATTGGTCATATCCGGGCCTGTTGAAGGATCTTGGAGTCCTGCTGGAGTCGGATCAGATCCCGCTGCTCAGAAAAGACCTGTCGGGCCCTCTCGAGGACCATTTCGAAGCCCTCCTTTCCCTTGGCGGCATTCTGTTGGAACCTATCGACAGTGAACTGCTCGATAGAGTTCTTGATCTTTTGCCAGCCGCCGCAGAAGGCGGTGATCTCGGCACGCTGCTGGAAGGTGGTCTTGGCGTGAGGAGAGGCGGACGAGGGAGAGTAGGTGCAGGTCTCACGGACAGAGATGAGGTCCGAGTAGGTCATGTTCATCGAGCACATGGTGACCTTCTTTTCCGTTGGGTCGACATATGAAGTCTCGTAGACGAGCGAGGTTTCCGAGCCGCCGAGGATGCTGGTGACCCACTTGGGTGCAGACTGTTGGCAGGTGATGAGACGTTCTGTGCGAAGCTGCGAGACGCGTAAGTCGAGTGTACAATTGATGGATGATGATGGTGGGGAACGGGAGATGTAGAAGAGGGAAGGAATGGACTTACGATGCCAGTTGCGGGATCAACGGTCCTGCTGAGGGTGTCGACGGCGATGACATGGGGAGTCTTCTCGTTCCATGGGCCGTACTTCCTCCAGTTTGCAGTAGAGACCTCCTCCCAAGAGTAGTCGAAGTCGGTTTGTTGTTGGAAAATCTTCATTGTGGCGGCGTTGAGATGGTCGCGTTGACCGGCAGTGGGAGAGAGAAAATCAGGGACCAACGGGCGCAAGGCCTTTGTAAATAGCGTCTGCGCGCAGGCAGGAGAGTCAATGCGAGGATTTGACAGTGGAAGGTGTGGGGTAAACCGCTGAGTTGGTTGAGATGGAAAGGCGGTGAAATGCTGGCGGTGAGGTTGACGATAAGAGAGAGTGCGTGTGCGTGTGTGAAGGAGTTGTGCGTGTTGTGGTGGAAGGGTGAGTAATAAGAGAAGAGGGAAAAAAGGAAAAAGGCCAGGGTTCCGTTGGGCGAGAAAACTAGCAGCGACTAGGATGGCGAGCCCTGGCTAAGAGACTTCCCTAGTATTTAGTAGGGGAGAGTCTGGCTAGAGTCTCGGCTATGGGGATGTACAAGGACAAGTACACGGTACAAGACTAACAACTAACAACTGGTGGGAAATGGCGCAAGGACCAATTACCGGTACCGGCGACGGACTCGCGGCAATTGGCGGTGATGGGGGGGGTGGGAAAGTGTTTCTTTTTTGGCTTGTGACAGTGACAGTGGCTGTGACTCGCGATTGTAGTTGTGAACTGTAGTATCCTCCGTACAGATATCGCAATGATTCGATAAGAGGTCGAGAGTCGAAGATTATTCCTTTATGAAGAAGATTTTGAGTAGTTGATTGTGTCGCGTGTTTGTGTGTGTACCTCACACGAGCAATGTACTTATGAAGGAAAGTGTCCAAGATGACGAAGACGGAAGCCCGAGAATAGTTGCTAGACTGGGGAACACCGATAAGAGGAGGATGTCTTTTTGTTTGTGTCGTACGAGGTACTCCGTACTCATACAATCCACTTGTACTGTGTACTTTTGCAAGGCCAATTACTCAGTCTATGTTTATAGAGCCCGAGGAAAACCCTTCTTTTATTCTTCTTTCTTCCTTCCTTTCCCTTCCCCATTCCTTTCCCTTCCATTCCATCAACCAATCATACCTTTGCATTTGTCTCTACACCCACAAGCGTCTCCGGTGCGCCGATCTGATTCTGCTAGTCCCGAACATGCCTAGCTGCCCTAATTGTGTTTCTCCTTCGTCCTGTTATCCCAGCCAATGGTGAGCCACTTACGTTAGCACGCAATCCGACTTTGCCCGTATGACGTTATTCCCGATTCCGCCTACTCCCAATTGACCACTCGTACAAGACTACAAGTTTGTAGGTACAGTGTACATGTCACTCGACTTGTCACCGAGCCACTCAGCTCTTTCGACCTTCCCCATCATCGACCATCGACTTCTGTGGGGGGGAATCTGATAGACTCGGCTTGAGATCGTGCGAACATGACTGGGTCGTCCGAGCAGATCTGCCCTACAAGGGTTTCGCCTCATCGATGTCCATGTTGATGATCATCTCCATCGAGTTTCTTCATGTTTCCATCTCTCTCCGAATACGAGTACGGCAAGCAATTCACTTCCACCTCGTACGATGGATGATGTTGATGCTCGTAACCTAACAAGTAGAACTATCCGTGGGCTTCCAATGTCTCTCAATCAGTCTCGCACACTCACGAACACTTCGACCTCACCAAGCTGACGATCCAATCGCTGGAGAAATCTTTCCCATGTACTAAAGAGTCACAGGGTCTTTCCTTAGCATGTGGACCATCACCAAAGTTCAACATGTATTAGAATAGATTTAATCGTTCGTTGCAATAATGACGGCGGAAAGATTGGGACTACATGCTCATGGATCTAGTCCTAAAGTGGTATAGCGTATGTTGATGACCATGCGCTCACGATAGTGTACACTACACTACCTCACCTCAGCTCATTGACCCTCAGCTTTTTAATTCTTCGAGGCTCGAAATTTTACAAAACGTTTGATTCTACCACCATCGGTATGGTTTGTACAAATTAAAAGCAACTATCAGGTCGAACATAAAACAGCGAGCGGACGTGTCACAGTTCTCCGGGTTTCGCTTAAGTACAGTCACAATGTGTAAGGGTAACAAACAAGCAGTGGAAGCATAACAAAGGCAAGGTGACTTCGATGGTAGACCAAGTCATTGGCTACCCCATGTTGAGACCTGTGTCTACATATCTCCAGATTGCAATTGGAACGATGGTCTCCCTGGATTATCCCGAACATGTAATGATCTCGAAATAGATCAGTCCGCTTGTCAAGAACAATCGTGCGCATCAAGGCAGGCGCATCAAGTCCACGGACTTTGTAATGCGGACATTTCGACATAGGAGCTAATGTCAAGTTTTCTACACAAAGCAACAGGAAAGCGTTCGGACACCTGAAACCCAGAGTTTACTGGGGTTGCATGGCCAATTATGCATGCTTGATGTAAACATTCTTCATCTTTGAGATTAATTAGTTAAATGGAGTAAAAGTCCTCAACGACAAAGTGTATCTTTCCCAGTACTGTCCACAATCTTTCCAACTCATCACATTCCTTTTCTCATTTCTTTTTTTCCATTCTTTCTCCATTGCATTCGCTTGGTCCATTTTCAAATCATTCATTGAAACATACACATAGACAACAAGATGCCTTCTTTCCCAGCCACTTTCCTTCTCGCCGCTCTCGCCGCCATCCCCTATGTTGCCGCCGCCGAGAAACCTTGTGTGAAATTTGGAGGCTTCATGAACGGTGCCATCGTCTACGGAAATGACAAACCTCTGGCTCTGAGCTATGAAGTGGAATCTTTCGCCTTCAACGTCACGTCCAGCTCGACTGGGGAAACCTTGTGCGACACAAACGGCGCTGAGCCGTCCAAAAGCGGTGACGAATCGAACTGGAGCTGTTCGGACGGCGCGGTGCTCATGTGGCGTATGGTCAAGTCGAGCCAGGACGATCATGTGCGAGCGACTCTCAGGTACACGCCCAAGGACATACCAGAGTAAGTGCTCCATTGTTGCTGTCTTCTCATCCCCCCCTTCTTTCTCCCTCGTCGTTACCTTTTAATTGCTACTTTTTTCCTTCGGGAGATACAATGGACTGATGCTGTGACTACAGGATTGCTGTTCTGGGCCTGGAAGAGGGATGGACTCTCACATGCCAGAACTCCGGTGGTTGCAGAGGAGACATCACGGGTGTCAAGTGCTTCCAGTGTCAAGTCACTGTCCCTGAGGACCCTAGCTGCGAAGGAATATGATTTCATTGGTTTTTGCATTAGCTTTACTATAAGCCTTGTATCATTAGGTTAACGTAGCATACACACCCCTATTTAGCATACAGTATGTTGCCTCATCGAACGAAAACTTTGATCACGGATTTATGACCCATTGGAAAAGGAAAACCTTGTTTTCCTACAACATGTTCTTATTATGTTCCTTCTCCTCCTCCTTCTTCTCTAATTTCGTCTTCCTAGTATGCTTCACCTCCACCACACTTATAGTATCAGTTACAAATATCGTACATATACATTCCTGGGGACGATTGGCTTTCTCCTCTCCCTTATCCAATCATCAACCCTAGGAACATACTAATCTACCTAATCATACAGGGGTTCGGAGCTCGACACCGTCTAGGCGGAGACAGGAAAGGGGAAATAAAAATACATCCGAACAGCGATCGAATTACAAACAAACAAACAAGGAAACACAAAATCCGACCTCTGTGTACGTGCTGAATCATAGCGCACAAGAGTGGGGTATAAAGCAAAGCAAAGTATGGTCGGGTCGAAACGAGGGTAGAGAAGATCGACCTCCCGGTTGGAGACGTCCGATCTTGCCTACCCATGGTCGCCAAAAGGGTGTTGGGTCGTATTCACGACTCGTCTTCGTTGAGACGCGGAACACCAGCAGTACCGAGGGCGTACTCGACGGCCTCGCTGCGGTCCCAAAAGTATTCGCGTACGAACGCGGTCATCATGTCGACGGCGGTGAATGCCGAGCTGCTGCTCCAGATGCGGTCCTGGCGCGTCCAGGGGGAATCCTGCCAATGGATCGAGGGTCGTCGTTGGCGGAGTGCTGGGAGAAGTTGAGGCGGGCCCGTGGCTCGTTTTTCGTGGAGAAGGTTGGTTTGGGCCAGGAGGGCAATGCCGGATGATATGCTAAGGACTGCAATGAGATCGGGCGCTTGGTGTGTGATGAAGGCCGCCACGGATGCGGGGACGTCCATGGAGGAGAAAGAGCCAGGGACAATGAGGACGTCGAATTGAGGGGCGTCGTCGAATGAGTTCTGGAGTGGCAAGTCAGCAATGTCATTCTTCGTCCGTGTCGGCGATATGGAGGGGACAGGGCAGTTGTGGTAACCTTTATCTCCAGCCAATTTCTCTTCAATGGTCAGATCGTCAAAGGGAGCACGACCAAAATCCGCGAAACCGGCTCGACCAAGCGCTCAATTGCTTCTCTTGGTCGGAAGGAGCATTTGGCTTGGGTGGTGGAAAAGTGGTGGTCTCGGATTCGGGTGGTTTCAATGTACCGTCACTCCTATTCGAGCGCCGGAGGTGACAGGGAATGAACCTCCAGTCTCGCTGACATAACGAATGTCAATCTCGTCGACGGCCTCTTCCAAAGCACTTTCTGGTGCATTGGATCTGCTAATTTGGTTTCGGCTCACCATTGTGAGCATGTCGACGGGCACAGCTAGGTCCAAGAGACCGAGTTGGGCTTGGGTGAGAACGAGTACCCCAACCTTCAATGAGGATTTTGAAGGAGGTGCGTAGCCGATGTTTAAATCCTCTTCAGAGGTGGACGATGTCGTCAAGTAGTAAAACAGGTCGGCCTGCGATGGAAAGTGTGTGTAACCTCGAGGTGTTGAAGGCATGAGGGAAGAATGATATTATGAATGACAAGTGTGAGCAAGATGTAGTTTCAGAAGAGTTAGGCTAGAGGTTAGGAGTAAGCTGAATGCCTGATGAGTGATATGGCATTGAGGCAGCACAGTGGGATTTATAGAAAAAGAAGTGAGTATTCCCTATACAAACATACGTGCCGGCATCAATCCCCCCCCCTGGTCAACGATGATGCTTAGCTTTGCGCGTCATATGTGACAGAAATGAATCACACGCTTAATTGGCGCTGCAACAATATCGGCCATCTAAGCATATCTGACTACTTAGTACTGAGTAAACCTTGAACCGAACCCATGACGGTTCAGCCCCTTGAGGCTGGTTACTGTAAGTTCCTACTGTTCCCGCGTGTTCGCTTACGGCGTGTGGTAGCGTTGGAAAGGGCGGCGGGCGGATAGGACCCGAGCGTCACCATCCTTGAACCATCCCTATTGATGCGGGCCTGTCATGGTCTATGGATGGAAGAAGAAGCTTCCATAGAATTCGTAAATAATTAAAGACAACTTATCTCATCCCCAATTGAGTCCTTGACGCCCCAAAGTTACGCGTACTGAGCCATCAATATTTCGTCCGTGGTGTACGCGGCCAGGAGCTGGGACAGAGCAAAGGTCGGTTGGAGGTTGGAGGCTTTCAGGCAGCACAATTTGCGTACCTCTGGTTGGAACTTGGATCTGTCGTCGTGGATCGCGGCACGGCCGGCGACCTATCTAACTGCAAGGAACTATGAACGTGTCCCAAACAGTTTCAATGATAATAAGCGTATCCATGACCGTTGACTTGACTGATGACTTCAATCTGATAGAGATTGGCGGCTGTGCAGACGGTCTGCGAGGGAGAAACCGGTTGGCCTAAACGATGGCCTTCCTTTCCAAGCAGGCCTAATGTCTAAGGCTCAAAACGTGAATGTCATCTGCCACGATATTGCTTGGAATGGTAATAGTAATAATGGACTCCGTAATGTAGCGGGAGATGAACGCGGACCGTGAGCGTAAGTAGTGAGTCAAAGGTGGAAGATTTCAAGATGGGCCATCTACAGTCCCGGTTTTACCCTGCTGCACATGACCCTTCCTCCCATGCCTCCATCTGCGAGGGAGCTTCGGTGTTTGAAGACCGACCTTCCACGGGCGCTCCGGCATCAGCGATTCGTGGCTATTGGGGCGCTCGAGTCGTACGTACATCGCAAAGGATATCAAAGTATTCCTCGCATTCGTGATGCAATGCTCGACCGAACACATGTGGTGGCGGTTGTTACGTATGCCACCACTACAGTTCCTTCACAACTTCTCGAGGTATGAGAGCATCATTATTATCATCATTGTAAATAATCATGTGGCCAGCAGGGTGTCGTTCAAGATGTTGATTCTCGCATCTCTGTTGCAGCAGAAATTCTCATGTTTGCATGCATGGATCTATATTTTCCCTATCGCCGTCTCGGTGATTCGGTGAATTGCGGGGACGGGCGATTGCAAGTACCGTAATGGCCAGTGAATAAGAAGAATGACAAGAAGAAAAAAAACACTCATGTAGCAGGCTGTCGCTCATTGCATGCCCGAAAGGTATCCTAGTAGAAGAACTCCAACAACCTCCAATCGCCAATGCTGATTGACCACTTCAACAGCTTTACACGTCCCTCGGGGTACCATCAGCTTCTCCCGACTTGACGGCCTTGCCAGTCTTCTTGATCTTCTCGAGGACAGTCTCGTAGTCGAGGGACTCGTCGGCGACGATTTCGGCGGTTTGGGACTCAAGAGAGACGTTGTAAGATTTGACACCTAGAGTTACAGCATGAGCTTCCATTTGTGACAGATACCACGGAGGCGACCGTAATATGTTCGGGCGATTGCTTACCATCGAGCTTCTTCAGCACGCGCTCGACAGCGCCGGAGCAACCGCCACAGCTCATGGCAACGTTGAACTTGTAGTTGTGCTCGGCCATTGTTGGGTATTGTCGGGGGAAAGAAGAGAGTTGGGTTGGTAGTTATGTGAGGTGATTTGTAATTTGGTCCGAGATTCAGGAAGAGGGTCGGCTCGCTGGTGTTGGTAAGGGTGGGCGTAGTGGGGTGGCTATGTGGAGCTGGTCTTTTGAGGTACGGTATAGTAGAGAACAGAGTTGGGCTTCGATGCGGCTTATATATGAGGAGAGGACACGAAGGGAAATGGTAGCTCCAGAGCCGAAAGTGAAGAGGGGGCTTGCGCAAGTTTCGAGATGGTGTTGCAATCCCCACTAGATTGTTTGTAAATTGCTACGAGGTATTATTGCGGTGACTTGCCGCTGACATATCGGTAATCAGGAACATACACCTAACTACCTGGCTGGTACGAGGGAGTTAGGGTATGGTATCAACTCCAGAACAGGCATGCCCGCGACTCGGATCGCCGCACCAAGGTTGCAATGACATTTTAGCGCTTTGGTTAATGGCAATAATTGGTGAGATCGAATATGTATCCTTACTACCCAGTGTGCCATGCCAGTATCTCACAAAGTATGTATTGGCCTGTGGCGCAAAAAACTTGCTCATTATTGAGGCTCGTGGGTTCGGAGCCTCAAACTCGTGGATAGCTATCCGATTGAACGAGTGCGTGGGCCATTCCCCTAAGAGGACAACACGGTGTCCTATACTCCGTACTGTGTAATTGAACTTATTAATATAGTCATGCCTTTTATCTTTGGTGGAGTATCATCAATATTGTGGCACGGCTGGAGGGACGAGCATTCATACTGTGTATAGGAAGAGTACAACTTGATCAGAAATCCACGGCAGTATCTGGTAAGGAGATAATATAAATGCAGTCATGGCTGAGAGCAAAACCAATAAACCGGTCCATGATGCTCCACCAGATATTATTGCAACCGTCAACAGCAAATGCCTGTGATGAAGTACATACCTATGTATAGGTATCAAGGTATACATAGGTAGGTACCCAGAAGAGACCGAGACTAAAGCATCCCTGTCCCAGTCCTCCAATCCCTGCAACAACGTCACCGCGAACTTTCAAACCTGATGCCCCGCGCCTCATACACACAAAAACATCAACATCAACCGCAACACACACTAATATCACTTGCCTTGTATATATATAGTCATGGCCTCGTATGTACAAACCTTCCAAAGCTTCACACCTATCTCGCAAGGCTGCTAACAATCAACCCAGAAATATTCTCTTCCTCCCCTTTCGGCGGTCCCATGGCGTATCCCTTTCCGAAGCAATCAAGCAGTACATATCCTCCAAATATGACCAACACCCAGACATGTTCACCAAGGACCTGGAGACGATCGAGAAGCTTCGTTCGACGGCCATTCACGCCCAGGATCCCCACCCAAGCAACATCCCGAAGCTACAAGCGTACGCAGCCCAGCTCGTCTGGATCAGCGGCAAGTTCCCCATCGACATCGGCGTCGAGTTCCCCTGGTACCCGGCCATTGGATACAATACGAGCAGACCTGTGGCAAGGAATAATGTAAGATTTGAGTTGGCGAATATTCTGTTCAACCTTGCTGCTATGTATTCGCAGCTTGCGATGTCATCGAATCGCGGCACCTCGGACGGGTTGAAGGTCGCGGCGAACAATTTCTGCCTCGCGGCTGGTGTCCTGAAACATCTTCGCGATAACGTACTACCGGAATTGAGGACCTCGCCGCCTGAGGACATGGATACTTCGACTTTGGACAGCTTGGAGAAGTTGATGCTGGCACAGGGGCAAGAATGCTTTTGGCAGAAGGCTGTGAAAGATGGGATGAAGGATGTTACAATCGCGCGACTCGCCGCCCGAGTGTCGGATCTTTACAATGAGGCTAGTGAGGCTGGGATAAAATCAGACGCAATCAGCAGCGAATGGATACACCATATGACGGCCAAGCACCACCACTTTGCGGCTGCGGCGCAGTACAGGGCGGCTTGTGATTGCTTGGAGAAGCGCAAGTACGGAGAGGAGGTGGCAAGATTAAGGGACAGCATCACATGCGTCAACGAAGCATTGAAAGAGCAACGGTACATCAACAAAGTGGTGCTGGCTGATCTGAATGGACTGAAGAACAAGGTCACCGAAGATCTGAAGCGTGCCGAGAAGGATAATGACATGATATATCTGCTACCAGTACCACCCAAACCGGAGTTGAAGATACTAGATCGAGCGAACATGGTGGTCTCGAGAGTACCAAAAGAGGTGGCAGATTCGAACGCGTTGCTAGGCGAGAATAGTGAGCTTGGGGCTCCTCTGTTTTCGAAGCTTGTGCCCTATTCCGTCCATCTTGCTGCCAGCATCTACGTGGACCGACGCGATCGCCTGGTCAATAATACCATCATTGATGAACTCGAAGCTCTAACGACTCAGATACATGAGGTTCTCACGAGTTTGAATCTTCCAGGATCATTACAGGCTCTTGAAAAACCCCTTGGTCTACCACCAGGTCTGGTTGCTCATGCCGACGAGATACGGCAACAGGATGGGCTGAACCGCTTGCAGCGCTCTATGGAAGACACGAAGAAACTGAAACACAGTGATCAGGCGATCTACCAAGAGGGTGTTGGTATCTTGAAATCCGAAGCAGCCGAGGATGAGGCAGCAAGGAGAAAGTATGGAACAGACCGTTGGAAACGTGCATCTGCGGAACAGGCGGCACCAAAGCTCTATGCCCAGATCAATGAAATCGACGGCTACTTCAAAGCAGCTGCGAACAGTGACAACATAGTCAAGACGAAGCTCAAGGAGAACGAGCGACACATTCAACTACTGAATGGGCCTGACCACGACCTTGAAAACTTCGTGCCGAGCGGGAGGCGGCCAGCAATCACCGGAGTCGTGGAGCGGGAAGCCGGCAAGTTGAGAGGCTGCTTCAATGAAGTGAGCAGGTTGGAGAGCAGGAGGAGACGGAAGATTGAGGCCCTTCGCACGAAGGCGAGGCAGGATGACATAAGTAAGTGTTCGCATATGTTTGTTCGGCTATGGATCAGGCCATGCTCACAAGTTGAACAGATCCTGATCTGCTCCGCGAGACCGCTCGCTTAGAGCGGGAGTATCCCATGCAAGCGATTGAGGCTGTACAGTTCGAATCTCTATTCGACAAGCGACTGCAGATGTACGATGTCGACCAGGAGATGGTCAGGGACGAAGAGCACGAACAACAGGAAGCCATCAAGCGGCTGCAGGATGCAAATGCAGCGTTTGTGAATGCTCGCCGGGGCGACCAATCGACAAAGCAACGCGAGCAGGCTTTGCAGAGCCTCGAAAATGCTTACTTCAAGTACAAAGAGATAATATCGAACCTCGACGTGGGACGGAAGTTCTACAATGACCTCGCCAAGATCGTCAACAGATTCAGGGACGACTGTCGAAGCTTCGCGTACCAGCGCAAGCAGGAAGCATCTCAGTATGAAAGGTATGTGTGGTGTATGTCCATATCGATCCTTTGGGTGTCCACTGACGGACTTGAACGAACAGCGATATCGCCACTGCAATGAGCTCTCTCAACCTGCAACAAGCGAATTCGAGCTCACTGCAGCAGCAACGTGAGGTAGACGCCCAGGACCCACAGTACGGAGCGAATGCACATGCAGAGGAGCCATTGACGGCGCCTACGCCGACACGAGCGAGCGTAGCACCGCCGAACCCAGGAATGTGGACGCCGGAGGTTGGCATCCGTTTTGCGGGAGTGCCAACAGCCTCGGGCAACGGTCGACCAGCGAATGGGCCTCCGCAAGATGGACGGTGGGATCCCACGCAGGGCCTGAAGTTTGCATAGAAGGGCGATCAGGTGGGATGTCGGGAGATCTGGTCAGCAAGGAACGCATGAGCGTCTTACAAGGCATGGTAGATAGATATATTTCTGGCTAGTACATAGTTAATCTAGAGATTGAATGGATGACATTTCCAGAATCATGTTACGATCAGTATCCACCATTGGAGATAGCCAAGCTGTCGCTTGAATCACACAAAACATTTGAGACTACCTATATCGTAGGATGCAGTTGCTAGTTGTCCGGCAAGGCTTTCTCTGGCTCGGTCCGTTGCGTGGGGATGGGATGGGATGGGATGGGGGAGGTGCTAGTCGTGGGAGAGATATCAACAGGCTGGCCAGAGCATGATTCATGCGATTGAACAGGCAACCAAGTGAGCAGCGAATACTAGGATTCAGCAGCAGCAGATATCGACGAATGAATTCGTGCAAAGAAGACACAAACAGAGGAGAGACAGTGTGTGGTATTGTGTAATGCGATCTAAAATTAACATCCTCATGAGGCACATTGACCCAGGGTAGTTGCAGTGGGACTTGGGAATGAGTGTCCGATGACGCCAGATGAGAGGGCGCTTTGGGTGGTTCAAACCAAGGGAATGGAAGGGAAGACAGAAGAGCAAGGCAAATCTGCCTCGTTGATGTTCTCGGTGATGCGAGTGAGCCCTACTGTCGCGCGACGTGTGTAATGTGTGTGACGGTTGATGCGTGAGAGGAACGAAGGAGGCTGTGTAGTCTGTGTAGAGGAATAAATGGGGAATGGTGGTCTTGGCATAAGGATGTCCCGTTCGTGTCCATGTCCATGTCGACGGGTTATACCGAATGTGGACGGAAAGGCGACCAAAATGCCCCGCGACTAGCCAATTTGCAGGCTTTCCGTTACGCGCCGGGTGATGGAAGATTGTACGAGTCTGGTAATTAAGCGTCATTGTTGATATCTACGAGGTACCCACCTACGAGGCACCAAGATTAGTTAACTTACTGTGTAAGACTGTAAGCTACGAGTAGTATGCGTATGCGTATATCATTGGTTACTAGGTATAATTACTAGCATTATTACGCTGGTAGCATCATTCTTACAAGACTACGAGTGGTTAGGAAGCCATGACAGGACTGGTAAAGATTATGATGAGGTAGCTTTGGAGAAACATGGACTTGTAACAAGGGGAATGCAATAATTGAATGGGTAATTGATGGGCAGCTGCCACCCTACTTTTGGGGGTATTATGGCGTTGTGGTCTGATCTGGGTCGAGCTGGAGGTTTCTGATTTTTATCTCCCGGCTTTGGGCGAGCGTTTTTTTTCTTTTTCGTTTGTGACAATTTCTCGGCCCCCTGCTCTTAGCTAGATTCCCCGTTGGAAGATCAATCATGTCTGAAAGGTGTGGTGTTTGTGTGTGGGAAGGGAAATGACTATGCACGCGCGGGGGTTCTACCGACTGGCGAGTGGTTGGAAATGTGATTTGACATGAGATGGAAAAGGATGCATATTAGTTGTCGCGCCGAGGAAGGGAACATACATGGAAATAACAAGCAGGTTGTGATTATACTCCGTACTCCGTACATACAAAATACAGGATACGAGGAATGGGTATACGAGTAGACTGGCTATTGAAGTGATGACAGTAGGAGGAGTGCAGCAGTATTGTGCACAGTGTACTGTCTGTGTACTGTGTACTGTGTACTGTGTAAGAGTAGGAGTAGGGATAAGGTTGGTGTGGGGAGTGAAGTGGGTCGTACCTGCCTACCCTACAGTGCTCTTACCGCCCGCTCGCTGCTTAGAACTGAATACGAATGTCAACCCAAACGATAATAACCACCTACCTTACCCTAGGTAGGCACTTGATGACCGACGAACCAGACCAAGACAAGGGAAATGAGGAAATGAAGAAGAAATGAGGAGGAGCAAATTAGGAAGACGAACATGAGAGTGACCTTTTAGAAGAAGATTGTTGTTGTATTAGTTTGTGATAACGATTGAACAAGAACACCATCTTCAGTATACATTCTTCCCCCATCAGCATCATCATCATATCACCATAATCATCATCATCAAATTACCCCTACACCGTGCTTGGATCTTTCTCTTCTTCCATTTCTCTCCTCATTTTTCTCCTCCCTCTTCCTCTCAAGACTCACACACACTTTCTCTCTCTCACTCGCTCTCTCTAAACACTTGTCCGTCTCTGTCTCGCTACGGCATCGCTCCACTAATTGCTGGCATTGTTGGCCCCCAATAGCGCCCCCCAAGCAATCTTCTATACCTCCCTTCCTGCGACCTACCTACGACCTACCTACCTACTACCTCTTCACCCAAACTTCGTACCTGAACTGACTGACCGACTGACTGACTACATCCTTACTCGATCCTCCTTTCGGAAATTCAGCATCAAACTCCTCCTCCTCATCACCTGTCGCAGGCCGTTGTCTTCCGCCCTCATTGTTTGATTATACGGGACTTTTCCTCCCTGTCCGTATTATTTCTCAGGTTGTCATCCACTCTCCGTGGCATTGACCCCACCACAACACAAGCTCACACACGCGCGCACACCCCGCTCTCCCTCTCTACTCGCACCTTCCACCTCGTCCTCCCGCCGAACTCACTCGGGATTTACTTTGTCTTGCCTGCTTATTCTCCCTACACTCTCAAGTTTGGTCTGAATTGTTTCATCATACAGCATCCTGAAACTTGGGTCTCCCCTCTAAACCCGCATTTGCTGCAGGCGATCATCAAACCCATCCAACCCATCCAGTTAGCAACAACAGGTTGGTGGGCAGGCAGGCAGGCAGGCAGGCAGGCAGGCAGGCAAAGAGAGAGACACACACATCGACAGACATCTGATCGGCGACCTGTACTCACCTAGCCATCTCGTAGGTGGTTGATCAAATCACTACTCGAGCTGGGTATTGCCATTTGCTGTTTTTTGTTTGCTATTATTCCTACCGTTCATCCTTACTTCTGCTGCTGCTGTTATTTTTAATTTTCCAAATAGCAGCACGCTTATCACAGTCGGGTCGGGGCGGTGCAACCAGACTGCGCCTCCGAGTACACCAATTCATCCACGCTCACCTTGGCCAAACCCATACACAATCTCACTCCAGCCTCACCAGGAACGTCTTCCTCGTCGTTGTGGCAGCCTTCCGACGACCCGTTCTATTCGTCATTCACTTCTCCGTTAAAGCTGCCGCGCCCACCGTTCTCCCCATCCAAGGCGATCTGAGCCTGGTCCAAGCGTTGTCCTTGTTCCCCTCTCGTCTCGTCTCGTCGCGCTCACTCCAAGGATAGCAACACCCGCGCGACTCTATACCAACATCATGGATCCCCACCAACGCGGTCGCTCGCCTTCTGCAGGCCAGCACAATCATATAAGACACAGCCCTTCCCCATCCCCTCATCCGCCTTTCAATACAAACTCTGGTTTGGGCCTCGATCAATCGCTGTCCAACAACGACCCCTACGTCAGCTTCAACTCCACCACCGTCACCTCTGCGGGACAACCCTTCGACCCGTCCTCGCAGTACCTCACCACCACTCAGTCCCCACAGTTCCCTCAAACCACATCTCTTGATAGCAACAACTTCCTTCAGTCCAGTCCGGGCCTTGCGCATCAATCTGCTAGCCCACACTTTGCGCCGCAAGGCAACCACCTCTCGCCCGACGCCCTCGACATCACCAACAGCAACGCCGACTTCAACAACTATTTCACGAGCAACAACGCAAATCAAGACCAAGCGATCGACCCGTCGTTCTTGAATAGCACCCTCGACCCCCAGCTACTCGATTCTCAACCACAGAACCAGTCCGTCAATCCGTCTGATCTTATGAACCAGATGGCGACCGCACAAGCGCATTCGCCTACCCCTCCTCACATGCTCCACGCCAACATGAACCACACGAGCCCGAGCCCGCATGCCTCCCCGAACCTCAACCAGGGCGCGTTTCCCTCCCCTGGACACTCGCGTCATGCATCGTTAGACCCAAATGCTGCTTTTGCGCAAGGTCAGGGCAATGAATGGAACAACATGGCGGCCTTCCGTGGGCACCGAAGGGCTCCCTCAGAAACATACTCGGACGTTTCTTCAGCACATGCATCACCATATCTCGGTAACAACGACAACTTCGACGAGAATCCCTCTCCGCTCTTGAATCCCCAGCAAGACCCTTCTTTGTTCTCAGAGGTCATGCAATTCAGTCAGTTCAACTTGAACGATAACCAACAGTCACACATTAGTCCAGGACACAGCCCCCACATCTCCCCGCGCCTGATACCCCAACAGCAGCAATCTCTTCCTCACTTTGCGCCCCAGAGCTTTGGTCTTGAGCAAGGCATGGGCATCTATCACCCAGGGCAGCCACAGGAGCCATTCCCTAACATCAACCAAGCTGGCCCCGAGTTTGGGGGTCAAGCTGACACGATGTCGCCGCCCGAGATCAACATTGACTTTGCTCCTCCCTCCCGACAAGCCAGCTTTGAGCCGCCAAAGCCAGCAAATTCAGCAGATGCTCTTAGCCCACCTGATCGATGTGAGTAGTATACCGATGCTTGTAGGTAATGAACCTGATGCTAATGCCGAACAGCTCGCAGCCGGAATAGGATACGTGCCAAATCCGACCCTTTCAGCAGTGCTAGCTCTCGTGCATCCACGCCCGGCTCCGACTTCAATAGATCTCTTTCCCCTCACGATGCCAAATCTCGCTCACCGTCTCCGTCCAATAAGTCCTCGCGTCGTTCTTCCACCTCGAGCGTACCCAACCGTGACTATATCCTCGACCTCGCAGATCCCACAAGACCTGCCTCGAACTCGCCCGGTGATGGGTCCGGTGGCGCCAAGCGAACACAGAAGCATCCGGCCACATTCCAATGCACCCTCTGTCCTAAACGATTCACCCGTGCCTACAATCTTCGGTCTCATCTGCGCACTCACACTGATGAGCGGCCATTCGTTTGCAGCGTGTGTGGAAAAGCATTCGCGCGTCAACATGATCGCAAACGACACGAGGGTCTTCACTCCGGTGAGAAGAAGTTCGTCTGCCGTGGTGTTCTGAAGGAGGGCGGCAGCTGGGGCTGCGGAAGGCGATTCGCTCGTGCCGATGCTTTGGGTCGCCATTTCCGATCAGAGGCTGGGCGCGTCTGCATTCGACCTCTCTTGGAAGAAGAGGCACAAGAGAAGGGCGGCTGGGAGAACCAAAATCAAAACGCCGGCAATGCCAACGGAATGTTTGCCAACCCCATGGCCCCTCAGCAATTTGGAGGCATGATGCCAGCACCGCAGCCTGGGTTTGAGCAGTTCCCCCAGATGGGTGGCATGGACCCTAATATTGCGCCGGGCATGCAAGCTCCTCAGTACGGTCTCCCTGCGGCCCTGCTTGCTCAGTACCCTGCTCTTGCTGGAATCCAGTGGGATGCACTCCCTCCTGGTGCACCCGAAGAGGTAGAGGGCGATATTAGTGGCCGAAGCAGTTTCGATGCTTCTAGTGGAGGCGAACTTTTCGAGGACGACGAGGGTGCTCCGCACCCAATCTACACAGGGGGCTGGGCAAGTGATTACGAGGCCAACGCTCGATGATTTTTCCTGCGAAGTGGTTACTTTTCCTGGTTCCTCCGACCGTTCCGCTCTTCTGTTCTGTTTCTTGGCTCCTCCTCTCGGTGCCTACGACCTTCGCTTCAGTCGCTTGATCTACACGAGATTCTAATCGATATTGCGTTTTGTTTAACGTTCTTTTTTTGGCTACTGGACCATCATGTATCAACGATCTGGAACGGCCATCTTTGTTGCGCACTTTCATTCTTGGGATACCACTACTGTCACTGCTGTTTTCACGGACATGACGTTTGTTTTAACGAAGGGGTACGTTGGTTGTATGGCCTGACTCCAATCGAGCAGGGTTTTGCAAGGGCTCTTTTTTTTCTGGCTTCATTGGGTGTTCAGTCCTGGCAGAGTTACTTTTTTCTTCATTCATTTGGGTGAAGGGAAATTGGCAACGACCGACGTTTTGAGAGACAATCTTGTCTCAATTCTCTTTGGTTACTCGAGGAGTTACGTTTGGACTGACTGCACTTTTATAACCTGGGTTCTTCTCTTTATCAGTTTTTCGGTTTTTGCTTGTCTGTCTGGCTTTCCTTTTTTTTTGGGGGGGGGGGGGGGGTTTCTCTTTATTATTATCATATTTATAGAAGTGGGTGGGTTGGTGGTTTGTGAAAAAGACATTGACGGATGGTCTCGACATGTGCCTGCTTCCTCGGGGTAGAATCGAAGAAGAATCAAACATATTCAATTACTACTATTTTACTCGTCATCATCATACTCTTTTTCGTTTTTGGTATTCTTCTGACTAATGTGTCGCACTGTGCTGAATGTTTGGTGAGGTGGTCGCCGAGCTTGTTGGAAATTTGAAGGGGTGGAATCGCATCGACGACCACGATTACGATTTCGCGAACATGCTCAGTCTTTTTGCTTTTCATTTTCTTTCTTCGTTTTCGGACACCAACCAACTATTATATCACAATTGACAGGAGAGACACTAACTTTTGATCTGAACATGGCACATCCGCCAAAGGCAGGGAGAGGCAAGAAACATATATGGGTATACATATCACAACACATGCACCGCAAGACACTGTTAATATGATTCGGTTTGATTTGATATGATTTGATTTCATTCGAGATTGGCAGTTTTCCCAGGCATCCCTAATTCCGGTTCGATCTGATGCGATCTGATTTGACAAGATTCGTGGTGCTCGTTAACATATGGGAGAGGAAAAACAGGGCTAGTAGTTGGCTCATCATGACCCACCCCCTAGAAAAGGTGGACGAGAAAGAGGAGAAGGAAAAAGAAAGTAAAGGGAAAGGTGAAGCCCAGAATGTCCGATCCTCGGGTGTGCCCCTTGGATCATAGGGATAGATAAAAGGTAAATATTACAGTGTGGTCATGATCGATTTGGGTGTTTCGTCGGGTTTATTAGTGCCCGTCCTGTCTTCCCTTCAAACCCGGTGAACTCGGATCTCATTGTCCTGATCTCCCTCGCTCACCATGTCCCCCGTTCAGAGAATATGATGACGAAGTGCATCGAAGAAAGAGCCATGAGGAGAGTTGTGGTGGGAGAGAAAGGTGAAGAAAGGGTGGCATCTACGACGACTTCTTGGAGGCGTCCTCCTCCTCGACGCTCTTGTCCGTGGAGGCGGTGCTTTGCTTGTCAAGGTCGGCGCCCATTGGCCCGTGGAGCTCCTCTTCGAAGACAGGTTCGGGCTCAATGGTCTCGAACTTGGTCTTGAAGTCCTTAATTTGGTGTGTGCTCGAGTTGCTCCGGCGACGCGGATTGTTCATGTTGTATTGGTAGTCTTCAATCTCGTCTCCTGGATGGCCCCTAATTGGTCCAAAGATTAGTTCCTGTTCTGAAGATGACGCAGTATGCAATTGGTAGGTGTAGTGATTATGGGCACAGTGGAGATTGGGGGAGGGGTAGGTGGAATGAGTGAGTGGAATGAGGATATCATCGGAGCATCATCCGTCCCCATCTGGGCCTCCGATCCCACCTGGAGATCTGAGAGATGACGATGTATCCACCATATACGATCCCTATTCCGTAGGGGGAGGTTAGGACCGTAGGGAAGGGGAATGGACGGGAAGGTGACGCATATGATGAGTTGAAGGCCAACCATCACCGGATGATCAAGGATAGACAAGAGGCTTACCAGTTTCCCTTGCCGCCGCCGTCCTTCTTCGTCTTGCTTGGGTTCTCGCCGGCATGGCCAGACTTAGCAAAGAAGCGTGGGAGATGCTCTTCGGCTTCGGCGGTACCGTCAGCGAGACCGGCATGGTCGCGATCAGTATACTTGTGAGATCGGGTCACTGGGATGGATTGATTAGTTGATTGATTGAGATGGCATTCATGATGACGATGATGATGGAGTATAAGATGGCGGGGTAGGTACGCTCTTCAGGGACATAGCTCGCGTGAGCTGACAGGTTGCTCCTGCGACAGCGCCAGTGGTGGTAATGGTACGGGGGGGAAGCGATGGTGATGATGATGATGATGATGATGATGTGCAGAGGTAGACTTACTGATGGGGAGGTTGGATGGAATGGATTGAATTGGATTGAATTGGGTTGGAAGAGGAATGAGCAGTAGTAGTAAGATTGAAGGAAGAGGGAGGGTGTGGAGAGTAGCAGAAGAGGGGAAGTTGAGGTTCAAGTAGTCAGGCACGGGGAGGAGAAGGATGTAGGCAAGGTAGGTAGGTATAGGTAGCTTGGTAGATAGCCGTAGGTACTGGTACTAATCAAATGGCCAAGGTACCTAGTAGTCGCGGTATTCGTAATCTGTCTATGTACGAGTATGATCTGTCCCGTATCATGGATGCTTTGGCTTGTATTTATCTGTCTCCCTCGTACTTTGTCTGTTCGTCTGTTCTGGTTGATTTGATCATCAGTCACTTGATCGATCACGTTGGGGTGTGAGGAGCTCGGGCCAATGATGATCGTCTCCTCATGGTGGCTTCATCCGAGCGCGGGCGGTGAGTTCTGTTGCGTACCTTGCAGGAAACGTGCTCTCTGGCGGGCCGTCTTGAGTTACAATGTTGTTTTAGGATGGGTTTGTTTGGGATGTTCGGGGAGGGGAGGGGAGGGATAAGTATGGACGGATGAAGGAATGAACTGATTGAATCGGTTTGCGGGTGCGTGAGTGTGAGCGTGTGGGGGAAGAGGGGGCAAGGGAATGGCGTAGGACAAAGCAATAACGAATTGGTTTCATCAAGACAAGACGTGCTCACGCGAGCGGGCGGGGGTTTTGCTGCAAGCTGAGTAGCAGGAGCAGGTACCCTTCTTCCCTTTCCCTTTCCCTTTCCCTTTCCCTTTCCCTTTGAACAGAGTACGTGGCAAACTACTCCGTACCCATTATTGTTTGCAGTGCTCGTGTGACTGTTCCCAAGCTGTCGAGCACGCGTGTACTGTGTATGTAGTCCATAGTCGGTACTGACGAAGCCGGATAACTATGGCGACGGAATTGTGGGCGGTTGTTGCTCCGGATCGACGACTAGAAGGTAACGCGAGGTACAAAGCTCATTGCGCATTGTATGTACAATATGTACATGGAAGTACTTGTCGATACGGAGGTGGAGGGGGCGCTACGTCATATTGCCGTTCTCGCAGCGGGATGAGGAAAGACACAATATGGGGGGGGGGGCATGGTGCTAACTTGGAAGGAGTAATGAAGTGTGGTGATCTACAGAAGATTTGTTTACCTTGTAGGATTATTATTTGGTATGGATACAGGAAACATTCACTCATGATCCTTCACTGTCGGATGTGTAAGGGAATGAATCAGACTCATAGTATAGTTAACTAATAGTCTCTTAATGGTCTCTCATAGTCTCATAGTCTCATATTGTAGATCCAGACCCCTTCCTGCTCGTACTCTTCTTACCCCAGACTTTTGGTGGTTCTAGTGCTATACCGTATCGGGACAAGTGTAAGGTAACCGGCACCCAGTCATTCTCTCTGAAAATAATCACACCATCCACTTCCCTTCGTAAGTCTTCACTGCAGGGACTTTCTGGCCGTTGTTTCTCCGAGGACGGCGGAGACTGACCTTACTCGTAGTAGTGACCTGAGTGATTGACTTGAGTGACTGGCCTGAGTGATTGACTGGGAAATTTATTTGGCTTCTGCTTAGAAACCCTACCCTTCCCTTATCTTCTTCTTCTCCCAACAACACACTCACACTCACACTCACACTCACACTCACACTCACACACTCTCTCTCATACTACATAAACACAACTCCTTCCCTCCTCCCCTCCTCCCCTCCTCCCCTCCCCCCACTTCGACAATTCAACATTCGTCTTTTCTACTCCGTACACCCCTCTCTTCATTCTCCCCTACCTCCCGATCACACACCGCACACACCTCTTCTTCCCCTCTACCGCTCAGTCGTGATCCAACCCCACCATGGCCCCACGTACCCTCCTCCTCGCGCCGCCTTCCATATCCGCACATCCAGAAGTCCTCGACAGAGTATACGAGAGCCATGATCGCTCCTCCACCGACCTGCAGATGCTCGACCGTATCGCCGCCGACCTAGTCCAGCTCCCCGCCTCCACATACGACTCCGTCCTCCTCCTCACAGACGCCGACGGTACCACCCGCGAGAGCCACAAACTATTGGGTCGCCATGTCATGCCCAAGGTCGCAGCTGCCCTCAAGCCTGGCGGTATCCTCAAGAGCCAGGATGGCGTCTTTGGGGTCACCGACGGCGCCGAGAAGACCGAGGCCATCCTCGCCGGACTGATTGCCGGCATTGAGGGCATGATGAAGCCTGAGGAGGTCGAGAGTGTGATGATCCCATTGAAATTTGGAAGGAAGAAGAAGGAAGCGATCGGTATCCTGAATGGAGCCACGAACGGTTCCTCCAACGGCAATGGTGCAGTCAAAGAGGTCAATGGCACAAATGGCTCCAACGGATCGCACACGGTAAACCCAGATGGCTCAGTGCCATTGAGGTTGAATGCGAAGCCTTTGAACTCAAATGGGAAGCGCAAGTCTCCCGAGGTCTCCAGGCCCGTCCAGCCCTATGCTGTCGGTTTCGTCGACTTCAGCGACGACCTAGACGATCCCATCATCACCGGCGAAGATGATGATTTGATCGACGAGGATGACTTGCTCACCGAGGAGGACAAATTGGGCGGCATCGTACAGCGTGAGTGGAATTTTCCAACTCCCCTTCATTTTTCCAATCTGCTTAAACAATTACTAATCCAATTCACAACAGCCCCCGAGTGTCGCCCCAAGGCAGGAAAGCGCAGACGTGCGTGCAAGGACTGCACCTGCGGCCTGAAGGAAAAGATCGAAGCCGAAGACGCCGAGAAGCGCACCGCCGCGGACACCGCCCTCAATACGCTGAAGCTGGGCGAGGATGACCTGGCCGAGGTCGACTTCACAGTGCAAGGGAAGGTGGGGAGCTGCGGCAATTGCGCACTCGGAGACGCGTTCCGCTGCGACGGCTGCCCTTACATCGGACTGCCAGCGTTCAAGCCCGGCGAGGAAGTCAGGCTCTTGAACAACGACATCCAGCTATAGAGACCACGATGACGACTCTTTCTCTCACTTCTCCTTGTTTGCAAATACCTTTTTCTTTAACGAACACATCATTCCATCTGGATTGGAGCATAGGTCAAGACGGTGGCATGATATCATCATCATTATTAGGTCGGTCGGTCTGGATACTTCAAGATTGCATGGGTCACTGGCGCAAGGTGTTCTCGATTTTTCTTCTTCTCAACACCAACATCTGGACATAAACGGGGTAAGGGGGTTCTTCCCCCTCCATTGTTTTGAGGTTCACCGAGTACTTTTCAGGCGATATCGAAACCCGGTAAATAGTCTTTGTTCCAAAAGCAATGTACTCACAATGCGAGGTATATATATATATATGTAATACCCTCTTCCAAAATTCCACTACTCGTTGAAGTGATATGACGGGTCCAAAGTCGACTGCACGTTTTTGCAAACTTGTATGATATAGAAAGGCAGTATATTCTCTCCCCCATGAGGCTTTAACTTCTACCTACAACGCGAGTATATTCTAAACAGCCCAATTCCTTCCCATCTCCATCGACTCCGCCGCACTCTGCTAACCAGCAAACCCTCCTCCTCCTTATGTGGAGAAACAAATCCATAGAAACAGCTTCCCAGCTGAAAAGATGTTAACAAGCAAAAAGCGAAAACACAGAAGAGCACTATGGTATAAAAGAATCTAAGTGTAGTCGAGAGTCCCGATTGTGACATCAACCGATACACTGTCGCCGCAGACACTTGCCAACTATCTTCCCTTTCCAACATATGCCTAACCCGTACTTCTGTACCCCCTCCCCCTCCTCACAACAGATACAAAAACGTGCTTCTATCACAAGAAAGCCTTCGTCTCTCTATCCCCCGCGCCGCTGCCCCAGATGTTGCTGCTCCCGCTGGGCACAATCCGCCTGATGCTCCTGCCCCACGTGCGCCTCCCCTTCCTGCTGTTTCCGACCTTCAACTCCTCGTCCACCTCGCTGCTGATCGGCCTCTTAGCCTTCGTCTCGCCGATCCTCAGATGCTCGGGGCTGCTGGGCGTGATCGCATCGCCGTTGCCGTTACCGTTGCCATCGTCGAGCACGCTGAGAGGGAGACGCTCTCTTCCGCGTTGGACGTTGGACTCTGGTTCTGGCAGCTGACCCGCATATCCACCGCCCGTGAGATCGAGACCGAGGCCGATCGTGGCGTCCGCGGCATGGCTGTTGCGGTTGCTGTTGGTGCCCGGAACGGCGGTGTTGCGTCGCGAGGGCGCGCCGACAGAAGGAGGAAGGTTCTGGGCCTGTTGGTCCGAGAACGACCTGGCGAGGCGGCTTCTCCTAGCAGAAGAGTTGATGCGCCCGTTGGAGGTGCGGAAGCCGATGGACGAGCCGTTCAGTATCTCGATCGTGGGGTCCTCTGCCTCGGCGTAGTTGAGCACATTGCCCGACGTGTCACGAGAAATTAGAGAGGCTTCTGTCGAGCCGTCTGCTGGGAGGGATGGGATGTTTTCCTTGTCGCTTTTGCTCGGGCTGGGTGGTTCTTCGGCTGTTGGAGTGGTCAGGGGCGCGGTGGCAGCGTCGAAGTAGGGATAGGCGGATGATTGGGTGCGGGATCGGTCGCGGCCTTGCTTGGTGGTGGAATAGCGAGACTGCGTCCTAGAGTGTCGGCTGCGGTACTGTGATTGACGGTCGCTCAGGACGGCGTCTCCGTCACGCTGTGCGGTGCTTGATCGAGCCGTTGTCCTTGACTCGGCTCGGGGCTGACGACTAGATCGCTGTCTGCTGGGGGTTGTGGTAGCTATTGTGGTCTTGGGCCGCTCGGGAGACTGGGTTGCTTGGGTTGATTTCGCCTTGCCTTTGTGATAGGATGTCAGATCGAGGCTGTAGGTCGACGAGTGGTTCTCCTTGCCTCCATGCTCTAGGGCCAGGGAGAAGGGGGTAGGATCCCGCTCGCTGATCTTCTTGATCGCAACCTTGGTGTCTCGTTTGAGGTCATTCTTATCGTCCCTCCTGCTATCCCGATTGCTGCTCCTCTTGCTACCCTTTCTCCTCGGCTTGCTCGAGTTCAGTTTCAGCGGCGGCAGAGTATATTGGCCGGCTTTGATCGTCGTTCTTCTCTCATACTCTTCAATGTCTTCCTCTTCCGTAGAGTAGACGCTCTCACTCATCTCAGCATCGTCGAAGATCTTGCTCCCTGTCAAGTTGTTCAAACTGGACTTCAGCTCCTGGGCGCGAAGACTCTGTCGTGTGCTTGATCTTCGTGGAATATCAGTACCAGGATACACTGGGGCACCAGCGCGCTCATATCGCTTCTGAACTCGCCTCTGGTCTGAGATGGCCGAAGTAGTGTATCGATTCGTGAAGGACCTGGCAGTAGGAGGTTTACGTAAACTACCTGTGAAGGTAATGGTCGACTGAGGGGGCTCGACTGAGGGTGTCTCGGAGGGTTTGCGGATCCTCAAGCTGGCTGGTAACTCTCTCTCGAACTTCGTGGCATCGCCATCGCCGGATTTTGCTGCCACCCGTGATATTTCAGGGGACGGTGCTGGCATCGACGGCGGCTCCGAATCATTGATGAATGCAGGCGGCGACTTGTAAGCGGCCGATGAGCTTCGATCCGAGTCCGCACCAAAGAACGGTGCTGGGAACTGGTTGGATGCTCGTTTTCGGATATAACTCCGTCGTTTCTCATCTATTGTACGTCGGTCAACCAGATTGCGATCTATCAGAGCATTGCTAGGAGATGCCACAAGACGGACGCTTCGCCTCTTGTCCTTTGGTATTGTCAACTGCGTAATATGTTTTGCCGCGGGAGATTGAGGTAGTGCTGATGGAACAGTCGAGAGTATACTCGTAGATTTAGTGCTGTAGGAGTTGTTACTCAATGGCCTTCGGAGTCCTGATACGCTATTGTTGCTTCGCGATGGTGTCTGACGGCTATGGCCAAGCTCAGTGAGGCGCCTATTAACCGGAGGGCCTGAGCTGTGGTGACTGTCGCGATACACGGCTGATTTTGGTCGCTGTGTTGGCACTGGAGCAGTCGTGGCATTGGACTTTTCGGACTCACGTCTTGCCATGGCTGTAGGTATCTTCATGGACTCATGGGGGCGATGGGATGGCCCAGCCTCATCCTTAAATCCCCACGAGGAACGGTCGAACGCTGTTAGGATCTTGGTTTCACTTTCGCTGATATCGCTTGAGAAAGACTGGCTAGCTTTTCTTCTCATAGCCAGGTCAAGATTAAGCTGTGGCGGATGCTCTGGCGTTTTCTCCCTAGAACCAGCCTTCTCCAGATCGCGGTCGAACGAATTGTCGTGGCGTTCCCATTCATCGTGAATCATGATGGGTCGCGATATATCTACTTTCCGCGGGCTTCGTGGTACTCTGGGGCTGATGTATCCATCTTGTTTTTTTTTTCGTCGACACAGCACCAGCAACAGAGCGATGAAGATGGATGCACCAATGAGTGCTCCCACAGTGGCGCCTGCGATCACACCTGCTCTTTTGGAAGGTGGATGTGCAAATTCGCCGGTGGCACCTGTTCCGGTCGGTTCGTCACCCACTGCATCAGACCCTGAGATGTGAACATGGAAACTTTGCATGTCTTTCATGTTGCCATCTTTCGATGTTGCGATAATGGTTGCCTGGGTATCTACAGGTGAATGATCCTTAGGTATGGTACCAGACATGGTGAGGTTAGCTGAGTTGAACCCAAGCCATTTTGCGAGAGAACCGAAATCAATGCGGACTTGCTCTTCTTTGTTGGCCAATACAGATGATGGGATCTGGTATTCGAAATATCTCCCAGCTGTTATGTTGATTCTGCCAAGCTCGCCTGTGAACAGAGCGGATTTAAAGACCAGATGAATTGAATGATTAGCAGCGTCTCCAAACCTGTCGATGACGCTGATTTCAATGTCCTGAGACATGAGACCAGATGGAGGGTTCCCCTTTACATCCAGCGTGTTTTCATCGAAACTCAGCCACGAGGGCACGTCGGCACTGGCCGATCCGACATCGCTGTCCAAGATCGGCGAACCATCAAGAAGCAGGTGCTCGCGAAGCCCTTTGATGTTCACCTCATCACCTTTGTTGACGGTGATGGTATCCTGTAGAGGGTTGAAGAAGAATTGGTGGTTGCTGACTACCAAGCTGAAGGATAGAGAAGCGGTCGCATAGCCAGGGAGGTTGGATACCATAAGAAGAACATCGTAAACCTGTGGAATGGAGGTCGCTGGAGGTGTACCAGCAAATCGAATAGCATCGGCGTCGAAGCTGATCCAGGACGGAAGAGGCGTGTGGTTGTCAAGACTCGCAAAGTAAAATGTGTTCTTGTTTTCGCTGATAAATGTATCGGCTGGGAAGTCTATCTCGAATGGCTGGCTTGGAAGTAATGCTAGGCGTTTCGGGCCTGAGAGTTGTCCGGCTTTAGACAGCACTTCCGAGACATTTGTATTCAATGTAGGACCTCGATCCTCTGTGACAACTAGGCTAGAGTCTAGGTTTGCCACTGCACCAGCTTCTCCGGCCGCTGTGATGGTGAAGGTCACTGTACCAACATCTTTAGTCCTCGGCGTTCCATAGAGTGTACGATTGTGTCCATGGATTGAGAGCCACAACGGATTGCCTATTAATGAATATTGCAGCCTGTCCGGTTCAGGTTCGAAAGTAGTTGATGCGAACTGGAATTGAAATGGCTGTCCAGCTCGAGCAACGGGGGGAGCTTGCGAACTGATGGGGAAATTCACCTGTGGAGGGCTTGCACCTGCCACAGAGATCAAGATGATACTGACGAACAGCAGCGCAGTCCGTCTGCAATTTTGATCAGTATATGACATAATGCAAGCGACTACGTACGTAACATATGGGCTCTTACCGTATGGTCGCCATGGCGAGATTAGAGATGGTGAGGTGCTTCCGTGGACGAAGGGGCAACGTCGACTGAAAACCTACCGTCGCATACAGCCATCTTTTTCTTGGAATATAGGAATCTGCGCTCGCGCTCTAACGCGTACCCGCGTTCTACCTTACTTTTCGCACATGAGGACCAAAGGAATGAAGGTGGTGGTGTGCGCAGTAAGTGTATCCCGAGCAAGGGGTGTTGGGTATCCTGCCACCTTTCGGCATGCCTGAGACCCTCCCAGCACTACGTAATTATTAGGAAGCCTCGCTCATTTTTTCTGAGCATTAATTGCATTTTCAAGCTTGGTCGCCTGGGTCGATTCTAGCCATTGCATCGATCCATTTGCTGGGACTACAGCTTCCGTACAAAGGTCGGGCTGGGCCGCGAGCCTCATCGACCCTCAGGTGTTGGTTGCTATCGCAGCCACCCCTTTCCAAATGGACACCAAGGGAATGTACGAGACCTCTTCCGATCTTCCACCCCCTCTCGTGCTCGACAATACCGAGTTTGTGCACCAGTGCCAGCCTCTTGATTCACACGTTTGCCTCTTGCGTCAAATGGGACATTTTCATGCCAAAATTGGGGTCAAGTAGTGTCATTGCACGTCTTCCTTTCCCGCCTCTTGCAGATGAGCAAACAGCTCTCAATATGATATTCTCCTTTCATTTCACGTTGCCTGTTCAACACAGTAATGGACATGCAGAGCCATAAAGTAACATCTCAGCAGCATTATCTCGAGTCTAACTCAGAATGTAGGTCAGCGACAGAAGCAGTGATGTGATATGATGTGACAGTCCCAGAGTTCAACTACACATGAGAATGATATGGACGGAAACTTCCTCAGAGCACATAGCCGAAAACTCTTGTCATAGCGTGTACCAAGGGACACATCCTGAATAGTTGCGAGAACGGTCAGTAGCCCTCAAGGCGCCATGGACATGTGAAAAGGGCAAGAACGTGTGCGTGGGGTTTCGATGAGGACGGATAGTAGGGACAGCCGATTTTGGAAATGACCATGGTCATGTGACATCGGATACTGACCGTGCTTTCCAAAAACGCGTCTTTCGCGTGTACTATGATTCTCCAAGCAACGCAAATGTGATGGCTCGTCAACGAACTCGTCTTTCCTGGAATCGATGAATCTGGATGAAAGAATCAGGAAAATAACGTGGGAACTCACAAAGTTGTCCTGACCTGGATTTTACAAACGTTGACTCTGAGATCCGGCATTGAAAGTCATGGCGGTTAAGCGAAAGAGACACTACGACATAGACTTCACTCTTCGTCGAGTCTTTGGTAAACGTTCTTTCAGGTAATACCATTCTTCCGCTGATTTTGAACCTCTCAAGCTCACTTCTAAGGCCTTTACAGCGGGAAGTCATATCAGCCACATTAGAAGGCGAGGATGTCTTTCTACAGGCAGCGACATCGTTTGGCAAGAGTCTGTGCTATCAGCTACCAGCCGTAGTCGACTTTGGCAGTGAGTGTACTAGATTGTGTGATGGCTATGTACTAACATGAAAAAAAGTTACCATCGTGATCTCGCCACTTCTGGCATTGATGGTAGGTGCATAGTCCCCTATTGGTCATGTTAGTCTAAGTCATCTCACAGAATAACCAAGTTGCGTCGATGCGAAGAGCAAATATCCGCGTGGAGACAATCAACAGTACCACAACCCAGTCGAAGAAGAAGGCAATCATAGAAGACCTCCAATGCGGCCACCCCCTGACGAGGCTTCTGTACGTGACTCCCGAGTACTGCGAAGGCGACCACTTCAGAAACATTCTACGAATCATCCACAGCCAGAGAGAACTTGCTCGTATTGCCATCGATGAAGCCCATTGTATCAGCGAGTGGGGCCATGACTTCCGGCCATCTTTCAAATCTCTTTCGTTTTTCAAGGCCGAATTTCCCGACGTCCCAATGATATGTCTGACTGCCACTGCCACTGCAAGAGTCCGAAACGATATCATCACGACACTTGCACTCGATGAATCTAAAATGCGCATGTTTAGAATGACCACCAGCCGTCCAAACTTGCACTATGAAGTCCGCTTCAAATCTGACGAAGAAGACCACTACTCCGATTTTCTCTCCTGGATAAGGAAAGCCCATGACCGACGAACAAACAACCCGGAGCGAGCGATTCAACTTGCATCGCAGAATCAGCGAGCCAATAGCGTCCCTGGTATTATCTACACCCTCTTCCGCAAAGACTGCGAAGCGCTCGCCGCACGCCTACGTGCCGACGGCATCGGGGCGAAACCATATCACGCTGGACTTCCTCACACAGATCGAGCAGATGCTCTTGCTGGTTGGGTCGAAAACAGAGAGGGCTACGATATCATCGTTGCCACTACAGCATTCGGCATGGGGATCGACAAGGAGAACGTACGCTTCGTAGTCCACTGGCAGATACCCAAATCCTTCGAGGGCTTCTATCAGGAAGCTGGCCGTGCCGGACGAGACGGAAAGGCCAGTGCTTGCATCCTTTACTACGGCAGGGAAGACCGAGATCGAGCTGCAAACATGATGGTGAGAGACCAGCAGCGGCAACCAAGTAAGGGCGCAAACATCGCCGCAATGAAGCAGCAGATGTTGAAGCGAGCGGAGAGCTTGAAGTTGCTCGTCGAATACTGCGAGAATACCGCACAATGCAGGCACAGAATGATTGCGAACTATTTCGCGGACGAAGAAGTCCCGCCGTGCGATTATGCATGTGACTGGTGCAAGAATCCGGTGTTATTAGTGAGGAGAAAGGAGAAGGGGTTGGCGAGCGAGGAGTGGTGTTCTACTCAGAAAGAGATGGGGCGCTTCGACATTGATGAATACGATTGAGATGATAAGCATGGACTAGGTTTCAGGCTCGAACGAAACTAGAGTTAAGCATAAGAAAGTACTGTAATTGGTAATCGAGGGACTCTGTTATTGTGGTAGATCAAATAGAGAAATAGTATGTCCCCATCGTCGCATGGACCGTGATCATAGCATCACCATGTTCGATTAAACATCGAGGCATGTGGAACGTGAGAGAGCAATGTAGAGTTCATTAATTTTCATGTCATCCCCTCAAAGAGGCGAGCTATTGCTGCTCAAATGTCAGATTGGGATCACATAGTCCTTAACCATACCAATCGTGTTCATCATCAGTCATCATTGCTTTCCTGTATTTCCACACCATGCTCCTTTTAAAACACCGACGCCTCTCTTACGCAAAAGTGCCTCGCAATCAAGTGACTCTCAAATCGTAAGTTTACTTGATTATGAGAGCTGCGCTCGGTACAAGGCCGGCCTCCTTCAACGTCAGACCGAAATCTGTCTGATCGTACACCTTCTTTGGGAAATTTGTTGTGAAGGAGTTGACCTGGTGGCCTTCCTGTGCAAGTGCATGGGCGACCTCGAACAGCGTGGTCTCGACTGGGAAAGTCTTGGTTATGCGTCCAGACGAAGTCTGTAGAGCCAGCCTAGCCTCTGTGTACGCGGAAGCGGGTTTCGAAGTAGTAGGCCCAGAGGATGTAGGTACTGATGGCTCCGCAACAGGAGGTGGTGCCTTTCCAGCCCGGGCAGCTTTCTCTGCTTCAGCTTTCCGCTTCCTTTCTGCCTTGTCTGCCTCCAATTTGGCCAGAACACGTGCCCTCGCCTCTGCTTCCTCCTGCTTCTCACGCTTCTTCGCTTGTGCCTCCTTCAGACGCTCCTTCTTCTGCAACTCCTCTTTGATGTCTTGGCTTTCCTTCGTCGCCTTCATTCGGATCTGTTCGTTCTTCTTGCGGTCGATCTTGTCTTGCTCGGCCTGCGCGGCACGCTTGTCCTTGAGCCTTTCCTTCATCTCGGCAAGTCGTGCAGCCTTCTCTTCCTCCGTGAGGGGCTTGATCTCTTCGGTGGATTCGCTGAAGTTTTCGTGGCCGCTGGTATATGTTAGCGAACAGTCAACAATATGATCGAGGAGTTCGAAGAGTGGTGGGGAGACATACGATTTGCTTGCATGGAACTCTGCCTGAGCTGTAGACCTGAACTTCTTCCCACAATCATCACAGATCAGACTCTTTGCCAGCTCCTCACCCGGTTTGACCTCTGGGGGTTCTTCCGAAGCGCTCGCCTGGCTTGCTTTGATCTCATCGAGGCTTTTCTCCTGGTTCTTGTCTAGCCAGTCGATGGCGCCTTGGACTGTACACATAATTAGCACTCCATACTGATCAGTGTTGTCGTGGATGTTACATACGTCCGCCACTTTGCTTGCAGGCGATCTCGGCCCGTTCCTTGTCGAAGCCCATGTCGACGAGCATTTCGAGATCCGAAGGCATGGTGGCTGATGTGCGTTTGATTTATTTCGTATGCTAAAGAGTGGTTGTGAAGGTTGAATGTAAGCTAGACAGGTCCGCAGAGGGGTAGGTTTTGTGAGAAAGTGTGGCGTTGATGGTTATTGTTTGTTGGTTGTGGTAGAAGTGGTGGTGGTGGGAAGGTGGTGGAAGCTTGGGGAATGAGATCACGGAGGTGCTTGGAGGTAGGTATCTGGCCTAGGTACCTCCCAAGTAGGTAATGACGCGCGCGTTTATACTCATAGGGCGGAAAGGTCAAGTGTGGAACGTGGAGACGACGTGAATAATGGGAAGCTCTAGAAGTACATCCAGTGAAAGGGTTGCTTTCAAACTACATAGTGGGCCCTGATCAGCCAGCTCCGCATATGAATACCTAGTAACAAATGATGGAATGGTTTGTTCCAAATCTTGTCACTAATAATCACTTGGAGCAGAGCAGGCAAACGCTCCCAGTCCCGGTGACGAAATACCGCCTTGAAGCGGGCCACAACACTCCCGGTCAGCTCGGACACTTCAAGTTACTCTCTCACTCAGTCTCCCTCACACTCACCTACCTCTCCAAACAAGACACAAGACCAACAAGCGATCCCCCCCAGATTCGTTCCTCCTACTCCACCACCACCACCAACACCCACCACCAAACGAAATCCCTACAATCTTATCCCCTCTAATCGCCGTCGCTTTTACCTACCGACCTACTTGTATACAGTATATACTGTGCCCTACCTTGCGCGTCCCTGTCGAACCATCGTAGACGCCGTTCCTCCCGTTCTGTTTGATTACCAACCTTCACCACCACAAGACACCTATATAACAACCCGCCATGTCCGTCGAGCTCGAGCCTGCGGAGCTTGGTTTCAAGCGTATGTTTTCGCGAGTGATTGCGGTGTACAGCAACGTAGATACTGAGATGAATTAGGACCGTTCCAGCAGGAGGTATCGCAGACCTTGCGATTGAAGAACCCACACAGTGACCCAGTAGCCTTCAAGGTAAGTGGCATCATACTCGCACTACCCCGTGTGCATCGTTCGAGATTGTGCACCATGCGTGGATATGTATGCTAATGTTCTCTCTAGGTGAAAACCACCGCGCCTAAGCAGTACGTTTCCATCCTTCACCAGCCAACCGGCCGCCCCCACATAGCTGATATGTTATAATGCAGGTACTGTGTGAGGCCAAACTCGGGCCGCATCGAACCTGGAAAAGACGTGGAAGTCTCAAGTACGAAGTCCCCCGCAATATGCGCTCTCCGTGGGGTGTTTACAGCAGCTGACGTATGGTCACAGTTCTTCTTCAGGCGATGAAGGAAGACCCACCGCTCGATGCCAAATGCCGTGACAAATTCCTCGTACAATCCGTCCTCGTCACCGCTGATAAGGAGTTCACGAACGTTGCATCTCTGGTACGATCCTTCCTCGGCACAGCGATGACATAGGAAAATGCTGACGTAAACATGCACAGTGGGCACATATGGAACAGACATCCAAGAACTCCATTCAAGAGAAGAAGATCAGGGTGGTCTTCCTGGCAGCAGACGACGCTGCGGCTACACCGCCAAAGACCAATGGTACGAGCAGCCTCCACGAGCCGTCACTGCTCTCGTCTCCCTCGCCAGAAGCTGTTACACCTCAACGCGGATCTACTGAGGCACCGGTTGGATCCGTATCTCGTCCCGAGTCCCGCCCGTCGGATAGCAAGAACCTAGGAGAAGCCAAGGAATCCGCCTTCAACCCAGCTACCTCGTCCGGATTGAAATCAACAGTGGCTGCGGCAGCTGCGGGTGTTGCGAACACTGTCCCCACGTCTTCCGCCGAATTGCAAGCTCAGCTTTCAGAAGCGAAAGCCACGATCACCAAACTCCGCCAACAAGCAGAGTCTGGCTCCGGCCTACGACAGCGAAAGGCTGATCCTCTTTCCGACTCTGGCGAGAAATCATCAACCGCATTGGAGACTCAAAAGCCTGCGGGTGGGGTTCCCGTGCAGATCGTGTTCGGCCTGTGCTTGGTGAGCTTCCTTTTGGCCTACTTCATCTTTTGATTCGCTCCCCCCGCAATTGCTTCCCCATGGCAACGACGAAAAAGGGTGGGGTGTCAGATGATTTCTCTCCCCGAGGGCGTTCGAAAAAAACAAAACACTCGGATCGGGCATAGAGAGCGAGCCAGCCTGGAGAGCAGTTTTCCTTTTTGTTTCTCTTCTACGTGCTCGAATTTCCACGGAAACTGCATCGGTTTCTTTCTTTGGTTTATGACACCATATTCCTCCCTTTTTCTCCCTCTTGTTGGCAGGATCCGTGGGTTGGGTGTGAGTAGGAGGAGTCAACATGTTTCCGTCTAATCAGGCATCACGCTCTTCCTGTATTAACATTTCCTCAATATGAACATGGTCAATGTTAAAGACTCGTGCAGTTGGCGGCAGAGGTTGCAGCATGTGACTACAATATACATAATATGACAAGATGCGCCCCAACAGAGGGGCCAGTAATGGTTTTTCTTCCTATTTGGTGGGCCGTTGATCCGCCAACGTGCGAGTGCATGTGCGTGGATGTGAACGTGGGGATACAGTGCACACATGCCAGTCATTGAAGATAGTAAGCGGAGTAACGGTTCACTTGTAAAGTCAAATGCAGATGTGCAATGTGAGATGGGCTGCATTCTCGCGTATGCAAGCATCCCACAGAACTGGATGGTCGTGGATATGGACATGGGCGTAGGCGTAGGCGTCTTCATGCCTGGACGAGGACTTGGGAACATTGCTCATTCATCCATGCAACCCGCATACTGTACCTCATAATACGTGTATAATACTTACAATGTGTACGGAGTACATGCATGGTGATGGTGATCACACGGGCTACTGCCGGAACTAACCACGAGCCTCGCCTGGGACGTGGGGCAGATGCAATTGGGACGCTAACTCTATGCCTGTAATACCGTGTAGCCCCGGCCTAGGGAAAAGCACTTAAGGTGTGTAGCACGGGTAGAGGTGGATAATGTTCTGGGTAGAGATAAGTGGACGGATTGGTGGTAGTTCATGGGTTGGATGGTGGGATGGGTTCCGATGTCTGGCCGATCAGACAGTTTGACTCAATAATAATTTCTTAAACCAAGACGTAACGGCGGAACACAATAGGGCGCATACTATCTTCTACTTAAAACCCTCCTCCCCACACCTCACACATACACTTTCTTACTCTCTGACTCCTCACCTCATACAACTTTTTAAACAGATTCAACATGTGTGGTACGTTACTATTTTCCAATTGTTCCTGGTTTCCGAATGTTTCGTTGGAGGGGTTCCGATCATCATCTTCATTACCCTTCACACACTACTATCCAACCAAGCCGGGCCACACAAAATTCTATCCCCGCTATCGTTGGACTCATAACGCTGACCATGGCATACTTAATTAGGAATCTTCGCCTGCTATAGGTATGCGCTCTCATTTTGTCCTCCCAATTGCCACTTCTTGGTCTTGCGCCGCCTACGGAACAATCGCGCCTCCCGCAGTTGAGCAGTGAACTAACATATTCTTCAAAGGCACCCCGATGTGCAGAAATTCAAGCCCCAGGCTTTGAAGCTTGGAAAGGCGTAAGTATTCATCACGACAATTGTGTGTAGCAAACCATTGACTCAAACGCAATAGCATCCGACATCGGGGCCCGGATTGGAGTGAGTAAATCGTTACACCCATGTGCCAGGGTTGCGATAACTAAGATAACGCAGGTGGCAGCTTGATCTCCAACGATACGAGTAAGATGCCAACCACCAAGAAGATCCTGATTGATAAAATACTGATTTATTCGTAGTTTTGGTTCACGAGCGTCTCAGTATCGTCGGTGTCGGTATGCGATCACGCGAGAATATTCTTCCACGAACAATGACTCACGAATTCCAGACTCTGGAGCCCAGCCGCTCGTCAACGAGGAGGGCACAATCTCTCTAGCTGTCAACGGCGAGATCTATAACCACCGTATCCTCCGCAAGACCCTCAAGACCCCATATAACTTCAAGACCCACTCCGACTGCGAAGTCATCATCCCTTTGGTGAGAACAGGCGCATACGAAAGAAGTGGAACGAATTGGCTAATGTAGAACAGTATCTCGAGCATGGAATTGATACTCCAAGACACTTGGATGGCATGTTCTCTTGGGTTTTGCACGACAAGGCCAACGACCGAGTCATTGCTGCTCGCGATCCCATCGGAGTCACCACTTTCTACCTCGGACGATCGAGCCAGACGCCTGGTGCTGTCTACTTTGCTTCCGAGTTGAAGTGCCTTCACCCCGTCTGCGACGACATTATCTCCTTCCCTCCTGGACATGTCTATGACTCCAAGACAGACAAGTTGACCCGGTACTTCGACCCTAAATGGCTTACCGAGCCCTCCAACATCCCCACCGCCCCTGTAAACTACAAGGAGCTCAGGTCAACATTGGAGACCGCTGTCCGCAAGCGATTGATGGCTGAGGTACCATATGGTGTATTGTTGTCTGGAGGTCTCGACTCAAGTTTGGTTGCATCGATCGCCCAGCGCGAGACACTGCGATTGAACGAGTTGGCAAAGAAGCGAATCAGCGACAACGGCAACGGCAACGGCTACGAATTGGATGGTCATGCCCCGGGACATCTTGTTGGTATCGACGACTCAGACGAGCTTGCTACCGTCAACATTTTGCCTCAATTGAACTCCTTCTCCATCGGTCTACCAGGAGCGCCAGACGCCATTGCTGCCAAGGAGGTCGCTGACTTCCTTGGAACGAGACATCACACTTTCACTTTCACCATTGAAGACGGTCTTAACGCCTTGTCCGACGTCATCTACCACCTTGAGAGCTTCGATGTGACCACCATCCGCGCGTCAACACCCATGTTCTTGCTTAGCCGTAAGATCAAAGCTATGGGAGTAAAGATGGTCCTCTCGGGTGAGGGAAGCGACGAGATCTTTGGTGGATACCTCTACTTCCACAACGCGCCTGACAAGGCAGCATTCCACAAGGAGACTGTCCGTCGTGTCGAGAACCTCCACTTGGCCGACTGCCTCCGTGCCAACAAGTCCACCTCCGCCTGGGGCGTCGAGGCACGTGTTCCCTTCCTCGATAAGCAGTTCCTCACTACTGCCATGAACATCGATCCCGCAGAGAAGATGATCACCAAGGAGCGCATCGAGAAGTACATCATCCGCAAGGCCTTTGACACAACAGACGAGCCCGAGACCGCTCCCTACCTTCCCGACAAGATTCTTTGGCGCCAGAAAGAGCAGTTCTCCGATGGTGTTGGCTACGGCTGGATCGACGCGCTCAAGGATAACGCAGAATTGAACGTCACCGATGAGATGATGAAGAACCCCAAGCCTGAGTGGGGCAACGACATTCCCGATTCCAAGGAGGCCTACTGGTACAGGTGTATGTTCGATGAGCACTTCCCTCCTCACTGCGCATCTACCGTTATGCGCTGGACACCTACCTGGAGCAACCAGACTGATCCTTCCGGACGGTACGTAACCTTTCTTGCTACTGATTTATTACAATGACGTCCAAAATACTGACATGCTTGTTCCTATCATTTAGTGCCATCTCCATCCATCAACAGAAGTACGACGACGCGAAATAGATTATGTAAAAAGCGAAAATCCCCCCCTTTCTCAGCTAGTCTCGTTGGAGGACGAAAAAGGAATCAATCCTCCCCTGAAATGAAAGAGCCTAATAGACTGATTACCTGCTTGCTTATCTACTCAACCTAAGGGGTTCTCCTCAAGTGTATGACTGTGTATGTTTTTCTTTTCTTTCACAGAAAGGGGTTTGGATACTAGACTTTTCTTTTCACTTGTTTTCAGGTCCTCGCTTTCATGTCGTCCATGTCGTCTGTTCGTTCTTTGTGTTATAGATTAAGGATAAACGATAACCGAAATGAGATGTCCTCACGGCCTCAAACTGAACCTCAACCTCGAACACTACAAAACGGGCAATGCATAAGTGATGAACTCGTGGTCCTGACATCCTTTTCACACAATTTGCTTCTCGCACCTACCTGGTCTATCGTCTCCTATTCCGGATTCGAACAATGGGCGGTGGAAATATGCCGTTGGGTCATTCTTTCTGCAAAGGTTGATAAATGCATGGATTCAAATTTTTGGACCAAGTGAGATCTTCAACTATATACAACTTGATCACTTAATCCGTCGGTGGTCGTGCCTGATTTGATGAAACTGCATCTTTCGATTTGACGTCTGCAGACACAGACACACTGTAGACGAGTGCAATTCTAACCAACCAACCATGAAAGACCCTTGCAACTAATCCCCAAGATTAAAGACGAGGAATGAAATAGAACAAAATACGCCGTGGAGCCCTGGGAGAAACCGTGTACAACCCGTAGCAGGAGAGAACGAACGAGATGGAAAGACGAACGGGGAAAATCTGGGTATCGCAAAGATCGACCACAGAAAAAGCAATAACAACCAAAAGAAGCCCACATGGAAAATGGGAGGACTGAGGATTAAATGTTGACAAGCCTGTCAAGATGACGGCAATAGAAGAAGATGACGATGAGAGAAACAGAAAAATCAAGTTAACTTTTGTGGGACTGAGCTCTTTGTGTGATTTGTATGTACGGAGGGGATTTTATCGGGATTCGTTTCTATAATGTTTTTGGTTGGGAGGTTCGTCAAAGTGGCCGGACCATTGTAGAGTGGTGGGCGGATTTTGTAGGTAGATTAGGGGAGTCGTCCAAGATCATCATGTACGGGATATTTTTGGTATTTTTCTTCTTTTCGGTGGGTGGAAAGCGGATCAAGTTGACTTAGGCGATAGCAGCGGTCTGCTCGCCGTTTCCAAAGATGCGGAACTGGACGAAGATTGTGACGTCCTCGACCATGGTGCCAAGAGAGCCGATGAGCCAAGGGAGGTTGGTGATGATGTATTCCTTCTCGAGGGAGTGGAAGAGGATCTAAGCATGTCTTGTCAGCATGTATGTTCTGTATCAGATTTTATATGGGACATTGCACGGAAGCTACGTACCCCTGCTCCGTAAGTGGCATTACCCAACAAAGAAAGCATGAAGAACAGCAGCGATAAGCCCTCACAAGACCTATCCCTCTGGTTCTTGATGATCTGGGGAATGCGAGCGCCGAGATAGCACACCGCGCTCACGTAGCCCAAGATCTGAGCGCCGAGCGCAGGATCAGTGCCAGATACATCGTTATCGGTGGGCTGAGGGATCCAGACGCCGGTCCTCCATGCGATGGCCCATCCTGCGGCTCCAACAATGCAGACGCCCGCAATGCTCAATGCGTTCTTGACCCATTCTCTGCTGCCGACATTCTCCTCCCCAATGCTTGGGAGAGAGCTGGCTCGCCTCCTCCTGCTATGTGCGGATTGTGCCGAGCTTCGCCTGCGGTGGCTTCCCGGGAGTCCGAGGTTGCTGCTATCACGACGTCCGAGAAGTGGTTGCTCGGGGCTGTCCTGTGATGCCGCAGCACTTCGCGCCGACTTCCTAGCCGCCCGGCGCGCATTGAGGACGTTGTAGTAGACGCATTGCGTTATGAGGATGAGATCTGCGAAGCAGAAGTAAACGGCGAGGGCTATGACTGTGGGCACGAGACCAGCCCAGATGGCGCCGATAAGGTTGGTGATGTCGCCAATGAACCAAACGGTGAGAAAGGCTAGGGATATACCCTCTGCAGAGCCCTGCTTGTAGTTCTCGACGAGTTGAGGGACCTTTTCGAACTCGTTATCAGCTTTTGGTTCGGTGGAATTGGAATGCGCAGGGTTGGTTCTGGAGGATCAGAAACTTACCAGGAGGAAGATCCACGAGGCCAATGAGATAGAGCCGAAAACACCAGACAAAGCCTCGTTGTGTGTCAAAGGAGGGCCTTGGGCCAGCAGCACAGCAAAGTCTGGCATCGCGTTATGGGTGAGCGGTGCAGGACAATCAGTTAGTACGTCAGGGGGGGGGAGGGTATCGTGAGTATTGGTGACTAAGGGGAAGTAGATGGACCGGGAGTGGAGAACAATAGGTAATGCTCGAGTTTGAACCTGAGAAAAGCTGCAGGGCGACGACGATGCAGGTTGGATGGGCCGGTACTTCGGTAGGACGGGGGTTGTTGTTAACGTGTGTGTGGTCACTGTGGTATGACGCACTTTGTTGGATGCATCCCCGGGCATGTCAAAACTTCAACCCTGTTCCCTTGGCCTGGCCTGGTCTGTCCTTTCAAGGGCCGGTCCACGCCAGCCAATCAGCCGCATCTGATTTTGCTTCTCGAATTTTTCGCATCCCCGTTCCAAGAGGGTCTGACTCTGTCCACCCTGAAGATCACTCTGTAAATGCTTTAATGCAATAGAATTAATGACCGATCGTAATTGGGTGGTGGGGAGATGAACGTCATGTTTCGAGAAGGGATGTTGATTGTTTGCCCATTTATTTCAGGCCATTCAATTCATTATTACGCAGACTGTTGTCCAGGAGAAGACATTAACATGAGAAAAAGGCGAAACAAGCCATTCTGATTCCGTGTGAAGATTACCGTGTAAAGCCACCGTTCTCATTATTGAAGGCAGTGCTGTGGAACAAATGAGGCGAACCCTTCAGGCATGCCATCTTAGATGTAGGGAGACACGATAGTAAATTAAATGGTAACGGGTAACTTCAATAAAACCCAACGGCACACAAAGGTATGCATGCAGGCAATATGGTGTACCTACTTGGCAGTTGTTGAGTTGGCATGAATGCGCGCTCTATTGGCAGAGGAAGGTTTTTTTTGATACGAATCTCGAACAGGTCGACGCGATCGACAGGCAGGAGAGGTTTTCCTGTTGGGAATCTTGGAATCAGGAATTTTCCTGTGAAACAGTCCGGAGGGCATGTGAGGAGGGCGGATCAGAGTCAGTAGCGGCAGTGGCAGTGATAGTCACCCCCGTGGGCCGTACCTAGTGGCATTGTGGCAGTGTGACTCGGTGTACGAGTACCTATTGTGTGAGTGGAGTGGTAGAGTTAGACATTTGGGATTCAGGGCAACAATCCGACCGTATGCTACGGATAACTAGTTACAGAGTCCAGACGTGGTCTCGAGTCTCGACCGACATATATACGTACTCGTTGGTACTCGTAGGTAGGTATAAAGGACGAAAGGCAAGTAGGCCGGTAATTAACGAGTAGCACAGTGGTAGTGAGTCGATTAGTTACTGGGGATTTGGTGGTGTGCATAACAAGTGATGGGGTTGTCCGTTGTCCTCGCCCTCGCAAGGTTTGTAAGGGTTTGCTAAGTCGGTAGTTATCCGACGATGATTGGTCGAGTGACCTTCTTATGGGCCGTAACGGTAGCTCTCGGGCAGTCCCACCAGGACGCTATTTTGGGGTGTGAATGGTCGTTCACGTGACTTGCCAAGGTCGGCGCTTTTTCAAACACGGACAAGAAAGAATGGGGGCGCGTGTCCATCCACGTCCACGCACACCCTCGTATTGTACTTTTCCCGCATCATCCGCTCCCTCGCTGGCGTCCACTCGCTGTCATCCTTCGTCTTCTCTCTTCTTCATCTTCTCCCTCTTTTCCAATTTACCAACTGTTCACTTACTCTTCTTCTTCACATCGTTTCACCCCATACAAACACGTTTGATCAAACGCCTGTTGCGCTACACCAGCGCTACTCGACTCTCGTTCACATATCCCCTTTTATAATAGTTACCTAAACACCTTCTGTGAAACAACCCCAGACAAAGCCCATATAATCGCCCATCCCGACTCTCGCTCGTATACAAGCCACTGCCGTATATCCACTTTCGTTTCCCAGACCCTCTCCCTCTCCCTCCCTCTTCCTCTCACACCCACACCACTCTACAATCATGCTTAGCACAATGCGCCAGGCGTGGCTGTTGTATGCGCTGCTTGCCCTCATCGGTCTCTCGTCCGCCTTGAACATCGATGGCATTGAGGCATACCTTCACCATGGCGTTGTCAAGCGTCAAGCCAGCACTGGATCTCCAGGACGCTCAACTTCATCAGACGACACTCCCCAGAGCACTCCAACACCATCTTCTGAACCCGAGTCGACACCTACACCTACGCCTACCCCGACTCCATCAAACACACCATCTTCCACCCCCGAACCCTCGCAGACTCCCGAGCCGTCGTCGAGCCAGCAGCCCAGCAGCCGCCCGTCTGAGCAGAGCTCTGAACGCCCATCGTCAACAGAAGCACCCAGCAGGAGCAGTGCCTCTATCACCACACCCGTCGTAAGGACATCGACACTTTTGGGAACCTCGGTCACTTCGTACTCTACTGTCTACACAACTATCGTCGATGGACAAACCCGCGTCAGCACCGGAATTGCCCAGAGCACGGCGGTCTTCCCTACTGGTGAAGCCACCGTCACCGAATCACCACTTCCTCAGAGCGGCAACGGAAATGGTGGAGGCGGCGGTTTGACCGACTCCAACAAGAAGATCATCGGTGGTGTCGTTGGAGGTGTCGGAGGCGCGATCCTTCTTGGTGGTCTTGCTATTGTCTGGTGGCGTCTCCGCAACAAGAAGGCCCGCGTTGCCGAGGACGATGATGACTTCGTTGCCGGCACTGGCGCTGCTCTGGGCGACAAGACTCACAACAACAACGGATCACCTTTCCAATCCAACCTCGAACAATACCACAACCCCGGTGGACGTCCAAACGCTGCAGCAAACTTCTAAACGGTCCCAAATGGATACGTCTATAAGATCGTCTTTGTCAAGGGCAGCCTCACGAAATTAACGACCACTATGGGCCATCAGCGGGCTCATTCGGGGAGGGGTTCACGTTTTATCAAGACTATTCTTCGCACGTATATATGTTTCACCAACGGGGTTAAATCCTCGCGAAGAACACCAACTTGATAAACGTGCGCGGACTTGGGAGGAACTCATTTTGCATGAGCGTAGGTGTATACTCGTCCATTTAATTCTATACCACGCGTCGGCCTGGCCATTCTTGGACCACGACTCGACGCACCATTTCCTTATATCTTGTTTGGGTTAGATTGGCTATCCGCAAGTATTGGGTACATACTATGTAATCTCATGGCTCACCATGGTGACGCTCTTGGCCTGGGATCTTTCTTTCGAGAAATCATGGAAGACCAGGTATCTTCTTTCCCGTCACTCATTTGATGGACCAATCTGGGACCTAACAGAATTGTACTATTTGCATACAAAAAGGCATCACCTTGTTACCTCTAACAACGGAAAACATCTTAGTCTAGTGAAAGAAATTACTATTACATATTACATTACATGACCGCCGGATCTCACTTTTATTTCCTCTCATTTATATTTTCTCTATGCGCTGAACAGTTACAGGGGACGCAAAGATGACGAAGGAGAGGGTTGGGGGCTAGGTCATATTTGAGGGGCGAGACAAGAGCTGTGTCAGGTTTCATGACCGTCGCATCGCCATCCACCAACGCCAAAACAGGCCAGCCGGCCACCCTCACAACCGTCCTCGCATGAAAGCTCCAAGGAGGCATACTTGATGCGACCATTCCCATATATTTGCTGACCAGCAGGTCTCGCCTTTGCGCAATCCATTTTCCATGTTCGACTTCGTCTTCGACAATTCAACCCCACAAAACCGCTCCGTCGACAACGACGACAAACAAACATCGATAACTCGAAAAACCAAATCCTGTCCCGGCAAAATCGCATCTTCGAAAATTCAACAAAAACCTCCACAATGCACATCTTCTTCGCCCTCCCCCACCCTCTCCTAACCCTCCTCTTCCTGACCCTGCCCTCTTCCCACGCCGCCGCCTCGCCCCAACCCGCCCTCGTCTCAGAAGAATACGTCCACCTCATTCCGCGCAACACGCTCTTCTTCCGCCAACTCGCGAACCTCAACTCCTTCGGCGGCAACCTGGGCAGCGTGGCGCCGCTGCCCATCACGAACTCGGGGGACGCCGAGAGGCCGTTCGCCGTCGACGGCGACACCTTCCCGGACTTCAAGACCGCGGCGCAGCGGAGCTGCGACAAGCAGGCCAACGAGTGCAGTCAGGCGGCGAACGAGGGCGACAACAAGCAGTTTGCAGTCTCCGACTGTGATAAGCAGAAAGGTATGTGGGATGCGCTGCCCATCTCTTCTATTTTTCTTTCTTTAGTTTTGGAAGCAGGAGGGAAGAACTGGTCCGTTGGATTGAATAATATGAAGGGAAAAGAAGCATGAGAAACTAACAAATCAAACAGAGGAGTGCAGAAACACACTCGAGAATGCGACGGTGCAGGACTTCACCCAGGGCGTCGCGAGCGAGAACATCGGAAAGGATCCCGAGTTTGAAGATTTCGACTTGATATGCGAGGTCTGATTTCTCTGTTTTGTTCTTCTACCGACCGTTTAGGCAGGAATGAAAGAAGGTGTCGTGCTGTTGGCTTTGGCGATGGATGGAGTGAATGGATGGTATCGTTGACCATCGGATCACCTTGAAGAGGATGTAATTCTGGCCGACTTCATATTAAACATATACCCTAGGGCAGGACCTGATCTCAAAACTACTTCATATTAATAAATTGAATTACTCAAAATCAGAGACGCATTGTCTGCATGCTGCTAATCGTGATGTGAGTAATGATTGCCATTGTCGATTTCATTGCCCAGATACCTAGGTACGTATGCAGTTCACTTGAAGCCTCATGGCTGGTGAGCATTTAGCTTTGAACCCAATCATGTGAGAGAATGATAAAGCAACAACAATGTGAACCACTACCTCAAACATCACATTGGAAAAGATTCAAAGGAAGACCGCATGTGTAGATCACGTGAGCCCGTTCAGGACCTCAAATTGCGCGGCGCGACATTGACGAACTCCAACTACACCCTGTGACCGGTTGGTGCGAGCATTGGAAAACCATTCAGACTGAGAGAGAGAAAACCATAATCAATTCTCCCAAAGAAGAAACCATCAAATAAGGCTATACCGTTTGTCCAAATACTCGATCAATTACTTGAACGATTGGACGGACACAACTATCGCCGCGTCCGCCGTACACCAAGAATGACACCCATGCGCCGACATCCTTAAGATCTGGATTTTTTTGGGACGAGCCATTGAGAAGTAAAGAGCTTGGAAAAATAGGAAACAAGGAGACGACAAAGACGCAACCATGCCACCGAAGAAGATACCCTTAACATCACCACCTCCGGTAACGATAGCTACGCTCCGCACCGTGTTAACGCACATCGGCGCCGCGACAAGCGGGACGAAACCTGTGCTTCTATCTCGGCTGTCCAAGGCGCTTCGTGGTGCGCCGCCTTCATTCAATGCCTCCACCTGTTCTTCGTCTTCATCTTCTCCCTCTTCCAAAGGTACAGATTGTAAGAGTAATGCTAGAAGAGATGGCAGTGTTAAAGGCAAGAGCGAGAAATCAGTACGAGTGCTTAGCATCGACATGGGAATCAGGAACCTCGCGTTTTGCGTTGCAGATGTAGAGTTTCCAGGGCGTGGGACAATAGCTTCTTCGCCGTCTACCAGCGGAAGCAGCGACAAAGGAGAGGAAAGAGGACTCGACAGCGTGGAGATGCACATCCAAGCTTGGAGGAAATTAGACGTAGCCCGCGAAATTGGCAAGACCACGAATGCAGGGGACCTTATGGCGATCAATGGCGCATCAGATGATATAGGCATGGAAGAAGAGGAGGAGGAGCGAGATGTAGCAGCAGCATATACCCCATCAACCATGGCACGCACGGCGTATACCCTCCTCAGCCGAACTCTCCTCCCCTACAACCCAGACGTCATCCTCATAGAAAGACAGCGATGGCGCTCCGGTGGTGGAGCAGCGATTCAACAGTGGACTGTGAGAGTCAACACGCTCGAAGGCATGCTATGGGCGATCCTCACAGCTCTGCGCGAGGAATCTCAGGTATCGAGAACATCGAGAACATCGACGACACATAAGGCCGACAAGAGTATTACTCCATCGCATGGCGACTCAGACTCAGAACGGCCGCCACAGCAAGAACGGAACTACGAGATCCACGCCATCGACCCAAAACGCGTCGCCCACTTCTGGCTTGACTCCCCTCCTTCTTCTCCCTCTTCATCCCCCACATCCTCAGAAACCACAAACTCCCCAAGCACAAGAGCAAGCGGGACAACATCCCGCAAAAAGGCCGAAAAGAAAGCAAAGATAGCTCGTCTCCAGCAGTTCTTCTTCCACTCCACCAACACGGACCAGTCTCAACCCGAATCCCCAATATCGACAACGACGACACAACCGCTGGACCTCGGGCTCCCGTCTACGAACCTGGCATTCGCCTTCTCGCCTCCGGCCCACGAGACGAAAGAAGCGCTTCGACCAAACGTTACACCTACTTCAAGGGGAAAGGGGAAGAAGAAGAAGAAGAAGAAGGGAGAAAAGGGTGCGGATGAGAAGGCGGACGGAGAGGAGGCAACGTCGAAGGCGAAGCTGAATAAGCTGGACGATGTCACGGATTGTTTTCTCCAGGCAGCGGCGTGGGTTTGTTGGGAGGGAAACAGGGCGGGTGTGAGGAGGGGGGTCGAGGGGGGAGGGGTTGAGTGGTTGGGACGTGTTTTGGATGGAGGTGGTAGTAGTGATGGGAAGGTAGAGGTGGTTGCTGCGAAGGTGAAGAAAGGGCGAGGGAGAAAGAAAGTAAAGGAAGAGACAGATGAGTGATGGGGCGGAGGTCAAGCAGACGGACGGTGATGATACCCATAGTCAGACTTAGATAGTTCGATCACCATGTAATGAAATGTTGTTACAATGTGACAGATTACAATGGCATGGCTAGTTATGAGTGAGACACTATGCTACATTAACCATTCCTTCCCATACTAAGTAGAATTCAGTACTACTTCTTTCTTTTTACCGAGTCAAAAGAGGAGCCAAACCGAACCCCCAGGGACGCCAGCGCTATGCAATTCAATTCAATTCCAGAATTTGATACCATTCCTTCCAGACCCCCTTGTGGTATGCGCGAAAAACTTGTTTGTTGCCTTTCGGCCGTTGCCCATTCGACACAGCATAGGGGTATCTACTTCCTGAGCCTCTTATTACTCTTACTGCTCGCTTGAGAAAGCACGCTCGCACTCCTCTTGTGACCTGCAGACACAGCTCTGGTGCTCGTGCTTCCTCTCCTCTCGCTCTGTGCAGCAGATGTATCGGCGTCCTCACCCTCTGCATCCTCGTCGTCGTCCTCTTCGCCTTCAGCATCAACGTCTGCGTCACCATCACCCTCCCCGCCGTCATTGTCTCCATCGTCTCCATCATCCTCTCCGTCACCATCGACATCGGGTGTATCCTGGGAATCCGCAACTTCGGACTTGGCAGGCGTGTAATTTGCGCTCGAATCGTTGACGTTCGAAGCATCTCCAGCCCCGGCCTGGCTCTCGCTCGCCCGGCGGGTTTTCATGGCCTCCAGAACGCGGCATTCGCCTTCTTCCTTCTCCCTGACCTTGCGCACATCGAGCAGCTTTCCGACCTTTCCTATAAGGGCCTCGAAAACGTCGCCCACTTTGCTTGTGGGGATGGGGATGATCTCGGGTATGCTGAGTTGGGCGAGCGCGGCTGCAATCTTTTGAGTCTGGACATTTGACTTCGCCTGTCTCATCTTCAGAAGCTTGTCTGAGCCAAAGGATACACCTGAAGTGAGTCGATCGTGCGTGGACACGTTGAAGCGGATCTCCTGCTGAGGTGCCAACTGGCGGATGGGCGTTTGAGGCGGCGGTTGCGCCACGCTCTGTCGGCGGTTTGCCGCTGCCATTTGTTGCTGCTGGGCAGATCCCGGGGTCGCGACCATTTCGTTCGCAGAGAGACTAAGTCGGCCGGCCGGACCATTACCAGGTGCTCGCTTCTTGCTCTTGTCTTGCTGAAACAATTGATTAAATAGAGTAGCAAGTTGTTGAGAGGACGGGAAGGCTGTAAGACCCGGCTCGACGGGTTTCTGCGGCGCAGGTGCTTCAAGTCGAGCGCGCAGCTCATCGCGTTCCGCATCAAGACGATTTGCGGCCATGTTGATGCGTTGAAGTTCTGTAAGAAGAAACTCCTCCTCCTTGACTTCGTCCATGTTGCGATTCATCAATGCTGCAGCGAGTGTTTTGCGATTGCGTTCAAGGTCAGGGTTAAACTTGGTGAGAAGGTCGTACTGGGCAAATTGCTCCGCGTCCATCTGCACTTCTGGTATACGAAGTTTCATGATCTTTGCAGCAATATCATAATACCGAGCTTTGAGGTCCTCGACGGTGCGTGCCTTCGCAGGAGCAAAAGGAAGCGTTGCAAGAGCCGTGGAGTCTCCGTTGGCATCGTCCTGTGGGGGCTGCGGCCGCTCTGCCTGGAAATCGTACCGATCCCATATCACGGCCCATCGAAACGCATAGTCTTTGATCTTCTGAAATAGATAGTCCGTCTCTTCCCTTCCCCAATCGTTGCTCCGTAGATGTGCATCATACTCTTCGTCTGTGAATTGCGGAACCTCCACCTCGATATTGTACTTCATGAAGTCACCATTCGACTCGATGTATGGCTCCGAGCTCTCACTATCCTCCATCACTGTATCTTCGCCACTTGTAATCGGTGGTGCCGTGGTGGGTTTCCGCCGCCAATGTCGAAGGACGAGGCCGTCGGATCGTGCTTGATTTGTAAACGGTTGCTGAACCCTATGCGCATGGTCAATCAGACAGGTGGCTCGAATTGTTCTTCCCATTGCGATTTACCATTTCTTTGCTGGTCCCGTGCTCTGCCTCTTCGCCCTATACGTCTTTTTCTCTTCGTAGATTGCAACTGGAGGTGGTCGTTCGCCATAAAGCGCTGCAACCTCGCGTGCAACTCCCTCTGTGTGGTGAGAAAAAGAATTGTTAGCGATCGAAACTTTGGGGGCTAAAAAATGGTGGGAAGTCGCAGAACTTACGTGGTCTTCGTACACCAGTTGCTGGCTTGGGACGCGACTTTTGAGCGGCCTTGGGAGCATCACCACCCATAGGCAAGCCGAGCATGTCACGCACATCGCGACCGGATGCCATCGCGACAATTCTCAGGTGCAATTCAGAGATGGATGGTGATCGTAAAGGGTGAAAGTCGATAAAGTTGTTGGGGGGTAGTTGCAGTCTGCGATTTACCAAAGTTGCGCGACCTGTTGCGGAACTCCAAAGCACCTCCGAGTCACGTGACAATTTGGGGTTAGTCCATGGGTAAGCCTCTTGGGACTATGTCAAAGTTCGGGCCCCAGATTTGATGTCATTGTAATCAAGACCAATAGTTCAGCAATGATGAAGACCACATGAAGAAGAACAGTTATATGCAATTATTTTTCGTCTCTGTATTTTTCGAGCTATCCCTAGATCTAGCCCCAAGAGAATAAGATACGGCGTCCCTGAACCCAGGCAGGACATGGAGGAAACACATCTGCAGAAAGAATACCTCCACATGTTTGCTTTGCCTTCGTGCATCGGGAAAAGAAAGAAACGGCTTCGGCTTTGCTAACCCCAAAAGATCCCAACGCCTCTTTACGCCAGACTAAAGATCCCAGATCTAGTGTTGGCACATATTGACCAGGCCACCAGAGCTAGAAGAGAAGAAGAAGAGAAAGGGGCATCCAGGGAGGCTCTCGACCATTACCTAACATACCGACTAAAAGGAGATTTTCGATCCCATCTATGAATCATTACAAACTACCAATACAGAGAAACATGGTAACCGAGGCTATGATGAAAGCGAATCGCTCCAGGACGGACTCCAAAATGCAACATAGTAGAAAATGAGATGCGCGCGGTTGAAATTGCGAGACAGGATTTAAGCGTTGCCGCCTCCGCAGCACAGGATATTCATAAGTTTCTTAGCGAAGCCCGGCTTCTCTTCGGCTTGCCGTGGCCTCTGCTGCTGAGCGAGTCCTGGACTCTGTACTGGTGTCGCCCGGGTCGAGGCGATATTCTGTTGGCTGTTCTGGAACTGTGCTTGTGTCGAGCCCTCTGGAGGAGCCAAATCGGGAGCGCCGCTCCTCCTCTTGGCTGCGTCTGGGTGATACTTGCCCTGTTGAGGGGCGCCTGGGCTTCTTCCGGAAGGGCCCCGAGTCGCTCCGGGCTTTGGGAGCGGCTCGTTGATACGGGGGTGGTCGGGAGGGAGATGGGTCTTGTGGCGGTGTGCCTGGCCGTGGAGGTTGACCGCAGTCGAGGAATTTTGATGAGCGTTCGGGTTCTGCAAGTGGTGAACGGCAGAAGGGTGAGCCTTCATGGCCTCCCAGCCCTTGCCGTTGTTGAGCTTCATCCAGTCATATTCGCCATCTTCCACCTCGCCGGTGCTCTTAAGTGCCTGGGTGAAGAGTTCACGGAGGTAATCGTAGTCGGGGGTGTCCTCGAAACCAAGGTTGCGAACGTAGCTCAAGTACTTGTTGAACTCCTCTGCAGTGATATTAGTCGTTTGCTACAGTGAAGTGTCAAGAGAAAGATTGGGTGCCTACCTGGGAAACCATCACAAAGGTCCTTGATGGCAGTCGTCTGCTTCTTCTCTCCAATCTTCTCATACTTCTGCTTGTTGGTTGCTGCCTTGAGTCCCTGCCAGGGAAGGCCGCCTCGAAGGAAATACATGAAGACATGGCCGAGAGCCTCAAGGTCGTCTCGTCGAGACTGCTCACGTCCAAGATGGGTGTTGATACTCATGTATCGGGCAGTTCCGGAGAGGGACTTGCGCTCCCTGTACGGAATATGCTGTTTTGTCTTGGGGTCACGGTATTGCTTCGCCATGCCGAAATCAACGACGTGGATCACATTAGCGCTCTTGGAACCCGGTCGGCCGATGAGGAAGTTATCAGGCTTGATATCACGGTAGATAAGGTTCTTCTCGTGGATGGTCTGTACCCTTGAAAGCTAGGTATTGTTAGGTGTGATGCGTTTGTTTTAGTCGCAAAAAAGAGACATACCATCTGCTTTGCTACCATTACGACGGTCTTGATGGAGAACTTTCGGTTGCAATGGTCGAACAGATCCTCCAAGCTGGGTCCGAGAAGGTCGATGACCAAAATGTTGTGGAGACCCTCCTGACCGAAGTAGTAAACATTAGGGATTCCGGCTACGGTTCAATTAGCACTTGATTTGCAACGACGGCGTTGCGACATGCGCGGTTGAACAGGGTGTAGGTGTATCGGACAACATGCAGAAGGCTTGGCATCTGATAACAACCGAGCGACAACGGAGCAAGCACCAGTCAGAAGCCTATCGCAAGATAAAACTCGGGGGTTTGGTGAGGGCAGCAGCAGAAGCAGCAGTAATACCATTGATTATGCCAGATGTGAAGCCAGTTGTGAAGTTGTTGGTTGATGGGCGATGTATTGCCTAATATGGATGCGGACCGGGGTTTGGCGATGGTGAAGGGGGCAATGCAGCGAGACAACAATGGGAGAAAGGAGACAACTTACGGCAGCCAACGAGGATCTTGTACGTGCGATACTCATCGCGCAATTGGGGAGCATCGCTCTTACGAGGCTCGAACTTGATAGCAACCTGCTGCTGGTTGAGCAGGTTGGTGCCCTCGAAGATAACACCAAAGGAGCCCTCTCCAATCTTTTTCCCGACGCGGTAGTGGACGCCGACCACGTTGGACGACGTGGAACCGGTTGCCATTTCGATTATTTTCTATGCCAATGCAAGTGGATTGTAGTAGCCGATGCACGAGGTTGTTGTTCGAGGTCTAAGGGGAGGCCGTGGCCGTGTCCCGGGAAGAAAACCGTCGGGGGAGAGATGTGCAGCGTCGTGACTGGGAAGGAATCGCGAGAGCAACGGTGGAAAATAATGGCGTAATCGTTGATGGTGAACGGTCGTGGAGTCGGGGAGGGAGAGGAAGAGAGAAGAATGGCGAACGGGGGAGGGAGAGGGAGTGGTGGTGGTGATGGTTGTGATGGTGCAGGTAGGGGGAAGAAGAGAGAAGAGAGAGAGAAGAGAGAGAGGAAAGGAAAGAGCAAAGGCACGGAGCGTAGAAAAGAGGATTAGCGGAGAGTAGGGTAGGCAGGCCAGGGTAGGCAGGCCAGGTCAAAGTGTGGAGGTGCAGGAGGAGGACCAACCAGGAGTCGGTTGGCAGCGACCAGCGGAAGAAGAACTGTGACACTACTCGTGGCTAAGGAGACAGGGACAAGAGAGAGACAAGTCACAAGGGACAAGGGAAGGGGAGGAAGAGAGACGAGAGACGAGAGACAAGAGACAAGAGACGAGAGACGAGAGGACTCAGAGGAGAGGAGAGGAGGAGCAGGAGGAGGTGGGAGAGGAACGGGAAAACGACGAGCCAGTGAATTGAAGCGGCTGGGTGGAAGGAAGGGAAGGGCAAGGTCTAATCTAATTGCGGCTAGATTGGTAGCGGACCATCGCAACGCGCACACCCAGTAAGTGGTTAGTGGTTAGTGGTTAGTCCAGTATAGCCGCCGCCGCCGCCTTCAACCTAAACCTATCCTATCTCTCCATCAGTATCTGGAACGGAGTACACACTACACAGTAACTACTCTGTACTCTGTACATAATACTCTGCACCGTACGATAACACAAATACTATTTATTGTACGGGGTACAGAGTACTGTGTACTGTGCAAATGCTGTGTACATACGGAGTATTCCGTGCTGCACTCTGCAACGATAAACACATTGCTTCATTCGTACCCGCCTCGTCTAATCAAGCCTGGACCATACCAGAATATCACTTTGCCCAATTCCATACACAGTATTCCTCGGTTCAAACGGGGTACATCTCTACCGAGCTAGTTCCATCGTCTTCACGGAGAACTCATTTTAAATAACTATGGGAGAGCGAGAAAAAATAAAACTACTGGGCTCGTATCGTCTAGAACACCAAGCGCGCCTTCTAGTACCAGTTACTAAGGTAGCCTGTTTACTTGTTTTTCCCGTCCCCACGGTCAATAAGTATTCACGCTTTCTATGTTCTACCTACTCCGGGCCTCAAGAGTCAAGTGTCAAGAGACTACTAATTACCTATGAGTAGCAACTCCGTTCATACTTACAGTATTATTTCCTCCTACATAGTAACAACTTTACTGACTTTTACTTTGTCTATTCTCCCGCACGTCCATGTAAGTTAGTTGGTTTAGTATGGAGTAGAAGAGTGCGATGGGCACTTGGATGTACCGTACTGTTAGCCTTCCAGGTAGTGCATGCATAGTACTTCGCACTCTCTTCTGTCGATCGATCGATGCATTCTAATGACAATTTTCCAATTCCGATCGATGTCATGTCTCTATACTCTATTTGTACCTTTCTGTGTCTGTAGGTATAAGGTACCCCGTACCTGTACCTTATTTGTATCTGTACCGGTACCTGTGCCGTCCCGTGCCTGTGGACCGGGGGGTACCTGACGGAGCCATCTCTCGCCCGGAACGATTGGCCGGTTCATTGGCATCTGCTGACATGAACTTAACGGTCGGAAAGGGAAGGTGCCAATCCATGTAATTAAAATAACAACATCCATCTCCATGTATGTACTCCGTACCTCTGTCTTCAGTCTCTCTATTATGATACTTCGAGTCCTAGAGTCCCTACCATCAACACTGAATAGAAAGAAACGAAAAACCGTTGCATAGACAAAGAATTCTGACACTGCTGACTACACATGATTAATTGATATTGATTCTCTTCCTCGTTTCAAGCTCCGCTCCGTACTCCGGCCTCATTCTCTTCCTCTCTGCTCTGCCCTTCTACAGTGCTACACAGTTTGATCCTCTCTCATGCAGGGTCTAGGCCGGCGTATGGGGTTATTATTGTTGGGCGCGAAAGGTCGCCCATGTTGTGACAGTAAACTACGGTGAATGGCAGCCAATTCCAGGTCCAGAATACACATTCGATTCTTCCATTCCATCCCTTGCCGCACATGATCGTCCATCGAACTCTCCAGACCTCCAACTATCTACTGTGTACCTTGTCACTCATCGCCAATGACATAACGAACTCCACAATGATGTTCAGCTACCGTCCCTTTGTGGAGTATCCAGACCATGACTTGCACTCGCCTCTATCAATTCCGAATTTCGTTGCGCAATAGAATCGACCTAATCATTCCATTCCCTTCTGGATTGCGCCTACGATACGAAACGCCTCATCGGTTGAACCGCCCCCAATCCCCAGGGTGGCACATACACACGCATACGTTGTGTGTTCCAAGGCTACTCCGTATCATTGCTGCATAATTTTCTGTATCGCAGGCTGCGGCTCTGTCCACGACTAGCAGTGGCTGCGTTGGCTGTTGCCGCCGCTCCATCCCTTACCTCCAGTTACCGTGTACGGAGATGCTCCTACGAGGTACCAGTACCAGTACCCGTACCTGCCTGCCACGCCTGCCACGCTTGCCACGCCTGCTAACCAACACCCACTTCCCCAACGGCGCCCACCGGCCCGTGGATAGCTACCATCTATACATATCCACATGCATGCATATGTACTCGTACCTAGGTACGAGTACGGAGTCCATGGTTATCTGACGACACTTCACACCTCAAACGGTGACACCTCATCTCATCTCGCATGTGTACCGATCTGCCCCTTTTTACCGCTTCGCTGGCTTCACTCGATACCAATGCACCCGACCAACCTCAACAAACTTACTCATCTTCCCCCCGATAACTAACCCGATTTCAACGAACAGCTTATCGGTCACTACTTTATACAGGACAACATTACCCGTCTAATAATAGGTTTATGCTTCTATACATACGGAGTACCCATCCATCTATCTACGTACTGTGTATGCAAGAAATAGTAGATACAGTCAGGAGGAGTGTGCTCTCACCAAGCATAAAACTTCTTTCTATAGTTCACCAATCGTGCTTATTATTATGCCTCTCACTATGTACGCCGTGTACTTTTCTTTTCTAGTTAGTCTTCTTTTCTTTTCTTTTCTTGGTAGCGAGCTTGTGCAGGCTGCCGGGTAGCCTGTCATATCACTATTACAAGAGACAAAGCTGATGATAAAACTAAAATCCCCTTTATATATAATTATCACAAATGACACCTACACCTCTCCTTCATTTCCTGTCCATGTCAACGCCACCACATGTTTATGAATTGATTCCAATCTCAACAATAGCAAAGGGACATAGTAGTAGTGCTCCGTAGAAGGAAATGTTGTAGAAGAGGTTAGACAAGATAGAAAGGAAAAACTCCATACATATAAAGTGAATGTTTTATGATGACACAAAACCCTGGACCATGCTAATGAAGAGAAAAAGACAGAATACATTGGAAGAAGTGGAAGAAGAGGGATGATAAAACCCTCCAAGTCACGAACGCCATCCCATATGCTTGTTCACAATCCTTTCCCTCGACACCATCCCCTACTTTTCTGTGTTTTAATGGGTGAGGTTTGAGGGAGAAAGAGAACCCAAAATGCTTTCGTTGCCCAATCCGTTCCCCAATCCTTGCTCCATGGCCGATAATGTAACATCACCCTTGCTCCCCATATTAGCTCTCATCATACACCGAAGTATGGCCTTCGCAAGGCGAGTTCAAATCTCCCCGCGCCTTGCCATTTGCCAATCGATAAATCAATCAACCGGCCGGCAGTTAGTCCTGCATGCTCACATCGCCCTGCTCCTCGGCGATCTGCTCGACGATATCTCCCTCAACCACCTCGTCGAACCCGTTGGCGAGCTGCGCCGCGGCAAGCTCCTCGAGTCCCCCAGCGTGATGCACCTGCTGTGCCACGTTGCACACATTGGAGAACCACTCGTTAAGCCTGTACTTCTCGATGTTGGTCTGGAGAATCTGGTCGTCGGCCAGATTGTCCGCAATGATCGGGTTGCGGAGGTCTTCGGATGCGAAGCGCACGCACAGTTCCCCGTTGGTGCAGCCCGCTCCGACCAAGGCGTCGACATCCCTCGGCCAGACATTCTGGTAGATAGCATCATCGGCTATTGAACATCAGTTAGTAAACATTTGCATATGGCAGGTTGTTCGAGGGATGGACTTACCAACATATTGGAGCAGTATTTGCAATGTGATCCCGACATGGGTACTCTCCATGAGGAATTTGTTCAATTGCGAATCTGCTACATCCTTTGTGTTATTGATCTCCGCCCAGTCGTCCTTGATCAAAAGTCGCTTCCAGATGAGCTTCGCTAAATTCTCTCTTGTGGCCTTCTGCATACCGTCCCAGGACAGAGCCAGAGCTTTCAAAGCAAGCGCAAATTGGTCGGCCGAATCGCTATAGTCGATCAAGGTGAGCACGTCGATTAAGAGAGCAGGTTCTAGAACTCGGTTGTTGATCAAGTTCTCAAATCCTTGTTGAAGCAGTTGCTGATGGGCTGGCTTCTCGACAAGGGCTCCTTGGCCAAACTCGGCCATGAGCAGCCGGATTGCGGATTCGTCGTCGAGTGCCTCCTGTATGAACGGCACTAAGCGGTCATATATTTGATCTTGTACCTTAGAATACTCCAACGAATGGGAAACCTTGAGCAGTTTGTGTTCCTGGCGAGGCTTGAGAGGTTCCTCGTCGTCAGAATCCGGCTTCATTTCCTGCCTGCTCAACATCGCCAGTTTGGCAATAGACAGCTCAACCTTCTTGCACCATGCATTGGATTCCTGCATTACCCCGACATGGTAAAGTGCATTGAAAGCAGACTCAAACTCGCGCTCGCCCGTCACTTCATTCATCCAGGTAAGCTTGGCTCGAGATGGATCCGCTCTCAAATAGGCCGTCAAAGCTGGCTGGTTGAGGTAATCTTTCATGAAGATCTGGCCAGACTGTCCCTCAGTGATGTACTGGGTGTAGAAAGCCTCCGCCCATGCTTGCCCATACATCTCGAAATAGCGATGAATGCGCTCCTTGATCCTGTTGAGCTTGATGGTACATTCGGCCTGCTCCATCTTGCTTTGCGAACTCAATTTACTCTCCTCCATGTACTTAGTCTCATCCCAAATGAGGCGGACAAGTGTAGGCATGTCGTGATAGGTTTCGGCGAGATTCATTCCTTCTGTGGCCATGCCGATGTCGACCAAGTTGTAGATGTGTTCCGGTCGCACTTTGCTGTTCCACTCATCCTTCAGGTTTCGGCCCATTTCTTTCCTCTGCTCGTCAGCCTGCTCCATTGCCCACTGGAATCGTTCAATGTGCATTTGACATTCGAGTCGCACCAGGCGAGGATTGTCCTTGGCAATCTTCATGGCCAGGTCCTCTTGTATTTCCTTTTCGAAGCTCTCCTCGGCCAGATTGCGTCCGAAATCAACCATACTACGTACGGTTGCCACCATGTTGTGGGTCGACGTCCAGAACTCTGGCAGCAAGTCAAGGCCCTGGCCAGGCTCCAAGACCCCGTCGCGGAGTGAATTAGGAGGCAAACCGTACAAGTCAGCATTCTCTTCACGGAACTTTATGACAGCCTCCAGCGCTCCCAGAATCACGTCGTTGCCTTCACTAAGCCGTTGCATTATGACCGATCGCTCCTTGGACTGATTCTTGGAGTGTAATAATCGAAGGGACTGCCAAGCCCATGGAAGCAAAATATTGATCATACCAACGTCTCGGAGGAACCATTGCCTCAGAGGATCGGTCTCACCTAGATCCGCATTGATGACGGTCTTGAACTTCTCGTGGACACATTTGACCATGTACGGCAAGAGCAGATTTTCCGGGTATGCGTCAGGGCGAGCTTGTTGGTCTCGGAGCCTCTCCTGATGATCATTCCACAGAGCCAAAGCGGCGGCTAACTTCTCTGCGTTCCACAACAGCTTCCATTTGGTGGGAAAGGACAAGGGGGGGTAGTCCGACCGCAAATGCGAAATGAGAGTGTTCAGAGCAAAGCAGCGCTTTCGCATCTGATCACCCATGGAAGATGTGACTTTCTCGACGTACTCAAATGATGATGACAGTATTTCGGAACTGATGTCCACCGCCGCTGCCTCTACTTCATCTTGTGCGAAAGCGTGCCTTGATTGCACGGTGAAGTCCAGGATGTTGTCAGGAACCGTGCTGAAGAAGGTTGCTTGCTCGAGCTTGCTCCTAGCCGTCACCTTGCTATCCGCAGATGAGTGGAGTGCACTAAATTGCACGACTCCGTATCCCTGGACGAAAAGAGCTACACTCGAACGCTTCTCTTTCTTGCTGGGACTCTCTAAAGCGCTACCACAGACTTCCACGGAACGGTCTGAACGGAAATAGATTATATCCTGAAAGGGCAATGATGGTTTTCCAGAATCGGAGAGCAGTTGCGCGTCTGGGCTCGCCTCTGGCTCGGCAAGCGACACGATAGCCACAGCGTTAGGGAACTGGACGAAAGCAGTCTGTCCAGACTGTGGAAGGAGAAGCTTGCCAGTTGGTTCCTTGGGAAGTGGGTTCTGTTGTAGGTTTCGAATCTGTATGGCGCGACTTACAACGCCCGCGTCCCCTTGCAGGTCGACTTCCAATAGGGTATACTCCAAGAAACCACGGCCTGAGAGTGCCACGAGCATCAGAATATTTATGCCTTGGGCCTTGGAGTGTTCAGAGATTGCAAAGTCCAAAACATGAAGCTCTTGCTGGCCGCGAGACTCTGGAGGCGTTCCGCTCTGGATAGCAGCCAAGATCTCACTCTGTACATCGACCTCGTACTTGAAAATCTGCTGTCCGGACCAGCTCAGGTCCCAAAGCTGAAAGACGCCAGTTTTGGTCGCCGAGATCACTTCCATCTGGCCTCTGGATTCGGAAGTGCGGGCCTTTACTGAAGCAATCGATCTTCGAATGGCGCTTCCTAGGAGTCCCTTGAGGCTGAAGAAGCTGCCACTCGAGCTAGAGGGCATGTGTAGCGCCGTCGCATTGATACTTGGTCGGCCCTGTGAATCTCTGAGTGTCAGCTGCGCCAGTCTGCCACTGCTCAGGACCAAGACATAGCCAGCATGCTCGACATCCACGACATCCGTAATGGTTTCTCCAGAGTAAAGTTTGACCAATCCGTCGACTCCTTGGTGTCGTTGGGGGAAATGGCTTCGAGCCTCCGCACTGTCTACGTTCTCCCAAAAAGATATCTTTCCGGTGGATGGAGCGATCGCAAGAATACCGAAATCGTTCGTCGGACCGTTGCGGACGACCGCCCCAAGGGGGAGGGGATCGGATGGCTTCAAACCGAAAGGGAGCGAGAGGGTCAGAACCTTGGTAGGCCCCGTAGCGGAGGTATAGTCCCATACAAGGGCATGGTTAGTTGTCAAGGCGAGCGCGAGTCCGGCAGAAGGGAGGGCAGAACCTCGAAAAGGTGCTGTGGATGTCAGCGATGCGATCTTGGGGGATGAGCGGGAAGGGGGAACGGACTGGAGCCGCTGGAAAGGACAGCTGGGAAGCTAGGGAGCTTCCTGACACTGTAATCTTCGTTCTTGGTCTAATACAAACGTTGTCAGTACTTGTCGCGATGCTGTTCGTTGCGCAGACATACCAGGTACAAGCCTGTGTCTTCTTTCACGGCACGCTTGACAGGCGCTTTCTTGTCGCGCACAGGCAGATCAAGTACAACGAGCGAAGCGTCAACGTCGTCCTGGTCTATGTGACCGTTCAGAATTGCGCTGCCGTTTCCATTGATGTGGCTCTCCTTTGGCTTGTGGAAGATCTCCTCAGATATTTTGCTGCGTTTCCGCCTAGGCTGATGGGGCCCGTCTGAATCTTTGCGCTGCCGTCGTCGTGGATTTGAGCCCCGAACGCTCCTAACCGATGCCTCGGGTGAAAACATGATGGAAGAGAAGGATGGAGATGTTGCGCGATGAAGCGCGCGATTTGGTTGACAAGTCGGCGCGGGTGTCGAGTTGTTTGGGTTGCCAGCACTTGACTGCACGTATTGACGCTTCTTGTCGAAGCTTTGACAGGGATTAAGCTCTTGGCGGGGAAGGACTTAATCCCCAAGCACGGAGATTATTTATTCTTTGTCTCAGGTACAATCGATGTTGCAACTTCACTTGGTCCTGTTTCTCTGCGCGTAGAATCTACATTTGAATTTCTCAACAAGCAACGTGGAAATTGGGGGTTCAATACCATCATCCTGATCTGCATTTCTCTGGCTTCTGCATTGGCCTAGATATTTTGAAAAATTTTCATCCAGGTATCAGAATAATAGGCAGTCACAGGTGGTAGCGAAGGGCACGGCGGTTTCCTACATCAACACCCATTGTTGTACATGATCACCACGGAGCAAGTTAGGAAAGCTTTGTGATCATGAGATCTTGTGTGCGCGTGTCGGAAACTCAGATCATGTTTATCAGTGCAACGTTGTTCCCTCATCAAGAAAGGCACGAGGATCCTCCCTGCTGGTCAGTCTGGTGGCTGCGACTTGCTGAGCTTGTTGAACATGAAGTGCATCTTTGACAGTTGCCCACAAATCGCGCCTGCTTTTTGAAATCTTTGCCTGAATACGATTGCCTTCTGCTGTGTGTATGGCGATTGCCCGTACCAGTCAAGAAAGCAAATGCGCGCACGGCTAGTTATGTCAGGACGGAAAATGACATGGCATTGATAAACACAAGAAGACCGCGAAACGGCCTTTGAACTCAATCAAACATCACGCCTACGGTAGTAATTGTTCATGTCAAGATGAATAATATCAATGTGTGAAAATTACTTCGTGTGATTTCGAAGTTCTGAGGTGCCTGTTCGACTTCCAAGTTCCAGCAGCATCGCTTGCTCCACAGCACTAAAAACTCCCCTAGCAACGCACAATTGGAACTCAATAGAACTCCCATCGTGCCTTCCACCCAATCCTATTGTCCCACTGTCCCGAAGACGCCCCGGTAGGCAGCAGCAGAGGCACGTGATTCCCGGCACGGGCCCACCGCCAGAAAGTAGGGTATATAAGGACCTCCTCCCGCCGCCCACAACGTCTTCTTCTTTTCTTTTTCTTTAGCTCTCTTTGCCTTTTGGCTTAGATCAAGTGTAGTATCTGTAAGCCTACCTCTTCCATCGACTTTCTTTCTCAATCACTAACAAATTTCCCAGGTTCTTTTCAGGCATGTACCCCTCCATATGAACACTGTTTCTTCTTCCTTTGCTAACCTCCCCAAAGTTTAATCTCTGGTAAGCTTCCATTCCTTCTCTACACTTGTCTGTTTCACTGCTAACTCTCAATAGAAACGTCTCTACGGAGACATTCAAGATTATTCTACTTTTTTGAACTCGGTCTCTTTGCGCTGGGCTTGCCTATTCATCGAGACCAATGTGTCGCCAGTCAGTATTTCCATTCGTCCCTTGTGTAATTGACAGAAGACTAATCCTTGCGTTAGGTATTGCACTATCTCTGGCTGACGCGACTCCACACACTTTTTTCATCTAGATGCTTGCCTTGTGCGAGCACTCGAGGAAGAGAGTACCGATTGTTGATGCTGGTGTTGAACCATGGTGAGAAGGCGAAGCCAAAATCAAAGCTGTGCGTGACGAATACCAACTTCACCTGCAGATTGTTTGTATGTTGTTGGCCCCACCCCACCACCCAACAGTGCCATCGGGAGCGCGAGACAACTTGTACGGAGGGTTGTGACGTCGGGCGGGCCACCTACTAATTTAATATCTCATGCCTACAACGGTAGATTCGCGAAAGTCTAAGATCGTTAACTGGCTAGAATACATTCTTGAATAGTTCCTTCAGGTACGGAGTACAGAAAATACATGGAGCTAGCAGGTGGCCTGCCCTACATGCCAACCCTCTGTACAATGTTTCTCACAGATGTTGAGCAGGCATAACAATCGTACAACAAGGTGTTTATTCCACTGCCAGCGCCTTCAGTTGGTGGCACAACGCCCTTTGCGAATATTTGAAAGTGTTTAGGTGAAGCCTCAAACACACACAACTATGGCCTGCTCGAGCACGAGCAATTTACGACGCCGAATGTGATCTCCTTGGATACTCAGCTCACAACCAACAGTTGCCACATTTGCTTGATGAATTGCTTCGTTTCTACTTCGTGCTATCTCGAACGCTGTGATTGATACCTTTACAAACGCCAATGCCTACAGTACAGAGCTTGCCAGCACCAAAGATGAATAAGAACTGCCTTTTGTTCCCGGCCGTGAAATCTTTCCTCCCAAGCGTCTCATTTCCGACCCTCTTAAGTGAGCTTTTGTTTGATAAAGAATGCCCTCAAGTGCGTGAGCTGCCACGCGCATGTGACTCCCAAAACAACCAGTTGGATAAGTGTCCATCGAACTGCGCGGGCATTGGTAGCCTCAGATTGGTCTCGGAATTCAGCCTCGCGTTCCTGCGATCGAAAGTTAGTAGTCCGTCATTTCAAGCTCAAAGTCCTCCGCAATGGGTTCGGGAGATACGTACTCTCTGGAACACCTGCTCTCGCCTGATATCCTGCAGTCTGCTGTTCAAATCCATAACCTTCTGCACAATGTCGTCGATCTTAGTCTTGTCCGTGCTCTCAATCTTGCTAGTCTCTCCGATGACCATATCGAGGTGGAACTTGACCGAGCCATGAAGGCCGTTGTTGAGCCAGCTGCCGCCGGCAGCGACATTTTGCGGGGTGAAGCAGAGACGGTGCTCGCCCGAATCGGCCGCAGTGAATGCAAATTTGCCCTTGCTGTCGCCACGCTGAGCGACGACCCGGTGGTTGTTATCGAATGTCTCCTCAACGGTGATGAATACGCCGGTGTCCGCTCGTGGTTGGTAGGATTTCGTCGCATCGTCCCATACTGTTGCTTCAAAGTGACCTGTAAGGGATTGTTAGCGGTCCATGTTCCACGGAGTTGTATCCAGAAAGCCAATCTCTAGTGAGGTCTCCATACCAACGACGAGTGTGTCCTTCGGAAGCTCCTCGAAGAAGCATTTGGAAGTAGCACCGTCAATGAAGAAGTGCAGCGCCTGGGATGGGACTGCCAGCGCAGCAGCCAGGAAAGGTAGGGGTCTCCACATGCTGAGAAATTGAAGCACTCCGCCTGTAGGATTTGTTGGGTTGCGGAAGTGGCTTTGGTTATGCTTCAAGACGGGACATGTTGGAGTTCCTCAGTTCGAGAAACGTGTAGGTTCCTGAAAAGGCTAGCGCCACACGCACGTGCATTCCTCCCTTTCTGAACATCTCATATCTGATCGTGTGATAGCACCAAGTACAACAGCTGTATATATATTGGATGGATTTTTGCAATTTCTCTGGAATGGAATTTCAATGAAGAACGAAGTATCGCCATATCTTGAATTCAACGCTGCCGATATTCGGTGTTCTGTATCAGATGATGGTACTATATTGACGATGAATTGACATCGCTCAAATCCAAATGAAAGACCTTCTGTATACGGTACACAGTGATCATAATAGCTGATCGAGTCATTATTAGTGTAGCTGTGTCGCAAGAGGAGCTTTCTCAAGATGGAGTTGATCTTATTGCCGACCCCGCATTCTGTAACGCTGATGCTTTGAATAGCCTAGGTAAATAGCGGCAATCCTTCAATAAGACATCCTCGAATGCCAGAAAGTCAGCCTGTCAATTCTTCATCCAATAATTATTGCATCTATAGGTAGAGCTCCAAAAAGGCCATCCAGGACCAAACATACCCTTTTGGAATTATTGTGTCAATTTTTGAATTTTATTCATTTTACTACTCCATAACATTCACATATTGAAATCCAAACCCAAACACTATCTCTACAGCTTTTGGTTCGAGATCCGATATGTCTCTCTTTCAACCAGATGCCGCAGATTTGAACAATCTGAAATCAAACCCAAAGACCATCGTCATAACCGGTGGATCCTCAGGCATTGGTCTCGCAACAGCAAACCTCCTTTCGTCCCTCAATTCATCTCACAACCTCGTTCTGATCGATCTAAATGGCCCACCATCGTCGTTCAAACACGACTCCTCACGTGTCCTCGTACATAAATGCAATATAACATCCTGGAAAGACCAGCGTGCTGGCTTCGAAGCAGCATATAAGAGATTCGGACGCATCGATGCAGTCTTCGTCAACGCTGGCATTGCCGAGTACAAAGACCAATTCTTCACAGACGATCTGGACGCAGATGGAAAGCTGAAGGAACCGGATAGGAGAGTTCTCAACATTGACATGGACGCCGCGGCGGATACGACAAAACTTGCCATCCACTACCTGAGAAAGAACAAGGAGGGCGGTCAGATTGCATTGACGGCTAGTCTTGCAGGGTATCTTGCAAGCGCTGGAGCGCCCCTGTATTCTGCCGCTAAGCATGGTATGTAGTAATCCTTTGACATTGGATGGCTTTTGCTAATCAATGTTAGGTGTCGTGGGCCTGATGCGTGCCCTAAAACAAGAGTGCGCAAAAGTCAAAATCGCCGTATCCGTGGTTGCGCCGGCGATCACAGTGACGCCTATTCTATCATCAGGAAACAGAGAGAATGGCCAAACTGCAGATGCGTATGCGAAAGATATGGCCCAAGTTGGCGTTCCGATCAATAAAGCAGAATCCATCGCTCTCGCAGTTTGTTGGCTCTTTGACCAGGGGATGGCGGCAAATGGAGCTGGCGTCTTCGTTCAGGCGGACAAGTTTGTGGATCTGGAGAGAGGGCTTGCAAAGTCGCGCGAGCAGTGGATGGGCAAGGAGATGCTGGAACTGTTCAGGGGCGGAAGGAAAGCACCCCTTTTCATGAGACTGGATTCCGAATCCCCCTCCAAGCCCAAAATTTGAGTTGTGATCCTACATGTTGAACGGCCCATAGCTTTTAGAAATCAAAGCTTGCTTAGAAAAGTTCCACATTAGCAGAGTAATAGAACTCTTTGAATGCCGCACTGATGGTCGTGGCTACTTTGGTAAAGCTATAGCAATGCGGACATGCGAAGTTAGCCAACACCATTTGGGTCTTCATGGTGATCCAGAAGTCCTACCGATACTCAGATCTGTATGATTCATAGGTGATCTAGACTTTGTACGATAGGTCAACAGATCTCTATCGAACTCGCTTAAAAATCAAAACAAGCGTACTTGGGCCGTTGATAGAGGATTGCTCGAAACACCTGAGGGTGCTAGTTCTTGCCGTATCACAAGCGACAGAAGTACTTACTATTACCGCTTGTTTTGAGTTTGTGGCAAAGCTTACGGGATTATCCTCGACATTGGAGGTTATGATAGTCTCATGTGGCTAAACAGGAAGACGTCGAGTGAAGCTTGTCGAGTTGACAGTGATGCAAATTACTAGATAGTACGATCTGAGCCAGTATCGAGGGAATCATTATTGTACGAGTGGCCGTTACGGATCCATCTTCCGTAGGAAGATGACACTCTCAAATAGACGGATGGCCAGATTGACTGGGGCAATGTATACCTAGCTCAGTGGATGCACCACTTCGCTTGCCGAGTTGGAATGCAAATAGTGCATGTACAAATGCATTTCAAGTACATTGTGCCGATCTTTTGGCATGCACTGCCAGACATTTCAAGTCGTCCGGGCATTCGATACATTCGGGAGCCTCATGTGTCCATTGTCTGACATCTACTGCTCAAATATCAACAATCTGTAGTGCAGAATCATGGACAATTCTCCTGTTACGAGAATTTATGGTAACCCTACTATTAATTTGGTGTTAAAGAACAACATCCCGTTTGTTCCTCCAAGATACGGACCATTCACTTTCCGATACATCCGGTGGGAGCGAATTCAAGAACACGTTACAAGCAAACGCGTGACAACTGGGTAAGTAAGTTACGATTCACCCACAGATTATGCAAGCCTCTTATGAGACTATACGGTTAGTCGCATTGGATCCCGAAGCACGAATTGACATGAAGCCTATACTCTGCGGTTTCAGACCATTCTGTATTCCATTGTGTACACCACTCCATCGTTTAAGTACACCTCAAATTCGGGGTTATTCGATGTCGAATAAGGTGTGTATCTTCAGTCTGTACTATACTAGTCATCCAATGAGTCAATGGTTTGCCGTGCATGTCGTTGTGTTTTGTTCGAGTTAACGATAAGTCTTAGCTGAGTCAATGTCCAACTGACATTAGCTTGTCGACTCGACCAACTTGTACCTTCACAGACCACTCGCCTCACTATGAATCCAGAATCCTTGGTAGCGGAGAGGTACCCCGGATTCTGTGATTCATATTATTGGATAGCCCTTCTAGTTCACTGAATCGGTACTGATTTTCCTGGGGTCGACACTAATTTCCCCACGGTCATGACATGGAAAAGGATGCTTCACGGTTTCCACACCACGCTAAATTTAGTGTATGGATTGGATCTACTCAATGAAAGTCAGAGGATAAAATCATGATATGTCCCTGTACGTTATTGTTGTTCCATAGCGATCAACTTCGACTTTCTTTCTATTCTTGTCCTCTTACACAGATTCGAGCGACACACATAATGACTGTCGATCGTTCCGCCCATAAGCGGCAACGCATCAATGCCTTCAATGTCTTCATCCTGATATTCGTCGGCTTGGGTTCCATGACCTACGGGTACACTGCCTCTATCATTGGTACTACCCTCGGACAACCTTCTTTCATCACCTACTTTGCCTTGGACACTCGACCGAATGGCACAGATCTCATTGCAACCACAAATGGGCTCTTCCAGGCAGGAGGTGTCATTGGAACACTTCTATTACCAGTTGTTGCAGACAAGTATGGCCGGAAATGGGGAATCGCTGTTGTAGGTGCAGATTCTTGACTTTCAACAAGAATGATTTTCAACAAGAAAGCGGTCTGCTGACACTGTCTACCACAGAGTGCGATACTCGCCATCATCTCCGGCGCGCTTCTCACAGGTAGTACCCATATCGGCGTTTTCATTGCCTTCCGTTTCATTGCTGGAGCCAGCGCCTTCATGGTCCTCGCTGCTGTGCCTGTAAGAAGAACTCCTCAATCTACCAGATGATATGCTAAACAACACAGATCTGGATGAACGAAGTGGTTCCTGTGAAGATGCGTGCAGGTCTCGTCGATATCCACGCGGTGTTACTCGTGCTTGGTTACTTCATCCAGGGATGGGTTGGCTATGGCTTCTTTTTCTGGACCAACGGTAAGTGACAGAAAACTAGATGCTTTCTACATGATCTGACTTTGTTTAGGTGGTGAAAACTCATGGAGGCCACCTCTATCGTTGCAATGCGTCTGGCCAATCCTTCTCTTGGCTGGTTTGTACTGGATCCCCGAATCCCCTCGCTGGCTCATCGCGCAAGACCGACTTGACGAAGCCCGTGTGATCCTCGATCGACTCCATAGCGATCCCAGTGATCCAGAAAACGAATATGCTCGAGCAGAGTTCTACCAGATCCAGAAGCAAATCACTCTAGACAAGACACTTGAGAACTCGTGGGTTGCCATGTTCCGCAAACCTTCATACCGCAAGCGTGCATTTCTCGCCATTGGAACCACCTTTTTTATTCAGTGTTCTGGTGTTTTAGTTATCAACAACTACGGTCCAACGCTGTATAAAAACCTTGGTTTCACCCCTGAGAAACAGCTGCTTTATCCAGCTGCTTGGTTGACACTGGCTCTGGGTACGAATCTGATGTCGATACCGCTAGTAGACAAGTTCCCACGAAACAAGTGGCTTGCTATAGGTATCTTGGGTTGCATGGTTTGCTTGATCGTCGAAGCGGCGCTCGTTGCTGAGTTCGTGCCTTCAAACAATACCGCAGCGCTTCAGGCTGCTGTAGCCATGTTCTTCCTCTTCCAGTTGCCATACGGAGTCTGCCTCGATGGACCTCAGTTTGCCTACCTTGGAGAGCTCTTCCCTACCCACTTGCGAGCAAAGGGCGTCTCTCTTGGTGTAGCGATGATCTCCTTCACAAACATTATTTGGCTTCAGGCTGCCCCCACTGCTTTCCAGAACATCGGATGGAAATTTTATCTGGTTTTCATCATCCCAGGTACTATCGGAGGTCTCGTTATATGGAACTTCTTCCCAGACACCAACGGCATGCCACTTGAGGAGATCGCTGCTCTGTTCGGCGATGAACACGAAGTCGCTGTATATCAAAATGAAATCAATGTCACCCATGGCGGAGTGACTGATCTTCACACTGAGGCAAAGGAGAAGCATGAAGTTAGGATGGAAGATATCAGGACAAGTGACGCAACAAATCGTGTATAGGCAAATGCTCAACTGGAAACACGGTGCTGCGTACCGTGAGTCTTGAGAAGATGATGGGTTTAGACGTGTGGCAGCTTGTGGATTTAATTCTGACATGTGGTGGAGACCTTCCTGTGGGTCTCAACACTAGAAGTCTTGCTTTCAACCGCACTAGTACCCTAGATATAGATATATAATATGATGTTTTGTTTGCGTACCATTTTGGTCTGTAAGGTCATGCTCACTGCTGATGCCCTATGAGATGGAAGTCAAATCGTTAGCAGGGTTATCTATACGAATTGAGTGCAAAATACCATAACGCTGAGCATTAATGACAGACCGAGGCGCTCAATCAGTATAGGGTTGGAGAGTGTGGTTCTTCCTGGAATAGTGTTGATTGATGAACCCCTTTGTCGAGAATGTCATTCATGGATGACGTCTGCATTGTGACAGTAATAACAAATTGTTTGGTGTTGAGATGTTCAGTCATGCAGGATTCCCAAAAAAGTATCCAATGAGAACCAATAATCGAGCCCAGTTCTGTAAACACGGTCCTCAAGGGGTAATTGGTGATGGGCAAAATTCATGGCTGTTTCAAAGAGGACGCCGAATCATCCAGAGACTTGGCCGTCGTAACTCGATTCGGGATGGTGGCTTCCCCCTGGTCGCACATGTCACTTCAATCTGGAGAAGGTCACCAGAGACATGCAAGCCATGCATGCACTTCGAGAACCATTGCCGATGCACATTTATTGAGGACAACAATGCTTCTTCTTCTGCATTCCGTCCCTCGTCGTGGGTAATGGGGACGGACAATTCATCTTCTGATCCAAACAATCCAATCCAGACAGAGATGCGGTCTCAACTGTTGTGTTGCTTCCTCTTCAAGCTTACCAGGGCCGGACTCCCGAACGAAACAGCCCGCACCCGCCTGGTTGACATTGGCAGCCAACCAACCAAACCCCTGCAGGCGATCCTCGATTGACCTTATCTCCTTCTGCTTCTGTTCCGAGTCTCCACTTCGTTTCGAGGGATACGGATACTCGCAGCTGGACGACCTACATAATCTGGGGGTTATGCCGTCTGGCCGTTGAGATTGACCGTGTACTCTGCTTTCGCGGGACCCCTCACTCATTCCCACGAACAAGAGAGGCAGACTCCTCTTCCACCAGCCAGTTTTCCCCACCGAAGTGAACGTTTCGTTCCCGTTGTCGACCTTTACGCAAGCTATTCTCGCTTCTCTGTTGATCGTAATACTGGACTACGTCAGACCACAACGCGTGAAAACATTGGTTTTAGGGGGGAACGAACGAATAATAGCCTTGACAAAGTCGACACCAAGCCGAACAATACAGTCTTTTCATGCATTAAACCATTCGTCCTAATATAATGTATACGAAAATCTCGTCATGGACCGCAGCATGCCTGTCGTTATCCTTACTGCCAACGGCGACCGCATTCTATCCGTACCACTTCCCCTCCGGAAGCGACAATAATGCCGGTGCATCCCGTCGAGCCTCGATTCCCCATGCCGCACGAGGGCCGTTGTCTCTGCCCATACGCCGGGTGCAATTGCCGCGAGATAACATCTACAACATTGTCAACTCGAAAGACCCCTCCCAGGCGAACAGCGTAGCAATCGATCAGGATGGCAATGATCTTTCGTACATGGTGGCTGTGACTATTGGAGATAGCAAGGAGGAATACCATCTATTGCTTGACTCGGCTGCTAGTAACACCTGGGTGATGGGACAAGAGTGCAGTAGCGAGGCATGCAAAACGCATAACCTTTTTGGTGTTGGGGACTCGAGCACTCTGAAGGTACGCGTGGTTCACATCCTGTATACTAGGGCATGATGCTGATCATATGACAGACTGACACGAAGACGTTCGACATCACATACGGTACTGGGTCAGTAAAAGGCAACCTTGCCACGGACGTCATGCACATTGGGTCACTTGCTGGCGCCGAGTTGAACTTTGGTCTCGCAACGAATGTTTCTGATGAGTTTCGTGCATACCCCATGGATGGTATCCTGGGCATCGGCCGTGGCGACAACACCCAAATCTCCCCCAAAGTTGTCGAGGTTTTGAGTTCTTCCAACCTGATTGACTCGAAGCTGTACGGCATCCACATGTCTCGCGCCAAAGATGGGCTCAATGACGGAGAACTGAACTTTGGCGAGCCAAACAAGGAGAGGTATGACGGCGATCTGAATTGGTTGAAGACTGTGCCCAACAATGTCGGATTCTGGGAGGTCAACTTGGATGATGCAGGCGTTGGCGAGAAGGCACTCGACTTCAAGGGCATGACCGCAATCATGGATACCGGGACGTCGTTCATCCTCATGCCCAAGGACCACGCAGTGACGCTCCACAATTCTGTTCAGGGAACCAGGAATTCAGGCGAGACCTTCACCGTTCCGTGTGATACCAAGGAGAACCTGTTCATGGCCTTTGGCGGCAAGCGGTACACCATATCCACGGCAGATTGGGTAGGACCTAAGCAGTCTGATGGTTCTTGCCGAAGCAACGTGATTGGAAGACAAACATTCGGCGACAAGCAGTGGCTAGTCGGTGATACGTTCCTCAAGAACGTGTACTCGGTCTTCGACTTCGACAACAGCCAAGTTGGACTGGGTGTCAAAGGTGGTGCAAGCAGCCAGGTTCCCAAGCCAAGCGCATCTGTTGGGACTGGATCGAGCGGGAATACATCTCCCACCGCGACAGGTGAGTCGAGCTCGCCGAATGCCTCCTCCACGGGATCGGCACCTCCCCCGACAGGAACAATTTCTAATGCATCGCCGACAGGTGCTGCCGCCAGTTCGATCACGAACCCTTCGCTACAAGCCGAGGCCACGGCTGGCGCATCGCAGAGCTCCGAGAAGCCGGGTGCCGCTGTGCGAGCCTCGGGCTCTACTTCGTCCGTTGCACTCGCGATTGCATTGGGCTTGGTCTGTCTGTTCATGTAGTCGAGCAGCCAGACATTTGTACTATATTCTCTACACACGGTGCTGTGCACATGAAATCGGCACAGCATCGGCAAAATTTGGCGTTTTGGGATTTGGATTTACATGACGAGGCGTTCTTCGTTTTCTCGCTGCATATGGCATCAGCATCATTTTTCCAGCACAAGCATGAGCATATGGGGCGTTATTTGGTTCTTTATTTCGGTATATATATGCGAGCGGGTTTGGGTGCTTGCATTTCACTGGTATTTCGATGAAGTACTACTACAGCAGAGCAGTAGAGCAAACTATTTATCAATTTAGTATTGGTATCATGAATGCGGACGAAATCTTTGCTTGTCTCTAACGACGTGGCTCTACTTTGCATGTACTGAATGAAATACATGAATTCTTCGCAAAACGAAACCTGACACAAGAGTTGACGTGTACTAATACTACTTCCTCAATCGACAACTACTCGTAAATGGAACTGGAGTACCTCGTAGCACCATTTACATACCACAATCCTGCAATGCACTCCACTCACGCCCACGTCAACTGATAAGAACATTCACCAATTAATGATTCGTCTGATGAGGCAATATATGAACGATAAAGTGTATGTATGAAGACAGGCACGACAGGAAAGCTAATTTACTTGATATGATGACCGGCGGTCGGCATCGGACCGGCGGTTGTGCTACGAATATGTATGTACGGTTCGATCCGTACGGATTACCAACCTCCAGCGTGTGGATGGAACGCGACAATATGATTGCACTGGGTAGATAGCAAATAGACAGACTTGGTATTGAGATAATCACTCCGATATTCGGATCATTTTATATTTGAAGTTCAAAAAAGAAGATGGGGTTGTTTCGTGGTGCTTTCAATCATTGTACATAGATTGTTGGTGTTCCTGTCCGTCCTTGGCGCGACATACTCGCTCGCAATGCCACCACCGCTGTGCCTAACCACTCCACAACCCCTGAACGCATCCAAAAAAGAATCCAAATGCAAAAAGTGTAAACAAAAATAAAAAAAGGGGCCTGACCGGGATTCGAACCCGGGGCCTGTCACATTGAAAGATTCCAACTTGAATCCAGGCGTTTGAAGTACCCGAAGCGACAATCATACCACTAGACCATCAGGCCGGTCTTGGAAGAAGAATGACGTTTTTTCGAGCAGCATAGACTATATACCTAGGCAAGAAATCGTCAAGTTTTGTGATGCTGAATGAGTCGACAGGGAGGATTGTAGCACAAGGAGTGTGGAGTGGGGCGTCCAGTGAGCGGCGCTTGAGCTTACCTTACTTTTCCTTACATTGACTGGCCAGTCTGTTGGGGTAATCAACCCCGCTGGGCGAGGAATTTTGGCTCCAGCGCAGAGTCTACATAGTTGACAGAAGTCGTATGCTTACCCGATCGAGAAGACCTTGCGAAAATGCCAAACCAAAAACCACCCCCTGTGTTATCAATAATGATGGTTAGTACATAGTGGTTGAGAAGCAGCCTGGCAGATAGGTTGCCGTAGGTACGTATTGGCAATTGCGCAATAAATTGACAAATTCAGTTGTGGTAGTTCTCTTTTTTCTCTTGCACTACTCGATGGATTTGACAACGGTCTGGCTTCTTTTTCTTCCTTCTTGGAAGGACTGGTGGCTTCGTAAGGTCTTCCATTATCAGTAAAGGGGGCGAGGTGATCCAGCACGCTAATTAGTGACTGTATCATTGCACTGTGCTGGACATTGTCACTTGTCACTTGTAGACTATGTATTGAGAATTGTTGACACCGACGGACAAGGGCTCGCGCGGTCACCAAGCAAGCCATGAAAGATTATGTACTGTGTATGGGTGTCTGCATGCATGTTGGTGGGATTGTACGGAACATGTGCTTATCCTTATCATCAACCACCATCATCATCATCATCGCCACTACCATTGATTGTTTGTTGATTTGCATCGGCAGGACTTACTAAGTTGTCGAACAGTCCAACGTGAGATGGGTTGGAGAGCTAGAAAGTGGTGTCAATTGTATAGGTAGGTCTAGACGAACGGGGTGGAGAGCCGAGACGCGGACGCGCATCCGTGGTGTCAGCCTGCCAGGTGGGAACTGGACTGGACTGCACTCGTAGGTGTGCTGTATGCATAGATAGCATAAAATAGCATACGAAGCACAGCAGACAGTAAATTACAACGTACAACATAATTAGCAAGGTATTATAGGAAGTCATTGTCGCGAATAACGGGGACGGATTGGAAGATGGGGGCCCGACATCGCAGCCTCGATGGTTTTAGCATATTCGCATCCAACTCCGAAAACAGAACAATAACGAACCCGTAGATACAGAATTGTCGTAATGTTGTGTAGGGTTGGCGCTGTCTGGCCAATCGTGTTGCATCTCAACAGAATGACACACCGACTTTCATTCCCTGTCTCCTGTTTCCAGAATCCAGTCTCGCGTCTCCTGTTGGATGTTTGACCCATAATTAACCGTTCATACAGTCCAAAGGGAACACACATATCTACAAAAAGTCACAGGTTATAGATAGGCAGTAGGTTGGGCAGACGTACACTTCCAGGAGGGTAAGATAAGAACAGAGAGAAGATTGATATGCCGACAATGTCATACTCAGCGTGGGAGATGGCCGCGAGGGTCAGGTCAGGCCAGATCGGACCTTTGAAGGGCTTCGGTGCAGGAGAATTAATTAACAAGAAATGCGGGGAAATGCCGGTCGGTCGGTGGGTTGGCACGTTGGGTAGATCATAGGGACAGGAATTGCTTACTCGTACCAGGGGTAAGGGGAAGCAAAGGAACCTCGAACAGCCCGTAGATGATCAGTCAGTCAGTCAATCGGTTTCTATGTATTGTGATAATGTAGCCAGTTAATTAATTGCTTGGTTGACTGATTAGCCTGTTAATCATGTATTATGTCCATATCCAAGACCATAGTTATCCATAACTTCCAAGTAGGTGGCTATCATTTGAAGGATAACAGGTCCGAGCTCAAGCTTTGTGCATCCACACTAATTGGCCTTAGTTATCTTTGGTATGGTATGGGTACATTATACATACAATAGCTTCAATGGATCGATTCATCCATCTTGGGGGGGATTTATTACCAACAACAGAGCAGGAATGATTTTGAGGCGAATTAGCCCTGTCGATCTAGTCCCTGATGGATGAAGCTAAACAGTTCAACCATCATTGACCAACTGCTCACTCGACTATGTACAGTCACATCCCATGGATTCGGACATCCATTGACCGCCTCCGTCTCGTTCCCCATATATCCGACCATACCATACCTACCCTCCCATGGTCCACTCCTACAGTCTACTGACTCCCTCCCTCTTGGGTACTCACTCATAACTTCAGGTACAAATACATTAATTCCCTGATCGTCTCCTCTTCTTCTCTACTCCCAATCCCTTCCGATCCATTCCATCCCATCCGCCAGCTCCGTTGCTCACGTAACTGTACTTCCCCCCAGGCCATTCATCCCCTCATACTATTTATTAATTATCCCACCCACCCCCTCTCCATCCCCGCCTGAACACATACCTCCCATCTTTGCTCACTACACAACAACTCATCCACACCCTCACAATGGCCATGCAATCCTCACGAGTCTTCTCGCGTGCTGTCAAGCATGCTGCTGCCAGCACAAAGCAATCTCGCAGCCTCCACATGACTGGCCCAGCTACTTTCTCGAATCTCCTGACCTCGGAGCGACCCGCCATCAACCTCCCTTCGGACCTTGCTGGTCTTCGCGCTGAGTGCCAGAAGCAGAACCTACCCACCACTGGCTCAAAAATGGAGGTAAGAAACAACCCCCGATAGGCTATATAGTAATTCCAGAGAAACTCAATATACTGACAATTGGCCCAAATAGCTTATCAACCGCCTCTCTGCACATGATTTGACTGGATCCCGCGCCTTCAGCACTGCTTACCAGGACTCAAAACGACCCGTCACCGAGGCACTCAACATCTCTTCCCCAATTCGACACTTCAACACAAGCCGCGACCTCAAGCAGATCAAGGACAGCTCCACAATCGATTTCACCTACTACCCAGACATTGACCCGGACACTGGTGTCGAGCCCGTACTCCGCGTCCCCATCCTCCCATATCTGCATTCGAATGCCGCAGAGATAGATGATGTTGATGACCCCGTACGTTCATTCTATCTTCCCTTTTCTATATTTACTTCAAGTTCGTCCAAACATCCAATTTACTAACAATTCTTTAGGTCATGATCCCCACAATCTATACCGCCGCTGCTGACGGAACCCACATCCACGCCCCCTCCCACCTCTCCGATGTGACGGACAACAACTCAATCGACTTCGAGGGCATGGCCACAACCATTGCCCAGCATTTCAGTAGATCGTCCAGTTCCGGTGAGAGCATGGCCCGCCAGGTCTGGTCTGACCTCGTGGACGATGTCTTGGGCCCCAAGAAACAGCAGTCCTAGATTCGGCAGCCATTGTCTGCGTGGGCCACAGAAGGCGAAGGAGATAGACATGTATGAGACTATACCACGATATCCATGAGATGGGACTGAGGTTCCCTATTAGTATGCCGAAATTGCCGGCTATTGTAACTCTTTTGTAATTCCAGACCGTATTTCATTCCTTTCTCTTTAACGTTCACATCTTTTTTTATTTCGTCGTCACGATAACGGTGAACCCTCGAGAGACGATGTGAGAAGAAGGACCCGAGAACCCGAGAGCAAGGAACCAGATGGACGAAACGATTGACATGGAAAAGGCGAGAAGTGCTCACACCTTTTTTGTTATTCTATTTTCTCTCCTTCTCTCTCCTGCTCGGTTTTGGCGTGATTGGGATTTTGCTCACCCTTACGATTCGAACAATCTGAAACTCATTCCAAACCATCAAATCTTCATAATGATTACTCGTAATGAAATGTGACATCATGATCTTTGAATACCTAAATTACTTACGATCCGCTGCATGCCCATGCTACGAGTGTCTTATCAGGTATTAGCTACTGTTACCCCAACTAAAGAACGAGACTCAGAAACATAAATCGTCACACGAGCCAAGCGGATCAACCAAAACCTTGAGATATCCTACACATCTAACACATCTGTTCCTTCGTTTTTCTGAATGCACCGTTAATTGATACGTTTACCGTGTCTGATCTGATCTGATACCCACATGCACACGATAAAGCGTCGCTCTGAAGAACAGAACGCATCCCGACTTCCCCCGTCCGCCCTTCCATTCATCCATCTACCCACCCTCATCATTCTTTGCCAGCTTCCTTGCGCCCGTGCCATGTTACCGCCTGCCGAGAAAAGAAATCACACGATGTGAATGTTTCTACCGGAAAAAAATACAGAGGCATGATAGTCGAGGCAAGAATGAAAGCGGGTCGTTGTATACGCAGGTAGTTGGTAGAGAGGAAGTGTAGTTATCGTTTTACACCCGACGTCCAGTCGTAATTGGACATCGAATTTCTCGAAACACAGAGCACATGAAGGGAATAGATTGTATATTGTGTATATATATGTGATAATGCTGTGTTGGTAGCAATGTGCGTGTGTAATTATGAAGTGTCGGTTCAAACGTAAAATTTATACTGACCGGAATATGAATGTTCTGAATGTACTTTAAAGTTTATGTGATGATCGCTCATGACCATTCGGCCTCGATCCGAACTCTCATAGAAAATCCCCTATGATCGATTCCATTCCATCTATTGGCAGCCACGTCGGAACCGCTAACCAAGCATACGTACACTCGTCGTCTCGTCCCCATTATCGGCAGAGACTCAGAATCTCGGAAACATGCCTCCTGGTATCGACACCAATACCCTCCGCAAGACCCTTCGGGCCCCATCCAGCAGCCTTCCCGCCCATCTTCTCGTCCGTCGATGGCCCGCCGAGACCCCACATGCCACTCGCGAACCTCGACCCAGACGTCTTCCCGCCGTTCCCGGAACCAGCTGTGATGGTTGCAGAGTCGCGAGCCCTGCGGATCAAAAATGCCTCGCGTAGATCCTCGGAATTGAACTCGATGGAGGCGGCCTCTTCGTTTGTGGTCGGGGCCGTGACCCCAGAGGGCGGCAGCCGCATCCATGCGACCCACCATCCGCGAGATGTTTTGCATGTTTGCTCGATCTTTCCGTAGTCTCGTCGAGTGTCGGTGATGGCGGTCATGATGTGCGAGTGCACGTGGAGAGCTTCGACGCGCGACCACCCTAGTGGGATAACTACGCCTCCGCTGGAGATGCCCTCCGACACCAGAGTGCCTGGCTCCGGGATGTTCGGTAAGCTGGCGTGTACGGTGTATGTCTTTGGGTCATACACCACATCATAGATAGGCTGTGCATTCGGCTCGGGGTTGGTTGTGTAGGGATGAGCGGCACTCGATATGCGTTCTGCGACCCTCTCGGGAGACGTGCTTTTGCTGAGAGAGGCATTTAGTGGCGAAAAGAAAGAGTGAATAGTACGATAGAAGGTTGAGAATGTCAATGACTGAGCGCTATGCTTCAAGAAGAAGATGTAGATGAAAGGTCGGTGCTGTGTATTCTGGTTAGCAAGATCTGTTTTCAGTGGTTTGAAATTTACTGCTAGAAATTTGAGTTTTTAGAACAAGGATATGAGCTTACCACATAGACAAGAGCTCGCAACCGAGACAGATTACGTTGCGGTGTGAAGGACAACTCCTTCTCGAAAGCAGGTGTGTCGCCATCAGTATTGGGTGTCTGAGGGATATCCTCAGCAAGCTCGACGTGAAGAAAGCGAAGAGGTATACGTGGGCTTTCATCGTCATCGTCATCCATGTCCCCCTGAAGTCCAACCAGGAAGTATCCTTTATTCTCCTGCTGTGTCTGGAGGGTAGCTTCCGATACTGGGTCTTTTGGCTCCTGCTCCAGCTCCGGTTCTTCACCCTTTCCGGTACTCTCTGCTGGCATTTCTGCTGGTTCTTGCTTTCGACCAAAGAAACTACTATAAGGAAGGGTCAAGTACTTTTTCCATGCCTCTACATCTCCTAATGATGGCAAGCTCTGGTCTGTCTCAGCAGGTGTGCTGCCCGCACTGTCAACAGCTTTTGCAGCATTTTCCAGTGAAGCTTCAGCAGCTCTGACAATAGGCGGAGGAATACCCGGTGGAGGCGCGGTCAGCTCTTTAGGCGGCTCAGGAGTTGAAGGCGATGCGGCTGTAGGTTTCGTTACTCTTCGTTTTGTGCGCTCGCGCCCCGTCGTTGGGTTCAAGGTGACACCATAGGTTTGTTCGCCATTGGTATATATAGATTCGACCCAGCGAGATACGTCGCGCAAAGATTGACGACTCAAAGCCCCGGTTCCCGAGAAGACAACACCATCTGCAGGCCCTGGAAATTTCCCATTTCCAAGCCATGGCTGTGGCTCTGCGGAATCATAAGGCGCCTTTGAAGTTGCCTCGGTCGCGGAAGATGCAGGCTCACCGAATCGGGAGACTACCACATCAATGAGCCCGTCAGTTGATTTGACGTATCCCTCCAAAACATCACGCTCTGGGCTTCCCCACTCCTCTTCCCCGACGCCCATGCCCAGCTCGCCTCCAGAAGCAAGTTTCAGCCCATTATATATTTCTACCGCAGGGTTGCCGTGAAGTAACACATCCCAACGCTTGGCGAACTGTGTCCAGTATTTCTGAAGTACCCGTTCGAAGGATTCGCGCCCTTGTCTTGCGAAAACGCGCTGAAAACTTGTGTGGTGAAGTGTAAAAATCGAATACGCACTCCTGAGCTGTTGCTTAAGGAGTTCAGGAGGACTGACTTCGCGAGCAGAGTATTCGTATTCTTGCGTACTTGTGTCGGTCTTCGTGGAACCGGATTTTGACGTGTTGGCTATTACGGGGAGTCGCGTAAGATCGATTGACTGAATATTGTGTGAGCGCGGAATGTCAAACCAGAGACACTATTCCTACGGCGAGTATCCAAAATCCTTCTTCCAACTCGATCAATACGATTCGCGACCGTTCTGTATCTATGGATTCTACGGGTTCGCCATTGGAGAAGCTCCTGCGTGCGGTTGGTATGAATATCATTGGGCCTCGAAATGTGTATATTCTGCAACATACCTGGCGAAATCGACCATGCCCTGAGCAAGCCCAACTTGCAGGAGCTTCTCGTCATTGTTTTCGATGCTTTGCTGGTGATCCTTATCTTGTTCTTGTCGCGCTGCCTTCCCTCGTGTTTTTGATTTTGATTTTGATTTCGCGGATTTGGAATGGTAAAATACAATCTGCTGATGGACGTCTTCATCAGAACTGCTCAGCGCCGGATTGTAGATGGCGAGAAAAGACAACTGAGCGGGCACGACTTTGGGGACGCTTGTCGAAGACATGGTGTAGCTGGTGTAGTCTTGCGGGGCACCAGACTCGAGGTACAGCCCGCCCGAGCTGTTGCGTCACTGCGGAGGACGTTCGGGGGTGCCCACGACCGGTAGAAGGGCAGATTTCTCTGTTCTCTCTACGGAGCGAGTTGATGTAGAGAACAGTATCGCAGGCTATGCAGCAACATGACGACGATATTCACGCATTGTCGGTAAGTTCTTCCAAGAGCGATTAAGACAGGGAAGTTGCCAGTTCGATGGCGCTACGATCGGCTGGATCTCGATGCGGCCGGATCGGGATGAGGCCGCACGGAAGCTGCCGACCTTATCACAACCACCATCAATCTCCCTAAATCCGCAATGCTCTTTTGGAGGCTTCTGTCACCCGTCCGCTCCTTAGTTCTGTCCAGCTCTCATTGTAATGCTTGGTCCCATTGCAATAAACCTTCCAAGAGGGCATTCTCCCTTTCACATGTACACCTCCGCTCTGAAGCATCGTATGCATCCAACAAAGCTGCAGACCCGCTCAGAATACTTTTCTGCGGCGCAGATGACTTCAGTGCCGAATCATTGCGACAATTAGATTATTACAGAAGATCTAGCTCTGCAATAGAGTCACTTGAAGTTGTCCATCGGCCTGGCAAACGAGCTGGTCGAGGATTGAAAGCAATCCGAGAAGGCACGTTCTGAAATCTTATGGATTAATTGTGAACACAATCTGATACTAAAATAGTGCCAATCAAACATATTGCTACCAAAGAGCTTGGGCTTCCTACCCATGAGATAGATACTTTCACGGGGTGGACACCACCTACTCCATATAATTTGATCGTAGCTGTGTCCTTTGGCCTTTTCGTTCCTCCAAGGATACTCAATGCTGCCAAATATGGTGGGTTGAATGTTCATCCCTCACTACTTCCTGACCTCTATGGGCCGGCGCCGATCCACCATACAATTCTTAAGGGGCGCAAACATACTGGAGTCAGTGTGCAGACACTCCACCCTAAGCATTTTGATCGGGGGACAATCTTAGCACAGACCAAGGCTCCCGGTGTGCAATTCCCTTCTTGGGTAACATTTGATGACGTTGTACGTTATTTGGGTATTCTTGGAGGTAGTATGCTAGTAGATGTCCTCCGCGAGAACCGTTTCGTGCCTCCGCTGAAAAACGTGGGGTGGTATGAGGCTTCTGGAGGACCTGTAGAGCACGCTGAAAAGATCACTAAAGCCCATTCATACCTGGACTTCACAAAAATGGAAGCATCGGCCGTTGTGGCTGCTCATCACGCCTTAGGGGATCTTTGGTGCAACTTGCCGAACGGAGAAAGGGTAGTTATAAATGAGATATCAACAGATGATACCGATACTTTGCCTGGACCGCCAGGTCTTTTTTTGAATAAGCCCAAAGATGGTCTATTAGTTCGAACAGCGGAGGGTAGAGCTCTACAAGTAAAGAGATGTACCGTTGCAGGCGGCAAGAAGGGGGGAGGGTATCAACATGTGAAAAAGGTTCTCGAGGCGGCCTCCAACGCTTGAATTAATATCTACATTATCATAAGGACCATCAGTGATGTGACCGTTCTACACACCGTCGAGTCGTGCTTGCAGTATACCCATGGGGCTTTCTATTTACCCTTGAAGCCCAGGGGTTTGCAATGGAAAGCTCGTGGCCAGCAAGTGATATGTACCGCAAACACAGGACACATTTCTGATTCTATATGGTGTGGATTTGAGTTGTTATGCGACATGCTCATTCGTACTTTGTAATTTTCGAGTTGGCAATTCGAAGCTATTTTCAGACCGATTATATGTAGCCGCCCCAGCTTCTGCCATCCAGGAGTATATTCTCGCTTTTGTTAAGGTCTCGGACCAACTGAATAACAATACTGCGCCTTTACTGACTCCATTTATGCTGTCAGATGCAAGGCCTCACTGGAGACTGCTTCGAGCCTAAAATGGCATGTAGAATTGCGGCTACTCTCCGCGACCGGTTTTCCCTTGTATTATTTCCACCCTGGATATATTTGTACAAGCTAATGTAACACTTTGGAAGATCTTCATCGTAACTGGGCAACTTCAGGACCCTTTGCAACTAGCCTTTTTGCCTCACGGATCTCTTCACTGCTTATCTTCATACCCGGAAGATACTCGGTGAAAGCTCGAACAATTTTCTCGAGTCCATCCTTTAACTCGGCAGTGATTTCTTCGACCTCCTTGACCTTTTTCCTTTCTGCTTCCGGTTTTGTGAGAGTTTCGAAATCAGTCCAGTGGATCTGTATGACATTCATGTACGCATCGATATCCTTGATGGCCTGGGTCAAAGTGCGGATAATCTCCGGCACCTCGTTGTGGAAAGATCCGTAGATGTCCTCAGACAATGAGTGGACGGCCAAATTTGCAAGCGCTGTTATGGCATTGAAAATGGTGGCTTGTCGAGAATAAAAGGCGCCTGCAACGACCACATTCGCGGTACGAGGTAGCGACTGGCGAAAGGGCCAGCCAACTGGCGATGCTGCGAGCCTGTTTCGATGGACGTCCCACCAACTTTCCGCTTGACGGACACCATGGGATGCCTTCTCTTGTCCCTTCTTAAGATACTCTTTGGCGTAGGAATTTTGCACGTTTTGGGATGAACTGTTATTACGTGCAATCTCACCGGTGACTGCGCCTACTTTCTCCCATCTGGACTGTGGTACGGCCTTTGGTCCAAGAATTTGACCTTCTTTCAGGGGTTGCGCAATTTGGCGAACAAGCTGTGTTTCGGCAGGAGCTGATGACTTCCCGGGTTCTTGAGTACTACGATCAGGATTCATGGCGGCATCAACGCGTTTGTGTATTTCTCCAAGTTCCGCAAGGCATATGTTGATTATCTGTGTATGAGTCGGCCCCTTCACTCGATCGGGTTCAGCGTAAATTGTTTTTCGACGATCGGGAAATCGCTCAGTGATGATGGCAAGCTCCCAGAATGCCGTACTCTGTGATGCATTAGTCTAAGACATACGTTATCAAGACATAATTCTCCATACCTTGACAGCATCTTTCTTTGACTTCAGACCATTCAAAAGACTACCATTGGGATCTTTTGAGTCATTCGTTATGGGAAGCTCCTTCTTAAGAGGCTCACGGTTGATATACGAGCTGAATATAAAGTTGGTGTATTGCCACAGGAATGTGACTAAAGTGCCCTCAATCAAGTAAATGACTGCGAGGCTCATAAAGGGCGCAACACCAGACGGCTTCGCGTTCCTCGACAAACTAACGAAGAATTGAACCAGGAAAAAGTGTAGCCTCCAAAGCGGATCGCGTCCGACAAGGTAGTAAAGGACCGTTGCAATGGGGAAGGCGCTGGCTGCGAGGATAATGGATCTTGAAAACATAAGAACAAGATTGGCGCGCATCAGTTGCAGTATGTTGGTCTTTCCCGTTTGCTCTGTTCTCTTTACTGGAATGCGAATTTGGTCATAGTCGGCCCAGAGATGTACAATTGTCTGAATACACCCTAAGATGACGAACATGAAGCGAAGATAGACAGGTCGTTCATTGAGCTTGATTCTCTCCGTAAACCTCCCTTGATCCACGGTGAATTGGAGTCTGCCATGCTGGGATTGCGTCCAGATATAGATTTCGCTGTAGACCCAGGCAGAGAAGGAGTACAATGCAAATGTCAAGAACGTGCTCTTCTTGGTAGCGAGCCGATTGAAGACCTGGTTAGGTGTAACGGTATTGCGCTGTCCAACATGCCATTGCGAGACTCGGATCATGAAGACCATGAAAGCGGGTATATAGAGTGCGATCGTTCGGAGTCCAACGGCAGACAGAGGGAACCAGGTCCAAAACACTGCGAAAAAAGTGTAAGCCATAAATCTGAGAGTTTCGCCTTGAGCACTCACGACTATTCCAATCGCCCATCCATATCGCAATTACCCAGCATAGGAAGAGGGTGTAGAAGCTTGCTTTTGCAAATCGACGGTGTAGAGAAGTTGTGAGGAAATCGCGGTATGGTCGCGCATTAACTGCGGGAGCCATTGTGGTCGTGTTAGTAGGGTTGTGGACAGAGATCAAAACCAAGAAAGTTGAATGAAAAGAAACTATATCATTTCTGAAATAGTGGTGGTATCAAGGGACCGTCGAAAAGTGAAAAAGGTGGTTGTGAAAGGAGTGGAGTTTGGTTGGTGTGAATGTGCCTCGACAGCTCCTGCAGCTTTGTTTGTGAAGTCTCCAAAACAGCAACGACGTCGGCGAAATCAGTCGCCGATGACTTATCTAATCACCGTGGCACGTGCCCTTTCCAATGACGAATGACCGAGCGTGGGCCACTCCTCGTAACCTATCCAACCTCCAGGTAACGACGTTCACTTAAAGATAGTCGCCTCTCATTCTCTGGTTTCCGAGTACATTAGGGAGTATTACCCCGTAAATCACTTCTGTTCATTCGCGCGCACTTCCTAGAGTTACATTATAGTCCGCCATGTCGTTCCAGAACTCCTCTGCCCTCGAATCGCAACCTACGAACTGGCGACGTGAAGACGATCCGCAGTATGCCGATGATCCAGAGTTCCGCGATTTCGCCCAAGAGCTTTCAGATAAACTCTTCTCCCTCACGAGAAATGTCACACATCTTTCCGACCAAATCGCCATTCTTGGTACCAAGCGGGAGTCCCCACGTGTAAGGGAGCGGGTGCGCGAGATCATTGATGATACGAGCGCAAGCTTCAAAGAGATCGGAGATGGAATAAAGAAGATCACAACATGGCCAGACGTAGGGGTATGTCAACCATTCATGGGCATTCTATGCGCCGATCGGCAATTAACAGGAAACAGCCCAGCCAGAAGTTTACGCAGGGAAAACTGAACCGTGAGTTCAAGGCGTCGCTCACCGAGTTCCAACATCTGCAACGCCAAGCTATCGAGAAGGAAAAGGCTTCCGCTTCGGCCGCACGGGCAGCTCTACAGGAGTCGACTTCGCCGACCGAGGAGCGTGGCCAGTTTGGCCAACAACAAGAGCAAGAACAGTTGCGGTTAGCTTCGCAAGATGAAGTTGACTTCCAGGAGTCCCTCATCATTGAGCGTGAATCCGAGATCCGAAACATTGAGCAATCTGTTGGCGAGTTGAATGAATTGTTCCGCGACGTAGCACACATGGTCCACGAGCAGGGAGAACAACTCGACATCATTTCAGAGAATATTGAGACGACGCACGATGCGACCCAAGGCGCCCACAAGAACCTTGTCCAAGCGAACAGGTATCAGAAAAACGCCAGGAGCAAAGCCTGCATTCTCTTGATCATCCTGGCCATTGTTCTTACCATTATCATTTTGGCTGTTGTTCTGGATTAGAGATTTTTACATGTGTAGCTTTGTTTGGACTTCAGCATTACGACTTCTGTACAATCGCATAGGCCATGTACATCATAGGGACTTATATACCACGGCGTAGCATCGGCGTTTCTGGAAGGATAGCGCGAGAATTGTGTGGATGCTTCGACCTCGTCTGATTTGGCATTTGCAATTATATGCTTTCATATCTTCATCTCATGATTACAACACTCTTAACATATTCTGTGAAATCTTTTTCCTACTGGCGGGTATCTTGTGGAACACTCCTGTTCCGTCGCTTGAAATATTTCGTTCAAGCGGAAGACACAGGCTCTCCCTTCTCATTGATCAAACTCTCGTCTGTCTTGACAGGACCCTCACCAACGCCAGTCAAAATAATTCTGCTGACACCCTCCTTCAACAAATCAACAGCAACGCCAGCGTCCTGCTGTACCTTATCGAGTGCAGCACTGTTGGCCTGAACGGCCTCACCCCTCTGTACTGCCCAACCCTCCTTCTCGCCCAAAGCAACCTTGAACAATCCTGCAACATCCTTCTCGTTCTCCTCGAGGTAGTAGATGACAGCGTTCGGGCCAGCATCAAAGGTGTACGCGGCGATGATCTTCCCGGCGGCAGCGTTGATAGCCTCAACAACCTTAATGGCGGCGCGAGAGACATCGTTGAGGTAGAAGATCGGAGGGTATGTGTCAAGGCAAGTGGCGTGGAAAGAGTTGCTGTCGACCATGGTGGTCTTAGCGAAAGACTCGAAGTCCTTGTTTTGAACCGCCTCTTGCATCTCCTTCATCCTCCTGGGGACGGTCTCATTTGCTCGTGCAGAGAACAAGCTGGAAGTAGCGACGGTGGTCTGCATACCAGTCGTGGAAGAGACACCCTTCTTCGCAGCGCTAACCACGAGAATGATAGCACGCATGTTGGGCCAGTGAGATGCCGGGGCAACCTGGAAAGCAACGCTGTCGGAGCCGTCTTGTGCGGTTCCTTGCTCCCAGCCAACATATCCGCCGAAGAGGGAGCGGCATGCTGAGCCCGAACCTTGCCTTGCGATGCGGGAGAGATCAGTTGGGGACGCAGGGAGTTCGTAAAGGTTGGCAATGGCGCGAACCAGAGCAGCGAAACCGGCTGCGGAGCTGGCCAATCCAGCGGCAGTAGGGAAGTTGTTCTCTGACACGATCTTCAGGGGGTAGCTGGAGAGCTTGGGGAGCGAGCCGTCCTTGTCCTCGAGTTCTTTCCTCAAAGCCCTGAGCTCACGGAAGCAGGCTTGGGTTCGGGCGCCGGAGACGTCTTGTGGAGAGCCATTGAGGAGGAGGGTGTCCTCAGAAGGGTATGAAGGCGAGCAAGAGGCGGTAGTGTGGGTGCGGAGATCGTTCTGGGAGAGGGTGACGCTGAGGGATGAGTTGGTCGGCAGGTTAAGCTTGGGATCGCGTTTGCCCCAGTATTTGATTACTGCGATGTTAACGGGAGCGGTAGTGCTGGCGCGGTAGATTTCAGACATCTTGAGGCAGTTGAACCGGAATGTTGATTGAGGAATTGAATGAACTCGGTAGTGGGGTTTTTATATCGCCAATGCAGGGTCCTCTACGTGGGGAACGACAACAAACCAAAACTGGTCGGGTCAGCGTACAGTTCGGGACTTCGGAGACCGGGAGATCAACTTTTGGGTACTGTACAACCTTGCAAGCTTCGAAAATTGACAGTAAGCAAAAGAAAAGAGGAACACAATTGCAAGCATTTATGAAAATACCCCTCCAGAGCGGTGAACTAGTCCCCAGTCTCCCTATATCCACCTCCAGCCAATCAGCTGAAAGTTGATCCGGCGCTGCGAATCGCGATCAACCGTCCGAGCTCAACTTTTCCCAATTCCTCCATCAACTACATCACCACCACCGCCGAGTCCTCCGCAAAAGCGCAACGCCCACGAAAACACTACCTCTCTCAATTCAGATCAGCTTAACGCCATGGCGTCCGAGAGAGATCCTGCGGAGGCATGCCCTGTCGATCATAAAACCCGCGAAGCATGGCTTGAACAAGCACGAAAGTCACAATCTCCCATCCCAAATCCACATGCTTCGATACCCACCGCTCCATCACTGCCCTCACAAACCCAGGAAGGTTGCGACTCCTCCAAACTAGATCAATCTCCCTCCCCTAGCACCGGCGTCGCATCTAAAATAGGCCTGGCCACCCAGCGAGAGGTCTCGACAATACCGCGCGTCAGCCAAAATGCGCCAGGTGAAAGACCAGCCAACAATGAGTCGGAGACAGGCGCAGACAAGAAGACTGGAAACTGGATATATCCGTCCGAGGAAATGTTTTTCAATGCCATGAAGAGGAAGAGTTACAATCCGAACGAGACAGACATGAGGACGATTGTGCCGATCCATAACGCAGTCAATGAGAGGGCGTGGAAGGAGATCAAGGATTGGGAGAAGGGACGAGGAGCTGATGCGTATGTTTTCCACCTTAATCTATGTCATTCTACCCGTAGAATGATCTTATAAAGAGAAATAAGGGAAGGATTACCATAATTGCAATTGCTGACTTGAAGATCATAGTTGCGGAGGCCCTCGCCTGGAATCATTCTCAGGCCTCTCGAAAGCCTTGACCCCCCGCGCGCGATTCAACGCTCTCCTCGGATATCAAACACCGTTCGACCGACACGATTGGGTGATCGATCGATGCGGGACGAAGGTCGAGTATGTAATCGATTTCTATGCCGGCAAGGACGAAAAGAAGCAGGGAAAATCTTTGAACTTTTATCTGGACGTAAGGCCTAAGTTAAATTCTTGGGAAGGCATCAAAACAAGGGCGTTGCATTCTATTGGGTTGTGAATGGTAGAATCCGTTTGACGGGAGCGAGAGCAATAATGTCGAGTGTAAGATCATGATGAATGTGCTACAATTGTAAAATAAGGGCCGTAAACGTTACGAGGAAATGGAATTGGATAATGTAGTGCTGCATTTGCGTACATTTGCTTCTTGGAACTTGTTGAAGGGACAGTTCATGCTACATAGATGGACGGGAGATACGTTAGTTGGGCAGGAAACAGCGCCGCATAACGCTTGACTCAATTGATGAATGATTGATTAACAGTACCTTCTCTATACCTTGGCTCAATCACGGTAAACTCAGAGCAATGGAAGCCTCCTTGAAGAATTAGAGACCTCCTAATGCATAAAAATGCCATAGTTACGAAGTTTCATTCATATATGACCAAGAAGAAAAAAATATTATTTGAACATACGGAGATGAAAGATTATCAGCCCAAATGCCGCTATGCCAACGTCGTCGTCGTCATCATCATTGTCTCAACCTGTAGCTTCTTGGCGACTTTCAAAAGAAAAAATACAACCGCCTCTCTAGTAATAACGGATCCCCATATCTCGCAGTTTCTGGCAATTCGGCTTATCCATCTTCCTCGCCTTCTCCATCTTTTCTTCGTCTATGAGAAACCATCCGTGTGCGTCTTGTTTCATTTGCTCTTGCTGTGCGTTTTCCATATCGCAGCGCACGTTTATGTTGTGTACGTATTTCCTCTCGGCCATTTCGTCTAGTTTCCTCCATTTGCTCCGACTGTAATCATCGACTTCGACGGGATTGACGTAGTATGGAATTTTCAGATTCGCAGTGAGGCGATGTTGGGTGTATGGAGATTTCGACTCGAAGAATATACTGGGTCCAGAAGAAGTTGAAGAGCCGCCGAAAAGCGAGGTGAGCAGCGGAAGGATGAAAAGGAGAATGAGCGGTAGGAGAGAAGAAAGAGCGGAGGAAACAGATCCTTGTTGCTCTGTGCCTGGTGGTTGAGCGGTTCCGGGTCGACGGCGGGGACGTCCTCCTCCAAACTGATGTACACGAATTCCAGGACCTCCGCCCATGTTGAAAACGAAGCCTGGACCTGTGTCGAACATGCCGCCACCTGTTCCAAGACGTTAGTGAACTTGCTCTCTTTGTATAACCGAAACATGTCTTATCCACATACCGAATGGTCCACCGAACCCACCACCCATGCCACCCCCGCCAAAGAATTGTCTGAACATCTCCTCTGGCGAGATCTCCTCTTCCCACATGCCACCCCTCTGGGCACCTCCTGACCTCGCAAAGTTGCCGAACGGTGAGCCGCCACCGCCGCTGCTAGCCTGAGGATTGAACCTCGCATCCGGATCACCACCAAAACGGTCAAACTTGGCCTTCTTATCGGGATCGGAAAGAACTTGGAAAGCTCTTGATACCACTACAAAGCAAATCAATGTCAGCAATAATTCCCTCAAATGCAATCGCCATATTCCCCGGAATTATTTTCGAGGAACTTAAGGAGGCACAAAGCTTTCGCGGAACATACATTTGAACGCTTCATCCGCACCCTCATAACCATTCTTATCCGGATGCGTCAACAGACTCAGTTTCCTGTAGGATTTCTTAATCTCGCTGTCCCCGCACGTGGATTTGACCTCCTCGAGCCCGAGAATCTCGTAGTATGCCGTAGGCGAACATCTCTTTATCCGTATGACGGCGGCCTTTTGCTCTACGGTGTAGGCGCGGCCTGCACTACCATCGTGATGTTGGTGTCGGTTCTTCGCATCCCCATTTCCGTGGGGGTTCGCGCCGCTGGACTTAGCGGACATGCCTAGTCGTGGCGGATTGTGGTGGTGCGAGTGACGGAATTGTGGGAGGATGCGATGTTTGAGGGGCCCACGCGAATGTAAGCGGGCGAGTTTGTTGGTGGAGGCCGGAGACGATTTGGGGAGTTTCCACGGAGATAGAGGATGAAAAAATCGAGGAGATCAACGGGAGATAGGCCGCATGAGGGAATGTAGGCGGTGCGGGATCCGAAGATTGATAGGAATTGTTGTACAGATTGTCGCAATGATGGTTCCCAAGACGTCTGTCTGGGAATCTGAGGCCACAGCGACTGGAACGAGTAACTAACGAGTTATGGGCTTCTGGAAGGGCACGGGCCAACGTCATAGAACTTGATAGTGAACGGTGGACCAATCCAGCACTACTGGCGACAACATCATCGAAGCACCACAACATAGTCGATACTCTTGTTCTTACGTACCCGCTTGTGCAATTCCTTCTCTCAGCCTCAATAATCACAAACATATCCCTCAAAATGTCCACGGAGCCAACAAAGCAGTCAATATATCAGTCCCTTCGTAACTGGGGAGGTTCGTCATACCTACGCTTAATTCCATTACTGCACACCAGATACAATCAATGCCCTCTATACCACCACTCACGTGCCCTCAATCCAATACCCCCAATATCAAACCTCATTTTCCATCTACCATGATCTCTTCCCCGATATGTTCTATGCAATTAATCCGTTCTCAACTAACCAAACTACTCACAGAAAACTCCGTCCCGCCAACCCTCTTAGCAACACTAGTAACAGCTCAACATGCCCGACCTTTCCAGCCACTCCCCATGCTCTTCCCGCCTATCCTGCTCTTCTCCTCCTACCTCAATCTCTCTGATTACAAGACCGATGCTGCGGGGATCACGGCGGCGTGGAGTGGATTGTACGGTTTGCTTGCCCTGAGAAGGAGACAGGTATGTAGCAGAAAGTTTTCTTGCCCTTTTGTTTCCCTTTTCTTTCCGGAGGCTTGAGTGTGTTTGAGCGTTTGAACAGGTAGAGCATGATTTGGTTGGATTGGATGGAGAATTTGTCGTACGGAGAAGCTGCAGTACTGATTCTTTCTTTTAGGGACTGAAGAACAAATTCACTGTTCGTGGTGTCGTGCGAGGTGCGTCGTTGGGATTGTGTGCTGTCAATGTTGTTGGGTGTGGATTGGCGTACGTCTTTGGACGGAGGGAAAGGGAGGAAGAGAAAAAGTAAGAGCTTGGAATCATTCTTTGATGGTATCGAAAATTCTATGATTGTATCATACTGTATGATTTATTGTGACGTAGGTTCGAGGGTCGAAAAATATCAAATACGCGCCGCAAGTATCACCGCTTTCAATTCATGCAATGATTGACTGTGATATAATTGCATACGAGCTTCGTGCTCCGTGGACTCTATACATCAATTGCTATCTAGGGTACCCTACTTGATCTCGACGAGCCTCCATGATCAGATGTCGATGATAGCCGTGTGGCTGTGTACTCCTAATGACGCCCAAACACCAGGATACCTCCAATGCCAAAAGGGAAATGCTAGAACGTACGCTTGGAATCATATTTCATAGTAAGCATGATACAGTACGCTTTAAGTCGTGTCCATGGGTTCGCCCCCTGCCTGAGCCGCGCTGCGCTCGGCTGCCTTCTCTGCTCGCTTTTCTGCTTTCCATGCTTGGATCTTGGCCTTCAATTCATCGTTGGGAATGACTTGATCGATGGTAAGGGGCATGCGATTGAAGGGGTCATTGGGATCACTGAGAAGATGACTCCGGATCGTGCTGCGGTCTACCACGGCCTTGCTGTTTGGCAAAGTGACAGGGTCTTCCATAAGCGTTGCCATGATAGGGTCAGTAAATTCGTCGGGGACTTCCCCTAGATCTGCCTCCTCCATTTCGGCCTCTTCCTTGGCTTCTTGGACGCGCAAGGCAAATTGTTCCCATTCTTGTAGCTGCTCGGGTCCTTTGAGTGCCCGACTCTGCATGATGCGCCCGGCAGCTTGGAAGTTTTCGGGTTTGTAAGACCGCCCGTCTGTGGCTACCGAATCAATGAAGCTCTTCTTCTCCCTGAGGTTTAGGAAAACATCGACAATGTCCGATAACATGGTCCTGGGATGCCATCCATATTCGTCTGGGTTCTCCACCCTCAGTTCAGACTGCTTCGGGCCAACAAGAGCATCCAGATTGTAATCTAACATGTGTGCTAATCGTTGGACAATTTCTGGCATCGTGAACGATTCACTAAGTGCCTCCGTGAAGAGCTTCAACATGGAGACGGTCTCGTTCGTTAACTGCATGTAGCTCTTAGCCCTGCCCTGAGCAGACGAGAGTGCCTCTTCCTTTTGCTGGCGGGTAGTTGGATCCATTGACTCAGGAGGACTCTTCAGCTCCTTGGAGAGCTCGTGGATTTGCTTGAAAGCCGTGAAGGACTCATCCAGGACATAGGTGACATCATTCAACAGAAGGTTGACAAAGTGTACGAAGAAATCCAGGTTGACCCTACAAATACCGATTAGAAGAATGAAGATGAATCTAACGCAACAACTTACCGAGCTTCTGTTGCCAGATTCTCCCGATAGATCGGGTTCGGCCAAATGCACTTGATGACCTGGAAGATCTCATAGCGTATATTGAATTTATCATAGAATTGGGTATGTGCTCCCGTGCTCTCGCATTCAATGTAGAATTTCATCAAAGAGTGTAGCAAATGCTTTGTGCAAAAGCTGTTGGCGAAAAGGACATCGCCCAGAATGCCTTTCGACCTACGATCAACCTCCCAGATACCATAGAAGAGAATGGTGACGAGACCCGACTTCAAGTAGGGGTTTTTGATGTATTCCGAGCTTCGCAAGAAAGTAATACAGATCTTGACCAACTCCTCACACTGTGTAGAGGTTACGATATGAGGCATGTGCCGAGTGATGAACTTGAAGTTGTCGACAATGTCTTCGACGAAATATTCAGGCAAACATTGGAATGCAGTGGGTTGCTCCTTAGGAAGAGGAAGAGGAAGGTTACTCTTTGGAAGGTCTGCGTTGGAGGCAAGCCTTAGCAGCCATACAATGACATACCGCATGAAGTGCATGGATCGTGCTTGTGCTACGTCGTCAAGGAGAACACCTTGAGTGGCCAGTACGACACAATGGCCTCGTTCTATGGAGTCTTTGACCTTTTTGACGTGGGAATCGAAACGGCGGAGCTGCAGTGGATTGCTGATGAATTTATGTCGCTCAAGCTCCAACTTGGCTAATTGCTTTTCAAGGTACTTGACCTCTCTCTGTAGCGTGGAAAGCTTCGTATTTGCGGCTTCGGTGCCATAATGATGTGCCGCAACAGTCAAGAAGAAAACTTCACTAATGAAGTTGTTTGTCCCTTCCGCTTTGTTTGCGTAGAAATCGTCTGAGGCATGCTGATCAGCGTTGATCTTGGTCTCGTCTGAGATATCAATTCTTGGAGAGCGACGGAGATAATCGATATCAATGCGATCTATTTTTGAGAATGTTGCATCCATGAATGGTTCACACAACCGATCAAGCATAACAGTGACGTTGACCATGAACCCGTCCGATGCAGTAGTCTTAGGATCAACCTGTAGAGCTCTTCGCTTGTGGTTCGTATTCAGAGACAATGCAAACCAGTCGAGCATACGCTCACGAGAGGCCTTTTCCAATTTGATGAAGCAGTTGACTACGTCGAAGAGTTCGTCCTGGTGAGTCTGTAAAGTCATGCGTAGGGCTTTTTGAGAGTTGTTGACATATCCCTTATCTCGGGTCGTCGGGCTGGAGAAATAATTGAGAGCCACTGCGCCCTGCATTGGCGATAGACTAAAGAAGGGACCGAGAAGTGTGTCGGTTTCGATATTCTGCGGTTCGGTGTTCTCAGGCAAGAAGCGAGGCGACTCCGAAAGAGCAACCAAGAGAGGCTTGTAACGCACAAAGTTTCGCATCGCTAAAACGTAAGGTGTATAGTCATCATTCATGGAGAGCTTGGCTAACCGCCGACTCAGCTCCTCCATAGCTTCAACAAGGACCTGCTTGACATTCATGACCTCCTCGTCCTCACCACCAAATCGTGAGACTGCTTCGTTCAGGAAGTCGTGACATATCCCGCGGTCATTGTTTGGGTCAACCAGAAGATAATCGGCCAAGGCAGGTACCTCAGACGACTCCTCGCCAAACATCTCTGGAATTGTGGCAGCAAGGATGCAGTAATTGAAGCACAACCGACGCGCCTCTTGGAGTATTGCGTACTTGGGGTCTGCCTTATTGTGCATCCCTCGGAACAGCTTCGACACCCTCTTCCAGCAGCCAAGCAAGTAGTCAAGTGGCTTGCCCAAAGCTTGGCTCGAAGTTGCTTCTTGTATTGCGGATTCCAAAATCTCAGTGTCCTTTGTGAGCCGCACTGGCCTGTTGTTCTCCTGAAGCTCGTCCCGGACGCCAGAAACATGGTATAGTGGGAGTCCATGCGCATCGCGACTTTGATTCGGGTCTAATGTGATGCGGAAAATGCTCCCTATTGTCCTGTCTTCCCAAGATTCGATGCTTACTTCTTGAGGAGGTGGTTTTGGAGCTGCTGGTTTGATGTTGATCTTTCGGGGAGCGGCTTCGGTCGCCACGCTTGGCTGTGTAGGAGGTTTCGGCTTCGAAGGTTCTGTAGGTATCGGTCTTTCCTGAGGTGCTGCCGGCGGCGACGTTGGCTGTGCTGGAGGCTTCGGTGAGGAGCTACCAGGTGAGGAAGCCGTTGAACCCCCAAGCTTCGCAAGGCGTTTCGCTCGGATCTGTATTGAGTGGTCAGCGTATGTACTTGAGCTTCAATCCAAGCACTGATCCTCATCGCGGACCTTTAGTGTCACAGTTGAACACCCGTGAAGGGTAATTTCCCATCGAGCCATTCCATCTGGTAGAAAATACAGGCATGGCGTGAATGTAATCTTAGAAACTATCAATGTTATAAACGTACTTTCTCTGCATCCGACATTGCGGAATCCTGAGGTGGATCTGCTTGCGGTGGGTTGCCGTTGTCGGCCATGTTGTAAGTGCTTTGATACAATTTCCGTCTGGCAGACTTCGACTTTTGGGGCTTTGGTATTAGAACCTATGCACCGTTAGAAATGAGAGTCGTTGATGGTTTGCGGAGTGAGTGAAGCTCCAAGCCAGGCCAGGCTTCAATGACATGGTTAATCGAAGTGTCCACGAGGGTCCGTGCCCAAAGCTGCCCCGCCAATCATGACAGTTCCGAGAGTAGACAATTGGGGGAAGCTGGTAGAAGAGTAGCGAACATTTGCTTACTGTGTGCTACCGACCTGAGGAGGTACCTGTAGGTTACCTACTACTGTGTTTGTGATCAAAACACACAAACACATGTCGTGTCTCAACATGAATGTGCACTTTTGTAGTTCAGCAACTATCATTCGAAGATCACGCTGGGACACAAAGGATTAGAAAATCCGGTGTCTTTTATCTACTTTGGAGCAAGGACTGTAAGAACGAATGGATAACATGACAGTAAATGTTATTATCGTGGCAAGTTCAAAAGAAGCTTATAAGCGACCACGACAGGCCTCTTGAGGTTTTAAGCACCATGATGAATCGACCATACATTATTGCAGTACTTCACATTACAAGATACCACCACGGTAGGTTGTAGCATGTTGAGCAATGAAAGCACATACTAACATAGCAGATCTAGAATCATCTACAGCAATACCTCACGGTTTGATTGCTGTCCTGTTGTTGTACAAAAGTGGAAGGGTTTCGTCATGAACCTCTACTAGAACAGCTTAGCTTCCCTAGAGTATTCTTGAGAGAACAGGACTCAGGAGCACAGAATAGGTAAGAAGAGTGGCGGTGAGTATGTAGATGGTTCAATTTCCCGTAGTCATCTGCACTGCACTGTGTAATGAGCACAACGAACGATATACATGGAAGCGTGACAAGCAAAACGGCCCGCGCTCCCATCAACGAAGCTAATTATGATTAATGGAGATGTCTTGGTACCGGTGATTCAGGTTGCAACTTGCAACACGGTGATTCTGATTGAATGGAACCCAACTTTGGGAAGAACTAGGGGTTGAGGTGTTGATATGTCTTTGCACTTGTATTATTGCAATAATGATAAACAAACCATGCACACAGTTATTCGTTGCGGACGAAGATGGTGAAAGCGCCAAGTCCAGCCCGCATTACGCAGCCGAGACGAGGGTCGTTTGTGGAGATGCGTCGGGGGTGAGAAATGGAGACCATTCCCGAAGAACAGAATCCAGAGTAGCTGGTGCTGTGATGTATCTAATTCTACCTATAGAATGAGCCCCAGAGCGTTGTGTGAATTGTGGATGAAACCAAAGGTCGGGCCATTCCTTGATGCATTAATTAGGTATTGTTTGGGTTCACAACAGACAGGCGCCGCAGAGCAAAGGGAGGCGCAGGGTTCCGGGACCATCCGTCTACGTACGTGAGGGGGCCATGATAGCAGCTGAAAGTGAGGTTTCGGCGGTGGTGTTGCCTAGAAAAGAACGAGCATCTGGCCTGGCCTGCACTGCACTGTACTAATACTCCTCGTACCGGGAGAGTGATGATGATCAGTGGTGGCTGAAGGGATTCGAAATTGTGTGAAACCATAACAAGGCTACCTAACCGTTCACCAGTTCGCAGATACGAATACGTATGTGCATAGAGAAGATATCAGGCTCAGCAAAACGGCCCAGGGTCCTAGACAATACCAATGCTGAGGTACTCCGTACTCGTAGATCACCGTGGTGACAAGTGAGGACTGGACTGCACAGCCAGTGGTTCTAGTAGTGGGTGACAGTGGTGGCATTAGTTGCCATGTACGGAGTACAAGTTCAAATTACATGGGGAGATGAGGATGGGCGAATGGCATGTCAACGGTGGTGATGCTGAAACGACTACTGCTTTCAACATCCGCCGGCCGCTGTCGTGAGTGATGCGGTTTATGACGCCGCAGCAGGGCCATAGCGGCGAAAGATAACCGCTAAAAGTGACGTCGGCTCAAATGGTTCGGGTCCTGTTAGTCCTGTAACTAGAAGCCAATTTCTCTCTCTGTCCTTCTCTTGCCTGACCCACGTACTGTCCTGTCTTGTCTTTGTCTTTTATGGCGCTATTATGGAGGACACCAAGAGTTTTGCATAGTTGTGTAGTGCGAAAGAACAATCGTGGGTGTCAGTAAGCAGAGGACAGATAGTATAGAGGTAGAGAATGTGGAGTACATGGTTAATAGGTAGGTAGAGAGTACTCCGTACTTGTAGACTACATAATTAATTGGGAGAGAGAGACCGAGAGCGAAAGAGGCGAAAGACAAGGCGCGCAGCATGCGTGCGTGCGTACGCGCAAGGTTAAAGAACCACACGAATGACTGGTCACGAGGGCGGAGATAACAGCGTTTGGCGTGGCTTTATCAGCGCATTGGAGGATAACATCATCAGTTATCGGGACGAGGAGGAGGAAGATGAGGGGGCGTGAACAATCAATCAACCGCTGCAACTGTGAATAATGATGCGAATGAATTTATTTGTGTCTCGGTGCCCAAGTGTGTAGTATGGACGGAGTGAGTACTGGTATGTGTCACTACGCGTGCGGCGGTGGTTGTTGAAGATCCATAGCTTGGGAGTGTTCCTGAGGGACCAACCGGTCAAGCTGTATTGGTACGAGCAGATACAAGGGGTCAAGTTCAACAGGAATGAGTGCATGTCTGGGAAGGAAAGTATGGCATTAAGACGAGTTCGAGGAGTTAAAGAGGAGGTGGGAGGGACTCGCTCGGGACTGTGTTTCTCAGTTGGTGGTGGTGGTGTTGTTGTTGGCCTGGTGTTGGAGAACAATAGAGAGAATCGGTTCAGTGAGTGTCAGTCAAGTGTACCTGTACTGTGTAGGTAGGTATTCATTCAAGTCATCCAGTCGGTCAGTCAGTCAGCTACACAGTAGTCAGTCAATCAGGCACTCCCCTTTGCCCCGGAAACACAGTTGTAGACTCACTTTCCTTTCTTTCGCTATTATAGAGATTCTATTCTTTTGTCTCCTTGTTTCTGTCTCTCTGTTGTGTGTCCTATCTGAGTCCTCCTCTGCATCGACCGACAACCCACACCAACCAGATACCTTACAAGTACTAGGTACTTCTCTTGTTACCATCACCCGCTCCTCCTCCTCTCCTCACCACCACCACAAACTCAACAACAAACAGCAGCACCACCTCCTCATTTCCCATCCATAAAACGTGAATCAACACCCATCCAAACAAAACACCTGTACGTTGGCCCTTCCCCCCCCCCCCCCTTGTCCCTTTTTTCGGACTGCACCAGCCACGCTCTGCTTGCATAGCCACGCTGTTGCTCTCCCATCAACACGCACACAGTGCACACACACGCCTCTACCCACCAGGCCCACCAGTGAACCGTGCCCTCCAGTTTCCTGCCTAGTGGAAGCAGCAGGTCCTCCCCAAACTCACGACCACCTACATCTGCATCTACATCTACCTCCCATCCCCGTGTTAACCTTCTCCTCGCTTTCTCTAGCAACCCGAATCGCCCTCCGATCCCTTTCACTTTCATTCTCTGACACATTATCATGGCGGAGATTCGTCGAAAGCTCGTCATTGTCGGTGATGGTGCCTGCGGAAAGACCTGTCTGCTCATGTAAGTCCTGCACCCTTCGTCATCGCGCTCCCCAGGTGGTTGCCTCCCGTCTTCTATCTTCTGTCGCTAATCCGTTACCTCGCAGTGTCTTCTCCAAGGGAACTTTCCCTGAAGTATGTCGCTCTCCTATCCTTCCACGTTTGCTCAGGGCTGCGTCAGCCTCCCAGCGACTGGCGCCATCGCCTTGTCAGGGACCGACGACATATGATCTATCAGATACTAACTACAACTCCCTGCGCAGGTATACGTCCCCACTGTCTTCGAAAACTATGTCGCCGACGTCGAGGTCGATGGAAAACACGTTGAGCTTGCCCTTTGGGATACCGCGGGCCAGGAAGATTACGACCGTCTCCGACCGCTTTCCTACCCCGACTCCCACGTTATCCTGATTTGCTTCGCCATCGACTCCCCCGACTCGCTTGACAACGTTCAGGAGAAGGTAGGCTCATACAATCGGACAGGGTCATGATCGATATAGTTGCTAATTCTTGGCGATAGTGGATCTCCGAGGTTCTGCACTTCTGCCAGGGCCTCCCTATCATCCTCGTTGGTTGCAAGAAGGATCTCCGTTACGACCAAAAGACTATCGACGAGTTACTCAAGACCTCCCAGAAGCCCGTCGCTCCCGAACAGGTCAGTTCTACTCGCTGGATACTAACCCCTGAACCCGAAAGCTGACGCTCGACAGGCCGAGGATGTCCGTAAGAAGATTGGTGCCCAGAAGTACCTTGAGTGCTCCGCAAAGACGAACGAGGGTGTCCGAGAGGTGTTCGAACACGCAACCAGGGCCGCCCTGCTTACCCGGAAAGACGGAAAGAGCAAGAAGAAGTGCTTGATCTTGTAAGGTCAACGCCTTTTTGCTTACTGTCTTTAGCCGCCACAGCCGCACCATGTTGATCCTGGGCAAATACCACCCTGTGGCGGGTCGTGTGTTTATGGCGGGCTTGTCAAACTAGTACAATGTGAATGGAGGTTCAAGGTGGAAGGCAATTCGAACCTTATTCTGGCTAGTCAAAGCCCTTTTCCAATCGGCAACTTCGAGGCGTTCTGCGCTGGATTCTTTTTTTGCGAGCACATCATCTTGGGGTAGTTCATGATGGGGGTTTCAGCGGGGCCGAGATTGAGCAGCTATCGGATTCATCAGTAATAGTAGGGGGGCACTTTTTTTCTTTGTGAGGAGAAGCGTCCCCGTCATGGTACTTTTTTGTATTTTGTGTGCAAATTATTTCCCTGGCGTGTGTTCGTACATCATCTCTGTCTCCCTCATCCGAGCGAAAGTTTGCCGTCTTACCAGATCTTCCTAATTCGTATATCAAACCATCCATATCCCAGCAGACCTCCGTTATCACGACCAACAGCCCTACGCATCCATCCATACATAAACATCTATCATTCCTTCCCTCGCCTGCATCTCTCGTATAGATGGGACCATCCTCTGTTCAATCACGTTCGAGCCACTTACAAGCGCTTCCATGCATCATCTACTGCTTTTTGTCCCTCAGATCGCCGACCTTATTCCCACCCATTGCATGCCAAACCATGACCTCAGTTCACCGCACCTGTCCTGAAACCAGATAAACTGATCCCAACGTAACCCGTCTCGCTGACTGCATGGCATTCCACTTGTGGTAGCGTGCACGTCTGATCATTCACGTACTCGTGACACCCATCAAGAATGAATGACTGGAAGTGCTTTCGTGTATCATTCGAGTGGCTGATGTAGTCTGTGGGTTTCTGTATCTCTTGAGGTTCGGAATGGAGACGGTAGGGTGAACGTGTTCGTCAGTCTGTATTGATACATGTCGCTGTGTTAGTCGAGCGAGCTTTGTGTGGCAGTTAATTCGATGTTCGTGCTAGATCTGGAGGTTTGTATTGCAGTTGTATGATTATGGGTGATAGGTAAGTCTGCGAGAGGGTTAGGTTGGGAGGGAATGTGGACATTGATTCTCGCGTTATTGTTCTGCGTTTAGGGGGGTATGCCATACTGGAATTTATCATATATAGGTGCCTAATCATTGTGTACGTCGGGATGTTATGGTTCAAGGGTTTTGTAAAGTGTGTATTACCCAGTCTATCTCTATGGGTGTGAAGATTCCAAATGAACATTTTTGTCAACTGACTCCCACGCTCTGTATGTACGATGCTTATCATGCCGAAATGACCAACGGATTAAAGGAAGGAAGGGGTATAACAAGGAGCGTTCTACGCTTCTTCAATATCGACAATCGTATACCAGATCTTCAAATACAATCAGTGGGTCGCCTCACGTGGACCCAGCTACCATGCATCGCCCCATCCTTCCTCTTCATCTTCGTTAGATTTCGTGGTAGGTGCTGCGGGCTTGGGCGTCTCTTTCTTAGCCGGAGGAACAATAACCTTCCTTGTCGACGTCGATCCTGTGGTACTAGATCGACCGCCAATGACCGGGCGTGTAGATTTGCTGGCTGCACCCTTGGAAAGTCCCTTAGGAAGTGCATTCTTTGCCGGCTTCTTAGCTTGATTCTGTGCTGCGAGCCAGCCAGCAAAGTCAGGCTCTCCGTTGTCATCGAATGACGTCGGCGATTTGGCCTTTGCTGGAGCTGGTTCAGCCCAAGGATCCTCCTCCTCTTCCTTGTCCTTAGACGTGCTGTCGTCTCCCCCAAACCCACCCCAATCGTCTGTAAAGTCTTCAGCTTCGTCATTAAAATCATCTGTTGACTCCGGTGCGACTATGGATGGAATATTGGGCGTGCTCTTCTGTAAAGCCATGCCCGATTTGGGTGCAATGGCAGCAGCCTTGTTCGTATTGCTAGAAGCAGGTGGCGGAACGGATGACGGTCGGGTGTCCACGCTCCCATTGTTGGCCTGCATCTGTCCACTTGCTTGGGTAATCTTATTCGTAAACGAGGAAATGGCCCAGCCCGCCCACGAGGCACTGTCGCCAGCAGGAGTTCCCATTCGCGGGACGTTCGGTCCCGAAGCAGAAAGAGAAGGTGACGGAAGGGCTGTATCAGGCATCGATTGGGTATGTTTTCGAATGCGAGCCAGATATATATCAACTGTCTTAGAGGCTTGATCTCGAATCATTCTTTTTTTCAGTTAGTTGGCATCCATTACACAAAGGTGTGGGGAGATATGACGCACTTCTCCTTGTCCACTAACGAAGGTACCATGACTGGCAACAGCTTCGTGGCACAATCTTCCTCACTGAAAAGGTCCGCCGTGGCAGACAAAGCCATGAGAGCGGCATTACGAGCATGAACGAAAGGATCGCGTAACGATCTCGCAAATGCCGCTGAGAGGACTTTGGCTCGGTTCTACCGTAGTTAGTTTTCTGAACACTAACATGCAGAAATGAACATACATTTGCCCCAAGGTTACGCGCTATCTTGCCCAAGCAGATGGTGGTATTTGTTCGAATCCCAGGTTGCTCATCATTTGCCGTTTTGGCAAGATGTCGCAGTAATTCACCGTTGACTATGCGATCAGACAATTTAGTTACCACGGTAAGCACCGCTTTGACAGTTTGTTCTCGAACGACAGGCGCGGCATCTGTGAATCCAGTGACCTTACAGACTTAGCAATCTCTAAAGGCAAAGCGTGAATGATATCATACCATCTGAGGGAAAATCTTATCTGACACCAGCTTCTGAGAGAGGTGGTCGATCATTAACGGGAGGTTATCAAGTAGGCAGACCCGAATAGCTCGATCTGGACTGGAAAATAACCGCACAACAACAGGAGTTATCTGTGTCTCGTACTCATCATCCGACAGTTTTGTTCCGATCTGCATGACAGTTCCAAAAACCTTAGCCCCGCCTCCTCCGAATTCTACGGATTTGAGCAGCTCGGGTAGGACTTTCATCTTGAAAAAGTCCGCAGGAAAATCGTCGGAAACTTCGTCCAATTTCCTGAACCAGTCAGTTGTTTTGCTTGTTCAAATCTTCTCGATTTGCAACATACCCTAGCAGCTCATCCCTCTCCTCGTCAGCTTTGAGGCCAAGGTTCTCAATATCCTCCGTGACCTGTATCAAGGGGGTCTGAAAGAACCCGCCAATACGTCTACCCTGGTCAAGAAATTGAGATACGCTCATTCGTGCCTTTGGGTTAGGATTCAATAACCGCTTGTAGGGTTGGTGCATGCTAGGAGGTATGCCTTTCAGTTGAGTTAACTGATCAGGCCCATGGAAGCTACCCGTGAACACTTCAAAAATAAGAGTTCCAAAGTTGTATGCATCGATTGCGTGTGTCGGATTTTGTCGAATGACTTCCCAACCACCTTTCGAAACCTCGGGAGGCATATATCGCTGTGAGTCTGGAATAAGGCTCCCGTATGTCTATTACATGTTAGAAGACGACTTTGAAGAAATCCCAGGACTACAAACGGGAAGAACTGCATCGTCTTCCTTCATTGAGCTCAGAGCGTCGAAACCTGCAAGCTTCCACTCTCCGCTCTCTCCAAAGAAAATAGAGGCTGGGCGGATGCAGGCATGAACTGAGACGGCATCCGCGTTGATAAATTTGAGAGTTTTCTTGCGCCTTATGTCAGTGCAAGGGTCAAAAACAATTTGGGTGACGCCCTTACTGCAACATTATGCAACCCCCATTTTATGGTCTCCTCCGTTAGACTCTTTCGCTTGACATGCCAGCTCAACGGACTCAGTCGTTCTGTTGCGATGTAGATGTATGAATCGGTCTGCTATGCCCTCAGAAACAGTCTAGCACCGTAAATTTAACCCTAAAATACCTCAACAGTGTCGAGCACCTTCACAACGCCTGGATGTCGTAGAGTTCGAAGCTTGCGGAGCGCATTGCGGGCAAGGGGTAAGCGGGACTTGTTGGCGTTCACGTCGAAGGAGAATATGCTACACTTGGAGCCATCTTCCTAGTAAATAAAGATTAGCTGTCAAGACCGTTAAAAATAAGAGCCACAAGGAGCATACTCGCTTTGTGCCGTTGTGTAATGTCCAAATAGAATCATCAATGTCCACACGGTCGCCGAAACTGTACCCAAAAGCTGGGCCTTTCGAGATGGCAGAAGCGACAGCAGACTTTAGAAAGTCCATCGCCTCAGGTTAGATCGGGTAACTTTTCAATAAAGGTAAAAGTAGAAAAAGTGGTCACCGACGTAAGGTGTCTTCAAGACAGATGAAGCTGTCTTGGCGGAACATCATATTGAGCCCTCTAACGGGCATTAGATCGATAATACTTGTCAGGGAATAAAGTGCCCAAGTGGGGGTCAACGATTCACACGTGAGTACGCGAGCTGTTGGATGTCGCGACGGGGTGCCTTCCCCCAAATAAACTCCGCACATTGGCTCCCTTCTCTTGCTTCGATTTGATCATTACTACAACGCCACAAAGAAATGACGGTATCTTTTTTGACCATTCAACTCACCTGGCTTCTGAATTACCTTTTTTGAGCTTTGACTCAAGGAAGCGCATGTTTACAACATCAATTGATTGTCGTCGGTCAATGACCGATTGCGACGATACGAGGTCTCCTTCACCTGTGATCTTGAGCTTCAACGCGTCTCCTCCCACAGGCCATGGCTGGTCCATTCCAGCCGGACTGCGATAGGCGCTCGCACGATGCAATCCAACCTAAGGTGAGAAACTTTGCTATCTATTGTCATGTCATATCTGGACAATGACGCATCACATGTCGGTTCAAATTCGGCCGTTCTGTCATAGCTATACTAGGTCCTCTGTCGACATAGCGATACTTGGGTCCAGAATATTTTTATTGCATTTCGAAGAATTACTTCGTCCTGACGCCACAGAGGTGTCTGTTGGCTGCGTGGTGCTGAGCTTTTGGCTTGCGAAAGCTTCAAGAAGATCGGTGCTGGAGTACACAGAGCCGGCAACTTCCCCAATCATTCAGGACTTGTACCACTCATCCAATTCAAACTATATACTGAGCATCTAGCAGATATCCTCCTCTAATCTCCATACGCAAACCACTAAGATAAAAGGAACGATGTATCCCACGGAGCTTTCCATGAAAGCACCACAAGCATATTCTGGTGCATGTGATAATGTATACCCAAAGAGCAGCACAGGCCCGAATAACCAAACCTCGAAGATTACGGTCAATCAGGGCGCACAAGGGTGGGAGTCCGTTCATCGTGGTATATCGCCGCCTCCAATCAAACGCACCTTTTCAACTACTTCGGATTGCGACCGTACCGACAGGACAGCGAAGGAGCATACTTTACAATGTCTTCCAGGTAATCAGAGAGAGGATGCACTGTAAGAATCGTTATCACGTCATTCCAAAAGGCTCATGCTAACATTCTTGAGCTTTCAACAGGCATCAATGGGTGGCTCCGCTGGCGCTAGTCGTTCCTTGATGATATCTAGGTATGTCAACATGAATATGGCTTTTTCCTTATGTATCTAACCCAAGTCATACGATAGTAGTGATCATCGGCCCCCTACTGCTTCCAGATCCCCCGAGAACAGGCATAATATTCAGACCAACGTGGTCACTGGTGCAAATCGGGCTAAGGCCCTGGTCGAAGATTCAAATTCAAAGTTGATATCAAGGCGGTCGTCCGGGAATGCTCACAAATGCGCTCAGTGCCAGAAGAGTACAGGGACGAGCTACGATCCTTTCATCAAATGTCCCACTTGCCGACGTCGATTCCATGAAGGCTGCCGGAAACCAAATCTTCGCACGCCTGCAGAGAAGTCAGTATCCTGGTCCGGTGCAGTCTCTTTGAACCCCGAATATAGACTAAACCTGGCATAGAGCATTGTGGCAGTGTTATGTCTGCGTCAAGAAAGCTCATCGACTACCTGCACCATCCAGAGCTAGCCCCAACAGCGCGGCGGATCGAGCAAGACCGTTCCCAAGTACTCTGGGCTCAGCTGCGGACTACAGCACCCACGAAAGACCACATCACTACATTGGAAATTCAACACCAATGACACCCAACAAGAAAGTACGTGGCATGACAACTATGCAAAATGAGTCCAATGTATTGAAGCCTTTGGGTGGTTTCGACCTTGACAAAATGGTTGATGAGTCAACTCTCGTCGATAATACAGTGAGTGCAGAACAAGCAGACATGACCGGTCTCGGACACGGTACTCTAGAAATTCCCAACACTCCTACGCAAAGGTCCAGCCAGATACTCAGCCAAGCTCTTATTCCTGGTCACTTACTGCTTGCAAACGGATCCAATATTACTGGTTCCATTAGTGGAGGCAAGAGTCCTGGCACCAGCACAGCTCCTAGGGGTTTAAGCCTCCAAGGTGACAGTACAGACTCCCCTTCCATGATGCTATGTCCTGTCTGTAATCTTCGAAATATCCTCAAACAGAAAGGTACCCTAGCCTTGATGTGGTATGTACTAAGAAGTCTTTTTAATATACACCTGTGACTAACCAGAACAGTCATCGATGCAAGTCAAGGAAGCTGAACTCAAGTCAGCCCGATTCTGTGCCTATTATCCCAGAAACACCGGACTGTGACTCTGAAGCTCCCAAACTGCCAACATCGACTACAGTCAATGTAATCTGCAATCAACCTACCAGTACCAAATATAGCTATAAGAAGTTAATAGGGTTGGCCTTGCTCGCGTCGAAAGCACCTGCGTTGACTGCTGCTGAGATACGGGATAGTATTGCAACTAGGTTTCCAGATACCTATCGAAAGGGCGTTGACGAGCCAAAGACGTGGGAGAGAAGTGTACAAGCGACCTTGTCCCAAAGCAACGACTTTATGAAAGTCGCTGTACCAGGTGAACGGACGTCACAATGGAAATTCGCCAGTGCAGATATAAGAGATGCATACATGAAACATTTGCCCGAGTTTGCGATCGCAAATTGTAATCCGGCAGGTTCAACATCCTTATCAGCACCAGGCAAGAGTCCTCAAGAATGCAACCGCGAGTCCCAGTCTTACACGGAGTCAACGAACAAATCAAGTCAGCATTATTCGAAGTCACGACGCCAAGATCAGGTACAATTTAAGGATAGGACTCATATTCGGAGCAATGAAGAAGCGGTTCAAGCTTTGCATTCCATTGGCTCATTATTAGGGCGGATCCCTCATACGGATCAGATCCACGATAATTTGAGAAGGCTTGACCAGGTGATGTCTTTCCTCAAGCAAGGGCAGCAAATTCCTACGGAACCTTCCCAAATACCTGTTGATACCAGGTCAGAGGTGGAAGAGGCCTTTTCTGACTCGAGCGAGGAGATGACCCGAGAAGATATCAATAGAAAGATAGCAGAAACAAGGACAAGGCCGTCAAGGAAAGCCAGATTCGATAAACATCTTAGACGGAATCACCATCCTTGCGTGAAAACAGGAGATAAGGTCTCCCGTTTCCCATTCACTGGTACGGTCCGACAGGCACAACACAGTGGTTATGGTCGGCCAAGCAATCACCGAACACTTGAGGGGAATTCTGCTATTCCATCGGGCTCTGCCTTCATGCTTCCCGAAAGCCAATTAGTCGTCCGTGGCGGGTCACGAGTAGAGTTTATTCAACCTGGATCTTACGATAAGCCCTAAAAGTCTTCGCCAGATTAATGGTCCCGTCTTACCTTAAGACTACTCCTCAACTTGACGATTCATAAATATGCATTGGCGGGTGTTTTCATCGGAAGAAGCTTTTTATTGTGCATTATACCCAATTTTCTTGGTACTTTTAGTATGGTGATAGGGGATGCTTCCAGATTGTGGAAGCGTATCATATTATTCTCTTGAGAATTCTAAAGTCGTAGAACACTGGCATTGATTCTGGTACTTTGGTGGATTGGCATCAGACCTCTCCAGTGCCAACTATATCTGGCCTCAAACCTAGAGCTCACCAACGAATGAATACTGCCTGTTTTATCCGGGCACATGACCTCCCGTTTTCGAAAACATACTGGTTCCTCCCAACTGACGGTGACACGGCTTCTTTGCGTGATTCGAGTTTATTTTTCACCAATGTCCCACCTTGGTATTAGGTGCAGGCGTCTGGTAAGTAGTAGACCAGCTTGCGGTGTACGCTTGTGATCCAACGATGGTCAAACTCTTCTTGTTGGTGTACGTTGCACTTGTCACTGCTGACTTTTTAATCCATGTAGACCAATCCGGATGCGTAGTAACACCTGTAACCTGGGCAAGAGGGACTTGCGTCGTTTCAGCGTATGCGCCGGACCACACGGTGGGTCCAGGTATGGGATATGTCGTGATGCAAGATGTCGATTTTGTTGTTTTGGTATTTGTCGAACAATATACCTATTCATCAGGTCAGCAAAACCGAGAACTTTGGGAGGAAAAGTACAGTGAGACTCACATCATATACGACACCAGGATCTTCGTAAGAATATGCGCCGGGAAATGATACACCCTCAGGCAACTCCACGTCTCCATCGCCCGTTACTTCAATCTGCACGCAGTTGGGGTAGAACTGTGCACCGCGGATTGGATTCACTTCAAACGACACTTCGCCCTCATGGAGGCCGATCATTTCCGCGCGGATGATGTAGCTATTGTGCAGATGCGTTAGCGGAATTGATGGAGCAAGTCATTGTATCCGAGGTGTTTGTACGTACTGTCCGGCTTTTAGCCCCTTAGGAATCCGAACGTTCATGCTGCCCTGGTTTTTCGCAATGTCGGAAGTCGTCGACCATTTTCCTGGATTGGGGAACGTGGATTCTTCGTAGAGACCTGAGTGCCAAAGCTTGACGAAAGAATTCTCGGTGGGCGGGTCTGGGGAGATGTAGACGAGTGATGGCCCTGCAATGATCAGTTCCCCAAATCCTGTCTGTTGTGACTGCGTAAACACTGATGAGACATACCGTGATGGGAGTCTGCAATAACATCGTCTGTCGTACTCCTTTTGTCATGATGCCTAGAACTATGTGAGATTGCATAGCACTGTCTTCAAAACAGTGAACACCTACCAATCGAAGGTCAAGTTATCGCCGGGAGCAACTTTGATCGTGTCTGCAGCCTGAACATCTCCCATGACATTGCATCGCAAGTCGATAGAGGTCAAGTTCTTCACGGGAGAGTTGTTGTAACCCCCTTGGCCAGGTGCGCCATTGTAGGCTGGAATGCGAATGCCTTTGAAGGAGCCTTGATCGACTCCATTAACGAAAACACCCTGGTTCAGATGAATATCGTTGCAGTATCTACGGCGTGTAAACTCACCCAGATGAACGTATGGGCAAAAGCCTGCCCTTGGAGGAGCGCCAAAATCAATGCGGATGATCGACACATACTGGCAGTTCAAAACGCAGCGAAGGGAACCAGATGGTAGAATAGTATCGCCACGGGGGATGTTACCAAGATATATGATTGATAATACCACGCCAGGTCTTGGTTGCAACAGGAGTGTTAGTCGGGCGCAGCTACATTACGTTTAATCTATTTCCCCCAAGCATTCATATTACACTTTGAAGTGTAATATATCGCCGAACATGCAAATGTATGATTTTCGCGCCACGAGCTAGCGGCTACGCGGGAAGCTATATTCTTAGTGGGTTATTCATGGATATTGAGCCGTATATTCAAGGCCAAGCAATGGGTTGCTGGATGTTGCACCGGGAATGGGGTCATCGGAATCTTCGTTGACGGTTAGGAATCCTTGCAAACCGACTATAGTCGCTCTCACATAACATGGACACTGTTTCTAGTTTCCAGCATTACCCGGAAATAGTGCATCATTAGCAAAGGAAGCACTCAATATTCGACTCACAATCAATAGGGACACCGTTAGTTCGCTCAAGTATGCACTGACTGGTCATCTTATGAACCGCGACTGTGACTCCAAATATGATGTCTATTTCTTCATCATGTCATTATTTCATAGTTACAGTGAGAGTATGTAGTAAATAATGCTTTCATATAATGTTTAATCATTATTCGTCAGTCGTCTATGGGTGAGGATATCTAGTTCTACTCTAGCTTCCCAAGCCCAATTCATGTGTTGAGCGTGCTCTACTGCAGCTTCCGAATGGGCAATAATGAGGACCAAGTCTAAGATAGTCGAGCACTATCTTTATCATGCTCTAGGTGAACCATGTACTGGCGAGCTTTATGCCAGTACGCCACGTTCGTCGTTCCATGCATGGGGACTTTGTCGTTTTCTTTCGTTTCCCGGAGTAGGAATAGGAGCGGTAATATATTGTTTCCCCACAATGGCAGAGCAGCGCGATGTGTTACAAGGATAACAGCGAAGAAGAACACAACTCCGGCCGCGAGCACAATTGCAGGTAGTATGAGCCAAACCCATTCGATGCGTACAAAGGTTGCTACAACCATTGTTTCACCGCCAGTCATGTCAGCATTCTCTGCGCCGTTGGCAATGTAGGCATTATCACGGAAGGATTTCGTGATCGCTTTGCCCACGTTGTTCATAGCGCAGGTGAGATGATCGTCGGAATGGCCGCAGCCTGATATGTTTCCGAGGAAGACAGCCTCAATCACATCCGCGGCAGCCCCGACTTTTGCTTGGGTGAACGAAGGTGGATCCACGGGACGATAATCAAGGGCTCCGGCGATGCCCATAACCCAGCCAGAGAAAATCCCTGCTAAGTATTGCTTCAAAGAGAGAAATGCCAACTGTTCCAAGCCGAATTGCAGTTCAAACTCCTCTTTCACCCATTCTTTCCCCTTCCTGTACTCGACAGTATGCTTCGAAGTATATCCCGGTGGTGCCCACGGTGGATTGATTGTGACATGCGGGGACGGAGATCCAGTCATATTGTACTCGCACCAGGGCTCGTTGAGTGCAGTTTGTTGGTACCTGGACTCCGACACAGAGTCTTGTACCTTTTGTGCACAGAATTCCAGTACACATTCAGTTGCAACAAATTTCGTGGTGGTATTACTGAGGGAATAGTTCCGGTTTTGTAAAAGTCCATCGTCTTGAGCCATTACGTATTGGAAAACAGGGAAAAGGTTCAGCAGTGCGTCCGTGTCGTATATCCGAGGGTTTCGAACAGAACTGATGTTCATATGTGTGCCTCCGGCAGACACAAAATTCATTGAAACTCCTTCCTCTATGCCAATACTGCAGTTGTTCGGGTTTGACAAATGTCCACATTCCATTTTCAGCATGGAACTGATGTCCTCGCAACGTGGCCGGGCGACAAGGGTAACGAGTGGCGGGAATGTGCAGTTACCAGTAGTACATGTGTACTGGGGTATTGACCATGGCTCCGATGGATCTACGTTTAGAATCGAATTGTAGATGTTTGCCTTGACCGAAGGATTGATGTTTTGGACTATCCGAGTTTAGAAATTATGCAATACAAGTTAGGGGGTTCATTACCTCCGTCGCCTACAAGTGTGCCAACCGAGTCGAACAATGAAGCGTTTGCGACGCGTGCCTGTTGTGTTGCATCGGGCACACTCTTTGGGTAGTATCGCACCAAATTCTGGACGAATGGGTCGAAACCCAAAGCTAATATCACAGCGAGGCACCCAAGTGTCGAGAGATGCCTTTGATCATTAGTCAACTTTTTTGAGTTCTGGGAAAGTTCAACGTACAAGCCTTTGGTCAAGCCTATCAAATCAAAGCATCCAATAACGCCTCGACTGGCCAAATCGAAAGTTCTAAGTCCGCTAAGGGGACGGGACTTCTCCTCAACCCAGCTCCACTTCAGTTGTCCCAGCGCACGGCTGACTGGGATGAGAAGCAACCCTTTAGATATCATGCTAAGGAATGAGATCGCCGTATTGAGAGAGATATTTGTCCAATCTGGCTGCTCTTTGCCATCGTAGACGGCGAGAAGAGCTATGAGGGCGCCAAACGCTGCAACCGAAGCAATCAGACTAAGAATCTCGATATACCAGACATCTCCGAAGGTTGACAACTCGAAGCCCGTTTCGATGCCATCTGATGTTGTCTGTAACGCCCGTCCATTGTCATGAAGTGGAACACTCGAATAGTATGGACCTTCTCCATCCTTTGGTACATGTCGCGCATTCTCTTCCAGTGGCGACACTGGGCTGTGTGGCCGACTGTTCAGCTTTGATGCTGAGGGACTGCCTCGAGTCATTTCAAACATCTTCGTACTGCAGAGGTTATTTCAAATGCTAGCGCTTGAGCATCCCGAACGTAAACAGGAACTGTTGGAGAAAATTAGGTTGAGCAGCTTCTTGCTGAACTCCTCGAGTGTAGAACCGTAACGTAGATGGCGAAGCGGGCGCATTTAAGAACCCATTACGGAGTGCGCTTGCACAAATAGCAGAGATCATCCTTACAGTAAAACTGGGGGCTGTGTGTTGCACATCTCGGAACGTCGGTTGCCTTATGGGCCTTGGGTACCCAACCAGATTCTCATACTCTGTGCTTGGCTCTTGTGTGCTCCTGTAAGGCCTTTGTGCTGATTTTGCTTAGATGGATGAAGACCATGAGTTAGAATGAAGGGTGATCTGCGCTTCCAAGAAGTTGTGTCATTCGCGATAATTGTCCATTCAGCAGCGCAGTGTCTGTGTGGAGTTGATCATTGTATGCCTGTAAGTAAGATGTTACTATGATTAGTACTGTCAGGCTATCGTGTAACAACACCAAGGCCCCATTAGCCCCATAACTGCTCATTACTTCGCCAGCCTCGTATACTTTAGTGGGTTGAGAGGTCTCTCAAAAACGATGGACTTCCGTAGCCATAAGTACACAAGGCCCATGAAAACGAAATCGCGAATTCTGACTTAATGCAACCTCGAGGACATTTGTTGTACTCTTTCGTTTTTGACAACAAATCCTTCCGAGCGCCGCTCAATAGATTAGCTATAATGCATCACTCAGTGGATGCAATTGTACGCAGTAGTTATCTTGTCAATGACCAGATTGGTAAGAATCTTTTGGAAAATAATGGCAACAGGCGACGTAGAGAGGTTGGCTGTATTCAGCTATTTTTGCCCTGTTAGTCTTTTTCACGCGTATATCGGACCTCTTTAGGAAAAGCAAAGACTGTGGACTTCAATCGAATGTTCTGTAGAGCATCTGTAGGTTGAAAATCCAGGATGTTCTTGGGCTTTTGTATTCCGTACTTCGTACCTACTCTTTGTTTATTTGGCTCGATACAGGACAGAGGCTCAGGCTACATCGCTGAACTTAGTAAGCAGATTGTGCGAAGTAAGTCGAAATGAAATAACAGCATATCTGAATGAGGCTTGACACCAGGGCGGATCCCACATACGGTGGGAAGTGTAGATGTTCGACAATCCGTTTCTCTTGTGGCACAGGTGTAGCTAGTCAAATATATGTACATACAATGTACAGCCGACGCTGGGTACTTCATACAAGAAAGGTAGCCCCAAGACCCCATGGATATCGAGCTCAGCGACAGAATGTCGTAGAGGTAAAACATCTTAGGGGCGGAAGAGCCATGGAGCACGAGCATTGCTTTCTGGGTACTTGTACTCCGTGTATACCTAAACAAAAGAATTAGGGAGGTCGACGTGTGCCAAGCCGAGGTTGGTGATGGTCAAAGCAACCCCTGCACGTGTGGTGGGTGGGTGTTGGACGCGCCGCCCCGCGTAGTGCAGTCGCGTCTGTCCAGTCCTTTTATCACACTCATCGACTCCACATCATCCGTCCATCACCACAACACACACCTTCACATCTTCTTACCTTCAGAGCTTTCATCATCATCATACCGAACGTCAAGTCAATCCCGAAAACAAAATGATGCTTTCCGCGAATCCGTTCTTTCCTCCGCAGACATTCTATACACCCTTGCGGCCGTCGCCACTGGCTGAACGCCCCGCGAATGTACTTTCCCGACCTTTCACATTTACGATGCCTGCGCAACCAGACAAGACATCAGCATCTGTACCAAAGAGAACGCACAAGCCAAATCCAGTCATCCAATCCCGCGATGTCGCCTCGCAAAGGCGACGCGATATGTTCTTTAAAAGAGTCCAAAAGGACCGCGAAGACCGAAGGTGGGAGGCGCGAGGTGATCAGGTAAGCCTTCTCATGACTACTCCGAAGGACTATGCACTAATTGCATGACTAGATTCAAAGACTAGACTTCATCTCGGACCAAAAGAAATGGGAGGCTGCGAAGGCGCGGCAAGCCCCCGAAGTGCCCGAAGAATACCTCGATCAGGAGTTTGAAGAGTTTGTCGCATCGCAGTCCGATGAGCAATACATGGAGCGCGACGTCTCTGAAGCTGAGTGGATCGCTGCACAAGAAGAGCACGAACTACAACAGATGATCGCGTCGATGGAGGAAGCAGACGGTGACGATAATGACCGAATGTCACAACATTACGGAAGTGACGATGAAGATTATGATCAAATCTTCATGGAATGTGCGAACCTCACAGATTGTACACAGCAAGAGCAACCGTCAAGTTCGAATTTTGACGATCCGGATGCGATGGACATGAGTTGAAATTAGAAGTTACCCGCGCAAACAAGTGGACTGGGATCCTTTACGATCATAGTGTTGGGATTTGGGTACACGGTGTCTAGTGGCGTTTTTGTTGCATTCAATGGAGATGTACGTTGGGGTATACTAAGTACGAATCGAAGACGAGCAGAAACTCAGCCGAAGAGTTATTGAGTGGGGCATCCCTGGTCTATTTCGCCCAAGGCTTCCTGAGCAGCACTCATGTCACCGACTAAATCGGGTGGAGGAGAGCCTGCTGCTTGCATCTGCTGAATGTTAGTGGTGATTTTCGCTTGTGGGTGTGGAAATATACTACCTTTTGCATGCGCTCCACAATGTATTCTCTGTCCTGTGCATTATTGTCCGAATACCCCGGTCTATCAAATCGGTCGGTGATCTCTTTAACCAATGTCTGCTGTTCTTGGTATCTCTTTAGATCCTCCGCAGACACTTTATCCTTGTTATCCTCCATCCACTTGGGGAACTTGTCATCCAACTCTTTCATCGGCTCGTATAGGACTTCCTTGTTCGTCAACTGCTCCATCATGCCCATCAAAACTTTGGAGAAATCCTCATCATTGCCCTCCCCACCGAAGCCTCCACTCTCCATCTCCTTCAACATCTGTGCGAGTATATCATCACCATCCGATGACGCAGCAGCTGCACTCGCTTGATCTCCAGAGTTCTGCATACGTTCCATAGTCCTTCGTATTGTCTCCTGGAAGTTCTGGTCTGCTTTTGCTGATGTTCCAGGGGTAGCAGAGCCCTCTCCTATCTCGGCATCTGCCATCGTTCCTGGTCCAGCCTCGCCCATCTCTTTCATAATTTCTTCAAACTGCTTCGCAAAGTCCTTCTGTCCAAGAAGCTGCTCCATCTCAGCCTGAAGCTGTTTTGCAAATTCGTCATCATCTCCAGCTGCTAGCAAATCTTCAGGATCAGGCCTAGCAGGGCCAGTCGTGGGCAGTGATGGCGCAGCGGTAGATGCGGAGGCCGAGGCGGGCACCTTGGGTTTAGAGTCAAGTTTCGTGTTGGCGAACTCTTCTAGTACATCTACACAGATGGTTCGGTTAGGTGGTGTGTAATTTGCATGTGGAATAACGTGACGACGGACCATCAAGATCTGAGAGATCGTCTTCCTCAGGATCAGATGCAATTTCGGCTTTGGGAGCTTCCTCCTGCTTTAGGGGAACCTCTTTCTTCGCTGGCTCGTCGGCCATGATTGTTCGTGTAGGAGGGAGTATCGCAAGTTGAGATGGAACAAAGTAAGGGAACCAGGAGATCTCACAATCAACAACAATATGTTACGCAGTAGTGTGCATGCAAAGGAAAGCAAAAGGAAAGCAAATCACATCTGGTTCCCTGCCTCGTTAAGCGGAATGCGGTCACAGACTCACAGCAAGAGGCAGCAGAGCCTCGGCCTAGCGTCACTAAGCGGGGCATTCCGAATTAGCGCGGGGAAACCGACAAGGCCCAATCATTTAACAGGAAATCTGTACTTCCTAGTAATTATTACTTGTAATTATTGACATGTGTGATTAATACGCGGTAATTATACAAGTGAAACAGAAGAAAGAAGAAAAGACTCGAATCTGCGCATCGACTGCCGAGCCGCCGCCGCCGCCCGGTCCGATCCAACGACCATCACCTCAAAGGATGAAGCTGCCCTCTGCCCGATCACGTGAGCCGTCCAATCGCCGCAACTTCACCTAACTCAACCTCACTTTGTTGGTTCTTTCTTCGTAAAATCCTCTCTCATCTTCTCGCGCGCCTCAACTCCACTCCCTCACGAACAGCGCTATCCTTGCTCGCGCGTACGAACCCTCCCACACTCTCCCGCGCGAATATCGAAGCTTTTCAGCTTTCTTGGATCAGTTGCGATCTACGACTGGCCTTCCTCGGTGCTTAGAAATAAGTTGCTGCGCAAGCCTGAGCTTATCGCGATGTCTTCTCTATGCATGAACAGACTCTCCGAGGAGAGGTGAGTAGTTGTCCTTACACGGTTCCAGCAGCATTCAACTGACTCTCAACAGAAAGCAATGGCGTCGAGACCACCCTTTTGGTTTCTTTGCCAAGCCCATGCGCGGCTCGCAAGGCGTGATGGACCTAAAGAGATGGGAGTGTGGAGTCCCAGGCAAGGAGAAAACAATATGGGATGGTGGGCTCTTCAAGCTCGAAGTTATATTTCCTGATGGTATGCGCGGCGGCCCGCATGCGAAGACAACATGCTGACAGTACGATCCAGAGTATCCCACGAAGCCACCAAAGTGTACGCCCCAGAACCACCCTCGTTTCGCATAAAGAGGAAGTTGACAATATCCGCGTAGGCAAATTCACACCACCGTTGTTCCACCCGAATGTGTACCCCTCCGGCACCGTTTGTCTCTCGATCTTGAATGAGGAAGAAGGCTGGAAACCCGCAATCACCATCAAGGAGATTCTGCTGGGTATCCAATCACTCCTCGATGAACCGAATCCAGAATCACCCGCACAAGCTGACGCGTTCAACCTCTTCAAAAAGGACAAAGCCGCTTACGAGAAGAAGATCAAGAGCATCGTCAAGGACAATCCCGCGCCATGAGCGGGAAATCCATTCCATTGCGTATCTGTTTCAACGAGACGGAAACGCAAGGATGGGTTTGGATCTTTTGATTTAGCGCATCGGCAGGCGCGTGCACCTTATTGGGGTTTGCCTAGACATTTAGAGGCACGGCTTGGGAGTCTCTGAAGAGCTTGCACTTTGATTAATGTTCTCCTTTTTCTTGCTCTTCTACATTACGAATTATGGACCTTTTGAATAATGAATGGCGCGGGGAAAGCGTATTTGGCCTCGGCGTTCGTGGCTATCGATCATGGCATTCCTTTCACATTTGGTGAAGAAGGTAGTGAAAAAGCCTCGAGAGGATAGCCGCACACGATACTCCTGGAATGGGCGGTTGGTCCTCCAAAGATGAGATCCTTTGAAATAGAGACCCTAGCACGTTCTCATGAGATTTGACAAATGATGTGCCTCACTACATCTTCTACCCAAATACAGCACATACCCAATATTAATACTTTTTTTTGCCCACAGATGACTCAACTCAATGAGTACCAGACACGCCTTTGCCCAGCCAGACAAGAAAGGGAAGAAAACGAGATTCAGAGTAGCAGCGCCTAATCGCGGACTGCTCTGTCCAGCCAGCCAGGAGCAGGTGGCCGATATAGTACATGTTGATAAAGTCGTTTCAAAAATAATTCCTTCCCCTTCGGTTCAATCTTTTTAATTTCAAATCCTCCATGTCCCGATTTCCATCACTGCACAGCCATTCGCTCTTTCAGTTCGAGACTGCAGTCCAGAACGATAAGGGGTATCTATCTAGTATGGGCGGTAGCCCGGTCCACCACGAGGGCGATATCCTCCACGGTAGCCACCGCCCCTAGGAGCTCCACCGCGTCCGCCGTATGGTGGACCGCCACCACGGCCTCCACGGCCTCCTCCTCGGCCGCCGCGTCCACCTCGTGTCATGCCGGGCAGATTGGTTCTCTTAGGGACAACCTGCGTCCATTAGTTCAAGACGTCCAACGAGGTAGGTTATGTGTAGCTGAGTGACGTACCTTCAGGTTTCTACCTCGGAAGACGCTATCGTTCAGTACAAGAGCCTGATTGACGAGGTTGGGTTCTGTGAACTCTACATACGCATACCTGCATACGCCCATTAGCGTTCCGAATCTTTCTGCCAAGCTCTTGCCAGGTAGCGAAGATTCCTCAATGTCTCGTCGAGCAATGAGCTTCATTTAGACAATAAACCGTCTTTGCAAACTCTCCCTCTCTTTTGAGACAGGAAATCGAATAAGCAGTAGAGAGTATGGGTAAGGGAAAGGGGGTTGGCGGAGGGATTTGGTAGTTCAGGGAATGAAAGAATGTAACAACGCCTCCTCTTGGCAACTGTCTGCTGGGAAGGGTACTGACCCTTTGGGATGACCTGTGAACTTGTCCAGCAGAATGGTGACACGATTGATCGATCCGCAAGATTGGAAGTGGGCTTGGATCTCCTCTGGAGAGGCGCCGTAGTCAACGTTGCCGACAAAGATGCTGCGCGCATCCACGTCCTCACGATTCTCGCGGGCATCATGCTGGTGTTCCCGGTCGAGCGATGCTTGCATCTGGCGCAATTTCGCGGCCTCCTCTTCCATCTCCTGCACGCGCCTCTTCATGGCCGAGATCTCCTCCTACAAGTGTGTTAGTCCTATGCCTTTTCGTGTTGGCGCATGGCGATGCGGTATTGCTTCGGGGGTTTGCCTGCGCGTGCAAGGCGTGGAATGGGAGCGGAGCCTTCGTACTTCATCATTGCCATCCTCTTCTGGGGCATCATCTGGTCGCTTTTCCTCGCGCTTCTCGACCTCGTTGTCAATGTCCGCCATGGTGGCGTGGCGAGATGTCGTTAAGACTAGGTGATAGTGTTACTGGGCCGTGGAAGCTTCGAATGTCGCGATCAACTTACAGACTTAGATGTGGTCGATATCTAGGCGGTGGAGAATAGCCTCCAAAGGACAATTTCTGTCTATTTGATGACCAGGTCGGAAATGAATTCAAAGAGTGTCGCGACCTGTGCAAGAAAAGATATAACTTTGGAGTGTAAAGAGGCTGTCGGGACTGCATGACGATGGCGGAAGCTCTCGCGGCTACACGCACAGGCCCATATGGAGCCACAGCCCCAATCGGTTAGTCAGCTACCCTTTGCAGTACCTCAAGTACGTACCTAGGTACGTACCCGTTGAGCAGCTAGCCGCCGTTGTCTTCTAACTACATACAACACACACATGGCAGGTTGTCAACTTCTGCTAATTACAACATTGCTATTACCATGTTGTACCGCTCAACATTTATAATAGATCACCTTCGCAGTATATACAGAATTAAAATCCACAGATCAATGACATGGTGACTTTTTTCCCTTGCCTTAGGTACTCTCAACCTAAGAATAGCTTCGAGGTATCAGAGATTACTTCAGCAGGTTCGACTCAATAGCACCATAGAATCTTCCATGTTTTAGTATTTCAAATATGAATTGCATAGTATACCATTAAGGCACGTTTTTACTAGATATAGGATGTTCGCTTGCAAAGAGATTATGTGTTAGACTTTCACTTATCACACACTAGCTAACTATCAAGTCGATTGCAGGCTTGACCATTTCACATTCCAGTTATATGTCTCAAATCCTAAGAAATGTTTAGACCTACAGCCTCAATATGGGCATTAGAACAGGTCAATTTACTCGCTCGCACGTGTTTTGAGTTGCGCATTCAAATGCTACTTTTCGCTTGTAGCAAGTATGAGATAGCTGTAGTGTCTGTACAGAACGACTGCTTCTTGTGATCTACGAGCTAACTACCTCACCTCCATCACCATCTATCTCCCATCTATACTTTCGTCCAGGGTGGTCGTCCAACAGCCAAGGTTGTCCCAAGAAAGATTCTCTCACGGTCTGACCTTTCTTCTCTACATTCTCCCTAAACAAGCCTCTCCTCCTTAACTCTGGTAGCACAAACTCGATGATATCTTCAAAGCTACCAGGGTTGACAATGTGACTCAGATTAAAGCCATCTAAATCAGCAATTTCAATCCATCTTTCCAACTCATCCACCACGGTCTTTGGGGATCCAACAACCTTCGGGCCCATTCCACCTAGGAGTAGGTACTCGGCAATGCGAGCCTTTGTCCAGGGTTGATTCTCCGTTCCAGGAACAGTGGCTGCCCATCCGTTGACAATGGACTGAATAGCAGGCAGGCCGACGAAACGGAAGTCGTCGTCATCCTTGTATGAAGAGAGGTCATAGCCTGTCCAACCACCAAATAGAGCAAGTGCGCCTTCCCTGTCACCGTACGAGAGGAATTCGTCCCGCTTCTTCCAGGCCTTCTCGTCGGTCTCATCGACAATGATTGTGACCCCCGCAATGATCTTCAAGTGGCTTGGATCACGGCCATATTTCTCCTTAGCCAACTGACGAAGCGCATCTACGGAAGTTCGGACTTTCTCGGGCAGTTGTCCGCCCACGAAGATGGCCTCTGCATGCTTTGCACCAAATTCACGACCAGCCTTAGAGGTTCCAGCCTGGAACAGAAAGGGCGTTCTCTGAGGTGATGGTTCACAGATATGAGGGCCCGGAACATCGAAATACTTCCCTTTGTGATGAATTTGTCGGACTCGACCAGCTTTCGCGAACTCCCCGGTCGTTTTATCTCTCACTGCAGCGTCATCGCGCCAACTGCCCTCCCATAACTTATATACTGCATCCATATACTCTTCCGCAATTTGGTATCGTTCATCGTGCTCGACTTGGGTGTCTAGCCCAAAGTTTCTCGCAGCGCTATCAAGATACGATGTAACAATGTTCCATGCAACTCTACCTTCAGCAAGTTGATCGACAGTCGAGAAGCGTCTGGCATGTGCGTACGGCTTATCATACGTTGTACTGGCGGTAATACCGAATCCCAAGTTCTCCGTGACAGATGCCATAGCAGGGACTAGGTAAAGTGGATCATTGATGGGATACTGCGCTCCCGAAGCGAGAACAGGTTCAACATTCGCTGGTCCCTTATAAACATCATAAGGTCCTAAAACATCGGCAATGAATAGAGCGTGAAAGTTGGCCTTGTCCAGAAGCTGGGCAAGGTCCGTCCAGAACTTGAGCTTGTTGTAGTCAGCGGTCCTGTTGCGAGGATGTCGCCAAAGCCCTGGTGAGAGATGTGCCGGAGCGTTGATGGCGAACGCATTGAGAATAAGCTGCTTCTTTGGCCTCGTACCACTATCTGATGAAGTCATTATGTTGTTCCAGTGATATCTCTTTCTTTAAACGTCGATGCAGCGAAATAATAAACCCCGGCAAATATTGAGCGCAGGGGTCTCTTTACTCTCTCGTGATGAAATGATATGCTTTGGAAAATTCGAGAGTGTATGTTTAAAATCACAATCTACTGCAAAGATGCTGCTTGAAGCATCATCTCATTGAAAGTTGACGCTCTCAATAGACCATGCCCGATGTGTTGACGAATATCAGGCCTGCGAGCACGTTATCCCGCTACCGCTCCAACAACATTTTACTACTCGCAATCCCCACATAGTCAATCACGTAATCTATAAAATGATTCCGATTCTACAGTAGCACTTAGCACACGTTTTATATGTGTATCAAGCTCTTGTTTAGCGTACTGCACGCGAAGTCTCGCTCAAATGGTGTGCTTTGCATTTCGTCTTCTGATATTAACGACGTTTTTGAAACATACAAATCATAATGCGCAATGATGAAATTAAATTAATGTTGAATACGTATAGTCTACATATGCGAACAAGGAGGTCTCTTACTAGTCATTCATGCTCGTGCGTGCTACTTGTTCGAATCAAGCACACAATGTTTAGAGACTTATGGCTTCAGACGTGCAGGATCTGGCACGAATTACCATGGAGGAACGTGATAACTCCCTTATATCAGGCTTTAAAATCCCATACCATAAGATAATCCAGAAGATCTTATTTGCAGTAACCGACGGGAATCAGGTCAATAACACTGACAACAAATCACTGATCAAGTTCACGAAATGCGTGCTTGGAATATCTGGAGATCATCAATTCTAGAGAGCATCATCATCAAGTGAACTTAATCATGTCCTATTCAATCATTCTGAAATTGCTTTATTCAATGAATAGCAATTGGCGGTGGCTGCTGTAACATAGCTAGTCAATTTACGACACTTCGTTACAAGTATTCTACCAATTCGGCACACTTGACCTCTTGATATGGCAATGAATACAAGGCTACTTTGTCTAAAGCACACGTGAAGAATGAATCGCTTTAGTACCTTGCATAAATCTAGTAAATCCTAATATCGAAATGCGAACGACTACCTAGGCGTTTGTGTGCAGCTGATGTGGTCATGGTCTCCTGCCAGACAGCCCAGAAGGCCCAGACACAACAAGCCCGGCGTCCGCAAACAGTAATTGCGAATTGAACATACAAACGGTGAAGAAAAGTCGGTGAAACCCGTTCACCGACCAATTTCTGACAAGGAGCGGCACAGTGAACGGTGGAGTTGAATAGCTGAACAAGCCATAATTGCTCGCCTGGATAAGCGCTACACTCAGATATACCACGTGGACTGTCTACTACATTGAAATTTCGAGAACAGGCCAATACGTTATCGTCCAGCTCAATACTCTAGATGATTACCCGTCTTGTGGGATTGGGATTGGGCAGTGTTCAAATTATCCCCAGCCTTGGCCAATCCTCAGCGCTCAGCGCGCCTAATTCCCACCCGCCTCTCAGGCTCGCCGCTGACGTGAGATGGAATTGACAAATTCGTCGTGGCAGGCATGCAAGATTGTCCACGGGACTAAGGACTTGCAAGGGCAAGGAACGATCAGCCTTAAGAATTCGTGGAACTGGTATTCCCGCTTCTCTGTGCGTATATACCGGGCGGAATATAACCCAGATGAACGGTAAATGGCTAAGCGAGCGTGGGGGTGATTATTCCAGCTATCTTTACCTCAATTTCAAGTTCACGATAGCACTCGTCTTTGAAACAGGTAACGATCCTGGCGCTGTGCTATTCTTGACCAGAAGTACAGGAACAGGCTAAATGCGTTCTCTTTGAATTGGTGGAAACATTTGTCAACTACAGCACACGCAGATCGTTTAATCCTTGTTCTTCACCTCTATCAAGTCTTGGTTTAAGCGAGAGATGTTATAGTTGAATGATGATAAGTGCTCCCAAATCGACGTATTTGGATAGGTCGCTTATTGTAGATACATTCTATGCGAGTTGAAGGAGACATCCATGACTGGTCGTCAATTAATGGAATCGATATTTCACGATACATAGAATTGCATGTTGCATGTTTGTCTTATTAACAGCGTCTTGATGAATTTAGCATACATCTCGCTCCATCGAAACATCAGTCAGCAGCGCACAATATTTATCAATATGCATTTCGAACAAATAAACAACCACGTAATCCACGGTCATTCTAAGGACCTATCCGTTCTATGATATGTAGGTCTTCCTTAACGATTATGAAGGGTCAATCAAATGTATCAATTGCATCAAAGACATAGGAAAGGCCTGTATGATCAGTTACAGAAGAGCTAGTCAGACTTTATTTACATCTGAATCCTACGAAGTCCGGATCTATGTAGCTCTAATCATCAATGTTTCATACCCTCACTTATCCTATACTTGAAGTGGCCTCGACGTGGATCGCCGTTGCTCAACTTATAACATCTTCCTCACCATCGTAGCTATGGCGGCACGTTACACTCTTAGTGCTCAGGGAGTTCTAGAATGCTGTCAGGTACGAGGGTCTCTCAGGTACCCCGCATATGCACATCATAGAGAGCTACACCATAGTACCATGAAACATCCACCCCTCAAAACTCAACCATCGCTGCACTATAATGCCATTCTCCACTTAACTCCTCTACAAAGGCCCATACCAAGCCATATCTACTCGTTGAACGGAGTCCTTGCCAAAGAAAACTCCACCGTTGTAACTACTCCTCACACCATATCTTCCTACGAGTCGCATCCAATTTCCCAAAGACTTCAGGTACGACGCACCATTACTAGCCTACCACAAAACCACCGAACTGCAACGTCTTTGAGCCCCATCTCGCTGAAACATTCAAACGAAGATCCAACCTTGGTAACGCCGATTTCTTTTGTCCCTTTCATTTCCCCACGACAGATCCCCCATGGGCTTTGTTGGCGGCACGGGTCCGCATTAGCAACTCCCCACTAAGTGACTAGCATTCCACCCAGTGATGCGCGGGGCGTAGACCGTTCGTAACTAACGGCTGGATATCGATATCCAAAAGTCCCCCTCTTCTCTCCCCTCAACGTCCCAACAAGCCAGCCGAGGCTACAGGTCCAAGCGAGTCGTTCGAGCACTAAGGGAAGAGGGGGAGGATCAATCTCTTTGGTTCACCTGGTGATTTTTTACGTAGGTGTTTTGGGATCTCTTCAAAGAGGCCGGGTATCGTGAGCATCATTCCTCCAGGTGGCCAGACTCTGTGTGGATCTAGAATCTCTCCATCTTTTGTTCATGTCTACGTCGTCTCTACGTAGGTGCCGCGGAGCCACGGTGTATACTGCGGCACTCGTCATGACAAGTCACGATGGCACGATGTAATAGTACATTCAACCTCCAAGGTTTTACAAGTGACGCACTGCATACTGTCCCGCGACAAGTTTGTTCCGCGGAGCCAACACTAACATGCGTAGTACCTAGTCATTTCGTACCTTTGTACCTTTTGCACTGGTGGTTCGTAGTAGCAAATACGGTACCACTGATTAAGATGCCCATCCATTCACTGGCACTCTTGCACCATTACTCCTCACATTCAAGCCGGGCCGAGTAATTTCACGAAGTCCACTTAGACAATGTTGAAGCCATTTCATCGTTTGGGTCCTAAAGCCCCTCTCAACGTCCCGTGACCAATTCGCGAGATTTGATCGCGAAGAGCGAAAGGATCGATGATGCAAAGCGGCTTCGCGATCTTGTGACCGATGATGCTGCCACTTTTTTCTTTTCCTTGAAAGTTTCTTGGGAGAGGGACTTGACGTCTGGCTTGGACCCCCAATTGATGGCGGCGCCCACGCGCGGACTACCAAGGCTCTGCAAACCTACGTGGTTCAACTTTTTTTTTTCGGCTTCATTTCGCCAAAGCAAGGAAAATCTCCTGATGTTCAAAAGCCCATGGCGACGTCCGCGATCTTGTCATTGGGTGGTGTTGTTGAGCTGTGCTGGGCATTCGGTTGAAACGAGACGAACAGTCGGGGTCTGGAACCCTCGATTCTGAAAGGTCCGACTTGAGACCCCCAATCGATCGACATTGTGGCTTGCATACAGCGATTGGTTGAACTCGACCACGTACGTCCAGACTTTTTTTCTGCTCTCCTTGACCTCTTGAGTCGTGAGATCGATCTTCAGGGCAGGAAGAATTTTTTCCTCTTCGTTGTCAAGTATGAGTCGGTGATCTGCGGGACCGACCGCTCGTAGCCGTTGCCTTTCCGCGCTATCCCAGATTATCGTCTCCGCGACGGGAAAGTTTAGGTTTGATGGAGTTGTATATTCTTGTTGGATGTTGGGCACAAGCCGCACACATTAATTTGGACTCATCTAGATCGTATGGCAATTTCAGACAACGTCGTTGAGTAAACCTACGTAATTGAAAAGAGACCACGTGGATGGATAATTTTCCGGTGAGCATCAGGTAGCAATAGTGGGTAAGAATCGATCTTGAGGATTCAGTTGAAGCAGCACTGCATGACGTGGTGGAAAGGGCTGTACAATTGTCATTTGCGCTAGGATTACTTGAATGTTTATTTCTTGTAGCAACGTTGCAGATGGAAACAACAAGTTAGGCATCAAGAATTGAGTGATAGGACAGCGGTGTATTTGTGGATCTGATATTCATGTTGTATACTGTCTCGTCCGGTCAATGTTCAAGAATAATGTTCTATATGCTAGGATATCCTAATTCTTGAATGTGGGTCTGCGAATCGAGACAGGTCGTTCCTTGCAGACACGCTGTCAAATACGCAGATGTATTCGCAGATCATGGTTCCCTGTGTTATTTTCTTTTTCTAAATTTTCTATCATGGTTGACGCATCGTAGATCGAGACCATGCACACGTCTCCAGGCGGAATTGCAGATTCATTCCCCGGCGCAAACGTCGTCGCAACTAAGGCATTGAAACGAAATGGATTCGACCCATGTGGAGTCAACATGGTTCCTTGTCGCCTCGCGCTTAACAGCGTATCCACAGTCAAGATTGAAAAGGTGAGTAGATCAAGGTGTGCATCTGAGACACTTGGCCATTGGCTGGACGAGAAGGCAAAATGATGGATGCCTGGTCAATCATTCTGAACTTCCGGAGAGCGTGTTGTGGATTCATCGGGGATTGCCTTTCTGGCTCCCCTGCGAGCATGTTACAACCAACATACCCGTACCAGCTATGAATTGGGTCGACGATAATTTCCCACATTTGTGTGAATTTGAAATGTCTTATCATTCGCCACAATGGATAGGTGGAGCATGGAGATGACAGTTTCCACACATCCTCGCTCGCAATCCATGTAAAAGAGATAAAGAATTTCTCTGATCCCGAAATTTTCGTCTGCCCCCGTTGTGATACGCATGACTCGAAGCACGCAATGACTATCTCTTTCTGCGACCGTCGAATATCGTGAACGACATCGGAGGTGATGGAAGGGACCATTACTTAGCGAGAGTCATGTTAGACAAATCTGACAGCGTCTCGCCACTCGCTATTTAGATGATTTCGGCTCCGCGATAGGACGTGTGTACGAATACCAATGTTGTACATCCAGAAGTAGCTCCGACCTGCCCAGTTCAGTCAGCAGCGAACATCGCACGACTCAAACACACAGACGACAGGCAGCAAAAATCGTACATACACGACTCCGTTCCCGTCCACCCGCCCGCCATCGGCGGATACTCCTTTCGACGCGCTAAGGGGGTCGTAGTCTACCAAATCCACCGTACTAACATCCACATCTCCACCCGCATACGTATAGACAAGATAGAAAGATAATGTCCAGGGTACAGTAGACAGAACAGGCATATTCCATATCGCGGAACGGCGGAGCGAACGGAGAGCGGAGACGTGCAACCACCGCCACCGCCGACGACCGGCACAGGTTTACGTCGACTCGTATTCTACTCCATGGGTTTCTTTTTCGAAGAGGGTCTTTTCTCTTCGTCTTCGGGTCGGATCCGGAACAACTTTTCTTGTCGCCGCCCGCGTGCGTGGGTTGCTGCGTATTGATTCGTGGATATCGTTACAATAATGCGTAAACCCCATCGGGAAGAGAGAGTCGTGAGGGTGCCGATCGCGGTTCTGTTCTCGTTCTTCTGTTATACCACATGTGTAACATTATCATTATCTACGAGAAAGACGAGATACTAGTGTATTGATTCTATTATTGTTCTTTACTATTCCTTTTCTTGTACAAAAGAAGAAATATACGAAGTAGTAATGAAGAAAAAGAAAACATCACATGAGCTCATACAAGAATGTAGATCTCCAATTCGGTACTCGCAAGACAAGCATTTTTCTAACAAACCGCGGCTCAACTCGGAGCGTGCCGAAGAGAATACGAGATATGCAAGTCAGAGTGCCCAAAACATCAACACAACAAACCAGGGTTGAACATGGCAGATTCCTATTCCATCTCTCGCATGTTTTTCCATTTCCGATTGTATGGACATCATAATCATCATCAAACTGCAGTAATGTATCGGAATAATTAATTCTCCCATTCCACACGTCATGCCAACACCGTCCGATCACGCCAACATGGTTCGACTCAGCGGCTCTGCTCCTCGTCTCTCGCGCGCTCCGTTCCGTCCTGTCACCCAGCACTGTGGTTACGGAAAATCAACGCTCCATGCAATAACCATAATGTGAAGTCGGAAAGAATAGGGGGCCGCGGGTAAAGTCGGTCTTGCGTTGATTAAATGAATTGGCATCTGGGTTTATCCATTTTTCGTGTGTCACATTCCAGACAGAGTTCAGTTGAGGATATGGGGGGCTGCGGAACGTACGTCATTATGGACTGACCACCGAACGACCGACTCTGCATGCATACTGTACTGTGTACACAACACAGTAGTTTACTGTCCATACGTGCATGCATATTTGGAAAGTAAGAAAGACGAAGTGCACTTCTTTTTCCTATCCGTCGCGCCGGTCCGGCGGTCGGTGCGGTGCTAAGGAGTCGGAAGAAAAAAATCAGGGACTTGTCAATTGTGACTCCAAGGGTAAATTTTCTTCTTCTCGCGATTGGGCTTCTGTTGGAATCGGGAATTTTTTCTTCGCAGTCTGTATCACGAGGCTGAAGATAGTGCGGGAGTGTAGATCGTAGGAATCAATGCACGATCGCGATCTGATAAAAAAAAGGCCAGAGAAGTCACAAGAAACAAGGACACTAAGTTAGTGTCTTGTGTGATGAGGGATGTCCTTGCTATTGATTGTTAGTGCTACTCGTACTTCGTAGCCTGAATCTTAGTTTCTAGCTAAGCTGAGGGAAGACACTATGTACGGATACGAATGTCTGTTGGGCTGTTACGTAGGAATGGGATGAACCTTGATGGCAATTGGCATGTTGTCCTGACACGGGCGTTTGTTTCGGAAAAAGAAATACATGTTATGGTAATTGTGGATTATGTGGATATCTTCTTCTAGAGGAAGGGGATTCGGGAATGTACACAGTGCATACATGGTCAGTGGGGACGCGTGCAGGCAAGACGATGATCATGAAGGAGCTTAGCGTTGCTTCACCACGATGTGCCCGCTCCACTATTGTTTCTCTTTCCAACCTGAGAGATATGGTGTGATTCGGAATCCGAGATGATGGATGACGAGACTGTTACACTTCACGAAGAGAATTCGTACAGATAGGAATCCACCACAACATGCTCGATCTACATTGGTTCCACCACTCTGTTGCTGCATACCTTTTGAGATCTACGTCTTCATGCCAGCTGCACTTGGTGTATCTGACACGCATCGCACATCAGTACATAGTGAAGTGACAATTGTCTACTCTGTATGTGCTCTGCTTAGCTCCGATCGGAGAGGGAGGGATCTGGTCACAGGGACAGGACAGGGTACCACCAAGTTCGTAAGCCATTGGTGGTGAGATGGCGGGACGAGGCTGCGCCTAGGGACGATGGCAGCCCTGGCTGCGGTAGGGAAGAATTTTCAATATGGACAACCGATAATATAGATGTTGGGATTATGGATTATGGATATGGGGAATCAATGTCGCGCAGGCAAAAGAAAAAAAACCAAAGGGAACCTTTACCAGAAAAAAAAAAAAAGAAATGGGGTGACGCAACGCCACCAGAGCGACGATCTGGGGACAAGCGCGCCATGCTATGCCATCCTCTCAGAATACCTTCCCTTCAACGAGCAAAGTCGAAGAGTACAGAGTATTGGTGTCTTACCTTTAATCTCCTGACAGGACATGATACTGTTCCCTCCCTTTCTTCTCCTTCTCAAGACGGTGCCGATCGTCCCCACATGTCGATTGATGAAAAAACTCCGTACATACATGGAGTTGCATGGATGCCGACATGTCGCATCAAGCGACGATCCAAGATGGCGTCGTTTCTGTTGCAAATCGCAACTCCATGTCCCCCATCCCTCAAGTCCCATGTTCCACGTAGTCGTAGTGTAGGTACTAAGTACGTACATGCATTATTCCCATCACCGACCCCAAGTGCTGCCAAGGTCAGAGGAAGGAATAACCGTACCGCATGACGAAAGGGAAGGGGAGTCGTCGCGAGAGAGTGGGATGATTGCTTTTTCCTGCTTTTTTCCCTTGGACTATTGCGCCAGTTCAGTTCGCGAGCTGGGGTTTGGGTTTTGGGTTTGGGTGCGGGTGGTGGAGGGACTTGGGGGGACTTGGGGGGGACTGGGGAGGGGCGTGATGAGGGAATAAGCAGGGTGGACCCTGTCCAAGGTCGGGGTAAGTGTTGCGCCGCGAGTCGCGAGAGTCGGTTGGATTGGTTCTTTTGGCTGCGTCTCTCTTGTATCTCTCTCGTGAGTCGTCTGTCTCTCTCTGCCTGTGTGTCTGTCTGTGTGTCCGTTCGCAAAGTTGCAAGGGTGGAAATGTGTCGTCGTCCAAGCAAAATACGCAAGTAAGCAACTTTGTGCGGGGAAAGCTGAGACTGCGGGCAATCAATCCTTCCACTACCAGTCGAGAAGACGTACGTACATGCTACGTCTTACTCTCTACCTTAGCTATCGCTTTGTATCATCATGCCCGTTGGTACAGTAAGATCTGTTCATTCCGTGTAGCTAGCTATCCTGTAGTGTCATCTATCATCGTCGTCGACATCAATGCAATCAATCATTCGGACCGCATCAGTTAGGACGGAACATTTCGCAATCGGCAGTTTGTATGAGCGAGTAAGTGGTTTCGAGATGAGAGAGTGGAGAGAGAGAGAGAGAGAGAGTAGGCCGAGAGACCGAGGACAGTACTACTCGTACCCAGAGGAAGGGAAATGGTGTCCGTCGGATTGAGCAGGGGAATACATGTTCGTACATACTGTAGACAGTAGTTACTGCACATACGGGAGTACAGATGGAGACAAGACTGCTGTACGAATCTGTAAGTACCCACGCACCGTACAGTGTATTGGAATCTACTTGCATACATTCTAGTACAAGAACAGTTTAACCCTTCCCCTCTTTCTTCTTCTACCTACTCTTGAGTCTTCCCGTTCGTTAACTAATCACTCATCTTCGCTCTCATGACTGACTGCTTCCCTGGTTGCCTGCGTTGCTGCGGTTCGTTGCGTAGGTTAGTTGCGTATTCGTTGGGTGGGTGGGTGGGTGCGTGCATCGTGCATCTTGCATCTGCCGCGTCGTTGCATACTCGACGTCGTGGTGCTGGGAGACTGGGAGACTGGCACACTAGGTCAACCCTCAACCCTCAACCCTCAAGGTCAAGTTCGGGGTCGCCTTTCCAACGTGGGGTCTTCCTCTGGCCTCTAACTACGAGGTACTGTGCACTCCGTACATACGTGGGGATTGGGGTCTGCCGTTGGTCGGTCGTTCGTTCGTTCGCTCAATCCCTCGAAGCCTTGCCTTGACTTGCCTTTCCTTTGCATCTATCTCTTGCGCGGCCGTGAACACTCACACTCTCGTATTCCACCCCATTCCATCCATCCATCCTTCCATCCATCTATCCGTCCATACAAAACTGCACACTACTCTGTGTATGTACTGCACCACTACTGTCCATCCTGCGTGGTTATCTCACCTCACATACTCCACCTAACCATCCATCCACACACACACACATATTCCTCAAACCCTACCCTTAACCCTTTTTTGCCCCCCACACCACACCCTTTCCCTGCCCTTCCCTTCCCTTCCCCTCTCCATGTGAGCATCCATGATACGTAGATATCCGATATCAGAGAGCAGACCCTGAATAGGGACAAAGAGAGATAACCTCAAGACACAGGGTCCTCGCCTATGTACCCTCCCGTCCAAGCATCTCGGGGGATAATGGTACCCGATCTTTGCTTGTAGTTAGGTACTTCTTCTCTGAGTATCATGAACCTTCGTCATTAATGTATCATCATCCATTTGAAGACATATTTTCTTTTCATTCTGAGCTGAACGGTGTGTATCTATATACCACTTCCTTAACAATATATACCAAACCTATCTATTACCCATTTTATTCATCTCCTTGAATATATCCACCAAGGTACTCCGTACACACACATACAATATGACCGAACAAATGTCCGCCCGGTATACATCCAAACAGGTCCCTTTTTGTTGAGACGTACACCCATTGTAGATCCCTCCTCCTCCCCCTTCAACAGCCATCATCCCTCGGCAGTAATCACCCACCCATAACGCAAAAACAACGTTATCATGTCACACAAACCCATCACCTCCATGTCCCCATCCATCATCATCATCATCATCATCATCATCCATGATCATCGTCATATGCAAAACAAAAAGTGATAAACGATATGCACGCATGTATGTGTATGTATGTGTGCGCCTGCCACCCTAATCAAATCAAACCCATCCTCCCCTCTCCACCACCATGAGACAACCTTAGACAAGCAAAAGCCGAACAGCCACAACTTGGACCCTGACCGATCCCATCCATGCAGAAGATTCAAGACATACGTTATCGTTTGGTGGGTGGCGAATAAGCAAGTAGGGATTGCAAGAAAAAAAAAGTATTGGCAATGGGGGACAGGACAGTACAGGCTACAGGGTAAGGCAATTTTTCTTATGTTGGTAAGGCTTGAGAGAGAGGCAGAGACAGAGGACATGAGAGGACTTGAGAGGAGATGGGGATTGGGGAACCGGCAGACACGGCAGTCGGAGTCGCGGTGCTCTGCCCCCACTTCCGTTCATTCATTCGCTCCAGGTGGCAGAGAGAGAATGGTTGGAAGGGAGGGAGAGGGAAGTAGGAGAGGGAGAGGATGAGACGAGATGGGAGGGGGCGAGTATCACGTGGGTACCCATCCACACCACCAACACTACCAACTCCACCACCACCCAACAGGCTGGGGAACGCTTCGATGGCGACAGAGGGCGGGAGGGTGCCCTGCCTTAGTAGTCTGAGACAAGCTCTGTAGGAGAGACATGGGGTCAACCCTCCCAACTCAGAACCGAAAACTCAAAACGTAGAAGTAGAACTCGAGATCTCAGGAGACGTCACGATAGGATGAACACTAGGCTGGGCACAGGTGGTGAGGCGATTTCCCTTGTAGTCAAAGAGAAAGGAGACTGGTCACTGAGCGAAGATCAGAGAGGTTTTGTTTTTGGTGGGCGCCAGTGAGCTGGCATTCATCCTTTGATTCGTGCAGACTCCTGCTGTGCAGGCAGCCGACTATCTGAGGTCGCAACCCGCGTACCGTTTTTTTCAACGAGTACGCGAGTGCTGATGATATGTAGTAGAGTGAGGGGAATAAGAGACCATCGTGCCAATATGAAAAATGTGTCGTCCAGGCAAAAAAACAGAAAAACTGAGGGGGATATCCTTTCCATAGTAATGACCACCGCGGCCACTTTAGATGCAAACACATATGCCATGAGCCCCCCAAGTCAGGAAGAAAATTCCTCCTCGGGGGCTTCTTGATTTTTTTTTTCGCCGGAAAAAGCAATAAACGTCGGCGCCAGCCAGTGTAAACCCAACACCTGGCAGTGATTGCTCCTAATACACAAAAAAAAAGAGATGCTTGCACAAATTGATCCGCCGTAGCAGAGCGAAGCCATTGGGATGCATCCTGCATCCTCTCGGACAACGCATACAAAGGGGAAGGAAAACGAATAAGAAATACTTTTGGTACATCGCGCGCAACTAGGCCGCATGGAAGAAGGAAATCCGTGTGAATGTACAGTACGGCGGGATCGGGATGGCCGTCCACCGTAATGCAAGCAATGAAGAACTCCTCGAAGCGCCCCCGATGGATCGAGGGATGCCGGTAATGTGGTAGTAGCAGTAGTAGTTGTATGACGATGAAGGTGACGAAAGGCTCCAGAAAACTCCTCTTTGCTAGTGCATTGATACTCCGTGATCGTCGTTATATGAGATGGTTATGATGATGCGAACTCCGTGTCATGATGTGCGATGAAGTGAATCGAGAAGAAGGAAGATGTGGGCGGATTGGCCTAGTAGTTCATCCGCCTCTTCATGTCCCGCACCTGGTCGAATGACCGCACGTAGCTGTTGAGTTGTTGAGCCGCCTGCATCGAGAGACCGGACGGGTTTTGCGAGGCTGCCGAGGACAGAGAAGATCGAGACGAAGAGGGGGAGAGACTTCGCTGGTGCTGGTGGCCTGAGGTTGTAGCTGCCGCTTGAGAGAAGTAAGAGCTCTGGGATTGGGGTTGTTGGTGGGTGTAGTTGGAGTAGTAGGTGTGGTGGTGAGGACTCGATGGCTCGATGAAGCCCTTTGATGTCGAGGGAGCCTTGTACGCGGAGAAGTTGACGGCAGGAGGTAGGTAGAAGCCGTTTGCCGAAGAAGTGGAAGAGGAAGCTGAAGAGGAGAGGTTTGTGGGAGAGGTAGGCTGTCCAGCCTTCTCGAGATCAGCCAGGCGGCAGGCTTGAGAGCAGTACGTTCCGCCCTCTGCTAGTTGCCTGTCACAAGAGAGGCAGAACTCGTGAGACCACTCCATTTGGGAAGCCATTTGAGCTGTGGTGGGATTATTGTGTTTGTTGTGAGGAGGTTGAAAGCTGTGTAAACCACTTGTCGAGAGCAGACGACAAGAAGGTAGTGGGAGTGGATATATATGGTTGTCGATGTAAGACGTAAGCTGGCGGCCACCTAGTGCAGTAGTATGTTTGATGGATTGAGGCGTAGTAGTGGTCAAGGCTGAGTGGTGGTGAGGTGTGAAGAGGAAGTGGAAGTGGAAGTGAAGAGTGAAGAGGAAGTCAAGAGGGTTTAATAGAAAGTGAGAAGCAGAAGAGTCATTCGGGGGATGGATGAGTCTTGTATGAGAAGGGTAGAGTAGAGTAGAGTAGAGTTGAGGGATGGGCGGACGCTTTGTGGGGACGATGAACGGGAGCGGGCGATGAAGATTGACTTAAAGCGACGACGGCGCTCAGTCAGGCACAGACGACAGGCGGAAAAGAGGGGACGGACGAGCAGAGAGTAGAGAGAGCGAAGAGAGGGGAGCAGGGGTGGTGTGGGAAAGGGAAGGCACGGACAAGCAGGTGCAGCAAGTGCTGGTGCAGGTGCAGGTGCATGGGAGGGTGGGAGGGCAAGTGCGAGTGTGCAGGTGTGTGGACAAAGGCAAGTGCAAGTGGGCAGGTGGGCAGGTGGGCAGGCAGACATTGGACAAACCTGATCCGACAAGGGACAGGGATCTTGTTCATGGAGGGGTGGAGACTCAAGAAAGAGCGCTAGAGGGAATGGGGATAGTGTGTGGGTCTATCCTTCATTCGGTATAGTCTGGATCTACCCTGGCTGCCTGTACTTTCTGAATCTGATGATGCGATGATGGGGGGAATTGGAGTGATGCCATGGTGTGCTGTGCTGTGTACTACTACTACTCCTACTAACTACTACTACTAGTCTAACCACTGAATTGGTGACTCTCTCTCGCTCTCTATTTTCTGAACAGCCGCCGTATCCACCCCCACCCATACTCTGTACAGCGTAGTTATTCCCTACACAGTATTCACCATTCCCTCACATACCCATACCCATGCCCATGCCCATGCCCATGCCCATGCCCATCCCATATCAACTACTCGAACTACACCATCGTTCGTCCGTCCGTGATGCCATACACAGACGAGAAGACGAGCGATAGCAATCCACTTAAACAGATAATCTACTCCGTAAACCACTCATACTTAGACTTTGGCCTCATGAACACCCGAATGATTCCATCAATGTCCGATGTACCCGTCTCCATAATTCTATCAGCTCTAAAAGACTAACTATTCATACTCTCCGTAGCTACTCTCTAGTATCTACTGTCTATTGCCTACTGTGACTGCACGAAACAGACACTCCCTCTGCTTCTCCATCCTCATTCGTCCCTCATGCCCAGAAACTGCTCGCTCTCCTACATTTCAACATCTCAACATCTCAATTGTTCTTGTCACGCCATTATTTTCCATTCCTCTCCTTACCTATCCTGTCGCTAACTACTTAATTACTGTGTACACACTACACAGTACAAACATACATACCTACTTGTGAACACAGTCATGCGAAAATTCTCCACCCACGTCCCTCCGGTCTTAGTTGCTTGGATCAGCCCGTGGTCTCGCGATGTGCGCTGATGAACAGGCCGCAGCCAAGGTGCAATCCCCTTGTGACACACCTTTTCCTTCGCTCTATTCTATTTTATCCCCGAACACATTGTACGAGCGAGACTACGAGTTACGAATAACTTAGTTAGGTAGAGGCAAAGCAAACCACACTAGAGAAGAAAATAGAGCACCGTGATCGCACACCATACCTCGTCATCTTCCATGCCATACCTAACTATAATTCATCATCACCATTTCCACCATCACCATCATACCACTCCACTTCCAGCAACTATCCTCTCATGTTCCACCATGCCCACTTCTCTTCTAGTCTTACTCCAATTTCAGAAAGAATGTTCTGCTCCCCTACTCGTAACCATAACTACCACTACCGGATACATGACTTACATGCACATGAGCAATGCAATGATCAGTGATCACCCCAGCTCAACATCAAGATTGTGTACGCGCATACCGTCTACGTACTGGGTACAGACCACAGCGCAATCCATTGTTCGGTTTCTCAGGTTCCGTCAACCTCTCAGCATCACCTGCCATACCCTGTCCTGTTCTGTCTCGTTCAATACTGTCCTGTCCTATCCTATCCTGTCCTGTCCTGTCCCTCCCTGCCCTGCGCCGGGCGCTGACGGATGACCACCTTGCGAAATGTAGGTACCAACACTAGCCGCTTTCTTCGTGAACCCTCCCCCTACCAATTGCTCGAAACGGATCATGAAGATATCCGTTTCCTGCCCTCCTCCCTCCTTACCTTTTTTACTTCCAGTTAGTCTCTTCGCCTACGAGAGTCACAGATGATTTTTCTTCATGGTCATGGCTGTTCGTCTAGGGTCATCGTCAAGGGTCATGGGTGCATCTCTATTTCCGAACCACGCGGTCCTGCCTCTGATCCCCCCACACATCCTCATACACAATAATACATGTTCACTTCTTCTCTAGGTAGTTATACAATACAAAACGCACAAGCGCTGTTGAGCCTAGAGGGAACAGACAGAATGCCATCTGGCATCTACATACCGTGCCGTTCAGTTCCAATGTCCCTGGACGTTTCCAGGCTGCATAGTAATCAACCGTTGCCGCCGCTGTGCTGTTGCCTGCCTATCGCCCATTGTTCGATGCTCAATGCTCGATGCTCGCCCTCGAAGCACAGCATACGCAACACAGCATCTAACTTAAACACCCACGACAATAATGCATAGACCCGACCGTTGTTCCGTGCAATTCTTGTGTTCCCTTCTCCGACCACTACAGCGGCAATGGTATGGACTATGGTCCATGCCATGCTCCCATGGCATGACCCTCCCCGCACAATTGGCTGATCTCTGTCCATCCGCTTAGGATACACAATGGCCAAAGCGACCTCAAGCGCTGGCTGAAGATAGCATAGCATGATCAGGGCTCTCCCTCCTGTCCTCCTCCTGAACGCACGAACGCAGGGGCATTCCGCCGTCAGACCAGTCTCAGCCCTGCAGCTGGTCCAAAACAGTACGTTCACCACGGTACGTACCGCTGCTGTGCCTCGCTCTTGGACGCAAACACCTGAACAGAAAAGTTTTTGGGGGCATGGGAGTTTACAACTCCGAAAGAGCAAGGACGCCACCAACCGCCCGCAAACCACAGCGCGACGCAGCGCACAGCAGCGAGCGTTCTGGCCGTGGCCCTTCATCGGAGGAATGCTGTGCGGGCTGTGTGCTATTATTGCCGTTTGACTGTTTGAGCCCCGAACCCTCTTTGCCCAGCTCTGCTCTTGCCCACCTCGTGAGTTCGCTACGAATGGGTGGAATGCGGTCAAGCTTGTCTGCAACGAACGTCTCCATCGGGCCCCGAATCGGTAGGGTCCGCGAACAACAACTCGTAATACACGTTCTAGGTACTCCATACAGTACTACATCTAGACATCGTCCCAGAAAGAGAAAATTCTCAATGCTTGGTTCGATTGATTGCTTGAATCATCAATCGAAATGAATCTAGGTATGGATCTCTCGTCCCGCGCGTGTGTAGATATGCACAAACACTACTGCCTTGCATTTGCAATTAATTATACTTCACCAACAATTGCGAGTAGCAGCGGTAGTCATCATCGAGCATGCCTCTCATGCACGAAATCAAACATCGTCTCCGATGTTCATTAATCAGGAGCTGTAGTCAAAATGGATCCAACAGCGGAAGGGATCATCACTGCTACTTGACTGCCGCCCCAGTCTCGACGTCTCTCGACCGCGCCGCAATCTCTCAACAAACAATTCGTGAGGCAAAACATCAATCCACCGGGCGGTGTCGATGGCGATGGCGGCGTCGAGCGGCCACCACACGACGGCGAGGGCAATTGCAAAATTTCTCGCAGCGCGAATTATGTCAAGCAGATGCGATGCGGTGCATCAGAGGGTGTGTGTGCTTGGACGAGGGGGGTCTACTGGGCTCGCTTCTATCACCACCGAGCGCCTCTTCAGCTACATAGACACACGACTCCAATCAGGGGCGCGCAGACCGACCTGGACTCTCGCTTGACGGCAGGCTCTGAGTCTTGGGTGTGTGTGCTGGCGATGATGGTGGTGTTCGGCCAGAACGAAGAATGTCCAGAGAAGAGAAAAGAAAAAAAAAAGAGCTATTGATCGCATGCTCTTCTTTTTCCTTTTCCACCTGCTGAACTCCTGTTCGGTCTCTGCACATCTTCGGCGCGCCCGCATCGCTTCGGAACTCTCAGCCTGCGGCAGGCTTTAGGAGTTAGGACGTAGGTAGCGTCGCAAGAAGCGCTGGATCCTTTTCAATCATCCTCCATATTCCCAACAAGGTTTCTCATCGCACATCTATTACCTTGTTGGAATTGAGCGAATCCCATGAATAGCAAGCGAGACAGGAGCTTCGTGCTCCCGCTCCCAAGCTCCCGAGCTCTTGAGCTCCAAGCTCCATTTGGAATTTCCCCTCTCTCTATTGCAGGACGAGCAACGAGCGACGGGCAGGCGAAATGCGAAAATCCCCCCCTTCTCATGCTGCATGCAATGTGCATGATCATTGCATGCCATGGCATCCCATACCATACCATACCATCCATTGCCCATCATCCATGCGCTTCCCCCTCACTGTTCGCTTCGCGTATTATTGGGTGTGGGGATCACACGCCTGGAGATGGTGACTTGCATACATATCGAGGACTTCAGCATCTGAGCATCTCAGCATGGCCCATTCACCAATAGAGTGCCAGCAACTCCCTCTCATTCGTCTAACTGTCCCAATCAGACGAACCGAACGGGACTGAACGAGCCATGTGCTGGGATGGCACGGTCCGTGGGTGCGCGCGTGCACCGGCCGCATCATACAAGGATTCCAATCCTCAATTTCCTAATTCTTGCATTTCGCACTTCGTCTGTATTGCGAGTAACTGCTTCTAGGTAGACTCTAGAGTGGTAGACAAGGTTCACTCTCTACTCTATCTCTCTCTCTCTCTGCTCTCTGCTCTCTGCTGCCTCTCTCTTGATTGAGATGATCATGGATTATGTTCATGTACCCCCACGTTGCTTTTTCCTTCCCCCCTTGCCTTGCGCTACCTTGCCTGGCCAGCTTACCCTGCCCACACTCGAAGGAAGGCGTTCGATATCGAGATAAACCCCATCAGCATCAGCATCATCACTGGAGTCTAGGAGCCTGCTAGCCAGCCAGCCAGCCCGCGTTGATATACTGCTGTACATCAGACTAACAGGGCATATGCAGCTTCACATTGGTTCCGTTGCCCCCACCTACGTGAGGGTACTGTATGCCCATGTTCCTCGACTTGACTGTTCAAGGAATCGAACCGAACCGACACACGCGCCAGGAGAGCGGACGAACGAACACCATGCGCAGTAACTAGCAATTGTTTAATATATCGTTATCTTTATTGCTTCGTATGCTGAACCACCACCACCATCACCATTGCGATATCAACACCACGAGACTGGGACAATACTACCCATCCATGCGCATGCGTCTGCTCCATGGTCGTCACCATACACACACCCACATCTCACACTGCAAGACGAAGCACACATAATACCGGAACCCTCCGATCGCGCCATCTCTTTCTCACACCTGTCGAGTCAAGACTCAACATCCAATCTCCTGCGAATCCTCGCGGCTATCGTGCTTATTGTCACAATTCCAGCTTTCCTCTGCTGACGCTTGCTTGCTTGCACGTCACGGCTTAGGGCTTACGCCCTTCGTGCCTAGTTAACTCGTGCGTATGTAGGGTAGGTAGGTAGACGCACGGTGGTACGAAATGAGCCATCGTGCTGAACTCATCATCATCTCTCTCTGTTCCTTTCGTGGAGACAGCGGCTTGATCGACACCGTCGTCTCGCAAACTACGAGAATCCCCGAATTCGTTCTTTCCTTCATTCGTCCATCGCCCTGCCGCGACTTGCGATGTCCGAACCTACAAGTCTAGTTATCCGCAAACATAGGTAGGATACGGGGATATTCCACCGATCGTCCCCATTTCCCCTTTCCCAATGCAAATGCCAAATCCATAGATAATTTACCTTTGCTGTTACGAATCCGAGCAATGGTGTAAGTCCCCCATCCCCACAAATTACCCCGTTTGGCATTGCGCGCCGTGCGCTGCTGCTCTCTACCTATTGCAAAATACCACTTCGGGACATGCGCGCGCGGGCTTTAGGGGGGCCGCACGCCAGCAACATTGGCTCGAAAAGCGGTTAAAGTTAAAGAAGAGAGAGGGCAAGGCGCAATAGACAAACGCGGCCCCGTGCGTAGTAGGTGTAGGGTAGGCAACAGTTACGTGCCTCGTTACTGTCCTTGAAGCCTGCAGCGCCAAACGACAACTCTGATGTAAACATAAGGCACGAAGGATTGGCGGCTGGGCGTGAGGAGTAGCGCCACATTGTATTAGGTTCAGTAAGGTGGGTGAGACGTAAGAGCGAATGCGAGGCGGATGGGAGAATCTTGTTAATTACCCAGGTTGGCGAGATAGCACGAGCGGCAAGTCCGTCCGCTAATATCTCCAGACTGGGATATCGTCGTCCTTCGTAAGGGGAATGATGGAATTGGGATAGCATCATCGATGATGTTAGAACGACACTGAGCACCTAATTGTAAAGAGATATCTTGATCATGGACTTTACTGCATATACCCAATTGCGAGAAGTACGGAGCACTCTTCTCTGTCTTGTTATCAACTGTAGGCACTCCGTAATTCCAGACATCTTCAATTGGCGTTACTTATGCACGCGATTGAGCTCCATGAATCGTATCACATCGATGTTGGTGGAGGTTATTGTGCCTGTCGTACGTTTTAATATTTTTAGTACACGAATACGGCCTCGTGAATGGTGCGCATCTCACAGCAGCACATCATGATGGCCGACACGGCACAAGCATAGACCATGATTCATGGCCCTTCATCTCTCCAACTCTCTTCCCCTCTTTCATTCCTACAACCGGTATCGTGAGTCGTCGGCACATCGCCCATCCGCCATTGCTCATGCAAAGCCAAAGACTCAATCTCACAATCAAGAAACCATCCCGTGTGTCTCATCTACCTAGTTCAAAGCATATCTATCGATCGTTCAATCGTCACCCATGTCCTACTTTCCCCTCATCCTTCAAGACCTCCCCCTAGAACAGCCCAGATACTCCGTACAAGGTAAACAAAACAATTGTCAATACATACGAAGCACATCAATCGCCTTCCCCACGCACCACCGTACATACATACATACATACATGGGACGCAATTCAATTCCCAACAACAATATTACTTACATGCATCCGGGCCTCCCCCACCCAGCGCCCAGTGCACAGTGACACAAAAGCGCAAGAGAGCTGTCGTGTAACCAAAGCGCCGTTTGCCTTGTCTTCCTCTTCCTCTTCCCTTTCGTTCGTCTATCTACCTGATGTTGTCCTTTTAATCTATTTGATGATGGAGGGGAAGGGGGAAGCGAAGCGTAGGGGGGGTGATTGTTTACAATTGCAAGGACATGGCATATGCGAGTGTGCACGGACGAAGAGCTTTGGTCCCGAGGGCGGGAGGGACCGGTCAGTGCGCGGGTGTGTGGTTGATGAATTGATTGATTGCTTGGGTTGATTGAGAGATTGATTGAGAAAGGAGGGGGAGAGGATTGTTACGATCGTTGTGGTTGATTGGAAGTGTGGTGTTGGAGGATGGCTTATGGTAATGCGTCCGACTTCGCTCGACGATCATCAGATGGTTCTGATAATGCAATATAGGACGATAGATAGGCATTGAGTTATTCTTACGTCCAGGCCAGTGCCTTGTAGATGAGGGTGTAAGCCGTCAGATTGCATGTAGCAAGACGACATCAATTCTCCTAAGTTGTGTGGTTGCTAGCTCCACGTATCCAAACATCCTTACATGGTGCCGAAACAACATGTTCTGTCGCTAATAGTTACCATGCAAGACACATCAAATTGCTACAATTACAGCAATTATTAACGGACGAACTCCGATCATCCGAGAGGGGAAATCGTCGTCGCCTTGCCAACTATGCCTCTTCGGTCATGACCTGATATCGCCCGACATCTCAATCAATTAAACACAAAACGCAAAGATGAATCGAGCAGCCAACATTGTCCAATCTGATCTGCTGTTGGACAATGAACTTTGACAGACTCCTCGATGCTTCATTACGTACAAACAAAGGACCCAAAACGCCCTTTTCGGAGTCCGATAAAAGTTGTATGAATGGACCAACATGTTTGTTTACATCATCCATGCCTCGGACCCTCGGTACGGACCTCATGATGTGATGTGTCCCGCCCAAACGTTTCGAAACGGAATGCTTGCGAACCGCAGGGAACATGAAGTCATGTACCCACAATTACAATCGAAAACGTCGTCGAACGCATGAGATGTTGTCTCTGTACAGTAGTGACTACAGTAGTTAGTCCAGGGCAGCACAACGGTTAGGCCCGCACCGAACGTCCAAGGACCCACAACAACCCGCACCAAGACATGACTACATACAACCCCTCCATCATGCTTTGCTCTCACGATCCATGTCCTGTCACCAACCAGAGAAAATCGAAACACTAGGACGCGTCTGCACGCACGAACCTTTCCAATTGACTCCCTGGCGACTTATCATTCCATTCCCGAGGCGCAGCGAGCGCAGGATTGAGTCCAGCAGGCAGAAAAGAGAGCTCCAGCTAGAGCGCAGTGTAGCGTAGTGCAACAGCGACGAGCACAAGCACCAAACAATGACCCCACCATCGTCAACACCAGCGTCGACGGCAGCGACGACGCACGACTACGCTCGGGAGCTGAACCACGCCCTGCAGACAGTCTACCTCGCCTCGCACCTCACGAAATCCGTCCTCCGCTCCCTCAACAATGCCGTCTCCGCAGAGACGAAGGCAGACTCCTCGCCCGTCACCATCGCCGATTTCGCCGCCCAGGCCATTATAATATCTTCCCTGCACGCCGCGTTTCCCGACGATCTCTTCGTGGGCGAGGAGAGCGCCGAGCAATTGCGTCAGGATGATGACCTCGCGGTGCGAGTGTGGGAGCTCGTCGAGCGGGCGAGGGTGATACTAGACTCCATCTCCCGTTCCACTGCATTATCATCGCTCACCGGAGAAGAGGGGCGAGGGGCAGAGGAAGGCAAAGCCGTGGATATCCACCTCCCAGCCGACAAGGCCGAGATGCTGTCGACCATCGACCTCGGCGGGACTACGACGCAAACACGGAGTGGACGCGTCTGGGTCCTCGATCCCGTGGATGGCACAGCGACATTCATGCAAGGGAAGCAGTACGCGGTCGCCCTGTGTTTGCTCGTCGACGGCGTGCAGGAGGTCGGCGTGATAGCGTGTCCCAATCTGGCCTTCGACATCGACGAGGAAGCGGCGGCCAGCGCGGGAAAGAAGGAAAAGCAGCAGCGGATCCACGAGGACTTGGTCGACAGGGAGAGCTATGGCGTTGTTTTGTCTGCTGTGCGAGGGCGAGGCACATATGTGAGGCGAATGCATGCGATCGAAAACGGCAGCAGTAGCAGCAACAACGGCACACGAACACGCTTCGGACCGGCGAAAAAGGTAGCGCTACTCCACCGTACCGAAGGCAAACAGCTCCGTGACCTGAACTTTGTTGAATCTGCCATCGGCTCGACCTCTCTGTCCCAGGGCGAGCATCGCGATGTCGCCGAGCTTCTCGGCGTGCCAGTGTCAAGCAATTGGCCAGGTACCACAGTCTGGTCACAGCAGTTGAAGTATGTAGCCCTCGCCCTGGGCGCAAGCGACGTCATGGTGCGCATTCCAAAGAACAAAGAGCGCTTCACGTACCTGTGGGATCACGCGGGCGGCCAGATTCTGTTTCAGGAGGCAGGCGGCGTGATCAGGGATTTCGATGGCGGGGACATTGATCTGGGGAACGGGAGGAAGATTCTCGGAGAGAGGAACTACGGTATGGTGGCTGCGATGCCATGGGCCTTTGACGAGGTCGACCGGACCGTGAAAGAGGTCCTTGCGAGGCGGACGGCTTGAATTCACCATGCGCGAATTAATGAGCGGGGATTGAAAGGAGAGAGGAAAGGCCGCAAAGACGGCACGGTGGTGCAAGAGCGGGGGTTTTGTGATACATGTCCTGCAAGTCGCTGTGTCACAATCACGGTTATGAGAAGCCTAGTCGGTGAGTCCGATGCATTGGAGTCGGGACAAGCTCTGGGAACACAAGAAAAGCAAAACTGTGGGGTAACAAGGGCCCGCAATAGACGGGATAGAGAAATATCGCTAGAGTCGCCTACGGGAAGCCGTCGTCAGCCTCAAATCGATGGTGGTAGATGCATCGTTTCGGGACAAGGCTGTCGGAATAAGCAATTATCGCACTATCGAAAAAATAATTAACTTGGGGGCACGAATCAACGATGCATGATTCCGGTCCAAGGAGATGAGGAGATCATGCTAGGATCCGCTCTGTGCTTTCTCTGCCATGTGCCGTGCAAGCCTCCGTGTCACTGCATTCTGCATTTCGTTCTTTTGGGAGGTTATGGCAGGATACATGAACGCGTGACCATGGTTCGTAACTCCTGGCCGAGCGAGGTAAGGTACAAGGGATATGTCGAAAGATATGGACGTGATCAAGCGTAAGGCATGCATCTTTCGTGAGAGCTGATGTTTCATGGTATTTGCTAGTGTGAGCTACTGTCTGTACGAAGTATTATGGGAGGACAAACTTCGTCCCCGCTGTCTATGATACACCACCGCCGTTTTTTCGGAAAGACACCTTCTCTACTGCCACGGTTTCCGCTCCATTGGCGTCTTTACGGAGCTGGTAAACGTATAGTACGAGCACGTCTCCTTGGACCTGTTCAACATGTTAGCAACCCGAACTTCGTCCATGTACGCAGTTTCGATCTGAAAGACAGTCCTTTCCGTAAACTTACATCCATCAAGCAAAAGCTCGGTGTAGGGTCCTCCTCCTCGGGCCACCATCCGGTCGTCATAGCTCCCGTCGCACTTCCTGGGTTAATGAAGAACTTCCCTTCCATCTCGTATGCTTCAAACTTGTGTGTTCCACCCCAAAGCAGAATGTCGACATCCATTTGCCGCGCAGCAATCAATAAGCTGTCGCCATCGCCTGGCGGGATGATCGTATGCCCATGTGTGAACCCTATCCGCAGGCTACCGTGTGTGACGACTTTCTGCAGGGGTAGGTTGGGCGCATCGACGTCGAAGTCGCCTTTCACGATCTGTAGGTCGGGTGCTATGCCTCGAAGGAACTCGTAGGTCTCTTTCGAGGTGATGTTTCCAAGGCAGAGAATCTGGCCTATTTTTCCTGGTGCGAGCAGCTTCTTGAACTATATCGCCGAAGGTAAGTCAACATGCGACGAAGGCGGGGGATCAGAGGATCTCGTATAGGGAATCTAGAAGTCGTGGGAGCGAGCGTACCTTTGCGGGAATGTCCTATTGATCTGTAAGTATGTGAATCCAGTCCGGGATTATTTGAAGCATTCTGGTCTTACGGCAGCGCGGTCTGGTATAAAGAGGTCGCCTAATGCGAGCACAAGTCGTGAAGCCATTGCGGCTTCTTTCCGAGGATTTAACTTGGATGTAGAGTGGTAGGAGGTCGGGCTATATATCGGCGCTACGATACGATAGTAAAGTGGAAGCCGGGACAGCTAGGAAAGCGTGAGATGTTTTTGCGACGTAGTATGATGTTGAAGCTGGGTAGCTATGATGAAGCTATGCGGCCACCAGATCGGAACGCGGAGGTCTGACGGTCTGGCAGTCTTGGCAGGGTCATTATGTAATACATATCAACGTACATTTGTTCCTGTGCCACATTTTACGTGACTACACAGCAGCATTTCTTTGTCATTACAGCATTTTCCAGCTGCTCATGCGTTGATACGATAATGTTATTCCCTTTTGGATATCTTTGTACTCAAAGCTTTTTGACAGCAGCTCCAGATCTTGGAATGCTAATCCACAAGTCCCATATGTACTTAATCAGTGAGGTCGTCTTCGTAGACATCTGATAGGAAATCTTCGTCCGTTGCTTGGACTGTGGCTGCTGGGGATATGCAGCACTGTCCACAGTACGCGAAGATTTCCCGTGCGAGCATCGGGTTTGCCAATGTTGAAGACAAATTGGACGCAGTAGGTCGGTCCTTCCCTTCAGCTGAGAGCAACTCCCGCGTGTAGTTAATCACTAGATTATCTGCGGGGTTTCCGATCGATTCTAAAGATGCTGTGATCTTCCCTAAGGCGTCAAGGTTTGTCCTGATATAAGGTGGGCGTTGTGAACCATGCTTCTCAATAAGTTCATCGAGATGGTCCACTGATTTTCCTTTGAGCACTGCCATCATCTCCATGAACACGACACCAAGGCTCCACATATCAGACTTCTTGTTTCGAAATTCGCTTCGTGCGACTTCGGGGGCACAATATCTGTAGCTCAGAGCGTTCGGAATGCCCACACTAGTGCTACCGTCTTCTTCAGAGAAATCGCGAGCTAATCCAAAATCGGTCAACAGTACCGTTTCATGGTATATCAGGATGTTGCCTGGCTTTATATCTCTGTGCCGAATGTCGCGTTGGTGAAGGAATTCGATTGCTTTAGCCAGACAACCAAAGAATGGCCGTAGTTTAGAAGATTCTGGAGGTGTATCCAGCCGCAAGTAAGCAGCCAGATCCATGTCAGCGACAGGAGACATGATCAAGCCAATATACTTCGTATCCGTGTAACTTCCGACGAGCTCTACGATATGTCGATGCTTAATGCTTTTGAGCAGCTCGATCTCGTCAATGAAAGATTTCGTCCTTTTCTGATCTGAACCATTGTAATATGCAGTCCGAGGCACCCTTTTCCGTGCATAGTATTTCTGACTGATAGGGCTTTGGACTTTGTCTACTTTTCCAAACCCACCACTGCCCAATGGCTTCCTAAGTTTGAATGGGAAACTTTCATTTTTGTCGAAGTTGCAATGATTTCCCTTCTCTCCCTTTTCAAGATTGATTCCCTTCGTCAAGATTAGGTGTTGGAGCCTCACAATAGCTGTCTTTGCACTCGGAGAGAGGCTTCCAGGCAAGCTGTTTTCGGTGACAGGATACCAGTGGTCCGAAAATCCGAGCTCTACAAGATCGCTGATGAGATTGAGGTGACCAGACAACCGGAGGAGAATATATGTGCGGGGAAGTCGACTCCAGGTTGGATCTAGCTCCTTCAAAAGGATTGACATTTCATCGATTTCCACATCAGTGTACGGTCGTTGTATAGAAGCTCCCTCCTCGAAGTACATTCCTAACCGAGAAGTTCTTGACTTCCCATTGGTATCCACATCGGTGTATAGTCGTTGTATGGAAGTTTCCTCCTTGAAGTGCATCCCTGGTGGTGAAGTTTCTGACGCCTGGTGAGTCTTCCGGAATGGTGTGACTGAGTTATAATTTGGTTGGTTTAAACGATGTTGCATTGCGATGAGGTTCAATTTTCCCTGACGATTAAGTTCCTGTAGAAGTTCTGTGGCCTCGAAATATTCGACACGCGTCCCGCGAAAAACTAGTTCGAGGTCGTGCGCCATGTCTTTCATTTCGTGAGCCCTAGCACCTAGATGGCCTAAGGACAGGCCAAACCAGAGTCTGCTTTCCAGAGTCTTCCTGCTGTGACGGCCATTGAGTCTTGCAAAACCATCCGCTACCTCTTTGAAAACCTGCTTAACCTCCTCTTGGCTTCTCTGCGCGTAAAGTTCCTTGCCGAGCCAAAGCTTGCTCTCCAAATAGTTGTGGGACCTGGAACTGCTAATTTTCTCGAAATCGTTGACTGTTCGCCGTAGGATCCCAAGGCATCCCGGGGTCTTTGTCTTGTAGAGTGCTTTGCCAAGCCAGAATTTACTGGTCACTGTGTAGGGATTCCATCGCCCCAACAAGTTTTCCAAGCCATCTGTAGTCTTCCATAGTATATCAACCGCTTGCCCATGTTTGGACGTCTGGTAGCACAGCGTCTGCGCAAGAAGGAGTTCAGAACACAACAAGCCCCATTGTTTGCCAACAAACTTTGTCTTATATGCGTGAACAATCTGCTGCTGCACAAATGAGGCTCTCTCTAGATTGTTTCCCTGCGAGAAGAGAGTGCGACCTAGCGATTCCATCGTCTGTAATGTTTGCATATGATCTTCACCAAACCCTCTCTTATCAGCTATGTACCTGGACTCGTAATATCGAACGAGTCTGTTCCACCGGTCCGAAGCTTCCGTGAACCTTTTCTGTTGCTGGAGACATGATGACAAAATTTCTTCAGTCTCGAGAACATTTTGATCCAACCCCAGCAGCGAGTAACATTCAGAAGCTTGCTTGAGATGGTGTTCGGCTTCGCTGAAATCCATTTGGTCCAACAGTGCAACACCAAGTAGAAATGTTGCCTCAGTCGATAGTCCGGCCTGTGCCGAATTGGAAGCGTCAAGAGCGGCGATATCATTTATTAGTATGCCAAGTGCATTGACTGCTTCAACTGTCTTCGATTGAATAACTCGCGTTTTTGCTTGGCAGTATCTGAGTTGAAGCAGTAGAACGTGGCTTGGTGCAAGCGCTACCTCCCCGATCGTTTTCAAAGTTTGAAAACACTCCTCAGCCTCGGGGATGAGACCGACATGCATAAGAACCAACCCCCGCGAAAGCTGTATAGATACGATCGATTCAAAATTGTAGTGAATTGTATCTTGCACTTGCAGATCGCGTTTGATGAATTCGCCTTTTGCCATACGTCGTTCATAAGTCGGCATCGAGTCGATTACGGCAGAATTGTTGGCATGGACTGTTGTGAACCAGAAGATTACTTTCAATTCCAAGTCTTCCAAATCCTTCAAGTCTGGGATAATCTTGTCCTGAGGCGTTCTTCCCGACATGATCTCTAGGCAGTGTTTAGAAGTTTGGCGTGCCTATTTACTCAACTACAAGTATCGATTTGAGCAATATAGGAATAGATGATACGCTAAGACTTGTCTGCTGGGTATGGAGTTCAGGAACCAATCTAGAGAACGGGTAACGGGATTATCATGCGTTTCCCTTCGTACAGCTCGCCCTCAACATCCAATATGCTGGAATCTACTCATAGTCATTAGCCAGTATACTCACACAAGTGTCCGACGAACACTGCCCAATCTCTATGCATGCATTTGTTGAACTTACCCTTTAAGGTTTGAAATTCGACGGGAGGGAGTGTGGAAGTTGTTCTCAAAATCCGCACGCCCAAGGCTGAACATCCAGCAACGCTCAGCTCTCTTTGCGGGGCCGTATACTTGGCAACCAATAGCAATGATCATGCATTGATGACCTGCATATCCTGTTCTGCCTCACGTTCTCAGATAGCTTAACTTCTATGGAAATGGGTGGAGACTTACAACTATCGCCTCGATCGAGCTATTCTCAAGAAGTCTTTTGTGATTAGCAATGCTCGCCTCCCCCGCAGCATGGGTGAACAGAAGCTTATTTTTGCATGTACGCAGCCTCGAAGCTCACATACACATAACACAGACACGAGAGCGTGTATTTATTTGGTATTGATATTGTGTTATGGAGGACTTATCTGCAAATCCTGTCTCTCGTAAACCCTGTACCAACCAATTTCTTGGTATGATAAGGCTATCTCCCGGACTTCTCCACTTCTCCTGGAACCTAGATCCAACAAATGAAAAGCTTTGAACAGGGCGTATTGCCAGTTGATCCAGTTCAGTTTGATCAGAACTAAGAGCACACGCTCTAAAAGAAAGGAGTTGTGTGCCACTATTTGTGACGGGAGAATATCTCAAAGGAGAAGAGGAAGAGGAACGCCCGTCCCTGGTTATCCTAAACTTCCAGACCCTAAAGTGAAACTGATGAAAGAGATGTGATATACCCTGCCGTTTTCTTAACGCCATATTCGTTTCCTGGATTTCCCAATTCCCAAACACCGTACAAAATACAGAGCCAAAGAGAGTGTAAAGAGGATTGACGATATCTGTATAGGCATGCGAAACTGATACCCTCATCGCGAAGATGAATTACCAGTTACGCTGCACCGGTACCGTTGGCTGCTAGAGGTGCACCGCCTCCACCGCCCATCAACTTCTTCCTTTGACGTTCAGCCCACTCTCTTGAGGCGATTCGACCTCGCTCCGCGGCTTGCGCCCTTGCCCGCTTTGCCGCTTCTTCTTTCTCTTTCCTGTCTCGCACCAGCTGTTCGTTCTCGATCTGGTCTCGGTTAAAGATCTGCCTTGCTTTCATGCGTTGAGCGGCCACGTCTGTTGCCGTTACGGTGCTTTTGGATACAGGGCCTGGAACAATGACACTACTGCGCTTCGAAGCGGTGGTTGAGTTGGAGGTTGACGAAGTACGGGAGAGCATAACACTGTTCGGTCTGGGTTTCCTCCCATTCACTGAACTTGAACGTGATAGATCGCTTTCAACACTGGCTTCAGGGTTCATGAGGTTCTCCCTAGCCCTGCTGGCGGCGGTTTGTCTGACGACCATGGAGGGTACGTTCTTCTTGGGTGGAGCAGACCTTGCCCTGAATAAGCTCGCTTTCTTTTCTGCCTCGGCCGCTGCGCGTTCTTCTTCTTCTCTTTTCAGGCGCTCTTCTCTCTGGGCTTTCAGCTTCGCCGCGATGGCCTCACCGGGCAGTTGGAAATTTGCTTTGGTTGGAGGCTTCGTCGATTTATGGACAGGTGGGGCCACAAAATTAGCAGCACTTTGCGGTCTTCTTACTCCGTTAGCTGCTTCTTCAGCCTCTCGTTCAAGCCGCTCTTCCTTTTGAGCCTTGAGCTTTGCAGCTATGGCCTCGCCTGGAAGTTGGAAATTTGACTTCGTCAAGGGTTTGGTGGATTTGACTACAGCCGGACCGCTGAAAATTGCACTTTTCGGTCGTGACCCACCACTTGCTTGGTCTCCCGCCTCTTTCTTCTGTCGCTCTTCTCTCTGAGCTTTCAACTTGGCCGCAACAGCCTCTCCGGGTAGTTGGAATGTAGATTTCGTTGGCGCTTTCGCGGACTTTTGTGGTGGAGGTGGAGCGGGAAACGTTATGCTAATGGGTCTCCGTTTAGTCGCGAGATAATCTGTAGGCTGTCCCGTACCCTTTCGTTCGGGCCTAGGGGCGACTCGCGTGCTTTGAGATCTTGCCAGAGATGTTCTCGTCATGGTTGGCGCACGAGATGGTGGCTTGAGGGACTTGACCTCGCCTCCAGGGTTCTTCGATACGCGTGTGGAAGACTTGCGCGCAGGCGTCCCGTTCATATTCTCGTTCTTAAGACGATCAGCTGCAGCAAACCGAGCTTTTCGGGGTGACTTCTCGTCGCCTGAGTTGTTGTCAAGGTTGGGTATCGCTCTACCGACATTCTCCAGCGCTTCTTCCAAAGCGTCAATTGCTTCGATGGATGCCTCGAGGCGCATAGGTGAGCGCGATGAGGTACGACTGAGAGCACAACTCGGACGGCGGCTTTGGATAGGCGTAGAGGCTTGGGACAGCGAATCCGAAGGTCTCTCGGAGGCAAGCGTTTTCGGTTCCAGAGCTGGTGATCCAAGATGGTCTATTGAGAACGAAGGGTTGGTGGACTCTTGCGCCTGTGGAGTCTCTTCAACTGGAGCAATGGCGGCGTCTTCAACAACATGGACCGGTTCTTCAACAGTAGGAACAGGCAGGAGTTCTTGTGGGTTTGTTGGTTCCTCCTGGGCTCCGGCTACTGCCTCTTCCTCATCTGCAATAGGTAGGTCGTCGTCAAAGACGATTTCGTCTGGATATGACTCGATCTTCTTAGGTGTGGTCATGAAATGCTTGTTGGAACGGTCAGGGAGAGACTGTGCTTGCATACCCCTAGACAACTCCTCCTCCTGCTTGGCTATTTGGCGGCGTGTCATGCGCACAGCGCGTGAGGGGGGACTTGCAGGTTGCTGGTCGGCCATGGGGATCTGAATAATATCTGCGTTTCCAGATTAGCTGGCACATCTTATTATGCGCACGACCGGCATCATCCCCCTGCAACCCTGGCAACTAAAACTCACCATCAGTAGGCGGCTTTGAAAGATCCTCAACAGCGGCATCACTTGCGGGACTCCCCGCTGCTAATCGCTCGTCCTCGAGGACCTCTGCGATGTTGGTATCAACCTCGACCTGCTCCTTCTCAGCAGCCTTGGCCTTCTTCCCTTTTGCGCCTTTCTTTGCGCCACCTTTAGCTTTGCTCTGTTTAAGGGGCATTACGGTCTCGACGAGTTCGTAGGTTGTGTTTGATTCAGGGCTGGCGTTTGCGACAACTTCGCGCAGTGGAGCGCGGTCCTTAGGGTCGATATGCAACTTTGACGCGTCAATTGTCTCGTTGTCGGGGGTCGCAGTTGCTTCGGCGCGCAATGCAGCTCGCGTGAGGCGCATGGTCGCGGTCGCAATGATTTATAGTACTCGGTGGAGTTATGGGGCGTCGTCGTGGATTGTTATGAATGTCGTGTCACCCGACATTACAGCGCGCGATAATAGGTATGTAGTGCTGTTGTTGTTGTCTCTTGTTATTATGTATTTGTTGACTGTATGCAAAAAGGGTCCGGATGTTGATGTTTTGGTGGATCCTGGAGCTAAACCGCTTTGATCTTGACATGGAGGTCCCTGGCAACGGTTCCCCGCCTAAATCCATGAGCAGATAATTAGTTACAGCCGTATTGATTATGTCAGCCGATTACTGCGCAGGTAACTACTGATACGAGTAATGGACTTCTGTTTATAGTAATCGTATCCGCCATGCGGTTATAGATAATGCGAGGCACAGTATTGACCTTCATACACTGCGCGTCTGTGGCGTCCAATTTTATCACGTGATGGGTGTTTATGCTAACCGTACCTTTCTTACTGTGACACTTTGATCACTCTAAGGGCTTTTAATCGGAGAAGACGCGGAGGAGAAGTCCCGACTCCCCACAGCTTCGACGAACGGCAGACATTAGATTAGAATTGACTAAGACTAGCATCCTCAAGGGCGTCCTGGGGAAAAATTTGAGACCATCCGGAGAAGAAGACTTAAACTTAAGACCTCGCAATCCGCACGCAATTGAGTAATCTCAACACCCTCTGACCCAATTCCATCCGTGCAGAACGCGTCTATCCGGCCCCATTTGCCCCTGGATCCAATTCTTTCCATCTACGACCCACCAATTTGTGCATATTTGAAAGGATTCAACATCTTCTCCGTCAATTGCCGTCAAAAGTTGACCTCTTTGAACCATCCCGTCCATTCACTTACCACTAATCGATAACTCCGAAACCGGCAAACTGGCTGCCCCGCGCCGACTCCTCAGTTCCTTGAATACCCGCCTCCTCTACTATCACCCCTCTTATTTCGTCACCCTGGCTTCCTCACGCAATTCCTCATCTCTTTCTGCTTCTGCAGCCGAACGCCTGAAGCTTTTCTCGAAGCATCTGGACCGGAAACAACCTTTCCTAGAACTGAACACTCCCTTCACCACCGAGAGAAACGCACGCCTTGAGGACGATAAGGGCCATCTAATACGCGATCAAGTGTTGAAAGCTCAAGAAACAAAGGCAGTCGAGTCGGAATCAGAACCCGAGATTGAACAAACTCCCGCGACGATGTCTAGCCAACCCCCCCATGCTACGCTTCTCATTCCGGGACCCATCGAGTTCGACGACGCGGTTCTCCAGTCTATGTCTCACTACAGGTACATCAGCCCTCATTTTATAAGTTGTATATTATCGCAAAACGCAGTAGCTTACCGTCATTTGCAGTGAGTCCCATGTCAGCCCGGCTTTCGTGAACGTTTTCAGCCAGGTCCTCAAGAAGCTCCGCCAGCTCTTCCAATCCACAGACCCCGCCGCTCAGCCTTTCGTCATCTCTGGATCCGGAACATTGGGCTGGGATCAGGTTGCCTCGAATCTTGTCGAGGCTGGAGATGAGGTCCTCGTCCTACACACCGGATACTTTGCCGATTCTTTCGCGGACTGCTTTGATACCTATGGTGTCAAGGCTACACAATTGAAAGCACCAATCGGAGAGCGACCCTCTCTTGAGCAAATCGAGCAGGCTCTCAAGGAGAAGAGCTACAAAATCATCACCATCACACATGTCGATACCTCAACCGGTGTTCTCAGTGACATCAAGTCGATCAGCGAGCTTGTCCAGCGGGTCAGCCCTGACACCTTGGTTGTTGTCGACGGCGTCTGCAGCGTTGGAAGCGAGGTGATTAAGTTTGACGAGTGGAACCTCGACGTTGTCGTTACTGCTTCGCAAAAGGGTATCGGTGTTCCCGCTGGCCTTTCCATTCTTTTTGCCTCTGGCAAGGCCATTGATAGGTTCAAGTCGAGGAAGACTAAGCCATCATCATACTTCGCCAGCTGGAAGAATTGGCTACCCAGTAAGTTATATCGGTTGCATTCTACCTAGACGAAGAACTAATCGGATTCAAGTCCTACAAAACTATGAGGCAGGAAAGCCCTCCTACTTCGCCACCCCATCTCCCCAACTCATCCACGCTCTTAACACCTCGCTCGACCAGATCCTCGCCCGTGGCGTCGATCAGTACAACAAGGACCACGCAGCTGTCTCCCAGAAGGTTAAGAAGGCCATCACCGATCTGGGTCTCAAGCAGCTCGCTTCTGATCCCGAGGGTCAGGCTAACGGCATGACCGCCATTTACCTTCCCGAGGGTATCACTCCTCCTGATGTCCTCCCCAGCCTCCTCAAGAAGCAGGTCATCTTCGCTGGTGGTCTGCACAAGGAGATCGCCTCCAAGTACATCCGATTTGGACACATGGGTGTCAGCGTTACCGATCCATCAAGGGGTGATATTACTAAAGCCGTTGAAGCTTTGAAGGAGAGCTTGGCTGAGGTCGGCTACAAGGCTTAGATGGAAAAAAATTCCGAAACAGTAATTTTAAGAACCAAGTGTCCAGATATTTTACTGCATATAGATAGATATGTCTGGGGGCCTTCAAGATGTTTCCGTACATTTCTTTTGGGATACATGGTGTAGAAATATTCACATATCAAGAATAAGAAACAAACAACCATAAGCTAGACAACTTCGCAATGTTTGTGTGACCTTTCATGTATGGTGTTTCTATCATTTAGCTCTATGTGAATTTGCTTTTTGTTTCTTCCAATTCTATGAACAACTGAGAACTCTGTCTATCTGACTGAACACGCTCAGCCTAATAAACTCAATCTACCAAATTCCTTGATGACCGGCGGGTCTCTCTTCTTGTTCACCTCCTCAAAGCTGGCCCATAGCGTGGCATCTGCACCCTGGGGCTTCAATCCCTCATTCCCATCCACACCACCAAATCCTGCAGGGGGAGCCGCGGCTTGGCTCTCTTCCTTACCTTCCCAAAGCTCCTTCACAGCTTCCCTACACAGCGCGCCAACCTCCTGCACACTCCTCGTCACCGCATCCGCTCTCTCCCTCATCCTCCTACCCACCAGCCCAGCAACAAGCCTCTCCACCTCCTCAACCGTGACGTTCAACCTCTCCACCAGCCTCTCAATACTATTAACCAGATACTCCTCCTCATACACCGTACCCTTCTTACCCCTGGCCCTCTTCCTCTCCTCCTGCCTCTTCTTCTTGCTAGTCCTGCGCGTGGTCGCCGTATTGACAGTGCCAGTCCTATTCGTATACCTCGTCATGAACGTACCGCCACTCGTAGTATCCGTCTGGGCGACGGAGATGTTATCCGGGATATCCGCGTTGCCGCCCTCGAACGTGCCCTCGAAGAACGCCATGGGGTCCTCGAGCTTCTTCTTGCGGAGCTCGCGGAGGCGAGGCACTTGGTTTTGCAGCTGGGTGCGCATGTCGGCGAGGAACTCGGTGGTTTCGGCGGAGCGCTCGATGAGGGATGGGTCGATGATTTCTTCGAGGAGGGTCGGGTTGCGGTGTAAGACGATGAGGCGAATGGCTTCGGGGAAGAAGCAGCCGCGGCAGAGGAGGCGGGCGGAGGTCGGGAGGTCGGAGAGGTAATCGAGGTGGATTGTGGCTGCGGAGAGGTAGTCTTTGGATTCGGTGAGGCCTTCTGCGAGAGAGGTGGCTAGGGAGGCGAGGTCTTGGTCCGAGACACCGGCGAGAGTTGCAGAGGAGAGAGCCTCACGCCAGAGCAGCGCGGAGAGGTAATGTGGATGGGCGGATGCGTGGTCGGAGAGGTAGGTGTATGCGAGCGCGGCGTCTTTGTGTTGGTTTGTTACCGCGAGGTGGTCAGCGTAGAGACGCATGATTTGGTCGAGGGATGAGGTGTCATATTGGTAGAGTTCGAGAGCCTCGCGATAGAGAGTATGGTTCTGGACGTAGGCTTGGAGTTCGTCGAATGCGGATAGATCTTTGAGGTGCTGTAGTGCCTTCGTGTGGCGTGACAGTTGATCGTCAATCTTGAACTTCCGCCTGGTAAGAGGCAGGTCGTGGAGGGATTGGAGATGAGGGAGGTATTCCCGGGGGTCCTGTCAGATGTGTAAGTAAGACGAATTCCCAGAGTGTGAACAGTCAAAGATACCTTCTGCGATTGCTGTGCTATGAGAAGAGCCAGCTCGAGATTGTAGATACCCAATGCTGTGTCGTAGAGCTGATTGACGTCGGCCAGGAAACAAATATGCTCTGCTGCCTTCTCAGTGAGAGGGTCTTGAGATGCTATGAAGGATTAGTAATGCCCATATACTATGATACTGTTGTGCGTACCTTGTAATCTGCCTATCATCTCTAAGCCGGACTCAAGATCTGCGGGAACTTTGCAGACGTGAGAGGTAATGATGTTTTGCAGATGGGTTTCCTTGTACTGCGTCTGCTCTAGGACCGCCAGGAAAGCATCACATATACGATTGACCTTGGATTCAATGGGGTAGTCTTCGACGCTGGCTTTTGCGGCTTGGTCTTTCGTCTTCAAAGTTTCTTTGTACATCGTTTCGGAGACATCCTCATTCCTACAAAACTTGTTAAATCGCTTACGCCTATCCAAGAGTAAAGGGTCATACCTGAGCTGGGAGAGGAAGAGATCAATGTGCTCAATCCTCTTCACTTGCGTGACCATCTTCTCGATACTCCTCATAAAACGTTGAGGGTCGTGGTCATGAAGGATGTTCATGTCCACACGTTGGTTTCTACAAGCAAGGAATGCCTCGCCATACTGGTCTTTTTCGATACTGCGTCGGATAGCAGCCAATACCATCGCACGCGGGTAGATAGTTTCCAAGTTACCGCGAGGCATCTGGAGAACGACAGAGTATGTAGTTGGCATCGCTGTGACGATACGAGCTCCACGCTCGATGCTTCTGCAGCGCTCATCCGTCTGTGGCTCATCCGCCGGTACTTCCATATCTGAATGTATTTAGTAAAGGGCAATAGAACGTTGAAGAATTTCATACCTTCCACATTGGTGAGGTGAACAAATTTGAGAAGATGTTGCGTTGTCGTGAAGATCAAATGTGCGTTTGTGACAATGAAAGAGGTGCAATTGCGGACAAGGATACGATCATTAGCGTAGAGGACCCCGCTGTTCGTCAAACCTATGGATATTTGCTGCAATTATTAGCTTGAAGAATGGGAAATAGACGAACAATGAACCTACCTGGCTGTCTACAGTGGTTACTTGCGCCGTGGGGGTAAATGTGGGAAAAGGCAGAAGCGACTGAGTCCCTCCAACGAAATTGTCCAATGTTCCGTCGGGTCTGATATCGTACAGCAAACCGCTGTAGAATTGCACGTAAATGCTGTGATAATCTGCTCTTTGTACGATCGATGAAGCACGGCCCGGTTCCAAAATACGACCAAGGAAATCCAATTGTTGGTTATCGTTACTCAACCACAAACTGCTCTCTTCTTCTTGCCAGCTATCTGTCAAGACGTACACGCGATCATCGATGAAGGCGACCTGGCGGGGAAGGTAGTCCTGAAGAGAGTCGCTACGCCATAGTAATGTGGGTTTGGGCACAGGTCGCTTGTGTAGATCAAGTGAATACACGGACACATCTGAATTCGAAATAACGGCGATTCGAGAATTGGTAGCAGAGATGGCAACGTCGACGGCCTTTTTCTCTAGAGGGATCTGGAGAAAAGACATTGGCGGCGGAACGTTTGCAATCCTTAAGGGAGTAACCTTGAGGGTAACTGTCGATGTCAGGACTTTGCTAACATCTTATTTAGATTTGATAAGGTGACTTACGCCCATCGATGACTGCTACGACACCCAGATCATTAGGAGGGACTGTTGAGCCACCGGCAGTAGCTTGTGTATAGTCCAGCACCTGTAGGGAATCTAGGAGGGGATTAGCAAAGATAATGCGTAGCGGCAAGCTAATACTAACCAGATGTTGCGACAGTGACAGCCAATGGTCTTTCAGAATGCCATCTTGTTGTAATAGCTGACATTGCTGCTTCAGGAAGCTCTATCTCTTGTTTAAGGAAGTAGTGGTAGTTACTCATCGTCCATAGCTGCACCTTCTGCGGGTAGGTTACAGCAAGGACATTGGAATCGTTATTCCAATGAACACGGAGTGGTGTAGTCAAAGATTGTAGCTCTTCTGGCGAGAGTCTAAGATCGAATTGACCATGCCGTAAACCATTACGTTCAAAGAAGACAACCTGCGTCTTATCTGCTGAACGTTGCACTCCCGCAATTAGATTCCCAGATGGCCGCCAGCTCAATGCTCCTTCAAGGCCGTCCACTGGTTCACTGACACTGTCCAGCTGCCCCTCTCTTGAATAAACTCGGATCATTCTCCTTTGCTGCTGCTCGACGGTGCTGAGAGCGAAGTATGCTCCATCGCCACGCCAACTGATAGTGACTGACTGATCCTCATTCGGGCTGAGGGTACCCTCATCCACGCGCTCAGGTACTGTAGGGTCTTGGAGAGCCTTCGCTCTTTTGCCTTTGAATTGAGTCTCTTTCTTTCCCCAGCCTACGGACACATGGCTCGATACATTGACATCTTCGGGCGTGAGGTTGATACTCGATATATTTTCGATGTCCCTGGAAAATAAGAGTAAGGTGTCTGCACGTGTTGTGATGGCAAGCAGCTCTTCATCTGGTGACCAAGCGGCAGCGGAAATTCCGGCATCAATTGATCCCACAATTTCGACCAAGTCTTGGTTGTCCAAAGGATCCTCTCGCACCAGGATAATATCCCCACCAGCAAGAACGAGGCATGTTGTCGCCGAGTCCGAAAGATGATGTAGGTCTATTATCAAATCATTTGGTAAATCAGGCAGTGGGCATGGCGCATCCCATGAAGCAATACTCTCCAGTCTGCCATTTACGCTGTCTTGTTCATAATGAAGTCGTTTCAATTCGATTACGGCACGTGATGCTGATGGTCCGAAAGCACAGATGATGGAATTCGATGCGGGATCCCACGCGGTTGCGGATAAAGGTAAAGGGTCACCCTCGCTGGAAAATCGTAGAAGCGACCTTCCAATGAGCTTGAGATTGCGCATCTTTGTGCCCAGAGGAAGCCGTACGTCAAGAGTGTTTTTATGAAAAGAGGCACAAGTGCAAATATGACGGATGTGAGTGGTCACACAAAATTTCAAGTCAGGCCTTTGTCAACCGAGCTTTTCCCGAATAGGGCTGCAGCGGCTCTCAACCTGACCCCATCACCAGCCCACAAGAGCGATTGCAATTGATATAAGATGAACACTGCAAATGAAATTGATGCTGAAGTCGTGTGTGTGTAGTACAGTTGTTTGCAGGAACCCTCCTTCTATTCTACAATGTTCCGTCGCCCCTGTTCACCATGGCGAATCCGCGAATCCATTCATTGCATTTAACCCTGGTTCTTCTTGGTCTGCCAGACTGTTGAAAGGAAAAGTGTTAGCTGTCCATATATTGATAGAATTGGGTTGTATGCAGCCTTACCAGCAAGACCGAAAGGGAGACCGAAGCCAGTGACTGTGAGCAATTGAGATCAGCCGATGATTACTTCCACGATATGTTTCCATGCACTCACTGGCGTATGCCCAGAACTTGATGGCAAAGCCCCTCTTCAAAGGGTCAAAAGGCAAGTTGCTGCGAGGGCCCTCCGGGTAGTGGTATGGGCTGGAGAGCTGGGCTCGGGTGGACTGGAAGCCACGGCGGGCGACGAGAGAAGGAGCGGCGGTGGCGCGGAACGCTGTGCGGGCGAGCATCTTCGGTTGTCAGCAATTGGCTTAATTGAACAGGCGGGAGTCGTACTTTGGCGGTATTGATTGAGTGGAGAGGGTTGGAGGTGGTGGTTCGTCTTGTCAGGATGAAGCTTGAGATCGAACGATGCGACAAGTTCATGACGCTTAGTCACGCAAGGTCGAAGGAAGCACGGACCGTCGTCGCCAAGACTAAACTTTTTGATAGCATTGACAATTGATTTACTCTCACCAGCGCCCGACACTTTCACGGATCAAAAGTCTATTTCCTCGCCGGTATCTCGACCCGACGTCGAAATATTGCATGGGTGTAAACCCTGGTAAGTACGAATCTACCTGAAAAAGCCACCCTGCCACTTTTCCTTTCGCACATTTTCATCTCAGGATGGACGACCTCTTCGATGTTTTCGAAGACGGCGCGTCTTCGAATAATCACGTACCCAAAAAGAGCAAGAAGAGGCAGGCAAATGGAGACATCAAGTCGCCAGTCCCAGAAGACGCGCCCATGGACGATGCGCCATCGAACGAGGACCAGGAGACCAAGCGCCAGAAGCGTGACGCCGAACCCGCACCCGTTGTAACCGACGATTTTGAGACCGAGCAATCAAGAGAGGTCGCAGCAGCGGCTGGATTACAAGGGCAAGCGCAACAGGATGGCAGTGCGGTGGTATTGTCTCACCAAGTTCGCCATCAAGTTGCGCTGCCTCCAGATTATGACTATGTTCCGATCTCAGAACATAAAGCGCCTTCAGATCCTGCCCGAACATGGCCTTTCACCCTAGATCCGTTCCAACAAGTCTCGATTGCGTCGATACAGCGAAATGAGAGCGTTCTCGTTTCCGCTCACACATCTGCTGGAAAGACAGTTGTCGCAGAATATGCCATCGCGCAATGTCTGAAGAACAACCAGAGAGTGATATATACCAGTCCAATCAAAGCACTCAGCAACCAAAAGTATCGTGAATTTCTGGCGGAATTTGGGGATGTCGGATTGATGACCGGTGACGTCACAATCAATCCAACGGCGACTTGCCTGGTCATGACAACAGAGGTGGGTATTACAGGCTGATGTTCTAGGCTACTGAGATTACTGATGCTCTAAAGATTCTGCGGTCCATGTTGTACAGAGGTTCGGAGATCATGCGTGAGGTTGCATGGGTGGTGTTCGACGAGGTGCACTACCTACGTGACAAGTCTCGCGGAGTCGTCTGGGAAGAGACCATTATCTTGCTTCCAGACAAAGTTCGCTATGTCTTCCTTTCTGCTACCATTCCAAATGCCATGCAGTTTGCCGAATGGATTACCAAAACACACAGCCAACCCTGCCATGTCGTTTATACCGATTTCCGACCGACCCCACTACAGCACTACTTCTTCCCTGCAGGTGCAGACGGTATTCATTTGGTTGTCGATGAGAAGGGAGTCTTCCGCGAAGAAAATTTCCAGAAAGCTATGACATCCATTGCCGATAAACAAGGTAGCGCTGCAGACGACTTTATGGCCAAGAGGAAAGGGAAAGGGAAAGACAAGAAGACCAACAAGGGTGGTAATAAGGAGCAATCCGACATTTACAAGATCGTCAAGATGATCATGCTGAAGAACTACAACCCCGTTATCGTTTTCAGTTTTAGTAAGCGAGAATGTGAGAATTATGCTCTCTCGATGAGCCAGTTGGCTTTCAACGATGAGTCCGAAAAAGCAATGGTTTCCAAGGTCTTCGAGAGCGCCATCGAGTCGCTTTCAGAAGAGGATCGCTCGCTCCCACAAATCCAGCACATCCTTCCTCTACTCCGCAGGGGTATCGGCGTGCATCATTCCGGACTCCTCCCTATCTTAAAGGAAACGATCGAGATCCTGTTCCAGGAAGGTCTCATCAAGGTTTTGTTTGCCACGGAAACTTTCTCTATTGGCCTTAACATGCCCGCGAAGACGGTCGTTTTTACAAGCGTGAGAAAGTTCGACGGCGTTACGCAACGTTGGGTGACACCATCAGAGTTCATCCAGATGTCCGGTCGTGCTGGTCGTCGAGGTCTTGATGAACGCGGTATCGTGATCATGATGATTGACGAAGCGATGGAGCCCGCTGTGGCCAAAGAGATTGTGCGTGGACAACAAGACAACCTCAATTCGGCTTTCTACCTGGGCTACAACATGATCCTTAACTTGGTGAGGGTTGAGGGAATCTCTCCGGAGTTCATGTTGGAGCGTTGTTTCTACCAATTCCAGAACACCGCCAGCGTTTCCGGATTGGAGAAGAAATTGCAAGAGCTCGAAAACGAGAAATTGAACATGATCATCACCGACGAGGCCGCGGTCAAGGAATACTATGGAATACGCCAGAGCCTAGATCTTCTAACGAAAGATATGCGGGACGTTATCATGCATCCTAATTATTGCCTGCAGTACATGCAGCATGGTCGGCTTGTCCGAGTGAAGTACAAGGACCACGACTTTGGTTGGGGCGCCGTTGTCAACGTCACACCAAGGAAAGCGAACAAGGGCGAAGTGTTCTCAGCTCATGAGTCGTACGTTGTGGATGTGCTCATTGCGGTCGCAAACGATGCCAAATTCGGAACAAAGGCAAACGATGGACTGCCGGTGGGTGTACGACCTCCAGGGATTGGTGATAAGGGCAAGATGGAAGTAGTGCCTGTCCTGCTCTCATGCATCGATTCAATCGGTCACCTTCGAGTTTTCTTGCCCAATGAGTTGAAGTCCGCAGATCAGAGGAATAACGTCCGGAAAGCGTTGGACGAGGTCAAAAGGAGATTCCCCGATGGTATCGCCATTCTTGACCCCATTGAGAACATGGGTATCACGGATGAATCATTCAAAAAGCTACTCCGAGTAAGTCTTACAACCTTCATCGATAATTCATGTACTAATGATCCACGCAGAAAATCGAGGTTATGGAGTCACGTCTCATGACGAATCCCATGCACTCTTCACCAAAGCTGGCCGAGCTGTACACACAGTACTCAACGAAAGTGGAACTTCAAGAGAAGATCAAGAGCGTGAAGAAAGAAATCTCCAGTGCCCTTTCGATTATGCAACTCGACGAACTCAAGAATCGGAAACGAGTCCTGCGTCGATTAGGCTTTATTGATGACGCAGACGTCGTCCAGATCAAGGCGCGAGTCGCATGCGAGATCAGCACCGGCGATGAGCTGGTTCTGAGCGAGCTTCTTTTCAACCGATTCTTCAATGAATTGACCCCCGAACAATGTGCTGCTTGCTTGAGTTGCTTTATTTTCGAGGAGAAGAGCAACGAGCAACCAGCCTTGAAGGAGGAGCTTGCCAAACCGTATCGTGAGATACAGGCTCAAGCAAGGATTATCGCAAAGATATCCCAAGAGAGCAAGTTGACGGTGAACGAGGAAGAATACTTGAACACCTTCAAGTACCAGCTGATGGAGGTTGTTTTTGCATGGGCCAAGGGAGCATCTTTCGCGCAGATATGGTAGGCAACCCCCCCTTCTTTACACTTCTACTTGAAAATCCCTGCGGCCATCGTGCGCAAGGAGACCACGGAGCCATGTTCCCGCGACGATTGCAATGGGAGACTTTGGTGTGCGTTCATCAACGGATAAGTCGCTAACATGAATATAGCAAAATGACGGACGTCTACGAAGGCAGCTTGATCCGGTTGTTTAGGCGCCTGGAGGAGCTTCTCCGCCAAATTGCCCAAGCAGCCAAGGTCATGGGCAGTGAAGAGCTTGAGGAGAAATTCACCAAGGCGCTTGAGTTGGTGAGGAGGGACTTGGTGGCCGCCCAGTCATTGTACCTGTAAAGGATGCAATGAGTCGGCTTCCCTAGTCTGGCGGCAACCCCACGCAGAGGATGGGGGGAGGTTGCCACCTTTCAAAAGTCGCCCTGGTCTAATAGTGGATCTCCGCAAGGGCACAAATGTATTACATAGGTAGCATGGGTATCGGCGTTCTGTGGCGGCACAGTTGAATATACATCTTACACACTGCAAGGTAAGGTGATATGGATGTGTTTTGGTCTCCTTAATGTAGGGAACTTTGTACAGCCCAGCTGCACGGACTGGTGTTGGAATAAGCCAGGAGACTATGGCGGTTTCGACAAGGTAATAAGCTGCAGCAACAATCCGATGGTCCGGGAAATTAGATCAGACTATGCAAGAATCTGAAATTCCATTCCTTTTTTCTCTCCTTATGCTGAAGTATTGAGGTGATGATTGTGGGCATACAAGAGTAAAGAGCGAAGATGATGATAATTGTGAACAATGTTGTTACTATCGTCGTCGTCGTCTTGTTGTTGCGGTGATAACTAGCACCATTTAATGCTGGTTGACCTCGTGATGTGATTGGGTGGATGACACTAACACTAGGCTGAACCTCTAATTGGGTTAGTGTTAGCCGGCTGCCGAACCAAGAAGAGCGCGTGTGAGCTTTCCTCCTCCTCTCTTTTGCCTTTTCCCTTCTTTTAACTTGATCCACTCTACCAACTACCTTACTCACCTCCAGTTAGACTTACTCTCTCCCTCACACTAAAACATCCTTCCCCCAACGCACACCACACTTTCACACAACAACCCACCGCCATTCACACCCAACGCTGCTCTTTTCCACCCGTTGTCGCCGCTGCCGCCAACACTGTCGCTCGCACAGCTGACAACTATTCACTATCCTTAGTGTAGCGGCTGCAATATTCCTTCTGTTTGCGGGGCATACACAAGCATGAATGTCATCAACCAACACTTCGCACCCCCTCCGCATCTACTGAACAACCGTCTTTCGCCTTCTCGCAACAGTACGTCAACTCAAACCCCCCCCCGCGCACTTGCGCATCCCATATAAACCCCCGGAAACTAACCTCTGACCTCTCTCCCATAGTCCTTTCTTCTCCATCCGCCATGACTGGCCGCAAGCGAAAAGCCGACGACGATGGAAGCGGCGGAGACGATGATCGAATGTCGGCATCACCATCTGGCTCACCAGCCGTTACTTCCCGGCCACTCCTTCGACAATCCACAAAGCGTATGCGCACCAATATTTCCGGCCGCCCATTGCCTCTACCTCGTCTTCTCGAGACACTCAGTCCCGATGAGATGCGTAACCTTTTGCAGTCAATCTGCGATCGCCACCCAGCCATCGGTGCAGAGGTCGTCACAACCGCTCCCCGCCCAAGCGTACAGTCTACGCTCGAGACAATGGCCAAATACGAATCAGCATTCCAGGCTTCTTTTCCTTTGGGTCGACCATCATCGGACTACGCATACAACCGTGTTCGCCAGCAGCTCGTCGAGCTTCTCGAAGCTCTCAAGGATTTCACACCGCACTTTCTCCCACCCAACGAACCACAAGCCGCTACCTCGCTCACTTTTCTTGATGGCGCTACCGATATAATCCATCGACTTCCCGACTGGGATAATTACCAGCACAACCGACCTAAGCATGATGCGTATGAAGAGATTGCAAAGGCATGGGCCGCAGTTTTCCGCGAGGCTTCTAAAAAGGCAGGAGGAATTCAACTGCAATATGGCGGCTGGGATCAAAAGATTGCGAAGCACAATGAGATGTCAGGAGGTCGTATGCACGAGGCGGTCAACGAATTGCGAGGAAGCTTGAACTGGATGGGCGCAGACACGCCACAGGCTCCCACCCAACCAGGACCCTCCGACCCCATGTCCATTCGACAACAACTTTTGAATGGCACCTACGGCATTGCTTCTCCTGTGCGTGCAGGATGGTAGAAGATCCCGGACCAACGATCGACTAATGGGTTGAGGCAAATCTAGACAGCGGCAGTCGCTTTGGCTGTTGCTTGGAAGAAACCTCGACAATCTCCTCCCACCCATCCACCATCCATCCACCAAGATTTATTGCATTCACGTACGGACCTGATCTCTGCCCAGTTGTGATCGATTCTCTATTACAAGGCCTTGGCTGTAGTAGGATCGGGCTATATCAGTAGTATACCTCGAGAGTAACAGCTTATGATAACGACTCTGGTTTCCCCTGCATAGCGTGTATATCGGCTCTTCCATACAGGCATACTGGCGGTTTTTGCTTTTCTGGCGTTTTCTTTTAGGAAATTGGGGAATAGCTCATAAAGAGCGTCTCTATCTACTTGTATCGGCTTTTGCATGTCACTCCGCCGCCTTCTTCTATTCGGCGTAATGTCTTTTTTTATAGCTATTATTATACCGAAAGCCCTCGGGCGGATTCATGTACTCAAATTCCTAGGTAGACGCTTCGTGTCTCTCTCACTGAATAGATCTCTTTTGTTGTCGGATCCTCTTCTCCATGTGTGTTGCTCGCTGTTCATTGTTGTGATGTATGGTTTCCACTTTCGCATGCACCCATCTTCCCTATTTTATTGTCTATCTATCATATTTGTCAATTGCTTGCTGTTCCTTATTGTGATGTTTGGAGCTTACTCTCGCATTTACCTATCCTCCATATTTCTTGGTCTGTCCCGATCCTCCATGTTTGCGGCTCACCGTGAGGTGACGTTTGGAGCTCGCTTTCGCAACCACACATCTTCCCTTTCTTTTGAGGGGCCCAATTCTCCATGTTTGTTGCTTACCGTTCTTTGTTATGACGGTTGGTGTTCACTTTCTCGATCATTCGTGGTCGCTCTGCTCTTCACAAGACAAAACAAATTGACCCACGTGACTATATCGTGGTTGCCAAATCAACATCACCCACCAACCTCTCATGTTAACACTTCCACCTCACTTCTCACTTGATCCTTCCATTAACCTAACCTTCGATCGATCCGCCCATATCCTTGGCCCACAAGGTACCTACTCGTCCAGTTCTTCCCCTCCTATCTGGCCACCTTGACTGGCAAGGCCACTGCCCAAGGCTTCACCTCGCGATTAAGTCGCTGCTCTACATAACTATACTCGCTTACCTGACTTCAATTTTCAGCTGCGGGTCCACTCTACAGCCTATCCACTGCATCATATGCCATTGCCAGCCTAGCCAGGCACGATGGCCGTCTTGAGCTTCCGCGAGCACGGTGACTTCAAGGTTGAGATCTTGGTCGATGGACAGCCACTGGAGGAATTCAAGGATGATGACGAAGAAGACAAGCCGAATGAGGCCATGAGATATGTCATGGCTACATCTGGAAAAGAGTTCGCCGTTCGATTTACAGCTGCTAGACCGTACCCAAAGTATACGATTCTCGTTAATATTTATCTCGACGGGAAATGGGTGCGTGGGAGATACGTGGACAAAGACGACAAAGGAAAGGTTGAAATAAAGGGCACAATTCAAACCCTCGGGGATCGTTGGCTATCTCAAAACTTTCGTTTTGCGGAGCTAGAGATAAGTGAGGCATTCTTGAGTAAACCTTTTATACTGCCCTACTGACAAGAATAGATGAGTCTATCTCTAATGTTGCCCCCGAAAGCCTACGAGAAACAATCAAATCCTTGGGAGAAATCAAGGTTTCGGTACACTACGTCCAGAATTTGGTCCCTAAGAATACTCAAAAAAGGGACAAATCAAACATCCAGGACATTGGGCCGCTTTCAGAGAAGAGTCTCAAGGGCAAGGCGCTCTCGCATCGGGTGGAGTACGGATTTTCCTTACGCGATCATGCCAGTCATCACTAATGTTATGTAGATTCAGTGAAGCAAAACCCACCACCAGGACAACAAATTCTAAATCCTGTACTTATGTCGACCCTCAAAAGCATCCCCAGGCAACATTCTTATTTCGATATCGATCTAAAAGTAAGAGTATGCCCCAGCATTACAAGCTTGATGCTAACCATACACAAGATGCTCTCCAGGCCGCTTATGTCATACCCCGTACACCAAGCCCAGTGCCACTTGAGGATCGAAATCTTGACGAGTTAAACCTCGAGGAAGCACGAGAATTGCTCAAACGTCAACGTGTGGGTACCAGCTTGCCAAAATTGTAGATGTAGCTAATCATCGTCAGGAACGAGATGAGGCGGCAAAGGCGATAAAGCAGGAAAGAGGTATCAAGAGAGAAAGAGTGGAATCAGAGGGCCAGTCTGACGATGAAGATGTTCATTTGATATCCAGCAAGAAGGCCAAGGCCGAGCACCGTAGCACTGTCAATGAGAGGGGCCAGGAGACGATTGATCTGACCTGAATGCTCTCCGTAATCCTCCGTGCGGAAGCTGAAGGTATCGATTCATCCGTCATAGAGCTCAAGAAAGATCAAGAGTTTATGAATCGGCTAGGGATTTGAACACAAGGGAGCGTTCAGTGTCAGAAGTTGGGACTCGCATGGGTTCAATTCGTTCCGAATGTGAGATGAGGGTGCATCTAGGCCACGTTCAGGAAGTTTAGCAGAGCATTTCAAATAAAGAAGTAGTCAATCAATGGATGCTCTTACTTTCACGTGCTTGAGATCGCTGGGCGGTGAAAGGAAAGGTTCACCCTGCGCCGACCTGTCTCCTCCTCTCCTCTTCACGTCTTCACATCACTGTGCTATCACGCTGGCCTTCAATATTTAAACCTCGTATCCCCCACCCACCACCTCCACCGTAACACCACCTCAGCACTGCCTCGAATTCTTCACCTGTTGGCTCAGCTTTCGCCTTCAACTCTTCGATATGGCTATTCTACGTGGCGGCCGTGGCCGCATCGGTCTTGAGGTCGAGGTCCTCGTTGATAGCAATCCGGCCAAGGAATTTGATGAGAAAAACGACGAAGAAACGCCCGAAAGAACTGTTACTAAGTACATCGAAGCCGTCACAGATGCGAAATTCGAGATCCGCTACGAACTCACCAATCATCGCTATACTCGTCATGGTGTCTTGTTCGAGCTTCATATAGATGGCCAAAAAGTCGAAAGCTGCATTCATAGAAACTCTCGTATTGGCAGGGAATTGGTTACCATCTGTAAAGGAGCAAGGGTCCGAAGCAATCGGACATTTGTCCTGAGGGAGTTTCACTTTTCAGAGTTAGCTACAGGTATGTCGACCTTGTCATGAACCTGTAAACGCAGCTAATTACCTAACTATAAGACAAAACCCGACCGCATTTACAAGACCCGGGCGTCTTGGAACAGATCGGAACAATCTCTGTCAAGTTCTATCTTATCAAAAGAATCGGAAAATCAGGCAGGTCTTCCAGGAGATCAACAACAGGAACAACAACTTTGACAGAACGGCAACAAATTCCCGAATCGGATTTGAAGGGTCAGAGTCTCTCACACTTTGGAGGGTGAGTTCATTGTATACATTGCCCAGCTTGGGTTTCTTGACTAACGAAGAAAGCTTTGGACCGGCACTGCCTACTGGGAAGTTTGGTAGTTTGGGGGTGCGGTATGTGGATAGCGAACGCAAGCCCTTTGGAACCTTCAACTTTTACTATCGATCACTCGGTAAGCATGGATCAGTCACTGTGGTCATCAATCACGCTGAAAATTTTGATAGCATCCTTGAAGGCACTTGAGATTGTTCCTCGCTCGCCATCCCCTGTCCCTCCTCCATCAGGGCCCCGTCCCTATCAGAATATGACTCAAGCGGAGCTGGTCGAGATCGTCAGAACTCAAGAAGTAAGTCATGAAGCCCACTGAATCTCTTGATTCTTACATTAACCCTATCGCAGAAGCAACTTGAAGCCATACGAGCAGCCATGGGCCAAACAGTGATCACAGTGCCTAAGATCGAACCGCGAGCCAACCCTACCCCAAAACGTGAGATGGTAAATGAAGATGAGCTCTCTCTCCTCAGTGTTGAGAGAGCCAAGGGCCGTCGTCAGGTCCCCGGTGAGAGCCATGAAGTCATTGAACTTGATTGAACGGTCTACTCGCTACACAGTGTGCTTGAAACTGCGGCTATTGATGGCCGTGGAAGAAGTAGCATATGCAATTACAGCTTCTTGTTTTCAGTTTTCTTGGGAATATGCATGCTCTTGGAGAAACGGAGTTCTGGGTTCATGGTTCAGGATTGGAGAGAAAGCAATTACATAACTTGCTGTTTGGGGACTTACACACGGAATGTGGACGTCAAATCGTGCAGAACGACCGCAGCTAGGATGGGAAAGCCGAACTGCATATGAAGTGAGGTAGTCACAACTAAGTCCAATTCCTCTTTCCTACCTAATATTTTGTGATATCTTGTTGCGCGGATCACTCACCGCCCTCCTCCTACAACCAAGGGCACCCGTAGCCATGAAGTGAAGCTAAATCCAAGTGATATATAACCCACTACTTCGGTTCTTCCCTCAAGCTTCTTCCTTCAAACTTCTTCTCTCAAGCTTCTTCTCTCGTATCTCCCACTATCATTGATAGAGCCATGGCAAGACTACCCAGCTGTCCAGGACTTACAGCTTACGTCACGGTGGATGGAGAACCACTCGAAGAATACGATGTCCCCAGGAAACCAGCAGACGAAAAATCCATCAAGTCGAAAGAGAACAGTGTCACGAAATATGTCAAGGTACAGGAGGGTACTACCTTTGCGGTCCGATACAACTTCGGCAAAGCGTTCCCGAATAAGCGTGATATCGTCACCGAACTTCTGATCGACGGCAAGTATATGCGTGGCAAGGTCGAAACCAAAGAATCGTTACGCAACTCGACTTCAGTCATAAAAAGATTAATTTCCAAAACAAAAGAGAAATGGGTATCCCAGAAATTCCAGTTCTCTCATCTGACATTCCGTAAGTGGAGATCATCGGACCCCTCATGACTAATAAACTAACCAGCTTATAGACGAGCATGATGGTAAGCCCATCGATCAAAAGCTTAAAGAGTCGCTTCAACAAGTTGGCGAGATTAAGCTCCATCTCTATTACATAGGCGGATGCAAACCTCATAATGACTCCGGTGCAAGAACGAAGACGGCCTTCAAGAAGTTTGAAGATATTGACGAAAAGTTGGTTAAGGCAGAAGCTCTAAGTCACCAAGTACTGTGAGTACTACCGTTCCTGCGGGCTGACTGCTATCGCTTTGGACTATTTCATTGACGTGGGATCAGTCTTCAAAAGCCGAAAACAATTAGTTCTCCAACATTCTATGACACATTTTCAAAGGACACAACGCCGTTTGCCACTTTTGTTTTCCTCTACCGGTCCGAGAGTAAGATAAGTTAAGTATCATGAGATGTCCATTGGCTAACACTGTTTGTAACCAGAATCTCTCAAGGAGCTGATGATCATTGCGCGCAGTCCCAGCCCATCCCTGATCGAAGATCATGAAATTGAGCGACTCAATAAGAACCAATTAAGACATATGGTTCGTCGGATGCGTGTAAGGACCTCAAGCTGTGTCTCTTACATCTTCTAAATCCTGACTCAATAACTACAGGAGCGTCGCAACTTTCGCCTTCCACCTCGCATCAAGCGTGAGCGCGAAGAAGACAACGATGACTCCGGCACAGAGCCCGAAATGGTGCACTCGCAACCCAAAAGAAGGAAGGCGATTCCCAAGGACGACGACGAAGTTGTCGTGCTCGACTGATCATCTATTTTGGTCTGACGTCCAAACATATCGACTCTCGTACGTGAATCTTTGGTTTTCTACTTCAAGGTTGACCCGTTCGCATCCGATGAACAGTGGCTTTCATTGGGAAGATGCGAATTTTATTCAAATTGAGGACATTATCTACGTGAGTATCTAAGATGGAGGTATTGGATATTAGTTATTCTTTGCATCATATCCGACAATTACTCAAGGATCGGAGGAAACGAAGGGATATTCAGCCAGAGTGGAATTGCAAGACAATGGGGGGGAAATATGGCACATATGAAATTTACATGCCTTGATATATGACTGGCGTTCAGGAAAAGTTCAATACAGAGTTCAAAAATCATGCAGGCGCACGTAAGTCATTATGGTCAAGTAAGCATAGGCTCCAGGATGATGTCGTTCTTCTTTTGAATATATCGACAACGAGCTTGGTAAGTGCAACGCTTTGGACTACGGACATGCAGAGGCCATTGATTGAGAACTATAATAATTCCGCAACGAGGATACTGATCTTGTGAAGTAAAGTCGATATGTATTGATCGTTCGTGGTGTCGAGATTCGTATCTGGTAAAGCACTTTCAAAATGGGAAATGCTCAGGTAGCAGAAAGTTGCGGCGCATTCTGCCCGCCCACTTTATATCTACACAGAATTTACATTAATGATACAAAAGGGTATGCCAATGCCTATGGGTGTATAGTGGCACCAGCCATTGCCGTCTGTCCTTCGCTTGAAGCTGGTACCGAATCTGCAATCTCCTCTAACGCTTCATCTTCTTCCCGCCCTGACGGCAACTCATCGCCTGGCTGTGGTCCTGAGAACATCTGTGCACGCATTGCTTGCTCGTTCTCGATCTGAGTCTCGGCCCATTGCTTCCAGTTCTCGAAGCTCTTGTCTTCGAGCTCCATGCCAATTTCAAGCGGGCCCTTTCCGAAGTAGGCACCAACGTGGAGAGCCTCCTCTTTAGCAATGCGCCGTCTTATGTCCTCCAAATGTCGGTGCTTGTAGAATTCTTGTCGAGCCTCGTCGTAGGCGCGGGCTTTCGAGAATGATTTGTTCTTCATGAGCCACATTTGTCTTTGAACAACACTACGCAATTGTCAGTATCTAGACCTACGAAGACATCGTACGAGGCCAAAAATACCTTTCACCGTCCAGCTGCTTTCCAGGTTGTACAATCTTGCTCCAATCGTATCCCTTCGCATCATTTCCACTATTCTCGACCACCAATCTCGGACGGGCCAATTCCCATGGGTGGTCTCCAAAGAATTCCGATCGTAGTTTGTCTTCAGGGTATTTTATTGGGAGCGGTTGGAACATGCGGCTGGGTTTCTTTGCTTTGCCTCGCACCTTCGGTGCCCGCTGAACTGGCCTGGCGAGAGTCTCTCCGGGTGGAATATCACCGATTATTGAATGCCATGGTGGGAGGTGCTGGTTGCGTTTGGTTTCGAAGAATGCTTGTGCGGTTTCGCGGACACGAAGAGGTCGAAAATCGTAGCGGCCCATGGCGGGCAAATGTGCAGGCGCTTATTCCGGTGAACTCAATTGATCTTGAAGTACTATAGAACCCCCAGTGCGATCGTGTGCACTCGAATTGGCGGGTAGAATGCTCAATGGGCAATGGTGTAATAGCGGAGGTGGTGAGCTTTGCGGCAAAAAGCTCGGTCGCGTGCCAAGACTTCACGAAACTTTCGAAGATCGCGTTGGAAAGATAACTAACGAACATCTTCAAGTATCCTTGCTCTCAATACAATCCTCTCGGCCAGTCAATGGACTCGTTCTGAGTCTTCCCGGAATCCAAATTCAATGGGAGCTTGAAAAGGAGAACGAACCCGCCGCTGACACAATGCTCGCCGTCTCATGTCCCTCTTCCGCACATTCGACCGGACGACCTGCCACAGCGTCTCGAATACCGTGTCGTCGCCCCTCCTCACATTTCTATGCCCGGCATTACAGCAAAAGCGACATTACCAGCGAGGTGTATTCCAGGCTGTGGTAGCACGTGCTCCCCGTACAACATCGCCGAGGAAGAACCAGATGGACGACTTCTTCATCAAGGCACTAGCGCGGGCAGGAACATGTCAAGAGCACCGAAGGCAGATATCTACAATTCGCGAGAATGTAGTCCCCACAAGAAATAACCACAAGATCCGCCGGAAAGCGACCGTCTCTTGCGAAAGAGAGTACTTCCAAACCGCGAGGAAGCGAGGACCGTTCAAGAAGATGAAGCAATTTGCCACGAGTGAATTGAAGGCACTGGTAGACTACTATGATATAGAACTCGAGTCTGGACCAGAAGAGGAGGATATAGAAGACGATGGACTTCTGATATGGAACGTTGGGGACGACCATGTTCCGTGGCCAGTGAAAGAGCAGGCACACCAGCATTATATCGATAAGCTAAAGGAGATGCTGGAGACAGAATCTTCACACGAGGACATTTTTTCATACTATAAACGGTTGCCAGGTCCTGGAGTGGTCTACCTCAGTTTAAAGACCATTCGAGACCTCCTACACCATTTATCAATCGTTGAGAGACCGGACCAAGCCAGCATGCACCGTTATCTCTCGATTCTAGACGATATGAAGACTGCAAATATCCACATTCGGCGGTCCGAATGGACGTCTGCCATATTTTTGGCCGGTCGTTGCGTAGACACAGTCTCCACTCAGGAGGTACAATTTGCCCTTCGACTTTGGAAAGACATGGAAAAGCGAGCCGGCGTTAAAGCTGGCGTTGTAACGTTTAATGTACTCTTTGATATTGCCGTCAAAGCCGGATTGTACGCACTTGCCGAGACACTTCTCCAAGAAATGCAGAAACGGAAGATCAAGCCCCATCGCCACTTCAGGGTATCGATGCTGTACTATCACGGAATGCTGCAGAACGGAAATGCCGTGCGGCAAGCATACCAGGACCTTGTTTCTGCCGGAGAAGTTGTTGACACAGTCGTGCTCAACGCCGTGATAGCCAGCCTCATACGAGCGGGCGAGCCTGCAGCCGCAGAGCACGTGTTCGAACGCATGAAGCGTCTCGAGGCCTCAAGGCAAAACGCAAGACCAATACCGCACAGCTGGCGAAAGCGACGAACACTAGGCCTTGAACTGACCTGGGAAGGCGCTCGACCACCCAGCTCGACAAATCTCACCGACAAAGCGAACGAAATCCACCAAACAGCGCCCATAGCCCCAGACTCTCGCACATACGGCCTCTTCATACGCCACCACGCCACGACGACCGGCAACATCGACCGCATCGAAGACCTCCTACAGGACATGATGCATAAAAAGATCCCCATCGACGGCACGACATTCATCGTCATGATGTACGGCTTCCACTCCTTCGGCGGCGTCCGCTACTCCTCCTGGACGCGGGAGAAACTCGAACGAACCTGGTCCCGCTACCTGCAAGGCGTCCGCGACGGCGCAGACCGCACGTGGCTCTCACCCCTCGCCATCAAAGCCGCACTCAGGGGCTTCAAGAAATGCACGGATGACGAGCGCACGCTGCGCGTTTGGGAGGAGGCCCGCGAGCTTTGGGACCCCTCACCGCATGACCTGGAGTCTGTGCTGAAGACTCTGAGGCGAATGCTGCCGGACAGTTCGTTTTTCAGTGAGAATGTATGATAGCATGGTGTTTTGTGTTGATGTATATACATGTATCGTACGTATATGAATTTAGGACTTAGACGTGTGTTTGAATCAAAGAAATATTTATATGCTCTTCTCTTCTCCTGCATATGACAATCTGTCAAATGTCGAGATGGTAGTACCACGACTTGTTGAAGCCCCGCCTCACAGGCTCTTCACGATCGAAAGAGTGGATTCCAATCAACTCTTTTAGCCCGAATGATCGAGGTGCAAGGCCATTGGTTCTGTCGAAATGGTGTCCCCATAGTCAATGTTCTCTCAAAAGGAAAAGAGTCCGTGAATGCAAGAAAGTTGGTACCAGTATTCGAGCCGTTGGAAGTGCCTGGCAACTCCACGCTCCACTCCACACCTCGACATTTATCAACGGTCACAAATCACTCACAGATGGGTATATCACGCCCAAAAAGGAGAAGTCATTGAGAAAGTCACACCATGCAATTCTCCCCACTCCTCAAAGTATAAAAAGTAATGAAACGATGCCAGTGTGGTCATTTTCCTATGCCACATGCCCAAATGATGATGATAGATGATGATGAGTATCCCGAAAAGAAAACCAACTAGAGATGGAAAACCCGGCGTTGAAGCAGATTTCCCTCTTTCTCCCCAATCCAATCCCTTTTGCCCCACTTTCTCCAAAATGCATTATCCCAATCCTTTTTTTCAAATATCAATTATGTCAAAGATCGCCTGGGAACAAATATAGTGTGTTGATGCCACCTCGAAACCGACCTGATGTTTTTTTTTCCTTCTTATGAGGGGTGAAAAGGGTGGGGATCATCGGGATTGGTCGCGCCATGATGCGAACAATACTAAGATGATTTGAGATCTCGAACAAAGAGAAAAACAATGAAGGACGAGGAAACAAAGCCACCACATGTCGTAGTATTTCCTTACTTTTTCTTCTTCTCCGCACTATGCATGTAGATTGAGATATAGATTGGGCGAGGCCATTGGTTGGTTGAGGCAGATTGTTGGTCCGGATGATATATATGGCTGCGATGTTCCCCTCTTTTACTTGCTTTCTACAATACCTCGTTTTTTCTCTGGGGTAAAATTTTTGACCCGGGGTATCGGTTCTATGTGATGCAGTGCGACTTCCATTTTGCTATCTCCTCGATGGAGGCAATGAAGATGACGAAGAAGATGGAAATCCCTCGAGAACGGCTAACCTCCTCCCGATCCCGCCGAAGCAGACACAGCTGCAGAAGATGACGCTGCCGACCCATGTGACGGTTGCAAGGTTGTCGTAACTAACAAGCCCGGCGAACAGTTGTGCGTCGGTGGGACTTGTCCTACTGTTACCACCGTACGGGGAAGAGGAGGCACTACTTCGAATCGGAGAAGGAACACCGGTTGCGTTTGTGAGGGCCGGGAGAGCCGGGGAGGGCAAGACGTCCGGATTAGAGAGGAAAATGAAAGATGTGAGGATCGAGGTTGTAATGAGAGAGAAGGAGAAGCCCAGTTTGGAGCGGTCGAGGATGTACCATAGCGCTGGGTTCACCAGGGCGAGGGTGAGTGTTAATTGGAGTGTGGATTGCCAGGGCAGCCGGCGCTGGGAGAAGAGATGGAAGTTAGTCTAGGGGTAATCTTAAGGGTATAGGAGAGTTGGAAAAAGTAACTTACGATGGCGAAGGCGATACCGACGAAGGCACCCACGCTCCGGACTACCTCGTTCCACTGCTCGCCCAGAGACGACTCGCTGCATTTCTCGTTGTCGTCATCCGATTCTGGCGTGAGGTCTGCGCTCGCCGGCTCCCCGCTCCAAACGATGTCGAGGTACGGTAATAAGCTACCTAGAAGAATTCCAAAGAGGCCCCAGCTCGTAACGTATATCCAGCTGTCACGATCCACGATGACATCGACGCTGTAGGCGGCGATTTCCCGACTGTCGTGTAGGTGGGAGATGATGACTCCGTATGCGACGCCGAAGACAAAGAGCGCGGCCAGCTTCCCTATTGTGACGGCAAATCTCGATATCCCATTCCTCGGCGCCTTTGTGCTTTGTTTCAGCAATCGAGAATCGCGGCCATGCCTAGTCCTGATGTCCGCGACCGTTCCTCGCCTTGAGCGCTGCTTCGTCCTCATGGTGAGCCCACCGTCTGGACTGCCCATGTTATTCTCCCACCCATTGCCATAGCCTGTGCCATAACTGTAATTGGAGTCATAAGAGTAATGGCGTGCTGGTGTCTCTGCGCCCATACCCCCTGGCGTGTCGGCGACGCTCCCCTCTCCGGCGGTACCCGAGTTGCTTCCAGCATCGTCGTAGATCCCATAGAGCGTACTGCTCGTCATGTTAAGATAGCTCTTGTTGCGGGATGGTGCGCCATTGTCAACATGGTCGGGAAAGTAGGGATTGTGGGAACCGTACGTCGACCGAAGGAGTCTTGCATTGAGCTGCGCGAGGAAGTCGGACGAGCGATGGTGTGAATTTGCGTAAGAAGGGGGTGTGTTCTGCGGCCATAGTTCGTCTGGAGGTTCGTCGATCGGCGGCTGCGGTTGCGATTGCGACTCGGGTTGTAGCGGGTCCTGGGAGGGTGGTTCTAAGTCTGATTCTAGACTGGAAGGTATTATGAAATTGCGTCGCGGTATAGGACGATAGATGTGCTGTGTATGTTGTTGTTGTGATGTTACGAAGGGGTCGTCGGCCATGGCTGTCAAGGTATGCTTGCGCGATCGGCACAAGACATGTAACGTGTTTGGATGGTTGAAAGATCAATTACAAGGTGAATAGTGATAATAATGCAGCAATGAAGGGGAAGAAGAAGAAAAGCGTAAAAGAGATAGAAGGAGACAGTAGAAGAAGAGAGGAGGACAACGAATCAGCCCCTCTCCCCACCTGTAACACTGGGTGCAGTAACTACAGTGCGAGTGCAGCAGACTCTACACTCTGTGTCTCTCGATTCGATTCGATGGGAAGGTCAATACGGAAATCTCAATCCTGGAGTTGGAGAAGCGCACGTGAACGTCAGTCAAAGGCCCGTAAAACAAACCTGACGCAGCTGATTGGACCGGGAAGGGTGGATTTACGGAGACGCCTCCTCGTATAGTCGCAAAAAGGAAACTGATTTGCTTGGGGACGGGGGGGTATTGGGGGGCTGGCCTGAATCGTAGAGGCACCGGGCAGGGATGGGCAGACGCAACCCTAATATGCTGTGCAGGCCAAGATGAACCCAGACATCCAGAACTGTTCTCTCAACATTTGAAGAATATGTAATGTGCTGAAGGATGGGTATGCAGTAGTGGGACAGTAGTGAGTTGAGATGACTGGATGGTAGAAGGGACATGGCATGAACTTTGCCGCCTGTCTGTCTGTCTGGGACTCTTGGGTGTGGGTGTGGGTGTGAACAGAATAGACATGTGAAAGCCACAAACGGATACGTACCGACTGGTACTGGTACTGGTACGGGTACACTGCCCGCTGCCCACAAGTTACAAACAACCACAGTGCCACAGTCATCCCGCTCCGTAACTACATAGCAACATAGACGAGTCTGAATAATGGGTCAACTAGTGCGTCACACGCCGGAGCGAAGCGACCAAGCGACCCCAACGATCGACTGATTCTGGCTTGTTTTGCATGTCGATTATGATGGTAACCTTGTTACATAGCATAGCAACACGTACTCTCTCTGCACGGATGGTTACAGGCAATCCAACCGTAGATTTCTCGTACGGTCGGAGTACAGTCAGGTCTGGCCAGCGAGAATGTTTGCCCCATACTCTTAATTTGCTGTAACATTGACATAAGCATGAACGTCCAGACGTATGCACGTCTGTCTGTCCTCGTAACTACATCAGCTTCAACAGATCGATGATCGAACGACTTTGGTATCCACTTTATCAATTGATCTTGTGTTATTTTTACGGCGAAGACGACGAGGACTACTACTACTACAAGCTACTATTTTGAATGACACGGTATACTGAGAATCACGGATGCAATAGCTCACGCTACCAGTGCACGCAATAATTGAACGTCTTTTTGCTTGTGTGATGAGGCACAGGAATACTGGCTTACATTCCGCACCTTTGGAGAGGGCCCTTCGTGTCTTTGCTGTTTTTTTAACTCCGTCTATACTCCGGATGACGATGTAAGAGTAAGAGAGCCCCACACCCCTCGCAAGCCATGCCAAAAGATGCACCAGAACCAGTCCCAATGCCTGAAACCTTGCATGAATGCTAGTCCGTACAGTCGACTCTACCGGTACCCTTCATCACCCATAACCCATCTCTGCATTGCATGTACATCTGTTTCGTATCTGCATCGACTTTTTCGTTCCCCCTTCCCCGCAAACGGCGCTCATTGATGCATGTGCTGCTCTCAGTCTTCTTGTGGCTTGAGCACGTTTCCTCTGTTGGGACATAGACATCAGTATCGTACTCAGAGTTATCAGCAGTTATGATAAGGGCGTCAAAACTTACGCAACAATGTTTGCCCATCCAATCAATCGCCAGTGCTTCTCGATACGTCGGGACAGTGCAATCTTCTCGCCAATCTCTGTGCATGCTGGCGAGGTGAGAGATAGACGGGCGGCATCGGCCTTGACGGCGATGACCTTGGCACCAGTAGCAGTTGATCCAATATTGACCATCTAAACGAAAATTAATCCACAAATCCAGCAACGAATTGACAATTTCTGTTACTCACCAAAACTTCGTTCTTGGACAGCTTGGCAACCTTTGCCTGCTTGCCATCGGCAGTCTTGACACCCAACAACCTTCGGAGAAGGAAGTAGTTGACCTCCAACTCGGTGTAGATATTAGGAAGATGTCCACGGAGACCAAGGACGAAACCAACAAGACGATCGGCACGGCACAAGGTAGGGTCGACGCGAGTTCCAACACCTGCGTTTGTTAGCCAACTGCGTATACAATTCACATAGGCAAGAAAACACTGTACCGATCAAACCACCGGGCACGGCGAACTTCAAGTCGTTGTGCTCAGCGAACAGGGACACGACTCGTGAGAAGATGGGCTTGCACTGAATCTTGCCGGTGTTGTCCTTCGAGACAATACCAGGTCGAATCTCGATCTCGTCTCCGAGCTTCAACACACCGTTCAAGATACTGCCACCGGCAACACCTCCCTTCAAATCATCAATTTCAGCACCGGGCTTGTTGACATCGAAAGAACGAATGACCATCATGTGGGGCTTGGCAGTGAAATCGCGAATCGGCACTGGAATGTGGTTGACGAGTTGCTCATTGATGGCGTCGATGTTGAACTTCAACTGGGCCGAGATAGGAATGACGGGTGCATTATCGGCAACAGTTCCTCGGATGAACTGTAGGATAGATTGGTAGTGTGCAGCAGCACCATCCTCTCTCATCAGATCGACCTTGTTTTGCAGGATAACGATGTGGTTGAGCTTCATGATCTCGATGGCAGCAAGATGTTCACTGGTCTGGGGCTGTGGGCAGGTTTCGTTTCCTGCAATGAGAAGCAAAGCGGCGTCCATGACGGCGGCTCCTGACAACATAGTGCTCATGAGAATGTCGTGACCGGGGCAGTCGACGAAAGAGACATGACGAAGTAATCGGTAGGTACCAGAGCAGCCTTCACGCTCACACGGTGGGTCCACCTCCTTCTCACTCTTGTACGACCTGTAGCAGGTCGGTCGGGGGCACTCTTCGTTGTCACACTTGTAGACCTTTGCGTTTGCATATCCGAGCTTGATTGTGATATTTCGCTCCAACTCGTTCTTGAAACGGACAGTCTGGACACCAGAGATTGCCTTCACCACCGTACTCTTTCCGTGAGCGACGTGACCGATGGTACCAATATTTATAGTGGCCTGCCGGCTGATGATCTCGGGCGATAATGGGCTCAATTTGGAGAAGTCTACGTCTTGCGGGTTGGGCTGTTCACTGTGACGTATTAGCATCTGCAGTCGGATCGCAACTTAAGAAACTTCAGAAAATCTGCTATACACCCAGAATTCGCGCGAGAACCTCACAGCAAGTTGACGATTGCTTTTTATGCCTTGGTCTTGCCGCCATGGCCGTTCACACATTGCAATGTGGGGTCCTCGAATTTCGCGTTCTCCTGACTGAAGCAAAAGGAATAGGCACGTACGGAAGCTCTGGCCTCTCCACGGGAGGAGGAGCATCGCGGGTCTTTTTCAACGCGGATTTTGGCTTCTGCTCTTCCACCTCTTCATTTTCGGAGAGGCTCTCCTCGTCGCGGTGGTCGTGCTCGGACTCGGAATCCATGCTGGGCAGCTAATTTGGCTCGCGAACGGATGACACGGGTGATGTGTGTAGAGGGATCGAATGGGGCCGTCCTGAGGGGTATGTGCGGCGCGATAAGCTGCTTTGTAGCGAAGTGGAAAGTCGAACAGGCGGCGGCGACACTTTCGAGACGTGGAAATCCCACACGCAGAAAGCGAAAAACGGGCTTGACTCAGCGGCAGCAAATCGCGGGGCAGCGGCCAATCGATTATCCGATACCGACCATAAAATCTTCATTTCTCCTGGCCCAAGCCTCTTTCTTTTCTTCTTCATTGAACAACGCAAATTTTAACACTCACTAAAAGCATTTTCGATTTTGAGAGTCCCCATTGTGCGGTCTCCATGAGAACGAAAACCGTCTGTAGAGTGAAGAGGGATAAAAATGCGATCGATCTTGGGTGCGGTTTCATCCTGCTTTCGAGCACGTGGATGAGAGCGCAATGATTGGCCGTACATGCACACTTTTGTCATGAGGATCTGGCAGCAAATGACTTGTAGTATTTAACGTCAACATTGATAGTTCGTCTCATTGAGACGGTAGTGTTGTCATGGTTTGATGCCAGGTAAGGACTCAGGGCTCAGGACTCAGGAGGCGTGATGTCCTCTGAAGAAAGATTCTCCATGATATGCAAGGCCTTTCTTTCACTCCTGATATATGTACTATTGCGAAATGGAGTCCGCAGCCATTTAAATAATTGGCATGCTGCTTCAACCGTGAGACGCGTTCTCCTAGACGGTCCACAGGTCATTCGACTTGTACTTCTTTGTACGCTCATCTTGCGACCTAAGCGCTTCATTCAATGGCAGGTTTCGGGACTTGTCCGAATGGATTACGTGTCCACATCATTACCAAATGCTTCTTTTTCAAGATCTACAAATCGATCTGTGAACGTAATGGTCCTAAGATGTAAAAGAGATTCATCATCTCCGTCCCTATGCATGCTACATATGTGAATCGGTCATTCGAGATGCCGACTCTATGATGCGCTAAACCTAATCCGAAAATTTCGATCGCAACTTCGAAATTTTGGTAGTTCTTCAATCGCCTGCACGACACTTGAAAACCGCAGATCCACCACCACTATGGCCTCGATATCTACTGCAGATGCACCTACGGTGCAAATACGATTGAGCACTCGCGACGCTAGCTTTCCACTTCCTCCAGATACGCAAACAAACTACCAAGTTCCCACATGTAAGTACACCTCCACCTGCATACCTTTGCGACAACCCACCAAGCTGCAGAATATGCTATTCGCAGAGCTGATCCAATTGCGCAGCACTACGCCGTGTGAATCTTTCACAGCTTGTGAACAACCTTATACATACCGAGCAACCTGTCCCCTTCGAATTCCTTGTCAATGGCCAGAAACTTAGGTCTTCTATCGAGGATTGGCTCACCGAGAGTGCGGTCTCTGCAGAAACAGTGTTGGCAGTAGAATACATTAGGGCTCTTGTACCACCGAAGAAGGTCAGGAGCTTCGAGCATGATGACTGGGTGTCCGCCGTCGATATTCTTTCGAGAGCCTCCCCAGCAGGCTTGTGGTCCAATGCGAGCATACAGAGCGGGCAAGAGAGGATATTGAGTGCAAGCTACGACGGCCTGCTTAGAGTCTGGGACATGTCCGGAGATGTCCTTGCAACAAGCCAGCCGCCCAATAATGGCTCAAGGATTACGAGTCTGAAGTCTGCAAAGTGGATATCAAACAAGAAGATCGTCGCAGCAGGCATGGACAGCACTGTACGTGTGTACAAGTACGACGAGGATGAGCGAACAATCACTTCTTCATTCGAGCTGTATGGTCACAGATGGCCAGTAGAGGATATCGCTGTCCATGGACCTTCGAACCGCATACTCTCGGCATCTTCTGACACTACTATTTCCCTGTTCTCATCCACAGCCAAGGACAACCCTGCAGCACCCAGTGAGCTTCTACCAACCTCCACGGCAGCATCAAACAAACGACAGAAGCTCTCCAAACCCGACAAGACTATTCCATCTCGCGGACCTTTGGCCACTCTGACTGGCCATGCCTCTCCCGTATCAAGCGTCATCTTCAAGCCAGAGGATGCGACTGTTGCCTACTCCGTCTCCCACGATCACACACTACGAACATGGGACCTTACAACTTCCACGTGCGTGGACTCACGAACCACGGGCCATCCACTTCTCTCTGTCGTTGCTCTGCCCAAGTTAAACCTGCTTGCGACCGGAACATCGGCACGTCATATCACCCTTGTCGACCCCAGGGCTTCCGCCACAAAGGTCGCCGTTACAACCTTGAGAGGTCATGCCAATGCTCCCGTCTCTCTCGACACAGACCCAAAAAACGAGTTCGGACTGGTATCAGGAGGACACGACGGCACTGTACGTATTTGGGATATCCGAGGTGTGGGCGAGGCCCAGTCTGGCGACCCAGTCTACACCATCGAGCGTGATGGTGACAAGATGCGAAGTACGGGTGATGGCGTGAAGGTCTTTAGTGTGAGATGGGATCAGGACGTTGGAATCGTCAGTGCGGGCGAGGACAAGCGTGTCCAAATCAACAGATCCGACTAGAAGTAAAAGCATTGGAAAGAACAATTGGATATTAGACGTGAGATTCTCAGGTCCATTGTCAGTGGTGGACTCAATGAACCTTGTAAATGGCGTTAGTGGATTGTGTGTAGATACCATCGAGAAGCTTAGAAAAGCATTTACCATTCGGCCGCATTTCGCTCCAATCTCAATGATATACCGCGTCTCATTAATATAGTCTCTCGCGCAGAAGCTTCATAAGCAGCACTAAAATCTGGGCACCTGACTTGAACTCGAACGAGATCTTCCAAGGCCATAGCTGTACGGCCACCTACTAACGAGCTTGCACATGCTATTCGTTCTGTCCTACTAGATCAATTCTTTCATGTAAAATATGCATATTTCGACGTTTATCCAATCCTCTAAATGCATCCATTCAAAACTCCAGATAGCCCATACAAATCAAATCCCATACCACACCAGTCATGCAGACAGCACGCACATACAAAGGGTATCATAACCTTCCACCCCAAACCTCCTCTCCAATCATATCATCGTCCAGCCCTCATCATACGCAACGTTTCCTCGTCCTCATCTACTCTACACCAAGTGCCCAGGAAGCAAGAAATTCGCAACACCCTCCTTGACCTGGTACTCATGCTCACAGCACCCGCAGACCAATTTGCCTTCCTTGACGCAGGTCTCGAGGAGCAATCTGTGCAGGTCCTTCGCAACCTGTGTGGGCACTTCTTCCGCGTCGTCTTCGGATGTCGAGCTTGGTTCAACGAGGTCTTCTCGTGTTGGGGCGGTGGCGGGGAGTTCGGGGAGACCGAGCTATTGGGGGGAAAATGTTAGCTTGATTCAGTATATCTTGACAATGTACAAATGTGTAGAATGGTAATAGGAAAGAATAGGCTACGCAGAGTTGAGTGTTCACATACTTCGGTGGAGATTGTGCGGACGGCGTCCCAGGTCAAGCGGGGAAGGATGTTCTTGAGGAAGGGGAGGTTGATGTCTGTCTCTATGATTTCGAGTTCCGAGTCGCGGGGGTGGAGGGGGAAGGAGGCGGGAGAGCCTTTGCACGTCTTGATGGCGCAGGTGAGGAAGTTGAGGGTGAGGAGCTTCATGATGGGTAGATGGCTGGCTTCGCGGTGTCACGATGCGATTTTTGTGTAGTTTATAATTTAATTGAAGGATACCAGTACGGATACAATCGAATTGGCGTGTTGAGGTATTATGGGCGGATGTGTAGTGGATTGAAAGATGTTCGATGTAGGGTGCTTCTGAGCTCTGGGAAATTTTTGGCGGGATGAAGTTCGGCGTTGGTGGGGTCGAGAACGCTAGCTTGAGGCTTAAAATTAAGCTTAAATTTGGCTGCCATGTTCGACACCTTCGTACATACAGTACTCAAGCTTCACAAAAGTAGGCATCTTAGTAGGAGCGATTCGATAGAAATACATGCCAATCAAGCTGGACCTCGATGGAAACACGAGTCAAAGCTTTCAGCCAGTTGTGTGTAGTATTACAATATGTATTCATATGCATTGCGCTCGATTCAGATCTTCGAGCGCTACCAGTAGTAGTAAGACAATTGATGAGGGGATATCCAGTTAATATAATGGGGAAAAGCACCAACGCCGTACACATAGTATCCCGTTCAAATGGGACCAACGATGGTCTAAGGGCGAATGTCCTATCATGAGGTAATCGTAATGTCGTAGCTCATGTTAAACGCAAAGCAGAGGAAGCCTCTCACTTAAAGTGAACTTCAAGAGCATCCAAATCATCAATATCTGCATCGGCGATAGTATCCATCGGCCGAAGCCGGTCACCGTCGAACATAAGTGTGATGGGCTCGCCGGAGGGAATCGAGAGCTTTTGCTTGTAGACCGAGGCAAGTCTTTCGAAGGTGGTGTCCTACATGACGGTCAATATGGTTACCGGTAAGCATGATCAAGATACATACCTCATGAACCGTGAGCTTGAAATCAGGTTTCCCTTTGGCCTTCAAGATGAGCCTATAGCTCTTCTTTTGGGCCGCCGGCTCAGGGTCCAACGGTTCCTCAACGAGAGCGGGTCGCGCTTCAGCCTTCTTACGCTCTTCCTCTTCTCTGGCCTCTCTATCTTTTGCCTCTTTGAGTGCCCGGGCCGTCCACGCTTGAAGAAAGATCTTAGGCACGTTCGTCTCGTCGTAAATATCCGTACTGCCTTCCACGGTGACCCATCCATTCGCGTCAATCCGTATGCCACACCGCTCCACCTTTGTGCTATCGAAAAGCCGCTTCATATTCCAAGTGAAGAATATGTCAGCAGTGACCTGATCCGTGAAACCTTGCGCCCTGCACCATGCCTTTCGTGGCACTTCAAGAGTACTGTTCGACATGATTTTGACCAACAGAGGCTTTGTGTTTTCGAGTTCCGAATCGATCAACAACTGTACCACAGTTTCCTTCTGAGGACCTGATCCTAGAACATCGGTTTTATTCGCATTTGATTCTTTCGCCCTGTTTGCTGCCCTTGCCCTGGCCTTTGCCGCTAGCTCCGCCAATCTTGGGTCCAACACTTCTTCTAAGTCATCGTCCACATCTATGACGGCAGATGGCGCAGGTTTTGAAGGTAACTGTGGTATATTGCGCTGGCTCGAGCCCTTGTATGAAGTATCCTTCGCGTCATCTACGTCAGGTTCGGAATCACTGAGATCAATGACTCCTGACGGTTGTTTCTCCACGGTCTTCGATGCTCTGGTAAGTGACTCGTACCGATCGTTAAGGGTGTCTGTATTGCGTGCTGGGAGGGGCGAGAGGGGCGAGAGACTGGACCGGTCATGACTAGAAATTATGTTAGAATACTTTAGGTATCGCGAGTATGTGGGATTGCAATTCACGTACCCACTACTCCTCGTCTTCCCCCCGCTTGCACTCTCGCCGAAGTTACCAGGTCCAACCTCGGGTGACAGAGGCTCCTCGGTGGAAACCTTCCTCCTCTTCCTCCGGCGCTCCTCCTCCGCCTTAAGCTTCTTCTTTTCCTCCTCCTCTCTCCGCTGCTTCTCTCTCCGCTCTTTCTTCCGGCTGGCTTCATCTGCAAGGATCTCCGCGTACTCGCTCGAGTGGCTAAACATGTCCTTCTCCTTCTCGCCGTCTGTTTTCGGCTTTGTCTGCCATGCTGCCTTCTTGAAAAACGAGCGCTTCTTCGGCGGCGGGGCTGAACCGCCAGTGGTTTCGTCGGTCATCGTAAGGGCACACGGCCGGTCCCACGTTGTGCGCTCACTCGCAATATAAAAAGAAAGGTATCTTCGATTGTGAGGACGCGATCGGGGTACACAGAAAAGTTGGGCGGGCGGGCGGTCGCGTGTGCGTAGGGCTGAGACAATTCCTTCTCACTGTCTTGTCTTTTCCGCAATTCGGGGAGGGGAGGGGAGACGGGTTGACGCGCGATCACGCTTCTCGCGATTTGGGGTTAATTGGTGGGTGGTGGCCTGTGCGCACCGTTTGTTCGAACATTGCATTACAGTGCGGGATCGCCAACGACCGACGGGGTTTGGAAAACATATTGGAGGTTTGGATTGTATTGCGACACAAGCCATCACATACGATCCACAGAAACGACAACACGATCGAACACTGCTACTTCGATCCTGGTATCGAGAGAAAAGTCTACGCCTCCAACACACATCCAAGGATTACAAGCACCTTCAACGCCTAAAATCATGGCAAACCTAGAAGACCAGGTGCTCGAGAACGGCGACAGCCCAGGCGAGGAGGCAAAGGGCGATGCCAGAGACCCGAGCGGTTTCCTCAGCGAGATCATCGGTGCCCCAGTGACCATAAAGCTGAACTCTGGAGCCGTGTACAAGGGTAAGTTGGAGGACCTCGCATCGATTCTATCATGAATCGATGCGTTCTGTCATTGATCCAGTCGTCTTCTGTATCGCACTGCCAGCACTTCCCTTCCTTTTTGAAGATCGTTGCGACGTTGTACTACGCCATTTGACGCATGTCTTGATTCCAACATCCAATATCACATGACATCACATTCTCTGAGCTAGATCCCTGACCAGCAACTACACAGGAGACCTCCAATCCGTGGACGGCTATATGAACATCGCACTCGAGCGTTGCAGAGAGATCTCCGAGGGAAAGGTGATCAGGAATTGGGGAGACGCCTTCGTGCGCGGCAACAACGGTAAGCGCTACTTCCTCTCATACCTTCTACCTTTCGCACTTTGCTGATGGATTTGTTTGCGGGAATAGTCACGTACATCTCTGCTGATACGACGTAAATATCTTTGCATCTGGATATCGAAGGGCATGCTTTCGGGTAGGAGGACATCATTGGGTTCGAGTTGATGGAAAAAGCTATCCCATCTGATAATTATCGGCAGGTGGCTGGCGAAGGGGAGAGTGATTTGTTATATTCCGTCATGAGAATGAGAAAGCCAGGCTACCAAATGAAGTACAAAGATGAATATGCAGAATTTGTGTGGCTGGTACTGAGAAAGCTAATCACAGAACTCGATCGCTCAAGGCACAGGTCTGAACATGCGATATACGTATTCTAAGTTAGCTCACGAAAACATCACCACTTCATCATGGGAAACTAGAACTTTGAAGTCAAGTGAATTTTTTACAAAGAGATCCCTTGCATGTGTTATGTACCCCACATACGCAATCCTTCCCCAATCATGTGTGATTTGAGGAGGCCCTTAGGATGCATGATTCTCACCAAGCAAACAAAGCCGCCCCTCCAAACCTCCTCATGAAGCGACATCTCGCTCATGTGCACAAGAAAAAAGGAAAAAAATCTCCAAATGCCTTCATGGAGAGAGAAAAGCCTGGCCAAGTTCTGGCCGCCCAAATGAAACTGATGCAAAATCATTATCCATGCCATGCCGTTAAAAGTCCAGAGTGCTTCAGCCTGAGCTGATCTCTGGAAAAGAGAAAAAAGGTTTGGTGCTCATGGGATACGCAAACGCCAAAGTACCATGCATGCAAACTTTGTGATCACCTCAGGGCACCCCCATCCTATGCACGCAATGCTGTGACCAAACGAGGTATGTGGGGGGAAGCCAAACTGGGTAGTCGAAAATAGAATTTGGGGATATCGGGCAAAGTGTCGTAAGAACAAGTACATAGCCTAAATCAAGTGATGACGCCGATCACCTGGAGGCTAAACAAGCAAAGCAGGCAAGTAAGCCAAACTCCCTTTGACCTAAAGTATGGAACAGGTCGTTTCCCTATGTATCGGGGTATCAAGAAAGAAAAGCCTTGGAAATGAGATGAATTATATCTCCTCGGGCAAGATACGGGCGAAGTGCTTCTCCCAGATCCAACCAACCGTCTTGGAAGGATCGTCCTGGTTTCGAGCAAGCCATAGCTCGCCTTTCATTCCAATGACATCAAAAATTTCTCCAGGGACGTAAACGAGGTATGGAATACCGCCCTCACGGCGATCGTGGGCAATGTTGAATTCGAAAAGGCTGGCGGCCAGGAAAAGAACTTCTGGCTCGTCACCATCGGCAGGTGTGCCTGGAACATCGTCGGCAGAGGAAGCCTCTCGATCAGAATCGGGCATGGGGAGTGCAGAATTGAATACGCCTGAAGCACGGGCGCTATTCGGTGCAGATGCCTGAGGAGATAGATATGCGCTCGCGAGTGCAGGAGCGGAATGGTGACGATCCACATCAGCAGTGCCATCCAAACTGGGGAAGAAATTGCGGCCAGCACCATTACGATCTGGCGTGGCGGCTTCGGTCTTGTCAGTTGGCACACGTTCAGAACGAAGAGGCCGGTCGCCACGATCACGAGAGGCTCGAGGAGCAGAGGGGCCGGCAATAGTGGCCTGGTGAACGCGGTCATGTGGGGCGGAACGAGGCGGTCCTTCAAAGGACTGCGTGGTCGAGCGATGAGTAAAACCGCCGCTGCGGCGAGAGCGAGGCTCAGCAGTAGATAGATCGCTGCTGATAGACTCAGTGCGACGAGAAGACGACTTGCGAGAAGAGCTGTCCTCTCCAGCCCAAGTCGGCAGAGGAGACATGAAGTTGGCCATGTCATTAACCAAGCTTCCATTGCAGATTGCCAAGTGGTTGACGGCATTTTGGACGCTCGAGACATCTGAGCCATATCGGTCAACATAGCATTGCATGTCGTGAGTGAAAGACGTCGTGTGCTCTGGCTCATAATCGAGAAGAGGAAGGAGCTTCTTCTGGCAATTCTTCCACCAATCCTTTTGGAACATTATCAAGGAGCCCAGACAGGATCGCACACACTTTTGCGTGAGCTCATACATCTTTGGGAGCTCGTATTTGAGAGCATCATTCACCGCCACGAAAGACTCAGCAATATCTTCGAGCTTGGAGTCAGCCTTCTCGCCTCGGTCGATAAGCGCCTTGTACTTGATGTATGTCGGAAGGAGCTTCTTCCGTTGCTCCATCAATTTTTGGGGGCGGACTTGCAGATTCCACAGCTCTAGCATTGGCTTGACGATGCGCTGACGAACAGCTTTTTTCTACAATGGTCAGTATTGTCCGTAAATCGAAACGTTGGAGGGATGGTACTTACATGATCCTCGAGCAGGACGTTACGAAGCTCGAGCATAGCCATCGTCTTCTGGCGCCATGCGCTAGCAAGCTCAGTATGTGTTGGCGGGGCGCTCTCGAGTACCTGAATGAAGCCAAGCGCGACGATATTGAGCTGCAGGAAGGACATAGTCATCTCTTCATGGTATTTGTCCAAGTCCTTCAGAACGATCTGCAGCTGGAAGAAATGGCCGCCGAACTTCTGCGCGTGTTTCTCGTACTCATTGTCGACATAGCCTTCGGCTGTGGATGGCTGTTTGACTTTATCGGTAGTCTTGTTGGTTAAGGCCTTGACAAAGCCCATTCCTCGAAACCCTTTGTTCTTTTCCTTTTTGCCTTCCTGCGCAGCTGCACGCAAGGTTTCCTTGCGGTGTTTATTTTGATTGATTCGTGTGCTGACCGCGATCATCTCCTTGCGAGCGCTGCTGATGTTGGCAAAATCGGGATGGTCTTCAGGCGTCACCTTTTCCAGCTCCTCGAGCAGGAGTGGATACTTCAACACTCGCTGGACAGGTTTGACCAACAGGGAATCCAGATCCCAAGCATTAGTGAGCCCCTTAGACTCATTGTAGCAGGCCATCTGCCAGCCAAGGTAAGGAGGCTCTTTCGATTTCTGCTTGATCAGAGCACTGGCATCCTCATGGTTTAGGAGGTACGTGTTGAAGACACGCTCCAACTGTGGCATATACTTGAGGAACACTGCTCCAACGGTCGTTCTCCGGTCACGGTTTTCGTTGAGATTGAGGAACTCGTCATATGGCGGATCGCGCTCCTCTCCATCTGGAGGTGGAATCTCTTGGTTGAAAACCCAGCCAATCGCCTCTCGAATATCGTCCCAAATCAGGTAAGACACCTTGGATAACTCTTCGACGTTGCAAAAGAGAGTGCGTTTCTCACGCTCATCCGTGGAGATGACTGTGTAAGATGCGGCCCACATTCGGTGAGCTACCATCATATCACAGAGGAAAGTGTGTTCGGTCATCGCAATTTCTTCCATAACGCGATATCGACGCTTCAGGCGTTGCATGCTTGCATCGTCGCTATCACCGCTGGGACCCGATCCGGAAGAGGCAACTTCACCACTCTCAGTGTTGACAGCCAAATCATCAGTTGTTGCGCGTTCTTTTCCCTTTGAACCACTTGCATCCTCAGTTGACCGAGGCGGGAGGCTCTCTCCATCTGGTCCTTCATCAGGCCTGCCAAAGGGAGGACCTGCAAACATAGACATCCTTGGTGGATCACCAGGCAATGGTGCTTGCGGGACCACACTGGACGGTGGCTGATTCCCATAGATGCTGGGCGTATAAGGCGCAGCAGAGTTTGAATGAGAAGATTGTTGGCCCATGGTGATCTGACCAGGCGGGGGAGGGGGTGAGTATGGAGGACGAGGCGGTGGGTAACCAATCGAGCGCAAAGCTTGTTGGCGGCCTGCCTTTAGAGAGAGACCAAGGCCTTCACCAACGTGCTCAAGTTCAGGAAGCAAAGTACCAAATTGACGACCCAACCGCTCTGTGCTGCTTGAGGCAGCAGGGGAATGGCCGACCTCAGGAGAAGGCGAGTATCTCCAATCTTTTGGCGGTGGTTTAGGGGGTTTGGACGTCTCGTCAACGTGAAGGTGATTGCCAGAAGAGTCCAGGAGTGAATCACGTGCGAGGTTGCCGGAGGAACTGTCGGCCCGGCTACCTTCATATATCGTTGTTGTCGCAGAGCCATGGGAGCCGCGTGAGTACCTTCGAGATTCTGTTTGGAAGATTATTGCCGTGCCGCCACTGATACCTTGTTCTGGTTCTTCATCAAAACCGAGAGGCTTTGGAGCAAGATTCGCTGCATGCGCTGGATGCGGAGGATACTCGCTAGTCCGTTTTGGCGATGCAATTGCTTGGTCACCAGCATAGCTGCCAGCCGTCGCCGCGTCACTGAGTAATCGCGCGAGATAAGTTTCGGTTGCTTCTTTGGAGCCCCAATCTTTGTGTTGGGCGACGATGGGTGAGGCTTGCTGGATCTTGTGTTTCGCCGTGGACGCGACTTCGGCCGTGATTTGGTCAGATTGGTGATACATATTTAAGACTTCGTTAATGACACTATATGCCTTGCTGTCAAGAGTAAGACCGTTGACGTCGGGAATAGGAGGCACAGGAGGTGTCCAATTGGGAGGATCATTGTCATTTCGACGGTAAAAAGCAATATTGCTTGCCGAATCGTCGGGTCCGAGAGTCTTCCTATTTGAGAGTGAATCGATGGGCGAATCGTCCTCGTCAAGATACGCAATAGTTCCGGAAGAATCGAGAGGATCCGCACGCCATTTGTGAGCACCGATACTTAGACGTGGAGAATGTCTTGGACGGTTGTGTGTGGTGGACCAGTCAGGCCGTGCTTCTGAACCGAGCATGATAGGAATTGATTCTCCGACGCTCAATATTGATGTAGCACTTGGTGGGTCCGCTTCATGGGCATGTCCTATAACTGGTTCTTTGCTTGGAGGAACAAAAGCACGTGCCTGTAGTAGTTCCCCAGCAGATTGTGGGCTTGTTTCCATGGAAGCTTTTGTAGGGCTCCCCGGCATAGACTGAGGTTTCGCGGGCGAGAGTTGCTGAGCGAAGGTTGGCGACATTTGTGGAACCATTGCTGGCGATGTTTCTGGAGGAATCAAGGGAGAATACTGCTGCAACATCGGCGGTGTTGCTAAGAAGCTTCCCGGCATACCTAGTATAGGAGATTCTGTCTGCTCGAAATCGGTAGTCGAAGACAGCGGCTCTGCCATTGGGGGGACGTTCAATGTAGACGTTCGAATAGCCAATGAATCCGATTGCGGCGCTACATTGGCTGGCTGATGTTCTATGTGTAACCCTAAGACATTCGAGCTACGGCGGCTTTGGTCAAATTGGGGTGCTGTAACATCCGCAAACTCTGCGAAATCGCCCAGATCGAGGCCCTCGTCCGGTTCCACCATTCGAATCATTGGTGACCCCAATGGTTTGACAGGCTCTTGCTGGGGTACATCGAGTTCCTTCTTGGTTGGTGTGTCAATACTCTTTGGTTTCGAGGGCGATTCTTGGGCAATCAACTGGCGCTCATTCGAATGTCGAAGGCGGGGCGACACTGGCTGTGGACTCGGAGTAACTACAACTGCAAGACTGGTTCCTTCAGCTGATCCTTTCGGAGATTTGCCCCGTTCGCGATAATCCCGGTAGCTTGTGGCGGGCAAAGTTATATGCGAAGGTGCTCCCGATTTCTTGTTGGGCGTGACCTGTTTTGCTGCGACCGGTCTGTTGAATGATGTTGGAGACGGTCTCTTATTCACACTTCTCGGCAGTGAGGAGCCGGCTTTGTGGGAACGCGTGGAAGAGCTGGAATCTGAGGTAATGCTCATCCGACGGCGAGCTACAGGAATTCGAGACGGGGGAGATTGACGGCGCTCGTGCGACCGCAAATCCTGCACTGGAGACATCTCAAGAGGTTTTGCGTAGTATCGAGGTGCTGGTTTGCGAAGTACGAGCGGTGCAGGCGACAGTTGCGAATCATCGCACACCAGTTTGATTGTAGACGTTTCCGACGGCGCTGTTTCTTGGCTTTCAGATCCATGGGAATGGGATTCTGCCATGGGTATGCCAAAACCAGGAGTAGATTCATCATAATTGCCCACAACCTCTCCGAAGAAGGGTTGCCGCGTCGACGCCACTGGCTGGGTCTGACTCCGCGTGGGTGACGCTACATTTCTTCTCGCAGGTGAGGGAGATGCCTGTTGATCTGAACTTGTCCTGATGCCGTGGGTGCGCCGAACACTAGCAGGCGAAGCTGGTGCAGGCTGCGGCCTCTCTCTTGGCTTCAGGTTGTTGAATCTGTATGCTCCATATGCGGCTTCCTTTGTTCCATGGTTCGACGAGGGGGAAGCTGCGGGCGACGACGCGCCTGCTGTCGATTTTGAGGACGGAGAAGGTCGAACTTGCCGTGTTCTCGACGGCTGGGGTGGTGTTGTCTCAACAGACGACGGGTGATTGAACTTTTGAGCAAGACTTCTCACGGTGGGACGATTTACGGGGATTTGAGGATTCGAACGAGATGGAGGGAGAGATGAGGCGGGACCAGAGACTGATCTGATTGTGGAGGAAGGTTTGGTACTCGATCGCACGGCTCCGTTGGAACTCTGCTGTCGCTGCCGGGTCGTCGCTGTCGCGGTCGTCATGTCTTCGTCGAAAGGGGTCGAGCCGGAGTGGGTCTGCGGAGCGAAGTTTGATTTGTAGAAGTCATCAGGCGAGTCTTCTGAGGGTTCATCAGGGTGGTGATCGAGTTGAGCCAGCGAGGTTGATTGCACCCAGCTGGCGACACTGGGGTTGTATGCATAGTTATGCACGGAAGCATGCTCAGGCTCCCCCATTGTCGCGCCTAGGGCACCATGGCCCAAATTACCAAAAAGTTAGGAGAGTCGGCGCGAATCAAGGTAGGATGATAGAGGAGAGAGGGAGCTAGACCAATCAGTCTGTGGCGGTGAAGAGGGGCCTCTGAAAGCTCAGGCACTCTCTTTCACTCTCCTCTCAAATGGAGACGGCAAGGGTGGCAGAGGAACAGCAATCCACGGTCACGGAGTGGTACGCTCAATCTATCAGAGGACGGGCCAATGAAAGGAGAAGAGTCGGGTGGTGGGCTAGGTGGGAAAACCCAGGACACCCTCTGTTTCAGGCTGAACTACGTCGCGCCGCGGGCAAGATGGAGAGAGGACGGGGGAGGAGGAGGTGCGCGCGGGTCGAGGGGTACGGACGACCAGTCGGTAGGAGGTCGAAGCGGGCAGACGAGATATGGCGTGTTTTGGTGATGCAGGAGGGAGAGAGGCGAGAGGAAAGTGAGGGTGAGTTGGACAACGCCCGCAGATGTGGTTGAAGGTTGTAATTGTGATCGCGGTGGTTGCGGTGTTGTCGATCCGCGCGGGAGAGGTGAACGAGACTGAGGGTGACTTTGGTGATTGTCGTCTCGAAAGCCAAGACTCCCTCTCGCTCTGTCACTTGTCTTGTCTCCGGCGAGCGACCGTTTACTTACGGTGTGCCGAGGACAGGGCCACTTTGGATGATTGGCCCACTGCACCACTCACCTAGATACTGGGGTTGTATCTAGGTATCTCGATACTCGTTCAGGGGTGAATGGGGACTTCCAGAAGGTCCTCCACCTATACGTCTATCGTGAAATGAGGTTGAGTTTCTTCTGGTGCCACAGGGGGGAACACCACACGCAGGAACCGGATGTTGTGCTTGTACCGGAGTAGGCACAACAGATAGGTTAAGGGGGAACACTCTTTACTTCAGGCTTAGACGTGATTCTGTTGTGTTGTTGTTGTTATTGTTCACTGGCAGTGTAGGGCTACTTCGCAAGCCACCCAAGTGTATGGCTAGAATGGCCGGCGCTGGCTACGGAATATATTGGCCCTGCAACACCTACTGTAGATAGGCAGGCAGATACCTCCACCACATTTACACCATCTATCTACACCCATACCAACACCACACAATTCCCGTTCACAAGGCTGGTCAGCCGTCTTCCCGCTCCCGAACACACCCAATTGAACCTACCATGCCTACCAAACCATGGCCATCCTAGCGTGAATCTACTGGCTAGCCTTCCCGAACTCGACCGCTCAGCTCACCGAGTGCCTTCTAGGTAGATGTGATGATCGTTGGTAGTAATTATCGTTGTGGCAAGGAGACAACTCGATTCGAGTCTTAATATCGAACAGACGGGGGACCAACTCGACAGGTCAAACGAACCCCTATCCAGTTCGTTTGTTGGTGTCTTTGACTAGCAAACCCCAGTTTCTCTTCAATGTCCCAACGTTCGGAGTGCAGGATGACACTCTGTTCTGTAGACTAACAGGGTTGTAAGGGTCGTGGAAGTGGGAAGCGACTATTTCTGTATGCACTAATTCTGTACATAGACATGGGAGGAGTTGAGAATCGTTAGTGTTTTGATGATAGCTATCTGCAAGTAGTGTTGAATAGTGTGAATAGTGTGACGGTGACGGTGACGGCCTCCAGGAGCAAACACTGGCCGGCCGATCAGGTCTAGTGGGATCCTTGTTTGTGCCCCTTTCCACTTTGAGAAGTTCCACCACCATCACTCACTCCAGGAACACGACACTACTCGTCCTATTCACTATTACCAGGTAATTGTAATTGTTGTAGAGCAACAACAAACGGCCATACTCGTTCTATCCTACGAGGTACCCACCCGCCCTCGACTACCATTCGACACACTAGGCTCACCTTCGCTGCTGAATACGTTTGCCCTGCCTCCAACATCAATTGTAACTCTTTTGTGTCTCAAATCTAATAATGCAACTACCATGAAGAGGAACGGCGACGCCTCTGTTCAAGGCAGACCCGGCAAGAAACCCAGAGACGCGTCTGACCAATCCGCCCCTGCCACACATGCTACTATCGACCATCCCGTACTGCGGCGTGTCTATCCGGACGTTCTCTCTTTGCGCCACTATCTACTCTCACGGCTGCCTGACCATTCCAAGAATCGTCGACGTAGATTGGGCCAATTAGGGCTCCCACTTGCTACTCCAAATGCAGAGTCGACCGGTACTGCAGACGAGCTCGATCGTGAACTTGGTAAACTACTTGACTCGACTTTGGTCGGTATTTTACCCCGGACAGTGCCGTCAGGTGAAGACACGGCCGAAACAAGAAATAAAGACATTGTGGCATTCTCGCAGCAATTGCCTGAGTGTGCATCTGGAGGTACATTGAAGTCAGGTGCCTTTCTACAGACAGAGGTATGTCGATGTTTTCACAATTGATATCGTACATCGTATGGAGCAAATCGTCTACATCACTAGTCACATCTAGCAAACTAACAATCTGAGGGATCGATGGCTAATTATTTTGATAGACAGTTGACTTCGTCATTTGGCTTTTGTTCAAAAGAGCTGCTACTCGGCGACCACCTCACCTGCTTTGCCATGGCTTCAAACGAGGCAACTTCCATGGGCAACATGGGAATAGGCAATGTGCCGCCCAGTGCATTCCTGGAATTACTGCCGAACACCCCAATTCTTACGTTCGTACCTTGAAAGGTCCACTATGGTGTCGATTATGTTCTCTCCTTGGAACAGGCGGAGATCGCATCATCATGGACTTACTTCTTGACTGTGCTGTCTTCTCACCAATAGATGAGAAATTAGGCAATTACTTCCAGTTGAGTGGTATGTTGTAGCAGTTTCCTGAGGAAGTAGTAGATTGTGCTCACAATGAAAGGCTTTCCAATATCAGATGTCAAAGCAGACGCTACCCTGGATGACATTAAGTGCAGCGCACCAACGACGAAACGTCAAACGCCAGGGTCAATCACCTTTGTGCGCAGTCGAATGATGTACGCACGAGCAGCTTTGAATGCCAAAGGGGGCATCCGCTTTGGAATGAGGCACATCCGTAGGTTTCCAGACTGAAATGGCAACCAAGCAGTACTTACCTGAGATAGATGTTCTCAATCGTTTCCCAGATCGGCAGTGTCTGGAACAGACAACACATATTATGCGATACATCTTCCCTTCACAGTTTGGGTTGCACAATGTTTTCACCTCGAAAGTCGACCCGCGGGAAACTGCTATGGCTTTCAAGGACTACACACTCCGGGAGAAAGAAATCAGCGACTCATTGAGACAACAGTTTCCCGAACAGGAAGATGTAGAGGAACAGCTCAATATTGCCAAATGCAAGGTTCCAAGGAGACTCAGGGGTGATGCACTTATTCTCGTGCAGAAGCTCCGTACTTTGCACCATCGATGCTCCTACATGGAACTGCTCCGCCATTACTGTCCCATCGAGGTGAGAGCATATTATTTATTTGATTGGCTCCTTACTGACGGTACACAGGGTGTACATATATCCGCTAAGCCGGACTGGAGGAAAAATCCACTTCAGCCGAACGTGGGAGTTGCCAATTCAGAATCAGCACAGACCGATAAGGGAAATGAGGGTCACAATTCCAATACACGTACAGTGCAGCAAACCTGTTTTACAGATATGGCATGTCCCACAGCTCATGTGTCGGCATTTTGTCGAGCTGTAATAGCTAAAGTGATCCCGAGCAAGTTCTGGGGCAATGAACACAACAAGCGCATTATTATGTACTGGGTAGATCAGTTTATCTATCTTCGAAGGTTTGAGAGCTTTACCCTGCACCATGTTACCCAGAAACTCCAGGTAAGGCGCAGTCCCAACATCCTGGCGCAATCTATGTTTACTAGGATGCAGATATCGAATTTAGCCTGGCTCCGATTACCTGGTCAGGAACCAAACGCAAAGATGGCCAAGACTGACTTCGAGAAGCGTCAAGAGATTCTCTACGAACTAGTGTACTGGGTTTTCGATTCCTTCTTGATACCCTTGATACGTACCAATTTCCACGCGACAGAGTCCAACGCTCATAAGAACCGTCTATTCTACTTCCGACACGATGTATGGCGAATGCTCACTAAACCAACTCTATCAGAATTGCGGCTTAGGATGTTCGACGAGATGCCACCAGAGCACGCTACGCGAATGTTTTCTATAAGAACTTTAGGGTATAGCAAGATGCGCTTATTGCCCAAAGCTACTGGTGCTCGACCAATAATGAATCTCCGAAGGAAGCAGCAGATTGTGCGAAATGGATCTGTCATATTAGGTCGAAGTATCAACACATCTCTAGCTCCAGTTTACAATGCCATAAGTTACGAGAAGGTAAGTGCATTGTAAGCGGATATGGAGCACATCAACGGTGCTGACGTCTTTAGGCGATGCAACCCACAAGGTTTGGGTCATCTCTGTTTTCTGTTGGTGACATGCTTCCTAAACTGACTGCTTTCCGTAAATCACTGGAGCAGCGAGGACTAGGTAACAGCACACTATACTTTGCCAAAACAGACGTACAGTCATGTTTCGATACAATTCCGCATAAAAGGCTGCTCAGCATGATGGAAAGCCTCATGTCTGCTGAAGTTTATCGTAATAGTAAGCATGTGGAGGTAAGTCCTGTCGAGCGATTGCAACGTCTCGACGCACAGCACGTAGATCCCTTCCCACGGAAGAAGTACATTTCACATGGCGAGCCTGCAGCTCGTACGATACCATTCGAACGCCTTGTGCGGGATACGTTTGTAGGTACCAAAGCAAATACCGTCTTTGTCGATACAGCTATGCAACAATTTGAGGCGAAGGATGATCTGATGCAGCTCCTGCGCGAGCATGTCGAACGCAACGTCGTTCAGATCGGGAAGAGGTTTTACCGACAAAGGACGGGAATTCCTCAGGGCTCGGTGCTATCTAGCATATTATGCAACTTCTTCTATGCCGAGTTCGAACGAGAGTGCCTGGGGTTTGTCCTCGAGCCGGACTCGCTACTGCTCCGTTTACTCGATGATTTTTGTTTGATCACAATCAATGTTGAACATGCAACTCGATTCATGAAGATCATGCACGAGGGCAATGCCGACTATGGCATCTCCGTCAGGGCTTCCAAATCGTCGGCAAACTTCGATATGTCTACTAATAGTGGACTCAAAATTCCTCGAATTGACTCGGAAGAGTACTTTCCCTATTGTGGGGTGCTCATCGACATGCGGAGTCTGGAGGTGAGCAAAAATGGGCCTCGGCAAGGCCAAACAAGTAAGTCCGTGTAGCAGTCTGAAACTGTTTTCATCAACACGATCAGAATAATGGCCTGACAGTATGCAGGAACGTCGGATTCCTTGACAGTCGAACTGGCGAAAGTCCCAGGCCAATCTCTGCATAGGAAGGCGCTGAAGTGAGTGTGTTTTGCTTTTGTTCTCATTTTCGATTTGTCAAGATGATTTAATTTCTGCACTCGGAACCGGAAATTAAGACGGCGAGACTGATTCGAACAGTGCATTCAAGATCCAATTCAAGGCAATGTTCATCGACACGTCGTTGAACACGGTGCCAACAGTACTTGCAAACCTGTATCAGAGCTTTCACGAAGCGGCGGTGAGATGCTTTGAGTACAATCGGAATCTGAGCAAGGTTAGGCCAACGCATTGTCGACTCCTTATCAGTAAGTCAATTCCCCGTACCGGATAGTGTGAGAGCCGTTCGAATCGGAAAGCGCATCAGCATCTGCACTGCATTGTCGATCCAGCCATGGTCTGGGCCTACTCGTATCGTTAGGCCATCTCGATGGGAACGAACTGCACGACTTGCTGGCCCACTTGTATTTTGAATTTCGCAAATACAAGGACAAGGACGTAATTATTGTGGAAGAATTTTTCTGACTATGAGGCCCGGCACGCAGAGACGGTAGAAGGGATAGTTGCACTGGCGTGCGTGATGCTACAGCGACGAAGTCGCAACAAGGCGTCCCAAAACGTGGAGAGGCTCCGAAGTCTCATAACGCGGAAGCAAATTCAGTGGTAAGTGTGGCTGATTGGCCTTGTATCAAAAAACAGGTTCACGGGCTGCGGGAAGCTGACGGAGGGTGGGGATAGGCTGGCCTTTAGGGCTTTCAACGCTGTGTTTCAGCGGAGACAGACACAGCACCGTGTCCTATTAGCGTGGCTGGCCCAGTCGTTGGCGGCTGTCCGCCCACCAGCCAACACTGAAAGGTGCATGCTCGAGGACGCCATCACTTGGCATCGTACTGGTTAAATGGTCGCTCTAGTACCTGTATGGAAAACGTGCAAGTTCTACAAAAACTTGACCCGGCAATGACGGAGGAGGAGGGTGGTGGACCTGGCGGTGGTAACTTGAAAGTGGTAAGGGGAGGCTGGGAGGGTGTAATCATCTTGCAGGAACACAAACCTGCCTCGGAGGGACTTGGACTTGGACTTGGACTTGGACTTGGACTCGAGCTGGAGTGGGATGGATAGATCATGGCACACCTAGCCGGTGATCGAGATGAGCTGCAGAAAATCACCCAGTTTTCCTGCCAGTTCACTCGATTGATTGATTGATTAGCTTGGAATTATCTTAGGTAGATAGCTCAACCGATGGGACGAAAGATGATTATTGGGCGGTTAAGCTGACCGAGCCGGCGATCTTGCAATGATTTGGGAATATTGACAATACTCGATCCATCGCCAACTGTTCTTGCTTGGTAGGCCTGTCCTGTCCGTCAGCATATTTCCTTGGAGCTACCTCGATAGGCATGTTCGTGATGTCAAGGAATGAACGAGGAGAACCATCATGAGGGACAGCTCAGAGCTACGGTATTATTACAAGTACTTTGGTTGGGTACGGGGGGCGGGAAAGTCGCACCGTTATTGTATCGCAAAGGAACAAGCTACCAGCCACGCGCCTCCCCCCTTCTTTCCCCTTCCCCCTCCCTTATCCCCAGCCGTCCGGTTTCACATTCGTCCACTCTCCAACGAGGGCGGCCAGTCCAGCTTCTCGAGACGCTTGCGGCACCTTCCTGAGGCTTTCTCTTCAAGAAGTCCGCAAGGGCACCGCCGGAAGCAGTCTTCTGCACTAAAAAAGTCAACAAGAGCTGTCGTCCATAGTCATACTTACACTTGCTGGTCCCTTGGCTGTTGCATGTACTGTGTCTGATTCCTCAATTGCTCCTTTGTCCCCCCTCTCTTCCCACTTTCCCTCCTACTTCCCCAGCCAGATCCCTAAGGAACAAAGAAATACCCATATTGCAATTCACTTTCGAGAGCCGCATCTGTGCCTTCCGCCTGTCCCGTTCTTTTGACAGGGACGCCAGGCATACTGGAGAACCAGAACGTTAAATTATACATAAGGTACAGACCGGCACACACGCATACGCACACGCACACACACATACACTACTGTGTACGCTCACCAGGGGTGTTAGCAACGGCCCCGGGTTGGCCCTGCTCCTCGAGTCTTTGCTGGTTGTTGTACCTACAGATCAGGGGCTTAGCGTCCTCTCCCGAAATTAACACAGCAAGACCCGCCCTCGACATCTCTAAGTCGACATGCCCACAACGCTCTTCGTGCGACAGCAACACTTGCGATCCGGGCCAGACGACGACGAGCACGAGCACGAACACCAGCACTTAGAATACTCTTCCTCCCACCTCGACTGCGACTATCTTCAACACAAAACTGCCCTTTACATAATATCAGAGCATGAATACGTTCGCTCACTGAGCTCCCCAGCTCCCCAGTGCGAGTCCCGCCGTATCAAGGCACCCCCGAGTCGACTCTCCTCCCGCCGCAGTCTCCATTCCCACTCCCAACTCCCTCCTTCGAGCTTAAGGAAACCTCCGCGACCTCTCATGGCTACCGTCAGCTACAATGATGCCTCCAGCATGGCACTGGGTGGCCCCCCAGGCTCGCCGCCGGACCTCACAAACTCCAAGTCGTCCAAGTCGTCATCCGTTCGCTCCTCGACCCTCTCAGACATCATGGGCCCCACTGATCTGTCACATTTTGAGGAGATCAACCTAGACGATTTACAAGGTGCTTCAGGACCCAATACCTTCCCAATGCCAGTATCGTCTTCTAATCGCATCCTGTATGAAGCCAACAACAATCAATCGTCACTTCCCGGCGCTCGGGGGCTCCCGCATGTCCATTCCTCCTCTTCGTTCCGTGACCTGACTGCGGTCTCGAAGCCTCGATACCCAAACCTCAAGGCACAACCCAATGTTGCCAATCGCCCACAACTTCCTCAGCCGGGTGCTCCGGGCCAGCACATGCGGAGAGGATTCACCTCGCCCTCGGCCCCTTCGTTAACAAGCCTCTCGATCCCCGTGCGGAAGTCGCGGTCAAGGTCTCCATCCCCCTCCAACTCTCATGCATCCTCTGCTGCACCCCGAACACTCTCTTCTCGTAGGAGCTCACGCAACCTCGATGTATCCCCATCGTCCACTTTCAATCCAAGGAGGCAGTCATGGCAGCACAGTGCTAGGAAGACCATTAAGGAGCTGGAGGCAGAATGTGACGACGACGGGGATGACGACCTGCCAGACGATGCCTATCTCTGGGGTGTTCCCATCTCCCCGAGGCCAACCCAGGAACGCTCACCAGCCCCGTCTGCGAGCAACAGCCCTCCACAATCCTCTGCTAGTATTGCGAGTAGTCGGCCTTCATCGAAGCGAGGAAGCCCCACCTCGTTCACAGCTTCCCCTGGGATATCCCCGAGGCGATCGTCGCAGTCGCCATCACCAATTTCTACCGTCAGCGAGAACCTCCCTCCTCAGCAATTGCAACGACAGCGGACACAGGTGTGGGAGGATACTTACAACACTCTCGATGCCGATGGCAGGAAGCTTACTGAAGCGCTGGAGGAGTATGAAACCGAGCTAGAGCGACACCAGGAGATCCAACGCCAGAAACCCAGTCTGACACGCTCTGCTTCCGTCAATACTCCCAAAGCTGCAGCTATCCTCCCGCCCGTGCGCAAATCCGATCCTCTAATCGATCCATTCCAGCCTTCAGCAGAGAAACAAAAATATCTCTCTCGGACTCGACCCTCCTGGCTGCCTCCCAAGGACCCGAAGGAGGAGAAGAAGCACCTCAAGGAATATCAGAAAATGCACGAGCGGATCGAACAAGCTGGTAAGTGACTACATGCCATAATTGACAAACGCAAATTTTCTGACTGTGAATAGTGCGCCTCGCGGCTCAAAAGGATGAGGGAGAGAAATTGGCTCGAGAGACTGCAGAGCGTAAGAAAGCAGAGGTTTGGGAAAATCTCCTACCTAAGTGGGAGACCGAGACGGCATCCAAAGATGGCAAGGCCCAGTACCGAAAGCTTTGGTGGAACGGGATTCCCCCTAAGTACCGTGGAGCTGTATGGAAGAAAGCGATTGGCAATGAGCTCGGCATATCAGAGACAACTTTCAGGGTCGCGCTTGAAAAGGCGCATGCAGAACTCAGGGCCTTGGGTGATAATGCCTTTGAGGGGCGTGCACCTGTCGTCGTCGACAATACCAGGCTTGTGTTCCCGGACCTAAAGATGTTCGCCCCTACGTCCCCAGCAGGAGAAGAACAACCATTACACAAGGAGCTTGTTAATGTCTGCCTCGCCTACATGTCTTACCGCCCGGATGTCGACACTCTTGCTGGTGTGCACTACATTGCAGGTCTGTTCCTCTTGAACATGTCGCCTGCGGATACATTCATCTGCCTTGGAAATCTCCTAAACAGGCCGATGCCGCTGTCGTTACTCCTCAACGATCATAATGGTATCACAGCTGCATACGATGCTACCCTCTCTGCACTTTACAAGAAAGCTCCCTCACTTGCCAAACACCTAGCTGAGCTACGCGTCGAGCCTCACAACTACCTTTATCCAATGTTTTCCAGCCTGTTCTGCGATCGTCTCGACATAGAACACGCCGCGCGTGTTATGGATCTCTATGCTATCGAGGGCGACAAAATCCCGCCGAGGGTTGCCGTTGCTGTTCTCGGCATTCTCGAGGTTCGACTCTACCAGGGAGGTGTTGAGGACGTAATTCGCAACCTCAACTCGAAAGACATCAAACTCAGCCCTGATGAATTCTCCGGCAAAGTGTACGAGGCTGGGAAGAGTGCATAGAGAACATGTGCATACTGTCTTTGCTGTAATTCGATTCGAATTGCTACGAATAGTGCCGAGAGCTTATCTCGACAAGATGCTCACGTGCACCTTCGAGACCTACACTACAATGATGCGCCATCAACCAGACGCAACTATGTTGCTTGTCTATAAACTATACCTTCTTTCTTTCGTTTACACCAAGCATTTTAAGGCGTTTTAATCGGTTCAAGTAACGAGTCCAAGTACTGTTACTTTCCGTCCTTTTTATTATTACCAGCACTGCCGCTCAGCGGAACGACGATGACGCCCCATTTACCTATTATACCAAGTTCCGAGAGAACCAATCGAAGAGAAACGAGAAAATCATTATTACTATCCAACTGTGGCATTGTGTGTAAAAAGTAATGTCGCTGGACGATTTGGTGCGACTGGAGGGATTGACGACGCCAACAAGCCACATCATCTTCCTTCGCCGTTCGCTTCTTGTGCCTTTTCGTCGAACTGTTGTCGACTTATTCTTGCTGGGAGAGATGTTTACACAGTTACATCCATGGTGCGCGCATAGAGGAGAGACAAAAGGGAGAGAGACTCGGAAGATAATTACAACTACAGTGGGCAAAGTAAAGTAGAAAGTGGAAGAGGGACAGAGAGAGAAAGATTAGATGTAGAAGCGAAAGCCAGGTTCTGCGAGTAGCACACCGGATTGGATCAATTGTAAAGTTTATCAACTACCCCTTGTCTCACTCGCCTCCTCTTCCCTCCTGACTGTCTGACTAAGAAAGTTGGAGGGGAGGACCGTGTAGAGCAGAATAAATACACTTCATACCATTACTGCACATTGCCTGAGCCATAACCTGTCTGTTATATCTTGTGATTTTCAAAGTCTTGTATATGCACGTTCAGTCATTTACACCGTGCCAGCCAGTGTTGTAATTACTATGTATAGCCAAGTATAATACACTTCCACGATGCATTTATACCCTACATCTGATCCTTGTACCGACATGGAGACTGGGCAACGAAGACTCGATTACGGCGTTTGCTTAAGGAGACCTGATTTATTCGACGGGGCGCAGGGAAACTCGAGGATGGAGGGGGAGGAAATTTGTCTGGCAGACAAAGACATGCTACTAGTAGTTGGCTGTCGACAAAGAAAATAGACAAGGTACCGTCTCCCGGCGTAACATGTTTGTATCGTCATTCTATGCTATATCAGTGTCGATGTTCGGGGACAACCCTCCATTGGGTCAGTTGCTGGAGGGGGCTCGTGATTGTTCAGTGGAGACTTTCGAGGTAAGTTGGCAAAGTAGCATGAGAAGGAGCATCGTGATGCCTTTGTAAAATACTGGTTGGCTCGCTGTCTCTGCGTGTGTGCCGTGCTGTCTGGCATGTTTGTGATTTGCCTACCTTGAGTCACGATGACCTTGGTATCGCGGTGTCAGCTGGAGGCTCCTGTTGGTCCGAGACGATTATTCGAGGAGATTTCTTTTGTATCGTGATTCAAAGCCTGCCTCTGGTTGTTGGGGAAGAAGTCGGACAAGGGTGTCTTACGTGCCATGGTCATTTACATCCTCGATACAATACTGAATCGAATTTGAATTATGAATCAGTGACTTACATTGCAATGTCTACAAGATGTTCCTAACTTCTCGAGAGCGTTCAATTAGACTAGAATCAACTGTTTATAATTACTAGAGCCCTCTCGTCGTTCCTTTGAGTACAGTCCCGTGCAAAGTGTATCTGCCTGACCTCCGCGATGGCGAACCCCTGCCATGACTGAGCTGGATCGACCGCCAGATCAAATTGCGGTAATCACTGGGGGCCCCAGATTATTCTAAATGGGTAACTGATCCGAATGAACCGTTTAGGACGAGTGGGGGTATCCTGCTGGGACAGGTGGGGGTGGTAGAGCGTGGCTGGTGCCTCCGAAGTGAATACTGGGGCACAGGTAAATCAGATATCTCCCACCGCTAAACCTGGAGGAATCTGTTGAGCTTGGTTTCGTGTCTTGTAGGGATAAAACGTGACTGTATGATCGTGGGGGAATAAGGGCAATGAGTCAAGGTATTGCCACTCTAAGATTGAATTGCAGCTTTACGCCGAAAAGTGAATGAGAAGCTGTCACAAGAGCACGGTCAGAAGGCCTCGTGATATCAAACTCATTACCAAATTGCCACTACTAGTCTCAGTCTCGATCTCTAACCCTCCTATCACAAAGCTGCTTCTGTATATGCTGGCTAGGAAATACGTCACAAATACCTCAAGTGAAGGAAAAGTGACCCCTACAGTACTGCAGGTACACCGCAATCCTAATTTTACAGAGCAACATGTTAGTCTTAGCGCCTTTTCCTTGCCCTAAGTAAAGTTATGTTCGAAGAAGGCGCCTGTGCGCTGATTCTGGGGTACATCAAAACCCTTCTCCCGGCTCTCTGCCTTCTTCTTGTTTTCTCCTCCACTACCCACCCTTACCCTCTACCTATGAAGACTTTCGTCTTCATAAAAATTTCTACTCTCTCTTGGCCCGGTTCGCTGGGCCAAAAAAAGTACTTCCAACGCGGTAACATGCGGGATTGCTCCTTGTGGTAAGTTCAAATCCCGAATGCACGTTTTCCCCCCATGAGTCTTTCCTATTACTAACTGCCTGTTTCTTATAGAGCAATCAAAGTTTCTTTGAGAGGGCCCAATGGGCGGCCCTCTCGCAACACTCGTCATGAGTGATGACATAGCATCACAGACTCCTCATGGGTATGTACCTTCGAGTGTTACATCATTTCTCCTGACTTGAGTTCAAAGGCTAATTTATAATGTTCAGGGCTGTGTTTGTTCTCTGCTCATTGAGCCGTCAAAGAACTGGGCCCTATGGGCAATGTTCTGGCGGCGGCTTACGAGGAGCAGAGACTCCTGTGCCAGAGACACCCCTTAGGTTTGTTTTCTTGATTGTTCTTGAGTTGATTTTGAAGGCTGCTAATGTAAACCACAGGGGTCAAGTTTGAGATCGAAGAAGTGAAAGTTTCGCTCAAGATCCCCCGGCCTCGCGAGGTCTTCTTCGCACTTCGCGGTGGACACGTTCTGTTCAACCGTACCGATCATATCATTCTGCGCCTAACCTCCCAGGCAAATTCCCTTTAGTGCTGCGTTGATACTCTGCTCATTGAGCAGAGAAGTTGGCAGATTCGCAATGAGCGATGTTCCAGCAACGCTCACAATATTGTTGTGAACAGAACATAGCGTCACAGACTCCACATGGGTAAGCATTCTCGATTGTTTAATCGTATCCCTTGTGCTGGGTTCGAAAGCGGATAACCCTTAGGGCTGTGTGTGCTCTGAGGAAATAGCTCAATCATGAGCTAACCAAGGTGACTCCGGGGTACAACTCTGTTCGAATTCGCTACTCTGATGTTGGGTGGTGGCGACAGAGCTGATGATAACGCTGAGAGAGCTCGCGACGATGCTCAGAGAGCTCGTGATGCGGAGAGAGCTCGCGATGATGCGTCTTCAGCAACCCCGGAGTCACCATAGACAGTATCTGGACGTCTCGACACCGGACACAGACAAGATAATGTCTGTAAAAAGGTTATGACCACCTCGGGCCATGGTCTGTGTTCTGGGTGAGTCTACAGTTCTATCTCTAGCTGCCGCACTTCATCATCTTTGGATCACGATATCTAACCGGCCACTTCGCAAAAAGACTCTGTTCTAAGAGTCCAGTCAATGACGCGGCGTCATAACGCCGCGAATCTGCGGAGAATCTTCCTCACTGGACTCCTGTATTACTGGTCCACGATCGAGCATGACGTTCTTGTGACCAGAGACTTTCCAGAGCTGCTCTCTAATCTTCTCCATGGGCTAAAATGGATCCTACAAAACTACTCTTAGCTTGTCATCCTCGCCGCACCTGGATTTCTGCCCCCTCCTTTATGGAGTCGAAGCTGCAGGCAAAGACAACAATGAGCCCAATCAGCTCGGTATAGTGCATCACCTTCAGATGCACTTCTTCCAGCCCTATCTCGAAGAGCCCCGGCTTAAAGACATTACCAGACCGCCATCAGGATTTTCCTGGTACAACAATTTTCGGTTAGCAAAGACGATAACGATGGAATACCTACCACAATATCAAAAACAACCTCAAAGACTCCAACAGCAACATCAACAAGACATACAACATTTTGGAGGAAGCAGAGGATACGTAACACGGTCATGTTGTTGGTGTACCTCAAAGAGCAACAAAACAGGAATCATCCCTGTTGAACGCAGACGATGAGGGTGATGAAATTTTGAGCGAGTCTTCGGATGGAGACAGAGAAATCAAGGTACTTGACGACCATGAAATAAGGAAAGTGGGTATTCAATAATGAAGGGGAATAAGTTTGACTCAGTAATACATATCAGATCCGGTTTCTTCTATAGCATGCCAACGAATGTTTGACACTGGACAGCAAAGACAACAAGTTGTTTTTCTTCTTCTTCGAACAGAAATCAATTTCTTACATCATAATATTCATCATTCTGTAACAAACGCTGTGTGCTTCAGTGTTTCCGTCATAAATTCCCCCACCCGACAGAGAAAGTGATTGCAAAAGTGATTTCCAAATCAAAAGCTGCTGCCAAGTTTCACTGCTTTCATTCTGATTCGTCCTGGTCATTGTGAAAGGCAGAGATGTTTGAGTACTATTTAGGTACACTAGGCAGCCTCTCTCTCCAACTTTCCAACCTCTTCTATTTACTCTCACTCTCAACCCCCACTACCTCCAACTTCTCTAACACGACTTCTCCAACTCAAGACTGCTGGAAAATGCGCGTCAATCAAGTACGTATTTGTTCATACTCTACTATTGTACCTAAATTAACAGAAGTCTTAGTCGGATCCGTTCAAGAACATCCTGCACGGTGCGATGCCGTGGGTGACAACTCCCACCAAGCAGAGCCAACCCAAGCAGAGCCAACCCAAGCAGGCCGGAAAGCCTGACGAAGGAAGCGATGTTTCGCCGGCACTGCCGCCCAAAGAAATTGCACGCATCGATAGTTCCACGCCGATTACTACCCCAAGCAAAGGTGCCGTGGGAGCTGGTGAGGTTTCATCAGTGCCGACCCAGGCAGAGGAAACCACGGCAACCAAGGCACAACCAATGGTAAAGGTAACGCAGAAAAAAAACCCATGCCATGATTAAGTCTAATCACCTGATTTTAGGATGTCGTTACTACCAATCCCGTATTCCGGTACCTACCATATCCGACGCAGTCATCGCCGTCGCGAGCTGTCATAGTGTCCAATTGGGCCACCCTTCCGCCATACGCACATGTACTCAGGTCGGTCGACACGGGATGTGTGTACTCTATAGAACGATTCGAGTACCAACAACCTACCAACAACATGACAATGTATGGTACCCGTATCGTCTACACAAACGATGAAGGTGCCGCCGGCCTAGTCGAACGTTTTGGACTTGCTCCCTTGACAGAGTGGATGTCACTCTACGGCAATCCCAACTTGCAATACACCAACTACAAGTTGTCTCCACTCCTCCAGCTTCTGGATACGGATGCCGAATACAAGAAGCATTCTCGGATTCTCCACCTCGAGATTCCAGCCCGAAGCCCTCCCATGATCACCTACAAGCGAAGTTCTGTTGTCAGTACGGATGGCGAGGATTTCGACTACGACAGCCTTCTGCGCTTCTTAACGAAGGCTGAAGTCGAATATATCAAGGAGCTGCGTCTCGCAGAGAAGTGCAAGGGGAAGGGCGTCCTTTCTATCGAGAAGATGGAATGGAGGGCGTACAAGTCCAACATGAAGCTGCGTCTAGAATTTCGGTCAATCGAGGCGTCTGCCGATGTTTGGAACTTGATCAAGCAGGACCACGCCTGGAAGGACGTAAAGGTCGAGTTCATGCCTGATCCTTGTGGTATTCCCAGGAATGATCGATCAGATATGCGGATACCAGATCCATCAGCCATTGGTGCGGCATGGCGCGTAGCACCTTGATCTGGACAACGATGAGTGCTTGGGCAGGTCTTGGGCCTTTTGTGTTGATGGACGTGCTTTTCCGGGGTAGCCTTTGTATTCATATCAAGAATCCATCTGGCTATCAGATAGCCCTGCAGCTAGTATCAGTGCTGCCATAAATTCAAATTATCATACCGACTTGTGCTCTTTCCTGTCTATACCTGCCAACTTGGTGTTCAACAGTGTGAGGCAATACATGATCTGTCATCTAAGCTGCTCCAGAATTACATTATACCTGCTCATGGCAAGACTGCAGTGCGCTATTGTACCAACCCAGCTTCGTGAGATAACCCAAGCAACGACCTTAAGTACGTGCCGTGTACAGCACAGCTCATTGACATAACCTAGGCCCAAAGCCCTGATTGGGTGCCGTCTCCCCGACAACTTTATAGTATGACCCAAGTTGAAACCCTAACTCTGTGCCGTGACTCGTACAACTTCATGATATAACCCAAGCATGAATTTCGATTGCGTTCTGTGTCCAATATAGTGCCTCCAGCACACCTTTATGTCATAACCTTGACAAAGTCCCTGAAGGTATGCTGTGTCCTGTACGGCGTTGCGATATAACCCAAGCAAGGGGAGGGAGGAGGACTGAAGAGAGGTTAGGTCAGCTATCGGAATCGATGGGTGTGTCGAGGTCGAAATGAGAGACTTCGCAAAGCAGAAGAAGATGCCTAAAAGGATATCAGGATAGTGACCGTGAACGATGAGTGTGTCGAGATTAAGACGAGGGACTTCCTTGGGAAGTTAGTCCTGCATCGCCCTGCTTCGTAGCTGACTGTTGTTGACCCTGCTGCTCGATGTTTTCTGCGATCGGTCGAGTTCGAGAACGAATCGATGCGGCAAGGGCTGTGAATGTGTGCTATGTCCAAGATAACGCGCTCAGCATAGCTTCATGGTACAACCCTGGCAAGGACCCTGAAGCTGTGCTGTGTCCAAGATAGCGCATCCAGTACGGCTTCACAGTACGGCCCTGGCAACGATCTAGAGTGCGTGCTGTGTCCAGTAAAGCTCCGTGATAGTCCCCAAGCAATGACTCTGAACAGGTGCCGTGTCCAACATAACGCGCCGTACATTATCAAGTAGACGACGTCTCTCATGCTGTTCACAAGACGTGTTCTCGTCTCTTGCCTTTACCTAGTACTGCCTACTTGCGTGGGCCCCCGGGTGCCTGTCGCACCTGCCCTCACTCACTCCTTCACTTACTTACCTACATTGCCAACCTCATTTTCGCTGTATATATACTATCTTCTTTTGAAACCTATCACTAACAAAACAGGGCCACTGGAATCATGGCGCATTGGGTAATGCGCCGGGATATGAAGACACGTCGGGTCACCAAAGGTTTGTATAATCATTTCTTTCTTTCTTCTTCCAGAGGGTGTGGGTTCGATTCACTATTGGGAACATTCGTTCCAGTCTTTTTTTTGCACTTTTTTTTGCTTGATGTTTTGAATCTTGATTTCGTTCATTTACTTCCTGGTAGGTGGGGTTCCTGATAGGCAGGGCGTTCGAGATGCGCTCAGGGAAGTGAATTGCCGCTCGTCTCTTTTTTTTTACACCTTTCTCTTGATAGTGTGTATGTTACTTATTTGACACTGCCTCATGTAAAGCAGACAGAGCCATAGTCAAGTTAATGCAAATGAAAACAATACAGGTTCATATAATATAACACTCTCTTCACTTTTTTTTCTATTCACAATACGCAGCGCGCTCGAGTTACTATTAGAGGAGGGATCAGGACTTCCTCCCTGTGAATCTTTGTCTTATCTTCAGGGCCTGTTATCACAGTGTACATACTGTTTCATTTATACTGCTATCTAGGAGCCGATCAGGGCTACATTCAAGCTATGGAGTACGTTGGAAATGAACTAAGATATGTAAACATCAAACATGGGTACCATGTTCTGCACGCTGGCTTTTCTCCATTGCATTCTACAGCAGCTGATACATTCAAGTAATAAATAATCAGAGCAGTCAAATGCCTCCTATGTAGTCTTTTTGCTCTTGTTCCTACAGTTGCTGGATACATCATTCTAAAAGTTGCATCTTGCAAAATAGCATTACAATCACAACCTGTAGTTGGTATATAGGTACTTAAGTAAGAAACACATATGTTTATCACTGCTGATAGGCCTGCGACGTTAGGGAGATAACCTTCCCAGCCTTTTCTAGCTGTATGTACCTCCCGAACAGTCTCATCCATCATACTTCACCTATACTGTACAGTCTCATGTACACTGCTTGTAATTAATCGAATAAGAAAACAGCTAGATGATTGCATATTGGACTGGGATACTGGAGACCACAGAGGCCGATATCAAACTTGCTTTACTTTCCTCCCTTCCTATTCTTCTCTTCCCTCCTACAGTAAGTAGGCTGTAATACATTCAGGCTACTATTACAGTGCGTTAAGTGCATTCAATAGCACTTTGTGTGCTCCACATCTTGTCATCATTACTACTTTTCAAACCAGCTACAGTGTCCTTCCGTACTTTCTAATGGTGCGTTTGGGTTGCAGCCAGCACGTACGTGCCTACTCTCTTTCTTTTTGCATGTTCATTCCTCTTATCTTCAATCTCATGGCGGATATACAGTCATTATTATATTTGTACCTAGTTCGTTGGTAATTCTGCGAATGCACGAGTCATCCTGGCAAGGTACATACATCCTCGCTTAAAGTATCTAGCACTAATAGGTAACATGCTTGCTCAACCTCAGGCCGCCAATCTCTCTAAGACGATCTGCACACTGTCAGCGTGCTCGACATACCCGATGCGCCTGAGGTAGCACTAAAGAAGATGGACGGTACAACCAAGAACAGCAAAATGTCCTCCTTCCGATCTATCTTTGGAGGTAGAAAGAAGGCAGAAAGGGGACAAGCAGAAGTCACTTCGCAACAGACAGAGCCATATATGAATGATAGGACGGTGCCGGCTTTTACGCAGGAACACCAACGACCTGATGTACTGTCAACTGATTCCACGAATTTGGCAAGATATGATCTTGAGAGGCCAAGTGGAACTCAATGGAGCAAGAGCAACTTAGATCCTGGTTCATCTTGGTCTGGGGCCCAACAACACAATCAATCCTCATCCGGCTTGCCGGTGCATGATTCAACTCTCATTCCAGTACCTGCACGCGGGGACATGGCATGAAACGACCAGATGATAAGGCATGGGTCAGATCACCAACCTAGATCTTGGAATGAAGCTCAGTGCCAAAGTAACGAAATCCCTGCTGCTCAGTCGATCCTTGACAGAGGCACATCCGAAGCCTCGAGTAGCCTTAATGCCCAGAGGGTACATATGTCTCATTCGAGCGAGTATACAGAACCCTGGGAGGCTCCATGCAAAGCATACCAAGACATGAATTCCGGATATGAGTGCCGCCTCGCCTATATTAGCAGATGCAGTTACTTTGGTTGCAGTTTCTGTCTGTTATTATCGTATATTGTAAAGGAACTGAAGATAACGACCAATCTCGTACTGTTTCGGTACGGGGAAGACCAATCTGTTTGAGAGTGAAGTGTCAAAGCATGGATTACAGTATGTCTACCTCTGCTTGGAATCTCGAGATTTTCAGAGGAAACCTGCGTAAGGCTTTCGGCTTCTTATTGAGATTTTACAACGCTAACAAATGTCTTTTACAGGAGACGGCAAGAACAATGCTATGCTTCCAATCAGTATCACAGCGGGAATTACCATTGATCCTTGGTTTTTATGGTTTGATTCGCGTCCCTTTGTTGCTAAAGACAGTTCGAATCAAGATTGTTTATCTAGGGTGAATATCTGGCTCCAGAACTGTCTGAAGAATCATGAGATCTGCTCAGAAACACCTTCGGAAGGAAAGCTTCCTAAGCGCATCATCGACGTCGGGGACCAGAACACCAATCCTCGCCTCCGGGAATTCGCGTCGATAGATGAAACTAAAGATAGAGCTTATGTTGCATTAAGCCACTGCTGGGGCACATTCCAGACCTACCGGACTGAAAAGAGTTCCATTTCGGCGAGAATGACCTGCATGGAGTGGACCGATATTCCCCGGACATTCCAAGATGCAATAATCGTCACCCGTTCACTAGGTATTCGCTTCATTTGGATTGACTCCCTAGCCATCGTCCAGGATGATCTGGATGACTGGGCAGAAGAGTCGGCCAAAATGTGCGACATCTACGCTAATGCAACATTGACTATTGCTGCTGCTGCAGCTCAGGACGATACGGAAGGATTTCTAAAGGTTAGAGAATATACGAGTAACGTATTGGCTGTTCATACAAACGGGAGTGAACTGCTCTGTTACCGCAATGATATTCATCGAGATCTGTCAGAGCCCGGTCCTTTAATCAAGCGTGCTTGGGTAAGTCACGTCTTCACAACAAGTCTGCTTATGTATTCTTTCCCTCCCATCTAATGCATACCAGGTTTTCCAAGAGCGCCTTCTGTCTCCACGAGTGCTGTATTACGAGAAGCACGAGATGATCTGGGAATGTAGAAACACTGTGCAATGCGAGTGCGGCTCAGATCTCGACCTCAGCAGCTACAGGCAGACACACATTAACCCAGGTGGAGCTAACGAAGTCAAGAACTGCACTTCCCTTGAAGTGTGTAATCTCACCAGACCAGAGGTGGCAGACAGCACTACGTTTGCGTGGTGGCGCACGGCTATAGTGCAGAACTACACTTCCCTCCACTTGACACGAAACACAGACCGCCTCCCTGCCCTCTCAGGACTCGCAAAGACCATTCTCAGAAAGACACAAGATGCATACCTCGCCGGCCTCTGGAGATCCGATCTTCTCAACGGTCTCCTATGGAAAGCCAACAACGTCGGTCCGATGTTCGAGCCCTCGACCTACATTGCCCCAAGCTGGTCCTGGGCTTCTGTCCGAAGCTCAGTTGCATACAACTGGTTCGATCCGACAGTCTCCCTAATGCATCTCAACTCGTGCTCCGTACAACCTGCAACTCTCGATCCTCTAGGCATTGTCAAATCAGGAGGTCACCTTACCTTAGATTGCCCCCTAATCCCCAACTTTAATACCCAAACCGGCTTTGCAAGCAAGCTCATGGCGGGTCTAAGACCAGGCATGCCACTTATACGCAACCACAAGTTCGCTGGCGGCGCCGAACTCGACACCTTCATCGAGGAAGTTTCGTTCTACTGCCCCAAATCCCCCGAGAAGACCACGACAGTGATACGGTCGGACATGTCAGTTGATCAGGTTGATTTGTTCCAGGTACACTACCTCGACCTAGCCATCCTCGCCGCCAACATCGACGACAGACTGAAGCTACTCAGAGTAGTAGGGTTGCTGCTGAGTAAATCACCAGATGATACGAAGTGCTTCCAGCGCGTAGGAATAGCAGTCATCTGGACCAGGAGCGATCTCGTGGTTAACGAGTATCACGGACCCGGGCTTTGGGAGCGTAGAGATCAGAGGAGCAGGGAAGCGCTCGTCATGGATTTCTTCAAGCGTTTCAGAAGAGATGTTACTATTATATAAAAGGACTAGGCCGGAGTGCACTAAAGGATAGCTCTACAGTTTCATAGCACTAGGTACCTTCACGATCTACAAACATGCTGTGTTCCCCCAGGCATGTTGGAGCACTCTGTTTATTCCAGGAGAGTGACACAATGTAGCGCAAGCAGTATACTCACAAACACACAAAGCAGTCAACCCTACAGTCATTTGTAGCTCTCACTCAAACCCTCCTTGTGATGTTGTTTAGATGGCCTTGATATTACCCACCACAATCCGGGTAGTGTCTATTGTCACTCTGTGTGATCTCTCATTCCCGGTCAATGCATAGCCTATCTGAGTTGCAGCTCGGGCACATTTTTTTAACCACAGTAGCCTTCTTTGCATCTTCCTCTCTCTCATAGCATAGCGGGATGGAACGAGGCTGTTTGCAATATGCAAGTACCAGGGAAAGCACGAGGAGGGTTGAACACAGGCAGACCAGGAACTCCGGGATAGTGTGTATGAGAGATTGCGGGCCTTGTATACCGACTGACTCCACGAGAAGAATTGATGCGGGAAGGTTAAATGCCTAGGTACCTGCCTTGCCTACTCAATGGTGGGTCAGCCTGTGATGTTTCCTCTAATATAGAACCGTATATGCGCGGCATCGTGAGAATCATCAATACTGTGTACTGTGCACTGTGTACTGCTTCACCTACACTGTGTACCTGTCGTGAGCCAGACAGTGAGCCAGAGTCCCTACTTCCTTCCCGTTTACCAGGCAGTGCGTTTGCGCCCCGGCCAGGTCACACCGCACCTTCACTTACCCTCCTTACCTTACTACTAAAACTACCAATATCGGTGTATATATACCACTTAATTTAGACCACCTTTCGTACTAGTTACACTCGAGTGTAGCTAGTACAGGCAGGATGGCGCGGTGGACAATACAAGGTTTGTATCAAATATTTCCTTTACTTTCATTTCCCCCCTTCACATTATTCCCCAACAACAACAAAAAATGGTGCGGTTCGAGCACCGATCAGGGCACATTGTGTCTAACAATATTTTTTTGCAATTTTTTTTGCTTTGGGTTAGGGCGCGCTGGGGAGGGACTCGGCGCGCTGGAGCTGGGATGAACATGCGGGGGCAAGTGAAGGTGCAGTAGGCGGCAGGATGTGCTGTAGTATTGCGTTCTCTTTTTTTAATAATGCTGTCTTTGCAGACAAATAGAGAGGGGGTGTGTATATAGGTAATGTCTATAGTCACGAAATCAGAAAGCATCATCGTGTACCCAGTAGCTGAGTGCTTCAGTAAGTCTGACCACGCCACGATCTTCCCCAATTCGCCCTTGGCAGTGATACACTCCCTTCGGAGAGTGACCTACTGCTTCACCTCATCAAGAACATAGCAGACAAGAGACATTCATTACCCTAGGGGGGCCCGAAGAGCAGCTTCACTGCCAGCAACTCCAAGAACGACCAATGGCGAGTGAACATGGCTTCTGTTCTTGCAGTCAGGATACCGCGAGGAAAAATTCCATGGTGACAGCACAGGCATCTGGTACATACATGACAACATTCAAAGCTTCGAATAGTGCTACCGTGGAACATGACAAACGTCACGAAAACCAAGTTTACCAGAATCTTGTCGAGGTTCTGTCATGCTGAAGGGAGGAGAGAACTAAGATGTGAGTATCGAGTACGCACAGAGGACCGTGTGTCAGTCGAACGTTAACCAATCTGTGAAGCAGATGAGCTCTCATTTACTCGGTGACTTGACTTGAGATATGCTCTGGTCGAGGCTTCGAGTATGTATGTTTGACACGGGGGTGAAGACTCGAACGAATGCAGGACATCGGTTCAGGTGTTTCGAAAAGGCACCGAGTGATAATTGGACTCGATTTGATGTTTTATCTATCAATACTTGATTTACTCTTGAAGCGTTGCTTAATGCAAAGGATGTCGTTCATGCTTAGTATCATATTACTATTGGCCAAGGTGCCCAGGTAACTATCTGCCAACGTGTTTCCTTCATTGCATATATACAGACAGATACGGTGTTGTATTCACTGCATGATAGAAGGTAACCAAGTTCACTGTTTGTCCTTTTGATAGCTCTGGGAACCAAGTCTTCTATGTCTTGTTCTGTACGCATCATGAATGTCATGTCTCCGTACATGTACATACCTACGAGTATGACGGGGATTTCTCGGAGTAAGTCAAAACGACGTGCAGAAAAGGCACAAGACGGATTAGAAAGTCCGATATTCGCTGGACTATGTGTTTTACGAATCCAGATCCCCGAGGGCCTAAAGCAGTGGGCTAAGTAAAGATGACGCCACTGCAGCCACTGCATTGTTGAATAGGAGCCTCGAGCAGGATTGGCGAGAACCATTTCGATGCAGGAACTAGATGATGCAAGAAATCTCTGCCCAACGCATACTAAAAGAGGACGAATATTGCATGTGAATATGCAAAGACAACGCCAGAATGGGTCAAGCAGGGAGGCGTTGAAAGGAGAATGCTTAGTTGGTCTTGGAAAGGATGGCCTTGATGGATGATAGCGGTGGTGGATACTGACAGATGCAACGCCACACACCTCGCGTTCCGAACCGCCACAGTGTTGCGTACCCAGATGCCCCTTACCATGTCGCTTCGAGAGAACGTGAAACCATGGTTGTCGATCTGATTTGAGCGATCGGGAGGATTGTGGGAGACTTGTCGAGCCGAGTCTGGCTTTTGCTCGTGTTGAGTTGATGCGAGAAAAGCGAGGAAAGTCCTGACGACGCCACAGGAGCGGGTAGCTACCAGATTTCAGATCTGGAAGAGATGTGGCGGGGAAAGCGTAGCGAATTCCTCGTTAGGGATCCCGGACAATCATGCACCTGGCAGCGTAGCAAAGAAATAGTATTTCTTGAAATTTCATAAGAATGAGACTAGAGTTAAGCAGTATTTGAACAAGTATTGCAAGTGGTCATCAGATAGAAGGCTTGGATGATATTCAGGAACCCGATCGGACTGTTGGGCTAGTTTCATCCAATAGTGACGTGTGGCAATTGTCAGCACGCGAACCGGCCATCGTTTTTGACATTTGACACAACACAATCAAGGAGCATTGGGTCTGGCCAGCTTCGGCACTATTCGGGCCTGATCAATAGTTGTGACGTAGGTAGGACAATGTAGACAACACTCCCGTGCAGTAGTGCAGGATTCATGGTCTCAGCGGTCGATGCGGACCAGCGGTTCAAATCTGTGAGTGCATGAGAGACGTCGAAAGTGTGGCTTGCTTGATATTGGACAAGGTGCTCGGTTCTGGAGAGGGAAGACCGATACTACGGTAGTTACTAGTAGGATGAGGAATAGAAGAGGGGTTCTAAGGATGCAAGTATGATGCCATTAAATCGTGCGCGAGCACATTCAAGTGATCTCTCACAGTTACTCCGTACATAGTTACGAGTAATTGAAAAAAAGGAGGCTCGAGTAGATATCTTGACAAAGAGAGTGGGGAAGTGAGATGGAGTTTGCTAGCTGGACAATTACGAGTAGCATGTCGATCAAGCATAATGCAAGTGGGGATATGGTGACTTCAGCAGCAGTCGATATGTTAGATTGCGAGCCACGAGCTGAGGCAACACTTGTAAGGTGTAGAGTATGGATAGGATTGGTGGGTTGAATCAGGCCAAAGAGGGTGCGTGCGAAACGTGCCTGACGATCGGAATCGAAAGTTGAAGCGAGAAGACATGGCAGGAAGGTGGCGGGGGGCAGCTGTTACCGATGGGGATCTGAATCCATGGTTGGACAGGAGAAGTTAAGGAGGGACGGTGGCTGAAGCGACCGGTCTGGTGCGTGAGACAAGGAATGGCGTGGCGTGTGACTTTTGTGTATTTTCTTTGGTCAGAAGGTGAGTGGATTAGTGGATGAGTGGATGAGAGGTCGAGAGGCTCGCGTGCGTGTAGCAATGAATGAAACGAACGGCTGGCCAGTGGCATGTGCAGCCGAGACGAGGATAAGCCGCATCGCGTTGGCCGATCTGGTACTGAGAACGGGCTCATGGAAACGAAAACGGAGCTGAAGCTTGGGGTGGGAGCGTGAGTAGTTGGAGAGGAGAAGATCCTCCTGAACATGGAGAGGACCGATGATCGCTTTGAGGAAATTAGCACTCGTAAATGTCACTCGTTGAACAGAAATGATACTCGGTGGCGTAGCAGAGGATGACTGAGGTAGTTTAGCCACAATTGAGCTCGCCTGAACCTTCATTGAATACAGACGCTGATCATCGGCTCGAGTGGCTTCGGAACCTGGATTGCATGTGGAGGTTAAGGATCATGCGGAGGATCAGAGAGATCTATCTAACGAGATATCAGAGAGACGATCAATTGGAAAATGCGCTGACAGTTTTCCAAACGCCTGGTGGGAGAGTATCTTAGGATACGATTGGTTGAATTCGTGAGGAAACAGCCATCCGAGAGAAGAGCGACTTGTAGACAACCACAGCAGTACGGAAAACCATAAGCTCGCGTTAGGGTACCTAATTTACCTGTGGGCTAGTAGAGAAGAAGAAGAGGAATATACAGAGTGCTCAAAGCCTGGAGGAATATTCATATAATGTCCCTGTTCCATCTCGTGGCGGATAGAATGTGTTTGCAAAAGCAGCACTGCGTACACGCATACTCATGCACACACCAGCACTCCATGGCCATGACTGGTCGCCATATCCTTACACAGGATAATCCACCAGCTCCAGTAACCAGAAAGTGGGTATAGCATGTCAATCGTGGCAATTGAGTAGAGTTCACCATGGAATGGATAGACGCCGCAAGCAATGATGATCATCTCGTCTAGTTGCCGTTGATCGATCGGGAGAGGTACCAGGTCCAGGCATTTGAATCTGGCAACCCGAGGCGCAAGGTAGAGATTAGAGAGTGGGTGACTACTACGAGTAGTAGTTACGGGTCAGGCTTTGGGCGTTGATAACTTAGTATACTTCTAATCCATGGTCAAGTTGAGGGGAGCATGCGACAGTAGTGTACCCAGAACGTTGACATGGAGGTAGACAAAAGAGGCGAAATAGTGACATGTGGCGTTCTGAGGAAATAACCGTCAGTTTACTGGATTCGGCGATCTATGCGCCGTCCACACCGAACTAATCGTATTACGAGCATTCGTTCAAACACATGCACGATAATCCGTACACATCCATCAACATTGATCATCGCATATGGAGATAGACGAAGGGATTGATGAAGGTGCCATGCCACCTATCTAGGTAGGTAGTCATGTCAGAACAAATCAAGTTAGAAGGATGGAGTCGGGTCCACGCGTAACTACAAGTACCTAGGCACAGCACGCGGTAATAGAGGTAATCGATAGAAAATATGTTCAGTGAGGTAGTTGTTTGTTAGTTAAGATGAATAAGCAATGCAAGATGAGACGAGACGAGACTAGACGAGAGAATGGATTGAGTGAAAAAGAAGGGGATGGATGAAGGCGGAGGATGAGGATGAGATGGGATGGATCTTGGACGGTGGACGGGAAGTGAAGGGGGCTGTGCAAAGAAAAAGCAACCACCATCATCACCTGAGCCGTTGATTGGTCGATCATTGTCTTGGCAAAGACCGAACCTTTCTTCCGTGCCGTCCATGGATATGAGATGAAATGGTGAGGCTGCTCGTTCACTGTAATCATTTCCGCTTGTTACCCAACCCTAAGTGACTATATTGAACTACTTGATATATCAACAGCGGTCATTTTTGTCACAATGATTGACATTATTATCATTCGGTGTTCCGTGCTGTAGGTTCGATGTGGATATTTATGATCGGGAGAGCAGCCGATCATGAAGAAGACAATAATGATGCTCGTAAGCGCAGCAACATGCCTCTTGATGACACTAATACTTACAACTTACAAGATGAATGGAGAAGAGCCAATTACAGTAATTGCTTGATATAATAGATTAGCATTTGTGGTAGGATATTCCGTAGCTTGTACATCGTACATGCACAGTGTCTTCCTCCAGGGCCATTCCCTTCCTTCTACCGGTACAGCACTAGTCCTAGAACGGAAGTTAAACCAGCACCGCCACTTCCTTCTTCCTCTTCGAACAACCTCATTCACTCCTCAATCATTACGAGTATTACTACGAGTACTCTACACAGTACTTACTGACTCTACTCCTCCGTATCTCCAAGCCCATCATAGCGGAGGATTTCATCGTTCAATTCAACCCAATTCATTATTACTCATACTGTTCATCATTCATCTGTATGTACATGCACTCCTCTGTACTCCGTACAAACGATACAATATACAGAACACTTTGCTCCGGACTCTTCACACACCCATCGAGATACGAAACAACAGACAACGCTACAGTCTCGGATCGACATTCGTTTCATCTTCCTCATCTACTCTTTCCCCGCGCCCATCTCTTTCTCTTTGCACATCATTCCTATATCGTACCCAGCCACAACAGGGAAAGCACTCGCCCTCACCTCTTACCACCTCACCTAGCTAGCTAGGCAGTCCCACTTCCGATACTTACTTGCTCACCACACCCCGTTGCCGTTCCTCATCGTCATCGCCATCGCCATCGCCATTATTGCCATCACCCTTATTCTTATTGCCTTCGTGCCTTCTTCTTCTCACCAGGCGAAAAAAGACAATTCATCAGCCTGCCGTCGTCAACCGAAGTTTACTCGTAATAGCAGCACTAGATCGTACACATCGACCAACGTCCGGCCGTCCGTGTCGCCGTGTGCCAACCCATCGTGCATACAGCATATCCCATCCATACACCTTGGGCAACGTCTCTCCCAATCATCTCTAGTCAATAGTCCAGAGGCGGACGACGGAATCCAGCCACAGTCTTCATTTCTCCAGCCGACCTCGTCATCGGCGGCGGCATTGCTTCTCTACAAGGGTTGTCATCAGGGCAACAAGGGTGGGTTACTAGGGCTACACCTACTCTCTTAGAGGGTCTACCACCTACCATTTCCTATTACTGCTGTCCTGTTCTATCCTGTCCTGTCTGGTCCTCTCTTCATTGTTGTTGTTGCGCTGCTCTTCTACTCGTACCAGTCCAGCCACGTCCAACGAACCCTGCTTGCATCTTGCCATCGCCGCCCTCACTCTAAACAACAATCCACGCTACTCACATCGCGCCCTCTTTTCTCTCTGTCTCGCTCTCTCGCCCTCACTCTCTCACTCTTGATCCATCCCTCACAGCTGGCCTCGAACCGCTGGACCACTCAACTCTCGACATTCTCCTGCAGGCTTCCTTCTTTGCCGGCACCGAACCCCCAAATAGCTTGCTCGCCCAGTCCAGTCGCTGCCGCTGTTCCGCGCACCGCGTCGCCGAATCGCCCGTTCGTTCGCTCGCTCGCTCAGCTCACAGCCTCACTTGGTCTTGGTCTTGGTCCGCTGAGGCGTCGCCCAGTGCCCCAGTCGCACACTTCCACTCCACCCTTCCAATTCCACTCACCACCACCGTCGCATCGCGTCCACCGAAACCCTCAGAGCTACCAAGCTGAACGCACCTGTTGTGTACGGTACACATTCATCAATCACTCAATCAATCGATCAATCAATCAACCTATACATCCACTGCTGTAACCCGCACCGCACGTTCATATACCCTCCGCTCCCCCCTCGGCTGTGCATCCTCTTGTGGCAACTCGCCGCGGATCACCTTGGCTCTTCGAACATCTGCAACTGCACCCGCCCCCTCTGCGACTGTACAACAACCAAGTCGACGTCTCTCGCCTCGACTGCACGCGAAGCCCAGTCGCAAACTCTGGCACGAGCCCTCACCATATCCTTGGGAAGAATTGTTGCTGGCCGCTGCTGGCATGAGAGCATAGAACGCCTTGGATCAAGGAACGCTTTGCACCCCAGTGCGTAGAGCGAACGCTCAACACCAAAACAAGGGTGCGTCATTGCAATGCGCCCATCGCGTCCTGATTTCTTCATCCTTTCCTGTCCTTCATTCGTTACCAACGTCATATCCAAATGATTCGGCACGATAATTCAGACACACTGACTGACCTCACCATCAGGCTTGATCACGATAATCATCCCCACGCCTATCCCTTCCAACCATGGCTGCCTCTACTCGGGCAATCACACCCACCCACACAGGCCCTTTCAGCGCGCCGAACAGACCCAACACGCCCTCGAGAACCAACCCCACAGGCGCGACGTTCGGCACGCACTTGACCAAGTCTCCCCGCGGTCTCTCTCCACGAGCATCTCCGCAGCCCCTCACAGGTGCAGCCGCTCTCGTTGACGAGCGAAGACATCGCGAGCACGAACATGCGCGACAGATAAGTCCCAATCCCACTGTTTCCGTAATACAGACCCTGCTGGGTACATCACCGGCAACGAGCAAGCCAAAGGACGGCCCGCCCGAACCTGCCCAGATGAGCGCTCCCCTCGAGAAGGTCGCCAAATCCATCGTCATTCCCGAGCAAGTAACCGGCGAGAACATGCAGACGAGCCCTGTCAGCCTGTCGAGCTTCGGTTCCAACGAGCTCACCTCAGCGCAGACTGCAACTGCGACAGAGGCTACGGCCGCTCCCATGACCACCGTCCAAGGCCAAGGGCAAGATGGAGCACCTCCCACGCACACTCATCATCACCAACCCATCGCTCCCAATCCTGGCAATGAAGCACCCAGCAACCGCGCGTTCACCTTTCCCGGGCCACTGGGACCAGAACATGCCCCACAGCGCCAGATGAGTCTCCCAGGCTACCCGAACAATACACCCAAGTCCCCCTCAGCCAAGCGCCACAAGTGCCCATATTGTGCGACAGATTTCACCCGGCACCACAATCTTAAAAGCCATCTTCTGACCCACAGTCAAGAGAAGCCTTACGAGTGCACGACCTGCCAAGCACGCTTTCGTCGTTTGCATGATTTGAAACGCCATACGAAACTCCACACTGGAGAACGACCGCATACTTGCCCCAAGTGTGGCCGTAGGTTCGCCCGCGGCGACGCGCTGGCCCGACACAATAAAGGCCAGGGTGGCTGTGCAGGCCGCCGTTCGAGTTTCGGAATCGACGAAGACATGGCCGACACCAAAGGTGACGAGAATATGGACGGTGTCGTCTATCACGACGGCGAGGCGGAGGACGATGAGGATGGCGATGGACGACGGCGTGTGAGTGAACCAGCGCGTAAGAGGCAGAATACCGGAAACTCTACGCAAGGTCCGTATCATCACCACTCTAGTACCTACCCGCCACTTGCTGTCAATCGAGCATCAATCACCCACAATAATACTCTGCGGCCGCCATATTCGCATACTTCTGGCGGACCATCGCGCGAGCATTCGACTAACATCTCACCGAAAATAGCACCCTCCAGCCTCTCGTCCTCAGTCCACTTCAGTGCTGGCCAGCCGAATGTGTTTGCTCATGGCGGCATGACCGAGTCGCCCAAACCCATCTCTCCAAATCAGGCAGAGCAGGGCCGGCTCGGTGCGCCCGAGGGCAGCATAGGGCCTCCCCGTTCGCCGAGCATGCCCCAACCGATGCACCAGAGCTATCCTCGCAGCACTGCTAGAGGTTCTTCGCCTATGGCCTTGGCACCTCCCCCAGGTGCAGGGCCACATCTACCATCGCTACCAGGATTGAGCCCCATGATCTCGAAACCGGGCTCTCAGGGCGGTAAGGGCAGCGGTCCGTCCATGCTACACCAGCAGATCTCGTCCCAACCCAGCAGCATGTCTAGCCACGGTCAAGGCAGCGTTGGCAGCATTCGCGAGGTTGTGGGCAATCAGAATATGGACGTCTGGGCTTATGTTCGTGAGCTGGAAGGTCGCATGGCCCGCATGCACGAGGAGCACGAAAACAAAATCACCGCTCAACAGGAAGAAATCAGTTCACTCCAGGCCCAACTTGCCCAGCAACACCAGGTTCCTCCCCCGTCTCAGCATCAGCATCAACCTCAGCCCCAGCCTCAGGGCCACTAGATGGATTAGGTTCAAAGCGGAACTGGTAGCCGGCGACTACATGTCACGAATTGAAGAACGATATTCCTATTCAAGAGCAAGCAATAAGACTGGAGTTTGGGTTGCGGAACACATCACTCTATGGCCAAAGCGGATGGAATCGGATTGGCTTGTCTCGTTAGGGGGTAGTCCAGCATATGGTTGCAACTATTCGGCGTTCTATGGACAAGGTCGGGAAGGCTCAACTGTCACCACTGGGGTTTCAACCAACTTGATCATTACTGCGACATACGATTGCGTTACACCTTTGGGCGGCCACCTGTGTGATTTTTCTACAAACGGCACGTTTCACTTTCTTACTTTACTTTCAACAGTTTGGAGTTTCCCATCATTTGCGTTAGATGATCATCGCAGAACATGCGGTGGGGCAACATGCCTCGAATACAGCGTGGCTCCAGACCATGCTGGAAAAGTTTCACTAGTCACCGTTTCACATCTTCAATTGTTTCCTCCCCTATTTTCTTTTTTTGGTGTTTCCTGTTAGGTGCAAACATCGGCCAATTTCCTAGTAAGCTTCTGGGTATGTTACACCCTTGTATATTATACTTCGACAATTTATTTCCTGCAAACGGATGGATCGGCAGGGTATGGGTCTTTTCAATTTTTCGGTATCTTCCTTTTACCTCGACTAGCTCTGGCGGCGATGATACCACGGAAGGACAAATGAGAACGAGCGAGATAGGCAGAGTTGCATAGTTTTGAATCGAGATACACCCACTTACACTTCTTTATGTGCTCAACTGAATGTGGTGTCTTAGCAAACTGGCTATTCCTAGTGATGTACATGGTTTTCTGCTGTTTTCAACACGTTGCTTCAATGCATGGTAGTTTCATCTTGGAGGGTCAAAGATGCGAAGCTTGGGTGAGGGTCGAAATGAACCAAGTCAATTGATACACATAGCATACCTACCTCGATATCCCAAAGACCATAGGGGAAGATTGTGTGTGCAATGGCGTAGCTTACGATGCACTGACAATATCTTTGCTGCCTAGTACGGGGGGTAGGTACAATGTATTTCATACCCAGTACTCTATATTAGTGAGGAAGTACTCCACACATTCATGATGTCTTGAGACAATTAACCGGCCATAGTAGAATATTTTCTAGATTCAACTGTTCACGGCCAATGCCTGATAGAACATACGTGAATCTACAAGGTAATGTGGCCAGCCCGACATGTCTACCCCCGTGCCTCTGCACTGGAATATACGGTCTACAACGAATTGATATACACATTACAACTACATTCGGGAGTCGGGACAACGTACCACTCGTATCAGTTATGTCATTGGCGGAAGCGCTTGTAGTATACGCCATTTGCCGTCCCGTGCACTCGCGTCTCTGGTCGGTGAAATCGTCCGAACCCCCCGACCTGATGAGAAATCAATGGATACCTTCGGTGCCTGGTCATGGACGGACGAAACAATCGGAGAGCATGATTCTGAGTTCTTATAACTCGAGATTCTTCATTTTTGATGCTCTACAACACTCACAATCACAATATATATCCTAAACAGGTAAGTACCTTCGACCCCGGACGTGCGATAGGAATTGTCCAATGACGAGGCGTGCACAGACAGCACGTAATTCAGACCCAAGATGACAATGACGACGGATTCGCGGAACCACATGTACGACGACGACCAACATTCCACCTCCACCTCCGCATTTTCCGCATCTGGCAACGTCAGCGTGCCCCAAACGTCCGCAAAAGATGATAAGACCTACGCTGGCGCGTTCCGCAGAGCATTCGCCAGTCTCCGCTTCTCCAGGAAGGAAAGCAGCAGCAGCAGTACTGCCAGCAAGCGGATCTTCGAACCGCTACCTCCACCGTCCCAATCACGCCTCGATGCCTCGCTGAGCGAGGAAGCAATCGACGTAGCCACTTTCAATCAAACTCTGCAAGATCAGGCCCCTCAGGAGAAGGAGAAGACGGTCCTTTACCTAGCCTACGGCTCGAATCTCTGCAATGAAACCTTCCGAGGCGTGCGAGGGATACGTCCTCTCTCGCAGGTCAACGTGGTCGTACCCTCCCTGAAATTGACCTTTGACCTTCCGGGAGTCCCATACATGGAGCCCTGTTTCGCAAACTGCATGCCACGGACGCCTCCGTCCGATTCCTCCCATAGCGAAGATGCCGACGACGGCAACGACGGCCAACATGAACATATCCCACCCTACCACAAAGACCGCTGGACAAAAGGCATGGTCGGCTGCGTCTACGAAGTCACCCTCCGGGACTTTGCAACCATAATCGCGACCGAAGGCGGCGGCTCCTCCTACCAAGACGTCCTCACCCTCTGCTACCCAATTCCCAGCGACAGCACCACCGTCCCCACCTCACCGCAGACCCAGCCCTTCAAAGCGCACACGCTCTTCTCGCCCCGAAAACCCATCTCCCGTCCCGATCCCGCGTACGCCCAAGCATCCGCCCGCTACCTCAACCTCCTCACCTCCGGCGCGCTCGAACTGCGCCTCCCGTCCGACTACCAAGCCTACCTCGAGCAGATCCGGCCCTACACCATCACCACCCTCCGCCAGAAAGTAGGCAAGGGCGTCTTCATCACCGTCTGGGCGCCGTTCCTGCTGTTCGTGTTACAACTGAACAAGGTGTTTCAGGATGAAAAGGGCAGGGCGCCGGCGTGGTTGACTTGGTTGAGCGGGGCGGTATTTGGGGCTATGTGGACGGCTTATGATGGAGGGTTTAAGGCGGTTTTCGGGGATGGAGAGAGGACGGAGGGGTTGGATGACGAAAACAAGAGCACGAGCAAGAGTGAGAGCGCATCGACGGGCGCAACGAGGAAGAGAAGGGCGAGTTTGGTGGGGAACACTGGGACTGGCAGAGACGAGGAGAAGGCGCTGTTGGGGAATGGACAAGACGAAGATGATACCGCGTGAGGATGATAATGATGATGACGATGACGATAGACCTACTTGGTTTATATATACACATAAACGTGCACGTACATAGCGATATATATCTCTCCAAATGTTTCGGTCCTATTCTCTTAGATGTAATAGACCGATTCCCAGCTCAGAAAGCCTTCGAACCCCGTGCCCTTCATCGCTATGTGAATACATCCAACGGACGACAACACCATGAAAGGAACCAATCTCAGTTCTTTCTATACGTGAGTATGGGGGACTTCAATGTTAGGTGAAGGTGTTGATGCATAAATTTGCAGATGTGAGGGTAGTAGCAATAGTGCATTGTCCTCCTATATCTATTTTCTATTTGGCTCTCTGTCAATCTGCCTGCTTGCCCAGTCCGAGGAGAGGAAGAAAATGAAGCAAAAAAAAAGGGATTACAGTCATTCACTCATACAATTTCATGTGCAAAAAAAACACAAAAAAAGATACCTCAGTCATCCGCTCTCGCTAAGCACAAAAGCAAAAAAAGAAACCAACTTGTTTTGCATCGGACGGGAATCGAACCCGTGCCAATTGCTAGATCACGTGATCACTGGTCAAGTGATCTCATGGAAGGCAATTATCCTACCACTGGACCACCGATGCTGGCTATTGGTTGTTTGATGAAAATTTCAGCAGTTGCAATAAATATATAGGGAAAAATTGAGTAAGAAAATTAGTTAAGAGGAGGGAATAAGTGAAATACGAGAGAAATTGATTGTACATGTGTGGGTACATATGGTCAAAGCGGTGGTCTTGCTTGGGTGAATTTGCGGGTTCAAGTGGGACGGGGGGACTACGCTACGCAGGTACCATCGATCTGGAAGATGAAGCAGAAGTTGATTACTTGTTTTTCTCATGGATGCAGTATTTTTCATGGGAGGGGAAGGGCTAATTCAATGCATGGACGAGGCATTTGATGTTGGCCTTTACGTTGCAGCTTCGAATTGGTTTTTTTTTCCTTCAAGATGTAAGGTCTTCACTGAACATACATGTATCTACGTGGATAAGTGCATCAACTCAAGTTTTCGTACAGTGCCAACTTGAGCAACGGAAATGGTCTAAGATTTTTCTGATTAAAAATCCTCAAAAGTTTATGTCACTGCGGTGGAGAAAGTTTACTGGCCTTTTGTACGTTGTATAGATTATGTTAATAGTACTACTTTGTAATCTTGCTAGGTATCTATCTATTAAAAAAATTGTATAAATACAATCAACACTTGAATAGCCTCACTGTTACCTTTCATCTTAATAATATGTCCCTAGCTATACATTCGAATCCATTGAAGAGGTGTTGACATAATCTCGGCGACTGATTGACACGAAACTGCGAGGCCACAAGTGGAAATGGAATATTCCATCTCATCACCTATTCGATTGGCAATCCTGGCGGATAAGACAATCATGACGATGGATGAATGAGAAGGTTAGGAAATACAACTTTCACGCAAATGACCTCACTCGACGCAAAATCATCTTCACCCTGTGGCCGACAAACTCAAACGATGACAGTGAACACAAGGGAGAACTTGGGTCAGCGCTTATGACGTAATATTCACTGCAGATGAACGTGAAGTCATCTTGTACCAAGGGATCATATCGATTGCTTCGAAAGTGAGCCATTCAAAATAGATGCTAAGGGTTGTAACTCGGCCAACTTATGGTGGATTCTCCATCCCCCACAATTATGATGTGAAACTGGATATACTCGTAGGATTATGTCTCACAGATATCAAGCACTTCAATGTAACGCGATTAGATGTTGTTTTGAAGCTTCATTACACGCCACCGTTAATCATCTATGTACCATCCGCCATGCATACACCTCTGAATTCCGCCCACTGATAGCGTTTGGCTACCCACCACCCTCAATCTATGTATGACGCAAAGAACGCCGACACGAGAGAAATGTTACCTCATAGGACTGTTGGAAAAAGAGGATAACATGATAGAAAAGAACAGTAGTCCCAACTCCAGAGCCATGATGCATGGAGAAACATTTCATCCTCCGATGTTGAGGTAATCGGTGCGGTTCCTGGTAGAGCTGCCGAATGACCGTTATGTACATGCCAGCGCGCCGGAAAGCGTGGCCAGGGCGCTCTGACTCGGCGCTGTGGGAGTAACATGGTGTATTGTTCACGAAGAGAAATGGGTATTGTCCATGCGTTATAGTCGCTACAATCTATGGCGGAGAAAAGGTGGTATCGATAGGTCTCTCACATAAAGTCATCACTTAATAGAACGTTAGCATATGAAAAGAAAATGATGGACAGTATACTCACTCTCCGAAGTCGTCGTCGTAGGCGGCAGTGTCTGCTTTGTGGGAGACATCTCGCGAAGCATTGAGGCTGACCTTGGTCTTTGCCGCCTTGGTCTTCTTGCCACCCTTCTCAGCAGCCTTCTCCTCCTTCATCTTCTCGTTGCTGAGCGTTGTCAGGCCACTCGCAATCTTCTTGATTTGGTCGCTAGGAAGTTCCTTGGAGATCTGCTTGGTGAACTCCTGGAGGAAGAGGGAGTATTGAGCCTTCTTAGCGTTGTTGGAGATGAGAGGAACCAGCACCTCGCGGAGCTTGGTGAACTGATCCTTCGTCTGAGGGTTGAAGATGGGGAGTGCGCTGAGGTCAACAGACTTGGTCGGGTCATTGGCATCGGAGATGGTGACAGGCTTGGATGATCCACGGTTGGGGTTGATTCCGATGGAGCCAAACATGTCTTCAGCGTGAGCAAGATCGGCGTCCTGCTCATTCTTCCTAAGGCGTGCACGGCGAGTAGCCTCGTCCTCCTCGTCCTCATCCGAAATATCGTCCTCTAGTTGCCTTCGGCGCATGTTCTCCTGTCTGCGCTCCTCGATGCGCTGGGCCTTCGACTTGTGGTTGGCTTTTGCCTCTGCTGCGGCCTTTGCCTTTGCCTCCTCGGCCTTCTTGGCCTTCTCGCGCTCGACTTCGGAGTCCTCGGCGGCGTCCCATGACTCTAGGACCTGTAACACTCATGTTAGTAACTGGCGATGGAGAATCTGGGGTGCAGCTTCGTTGTGCACACTGCACAAAGGTAAGCTGACGTACATCGTCGTCTTCCTCCTCGTCGTCAAATTTGCCGCGGCGTGCGATAGGTGCTGCGGGAGAGCCTTCACTGGAGCTCTCCTCCTCTTCATCATCTGGGTTGTCGCTGTTAGCGGAACATGTGCGGACATAGTGGGGTTCGCTATCGGTCGATTGCGCACAGAGCGAGGGGGGCATTATGACGTACCCCACTTGGAAGGGGCCATATTCACGGTTTTTGAGTGGAGGTGCCGAGAGTCGAAAGAAGAGTCGATCGTTGGGTGTAGTCGTGGAGATGTCGAGGACTGCGTGGAGTTTCGCCGAAAATTTTTGTTGCCTATGGAGGGGAAGTTTTGTGGGTGAAAGGAAACAAGTAATAGGAAGAGTCGAAAAATTACGGAACGGAGGGACACGGCGTGCGGGCGCGTTCGTTGGCGGCGGCGGCCACCAATACCACCACGACTACGCCGACCATTATTGATTGCAACCAACCCAGCCAACCCAGCTAACTATCTTGTTTTTCCAGTACGGACGGGTAATAATAGTATGTTCGATGTCCAATATCAGGCTAGTTGACGGCCTTCTTACCCCTCGGTATGCGTACTTGAAAACATCCTAAGTGCTATTCCCAGCCAACCAGCTCTGTTCTGACCCTGCTCGGTCTCGTTGCTGCCCAATCACTACGGATTGGCCGTCTTTACAGAGAAATACATATTGAGTTCAGGATATCTCCGAGCATGATTTTACATCCATTTGAATATCACATGAGACGCGGAACTCAGTCTCTAGCTTGCAAAGAAATCTCACCAGTAGTCCCAGCCCAGGAGATTGGTGATTTCAACTTCATGCTCACTTGATATCACGAGCAATGAAATCAAATACACACATATATATTCACAGCCCACGACGTGGCCAGACCATTGCCCATGAAGGCTATTAGACGAATAACTATCTTACTTTCTCACAGGTCTTACCATCACAATGATGCAGGTACGAAAAAGGACACATATTATTTGAATTCTCACGACCTGGAAGGCGTTCAACGGTTCGATAGTATGGTGTACAAGCCTCTGGAGGCTGCATGCACCTCGATTGGTTTCCATTCCTGCTTGTGATGTGATTGAACATGTCCATGAGACCGAAGAATAAATATGTTATAATATAAGATTCTAAAACCTTGCGTTAGATACTGTAATGTTGTATTGTCTGTTCGCCCTAGTATTTGAATGCACTTCATTGAAAGGAGAAGACCCTTTAGGAGTAGTGCATACATGCTACGCGATGAGTGTAGTAGTCTCCATGATATCTTGCAAAGCAAACCCCACTTTGTTAGCACAGAAAATCGAGGTTTGGAGGTATGTAGAACATGTACTTTCATTGCACTTTGTTTGAAAATCCACAAGTGAGTGTAGTAATTACCTAGTCGAGTTCTTGGAACCTTTTAGTTTCCCCTGAGCTGGCTGCACGCTTACGTAGGAAACTAAGGAGGTTCCTCAAAGGAGGTTCGCACCTGACAACGAGAGCTCGTAGTACTGTGTAATGATGGCATTCAACACAAGCAAGTGCAGAAGCAGCAAACATACACAATAATAGAATAGAGACACAAAGAGACTACGAACGGCTTCTAGACGTTTGAGGTTATGATTGACGTTTGGACCCCTGCTCGCCAAGACAAAGTCACGTGGGCAAACGGGCAGGCGTAGTTTCCACGTAGAGCCCCCGGCCAGCTTGAGCTCTCCTTTCGAACATCATCACATACTCCCTCATCACAACCTCACCATCTCCTCCCACACTCTCTTATTTCCTCTTGCGCGCTTTCTGGCGTTTTGCATCCGGGTCTAATTCTGCCTTCTCTTTCTCCGATACCCTTTTAGTTGCCCGCGCTCCCACCCATCCGGTGAGCTCGGAGCTGCCTTGTCGCAAACATGGCTCAGCGACAGATTCCATTGCAGGTTACCCAGCCGGTCCTGGTAAGTTTTCCATCGAACATGCGTGTAATTTGTCTATATACTAACTTGTGTCCAACTTAGTTGACCAACCTGAACGTCCTCGTATGTTGACAACTCCGAAACCTCCGGCCAGCCCTGAACACGCCTAACTCAGCTAACCACAATCACAGCCGGCATCGATATCATGGCAAAACTGTGTAAGTGCATCCGTTGGCACTGGTGCTTGAAAGTGGAATTAACGTCGCGCGTAGACCCTCGAGTCCGATCACTACGTCTGTGTTCGCCAACAGGGCAATGAAGGTTCACCTGCCGAGACGGTCATTCTTGACCTCAAGAATACCAACAACATCATCCGCCGTCCAATTCGAGCAGACAGTGCTATCATGCACTTGACGGAGCCAATCATTGCGCTCAAGGCACAACAACGGACGTTGCAGTTGTTCAATCTTCAGACCAAGGAGCGCCTGCAGACCTACACACACTCCGAGGACGTCGTGTTCTGGCGGTGGATCAGTCAAACTACCCTTGCTCTCGTGACTGCCAGAAGTGTCTATCATTGGGATGTTCTCGGCGCGAAATCAAACCCTACCAAGGTGTTTGACCGTCAGGAGAATATGGAGGTTAGTAATACCGGCAGCGGTGGTCATTACAGTTTAGGTTAACAGCTTCACAGAGCAGCCAAATCATCAACTATGTTGTCAATGACGATGAGAGCTGGGCTTGTTTGGTCGGCATTGCTGCCAACCCTGGCGGCGGCATCAAGGGCAACTTGCAGCTGTTTTCCAAGGCTAGGAACGTGAGCCAGCCCCTCGAGGGTCACGCAGCGACATTCGGCACGATCCGTCTGGAGGGAGCCAGCACAGATACTAAGCTCTTTGCTTTCGCTGTGCGAAATACTGCTGGAGAGGCCAAGCTGAACATCGTAGAAGTCGACCACAACCCGTCTAACCCTGCGTTCCCGAAGCGTCTGATTCCGGTGCACTGGCCTGCTGAAGGTAACGGAGACTTCCCTCTCGGCATCCACATTGCCCACAAATACAGCCTTATCTTCGTCATCACCAAGTTCGGTTTCATCCACCTCCACGATCTCGAGACTGGTACTGCACTGTTCCTGAACAGGATATCCGAGGAGACTGTTTTCACAACTGCACGCGATGAGGATGGTCGTGGCGTCGTGATCATCAACAAGAAGGGCCAGATCCTCCACACAACTATCAAGGAGGACGTTCTGATCCCCTACGTTATGGACAACCCAGCCTGCGCCGAGATTGCCTACAAGCTTGCTTCAAAGGGTGGCCTTCCAGGAGCTGATCAGCTGTATCAACAGCGTTTCGAGGGTTTGATGCAGCAGGGCAACTACTCTGAGGCTGCAAAGGTCGCCGCAAACTCCCCCCGCGGATTCCTGCGAACCGGCCAGACCATGGCCAGACTGCGACAAGCTCCCAACCAGCAAGGCCAGATTACCGTTCTTCTCCAATACTTTGGACAGTTGCTTGACAAGGGTGCCTTGAACAAGGAGGAAACTTTGGAGTTGGCTCGCCCAGTCTTCGGTCAGGGACGTAAACACCTGATTGAGAAGTGGCACAAGGAGGGCAAGCTTTTCTGCTCCGAGGAGCTTGGAGATATCGCAAAGGCCCACGATCTAAACCTTGCTCTCGCCATTTACAAAGACGCAAACGTTCCACAAAAGACTGTTGCTGCTCTTGCCGAATTGGGTCACTTCGATCTCATTCTGCAATATGCCGAATCTGTAGGATACCGACCTGACTACAACGTACTCCTTCAGCATAGTAAGTCTCGCAACCAACCTTTCATTATGGCTTCTATATTCTAACAATTATTACTTCAGTTTTGCGCGTTTCGCCCGACAAGGGAGCTGAATTCGCTTCAACGCTCGCAAAGCATGAAGGGGGACCTCTAATCAGCATCGACCGGGTTGTAGACATCTTCCAGTCTCAGGGCATGATCCAGCAAGCTACCGCCTTCCTGCTTGACGTACTCTCGAACAACCTTCCCGAGGAGGGCCCGCTCCAAACCAAGCTTCTCGAGATGAACTTGTTGAACGCTCCTCAAGTCGCAGACGCTATCCTTGGAAACGAGATGTTCTCTCACTACGACAAGGCTCGCATTGCCCAGTTGTGCGAGAACGCTGGCCTGCTGACCCGCGCTCTCGAGCACAATGAAGACCCTGCAGCCATCAAGCGCATCATTATCCAGACCGACAAGATCCCAGAAGACTGGCTCATCAATTACTTTGGTCAATTAACTGTCGAGCTCTCACTCGAGTCGCTTGACGCTATGTTGGCATCCAACATCCGCCAGAACCTGCAGTCTGTCATCCGAATCGCACAGAAATACTCCGATCTTCTCGGAGCCAACAAGATCATTGAGTTGCTCGAGAAGTACCGCACCGCCGAGGGTCTCTACTACTTCCTAGGAGGAATCGTTAACGTCAGCGAGGACGAAGATGTTGTCTTCAAGTACATTGAGGCGGCTACGCGTGTTGGACAGCTGAACGAAGTCGAGCGTGTTTGCAGGGAGAACAGTGAGTTATAGTAACCTTGATCTATTTTGGCCTGGACCCACTAACCCCCCTAGACCATATCAACGGCGAGAAGGTAAAGAACTTCTTGAAGGAGGCCAACCTCAGCGAACAGCTCCCTCTCATCATTATTTGCGACCGATTCAACTTCGTCCATGACCTGGTCCTCTACCTCTACAAGAACCAGCACTTCAAGTCCATTGAAGTCTACGTACAGCGTATCAACCCAGCACGCACACCCGCCGTTGTTGGTGGTCTTCTAGACGTGGACTGTGATGAGGGCATCATCAAGGGATTGCTGTCTTCCGTCACACCGTCCTCTATCCCTATTGACGAGCTTGTCTCCGAGGTCGAGTCCCGCAACCGTCTCAAGATGCTCCTTCCATTCCTTGAGCAGACGCTCCAAGCAGGCAACCAGGAACAGGCCGTTTACAACGCTTTGGCCAAGATCTACATTGACTCCAACAATCAGCCCGAGAATTTCTTGAAGAACAACGATCTATACGATACGCTTGTTGTCGGTAAATACTGCGAGAAGCGCGACCCCAACCTAGCATACATTGCGTACCGCAAGGGACAGAATGATTTGGAGTTGATCAACATCACCAACGAGAATTCCATGTTCAAGGCCCAAGCCCGCTATCTCCTCGAGCGCGCCGATTCGGAGGTTTGGGAGTACGTTCTCAGCCCTAACAACATGTACCGACGATCTTTGGTCGACCAAGTCACGTCGACTGCAGTGCCGGAGTCCTCTGATCCTGACAAGGTCTCCGTCGCTGTCAAGGCCTTCATCACCGGAGACATGCCCGTTGAGCTTATTGATTTGCTGGAGAAGATCATCTTGGAGCCGTCTGGTTTCAGTGACAACTCATCTCTTCAGAACTTGCTCATGCTCACTGCAGCCAAATCTGACCGCGGCCGTATGATGGGCTACATTCATCAATTGGAAAACTACACCCCTGAAGACATCGCGCAACAGTGTATCGAAGTTGGCATGTACGAGGAAGCCTTTGAGATCTACAAGAAGCACGAAAGCCATGTTGACGCTATCAATGTCCTCATCGACCACATTGTCAGCATCGACCGTGCCCAAGAATATGCCGACCGTGTCGATACACCCGAAGTCTGGAGCAAGGTTGCAAAGGCTCAGTTGGACGGTCTTCGCGTGACCGACTCCATCGAATCCTATATTCGCGCTCAAGACCCATCGAACTTTTTGGAGGTCATTGAGGTTGCCACCCATGCTGGCAAGGATGAGGATCTCATCAAGTTCTTGAGAATGGCCCGCAAGACTCTCCGTGAAGTCCCCGTTGACACCGCACTTGCCTTCTGCTACGCTCGGACAAACCAGCTCCCTGAGCTTGAGGACTTTTTGCGAGCCGCTAACGTTGCCGACATCGAAGCATCCGGTGACAAGGCCTACGAAGAGGGTTACCATGAGGCTGCCAAGATCTTTTACACCAGCATTTCCAACTGGGCCAAGTTGGCAACCACCCTTGTCCACCTTGAAGACTACCAGGCTGCCGTGGATTGCGCCCGCAAGGCCAACAGCGTCAAGGTGTGGAAGCAAGTTAACGAGGCCTGCGTGGCCAAGAAGGAGTTCCGCCTCGCTCAGATCTGTGGTCTCAACTTGATTGTCCATGCTGAGGAGCTCTCCGATCTTGTCAGGCAATACGAGCGCAATGGTTACTTCGATGAGCTTATCAGTGTGCTCGAGGCTGGTCTTGGTCTCGAGAGGGCTCATTCGGCTATGTTTACAGCCCTGGGTGAAGCTCTTACGAAGTATTATCCCGAGCGCGTTATGGAGCACCTCCGTTTGTTCTGGTCTCGACTCCAGATCCCAAAGATGATCCGAGCCACCGAGGAAGCTCACTTGTGGCCTGAGGTCATCTTCTTGTATGTCCACTACGATGAGTGGGACAATGCCGCTCTTGCCATGATGGAGCGTGCAGCAGATGCTTGGGAGCACCAATCTTTTAAGGATACCGTGATCAAGGTTACCAACTTGGAGATCTACTACCGTGCATTGGGATTCTACCTTGAGGAGCACCCGACTCTTTTGACCGACCTTCTCCAGGCCCTCACCCCCAGGATCGATGTCAACCGTGTCGTTCGCATGTTCCTCAAGTCCGACAACATTCCGTTGATCAAGCCATTCCTCCTCAACGTCCAATCCCAGAACAAGCGCGAGGTGAACAACGCTCTCAACGATCTCCTTATCGAAGAAGAGGATTATAAGACTCTCCGCGATTCGGTCCAGAGCTATGACAACTACGACCCTGTCGACCTTGCCCAGCGTCTCGAACGCCATGACCTTGTTTTCTTCCGCCAAATTGCCGCCAACATCTACCGCAAGAACAAGCGCTGGGAGAAGTCTATCGCTTTGTCAAAACAAGACAAGCTTTTCAAAGACGCCATCGAGACCGCCGCTCTCTCTGGAAAGTCAGAGATCGTCGAGGATTTGCTCCGCTACGTAAGTATACAGTATTCGAATTCAGATTTCCACTTGCTGACAAGTTTACCAGTTCGTCGACATTGGCAGCCGCGAGTGCTACGTCGGCATGCTGTATGCCTGCTACGACCTCATCGCCCCACATGTCGTTCTGGAGGTTTCATGGCGCAATGGTCTCCATGACTTTACTATGGTATGTTTTTAGTCTTACATTCTTGGATTTTACAGTTCTAACATAATGCAGCCATACATGATCAACTTCCTTGCTCAACAAGCTGCCACCATTGAGACGCTCAAGAAAGATAATGAAGAGCGCAAGGCCCGCGAGGCTTCTCAGCAGAAGAAAGAGGACGACACGCCGATCCTTGGATCACGCCTCATGCTGACGCAGGGTCCTATGAACTCAGCACCCTCGCCAGGACCTTACAACCAGGCCAACGGCATCGCTCCGCAGCCGACTGGCTCCTGGGGCTTCTAGGGGCGCGCACTCTGAGCATGATTAGTACGATCTTTCTTTATAGGCAGACCATGGCACATTCCTATTCATTTACATAAAGTGCGAATAAATTTTGTGGTATTTGCAAAAGAGGGAGAGACGGATTGATAGTTGGGGGATTTTGCATCTCTGGTTTAGCGGGTTTCGATATCAAGAATCGAAAGGCCGAGCCGAGCAGGGTGTATTCTACACGGCGTTCAGGATGACTTTGATGTTTGGTGTCATGATCTCCTCCCATGCGCCAAGCGGTTCCCGACCCTTTGTATTCTAGCTAATATATTCGACGTGGGTGGCAGCCGATCAGTTTTAATTTTCAAGTACAATGTTGGTTCGAGTGATGATATTTGCAAGAGAAAGGGATTCTTGCTGGCAATTGATGTTGCACATTTCCTTTTCGCGAAAGCTCGCATTGCCAGTCTTGCGCGTTCCTGTATGGAATTCAGTCTAGTGCGATAGTCATGCCCATGCTCCTCGTGAAGCAATACCCCGAGAGCAACACGATCACCGCCAAGGCCCATGATTCGCCGAATCCTGCCCTCTCTACAATCTCTAGTGGCACAACGAGCGTAACTTTACCTCCCCAATGGAATCCAAAGCCAAACATCGCACTCAGGAAGAAAGCAGCCGCCCGTTCGCCGCCGCCGCCCGCGCGTGCATGTTGCAACGAATACCGAGACGTGAGACCCGAGACGTGAGACCAGGATTTTGTGGGGACCACATTCTGTCGTGTTGGGGATGTGCGTGCATCTAGATCTTCCCTTACCAACCTTTGCAGATCATGTCATGCTTAGCTACTACCCAGGAGCCCATCGCCTCGTCCACCATTCCGTCATGTGGAGTGGGGCAGGCGAGGAGGCGGTTTAGAGTTGTTTTACCACCAGTTATCGTTTAGAGTTGGTGGATAGATATCAATTTTCTCCGAAGGGGAATTACTTGGGTGTGTGTTTTGGCCAAGAGAAGTCAAGAAAGATAAGATGTAGGTAAGTCAAGTAGCTTTCTCACTTAAAGGTCAATGCCTTTTGTGGATCTTTATTGTTTCGCGATGGAGTTGAGGCTCTTCGATGGGACTCGAGGCGCGGCTTTGCCAAGAGTGATCCACGGTTTCATGGGGTTGGTTATGGTTTGTGCGTTATCAGGATTAACATATGTCGATGAACTTTATTGATTCGGAGGCTTAGTTGGGTCTTGTCAATTCTGGACGAGGTCTGTGATATTGGAATTTTCCTTGGCTGAGGATGGAATAAAACAATAATCAAGGGATATGTTTTTTTGTGTGAGTATGTTTCGTGCAGCAATACATGACTTTACTTGGCCAGCATGGTGCATGGTGTATGATCGACGCGAGTACCTCGTTGCCGCTAGTCATGTCATTAGCAAGGCATGCATGGATTGAATTGTGCATTCACGATCCTGGAGTAAATAATCCATCTGTTTGTTGTTCCAGGCATTGGACGACGGGTCAATGGATGTATGCACATGTGGATTCTGTGCTTTCTTTTTGCTTCTTTTACTTTTACTTTTTGCATATGCGTGTTCGAAGGATGATGGATGGAGGAGGAGGAGGAGGAAGATGGGAGATTGTTTTTTTGATGGGATGACATGGCATGATATGGCATGAGGGAAAAGAACAGCCACCGGTCGATGCCGCAGTATTGTACATACCCACTTGTCTAGCAGCATCCAGCCTCCATTCGAATCGAAACAAAACCAATGAAAAAAAATACTCAAGAAGAGGCAATAATGAAAATGTACAGAAGCAGAACTCAAGAATATCATCTCGATCAATCTAGCTTACGGTCCAACCCGAACAACCACGACCTCCCTCGGGCGCTTCGGAACCCTTTACCCCATACTTTCTCTTCCCCTTCCCATCCACATGTCTTTCTTCCCCATGTCCGAAAGAGGTTCTCAAGGAAGGAACTAGGATTTGCTGTGCAGTGCATATGCAGGTTAGGGCGTGTATGGCGCCAGGAACTCTTCCCCCCTTTCTCCCGAGTTATCTTCGTGGTTTTGCTCGTTTGCGTGCGTGATATATAGATTCTTGTTTGTCTAGACCGTGTTTACGTGCCCGTGTGTGCCGGGACCGAATTCACGCACCTGTGTATACTGTTTTGGGAGAGGGATTGAGGTGCAATGTGGGTTAGTCTGCAGGAAGGGGAAAGGGGAGGGGAGTAAGCCGGGGATGGGCTTGGGTGGATTCTGGGGAGGGCAATTGAGAGAAGGTTTTAGAGATGCAAAGTAGAGGGAGAGTTTGAATTGAACATGAGAGGTTGGAGATGCATGGAATGACTTTCCGTATAGGGAGTTGTTGTTTGTAACTCTTTTTAGGAGTCGGCGATTGGTAGGCTTGGTAGGCGTCGGCTTGTCGAGATTCGACTCGACGTTAGCAGACGCCGAACATCCATAGTCAATTGCACAGTATTATTTTTGCTATCATATTTACTGCTGTTGTTTACCTAGGGAACTATCAGAAAGAAAAAGAGAAACAAATGAGATCATCATCAACGGCATCCCGTCCCGAACCTCTCTCTCACTGCTTCGGCTTACGGAAACGAAAAGCGAACGACACTTCCCATACGCCAAAGGAAGCCCGCCCGTAGATCTATGCATCATTACCATATCAACCCCGATCTGGAACGGGTCTTATTCTTTTTTCGAACCATTCATTACTTGCAAAATAGTTTACATTTCTGTGCATCCACGATTCGCAATCCGCATCCGCACCCGCATCGTCGGCGTAAGAAACAAAAGTCTGGGGGGCATAAGATTAGGACAAAAGCATGGAAAAGTACAGGAAAAGCGTGCTAAGATTGGAGGAACGGCATGCCATTGAACGGTTTCCCGACGCAACCCAAACCCCCTAAGACCGAAGCCAACCGCCAGAATGCGCAATCTTTTTCTTACTGTATGTATGTGTTACTCTGCCCCCCGGACGTTTTCGCGAGTTCAAACCCTATGGAGGATAGGAAAGTAAGGGCAATTCGGATTTCGCGATCGTTATGGGGAAATTATGTCTTACGTTGGGCTAGATCTTGGGGATTATGAGTTGATTGGTTGTGATGTAACTATTTTACTTTTTTGCGAATTCAGGGCGAGTTACCTCCTAAATTTTCCCGGTGGTGATGGTGGTGGTGGTGGGCAACTTCAACCAAGCCGACCGACCGGCTGGCCGGTTGATGTTGCGATTTGTTTGCTATTGTTCCAACCGAGTGCGCCGAGGTAATTGATTGGCCTTGTCAGAATCGAGGGAAAAAAAGAAAAGGTGCAGTCATTTCCAAGCGGGTTTGTTTTTTTTGTTGTTCACGGTACATGCGGAAAATAGCAGGCTGATGATATGATATGGATGCATGGAAGCAAGGAAAGGATTCGATTGAACGGGCCAATAATGCCTCACGTTGCGTTTACGGCTTTCCTCCCCTCTGTATCTGCCAATCGTTTTAGATGGGTGGGATCTATTCTTTTGGGAAGATGTTCGTTTTCAGATGGAACTAGAATAGATTACCCACTAGGGTGGTGAGTAAGTGGGATTGCGAGAGAGCGATTATCGGTGGTATCAATTTTTTCTCAAGAGAAAAGAAATGGTTATGGATGGATGGGGATGGGGTTGGGGAGAAAAGAAAAATTTTCCGGCCTCTCGAGTCACAACATTAACAAATTGGTATTATGGATGAGAATCTGGAGATGGAGAAATAAACGTCGACCGGCCGGATTGATGTGCGTGATGGATGGCCGGGCGTGGGGTGGGGAATGAGGTAGAGAGCGCGGGCTGGGCTATAGACGGGTCGGAGGTGTATGTGTGTACATGCACATGATTCTACTTCTTCTTTCCTTCCTTCTAGCTACTGTAATTTACAATTGAAGGTCTAGGTCTAGGTCTCGATGTTGTTGTAATCCGTCCGTTGTCTCCTGTGTCTGCCTCATTCCCTAATAATGATGAATGGGGTTTTATCGTCGTCGATCTTGCAGAATGACTCTCATCGTGCGCGGATGGGCGGCGGGCGGCGGCGACGGCGGCGACGGCGGCATCGGACAATGATGGTGTAGCAATAGTATGGGTTGGCAATATCTCTTACGGTGTTTTGTGTTGTCTTACAGATCAGATCTGATCTACTCTGCATTTGGTGGATGCGTGTGTGCACGTGTGTGTCTTTGATGAGACTGTGCGGTGTGATAGATGCATACGCATACGCGTAGGTAGGTAGGTTGGAGGTTAGCATGGGGGTCGGGACAGGACTCAGGAGAGTAAGGCTCAAGAGCTCATCGTGTTTCCGGCAGCGCGGGGAGTGGAGGAGTGTCAGTTTGTTCAGTCAATGTGCGTTTGATCTGATGCTCTGCGGAGTGGAAAAGTGTCAGAGAGGAGATGCACCATGGCCGTTGTTGTTATAAAGTTTTATGAAACAGTTTGGCAATAGGCTTGGCCTGGTGGGCGAGTACTTGGAATGGACTGAATTGATATCGGAGATGGGTCAATGCTATTATTGATTCTTTTTATTCCTATGAACATGATGATGATGATTATGATTATGACCATGATTATGCCATGGTATGCTATGATGTAGGTCAGGAAAGGAGCCACAGTTCTCTCACGAACAAGGGGAAGCTCTGGCCTGTATATGCTCCCGGCTTCAGCTGTCTCTCTCTGTTCTCCATAGTTGTCTATCTCCGCCAATGCTCATCGAGTGAAAAGAGCCCCTCCACCAGATAGCTCGTCATTGCTTATGGCGGCGGGATAGCGGGGATACTTGCACATTTGCTTTTTCTCCTGTCGGTGGTTGGCATGATGTGCGTGTTTCGGAGGACGATGGATGGATTCTGGATAGTCGGACGGACATTATTGCATTGCATAGTATAGTATAGTGGCCATATCTTTTTTCTGCTCAATCTCATCAGTCAGTCATGTAAATTACAAGGCCCTGACCAGATATGGAAGAAATGGGCGCCCTAATTGTTAGACTTGAATGATCACGGGTCTCCGTAGCTCCAGGACCTGGTCCCTTTCGTCACATCACCAACCCACCATTACAGGCACAGCTAACCATCACCACCATGTGCACCATCATCAACCTCCCCCCCTCCTCAATCGTTTTGGACGGCATACCGAGCCGCTACTGCTTGATCCACTGATCCATGATCCACTATAACCGATCCACACCATCTGTCTCCAATTGCTCCTTGCTCAGGCAGTTATTGTCGCTGGCGTTTTGGTTGGTGGTGATGGAGGTGGTGTCGTTGCCCCGGTTAGTTGTCCGAACTTGGGGAGCTCCCCCTCCGTTTCGTTTCTACCTCGTAGCCTAAGAGTAAGAGTAAAAAATAAAAAAAGTAGGAGTAAGGATAGTGATAGTAAGAGTAATACCAAGCTTGTCCAGTCCTGGGTCTGTATCCTTAGCACGCGTTTGCTGTGATCATCGGCGTCGGCGGAGACTGACACACCAAACCAACCAACCTACCAACCTACTCTACCACTCTACCTACGTGCCTGCCTCTCTCCCTCTACTATTTATTTCTCTATCTATAAACCCTCCCATTCACCACCAACCTTCCTTCTCCCTCGGTCCTTTCTCTTTCCCTCCCTCAACTGCTCAACACAATCAATCCCTCCCTCTCTACCTGAGTACTTAAGAGTTACCTCTTATCTACTTGTACTCCCCCCCCTCCCCCACTTCTACTTCCTCCCTCTCTGACTCTCTGGAGCTTCCTCTACCCCTCCACTTACTACTTCCTTACTTACTCTCACTCCCTCACCTATTTCTATTCTCGTAGAACTCTACAAATTTCCAGAGGCTGTCCAGCATGGCTGACCTCGCAGTCGACAAGAACGCCGCTTCGGCCATTGACGACAATGACTTTGATGATGAGCATGGCGAGCACCACCCCCACCGAAACTCGGTTCACCACAGGCTGCGAGCCAGCAGCTCCATCATGCAGCTCAAGAAGCTCCTAGGTGCGCACGCATTGGCTCCAATTGGGAGCTCCTAACTTCTGTGCAGCTTCCCTCTGACAATTGACCTTTAGTCGCCAACCGCGGAGAGATCCCAATCCGTATCTTCCGAACAGCCCACGAGCTGTCCCTCCACACAGTCGCCGTCTACAGTCATGAGGATCGACTCAGCATGCACAGACAGAAGGCTGACGAGGCCTACGAAATCGGCCAACGCGGACAGTACACGCCCGTCGGAGCCTACTTGGCCGGCGACGAGATCATCAAAATTGCCCTCCAGCACAATGTCAACATGATCCATCCGGGTTACGGATTTCTTTCCGAGAACGCTGAGTTCGCTCGTAACGTAGAAAAGGCTGGCCTTATCGTGAGTAGTACTCTTTCTTTTTATTCTAATTGCTATCTTCTGAGCGAGCGTAATCCCCGCCTCCCTCCCCTCCCTTTGTTTACCCTATGACGGAATTCCCCAACGGGCTGTGGATGGGGGCCTGTAATTCCTGCGCGTGGGTACCGAGGACACATGCCAATTGCAATTGTTGAGCAAGCGTTATCGGTTGGCCGGAGATGGTGCGCGGGGCACCAACAATGTGCACACACCCGAACCATTACGCCAATCTGCATGCGCTCCCGCCTGTAGCAAGCTCCGAGTCGACTTACGAGTACTTTATTGTACACCGTAATAATCACTCTGATGGCAATGGTCATGTACTCGGCTCTTTTGCTGCCCATGTCCATGGCTGGCTCGGGCCATTGCAGATCTCCCACGCCTAATCCCCAGTAACCAACACCCCAAGAAGCATAATCATCGTCATCCCACCCCACCTTGTTTATTTTTCCTTTTGGCTGTACGACGCAACACAGTCTTGACACTGAGCTTACTCCAATGCCAATGTAGTTCATCGGACCCTCTCCAGATACCATTGACGCTCTCGGCGACAAGGTTTCCGCCCGAAGGCTTGCAATCAAGTGCAATGTCCCCGTCGTTCCGGGTACCGAAGACCCCGTGGAGAAATACGAGGACGTTAAGGCTTTCACTGACGAGTATGGCTTCCCCATCATCATCAAGGCTGCCTTCGGAGGAGGTGGCCGCGGTATGCGAGTCGTCCGCGAGCAGTCAAGCTTGAAGGAGTCCTTCGAGCGTGCTACCTCCGAGGCTAAGTCGGCTTTCGGTAACGGCACTGTCTTCGTCGAGCGCTTCTTGGACCGCCCCAAGCATATTGAGGTCCAGCTTTTGGGTGACAACCAGGGCAACGTCGTCCACCTCTACGAGCGTGACTGCAGTGTCCAGCGTCGTCACCAGAAGGTCGTTGAGCAGGCCCCTGCTAAGGATCTTCCCGTCGAGACTCGTGATGCTATTCTCGAATCTGCTGTCAGGCTCGCCAAGTCGGTCAAATACCGCAACGCCGGTACTGCTGAGTTCTTGGTAGATCAACAGAACGTAAGTATTTCGCCGAACTGTCACGAGTACTTTTAAACTAATTAAAAATGCATAGCGCTTCTACTTTATCGAGATTAACCCCAGAATGTAAGTGTTTGTGTCTGGCTCTCCCTATGATTGTTTCTAACAGATCTGCAGTCAAGTCGAGCATACCATCACAGAAGAGATTACCGGCATTGATATCGTAGCTGCCCAAATCCAAATTGCTGCAGGAGCTACTCTCGAGCAGCTTGGCTTGACCCAGGATCACATCTCTATCCGAGGCTTCGCCTTCCAGTGCCGTATCACTACTGAAGATCCCGCCAGTGGCTTTGCCCCTGATACGGGTAAGATTGAGGTCTACCGTTCCGCTGGCGGTAACGGCGTGCGTCTCGATGGTGGTAATGGATTCGCCGGTGCTATCATCACCCGTAAGTTTTTTACTCCTTTCAATACAGCCAACTGCTGACAATTCCCAAAGCCCATTACGATTCTATGCTTGTCAAGTGCTCTTGCAATGGTTCAACATATGAGATCGTCCGCCGAAAGATGCTTCGTGCACTTGTCGAGTTCCGTATCCGCGGTGTCAAGACCAACATTCCTTTCTTGCTCAAGCTCCTGACTCACCCGACCTTCATTGAGGGCAAGTGCTGGACTACTTTCATTGACGACACTCCCGAGCTTTTCGCTCTTATTGGATCCCAGAATCGTGCACAGAAGCTCCTCGCATATCTTGGTGATCTCGCCGTTAACGGCAGCCAAATCAAGGGACAGATCGGAGAGCCCAAGTTCAAGGGACCCATCGTCGTTCCCAAGCTTCACAGCGCTGCTGGACAGGCTATTGACGTTTCTGAGCCTTGCCAGAAGGGATGGCGCAATGTTCTCCTCAAGGAGGGCCCTGAGGGTTTCGCCAAGGCCGTTCGTGCCAACAAGGGCTGCCTCATCATGGACACTACATGGCGTGATGCCCATCAGTCTCTCCTTGCCACCCGTGTAAGGACTGTCGACTTGCTCGGTATTGCAAAGGAGACCAGTCACGCTTTCTCCAACGCCTGGGCTCTTGAGTGCTGGGGTGGTGCCACATTCGATGTCGCCATGCGTTTCCTCTACGAGGACCCCTGGGACAGGCTCCGTAAGATGAGGAAGCTTGTGCCTAACATTCCTTTCCAGATGTTGCTCCGTGGAGCCAACGGTGTTGCATATTCATCTCTTCCCGACAACGCCATTGAGCACTTCTGTGAGCAGGCCAAGAAGAACGGTGTTGATATCTTCCGTGTCTTCGATGCTCTCAACGATGTTGAGCAGCTCGAGGTTGGCATCAAGGCTGTTATCAAGGCTGGAGGTGTTGCTGAGGGAACTGTGTGCTACAGTGGCGACAGTAAGTCTTCTGGACAATGTTTGATATAATTCTTGTTTACTAACCCGAACAGTGTTGAACCCCAAGAAGAAGTACAACCTCGAGTACTACCTTGGCGTAGTCGACAAGATCGTCTCCATGGGTGCCCACATCCTCGGCATCAAGGACATGGCCGGTGTCTTGAAGCCTAAGGCTGCCACTCTCCTTGTCGGTGCCATTCGCAAGAAGTACCCCGACCTTCCGATCCACGTCCACACTCACGACTCTGCTGGAACTGGTGTTGCCTCCATGGTTGCCTGCGCCCAGGCTGGTGCCGATGCTGTCGATGCTGCTATTGACAGCATGTCTGGTATGACCTCCCAGCCCAGCGTGGGTGCTATCCTTGCCTCTCTCGAGGGTACCGACTTTGAGACTGGCCTCGATGCTCATGCCATCCGTCACTTGGATGCCTACTGGGCTCAGCTCCGCCTGCTCTACTCTCCCTTCGAGGCTGGTCTTACTGGCCCCGATCCTGAAGTCTACGAGCACGAGATCCCCGGTGGTCAGCTTACCAATCTCATCTTCCAGGCCTCTCAGCAGGGTCTTGGTGAGCAGTGGGCTCAGACCAAGAAGGCATACGAGCATGCCAATGATCTTTTGGGCGACATTGTCAAGGTTACTCCTACCTCCAAGGTTGTCGGTGACTTGGCCCAATTCATGGTTTCCAACAACCTCTCTTACGACGATGTGATCCAGAAGGCTGAACAGCTCGACTTCCCCTCCTCGGTTCTCGAGTTCTTTGAGGGTTTGATGGGCCAGCCTTACGGCGGATTCCCCGAGCCTCTCCGTAGCAAGGCCCTCCGTGAGCGCAGGAAGATGGACAAGCGTCCTGGTCTTTACCTCGAGCCCATCGACCTCCAGAAGGTCAAGCGCGAGCTCAAGGAGAAGTACGGAGATGCTACCGAGTGCGACGTTGCTTCCTACGTCATGTACCCCAAGGTCTTCGAGGACTACAAGAAGTTCACCGCCAAGTACGGTGATCTTTCCGTTCTACCGACCCAGTACTTCCTTTCTCGACCCGAGATTGGCGAGGAGTTCCACGTTGAGCTTGAGAAGGGTAAGGTGCTTATCCTCAAGCTCCTTGCTGTTGGACCCCTCTCCGAGCAGACTGGTCTTCGTGAGGTCTTCTACGAGATGAACGGCGAGACCCGTACCGTCACCGTTGAGGACAAGCACGCCGCTGTCGACAACGTCAGGAGGGCCAAGGCCGATCCTACCGACGGCAGCCAGGTCGGTTCTCCTATGTCTGGTGTCGTCGTCGAGCTCCGTGTCCACGAGGGCAGCGACGTCATGAAGGGAGACCCCATCGCCATCTTGAGCGCCATGAAGATGGTAAGTTTACATTTTATGAACATCTGCTCCATAAGAATAATGCTAATATGTGTTTCCAGGAAATGGTCATCTCTGCTCCCCACTCCGGAAAGATTGGCAACCTCTCCGTCCGCGAGGGCGACTCTGTCGACTCCCAGGACTTGGTCTGCAAGATCGTCAAATAGAAGTCTTCTATCACTTCTTGTTTCACGTTTGCTTGCCGGTCCAGCTATTATCAATCTAGGGGGTTTACTACCAATGACTTTCCTATAATCCTATCCTACCTCCCTCGCCAGCAATTATATCCAGGAGAATGAACATAGTTTCCAAGCTTGGTTCAGGGAGGCTCGGGATCTTGTAATGAAAAAAATAAACATCACGATGATGAATTTCAAGGTTTCACTTTTTTCTAAAACGGGTGACGCGGGGACTAGTTATCACTCTCAGAAGTCTTTATCTGTACGTTTTCTACGAGAAAAGAAATGAATTTTAAAAACTTCTTCCTTCCATGCTGAATATGTGTCGATTTGTTTATTTACCCCTTACTATCAACTGATTATGAGCAATACTACCAAATAGCAATTGAACATGCTTACTAGAAACAATTCCCTCTCTACCTGACTCGAGCTTTACCATCAAGAACCCGTCTCGCAATCACATCATCCATTCGACCGCGGCACATATCAAGACAAGCACGTCAATCAACAAACAACCCCTGCATAAAACACAACAACCAAAAAAAAATCCCTCTCGGTACAATCATCCCCCGATCCCTATGCCGTCACATCCTCTCCTACCGGAACATCTCCTCCCCTACCATCACATGCAATGGTAGCTAATCGCGATACCAATTCCTCCGATCTCCTGCACCCCTGCCCTGTAGACTACACTAACGACTACAACCGCAGCAGTACAGCCGAAGTGAACTGAACCTTGCTACTCTGAGCTCATTACTCGTCGTCCATACACATGCGCGGTAAATCAAATGCTCGATATAGCGCAGATAACGAATCGAAAACACACTACTCTTCCCGGAAAACACATCTGTACATACTTAGAACCGTGAATACCCGCCCGGCCATATGCCTGCCCTTGTGTAATGTGGTTATCGTGCAAGCCGTTCCTGGTCGTGCTTCCCGTTCCTTACCTTCTACGGGAATAGAACGGTTGTACGGTAGTGTAGGTTTAGTTGTTCCGGAAATTTATCGTGTTCGTGGTAAGGTAAGGTAAGGTAAGGTACGCCTGGGGACTGATTTGTTTGCTGTTTTCGTTAGGGAGGAAAGGTAGAGTAGGAAGGAGGGGGTATATTATCTGTGTATTGAACTAGGAATTGAAATTAAGCTGAATCTTAAAAAGTTGCTTAAGGCAACTGGACGAAGTGGTTATGTGTAGCACGCTGTGGTACGTAGAGCGTACCTAGGTGAGTGCTTTGATAGTTACTGGAAGGTTTTACTGGTAATCTTATTGTACATAGTGTAGTATATTGTCAAATATTGAATGAAGAACAAGTCCTTGTAGTCTTGAAAAGAAACATATTTCTTGTCTACGCGTAAGTCTGGGAAAGTAATTCCCGCTGTGAAAAGTATGATTCACATGTCTACCGCCCTACCCTCCCCCAGATGTCCATTCCTAACTATGGAAAAGAAGTGCACATACTCCGTATGTGCGGGTTAGCTTTAGCACTGCAGCGGCTCCTTGTTTCCCCAGACCCCAGTCTGCTCGCCCTTGCGGGTTCCCTCCCTCATGTCTTTCTCCACACCGCGACCACGCTACCTTTTTCCATCTCTAAATAAGCGTAAATTGACAGTTACCCGTCCGCCTTACGAATCCTTTCCCCCTTTCCCTGGTGTGGGTACTTGGGTCAGGGTACGTGGAAAGAAGGTTCAATTTGCCTCCGGGATGCTCCGTAGTGTCCTTGGACCCATCTCCCAGAATGCCGGAAACACGGGGATTAGTAGGGGAGACAATACCTCGGTTTTGCCCGGCTGGGTTTTGTATGTCGATGGTTTTCCGATTGGGAATTGTATTTTGTGAGTTTCGTGTTTGGAAAATACCCCTGTCCTTTTGGTGGGTGGAGAGTTGGTGTTTGTATGGTTTTGGTATGTATGGTATGTGCATACAGTCCACTAGGGCCGAATCGGGAAAATTGTATGTAGGTCTCCCTCTGTGAGTTATTATGTCTAAGGTTCGTGATATTCGTTCATGCCAAAGCGGTGTGCTTCGGCGTGTATGTGAGCATGGAATGATGCATTTTCTTCTCCTTTTTGGCAAAATCTATTTCTTCATGGCGCCGAAATCCAGTTTACGGGCAACTTTGTCGGCGCGCCCACTTTCGGCTTCACCACCTCTTCTCTTGAGGTCGGCGCCCATTTTCATTTCCCCACCGCCTTGCTTGGGGAGGTTCTCTTTCTTGGTGGGTCGGGGTGCGTTGGTCCAGTACGGGTGGTCCAGTACCTGTTTCGCGCTCAATCTCTTGTTCGGGTCTGGAGTCAACATGGCGCGGAGAAGATCGATGCCATCGTCACCTAATAGTGGGAACGCAGCTTTCCACCAGGACGAGGGGTACCCTTTTCGTGGAGCGGTTCCGTTGCCCTGCCAAGACTGCTGTTCCGAAGGCTTGATGTAGTATTCGAGCTTGGAGACGCCAGGCCAGGTCTCCTCGGTCGGCGTTCCGAAATGCTCGCATATGACGGCCAGTTGTCCGAGGTCGCTGTCGCCCGTCAGGAAGAACCGCCGGATCGCCAATTCCGCAATCACGCAGCCCACACTCCATATGTCGACTTTCCCACTGTAGTGTCGTGCGCCGTAGAGCAGCTCTGGTGGCCGGTAGAAGCGTGTAATCACGACGTGCGTCATGGGTCGCCCGGCGTCCGCGAACGATCGCGCGAGACCAAAATCAGCAAGTTTGACTGTGCCATCGGCTGCAATCAACAAGTTGTTTCCCTTGATATCACGATGTAGGACGAAGTGCTCGTGGCACCACCAGATTGCCTGCGCTAGCATGTTCGACCAGCTCTTGATGTCCGCGCTCGTGTACGATATCTCCTTGTTCTTCCACAGCCCCTCGAGATCACCCAATGGCAGATGCTCGAGCACTAATGAAATGTTTTGGTCCTTTGTTGAGTACACGTCGTACAGCTTAATGATGTTGGGATGTTCAAGCTCCTGTAAGAACTTGATTTCGCGAATCGCGTCCATTGGTATGCCGTCCTTCCATTCCTGCTGCACTTTGATCTTTTTAATGGCGACGAGACGAGCGGGATCGCTGCGAAAGTGTCCGCTATATACAACGGCGTAGGTACCCTCACCAAGTCGGTCGCCTTGTCGAATGTTAGGAAGGAGATAACAAAGGACGTATCAAGGGCTGTAGTGAACGTACCAGTCACATATTTCTCTCGCGTTTCCTTATTCATCTGCTCCGCCAGGTCCAGTCCGCCATCTCCAGGTGTCGATGCAGCAGTTGCATTTGGTCCAGGAACGCTCAGAGCAGGAGAATGGCTCGAGTTCAAAATCGCAAGCGCTTTGGCCTTAGGATGTACATTTCGATTGATCGAGGCGGTAATACCTGGCTTTGGACTCAGAACAGGTGATTGTGCTACTAATGCAGTCATCTTGATCGCGTGAATGAGTGTCGTAGATCGTAAATCGCGGTTGTAGCTATCTCGGAGGTGATCCAAGTGATGTGTAGCGGCGATACAAAGAACGGCTTTTGTTCCCGGAGAGTGAGTGTAGAAACTGCCTCAAGGTCCAGTAAGAATCATCAACATTATAAAACCCTACGACCTTGCAAACGCTGGATGAGGAAAATAAGTGATCAGTTTTCAGATGTCATTTTGGATCTCCCATGCGGAGTTTCTAGCTTGAAGCCTGAGCTCTGGATTCTTGGCACGCTAAAAATTCCATCCTCAACCTCAACCCATCATCAGCATTGAAGCCGGTGGACGCCAATTCGCACCAACCACGACTCAGGCGGATTCCTATACAACTCCGTACCTTCGAAAATATCGATTGGTAATTTTGGGAATATCTCCCTGGGCACCTGGACGTTGGCCACTGCCTTGTCGACATCATGATTCTCCGAAGACCCTTCCTCAACGACCTCTCCTCCGCAGTTGCATCTGCACCGAAACAATGCGTGCGCAATCTTCACCACCAGATTCCCATTCGACCGGTTCCTAAGCCTATACCTTTCATCCCGGACCAAAACACATTCCTTTCCGCGATCGGCCGCGGCCTCTCCGCACACAGCGCAAAGATTCCCTCGTGGGAAGCACTCTTTACACTTTCCTCCGCTCAACTCAAGGAAGTCGGCGTGGAACCAGCACGATCTCGAAAATACCTTCTGTACTGGCGCGAAAAGTTCCGAAACGGCGACTATGGCATTGGAGGAGATTGCAAACATGTGACTGATGGCGTAGCCGATCTCCTGCTTGTTGAAGCACCAGTCACACCATCCCCATACACAAAAGGAATGTCACCGCGCTCAGCTATGGCAACAGCAACACACGATCCAGGAACCAGGAAGGTTGTTGTCAACGTTCCTACGGGAGCGGAAAGTCCAAGCGAGTCGCTTGAGAATATCCAGGGTGTTCGTGGATTTGTAGTTAAGGGTGCACAGACGATCAAGGGCCCATATGTGGAGACAGTCAAGGGTAGTGGTGGCTTGAGGGCGAAAATAAGGATGCAGGAAGGTATTTGGGAGATCAAGAGGGGACATAAGGTCGATGGTGGCGAGAGGAGGAGGGCTGAGGTCAGGGCAAAGAGGAGGGCAGCAGAGAACAAGGAGGCCAACAGATAGACAATGGCCCTGATTGAAAGTGAAAAGACTGCATTCAGGTCTTCAGATAAGGCAAGGCATGAAGGATAGATATGTACCATACTCGTGTTTCAACCATACCAATGTAGCATATCGACAGTCAGCCTACACGCTGATGTTATTTCAACCATTTGTGCCAGCTCCTTAGGCCCCAATTGATACACTCATCCAGGTTCAGGTATGAAAACCCAGCACAGTCATTGCACATATGGATTGTGTGATTTCCCATTCAAGCAAATGGAGCCTGGCCCTATGCATCCACATGCTGTTCTCAAAACTACATCGTATCGGATTTAATGACTGCAGTTCTCTTTTGCTTTCAATTCGCTCATGTTAGGTCATCATAGTGTAGGCAAGTGACAATCCCTACTACTTGATTGTTCCCTGAAAGGTGTCAACAATTGTCAACGGCTGTCAACGAGACTGCCATATACTGAGCTGGCCAGATCACCGTATGCACAGTATGGCTCTAAGCCTTCTCTATAGACTGCATTTTCTTTTTCAGCATGCTGTATACACAGAACTTGAATCAATCTGTTAGTAAATCTGACAAGGAAAATTTTATGCTCTAAATGGCTAGAAGTTGGCAGATAAATAGATCTTCGGCGCTTGGCTAGACAAGAAGGTAGATGCAATTCATCTTGATACACATCTTGAGAAGTAGGTGTCATTTTGTACTATGTTATAAGTATAGATATAGAGAGAAAGTTCAATTTCTTCGGGGACTAGACGTTTACTCACAGTGCAGACGTTTATCGACTATGGCCTTCTCGATATGAAGGAGCCTAGGTGTAGCATCAGACTCTACACTGCTAATACGAATGGTCTGATTCTACTTTTGGCGAGTGCCCGTGGATCTGTTGTGCTAAGTGATGCGATCCCATTAAATCACTGCCCTTGTTGAATCATTCACACTTCTATCGTCTTTCATTTTGGTAGAATATCGTTACTATCGCTCGTTTAAATGCATGCTGAGGGTTTGAGGTAGAGATGAGATACCAAAGATTTGAGACATCATCGTGTCTATACATTTGACCCCTGAGGATTCAAAATCTAGTATAGACTCGAACCGTACTCCTGGTGTGTACATCCTTTTCAAAAGGTCCAACGACCGCATGCCATATCTTGGATCAAAGACTCCTACTTATTTATGCATATCCCGGGATGAAGACTGTACTTGCTTATCTACTTGGTCCAAGTCTATAGTCGCAGAATTTATACATCTACTTATGTGCGTAGGCTGTTATACTGTAGGTTCACTGCGGATGTAAAATAATTTGATATTACATATATAACTTACTTGTCTTTGCACTGCTCCACCAAGGCCTACTCAGTAAAAAAAACAAGAAGCTTGCCTCTGCAAACACGGTACTGGCTTATTGTTTCAGAGCCAGCATATGTTACAAAGGCTCTCGTTCCGTCGTGAATCTATGTTCATTTCAACCGCTTGGTGCCTGATGGACGCAAAGAGCGGCAGGCAACTTCGTTTTTTTTTTCGAGTTCATCAACCCATGTTTTGAGGATAAATATAGGCCGAACAAGAAAATATAGACCATGGCGAAGATTGACAAATTTGACGATCTTGTTTGTGTTTCAAACTGAACAATATGAGGAGCAATTAATGTTGTTGCACATAGAAGTAAAGGACAAAAGCCTACTCTCACTGCGCATGGACCTTACTTCACTTCGATTCACTCCCCATGTTGTGCATACACTTAAGGCCTGTTTGGCCACTACAAAAACTCCACCCAACTTTTACCTTTGATTGTACTACACCTTGTTCATCGCAGACTATCTCCCAGCTCATACAGCTGCAATGCACCCGCTGCTGACTTTGACTAGAACGGATCTTCATCGAATCTCGGAAGGTACGACACTGTATCTACTATATTTATATTTCAATACTTACCTTTCGCCAATTTCCACTTGTGGTTCCCCTCGACGATGTCTTCGATTTCCTCGCGCCAGTCGCTTGCTGCACGGTTGGCATTCCTTAGCAACACTGAACGGCCATTGTACCGTCTCCCAAACGAGATTGTTTATCAAATAGCTTCAGAAATGACTACTGGTATTCAGGATGCTGGAGAAATACGTCTTGGATATCTCGAAGAACTCGGAAACTATAGAACCTATGAAAGCCCTTTCCCCAATGATACCAGGCAACGCGACGACTTATGCAGCATGGCACTGTCTTGTCGTCGGCTCTCCAAACAAGCGCAACGGGTGCTTTTCAGAGACATCAAGTTGTGTACGAGGTGGAAGATATCTGCGTCTCACTCAGTTGGCAGCTACGACCATTACGCAAATCTTCTTCGCACCCTTAACGATCGCCCTGATCTAGCACAACAAGTCAGACATCTCTCAATTGATTTGTCACATCAACATAAAATAGCACAAGGTCAATTCGCTGCGACTGCTGAGGGTCGGAACATCATGTCGCTTGGACACGGAATCATCGCCGACCTTGGCTTTTCAAGACCACGGAAAGTCATCTGGACACGGGACCTCCTCGACGGTAGACCGGGCGCGATTTGCGGAGTCATTCTCGCACTACTGCCGCAGCTTTTGACGTTGGAACTTCGGCAAAAGGGCGCTGAATCGCCTGAAACTATTGGGCCCATGTTTGGACAGTATATGAGTGGACCTTCTCCAAATTTCAGATTGTTAGATGTCCACTACAACGACCGCATACTACGTCTCTACAACATGCGTCTCTCTGGCCTCGAAACCCTTCAAGGGTTTTCTAGGTTGCGGTGCCTTCGCCTCACAACTCGAGCACTCCTATTCGCTTATGGATTGCGCTTCCTTCCGCAGATCGAAAATCTCGAAATTCAAATAGACTTCATAGATCGGTTTTTATTTCCCTTTCCAGACCCATCGCTGGACTCGCTGCTGGATTTCCAGCATATCAAGACCGTTCATCTCGACGTTCGACTGGTTCCAATCAAGGCACGCTGCGCTGAGCTAAGGAGCTTCTTAAAATACTTCATACCATCACTTCCGTCCCTCACCGCAGTAACCTACATGGGAGACATATCGTGCAACCCTTTCGAGTGGAAGAATTTTGCTTCAAAGATGCTATATGTCCTGTTCTTTCATCTGATTAGGCACCTCCCACAATCAGTACATATACTCTCCCTTCCGTGTGGGTACTGGTGTTCACCACACCGCACTCTCAGACGCTTGGCTATACCGCTGAAACGGCTACAGCAGCTGCAACACTTGGTCGCACCTCATTGTGCGCTGATCAGTGATGCCAAATTAGAACCAATATTGTCAGAGGATGGGAACATGGATTTCCTTGTAGCCTTGGAGGAGTCAGGATCGGCAGGCCCAGGCACAAGTATGACAGCAGAGCAGGCTTCGAAACCCAGTGATATCCAGGCAGTCATGGGTTACTTCCGGGAATGGGCTCGGATAGAAGACATCGACAACTGGCCAGCTGCCCCACCGGATATCTCTAAACACTTAGAAGCGAGGCTGTTCGAGGCTGCCGCCTCTCCACTCGCGATCCTACCCTTTACGCTGCGGACCTTAGTCATACGAAGCGCAAATCACGAAACCTACCTCTGGATCCAAGAGCTTTTTGCCTATACCCATACGCACTTCAAGCACCTCGAGAGCGTTGAGCTTGTTTTCGACACGTACGACCCAGAGGCGGATATGCGTGGAGATTGGGTATGCTACACATATGTGAAAAACCTCCAACACGACTTCACCATCGGTACAGGTGTCAAGCTGGTGCTGACATATGGTGGCGACCCTAACGTTACTGAATCTGAAGACGAATATACCAGTAGCCAATACGCATCTTCAGCTTCGGACGAAATGGAGGTTTCTGAGCAAGAGGAGGAAGAAGACACTGACAGCCACAATGAGTCCGAGGGATCAGAATGGATAGAAAGCGAGGGTGGGTCAGATATTGAAGACGAGGAGCCCTATTGAGTACATTTGAAGTACCTCGGCGTGTTGTGTGGGCATTCATGGTGCTATAGTGTTCCGGACACAACATAGTCAACAGCCTGTAAATTCGAAGAAGCAATTGACAGATAGATGGTCACGGAGATAATTGTAATGATGGTGCGTGAACAAGGAGAATTGCAATGAAATAGTAAACTCCAATAAGAGATGAGATATGACTAAAAGGTGAAGACATTATAGAGATACTTCGAATTATCCCTTGTAACATCTACTGTCGTTAATTTCAAACTACAAACTTAACAGCTATGCATATTGTCTTGTATCAAATCACTGCAAAAAGATAGTACGAACTAATGCTGATATACCGAGAGCAAATGCAATTTGACTGATTGTAATTCTATCAACTCTGCCGCATGCTACATTCACCTCAGATTGCTCCTAAGGAGCAGAAAAAGAAAAAGTAAGGAAAAAAAAAGAACAGTACCAACCTGAAATCGAACCCAGGTAAAAAAAATGGCAAAAAAAATGTTTGCTCTCAAAGCTTTTGATAGCGTGTCATCCTTAGTGCAGGGGCCATGCTAATCTTCTCTGTATTTTTTCAGCTGACCGAGTGTTCCGTAGAACAAAAGCTTTCAAAACTATACTAATTATATAAGGGATAAAAAGAGGGAAAGTAAATGAGGCTGGGTGTACTGGTGATTGAAATTTGCGTTGTCGCGTGGCGGGACGCGTACCAGGGTAAGTCCACAACTTTACCCAGTGCTTCACGTGAAAATCAAAACAATACTCCAACACGAATAACATGACGCAACCAGTGCGTACACTCTTCAACGTATCTAGTACGACCCTCTGGAACTGACAATGAGTTGCACTTGACGGTAAGACATGATCGGTCAGTGTCACTGGGGTGGGCTCTCCAAATACTGATACACCTTCTACAGCGACCCCAACTGTCTTTGAAGCTGAAGAGCGGCATGAAGATATGCTACGAAGAAACTGGTGTCCTCTCCAGGTAGTATAAGCCATGTCACCATAAGCTCGCAGGGGGTCCTCTTCAGCGAACACTGCGCAGAAGAAGAGGCTATCGACAAACTGCCACTCAAACCTTACATCAGGATCCTTAACTTTGTAAGTCCGGCATCATGTACATAACGCAAATGTGGCGGCGATGTTAGGTGACGACAGAGAGACCCGAACAGCATCAAGCTGGCGAGCACTGAGACAAGTACTGCTCTCGATCGGGCCATGATTGTGCCAACAAACCCTGCCCGTAAGGCTATCGAACATTCCTATATCACTGTGATCAATTTACAATGCTGGGAGGATTTTGAACAGCAACAGCAGTACTTGGGCTCAACGAATACATGGATCCAGCCCTTCAAGTATGATTTGAAGCTCCACAAGTATCACACCTGAGCTAGCAACATCGGGTCTACTTTTGCTGTCAGTAGCTGAGTTCTCTATTCAGATATCGTTGATCTTGCTGACACGTACTTGAAAATCGTAGTGCACTGCTCCAGGTCCATCCCATCAGCCGCCTATAGCACCCGTTCCTATTATTCACTGTGCCGAGCCGGACGATTCTCTCAAAAGTCTTGATCGAGCCGTAATGTTCGACTGTCGAGTAAGACCAGAGTCGCCCTTAGAAGAAGAAGAACTGCCCTCGAGTATCAAGGGCCGAGAAATGGGGTCTTCGAGGTTTGCAGATAAGACCGAATACACCAAGAAACTGGAACATCATCTACTTGTCTAGCTAATCCTGGCAGTATGACTTGATGATATCGAAGCCGTGAAAATTTGCTAGGTACACTGGGGTACCACAAAGGCATATACTGGTATGTCAGGAAGCATTGTACGTTCTGACATGACCGCGAACCACAATACGTACTACAGTACTTGAAGTATCGAGGAAGATCCTCGGGAGATCATGAAAAGTAGAATGAGATTTACAGAATGCTCCATGAGAGTAAATCGAAGACAACAGAAATGCCAACAAAACCAAAGCATGCAATGATCATGTCTCTACTTACTTTGTTCGGTTCTCCCAAACCTCGCATCTCGGCACAACTGCCATGAACTTGTTTTTCCAAGACCAGTACATCATCACGGACCTCATTTTTCAACAAAACACTTGAGCCAAGTTGAAGCCAAGATGCAAGAGAGAAAACAACGCAACCAACACTTCCACGTCGTCAAATATCTGACTAACATCTACACCAGCCACGCAATTTGCGCCACGCAATGGTCTTTTTCACGCGCCACATCAGGCCATATCCCATTTCTAGTGTGGTTCTAAACAAAGAGACCCGAGCAAAGACGATGAAAACGCACCGTTCAACCTACCAACTGCAACCCCCTTACCATTACCTACGTAACGTCAACCACGGATGAGAATAAGGAGAAAAGCGGAGTACCTCGGTGTATGTGAAACCGAAAGGAACAAGACACACAAGCAGGGAACTGTGGCTCGTTCGGTTGCTTTTCCATGGATTGAAAGCTTGGTTTTCCAGCCAGCAGCGGAGGAAGACGAGGTGTGGTTGATGTTGTGGCTAGTGCAAGTAGACCTATTCAGTGCTAGACTAGCGTTCACCGTTGAAGGAGGCTCTTGCGGTAGCGTGGGTGTGGGGGATGGGCCAGACGAAGGAATGAAATGGGGAAGTCTGTGTATAGATAGATTGAGGCTAGACTAGATGGGTCATGTACATCCAATCCACGCCCGCTAGAAGCTTGCACGCAACAATGGAAAAAATAGGTTTGGCTTCGAGAATAGTTCGAGAAGGATGTTGGAAATAGACGGTGTAGGTGTAAATGCAGGATTGATGTAACAACGAAACGTCATGGCATGGGAACTAAGGAGAGAAGGTTGGTAATGCATGTATGTTTGTCATTGTGTATGTGTGAGTAATTCTACATGCCCAGCGCGTTTGCGATTTCGGAGTGTAACACAGTCAATTTCTCATATGCATCATGTATGTATGACTTGACAGCAAAAAGAAAAAAAGATGAGTAGTACTCCGTAGTGGTGATATCAAAGTCGACCATGTCAAGAAATGAGTAGTCACAAGGAACAAAAAAAGAGATATTATTAGGTAGGTGGGATTACTGGGTAGGCTTACACATGTAATGTTGAAGGCTACGAGTAGGAGTACATACCTCGGAGAGAGAGCAGCTGGCAGCAAGAAGCAATGAGAAGCAGAAAAAGACTTTCAGATGAGGTATGCCAAGCAGGCCGAAAAGGGTAATGGAGTCCCTTTGATCCATGGCTGAGGTGAACAATGGGTAAGCCACTTGGATGGCTGCGGGACTACAGTAGGGCTGTTGCATTTTCCCGCTCCCTCGCGTTTAGCACATGGGACGGATGGTCCTGTGGCCCCATCATTGGATTTAGCCACGAAATTGGCTTTTGGCATCATTGAAGCTGATGAATGCGACAAGACTGGGACCTCAGTTGAAGGAGATAGTGGGGCTGCTACACAGTGTGGATAGAAGCATATTGACCGGAAATGGGGCGTGGCAGACATGGGATGATCGTATTTGCGCGCCCTGCGCATGTTGAGAAGATCGTAATGGGGGAATCCGGTGATCTGGCTGTGCATTACCAATATGATGATATTCAGGCACCATGGCCCGCGACTGGCTCGCATCACATGGCATCAAAGAAAATTCAAGGCATGGATAGACCCCATCACGTCGGGAGGATTGCCTGGAAGAGAATTCCATCAGGGATCTCCGTCAGGGACGCGGTGAGAGATGCAGCGAGTAGATGCTAGAGGTGCGCCTTTCCCATAGAGCTGGAGATTATTTTTGTCGTTCTGGATTCAGCTCTTACCATGACTGATGACCTGTGGCTGGGGTTTCATGCGGCTCAAGCCGTAGAGGTGTAACCTGTCCCACGGGCGCACGCGGGAGACAGGGAGACAAGGAAATGTAAAGAGGAAGTTAGTCGAGGGATAATAGTTGTCTACAGCTGGCGGCCAAAGATGCTGGAACGTCGTATCGGAATGACAATTGCATAGGAAGGGCGTGATCACAGGCGAATCGCGTGTGCAGTGCATGTCAAGGCGAAGCGATTGACCGAGTCCCCATCCACGACTACGATGGCTTTTCGACACTTAGCCATGGCCAATCATGAGATGAGTAGAGTGGCAGTGGTACTGTGTGGACGCGACGTAGTGGCTTGCATGGAAGCCAGCAAAGAGTCTATGCAAAAGGCCCGAGTGAGGATCGAATCTTCCACTGGCCGTTAGTCTTGCAGAATGGGACGAAGATGAGAACATAACTACTGGTGACTCTAGCAGCGCAAATGTTGATACGATGGTTATTGGGTGAATGAAGAATTCTCTTCCCGTGATGATGTCGAGGAAAGATGGGGAAGGGAAGCCAGGCCCACTCTAGATTCTGTAACCCTACCCTTTGGGAGTCTAGGTAAGATGATTACCGGATGAAGCCATGAGATGCGATTGGTCAGTGAATTGGCCTAGGTGAACGAAGATAGCACTTCCGATTTCCACCCTATCAAAGGCAATCACCAGGTCAAAGTAACTTCCCCTCACCTACAATCCTTTTTTTCTCTCTCTAACTATGCGTACCATTATTTCAACCTCGTTACATCATTCTCCCGGTGTCTAATTGTCACTCAGTTGCTGGAAATCTCTATTGTTCAGAATGCAACAGAAATAGGACAAGCCTGAGGTCAGAGCTGGTACCACAGCCTTTGATGGCGTCGACCACCACCGCCGCCCGCAACGATCGCAAGGCCACCGCCTTTCGCGAACCAGTCATTCCAGTTATTATTCATAGAACTACTGCTTGAGTACTCTACTGGCCTGTCCCTTCATTGTCTAGTGACTCTAGTCGTGAACCAGAGCATGCGCCAAGCCGTTGCATGCCGCTAATTCACCTGCATCCCACATCCCACATCCACCCATGCATGCATGCAATGCCACCACCTCCACCAGCTGTTCGCTCACTTAACACTCTAACACCTGAGCACTGAACATCATTCTTGGACTGGACACTACAGAGCACTGAACTCTGGAAACTACCTACAAGTCTGGGTAGACCGTCACTACACTAGACGAGCAAGCGATCCAAAGATTGACCCCCGCTCGTCATTGCACTACACTATCTCTCTGACTACTACTTTCAGCCTACTCATCAGCTCTATATACAAGAAAGAATACACATATAAGCCTCTGCTGCCGATCATTCCTCAATTATCTACATACTCTGGGCATTCATTGAATACCTTTTATCAAACTCTTATTCTCTATCGTTACTCAAGACACGATGCCTAGACCAAAGCGACCTGGAGCCGGTGAACCCAAGAGACGTTCTCGTACTGGCTGCTGGTAAGAGACCACTCCTTCAATGATGCTCATAACCTATGGAACTTTCTCTGATATCAGTTACAGGCCTTGTAAGGCACGGAAAGTCAAGTGGTAGGTTACGTCCGATATATTGTTTGATCGTATAGCTAATCTCCATATAGTGGAGAAGAGAGGCCGGGTTGTGCCAATTGCGAACGGACAGGAGAAACATGTGACTATAGTATTCGACTCAATTGGGGCGGTCGAACCCGAAGGAATACAGACACTCCTACATCGATAGCATCGAGTACAGGCAGCAGTCCGTATGAGTCGACATTGACATTCGAAGAGAATGTAGCACCATTGTTTCCTCCAGGTCCTCCAGCCTTGAGGAACGACTTGGTTCATCACGCTCGATCACACTCGGCTCCTTCTAATCCAACATCCGATCCCTCTCAGGTTGGACCAAACCAACCCGTTGCAAGCCAAGCAGTACCACATTCAATGGCTGCGGCGTCGTACGGCGAATTTCAAACCTCTTTACCTGCCGTCTCTGCTCACCCTTTTCAAACCATTCCTGCCACTTTCGACTATCCTTCACCACCTGTATCGAATTTCGAAGCTTACAGCTACACCACAAATACGGCATTTCCATCCATACCTGCCGAAGTACCAATCTTCCACGCCAACATGCCTCCGCCAAATCGCACTCATTTTGACTACGATAATGGCAGCCAAGGTCACATCAGTGACTTTGCGCAGTCAATCAGCGGCCAAAGCAACACAAGTCAGGCCGGCGAATCCCCTGCGTACACCTCAGCCGAAGACTACTATTCGAATAGATCGGCGTCCGAGGTGTTCTCTCCCAATGCAGGTCCGCCAACACCATATAGCCCTTATATGCCAATGCCATTGACGCCAAACTCTTCAGTTGGTTCCGAAGACGCCTATCATCGTGCTGCATCAAAACAAAATCATGGCCAATTTCAACCTCCACCTCCTGAACTTCGACGCATGTCCGTCTTGTCATTACTTGCGGGACCGCCTGGCGACAGCCCCATCGCCTACAGTCCCTCGGCACATTACAATAACCGCGATGTTGGGACTATCACCTATGGATATGATCTTGGCCTACCAGATCTCGACACGCCAAACAACAAAGATTACAATGCAATTCAAATATTTACACCACCAAGTCACGCTATGGAACTCGACGATGATACTAACATGGACGGTGAGGATGATCAGCAAGGCAAGGAAATGGCTTTCGAAGAGGGTGCCTACTATGCAAAGCCTGTCCCGATCAAGCTTTCGAAGTCCCTTCAGCCACTTTCTCCGATACTACTCGACAACCCAATCAACTTGATGTACTTTCACCACTTCATCAACCACACTGCCAGGATCCTAGTTCCTCATGACTGCGGGCAAAACCCGTTCCGTCTGATTCTTCCCAAGAGTAAGTTTTCTTTGCCAGCTTCTGATGACAGGATATTGACCACTACAGTGGCTATGGAGGACACCAAGATCATGAGCCTTCTGCTCGCATACAGTGCCTCGCATCGAGCTCGTCTGCTCAAGCACCCCGAACCAGTCAACCGCATTGCCGAGTGGGTCAAGGACGTATTTCCGCAACTGCGTGCTGCACTGGTCAACAACCACGAAGTCCCCAATGCCACATTAGCACCCGCAATTATGATGGCTTCATTACAAATCATTTCTCCTGATGCCTTTGGTGTCTCGATTGCATGGCAAGACCATCTTGCCATTGCACGACAGATGATCGTCTCCCGTGGAGGCCCTGGAAGCATCAGCCGCGATGACCAGGTTGGCTACTTCTTGTCTCGATGGTTTGCTTACCTCGAAGTCGTCGGGTCACTCAGTGGCAATAAGAATGGCCAAGCTTTGGGTTCCATCTACTGGACTTGCACAGAGGCGTTGGCGGATGAAGAGAATCAGATAGATTGTCTCATGGGCTTCACAGCGCGCTGCGTCCGTATTCTCGCCCGAATTGCAGAGCTTGCCAAACAATGCGAGCCTGCTCGCTTCGACCAGAATGGTAATGTCCGTCCAGACTGGCGCCCTGAGCCAGAGGTCGTTCAAGAAGCCATCTCCATCCGCCGTGCCCTCGAAGATGGGCTCAGCAATCACGCCGTCTACAAAGGATGCAGTCATCGATCTTCTTCAAGTGAAGAGAACGAGGGAACATCGGATGCTTCAGAAATCAACGCCACCAATGAGATGTTCCACTGGGCGGGATTGATCCACCTATACCGTCGCGTGCTCGGCAAATCAGCAGAAGATGCTGAAGTGCAGCACGCAGTCCGAGCAATTATTGGTCTCCTCCATAAGGTGAGGAGGGGAAGCACGGCAGAAGCATGTCTTCTTTTCCCCATGGTCGCTGCCGGGTGTGATGCAAATGACGAGGTCCAACGCGAGAAGATCATGGAGCGATTGAGGTGTGTCGAGGGCTTCGGCATGACGCAGGTTAGTTTAAATTTCCCTTGTATGAACAGACAGGTCAACTAACGATCGAGCAGTTTCACGGAGCCCGTTCTATTCTTGAGAAAGTTTGGGAAACAGGACGGCCTTGGGAATCTCTAGTCTCTGGAGAGTTCTTTGGCTGATCACCTACCCCATCTTCTCTTTCTTTCATCTTCTGATATTTTTCTGTAAATATTCTACAATCTCCGATCTGAAAATATCTAGATTACATACGGTGTATGCATTGGGACAAAAGGGACACACAATCACAGCGACGGCGTTTCAGAGGCATTTTTGGTCATGTATTATGATGCATTTCTCTACAATCAGCGCTATCGATCAAATTGATCAAGCTGGCGTTTTTAGATACCCCTCGAATAAGGGAGGCAATACGATCGAAGGGAAAAAGTATGTACATACAACGACTACCATTTCGGTGTAGATATGAATCTACTCTAAAGTCAATATTTTGCTATTCCAACCTTCTATAATGCACTGTTGAAAGGCTGTGACCGTGGTTCTCGAATACCATGACAGGTGAAATTTGTATCCCAAGATAGATGATATACTCCATTTTCGCTATCTTGTCTCACGGGACAATAAATATGATGAGTGAAACCTCGGCCAGTGAATCATGACTAAGCAAGTGGGAACTGGTGATAGCGCACGGTTGCGAATGACGTTCATTGCGGAGACGACAACATCTTTTCTTGAAGCATATGGAATCGTACTCTAAACCTTCAGACTTTCGCTTCCAGACCAATTGTTTCTTCACTGCTAGTAGGATCAATTTCATACAGTAACTGCAGCAACTTCTCAACTATCAATACTTTTGCGGTTCTCTTTCTCCGCATTTACGTGCCAAGCCTTGCCGAAATTCGATAGGACCTAAAAACTCAGGAAGTTGTTGAACCTACACTCGCACACGACACCCACATCCCCACTCCAAAAAGCCCGAACCACACGCCTACTGCAACAATGCTCTCCTCGAGCGGCCTCCTCCCTGCGAGGACATTTGCCGTGGCCTTCAAACCAGCCATTATCGCTCCCTGCACGGCATCATTCACGAGTTGCGCGCGTCCCGCATCGTTTAAGCAGCAACAGATTGCCCAGCACCCCGCAATCAGCTCGTCCATTCGCAGATCACCTACGACTTTGTCGATACGACAGGCTTCCACTACCGCTCCAGCATCCTCAACCACCTCCCAGCCATCCTCCACCTCCGGAACACTTACATGGAACCGCTTCCTCGAGCTCCGTCGCACACGCCGGAAGATCAGCGTTGTAGCATCGAGCGTCTCCGCCCTTGCAACGACATATTTTGGACTGCAGCAATTCATCCAGGGCGGCTATGATAGCATCCTCTCAGCACAGCTCGGAATCGATCCTATCTTGACTGCTGGATTCACATCCATTGGACTGCTCGCGGTCGGATGGCTGATTGGGCCATTCTTTGGGGGAGCGGTATTCAACATGCGATATGCGAGTCTCCGGGGGGATATTGTGAACGTAAGTCTTGACGACTCCAGTCGTAGAGCATCGTTCCATCACGACCCTGGCCCAACGAGCACGAACAGATACTTACCATAACCACAGAAAGAACGCGAATTCTACAACCGTATCAAGCGCCACCGAGTTGACCCTACCTCTTCCTCCATGGCCAACCCCGTACCCGATTACTACGGCGAGAAGATTGGCAGCGTGGCCGGATACAGGAGGTGGTTGAAGGACCAGCGCGCTTTCAATCTCAAGCGGGGGTCCTATCAGGGAAACAAGTAGATTCAACCAAGGTAATTTGTGATTCTACATATGCGTCCATTTTCTTTTCCAATTAAACGTTTGGTCTGCATCGCGATTTTGGAAGGTGTTTTCTTACTATTATAGTCACGTTGCTTGCTAGCAATCAATCTTTCTTACAGAGCCTACAAGCTCCCCGAGATTACTCTGCACAGTCTAGTTGATCAAAGCACCAGGCCTAAAAGTGCGAAAGAATGAGGAAAAAAAAACCAAAAACTGTACGAGACGGAACGCATATATTGTTCATCGATTTCCTTCCCACCTGTCCCTTGCTCAAGGCTGTTCTCCACAACATGAATATCATGGGCGATGCTTTCTTTCCTACCACCATCAAAACGGCACCGGCGAATCCCCCTCCTCTCTTATAGTCACTCGAGTGTAATCTCATCTCTCCTTGTATTCAAAGTGCAGTGTAGTACGTAGGGCAAGCCTTCTCTCTTCTCGTTCTGCGACACGCTAACCTGACGGCTTGCTGCTTGTGTAACATCATAGTGTATATCTCAGTGTATATGTTTTGGAGAATTCGGAATTCAAATAGTCAACAGATATTATGATTCCTTGTTCATATCATGTTCCGGAGTGCAATGTGCATGTGTTGCAGACCCTCTACCCCTCAATGGACGGGTGACAGGTTTCTAATAATACTGTTCTACTAGCTGGAAAGTGGAAAGTGGAAACTGAGCTGCATAGAGTCTTCCTCTCGCATCGAAGAGACCTAGAACGGGACGGGGATGTCGTCGCATCTGGGTGGCACCGCAGGATGTTCGCTTAGCGATTGACTCGCCTACACTGGACTGGGATACAAGTACTTGCATGTGCGGATACATATGTAAAGAACAAGACGAATCCACCCGCCGCGCCTTTACGAATGGGGCAATGCGCAAGAGAATGATCTACGGCGAACACGATCCCGGCCCAACCACATTGAACTTTCACGTAGACGCCAATGCGGGAGCGTCTCTATGAGAAACGAACTTGCCACGGAGGTGCATCCACGCGAGGTCAAGAGATGCAAGTGAAGAGGATGGATGGGTGGCACAGGCCAATCCAATACCAATCAATCAACCATACATCAACGAATACCCGAAACGGTGACTATCACTGATCACCTTTTGCGGGCACTTTTCCCTTTGCTGTAGTTCGTATATTCCCCACCACACACTACACAAACTACTTGCCTGATCAAGTCTTCGGTTACTCGTCGTTCCGATACGCCACTGCCGCCCGCGTCTCTTCCTCTCACTCGCTATTTCTCGTATACTCAACGTCATACCAATCGACAGTCTTCCGTTCGTTACCATTCCACTTTCTTCCTTTCTTCCTTTCTCCCTTTCTTTGCCGCACAATTTTGACTCCACGAACTCTACCGGAGCAATTGGACTTCAACTAATCGTTTAATGCACGAGTAACCTGTGTACGTCCTAATTGGTTGGAACTTTGTAGACGTTTCATCCAACTTCGTGCCCCCCTCTGCAACCCGTTAAACGTCAATTCTGCTTGTGGATGTTTGTTTAATGAGGGAAATACTTCAAGGGCTGGGTACCCTATACGTTGGTTATATGATACAACGACAATTTGCCTGCTCTTCGAATAAGCTGTCACTGGAAACGCACCAACCACCCAACTTCGACTAAGACTCTTATCCACTGCAACTGGAGTTGACTTTAACTTTGACTTCAACCTCAGACATAGGATTTATAACGCATAGGATAGGACAGCAGCAATGGGGTCAACAACCGCGTACACGGCGTTGACGCTACTTCCACTCATCGTATGGTCCCTCTATGCCCTCCTTCGACAGTGGCGCTTTGGCAAGTACGCACATATCCCCAAGCAAAAGAAGCCGTCATTGCTCCTTGGAAATTTGAAAGACATTGCGATGGGATTCACGAGGATAGGCGACCCCAGGCGTCACTTCGGTGCGTATATCCACTCTTCTTCGTCTGACTGATTGACTGACCCATGGGTTGCAGACTACATCGCAGAGAATGAGCTCAAAGAGGTCGGAAACCCACCTCTCCTGTATCTTGACCTGCGACCATTCAGCTACGTCTTGATAGTGGTAAGGAGTTACGACATCGCCGAGCAGATCAGCCGCGTCTCCAAACTGCACCCGCAGAGCGTGACCAAGTCTCCTACACTGATGACATCGTACCGCGCGCTCATCGGCAAGAAGTCCCTCCTCACCGAAGAAGGAGACTCCTGGAAAGCGCTTCGCAAACGATTCAACCTGGGATTCGCGCCCCAGCACTTGCTCACCCTGATGCCCCAGATTCTCTCCAAAACCAAGATCTTCATGGCGAAGCTCGACGCGCTGGCAGCCACGGGCGAGGAGTTCGAAATGGACCCCCTGTGCACGAACCTGACGTTCGACATCATCGGCGAAGTGGCCATGAATCTGGATCTCCACGCGCAGAGTGACAACGAAGCCGAGAAGCACGACATCGTCCGGCACTTCCACACGCTGATGGGAACCTTCCTCGACACGGGGCGCATCTGGCTCTGGGCCAACATCCCCGTCCGGATCCGCCGCCTCCTCTCCTCCTGGGCTGCCGACGCCGCCATCAAGCGCGAGATAAAGCGACAATTCGCCATCATCAAAGCCTCCCAGGAACAACCATCCTCCTCCTCCTCCTCGACCAAACCGCGCGACCGCTCCGTCGTCGCCCTCGCCCTCTCCTCCATCCCAGAGCTAACCCCCCAAATCCTGCAATCCACCGCCGACCAAGTGAAAACGTTCCTCTTCGCCGGGCACGACACCACCTCCATCCTCCTCCAACGCCTCTTCTACGCGCTCTCCATCCACCCGTCCGCCCTCCACACCCTCCGCACCGAACACGCCACCCTCTTCGGCACGCACTCCACAACCCCAGCAATCATGCACGCCTTCGCCACCCACCCAGACTCAACAATAAAGTCCCTCCCCTACACCTCCGCCTGCATAAAAGAAACCCTACGCCTCTGGCCACCCGCGGGAACAGCCCGCCGCGCAGCACCCGGCTCAGGCATGAAACTGCACGTCCGCGAGACAGGCGAGGACGTCTGCGTCGACGGCTGCGTGCTGTATCTATGCCACTACCTCATCCATCGCGATAAGGCCGTCTACGGGCCCGACGCAGAGGAATTTCGACCGGAGCGATGGCTCGGGGATGTGGATACGAGTTCTACTGCCCCTAACAGGAATGACGCAGCAGCAGCAGCAGCAGCAGGAGGAGGAGGAGGAGGAGGAGGAGGAGGAGGGACAAAGGTGCCGACGGGTGCGTGGCGCGCGTTCGAGCGCGGTCCGAGGAATTGTATTGGCCAGGAACTCGCCAACATTGAAGCTCGCATCATTCTCGCGTGCGTGATGAGGCGGTACGATTTTGAGAAAGTGGGTGCGGGCAAGGTGGTGAGGGGTAGCGACGGAGAACCCGTGTTCGATGAAGAGGGGGAGAGAGATGGAGTAAGGAGGTACAAGGTCGAGAGCGAGCTGTTCAACTGCATGAAGGTGACGGCGAAGCCGTTCGATGGGTGTCGGATGAGGGTTAGGAGGACGGGGGTGTCATAGGTGTACGCCTTCTCATCACCGACCTCTCTTCGTCAAACTGTATCTCCCATATTCAATGTAAATGTAAAGGGCAAATGCAAATGTCAAACATCAAATGTCATACATTGCAAGCGTTGTGATATGAAGTGAAGTGACCCTGATATTTGACACCGATATCAAAAACACCCCTTTGTCCTCCGTCTCCGTGTCCAGTATTATGCCAAATGCACCATGCGCCATGACTTGATATAAAACCCTCCCCCCACCCAAAAAAGCAACCAGGTATAAAAAAAGAAACGAACAATAAGAAAACAAGAAACGATGGCAAAAAGCCGGGAATCGCACCTAAAAAAGTACGTTTGCTGGTGGTGTATATCTACCCCTTTTTCGCCTTTCCCTTTCCATTTCGCGGAGGTAGTATACAGAGAGAGCAACTCCGTGCCTACACCAACACTCCTACTACAACTCTCCCCATTCACTCCCCACCCACTACTGTTCCTCCTCCTCATCACTAGGCTCAACCCTCACCAGCACCTCCTCAAGGAACCCCTCGAGAAACGGATTCACGCCGCCGCCCATGCCCACGTCGGTGCGGGCATCCCACTCGTCGAGCTCGCGGAACGTGGCGATGAGGTCAGCGACGCGCTGCTTGATCTCCTCGTGGCACTCGTCGCGGCGGCGGCGGCGGGCCAGGTACGCCTCGGGCTCGTGCAGCGACTCGGCCGCGTCGGCGCGGTTTTTGTACTGTAGTTGGCTGCGGCGGCGAGCGAGCGCGGCTTGCAGGGCGGGGACCACGACGCCGGATATCGCGGTGATTTCGCCCTGGGCTCCTGAGGGTGAAGTTGGCTGGCCGTGGGATGCGCGCAAGGAGGCGCGGCCACCACCGGAGAGGAGGGAGGCGCCTGATGCGACGCCTGATGAGCGGGGGGTTTGGGTTGCTCGTTTCAGGGCGCTGTCGGCGAGGAAGGGACCGCCGAAGGGGTCGTTTTGGAGGGAGGGCGGCTTTGGTTGGTTGTTGACTGGATTGGTGTCAATTGATATGTCTTTCAAGTCAAGTATAGTTTAGTTACTCACGAGAAAGGTTCTGAAAATCGACCTCCAGGGGGGAGACAAGCTTAGGCATCACGGGCGGCCTCTCATTGTGATCCGAAGCGAGTAGTTGCTTCACGGCTTGTGGGGTTTTAGTATTTCCATTCGTAACGGGTGCTGTACTTCGATTCTCTTGCTTGATCGCCGTTCCGTTGCCCTGATCGAACCAGTTGCTCTGCGGTGCAGGTTCTGGCAGGACGGAGCCCCGCGTAGGGGTGGGATTCCGCGGCTGCTGCTGTGGGCTCTTCACGTCGATTTCATCCATGTCTTCTGCTATCGATCTCTGGATGTAGTCGTCGTAATCGCGAGCAAGCGGTGTCTGGCGTCGTGGTTGTTGCGGTGTCGTTGGCTTTGTCGGTGTCACTAGACCGCGACTGGGTGGATGTGGAGAGAAGAGGCCTGGGACCGGTGATTTCCTAGGAGGATCCAGTCCTGGTGGAGGAAAATTGAAGGGCGTCGAGGTGGCTTTGCTCTTATCTGGTGAGGGTGGGAGAGGAATCCTAGCCGCCGCCGTCGGAGATGCTGGAGGCTGCAGCCGTGGTAGCATCTTCGTGGGAGAAGGCGGCGGACTGGCAAGTCTCACGGTGTCATCTGCTTGCATGTCAACATTCTCGTCCCCAGACGCCCGCACCGGCTTCCTGGCCGGAGACACGTTACGGGAGTTTGCATCATTGAGCGGTCTCAGCGCGGCTGCCTTTCCACCGTTGTTCACCGGCCGCACGGTGCCAAAGTCCCACAGATCCTCATTCACCGGCGCCCTCTTCTTCTGAGGCGTCACCTCGTCGTCAGAGTCCTCCTGCCGTGGGTTGCGAAGCTGCCAGTCCTGATACCTGGTGATCAACTCCTGTAACCGGGCCGGCTTCCCTGCTTTGCGAATGAAACTGTGCTGGAGCAATTGCTTCGCGTTCGGCCGGTCCTTGGGATCTTTCCGTAAACACAGATCGATGAACTCTTTGAAACTCGACGAGAAGTTGCCGTGCAGCGCGGGCGAGGGATTCTTCGGGATAAGGAACAGCACTTTCATGGGATGGATGTCGGCGTACGGTGGCTCTCCGTTGGCAAGCTCGAGCGCAGTGATGCCGAGCGACCATATATCCGCCTTGCCGTCGTACCCAGACTGTCGAATGACCTCCGGGGCCATCCAAAACGGCGTACCGACGAACGTATTTTTCTTCGTCATCGTCGCAGAGAGTTGGCCCGAGACGCCAAAATCCGCGAGTTTGATCTGGCCATTCGCGCCGACGAGGACGTTCGCAGCTATACTCCCAATTAGTTTGTACCCTTCACAATTCGCATCATGCTGAACTCACCCTTGATATCCCTGTGCAACTTCCCATCCTCGTGAAGATACGACAACCCCATGAGCAACTCCTTAATAATCACCGCAATCTCCGCCTCATTAATCGTGCCCGGCTTCATGAGATCTGCACAGCTGCCCCCCGAGCAAAACTCCATCACAATCCACAGGTCCGAGCCGTGCAGATACGAGCCATGGTACTTCGTAACGTACGGCGAGTTCATGCCCGACAGAATCGATATCTCCGACACGATGTCGTCGACCTCGTCCTCCGCATTCTCCACATCGATAACCTTAATCGCGACGAGCTGGCCGGTGCGGCGATCGATACTATCCTCTCGTCAACACCCACACACAAGTCGTTCCCTCCCCCTCGCAGAAGGGATGAGGTGGTGTGGAATACGTACCCTTTATACACCTTTCCGAAACTGCCTCCGCCTATGCATTGCTGCTTCGTGTACAGCGTCGACGGATCCACCGATTCGTTCCGTAATGACATGGTTCCCTGTCTCTCTCTCTCTCTCGCTCCCTCTCTTCCTATGTGTGATCTTCCGTTTGTTTACCACCGACTCTGAATTCCCTTCTCGAATCCAATCGCCGTGTGTATCCGCTTGGTTTCGTGTTGGGTTGTTCTCGATTACGTCGTGTATGTGCCGTTACGTTATGTTATCGTCCCGTCCCGTTTTCTCTTCGAATTCTGCGGTGGGGAGGAGAGTTGTAGAAGGGTGAGGTAGGTAGGTAGGTAGGTAGGTAGGTAGCGACTGCCAATTATGCACCTCTCTTCAAGAGAGAATGCTCAGAGTAGCAGTGGATATGTTGCTTTTGGTTTCCTTTTCCCCGGGTACGATATATCTCAGTATATTCCCGCGTACCTCGAAGCCCCAGACGTCCAATTCGTTCAAAAGGTCGTATGCGTTTCTGTCGTGCGTGTATATTGCGTGCGTGTGCAGTAGGAGCCTGCCTCGCTGTTTGGGGTATCTAGACGTTGGTGTAAGTGGGGTGAGCTGGGTTGTGTAAATGTGGAGTTGTTGACGGTGATGATGTCTGAACAAGAGTTAAAAACATTGGGGTAAACAAAAGCGGGCGGATGGGTGGGCAGGTCGGCGGGCGGGCAGGTAGGTCAGGGTAGGTGGGTGGGCGGGAGGGAGAATAGATGATTGGGTGGAACCGGTTGGGTGCGTTAGATTGCGACTGATTGCGGGCGGGCGCTTGGTCGCTTCGTTGCCAACACATACAGACACTCACGGACGTGGAAGTACACACAGCAACGAGTTGACTACTCGATTGAATACTCTCTAACAATGCCGATATGATAGGTTTATTTCAAATCACCACCCGAAGAAGAACATGGGAAATACAAATCTACTTCCCCGAGAATCCAGATCAAGCAAAATCTCGTGGTCGTTGTGCAGGTCAATGCCTCGTTTCAGCACAAGCAAGATGCACGAATGTGATTCGCCCTCAAGCGTCCATCCCATATTCCTAATACTTACGCCTTGCCTTGCCTGAACTACAAGATCGCATAAAGTACAATCTACTGACGATCGATTTTGAACCTATCGTTGTAATCAAGAGGCAAACAATTACCACTGCGTGTGTCTCAAGTCACCTTCCCTAGCAATTAGACGGTCATTCTATTCACTTTCCATACGCACCTTGTCAAACCACCGTCAAACATCGTCGGGATCATTTGAGCCTTCTCTCTTGAAGGTGGAATGAAAAGAACTGAACGATAAGGTAAAACATTTGCTATTTCATTCATTCTTCCCTGTCCTCTCGAGACAAGGAAAGCTAGATCTTTCGCATCTGTACTAAGAACAAAAAATAAGAAGGGGTATCCCGTTATACATTTCTCCTGAATTCGGTTGGAAAGGTTTTTTGTTCGGTTGTTCCGTATCATTATCGAAAGGTTGTGAAAGGCCGTTAGATTCTCATCGTCATCATTTGCTATCGTGGGGAAGAAGGCGCGCTGAATGACTGGCTGGCTAGCAAAAGCGATGAAAGAAGCTCGTAAAGGATGTTATCATGAGTGAAGAAGGTGAAGGTAGATGAAGAAGAAGAGCAAGAAGAAGAGAGAAAGGAAAAAAAAAAAAACCTAAAAATGCAAGTATGAAGAAATATCAGAATCCTAACATGCGCTTGCATGCGCAACAGACTCGCGGGGGAATGCTCATGTGGCTAAGGTATCGGCCGTTACAACCTCCTCCTGATCCTCTCCGCCAGCGACGTCTCTCCCTCGTCTTCTTCTTCTACAGGCGCAGGGGTGTGGCGAGCCTTGCTCCTGTGACCGCGCCTCCGTCGATTCTGACCGACGTTGCTGGCTGAATCGTCAGGACCGACCTCACTTCTGAGATCCTCGAGGCTGCTGTCCACGTCGGCGAACGAAGCGGGCGTATCGGTGCGGACCTCAATGCCGCCATACACAGATCCGCGACGGCTCTGAGCAACCATGGAGAGTGCCGCACCACGCTCGCGAAGGCGGCGGCGGACGACCTCGGCCGAGTTGTGGAGTTGTTCGAACGCGTCCTCCATGGCTTCCATGGCGGAGTAGATCTCACGCTCGACTTCTGCGAGAACCGCAATTTCGGTATCTTCATCGATTTGGACGGGCGCACCTCCACCGCCTGGTCGTGTGGAGCCTGGTCGAGTAGATCCCGGTCGCGAGCCGGGACCGGGGCTGAAGGGTGTGTAGCCACGCGGGACTCCAGGTGATGCAAATCGGCGAGGGCCCTCGTCGCCGGGACCACGAGAAGGGTTACGAGAAAGGCCAGGGCGCACATCGGCAAGATCATCAGCACCAGACCACAAAAACCCATCGAATCGCCCAGACACGAGAATTTCCCATTCCTGTTTGGTGACCGCGGACAAGGTAGCTAAGATGTTATGCATGTCGGGATTTTTGATCAAGTACATGACCACGAGTTGATTTCTGGGTAATGCTCGGAGACGGTAGAGGCGTTGAAGGGCCAGGGCGGCTTTGGTGATTGCTGGAGGTGAAACATCTTTTCCTTCGATGTTGGATCGTGGGTTCGGTAGGTAATCCAATCCATATAAGAGTGCATAATAAAGAGGTCGCTGCTCTTGCTCGATTCGAGTCAACATCGCGAACGTCAAAGTCTCATCGTCGACCTCCTCCGGTGCGGATTCCTGTTGATCGGACAGCCAAGACTGCACGCTCTGTTTTGTCTTGCGCGACTGGCGAGCAAAATGAGCACGGTACTCTTCCGGAACATCTATGTCAACCTTCTGGCAGGGGTCTTCCAAGTCGATTCCGAGGCCTTCAGTAGGTTCATTATCAAGCGGAGGCCAATGAGGCAGGTCACATCTTCCAGAGACCAGTTCGAGAATCTCGCCCCAGTTGACACCGTCCTCCTCTTGTGTAAGATGCGGCTCGTCCAAACACATGATGCATGGGCAATTCTCGGAAGAGATATTGCGCGCAAAGACTGCCTCGAGACGGTCGAGAAGACGGCGGGCGACAGATCGATATCCGGTGGCGACGGCGAGAGACCCGTTCGTGTCGATGACCTTGTTGTAGTCGTCTAACAATTTCTGTAGAGGGGTGAAGACCGCGCGCACGTCCTGGGCTTGCGGAGGGCTGACTCTGGGCGATGTGTAATGTGAGTATGCTGTGACTGGGGCATTGTCGATGGCCGCGAGGAGGCTTCGCGGGACTGGCCGTGCTAGACCGCCGTGCTGGAGAAGGTAATCCACGCGGGGCGCGTCGGTGACGATGGCGGGAGGAGGTGGTGGGGGAGGGGGAGGAGGACCGGGCATTTGGACGCTGCTGAAGCCTGTCTCTGTTGACTGGGATCGCGAAAGGGGATCTGGAAAGATCTCAACGGACGGTGCATCGTCTTTCGATGCGGTCACCACTGATGGAAGCACAGAATGTTGAGTAGGCGTGCGGGGCGAGGAGTCGGCTGCAGAGGCAGGTGAGTTTTCCGAGTGTGAAGGCGATGATCTGTGTCGTCTCCTTGCCGTCTTCTGGGTAGCATCTGAAGACTTTGACACACTTGATGATTGCCGTGATTTGGTCCTGGAAGAAGGCGAGCGACGTGCGGTTGATGTCGAGTTTTGACGTGTCCTTTCTTCTGCTAGGTGTGCTGCCTTGTCGTAACCACCCTTCACTGTACTGGGCTGGGAACTGACGGTGGTCGAAGTCACATCAGTCTCGTCCAGCGCCGTGTCACCTCTTCCATGGCGAACGCTTGAACGTGAAGCGGTGGTAAAACGCCGCTCTGAGGTCAAACGGGTGCCGCTGTCCACACTCCTGCGCCCCGACTCCATCTCTTTATGTAAGGCTTCTGTCTTGCTGCGCCTGGTGCTACCCGGGCTCGACTTTTGCCGGGTTTCGGCTCCTGCTTTCTCGGTCAAGGGAGGACTTGGAGGTGCACGAGAGGGGCGGTTAGGGGAGTTCTCTTCGGATCTGTTCTGCTCGTCGTCATCGACATCTGTAGGCTCCGGCGTGAAGGGCGACTTCTTTCGCTCGGGGGCCTCGTTACCGCGGGAGTAAATATTCTCTTTCGCATGGGTTTTGGAGAGGGTCGGGTAGGACAAGCTGCTCCTGGAACCGTTTCGCGAGCCCATGCCTAGCGACTCTCTGCGATCCAACTCTGGAACGACGGCCATCTTGTGAGCTTTGGAGGCGGTTGTAGAGGGTGTGCGGAGTCGGTCCTTGGAAGGTTGCTCGCGAGGGTGGACGGAGGACTCGTCTTCCCACCACTCAGTCTGGTCGGAGGTGGTGGAGGTGGTCTTTCGCGATGACTTTGATCTGCTACTCTTGGGTCGCTGTATCTTCTCTTCCTCCCGGACCTTTTCGAGAATATCGTGTTCCCTATCTCTGTCCTTTGATCTGTGTCGTGTGCGCTCGCGATCGGGATCCTTTTTGGAGCGGCGACGGTGGGAGTGGGTGTCGGAGGAAGTCGTCATGATGGAGGAAGGGGAGGGCGAAGCCTCGGACGATGCAGGTGCGGGTAGGTGTGATGGGGATGGGTTGGGCTGGCCGGGATTGGCCTCTGGGCAGGAATAGCCTGTTGGAGGCGGTGGTAGTGATTGGAAGGGTAGAAAAGGTTGGAAGGGGGTTGCGTGTGCGTGTGTTCTGGATCGTACAGTAGTATTACTGGATTGTCAAGTACCGGCGCAACGAGCGGAAGGGATGAAGTGCGATTGGGCGGGTTTCTGCCAAAACCTGCCAATAAATCAGGGCGGCTATGGTGGTGGGCGGTGGGAGTGGTGGTGATGATGATTATGATGATGTGGTGGTGGTACTCGTACGCATCAGACGGGCCTGCCGACAGTCATGACGAGCGAAGAGTTGTCGAGCCGATGGAAAGAGGGACGAGAGGAGATTAATAGGTCAGGTGTGATGGTGAGACTGATTTATTCGATCGGTAGTAGTTTTTGGCGTGCGAAGAAGGCGAAGTCGTCGTTTTGTGGGTGAGACGTTGGTGCTGTAGGGTTGAAGGTTGAAGGTCGCTGGTTGGTGGGTGAGGCCTGTGAAGTCCGAGGGAAAGTACCTTGTATGTACTCGTAAGGTGGACAGGCACTGGCAGGTGAGGTGACCGCCCGACTGACGTGTTAAAAGAGAAGAAATGAAGAAAAAGAGAAGGAGAAGTAGAAGGAGGAAGATGCACAAGGAAGAGTAGGAGTAGTAGTAGTAGTAGTAGTAGTAGTAGTAGTAGTAGTAGTCAGGATAGAAGTAAAAACCACTCAAGGCGTGCAATGCATCGTTCAACAGTCGGTAACTCCCTTGCTATGAGACACAGACATGTAATTGCCTGTAATCCTCTAATAGCTATTACTACTAGGGATGGATGAGAATGACATGCAGTGGCCCCAGAGAATGACTTGGGGTTATCGTCTATTCTCCTATTCCTGTTCCTGTCCTTGCTGAACAGATCTTTTCCACAAAAACTCAAGTCTTCAGATTGGAAGAAGAAGACAAGAAGCAGCAGACTCTATCCATTCTTCACTACAAAAATACACTCGGTCTCTTGGTGGGTGTAAGGTCAGTGTAAGCTGCTAACCTGGAAAAGGCGGTGCGCATGTCGGACAGCGCACACTCTTCACACCTCCACTCCACTCTTACACATTAGGTAGTCTCCATCTCCACTCTACCCTTTCACCTCCACCACTCACACCTCACTCCGCACTCCACCAAAAGAATTCTCCTTCCTATCCCTTCCCTTCTCTTCCGACTTTAAACTTATTAATCTTCTATCCAGATGATGTCGTCGTATAATAGAAGAAACGAACGAAGAAAGAGAAGAAGAAATCTCCATTCGATGGAATAATTGCGAAGCTTCACTGGCATGGATGGAACCTCCTTCGCGAAATGCACATAGTAGTCCGCAGCCAATGAGACATCAAATCTTTTTTCGCCCCTCTACGGACGGACTAATCGTGGCATGGCAGTGCCTATACTGCAGTGAACATGTGCATTCTATTCTATTCTATTCTTGCAAAAGCCAGGGCATCAACCGACCGCGGTACCGACCTGTAACAGTTGATGCCCAGCCTGATCGCGCGTCCATCGTCGACCCCAGGGAATATCCATGTGCCTATCCCCTCCACTACCATGACACTCTACACCGCAAATATATCCTCGATAGCAGCTACTCCTGCTGTAGCTGTTGACTTCTAATGTCATATGCTTACCATTAACAGTGGACCACCAGGATAACTTCTGGCAATTTGCAAGGTTCGACGTCACTCTTCATTTCATCTCGATGTTCCGTAGACTGCCTGCACCAGAGGATTCATTACTCCCTTCCATACGTATTCGATATAATGTAACAATATAATTCCATCGACTCTACCTCCGCACGCGCCCTGAGCACTATCACATCTGAGAATGTCTCTGCCAATCCAAGTCCTCGAGCGCACAATCGGACGAGTTGCAACGGTTCGAACGGTGTCTTTGCGGCGTAGTCGTTGAATTCATCCTCAGCATGCACCGATTATCGTAGAGAACATCCGGATTCAGACATTGTTGAGACTGGCAGCTTGATGAGGATGTTCTACTAATTACAGAGCATGTTTCGATCTCTCGTGATACAGGGCTTGAGGGTAGTATTGCAACCTCCCAGGACTTTGACGATATTCGCATGTCTATGTCTTCATCGTATAGAACGATTGACCATTCAGACTCCACTTACAAGCCTGTTTTGCTCTTCATCATGAGTCAACCAGGAACCACCTAATCCCGATCATCACGATCACACCCGACGTCGACTTTCCAATCTTTCTTGACACGCCCGCAAAGCAAACGGCAAAAGCCCACCACCTCGCCCACCTCCACTCCGGCATCCCAATCACGAAAACCCAATTGCCTCGACCCAAGGTTTCTTCTGCAGAACAGTAATCATGACATTACAATCCGACCAAGACATTTTATACAGTTCCGTCCCGAGTCCCTAGACCTCGACCCCTTCCAGACCGCGCGTAGCATCCTCGGCGATGCAGTTCCTGATATCAAAGATCTCCACGACGAAGAGATGGAACTTGAGGGCATATAGGTGTACTTGATGACATGTATACCCGGGAAAACATGGCACGATGGCGCAAAAGGACGAGTTCCATAATCTAGAACCACGACCCTCCCCTCACTTGGCCGGATTATCTCCAAAGCCAAGCAGTGATTGAACTGTCGATCGCAAGCTCCGCCCACATTTCGAGCTGCTACCTACCTCCTCAAACCCACAAATCACCCCTTCCACACCGCCGCGAGGTAATTACTGGAAAACCTCGACAACCTACGCACGCTCCCGCTCTTCATCACTCACTTCGACCTGAACGACTTCAACCGGCCTCATCGACTAGGAACTCTCGCACCCTCTTCCCTTCGGAATGGGATTCACGCGTATCCGCACACTCACCGACGAGTTCTCCTCGGAGAATTTCATCACACCCCCCGATTTCGAAGACGTGGAAAGTGCGTTCTGGTAGGAGGTCTGGGACGGGATCTCAGAAGACGTCAGGAGTGTGGTCGCTGCTGGTGATTATGAGGCGGTATAAATCGTAGTTATACTTGGTATGCTGCTCGACGCCTTCCAGTTCGATGAAGGCAAATTTAGACCCTGTACCCCGGTGGTCCTCGAGGCTCTGCCAAAGCTGCTCACCTACCGCATTCCTTCCATCAGGGCTTTAGGATCGCCGCCATATTTGGATTAACTCGTTGAAGCGTACATGAAATTCGGTGTCGTTGGTGGGGGCGAGTCAAGTGGACGTCCACAGCGTGTTTGAACCTTACTCTACCATGATATCGGCAAATCTAGTAGTATTGATGCGGCCATTAATCCATACATGTCTGTTCAACCTCCCATAGATAATGCACGAGAGAGGTAGGTCTTCGAACGCCAACATCTCAGTTCACGGTAGATGAAGCAGAGATGTGACCTTGGAGATTTCTAATCTCACCCCACTATCTTTTCAATTTCCTCCGTATCTAGAGGGCGTTTCCACTTTGACGCCAACACGCAGGGAGTTGGGATCAGATTGGGATTAGAAAGTGGCTTTGGAATTGAAGAACTTACCTATGGAGCATCACCAATACGTACTTTGTGCAAGTCATATGTACGAGAAAAATTGTTATCACGATTGAATCCATACAGGTGAACCAAATCAGGAAAAGTAGCAGACAGATAGATTTCCATAAACAATGTGTTTCTTCTCAGCGTCGAGAACGAGAAAAAGAACTCGCGACTATTCGTACATTACACTACATTACATTTTATTACATTACCTCCCACTCCCTCCAGATACACACACACATAACGACCAAAAGTACAGCTTCCATCTCGAACACAATGGACAAAAAGTACGCCGAAACCCCTTCGATTCAAATCCAACCCAATTCCTATCCCATATTGATTCATTTCACGTCATGTCATAGTCATGTCCGATCCCTCAGAGCCCCACCTCATGGAACTTCGAGTCGCGATTCGGACTTCCCTTCCTCGCGGCTGCCTCGTCGGAAGGGAAACTCGGCGGCGGCGCGAGCCCCTCGTCGAAGTCGTCGCGCGCCTCCTCGTAGCTGCTCGACGCGCCGCTCCTCGTGGCGCCGCGGCCTCGGGTCTTCGAGCGGGGATCGTCGTCGGCATCCTCGAGGGAGGAGACGGAGGAGTAGCGGCCGATTGTCGTGCGGGTGTTTTGCGGGGTCATGGGTGCGGAGTCGTGATTTGGGGTTCGAGGGCGCGTCGGGGAGGTCGACTCGCGGAGGTTGACGCCGCCGATGAAGCCTGGTTTGTCGGAGTCGGCGGAGGCGGCGGAGTGACGAGAGCGGCGCTTGAATTTGCTTAGGAAGGATTTGAAGCCTTTTGAGGAGCGGGGGGAGGTGGGTGACGTGGGTGTTGTGGGGGATTCTGGTTCGGAACGTCCGGTGGTGGTGGGTTCGTGCTCGTGATCGGAGGCGTTGCGGTCGTCGGTGGATCGTGAGAAGCGTGATACTGGTTCGTTGGCGTCAAGGGTGTTGGATGCCTCTTCAGTTGCTGGTGCTCGTGTTGTGGTTTCCCCGGCAAGGGCAGAGGTAATGGTCAGATCCGCGTCAGTCACTGGATGCTGGTTCAATGGAGTCGCCTTTGCGGGTTCTGGGGATTTTGTAGCTGGAGCAGCAGTAGCAGCAGCAGCAGCAGTGGCTTCGCCAGACTTGCGTTTCTCTTTCGACATACGCTTCTCTTCTTTCGCTGCTGCTTTCTCCTCGGCCTGCTTCGTTTTGAGGGCTTTCTTCTCTTCTTCTACGATAGAATTAGTATGATATTCTCCCTTGACAGGGCTGACCAGTCTTACCCTTGGCCCGTTTCTCTTCTGCTTTCAGTTCGGCAGCGCGCGTCTTCTCCTTCTGCTGCTCCCGCTTCTTAAGCTCTGCATCCAACCGACGCTCTTCCTCTTCTGCCCTTCGCTTCTCCGTCTTTTCCGCAATCTCGTCTAAGGTTGGCTGGATCCTCGCCTGGGCAACTGCATCAATCTCAGACTGATCGACGAACTTCCCGTGGCCAATATGGACCTTTCCGTGGTTCTCCATTCGAGCTTCACTTGCTGCGACTGCTCTCGCGCGGGCCCTGTTGTCCCAGTCTTCCAACATAGCCGGCGACATCTTTCCAGTCTCGTCATAGATCTTCTTGTCGAGACCCTGCATCTGAGCCTGTACTTTCCGCTCGGCGGCCTCGAGGACGTGTCTACGGGCGTCACTTTGCTTCTTCGCGTCAACTTCGGCTAGTGACTTATTGAGCTGAGACATCTGCGAACGGATGCGCCTGGAGCGAAAGTCATCTTCGTCAGAGTCAGATTCCTCGGGGTCAGTCGATGCATGCGTGCGACTGCGTCGCATCGTCAGCTTCGAACGAGTCGGCTTCTCGTAGCCGTAGTAGCTACGGAAAGCGGCATTCTCGTCTGGGCCGATTTTGGACAGTCGTTCTGCAGCAAGCTTTTGTGCTGCTTCTTGTATGCCGATGTATCGCATCGCCTGCTCCTTGAGATCTGCCTCCGGGTTTTGCGATCGTTGATTTTGTGCAGCCAGGGCACCATTATGTGCATGTGACGGGTTGTTGGTCATCGAATTGGCACGTTTCTGTTGTACATCATACATTTGTTTGGCCATGGAGATGGCGGATGCACGAAGCGCAGCCGATTTCTGTTTTTCGTCCTCTTCCAGCGCGATTGGTGGATGTTCTGTGTACATGTCCCTCGATATGCTCTTTGCATGCTGTATTCGCGCAGCCTCCATAGCTCCAGACTCGAGTCGATTCGAGTCCGGATTGAGGGGCCGAGTCGGGGACTTGGTGGCTTTCATCGAGGGAGTATGCGCTAGTTTGGCAGCACTGAGCGCGTTCTTCGCGGAGTTGGCGGAATCAGGATATAGTGGTGGAATGACTGGAGTTGACTGTGCGCGTTGACGACCTGACATAGAAACTGCTCCATGAGCTGCTCGCAATGCTTTGTTGTTACGTTCAGTCTGAGCTTCAGCAGCGCTTCGGTCCACCGTGGGTCCAGTACTCTGTCTCTTCATCGCAAGTGTCGCAGCAGAGTGGCCGTCAGCGCTTGCTTCTGGCTGCCAAAGGTTCAAACCGGGGCCTCCCTTATGTGCAAGTAATGCAGCTTTTGAGCCTGCACTACTGGCTTCAGGCTGCCAGAGCGGTGCCATCTTGTAATCCTTAGCTAATAGTGCAGCTTTGCCAGCTGCTGCCGATTGCTCCGGTTTCCACCACTCCGGGCTCTTTCTGTTCGCATTCGCGAGATTTGCCGCAGTACCCGCCGAAGTCTGTGTATCGATCCCAACGACCGGAAAGCCGGGAAGATCTTGAGCTCGAGCGTGTTTTAAACTGGTGGCAGCACCTGGGGTAGGTGATTAGATACAACTATGAACAGGAGTGGAAGGGAATGGGGACGACTTGACACTCACTTGCTGACGACAACTTTCCATCAGGCCCCAGCAGGTCCTTCTGCTTCCCGGTCTTGTCCTTGGCGGAAGCGGAAGAGACAGCAGAGGGCCGGGTGCTGTGTAAGGCTGCAGCCGATGCATGATCCTGAAGGGTGGTGTTCTTTGTGTGGTGGGCCGACGGGTCCGGACAATGTATAATCGTACTATGATCTGCTGTATGATGCTTCATGGATGTGTTTGTAGCGTCACTTGGAGCCACCTGGGTTTGAGAAGCGGCCATGACGATCCGTCGCTTGCAGTTTAACCGGGGTGATTGGGAACGTAGGTTGCGGTATTGCGGATGATTTAATGGATGTCACGGCAACGGAGAGATATGGGGTCGAATTGAGGATTGTTGATATGGGTGAGGGATCATGGACGAAGATTGAGGGCGAGGAGTTGACGTGATGACCAAGTGATCTTGGACGACAACAATAAACTCTTTTAATGAACGGGCGATGCTGCTACTGCTTATGATGATGATGATGATGGCGGTGGTGGACGTAGCTATGCCAAATAGTTCTAGATGATCTTCCTTCCCCCCCATGATGTCACTGCGCGTGCCGCACCAGATCCAGCGAATCGCGTCCCATTGAGGGTGGCTTGAACCAACCATCATCTCACACTAAACATTGTCCAGCCTGGGCCCGGCCCTTTTCGTCTTCATGATCGCCCCGGGCAGCTGAAGATCTCGTCGTTAATTCGACTTCATCCACTTCATCCAGGACAAATTGATTATTGGAAAAGGCGTAGTTGTCTCAATAGAACTATGTGCTTTTCCCAATTCGGTCGCTGAGGTTCTCAATGTGGGACCCCTGAAAGCCTTGCCTCGGCGAGGAAACTGGTTTGGCCTTTTCCAACTGCGCCGATGTTTGTTGTAGAGTTTTCAGACATGGGATCCTTAATTAAGAGCTACATGTGAATTCAGATGCAGATTCCGCATCTTATGCATATTGCTTGAGAGGCTTAAGATCTGTGGGGTAGACATTCATTATTACTCAGAGGGAGATGAGATGAGATGGGATACCTTAGTCTACCATAATAGGATTAGCTTCAAGACGACGTCAGTGGATATGATACGGGAGTTAAGCAAGCAGCATCACATCGCAAACTCGTCTGCGATCTACAATCTTCAATCTTTTCATTATTGTTACCTTCGAGCTTATACATATATTCTAATTGACAGAAATGCCACAACCGCCACCGCAGAGCATAGCTAATTTTCGCGATGTGGGTGAATTCGTGAACGATCACACTGAGGAGAAAGCCCTCTATCCAGGATTGCTCTTCCGCTCAGCACGTCCAGGTGAAAGGACCTTTGATATGCACAGAAGTTGTAACTAATCCATTTGCTCAAGATGATGCCTCCTTCCAGGACCGAAACAGACTCATCAAGGACTGCAAAATCCGCACCATAATCGACCTTCGCACCAAGACCGAACACATCCAACAATCACAAAAGCGCAATGCACGCATCGCAAGCTCTGCAGCCGCACCGGAGTCCAACGATTCTGCAGCGGAACCTCTCAAAATCCCCAAAATCACCTATCACGAGATCAACTTCAATGGCCGCGACTTTTCGTGGATGCTCCTCTCCCAGCTGACCTGGTTCGACTTCTTTCGCTTGATCTTCCTCATGCTCCTGGGCTATCGCACGGATGCGATTAAAATTCTTGCACCAAAGATGAATGAGATGGGCCTTGTTGGCATTGCGAAGAGCTCTGTTGATGTCTGTAAGAAAGAGGTCAAGCAAGTCTTCGATATCCTTGCCAACCAGCAGAGTTATCCGCTCCTGTTGCATTGCACACAAGGCAAGGACAGGACGGGCTTGATCGTCATGCTCGTCCTTTTCCTCCTGGAGTTGGATGACGGCATAGACATCATCTCGAAAGATTACCTCGAGTCGGAAGAAGGTCTCAATTCAGAAAGAGATGAGATGTTGATTGAGCTGAATCGAGTCGGCATATCGCCTACATTCACGAGATGTCCACCCAATATGGTCTCGGAGATCTATGCACATTTGGAAGAGAACTATGGAGGGACGGAGGAGTACTTGCAGGCAGCAGGCGTATCGTACCAGCAAATCAAGAAGATACGTAGTATTCTTCACCGCTAGCTGAAGGACCCGTCCATATGGTTTGGCCCAAAGTGATAATGAGGGTCATTTTGAAAGGACAGATATGCAGACATGCCTAGTAGTCTTTACTACTCGTGTTTGACTAGTCCTGTTGATTGGTTTATCTCCCACAAGCGTAGTTCAAAAGCTAGGGTAAGTACGAGTAGCTGGACCTCCGGTAGCTGATCGACCGCTGAGGTTTTGATGACTGAGCTACACAGGCGTGCTTGAATGTGTACGTATAATTGTCAACACTTCTCAGGGTCCAGGACTGAGATGTACAATACAGAACAGAATAGGACATAGTTGCATACGAGTATGTTTGTGTTCTTCAACCCCTGAATTCGCCAACCAATGCACCGCCTATCACATGCCGCATCACGTCTGTTCGTTATCTAGCGTACACACTCCCACCGCAGATGTATGGATCTAGACTGTTTCAAGTCACAGTCCAGTCCCCCTTACAGTAAAGACAGCAACGCGGCAACAGTTATTGTATGTGTATCGTTCGAAGCAATCAGGGGAGCTATGTTCGCTTAATTACGTGTCTGAGCGGGACACACCGTCTCCGCTTGGCAAACCACCCTCCCACTCCGCACTCAACATCTCCACGAACACAATACAACTCTCGCTCCCTGCCAAAAAATTCTCTCGACAGAATTGACTTCCTGTAGGCATCATGAGCGCCTCCAATTCTGGAAGTGAGTTCGAGTTCATCGACACTCCTCCGGCCCCGTCCCCAACGGTGCCAAAGTTCGATTGTGGTGTCAGGACCACTTCGGTACGTGCTCAACTATTTTCCGATCCCCTACCCCGCGAACATTTATATCACATATCGAGCCATTGAGCTCTACAACAAAGGATAACGTTGCTGATATTCTGTTTATACAGTACCCAACCATTCCCAATGCTCCCCTCCCATCCGATAGCAATGGATCCGACTCCTTCTCCAACACGCTCCTTATCTCTCTCCTCACCCTCATCCCCGCCTGGATAACCTACCAATTGGGCGGTGGTTTCAAGACTTGGATCTTCTTCTGCTTGATCTTGGATCTCCCTATCCTCGCAGCGTTCTGGATCGTCACCTCCGAGTACTTGCCCCGCAAGAACGAGAAGGCCAAGCTCCCCGGCAAGCCCATCGAGCACTACTTGAAGTTCAAGAAGCAGGAGGACCGCGACCAGTACAATGGAAAGGCCAAGATCCCCATGGAGACTTTCTACGAGAAGTACTTCGATGGCGATGTTGAGTTCGTCGGTGATGCTTTGGACGTCCTCGAGCTTCGCCACGACTGGTGCAACTTCAGGTTCACTTTTGGTCTTATCAAGCATTTCCTCTTCGGCATGATTCCTGAGCTCATCATGCACACCAGGTCTCAAGGTGCGATTCTTTCCTTTTCGATTTCGAAGCTCAATTGATCAAATTACTGACGGATACACAGATGAGGAGCAGGTCCAAGAGCACTACGACCGCGGTGACGACTTCTACGCCTGGTTCCTCGGACGGCCCATGATCTACACCTCTGGTATCATTTCCGACATCAACCGCGAGGAGTCTCTCGACGAGCTCCAGAACAACAAAATGGCCGTCGTGTGCGAGAAGATCAGCCTCGAGAAGGGCGAGCGCATGTTGGACATTGGCTGCGGATGGGGAACTCTCGCTCGTTTCGCTTCGGTCCACTACGACGCCCACGTCACCGGTATCACTCTCGGCCGCAACCAGACTGCCTGGGGCAACAACGGCCTGAGGAAGGCCGGCATCGAGGAGGACCAGTCCAAGATTCTCTGCATGGATTACCGTGACATCCCCGTTCCCCAGGGCCGCTACAACAAGATTACCTGCCTCGAGATGGCCGAGCACGTCGGTGTCCGCCACTTCGGCGGTTTCCTCCGCCAGGTGCACGACATGCTCGACGACGACGGTGTCTTCTTCCTCCAGATCGCCGGTCTCCGCAAGGCATGGCAGTTCGAGGATCTCACCTGGGGTCTTTTCATGAACAAGTACGTCTTCCCCGGCGCCGACGCCTCCACTCCTCTCGGCTGGGTCGTCGACAAGCTCGAGGGCGCTGGCTTTGAGGTCAAGATGGTCGACACCATCGGCGTCCACTACTCCGCCACTCTCTGGCGCTGGTACCGCAACTGGCTCGGTAACAAGGAGAAGGTCACCGCCAAGTACGGTGCCCGCTGGTATAGAGTAAGTCATTCCAACCTCCTTACTCACTCCCCCCTTCCTTTCTTTAGTTTCCCCAAAACACACCCCATCACACATAACTCGAATCTAACCACACCAACCAAATAGATCTGGGAGTTCTTCCTCGCCTACTCGACCATCGCCTCCCGCCAGGGCTCCGCAACCTGCTTCCAGATCACGCTCGTCAAGAACATCAACTCGACCCACCGCGTCGAGGGCATCAACACGCAGTACAGTCTGGCTGGCGCCCTCGCCTCCGCAAAGGCCAAGATCACCCGCAAGAACAAATAGACGCATGCTCTACCTATGTACGCAGCTTTTGCGTCTGAGAATGCGTGTGGCTTGCGTGACGTCCTCGCCCTGGGGGTGAGATAGGCGGAATATGACCGTCCTCATTCTAGCCTTGACTAAGTAAAACATGAAAGGGCACGTAGAAGACGAACGAAGAAAAGAAAAGAAAAGAGGGAAAAGAAGCGGAAACATTCAAGGTGGTTGGTAAATCGACACGAAAAGTCGTCAACTAACAGCGAAGACATCCCGCATAGCAATTATTACTATTACTGTTACTGTAAACGACTATTTTTCAACATGTATGCATTGATTCCCCGTGCAACGGGGTGCGCCATGAACTACATTTGAGAAAAAGTAGCTATGAGATAGAGAAATTTATATTTATTGTTCAACGAATTGCCATGCATTATTTTGGTAGTTTTCGAATGCGTGAACAGTGCAAATAGTGACAAGGGGAGGGTACATGTGTGCTGAGCATGTCAAAATGACGTGACATTGAGATTGATTATGGATCTCACTTCAATTTCTTTTTCCACGTAGCATTCAAGGGGATGGAGGTACTCAATCGTAAGACAGTAGGTATGTATGTAGGACTCGAATCCAGCGTGTATATTTCATTTTTCATATCATGATGGCAGCAGCATTCTGTTCAAGAATCGTCAAAAAAAGAGCTCAAAGTATGCATCCATCGCCCGCCCGCCATGCAAATCCCATCGATGATCTCTATGCCATGCCATATATGCCTTACATCCTCACTTCCCTCGGCCGTCCGAGCTAGAAGAAAAGCTCCTTAAGCTGCTTAATCGTATCCTCGGGCCCGTCGACCTTATGTCCGATCGTCCTGTCGTCGCTGTAAATCTCCCAGTCGTTGCCGCCCTCGTACGCCTTGTCGCCGAAGAAATGCACAGTCGTGTACTCGACGCCGCCCTCGCGCGCCTTCTCGGCCTCGACGTGTCGCAGGCAGTAGGTCTTGTCCCAGCCGGTGGGGAAGACGTCGAAGGAGATCATGCCTCCGATGGAGTAGGTGAGGCCGAAGTCAGGGAACTTCTCCCTGAGGGCGGACACGAAGGTCGTGCGGATGTTGTGCTGCTTGTCGTAGGCTTCGAAGGCGGCGCGCTCGGCGTTCGTGGCGTTACGGCCGACGGGGGACACGTTGATCATGCCGTTGCGGAACTCGACGAAGGTGCCGCGCTTGAAGGGAAGGTCGATGTCGGCGATGTAGTGGAGGATGCTGGGGGGATTGCGTTAGTAGATTGCCCTGGTGAAGGGAAGGTCCTTGGTAGCAAGTGTTAAACGTACAACTTGACGAGCTCCTTGTACTTCTCCTCGCCGATCCACTCGATGAAGCTGTTGCCCTTCAAGGGCTCGCCCAGGCGGTAGGCGGTAAGACCGTTCTCTGCGAAGCAGAAGTCGAAGAGCGAGGTGACGTTCACGTCGGAGGAGCCCAGCTGCTCTTGCTGCTTGGAGAAGTCGGAGCCACCAACGTAGCCGATGGCGACCTTGTGACGGAGCTCAGAGAGGAGCTGAAGCATCTCGGGGGTGGCATGCTGGAGGGAGAGTTGTTAGCTTTGGTATTGGTGTAGGATTCGACAGTGAGAGAGAGCTTCGAGGTGCAGTTGTAGATAGAAATTTGTCGAGTATTTATATGGATACTCGATAGAAGGGAGGAAGGCAAACATACTCGGCGGGCGGGTGTAAGAGTCTCGTCGACGTCGAAGAGGACAATTGTGTTCTTGATAGGACGCTGATCCAGCGGGGGGTAGACGGCAGTTGCGACAGCCATCTTGACGAGTATCTGGGGGTATAGGGAAAGAAGAGGATAGGATGAACAAATTATAAGCTCTCAAAGCTTTCAATTGGGGGTATAGAACAGCAAGGGAGTAGATTGAATGGTTGATCGAGGGAGGTGTTGTAGCAGTAGTAGTGGTCAGTAGCACGGGGAAAGGAACACGACCATGTATTATTATTTTTGGAGGGGCAGAGTAGAGTAGAGCGAGGGAGGGGGGGAAGACAAGCCGACGGGGGTGAGTGGGTGGACACAGCAGGGTTCCTTTTTCAGGGGTCCAGCCAGTCACAGGTACACCCTCACATCCACCGAACTCCAGACTATCACACCGCCAGATCTCCGCATCTTCAAACTATCATCCTTTTTGACTGTGTATTTTCTTTTTAGCTGTTGCACTTGCAGATGTTTTTACTGAGGCTAATCCCCATGTGCATCAATGTGAACTCGTTCGATTCATACTTACCTTTGTCCCAATGATAGTGCTGAATCAATCATCTCCCAGGTAACATCTTGAACTCAAACTGTCCCTCCTCCGGTCAATCTGGCATTATCGAAAAACCCCTCTCAGAAGTCCAGCTACGGGAAACATGACATGTAAGATGAATCATTTGACACTCGATTCGAAAAAGGAATACCCACCCAGGTAGTAATCAATACGTGGCTGTCTTTGTCCGTAGAATCTGTCCTGTGTCGCATGTAACGCCTCAAGCCCTCGCTCTATTGCCCAATGTGGTATCGCGTCCGGAAATGCTCCTTTGACGACATGTCAACATCAACATCACTTTATTATTATGAAGAATCAAGGATGGACCATGGATACCATGTAATTGGAAATCAATCTCGGCATTTGTATCTGTGATTTCGAACCTCTCATGACCCTCTCTGTGCACAGGGAAAAATGGAGTGACGTCAACCTATCACAGCGCGCTTTCCCTCCTCCAATTCACGGCCTCATCCTGTGCCGTGCCTATCACAGCGCGCTCCCCCAGCTCATCTCCTTCACTTACATTCATGTATACTCGTCACCACAGTGCCTCATTGGTGAAAAAATGCAAAAAAAAGAATGTCCACCTGTGTCCCTGTCCTGACACTATGCATTGCATTGTAAAGTGAATGAATACAGTACTGTGATCCTATCTACTGCTCCAGCTGCTCGGCAGACATCAGACAGACACAAAACCAAAAGATCAGAGCAAAAAAAATAAAAGAGCAAAAAAAAAAGCAAAAAAAGAATGGTTCCTCCGCTTGTGTCCCTGTCTCGAACCCCCGCTCCATCGTGTAGTAAAAGGCAATGCTGGGGAAACTATCTACTATATTTACCTTTGTTGTTTTGTGTTGTTTTGTGATAGCTGAGCTATTGCTCCGGTATTCCTGCCCCGGGCTGGCTATTGGATGTAAGGCATTCAAAATAAAAGGCATTATATAGGGCGTTGAATGAGGCTGGAGGGTAAAGGGGACCTAGCGTAGGAGAGGGCAAACAGCAGTGGGAGTCACATGTGAGGGTATTAGGCAGGCACGTGGGGCTGGAGCTCAAGGCGAGTGTGTAGGAGGCATGTGTTTGAGCGCGCAGTGTGTGAGCTCAGCGTGTCAACAGTAGCTGTTCCTTCACTGAGATACTGTGCTAGAGCCTTCTGAAGCTATACACATCGATCACTTGGGCAGTCACAGCGTCCGAGGATACTATCTTGGTGTCTGTTGCTATGCATCGCATTGAGGATGCAATATGAAGCTTCAGTGCGCACTCCAGTGAGTGCCCTTTCCATCACATCTTCCTGGCAGAGCATCCCAGGGCGGCACGCAGGTTTGGTCTCGACACCAGTGACACTGAGACACCTCCATCACCAAGGCAAGTCGGAAGGAGGACTGAGATGCAATGCGCTCACCCAGAACCCAAACACCCTGGACCTTTCTCCAATAGCACTCTTCAGTGTTTGCAGTACCTTTGACTCTACTGACTTGACACATCACAGCCCAACACGATGTGTTCGAAAGACTTCAGCTGCACCTACCTACAACACGCTCTGCGCCTTCAGAGCGCGCCTTCAAGCAAACGCATCCTTGACAGATAGTGCGCTGTGTTCCCAATAACGCGCCGTGTTCCGAATGACACGCGTACACTTACACCTCCAAACCGCCCAGAACAGTGCAACCTAGTGCCCAACTCTTTGACCTTACTGTACCCTTATGTATTCCCAGCTTCTCTTACAGTGTCGAGCATGGCGACACAGGCAAGTTCGCAGCAACCGGTCATGTCCTCAGAGACACTACCGTGTTTTCGAGGTCTCGGGCGTCACTGTCGCATCGATCGAATTTCGGAAGTGTTTCCAGTTTGCCTGCTGTATGGCATGATGGCCCATGTCCAAGGGCTTACATGTAGAGCACCAGGTATCTCAGTAACATACCAGATGTCCTGGAGTTGGCAGGCGGGGTTCGAAAGCACCTCTCCTTGTCCACACTGCGCTTACATTCCGAAAGGATATCTGTCCTTCATCATGAGCTTTGCTCGTCACATCACATCGGCGCTTCCCTCAGACCGGGCACCGCATACCCTCGAATCTACTATCCAGAGTCACAGTCACCTCACATAAGAATACGCACATCACAGGCATTTAGAGAGGGTCAACAAGTTAGCAACCAATCGAAAAGCGATATATTTCAACTGTAACGCTCAAAAAACAAAAAAAGAAGTAGCATACATGGCCACAACAGTATTCCTCCGTCTCCTTGCCACAAGCTCTGTTAAGTTACGGCAGAACCCAGCGCCCCATGAAGCGTTCCTGGGATCGGTTGTACACCATGAAGCACTTTGCTGCGCGCGTTGCACCAGCTCGATGTGTTGTACTTCTCCGAGAGTAGCATTTACGAGAATGCTTGTGTGTTTGAGCCTCCATCGCATGATTCTCGAAATTGGTTTTGAGAGCAAAAACCCATTGCTGAGTTCTACTACAAGGATGTGGCCCCTGATATACATGTTTTCCTGTACTTGTTCGCTTGTTTGAAGCGAAGAGAAAGGTTGAAGAATTGTTGATTTTCTTTCCCAGAGTTTCTCATAGATCGACTGTGCTCAGGTTTTTGGGTAGGCACACGAACAGAAAGGTTGAAGAATCATTGTTTTTCTTCCCCAGAAAGTTTCTCATCGATTGACTTTGTCCAAGTCTTTTCGCAGGTGCGCGAACAAAAAGGTTGAAGAATCGTCGTTTTCCTTCTGCAGAAAGTTTCTCATGGGGGTAACATATACTGAACTCCAAAACTTTTGGATGTACCTGCAGTAGTCCCAAGATCCTCCAGACATGAATTGCTCTCCTGCCATTCTCGATGTTGTAGAACCTAGGGAAGAACTCGACGAGCTTATCGCACTCCTGTTGCTGGTTGTCGGGAATTAAGATTCCACAAGCCACTTCCGCCACGCCATGTGGCGAATCTTCTTCCTTTGTTTCGAGACCCACTTCTTCGAATGAACTTTTGATATCTCCAGGTCCAGAACATGACAACATGGAAATGAACATTTTCATATATCTTGTCCACGCATATTGTTGGTGCTGGCCGATTTTGTTGAGTTTTGATATCTCCAGGTCCACAACATGAGAACATGGCGAGCCAACGTTTGGAGTGTTCGAGTTTCGTTTTTTCGGCTGTATGGCGCATTTTTCGAAAATTTCATATCCGTTCTCTGTAAACTTTTATGACCGAGTCCAGAAAGGTCATATCCAATTCATCTCATTGGTTTGTTCGAGCATGAAACGATCGCCCGAAGGGTCAGGGAACATTTGGCGTTGCCTGTCGTGTTTTCCGGATCCAAAGCATTTGTGAGAGAAGAATTGGAGAGGGCCTTCCCTACATACGTCTTGGGGAACATGGTTCCTGGGACGAAAGTTTTTCCCCACATTGGGTAGGGGAGGGTTATTTTTTCGGAGCATGGAGAGGAGCCTGAAGCTTCGAAATGTTCTATGTGTCTACCCCTGAAGACACATCGGTTCCCATGTAGAAGGCTTTTCCCCACATTGGGTAGGGGAGGGTCACTTTCCGGAGCATACCGCGACAAAATGCGGAATGTGTCCACCCCCGAAGACACATAATTGCATCTCTGAAGGGGTTTGTTGTTTGGGGTGAAAATTTCTTCCGGCAACATCTTCATGTGAAAGTTTGATGCGATCAGGTCCGAGGACACATGATGAAGGGCTTCTGCCGTGAGGGGCGAAAATTCCAAAGGCGCAACATGTTGGCCATGAATGCGCCTTTGGATCAAGTTTTTTTCGATTTTTGGTGATAAGATCGAATTTCCCTCCAGCTTCTCTCGAGAAAAGTTTCACATTTCAGGGCCAGCAGAAACATCATAGGTTTCGAAAGTTTTGTTGCCGAGAGGAGAAAAGGCGGAAGAATTGTTTCGGCAGGAGCAGGGCCAAAGGAGACAGAGCAGGGCATGGTGTTGACCAAAGGGGAGTTTATGGTCAAAGGACAGCCATGATATAGAACAGACAAGTCTTTCGATGTGGAAGAGTTGTGGTGAGGTGTAGAGGAAAAGAAGAAGCAGCCCTGGAAGGGGATTTGGGGTGCCTAAATACCTGAGGGATTGGGTACGTGCACACTTCGAAGTGACAGTGATTGACTCTTCTACTCATGTGACCCTCTGAGTGCGTTATGACCAGGTGACAAGCAGTGAATGTGGGTGCTCGTGCGTATGACAATCGGTCGATTTGCTCACCATTCACCTAAACCGCTTGGCTGGGTCGCGTTTGCTACTACTGGATTCGGAGAGCAATGCGTACGACCTATTAGTCTGTGACAAACTGTCATGGTTGATACTACTGCATGACTGCTCTTTTTGTATATAGAAGGAGTCACTGAGTCGAACATTACATCATAGGGGTCACAACGCTTCCAGAGCAATTCACTCGAGTCCAAGATAGCAAACAATATGGGTCACAACACAATCCCAACAGATCTCGATAATACTGTCAGATAACGTCATGAGAGGGTCACAGCGCAACCAGGGCAGTCCATTCACGATCCAGATAGCAAACGATACAGATCACGGCACAGTCAATGCTGGTCTCGAGGATGTCAAGATATGATACTGTAAGAGGGTCACGGCACGCAATCCGGGCAAGTCTTCAACATCAAGATAGCAAACGAAGTGGGTCACAGCGCAGCTATTGAAGGTCCCAACTATGCCATCATAGGGTTGCAATAGCGTGCACGGGATGTATCAAGGGAACAAGATGCAATTACTATGAACATAGATGTCCGGGGTATCCTCTCAAACAAGTAATACAAACAGGAGGGGCACTATGCATGCGACCCATGATGCTCTGACAAGGCTGCCACTACCCTCGAATGTTGACTCCGTTGGCCGTGGACCTCCTTGAGAAGAGCCACCTCCTTGGGTGTCTGTAGGTGTGGAGAGTACAGTCGTTGACCCTTCAACAATCACAGTCTGTCCAATCGTCGCTGTACTCGTCCCACTAATGATGTATGCAGGAATACTCGTTGACACGCCGTTGATTGTAGTTGGAATCCAGGTGGCTACTGCAGGGGGTGCAGCAAGAACTGTCGTTTGCCCTGATACTGTCACGGTATCGCCAAGATTGGCTGTACTGGTTCCATTGATGATGTAGACCGGCACAGCAGTTGGCACGCCGTTGATAGTAGTCGTGATCGATGTGAACACAGTCGGCGGCGGTGTAAGTACAGTCGGAGTGCCATCCAGTGTGACAGTCTGGCCTATCGTTGCAATCGACGAAGATCCCGGAATCACAAATGCAGGAATCGTCGTTGACTGATCTGCTATCACAGTTGGAATCATTGTGAAGACTGGCGTCGATGGGTCACGGGGTCTCCCTGCAGTAGGAGTCACGGCGGGAATCGGTGTAATTATGTCGGGAGGTGGTTGGCCTCGAATGCTGGATTGGCCGCCGATGTTCGAAACCGCACTCTGGAATATGTTCCCTGTAGCTACTGATACTGGATCCTCGAAACCTGAAACAGTTGACTGTACGCGGGGAATGTCGATAGTTTTGTCCGGCCCTGTCGGCCTGGTTGGCTCTTCCCATCCCGTTGCACTAGATTCGACATGGCCAATACCAACAGAGTGTATCTCGGTGTATACTGTAGAAGTTACAGTGACGTATTTAGCAGCTTCGAACTTGGTTGGAGTCGGCTTGTGTGACATCGACTCGCAGAAGGAGAAAGCAGACTCCGACGGAAAATTCTGGTCAAAGAACTTCTTATCAGGTTGTTCTTCAACAGGGACCCAGAGTGGTTGATGGTCATAACCAAAAGGATCGTTCTCATCTACTTTGACCTCTGGGATAGGGTACGTCGGCCATTCGAATAAAGGAACATTGGATGCTTCTGGACCTGCAGTCGCGCAAGCAGGTGATAGTGATTTATCATGTGTTTGGAGGACACCCTCCCACTGATACTCGGTAGAATAAGTCATCCATGGCGTCGGGTATGTGATGGGAGTCCAGAAGATCTCGCCATCTGGAAGAGGCGTTGCTATAGTCAGTACAGCAGTGCCCTGTTCATTGTATCCACGTTCGTAGAGTTGATACTCGGATGGAACGATGCTGTATATCAACTCTGTAGAGGGAGGCAGTGTAATATTCCCAGAAGCCCTTATAATGACCATTTCAATCGCAGCAGTAATCTTGGTAGTGTATATGATCTGAGTCGTTGGGATCCATGATATAGCAGAGAGCTGAGGGTAATAAACCGAGCACTGATTCTCGCAAGGCAGTGCAGTGACAGTGGGCGTTGCCGTTGTTGTATTCTGGATCGGGAATACCGGTGTAACGACTGGTGTAGCTACTATGGCTTCTGTCAGAGACAAATCTTTCCTGAAAGGGGCGCAAATAATACCCTGGCGTTGTGCAGAAGCTGTAGTAGCGCACGCGCCCACTACAACCCCTAAAACATAGCTTCGTAACTTCATCGCGAGTATCGCGAATGCACCTAGAGCAAGCGCTGTCGAAGTAACGATAAACACGAGTAGCGAGCGTGTGAAGTCGGCTTAAGCATGATGGCAACAGATCGGGCGGTGGATGGCGTTATGAAGGGGCTTTTTTGGGCCAGAGACGACGTAGGATTGGAAGGTGAGTTCCAACGCGCCATCGCAACCCTCGTATCCAAGCTTCAGCTCCTATGTATAGAGAATTGGCGTCGCGTGGCTTCGGAAGAATGCATGTCACCGCGGGGTCGTACCGCAGTATGGGGCATGTCCATTTCGTATCAATGTTGGACTTGAAAAGCTTCATGTTTCCCTCCAACCTGAACTCTATTCGGTCGTTTTCAACCCCATTCCTATCCTCTTTTCTTTGACGAAGAACGTGCAAAATGCAGCTCGACAATGAACATGCCTGAGGGCTCGAGCACGGTCTGGCCGAATGGTGGCGCACAACGACAAGGTCGACTCTTGACGAAAAAGGAAGATGGACAAAGATTCGCAAGGGTTGTGCTGGCTGATTGGACGATCGGGGAGATCAAGGGACGGGAGGCAGCAATGAATGCGAATTTGGGGGCCACGCAAGAAATACCAAGTCTTGGGATTTCTAACTGGCCATGAAGTTGCACATCACGTGCTCTTCAGTAAGAACGGTGACGAGTCTCAACTTCATCGAGGTTCCATGGTGATGATATGAACAAGTGTCGAGACGTTGGTGCCGGGAGATGTGTGAAGTCTCGTTCGTGTGGCTGATGCATGACGGTGGACAATGTCAACCATCGTCCCAGGGCTGATGCTATTCCGGGTAACCAAGGCCAATAGTACGTCACCCATCAACCATCAATATATTCTTAATTAACTGACCACCTCCTAACCAGGTAAATAACTTCCTGCAGAGCGCCAACCGAGCTACATAGCTACTGATCATAGCCAATACCTTTCTGCGCTGTTGGCATTTTATGTTCTCCTTACACATGAACTGTCTGGCCTACCATGCCATCGTCAGGCTACCAAGCTCCATGTACTGCCCACAACCACTTCCGTTCTTAATCTGGACACCTGGTTTCCCTCGCTTCCCCGGATCCCAACTACATACTGCCGGTGCACATTGTTCCTCGAATGACAGAAGTATCCCCTATACCAAGAATGCAGCGGTCCTACCTGACATCGCAACAAGCCTCTCGAGGACCCACCGTAATAGATACTAATGCTTCATTATTCTTGGCTCTCCAACAGCGACCGTGCATCAATATACCTCTGTGTACACAGCTACAAAGTCACGAGCAGGATTATCACTCTCGAGGTGTTCAACATCTCGGCTGAGCGATGGGGTACGACGGCCATAATTGAGTATTGTGATGAAAGGTAAAGCGGTGCTGTGTTGATAGAAACAAGGGCGTATCAGTATCAATATACATCTTCCAAACGGTACGAGTTGCCTTGAGACACTTCGACCTGCATTACTGCATTGCTGCATTTGCTTGGACCTAGCCTTCCGACCCGGTTACTTCGTCCTGGCTTGCATAGCTACTTCCTGGCGAAGTACTGTCACGAGGCCACATGTTACTGGATGTACCTGTACATGCACTCTAGTCAGGGTGTGCATGTGTAGGCCTAGATGCTACTATATTGCAACCTTGTTGGTCTAGCTTCGGCTCTCAGCCTGATCCGGTTTGGAAGACACGATACTGATAGCCTAGGCGAGCTTGCTTCATATTGCTGAACTTGCTTCAGATGTTCCCTCTTTGTATGCTCTCCGACTTGCATACCTCTTTTTTGAGATACCTCTTACACTGAGAACTATAACTTGCTGACGTTAGACAGTTGAACGTAGGACGACTAGTTGTTCTCAATGTATCTACAACTATGCATCAAATCTCAATTGCCTGCGCCAATTGTCCAGCACCTGACAGACCTCGGCCGTTCTGCGTAGCTCTCCATGAGTTAATCTATTTCAACCCGCCACCTCGGAAACAGCTATAAGAATGGAAGCATTTATTGTAGTACAGCATGTTCGGTGCAGGGAAGAAGCTAGAGCCTCCTTATATTACCCTCTACTATTATCACAAAGAGCTCGCGGAGTGTCGATCCGCATCTTGAACTTCTTGGGGAAAGCTTCAGGCCTTGGTGTTCGCGCCTGGAGTGGACTATGAAGGTTCCGGAACCGTAATAGATTGCAAGATGTGCACACTGAGGATAACATCGCGAACCTCTCCTGAGGAGCGCCGGGGAACCTGCTCATCGAAGCCGAGTATCATTCCATGACCGGAATACGAAGCCGTTGGAAATGAAGCCTCTTGATATCAGTCGAAACCTAAGGTTGAGGATATCACCATGGCCTCGAGGTGAGATGTATAAAGCAGGACCTCATTCCGATCATCATCGTCTTCATCTCATCATCATCAAGCATCTCGAGTCTGCAGTCCTCCATCATGTTTGCTAAAGCCGCTCTCTTCTCCTCGCTCCTTGCGATCGGAGCATCAGCTCAGAAGGTAGCCACTCTGACTACTGAGACACATCCTAGCCTTCCCATCCAAGAGTGCACCTCTGCTGGCTCTTGCAAGTCTCTCTCGACCACCGTGACTCTCGATGCCAACTGGCGCTGGTTGCACACAACCACCGGCTACGACAACTGCTACACTGGCAACTCCTGGAACACCACGCTCTGCCCTGATGGCAAGACTTGCGCCAACAACTGTGCTCTCGATGGCGCCGACTACTCTGGCACCTACGGTGTCACTGCCTCCGGCGGTGCCCTCACCCTCAAGTTCGTCACTCAGGGTAGCTTCAGCAAGAACATTGGCTCTCGACTTTACCTCATGGCCTCCGATACCAAGTACCAAATGTTCAAGTTGCTGAACAAGGAGTTCACTTTCGACGTCGATGTCAGCAAGCTTCCCTGTGGCCTCAACGGTGCCTTGTACCTTGTTGAGATGGACGAGGATGGTGGATTGGGCCGATTCTCCACCAACAAGGCTGGTGCTAAGTACGGAACTGGATACTGCGACACTCAGTGTCCTCATGACATCAAGTTCATCAACGGCGAGGTACGTCTGCTCCCCCCTCAAACCCTTCAACCCCCCTATTCCACCTTCCCATCTGCTCCTCAATCCAAATTGCAAACTAACGCATCACACAGGCCAACGTAGAAGGCTGGAACCCGTCCCCCAACGATGCCAACGCCGGCTCCGGCAAATACGGCTCCTGCTGCCACGAGATGGACATCTGGGAAGCCAACAGCATCTCCACCGCCTACACGCCCCACGTCTGCTCCGTGAACGGACAAGTCCGCTGCTCCGGCACCGACTGCGGCGACGGCGACCAGCGCTACTCCGGCATCTGCGACAAGGACGGCTGCGACTTCAACAGCTACCGCATGGGCGACAAGTCCTTCTACGGCCCGGGCGCCAAAGTCGACACGAAGAAGCCCTTCACCGTCGTCACCCAATTCATCACGTCGGACGGCACCGACACGGGCAAGCTCTCCGAGATCCGCCGCCTCTACGTGCAGAACGGCGTCGTCGTCAAGAACAGCGTCAGCGCCGTCTCCGGCGTCACTGCCTCCTCGTCTATCACTGATAACTTCTGCAAGGAGCAGAAGACCGCGTTTGGCGATAACAACGCGTTCGCGAAGCTCGGCGGCTTGTCTGCCATGGGCGGCGCTATCGGCCGCGGCATGGTGCTCGCGCTGTCCGTCTGGGACGACCATGCTGTCAATATGCTCTGGCTTGACTCTACGTTCCCGACTGACAAGGACCCGGCTGCCCCTGGTGTTGCTAGGGGCACTTGCCCGACTGATTCCGGCAAGCCTGAGGTTGTCGAGGTCGAGAACGCGGATTCGAGTGTCATCTACTCGAATATCAAGTTCGGTGCTATCGACAGCACGTACAAGGCTGGCGGCGGCACGACTCCTCCCCCTGAGAACCCGGGAACGCCAGGTACTGGTGGAACGGCGAACAAGTATGAGCAGTGTGGTGGTATGAACTGGACTGGTCCTACGGCTTGCAAGGACAGCACCTGCAAGAAGGTCAACGACTGGTATAGCCAGTGCTTGTAAGGGAGGCACGCGTAGCTAGGCTAGAGATTCGATGTTGAGTTTGTTCTACTTGTATATAGTTGGTTCAGGGTGTTATTGAGGTTACAGAGAGTAGAAGTGAATTTGATTTTGAAGCAATTGAATTTTTGAATCGAACTTCAGGGGTATATCGTGTACAGTCTATATACAATCAAGCAAGCACTGGAAGGCCCACACATCTAAGCAACCGACCAAAATTCTGTGCTTCTCAAGGTGCCCAGCGTAGGCGTTGGTGTAGGTGTGCCTTGAAGTCTACAGGGTTTTCAGGAATATCAGGTACACACTTCCATGAGCATCCTTGCCTTTTAAAAGGCAACTCACTTGCAAGGTAGTACCACACCTCCAACCACTCAGTTGCAGCGACCACAAAGTTGCGACCGCAAATGGTACATTTCTTGAGCGGATTGTGAAAGCGCCGTTGGTTTTCCCTTGCTTTGTCGAGGAAAAACTCTACGCTGGCAGGTAGAGAACGAGCAGCCTCGAGGAGAAAGAGTTCAACGTCCGAAGGAGTGAGATGTTCGAGACTTTTCACCATGGATGCAGAGAGTAGTGGTGTGCATCCAGATGGTGGTCGGAAATTGCTGGCTGGTGGACCGACTCTTCTACCATGCAAGTAGACGCTGAAGATACACTCCTCAGCGGCAGATTGGGGAAGTTTTGGAGAGCCTGGCAGGAGTTCACCGTACTGGTTGTAGAACGAGACCTCGGTGTTGCCGATGTGATAAGCCTTCAAGTTTGGCTCCACGGTCCCCAAAGGCAGTTGCTTCCTGCGCAATATGCGTATCACGCGTGCGGCCTCACCAACGTTCAGAGTGTCGAGGAGATTACTGAAGTTGGCCTCATTGAATCCAGCTAAAGTAGGCACATACACGCCATCAAATTCCTGATTGCGTGCTGAAGCCAACTTTCGGCACAAGCTTCGGATTGATTCTTGCGCTTTGGGTAGGGTGGGAAGGTCACAACCATTCACCCGTATCGACTGCAGGCTGCCGTGTCTCGCCATATCTACCAGCTCAAAGGGAAGTGAAGTAAGTGGATTTAGTGAGAGATCAAGGGTCGTAAGATTGCGAAGCTTGTTGATCTGTGGAGGCAGCTCACGTATGCTGTTCTCGCGCAGGGTGAGCGCCACAAGATTTTCGACGGCAAAGAGCTCCGCGTGCGGGAATTGGAGGTTGTTTTCTTTTAGGCTCACGAAGAGTCTGGGGACCATGGTGCGGAATTGACCTTCGTCCGGAAGCTCGGTGTCTGGGTTTTGGGGTGGAACAATGACTTGGTTGAGAGCTGCGATACGGGCTATATGTTTGTCCTCGAGATGCCGTCTGCTTAAGTCGTAGAGCGTGTCATTATGGTTGACTCCTTCCATAAGATGGGCAACCATGGCTTCCTCGACTGGGTCCATGATTGTATCTTTCACCTTGGTCTCCTCCTGCGCCATTTCAGAATCGTCACTCAGGAGCCAAACTCCAGAGTCGAAATTGCGGGTGAACCTCGATTTTTTGGATATAATCAAAGGCGGCGGTTCTTCTGTCTCGTACCAGGGACCTACGCGCTTTCGCTTGAATCGTGGCGATATATAATTAGTTGCGTCTTCGCCGTCGAAGGGGTCGTCGCTGGAGAAGAGGGGCGGTTCGCTGGAAGTTGGAGAGGGCGCGTCGTGGATGGGGGGAAGCGGCGGGGAGCTCGGAAATAGAGGGGCCATTGTGAGGGCTTTAGCGAGGCAATGCCCAGTAATCGCAAGTAAAGGTGTTCACTGAAAGGGGTGATAGTTAGTCCGGCTGTGTGAAGGTGAAGGCGTGAAGGGTGAGAGTTGTGAGGTGAGAGGATGAGTGAATGGATATTAGAGGAAAGCGGAAGGCGGGCACGCGTTGTGATGATACCTCGTAGTAAAAAGAACGCGAAACAACCCTGACCTGAATAAGGCCGATCGGACTTCCCCACTCGATTACTGGTGAGACTAACTCAGTGTGGTATAGAAGTACGAGGCACTGTGATTAACGAAGTATGTAATGACTCTATTACGAGTAATGGTCAGTTGGTTGGTTGTTTCATACAAGTTCGGAGAGGAGAAGAGTTCTGTTCTCGTCTCTTTCGTCATTTCCAGGGTCTCGTGCATATCAAACGCCGAGGAACAACATTGGATGACGCGCACTGACTGCGGATCCACGTGAGCTTCAGAAAGTATCCGAATCGCGTCCTTCTAGACCGAACCCCTTAGTTCCTCGGTTTTGTCTGTTCTTATTATTTCAGGTATATACAATTACTGTCACATATATCCTTCGTTCTATGTCTGGCCGTCAACCTTTTTGGAAGATGCAATGCTGGATATACATAACTAAACACATCAAACAGGAACGAACATGTAACCCCCGAAAAACAGTACTGTGCCCCTGAACAGGATGCATCTCCTGCAACTAGACGCCCCAAAAAGATGATAAACTACAGAACATTACAACCCAGCCAGTCGCCGGATAGCAACATTCGGCAACAATCTACCTTCCATTTGAAGATCCTTCCCTTTCAACGGCTTCCCCTGACTCATTGCTAGTTCTGTCAAAACCTTTCCCAAGGACCGGGTTGGTGTCATCATAGATTTGTATACTGCATCTATGGGTGCCAACAGCATCTTCTTGTATAACGCCTGGTGCGGCATAAACTTATGAATCTCGGGATGGTGCCTCCAATCGACTGCGCCAGGTCGGGCATTGTACACATTCAGATTCGGTGTCTGCTTCCCCAAGTCGAACAATGCTTGCTCTATTTGCCCTTTCACTCTGCCAAAGATAGGTGTAGTTATTCCTGGTGACTGTGTTGCGCCTTCGCCTGATACGTATACGAAGGTAAAAGGCGACTCCGGATGTAGCGTGCTGAACGCCTTTGCAGCAGCTAGGGGGTAATCGTGGGTAATTTGGAAGTATTCCCTAGGTTATCTCCGTCAACGTATGTACTCTTATCACCACGAGAGATACCTACTCTTTGTTGACATCATTCTGCGAGACGCCTTGTGCCCAGACTACACCTTGCGCATCTTTCAATTGCTCGAGTAGCTCGGTCGGATAGCTCTTGTAGTCCTTGTGTATGATGACCTTTGCCTTGTCTTCGTGTCCTTCGACCATCGCGACGGGCCTTCTACTGAGTATCGAGATTCGTGTGATTGCCTCTGTTTTCAGCATGACTTCGAGTGTCCCGGCTCCAACCAGGCCGGTAGCTCCGGTGAGAATGAGATGCATGTTGCCGATTGATTGTGTAAAGTGTCAAAGTTGAAGAAAATGGAATAATCCAGGGATAACAGAGATATTTAACTCTTAAGAAGGCATTTTGCACACCGACTGATAGTCTAAATATAATGGGCCAACGTATCTGACATTTTCAGCTCCGAGCAATGACGTCGGACGAAAGACGCTTATGGCCGGGTCAGCACCAGAGGGTTGGAGCGCTTTTGGTGCGAGGGATGAAGGATCGCATGTCTAGACAGAGTGAGGACGGAGATAGCGTTGAGGCAGCGCACAGTTTGGCAGTGTAGTTGGAGGTAAGGGAGAACATATGTTAAGAAAAATTCCGGAGCGTACGTACGTATGTTACAGGTAGCGACGAGTAGACATACAGCCTACAGGCATAGGGCTATTGGTGGTGTTGCTGCATCGCCCTGCACTTCCGTTGCTATCGATAAGCGATGCATTCTGAGCTTGAGCTTTGAGCACTCCGAGGGGAGGCGTTCTGCTCCGCCTACGGGCACGACCGTTCGGGTAGAACATTCCCAGTGGCGATATCCATTTAAAAGATCTCGCTTCGAACCTCTGCCTCCTCGACGACAGATGATAATGAGAGATGGCTGGTTTCCGGGTTTATCTTTGACCCCTGGCGATCTTCGTTCGCCTGGGAGGATCACCGTTGCATGCCAACCGACCTAATAATACCCGGCCAAATACTGGTTTTTTGCCCCGAAGGTGGCATTGCTTTAAGATGACTTCCTTGAACTATCTCGTTGCTCTGTGTTCGTCTCGTCTCATTGCATTTGTTTTCTTCTAACACTCACTTTGTAGCGCATCGTTCGTTTTGTTTCATTTGTTCAACGTCTCTAATCCAGTCACCATGTCTATTATCTCAAGCGCACTTAGCAATGGCTACATCGTCTCGACAATCCTAGAACATCTTTCAAACATGAAGTACAAGGTCCGAAGACAGCAGGCTCCGGAGCTACCGGTTGAACTTCTCGAATTCCGACCAACGCTTATTCCCTCAATTCTTGTTAATCAACTCTGGGCTGACGAAGGCATATCAATACTTTGGAAACGCTATCCCTATCTTCCGGCATTGCATCTTATAGAACCTACACGGAGGCAGTACTATGCTTCCAAAATTCAACACCTTTTCTACAGAAGCCTGATATCAGAAAAGCAAGAGACTACTCTCGACTTCTTGAACACACTCAATTGGTCAAACTTGAAGACTTTGGAATTGGAGATTGACCTTTCCGCCGACAGAGCTCAATTTAGTGCGCTTTTACATCCAAGTCTCGAACATCTCGAGCTCTCGGGCACTCAGAGTGGGACTTCATCAGAGCTTGCGTCCTCTGTGCTTCCCTCCTTGTTTGTAAGTTGCCACATAAGAAGACGTCTCCTGGTATCGAGCTGACAGAACCAGTCGTCACTTCAGCAAATAACAGGCGTTCGATTCGGGGCTGGCTTTATCTCTGAAGAACATCCCGTCCACGCCAGTGTCTTGAACGATATTCTAGATTCCCTCCCATCTATCAGCACAGTCGAAGTGAAGTCTTCACGATTTGTAGCTCTCGACGAGCTGTTCTCTCTTCTGACTCGACGTCCGGGACTCGAGGGACTTGAAATCGACCTCGAGCCAGGTCTTACCTTATTGCCTCTGTTTTCCGGTCCAAATGCTGTTCCGTCGCCATTTCAAGACTTAAGAAGACTGAACATTATGTGCTACCCGGAAATCGCACTCGCTATCCTCCCTCATCTGGCCCTGTTGGAGGACCTTCAGCTTGACATCTGTCGAGACCCGACACTTGAAGCTCACCAGGCCGACAGTACGGTTGTAGAAGAGATCCTCGCAAAAGTCTCGAGGCTCTCGCGACTGAAGATAGGGGTCGGCACACTTTCTATGGATTTCCCTTCAGATTCATCCTTTCCCTTGCTGTGCGGAACAACGCTACGCGAACTTGCGAAACGATGTCCGGATCTTGTCAAATTGAACCTCTTTGCGCTTGATCCATCGTATATCGATGGGTCCAATATCTCAAGTGAGGAGTTCGACTCGTTTTGCCAACTTGCTCCACAGTTACACCATTTCACCCTAAAGCTGCATCCTGGTACTGCATCTACCTTGGAAGACACTGCTCTGCAAAGCCTGAGTAAACATTGCCCGGAACTCGAGGTAATCCGACTCAGCATCCCACTCAAATTACCCAGTCTTCCAGCCTCCGGACAACTTCCACAGATCCTAATCAGCGAGCCGGGAACACCAGCCACCGACAACAATAACCAGGGCGATACAACTCCCCAAACCCCAACAGGAAGCACCTCTAGCGCATATTTCAGCTTCAACGAAATCGTCGACTACCCCGAGGGCAGCAACCCCCAACCCCTCTTCCCAACCTTAACCCACCTCGCCCTCGCCCGCCCCGAAAGCGTCCTCTCCTCCGCCGAAGACGAATACACCCCACCACGCGACTCCCACCCCAGCATCCTCGCCGCCGAGCTTCAAGAGAACCTCGTTCGCTCATGGGCGCAACCCCTCCTGACACATTTCCCTCGGCTCGAGATCCTCGAAGTGTGGGGAGACTGGACGGGCACGGAGATCGAATCGCTGAACTACTTTCTCCCTACGCAGGAGCTTTTGGCGACGACTTGGGAGTTTCTGAGCGGTGTTGAGCAGGATTTGTGGGCGAACGGGGAAGAGGAGGAGGAGTATGAAGGGGACGAGTGGCGGGCGTACAATAGTGGGGATGATTGGGATGCTGCAGCTTCGTTGAATGAGATGGTGCTGGATGATGCTACGATTACGAATGTTGATTATGATGCTGAGCCTGAGGGCTGTGTTACGCCTGTTCGAACAGTTGAAGGAGATGGCTATTTCGATGAGAGAGTTGTCCAGTCTGGCAGCGCTGCATGATCGTCTTTACTTGTGGCATCTCCGGACAACAGAAAGTCAAAAGTACATATCGGTACAGTACAGGACGTTTCCCAAACAAAAGAACTATCCTTTAAATGTCCTAGGGAGCATTGCAACGATGACACCACGCTCGCTCGTTCGATTTATTTACGAAAACATATCCACCTCAACAACACACGAACAGACTGAAGACGGCCGTCCAGCAGGCCTGGACCGTACACACGCACTCAATTTCCGGTTTTCCTTCACGCATACAAGAGGCTTTATCCCAGTGCGGGGATGTAATAAATGAAGGGGAGGATGTAATGGATCAAGTAAACTTCTTGGGCTGAAGGGTTTTTGAAGTACTGAGAAATAAGGAAGAAATCATGATATATGTACACAATAGGTCAATGAAGAAAATAATTGTTGAAGAATGAAATTGACTTCGCCCTTGCAATCACGATTGAAATTAGGGAATTGAGTAATTATGCGATAAAGAAATAATACGCGGGGGAGAGTTATGTTCAATAATTGAGATCTCATATGGATGAAATGAACAGTGAATGACAGAGACGAAAGATGAATTACTACAATGCAGAACCTCTGGAAAATTGTAATGTATATTCACAACTGGCCAACAATTCTGCGACGATTCCGTGATGTATCTATGCATTATACTCCCTCATAACATTCCAAAATATCAACCAGGGATTGCCTCCAATATGCAAGTCATCGCCTCAAATTATCCTCCGACACCACCACCCCTAGTCCCGGTACTCTTTCCCCTCAAGGCATACTACAGCTTACGACTTCATCTCCCCATCCCAAGCAACCACCCCAGAGCTCTTTTTCCCGCGCATTATGCCTCCATCGGCTTAAGCCCACCGATGTTTTGGACTCCAAACACCTACCCGGTCCGATTCGCTGTTCTGCGTTTCATCCGACTTGCAACATCCCGTTGCCAATCAGTACACGGCATGGGTCTACGGGTAATAATCCACCTTTGACTCGTACTGTTTTGAGGGTATTGCCGGGCAGTCCTGTCATACCGTATATCGCAAATACCGAAAATATGGGAGCGCTTGAGTCGGGGAGGAGGGTGGAGTTCCAAGAGGTAGGTTTTCAGTATACGATTTTCTCAACGTTCTTACATCAAGGTTGACGGTATTTTGTAGTTTATTCGGTGCAGTGGTGTTGCTCGCAGGTTCCGATTCACCTTTCTCGCGACTAGATCGTCGCAGACGAGTTGCTGCTTCCACGACGACCGTATTTGTTTTCAGCAGTTTTCCATCGATGTTCGAAGAGACAGGTCCTCTGTGCAGCTCACCGTAGAGCTTCCCTACTCCCGCCATGCTCTATACAAAAACCAGACCGTACGATATCGCGATAATATCTTGCCTTCTCCTCTCCTCGATACCAATAGCATCATGTCGACCACCTCCTGGTTCCTTATTACCACGTCAGACGACCTTTGACGACCTCGCATTACCAAAATGTTCCTTATCTTGCTTTATCAACAGCCTCACGAGCGATGGCTGCGCGAACGAAACCGACTTCAAATGTCACTGCGAAAAGGGCACAATGCTATCGGCAGCAGACCCATGTCTGAGATCGAGATGTAGTAAGGATGAACAAGTGGATGCGATGAATAAGATTCGGACAGCGTGTCGAGCTACTGGTATTGATCTTGGTAATGGTGATAAAGATGGACAGAACAGCATTACTAGAAGTATTAGCATGTCAGAACCAACAAGGACGACAGGACCTACGACACAGGACACCAATCCAACAGCCTCGATATCGTCGTCCACCAACACCCAAACACCCAACCCTGCTCCAGGAAACCCAGCCAACGGCCCAACACAACTTCCACCCCCTTCAGCACCAACAGACATCCCAACACAGTCAAATCCAGACAACACATCGAGCCCCACCGACCCGCCTCCAATGCCCACCGACACCCCTCTCGCCCTCCTCCCCACCGACCGCCAACTCTCCCCCGGCGCAAAAGCTGGAATAGGCGTCTCCGTCTCCCTCCTCTTCACCTCCCTCCTCATAACCCTAATCCTCTACATCCGACGCCTGAAGCGCGAACTCCGCGCCGCGCAAGCCCAAGCCGCCGGCGTCCCCGAGTCTGTCTGGCGCGCCCACATCTCCACCGCGTCTACCCCCGGCATCATGCCTCGCCGTCGCAGCAGCAGCTGGCGAGACCGCGGTCGCTCTCCCCCGGAATCCCCAGTGTCCCCGCTCTCGGAAACCGGTGGCGGTCCGGCGCTGCTTAAGAAGAAGCGCGGACACGTTCTCAGCGTCGTCGTTGAGCGCGAGGAAGAAGGGTCAGAGGCGGCGAGTCTGGAACCCATGGTTCCGCGGGAACCTGTGCCGGGGCAATCGGAGGGGTTGGTGGATCCGCTAGAGCTGGATGGGGAGTATACGGGTATCGTGGAGTTGCCGACGAGTGTCACGCCGAGGGCGAGGAGCCTCGAGAGGGCGGGCAGGGAGAGGGGGAGTAGTTTTGGGGACTCGAGTCGGCCGAGTACGAGGGGGAGTGCGGAGAAGACGAGGTTTGTGGTGTGATAACGGAGGGAGGAGGGAGGAGGGTGTGCCGGTACTGGATACTGGGTGATGTATGATTAGACAATGTAGATAATAGTAGAATCCACCTACTTGAAGATCAGCTGTGTAGATTTCCGCGATGCATCGTTTGTGATAGTCTTGACGAGGGAGCATTGGGAGGATATTAAGAGGTGATCGCTACTTCAGTGGTCAGGCACTGTTTTGTTCGTCGTGTCCTTGACTTTTGTTGTGAGGCAACAAAGAAAAGCCTGCTTTGAACTTGGTAACGCCTCCGGAAAGATGTTTCTGTTGAGCAGTGTCTTGTTCGCGATGTTATCAACAAGAAACGGGTAGTTGTGGAAGTAAGAGGTGATTGTTGTTCCGGTATTCAGGCACTGTTGTGTCCATCGTATCCATGGTGATCCAGTGATTCGAGAATTGAAGGGGGCGTTATCAGCAGCTTTTTGGGGGCGTAGGAAAGCGTGCTAGAGCGTTCAAAGGCCCCGAAAAGAGGGCAGTTGACGAGGAAATAGGGACGATGGTTGACCTCGAGGAGAGAAAGTGAAAATGTTCGGAATCGAGATGAAGCTGTAGAGGTACTATGCTAGAAGGCATCTGATTTTTCCAAGATGTGAAGGGAATACACCCTGCCCTTCGACTTAAGTGCAGCGCAAGTACGGGGAGGGCAGTCAAGGGCTTCGCTATCTAAATTTGAATGCGTTAACAGACTGCACTATGAAATATTCATAAGAATACACAAGCATGGAGAGAAGAATTTGCGGTATTTGAGATATCAAGCATCTATTTATCTCCTTAGTTTTGATGTTTTCTACACGGTAACGCGTCACGGCAACCTTAACACCAAGATACGAAAATCACTATTACGAAATTCAGATATTTCCATCCTCGCCTACAGGCAAGACACTACGCAACAATTTAGTCTTGCTACAAACTACACATTTTACACATCACACTCTGACCAATCCAACAAAGTTGAAGAAGCCTCACAATAACACTGCACACCCAAAAACATCAACAAAACCAAAGTCATCCACAGCCTTCTTCTTCAAGCACCCAGGCAAGCCAGGCAACTCAACGAAAAAAAAGATGAAATGGTAAAAGGATGGGTTGAACCCATTAAGTCAGCAAAGATTCGGTTTTTATGAAGGCAAAACAGTAAAAGCCTAGAGCAGTTCGGAAAAGATACTACGAGAGTGCAGGAGAGGAGGGAGTGAGTGGCAGAAGGGATTTATGTACGTGATAGGAGAGACCGTTAGTCAGCCTCGCTAAGCGAGCACGGGCTCGAGTGATTATGTCAGGTAGGGCAACGACGCCCACGAGGTGGCTGAGTTGAGGGAGGGTGGGAAGCATGGTGGATGATGGGATGGTGGTTGTGGTGGTGGTTGTGGTGGAAGTGAAGGTGACAGATTTCAGTACAGGTTGGGTGCGCCAGTTCGAAACCACAACGCGCTTATTAAGTCTTTTCTTCTTGCAGATGAAATTGTTTTCAAGTCACTGGTATTTCAATGCAGTTTATCGCCTTTTTATGCACAGGTGGCAGAGGAACTGTTCAGTGTTGTTGAGTCGAGAAAAAGGCGGTCGGCGTCACACAATCGAAGAAGCAGATATGTTCTGAGCAGAATTCTGCTGATGTGCCAAAGAAGTCAAATGATTGAGAAACTGTATTTATTTTCACCTTCTGGCAGTATGCTAGGCTTATTAATCGCATCGTACATGAAAAGGAACCTATAGGTATCATCCAGAGACTCTAAACGCCCGTTATGCATGAAAATCCAGACCAAGAGACTATTCCGTACGTACTGCCAAACCATGCTGGGTATAAAAGGGTCTTGTAAAAGTACACAAGCAACCTCGAAAGAAAGGTAGCAAGAGAGATTGACAAGAATTAAGGAATCTTCATCAGTTTTGAAGGCCGTAGCAAAAGGAAACCAAGACATTCACTGTGGATAATGTCTGTCTTGATTCGGTGCAACGTTGTTTCCTTGTTCAGTTCCCATTCGAAGCCGACGTAATGGGCGTATAGGTGTGATTGATCGTATGCAGCATGTGGAGCTCCTCTTGGTATCGCTGATATCCCAGGTCCAGCTCTGCGCGAGATATCACCAATTCCCGGCGTTCAAAGTGTTCATGGCCTGTCAACCAATAAAAGAGCCGTTGCGGTACTCCCAGCTCTAGGCCAACACGGCGAATCTCAGAGGTTTTGGCGAGTACAGGACGTCTGTCGCCCCTGGGCCAGTCCATACTGCCCCACCCAATGATACCGGCCGCCCAGAATACAGTGACTGTTACGAGTCCGGGGAGATCGTCGGGATTAGCGGGTGGATTCATCAGTTTCGAGATGCACTCCCACATCGATATCGAGACTGCTCCTCGAGCTCCTTTCGCAATTCGCGGGGCCTTGAGAATCAGGCCTCGTGTGGGACCGGTCATATACGAATCCTCCTTAGCTACGAAAGGCGGCTCCATGACGTGCAGAGGTCCAACCGGCTGGATTGGGGGCAGCTGATATGGTGAAGTCGTTGCCGGTGGGTTGTACGGCGCCAGGGTGAAATTCAAATCGTATTTCTCTGGAATTCGGGCCTCTGTAGACGGGAAGGCAGCGGGGGCGTTTAGCAACGCTGGTGCCGCTCTTAGGGTGGGAGGTGGACCAGCAGGGGGCTGCTGGGCGTTGTTGTTCCTGTTGATAGTGGCTACACGCTGACGCTCGCGCATTTCGGCATACGCTCGCCGGCGGATCTCGGTGAGTAAGCTCTGGACTGTACGTGGGCGGGGGTTCCTGGTCTGGTCGAGATTAGGTGCGCCATGAGGGTGGTACAGATGGCTACCTGGGGCATTATTTGCTGGGGAGTTGTTTCCATGGGAGGGTTGAGCACTCATTGATGAGGACGATCCTGCGTTGCCGCTGTTCTCTCCATGCTCGGGCATGGGCTGCGAGTGGTGGGCCTCTCGGTTGTTGGCGTAAGGCGAGATGTAAGGCGGATTGGGTCGCCCGCTCATTGTAGTAGTCGAAAATCGTTGGAGAACTGATGATTTTCTTCTACTTAGTCGAGATTGAGTGTAAAGGTTGTGGTCAGGGTTCGGAGTAGAGCAGAGTTGAATGTTGCTGAAGGTTAGATTTAGAGGAGCCCGGCAGCGAGAGAAGTAAATAAGTAGGTGAAAACACCATCCAACAGGCACAATCACCTCTGCTCTTAAGCCAATCAGAAAACTAGATATGTGGGGAAGCGGGTGATTGCCTAGCCAGTCACTACTTGTTATCCCCGAGCATACAGAAGTGAAGGAGATCAGAGACAGAAGTAAAGTAGCGAATCAGAGGACTGAGCAAGCAAAGGGGAAAAACACTGCTTATGAAGTAAAGTAGAAAAGAAGTAAATAACGTTTTTTCGGTCGGAAGGTTCAGGGAGTAAAGCAGATAGTCTTCAAATGTGAACGATATTTTGAGTCAACATTGAATACATTCAACTTTTTGATAGCAGGCCCCACGCTGCCCAAGTGCTTATACAAAAAGTAGGCGATAATGTGCTGTGTACGATATAGCCCAACATCTAAGATAGATCATGAATTGGAGACTAAAATGAGGCCTTTCTGCAACCCCCCGTAGAGTTGAAAATGTTGGAGATAGATACACGCACTGCCCTAGACTGCTACTTCAGATTATGATTCACTAAATAACTACCTCTTTCGTTACTGAACAATGCTTGATAACGTGATTCAATGTTGGATGGCCAATACTGATATGCGTGTACCTTTAATCAGATTGGCTTCAGCCTTTACAGCGTTGCATAATTACACACATATGTAGAACTGATTTACGCAAGTGGAGAGGAAAAAAAAATTCCCGGCAACAATATAAGGACATCTTGTTTGCAATATTGTTTCCTTATTGTATATATACTTAAGGAAGCTTTGGAAAATAAAGTAGAATTATTTTGTGCTGTAAAGAATTGGGTTCGTACTTGAATGAGTTCAATTATGTTGTAAGATGCAACTGTCATTATCTGAAAAAGAGAAAGTGTAAACCATCATGACAATGCACAGAAAGAATGCTCCTTTGACAGGAAATTCGAGAGCAACATAGGAACGAATATTCTTGACAAGCACATATTTGATTTTTCCAGCTATTGATCGTACAGTAGACAATACTATTTCCCCGTATCTGAACGTGTGTTTAAGGATCTGAAGTCAGCAGTAAGTAGATCGGCAGCTTACGTATGGCTGCCCCAAAAACAAGCGAACGCATTCTCGCCCCGGTCCGCATGTAGTCGCAATGACTGATAACCTTATTCAGACATAGGGTCGATCAGGTTTGCAAACTGGTTGACTGGGCTGCACACTCTGGATGCATCTTCAATCGTAGGTCTCTATCAGAGAATGGCACATATTCAACCTTGTGCTGGCTCTTTATGCGCCACAGACATAAAACAAGCAACGAGACCAGCCACCCAAGACTGCATTGTTTGATGGCAATTTCACACCTTAGTCGAAATCTTTCAAGTAGGGAGGCACGATTACGCAAATCATTGTAATGGGCATGGTGGCTGAGCACAGTGTCAAGCTCTAAGCGTAGCGAAGCGCCGACCGTCCGTTCTTCGATGGGTCCTTCGACGGCGATCGCGAGAATTACCCAACATGTACTCGGTGCTAAACGAGCATCCTCGGCGGCTGGGCGCGTGCTGGGCACTTGAGGTTGACCGAGAACATCGAGGGAATTTGATGATGTAGCGAGCTCGAATGATTCGTTTGGAACAGTCTGTGCCGGTCTTGGGTAAGACAATCAAATTGAACGTTTTCGCAGAGACAATAATGGATATTGAGGGTTTATAGTCTACAGGAAATCCAGTACGGGATACAATTATCTACATGCAAGTCTTCATACCGTTACTTGTAAATGTATGCACGGAGTACTGTGTACTGAATATGTACATGGATAGTGTAGGTGGCCGTTGTGGGGTTGACGAACGTTGGTGGCATGTCAATTGCGACTAAACTGCCCCCACCTGCGCCCCTTTCATCCACGCGTTTCTACATACCTACGTACCTACCATGTATGTTACAGGTACGGAGTATGTACCTCTACTATAGAAACTATACTATACAGTTACTTGTCTACGAATGCCTGCTTTGTATCAGATACCGGAGAACCATGCCGTCTCTTCGCCTATCCCCCCTATCACCGTCATCGGTGCAACATTGGCTCTGCCCGCGGACACGGATTGATGTTGAGCCGACCCAAAGGCCCCAAGCAAATGCGGCGCGGCATTCCCAAGTCTAAGACGACACTTCCTTCTCGGCATGGTAATCGACTGACGATGCGATACGATGGTGTGTGGGTGCCTTTTCCCGCCTTACGTTCCTTCAATTCTTTGCCTTCGTTCTCTCCTTCCCTCTTAATTCATTCATCCTTCCTTCTTCGTCGCATTCGCTGAGATACCCTTTTGCCAAACATCCCAACCTCGTTTAGAGACATGTCGCTGTCTTCCGTCCCGTGAACGACATTAGAACTACGCGCCTCGAGGCTTTACACCATCGTGCCTCGGCCCTTTGAGGCGCCCCACCGTCCGGAACCTGCAAGAGTACTGCAACTGGTGGTCGAATCGTAACAATGGCTTTCCTTCGACATACCTGGACACTTACGAAGAAGAACTTGAAGGTTGTCTTCCTCCGAGCATGGTTCTTCACGAGTGTTCGTGCCTTCTGGGCACCAATCATTTTTGTATGTTGGCAATGCATGGTCTACCTACAATAGGACTGTAAATGCTAATACCGTTAGATGTTCTTTATTACTTACGCAAAGAATTTCTTCGTACCTCCGTCTGAATATGGTATTGGCAGACCTGTTCCAATTCGAAGCTTTACCGACGCCCTCAACGACGCCCAAGGAAATCGCGACACTGTTGTATTCATAAACAATGGACACACCGGAGGTGACATCGAGCAGGTCATCAACAATCTGGCGGATACGGTACGAGGTGCCGGGAAGATAGCACAAGTTGCGGAACAGGACTCGGATCTTCTTACAATTTGCGAAAGCTCCCTTCGTGGCGCAAGTACCTGCTTCGGAGCTATCAATTTTCATTCGTCGCCTTCTGAGGGAGAGGGCCAGGGTTGGAATTACACCCTGCGTGCCGATGGCTCACTTGGAGATCGTATTTTCGTGGATAGGACAAACAACGATGTCGAGATTTATGTCTTGCCACTCCAGAAGGCCGTAGACTCGGCTATCGCATCCCTCAATGGAACCAACCAGATCGAAACCATCGACGAATACCCTTATACCGAGCGGACTCCAGAAGAGCTGGCCGAGAGGATACGAACTCTGTACATGGGAGCGCTGATTGATATTATGGCAGTCGCAATCTACATTGGTGTCTGTGGTGTAACATATCAATTGACTGGACAGATGGCTCTGGAGCGAGAACAGGGTGTTTCTCAACTTGTGGAAGCCATGACCCCCGCAAAGAAGACCTGGTTTATCCAAGCTGCTCGTCTGCTTTCAAACCACCTAGCTTTTTCCATAATCTACTTGCCTGGGTGGGTCATTATGGCTATCATTATTCGTCAGCTCGCATTTGTCACGACAAGTGTTGGGATACTCATTATATTTCATGTTCTCGCTGGTCTTGCCCTTACAAGTTTCTCGATTCTCGGTGCTAGTTTGTTCCGCAAGGCACAACTCTCCGGTATCACCATCGTCATCGTGGGAATCATTCTTGCCATCATCTGTCAACTTGCTGGACCGTTCAACACTGCGGCGGTAGCTGTTCTCAGCCTGCTGTTCCCGCCGATCAACTACGTATTTTTCATCATTTACGTTGCACGGTTCGAGCGCGAACTGCAGCCGACTAACTTAGCTAAGGGCGCTCCTGACTACAAAGACCATACATGGACTCTTCCGGGAATTGCTTTCTGGATATTCCTGATTATTCAGACAGTCGCATTCCCTGTACTCGGCGCGATCATAGAAAGGGCGCTATATGGAACGATCTCTAAGGAGCGCAAAACCAGCACTTCTTCCCCGGACCACTCTATCATCTTGAGAAACTTCTCAAAGCACTGGACGCCAAGCTGGTTCCGGGCTAATGTACTATCGAAATTTGGCATCAAGCCACCAGAGACTGTCATAGCCGTCAATGACTTCAGCATCAAGGCACGCAGAGGGCAGATCATGGTTCTGCTCGGAGCCAACGGCAGTGGAAAATCTACTACTTTGGACGCCATTTCAGGTCTCAATACTATAACAAATGGATCGATTGAAATCGACGGTACTGGTGGTCTTGGACTTTGCCCACAGAAAAATGTCATGTGGGATGAGCTCACCGTACTCGAACATGTTCAAATCTTCAATCGGTTGAAGTCTGCAAGCAAGGGTGAATCGAAAGAGACACTGATCAAGCTCATCCGTGCGTGCGACCTGGGACATAAAATCAACGCCCAGTCCAAAACGCTATCCGGCGGACAAAAGCGAAAGTTGCAGCTTGCCATGATGTTTACTGGTGGCAGTCGAGTGTGCTGTGTTGATGAGGTTTCTTCAGGCCTTGATCCGCTCTCTCGCAGGAAGATTTGGGAAATTCTCTTGTCTGAACGTGGCGACCGAACGTTCTTATTGACTACACATTTCTTGGATGAAGCCGATGTGCTAGCTGACTATATTGCCATTCTTTCTCGGGGTAACCTGAAGACGAAGGGTACGTCTGTCCAGCTCAAACATGAAGTTGGAGCCGGTTATCATGTAACGATCCCAAAGAACGTGGAAATTGTACCTCCCGGAGGCGGTGTTCGGAAACCTCCACCAGCTGATGGCAAGACTATGTATTGGTTCCCGGATGGTATGGAAGCGACCAAGTACATCACCCAACTTCGCGAAGGCGGCATCAAAGACTACGATTTCATTGGACCAACCCTCGAAGACGTCTTCCTTGCCCTAGCAGAGGAGGTAAAGGAGAACAAACTCGATCAGGAAATGGGTTCGACTGCTATTGAGGCTCATTCGAAAGATGCCGAAGCCAATGGATCGTCAGAACAAGTCTCGGATCTGGATAAGGGTGTCAACATGTCTAAAGGCAAAGGTACATCAATGGTACAGCAGACCTGGATCCTGATGTTGAAACGTTTTACCATCCTTCGTCGCAACATGCTTCCGTATGTTTGCGCGTTCTTCCTGCCAGTCATCACTGCTGGGCTCGTCACACTCTTCTTGAAGGACTACAAGGCTGTGGGATGTGATCCAGCTGCTCAGGCGAATGACCCAGAAGTTTTCTCACTGGCCTCTGTTGATCGTTCCATCCTCATTCCTGTAGGACCGGGTGGCCTCGTCGATACAGACTACATTGCACAACGCGCTGGGATCGATACCTCCTCCTTCCACATTGTTAACACTTTCGATGATTTCAACAATTTCGTCGCAACAAGATTCCGAAACATCACTCCTGGTGGTTTCTTTCTCCAAGAGAATGGCCCTCCAACGATGGCTTACGTCGCTAACGGCGGTGTAATCGGTGGTCTTGTAACTCTCAACGCACTCGACAACATCTTGTCGAACACTACCATTTCTACCCAGTATCAACAATTTGCCGTGCCATTTGCACCAGGTATTGGTGATACGATGCAGCTAGTCCTGTACTTTGGACTTGCTATGTGCGTGTATCCCGCTTTCTTTGCATTATACCCAACAGTCGAACGTTTGAGAAAAGTTCGTGCTTTGCATTACAGCAATGGTATTCGTGCTGCTCCTCTTTGGCTCGCATATCTGTCTTTTGACTTCTGTTTCATTGCGCTCATCAGCGCTATTACGACGGGTATCTTCGTAGGTGTAAGTAATAGGCTTTCTCCTATGCGTCACAGTGTACTAAAACATCTTAGGCTTCAAGCGCATTTTACGCACCAGGATACATATTCGTCATCTTCTTTCTGTATGGATTGACGTCGACGCTCTTTTGCTACCTTATCTCCATCGTTGTTACTTCACAACTTGCAGCCTTTGCCTTTGCTGCCGGTGGTGCAACGTCTTTGTTTTTGATTTACTTCATCGGATATATGAGCATCTTGACTTACGCTCCCGCGTACAACATCGATAACTATCTTAGCATATTCAACTGGGCATACTCTACCATTGCCCCGTCCGGCATCCTTCTCCGGACACTTCTCCTCTCATTGAACATGTTTGCCTTATTATGCAAGGACACCGAGGTTGCATCCTATCCTGGAGCGCTGGATGTTTATGGCGGCCCTATTTTGTATCTCATTGTTCAGGGTATCATTCTATTCATTACCTTGGTATGGTGGGATAGTGGCTACAAGCCCCCTTTCCTTGCTGGCAGCAAGTCAAAGGCCAAACATACGGAAGAAAATATTGATGGTCACGTTCCCGCCGTGGCTGCAGAGATTCAACGCGCAGAGAATTGTGCAGATAGCTTACGCGTTCTGCATCTTCAAAAGACATTCGGAACCAACCACGCTGTAAACGATATCACCTTCGGCATCCCACAAGGACAAGTTTTTGCTCTCTTGGGACCCAACGGCGCCGGAAAGAGCAGTACAATATCCTTGATCAGAGGCGACATTCATCCGAATAGGAATGGAGGCGATGTTCAGATCGAGGGAATCAGTATTGTAGCGAAGCGAGCTGCCGCAAGAGGCCACCTTGGTGTTTGTCCTCAATTCGATGCGATGGACAGCATGACCGTTCGTGAACATTTGACCTTCTATGCGCGTGCTCGAGGCGTGGCTGATATTGCTACCAACGTCGAAGCTGTGCTTGCTGCTACTGGCCTCAACCGCTTTTCGGACCGTCTTGCGAACAAGCTATCTGGTGGTAACAAGCGAAAGCTTTCTCTCGGAATCGCATTGATGGGCAATCCTTCCGTCCTTCTTCTCGACGAACCCAGCTCCGGTATGGACGCGGCTGCAAAGAGAGTGATGTGGCGCACCCTTCTTGGTGTTGCTGCACCTGGCCGAGCCCTACTGATTACCACTCACTCTATGGAAGAGGCAGACAAGCTTGCGACTCGTGTAGGTATCATGAAACGCAAGATGCTGGCTCTTGGTTCTGTCAATGAATTGGGCAAACAGTACGGCGATGCTTGGGTTGTCCAACTCGTGTTGAAGTCAGCGCCAGAGACGACCGAAGCCGAGATGGAGAATGTCAAAGAATGGGTACGACACAACATACCCGGCGTCCAGCTCGACAAATGGGGATGCCGAGGTGGTGGTCACGGACAATTGCGCTTCAAGGTTCTTAAAGCTGCTACTGCTCCTGGAGCTTCCGAGACTGCACAAGCAGACGGACAGCTCAATGAGAAGTCCACAGCTGCAGATACAATCCAACAACTCCCCTCCAACACTACCGAAAACAATGTTGTCCAGAGAACACTTACAGGTCCGGATGGAATCGGCGGTATCCCAGGCCTTATCCAAATCCTCGAGTCCGTTCGCGAAGACCTCGGCCTTGAATACTACTCCGTCAGTCCCACGACCCTCGACGAGGTCTTCCTTCGAGTCGTCGGCGAGGAGGAAGAGGAAGAGCCTAAAAAGAAGTCGCTGCTGAAGGGCAGGTTCTCTGGGAAGGGGTGCCTAGGCTTCTGCATACCAGGCTAAGACAAATCATAGAAGCACGAAACAGCCACAGGCAAGGGGCAGCGTGGGAATTTTCTTTGTTGATACCTATTACTTGCTGTACACATCCTTTCTCGTATATCATTTCTTGGAATTAGATTAGCATACCTGGGAGGGACTTTTAGAGAAAAGACAACATTACTCAATATCGTTGCTCTTGCCTGTGCCTTTGTGATGTACATGTATAATGGCAGTTGCTGATACGCCATGGCCGGGCACCTCGCTCTTCCAAGAAGAAGGCAAGTGTAAATGTACGTCCTTATATGAATCCAGCAGTACCTCACTTCGATGGTCTGAGAAGAACGTAATCTACGCTGGCCCAGTCTCACGACCCTCCTCCAGTATGTATGTGTGCATGTATCCGTACTCCCCCCAAACCCTTATGTCCACCGATCTCATTTTTCATCGCTCGTGCATATCGAGGTCTTCCACCTGGAGCACCCGAACCCGTGTCATCGTCGCCGTCGCCGTTCGACCTCGATCTTCAACCCCCGGTAGAGAAAATGATATGTATCTGTGGTCATCACAGCGCGCCCTGTACTCGAAACATCGGGTAAGGGAAACGTTGAATTGAATGTAGGTTGTCGGTATACACACCGGTGGTGGCATGTCGTGCAAAGTTAGGTGAGGATGGGCTCACGTGATGTTGGTGTGCGGCGGTGTCGTCAGTGGGGTGCTGTTGGGTTGGTTTTGCAGCTTGGGATTTGGGAAGCTGAGAGAGGGGTGTAAGGAGGGATATGAGTGATGTAGTGAGGTGGTGGGCGTGGTTATGGGTGGTGTTGTAGGTAGGGTTGGTGGTGGGATGGCGGTTGTGAGGCTGGTTGTTGAAGTGCGACGGGCGGTTGGGGAGTTCGCGGGTGGGGTGTTCTGGATGGCTTCATGAGTGAGGTAGAGGGCTTTCGAGGTTCTTGAGAGACGAATCTGGGAGAGCAAAGGTATTGGGAAGTTTGGAGATGCGGTTGAGGTTGAGGGTCCTGGAAAGCGGCGAGGTTTCGCCAGTGAAGGTCTGGTTGGATCTCGTGAGGCAACTCACCCACAGCTGGCGGAAGATCAGAATGTGCATACTGAGGGGATAGCTTTACCTACAAACTTCAACTATCAGCATCTGTGTGACCAATATGATGAGCCTTGCTGCCAGTACGCGGCACTGACTGACTGGTTGAGGGCGACGAAGCTTCTCGTTAAGTGACGCGCAACAGTGACAACATACATCACGAACACAACACAGAGGCCCACAAAGACAATCACAACTTCATTTCTTCTTCTTCAAGTGTCCAGGCAAGCCAGACATCTCAACGAAAAAGGTGGTCATGGGTTGAACCCATTGGCTGCCATCAAAAATTGTACCGTCGGTAAGAGCCGTTAGGTTCAAGCCTGGCAGGGCGATCCTTCCGGCCTGTGCAGCGGATTCATGAGCTCGCTGCACAACGGTAGTGTAGGGTACTGCTTTGCAGTACGCTACACAGTATAAAGAAGAAGAAAAGAAGAAGTGGAAGAGCGAGCAGCGGAGGGGGGTTTATATACCCTCCTACGGCGCAGGGTCCGTGCGCCCAGACGTCGCGAGATCACAACAACAATGGTCGGGGGGCAGTGCAGAACGGATAGGATCGGAGTGTATCTCTCTTCTCTGAGTGTTCGGCCAAAGCCGGATAGATTGACGTGGAAAGTCATGGATTGAACTCATTGGTTCCAAGCAAAGATTGTGACGGAGGTTGTCAGCGAAGTCATGAATCTGAAAACAAAGGGCTCCTGCTCCGAATTTGTGAGCTCGTGTTGCTCCAGCAATTCAGATACTACACTGACGACGAGGGAGGACGGACTGTGAGGCGAAAGAAGAAGAGGCAAAGGTGGTGGCAGAGGACTTTACATGGCACCCAGGACATCACGAGCTCACAGACAGAGAGAACAGCTTCTTCCTCAAGTACTCAGGCAAGCCGAGTAACTCAATGAAAAAGATCATGGGTGAAACCCATTGGTTGCAAGCAAAAATGGTGCTGGTGGTACTGGCAAGGCACCAAAGTCTTAACAAGGAACAAACCTGGTGTAGTGGATTCAGGAGCTCACTACACCCCAGCAAGTAGGAGTACGTTGGCTAACATGAAAAAAAAGAAGAAGTGGAAGAAGCAGCGGCGGGGACGACTCTATATACCCCCCATGCCGACTGTGGACCGTGCACTCTGATCCAGATCAGGACTGACAGAGATCGAATGGAGCTGTAGCATGGGTCTGGCTACCTTTACCTGTCGTCCTGATCGTCATTAATGGAACAGAATGGTTTCCTAAAGCAGTATGGTTTCATAATGCGATCTGGCAGTCTTGGCAATGCCCGCCCAGGTACATCTACCTTCTCTTCAACTTACCACCTTCTCGCCCCAATCCCCCAACAAGCTAGCTGTTCGTGTCTATTCTAGCTTACCTGGGTTAATTGAGGTAGATTTGATCACCATTCTGCATTGCACAAAGCAGTTTGGTCGGTCATTTCTTGAGCGGGGGTGGAACGGCGCTCACCAGGATAATTTTTGCTGGCAACCTTTGGGTTCAACCCAACTTTTTTTCATTGAGATATTCAGCTTGTCTGGATACTTAAGGAAGAATCTTATTCACTCTGCTGATAACTGCACAGAGATGTTCTGTCACATACACTGTTTTGTAGTATGCCGGGTGATGGCGTCTCTATGTCGACATACAGCTCAACCGACGCACCTTGCACACTCACTCAACACTCGAGAGACTGAATTACATGAAAACTACTCTTCAAGCTGCAGTTGTAAGTTACACCGAGTTTAGTTGCGTTCATGCTGTCTCTACGATTTGCCTGGTCTGGCTATACTGCCCGCATTTTCGCATTTGTCACACACCCCAAGTTCACCTTGTCTCTCGACCAACACTTTGATATGAATGACCATGTCAGGTGAGAAGCCACAAGGAAGCTTCAAGGGCTCCATAAGCGTTGGTTGTTGATAAATGGGTCAGTGATTAACAAGAAATGGTTTGAGACACTACATGATGAGATGAAGAGAGGGGGATAATAGCAACAAGAAGATCTTCCTCTTTTAGTCTTCAGGCATCTAGAAACTCAGGCATTTCAACCAAGGCATGGGATGCACCTATTGAGCGGAACACAACTTTATGCTGGAGGCGCCTCCCAGAAATTGGGAGAGCCAAACCGGACTAGAATGGCTGAACTTGTACTTACTATTCAAACAAGCCACCATCTGGAAATTCGGGGCATAGAGCTACCTATACCCAGGCTCGTCCTTCCTCCGCTCTGAGAGGAGCACGATGATGCTATAGAAAAGACAGCAGGGGAGCACCTCCCTCCTACAGTGCGGGGCCTGTGCACCCAAGACACTGCGAAATTGCAGAGAAAGTCATTGCAAGCCTGCCATACTATCTCCGATATCTCTTCCTCAAAGGTACGAGCAATCTGCAAGTTTACAAGGTAGCGTTCTGGACAATCGGGCTGCGGTGGGGTTCATGGCATAACGCGAAGCTAAGGTCTGCAGAATGTTCCAAGGCAGCCTTACCTTCCGAAACCCTGCTCGACACGTCATTTCTTCAGAACTCAAACTTGACATCAATTTGGCACGCTCAAGCGGCCATGCCACGAAAGGTAATCTTTGAGCTTCCCTACCTCCAAAACCTACCGTACAACTATTCCTTCTTTACATCACGAATACACACTGCTGTTGAATCGTTGGTCTTCTCTTCAGGAATCTCAGAGGCTGTTTCCAGGAAACGAAGATGGAGGGCTGCAGATAGGCTGTTCTGCTTCAGGTTTGTAGGTACCCATTCCCCTCGCTTCATGTTAATTGAACGTGCCGCAGACACTCGCGATCCCGCTCATTGAACTGCCCGCAGCATCTGGCTACTTGCGACCCCGCGACCGAGCGCTAGAATAACACCACCCGAGCCGCAGTGCATCGAAACGAATTAGACACTTGACCCTTACAGCCTCTGGGTGTTGGATTATTCGGTATATCAGTTGCTGGCCAACATCCTTGTATGGACAACGCGCGCATGCTTTGCTGGGACTGTACATTGTACCTGTCCACATCGACAATCATGGGATTAAGCACAACCAGCCCACCTTTGGACCGCTTTATGATGGAGGAGTACATGTAGCTTAAGCCAAGGATGTGCACCCTACTGTACCCAACGACGTTGATAGACAAGTTTCGTGATCATCACTGAAGAAGGCTCAGTGTTGATATCAAGACTGCGCCGGCAAGTTAGGCTTTCCGACTTTTTCCGCCGCAACAAGGACTCGTTACACATACTACACTGAGACATTGAAAAGTAGGCGCAGGCATAGCAAGCGTTGGGTTCCTCCAGCAGAACAACCCACTACAAGCTTTACAACCCTCTGTGCGTAACAACATATTCACAGTTGCAATTACAGGCCTTTTCTCAAACGAGAAATACTGACGTTGCTAGGTATCGAATTACTGGTGCTATAATCTGGAGTGATGATGTTGGCGCAGCGAATTGCATGGCCCGCCCGAGCTGAGCTAGTTCGGCAGGTATTATCAATCCTAGCAGGAAAAGGCTCACAAACAACACTATACTAATTCTTTTCTTGCTACAAACATATTATTCTGAACGAGACGCGCTTACGCTGTGGCGTTGAACGATATAGCATGCGTTCCTCGTCGCAATTTCGATCGGCCATTCGGTGCAAAACTCCCGTCATGCTCATCTATTTCGCGGCCCTAGATCCCCAGACATCCTAAACGTCGATCATTGCGATCCTCCGCGAAATTAATCGAAGCCATCGTTACCGGGTTCTGTGGGAAATTGTAGGCGCGACAACATTTCTCCGTCAACGAAACCGGGATCACTTCCGTGATCACATGTTCTTCTTGACTCGGGACAACAGCTACGTCTGGGACGATGTGCGCTCCGTGGCGATAGACTGGGGTAATGCGGAGGAACCGGCGCACCCATGTCTATTGGATGTATTTATTGAATGATCCCAGGATTTCACATGAGAACCGCCAACTTTTGTTCTACCTGCTTTCATCTTGTTTATTGCACAGCCCATCACTATCATGTCGATCACATCAAGACTCAGCTGCTTGTTATTTGCAGTGAGCGCCATCAGTTCTCCAATTTCGTGAGTAGACAATATCATGCGTTGAGATACGTTTTCACTGATCAATGGCAGTCACCGCGCTGTTGACGGATTGAATACTCGAGCAGTCGCCGCCGGCAAAGAATATTTCGGGAGTGCTACGGACAATGGAGAATTGAGCGACATTCCCTACTTGGAGGGGTTGAGCAATACTGCAGACTTCGGTTCTATCACTCCAGGAAATGCTATGAAGGTAGATGAGGCCTGCGTCGCTACGTATCAGTACTGACGATAACAGTGGGACACAATTGAACCCTCACGAGGAACTTTCAATTTTGCCAATGGCGACACGATAGTCGACTTGGCCGAGAAGAATGGCCAGCTCCTTCGATGCCACACTCTGGTTTGGCATAGTCAGCTACCAAGCTGGGGTAAGATTCGATAGAATGAATATTGTCTTCGACGCTTTGGCTCACAAAAGACAGTCTCCAATGGTGGCTTTGACAATGCGACTCTCATCGACATTATGGTCAATCATATTACTCAAGAAGTGACCCACTACAAGGGAAAATGCTATCACTGGGACGTTGTAAACGAAGGTGAGTCTTCTCGAGCCGCAATACTCGATAGAAGACATTGACCTCTCTTCCAGCTTTGAACGAGGATGGTACATACCGTTCCAGCGTGTTCTACGACACCATTGGCCCAGCCTACCTCCCTATCGCCTTTGCTGCTGCTGCTGCCGCCGACCCAGAAGCTAAGCTCTACTTCAACGACTACAATCTCGAATATGGAGGTGCCAAGTTCAACGCAGCATTGGAGATTGTCAAGTTGGTGCAGAGCTACGGAGCAAAGATCGACGGTCTCGGCTTCCAAGGTCATCTCATCGTCGGATCTACCCCATCAAGGTCGTCGCAAGAGTCAAATTTGAACAAGGTTGCTGCTTTGGGTGTCGAAGCTGCGTTCACGGAGCTGGACATCAGAACTACAACCCCAGCAACAGAAGCAGCCGTCGCCCAACAAGCGAAGGACTATGCAGCAACGGTAGGTGCTTGCGCAGCTGTCGAGAAGTGTGTCGGAGTGACTATTTGGGATTACACCGATAAGTATAGCTGGATTCCAAGTGTTTTCCAAGGACAGGGTGCAGCACTCCCATGGGATGAGAATTTGCAGAAGAAGGAGCTCGTGTATAACGCCATTCTCGAGGCTTTGAGCTAGACTATTCCCTGTTGATCATGAAAAACGATGTATAAGGACTATTGTTGAGGAAAGAGGGGCTAGAGACGACAGAATGGGGCTTTATGCCATGGGTTGAAATGCCGGTGAATGCCAAGACCTTGATGGTGAATGTTACACTTCTACCTTTGCTTTTGTTATGATGTCATTGATCTCCCATAAACAACCGAATTCTCTGCATATGAGGACATATATCTTAAACAAAAGCCTGTGGGCTCAGTGAAGGCCAATCATCACAATTTGGGGAACAGGGAGGGACTTTAGCTTGTCTAGAACAGGATGCACCTTAGGTTCATTCACATTAATGACCGGCACGACACAACCCCTACTCGTGAGGTGTTCCACGTGTTTTCCAGAAGCAAATGTATCCCTAGAACGGGTTTCTTTAATATCATCCTGGCCGAAATTATATTGCGTCTTGTCGGAACGTAATTTAGCCGCATGATGAAGGCCACCTTGACAATTCGCCAGATTCAGGATCTGAAAACATCAGCCTCTTCGCATGCTTAATAAATAACGACATTGGAACGCTTGCTTGCGTCTTTCTTTGTTTCATTGTTTACTCTTTTGCGAATTCTCATTGGTGTAGGGATCGACACTTGAAGAAGACTTGCTCTATTTGGTAGTAAGACTTGCATTGGTCAGAATAAAACGTCACGATACAGAGCATCATCGGTGGCGATAATCAACCATGGTTTCAATTAAGCCTACACGAGGCTCCTACGAAGAGTCGCCTGAAGCGTTGAAGGATCTGTTCCAAAATCCAGCCGATAATCATGGATCACGACTTTCGACTAGGGAGTCACGAGACGCCTTGATCGATATCCACAAAGCCAACCTGAAACTTCTTGCCGAAGGCAATGTACCCGTCAAGAACTTTGTGTTGCCGTCAAGATACCCCCCATCGCGTGCTTCCATCCGCGACACATCTGTTGAAAAGGTTGCTCAATTGCTCTTTGTTACCCGACAGAATGCTCACGATGTGACCAGATCAATCTGCAAGACCTCTCAGTTGAGAAGAGAAATACCAATGCCATATTGATGGTCAGGACGATAATACAGCCTTACATTTACTCAGCAACAAACACGGTCGTGGAGGATAAGAATGGCGACGCAGCAAGACTTACTATTGGAAACTTGGAGGACTCGATGCTGGATCCACTCATCCCAGCTGCTACCATTGTTGCAATCAAGCAGCCTTGTTGGCGACGACAGATTGACGGCGGATATCATATCCGTGTTGATCACCCTTCTGATCTGGTAATCTTGCAGGCGAATGACGAATTTGTCCCTGAATCATGGAGGTCGGATGCCGAGCTCGATAGTGAACTGGAAGGCAAGGACTGGAAGAAAGAAGGAGATATGATGTTTCTGAAGAAGAAATTCCGCACAGCACTTCAGCAGTAAGTAGTTCCGGGTAAGTGGAAAGAGGCAAGACTAACTAGACGCAGTTATGATCGTGGTCTGCGGGCACTGGATTCAAAATCAAATTCAGCGGCGAAGATAGATCTCTACAGGAAGAAGTGCGGTGTCAACATTGTGTTGCTACGTCTTGATGATGCAGCGGATGATTTATCGCAGGCTATCGTTACCCATGCTCTTTCAGACAGTCAACTTGCAGGGTCCCCCATGAGCGATCTTGATACGATCAAATCATGGCTTCATAACGGGAGCACCGAAGATCCGCTTCAGATATCGTCCAGTATTCCGCGCCCACTAAAGGAGCTTGCAGCTCGAATCAAGTTTGACCTCGGCATTTATCAAACCTCCGCCGAGTATAACCTCCCGTTGATATCTTCATACGTGGGACCACTGACTCTCCACGTCGATGCCGCGCATTACATCTCAGATACTGAAGTCCGAAAGACGGAGAACCATGGACGCGGACTCTTCGCCAAACGAGACTTCAAAATTGGCGAATTAGTTTCGGCTGAGAAGGCATTCGTGCTGCCCGGGTATTTTATCCAAGATCGATCGTCTGATTGTCTGATCTATAGTCTTGGGGAAGGCACAGCGAGTCCCCGACCTGGCGCATTGTTATTCAAAGAGTTGGTTCAGAAGCTTCGCTGGAACCCAAGTTTGCGGCGGGATTACTTTGAACTGGACGACGGTGGGTACTGGAAGGAGTATGGCTGGGAGGTTTCCGAGGGCGAGGAGATACCTGTAGATGTGTGAGTATTCCTTCCTTCATCAAAGAGTGAGAGGTCTGACTAATTCAATCAGCTTCCGCGTTGAGATCATTCGGCAGCGTAATTGCTTCTCTGTTCCCACTAGGTCTGTCGACATGATTTCCCAACCGCCAAATTCAAACCCAGAGCTCCGGAACGGCTGCTGGTTGCATGCCTCCTACGTCAACCACTCTTGTCTGCCCAACAGTGTCCGTACCTTCATTGGAGATATCCATTTCCTTCGCGCAACGAGAGATATTACCGCCGGTGAAGAAATTACGCACCAGTATGTATCGCCGGATATCGATATCATTGACCGCCAGGAGAGGTATCGGGGAACGTGGGGATTCGAGTGCGACTGTGGGCTGTGTAAGACTGATGGCAGAATCGATGAGGCGAGCCGGAAAGAGCGGTCGCAGAAGTTCGAAGATCTGAAGAACACAGTGATGAAGCTGGGCGAGAGGGGGATGACTATTACCAGCATCAAGAAGATTGCAAGAGGGCTGAGAGAAATCGAGGCATTATACTCACCGTCAGATGCAGCAACAGATGAGGGAGATCTGTATCGCCAGCTTCCCAGGCTCGCACTGGTTCATCCAAGCCTTTACTTGACTGAAGCTTGGAAAGGTGTCAACAACGTAGACAAGACGATCGAGTATGCAAGGAAGTTGCTGAGGAACTTTGGCATTCTTACCACGACGGATAACGATCGGTTCGAAGTCGTAAGCAACTCGGGTCTCATCAATATCGAAGCTGTTCGAGCGCTCAGATATCTTGCCGAAGGATACACATCCAAGGGCGAATCTCAGTTGGCCAAAGACTGCATCGAATTGGGGAAGCTTTGGTTCCTGATAATTACGGGGAGTGAGGTCGGAATGGAGGAGTTTCTCAAGTTTTGAGCGTTTATCGTAGCACTGGTGAGAAGATTTCCCGGACATGTGTGTGGTGCTAGGGACTGTCTTCATAATAGCAAAGTTGAAAGTACTCGATGTTCTCTACATGAATGCAAAGACTAGCAAGATCTGTCGCCCTGTCCTGCATTTCTCGGATTGCCTGTGGACACTTCAGCTGCTACACATACCTACCATTGCCTCTGCAATAGCACCCAGTGGTGCACAAAATGTAGTGATCTGGCTTCGGCTCAAACAATTGTATATGCCTGGAGTCAACCTGCCTATCCGTCTATCCTTCAGCAAGGACAAACAATCCATGATTGCAAACGGGAGTGTTCCTGATGCGGTTGCCGGCGAAGGGGCCATCGGGACCCTACATGTGATTTCGAAGGCGATACTCTCAGGAGACTGATCAGGTACGATGCGAGGATGTGTATTAAATGATTGTACCCGGACAATAGTATAGTATATATACAGGAGCGACTCTGTGTGCACGAAGTGCATTCTCTAAGGGGGTAAGCCTTTCAAAGATGAAAGTTGTCCGATATACACACCGATGACATCCATATCTAACTGCCTCAGCTGGGTGCAGGTGATACCTGGCCCAGAATCAAATTGATAAAGGACTGTCTGCACGTCGTCTCTCAGGTTGTCGGCGATCTGGAAAGGCGCAACATTCCTGGCAGCTGAAATTGTGTAGGGGCGTGTTGTTTATCACAATGCAGTACTGGGATGCATATGATTGTCTTTGCATATCGAGCAGAAGGGGATGAAAAGCAATCGAGAGCAGCACGATACTGGGGAGGTTGAGGATATGCCGGGCGATCGCGGAGCCGAATCTCGACGGAGCAGATTGATGTGTCCGGATCGTACGGAGCGGATGAGGATGAGCGGATGAGGATGAGAAAGGCAGATAACTGTGTCTGCCAGTAGGACAAAGGCTCCTGAATCACTGTTGTTGTAGGTTACGAATCGAATGTGCGATGTTGTGATGCCCCCAGTGTAGTTTTCCCAGCTGTGCCAGTGAGTCCGGCAGACCCACTGTCGCGAAGCTCGCCCGGTAGGGCATCAGTCGCCGGATCTTCCACGACAGGACAATGAGAAGTAATGAGCTGCTGTCTACTATTCTGAATAGTGTCAAATGTGTCTCTTACCTGAAGAAATTCTACTTTTCGTTGCGATGTTGTACCTAGTGAAGTTAGATTCCTGTAGAAACTTGCAGCAGAATCGAAATGCAATCTGCCAAAGTTGCCCTTCTTTATCGAGAAACGCGTCTTCCAGTCTTTCTAAAGTTGTAATTTTGATCTACCGGATGAGACAGAGTTACGGTAGCGCTGCAGAGTCAATCACAGTGCACTGTTAGCTGCCCGAAGACTTCACATTGTGCTACTGACTGGGGCACAAGGCAATGTCTGTCTATCCCGAGCCTGGCAAATCACCGCTAGTAACAATTACTACGAGACTCACTTACAGTTACATCTCACGATATAGGGAGTCATCCATCACGGCAACACTTCAAGGCGTACTTGAACAAAGTATCACTTCAATATACATCAGTGCAACATCACTTCAAGGTGTACACTTCACAAATACAAGACAAGGCAGAGAATGGATAACTTCTTCCTTGAAAGAACAGACAAGCTGATCAAGTCAATGAAAAAGAAGAGTGGTCGCGTCAGCTAGAGGCAGTGCAATACTAGCGACACAGTGGTCTCAATGATAGGCAAGCCCAGAGCAAGGAGACCGGAGGACAAAAACAAAATAATCTTAGAAAAACCCCCAGTAGGGGCCTTGATCATCGATTAAAATGATAAGAACAGATACTACTCTTTAATCTAAGCCAAAAGGCAAAGAGAGCTGGGGAAAAGAAGAAGAGGAGGGGGACGGAGGGGGAGAGGGTTTATATACCCTCTGGCACTGGCCCGAGCGCCGCAGACACGTGATTTCAGCGCTCGCTGAGCACCAGGCAGGCGTTTCCAGGAGATTCCATTGCTGTGGCTGGGGAATTAGGCAACAGAGAGGGTAGTGTTGTGGTAGAATGGTGGCTTCGAAGGCGTGGCTGGGAAGCATAGTGAAGGTGGAGTGCACAAGCGAGAAGCTTGAAGTGGCGTGTTCCTTGAATGTTCTCGAAGAGGGGAAGCTTGGTTTGAGTGAGTTTGGATCCATTGACACTGAGATACAGAGTCGGTGTCGGCCAGGTAGTGACAGTGTTGTCCTGTAGGCTCTGGCTCATATCCCAACGAGCAATGTAGCCAAAGTTGAAGCTGAAAGTTGTCTTTACAGGTATTCATTCTTGAGTCCATTACATGCTCAGTAGATAGAATTAAGTGCCTTACATATACTTGTTTTTGAGTCCCTTGAACGCCCAGCAGATAAGATTCAATGCCTCACTTGTATACCCATGAGTCCACGACGCGCCTAGCAGACAGGATTGCGTCGCTTCTTATACGCACTTTCAAGTCTACTGCATATCCAGTAGATATAATTGCGTGACTGACTTGTGCGCACCTTCGAGTCCACTACACGACTAGCAGACCAGATTGAGTGCCTTGCTTGTACGCACTCTCGAGTCTACTCCACGCCTAGCAGATCAGATTGACTGCCTTACTCGTACACATTCTTGAGTTCACGACACGCCCAGCAGATAGGACTGAGGGCCTCACCCGTGCTGGCTCTTGAGTCTACTACACGCCCAGCAGATAGAACTCAGTGTCTTGATTGCATGCTCTCGAGCCTACTACACGCTCAGCAGATAGAATGGAGCATACTATTGCTTGAAAACTTGTACTAATGTACTTTCCAATGAGTTCGTGAAGAGCAGGATAGTCATAGTGCCATCGTACAGAGGGCGAGTTCGGTTCTGGTTTTCTTCATACATGCACATTTAACTTCTGTGTCGAGATAATTGTCTGCACAATGAACTGTGGAATGAATGTCTATTGTTCTATGCTGAGTCTACCGATCCCTTTATCCAGTGTTGCTACATGTCTCACGATGGTCGACGTAGGGAGCTCCCTGTGTGCGAATATCTACACTCAACCCTTGGAGACACTGTGCGCATTCTCCTATAACAAGGCAAAGCATCATTCAAATCCTCATTTCGACCTTGAGCATGCCCCAGACAGTTACAAAAGAGAAGCAAAAAAACAGACTCCAAAATCTCGTCCTTCACTTGCAGGCACTGCTCTCTTACAGAAGAGAAGCAAAGCATGTGATTCATCTCATCTAAACCCAAGTACCCCAAGCAAAAAAAAAATGGCAAAAAAAAGCAAAAAAAGATTGGACTTCGGAACGACTCTGAGAATCGAATCGGGGGTGTCTGTCCACAACAACCACATTTTGTCGACTTGAAGGTGAAAGTAAAGAGTGATGAAAAGTACCAACTGAACCAAGGAAACGCAAGACTTACATGTTTGTGCCGCGCCTCCGTAGAGGACACGACGAAAGCGTTGTAAATTAAGAAGTATATATAGGCCGAAAAAGAGGAGTGAGAATGTATATACAGTGAAGGAACAACAGCAAACAGAGCAGCATCCCGGATCGTCAACACACCGCCACTGCTAACACATCAAATCTCTCTCACTTGGGCTACTGCCAGCACTCCGTAGCTCCCTACTTACACTTCGTGATTATTGGTGCTCTACTACCTGTCTGTGAACGTGCAAAAGCTCTTGCGCCTGTGCTACTGATGTTACTGTACAACTTCCTCCTTACGCTTTGCAAACACTGGTTCTCAACTGGGAGTCTGTGGACACGCCGAATTGCTGTGACTGTACTATTGAAAACACTTCGCATCTCCCTACTGGAACGCTTTGTGAACATTGATGCTATACTGCCTGTCTGTGGAAACACCCAATCTTCCTTACCTGTACTGCTAATGGCACCACACATCTGCCTGCACACACCTGTAAGCATTGATGACTATACAACAGCACGAGTATCCACCAACGAATTCAAAATTGGCCTGCATTGATATCCAAGACTCCGAGCACCTTGCAGCTGACACTATGAAGTCAATTTGCGAAGAACGCCGTGGGAATCTTCTATGCATGAAGCTAAACCGATTCCAGGCGCAGATAATCTACGTCGCTGGAATGACCTACGCCCTGATCTCCCCACCAATCTATTGCAAAGTACGTGAACACGACCTCCAAAATGGGAGACGCATCCGCGTCTCCAGGAGTATAAGTATGCACATGACAGGGTCGCAATGCCTACGTGGACAGTCGTTCTATTCTCAAGGACATAATGCAGATTCAGCAAATCATTGTAGCGCTTTTGGCAACGCATGCCGGAGCGTTATCATTACCGAATCACGATAGTGGAGCACGTAAATCTCAAATTGAGAGCTGCGACGCCCCAGTTCTTCTGGATGCAAAGACGAACATATGGAACAAATATAAGCTTCATCCAAATCGAATCTACCGGGAGAAGGTAGAGGCAGCCATCCCCCTTATCAACGACACCTTCCTTCAGGCCCGGGCAAAGAGAGTTCTGAATGCAGGAACCTTTGTTTGGATGCATGTAACTCACAAAGTGCGTTTTGTCTCGCTAGGCTGACTTGATGTAGAGACGGCGTAGACCAGATCAGTCTGATTGAACAAACTGTCCAAGATGTCCCATGCGATCATGTAGTTGGTATAGTCATTTCAGGCCTTCCGTTCAAGCAATGCACTGCATCCAACGAGCCACCAAAGCACGAAACTTACGACTATCAAAAGGACTATATTGAGCGTAAGTCAACCTATCGTGGCTGGACACAGCACATTCAATACATCTAGCTAAAACTCGTACTCAGCCATTGTGAAGAAGCTCAAATCATATCCAAACAACGCTTTCGCACTCATCATTGAGCCCGGTGTGGTCGGGAACTTCGTCATTAACACCAACTCGAACGTTACGACCTTGCCAAACGCCGACCCGAGCCGGAATTGTACGCATGTTGCGGCTTCATATCGGAAAAACGTTCCCCAGGCACTGAGCGCTCTCAGCTTACCGAACACCATTTTGTACTTGGACGCTGGTCATGCAGGGACCTTTGGCTGGGGCAAATACAGAGCTCAGGGTGCGGCAGAATTACTCAACACTTGGAAGGCAGCCGGGACACCGAGCCAGTTTCGCGGCTTGTCTTTGAATGTTATGAGTTACAATTCATGGTAAGAATAATTCCTTTCAATCTACCCGCCTCAGTTTCTACCCAGTGTCTGACCTTTCTTGTGACAGGGACTTGTATCCAGGAGAGAGATTCCGGAACGAAGACTCTTGCTACGACACGCCCAGCAACAACCCCGCGCGCAATGAAAAGCTATACATAACCATCCTAGAGCGAGAATTCAAGAAGCTCAACTCTACAATGCCTTTCTATTCCATCGTGGACACGTCGCGCAGCGGCGTACAGGGTATTCGGGAGTTCTGGGGAGATTGGTGCAACATCGAAATGGCAGGTTTTGGTCTGATGCCGGGGACCTCCACAAACGACGTGCAAGCGGACGCATTCGTCTGGACGAAATGGGGCGGCGTAAGTGATGGGACAAGCGATCCAGCTAACTCGGATTTCGACAGCAATTGCGGGAAAGTCACTGCTCATAAGCCGATGCCAGCGAAAGGAGAATGGAGCCAGACTTACTTCGAATCGTTGGTGAATGACTGGAGGGGGTATGTTCGAAGAGCAGAGTGGAGTGAGAAGAACAAGGTGGCCAGGTGTGGGTAATTTGACGGCTTCGACTATAGGACGAATCTCTAGATACCTTCCCAAAAGTAGAGTTCGCAGTCGCTACCCTTTCCAGTGCTTCTTACTGCCGTCTCCAGCTTCGATTTGAAGACCTCGAGATGAGGTCTAGAGTCAGAATGAGTGTAATTGATTATTCGAACTTCTCTGAGCTTCCTAGTATCTCTTAAGAACGTCGTAAGCACTTCGATTTTGTTTGTCTCTAACAGGTCGGATGGAGCGAGGAGAATTTCGAGAACCTCAAGTGCTCTCCGACCAGTCAGCCCGATTACTTCCAAGAACACAATGGCTGGCTGCAAAAGCAGAAGTTTGAACGCCTTGTTCGAACACAGGTAATGCAAGCTCTCCTCCCTGATTTGACGGTTGAGCCGGAAAATCGCCGGTTTAAGGATTGTCTTGGAGAGATGTTGTGGACGCGATACACCCCTGATCGTGATGGTATCAACAAGCGGGAAGAGTGCCCAGGCATAGATCGCAATTCTCAGCTCTCCTGGCAGAGAAAGAAATCCACTGTGGGATTTCGAGGCAGCAAGATCGGGGGATATGACAGGTTTGTCAAGCTTACGCCGGGGCATGGTGGCCTGGTGGGCAGGATTATTCGGACTCGGGGGGGCAAAGACAAACAATGTCACCGAAGTCGAATCCACGATAGCTTTACTGTTAGTGAACTGACGCGTGTAAGCAACAACAGAGATCTTTGATAGCTACCTAGACCTACGAGTATGTAATCATGAATCTGATGGACGAGGCTTACTCGAGGACGAGGGTGATGCCTCCACGGCTAGCCTCGATTGGGGTTTAGCGTCATCTGTTCACATATATACATGTTGGAGCTTGTACGGTCGGTCACAAGAGAAGCTGGGCTGGCACGGCTGGGTTGAAGATACTAAACAGTGAATGTTGACAAATTTTGCAGCTATAGTATGGCTTCGCAACAGGCTTTACGAAGTAGGTACAAGAATCCTATCAATGTCTGGACCCCATCCCCCGCTCACTCCACTGATTTTGACAGTATTCGTCCCACTTTTCAAATCAACATGCAAGCTCGAGCTAGCTGGGTCACTACCACCGTGAGGCAAGAAAGCAACTCTCTGGTTCGCTCCTCCATTTACACTCACATCAGCGAATCTCTGACTCTTATCGCCGTTAAGGTGCTTGATACGGATCGTTGTCCTGGTGGAAGCGGAGCTGCTCACCGAGCCGAAGTAAACAGCGCCATTGTCAGAGCCTCCAACGTAGCCGGCAGAGTTCTTACCAGAGCAACCTGAGCATGATACTGTCTTTGCGCCACCACTCAGCTGTGCTGACTCGCCCTCATACGAATTCTCGGAAGGCCCCGCACTCAGAGAACCCGAGTTCACATCGGGAACCCAGTTGACTGCATTCTTCATGCTTGCCGATGTTCCAGAGATGGTAAGTGGCAGCCAGATGTAGGTGCTTCGCATCAGATTATCCTTGACCCATCGATCGCCCATGTACATAAAGTTGTTACCAACAGGAAGAATGAACGTTGTCTGACTTGCGTATGTGTTAGATCCAGAGTCTGCGAAAGTTTTCCACGCCGACCATGGCCCCGACAGTGACGTGGCAGTGCTGTAGACGTTGTCGTTTGGATCCCAACCGGTCAACTTCGAACCGAACATGAAGTATACGCCGTTCTTCTTTATCACTGCGGGGGACTCGATCTTCTCTTTCCAGACATACGTCGAAGATTTGACAGTCAAGTAATCGTCGGATAGGAGGTCGATGCGAAGACCGTTCTTGCGCTGCCTCGAATGTTAGACCCAAGATTGAAGCAGATGCGGACCTGGTCACAACTTACATCCTCTGTGAGCAAATAACCTTTGCCGTCGTCATCCACATATACGCCCATATCTCTACTCTCGAAGTTCAAAGGTCTGAAACTGCCCTTGTAGGTGTACGTCCCACAAGGCGAGCTTCCGGTAGCAACGCCCACTTTCGCATCCCCATAGTCCGAGCTATCTATATGCATCCATGCGACGTACTGATTCGTCGCTTTGTTGAAGATGATCTTCGGGCGTTCGACGATGCGACTAGGACCGAGATCGCCAGAACCCTGTCGAGAGAGGATCGCACCCTCGTACTTCCATTCGACAAGATTCGAGGAAGAGTAGCAATTGACGTTCTGGAAACTCGAACCGTCGGTTTTGTCCTCGCCCACCCTGGTTCCATGTTACATGCGACACGGTAGTCACTGGGTAGAGGGTACCTACCAGTAATATGTGCTTCCAACTTTGAGTATGCCGCCACCGTGAGCTTGGATATGTTTCCCGGTATTTGTCTGTCTGACGTATCAGCATAACGAAATCAGTTTTCGGTTATTACTGATACATACAGCAGTCCAAGTACCTCCAGGAATGATTTGGAGTGACGCATTCACAGTGGAAAGCAAGAAGCCCGGTCCCAAGGTATTCCGAATGAAATGCATTTTGATCGAGAGCTAACCCAGGAACCTCGAAAACAGAATCCAGGTAACACAGAGCCCGAACTTGACAATCGACACCTTCAACCGGGTTTATAAAACAATCTCATGGTATCGGCAACGGAAGAATTGGGCCCATAACACAACTAGTCTTTGGGCAAGCGGAAAAAGTACGGAACATTTTATTAAGGGAATATCAACCGTGATGTTGCGTACCCATTGCAATTAGATGCCAAGTTGAATACATTGATTGGAGCAGGGATTTCGAGATGCATTGCGGGGAATATGCTTGAACTGCCTGAAAGGGATTGGGTCGCTGGATATAGTGTTCTCACTAGGAGGTCCGTTCTTTGCGGGATATTGATGTTGTTAGGTCACACCTCGACAGCTTCGGGCGTCGGCGCATTACCCGAAAGGAACACCACGTGTGAATGACGGACGATGTACTCAGTTGTTCTTCACCGGCTACTGAATTTCAGCTTTGCTGTCCTAGATAAATCCTTTCAGGGGGATACAACGCATCAAAGGTGTACATTCACCCCCAGCAAAAGTGGTTTTTGGGGATGACACGCCGTTGCTAGATGTCCTGATCGTCTGCGCAAGAGTCGCTGGTGTGTCCGGGTTGGTTTCGTATGCAATGGGGCCTTCTGGGTCGACCGCATAGGTTCGAGTGCCGACAACGTTCATAGGTAGAGAGGAATTTCACCATGATGAGCGATCAGCGTGATGGATACAAGGAACTGTAGCAGAAAAGACTTCTCATACATGTTTATACCAAGTAACGCACAACTCACGGTTATGACTCGAAGATTCAAATCATCATCATTATCATCATCATCATCACAAAGAAACAATATTTCGGCAGCAAAAGAAAATCCTGATAGATTCCCAAAGAATGGTTGAAGAGAAATGAATTTCGAATAGGACCAGGGATGTTCCTTCGATATTTCAATGCTGTCTTCGCTTCTCCTGCCGAACACATGCTGGTAGGCGGTAATTTTTTTGGTGGTTCTCCAGACCTCATTTCCTTTAGAGATGATTTTTTGAAATTCAGCACATTTCACATTGATTTCGAGAAGTTTCCTTCTTGGTCCCTTAGAATTTCTACTCCTTTTCACATACAATTCCATGAAAATCGAATCCATGATCTTTTCGATCCTCATTCAGGGGACATGGGGGCTCATCGTTATATGGCAGAAATGCTTCTCTGTTGGGCAAATTGCTCGCACCAACATTGCGCTTGTATTTCTTATATTCGAAAGGGCACGCACCGCACATACGATCCTGATCCTCTGCTTTGATTTGGAAATGGCCGTCTCAATCCAGCGTTCTCATGGTGCCAGACCGTGAATGTTTTGAACCCTCGCAAGGGCTCCATCGAGCCAATTCATATCGTTAGAAAAATTGAGATTTTCTTGCTCCGACGCTCGCATGATATCGGCTCGTGAACCTTTCGAACCCTCGGTAGGGCTCTATCAAGCCAATTCATTTCGTTTTAATCGTTGAGATTCTTTTGATGAGATCTTTTTGATCCGACGCTCGCATGGTATCGGCTCATGAACCTTTTTGAACCCTCGCAAGAGCTCCATCATCCAGTTCATTTCGTTTGGAAAATGAAAATTCTTTTAGGCCGCCGAAAGACGAACCCAAAGCAGAGTGAAGAAGTGTAGGGAAAGAAAAAAGAGGGATCCAAGCAGCAGCAGATGGTTTATATACCCTCATAACTTCGAGAGGGCACACTGGGGGCACGTGACTTCACTCGGTCAGCATAGCCCTCTTTCAAACAGAGCCAGATGTGAGTACGTTTGACAGCGAACCTCTCAGATCAGATTACGGGAACCGTGGTGGGACGATCGCGTTGGCTCCATCGCGTGAGCCGAGATGTTGTTTACACGGAGACTGGACCCCATCCTTCAAGAGATATAGATGCAGAGTCTGATTGTATATATCAGGTCACAAGAACATATGTTTACACCGAAACCTCAATCGGAAGGAGCTATGTGACTTCTTAGGCCCTGTTTGGTTGCTCATGCTCGAAGGTGAGGATGTCGATGTGTGACCATCATTGCTCATTTGCCCGACGTACAGGCAGAGTAATATTATCAGCTGATTACATCTGAATTCTCCTCGTTACTACGTCACCATCTTGTCTGGGACTGTCTGAGAGCATTCTTTATGCTGTCTGTGGTGCATTGCACGGCTTCTCAATGAGGGTAGGCATTCAGGAAACTGTGCAGTTTCACGAGCAATGGAAGGATATCAATCGATTCGAGTGTAGTGCTCCATTATTATCGATTAGATACCATTCTGGGTGCATTCAACATTATTCTGTTGCATAAAGATCCATTCCGACTGATTTTATGGCCCCTGAACGGGAGCGCGCCGTTAGCCAGCATACTTTATCATGTCGTTTCCATCAACACTGCCCTGAAGCAGCTGTGAATTGCATCTCTTGGATTCATTCATCTAGATAATCCCTCCTGGGAGATATTTCAGTGCTCGTTGTCCGAAGCGCTCCAATGAAAGTGCCTTCGAGTGACTTTCCGGAGGAATCTTCCAGCCGAAAGCGCCTTACTAGTGCATTTCAATGTAACGTTGAGTTATTCCAGGGCTTAGTAACTCACTTCATCATGTGTTTTCCCCCAGTACTCTCTATTCCATGCTTTGTTTTCGTTAACGTGACAAAATCTCAGGTTGAGAGGCCGACAAACTGTTGCAAATATCCTCAGAGTCAATCAGACTTGCCTAATTGGCCTACTGTGAACCTTGCAGAGTGATAGGGAATGTGAATAAGAGAGGTAACGATACATCCGGTACTCTTTGAGACTAATAGATGGGACAATATATGTACAAGGGTAGGTAACTGGGTCGAAATGTGTCATCTCGTTGGACGGTGGCGGTTGTTTTGGGATTTTCGATGACAAGTCAGCTTGCAAAGACTTCAAATTCTGGAGGATCAAAGTCGCTCCCGATACCCAGAACCTGCGAAACTATATTATGAGGATATACATTCACCCACTTCCCAATCTCTACAATCGAGCTCTTCAAACTCTCAGTGTCAAACAATGCATATGCAGAGTGGTAGACATAGGGAATTTACCAGTACATCTCCGAAGCCAGCACATCATGCACCTAAGCAGAAAGACGCGAGCTCCAGCATGATGCCGCACTATCTTAATGAAGGACTGAAGTTCGAAAGAGGATCTTCGAAAGAGGATCTCTTCCCCGGGTAGTCGCTATTGAAAGGCAATTGCGAATGCTGAGGGCTGAGGTAGGTAAGGTCGAATGAGAGGGTTGTTGCATGCATGCATGCCCCGTACTATTGCAGACATCGGAAGTCTCAACCAGACATAAAATTAGGATCATATTCGATGCAAGCGCATGTAGATACATCATCAGGCAGGGAATGTTCAGATGTAGGCCACGAATTCAGGTGGCAAATCACTCTCGAGATCCTGGTTCGTAATACCGATTGAAGCATGACTAGAATAACCAGATGAAAGAGGTGGGATGAGATCAAAGGCATTGTTGTGGTATTGACAAGGACGAACCGCTGCTGTTGGCATTGTCCCCCGTTGTTCGTTCACGATTGCTTTGAATGGGCAGGCCAGTCAATGTGGAAAGAGCGTTGTGACGAACTCAAAAACTTCAATCGTTGACCTTGACATCAACCCTTCGATCGCACCCCATACTTGACTTCAATACTGTGAATTCACAGTGTCAAAATCGCACTTTCAATCATTTGATCGGTTACAACTCTCCTCTTTCTGGTGTGCTGTATCAATTACCAAAACTTCATTCCGGAGTCTTCTGGCTACGTTTGCTTTCAATTGAAGTTTCGGGCAAATCCATTCAATACGGCTACAGGGCGATATTGACAGTCCATTGAAGCAATTCAAGAGGTAATTGAAGCACCGGTTTCTTCCAGGGATGTACTTCAATGGGAATGAGGATAAATTGCTGTCGCCTCTTCACAGTGCTGCGCCTCTTTCTTCACAACATCCAAGCATCACAGAAAACGACATTCTGAGATATCACGAGCTTTTGCAAACGATTTTGATTGATAAATCAAGTCCTATGGATGCCAACAGCTCCTTCAACATTCAGTCCTTGGAGGTAAACTCGGGAAGAACAGTCGGTGGGATTCCTGGAAGGGAGATACATTCACTGGAATCGGCTTTTGCAACAAACAGTCTCCCCGTCGATTTCGATTTCGCCTCTATCAAAGTGATTCCCACATTTCGCAAATCCGAACCGGAACTTCGAGATATTGTGTCTCGTTTATTGTGTCCTCCACCAAATGCTTTCGTCTATAGTGTCCTGTCAATAAATTGGGTGGTGGGAGTGATCGGATACAACAACTTTGAGTACAGGAGAGAGGATGCTCGATTCATACTAAAGCAAGACTCATCAATCAGGAAGTATGGTCGGGAATTGGGTATTCCGGCTTCATACCATGAATGGTTATGTGGTGACAGTCCAGACCAAAGTGCTACGGAGCAGGGAATGATATTGGTAGCCGAGTTTTTCGAGACAGAACTATGAGGAACTCTGTGTAATTGATAATATACGTATGTAACTTTATTGAAGGCATTTTGCGTCTAATCTTAGTTAGTCATACATGCCCCTTCCTGCTTTGCTGACGTCCCCTTGAGCAATGTGCATGAACTTGTCCACAGGATGGAAGTAGAAGACATCACCAACAACAATATTTTCGTTTAACACCTTTCTACACCACACAATGGGCTGTGGTCTGTAGAATCGTCTGAAAGATTGATGTTTCTCACTGGAGTCTTACCTCCTAGTCTCTCAATGACTTGTTACATTAACAGCTGTACCAAAGTATGGGATCCCTCAGAGCATTGAAACGTGTCAGCCACACAGATATCTCATTACGCAATATTCACTACAAGAACTTTACCGAAGTGAATACATAGATGAACTAAAATAAAGTTGAAGTGCTTCAGATGGATTGAATGATTTGAGTCTGTTAGAGTCACGCCACAAGGGAAGCCGATAGCACTGTGGCACAACTCTATTCCTAACTGGGGACTGTTGCGTCTGAACAAACAGGGAGATCTGGATGGGATTAATTGATTCGACACTGACTGTATTCGGAAGAAAGTATCTACCAGGGTGTGCCTAAGAAAAACAACGACATCTATGACTGCAGGGAGTTTTAGAACCGCGAGAACTATACAATCACATTGCAGTATTTTAGGAATGAGCGAATCATATATGTCAATTGTCAAAGAAGGGGAATAATGCTGGAAACGTGTGTATTGCTTGCATCGTCCACGCAGGTACCACTTCGGAAGGCTTCCGAAATGCCAAGCAATCGGACCTCTTTAGCTACCTACCGCGCCTACCTAGGTATTTTCTAGTCAGTCGCAAAGTTGCGACCATCGCAACCACACGACATCCCGTCAGAGCTTTGAGGGAACATTGCAACAATGTCTTCCTCACGCGTTTACATCCCCTCTACTGCCGTATTACGAGCCTTATCGCGACCACAAGCCCTCCGATGTCCCCGTATCCAGCATGTTCCCATGCAAGCACTCCGTTCCAAGCGAACCAAAACGCACCCCAAAGTCGACCCTGAAAAGGCTGGAAAATTATTGGCGCACGCGCTTCAGAAACAGGACATGAAAAACCCAAAACCAGATGACTCTCGTGTCCTAGAAATCGAGTGGGTTGAGCGGGACCTCGACAAGGGTGGACCAGACCGTGTGATCGATCGCATCACGACTCGGGAAGACGTCAAGCGGAATAACAAGATGCTCAAAATGTTAGAGAGAGACGAGAAAGACCCAAATTACGACGATACAGAGCTGAAAAAGGCGTTGCTGGATGATCTCATGCGGAACCCGAATTTTGCGAACTTTCGTAATACTCTGGAAGCAATGAAGGAAGACCTTTCATCGGAGCAGGAGCAGGCTCGAATCGACACCGAGACGGCCAAGGAAATGCAACCACAACTAGAGAACATATCAGCCGCAATAACAATGGAACTACACCAAGAGTTTCAAAAGCTCATCGACGATCCCGAGTTTGCAGAAGTGAAAGACGACGTGATTGCGCTTCAATCGAGGGTGTCCAACCTGGATGACTTAGAGAACGACGATGTTCAGTCACAAATGACGCTATTAAACGAGAAGTTGGAGAAAATTCCGGCATTTGCAAAGAAGATGGCGCTTTTGGAATCGAACCAAGAAACAGAGAATGAGAAATCGGAGAAAGGATTGTGGACCTCATTGCCAGATGAGAAGCTGATAACTGGCGATCTCGAGGTAGATAGCTTGCTCAGGGAAATGAAAGGGGTTCTCGAGGGAATGGGGGGTGACGGCGACTCGAAGCTACGGTCTGAGTTAGATCAACTTCTCAACGCAAAACCGGTTCATGAAGAAGAAGGGCGATTCCAAGACGGCTTCGACGTGAAGGACTTGACCAATCATTTACGGAAGCTTCAAAACATGCCAATGCCTGAAGAAGCGCAGGAGGAGAAGCTCGATCCAGATTTAGAAGCCAAGGTAAATAAGATCATGGACGATCCCCAGCTTCTACGAAAGCTGGCCTTGATCAAAGAGATGATGGACGAGCGGCAGGCTGAGATTGGTCCGATTGCTCATTCTTCTGCTCCGGACCCCATGACCCTCGATCGATCACAATTGACAACATACAAAGAGCGACTGAGAATCGCTGAAAATGATCCTGAACATGTTCGCGCCATGAAACGACTTCAGATCCACCTTCGCCCCCCTTTCTCTGTCTCGCCAGCACTGAAGTCTCTCAACGAAGCCTTGAAGCTTTCGTATCTCGGTGCTAGCGACGATGTACGCAGAATTCTCTGGCGTTCCTACTCTAAGGCTCGTACGATCCCAACATTACTTCAGAACATACCCGACGATGCATGGGACATCTTATGGTATTCGCAAGCTGTTACATGGACTGCCAATCAGAATCGACAAGATCATCTGCGGATCTTGCTGCATGACTTGAGCGCAATAGGGCGTGACGGACCCCCAACATCGCCCGAAACTCTCCAAGACTGAACCGATATAGTCTATGTATCGCCCTGTAGGAGTATGTGTAGAGTATACCAGGGACAATGTATCTCTATTCTCCCACATGGGAGTGCCATTTTGATTGGATTTTCAGATTGAATTCGCCGATCGGATTCTTTTCATTTACGACGCTACAATAATACTTGCCAGAATCGCAACCACTCATCTTGCAATCCTGCTGCACTTATCTCATTAATAGGAAATCAACGTTACAACGTCGCCGCTATCACCTTCGCGGGTCTGCAGAAACGCCTTGCTACTGTACAATCGGGAGTACAAACTGTGAGATACCGTACTGGGCCCCCTACTCCCATTGTTCCATCGTTCTACTCTGTCTTGGGACAAGGTAGCAACATGTGTCGACTATATTCTCCTCGTAGTGCTGTCTGGACTGTTCCCGATCGTATCAGTTGCGACTGAGGTAAGATCGACCCAATCGATTGCTCTTCCAGGCACAACTACTACAGCACAAAGTTGGTTCGTATCGCGCATCGGGTGACCGCCTCTTCGTTGTCTCCACAAACGACGATGATCGGTTCGGTAACGCAAATGAATTTATCGTGCTACTTGACCAAGGCAAGATCGTCAGATTACTCACAGCTTGATGTCACCACCCAGGTTTCCTGGAAATCGGATCCTATCCACTGTCTTTGGGTGCAATGTTCTCGCCAATCCCCGCTGTACTCATGTTATCAGCATGGCATTGGCGTAGTAGACAGTGGTGCCATGATTTTAATGTGCCAGATATTAGCACTCACCCTGGGGCCGCTCGGGTCTTGAGAAACTCACAGTAGATGGTCAATCGTTCTCGTGGGTCCTTGCTAGGGCACTATACCTCCTATATACAGAATTCACGAAGCCCATTCACATAAACATAGTTACAGTAGGTAGTGATAATTAGCGTCTTTATCTCCCCCAGTTCAGACTTTCGACATATGCCAGAAGCACTAGTCAAGATCTCCCATCATAACATTTCAGGTTTTTTTTTAATGCTCAAAGTGAAGCTCACCAAGCTTCTGCCGACCAAAAGCTACATAGACCCATTTTGACAATTTCCCGGGTACCACTGTCACCCCTTACTGGCGTATATTCTTTTCTGGAGTTATTTAGCGGGAGACAATGCAGGGCACTCTGCTTCACGATCCTGGTTTCCGGAAGTTACGACGGGCTGAATCCTCCAACGTGGTTTTACTACCTACGGAAAGGAAACGGCATTCGATTTGCCCGAAGAGATAAGAGTGTTCTAAAAGAACACTACATGCGTAAGGTCTCGGTTCCAATAGACCTTGTCTGACTTTCCGGGTCAAACGGCCATCATGTCATGTTACCCTTTCTTCGCCTACCGGTTTGTCCCAGACCAGTACAATGTTCTTAGACTCAAACATCATGTCACCTTGCACAACGCCTCAGTCAACTCAGGAATGTCAATATCCATCTCATGGCTGGCTGTTCGCTTCTCCGTCCGGTCCGGCTATCGCGTCCTGCTCGCTGGAATGTGAATGAGTGGATCAACACGAGGTCTGACTCTCACAAGAGCCCTTTTGTTGTGCAACGCCCACAGCTCATAAAATCAGTTTGATATCTTTCGAGCTGAATAGTCGGTCACTGAGGGTGGCTTCATTGGCTCAGGTGTCATGCTCGATGAAGGCTGGAGGTGGATATGCAAGGTCTCAGAGCACATCGTCGTCCTTCGAAGAGCAGACCTGCAGCTTCATCTGCACAAGATCGCGATCCGTGCGATGAGTTTGTCCCCTTGATCTCGCCATTTGCAGTCTCCCGTCTTATTTAAGAGGTAATGCCAGCCCTTGTCCATGTTCGATCTTCCCCATCGAAATCAGATCTTGGTACTCTTGGATATTTGACTCATACGTTCTACGCCTTCCATCAAAGCCTCTCTTCGGAGAACCCTCGGTTCATTTGTCTTATCTCGTTCTCTGTCTCAGCCACGACACTTGCTTGTACAAGATGAAGGTTACTTACATCCTGTCATGTGCTTTCGGTATCGTGGCGCTTGCCAACCCGGTGTCCATGGCGAGTTGCTCTCAGCGTTGCTACACGTCAGTCAATGAATGCAGTCAGACGTATGGAGGGTAAGTGTGCCGGACTGTTCGAGTCTGCTTTCTCTATGATCAGCGTACACTACGATACAGAGCTGGAAGAAATCAGGGTTGTTGTCCATCTCTCCTTCACCACCTTGATCTACTTACTCCTATTATGAGGATGTCACGTTGATACATACTAACACTGGCAATAGGTGTTGGGAAGCATGCCCTGGCACTGCTACCGATACTCCGACCTTCACACGTCCGATGTGCAATCCTACAGCTATATCTGCCAACACCACCGACCTCTTCATCCCCACCTTGACAACAGTCCCTTCGCCCACGGCATCGCTCACGGACTCGTCCATCTCAAAGCCATGCTCCGAGCAAATCATCTGCGTTGACTCCCGCACAATGTGCGGAACCGAGACCGTACTGTACGGAGGGTATGTCCAACTCCTGCTTCCTCTCACAAGTCGATATCAAGTCCAAAACACTGACGAGACCCAACAGCTGCTACGACATGTGCTCGCCAACCCAGACTCCCACGCCCCCGCTCTGTACTCTCGCCCCAGCACTGGTAACCGACTACCCCTTCATCAACAGAACCAAAGCCACGACGTCGAAAGGCCCCCGGGGACCTTGCACCCGCGCGAAGGCTTTCCTCTGCCCGCCTGCGGATTGGTAGGCTCGCGCGTACGTGTCGTCAGTCAGTCAGTCAGTCAACGCTCGTTCTCGATGTCGCGATATCCGATGCCCACAGTTGATGTCCTGTCCCAGCCCAGCCCCATCGCTTCAATCACCTTTGCCCCCCTTCTGTATCCTGTCGTAAACAACAACGCACTTGCTTTCCTTGCTCTCCCTTTTCTTTCTTCGCTTGTTTTTTGTTGGGTCTGGCGAGTACTGAACGACTCGTCGCCCGTCTGATTTTCTCGGCTCCCCAAGCGTGTTCGTCTTTCGTCGTTTCCTCAGATCGAATCGGTCGGTCGTTAAGCAGTTCTGTTTTTTTGGGCGCTACGATAGTCTCCGCCGCAAGAAAATACTTTTCTCTTGTGGCGATCTCTATTAGTCTGTAGCAAAATACATATTTTGATTTTCAGTATACGGAGGTGTTGGTGGTGGTGAGTGATATGTATGTTGTGGTTTGAGGAATGGAATGTTGAGGGTTATGCTTGATAAACGTGTCTGGTGGTTGGTGTGAGACATGGTGATTGCTTTCACGGCGGATTGAGTTGATATGTTTTCAATGAGACTTTGAATGGTGGAGTGTTGGTTGACGACCCTGATGAACATCGTTGATGGAAGTATTCAAGATTTTGATCAACGCACGGTGTCAGTTCACGACTTCAATTGCTGGGTTCATATATCAAGAAAATCAACAGCAAGTTACACTACACCTACACCTCATATTTATCACCTTAAAGTGCTTTCAAATCACATACTGCGCCAGATGAAAATACAATCGAACCCCATCATCGCCTTTCCCTTCTACAATCCCTTCCTCTTCGCGCACGCTCCCAAACATCACCACCCTCACCCCTCTACCTAAAATCATCGTCAAAACCCAGCATCGACACACCAACCCACTTACCCAAGTCCCTCAAACCTCAAACATACCCTCCGCATACAGCAAGAGTGCGAGGCAGGAAAAAAAGGTTGTGCGGCCTTTACTCTCACGTCAGAACAAGAGAACCATGGCATTCGGAATGGGGATATGCAGCGTTTGCTTGGCGCGTGTCAACTGCATGCGGTGCGATGATAACGGGAGCAGGATGGAATCAATTTTTATTTTCGGCTGATGGGGTAGGTTTGAATTTTTCTTGAGATGGAAAATCGGATGTGTTGTGATTTATCAATATACCAAGTACTCCGTATACAGAGTAGCTAGCTACGAGTCTACGACAGAGAACCTCCCAAGGACTCATATATGAGGAAATATCGTTAGCAACGACGAAGTACCCGAGTACCTGCATGAACCTGATTGGCCCCCATCCCCCATCCGCACCCGTCCACTCCCTCTCCGTCTTACATCCCCTCCGCCAGGCCCGCCGCCGCCGCCGCCCCCAGAAAACCCAAACAAGTGGTGGGAAAAAACCCGCAGCGCAATCAAGCTCTCGCTCTCGCTCACACACTCTTGGAATGGAAGGTCCCGCTCCCCTTCCATCGTGTGCGTGCTGGGCTGGGCTGCGCACTATTCCGCGCAAGGGACGCGCCCCGGCTGTGAATAAGCCACGCTAGGACGGATATCGGTCGTTAGTGGCTGCGGAGGGATAGGGTCTTGAGTGGGAGGGATAGCAGAACAGTTAAAGGAAGAGCAGGAAGAGAGATGGGTTCGTATCTGAGATTATTGCGCTAGGTGGGAATGGGATTGAGAGGGTTTGCTAGAGGGAGAATGCGTGCCGGTATAGGGGGAAGAGGAGGGAATTTGGATTTTCGGACGTTGTGTGTCTGTCAGTTGTCGTCTGGCTGCATGCATGTACGCATGCGAAAAGAAAAGGTCCTTTCATGCAGAAAGAGGATGGATGGTAAGGCGTAGGTGGTACAGCACGCAAATGGGGAGAAAGAAAATGTACTGGTAATGGAAAAATCGATGGGTGGTTGCAAACGGGGATGCTCATAGGACCAACGACACATGGACACACCACACAAGGCCAGGAGCAGCCATCTTGTGAGCTTGCTTGCCCGCTTGCCCGCTTGCCAACGCCTTTCTTGCCAACGCCTTTCTTGCCAACGACGCCTGCTGACCATGTCGGATTCCCTGTTGTAAAACGTCTGAGTGATGCAAGTCTTGGATCTTGGTCGCCTTGTAGTCGTGCTGGACTCGGACTAGGAGCATCACGCTGCCCTCCGTTATTGGAACAGAACGAATGCACTTGAGGACTTGGGACTTGGACTTGGGGAGTCTTGAGTCTTGTTGGAGTTGGACTAATTGCTGGGCTCGTCCTCTTTTTGCCGGCTACGGCCAACACGAGAAACCTAGACCTTCCTACTACGAGTTACTAGTTATAGGTAGTCATACACATAGTCTAAGTATATGTAGAGTGAATAATGGGCTAATCCTTGGAAATCCTACGCCTCTGCCTTCTCTGTGCCTCTCTCTCACTCTCCGGTCCGTCTCTTTTTGACTGTCCTATTTCCTTGTTTCCTTTCCCTCCTTTACGTTCGCTCCCTCACCCTGTCTGTCGTCGTCGACAGCATCGTCACCGTCGTCGTCGTGACAGTTACGTCGCTCGCTCGCTCCTCCGATCGCTCCCCATAATTCGAACCCACCACCCAGGCCGGCCCCCCTTTCCTGGATCCTGCGCAAATCCGTCGTAGATGTGCCCGACAACATGAAGTGGACCGCGCCACTCCTCCTGGCGGCGGCCTCATTGGCCGTTGCTGAGAGTGTGATTGACTTCACCAAACTCCCAGCCTGCGCGCAGCAGCAGTGTACAATCCTCAAGCAGGCCGACGACAACTGCGTCCCTCCCTCTGCGCCGAAGACCGAACAAGCCATATACCAATCCTGCATCTGCCAGTCCGGTCTCCTTACCGGGCTCCATTCCTCAGGGCAATTGTGCCAGACCGCTGGCTGCTCTGCCGACGATGCGACCAAGATCTCCCAATACTATATCGCCCTCTGCGCTGGACCCGTCGTCCAGCCCGCGACGCCCACCACCGCCACCACTTTGACGACGACCACCACGACCTCTGCACCGACCTCGACCGTTGCCGTTTCGGCTACCGACCCCGGCGGTTTCAATACACCAAAGGAGCCGTGGATCAAGAACAATTGGAAATGGGTGGTCATGGTCGTGGTCATCGCCGTCGCGATAGTCTTCTTCTGGGTCGGCGGAATTTACCTCCGACGACACTTCGACCGTAAGAAGGACGCTGAGCGCGCGAACCTCGCAGCGAAGGAGGGAGGAGGATCAGGCAGCGGAACGCCCGCCATGGCATCAACCTCCAACACGGCGATGCCTCTCGCATTCCCAGAAATGTCAGGCGGACGCAACGGCAGCAACCACCGCCTCTCCGGCCCCACGCCTCCCCCGGCCGCCATGTCGCGACGACTGAGCCGGAGCAACACGCTGGGCAGCATGAAGAGCAGAACGAGCGTCGCCTCTCCCATCGTCTGGGGCCCCCATCAGCATCTCGCCAACTCCAACGGCCGCAACACGCCCGTCGCATCCGGCCCTCCCTCCCCGTCCTCCGCCATTGGCCCCCCGCAACCGTTCCGCAACCGCGACAGCTTCCGCTCCTCCAACCCTCGCATCAACTCCTGGAAGTCCCAGGAATTCTCCGCCGCCGCAGGCTACGCAGACTCCCCCCGCGCCTCGCGCACTTCCCATGGCCCCGAGCCTACGACGATAAATCACGACCAGAGCACTGAGCGACCACACACCGCATTCGGCGACCCCATCCGCGAGACGAACCGCCGCACGCTGGCGCCCACACACAGCGACACGAAGCTGCCCTCCCACGCCGAGGGACAGAGCGCGGAGATCTGCGAGGTGTCGCCTCCGCGCTCTCCCGCCAAATGAAACAAAAAAGCCACCTAATCTATCGAGACTCATATCGTATCACATCTCACATTTCTCTTTTCACCTATCTGTTCTAGCATTTGGCATTTCGGGGCGATTACATGCCTGCGTTTTTTCGGCGTATAGATTTCGTTTTTCAATTGTGGGGTTGGGCGTAAAAACTTTTGGTGGGAATCTGATTGAGGACGCTCCTTTGCATTTTTTGGGACTCCTGTTTATCTTTTTTTTTTTGCGAGGTAGGAGATGAGGAGGGACGAGAAGGAAGGGGGAAGGGAGGAAAGAAAGAAAGAGAGAGGACGGACGAGGATCTATTGCGAGAGGTGACGACATGTTGCGCGAGATAAGATGCTTCACATATACTTGGTGACATAAGTATACTGTACAGTCAGTCACTCGGTCGTGATTAGGACCTTTGACATCAAGATGATTATTACCAATATCAACACTTCAATACTTCAATACTTCAACAGCAGCACGGATGTATACCTACGTGATGCTTTTACATGGCATTGTCTTTTTTGCATGTTGGCTGGTTCTACCGCAACGAGTGGAGACTTTTACGAATTGTTTGAGTGAATGTGCATGAGTGTATTAGGATTGTGCCTGCGAGACCCCTGGTACGGAGTACTCGTCCTAGAATTGGTCACACGCTTCCTGATATCTTGGACACTTCAATACGTCTTATGCTTCTACCTCTCCCCTGGCATTGGTAAGTATATCAATCCCACTCGTGTATGAATGAACAAGATGTCTGCCGCTTCTGTGCTCGCCACGACATCGAATGCTGCGTTCTCTGGTTCCGCATGGTGTGATTCTCTCGCGTCCAAGTGCTCGACTAGCTAGGTCGCGTGGACGGACGGGTTTAACGAGTGGGATCGTAGAAGTAGGACGTAGAACCTAGACTTGGATGTAGAATGTGCAAAGCGGAATCCGTTGCTTAGCTTGTCTACGAAAACGTGAAGATCGAAGTAAATGTAGGGAAGAGTGCTTGAGAAGAGTAGAGTAGTATCTGCGTGTTAGTGCTGCATAAACGAATGAACTGTATATGTGTGTTTGTTTCTGGGCTTGGTGGAGGAGAAGGGTGAAGGGTGTTTCTGGGATGTTGGCGCTGTCTCACTCCTCTATATCCAGGGCGGTGTCTTCCCATGTCAAGGTGAAGGCTACGGCCGGAGAAGAGGCCCTTATCTATGGGATTGGAAGTTAGGAGATATGATTGGCACGACGATGGGCGTCTGCTTGAAGCAAGGTTTTGGTGATGAAGAAGGAGGGCGATGACTAGGTGTGGTGAAAGTTTGGGCTCGTGATAGGTATGAGTATAGGACGGTATATCGATCTTTCAGGATGTGGTTGTTTGCTTCTATATACATGTATGTGTGTTTGTGGTTGTTGTAGCTGATTGAATCGGCATGTTCGTTAATGGTACAAAAAGGTTACTCTGTCGGACAGAGTGCCTGGTAGCGTCTAGAGCTCAACCAAAGAAGAATTATGAGTACATGGATTTGTCGCCTCTTGTTATACGCTGTACGGAGGAAAGAAGCTGATCATGGTTAGAGGGTACATAATAGTGGCAGACAGGGAAATCAACGTACGTAACAATCCTCTGTACGGAGTAGTTTGTTGGTGTACGCATTGGTGAAGCTGCAAGTTCTCCTGAACACGAGCCGAGGTGGACGAATTTGGATGGAGGTTGTATTGGAGAGAACGGACTAAAAGTACGAGCATGCAGCCAATGTGGGATGTGCAGGCACGGACTTTTGCATTGCATATCACCAACTCATATTCGGTATTTGTTTTGGATGTGAAGTGGATTGGAACGGGTGGAGACGTCTCTTACAAGTTTACTTTCCTCTAGGTTACTGGTGAGCGACGTCGCTTAACTCCGCTAAGCCAGACCCTCTTTGCCTACAAAAATTGTGGGACTGGTCGGTATCAAGCGAAGCACTGTGGGCGGAAGGATGATGCGCAGAGATGCAGTATCCTCGTGTGATATGATGCGATGCGATGCAATATGCGGTGTCTTTGTTGCTGAAATACCAAGAGTCATCTCCTGTGCGGCACGGTACCCTCATAGCCATTTGATATAACACCTGCCTGTCGTTGGCTTGCTTATGCGGCGTAGGCGTTTCGATATAACTCGAGTCACGCAGTGAAGTCAACGTACGGGACGGGACGTTTCGTTTTTGACCTTTGATTGATTCTATTTCACCTGAGCTCCGGAACGGCAATTACAGAATCTTCACGATACGTACTTCTATTCTCTTGAACAACAATGAGTGGTACGCTCCGCCTGGCCACGCCTGCTGACCAGCCGGCCATCGCGCGGCTCTGTGCCTCTGCGTTTTACGAAGACGAACTCTACGGCCCGTTGATGCATCCTTTTCGAAAGGAATACCCTCAAGATTACGAAGCGTACTTTCATAGGAAGTTTGCGAGTGAATGGTACAACTGGGACTGCATCTGGTGGGTAGTCACCGTACCAGCCGACGACGCCACTGCAGTGAAGGAAAGCAAAGGAAGCAACCCAGACGAAGAGAAACTCGTTGGTATCGCGATATGGGAATACAAGGGCAGCATGGCCACGAAGTACGGGCTCGGTGCCTGGGATCCGCGTACGTAACATCTCCTTTACCTGACCCTGCACAAATCTACAAACCACTAGTTACATGCAGCCGTCGACTGATTCCAGATACGCAGGTCGACTCGTCAAACCGGCAGTCGAGTACTGCCAATCAATACAAACGGCCATGTGTCCGAATCGCGCGGCGAACCCTGACCCCATCCTGCACAACCCGTTCCCCCATGCCCTGCCCTTCTTCAAACACCACTGGGCTGGCCCCCGAGAGAACTCGATATACCTGGACCTGCTAGGCATTGACCCCGCGTATCAGGGCAGGGGCTTGGGGAAACAGTTAGTGCAATGGGGGATCGAGAAGGCGAAGGAGGAGGGTGTTTGTGCTAGTGTGGTTTCGAGCAAAGCTGGGTATGGATTGTATCAGAAGATGGGGTTTAACGACGAGGCGGGGTTCTGTCAAGAGGGAGGAGATAAGGGTAACCCTCTGATAGCGCTGGAGGAGTTTGCTGGGAAGCGGCAGACTGGATGGATTCTGTTTAGAGATCCTTAGGAACGTGGCAGTTGTGCATGGGGAAGGTGGGATATCGGGAGTTGAGAAAAAGGAGGTGTGGTGTCCGCATCTCTGGAATGCTGGAAGACCAGGGAATTGCGGTTTCGGCGAAAAGAAGAAAAGAAAAAGCAATGGTGGAGGATTCGAAGAGAGGCATGTACCCGAGCAACAAAAAGCAAATGCATCCCCAATCCATGTGAACGGCTGGCTTGGGACAGTCGCCTCCACGCTTCGGCGACAAGCCACAAGTTCCAGACCATCCAATGCCAGTCGCTCAAAGCCTCACGGCCATTACGAATGGAATCCTTCCAGCATCGTTTCTATCAGACCGAGACTAACGTGCGACGATAGATACATCTCCAGGCTCCAAGTGGTTGCGGTCGTTGTTGAGAGTTATTGGGGAGGGAGTTTTGCAACGAACCGTGATCAGCATTGGTCCCCAGCGCCCCGTCTCCCGTGTCCCCACGCGAGGCCAGCCATGCCTACAATGGGCTAAACTGGCTGGATTCGACCCTTCGTCAACCGTCCCTAATGGCCCGGCCCGCATGGTTCTTGATTGTTAGTGTACAAATGCTTCGACAATCGTTACTCCATCGACTCACGTACAGACTCGATGTTTGCTTTTCTTGATAACGCAACATGGTTGGTCTTGTTCTAGACTCGAAAAGATATCGAAAAGTATTGAATGGCGATTGTCTCGTCTGCATATCTGCCGATTTGTTCGGCAGCGCTTGAGGCGGTCGGCTGGTAGAATTCACACGAGGTTCTGCTTACACGGTGCACGTCCGGAGGTACGCCCGAAGGATATGGCTGCATCATGCAATTAGAAGCTGCATTTCAACCCTCCCAACCGATCCCCTACAGGCCCTGTATGGTTCTCATTAACGCCTTCTAGCCGCCTCCCGACCGATCCCCGCCCAAGGGTATGCTTGAAGCAGAGGCCTGAAGAGGTATGGGAAACATTTTCTGCGGCCCGCTCCCTGGGAGCAAGCTGTGCCGCAATAAAAGGGCTATCCTAGCAATAATTAGATGCAACACAAGCTCGATCACCCCATACGAGGGCTTTTGTCTTAATTGCCTCGCTGCTGCACTGTTTTTTTGGCTCCTCTCTCCAGGGCGTTTGATTTCTATTTCCTCCCAATCAATTCCTTCTTGCGCTTGTGCTTTTGTTTTCTTATCACTGCGCGCTTGGGGTATTGTCGATAGATACGCCCCTTCTCAACTTGAACTATGGCGACCATGTTCCATGATGGAAAAGAGGCTGCTCAGCCCGACCCCTATGAGGTGGACGATGGCACCGATGAGAGCATCGAGGTGACCGAGAAGAAGGGAACTGCATCTGATCGCCATGACATGCAACGTATGGGTAAAGTCCAGGAATTGAGACGAAACTTCCGTTTCGTTACCATCTTTGGCTTTACTATGGTCCTCATGGCGACTTGGGAGGCCCAGTTGGTAAGTCCTTCAGCTGCGTTGGGATGCACGCATTATGCAGACTGAAGCTGATTTGGACAGAGTGCAAACGTATTCGGTCTCATCAACGGTGGTACCGGTGGCTTGATCTGGATGTACATTGCATCCTTCATTGGATTCTTTGCGGCGATCGTGTCGATGGCTGAGATGGCTTCCATGTATGTTCGAGGTCATGATTATGGAGAACCGTTCACAGGTTGCTAATGAATGATAGGGCACCTACCACAGGTGGTCAGTACCATTGGGTGTCAGAATTCGCCCCGGCCTCCTCGCAGAGATTCTTGTCCTACCTTGTTGGCTGGCTCTGCGTGCTCGGATGGCAAGTCGGTAACACAGCCATTGCTTTCCTCAGCTCCCAGCAGATCTTGGGTCTTGTCATCCTTAACCACCCAGAATACGTACCAGAGCGATGGCATCTTACCCTGCTCGTTATTGCCATCATCAGCTTCTGCCAGCTCTTCAACACCTTCCTCGCCAGAAAGCTCCCCTTGGTCGAAGGTGTCGTTCTTGTACTCCACATCTTCGGCTTCTTCGCCATCCTCATCCCGCTCTGGGTCCTCGGAGAGAAGGGTGACCCTAAGACCGTCTTCACCACTTTCACTGATGGCGGAAACTGGGGCTCCATCGGACTCTCCTGCCTCGTCGGAATGTTGTCCCCCATCTTCTCCTTCATCGGTCCGGATTCCGCAACACACATGTCGGAGGAGCTTCGCGATGCCAGCAAGACTCTTCCTCGCGCTATGATTGCCACAGCCATCGCCAACGGCGCGATGGGTTTCGTCATGATATGCACGTTCTGCATGCTCGTCGGCGACGTCGAGCAAGTCCTCGGATCGCCGACCGGCCAGCCTTTCATCCAGGTCTTCTACAACACCACCCAGAGCAAGGCGGGCGCAAGCGTCATGACCTGCATCATGATCATCATGGCGACCTTCGGATGCGTTACCAACGTTGCGACTAGCTCGCGACAGGTGTGGGCTTTCGCTAGAGATAACGGATTGCCATTCTCCAGCTGGCTTGCTCATGTAAGTAATTCGCTAGATCTGTGTTCTCCTTTTGTGACTCATGCTGATATGTGAAATCTAGGTCCGACCCGGCTGGGACATCCCCCTCAACTCCATCATGCTCTCCTACCTCATCGCCGTCCTTCTCTCCCTCATCAGTACGTCTTTGCCTCCATCTTCCCTTCTGATAAACACTAACAGATGTCCCCAGACATCGGCTCAACCGTCGCCTTCAACATCATCACCTCCCTCGGCACCGGCGCCCTCCTCTCCTCATACATCATCTCCGTCGGCTGCGTGACGCTGCGCCGCCTCCGCGGACAGCCCCTCCTCCCCTCCAAGTTCTCCCTCGGCCGCTGGGGCCTCCCCATCAACATCTTCAGCGTGCTGTTCCTCACCCTCGCCTTCATCATGACCTTCTTCCCGCCGGAGAGGAACCCAAGCACCGCGACTATGAACTGGAACATCCTTGTCTTCGGCTTCATCGTGCTGTGGTCGATCACGTACTTCCTTTTCAAGGGAAGGAAGGTGTACGTTGGGCCCGTGGAGTACGTCAGGAAGGATTTGTAGAGCGTGGGTTTGGTTTGGTTTGCTGTTTTGTTCAAAAAATGACGATGTTTATCTAGAATGCGAGTGGGTGGAAGAGGAGGGGTTGAAGGTTGTCACAACGATCTTTTGCTGCGTGCCGTTCTGCTCGCTCGGTATATCTAGATTTTAAGGAATATGCTTTTTAACAAAAACTTTCAGTAATAGACAGCGATAGCATAAGAAATACTCTCTTTTGTCCTCAAATGTTCCCTGTAGTCTTTGTCTGCTCAACTGTGATAGTTTCTTGGTGGTGATTACTGCGGCGCTCCATAGAGGAACTCGGCCGTTTAGACTGAGCAACATCTGTCACTGAAGACATCTTTTCTCTTCAAGCAGAAAGTTGCCAGAAAAAAGTAGAGCCAAGAAGAAAGTAGAGAATCAAAGTGTAAAGCATGCCTGCATGGTAAACTTGTTCGTGTCATGCTAGATTCTCGGGACAGCCGTGTACCTCAAGGCGGATGGTCGGAGCAAGCATTCGCGAAGAATTGGGGCGTAAAAACACCATGGCACGAATCAGACTACTGGTACTTGATAGTTATGATGAGTATGGAGTAGTGCATGTATGGTCTTGGGAATTCGGCAAACTCCAGTCCGCCGTGGGTCGGTTGGTTCTGAAGCTATTCCTAGTTTCGGCTTGCTACCCCGCGTTTCCGTACTTTAGTATCCTTCTACCAAACCCGTCGTTTCCAACAGCGCACTTCCGATAGCAATGAAGCCTGGAAGTTGTCTTTTCCTACATTGACTATGAGCAGAAATAATATAGTAAGCTATAAGGATAAGTCGTAATCGAGAAACATGTGCAACTGTTCGAGTTGAGCGAGGGATACACTATCAACCAATCTGTCGTCCCGGATATGGTTGTCCATGGCGGTACTTGACTTTGCAGCATCGGAATTGCTCGTGTGTATCCCAGTTCCAAGAGAAGTGGCTTGCTTGGCAAAGATACTATGGTACGGAAGCTTCCCAGCCATTTCTATTAGCCAAGTGGGTGGTTGACGGGTGGTTGATATCGACTTTTCAAATCTGATGCTGAAAATGTAGGCCGCGTAAGCAAAGCCTTCGATTAGACATGACAGTCCAGAGTAGTTACAACAGATATGTACTGGGGGAGTCGAAGTGTTGATTGTATGTTGATAATAATGAGGTTTAGATGATGGCAAGGACTGCGATTTATGTCGTATCAGGCCCGCACCGCGAATGATTTAGTTAGGCGGTTGTGACGTAGGATGCTGATCCTTAACACCTTTGACTCGACAAACTGACTCTACAATGCCCGACTCAATCAGATACGAACCGAGTCTGCAGGAAGCAACTATTCCCCTCAGTCGATGGGAAATTTCGGTAATCGGCCAAAACGACTAATGACTTTGGTAATTGGCCTATGTAGGCTGTACGAAAGTCGGCAATTCATCATGGCCGTGTCCATTAAAGCAAAGCGTTCTCTGCAGCAGGTCTCTTCATATTCTTTTCATTTACCTTGTTCACCCTTGTTGCGCATATACCAAAGAGCAGGCTCATAATTCGCAACTATGAATGACATCGAGAAGAGCTCCGTTGAGCGAGTTGAAGGGAAGAAGATTAGTATGGAGGAATTGAAGCAGACGACGACAGTAGACACTCTGCATCAAGATGAGGCGATGAGGGTTTTGGCGCAATATACTGGCGACAGGAACTGGGAACAAGAGGAGGAAAAGAAACTGGTCCGAAAGATTGACTGGAAGTTACTTCCCTTGCTTTGTACCACTTACGGCTTGCAATATTATGATAAAGCCATGCTCTCGCAAGCTGTATGTGTTTACTGCCCCGACAATGGACCAAAAAAGGCTGACACTGGTAGGCTCTCTTCGGGCTTAGGACAGATCTAAACCTGAACGGAGGCAACAGGTATTCATTTTCAGCGGCGATCTTCTATCTTGGATTCATAGTCGGCTCATATCCTGCTATTCTCATGGCCCAGCGATGGCCAATTGAACGCGTCGCAGCCGGGATCATCGCCGTATGGGGCGTATGTCTGATGTGTTCTGCTGCTTGCACGAATTGGCAAACTTTCTATGTTCAACGATTCTTCCTAGGATTCCTCGAGTCGGGCATATCACCCATGTTCATGCTGGTTGTCGGAGGCTGGTACAAGAAACCCGAACAAGCTTTGAGGATGGGAGCTTGGTACTGTTGTACCGGCTACGTCTCGGCAGTCTCTCCTCTCATCAATTATGGTCTAGGTCATATCAGAGGTGGATCATTGAATAGCTGGCAATACATGTACCTCTTTGCAGGTGCCCTCACTATCCTCTGGGGCCTTGTCATCCTATTTTTCATGCCGCCTGATCCCATCCGAGCGAAAGGTTTCAGCGACCGAGAGCATTACATCGCTGTCGCACGGATGCGAGAGAACAATTCAGGTGTCCGAAATACACATTTCAAGGTGGAACAGTTGTGGGAGGCATTGCTCGATTTGAGATTCTGGTTGATATTCGCCATTGCGTTCTTGATGATGATCGCCAACGGCCCGGTGTCGTCTTTTATTCCTATCATCATATCAGGTTTCGGCTTCAACCCATTGAACTCCCTTCTTCTGACACTCCCAGCTGGTGTAGTCATTGGAAGCATCGAGCTAGGCGCTGCATATGTGGCCTACAAGATCCCCAGAATCAGAGCCTGGACAATAGCCATCTGCCAAATTGGTACTATCCTTGCTTCAATCCTCCTGTGGCAACTGCCGCGTTCTCAGAAGGGCGGCCTGCTCTTTGCATGTTATATCCTGGCTTCCTTCGGTGGTGGTTACGCAGTGCTGATGGGGCTGCACATTGCCAATACGGCAGGATATACCAAGAGATCCGTGACATCATCTGGTATCTTTGTTGGCTACTGTCTCGGTCAGCGACACCTTGTATGCTCCCTTGCTTCAATCTGCTAATACCTAATAGGGAATTTTGTCGGTCCGCTCCTGTTCAAACCCGAAGATGCCCCTGTGTATGCGCCTGGATTCGTCGCTGTCCTCATTACAGCTATCGTAGCTGCTGCCCTCAGTGTTGTCTATCGTTTCTTCTGTGTGTGGGAGAATCGTCGCAGAGACAAATCGGGGACTACGGAAGCATTCGATAATGCATATGACGACGATCTGACTGACATGAAAAATCCACAGTTCAGGTACACTTTGTAATGGCAGTTTTGGAGGGGTTTAGTGGGCGCAAAGTAGGGCGTCGAAGAAGTTCCGAGATCGATCGTAGTGTTTTGACACTCGTCGCCTGACACGCAAAAATTAGACATCCTGTATCCCTAGATGTAAGAACCTGCCAAATCAACAATACCTAACTAGCGCCTGTACTTGCCTCTGATGATTTGACATATCGGATGCGGGATAAACACTCCGCACTGGGTTCAGTGTTGCCACTAACCTTCCAAGTGTTGCAGCCCTAAATCAATGAAAGCATAGGCTTTCTCTCTTGATAATAAAAGGCGGCGTCTACGTTGAAACAGGCTGGAAGGCGGAAGTTTGAGTGAAGGAGGCGGACAGAGGCCTTAACTCTTTTGGGAAGTCGCGATGCTCCCTTCTGCTGAGTAAGTCAACTCAGTTCACCATGTTACTACCTGTCAACTCAGAACTCATATGTTGGTTCCCTTCTTTAGAATAGCCCTCGATGGATTCGCTCGCTCAGTACTCAGTCACCATCTGCTGACAACGCCACGGTTGTACCGCATCGAGACAGTCTCGACTCATTCTTTTCACCCTTGCTCCGTCTTGGAATTGACAGTCGAACGAGACCACCGTGTATCATCTATACTTCTATCTACAGCCTCGCTGAGTGAGTGATCAACAAAACTACCAGCGTTTACGCATATTTGTTCATTGAGACTGGTCTCGTTAAGTCTTCACTGACTTTTTTTCTTGATTCTACGCTATATCACATTGCCCAGGTCGGATGAAATGTCTTCTTACCTAGCACGAAGCGACCATTCACACAACTCGACCCCATCGCCAGCGACTTCCTCTAAAATAACACACACGGATAGGTTTGCTCTTCCTAATCGATTCCGCCAAGTCCAGAAACAAGTCCACCGATTTAAGCCCCAAAGCTTACCAGCGTACGATGCCCCGAAAGACGAAGTCAAATTCTTCATCTACCAGATCCTGACATTGGAGTCATATCAAATTGCGAGAAGGTGGCCACAATGGGTTCTTGAGACATGCGCAGCATGGGGAGAGCGAGATGACGGAACAGGTGCTGAGCTTAGGAATATGCGTACCCCAGAGCTGCAGAAACTATGCCCGCTCGATGCCAATCATGCAGTGCTGGATAAGTCGAGGAAGGACAAGACCAATTTCTCTCCTTCTCCCGAGTGTCGCCAGCGCATAGGAGAGTGCATCGCATCGGAGATTGCAGTACTGAAAAGGAGAGAAGACCAGGCACTGCAAGAAAGGAATAGGCACAGATCTCATCCTCAAGACAATAACGATATCAAATTTGACAGACACTACGCAGTCTCTACGCTTCCGACTCAACAACGGACGGAAGATCCTTTTAGTACAAACTCAAGAGCCATACGACGACAAAAATCATGGGCATCGATGGGACGACTGAAGGACCAACCTCGACATGTGCAACAGAGCTCGCCACTGCACTCCCTTCCAGAAGACTGTATTGTTCCCTCTGAAGATGTAACCTTGCCTTCGATGCAGTCGGTACATATTCGACGCACTCAGCTGGCAATGAGATCGACACCGAACTTGAATGCCTGCAATACCCCGAACTTGGCTTCTACACATGCTTATCGCCCCAAAGTTCAATCACAAAGTTCTCATGACGCTCATCGAACCTACCCGTCAAATAGTGTCAGTCCTGAAACCTCTTCGATCAGATCAAGTAGTGGAAGCAGTGACTGTTCAAATACTACAACTGACAGCATGAGGAATGCATCGTCAGCAATTGTTGACCAAGGCGTACGAAATAACTCTTGTCTTACTTCAGCTTCATCGGCAGGGGTGCCACGGAGAAACTCAGCGACTGCGATGAAACGGCCAGACAGCAGATCTGAAATCCATAGTAAGAGGGACATATTCGCTATATCACATGGGGAAGGGAACAGTGAAAACTATTCCCCGTCACTACATCGTGTGCGCTCTGCTAGCTCATGCCTGAGCTCCCAGGTCAAGAAAACGCCATCGAGGCAAAGATTACAAGCCCCAGAGGCACGAATCATACATCTTTCGTCAGGCCATGAGCAGCATACGAGGTTCGATCGTCCTTACAACCCAGTTGACAGCAATGCCAGCTCCTTGAGCAACTTGGAAAATCGCAACCTCCGTAAGGCAAGGTCATACATGTCACTTTCAAGTGTTGCTTCAACGCCCTCCGCATGCGTATACCCGCTTGAATCCAGAGGTATAGACGGTTCGCATCAACACAAGAGAAATACTTCGCTGCAAGAGATCAATCTGCAAGCTAATACGGCTAATCGACTACCTTCATTGCCGGAAGTTCCCATCGATCTACACCAACAACGCATTGTACCTCATCTTACTTGTGTACAACGGCAGGAGCATCGTGAGAACCAATTTTACCGGTTAGGTAGAACTCAAAATGGCAGTTCAACGGCCATACATCAACATCCTACAATGCTCAACCAGGATCACATCTGGAACACGAAGCAGAAGAAACCGTCTCTGGGAGAAACAGCTCTTACATCACATTCTGCTCCGTCTACTGCACTTCACCAGCTGCGCAAGTGCAAATCTGTTAGGTTTCCATCAGATAATGAACATTCCTGGCCCACACTTATCGAAACTGTGAGAAACATGGAACTACTAAAGCAAAGTCAGATAAGAGCGTCGGTGCGTTGATGCGTAGACTTGAGGTCTGTTGTGCAGGATAGTTGGTGGACTGAGGAACTTGCACATATGAGGTGTGAAAATCGACACGATACTGAATACTTTTTCATATATTCCTTACATTTGTCCACAGCAGCACCATAGTCAGCCACCCTTCACCGTTGGTCATCGACGATGTGCAGGCCAATTGGCTTGTACTGCATTCTCTCCTCCCCGCAAATGAGCAAATGTCGAGCTTCACTGTCTTTTACCAGTGAACTTATCGCAGTCAACACATGTTGAGCGGAAATTTCCAAGCAAGCAAGTTCGAAATATTGCGCAGATGCTATATTATGAAGACATATTGTCAGATATGACTGGGAATAGTGTCTAGCGCTCTTCTGTTGTCTCTGCCACTTCCGACTACTGCCCACCACCAGCACCTAGGAAGTACCATCTCTTTATTAACTCTCATGGACCTTTTTGTTAGCTTTGTCGCTTTTGGTTTTGCCCCTTTTCGTGCCCGGTCTGATTCAAGACAAGCCTGCAGCCATGCAGGCCGACCAAGCCAACGATGCGCCATCGGCTGTCGTATCCAAGGTTTGCGACGCATCGCGTTTTGAAGTGAACCATGGTAATAGCGCTACGATCCACGGATTTTAGGATTACTTCCTTCATTAGGAAACTTCGTCAGCCGCGACACCGAGTAATGAAGAGACCAGGGTGGGGACATGTGGAGGAACCAGGATTACCATGGCGGTGTTGAGTTTTTGGTCGTTTTGAACTGCATGGTGGGGTGGGGTTGGCGTATGTACGCGCGCTGGACTATTTGGTACCGATTTATTTGTAGAAAGGGGTAATATTTTGTAGGCATGTTGCATAGTAGGAAAAGAGAGACGCATTCCCAGACTATTCGGTATTATATACAGTGAATCGGATCTAGATAGCAGAAAAACTTGTCTATGTTCTTGTTCTCCAAGCGTTACTTCATTATATCGACACCTCGAGGGATGGATGTACAGTACAATCCTGGAGTTTGTACACACTTTGGTCCCTCTCTAAGACGCTACCATGGCGCGTGGAAATTGGAGAACCCCTGGATTCTTTATCCACTAACAATCAACCTCAAAGAGTGGTTCTGCTAAGTGCGCCACAGCTAAAGATAGATCAAGATCTATGAGGTCGACATCATCACTTGACTTGCATCTATCGACATGTTCAGCCTATTGCTGAGGTTCTCGAATCATGGCAGTATTCTGATCGGTGCCTACTCCGCCGTGGGCCTCCAGGTTGAACGTCTGCTCGAACACAGGTTGGAATCCTTGCCTCTGATATAACGGTTTGCCTTCCCGGCTTGCCTCGAGGAAACTTGGTAACTTTGCCTTGTCCGCCTGCTCTGTGCCCCACTTGATAAGTAGAGCACCGGCACCACGCCGCTCATGATCAGGATCGGTAGCAAGGATATGCAAGACTGACCCAAAATCATTAGCATTTCGCAGACGCTCCTCTCTCCCCTCCTGCAGACTCGGCTGCTGGGACAGAATCAGTCACGTGATGTCGACTTACAGTAAAATGGCTTCGTGCCCATGTACTTCAGCCTCACTGTCCTGAGGTACTCGAGAAACTCCTTGGCTGCCGGTCCTGCCGCATCCTTCTCTGGGTTCGGCAACTGTATTTGTATTTGCTCCTCTGTCCTCTCTTTCTCGTTTATTCGCCACTTAGCGCCGGCAATCATCTTCCCACCGAGATCTGTGTCGACGACCTTGATGAAGCGCAAATCCGGCTCATCCTCGACGGATTTCTTGTGCTTTGCTGCGTTCTTGGGGACGTAGTCGTCGGCTATAGGCCTGGGCACCAATTTGAAGGCTATGCCGGATTTGAAGGCTGCGAGTTGGATGCGGGCGAAGTCCGCGAAGTCGGCTTCGCTGGTCATTGGGTGAATTTCTAGAGGCATGGCGTTCAAATCGCAACTTTCTTCAACCTCGAGAATTAGTATTCAGAATGGGAATTGAAATATGTCTGGAAATGCGATGTACACATAACATATATACCTGACATCTGGGTTCTTCGTACTTTACGAAGTGATGCCATTTTTCTCTTACAGACCTGCCTTGTTGGGGTTAACCTCGACTTTAGTTAGCAGATGTGGAGTGCGGCAGTTGACTCAGCAGTGCATAGCTCGGACGACATAAATACCACTTCAGCCCTTCGTGATAGAAAGATGATGATTTTACGCCCTTGGGAATTATTCGAACGTGCTGTAGGTGGCCATAATGTGTTGTTGTAAGTAAGTTTGTCATTGCAGTATGACTCAACTCGACTGCATGTCTGACAAGAGGCGACTTGTACAGCCTCCTTCTGCATTCATATGTCTGTTGACATGCTGGGTAAATGTCAGGCTTCACTCTCCTGTGTCTCTGCACAACACTGCAAAGTCAAAGGTATCATTCACCCTGTAGAGCACCATGTGATGAGTTTACGCGCTGAAGTCCTGTAGCAGTAGTCCGCGTTGTGGTGAGTAGAACGAACAGGAAGGAACGTTTGTCTCATGCACCGCAGGGTCGACCTGGGGTGCGCCTGCATTTGCCTTCACTTACCTACAAATACCCCAACCTTATATCGTCGTATATGTACTACTTTATTTGCAATACCTTCTAACATGAACGAGGGACGGCCGCACATGGCGCGGTGGTGAAGCGCCGGAATGGGAAGCGTAGGTATACCCTAGCCACTCTGCCAAAGTGGCCCTCAAGGTTCAATTCGCGGTCGTGGCCTCGTTCGTTTTTGCAACTTTTTTTGCAACTTTTTTTTTTCTCAGGCGCTTGCATAGAGATGAGATGAGACGGGAAGCAGTGAAGGAAAGGAAAGGAGGGCTACATTGCGCCTACACGTAAATGTACAACATTCACTGCAAAGTACGTAAGTACGAATGTATGCCAGAATGAAATCAAATGTTTTATTGCCAAAGAGAGCCAGCAGTCACTGTTGTGATATCTTCTCTTATATGAAGACATGTTCCTGAACACGCGTAGTGACCCCCACGCATTCCAGAGGGCTCCGGTATGCGTGGATACTCAACACATCCACGGACCAACTAACGCGTAAATACAAGCTTAGAACCTCGCTTTGCGCTCTGGAGTCATGAAGTATCACTGATAGGCGACATCAGGTATCTCTCTTCAGCTTTTGATTGTTCCTTCATATTGTAGATGCTTCTACAATGACTGCGCGTTGTCTCATTCACTCGAACTCCTAACACAATGCAAAACTCTCGATTGGACCTGAGGCATAAGGTCTTGTGCTTGAAATCATGGCTGTTGCAGTGTCCTATCCCTATGAAACCTCTACTACAGCGTTGCGACCGACCTCAACCTTCAGAACGATACCTCCTCCAAGACAAAACATACTCATCCTTTACGCATCCCAACCCTTAGCTCTCACAATCGCTCGCGTCCTTGCACGCGCAGGTCACACTATCGTTGGCGCTGACGTAGAAGAGGTCTGGTTGACATCACCTGCACGATGGTCCCGAGCCTACACGCGCTTCGAACCCCTCGACATCAACAACTTCGACACCTCGGTCCTTCGCCTGTGGCGCAAACTCCATCACGAATTCGACCTCATATTGCCCTTCGGGCGTGTACCGACATGCCTACAGCAAGCGGCGAGGAACAGTGACGCAGTCCTGGTCCACCGTGATCTGTTTCCGGACGAAGACACCTTCATCACATTCCTCTACCATCGCGTTGCCCAAGATGATGACAATATCACGTTGCCGATGCAGTTCATACTCCAGAAGCCCAGCGACGTTTGGAAGGTATTGTGTCTGAACGACACTGCGATCCAGTGGAGAATCAACAAGCCGAAAGCGCATCGCCGCGACGAAACATTTCAACACAGTGATAATCCAACTTCGGACACAGAGAAGATACCGGCAATCATGACCGGCTGGTCCACCATTTGTATGGACGCAATCGGCCAAGAAACTATCGCAGAGATAGAGGACCACATATTCCGACTCGGAATCTCGCACCACGAACCGTGGATCATGGCAGAAGTACCTCGCGGGCAAAGGTACACTGCAAACTGCCTCGTCAACGGCTCCTCCCTCCGCACCATGATCGTCACCCGTGACGAGGACCACGGCCTGGGGAAGAAAGACGACTGTTGCGTCGTCACCCACCACGACATGCACTACTCCTTCATCAAACGCTTCGTCGAGCGCTTCGTACAGCAATACGCGCGATCGAACGGGCGCTTCCTCCCCCCATACGTCTCCTCCTCCGGCTTCGACACTGCTCACCTCAACGGCGACGACGAACCGTATCCCCCTGCCGAAGAGGGAGCGAAGAAACCATTCGCGACGCACCTGAGGATGGAGTTCCGCATAGAGCAGGTACACGAGTACCCAAATACCAGCTACATCATCCACCCCTCCTCCTGCACATCCGAACACCACGAGTCGCTCGCCCTGCTCGTGCCATCCACCGCCTCATCCCGCGACCACTTCGCGCAGGCATACACCGAGCTTCGAAACATACCCGGCATCGAAACATTCGAGTACGAACACAGTCCGCGGCTCAGGGGGATATATTCGCTCCCCACAGTGATGGGAGTGGCATGGGAAATGTTGGGGAACCTGCAGTTCTGGCGGGTGGGATTCTGGGTTAATGTCGCGTATTTCAATATGATGTTCTGGGCGCTGGTGGTGTGCTTTAAGGAGGAGAGCTGGGACTTTTGGGACCCGGGGCCGGCGGTGGTGAGGTGGGTTGTCTGTGGATGTTTCGGGGGGATTTTGAGGGCGTGGGATTGGAGATGAGGGAGGTGGGATTGCTTGAAGTAGGTAGGGGGTCCTGGGGGAGGGTAATGCTTTGAGGGAGAGTAGGGGATAGATGGACAGGTTATAGCGTGCGATTTAGATACCCAACAAGATAGTATTGAATTTACGAAACTCTATTTACTTCTATATTCTACCCTTCTAATCTAATTCTCTAAAGATCCAGGAACCCGTCTGCCATACCAACTCTCATGCGAATAGTTCTTATTCGGCCCGTTGACCTTATACGTGATTCCGAACGTCGACAACGCTGCCCCTCTGAATCTAAACTCACAGCTACTCTCATAGTTATCCGGATCACACCAATGCGTACTCTTCGCAATCCACCCTTTCTCTACGTCCTCCGGCTTCGAAAAGACGAGCGAGTTGAACAGCCGCTCTGCGCTCTCGCCGTCGTCTTGCACAAAGTACGTCGAGATTTTGTCGGTGGCCTCGTTGTAGCGGTATACATAGCGTCGTGTCGCGGGGAAACTGTATCCGTTGTCCATAGTGAAGGTGCCGGTTTCGATGTAGAGGAATTCTGCAGTCGCGTTCGGGGACGTGGGTTCTCGAGGATGGAACGATGCACTGCCCGCCAGCGTTCCGCCTGGCGAGGAGGGGTGCCGGGAGTCGATCTTGCGGAGGAGAGTCCAGTCTCCTTGCATGGCGCGGAAAGCAGCTGCTGCGACGAAGCGGCCCTCCGAGGAGGATGCTTCGAGGAGACTGTGGACTTCTTGTATGACTTCCTCTGCAGCTTCAGTTGAAGGACCAGGTTCGGCGTATCGTGATGCGAAGGCTGGGCCGGATTGGCCGGGAAAAGTGGTGTCGTTTCGGGGGATCGAGGCCAGGCGGGAGAACTCGTCGATCAGACCTACGTAGTCCATCATCCAGAATTGAGGCACATCGAGGTCGTCCCTCTTTATTGCCTCGCGTATCGACTTCGATTGCGAAATATCGCTTGTAACAGCGGACAGGGACTCGCGAGGTACCGAGGATTCGGGATCCCAAATGTGACCTACTAGCCTAGCTTGCGCTTCTATCACGCCCCAGTACGGACCTTCGTAGAAACCAACAAATGCTAGCTCGGGTACGTTGGGATTCTGTATCGAGCCACGCGATAGGAGGAATGGGACCCGATGGCATTGCGAATCGTAGTCGAGGGCTTGCCTGACCGAATCTGAGAGGTACTCGAGGTGGGCCTCGAAGCCGATTGCCTTGATGATGCCCGTGACGTTGTCGATCGTGTACGTTGTTTCTTCGCTGGTTTGCGAAACATCGCTGTGCAGAGACCAGAGGCCCTTCTGCAGTGCGTGAACACTTGTCTTGTCATCCGTTTCCTCGACGGATGCACGACCCTGCACTGGCACAATGAGACCGCTTCTTACAAATTCCGTGTATGTGTCAGAAACCCCTGTGTACGCCGGACACTCGGTCTGGATGGGCGTATAGACCAGTTGTGGATGGCCAAGGTCCCTCTGATCGCCACCGAGATTGAGTCGTATGAATTCATGCCCTTTCTTGGCTTTCTCAGCTGGCACCTGGCCGTTTGTAGCGAAGATCTCGCCGGTTCCTCGCCGACCTAGGTTGTACATGGCGAGGTCGAGGGGGAGAAAGTCAGGTGCGAGGCGGTAGTCTTGTATATCCGGATTGTGGGGATTTCCTGGCAGGTATCGAGGTAGAGGGTAGAACGGTCGATTGAAAACGTGATAGATTTTGCTCTCGGCATGGACTGGCTTCACCTTTCCAGGCGCGTATTTTGCGTCAGAAATTTGAAAGGCAGCTGTCGCAGCAGCTTCTATACCACTAATTCCTCCTCCGATGACGACGATGTTGCCAGCTGATTTCGCCAGAGAAGAAACGTCCCTGAACTTGGAAGAGGCCTGTATTCCTGCACTGTGAGATCCATTCTTGGAATTGGAATGAAGATCATCCTGACTTGGTCGATCAAAGAACCCACTTGCGACAACCAAGTAGTCGAACTCGTCCTCATGCGTTGTGCTTGTGGTAGTATCCAGAGACGAGACAATCCACCGACGTGGCCGATCGCCTTCGAGCTTGGCAGCTTTGACCTGCCTGTTGCAAATCGTGACTCCATCGGGAATGAACTTTCGTGCGTACTCTTCCAGATACCGACCGACCTCGTGTGCCTTTGGAAACATCGACAAGCTCTTAGACCGGCCGTCAGTGGTGTCTGACGCGACGGAATGCCATGAAAGGTCAGAGAAGGCTACGCAGAACCGGCTTAGGTTGGTCCTCATGTGCGGGCTGCATTTGTCGCCTTCTTCACCTGGCCTTCCCCTCCACATTCCCCCCACTCGGTCTGAGGCCTCGAAGATGGTGACTCTAAAGGTGCCGCCGGTGCGATGTAACAGTGTTTTGGCGGTGGCCAGACCGGCAGGGCCAGCCCCAACGATGAGTACAGACTTCATCTCAATCGTCGGGAATAACTGTGGTAGAAGGCGGAAGAAATGGCAGTCTGGTCTTGGATGTCGACTCAGGTCGACGGTTTGAAGTAGGTATCACGGGGATAGAGAGCTTGTGGGCTTGCAGTGTAGGTTAGAGAGTAATTGCCAAATGTCAGACCTGCATGTATGGGTCAACACAAACAGCTAAACATGCCTCATTTGAGATATAGGCATACTGAAAATTTGCTACATGAGATTCAATGGAAACGTTTTGTAATGCAGCGATTGTGGGTTGATTGGACCTGATGGACAAGTTGAGGTGGAGGGAGGAATAAGTTGATATGCGGGCTGAAAAAGCGAGTCATGTTGCCCCTCGTTCTCCCAATCCCGAGAACGCCATCTGGTTGGTCAGAAACGACAGTTCGGTCCTCGGAGTTAGAAGCAGAACCATCTTCAGCGCTGTTGTTCTGCATTATAGAAATTGAAAATGCAAGTAAAGTTAGATATTGACGTCATTATACCTATATTGCTGCTATGTGTAATTCAGATCTATTTGCTATAGCTTGCACGGCTTGGGCATGACAAGGATGAAAAAGCAAAATGATCTAGCGACTTGGAACTGCGTCCTGCAGTCTCAGACAGCAGAAATCTTCGAAGCTCTTACGAACGACATATGTAGCCAGATACCATAAGTTCCAATTTTCCCACATAAACCAAACATCTCGGCTATAAGCATCAAGAGGGACTCGATACGAGGCTACAAAGAGCCTTGCTACGAAGTCAGGACACCCGAATTGATCAGCGCACCCTTCATGGTATCAAGTTGTGTTTTCCCCTCCTGTGTGTCCATCAGTAAACGGACACATGTGCAGATCAACTCGCGACTTACCGAGATTAGATATCGAATGTGACCCTTCACGATCAGAGGTGAGTGGATACGTAGGAACAGGTTTCAGAGGGTTCTTACCAAATCAGTAACAGTTCTGTGCTGCACGAATTCTGCCCTCGCATGCTGTCGCATATCGTCCCTCATCGACATGTCGGTAATGGATGCAGTGGTTCGTAACACCTCCCTCCACAGAGCTAGAGCACGCTGTCTTTGAATGAACTGTTACAGTTGCTGTCAGCAAATCATATAGACGTAGGTAATCGAGTGCACTTACATGGTCCAGGCTCACAGGAGTTTTCCCGCGCATACGGAGCCGGGAAGATGGTTTGCCTGCAATGGTCGCATATCCTCGCAATGTGCCATTGAGGCCGAATGCAGCTGCCAGGGGGGACGAAGCACCTCCCATTCAGCTCAGTTGATCATCAATTGATTGTCCAATGTCTGACACACAGGGTAGGGTACAGAATAGATATGGGAGAGATTTGCTGGGTAGTCCACTCTGCTACGAGTATGTTTGTACAGGAGCTGCAGGAGCCAATAATCGGCTTTGCGCTGACGTCGGCAAGCAAAGAAAATCACAGTTGACTTTGTTAGTGGGTGTCACTCGGTGATTCGTCAGTGGGTTGCGGGCGGGTATGGCCCTAGCTGGTATGGTTCGTCGGCCTTGTCGTACTCACTGACCGCCCTGGCAGAATTCCAGCTACGACGCGTCTCCCCACATCTGCAACTACGCGCTGCGCATCTTGGGGTCACTATAATCAACCATAATGTACATCTCTTGCTACAATTTTCTAGCCGTCAATCTGTGATTCGAACATGATGAAGAGGAAGCGTGCCAGCTCAGAAGTAGACTCGGACGACGAGATCTGCATGCGCCAGACCAAGTTGCAGTGCTCTCAGAACTTCATCAACCAGACTCCCATGCAACAAAGTACAGGGCAAAGTTGTAGTAAGTATACCGGTTTCAATACTGCAGTACAAGGCTCTAACTGTGTAGAATCTACCTCGAACGTATTTCATGCCCCTGAGCTGCACAATTGGTCTGTCTCCTACGACATCGTTCCCTCCCCGCAACTCACAAAGGAAGACTTCAACTCATGCTTCGAGCTTATCAAGACAACTTCCCGAGCCGACTACGTTGCATCAAGTCAAGGTTGGGATTCGAGTCGCAAGATCAAGGAGATGAAACACCCTGAAATGCAGTACATTTTGATACGGTACTGTGAGCACGATCCTCGGCCGTCTCCCGGCTCGTTAATTCAGTCCTCGACAGCGAGTAAATCGCCGCATGCTGCAGCTCCGGATGCTCTATCTGATAACGACGCAAAACCCTCAGTTGCCGTTACCTCGACCGACATCAGTCCGAATAACGGAGAGTCAACCGCTGTGACTGCTACCCCGCCATCCCCCTCCCCAGTCGTCGGGTTTCTATCTTTCGTATTCGAGAAGGACGACCCCCCAAACGATCATGTTGATGTGGTATACATTTACGAAATACACCTCTCGGCCAGCCTTCGAGGCGCTGGACTCGGGGCACATCTTCTCACAGTAGTTGAGGATATATGTTACAAACAGAAGTTCAGCAAGGTCATGCTAACGGTGTTCACGCGGAACAAGGCAGCGAGTGCATTCTACAGAAAGTGTGGATACTACATAGATGAGGATTCCAGCCCAAGGAGTAGGGAGGTTCGAGGCCGGAAGATACCCCCTGACTATCGCATCAGAAGCAAGTATCTCGGACAAATCGCCAACCCAGATAGGTGCCCCTTACCAGATGTTTCTGAGGCGAATACGAAAGTATAAAGAGCGCATTCCCTCCAGTCTGCTCTCAGTGCGTTTTACTCACCACAGCCCATTATACTGTTGTTATACTCGACGACTTGGATACCTCTGTGTCTACTTCAGATGTTCATCTGGTCTTTCATTTTGCGCTGCATAACACTACGGTGCCCGTTCACATGTTTGAAACTTGAACGTTTGAAGTTCGAATGTAAACAAGTTGTGATCTACTACTCAGGATGTAGGGCAGTGCACGTATTCTTCTAATTCACCTGTGTCCACTTTAGCTGTTTGCATAGTATGCACATGTGATATACTTGACAATATGATGCCCGCCGACGCCTCCCTAATTCGTCGTCGACCATACCACATGACAGATGGGTGGGCAGGCACCAACGCAGGTGACGTAGTCCAAAGTGAATGTCCCAGAAGGGTTGACTCGCACAGGCAATGGTCGCCTGTGCTGGATCAAACGGACTCCTGGCTACCTAGGTACTTAAGCCCTCTCCCATCTGCCTTTCCCTTGTTCTTCTTTTTCTCCACACCAATACCAACATTCTCAAAGTTTCTCGACAAATTCTTTCTCTTCGACATGAATCAAAATTTTCTCTTCGACATGAATCGAAGATGCACCACTTATACGGCATGATTCGAAACATTTCTTAACGCCATGAATGCGGGAGGAGAGAGACCCTGCTTCAAAAAGAGGTAAGTTCTTATTTGGAGATCCTTTTGCTCTTGCTGTCAATTCTTCATAGATTACTGACAGACCTGCAGCAGCAAAATTCGGACAGCAACTTCTCATGTTCTGCTCGCTCCAGCTCGAAACAAGAAAAGCAACTCGCTATGCAATGCTCCGGTACAGAAGAGAAACATGAAATGTGCTGAAATACTCTTCCAAGCATGTTTCGAAAGAAGTCCAGAGAACGGACATGTGGATTCCGGCCTGGCCCCTCCAGTGCTGATTACATGTGCCCTAATCCTTTTCAAATGGAAAAAAGTACGCCAACTTCGTACGCATGAGGCACCGGAAAAGCATCTCTAAGTCCTATATGCCTGCTCGACCAGCAACGGTCAAGAAATGTTCTTCCAACGAAAATACCCCTTTCAAATTCTTTCTTATCTGGTGGAAACACACAAAAGCTACCACATGACACGCGTAGAGGAAAGACCTATGGGGTGGGCTGCGAGCCATATTTCACCATGCGCTCCCCCAATGGTTCTGTTTCGCAGCATCGCTATCATTCATGGGGCTTTGCTCAAAAATGAGGCGGATTCACAATGATCCAAAAGTTGGAAGCTAGCAATTCCATGAGCTCTCCTGATGGACTATTGAAAACATACTGGGGGCGCGCGAGTAGTGGGATGTCAGGCCAGAAGAAGGGGGTGTGGACAATGAGTTCTTCCTATCACAATCAAAACATCGCCTTGACATGGTTCATGCTTGCCAAAGGGCTGGAGACAGCAAAGAACATCAAATGGAGTACCCGACCGTGCCATGGAAGCTCTCGGGTCTTTGTTTCAAGGACACAAAATTTCGAAAAACAAACACTTTCGAAACAGAACCTAACATGGAACATGGAAGCTCTCGGGTCTTTGTTTCAATGATACAAAATTTCGAAAACAGACACTTTCGAAACAGAACCTGGCATCGAGCATGGAAGCTCTCGGGTCTTTGTTTCAATGACACAGAATTTCGAAAACAGACACTTTCGAAACAAGATCTTGCCATGTTCCCGCTCCTACCGACTGCAAATGACGCCGGGCAAGCCTGTATGGTCGAACCAGATTGGAGTTCTAATATTCAAGACAAGCCCGTGATCGCTACAATGAGCTTGTCTGCTCCCATTATGGGGAGTAACCCAATTGTATGTGACTGCCTTGGCGCAGGTGCTAATGTGGAGCTCTCGAGTGCCTGTTATGGCTATGATCTCTCTGTTGCGGAATTTTCCCATATGAGAAACACAACTATTGGTTTTCTATTGCAAAAATTTACTGGCACCACTTCCATGAAAACCCTGGATCTCAGGCTTGAAAAGATGTCATACTCGGCTGCGCCTACAAATGTTTCTCTATGCGTACACAACATGCCCAATGAGCCAAAAAAAAATGCTCCTGCCAACAAATTTCAAATCTCATGCCTCGGACTCATTACAAATTTTCTTTTTCTTTTACACTCATTCGTGTAAAAAAACACATCTGATGGGAGCATGGTGGCCCTTACACTTGGACCTAAAAAAAAGCATGTTCGATCAAAAAATCTACAATTTTTACACTCGGTCGTGTGAAAAAAAAAACACATCAGACAGGGTTAATGGTTGTTGTTTCCTTCAACAATCATATCTTCCATATGGATGTTTCTTTTGTCCGGGATTCCGCCTTGTCCCCATGGCATGGTTTCTGATCTTCTCGAGACCAAATAATGGTCGATGGATGCTGTGAAAGTCATAAGGTTGAGGTGATATGAGAGAAGGTGTCTCTTCCTGCTGTCAATTGCGCCATGAATACTCGATTTGGTACGGATTATCAATCCGCCATAAACCTTCCAGTCTCCCATGCTTTCACCAATCTATTTCGGCCTCAAAAATAATCCCAACTGCAAGCCACGTCATGCAGAGGCAGGATGAGGCTGAAAACCAGCATACCTGGTTTAATGAGCACCACCCAGCAGAAAAATCTCATTGATCAAGGCGCTATGGATCTGAACCAGATAAAAGGCTGTCAGATAGACTCCAGTCAGATGAGTTCCAAAAAGATAAAGGAGATGGGGGAATGAGTAGCCTTGGAGAGGAATGATTGTATGGGCGAGAACTTTATGGGCTAAGACTACATGGGCAAGAACTGCATGAGAGAGAAGTTTATTGGAGAGGAGTTCTTGAGAAAGAGATTCAAGACAAGCCCATGAGCGAAAACTGCATGAGCGAAAACTGCATGAGCGAAAACTGCATGAGCGAAAACTGCATGAGCGAAAACTGCATGAGCGAAAACTGCATGAGCAAGAATTGTATGAGCGAAAACTGCATGAGCAAGAATTGTATGAGAGAGAACTGTATAAGAAACTATTGCATAGGCAAGGACCCTCTGAATTTTCAACTATAGTCTTTTTTTCGTATCACACCCTATTACTTGCGCTGCTGTGATTCCATCCTGACTGTAGGCTGTGATAACTTGGAACTCTCCTGACAGAACAAAATTGTAGCTCTGAAAAACTGCCGTGTCCCTTATACTTCGAGCTCATGCCCGAGTCGCTTCACATGTGTGTATACTGGGTGCCAGACTCGAGTGTTTATCGTTCGACCTTTCTTCGCCTCTTTCTTGCGCTTTGTTCCTCACAACGCAAGGTGCAGTGACTCGATACGAAAATGTTTATACACGGTGAATACCTTCTCAAGCAGCTGAACCTGTACTCTCCCCCTACACCCTATTCCAGCCTCATTCTTGTCATGTCTGCCGTGCCCTGCTGTGCGCACTGTGCTGCCAGACCCCTACCACCTGTATCCTTTGTCCTCTACCCCGTGCAGGAAACCACTGCCTTTGTTACAATTCTGCCCCAGCCATTATTTATACCTAGCTCCGTCGTTCGTGCGCGCTGTCTGTCCTTCGCCGCGTTCTCCAGTTAACGTGCAATCCTGCCGTGCGCCCTGTATCCTGCCCCTGCGACCCGCCGCAATGCCTCCACTGTCTCCCTCGAATCTGAAGCGCTGCTGTGACCTAGGATGGTCTTGGGTAGTTGAAATCGATTGATTCCCGTTGAATAATGTCGGCGGGAGGCGGTGGGTCCTCAGACGCGGCGTGTCGGGTCGGGTGTATGGCAGTGTATCGGTGCGGCGCTGGAGGCCTGGTAGGTCATCGCGGCGGGAGAATGAGAGGGCAGAGGGCGCTGATACTTGATATACGTAGGAGAGGAAGTAGAAGGTTCTGGAGGTGTTGGTTGGCCGTTGCGCTGTCAGTGTTTGAGGATAGGTTGAGCGCTGGAAACACCTGTGATGGGCGCAGAGAGAGTAAAGGGCAGAACCCTGGTCAAAATGCCGGAAGAAGATACTGGTATAGAAGTTTTATTTTAGGCGTCGGAGAGGGTTGAAGAGCCCGAGGGGAGTTGTATCCAGAGGTACTGGTTGCGTCGCAGTTGCGCGAGATGCTCTACGGCACTCAAGCGAATGTTCCTGTTGCGGTGACTGGGTGAAAGAAATGGCAACTTGGGACTCCTGGCTTGAGAGGGCATTCCTAAGATATAGGGAGAAGAAGAGGATGCGCTTTATTAGTATAGAGTATATGTAGAATGTCCAACACACTTCTATATTTGCACCTAGCTGGTAGATGCAGATACACATCGCGCGTGGTGCTTCGCCGCGTACTCGAGTCGCCGGCTCAGGATCGGAGTACAAGTCATAATTGTCACGGGAAGATGGTTCGAAAGGATCTCTTCCGTGGGTGGCAACTCCTTGCTGGTTGGCACCCCTGGCCAAGTCTTGACTGATCATTCTACCTCCTAGCTGGTAGATGCAGATACACAATGCGCGTGGTGCTTCGCAGCGTACTCGAGGTGCCGGCTCAGGGTCTGGGTATAAGTCATAAGTATCAGATCTGTTCCTCTACCGCGGGTGGCAACTCCTTGCTGGTTACCACCCTTTACTAAGTCTTGACCGATCATTCTACCGGGAGCTGAAGCTCTCACAAATAGAGGCTCTTGACAGTGCAAAGGCGCCCTAACTTGTCTCCCTGACGCACATGTAGGAAGCTCTGTGCACCCTTCTAAGGGTAGGCAGGTTCTCAACCTCCGCCCAGGTAGATGCTAATATGAGATTGGACGAGAGTTTCTAGTGATAGTAAATCAGGCCTTGTAGATGTATCTTGTAACACAGCTACACTGTGTAATCGTCGAGTCGTATGTGCTTGAAGGTCTCGACACGCTGTATCGGACACAGCGTGTTATCTGTAATTCATTCAAAGCTAGCAAGCTGCGCTCTAGTCACCACAACGCGTTGAGGAAAGAGATGTTGGAGATTGAACTTACTACTCATAGTGTCCTGTACCTGGAGTACGAGAGAGGTAATGACAGGGGTGCTCGATATACCCAGGGAGACACAAGGTGTTATACGTAGTTCCGTAAAGGTGCAGGAGCTTCTTTGTGTGATACCTCGAGGCGCTTTATTGTTGACAAGAGAGAAGGTGATATACCGGCCTGGCTATCCTCAAGTCTGATAGCAAGGTAACTTCCAGAGGACAACACTGCACCCTAAGCTGGACACAAGGTGCAAGGCCAGGTCTGGTACAGATAGAGGAAGCACATTGCGTGTAGGCCCCGGGTGTTATAGTGTCTGAGTAGATAGATCTTGGAGTAGAGCATAGGAGTGTTGGGGTGCTGCTGTAGGCTCCAGCACTGACGCGCTTCACAGGTGAAGGTAAACAGAGTGCCCGCACAGGCAATCCTCCCACCGCCTCCCACTGCCTCCCAGCTCTTTTACCTCACGGTCCTTTTTTAAGCATATATATACTTCTTAATTTACAACGCTTTTGTCGTGTCCTCTACGGAGGCGCGGCACAAACATGTAAGTCTTGCGTTTCCTTGGTTCAGTCAGTTAGTTTCTATCATCACTCTTTACAATTACCTCCAATTCGACAAAAATGTGGTTGTCTTTAGGCCAGACGCCCCCGGTTCGATTCTCAGAGCCGTTTCGAGTCCTCTTTTTTTTGCATTTTTTTGCACCTTTTTTTTATTTGCCCAAGTTGTCTGCTCAGCCTTCACTCGAGCTGGGTTCGACCCTTCACCACCTCAGGTTTCTTCCGTAGATATGATAATGCCACTTAGGTGATAGCTACAACACCAGATTCATCCTTACCTATTTGCCTACTTGTGATGTTCATGTTTACTTCGAACGACAGCACGTGAAGACCCAGTAGAGTTCATTATCTGTGGAGGAATTCGACTGCAGAGAACTTGTATGACCGTAGTCAATCCAAGTGCACCCTTGCAGTCAGTAACATTACTCCATTCACTTCAAATTTCTGTGCAAATCTTGACTCCTTGGTCGACAGCGCTGTGCTGCGATCGTCCATGTGGATATCACGCTGTCTTTTGGCATGAATGAGACAATCAGGCAAATGTCCAAGGCAGAGCTTGATGAACTTCGATATGTAAATGGAAAGGTGATGAGATTTACAGAACAAAATCACAATACCTACTTGCACGCCCAGATTGTAAGTGTGTTGAATTTGCGATATAGCTGTAGTGGTAAGCATTCCGGGTTATTTGCTGCATCATGCTGAAGCTCTCAAATAATTAATTACTGTCGTAGGAGCCTGCAGATTGAGCTGTGGTAAGTGTAGTGTGGGAAAACGTCTTACTCCTGTCATACTGATTTTATGGTCTTGCATACAGGTTTCAGAGCAGGGTGCGCGGCGTGCATGGTAGCGAATGCGTAGAGCTTGGTTTGTTGAATTCGAATACGAGATGGGTTGGCACCTGGAACTAGATTTTCAACTCAAGTATGGGGTTCCATGGCAATAAAGGTTATGAATCAAGGGATGTTGAGTTTAGTTGTACTTGCTATGCAAAGTTGAATTAACACAGTGTTAGTTGTCTTCGCGAACTTCACTTGCAAGGACGGACATTTGCAGTAGGAAAGCTAGTTCATGGATTCTCATTGCACACATACACATGAAAACATGGACAATTCAAGCATGGTAGAAATTTATTGGCTGGCAGAAGTATGTTATTCGGACTTCGCCCTTTGAGAAAACACCAGCATTCAGCACGTGTTGAACGGCTTGATACACTTTGCAAAGGGTGTTGAAACCTACTTGCGATTTCAGAAAACAGATCCTTTACTCGAATCTATTGTTAGAGATACCCATAGCTCCTTAGTAGTCGTCTCCTCGAGAAACAATTTCCTTGCAATTAGGACGGAGCAAAACAGTATGCTCAAATTGTGCGATGTACGAGTTGGGAACATCCACAAGAGGAGCATAGCAATCGACGATACCATTCGAGACGAGGGATCTCATGCCGAGGTGGTAGTTCTTGACTCCCATGTGCTCGAGGTAGCGTCTCGAGAAGACCAGAGTACCGAAGTTGTTGTCAATCGTCTTCAACAATGATCTGGCAGAAGCATGATGAAGGCCAGCGGTGCTGACATTCTCATTGCGACCATAGCCATAGACTCCGATGTCGTCTCTCAAGTAAGCTCTTCCAGTACTGCCGAAGGTTTCGATGGCGAAAATGTCGCCTTCTTCCATGCGCTGAGTGGTTTTGCTTTTCACGAAAGGTACTTGCTTGTCGCCATGAATCTTGTAGCGCAGGATGTTGTGTCCAGTTATATTCTTGACGGCTTTGACGGGAATCACCTTCTTGTTGATCTCGACCTCATAGCTTTCCATCACCTCTTGGATTGCTCCACTGATGTGGTCGATACGAGCGTCGATACCTGCTTCCCTAAGACCGGTATTCGTGGCAGCCCTCACAGACTCGAGCAGGTTATCGTAGATGGGATTACTAGCGACTGTAAAAGCGCTGTCCACGATTCTGCCATTGACATGAACACCGAAATCAACCTTGAGAACATCATCATATTGAAGAATGACCTCCTTGCCCCCGGGATTCGGAGTCCAGTGTGCGCCTACGTGATTTAAACACAGGCCAGTTGGGAACGCCAGCCCCGCTTTGAGAGCATCTCCAGCTTCAATACCCTGATGACCGGTCAAGGATCTTACTCCATCCTCGATGTTCTGGGCCAGATCGCTCATTGATATGCCAGGCTTGGCAATGTCCTGCGCATGTTTGCGAACCTGTCTGTGTACTTCGGCTGCTTCGCGGTAGTCTTTGAGGAAGTCGTCGTCCATGTTACCCAATGCAGCCTGGTGACGAAGTTCTTCAGCAGTCGTTCGTTGGAGATTCTCATCTTGGACGTAATCGACGATTTGGCCTTCCGGGTAGGGCTTGTTGGCGAATATGTTGGCGAGAGCGATTCTTGGAGGGTATGTTTGCTGGCCAATCACAGCCTTCTTCTTTTTCCTCCCTCGATTGTTTCTTCTTTTTTTCTTCTGACCTCCAGACTCGAGAGGCGTGATACCTGACTCTATGTCGGACCCCGTCCCCTTGTTACTATCTTCGTCATCGTCGTCGTTGTCTTGTCCCTCAAGTTTGCCGTGGAGGAGTCCGCTCGCTGCGTCTGGCTTAGGAGGATTGCTGGCGAAGATGGAAGTGGTACCACCAGATCCTATTGCATGTGTTAGTTCTGCAGTAACAAATATCCTAGCTGTGCTATCTTACCATGTAAGGTGTCGCGATGACCTTCAGGTGACTTGGATCCCATACTTGGATATGCAACATACGCATAGAAGAAAAACAGAAGCCTGGAGAATGTTGTCACAATCGAGCAACTCGAGATCTAGAGTCTATAATAAATGATGAATGGTCAGAGGCGCTAAACTGTTTGGGGCGAACTAGGAACACCGAAAACCGACACCAAGGTACGGAGTTTCATATACTCACTCTCTTGGCGGTTGATAACTGTGCAGATGGACTAATTCTCGAATCACCAGCATTGTCTATAGGATATTCGATGTCTACTATCGAAGTCGATAGTGACCACTCCACTCCGCATCGGTTTCACATACAAACAGCAGAGCAATCAGATAAACTGAGTATGACATGCACGACTGTCGGACTGAACTAGCAACATACAGAAACAGAAGGCGTTGATCCTTATCATTTGGGTATTCAACCTATCGCGTTGACTCGAACATTTTCCTGGTCTTCTCTTTCCAGCTTCTAACTGACATTATTACAGAGCGAAGCCGTATCCTAGCCCCCATTACATCCTTGGTGTTGGTCTTACATCCACTCGGGTATCTCCAAACAATGAACTATAAATCCTGACCGAAAACCTTCCTCTTCTTTTCTCTTCGCAGTTGTCGGAATCCAGCGCCGCATTCGTACGATTACATTACTACCGCTCCGTCGTCCCTAGCTCGACAGGTCCTGTTCTGGCATCTTTCTCAGCGATAGGACCTTGTAGTTCTGCATACTTTGTCTGGTTTGCGTAGTATGTTGGCGGTTGTGCAAGTTCGTGTACGTTTGTGTCCGTGGCATACGGTTGTCTGCGGCGGCGTCTGAAGAGCAAGAATCCAATAAGTCCCATAATTCCCACGGCCGCAATTCCAGCTCCAACGCCTATTCCAGCTTTTGCACCAGTGCTGAGACCCCCACTAGTTGAAGGAGTCGATGTGTTGCTAGTGGATGATGTGGTAGAGGGTGCAGCTGTGCTAGTTGTTGAGCTGGCACTGGTTGATATACCGGATGGCGTTGAGGTGGGCGTGCTCGATACTGTTGCAACTACATACGACGGAGTCCCAGTCTTGGGTAGAGCTTGTATGGTGAGTAATTCTTTTGGTGCTGGGGCAAGGAACTGGTCTGATAAGGGCTGTGAACAATTGCGGATCCCATCAGGTGGAAAGCTGCAGCAATGCCACGTCTTCGACGATTCGACATAAACAATGTCTCCATAAGTATTTTGGGCTGTGGAAGAATCAGTACCGACGCGATGCTCGCCCACACATCTCAACATCAAGAGAATCCGACTGCCTCGACATACCGCACAGGCTTCGACAGCCGTCTCCAAAACCCTGATCAGTGCATCCTGCTGCGACATAGCCCGAGCCACCATCTAGAGAGTGCGTGTATGTACATATGCCATCACTGAGACATGTGTCGCCTTTCCAACAACATGGAACCTGTGGATTGGTACTGTTTGTCACTCCGCAAGGCGATAGATCTGTCGTTAATATGACCGAACCCCCCGAATGAATGTAGCACGAGTCTGGAATCGACGACATATTCTTCGAACCGGAGGGACGGTTAGAATGAAGAGACCAGACTATCAGAATGAGTAAACCGTAGGGTCGAGGATTTTGAAGTAGAAGAGAAGGAGAAAGGCATGAGTGCAGATCGATCGCAAATTATGATGGGGCCGTTCGCAATCCATGCCCGGCCCATACAAGTCCATCTTACTCCGGAGCGCGCAGTTTCATGCATCGAACACCTGCCCCTGCGCTCAACTAGACTAGTTGAAGGATGGTTGGTATCTACGTTGGGGGCCAAATCGTTGTTTAGGGGCCAGTGCTAGGCTGAGTTTAAGCTAAATTTCAAAGCGCCCAATAATTGACTTCAAGCGGTAGCACCAAGAGTTCAGCTAGTACGGTGACTAGCAGAGGCGGAGTATTTATTTGACGCTGGGATTGCAAGAGGGCATCTAGGGAGGTCTATTTTGTCAATAAAGAGGCTGCGCAGCAACCACTTGTTGACGGCTCATGCCTTCCACGGTAGATGACATACACTGCACCGTTACACTCACATAACCAGTCAACAAGCCCAGGTGCAAGAATTTTGTCTGTATTGTCTGTATTACCAGTTGAGTTTCGGACGAAGTCTCTCAGAAGCAGCGTATCTCTTCCTCTGGCCTTCGACTGGTCTGTAGAATGTGAAAGTTGCTGGGTTACGAACACCAGTTTTAAATTCACCGCCCGAAATCCGAATGCCTTCTCTTGTAGACTGGTCAGGGTTTTTCGGCACGAGATATCTCGAGTTGATAGATCCTGCTGATTATACTCTTTGATCGGAGTGCATGGCGAGATAATGGTGATGCGCCATGATTGGAGTAAGCCACTAACCCCTCATCCTTATCAGAGCAACAGGCAACAATGACGTCGCGAATAATACACTGCGACGTTCGTCTCAAACATATAAACATTTATTTGATCTTATTGCTTGTATGATTATTGAATTTGCGCTTTTATACCTGTGCCAAACGCTTCCGTACAACTGTCGAAATCAGAGACTAGTTGATTCACCATCATGGGCTGCAATGTGTCTACCGAGAATGCAGTAGACTCGTCAGCAGGCAACAACACGAATTGCACGAATTGCAAGAACTGCTCGAATTGCGTTGACTGCGAAGGTAACATAATCTATCATAGCTGTCTTGTAGAAGCCTAAATAGCTAGAATCTGCTCATTGCTTACGCGATTCTACAGACTGCACATCCTGCCAGAACTGTAAAAGCTGCGACGACTGTTCTCGATGCCAGAACTGCACTGATTGTGGAAATTGTACACGCTGTCAAAATTGCAAGGGCTGCGACAACTGTACCTCATGCCAGAACTGCGTCGATTGTGTTGATTGTGTAAAGTAAGATCCTCTATCCTCCTTGAAAATGCTACGGAAACTGAGCCATCTACAGCTGCCAGAATTGTACCAACTGTAGTGGGATAGAAAATGGTGCCAATCTACATAATGTCCACAGGTGATGGAATTCGGAAGGGTATATAGTTCCAGAGTGTGCAACGACGGAATGGGGACTCTTCCATGCATGCTTGAGTCCCACATTGCTGAGCTAGAGTTATATGTCTGACAACCAATAAACATATTGGCATATGTGAATGTGACCTCAAAATTCGTTCATCATAAAGCTGAAGGCAAGGCAGCGAATTTTGTTCTTGTTTTGCTATCGTTAAAGAAAAGGACAGTGAAGCAAGCAAAGTTACACAGCCAATAGCAAACAAGAGATGTTGCACCGACGAGGTATGGGGATGGGGGCGGTACAGCAAGCTAAGAGAGTAAGCGCCCGTGGCTCCACTCCAAGTGCCCGCAAAGCTTCGCATCTCTGTATTGACTTCATACAATCCAACCCCCTTGCAACCATGTCAAAATTCACATTCTGGAAAGGCTTCGCGGATGCTGCCGTTGGTGTCATTCTTCTCACAAAGCCAGAGCTCATATATCACAGTGCTGTTGCGAAAACATTGCATCGGCTGAGTGGATTACGACTTCCAAACCCGCATCCGACAGCTGAGGATGCGATATCATCTCAACATGCCGTAGCGATAATGGTAAGGTGAACAAAACGTGCTGTAATTGTTATATGCTGAAGTTATTCAAGGTCATCGCGGTAGGAGTGGGTCATATGCGAGCATCATCTGAGCGCAAAGCTTTGCCACCGATTGGTATGCGCCTCGTCCAAGGGCTCCAGTAAATGCGAAGCGTTCTTGCTGATATATGCATCCAGTCCTCATGAATCTGATATGGTCACTTCTAGCTCTTGGCACCGTGGTCTTGAAGCCACACAGGGCTACAAGTGCACTGCTCATGACAGGGATAAACCACGCTGTGTTCGCAACGATCATGATTTTGAGAGCACGACTGTCGGTTTTGGGGGTCCTAGGAATCAAAGGCGGAGTTTTGAATAAGTCAGAATGATTGATTGAGTAGAGAGAGCTTTGGCTTCGAAACATTTCCAGGAGATTGCTGTACGGAATACTCTGGAATGGGTTTCTCCGGCGACATATCAAGCACTTTTAATAGTTATAACACAGCGTCATCAGTAATTAATTGCACCATCACAAAAGCACAAGGGAAGATGAAAGAAAAGTGTTATGTTGGATGGAAAGTCATATAATCAGCTACAATCCCCATTCACAGACAGCCGAAGTAGTCTGCTTCTGGGGAGAACTTCGATTTATATATACTTTTCGGAGACAGTTTGAAACTGTGGTTGGGATTTGCAAGGCCATTCTTAGATGGCAACGTGTCTTGCAAATCGGAACAAAATATCAGGTCGCTAGAAAAAAAAAACATGAATATGTGGGGAATTGTTGCATCCCGTTCAGTGGTCTTCCATATATCGCCAGTGAAGACACCCCTGTAAGAGTTCGTTAGCTTATCGAGACTGTCTGTGGGGAATGGAATTATCTTACGTTTCGTCCTCATGACCTCAATCGATCATCAATAATAATTATTGGAGACCCGGAGCCATTCGTATATGTCGATGGCGTGGTGGTTGCAGCTCCAGTTTGCTGCTGCAAAGCCAACTCGGGTTGACCCTCTAGAACCTTCTCGTCATTACTAGGTGATGTAGTTGCGTTCTTTTGTTGAGCTAATGCGAGCTTTCTCAATCTTCCTTCCTCATAAAGAGCCATCCGAGCTGCTTTGCGACCGCCCTTTGCAACTGTCTGCGTCTGGTAGGCTTCACGCCGAACCCTAGCCTCTTCCCTGATACGCTCTTCTTCTTCTATTTCGGCTGCACTCAGAACCTTCTCCTTTATGACTCTGGGACATCGTGGCTTCTTGGCCTTGGGTCCATTCTCAGTATCATCTGCGAGGTGGTCTCCCTTCCTTTTCAGTGAACCGGCGACATTGCTATCGTTATTGTCCTTTTCGGTCGTGTCGCTATTTTGTTGCTTTGTAGCAGTACCGTCGTTCATAGCATCCTGAGACATTTCAGTCTGCTTAGTCTCTCTGGGTGCTCGGGGCTTTCTAGGCTGTTTGGGATTCTGTTGCCACTTCAGCTTTCGCTTCGGAGGTGGTGGAGGTGGAGGCACGCCATTCTCTTTTACGTAGGCCACGGTGTTGAATAGATCCTGGCACACTGCTAGAGAATTGCTGACTAGCTCCTGGTTGTTTTGGTACCACTGCGTATAGTTGTTTCTAACCATATCGAGTGATAGATCAGGGACTTCCTCGAACTGCACTTCAACATTCTTTGGATAGTCCTTGACGAGCGAGACAAGTCGTGCGTGCAAGGATGAGTAGTGACCAGCTGCCGTATAGAGATCCATTTTCATCTTGATACGGATCGTGAAGTGGCTGCCGGGATTGTACTGCGACAAGGTGTGCTTGACAATATCTCGAATGTTGTCAGCCCACACTTCGGCCTCGCGTATAGGCCCGATGGGCTCATGTTCGATCAGAGTAATCTTCAATGGCCGCTTCCTTGCCTTAACGTCGGTCTTGCCGTCGCTGTTGATGAACTCGTTTCGAAATGTCTTGCCGTTCCTCCAGATGTGGCATTTTGATGCAGCACTGGAGCGCTGAAACAGTCTGGTTACCTCCGTCATGTGATAGCCATCCTGACGGACAAGCTTCTTGGAAGTAACACCCTCTACGCTTATGCGGTTCTGGTCCGTGTACTCCCCATTCCATACAATGTGCATGGTGTCTTTCCATTCAACATGCTGATACTGTTGGGGACACGGGTCGCACTCGAAGATAACTCTAGCACGGTACTTATCGTAATCAAGATCGTTTGGTTCGAGAACCTCGTATTTGATAGGCTCTTTCGAGGACGGAGGGACCGGTTCTGAGATCTCGTGTGGGCTTCCTGCGGATGAAGCGAAAAGGATGTCAGCACCAACGACCATACTATTGTAATATATCTTCCATACCTGAAGAAGGATCGGAGGCAGTAGAAGGGAGTGCCATCTGAAGGCGATATTTCTCCCCCGCTTCCTTCAGATTAGCCTCACAAAATTCTGCACGCTGCCTTGCGTTCTTCATAGCATTCCACTTTTCGTCGTTCCCGGCCCATTCTCTCCGCTGATCTTCTGCTGTCGGCCTCTTAAGGCGCTTCCTCTCCTTTCGGTCCTCGTCCGCAACGATTTCTCTCCACTCTTGCTCGCGCTGCCTTTTCAGGAACTCCTCTTCGGTAAGTCCGTATGTCGTAATAGTCTCGAGATCCTCAAGTGGCGGAGGGAAATCGGAAGCCAGACCAATGGCACCCTCTCCTTCGTCTTGCTCCGAGACAAGGATTGAATTATCCGCGCTCGGTACTGAGGTTGGGTCGGTTGATGCCGTATCATCTAAGTGTGAAAGAGGAGAACGTGTTCCGGCTTCCCCTGAGGAGCATGATTGTTCGGAAGTGGGAGAGGGTGGCTGCTCGATAATTGAGGACAAATCCTCTTCAAACGCACCCTCAAGCAACGTAGCGAGGGCAAGCTCGTCAGGTGAGGGATTCTCTTCATTGGTTTTAGATGGCTCTTCAAAAAGAGCCTGTTCACTCGTCAAAGCCTGAGCAATTTCCTCAGGGGAGAGGGATAGCTCATCTGATGAATCTTCATAGCACGCTTGTTCAGTTTCCCAAGTTAGAATCTCCCCAGCGGAGAGGAGTTGTTCGTCACTACCTGGTGTGTCCTGTGTAAACTCGTCTTGTTCATCGCCACTTGGTTCATCTTGTAGAAAGGCATCTTCAAGCGCCGCAGCTAGTGCGATCTCCTTAGGGGAGGGAGATTCTTTAATAGCTTCAGCGGCGGTAGGGGCACTATTGTTGGATGCCGTGCCTACAGCAGCCTCTTTAGAGGATTGATGTTTGACCTTATTAGAGTTTGCTCCCTTTGTGACTTTGGCTGTGGAGCGGGGTTCCTTCTTCTGGTATTTCCTTTTGGGAGCATCGTTGTCGATGCTGGTTTCCGATTCCTTGCGCTTGCGGGTCGCCGTTACTTCAGCAGTGGAAGCATTTTCGATGTGACAGGGTTGGTGCGATGACTTCTGGTGTTTAGCAGTACGACTAACATCGTCCAGATCTGCCTCATCCATCTTGCGCTTTCTCGGTGCCATTGTGGCAGTGGGGAAGTTGCTTAGAGTATACCACTATATCTAAGTTAGACAGTGATAGATAGCCGGTACTGAGACAAACTTTGACTTACAAGTGTAAGGACTGAGGATGGTGCAGTTGGTGATACCACTCGTTCAAGTAGGACGCCTAGGCCTAGTTGTAGGTGTCCAAGCTGTAGGACTCTAGACTGAAGATATCAAAGTGGGGGTTGCAAATTCTCAAATTTGAGGTCGCAAATAGCTGGTTGTAGTTGTGGGAGGGAAGAGGAGAAGGTAGGGGGAGTAGATGTAAATTGAACAGACACCCTAGTCTGTGGCGGGTCTTTCACTCCCAAGTGAAGGTAAATCACCTATGGGAGCTAGGCAGCGGAGAGTGATTCAACTTCTACTGGCTCACACTCTTCACTATTTTCCCAGAAGGGAACCATCGCCCCAGTTAAGCTTCTTTCCAATAGCATCTGATAGCGTATTCGGCGCAACCTGCCTGCAAAACATGCATTGTGAATCATCTACAAGCTTCGCTACAAACAATTTAACCCATATCCTTTGGGAAGCTTCCTGTTGTTTGCTTTTGGCATTCAAATGCTGATTTCAAATTTGATTTCGACGAATATGTTGCACTCCTCTTGACTGTCACTTGTGTGATTCTGGAAGCTTTATTCTAAGCGTTATAGCTCGTTTACATTAAGAAATTACATTTGGTCACATTACACTGCAAAAATAACGATATTTAGTTACTCAGACGTTCTATTAGTCATGTTTAGCTACGTTCAGCAAAGGTTGAAACCAAATAGAACCGTCTTCACATCCCCAAGTCCATTTGTTTGGTGTAGAGATACCGCTCCAGAACCCGATAGTCTTGATCTAAGCCGTTTTCGAATGCTTGTTGTGCGGATTCCAGTTGTCGGTGAGATGAAATGTTGTTCCACTTCCCGGATAGTGTGTTGCAGATCCTCTAGCAGATGTTGAAGCCGCAGTGCTTGCACTGGTATATTAGTAACAAACGTTCATGAGCTACCGCAGTGTGTATGAATGTACTTACGAGGTCATGAGGGAGAAAGTGACAAGTCTCGATCTGGCATGAACGATCACATGCAGCCGGGTCGAACCACCACCAGCAGGACTTCTTGCAGTTGTCGAAATGCTCGCGGCACAACTTGCAGCCCTTGTCTGGATCACCGGCTTGCTCAGCCGGAGGAGATGCTTGCTTAGCTGGAGGAGCAGACTGCTCAGCCGGATGAACTGACTGTCCCATCGGAGGAGCGGCCATGGTGGTAGCAGCGAAGGCCATCATGAGGAAGACTGTGACGATCTTCATGATGTACGGAAAGGTTGAAGTTGTTGTAAGGTATGTAGATACTCGTGTGTGAAGGTACTGAGGAAGTAGGTTGTTGAAGAGTGGGTTGGTAGAAGTGATGAGAATGAGAGAAGAAGAGAGGGAGCAAAACACCAAAAGGCAGCTCTTTAGTAGACATAGACTGAAGGCAGAAGTGGTCATTGCGCAAAGTGAATACCGGAAGCTCTCCTACAGCATTGCCAAGCGCGACGAAGTGATTGTAATCCAATAGATAGGTACTATACACCGACTTTGCTCTACGTCATGGAACCTGCTTCGCTGGGGCGCAGATGATATAGCAGATCTAGGTACAAGATCACATGCCATCTACCAAGTCACAGAATATCTCCAACATGGTCCCCCTTTTGGAGTATATATAGTTCTCAAATTGTAAGGCTTGTATCCTTCGGGATCAGGTAAGTCTTGCGTTTCCTTGGTTCAGTTAGTTAGTTCCTATCACCACTCTTTACAATTACCTCCAAGTCGACAAAATGTGGTTGTTGTGGCAGACACCCCCGGTTCGATTCTCAGAGCCGTTACGAGCCCTCTTTTTTTTGCAATTTTTGCACTTTTTTTTTGCTCCTCTGCATTCACCTTGTGAAGCCTACCAGGCTATACACAGCTAGCGTGAGCCTTGAACGGGTAGGGCTATTGTGTCTGAAGTGACCTACGTCTTCTTTTTTTCTTGTATCATGCTCTTGTTTTCCTGTCTTAGTGAGAATTACCTCGTTCATACTGAAACAGTGACCTTGGGATAACCGAGAGCTGCAGGCTTCTACAACACACAGACATTTCAGATCTTGTGTAGTACGGGCGTGCAGACAATTGAAAGCTGATGTACTTCACGCTGTTTTTTATTTGCTTTTCAAGGCCTAGGATCTTCATGATGTGGCTGGGCTGGTTGAACATGCTCCCTGCATGTAGCGACAGTGAGGTATTTCACTTCGAGTACTGGGTGGCATGTTCCCCACAGTCCAGTACGAATTCACTTGGACTTAAACCTATGTGCTGCTTTATGCAGTTAACACTTCCTTCTACAGCAACTGACAGCTCAGATTTTAGCATCTCTAGCGTATCACAGCGCCTTTTCGAGACACCTGGCAGCCACTATTGAACCCTCCAACGAGACTACACCAGAGCCCACGATCGGAATTATCACTGGGTCCTCTTTGTAACGAGCGCGTCTACGGATACCTCTAAATTCATGCATCATGTCCCCTACAGCATCTCTAGCGTATCACAGCACCTTTTCGAGACACCTGGCAGCCACTGTTGAACCCTCCAACGAGACTACACCAGAGTCCACGATCGGAAACATCACTGGAGCCTCTTTATAACAGGCACGTCCACAGGTACCTCTAAATTCATGCATCATGCTCCTCCTTACCACGTTGAACGGATTACAGCTTCGAGAATAGTTCTGCACTTGGTAGGAGACAAAATTGAACACACTGGAGGCTTTTGGGATAGAGACCTGTGCACTCTATAGACTATCTCAGGTACGCCTAACTGCAGGGGTTTTCGATTATCTGAAATACAAAACGCTCTAGTGTACCCCTGTCAGCTCTTGCCTTCTCCACTCACACGTTACTGACGAAACCTGTAATAAGTACTCCGACAGCTACGAAGTTCCCCGGTATTCACAATACAACCGAGCTATAGGTCATCTGCAGCGCCTCGTAAACCTCCTAGTTACTTCCTATTATCCAGCGCTTCGTGTCCACGATAACACCTCGGCCAGTCAAGGAAACAGCTATTAAGATCGAAGCGAGGTCCGACGCGAATATGTCTTGCACCTGCCAACCGAGAAAGTAGGGAGGATAAAGGCAGCGCACAGGCACAAGGAAATCATTGCTGTATACTTCAAAGTTGTCCTGTCGAAGTCGACTATCCCACCCTCGGCTACAAATTCATCTCTATACAAACAAGGCGTTCACCTGCCGCCCCTTACGGTGGAGCATGCCTCAGACAGACGCCCCTAAGGACACGACTACATACCTTGATAGCTAAGGATACACTGTGGCTCGAACAGTCTCCTCGAAGTCTATAGCAACGAGGAATTCGCTCTCCAAGCCAAAAGTTTGAGACTAGGCCTGCGCCATGAAGGTGGAGATGTGCCCATGTTACGGTTGAAGGAATCAAGCAATTGCGCTGCCAGGCAGCTGAGCCCCCTCAGAAGGGTACCTCTACATGTATCAAGGAATTATTAGAGGCATGTATCACATTTCTTCACTCTATACATGTCCCCGTTGACTTCTGGACGCGGAGTGGGCATAGTTGAAATGATGGGTGAATTGAAGATTTAGTCAGCCCTGACAGAAGGTCTCCCGAGGTCGTCGGAGCCTCTCATTATATCAACGCAGCCGTCTGTCAACAATGGAGAGTTTCATATTAGGTGCTTTGAGCTGTGTCCATCAACTGCTGATAACGGGGTGGCTGGCGAGAAAGTTCCAGAGTCTGCTGTAGACGGCCTATGCTGCTACCGTTGACCTTGAACAAAATACTGTAAGTACGCAAGGGCAAGGTAGACGTCTTTAAAAGGGCGAGTTCAGTGTCGTCTTCGGAAGCGCAGTCAATTTACAGATACCGTGCACTAAGTGCCAGAATTCCTTTTCTCTGGGGTCATTTCTGAACAAGAAAAGAAGTACTGCAACGATCAATAGCCTTCTTGGTGGGTCGCAAATCAAGTTGCACAACCCTCGCTAGTATCTCTACTTTATTTGCTGCAGCGGTGTACAACAGGCCTAGGTGGTAGACTATAGATCCGGACACTTTGCCCTGGTTATTTTAGGAACTATAGAGACGGCTTGGCACCTCATTGTAGTAAAACAAGACATCTGAGGCTATTCAGAAATCGCTATAGCACTAGGAGATGGTCTATACATACAAATTAGTGCATCTGAGAGATTCTGGGGTCAGTCTTCCTACCTCCGACAGTCTAACAACAATTGCGATTATTCACACGTCCTACCTATCTGCTAATTACTGGCTATGTTGGGAGAACATCCTACAATAGAGGCATCTACATACACTGCTATCTCGAATTGCAGAACTTAGAGTCGCTTTCTTTCAGCACGCTTGTCAGATCTACTGCAAGGCTTCAGCGTTGAATACCATATACCCTTGACGGCCTTCTCATGTCAATAGCAACAGCAGGACCAGGAGCAGCAGTAACGCAAAATATGAGGCACTTGTCATTCCAGTACTAAGTGATTGTAAAATCTACAGGTAGCGCATATAGTCTCGCTACATGCCCTGCATGAACGGGATCAACCTTCTGTGGAACGGGACAGTCCCGCCGCTACATGGGGGTTCAAGTAGCCAAGTTTGTGACCTCTCGTTTTTTCGCTTGCACGCATCCGCAAAATTTACACCAGGAGATTATCAGATCAAAGACAGGTTAGCGTAAGTAGGTTCAACTTACGCCTGAGGGACATGCAGGGTAGTAGTGCCTTGCCCCCAGGTTTTTACAACATGTAAGGAAGGCGATGTTGTTTAATTGCGCAATTACTCCACATTCAAAGTATTGCGCAAGCTCATGGTATCCTTCTGGAAAGATCGAAGCCTTGCTCATGTTGGAAAAGGCGAGAAATGTTTTGTATTCCTTATCAAAGGTCCTTTCTGGACTTTAGGAATGGTAACTTTAGGAATGGGAAAATCATCTCAATTGCAATAATTTCTGGAGATTATCGCTATGCGCTGTTTGTCAGTTCTAGCAACTACTTCATCTCCCAATTGGATAAGAGGTGTTGCAACCCAAACGACGTTCCTTCCACCATTGAGGTCTAGTTTAGAAATCATAAGACCATTACCTTGTAATGAAGGGTTCGCCGCGACTCCGAAACCTGTCAATGTCGGTTGTGGGATAGCCTTTCAAGGTGAATGACGCAAGGTGTTGACAGATCCTGCCTCAGTTATGTTCATGTGGTGGCTACATGCATATGAAGATACTACTTCTACGCAACTTTTCAATGCTTTGCGTGTAGAACATGGGCTCAGGGACGAGGTGAATGTAACGATTCACCCAATGACGGTCGTCAATGTGGGGTTAACCGCGAATCCTGCTGCTTTAGCGACATGGCGCATGTCGAGGCTAAATGGATAATATAGTCATGGCACACTATATGTGATTCCATGAGTCGCGAAGCACCAAAGCTGTTTCTTGGCGGAATGTAAGAGTGTGCATCTTCCTCGAACCAGGCGATATGGGGTCAAGCGTGAAGTGAAACTGTAGGCATAGCTTACAAGTCACACAGGCACCTCTACCACAGCTTCCCAATTAGACTGCTCCTAATTCTCTCCTCAAACTCTATTCCAAGATGCTACATGTTGAGGCGTCCTGGCGCGGTGTTCAATTACTTGATATGGAGGAAAATCGAAAACGTCCTGAGGTCAAAGACATGGTCGTGCAGATACTGCAATCCTGACACAATGCCTCATGATCTGCAAAGTCTCTTCCGCGCCTGTTGCAATCATTATTACGAGGCCTAGGCAAGGAAGTGTAGGGAAGCGCAAAGCTGATAGCTATATTATATCCAGTTGCCCATTCGCAAGACCTATAATAGAAGCACAGGGCTTTTAGGCCAAGATTCTTCTTCACTTTGCATGAGTCTTGCATAATCGAGTTCGAGATCTTTTCTGTGCTGTGTGCTTCTTTGCGATGTCGCAAACTGCAGAATTTAGCGCAGCATACTTGGGTGCAAACAAAGGCCCCCAGGTACTGGCCATCATCATCATTTTTCCTTGTCTCTCCTTGATTGTTGTCAGTCTGCGACTGTACACCAGAATTCAGATTGTGCGAAATCCATCTTGGGAAGATTTCGCCATACTCCTCGCATTGGTAAGTCTTTCACGGTTATGAAGATTTTAGCCGCAGCACTCATGACTCGTAATAGGTCTTCTCAATTGCAACTTCAATATGTCAAGGGACTCGTATGTAGCATACTTCTATCATTTGCGCCAATGAAGCTAATGGGATAAACAGAAGTATACAATGGCATGGGACGACATATCCAAGCACTGACGATGGAGCAAGGGATTGGCTCATTGAAGGTATCTAGCGCTCATTCCCACCTCTTATCAAAATTAACATACCCAGGCTCTGTTCGCGAGCATCATGATGTATAATTTTGGCCTTACATTAACCAAAGTATCCATCATTCTGCAGTATCTCCGCATTACCATCGACAAAGCAGTGCGGAAATGGTGCTTCGCTCTCCTATACTTCACCCTGCTCAACTGCTTCCAGACTTTCATGACTGGAATATTTTCATGTTATCCGGTCGCAAAGTTCTGGGATGATCGCATCCCCGGCGGCTGCGTGAACAAGCCAGCATTATGGTATGCAAATGCGGCCATCAACATCACCCAAGATATATGGCTCATTGTGCTTCCGGGTTTCATTCTCAGAAAACTCGTTCTCCCTCGCAGAGAGAAAATAAGTTTGATGTTGATTCTTGGACTCGGTGGATTGTAAGCGTTCACCCATGTATCTGTCATACTAATAGCTAACGATCCGGCAGTGCAAGTCTCGCATCCGTACTTCGACTTCATGCGTTGTACATTGTCGCAAAAAGCAAAGACATCACCTGGGACAATCCCGGAACTGCCACATGGTCTGCGATGGAACTAAACATCGGCATCATCTGCGCTTCGTTGCCGACACTAAGAGCCTTCCTTGTCAAGTTCTTTCCCAATACGTTCACATCATCAGTTGTAGGGTTTCACCAAGGTTATCACTCTAACCAGAGTGGCGAAAGTACTGGACGCCGCCTCCTTCGACGGAGTCCGATTCCTCAAGCCCCCGCCAACGGAATCATCGTCATCAAGAATGAGGTCGATATTGAAAGTGCACGTCCAACTTTTCTGGCCAGTGATTCTGAGGCTGAAAGTGGTCCACGACCTCCTCAGATGGCCCAACTGGGGCATTGAATTCTTTCTTTGATGCAATTTTTTCATCCGCAGACGCTCTAGAATATGTGGATCTTAATAGGCATGGCCAGTTTTCTCTGTAGTACATTTCAATCTTTCAGCTACAATTTCGAGTTCGTTGAGGTGTCAATCACTGAGATGATGCGCATATGAGACCTTAGGGGGAATGAATCATGGGTTATAATGACCAGAAACGTAAACACAATTTAATTAATTCCTTCTATCTGTCGTGCTCTACGCTAATGATGCAAAAACGATCCCCTCTGCTCACCCCGGATCGTGAGGAATCCACAACTCTCTAGCGGATGGATCTACAAACAGTACCACGTTTTTCGAGTCTTAGCTGCTTCAAGTCCAGGCACAAACTTAGGGACATTTTTCGGGCACACGGAACAGTGCCACACATGGCCTCGGCGAAGCCGACATGATCGTCGCGGTACCAAGTCCAGCAGCAAATAGACTGCAGCAACGTTTCGACCTGACCACTTGCCACATTAGCCCATGTCCCCGGTTTGACCTCTCCACGAGCTGCATGCAGGAGAATCTGTGGAGTGCGTCGCCAAGGCTTGAACATGGGGTCAACATGCGTGTTATATGGTAGCCCGGAAGAAATGACGAGGAAGGAAAATGCAGGCTGATTCTTCAATCGGTGTAGGCACAGTTGCTAAAATTCCTTTGCGAAGAAAATGATCATGCTGAAATGCAATATTGGGATGTCAGTCTGAGCATAAAGAAGGTTGCTTGTTTGGCGACCTGCGTCGTGCATTAAGCACTAATAGTCTCGAGGGGCCAACCAGGAGTGTCAGGGTTTTTAATGTGCGATAGAATGGTCATATTAGCACTGCAAGAAAATAGAAGCCTTGTAATACGCCCTTGGGCTGTTTGTGATTGGTTTCTGTTATTCATTTTCTCATGTGCTGGAAGAAATCATCCGCCTGGAGAACACTGTCATTTGCCCTCGAGCTTCTCCAGGAATACGCAAGTTATCAAACAGCAGGAGCAACGACTGATCGTTAAAGGCGTTGCATCAAAATGCGTTCAAATTAATATAAAACTTTATTCCCACAAATCTTAGCTTAACTAAAGCTTTCGCCTCCCACCGCTGATCAAACTCTTGAACATACAGCCCTCAACCGCAATCCAGGTCGCTGGGGGCGGGGCACGGATGGGGTATATCCCTGATCCAACGCTCCATAACAGACGGACTAATTGTCGCCACGACCGGCTCCTCCCGGTACTGCAAGAAGCATATTTGATTACATGCATAAGATGATGGTCGAACTGCAGCGCTGGATAAATGAACTGTGGGGAAATCCAGGTAAGATGCTTCTTTTTGTGCTCGGGGGTGCTATAGCAGGGAAGTATCTCAAGAGATAATATAATGGATTTCCATGGGCACAGTGCTGTCTTTCGACCGAGTGTGCGATCGGTCAATATTTCAAACCTTGTTCCTAGCTTCACTTCAATTTAATCACAGAAACAAGAGGGGGTTCGCAATGGTACGCAGTCTTTCTCACCGCTCCCATGACGCGAAGCACCATCACATACTGGATGCATTGTAGGGTGCATTGTGAGCGGGAGAAATAGCCCATGGAAACACTAGGTAATGGCTTCTGCCTGAGGTTCGTTCCAATCGGCGCCTGTCCTATACTGAATGCACGATCTTTTGTATCTAGGCAGACGAAGCTAATGAGTCGTGAACCTACAGTCTTTTACTCATCAATCTGCAAGCCAACTGCAGTCATGCGCCTACACTACAAGAACCCCGTGATCGCATTCACCACACCCTGAAGATCCTCAAAAACATGCCAATGTCCGACCCCCTCCAGCACTTCCAATCCCGCATTTCCTCCCAGCGACCCAACAACATACCTCTTGCACAAGTCCGGCGGCGATATCTGGTCGTCACTCCCCGTTACAATCAGCGTCTTCGTATGCAGAGCCGCAAAGTCGAGGGTCTCGCTTTCCGCAAGAGCCGTGCAAGCTTTGGCGTAGCCCTCGGGATCCTGTCCGAGCAGTGCCATTCGCAGAGCTGATGCGACGATGGGGTTGGATGCTGTCGTCTTTGCTGAGATGGCGAGGGAGACGATGGTGTCTGCGATGGATGGTATGCCTTGTGTGCGGACGGTAGCTGCGAAGTCATGGAACGCCTGGACGGATGCTTCTGGGAGGGGAGACGGCGGGGGTCCGAAGAGGACGAGCTTTGAGACTTTTTCCGGGTGACGGAGGGCGAATTGTACTGCGATGAGGCACCCGAGCGAGTGTCCGACAATCGTAGCTCCGGATCTGATGTCTGCGTGCTGGAACACGCCGTCCAGGTCTTCGGCGAATGATTCGATGCTGAGCTTGCTCAAAGGTGAGGTCGGAGACAGTCCGTGGCCTTCGAGATCGAGCAAGTGCAAGGAATGGCGTCTTTCAATTCCTGTGGATTGAATGAGGGGTGCGAAATACTCATGGCTTCCTCCAAGACCATGCACGAAGACGATAGGCGGTTTGTCACTTGAGCCGAGCGACTTGTAATATAAGGGCTTCTTGTTGATCTGTGTCAGCACGGATGAGCCTGCTGTTTTAGTGGCATTGGTAGATGTGAGATGTGTCCTTCTCTCTACCTGACTTCTAGTAGGATTCGCGGATCCCACATCTGCGATGCGATTAGTCAGGGTACCCAAGCCATTAATTGATACGGCTATTGTGTCCCCAGGCTTGAGGTATACAGGCGGCGTTCTTCCAATGCCAACACCGGCAGGCTGTAGCGGTGTAAGCTTTGGTATTTTGATTGTATATGATTCGATACTTTGCTTACCGTTCCAGTTGCAAGAACATCTCCAGGCACTAGTGTTTGTCCTTCGGACATCGTCTTGATCAAGTAAGGTATGGAGAAAATGAGGTCATCTGTGGTAGCATTCTGACGAAGCTCGCCATTGACATATGTCTGTACCCGAAGGACTTTATCGAGTTTTGATGCTGGAACAGCGATAGGGCCCTATTTTAATAATTGAGCATTCACAACTTCATAATCTAGTGATCTTACGCACCATTGGGCAAAAGGTGTCTGGTGACTTGCCGATGTAGAACTGCTTGTGGTCGCGCTGTCTTTCACGTGCGGTCATATCATTGATGATCGTGTAACCCCAGACATGGTCTAGGGCTTCTGCTTCAGAGATGCGGAAGCCAGGTTTTCCGATAATGACGCCGATTTCACCTTCATAGTCTGCGGTTTGGGTAAACTCTGGATGAGGGTAGATTTCTTCGCCATCTGCGATAATCGATGTGAACCTCTGTGTAGTTGAACGATATCGAAGTCAGTCTGTGTCTTATGGGTGGGTCGTACGTGGCCGACTGACTTTGGTAAAGATGACAGGATGCGATGGCTGATCGACCTTGTCGGAGCTGTCGAATCCAGAGCTATTGAACTCCTTCGCATGTTCCGCATAGTTCTTCCCTACGCAAAGTACATCGCGTCCTGTGAGTGGGGGTAGGATCTTCGTCGTCGAAGCTGCTAGTGGCTCGCCAGCGCTAATGATATTGTCCTCGCCCACTTCAATGACTTGGTAGAGGTTTTCGACAGAGGTTCCAGACTTGAAGCTCAGAGGCCTAATTGTCTGATTGGACAGATCAAAATGCCCGATCCGTTCTTGATATGTCCTAGGATCTTGGTATGCGACATAGTTTGTGTAGCTCATGGTTCGAGCTAGGTTCGACGTGATGATCGTGTGAGCGTACTCGATTCGATGCCAAGCCTCGAAGGATCAACCTAGAAGTCTCGAGGAACAATGTAACTCTCTAATTCTCGTTTGGGATGTCGCTTGGATATGTTGAAAGGTACAGCTCGTAGGTGGAAAATCACAATTGAACGCTGCGGGGTAATGTTGTTGTTTGTTAGCCGGATTTGCGTGATAGTGGAGAACTAGTCACCAGGGTTGGCATCAACCCTTGAAGCTCCCCCATCAGCGAAAATCGGGATTGATATCCCGACACTTCGTATCGTGAAGGATCGCCATGGCATTGTAGACTCAAAGATCCCAAAATGATACCTCGTATTGCAATTCGTGGTATGATTCAATTTATGAATCCTGATTACATATACTGCTAGCCGGCAATCCATTTGTGCTGCGAGCATCATTCTATAATGATTATTCACGTTCCTACGCCCATAGCCTTTTCGCACATGGGTTTTGTCGCAAAGCTAAGGGTTGTTTTTTTCCTTTGGCGTGAATACATTGCTAACTATGACCAAGCAAGTGCATCCTCCCCCGAGCAAAATTAGATATCAGTCTGCCCTAAATCCCGAAGGAATGTATATGGAATGATGTGTCGAAGGCAATGATACCTTAGACCTGAGTAGTGCGAAACTATTCACACCATGATCCATAGTCTTGGAGACGGACATTCTTCCTGATGGGTTTACTCATCGGAGGCTATTGGAGTTGACAGTGTGACAGCTCCCCTTGGTGCTCTGTGCGGGAAGTTCCGGTTCATTTTCAAGTGGCATCTGATAAAAATTTCTAGCCCTGAACTACTAATACTGGGTCGGATTCTCTCGCCACTACCCGGACCAGAGAAAGATTTTGGTCTAGAATTAATTGATGAATTCTGTAGAAGCATGAAAGATGGCCGTAACATTGTCGAGAAAGATCCATTGCCATACGCATAGAATGATTGAGCATTGCGATGGAGGCTGCGATTCTCAGAGTCGCTCTTTACAAGCAAGTAATGCGCCGGTTAAGGGAATACTGTGTAGAAGGTCAGTCGGCATCTCCGATGCGCTACCGGCTGTCTTGACTCTTGAAACGACTGTACGGGACAAATGTCAGATCTTATTCAGTTACTAGTAGCCGAGGCTAACCAAGCTGTTGGACGCGTCGTACTGTTCTGTTTGGGTCTTTTGCTGTTGCAACCTTGTCCAAGCTCCTTGTAGCTCTGGAAAGTGAAATCCTCGAAAATTTGCCATTCAGGCGGTCGTCCGGCACTTTTATGTAGTGGCGTTGGGTGCATTCATTGGACCCGTTCCGCGTGGCACCCATTTTTATCCCGCCGCTATCACGAAAACGGGCACATTCAATCTTATCAGATGCACTAGCTGGCCTTGGGATCCAGATAGCCCGATGTTGTGCAGTTTTTTCCCTCTCCTTTCCTGACCCTGGGAAAGAAAAGAGGGTAAACTATGACAATTGTGGTGTGTGCAGACGCAGAGACCATGATGGGCGGGTCACGTAGCATCTCTAGAAGACCTTCGCCCTTGGACTTTTCGCCCTGGCTCCCTGGCGGCCAAGCTCTTGTTGTGCCTAGAATTTATCAAATCTACCGATGAAGTGGATGAACCCCATGACATTTAAATACCAGGGCCCATCTTCTTGAAGATCTTCATCGCGAATTCTCCAATCTTTGAACAGATCCACCTGGCTGCCGGTCGCTGTACAGTATGTCTGTCAACACAGAAATCGAAAAGGAAACTCCCGTTGATGTCAACGTCCATGACAAAGATCATAATGCGCCATCAAACGGGTTGCTCGGCGAGAAGTCGCCGGGTGTCGTTCGAATCGAGGCCTTGAATGCTCACATGTCTTTCATCAACCGCTGCTGTATCTTCTTCGGCCTCTTCCTTGTCGCGTATGCTTATGGACTCGACGGAACGCTGAGGGGTGTTTATCAGCCTTATGCTACTGCTGGTTTCAATGATCATTCGCTATTGGCCACCATCAATGTTCTCAGAAGTGTCATTGCCGCTGCCGCCCAGCCTACTGCAGCCAAGATTGGTGCGTATACTTCTAAGCATTTAGTTATTGCGACATACATGCTAATTGATTGACAGCCGATGTCTTCGGTCGTGTAGAGCTCGTCGTGATCTGAATCATCTTCTATGTTGTCGGCACGATCATTGAAGCTTCTAGCCATAGCGTTGAAGCGTTCTGTGCCGGTGCTGTTTTTTATCAAGTCGGCTACACGGTGGTCATCGTCTTGATTGAGATCAGTACGTATTCTTTGCACCATGCATACCTACATTCAATATGCGGCATGTATTAACATCAATTGCTAGTTATTGCTGATGTCACGTCTCTCCGTTCTCGACTATTGGCCTCTTACGTCCCTGCGATCCCATTCTTGATTAACACATGGGTCAGCGGAGACATCAGCCAGCAGGCCGTCAAGAATATCGGATGGCGCTGGGGTGTGGGAATGTGGTGCATCATCTACACCGTCAGCTGCATTCCTCTGATCCTGTCTCTGATGTGGGCGAGCTTTAAAGCGAAGAAGAGCGGAGCCTTGGAGAGCTACAAGACCCCCTACCAATTGCACGGTGGCAAGAACCTGATTGTTGCTCTATTCTGGGCACTCGACGTTCCAGGCATCATTTTGATGATTGCAGTCTTCGGATGTATCTTGGTTGTAAGTTTTGGACTGACTGTAAATCTTCGCCTGAATCACGAAGCTAATTCTCATAGCCTTTCACTCTTGCTGGTGGCGTTCAATCTCAGTGGGGAACAGCCAAGGTCATTGCACCTTTGGTCATCGGCATTCTTTGCGTACCCGTCTTCATTTTCTGGGAGCGCAAGGCTCCTCACCCTATGATCCCATTGCATGTGAGTTAGCAACCTTCCACTCTTCATTAATCCTTACTGACCTGCAACCAGCTATTGAAAGATCGTGCTGTCTGGGGCGCCCTCGGTATTGCATGCACCCTCAACTTCAGTAAGCCATCCACCACCTTATCATTTTACGTCCCACTGACCATTTCCAAAGCCTGGTACATGCAGGGTGATTTCCTATACACCGTCCTCGTCGTCGCCTTCGACGAGTCGATCAAGAGCGCCACCCGCATCTCTTCCCTCTACAGCTTCTCGTCCGTCGTCACCGGTCTCATTCTCGGTGCCATCGTGTTCCGAGTCCGCCGTCTCAAACCCTTCATCGTTGCAGGAACCGTATTGTTCATGGTCGCATTCGGTCTCTTGATCCACTACCGCGGTGGCACAGGCGATGCATCTCACTCTGGTATCATCGGCGCGCAGATCTGCCTCGGTATCGCAGGAGGCATGTTCCCGTACCCAGCGCAAGCCAGCATCCAAGCTGCTACTAAGCACGAGCGTAAGTTTAAACGAGACATTTCCCAACCTAAATCAAATGCATGAGCTCACAAATTTCTCTAGATGTCGCCATCGTCACTGGTGTCTACCTCGCAACCTACAACATCGGCAGCGCGCTCGGAAACACCGTCTCCGGCGCCATGTGGCAGCAAATCATCCCCGGCGAGCTCGAGCGCAAGACCGGAAACTCCACACTCGCTGCCACCGTGTACGCCGATCCGTTTACCTTCGCTACCACCTATCCCGTTGGAACTCCCGAGCGTGATGCTGTCATCGAGGCATACCGACATGTCCAGCGTCTCCTTTGCATTGCGGGTATTTGCTTGTCGTTGCTGTTGATTGGCTTCTCGCTCGCCATTCGCAACCCGAAGCTCGGCAAGGAGCAGAGCTTGGAGAATGCGGAGGAGAGGCCAGAGAAGGGCACTCAGGAGAAGAGGGGTGTTTGGGGTTGGTTGAAGAACTGAGCCGTCTAAAAGCGGTATAGGGCGGGGCCCAACAACGGTATGATACCTATTAATTAATGCAGGAGATGTGACGAAGTGTAGAAAAAAGTTAATAGTAATTTGGAAAAAGTTCGTAATGTTCATCATTTTTCTTTCGCCTACTAATCTCTATTGTTTATCATACAAATGATGTCCTAATATCTAGCTGTACCATCCGTTCAACGCCCTCCAGTCAACCCACTCAGGACCGATCTTCTTGAGATCTCCGATACCACCGTTCGCTGCATCGTTGATGAGCTCGAACTTGAGCATCTCGGTAACCCTCTTGACGCCTTCCTCTCCGTAGATGTTACTGAACATGTAAGGACGGCCAACACCAACCGCACGGACACCGAGAGAAAGGAGCTTGAGCACATCGGAACCATATCGAACGCCACCATCAGCATAGACCTCGACCTGCTTGAAGATATCGGGTTCGTTCTGGTGGATCTCGAGTGCTACCTCGAGAGACGATGGAGCTCCGTCGAGTTGACGACCGCCGTGGTTGGATAGGTAAATGGCCTTCACTCCGTTGGCAACGGCTTCGCGTGCATCATCGACGGTCTGGATTCCCTTGGGGATAATGGGAAGAGAAGTCATGTTGGAAAGAGTGTGGTACTTCTCCCATGTGAGAAGGTTGAGGTCAATGTTTGCGGATCCAACACCGAAGCGTGCTGCACGGTGCCGGATGCCGGTACCAGGTCCGTCGACGGTCAAGACGATAGCCTTCGAGCCTGCAGCTTCGATCTTGCGGAACAATTGTTGGGTCTCGGTCATATTCTCGGTGAGATAGACCTGTTGGAAAAGCACCTGGGAGCTGTTGCCCTTTGCTGCGGTGATGTCGTCCATGGACCTGGAGGAGTACAATGAAGCCATGTACAAGATGTCGCCAGCAGCGGCGCCCTTGACGAAATTGACTTCACCATCAGGGTGAGCATACCCTCCGCGAGCGCAAGGCGCGATGAAGAAGGGGGCAGAGAAGTTATGGCCCAAAATCGTCGTGGGGATCGAGTCTTGAATCTTGGTGACATCCTTCAATACGCGGGGTCGGAGCTTGAAGCGCATGAACACCTCAAGGTTGTTTCGGTAAGACCATTCGCCAGCAGCACCGTTGCGATAATACGTGTACGAAGAGGCATTCATGAACTGGCGTGCAGACCATTGGAAATCTGGGAGACCGACAAGGGACTTGAGAGGTGCAAGAGTACCGTTGGCAACAATCTCTCCGAGTTGCTCCTCGATGCCAGTATCAGGTTCATCGAGGAATGGGCGAGCAGCCAAGGCTACTGAAGCCAAAGCAAGTAGGGAAAGGCGCATGGTGAAGGAGAGACTACGGAAGTGAATGGAGAAAAAAAGGAACGAAGGTACACAAGTAGAAGTGCTGATGACAGCAATGGCAAAGAGTAACAAGTACTGTTATATGTTCTTGAGGAGACGTCCGATAAAGGCCTTGGTCCACGATCGATCAGAGATCAGAGATGAGCAGGGTTACGGACAAGGACAGGGACATGGATGGGGAAGGTGAAAGGAAGCAGTGGCATTGCCTTTAATTTATTTAACGGATAAGCATGTACGAGAATCCAAAGTCGTCATCTCCCTCCGTTGTTGCCAAGCAACGACTACGCATAGCGACTTGCCATTGGAATTTTACTATCCTGGAATCTTGGAGGCTTGGTGGTCTTCTTTTTCCTGTAATCACGGCTACCAGATGCGGTCGAGACAAGGGTGGGCTATAGTGCACCACGTAAGGCCGGTTATGTCCAGCATAATTCATTTAGCAGGAAAAGAATAAATCCTTTCAAGATATCGGCGCCGGCACATTTTTTTCCATCTCGGATCTAGCTGCATGTGTGTACAAGTAATACCATAGATGGCAGGTCGTGTCCTGTCGTTGACAATGTTATGCAGGTCCCGGCAGCACTACCGGCGAATTGCCTAGTCGCACGTTTTTTTTCGCAACCGAACCATGTTTCCTTCTTCCTTTAGGTGGCACTGGGTGGCTATCTGATTAGTTCGTGGCGAGGTCAAGCCTTAGTTATCCTTGCAACGTCATAACGGAGACTGAAACAGAAACAATCAAGCCTCTCGATGGACAATTACACCAGTCTCCATCACATAAATGAGCATTCGTCTCATGTCAAATGAGAAGTGAAGATACAATCAAACACCCAGACTAATTACGTACGGTATCAGCTACAGGTTTAAGTGTATAAGAACCTCTGTGGTATTTGCGACAGCGCGATGAGGACTACAAAACGTATGGGACTAGTTTTATCAGATGATCTGATAAAACTCCGGACCAATTATGGTCAAATCTCCGGACGCGGCTGCATTCCGCCTCCGATATATAAGCAAGACCCTCCTGTTTACCCAACGTGCCAACTTCGGTGCTCTACCCACGCCGATGTTCTTGCGCAATTCTACCATGAAGGGCCGACTCTTTCGCTGCACTTTTACGTCATGTCCTTGGTAGGGCAGGAAATTCGGTTTGTTCGGGTGAACAGAGCCCACCCAAGTTGGTCACCTCGAGGAACACAATCTTTATCAAGTTCAAGTCCGTACCGAGGCTTGATCAACTACAGGCGCTATCTCCATCAAATCATGGCACTCCTCTTTGCAAGATCACACAATTCAATGCTTTGAGGAACGCATAGTCTGAAGACTGAAGGGGAAGGTCGCGGGTAATATCTAAGCTTCCGCCCTCCCGCGATTTGCATACTTACTGAAATGGTCTTGAACATCCCACGACTTGAGTTTACTAGCGTTCCCCATCCTTCATTTGCCGCAAGTTTTGAAATTTTTTACTGGTTATGATCAAGTCGCGCCACATCACGTTCCAGACTCGAATTCGTCTGCCATTGCGTGTATGTCCAGGGCGCAGCAAACCGACTCGACATCGGCTGCTGGGCGAGGACTTGGCATGATCTTTGGAAGAAAAGCATCGGAGCACTCAAGATCCGCCGAATCGGTGGCATTAGCTTGGGCATTGGATACGCTAACAATAGTTCACCGACTTCCGTTCCTGGAGAGGTACATGAGGGACGAGGACGATAGGTCTTCCTCGACTGGGGTCTTGATCTACCCGGACGCATCAAACTCCGACCCTGACTCCGACGTCTCGCACATAAAGAGATAGGAAAGTGGCATCCGCTTATCGCATCACTGAAATGCCTGCCTTACCTCTTCCTTTCTAGAATCGAATTCCGACCTTATCTTGACCGTTGTAGAAAGTATACTATTAGATTTGTTGACCGCAATGCTGGACAATGTGCGGTTATGCCCAGGTCTCCCTGTCGGATTCGGATCTCATATGGGATGAATTTGTGGGTAACCAGAAATTTCCAAGTGACACATTCGGATTCATGTCACCTCTACTACCTCGGACAATGCTAAATTCAACTGTGGACAAGATCGTTGAATACAGACCGACCTGTCACGGGATCAATGTGGTGTGGTTTCAATCTGGTTTTGATCCTGCAATCACAATAGAGTCATAAGTTAAAACAACCCAAAATCTTTTTACAAATTCATATCAAAGGACGGCGATAACTGATGATTAAAATGTTTAATCTAGTCATGGAAACGAGACGCACTGTAAAAGCAGGGTCCTAACAAGACTATCGACTTTCCGTCCAACACCAAGGCCTTGGTTGTTCTTATAAAGGTTCATCAGACCAACATCCTTCGGAAGGCCTACTCCTTGAATTTGGGACTCTTCTTATTTGGCCTTTGGCACTGGGAGTAATAATCATCAACATAGATACAGCTCAGCCCTTGCGCACACCTCGTTGGGCCTTGATATGTCATTCCTATACATGTTAGCAGCACATTCTAACATTGGACGCTGTACTACTACTTACCGCCACACTGATCATAAAGCTGTGCGATCGTTCCTGTCGGTTGATTCGGTCTTGTTGAACTCGGAGGTGGGTTTCCAGGCCTGGTCGGGGTCTGAGCTGGAGGCTGAGGCTGGCCTGGCCAGGTTACATGAGGGCGAGTAAATGTCCATCCTGGCCATCCCGGGTTGGGGTTTCCTGGATTAGAAGCTGCACTGGTCACAACTGGCGGTGGTGCGGAGGACGCTGGGGGGACCCAATTGCTTGCGGGAATGCATTGCCACCACCACTGATCAAAACTCCTGCAAGTAGAGTCTTTGCATCGCGATGGGCCGGTGAAACCCTGACCTGCTTCTTTTAGCACCAACTTGGATCCGATGTGAGATTATTACTTACCTCCGCACTGGTCCCAAGGTTGTGCAATCGTTGGAACAGGAGTTGGTTTGGTGGTAACGGGAGTTGATCTCGTACTCGCGGGATCGGGGAGGCAATAATACGTATCCTCATTATAGAAGGTACAGACTGTGCCTGCAACGCAAACAGTAGGACCACGGTAATTTCTACCACCACACTGGCCCCCTTGCTGGACAGTACCAGATGCGAGAGGCGCCGATGAGGTAGGCGACGGCACCGGCTTCGAAGTGCTTTGCCCAGGTGTAGGATCATCGTTCCTTCTGCAGCCGGAAACGTATGACAGATCTTGAGGGCAAGATACCTTCTCCCAGTTCACCGTTGGATTGTCGGCATTTCTAAACCAATCGAAGCGCCAGTAACAACCAGCTTTCAAAGGCTCTGGGAATGCATCGCACTCATCACGGTGCGCAATTCCACCATATTCCGCGCCCCAGATAGCAGGGCCACCGAATTGCGTGCTGCATCTGTAAACCATATGAGCGTTTGTTCATTCGTACGAATCCTTTTACTCACCCTCGCATGGCACCTTGACCACCTCCAGGGATGGCGAGGTCAAATTGGTCATCTCCAAGGTCGTTACCTGTGTTGACAACCTGTACAATCATCTTCTTCCCATTGACTGAGCCAGAAGTGAATGTAAGCGAGTAGCAGGAGCAACACCAGGCAGTTTCATTCGATGCAACCAGATTGACACCCGCAAAGCCATATGCAAGGTCATTACTTTTCGCCCATGGTGACAGATCAGAACAAGCAAATGAGCCGCCTCCACTGTCGCAGCCGTCCCTCCTGGCTGGATTGACACCGAGATTGTCTCGAGCATCACAAGAGATGACCGGGCTGTTGACTGGGGCCTTGTTGCTCCAGGAACAAGAGTTCTTGCAGCATGACCATCCTCGTGTTGTCGAGCCCGTGCCTTTCACAGCACTGTGAGCAATACCATTTGCAAGGCTAGCGAAAGCTAGGAACGCGATCTTGAAATCAGATACCCTCATCCTGTCAGAGGATGCAAAGAACAAGAGCAGAAGTCGTCGAAGATAGGTATGATCGATGCTGAAAAACTCTCAGACATAATGAAAACTCAGTATTTATACCTATCTTTGATACGATATCCAGATCTGCAAGTTTTCGACTGTTCAACTTTGCGAAAGCGAGACTGACGCTGACTGGTATCCTTAATCAATAATTAATCTCTGCAATCAATGTTTTCTGGTACCTGGCGTCGACAGTGATCCGATGGCGTTGATGAGCACTGCTTTTTTCCCTATCGCTTACAGTATGTCCAGGTCCAACACACATGTGCTGCACGTGTAGAAGATTACATGGTTCCAGAAGCCAGGACAGACTCATATTCGCCTGTTGCTGCCTGTTTCTGTTTCCCCATTTCGCGGGTTCAGGTGTTCCGGATGGTTCTATGATGTCCAATTGCGATATCGTCCAGGACCAGGACTGAATGTTAATTTTCGCCTGTGTATGAAAATAGACCTCAATCATATCATGCCAACATCGTTGCTCAATATCCCAACAGAGTGGATATCGGTTCGAAGCGAGCTTCTTGATTTCTCCCGGAGTTGTGGCATGAGCAAAGCGCATCTGCGCACTGCATGTTCATCAGCACATGGTGAGAATGTTCAATGCTCCTTGGAGCGCTTGATTCGTCTCTTAATTTGTTCATCTGTAGCCGGAATCTTACAGCATCAAATTGATCCTACAGAGACTCCATTTCGTCCAGTTTGTTCCTTCTCTCCTACCAGTCATCTAGACATCTCCACACTGACTATATTGCGATCATTCAATAACTGAGAACATTTCTACATACGGAACTACAACTATCTCTTCACCAAAGGGAGTTATAAGTTCAGTCGAATTAAATTGATGAATGCTGAGCGCCGCCAGTCGAGTGAGTATCTACCGCTCTAAGCATACACAAACAGATCGGATGAATCGACTTCACAAAAGCTTTTATTTCCAAGCGAGGTTCCGAGTTTTCATATTCAAGTCGACCAACTCCTCGTATTCGGGCCATAGGAACCAGAGTGCACATCCCAACATGCTCTTATCCAGATGCGTGGGTCAGCCCAATCCCTGCTCGAACCAAACTTACTCGAAGACAGCAGTCACCCCATTGGTTACTTCTCGCTTAGTATCATGACAATGTATCTACCGTTTAGTACTCTACATATATGGCTGCACTGAGGTACTTAAGATGTTACTCTACTGCTCACTGGCTTGCTGCAACCTCTGTTCGGTATCTGACAATGTATACTTGATCGAATATAGCCTGGGCTTCTGGAGTCCTCGAAGACTGCTTCCAGAACGTGGGATGCAGCCGCAAGAGCAAATGAGATGTTTGCAGGACGCCAATGTAATAAACCTTGAGCCATGCAAGTTAGAACCGATTACCAGGGGTGCGGGATTTGAATTGGGTCCAATTGGCATCGGCGCGATCAATTAGTCGGGACTACAAGCCTCAGACAAACGACCTCAGGTCTAGCGACATCACTTTGCCTTAGGTAAAGCAGCACACGTTGCAGAAGTCTGAGCCTGCAAGTAGGATTAATTAAGACACAGCAAATTCTGCTCGCTTCTAACTTGGGATTGTCGTAAACGACTGGACTCTCTTATGCCAACTGTTTGCTTGGAGACCCAAGTTGCGTGCCACCCACGGATAAAGCCATGTTCGCTCATCACAAGCCATCACACGGTGCATTGTTTTAGTGACGAGACCCGAACAACGAAGCATCAACTATCATGGTGGAATTGGTCGATTCGAAACAAAATCGTACACGTCCTATCTTAAATCGTATCTTACAAACACTGCCTGCGGACGGAAGATAAATTTCACGATAGGAGAGAAGATTCCGGAAGTGTTAGAAGGAGTCAACGGAAAACAATTGCCATTGTCAACTTGTTCAACTGCCTCAATCATACGCTCCAAGGGAAGTTGGAAGCGAGCAAGCCATGATCAAACCTTCATCCGGAGGTGGTACGTGTCACATGTTACAGATTTGAAGCCTGAGCGGCCCGGCCTTGGCGCACGGGTACTCCTTCCACCTTGACAGCTCCACACCTTATCATCGTGAACATTTACACACAGGGTGACCCGGCATATTCACAGTTGCATATGTGTGATTGTTTGTAAGATTTTGTATTGTTCACAGGTGTAGCATCTCACTTCGCGACGACGTGTGGTAAACGCGCAATGGCAATTTGTGTGCTCGTCCGAATCTCTCCTGAGGGTCGCGAAACGGGCTGGAACATTTCACACCCATCGAGTTTCACGTCGGCTCCGCGATATGGTCCGCACAAACATTAGCGATTGATCTCCGCGTCTATACAATGGCATCCAGTTCCGTTTCCCTTCGATATGTACAAACTTTTGTGATCAAAATTTGCCTTCCGCGCAGCGCGCGCAGCACCACGAGCGATTTTCTTTTGTCTTTTCATTACTACTTTCTCCGCCGCATTGTCTCCATGGATTGGTGATTGGGCTACTATACTGAATGATTTTATTTCACTTTGCATATGTTCTTGGGATTGCTCATCTTAGTTGATACTCCTGTTCTCTCCAAGACATAGAACCAGGACCTTAAGGCACCATTTCCTGCACCTGGTCGCGAGATCGAGCGTCAATCACCATCACAATTGCGCTTTATTTGAAAGAGTCTCCTGGCGGGCCTATTTCCTGAAAATGAGTGATAGCAATGGAGAGCTGGGTGACATTCGGTTGGCCCATCATCAGCGCCATCGAGGAGCTTCTAATAAGCTGATCTCATACACATACTGGGGTACTATTTGTGCTTTAATCTTAATTCAAGTATCGTACAAACTGTACAACAGGATGGCCCGGAAATTGTATGTGTATATCCCATTAACATGTTGATGAAAACGAGTTCAACTAATGTTGACATATCATGTAGCACGCTCCAGCGCGCCCCATCCCATTCAATGTTTGGTAAATTCGTCGCATATCTTTCGGCCATCGCTATGATGTCTTTACCACGGCTTCCTCGCTCCACGATTCTGGCGGTCACTTTGGGGCCATTGTTCGTCATTTTTGCATACATCGGAACCATTGCCATCCTTCTGGTGACGGTCGACGCGCCTCGGTTTTCAACACATTTCCTAGACGATGTAGCCTTCCGAGCTGCGTGGATAACAGTCGCTCAAGTCCCTCTCATCTACCTCCTATCAGTCAAGTGGGGTCCTCTCAATATTCTTGGATCAATCTCTTACGAACGAATAAACTGGATACATCGATGGGTGGGTCGGACTTTATTCCTTTCAGCCTCCACTCATATGGGTCTTATGATGCAATCGATATCATTCACCGAGCTTTTCAAATCTTCGGACAAAGCTATGAGTGTCATTCGCAATGGAGCTGGTGCGTATGGACTCCTTTTCTGGATCGCGATCTCAAGTATTCTGCCATTGCGTCGACGATGCCACCGAATGTTTTACATAAACCATTACATTTCGACGTTGGCGTTCTTGTGGTTCGTTCTTCAACACGTCCCCAGCTATGCCCGACCTTTCGCCTACCTGGCCTTGAGCTTTGTTCTTCTCGACAAGCTGCTGTTTTCAATTATGTTCTTGAGCAAAAACATTTCAATAAAGTCCACCACAAGCGTCTTCCGCCACTCTCGAAAATCGAAAACACAGACGCATCTCTCATTTGGACATTCTGTCAAGATGATGGCACCCGCTGCAGGTCCATTCGGTCTCGCAGTCCATGTGCCAGACGAGCATCCGAAAGAAGCGACCGTCATAAAAATCTGCAATGTTCAACAGGCATGGAGACCAGGACAACATTTCCGGGTATACATTCCCGCACTGGGGAAGTTTGAGATGCATCCCTTCACTCCAGCGACTTGTTCAGACCTGTCCAACGTCTCGGAACCCCTTGGAGGGCTTTCCAGTGTCGAAGAACACGTCTCACTCATGTCCGAAGTGCCACCATCCATGAGCGACATGACTCTAATGATTAGAGCCCATAAAGGGTTTACTCGAAGGCTGGCGGACTATCATTTGAAATGGTTGTCCTTGCCGTGTCCCAACAGCAGCAAATCATCATCAACTTTAACTGCATACTTAGACGGACCTTATGGCGACCCGCCACGCTGGCAAGATTATGAAGCCCTAGTATTCGTCGTCACCTCAACAGGAGTCAGCTTCAGCCTGGCTGTTCTAGATTACCTAGAACAGTTGTGGCTGAAAGGCGAAGACGTGCAGACTCGAAAAATCCGTCTTGTTTGGATCGTGCGACACCTCGACCCCAATTTCGAGGCCACGGTTCTGGAAACACTGGCCAGACGTTCTATATTATTGCGAGATGCTGGTGTGCGCCTTGCTTTTGAAGTTCACACCACATGCCCACATTCTCAGGTTGTGGAGGTAGAGAGAAACTCGCCTTTTAGCCACCAACGTCGGCCCTCATACTTCCGCGGAAAGCTTCTACGAATCATCAATCCTGACGATATCATTCGAGGCGCATATGAACACAAAGAGGTGGAAAGAGAACCCGAACACAGCGAGGTACGGTCGAGCGCCTCGAGCGATGGCTCGGCGACCTTAATCGACGAGCGGGAAAGGCAGTCAATCTCAGAATTAGAAGAGGTGCCACTCCACCCTCAAGAGCGGAGAAGGTCCTCCTACCTGCCTTTGCTATTCCACCAAGAAGAGCGTGCTCAAGCCAAGCCTCGGTGCAATTGCGCTGAAATACAACAACAGTACCACAAATTGAAATCGCAGCCGTATGTAGATTTCGTTACGCGCCGTTATGGGTCGCGGCCGGACGTGTCCAAAATCATGAAGGGTTCAATTGCTCCGTTCGAAGAAATCAAAGCAATGGTTGCGGTTTGCGCGAACGAACACATTGCAAAGACTGCGAAGAACGTCGTTGCTGAGATGAATATCGATTATGCGTTCGATAGTCGGGCACGGTGTATTAACATATTTACGGAAGGTTTTAGTTGATGGAGTACTATATGATAGTGTGAATGATAGGTCAAAGAAAATGACAGGAGCCTTACAATGATTTTTGTTGTTAATTGGTGATAAATTTATGTCCATTGAAAATGCGATGAGTTGTGACAACTGAATGAGCAACTTTAATCGGACAGAACGATAGTTCTCATAATTACAATTATTCAAACAATGCATAACGAATTTGATATTGATCGTCTATTTACCGGAATTGATCATCATAAATTAAGTAAGACCGATACTCGTTTGTTGTTTGTTACAGCAAGGAGCAGGTGAAAGGACATTGTATTACATAAGCGGCTTCAACCTTACTTCCAGAGCAATCACGCGTCATCCTCATTAGTTACAACTCACACTTGCAATGCCACGATGCCGCCTCCAAAACCCTTCCTGACAGAACAAAATCAAAGCCTGGAATTGAGAGCGGAGCCGACTCTGCAGGGACAGGTCGCCCCGCCATGTCGCTGAGGAGCCGCGGACACGAAGGTCGAATCGGTGTACGAGGAACCACAACGCGTGCGCGCGGTCGCGGTCGTGGTCGAGGGCGAGGGCGAGGCCGAGGCGGATCTTCGAAATTCGAAGTTGTAAGACTCACGAAGTCAATTTGGCTTTTCAGCTTCATTGCATGGTCTTCGATACTAATTGAACGAAGTGGGAATGGGAAAATTATACCCCCAATCGCGAGATATATGACTCGCTTTATCTCCTCCGCAAGGCCCCGCCTACGATTACCCCAAGTCTCTCCGTCGATTCCCCGATACCGCATACTCAGTCTCGGATCTTAGGTCGTCAGTCCATTCTCGTCGAGGGCGCAACGCGACAAGTGTATCGTGTGCGGGTGCGGTACTTTCGTCCAAACCCCAACGCCGAGGACAAGAACGAGTCACTGAGTCAGTGCTGGAGAGAAGAATTGGAAGATGTGGATATAAGTCAGATTCTGGATGTCGTCTCTCAGCGTGAGCTCGAACGATATGAAAATGCGGAGTTCAAAGCGCAAGCCGAGGCCGAGGCGATCGCTCGACGTCTAGAGATGGAAGAGCGTGAACAGAGGAGGTTGGAGAGGAATGCTCGTCCCCTGGGTGCAATGCGGGGTAGAGGATATTCTGCGCTAGGATCTGAAGTGCCCGGCCTATCTGTAAGATCTCGAGGACGAGGAAGAGGTAGGGGCAGGGGTAGGGGAAGAGGCAGTGTACGTGGAAGGGGACCGGGAATTGATGCGCAATCTATCCTTACGGAAGAGGGACCTCTCAAGGAAGGACAAGAAGAAGAAAGCGATGGCGATCGAAATTTGGCCCTACTACAACTCAGCATCGATCGCGAGGAGTCTCTGCAGCGAATTATTGCGGATGCTGAACTGGACTCTGTCGATGAAGACGAAAACGGAGCAGAGATCTTGAGTGTGAAAACATCTTCGCCTGGTCTCATGCGCTCTACGTTTGTCGCAAATAGCGCACTTCCTACCTCACCCCTCACTATTCTCCGCGGGCGGCCCGAAGTGCCAGATATCGACGAGACCGACGAGGAAGAAGATCCACAACCAACCATCAGGCGACACTTACTGAATGGGGCACATCGACCCAAAGTAGTATACAATTCAGAAGAGGCCAGCGGAGGAGAGAGCATATCCCCGCCTCCCAAAAGGCAAAGGACAGAAAGTCAAGGGCCATTTCGCAGGCCGCCATCCAACGATGGTCTTTATGGGACCCAAATTTCAGACACAGACTTGATGGAGAACTTATATTCTGCATACGATGCGCCGGAGTCGCATGCAACACCTGCTACTGAACCTTTGAGAAATGGGGAGAGCACGACGGACATTCCTCAAAATGGCATGAATCGCCCTAAACCAGAATCCGAGTTGGACGAGAAAATTATCGATGAATCGGAGGAAGAATATGTTGTCGAAGCCATCTTGGACCATATACTTGAATCTGGTATCAGATACTATCTTGTGAAATGGGAAGGATTCAAAGACGCCAAAGATTGGCTCACAGAAGACCAACTCGAGGGCGCTGGTGAGATGGTACAAGAGTATAATGAAAAGGTCCGTCGCCGAGAAAAGAAGGCCAGGAAGTTGGATACTCTTATCTGACACGTTATCGTTCTCCTTCCAAACTTCGAGAAGTTTGTTATTCCTGTTCATTTTTAGATACCCCTGCTTCAATTACTTTTCCATCCAGCGCTCACCGCGCGAAAACAACAGGCCCAATTTTGATACTTGATTGACCTTCCAAACATTTGCCACTGAATACGACCAATGACGAAACTACAAGTTCTGATAATTGTCATCGGCGGGTAGGCATGGCATCACCTATTGCCACATTCCCGGGATCTATAATAATCAGAACAATTCGGTTCATGCATACTATACTTGAACATAGCCTTAGACAGCGGGTTTGATTATAGACATGATCAAAAATCGAACGCCTAATATGTGCTGATGTATTCACACCGTAGTACGAACAGACTGACAAGCATGGTCCCAGATAAGGTGTACTCCCCGTATACACCCTGGTTCATGCATCTTAATTTCCCCGTAGAACGTTTAATTTATTTAGACTCACGAACGGGCTACCCGGTCGCAATGCCTACAGCCTTCACCAACTAGTGATAAGCCAAGTTTCTGAAATGGATCAAGGACGATCAGTACTACAGTCAAGCCGTTTAAGCTTTTGTAAGTATTGGCGAACAAGCTTGTCATAAACTACAGCGCGAGGCACAATCATGATACAGCAGAAGTTCTCAATTGATAAAAAGAGTGTGAGAGCTATTTGAAGCGGAAAATTTAGCGACAACCATTGCAATCACTATGCTTGTACAGTGATGTATCTGTACGTCTATTTTCTTAGCCGAAGGTAGAGTTCAATGGGCCAAACTTGATGTTGGAGTAGATGACGGAAGCATCAGCACTCTTGGATTCAACATCAGCAGGTACACCAGAACCGGTTTCGCACTCGCCACGGCCGATTCCAGGGACGCTCGGGTCCTTGTCAGTTGGGTAGGTGGAGTCGAGCCAGAGCATGTTGGCGTAATGGTCATCCCACAAGCTCATGACAAGAACCATACCCTGTTGCAGAGCCTTCGACATGTTGGCCATGCCACCCTTATCTTTGAAGGTGTAGGTATCGCCGAAGACCTTCTTCTGAGCATCGCAGAACTTGGTGGTGATGGAGTTACCTTCGACGCCAGCAATCTTGGAGTCGGAGTTGGGGATGACCTTGCCGCCCTGGACGTAGAAGCGCTTGATTTCCATGCTATCACCGCTGCCGACGAATTGAGTGACGACGGTGAACTTCTTGCTTGTGTCGACAGTCTTTCCCTTGCCGTAGAAAGTCTTGTCGCCCATGCGGTATGAGTTGAAATCACAACCATCGGGATCGCAAACACCTGTATAACGGTCTGCAGAGTAGGTTCCACCACATTTGTCGCCGTCGCAGCGGCTCTGCTCGATCGTGGAGCAGGAGTGAGGAGTCACGGCAGTGGAAACAGAGTTCGCTTCCCAGATATCCATCTCAGCACAGCAGGAGCCATGGCCACCAACACCTGCGTTCTGATCGTTCGATGATGCTGTCCAGCCCTCGGCATTACCCTAAACAAGGTCAGAATACATAAATCACCCGGAAACAATTAATTCATACCTCTCCGTTGATGAACTTGAGATCTCGTGGGCATTGCGCATCGCAGTAGCCGGTGCCGTATTTCGCACCAGCCTTGTTGGTGGAGTACTTCTTCATACCACCATCTGCATCCATGGATACAAAGTAAAGAGCTCCGTTCAATCCACAGGGTAGGTTGGAGAGGTCCACATCGAAGGTGAACTCGTTGTTCGGGGCCAACTTGAACATCTCATAGGTTGTATCGTCCTTCATGAGGTACGTGCGAGAGCCGATGTTGGTAGAGTACGAACCCTTAGTGACGAATTTCAATTGCAGAGAGTTTCCGCTTGCAGTGATACCATATGTTCCCTTGTAGTCTGCTCCATCCAAAGCGCAGTTGGAAGCGCAGTCCTTGTTGGTGGAGCAAAGAGTCGAGTTCCATTCGTTACCGGTATAGCAGTTGGTGTATCTTGGATGGGTCAACAGGCTTTCATAACGAGAAATCTAAAACAGTCAGGATTTACCCAGTCTTAGTATGAAGCCATCGCCAATTGGCATCGATGACGATTTTGCCGTTCTTAGTCGTACAACTGCCCTTTGCAGTGCATGTCTGCCATGTCATGCCGGGATGAGTCTCAGTTTGTTGAGTACCAACCAATTGACCCTGGGCCAGGGCCACAAGAGCGGAAGTAACAGCGAGAAATCGATACATGATGGTGAACTGTGGAAACTTGTCGATGTGATGAAGAGAACCATCGAGGAATATGCAGACCTTAAATAGGGCCCGTTGCAAGACTCTGGAGGGTCTCATGACAATTGGGAGACCTCATTTTCGAAAGGGGCAGCCGGAACGTCGGGAACAGAAATTTAGATGCTCCCCTGGACATGGGTGAATCCTGTGTCATTAATTATTGAGGAATTGATCAACGAATACCCAAGTCGCGGGTGTAGATGCGGAGGTACTTTGATCAGAATGATCCTGCAGTGATTCATCAAAACTGCTACCGAAAACATGAGCACAATAAACGGATGTACTTTCAGTTGCGGCAAAATTTGAACTAGCCGATGAGATCTTGTGACACCGTCTGGAAACAAGACTGAGTTGACGTGGAAAATCGACACATATCTCTGAACCTTTCCAGAAGAGGATTGAGAGCCGAACAGGGGAGAGGTCGGGTTATCTGAGGAATTCATAGTGAAGATTGAATGGAGGACATCTTCCGCAGGCGAAAGAGACGAAACGAGTCCCCTGATTCTAGTGGTGGACAGATGTAAACGGAACGTAGCTTGCCAGTCTTTCATGGGCCTCTATATTTGCATGGGCCTGAAGTTTGCTCTTTTGTATTCTTCCGGCCGTGGTTTTGTTGATCCTGGCATAGTGGCGGGAGGCGGGCCTTCTGAAGCTGCTGTACGTACATCCAACACAGCCCTGGACAAAGAAGCAGCGTGATCTAGGATAGGTAAAATGATCTTTTGGAAATGTATTCCTTTGGCAGACTTTTAGACTGCTATCAAGCATCATACTCAAGCTTTTCTCTCAAGCTTTTCTCTTAAGCTTTGCCCAGCTGGTGCCTAGCATGGCTTCAATCTTGACAGTTCCTTCGAGAAAGATAACCTTGCAACAGGCCTTGGCTCGAGGATGGAATGTTCCATCCAATTTACAACCTGTTCTTGTATGGCTCCAACAACATACTCTAGATCATCTATGTGCAGTCTCAAGGGAAGTGTTTCGGTAATTTCTGCGCGGAATAAATTAGATGTGGTAAAGATAGATGAAAGTGGGTTGATTTAGGCTCACCTCGTGTACGTAGATTTGCGGGGGAATGCAGGGGTACGAGTAAAAGGTCGCGCGAAGCGACACTCCGTTGCTTTGAGCCCCATACTGATCTCCTCTAGAGATCAGTGATTGGATCAACAGCATCTGTTCGATACCCTAGCCTCCGGGCGACCATGCAACTCTGCAAAGTGCAAAGTCTGACAAGACATTGCTTTAATGGGCGAACAGACATAGGGTGTCTATGATGTCGCACAAGGCTCGAAGAGATAGGATTGGTGGAATCAGCTAACGATTATAGAGTCGGCACGATGACATATGCCGGCGGCTTGTTACTGAAAGCATGCTCTATATGACCAGTAGCACGACCCGGAGGAATCATCGCTGCAACCCGAACGAAATTCCCGACAAGGAACAACGTGCAACCACTGGTTAGTTGCTCGTGACAGGTGTTACGTGAATTCATCGAATTCAAGTACCCCTGATTCTCGAAATGGGAACCAATCGTAGTAGATCATGTGTCGAAGAGGACTGTAGGCAAAGACAAGGAATTGGTAAGGATCTAACCGCACGATAACGATGCGTTGCGTGGTTCAGCGGTGCCATTCATGTATCTAGATACATTACGGCAAAAAGAAGAGAAAATGACCTGGAAACAAGGTGGAGGCTCTGCAACAGCCTTTTCCAAGGAGCGAGGTACCGCACCGTACCTTAAGTACAAGCAGCAGGTAAACTTAGCTACTTGAAACTTCTGTCATCATGCGGAAGCACGGAGCGGATAAAAGCATGCGAACTAACTGCCAAGTAGAACAAGTAGCAAATGTTTTGGAGTATCGCCATCCAAGAAGCTTGGAGGCTCTGCAGATAGAGTGCGCATAGTGTAGCAACCCAGGAACGGGGTGAGCTAACGGATGGATGGGAAGATTTAATTGGGAAAACCCGATAATGCAATAGCATCAAGATAGGATCAGGCGCACCAACCTTACTGATGCATATTCTACAGCTATGGAGGATACACATGTTGGTAAAGCGACTTGAAGATCCTGCAATAGTAATCTACAGGTGAGCTGGTAGAACAATTCGCGCAATGTACGACAATGTCTCAGAAAGGATGAGATTTGCTGTGACCAATAACGAGAATGAAAGGAGGCGGCTCAACGCACCGGTTAAATCCAAAGTTTGGTACTTTCATATGTCACGAAGCTGTGCTCAATATTTATGTGTTTCTGCGATGGTGTGTGATGAGTACCACAGAGTACTTATTGGTTATAAACGCATAGAGAAGGATGGAAATAATATGACAAAATCTGGTCGAACAGAGGGTCACCTGAATAAGAGGATTCTCGTCGCATCGCTTTGTGGATGATGCGAATCGACCCGTCTTGCGATGTTCAATTTACTCCCTTTCCAGCATGACTATGCGAATATAAAGAATTACATGGCAGTCCTTTCTGATGGATATGACTGGGCATAGATGGCAACATGCTGAATTTATCAATGTGGTGTTGATAACTACAGCAACGAAGGAGTGATATCGTCATGCCTTACCTCGAGATGGTGTTTCAACACCAACCAAGAGCGTATTACTAATCGGTCTGACAAGAACCTTGGAAGCAAGTCAAGGCATCCAATCATCTGCGCAAGATGTCCGAGCGCTTCGAAGGCTCATCAACCTCCCTTTCTGCTGGTTATCCCATTTCCATCATCTCCATCATCTCCGCCATCTCCGCTATCCGATTTCCATCACGCCAAAACCGAATTTGATTGGAACGCCATTTGCCATAATGTCGACACGAAGTGCTGAGTCACGAGACAACTCGCCTGATGCCGATGACTCTCCTGAGAAGCGTGGTAGCAAGAAACGCAAGGTCCTTTCCTGCTATGCATGTCGCAACCGTAAAATGAAATGCGATCGAGTTTATCCCATCTGCGGAAGATGTCAGAAGACCGGACGCGCTGATCAATGCACCTATGACCCAAGGCTACTAGAGGACCTTACAGGCTCTGGCCCTGGGGTTGGACATAACAGTATAGCCGTAGAGCCTTCCTCTCGTGTTTTCAACGATTCAACACCTGTTGCAGATACCTCCGATAATCTAGCATGGAAGGTTCGAGTGCAAGAAAGACGGCTAGAGCAGCTAGAAGCACGAATTGCTAGAGCAACAGACACTCATTCACTACCCTTGCATCATGATGCGGTCGCGCGCAGCTCGGAAGAACCAATAAGCAAAGAGACCATGCTCTTCAGAGGCAAGGGATTTAAGACATCGTTCTATGGATCTTCGAGCTGTTACAGTCTGATCATTCAGGTATGAGAATTCTTCTAGTGCTCGTAGTAATTGTGCCAATTCATCCAACGGTATCGGTATACGCTGCCGAATCTTCGGTTTCCACAATGGCTGCAATGCGCTCCCTTCGTGAAAGATGGCATCACGTCCACTAACGTATTTGGACACAGTTCCAAGAGCTGCAAATCTTTACACGAGAGGCTTTAATGACAGACACATCTGTAAAGCGTATTCGTACCGACTTCAAAGCATTCAGAAGCCGTAGAAAAGCTCAAATCAAGGAACAGGGTCTCACAGTGCTGGGCACTGACGATGAAATCTTTGCAGCATTACCTGCAAGAGCTGAGGTGGACGCCGCAGTAACTCTTTACTTCCAGGAGTTTGAAGATGCCTATCGAATCCTGCACGAACCGACATTCAGAAAAGATTACAGTGAGTTCTGGAATGCACCGAAAGAAGTTGCAACTAGCTTCGCCTGCATTCTTCTGTTCATTGTAGCAATTACACGCTGCGTTGTCGTCGGTCGAGACCCCGCGTTTGTGGGTGATAGTTCTGCTGAGCGAGAAGATGCAAAGAACTTGATTGATGCTGGTGATGCATGGCTTCGGCAGCAATCTCACAAACGCTTAACAATCACTTTCTTCCAGTTGCAGTGTTTCTCTGTCTTGGCCAAAAAAGTCAACTGCATCAAGGTAAAGCAAGACTGGACAGCTACAGGGGCAGCAATGCGGTTGGCTATTGCCGCAGGCATGCATCGCAATCCATCTTTACTTGGACCGGGACGCTGTTCAGTGTTCCATCAAGAGATGAGAAAGCGTCTTTGGGCCACCATCATGGAACTTGAGCTACAATCCGCTATCGACAGCGGACTCCCGTCCACTCTATGTGGATTCTACTTTGATACACCGGCTCCCACAAATCTTCCTGATGAGGCATTCTCGTCGGATACAGAACAGCTTCCAGCGGAAAGACCCACTGCAAATTTCACAAAGGCCTCTTATCTAAATATAAGTCGAGCTTCATTGCAGTTAAGAATACATATCGCGAAGCTGGTGAACGACCCAGGTACGAGCTTGTTATACTCTGATGTACTCCACTACGATGAAAAGATCTCCTCCCTGCTGGCCTCCCTTCCTCGTTGGGAAGACCCTGCATCGACAACGGCTTCAGTATTGTTGGATGTTCAGCTACGCCAATTCCTCCTCATTCTTCATCACCCGTACGCATTAAGAGCTGCAAAGAATCCTCGCTATTCCTATTCTTTCACAGCCGTCGTGCGCGCTGCATCTGCCATTATATCACATTACGACGACCTTATTTCGGAGAACATGATCGCGATGACTCATTATCGAAATGACATGGTGCGAATAGCAATAACTCTCGCACAGACCGTTTACCATAGCTCCTCGTTTGCGGATTCAAAGGACAATGAATCAGCCATTCAGTTCCTGACCGCAGTACGGAAAGCAGCATTTACAGGTGAAGAAGATCCCCACAGAGGCTCAAGATTTTTGAATCCGACGGGTGTTCGCGTGAAAATTCCTCAGTTAACACAGAAAGATCTTATGACAAGAATGCTCTGTACAACAGCGATCGAGCTCCTAGAGCGCGCAAGGTCTTGCTTCGAACAGAGAGTCATGCGCCTGGGTACAGGATACATGGAGTATTGGCTCATCTCGGCCGCCATAGGAATCATGCCTTCAGATGCTCCGAGTCAGACTCCGAGCTCTGACGGCGCGGATCGTGCAGTCGACGACATTCGCGAACGGGGCCGTAAAGCGATTGAGAGAATCACAAGTCTATGTTTCCGCGTACTAGCACTACAGAAAGATCCCGCAAACGAGTTCTCGGCCTCATTAAGAACAGCTATCACGAGTGATGGTCAAGCTAATTCACAAACTGGGACCTCAACGATCAGATTTCCATCGGGCTCTGTCGAGACACCCTTGCCAACAGGCGCCGATGCCGCATTGCAACCATTTATACCTGGAACCGGTGGTCTGCTTCGTGCTCTTGACGAAGGAGCAAAGTTCGGCTTCAATGATCAAGGGACGTGGAACCAACCCCAAGACGTTCAAATGAACAACGCATCGGACTGGAATTTTCCTGATTTTTGGGCATTTGACATGGGTGGCGATGTTTGAGGGAATACTATTATGGTGCAGTAAATATATGTGCAGAAGGCCTTTGCAATCACAAGACCATATGGTTACAACAACACAAGAGCGAATTTTTGCGATACTAACAATTGAAATGAAATCTATCAAAGCTACATTTATGTCTCATAAAGTGAGCCCAGGGCCAGCCTATTTCTGCAGGAAAGTACATCGTTTCAAGGGGAATCATATCTCCTGACTACGTCGATGCTCTCAAGATAGAATGATGCAAAGCCTGTCAATGACCGGCATCATTAGCATTTCCAATCTTCCTTTCTACTTTGTCAAGGTCATCGATAGCCTCAGTGTCATCAACATAGAAAAGCAGACTTGGAGGCCTTGATTTAGCGTCGCCTTCGTCTTGGAACACAACAACCTTGGTTATGGTCTTGTTGCCAAGCTGTTCCTTATGCTGAGAGAGAAGGAAGGCTACACCCGCGCCATTTGGTGAGCCCAAAATGGCTCTCCCTTCCCGTGTACTCATATCGAATGTAACTCCTGGCCACTTTTGCAAGACTTGATTGGCGCTTTCAAGGGCACGGGAGATGATCGAGCAAGCGTTTTTGTTCTTGATACTATAACGGAAGACGTATCTGAGATTCCGGGGCTTCTTGAAATTCTGCCATTCTAGGAAGACGATATCGGACCACAACTTGAGAGCTGGCAGAATAGTGACGGGTGGATTTTGCTTCGCTCCGCGGTGCGCAGGACTGAATGATCCCCAGGCTACAATTACACCATCCATGGGATTCAATATCATATCAAAACGGCCTCCCGTTATCTGTAAATGTGTTAGCCTGGTACTGATAAATCGCCATAACGCCTCACAGGGTATGTTTTGCCATCAATATCGTAGTTGAATTCGTGTTCCCAGACGGACGCGTAGTTGTTTCCGCCTTCTGACGCCTTTTTGTCTGATACATTGATGCCTTCAAGCGCCCTTTTGATAGGGACCGATTTCTCAAAGTCAAAACATTCCATGAAGTCCCCATAATTATAGCCCCATGTTTTGAGGTCACCTACGCCATATTAGCAAACCTATGAGCTCGGAATTCTCGTTGCAACTACTTACTATAGTTGACAAAGGTGGATTGAACAGTGTCGGAAGGGGTTTCTAGTAGTGCACCTGCAACACTGTCTGTTCCATGCATCTGCTTCAATAACAGTGATCCTTTGCGGACAGCATGTTCGAAGGCAAGATCGTCTGTCGATGGAGCAGGTTCTCTTTCTTGCAACTTTCTGTTGTCTGGGTTTAATTAGTCCAATCGTCAGTACATAAGTACAGCTTTTGGTAAGGGTACGAGGGAGAGAGAGGGTTCCAAGCCCCCAATGGCCATTCACTGAATAAATGTGGAGTATTTCATACCATTCCTTCCCGTAGCTGAACCGGCAATGTAGCGCCGGGTATCACTCCCGTGTGAACTAATGGTGACTGAATTCTCGTCGATAACGCTTGATCAAGTTTAAAATTTATATATCTTTGGCAAATGCTCTTGTATGAGGAAGATTGATAGACCAGGTGTTGCGTATAGATTGTTGAATTGTTTGAATTAATAGTCTCGTCCATGAGATACATGGTATTATATGGTGATGATGTTGAATATCTTCAGTAGATAACAATGGTCTAAAATTCCTTTGTCACTGTTGTTGCGTAGTCTCCTTGAGAGACTAAGCATCGTGATGGTATAGAAGCGAAAACTTTGGAAAACACAAAGGTTCATTGACCATGAAACGCAATCCTCAATTTCAACTATTTGTTAAGAATACAGGGATGCAGACTCGTCAAGATATTCGTTGTCAAAAGCTTGGTGAACGTGGTTGAGATGCACGAAAAAGGGACGCCATCCGATTGGACGCCCCAACCTCATTGTGCCTACATCTCACCCGATCTTTATTACGATTCTGCAAGTTTCGATCTTCCCGTCCCGATAAAGGTTTATCTAAGCCTCTTTTCGTTTGTTATTCGCACTTGAAACATACAGTGGAGACAATAGGGGTGGTTGAGACCGCTGCGCACATCGCATGGATAAATGGAAGCTCCACTACACTGGCCGCGTGTTGGTAGAAGCACGAAAGATATTCTCGTCAGAGATTCAAAAACAATTGACATTGAATGAAATAGTACAAATAATATTTGAAGAGAAAACATGCACGTCAATTGTAGTTACCCAACTATGGGATTTCCATGGTGTGCAAGAGTAATTAATTCGTATCTGGTAGTATTTAAGTAATGGGCTCAACCAATGTGCATAGTGTTTTGAAATCGCATCATTCCTTATTGCAATGCGATTCAAATGAACATGATGTTTGATGTATCAAGGGCCCGGACCGCTCTCACACCTGTTCGCAGCATCTTCCACCGAGTTATCATGTGTCCCCATCAGGTCGAGAATTTCTAAGTGCGATAGCAGAAAGAAGCATGGAGATCGAAAAAGGCAGTTGATGCAATGTTATTTGGGGCGTTGCTCCTGGAGAGGTCAATTGACACATAGATAAAGGTGGTTGCCAAATTGGCCATATACCCTGTTTTAGAGTACCAATATCAATTCAGTTGCATCCTTTACAAGAATGATGCAACCTCGCTGTAACCTATAGCCAGTTAATCGAAGAAACTGTGTACGTGTTTATGTCCATGTTTTAACTTCTCATAATTCACCACCTTTGCTCGTTAAACCTTTGCAACATCGTCACAGTGTTTGGGGTTAATCCCCAAAATATGACATCAATCAGTTCAACCAGCGAGAATATCATCATAAACATCTGGAAAAGAGACATAGAAAACTTGTAGCAACGCTGTTTTTTCGATTATTTTTTAATGCCCATGAACGATCGTTATTTGTTTTACGAGGAGGAGCTGTCGGGCAAGCTTCTCACGTGAGCATGAATGGCTTGGACAGAATCAACGTGAAGCTTAAACCACACCGTTCCGCAACGAGGGGCAAGACTTGGAATTCTATCCCAAAAAGCGCTCAAATACATTCAATCATACACGCAGCTATCCGAATAACATCGCTACGTTCTTCAAATCATCGCCAACCGATGTCAGTGCGGTCCCATACATAGGTAATCAAGCATCATCAAGCCAACCATCGTTTCTGCGACTTCATGGTGTATATTTGAATGGATATAGAGTGCTAACACCAAATAGCTGAGCACATTCATCCTAGTCTTGTTCGTAGTCTTGTGCGAAACAACTTCGCATGAGGGAGAGCTCTCATAGCGTTGTCGCATGTAGTTGTCATCACGTACACGGAAAGGTAGACGGGAAGTGCCGTACGCATATGTTAACAACCAACCATGAAGGCAGAGTTTATACTTACTGCATAATCTTTTCCCCTCGAGTGCCTTCGACCTCCTTGTATCATGTAGAGTTGTAAGTTCTGATTCATCGTGCCTTTCAACTGGAATACTCTATGGAATCAAACATATTCAACTTGTGAAAGGCGATAGGATAGGTCCTATTTTGGTCACGTTGACATTGAATTTCGTGGGGAGTTGGGTTCACGGCCAATCACAAATATTTGACTTGAGCTACTATACTCTAAGTCTAAGTTGTGCAAAGGATGTAAGATCACGTGCTCTAACTACTAGGGGTAAGTGGATGCGCCATACATGTGGCGGGCAACTGTTTGCGCGGGTAGACACGATACTTTGGTCGGGAGACGGTGAGGTTTTCACCAGGAGATGAGATAGTAGTGTGGTAACCGATACTGTAACTTGAAGAATGGAATCACTTCGCTCTTCGCAACGAACTCACGTAGATACACATCCTAGGATCTCCGAAAGCTGAATTTCAGATTGGCCAATCTTTATTCATCCGTTGAAATTGATCGTTCCTACATGAATTTGTCATGAGTGGCAGAAGCTTTCTTTGTGGTACATATACATGTTTCAATTATAGCGACGTGCAACCATTAGTATGTCGCGAATATGATAATACAATTTGTGTTTGGGACGGAGGATTGGAGGTGCGAGCATAACTCTACGCAGATCTTCATACCAAAAATTGTGAGGAGCAATGTGCCAGACAAGCAATTGGTAACAGATTATCTAGGAAATAGGTCTCACGTCTCAGTTGGAAAGCGTGGGATTGCTAATGGGTCAAAGTTTCGGCACCGACCTTCCGCATTAGAAAGTGGAGATCGGGTCAGCATCCAATCTGAGAAAGAAGCTATCAGTGTAAGGCATAATCCTGTCAGCACCGAGTGGACCACTTGTGAATGGGGAACGATACGAACTGCAGAGTAGCTGGAAGCTGGTTACTGAAGCACGTGATAGATGCACCCACAACTCCTGTCCGTAAACTATTACCTCGTACTCATATCTAATCCAAATAGAAGACTGTCACGAGAAGTTTTCTTACTCCGAAGTTGTGCGTGTGTCTTGACCCGTCGCACGATGCTGGTGCGAGACTATGATACGGGATGGCCGAACTAGCACCATATGTTGTCCTTCGTTCCTGATAAACGGCCTCGCCGTCTTACAGCCTTGCGCAAAGAATTGAAAAAATCACGGGAGCTTATCGTTGCTTGTTGGAAAGAAATCCTTCAATATCAGCAGCTAAGCGCAGAACGCTGATGGAAAACAGGCGAAGGAACTCATCCCACTGCGTCGCTTAAGTGCGGGTTATGGAAGGGAAGGGGAGAGAGTCGGGAGGGGAAGCGGTTGTTGGGCCACGACTTCACAAGGAACAAACGTCCAGAACGTTATTCTACAAGGGTGAGGGGCAATCTGACCACCATGTCCAAAGTCATAAGTGTCAGCATGGCGAGATGAAGAAGTGATTATCCAGTCATGAGCGGCATTAAATCACATGAGCCAAGCCAATCTAACCGTAACGAGCAACACGGGCGACTCCTTTCATTGCAATCCTCACCCGACTGGCTATTGATCTTTGGTATCTGCGCGTATCGAGATTATTGAAAATACAAGGTATGATGATACAGTACCTAGCCCTAGTTCACATCATGATTAGTCCTGGTCCATAGGCTGAAGACGGAGGAAAGAAAGATACGAACTCCAGGTGGAGGTGGGGGACTTGGGGGAGGATTTACATACAAAATACGAGTACGATAGGGTTTAGAGGGCGGGATCACCAGAATTACTGGGCCATTGGGGTTGGTTAGTCCATGTCAGGATACCTACTCGTTAACAATGTGACAGGATTCACAAGAGGGTGACAAGGTATGTAACTCTGACTATCTCGTAACTCTTAGTCCCGAGGCCCAGACAAGCCAATACGAAGACAAGCTAGGACCGAGCTAAGCCATAAGGCTTCTGCAAAAGCTTCTATGTACACACTTGGTCCGCTCCATTACCCCACACTCCGACTACATGCGCGCATGCTTTGATACGGCATTATTGACATGGACATGGACGTGCGCATCTGCTGATATGTCGGTTACAAGAGGGCGGGTGTTGTTTTCTGTTGGATGGCGGCCTCTCATCACTTGTTTGGGTCGATTCCCGCAGCCAACAGTCGCGATAGCCTACGCCGCTGATATCAACTTTTAGATGATCAGAGGCTGCCTCCACCAATCGCTAAGCCTGATCTTCATTTGCTTTATCACCCACCTCTTTGTGCATACTGCTGTAAAAATGACGATAGCCACCTTGACAATATCGCAACAAGAAGGGCGCGCATCGCAGAGTTCTGCTGAGTTTCGTCAGACAAGGAGGAAGAGGCGATTTACAGATTCCATCCGAGCGGATTCCAGGCGGTCGGGAAGCAAAGCGTGTAATGTGCAGGCATTGCTGGTCAAACACAGCAGCAGGTACAGCTAACTACGTGGGACGGTCAAGGAGGAGTCCTTCGTGGGAATCTTGCGAATCACTCTATCGCACGGAATCCTGGGATATGTCCAATGGGAGCATACGGCCCCCCAAAGTGTCGGTCTTCCTACAGTGTAGAGGGCGGCAAACGGGAAGCGATTGTATACTACTGGACTGGTAGTTTGTCAGGATCGGAATGACAAGAGTGCTATCAGAACGATACAATGCCATATGGAGTACCTAGTGGCAGCCTGAACGCCGCACTTCCTATCCAACTGCCGAATGAGGGCAAGCTCAGGCAAACTCAAAGGGCAAGCTCACGACCGTTTTGCCGTTACGTGCTCTGGCGTTCACTTCCCAATTAGGATGGTTACATTATCAGCACGCCACGCCCTTCCGCCAAGACGTCTGTATATTGCTTCTCCTCAAATGCCAAAACCCGCCCAGGATCCTCCTCCTCTCTTCTCTTCGTGCAACTCTTCAATTTTCTTTTCACGCCAATTCCTGGGCTGTTTCTTGTTTCTGAGACGAAAAAAACAAGCAGCACGCACGCCCGCCATGCCTGTTGGCGAGGACTCTGTCATTGTAAGTGATTGTTGCTTTTATCATTGCTTGCTTGCTTGGTGTCACGCCCTGGCTGGCTTCACCATAGCTACCCCTCCCTTCCTTTACCACTTCAAATTCTGACATTTCAATTAGCAAGCCACGACCCTGGATCCGGCCTTCACGGACGGTTCTGGGGATCCTGAGCGAAAGAATCCAGCGGCACATACCACTTCGCCGCCAACCTACCTCCTCTCTGAGGGTAAAGCAACTCTGCAAGAGAGCTACCTTGCTCCCGAAAGGGATGACTTCCCCACGGAGGAGGAGATGCGTACCCTCCCGCACGTGCCACAGAAGATTCCATGGAAGATTTTCACGATTGCGTTCGTTGAATTGTGTGAGCGCATGTCCTACTACGGTACCATTGTCGTCTACTCCAACTTCATCGCCAAACCTGCACCCACCCCGACTGGAGCAGCGCTTGATCCTAGTTCCGATGAAGCCCAGCCTGGTGCCCTAGGCCTAGGCAAACAAGTAGCTTTTTCTCTCACTACCTTCAACTCCTTCTGGGTCTATGTCTGTCCACTCTTTGGAGCTTGGATTGCTGATTCCTACCTTGGACGTTACAAGACAATCTTCTACTCAGTCCTCATTGCTGAAATTGGTCACACTATTCTTGTCGCCTCCTCTGCACCTCATGTACTTGACAAACCAAACACAGCGCTTGGCGTCTTCATCGTCGGACTCCTCATCACCGGATTTGGTACTGGAACATTCAAGCCTAATATTTCTCCATTGATCATGGACCAAATTCCACAGGAGCCACTCCGCGTCGAGGAACAGAATGGACAACGCGTTATTGTTGATCCAGCCGTCACTGCAACTCGCGTGTACAATTGGTTCTACTGGTTCATCAACTGGGGTGCACTTGCTGGCCAGCTCGGAATGGTCTTCGCTGAACGTTATGTCGGTTTCTATCTCGCATTCCTCATTCCTCTTCTCTTCTTCATGCTTGCCATTCCCGTCTTGGTCTACTGCAAAAAGGTGTATCGTCTGCAACCTGCCAGCGGCAGCGTGCTCGGTCCGGCTTTCAAGCTGCTCATCAAGGCTCTGGGACTAGGAGTGACCGCCAATCCTATGCAAACAATCCGCAATTGGAGGAACGGCGATGGATGGGAGCGCATCAAGCCATCTGTACTTGGAGCGAACAAGCCCTCTTGGTATAACTTTGATGACGCGTGGGTTGACGAAGTTCGACGTGGCTTTGGCGCCTGTGGTGTATTCGTCTGGGTGCCCATCTACTGGCTCGCATACCGACAAATGGACAACAATCTCACACAGATGTGCTCTACCATGGCTCTCCATGGCACTCCCAACGATCTCCTACAGAATATGGACCCAATCACACTCATTGTTCTTGTCCCAAGTAAGTAAAATCATCATTCCTGATCTCGAACGAGAACTAACGCCTTCCAGTCTTCGATCTATACATCTATCCATGGATGCGCAAGAAGAAGATCAACTTCACCCCCATCAAGAAGATCTGCGCCGGCTTCATCTTCGGCTCCCTCGCCATGCTCTGGGCCGCCGTCCTCCAACACTACGTGTAAGTCTTAACCGTCTTCTTAGAAGCCAGCAACCAAACACTGACACCGCCATCCAGCTACAAAACCTCCGGCTACTACGACACCCACGACCCCGACTACAAGTCCCCGATCAACGTCTGGGCCGTGACAGGCGTGTACGTCCTTGTCGCCATCTCCGAGATCTTCGCCTCCGTGACGACCCTCGAATACGCATACACCAAAGCCCCCAAGAACATGCGATCCCTCGTCATGGGCGTCCAGTGCTTCACGACCGCGTTCTCCGCCGCCCTCGCCCAGGCCTTCACGCCCCTCACCAACGACCCGCACCTCGTGTGGAACTACGCCAGCGTCGCCATCATCGCGTTCGCCACCGGCGTGCTGTTCTACATCGCGTACTACCGCACCGACCAGGAGGAGCAGAAACTCAACTTGCTCCCCACCGGACACTTTGGAACCAAGGAGCAGGCCGCAGATGTCGAGAAGAGGCTCAGTGTCAGCGCTGAGCGACGGGCAAGCGCTACTGCTGCTCCTACTACGATTGATGAGAAGACGGCTTAGAGTGTCACGGCTACACAGTTGGTTCGCTTTTGCAAGACTGAGAACGAATAGTGTACTACCGTATGTACTCTGGCTGAAATAATCAACGGGGGTTTATGATTAATCCTATCAAACGGATCGCTACGTATTCGGAGTTGTATCTTGTTACTCTCTGGTATGGGTGTATCTAATACTAGTCTAATAACAATTCAACATTCACTTTGCGTCAATATTGGCATCATCCTCTGATGTTTTTTCTTGGTGATTGAGTGATGCGTTCACGTGATGATAATGCGTGTTGCTATGCTTTACGATGACCTATGATAGGATTCAAGTAAACGACGCGTACAATGGACTGCTGCGATGATTGATTGCATATATGTTTCATTGGTTTAGCTTAGTTGTAGATAATAAGTTCTTTCCTCTCACCTTACCCTACAAAATATATCTTACACATATACAAAGCCCTCTCCTCACCCAGACTTGACCCTATATATGTCCTCCACGAGGCGTCTACTAAATAATCTAACCACCGTCCACCATCCCCAACGGCTTGACATATTGTTTCCAGATCTCCAGGAAATCCATCCGATCCTTCTTACTCTGAAATTTAATCTCCAGCTCCGAGTAGCCGAAGCGGTTCAAGTTCGCCGCCTTGGACGGTTTACCCCCGAAGACTGATAGCGTGGACTTCACCGACATCGCCGACGATGACGATACTCCCGTGTCTGTCCTCCTTATCATTGGTACCGCAGAAGTCCTGCGAATGGCAATAGCGTTGGACTGTGCCGCCGACGAGGACGGTGATGATACGTCGTTGCTACTGCTTATCCTCCTCTTGAAGATCTTGTCGCGGTTCCATTTCCCCGGCTCCTTAGACACGACGAGGACGAGTTTGTCGCTGACTTTCTTGTACACCGCGTCGTCGAGCCATTGGAAGATATAGTGCGGTTCCTCGACCCAGTGGCCTTTCCCTTCCGGCAGCGCGGAGGTGTAGAACAGGAGGACCAGGACGTCGGCAGACACAGGGCCGTTGACGGCATCGAGGTCCTCGGTGCGGCGCCAGAGGCGGATGTTCTTCATGCGGCACTCAGGTTTGTTTTTGTCCGAGGAGACGGTGAGGACGGGACGGTCGTAGAGGAGCTCCGCGTCGTCTTTGCCGTTGTTGGTGTATAGGAGTGTTTGAAGTGGGTGTGAGGACTCTTGGGTAGGGAACGTGTATTTGATGTCTGTGGCGCGTTTGTCCAAGTGTCCGTAACTGGAGCGAGGGAAGTTGATGCAAGTTTCGCCACCGTCAAGGGAGCTGGTGGTTAGTGGGATACTGGGCCCCGTCGCAGGGAAGCTTTGGGTAATGAAGACTTTTACTTCTTTGCCTGATCGGAAGACGGCGCGGATGGAGAGGCCTGCCTCTTCGTTATAGCGCCAGTGGAGGTCGCATTGTTTGCGCTCCACGCCCTTCGAAGAGGTCCGCTCGACGTCTACTTTGCGGCCGAGTTTCGTCCAGGTCAAAGCGCCTTCACCTAGGGCCATGGTTGCGAGTGAGGCATTGGAGAGGCGGTGGTGGAGGGCAGGGTTCTCCGGCGTGGTTCCTGGTGTAGATATTGCTAGGCCATTATTGTGGCCGTCGGGGCTCTGGCTGGCTTCTGAGCCAATCGATGAAATTGAAAAGAGTCGACTACTGGCATTTGAATGCACTGTAGATACGGATAGGGTTCGGTTCATGTCGTTCGCGGTATTGTTGTTCCAGTCGATGGGGTGAAAATGGTTTGCAGGTATTTGCGGACTCCCTGTTGGAGAGGTCGTTAAGGAGGCTGTTGGACTCTGCTGCATGGCCGTGTTCAAGCTTGACAGGCTAGATTCTCTGAACCGTGAAAAGTCTCCTGAATGGTCTGTGTCTAGTGTGTATGTTCGCTGTGGAACTTGCGGCATTGCCTTGACCTCTTTTCGTATGGCGTCATTTGGCGACAGACTGTTGCGTGTCTTCTCGATGGCGACCCGTTTTGCACGATTTTCTTCAATCAGTATGGCATCTTCTAATTCCCGCCTAAGGTGGTAGAGAACTGCGGCGGTTTCTGTGTCGCCGCTAGGAGCTATTGCTGGCGTGTTGCCCAGTGAAAGTGGCCGGGACACGAGATCGTTCTCTCGTACTATTCTCTCATCTTCACTCTTGAGCCAGCGATTAAACACCAGCCAGTCTTTATAGAGTTGATCTGCTTCTGAAGGTGGGGGCAGTGCGTTGGGCGTAGCACGAGAACTGCTGGCAAAAGCATTGCTGGAGTACATTTGACCGCCGAAACTCATTGCGCGGAACGGTGCCGAGTCAAGAAGACGCTGTGTTTGTTTTGTGGCTTCCAGGTGGAGTCGACTATTAATAGTCAGCGAGACAAGTAGGTATAGATCATATTGTCTGTCTTACAGTTGTAGAAAACTGATGCACATTTGAGTTGCTTGGTAGTGTCCAGAGAGCTGCTTCCTGAGACCATCGATTTCCTTCTCTTTGCCGATATACTTGATAGTATAAACGAACTTCTTGGGAGTCATTTTCTTGTTGTCGACTAGATGGGTGGCATATCCTTTGAGTGTCTTGTCACATTTCTCTAGCGTTTCCTTGAAGTCAAGATAAGGAAACGGGAGTGGTTTGCCGTACTCCTTCATGAGCTCATCAAGCTGGACGAGACACTCGTGGAAGTTTGAGAACTCCCGAACGAGTGCCTCGACCTGAGCCTCGGAATTGTCGTTTGCATCTGTCACACGTTAATGATGTTTTGTGGTGTCGATGATGCAACATCATACCCTTGAAGGCAACATAGATGCGCGTAGAGAACTCTACGAGCTTGACGATATCAGAAGGACTGACTCCAAACGACATGCCTGGCACATTCGGCCGCGCTCAGGGCGCAGAAAATTGGTGGGAAACTTCAGCCCATGCATCAGTGACAGCAAAACACACGATACGGCGTTGCTGTCAGATGAAAGGGACATTAGACCGGGGAGGACGCTGTAAATATGAGCGACGGGATGGGGTGGGCGAACGCAAGGCACCTGCCCGGCCCAGATGCCAGGGTGGACAAGTCAGGGCGCGCAAGTGTTGGATGGCTTAGCTGGTTAGCAGGCGTAGATTACGGGCAGAAGTGAGTTTACAGTGGTTTCTTAATCCGATTAGACATTTCCTTAGCCTGGCCTTTCCCGATGGTTTCATAGATGTACCATACGGCTGTATCCACACATGTCCACGGCTCGAGGCGCTCCGTTGGTGCATCACTTAGGGTAGAAGTGGTATTTTTAGTGGAAGAAATGATTCAATACCTCGGACTAAGGCAGATGGACAAGAAATAATTCGAACAAGCCAGTGTCGCCGTGATTGCTTGCGCGTTGTGGCGTCAAATTAGACATGTCCCTAAACCCCCTACGAAACATGTGACCTTTTGGTGTTGAGCAATGACAACCACGGATTCAGCACGTGGGGCTCGGAACGACAACTCACTCCACAAACCTCCACGCGCACGCTCATGCTCATGTCCACGCCCACAACACTGCCATCAACAGACACCCTGGATCATCGTCCCATCAGAATGGCCATTCGAGTACCTGCCTTACTCCTCACGTTATTGTCACCTCCTCTTGGGAGGGGGCTGTGATGTTCCTCCACGAATTGCTTGCTGGAATCAGGTCGTACATCGCCATCTAGAATATGTGCCAATCTTTGCCTTCTGACGCACTTTCTATCACGATTCAATAATAGCCAAAATACAATACATTACTGACTATTGTACGATCCTAATCGAGTCACCGACCAAGTACAAGGCGACCAGAGCACAGGTAGCTTCCGCAGCCATGCATCGCATTCCCTCGCTTCCAGGCCTCTTTCAACGGCAGTATCGAACACGAGCCCTTGATTCTCTGCCAAATGGCTCACCGGTGGTGGCTTCCCATCCCGAAATGAGCGTGTGGCTGGGGCAGGGCAAATCGACTGCCTCGCCTTGAATTCCCCGTTCCATCATAGTGGTTGCTGTCACAAATTATGTCTGCGCCCACTTGGAATCAGTTATTGTGGCCCGCAATGGGCTCCTCTACATCTCCTGAGAAGCATAACACAAGTTCCTCTCCCATCAGATTGAGTTGACATTGACAAACCTCTTCATCTTCTGCGCGTGCATAGCTTTTGCTTGGACTTTGCTGCGACTGATCGACATACAAGCAATATGGGGCTCCGCAAATGGATCAGCCGGCCAATGAGGGGCCATCATCTTGGTGTTGAAGATCTTACTACTGGAGAGGAAGGCTTGCCAGTAAGCAGACCCTGAGAAACTATGATATTTGGTACCTTCTTGCTCAACTCGTCCTAGGCCTCTATGCGACGGAAATGGACGCTCCAAACGATAGACTCTGCTCCATTCCAAATATGGGTGGTTATCGTTGCTGGCATTGGATTTCTCACTGATTCTTTTGATCTGTTCTCCCTGAACGTAGTCACACCCATGATTGGCTACGTTTACTGGCCCCAGAGTATGGACGACAAAAGCAATATATCCAAAATACCCAAAGTTCCAAAGGAGGTCGCAACAGCTATGATGTGCGCAACACTCGGCGCAACAATGATTGGACAAGTTGCTTTCGGTTTTGCTGCCGACATCCTTGGTAGACGAAAGATGTATGGCCTGGAGCTGGTAATCGTCATTGTCGGCACCATGCTCATGATCATGAGTTCCAGCGGCGAGAGGAACAGCATGGCAGTCGGAGGATGGCTAATAGCATGGAGAGCAGTCATGGGCCTGGGAATCGGTGCCGATTATCCTCTTTCAGCCGTCATTACGAGTGAATTCGCACCTCGAAAATACCGCGCTCGAATGCTCGCGGCTGTTTTCTTCGCCCAGCCCATCGGTCAGCTACTCGCAAATGTTTTGTCCTACGCAGCTGTGGAAGGATTCAAGTCTCACATCAACGTCACTGCTAAAGATTGTCGCAATGATGATCAGTGCATACGCGCTGTTGACCGACTATGGCGTCTTGTGGTTGGAATCGGAATCGTCCCTGCGGTCATTGCGCTTGCATTTCGGTTCACTATACCGGAAAGCCCTCGTTTCAAGCTCGACATCTTACAGAATGTTCAGAGTGTGTTTGAAGACACACAAGATTACTTCGGTGGACCAAAGGTTGATGAAGAAGACGGAGAACTTGATGCTCTGCCAACATCACGTGATGACGGCCTTTCCAGGAGATCAAGCGCTTCGTCCGAGATTGCACCAGATGAGGTTATAGACAGCGACAGCGACGATGGAATGCGAAACACTTCGGTGCCGAATGGCAATTCTCGCCCTCCTTCGGCCGCGATGCCACTGCCGCCTACCCATCCGAACTATCTTCCCCCGTTAGCCTCGCGGGAGGACATCAAGAAGTTCTTCATCGACGAGGGAAACTGGCGCTATCTTCTTGGAACATCTCTAAGTTGGCTGTTTCTGGATTTCGCCTTCTATGGTCTCGGTATGTCATCTCCTGACATTGTCCGGTATGTTTGGCCGGATGATGGGAACAAGGTATATGAGTCTCTACGCGACAACAGCAAGCATTCTCTAGTCATGGTCTCTATTGGAGCAACCATCGGCGGCGCTGCCATGATCAAAGTCATCAAGTACGCGTCACCAAAGGTAATCCAATTCTGGGGATTTATCGTCCTGTTCGTCCTCTTGGTTGTCACTGGTGGTGCGTGGAAACAGCTACTGCAAGCAGACAAGGCCGGTCTCATTATTCTCTACATTTTGTGTCAGATTGCATTCAATCTAGGCCCGAATGTGACTACATTTATTGTAAGTATCATCTCTGTCACTATCACTTCTCATACTAATCTCAGGGCAGATACCAGCGGAGATCTTTCCAACGCGATATCGTTGCACATGCCATGGCATCGCTGCAGCATCTGGAAAGCTCGGCTCCTGGCTTGCACAACTTCTAATAGCCTACCCATTCCATGTCAACGGCCAGAAAGACACATGGAAGCGAGAGAACTTCGGCTACGTTCTTTTGGTCATGAGTGTATTCATGTTGGCCGGCGCGGTGACGACGTACTTTTTAGTCCCAGAGACACGAGATCACGATAACAAGAGTCGAACGTTGGAAGTGTTGGCTGGTGGAAGAATAGTGCTCAAGGAGTTAAATCAGCAAAGGCGGATCGAAGAGGATTAGATTTCGAGCGCAATGCAACGCACAAGTTGCCATGTTTAATTTGCACATAGATTTTCTTCTTAATTTTACTCGTATATGATGAACAAATTCTCAATTTGGTTTCTTACAGAGAACATTCGACTTTCGAGCGTGACGTCAAGCGTGGATTGTAGGATTTTGATTGTTGGCCACTGTGCTGATGAAGTGACGAATCAGAGGCCAACAATGCTATATCTCACGTCGCCAACCCGAGTATCACAGCAAAACAAATCGACCTTTCTTCGCATAAATACCTGGAAAAATCCCCAGTTTCTCACTTTTTAAAAACATCAATTGAATTCCTTGCAATACATAATATCCCCATTCTATTCCAATAGTCCTACCACAATCTAACACATACCAATGTCGCCCAAAACCAACCCAGACCCAACAGCCCTCTCCCAAACCTTCTCCTGTACAACCTCAACCCACACCTTCACACTCAAATGGACCTCCCTCGGCGACCCCAATTCCGCACCCTTAATCTTCATCCACGGCACCCCCTGGTCCTCCCGCGTCTGGAAACCCTTCGCCCTCGCCCTATCCCGCCACTACCACGTCTACCTCTTCGACAACCCAGGTTTCGGCGACTCGCCCTTGGAAAAGCCCCTCCCCAACGCACCAGAAACCCAGAATTTAAACAACGTAGTTGAATTAGATGCGGATCTAGCACGGCAATCAGAAGCCTACGCCCACCTCTTCAAACACTGGCAACAATCCTGGGGCGACAAGAAACCCCACGTCGTCGCGCACGACCACGGCGGACTGATGAGTCTGCGAGCGTACCTACTACACGACTGTGAGTACGCGAGTTTGTGTCTCATCAACGTCGTTGCGATCGGACCTTTTGGACAGGGGTTGTTCAGGTCGGTAGCGGAGAATCCGGAGAGCTTTCGAGGGCTGCCGGATGTGGCGTTTGAGGGGATATTGGAGTCGTATATACGGCAGGCTGCGTATTTTGAGGTCGGGAAGGAGATGATGGGTGTGTTGAAGGGGCCGTGGGTGAGGGAGGGGGGGAAGAAGGGGCTTGTGAGGCAGTTGTGTCAGGCGAATTGGAGGAGTACGGAGGAGGTTGAGGGGAGGTATGGGGAGGTTGGGGAAGGTATTCCTGTGAAGGTTATTTGGGGGGTTGAGGATAGGTGGATTCCTGTGGAGACGGCGGGGCGGTTGGGGGAGGCGTTGAAGGCGAGGGAAGTCGTGATTGTGGAGGAGGCGGGACATTTGAGTTTCATTGATCAGGCTGGGCAGGTTGGGGTTGAATTGGGCACTTGGTTGAGGGATGTATCCGGGAAAGATGAGGATCTTGAACGGAGAGGAAATGCTGCTTAGCATGGGATAGTGAATGTGCATTTTAGGTACATGAATGCGTAATTAGCTCTTCTGGACTGCTCCGATCAATTTTGCCTGCTCATCGCAAAACCTCGCCATCAATGTGTCTTTCAAACTAATTCCTGGAGGATCGTGCGTCTGCCAGCAAACAGACAAAGAACCATGATCCTAGGATTTTATCAGCTTGGAATCAATCGTCTAGCAGAGTAGTCAATGTCACCGTAGTCATAGTTGAATGATGATTGTGTGCTTTACTTCCGATACCGATCATAGTATGAAGGTCCTAGTATCGCAGTCAGATCATATAGAGATATCCCTGGACAGCGAAGGGGTTGATTACTAAAACTTTGGTGTACAGCTTTAGGTAGTATGTTTTCTCAAGTTGAGTTTCATTTTCATCAAATTTCCATCCGTTCTCCAGTAAACTGTCGACTTCGGCCTTGATCTGGGCTTTATCTTCCTCTTTAGAAGGCTTGAAGGGCATAGCTGAGGATGAGCCTGACGAGTATGGTCGTGTCGGGAGACTCGATTGAGCACAGCGGAAATGCGGCCCACGTTGCAACGATGGCGTGAGTGATCGTCTTGCAAATATTCTGGGCGCTGAAAATGACATATCGCTATCAAGATTTGGATATGTTCTTGATGTTCTTGAAGCCGGGTTAGCAAGGGCAGAAGAAAGCCGATCCAGATCGTTCGTGTTTTGTGCTTACGTAATGTACACTACAAGATGACTTCTTATTGTGATGAGGAAGTGCAACTGCACAATGTACTAGATCATCATATTGACAAACAGTGTGGAGAATCTCATGTTTATCACATAAATTCGCGAAAGTGGTGTCTTCTGAAAGTCCCTCTTAGGAAGCCCTCCATAGGGTCAACGCTCACACCACCAGTACATAGTTACACGCCCTTGAATATCAAAAGAATGGTAACGATGCCGATCAAATGCCGTCTTCCGAAGATATTCATCATTATCAAGCTTCCTTAGTACCAACGAAGACCTCTTCACGCTCTTTGGTGTCGCTGCTTGTCTCCGATCGCAGAATGTTACCAACGGCATTGTGGGTAGCATCCCATTGCTCCAGTTCTGCTACGGGAACCTTGACGAGTCGATGGCTCTGGGCCCCATCCTCCAACACCAAAACTTCCTGTCGGATGCGATACCCTCGCCATTTTGGAACCAAGTAGATCCAACTAACGTAATATATGCCGCATAGTACAAGGCTTCGGTGCCATTAGCTTGAGCAAATACATAATGATCAAAGGGGGTACTTACATTCCAATGCCCGTTACAACATATGTCGCATACCAGAAGCTTACATCGCCTCCGTATCGCCCAGTGCTGGGAGGGTACCATGGCATTACGATGAGGAACAAGTTGACGGCGATGTTGAAAACCACTGCGACGTCCCAAGCGCGGAAACTCGATCTTTCGAGGTTTAGACGCTTTCGACGCCAGCGGATAATGTAAATGCCAACTGCAAGCGTAACGTTGAATAGAGAAGCTGGATACACTTGGAGATCAACGACTACAGAAAATTAGCGAACAGTTGAAACTTGAAGCGCGAGAGGCGTTACCAAAGTTGAAGGCATCGCCAGCCGGTGGCCCAACGATCATGATGACCGTAAGTATCCATTTCACGAAGTATGGCCCGAGAGGCGTGCCGAAAGGCCTAGTCGAAGCCCAAAATCGGGGGAATGGCAGGACGCCTTGTCTGGATCAGATGTTAGAAACTCTCTCAACGAGTCAAGTTGTATTCATAAATACCTTCCGCATTCTCGAATCAATCTTGACTGCCCAAGTAGAACGGCAATTAGGTTCCCGAATGAACTGAGCGCAATGAGGAAGTTGAGCCCTTTGCTTGCTCGACCTGATCCGAAGACGTGATGGAAGAGCAATCCGGCGGAAATTTCTTTCGCGGCAATAATCTCTGCTTTCGGGGCTGATTCTGTCAGAAAAAGAATTCGCGAGTCGAATTATTGAACTTACCCGCAGCGAAGTAGGCAACATTTGCCATTACATACAGAATAGCAACTATCGTCAACGCGATGGTGGCATTGATCTTGAGCTTCTTCACTGGGTTCTATGAACTGATTAGATAATGCAATTAAGCGATGATGGTGAGATGCATGCACAAACCTTGACCTCGTTCACGACATTGAATGCGTTTTCATAACCAGCATAGGAGAATACGATTTTATACAAAGCATTTGTTGCTCCATACGCAGTGGGAGTGCCGTGGAAGGAGTTTCGGAAGTTAACCTGCGGGTCGGCGACTTTCGTATTCCCTCCTAGAACTACAAGCCCGGTGATAGCGATGAAGACCAATGTGAGAAGCTTGACTATGCCAATGGCATTGGATAAACGGTAGGAAAATCGAGTGTGGAACGCCAGCACTATGCGACAATCAGTAACGTTTTTCGAAATTCTTCTTGGTAGCCTTACGGAGGACTGCGACTGTATAGCTAGCAATTGCAACACCTTTAAGTTCCCAGTTTGTAGGGACGTGACCGTTAGTGGCGAAGAGATATTTGGCTAGGACTGAGATAACGGTTAGTGTTTTTGCGAATGAATGTGATATAAGACTGGATCCTTACCTATAGCGTTTCCACTACTAAACGACAAGATGACAGTTTGGACTGCAAAAGCAACTGGGAAGAAATATCTCGGCCGAGGATAGGCTTGCTCCAAGTAGGCCACCTCGGAGCCAGATCGGTTCGGAAAGTATGAGGCGTACTCCAAGTAAACCGCTAACGAGGACAGAGAGATAATATACCCAAAGAACCAGTATAGCATGCTGGTTCCGATCGAGCCTGTTCCCTTGAGAATTGAAGCGGCTGAACTATGTTAGGAGAAGAATTGAACTTGGGATAGAGATTCTTACGTGTAGAGTAGATGCCAGTTCCAATCATCTTGCTTAGATTCAGGAACACAATCGTGACAGCACCAACTGCATATCCGAATGGAGACTTTGTTTCCACAGGAGCACCACTAGCTTCCTGATATGCTGGCGGAGAATCATTACCTGCTTTTCCTACGACGTAGTGCAAATTTCCAACTGTAACCTCTCCATGATCAACGGGCGCAGAGTTGGACTCCCCCTTGTCGTCCGCCGATCTGCCATGGCGGAAGTATGGGAATGGCATTGAAGTTGGACCTGATTGACGGGTGAAGATATGGCGAATTTCCAGAAGTGAAAATGTACTGAATATTGATCTGAAGATTTGCTATGAACAATTATATATACATGCCAACAAGAAGTACCCCCAAGAAGAAATGACACCATCCAGCCAGGTTAACAGCAAATAATGAAAAGCCTATCTAGGAAACTCGGGCATATCTCGTTCGAACAACTTTCTCTTTGTTCTATCATTACAGGCCCGATTGCTGCGTTTCCAGTGCTATTGATTGGCCTCAGGAGATGCCGCTTCCAAGATTCGCCGTATCGCGCCGGCCCGCTCACACTCGCTCCAACTGGCAAGATCACCTTTTTCGAGCATATCGGGTGGATTGGTCTGAATTAAGCTAGTAAAGTATTGCGTTTTGAAGGGGTCAGTTGTTGTGATAAGCAATTGCAAGCCCCTTGGCCCCCGTGTCTCCCGTTCCCACGCGCCCCACACCTTGATTCGGCTGAAACTGACGATCGACTTCGATAATGGCTTTATTACGACACTGTACAAAGGCTGCTGATCAACTTATGCGATTGAGTTACTGAGAGGTTGCGCGGAATTCATACAAGCGCTAGTGCGCGGGATTGCCCCATGACGCCAGAGATTCCTGGGATGGCGAATCAAGTCGAAACTCCAGGTACTTACATGCGTTGTGAACAACTCATCCCCCAAAAGATTTCAACAAGAGAATACTCCGCATTTTTCACGCAATATGAGGCTTGTATGCGCGAACAGTCCACGGCTAGCCGAGGTTCTATTGTATCTGGATTTAAGCCTCTACGATCTAGATCAGTGTCGAATAACATGGCACTCGCCTTTCGGCTTGAACGTCGCTCGTAATCACCATGCAACTCTCGTTCATATCTAATTTCAATGCTGTCAATTGGATCCGATCCAAACCCTCCATCGCCGACCCGTCACGCAAGAACTGGATATGGAATCAGGCGACTTACCAACAGTCTACAAAAGCCACAGATGCGCCCTCGGCTGCAGAACGCTGTCACTATTCGTTTAAGATTTCCACGTCGAACATTGGCATAAATACGGATAATAAAAGACTTCAAGACACGATGTGTGGCAAGGAAGACTGTGTCACGATTCGTAAAGCTTGAGTCAGATGAAGCTCAACCACGGTCGTTGAATGAAAGTAAAGATTGGACATTTAGGAGAACAACTGGAGTCTGCCTTTGCTCCCTTGGGTGCTTCAAGCCCAGCGCATCGTGCTCAGCCCGCTATCCCATCTTGTACCTTGCTGAACCTGCTCTTGGACCTCACTGTAGCTCGTTATTCTTATTGTTACTATGATGCGGATGATATCCATCTTACATGACAGAGCCTTTGTCCATCTCCCTAACATATGAATAAAATTCATAGCATAGAACCTGGATTTCCCTAACAGCCGTTGTACCATTCTTACCTCCTGACTATTCCAATGCACGTCATGTTATTTAGTCTCATACTCCTGTTCCTACTACCTCCACTAGATTAGCTGTCTGAAGAACGCTAGTTTGTCCCAGATTATCTTAAGGCCACTTATGGATAGTAGCGCCAACTACAGCAATGAACAATCTATTCTAAGACACGAAGTCATTCTCGTATGTGATAATTAGCTTCAACAACCCATGCCCTTTGACTGACTCTGGTAAAATCCACTCAAATGCATTGATTTACAGTAGTGAACGAGTGTCAATACGAAATCTGTAGTATCTCTTCTCTGTAGCAGCGATAGTATAATCCTATATTCCCCTCCTACGAAACTCGTTGATGCTCCTCACTATAGCTGCAGCGTTCTCTCCACTGCCGATTCAGGAACTTTTCATTAGGCCATAGAATTTTACAGGCTTGTTGATCCAGTCGTTGCATGAGGACTTCTTTCTTGCGAATCCTCAGGTCTGCGCCACACTTGTGTCTCGTTTGATTGGCATTCATGCAACCTGTTCGAGGTTTCGAATCCTACTCACAATCAAGATGGATTTTCTATACGAAAAGGATGGTCCCCTCACTCCTTCATACCTGCGCCTCTTTTCCTCAGCCTCCTTCTTTTCAGTTAACATGTAGGTGTTATATTTGATGTTCTATCATCGCGAGCCTGCAATATCACCAATGACGTCTGTAGGGACTACTTGCAGCAGCTTACCCCTGAGGTTTTCAGGTAGAAGACCTCCTTCCTCTGCCAAATCTCGCATTTCTAGAGATTATGGATCCAGAATCCACTTACTAAGTTTCGTGGTGAATGTATTATGTAATCAAATTCCGCCAAACAGGCTTCCTGAAGAAGCATAACGTACGAAGCGGGTTTCACCGCTGCAGCTAAAGGGCCAATCAAAATGTAGTATGATCCAAGTGCAACCAATGCGAGGGTCGACCGGAGCTTACGTAATGCGCCTGGGATTCAAATCCGGGCACGCCCAAGTGAACTCATGTCTTCTAGGTGTAACCTTGGAATGGGCAGAGCCCAATATATAATAGATAAGTATCTGAAGTAATTGCAAATATATTTGAACCCTTTGAGATTAAGTTCTTACTTCTCAAGATACGGACCATATCCCAGCTTGTATTCCTTCGACCTTTACAAAACTTCCGACGCCTCCAATCATGACGCTTATTGACTTGAGCACAATCCCGAGCTCTGCAAGCTCACCAGACTGGGACGTGCCCAAGGTAACAGTGGGACGTGGCAAACATCTTGTTACAAGGACCAGTACAAGCACAACGACCGTGATTGGGAGAGCACTGAAAGAACTTGGATTGGAATTCAAGACGTTTCTCGCTAGCAGCCCGTCTTTGCAAGAGCTACACAAGTTTATTCGCCCATGGATACTGCCCGGGTCAAACCAAGTCCAGCCTATGGTGCTCGAGTGGATGAGCTACTTCGGGAGCCCCGTTATCGCCGCCAAACTGGAACGGTTTGACTTGGTAGCTGCCCTGCTCGACTGTGGCTTTCAGTTTGGTCCGGGTATAGTAACTCATGCAGTGGAGATTGCTGTAAAAACCAACAGTCCTGCGACATTAGAGTTTGTTCTTGATCGTGGTTGGGATATAAACCAGAGCATACGCTTCGATAGTGTGCCTATCTTGGGGTGAGTGCGACCACTCTGCATTGCATGCGATTTGGTAGACTGAGATGGGGACTGACGGACACTAGACAAGTTGTCGACAATCGAGCCCTGGTCGAGTGGTGTCTTTCGCGCGGCGCAGACCCGAATGGTACTTGCGCGAGAGGTTATACGATAATGCAACGCGCAGCTTCAAAAGCTACACTCGCTACGGTCAAACGCCTGATAGCTGTTGGCGGCGACATCTCACCTACCTCTCAGTCAGCGGGCGTTGTCGCTCATGCCGTCGAGGGACATTCCGAAGATAAAAACCGGATACCCATCATTGAGTACCTACTCAGCGTTGGTGCAGACATCAATGCGGTCTATTTAATACAAGAGAAACATGATCAATTCTGTTTGGACTATCTCGCAATGGACAAAACAGCATTGCACGTCGCGATTCACAGAGGAGATCGAACTCTAATCGAATATCTTCTCGTGCGAGGAGCCGACGCAACGGCAAAAACGAGGAACCGCTTTACTAACATGCGTTGGATGGATGTTGTGGAGTTTGCGGAACACAGAGAACACACAGACTTAGTGGGTCTATTGCGAGAGGTTAAGGAAAGCGTGGAGACCTGATGGTATCTCACTAAATGATAGTATTATCGCATCCTATTTTTTTTCCATTTGCAACTTTGCACAGGCAATTATAGACGATGAGACACACGAAACACATCTATATAGCAGCACAACAGTAAATGCGTACAACAAGAAATACGAGAAGGTCAAAATAATGTCCAGATGCCTTGTTGATTTCACACTGTCAATCTTTATTTAAAACTCTATGTCTATACCCAAGTCTATGTCTATACCCAAGTCTATGTCTATGCCCAAGTCTATATCCATGCCCAAGTCTATGTCTATGCCCAAGTCTATATCCATGCCCAAGTTTATATCTATGCCCAAGTCTATGCCCATGTCTATTTCTATAGCCAATTTGCCAGACAATCACCACAGCCTATCGTCCACATTTACCCTTCCAATGATAATGATTCGAAAATTGACCACAATATTCTCCCTCGTACATGCAAATGGAATCGGACACACAGTTAGTGTTTAGAGGCGTGACGCAGCACCCTTCGCAAAGACGAAGTTGATGCCATTAGCATCGTTCGAGACAACCAAGTCCAGTGCATCATCTGCAGACTGTGCGTCATACGGTTTGATGGACACCCTGATAGCCAGCTTTCTCTGGATGTAGTTCACGATCTCTGTCTGAATTCTGGAAGGCAAGTCTGTATGGGCGTATAGTCGACCCTTGGCTGAGCTTCCTTGCACTCCAAGCTCTTTCGCCTGCGCAACGATTTCTGCTAAAGGCGTTCTGATATCGTCCTCGTCTTCGGGATTGATATGGGCGAAGACTATCGCAGTGTTGGTGTATAGAACAAGTGCACTGCACCCCGCAAAGCCAGCCGAGTATGCGATGTCACCTTTCTGCCATGTCCAAGAGTCGATCTCGCCCATATCTACTGGGGTGACGTCCCCACGTTCAACGATGACGTCACGTTTGTTGTTGGTAACCTTGAATTTCTTCGCCTTCTTGGGCTTGACGTTCTTTCCCTTGCGCTTCAACTTAAAAAGTGGACAGCTGCCTCCAGATTTGCCGCCGCGAGCGAGAATGGGCTCAATGCCGTTCACAGCCACATTTTCAGTGGTGCCAGATGCAACGGAACTAATTCTACGTTAGATTGGGATAGCCAATGGGTGAACAGCTAACTCACGTGATTTCTGGGTCCAATGCAAGGCCTTGGGCCAAGGAAAGGCCATACGCGATGAGAGTGAGAAGAGACAGACGCATTATGATTGATAGATTTGGAGTCTTTATGGTGGTTGTTTGTAATGATGATGTGGAACAAAGAGCGCGGGGGTAATTTGGAGAGATGCAACAGGAATCGAATAGACTCAACTGGGAGTGCTTAGGTTTATCTTTATGAAATAGAAAGCGGTCCACGCGTTCAATGCTGGATAGGATCTTATGAATGAGAAGGTAAATTTGGCTGTCTGTTGTATTCTGGAAACCATCTTGTGAACATTTATACCCATTGATTCTTGTCTTCAGCTCACTGAGGTTACGTATCATCCACGCCAGCACCGAAAGTCTGTAACTCTTCAGAAATGAATCCCAGAATGTGTCCTTCTGAAAATATTCAACACAGTTCAAATAAGGATTCGTCTTCTGGCCAGTTTTGACGATTCAAGAGGCTTGTATCTCTCCATCTTCCTGCCTGAGCCACTGGATGACGCGAAGGGAGGGTTTTGTGCATCCTATCTAGACATATCTATTCCGAAGAGACTAATTAACTAATAATCAATCCAATCACAGCTATTCTCTATACGAACGTGGCTACGAGGCCTACAGGGCGCATGCAATTCACTGTTTCAGGAAGATGTATTGTCAGTTCCGGAAGTACGTTGGCAAGTTCAAGAGACACTTATCACACAAGTGGCTTCGTAAAGCAATCGGTATCAACTCGTGGCCTTTGAAGTTGAATGTTTATTGTGAAACTATCATCAAGAATCTCTGTGTGGCAATCACCGGAGACGTATTCACAATCCGGACAGAGCATTTCGTTCCCTGGTGTCATGTGCGAATAGTTAGCATGGGTAGAAACACAAAATATAGATTGGACTGGACTAACCGAATATGCATGACAACGCAGCAATAATCGGAAAGAGATATGATCTCACAAGCTCAAACTCGCAAAGTCGTAGAAGTAAAGCACTACCCTAGGTCAAGGTTGACAGACGAGGACGCAAGCCTTCCAGGGCAAAGGGGCACAACCACCAACAACTTTGCATTCGTAGGAGTGCTGTTTTACAGCAAATCGGGCGTTCGATTGCCCACGCACACGGATAAGGTTAATGGCTGTGTTGATTTTGGTAAAAGATACTTCTAGTATTAGAGAGGAGATATTGTGAAACAAAAGCATTCTTCAACGACTACAGACACGCAGTAAACGAGGCCAACCGTATATATTAGAGACAGAAACCTCTTGATAATTTTAGTCCCTGCAAAAAAAGCAAAGACTCCTCGTATGGCGCTGCCTTGTAGCGACTGCGAATGCGGCAAGTGATCCAATCTATCAATATGACAAGACGACAAGCAGTGATTGCGCCATTATCAAAGAGCATAGTCTTGACGTCTTCTCTAGAGGCAAAGAAGGGATATTAAGCCTTGCATGTCCGTGAAGTCGTCATAGACTCCGTTTCATTGCCATGACATGTAGAGAAAGAACGACGTAGTGTTTCAAGTTTGTGATCATCCCGGCCAACGTACCGAAGAAGAATAACAAAGGGTAGAACACGACGAAAGTAAGCACTAAGAATAATGGGAGATAACTCTTATTTCCACCTCGTAGAGGTTGTTCAATACAACATGCCACTTTATTTTGCAAAATAGACACAGCCACATGCATTTATCTATGGCATGAACCAACACGAGGGGCTTCGCCACGGTCGAGTAGTGGCCAACGTTGGGGGCTTATCTACTTTGGGAAGTTGTTTGGGGAAACGCTGTGCGAATTTGCATGCACTGGTGCGAGTTCCTCGGTTGGAGGTTCGATGTGCGATGTGTGATGTTTGGGATGAGAGATTCAAAGTGCGATGTTCGAAATGAGTGATTCGAAGTGTGAGCAAAAATGCAAGACCAAAAAGTAAGCAACAAGTCTGGGACCAAATCGTTACACTGCATTTGAGGATCTTTAAGGATTTCCCTTAGCTTGATAACTCGGATAATAAAATCATACACGGACAAGGACAAGCTGTGTATTCTTTTGGTGACAAATGTTGTTGGAAGAGGGACGATCTATACTCTTTGATGTTCATAGCCCACGGATATACGACATGTGAAACTGAGACAAATCCTTCCACGCCACAGGAGCTCAAAAACTATCGATTCGCATGTATGGTCCCGATTGCTATCACTGCAGGGTAGTGTTACGCCCGAAAGTAGGTTCACTCTCGTCCAATCGTTTGCGCAGAGCCGAAGGAAGAGAAAAACAAGAGTGAAATGCTTAAAGCCATATGCAATTTCATTTTAATATTTCTATGCTCTAGAGAAGCGTGCTCCTACTACATCTATCTAAAAGCAGATAATGATAATATACAAGTTCGCTAAAATCTTTCCATGGAACTCTAAATCCTCTTCAATCTCTGTTTCCCGTTCTAGACAGCCTCATTCTTGCACATTGTGAACATCCTCTCCATTGCCACTTGCCCAGCGGCTTCTCTTCCTGATCTCCACGCCCCAGAAATAGAAGAGAAATGGAACCACGCAGAAGACCAGGGCCAGACAGGCTAGAAGGATGCCAGCCGAACGATAACTCATCCCCTCGTACATTCTCTCCGCCACCAGAGGGAAAATCGCGCCAACCACATTCCTGACCAAAATTACGCCCGCGAGGGACGACGCCGTGTACTGTCCGTACGAATCAAGGACGAAGTTCAAAACGCCTAACACCACAACAAATATTCCTGCGCCAAACAATGCAGAAGCGATGATAGGTACGATCCAATGGACTTTCGACGTGCTGCAACCCGCGAACCAAAATAGCGAGACTGGGAGCAAGAAACACGCAGGCAGGCTGAGCCATACCCGAGATTCCGGAGTGCGAACTTTTTGATAGTGGCGCTCTTGAATTGGATAGAGAGCACAGCCGACGAGGGATCCAACGCATAATCCGAGGAAAGTAAGGGATGTCTGCGCATGGCTGAAACCATGCAAGCGGCCGAAAACAAGAGGGAACGACTCGTTGAATAGGAACACCAACCCGTAGATCAATCCATTGTACAATGCAGCGGACAGAGTGATGGGTTCGGTGAATAAAAATCGGATGGGCCTCGTCAATGTGACCTTGAACAGATGTCCCAGACTAACTTCTTCAGTCGGATTTCGAATCCTCGACGCGCCGTTTGCTAGGCCCTGTGCGGCCAACTGGTCCCGCAATTGATTTGATTTCTTCGTCAGGATAATGGTGTGCCGTGTCTCAGGCAGCGTGGTCACAAGAAGAAGCCATGCCCCGCCCAGGACTGCCATGAAGAACCAGAAAAGCCAGCGCCAACCAAACTTCTGAGCAAAGTATCCTGTCAACGGCAGTGCCAAAGGGGGACCAAGAGTACTGCTTAGACCATAAATAGCCATAGGTGCACCACTGAAGTCTCGCTCCCATAGGTCTGCAATTGTTCCTCCAGTGTTAGTCAGAGGCGCAGAACCAGCAAGTCCCTGGAGGAACCGTAATCCGATTACTGTATTCATATCTTTTGCCACGGCTACTGGTGCTTGCATAATGACTAGCAAAAGCCAGGACCAGATGTAAATCGGATTGCGACCCCAGTGTTCACTGAGTGGTGCTAGCAGCATTGGACCGAACGCGAAACCTAATATGTATGTCGACAGACCGGTGGTCACCATCAGGGACGAGCAATGAAATTCTTCTTTGAGCGATTGCGATCCTGACGAGTATCCACCAGCGCAGAGACATCTATTATGACGTTAGCTTGTGCCGATACCAAAGAAACGACTAGTTGCGTACGTCAAGACATTGAGCATGCTCACAAAACTTGTGATATACCACTTCCGAGCTTTGGACCAATTTCGCGGATTGTCGATATCATGAGCGGCGAATGCTAGAGTAATCGGGGCCCTTTCGTCTGGGTGTAATCGAATCCACGAGAAGGCTTCGTATTCCGAAAGTTTGAGTTCATAATCCTGACATTCTTTACCGAACTCATCGTGAGTGTGTGGGAATTTGTTTCCAGCCAAGGTTTGACTTGAGCATCCTAGCTGAGCCTCATATGAGGCCAAGTCATGATGTTCTGTCCGTTTGGCCGAGTCGAATTGCTGGACGACGTTCATGTGTACTTTGGTGTGAATTGGATGAGTGTCGATCTATTGCGAATACTCTAAAATGTAATGTAGTTGTGATGAGTAGAATCCATCATTGCCGATAGAATAATCCTTATTTAATATTGCAACTGTTCAGTAATTGTCTGCTGTTCAATGCTATGATTCCGATGAATGCAACAATAGGTATCTCGATGTGGCTCAGACAGGAGACGGGTGGAGTGATCATGCCCCCACGAAAATCCAAAGCCAAGCCTGGCAGGCTGGACCGAACAGCCGACCGCTCAAATTCTTCACCCAACACGTCTTTTGTCACCGTTACTTTGCATCGAGGCATTCCAGATTCTCAGAAAAGAATGTCGTGTTCAATACTTTCTATGCGTTGAAATCACAGCCAAGAAATTCCATGGTTTTCCACAGTGATGAGTGACGCGTACCAGCTCTTGTTCAGTGCTGATGCAAAGTATAGGAGTCGATGCTGGAGTGATTATTCCATCGTTTCTGAAGCGAATAACATGTTAGTCACCTTCCACCTTCAGAGATAGAGAGTAGCGGTGTATATACCACAGCTGCATACATGCTACGCTTGGCGAATTGGGCTCTTTGATCCAATCGAAATCATTATGAACAACAAAATCATGTGCAAAGCTATTCTATTTTTATATTAAAGAGTAGTGAAATATTTTCAGTATGTCTGTGTTAACTCCATAAACAACAGAGCACGCGTTTTCCTTGGCTAACAATGTTGTCATGGTGGAACAGGTCCAACGATCTTTTTGTATTCATTGATGATCAAGTACTCTCCTACACCACTGGATTAAATTTATGGCTACGGCATATGGCAAACAAAATCAATAGTTGGTTGTTTCAATATCCGGCAATACACATCGACGCATTTAATTGTGGCTTTCGTTAGCTTACTACCAAACCAACACAACACCAATCCATTGAGCTGCAATTCTTTGGGTTATCTCATTCAATAAACAGTTGCACGTCGGTCAAGTAATGAGGTTATAGACATCCATTGTAGACTGAGTAGCAAATCAGATACAGGCTACGGTACTTCCTCCCTTTCAAATTTGCCCAACTCCCCAGGATCATCCCTCCAGAACAGTGGCTCGCCCAATCTGATCTAACAATCTGTGACCCTGAAGGCCTTGACAGGCTGGCTCAGAGTCTTCTTCCAGTCATTGCAAGAGTATCCAACTTGGTTGGTGCAGCCGGCGTCGTTGTACAGGTGGAGGCAGCAGCTCGAGTACCAAGCATTGGCCCAATCCAAAGCCTTTCCTTTGGCGGTCACAGAGGCCTTGCAATCTCTGTCTCCCTTTCCATTCCAGACGTTTCCACCGAGAGTCAAGGTCCAGGCATTGATGGCTGCTGGAGCAACTGCGAGCAAGGCGATGTTGGAGAACTTCATGTTGACTGACTGGGCTTTGTCAATTTTGCACTGAGGCGATACTGGAGAGTAGAGTGAGACTCTTACAATTGAGGATTGGTGGATTCGATTGAGAATGTTTTGATTTCGTTTTCTTGTTGTGGCAGTGAGCTGTGAGACTGAATCAAACGCTGCAATCGACCATCCTTTTATACATTTTCTGTTCCCTTTCTTCTCCCTTTCCTCCTTCCAACCGACGATGGTCCTCATGCAATCATTTCCCGCATCCATCTCCTATTACGCTCTTACCGGATGTTCATTTCTACTCTCTCTTCGCATTCTCGCATTCTTTGCTCTTTCGTGCTTTGGCCATTCGCCAAAGGAGGCGAGAAGCCCTTGCATCCCTGGCAACTGCGGCTGAAGCAATTACACGATTTAATCTAATCTTCGTGACCACGCATATCTCAGGACCCTTGATCTACCTACCGAGCAAAGTCTTCCCAGTGGTCAGGCTGTACGACTGTTCCTGAACGCCCACAGTCCGGGGTAACCAGATCCCATGATTCCATTGGTCGGTGGCGCCGGTGATCATCCCAATGGAGTATCCAATCACGCCGGGTCGCCGATGTAGAACGCTGGTGAGCATATTCCAAGGCTGCAGAGTATTACAGAAGAGTAATATGTGCGCGCGACCTTGGCTTAATTCTGGAACGATCAATGGAATCGGGCCTGTAGGGCATAAGCGGGGAATGCGAAAAAGCATGTGTCTATGAGGTTATATTTGGATTGAAGCCTAGGGGTCTGGACTTTCTTGAGTCTAAAGTGGGTTTTGTTGGTTCGCGAAGCCCAAACAAATTTAAAAGTTGGGGGCGGAAAGGAGAGCTGAGATGCCCCAATATCCTTCCAGTTGGGTACCACAACAAAGAGCGCGTGCAATTGGGGCATCTCTTAATTAGTTGTGAGCCCTTATATCTCACGATGTAGATGACCGAAGTAATGTGCTTCAAAATCAGAGTGAAGTGGATTACTCGAGGGAGCTGCTGAAGGTTTCATCGTAAGGTGGTAACACGCAGCCACTAAGGAGGTTACCCCGCTGGACAAGTAAATTTTCCCCAACGTCGTCGCCCCGCAGTCATCTGTCTCCTTTAACTCGATGTAGTAGTCGATTTGCTAAAGATATCTTCATTGCATCTGCTAACCGATGCGAAATCCTACGAATGCGAAGGTTCATGCGACGGCTCTACCCGAGGGCTTCGAGTTGGCAAAGAGTGTGCATGTCGTGAGGAGGGACGGACTGTTCCGCCTTTGATAACCGTGAACAACAGCATAGTCAACGACATGCTTTTTGCCTTTCAGTAGTTTTCCTGATAGTAAACGCAGATGAGGCTACTGCTATCGATTTGCTCTCCGTTATCAGTTGCTCTAGTCGCAAGTAAGCAAAGCCCATAACGGCTCAGGCGCACGCTAGGACCTGGCTCCACGAGCTTGATCACAACAAGAAATGCCGCCCAACTCCCTGACTCCATACTTGCCATCCGACATAGCATTCTTATCAGACATCACAAGAGCCGTGATATCGTGACGTACGTAGCATGTCTTCGGGTGAACAAATCCAGGAACCCGCCAGAATGCGACGATCCCCCTCCAAAGTCGGATGGTGCCAAGTTGGTACTTCTTCGGCGGTCGGAACAATGATCGCTGCACCTCACCGTAGAATTGAAAGGTAACATCGCCAAAGAACGATCTGCCATCATGCCTCGGAAATGTGCTGCCGAGATTTTGTATATACATGTATCTGTATAAACGTTGATCGTCACCATTGGAAAAGTAGTCGCAGCTCGTCCATAAAACTTCACGATGGATTGGAAATACATTGCAGTGCGCCTCAGTCTTTTGTCTATGCAATTCGGCATTGTACATGGACATAGTTTGAATATAGAATCATCTGTGCCATTGGACTTGACTCCATACTACAATAACCAAGGATTTGGAACGTACCCGGGAGAAGCCTCCTTCGACGTCCTGAATCAATCGTACCCTGCATTCCCCGCTCTAGACTACGGAAACACCTCTTTCGCATCCCGAACAGGCATCCGCTACAACCTACCAGGATACCGCGGACCTTCCACCCCAGACAACATAATCTGCTCAGGCCAAACGATCAATGTATCATTAGAAGGAAAGCCCTACTTCGCTGCATCATTCCTCCATTCCTCGGATGTACGCAGCAAGAAGGTACTCGGAAACGTCACGTTCAACTATGCGGACAACACGACATCAGTGAAAGAGCTTCGCAGCGAGCCGTGGTGGGCATTTCTCACGATAACGCGTGGAGAGCTCGTGTACGATTCGTTCTACACGGACAACTCGACCAACTGGAACACAAGCCATATCTTCGAGTTTGAGGCCGCACTTCAGCCGGGGAAGAAACTAGTTTCAATCACGCTGCCGAACACAACGAACACGACAGAGGGTCGGATTCATGTTTTCGGCGTAAGCCTTTGGGAAGGTAGTGATGCTGGTATTGGCGTCCAGAGCGCGAGACCGACCCAGAAGTGGTCGGAGGATGGGTCGCAGCTTGTGGAAGTTATTCTGAACAATTCAGGTGACGAATGTGTTCATGGAGAAGGGTTAAGTATTGAGATCACGGGTCAGGGAGTTGAAACAGTCGAGGCTGGGTATATCAAACGACTATGCCCTGGCGACCAGAAACGCGTCACTGTCGCTATATCCGGCTCAGGCGCAAAGGATCTCGAAGTCATAGTTAGCCAGCGCGATGAAAAGATCCATTCTCGCTCTTTTAAAGATGTACAAATCGGGCTCACTAAATGGACGACAGACCACCAAAACCTCGCCCGCCACGAGTCGCCGGAGTGGTTCGACAACAGCAAATTCGGCATCTTCATCCACTGGGGCGTATACTCAGTCCCTGGCTGGGGAAACTCGACGCCCTACGAAAGCTACGCTGAATGGTTCTGGTGGTACACTACGCATCTCGCGGGCGACAGGTCCAACTTCCGGGGCTATCGCGAAGAGACCTTTGGCCCAGAACTCAACTACGACGACTTCTTCCCCAACTTCACTGCCGCCAAATACGACCCCAAAGAATGGGTCGATCTGATCGCAGACGCCGGCGCGAAGTACTTCGTCATCACGACAAAACACCACGACGGCTTCGCTCTCTTCGACGCGGGGAACACTACAAACCGCACGAGTCTGCACTACGGGCCTCAGCGAGATCTAGTCAAAGACCTCTTCGACGCAGCGCGCGAGCACCAACCCGCCCTGAAACGCGGCACCTACTTCAGCATACCAGAATGGTTCAATCCGTCATGGGGGCCCTACGGCTTCACGCAGTTCGACCGGCCCAGCTCGACGTCGCATCCGGGCATCATCGCGCGGAACCCGTACACGAACAAGACAGAGCCGTATACCGGTCACATCGAGGTCGACGACTTCATCACCGATGTCATGGTTCCGCAGATGGATATCCTGGCGTACGAGTATGGCACTGATATCGTGTGGTGCGATGCTGGTGCTTCGAATGGCACGGATGGGTTCGCGGCGAGGTGGTTCAATGCGGCGCGCGAGCAGGGGAGAGAGGTTACGATTAATTCGCGCTGTGGCACGGCGTTTGTGAATGATTTCGATACGCCGGAGTATGCGACGTTTGCGACGCCGCAGCGGCAGAAGTGGGAAAGTAATCGGTAAGTCTATGAGTGATGATATCAGATGAAGAGGGGAATCAAAATGTGGCGTGAACAAGAGCTGACAATTGATGTTAGTGGCATGGATCCTTTCAGCTATGGATATAATCGCGCAACGCCGGACGAGGAGTACATGAATGCGACGACCCTGATCACGACCTTGGTAGACATGATTTCCAAGAACGGCAATCTGCTCCTGAATATCGGTCCTCGAGCAGATGGCAGCATTCCCCAGGTTGAGATTGACAATCTAAGAGAGGCTGGAGAGTGGATCAAGAAACACGAAGAGGCGATCTATAATACTACCTATTGGTTTAAGCAAGCTGAAGTCGTGGACGAGGGTGTGAACATTCGGTTCACCCAGACAGATGACGCGTTCTATATTCTCTCTTTGATTGAACCAATTGGTGGGAAGCTGGTCGTGGATGCGCCGATCCCAATCTTGAAAGGGGATAGGGTGGGTCTCGTGAGTGCTGGCGAGGAAGGTCAGGATCTAGCTTGGAGTAACGACGATGGTGTGCTCATCATTGAAGTCCATGGCGACATGGCTGCGAAAGTCGATAAGTGTTGGGTTTTTAAAATCGAATACTTGGCTTAAAGACGATAAGAAGTAAGACTGAGATGAGCATCGATTATTGACAAGTATGGCACCAAACATTGCAAGGAATTACTACATTTCAAAGTAAACATTGTAACATTTCTATGGGTATTGTGAATGCGGCCGATGCAAATGCACCTTGTCGCGTTCCAAAACAATCTCTAATCATATGGCATTCATGCGCTGTGGCATGATGAGCAGGTCATATAGCTCAACAATATGACTGCGGGGTATAATTATCCTCCATGGTATAACAACAAGCAAATCAAAGATTGACACTTTTTTTGTTCTTTCAAGTCGTTGTGGATATTGCAGCATCAAGCTAGCTTTGATAGTCCAGTACAAAGTACTGAATTTATGATTGCTCGGCGGCAGCAAGACCTCCATTGGGAGTGAGGTTCTCGGACTTCTCGCCACGAGAATCCTTGGAGTTGCGACCAGACTCCTCGTCGGAGAAGTCAGAAGCATACTCGCGAGCGCGAGCCTCGATCTCGGCCTCGGTCATATGAGGAAGCTCCTTAGCGGCGCGAACATAGCTCATGTTCTCGCAGTAGCCCTTGGCGAAGATAAGATCAATCTCCTCGAGGCTTCGGCCAGATGTCTCGGGGTAAAGGAAGTAGATGATCGGGAAGAAGAGTGCGTTCATGACGGCGAAGAAGAGGTAAGTTCCCCAGCCGATACCACTCAACATGACAGGAGTAACCATGACGATGAAGAAGTTCCAAAGCCAGTTGGAGATAGTGGATGTAGCGTTAGCCTTCGCGCGAGTCTTGAGGGGGTTGATCTCGGCAGGGTAGAGCCAGGGCAATGGCAACCAGGTGGCACCGAAGAAGGCGATGTAAGTGAACAAGCCAACGGCGGCACCCTTTGCGTTCTGCTCACCGCCTGGAATGAGAGCACCGAAGGTGATGACCATAGAAAGACACTGTCCAACGGTTCCCCAAAGGAAAAGCTTACGGCGGCCGACACGCTCAACGGCAAACCATGAGGTAGTGGCGAAGGCGGAGTAGACAATCATGTTGACACCACCAAGGAGAAGAGCCATGTTGTGATCGACACCAATGGAATTCTGGAAGAGAATGGGGAAGTAGTAGATGACCGCATTGCATCCGGACAGCTGCTGCATCATTTGGGAGGAGACTCCCAAAAGCATACGGCGAAGGTGCTGGCTCTTGCCGTTGGTGAAAAGAGCAGAAACTGGGGTAACACCGCCATGGTGACCAGATGCACGGATACCATCAACAATGACGCCCAACTGAAGCTGAACTTCGGGGTCGTCGCGACGTAAGCCGTTCAGCCCAGCCAACACAGTCGTGGCCTCCTCCGTACGATCCTTAGTGAGCAACCAACGAGGCGACTCCGGCAGGGAGGTCATCATTCCGAGAACGATGAGCGCAAAGAGGCACTGGAAAGCGATGGGGAATCGCCAGGTGAAGTCGTCGGGTCCGTAGAGACAGCCATAATCAATCCAGTAAGCGATCAACGTACCGATGGCGACGTTACCACCCTCAATACAGATGAGTTTACCACGGCTCTTTGCCTTGCAGCACTCTGCCTGATAAGTTGGAATCGTCGAGGTGTTGATGCCATTGCCGATACCAGTGATGCAACGACCAATGATAAATTGTGCAGTTGCGCCACTGCCGACAGGAACAGAAGCGATCTGGATGATAACTCCAAGGATCATGACAGCACCACCAAGGAAAATGGACTTGCGACGACCGAGGTAATCACCGAAGGTCAAGATAAAGCAGGCACCAAGGAAACATCCAGCAGCATAGATGGCGACAACGAAGCCCTCGTAAGTACCTTGTTTGGGTCAGCATGGCAGTCTTGACAGATGATAAGTGGGAAACGTACTGTCACCATCGACTTCGGGGAAAGCAGTGGTGAATGCAGGGGAGCTGACGATACCGCTCATAACACCCTGATCGTAACCAAAGAGCAAGAAATCAGTGGTCGCGACGATAGTGATGAGCATTTGCAGGGCTCGTCCAGAGGCGCCCCAATACGTGGGGACGCCCGCCTCAGTCTCTGAAATTCCCATGTTGAAGGACCGATAGCCAGGGCAGATATGCGGTCACAGATTACACGTGGAAGAGGGGTTTGGGTGAAGTGTGCGGAGAGATGGGGATTTGGTTGCGGAGGAGAACCCCATTCTTATAGCTGATAAGCACAATATAGACAGGACGTTACCTTCCATGACCTACGTCGTGTGTTGAGAAAACGGGCATACCGAGTTGGCCAGTGATGTCGTTTCCTGAGCATAATCTCCCACACCATTCCACTTTTTCGCCTTGCACGTGGAGAAACTAGAAGCAGAATTCTCGAGAGGTCGGACTTGGCTTTCGCCATGACGGCGACAGACGGGAGAGGCGCCCAAATAGTGGGAACAGGCAAATGAACGGGGGAGCCCCAGTGGAGAGGGAAAGGCAAGCGGAGGCACCTGAGGTGGAACAAGCATGGCTGGGCAGTGAGAAGTTTTAGTCTTTGCTCCGAAGCTGCACCGCAAAACCCTGGCGAATCTTAATGTAGCTTATGCGCCGGTAGCAGATGATGACATGAGAGAAATCATGGGGAAGGCCTAGTGAATTGACTGTATAATTCATTGTCCTCGACTCCTCGTTGTAGTGATGCGCCCCCTTAGAACATGAAGTCCTGTTGTTGAGTTGTGTCTCCATATCTTTTGCTATCTTTCGCGAGGGTACATACAATATTGCAATGCATCCGATGATAAGCTCCGACTGAATACGAAATCTTCCTTTTGGCTGGCAAATGCCCCCCCTAAAGCTTTTCTTTCCAATGAGGGTGGTTGTATGGAGTATGGGATGATGTATGTAGTAGAATTGCCTGCGGATCTCCTGCCATGTGACGTCAGTTGCCGGACGGATAGCCGCGCACGGACTCCACCCCCGATAGTCTCTTTCAACGACTCCATTCTTTTTGCAACTCTTTGCAACCTCTGCACTCCTAAAGGTCCTAAAGCCGCCGATCTCAACCGTATCTCGGCAACTCAGATCTTGTTCATGCTTGAGCGGCTCAGGCGCAAGCCACCGAAATTGAGCCTCAAAATCTACTCCTCACCACCAATCACATTCTGCTCTGCCCTGGCTGAAACGTGCCCGTCACGTGGTGGCCAACTTGACCTCCAAAAACGAACGTCAACCCTCCCTCACAGCCAACCTCGCGCTAAAGAATAACCCTTTTGCGGTTCTCGTGCTGATCTTTTCTCCCCAAGTTGGATATTCAACAGAGCAATTGATGCCAGATTAGCGATATCACCCGTCATTTGCTCGGCAAACATCCTGCTTCCAACGAGCACTCCAACGCCTCGGCATCACACCCTCCCCTCCCACATGCGCTTCTAACCCCTTGACTGGTGTACTATGGGTCACATCTTGGTATCTTCCATACTCGGGACCTAGCAGACCCATGACGCAATAACAGAGGGTACACTGGCGCCACTGAGCCGATGCTCGTCACCGGAAATCTCTGTGGTGGACTGTCATTACTGCGCGATGAAACGGTACAATGTATTCATTTCTTTTCAAACTAATGCATCTAGGGTAATCATGATCCCCGGCTTCGGTCCCTTGCCTATCTCGGATGGTGGTACAGAGTATTCCTGCGAGAATTGACATGAGAATTCTTGACAGTAACAGCACAGTGACGATGTTCAACAAGAGTGTGGTTCTGTTGTGCGCATGTGGAGCATGGGGCGCTGTACTAAAGATTGCCAAACGTTGCCAACAACGTCATTGTGCCAGCCCTCTGTGTCTCGTCAAACTCGTCTACACCTTCTCATACAACAGAGTCGTCTAATCGTTTGAACGACTCCAACAATGAAGGCTTCTATTCCCAGATGAACATCTTGGACCCTGCTTGTACTGTACGTGCTTGTGCACAGATGCCGCAGGGTGCAGAATTCCTATCGTACCACGATAATTACCAGGAACTGCACCATAAATTAGATGCAGCTTACATGTGAGCTTCGCATAGGCCCCCAGCTCTTCAGACACTAAAATACCGCACACTCGAATCGTACCATAAACCACATGCAAACAGGTGGAATCGCCTTGGTGTTACCTTCTCCAAGGCTTTCATGTGAACTCCATTTCCTTGCAAATTGTGCGTTGCTCTGCATCAGGGATTTAGCAGGTGCGAATTGCTCAAGGTAGTCAGACATTGTCGTTATTCTCCACTACCTCGTACCACTGGAGGATTGAAGGACGATTGGCTTGGCAGACAAACAACAACAATACGAGTACCCAATTCTGTCCACTTTTCTGACTTGCTCACTGCATTCATAATATTGGCATACTCCTGCTTCACATCTGCGGCGTTCATGATTGGCATATTCGGCACATTCAGCCACGCTAGTTTCTTCAGGGCCCCCGTGCAAAATGGCGTGGGGTGTCTTTGGAGCGCATGTCCTGCTTTAGGCAAGAAAGATGGGTCGGTGCTTGAGCGCCAACAAGTAAGCGTTTTATACGGTCGCTTGAGCGGGTACTCGTAGCTTATTGCTCCAACATCTTGGCTTCAGGCGCGTCGTCCCAATTGTCGCTGAACGCAGCAGTGAATCCCGAATCCTTCGTCTGTTTTCTTATCTATACGGTACTCAAATCCTCAACATACGAGCGGCAATGTTGTGAGGTCGACTGCTGAATCAATGTTTGTGGACGCAATAATTTCAACCTCTGTGATTCAACGATGTCGATTAATGCGCTTATCTGAATAATGCGATTCAGAATAGATGTATCTCTGCAGGGACTTCTCAGTCAATCTACTGTGTACATTACACCGTTATGGATCATCGCAACGGAACACCATTTAGAGTAATCCGAACTGGTTGAGCAAACAATCTACCAGATGCCTGGAAATCGCTCTGATATCCGAGACAATCATTCCTCTATTTAGGAATACATAGGGGTCCTCCCCCTTGATTTGGTCATGCGCTGGTAGAAGTACCCACAACATGTTGCCGAAAAAGTGGACGAAGCACACCCAAACTGCCCATGGGGGACACCCCCAAAATACTGAAGTTTAATGAGGGTCCAAGATGTGCCTCCACGAGGTATCGACACACCGACTTACATTGCACCTGTGTCTGGGGATAAATGAGGGATTGAAGATGTACCGACTCCCGAGTAGTGTCTTTTATACTGGGGACGTCCACTTTTCATGTTGGTACAAAGTTGGGGTCATTGCTCTAGTTTTCGCACGAGTTGTTGCTGACTCAATTAAGTAGTGAGCAGAAGCTGTCAATGTTTCGAAAAAAGGGAAGCTGCACGTGCGGATCTTTGCAGACAACCGCTATTGTTCAATAAAAGGTCTGTATGAGTCCAAAAAGCCCCACTAATCCTTCAAGTGCTTCAAGATCAGCTCTACCTCTTCATCCGCTGTCTCGAGGATATGTTGAGGTTCGTATCTCGGCTTCCATCCGATCCTCTTGCCATTCTCCGCCGTGAATGTACACCTTGGAACAGTCAGTCATTATCTCAGATAGGGACTTGAAATTCACACTTACAAGCCACCAACCTGAACCGCCACGAAGTCCTTGGGACACTTCAGCGCGTCACCCATCTTCCCTAGAATATCATCATCGGCCTCCTTCACGCTTATGTCGTCAACTGCGTTTCGCTGCTTCATTGCCTTCGCTATGGCCAAGTAAAGATCATCCCAAGCAATGCTGCCCGGAGAAGCAAGGTAATATCCGCTCCTGCCATGGCCGATCTCCTCACCAGAGAGGATCTTTCTAAGAATCTGGAGATACAGGCCAGTATTGTCAAGTACGTGGCAAACAGGCCATGTCGGACGACCAGCATCGACTTTATAAACCTGTCTGAGCGCCTTGGCCGCCTGCACAATGGCGACTGTCTGGATTGATATAGGATTGCCGAATCCCTCGCCTTTGCCATAGACAATACAGGGCGCAAAGATGTAGCTTCTAACGCCGTATTGCTCTGCCGTTTCGATCACGATGTTGTTTCTATATGATTTCAACATCAGCACACATGAAGTATCCAAAGAATGGAACGAATGCCCATAATGACCATAACGAGCAGAGATAACTCACGCTTTGACCGCTTGGTTGAAACGAGGGTGCGGCCCCTTGTTCTCCATATTCTTCTGTATCTCGAACAAAGCTGGATCTGTGTCCAACAAAGGCTTATCCGTCGGCGCCGCGACATGGTTGGAGAAAATCTTCGCCCCTGTGGTGAACACGAAGTGCACTTCCTTCCCAGTACGCTTCTTCACCTCTGATAGCGCCTTGATGAATGCGACGCTGTACTCCGTGTCGGTAGGATTGAACAGGTGAAACACAATGGAAATATCATTGTCAATGATGGCCGTCTCGAGTGCTCCGGCGTCGTCAAAATTGATGCTGATAGGCTCAGCATTGTATTGTTTGACTGCTTCTTCCTGATGCTGTGAGCGGACGAGGGCGAATACCTTGCCGTGGGGTGGTAGATTGGCTTCTTTCCATCGCGCGAGGAGAGTCCCGCCAAGGTAGCCCGATCCGCCTGTTATGAGAATATTGTGTGCCATGCTGTATTCTCTGTATCACAGGAATTCTCAAAGCGACAAAGGGTATTGTATATCAAGATGACGACTTAGCACTGAGGGTACCGATACTTTGAATGTCCTAGAAAAGGCTCAGAGGCTCAGGTACTGCCACAGTTTGGATTTCTCTTCTTCCTATTTGTATGACTTCTCTATCTCTTTATCCTTCAGATAATACCTCCAGTACTACCAGCAATTTCGCACACACGATCTGTATGTCAATGCAAACCATGAGGTACCCGCGGGGCACAACCCACGCATTTGTCAGCTTCGCTGGACATCTGACCATTTTGATTGGATCATTGCATTTCAAAGCAGGATCCATTCACTTTCATATTTCGGATACAGCTCGGAGATATATGAATGTGAGATATTCACAAGGCGGTGGTCATCATTTAGATCAGGTTCGAAGTCGGGCACTTTGATGATACATTGGTGAATACATTCAATAGGTGATGTGGGGAGTTGTCATGGGGCGGTGGTGGGGGATGATACGCCACCATTGCGGCTACGACGATCCACATCTTCGTAGTAAAGGAGTACGCACGCAGCTGCTCAATGGCACTCGTAGGAAATGCTAACTGTAGAAAACAGCATCAAATTTCGCAAAATCTCCGAAGAGAGCATCAACACGGTCAAGATCTTTCTCTAAATCTATTGCACGCCTTATTCCGACATTCTATCTTAACCGATTCCAATGCGCATGACCTTTGCCGAGGGACGACTGACACCAATTCAACACCCCTCCATACATCACCTCAAACAATTTCTCTTTTCAATCACTTCGCCCAGAGTTAACCACAGCATTAATGATAACAATCCCATTGCGATGCCATATTTGGAAGGTAACCTGCCAGCCAAGCCACTTCCCCTCTCTTGGCCTCGTCGAACGTCGAAAACAACCGCGAATGTACCTAAGTAGCGCCTTGGGAATGATGTAACTCTCCAAATAGGCAATGCCGCGTTGCTAGCAAGGTAGATTGTATTGTTTACTCGGCCGTTTTCTTTTATGTACATGGAAATTTCCAGCAAGTCAATTGATTCATTTCTGGAGATCCCGACCGATTGTTTTTTTTTTGGTTCTACGAGAGGGCTCAGCATGGCATCATCTTCGTCTTTCAAGGTATTAGCCGCGGTGACGGCATTGGTCAATTGTGTTTCCGCGCAGACGAAGTATGGAGAGAACCACGTAACAGTCAACCTCGATTCCGACCTCGTTGAGCAAAAGGCATTTCCAGCGCCGAATGTGACGCTCCTGTCGCCGGCTTTCTTGCCAAATGCTTCGTTCGATCCTGGGTGGTCTGAAGGGTCGGAGGGTGCGACTAGTCAATCCACGTTAGGTAAATACACTAGGTTCTGCAAAGAATAAAATCATCAATTGGAGAATGATTGCTAAGTAGAATTACAGATTCGTTCCTTCAGTCCATTGCTTCAAGGAACCCGTCGTGGGCGAAATATCAAAAAGCGCCCTTTGTGTCTGAAGAAGGGAACTCGTTTCCATACATCTTCCTCTCCACCACATCTACAAACGCCACTGCACCATCAAGCAGCAAATTGAAAGTCTGGCTACAAGGCAGTGTACATGGAAATGAGCCTGCAGGCGATGAAGCCCTCCTCGCACTCCTCGGCGCCCTCGACGCCGACGAACAATGGGCATCGACGTTCCTCGGGAAACTCGATATCATCGTACTCCCACGCTACAACCCCGACGGAAATGCATGTACGTGAACTCTCAACCTCATTCCTTTCCTTCCGCACATTTAGCTAGTTCAACGTTGAACTGACTGTACAATTACAGACTTCCAGCGAACCCTGGCAACTAACTTCGACCCGAACCGCGACCATGTGAAACTGGCACGCGAGCAGACCCGCGACATTAAGAAGTTCTTCAATGGGTTTGCGCCGCACGTCGTGGTTGACATGCACGAGTATGGTGCTGCGACAAGGTATTCGAGCAACTACAGCAATGCCGCGGACGGCATGTTCAGCGCTGCAAAGGTGAGACCTCCCTCATACATGGATAGAGTCAATTCACAGTTTAGACAAGCAATGACTGACCACCTTCGGGCATAGAACCTCAACATCCACCCCTCAATCCGCGCTCTTGCCGAAGAAGTCTTCGCCCCCGCCATCAACGCCTCCCTCTCATCCCGCGGCCTACGCGGCGAACCCTACGTAACAGCCTCCCAGCGCGCCCTCCCCGTCCGCCTCGACGAAGCCGGCACCGACGCAAAGATCGGCCGCAACGCCATGGGCCTCACGCAAACCGTAACCTTCCTCTTCGAGACGCGCGGCATCGGCATCGCCAACCAAAGCTTCGCACGGCGCACGCTCGCCGGCCTCCAAATGCTCCTCGGCGTCCTCGAAACCGCCCGCGATCGCGCCTCCGACATCTCCACCACCATCAACGACGCCATCGAGGAATTCGTCGCGTCCGACGAGGACATCGTCGTCACGGACTACACGTCCTACGCGAACCGCACGTACACGATGGTCGACCGTCGGTCCGGCGACATCGTGCAGCTGCCTGTCGAGTTCGCGAGTACCACGCCTGCGACGGCGAACCTCACGCGTGTGCGGCCAGAGGGGTACGTCATCCCGCGTGCGTGGGCGGACCTCGCGGCGCGTCTGCGTGTCTCGGGGCTGGAGGTCGAGACGCTTGAGGAGGGGTTTAAGGGGGAGGTTGAGGTGTATAATATCACTTCGTCCTCGCTGGCTAAGTCGTACTACGAGGGGGCGGTGTTGAATACGGTTACGACGGAGACGGTGGTGCAGGAGGTGGAGCTGCCGAAGGGGAGTTTCTGGGTCGGGACGAAGCAGAGGAATGCGGGGTTGGCGTTTGTGGCGCTGGAGCCGGAGAATATTGATTCGTATGTTAGTTTTGGGATTGTGCCGATGGAGGTTGGGGATTTGTATCCAGTGTTTAGGAAGGTCTGATGGGTTGGGTGAGGTTACGGTGGAGTTGTGGATGAGATGTGTATATAGGTGCACGGAACGTTGTAGATATTATATAATGTCTAACTGCACGATATTATAGAGATGAGCGATGATGGCCTTTGACACTACAACGATCAATGACAAAATTATGCCTCAATGTTATGCTATGATATATGATCTCGAATACGGATAGTTACCAAATACAGTTGCTCTAGATACGAGAGTGGGTAATGATGATACAACCATGGACATCGATAACAGATGTTCTGAATAACATTAACGCTATCACAATCAAACCTCCTCCTTGGGCGCAGCCTCTTCTTTGTCCTTCTCCTTCTCTTTGCCCTTCTTCCCTTTCTTTCCCTTCTTAGTGGCACTTATCCCTTTAGCCTTCAGTCCTCGTTCCTTGCGCAGTTTCTCCAAAGCTTCTTCGGTTAAGCCTTGTCGGAACATCTGCTCGACAACTAACTTCTTCCTACTCCTCTTGTCGCCAACACTGATAGTGATACCCGCGGAGATGTTACAGCTAATACTGCAAGACAGAATGACCGCAGTCAATGCTTTCGGGCGATTTTTGTAATAAATTCCCCATGTCGTGCCGCCAAGGGCCATTTGGAACAGCGAGTGACAGTCGAGTAACACCACGATAGCAATGAGAAGCCTAACTGAGAAGGCGTAGTGGGTGTTGGTCTCGTGGGGTTTGTAGAATGTGTGCGAGTTCGCAAGCTTCTGTTGGTGGTGTTCGAGCTTTGTCTGCTGCTCGGCGGTTAGGACCGTAAGCTCCTCGTTATCGGGTACGTCTTCGCCTTTCTCCCATGCGTGTGCGTCGGGTTGCGAGGGGAGTTCGTTGCGGTCACGTAGGTCCGGTAGGCCTTGCTCTTTGCGTAATCGCCATGTTCTGTGGGCGTAGTATGCTACGTAGATCATGTGATATGTGTCGACAGCCCTCCAGGGTGCGAATCCTATGCCAACGACACAAAATAGTGCGGTCAAGATCTGATCGCAAATTTCGATGAAGTAAGCCTGTCGGCCTTCAACACTTAGCCAGCCGATAAGGAAAAGAACCCAGGCCGCTCCCCAGAAGAACAATAGGAAGGCGTAAAGGGTGACCAAGAATCCGACGGGCTTTCGGACGTAGCGACCAAAACCGCGCATACTCCGCTTGAACCTTGCGCGCCTGGAGTGAAGCAGATGTCTCACGTGATCATTTAGGGCAGCCTTTTCTTCGCGCGTCCAGCCAGGTAAAGATGCGCCGTGGGGGAGTACAGCATAATTATGACCTTGTCCCTCGGACATACTCGTGAGAACAGATGTTATCGTGTCCGTCGTTTGTAGTCGGCCAAGTTCAGCAGGTCTTTCTGGTGTTTGGTCACCCTGTCGTGCTCCATCTTGCCGGGTCTGTGTCGCCAGTTCATCGCTGCTCGAAGGTATACCGGTTTCGCCATCGGAACTCTCGGTCGAAGCCGAAAGCTCATATACAGGCTGGCGACGATAGAAGCTTCCAAAATTAGGTATGAACAGCGAATTCTGTACGTTGTTTAGGGTAGTGAGAGTAGAAATCTCGGGATCTAATGATGTCAGTGCGATCCACATGGTATACAGAATGCGAATGACCTACCCAAAACATCTAAGACATCAACAAAGTCTGCGTCATACTCTGATGGATGTACCACCTGTCCGGTTTGCGCGCGTTGCCTTAGGCTGATTGATGAGAGTTGTCTACCCCATCCAGGTCGCCTCAAGTTTCTTGGAGGTATCGCCGGTGCCGTCGAATAGAATTGGGATGGCTCTGCAAAGGCACCCTCTTCATGGAGCGTCTGCAAAGGCGCCGCCGTGGCGGTGGCGTGTCGCTGGATCTCAAGATCATCCTCCTCTGATGGGAACAGGGCTGAGAGTGGTGGACGTTGAGGTTCCGAACTGCTCCTCCTTCTATTTCCATACTGGTCTTGTTGCGGAGAGGTAGGTTGTGCTCGAAGATCGCTGGGGTGGGTCGAGCCCTGACGTCTAATTCTGATCGAATTATGTCGGTCGATTGGAGGTAGCGCAGCTGGCGGTGGTTGTGGAGATGGAGCGAGAGGGAATCGATGCGTCGTTGTGACGGTCGGATGCGTGGTTGCAGTCGATTGAGGACCATCGGAGGTCACGGTCGTTCGAGGCCCTGCTGTCGTGAAGGTCGTGGTGGTTGTTATTTGCGGGCTGTTGGTCGTGGTCGTGGTCGTATGTGTCGCAGCTGGACGCTGCGGATCATTGTTGTCGGCCATGCCTGCCCTTCAGACCCATGCACCCTCAACTCGTATCGTGGGGGAACTGGGGAGGATATCTAGATCTAAAGGGGGTTTTGTCGCCGGTTACATTATTTGACGTAGCAGGATTTGGAGTCCCTGCCTCAGACCCTTATGTCTTACCTGCAGCTAATTAAGCCGGCGATCCGCGGAAGTCTCTGGGCACCGCCCGAATAGGTAGGGATAGATTATTGGATTCATAACTTTCACATAGAAGAAAGTATGATAGAGGATAACGATGCTATGAACAGTTTTGTGGACAATTCGAGCCCCGCGCAGGCCTCGGACCCCGAGTGTTGAGTAACGATAATCCTTGTACTCGTGAGTGAGCGATGGAGTTCCTCTCAGCTGTGACGTAGTTCGAAGGAATGTGGCGATGGGAGCTAGGCCCAAAATGGCATTCCTGATCATCGGGTCATTGAGCCTGCAGGGCACCGGACTGGGAAGAGGATTTCTAATGGATCGCAAACTCCGATATCTCTGAATTAAATTTTACACAGATCTATGATATCTCTGCTGTGAATTAGTATTGACTTTTATGTAGTTGAAATCTTGGGCTGTTGTTTGTTGATTTTTTACAGAGTTAGGAGAGTTCAAATTCTACACCAGATGGTCTGACCTGTACATGACTATTAAAGCTTCCGCAATGACTGTTCATTACTTTTTAAACCCATGGATAGAATGAAAGCAAAGTCTACTAAACAAAATTGAGCATTTCCTTTCGAGTCTATCGGCGTGGATAGCATTATGTCATGATAGCATATGGAGCCTTTAATCGTTTATGAGAAGCAACTCCTTCAAAAAGCATCGTTACCCGGATATCTCAAAACAGGGTGTAGAATGACCGAATCCCATGTGGACAGCAACAAATGATAGTACTAACATATCCAATCCCTCAGGATGGTAAATAGACTCTCGTCAATCAATTCTTTTGGCCTCAGCATTTCTAACGTTAATCTACAATAGCCTTAATGATGATAACTCTATAGGGCAAACCCACAATCCATCCCACAAATCTAGACCCCGACAGGGATTACCACTCCAAATATAACCCCAACATCCTCTCATCCTCCCCACGGCCACTATCCCCAGATTATCGTATTCTAGAAGAAATAATGTATATTTTGTGCTTAAGTTAATATGTAAAAAGGCAAAAATGCCCACAGCGGCGGGTTAATATACAAACCCGTATTCGGATAAAGCCTATTCGCCGATACGTCTTCTTGGATACGCAGCGTTCTCCTTGGGGAAATAGGTATGTCGTGGAATGGAATATTGGGGTATATTTGATTGATTGGCACGATGGATGGTCTGGGTGACTGGGAGTATATAAACGGCATTGAGGACGTTGTAATGGGGGGAGGTGACGTGATTAATGTGCGTTTGTCTGAACTGACTAGAAACTATGAAGTTCATCGCTGTGTTGTTGGCCATTATGGCCACTGTACTGGGGCTGCCTTTGTCGTCTCTTGTGGTAGGAGACATTGATATCGCGCACCAGGCTCGAGAGCACGCATTGCGTGAAAGGACACACTCCCCCAGCATTGAATCAACCCAGAATGCCGCCCGATCTGTAAGACTGGCGGCAATTGAAGCACGCCAGCAGAACACAGTGCCAAATGCATACATCATCGAGATAAAGCGCGGTTACGTTAGTTCACTCTCACACAACATTTTAATAGAACTAGACCATGATGCTTACAAAAACGTGGTAGACACACGACGCATTCGACAAGTATCTCCGCGACAACAACATCGCGCACCAGTTCCGAGCCGTGTATAAGAGCGAGATATTCTGGGGCGTTAGCGTTCAGCTGGAGAAGAGCAGTGATTATGGGAAGATGGTGCAGTGGGCGGGGATTGGGAATGTCTCGCCGGTGAAGGTTATCGGGCTGCCCGAACCGCCTGTGGTTAAGCCTGAGCCTATGGAGTCTCCAGATGTTGCGGTAGCTGCTACTCGATGAGTGGAGGAGGTTGGATTCGGGTGGTATTGAAGCGACCTCGTGGGATCTTTGGTTGGGTGTTGTGGCGTGTTTCATTCTATGTGCGAGCGGTTGAGTGGATTCGAAACATGATGTATAGTCGTGGGCGACTTCTGGTGTGTGATTTGCAGTACTAGTATACCGAAGATAAGCCAGAAGTTGTTACCCTGTTGCTTTGCTTGGAATATCAGTATCCGCGATATAATTCATTGTAGTCTTTTTCGCATTGCATCACATCACATTGGATGGCATCGTTCTGGAGATGTCCGCCATAGAACGACGAAAACAATCTTGTGAACGTATCCACAAGATTAAGAATTATTCCTCAGACCAAGTCACCTCGATAAAGATCCACAGTAGACAGACGTTGCAAAGGTCTGGACCTGTGGCGGAGTATAGTGGAGTTGTAGAGTTCTTGTCTGCAAAGGTGCGACAGACTATGACCCTAAGCGACATCTATCCCGCGATGACGGGGCTGCTGCTGTGCAAAGTAACTTCGGCGCTTGCTCTTAGCAAAAGGTTTCAAGACCTTCAAAACAGATTCTTAAAATATTTAGATAGTGAAAGCTTTTGAGTTTTACTTTGCTGCATGCCAATGGATTGGCAGTTTCTCTTCATAAGCCTTGTTTGGAACAAACATGAAGTATCTCGATAGCTTCGGAGCGTGCCAAATATGGCCAAATGATTTAGAGAGTATGTAGGGTTTTTTTGTTATCGCACGCGGTCTATATTTATGCATAGTGGAGTCGCACATTTATATCTTTAATTTAATAGGACCCAATCCGAATCATAGCACAGTAGAGTTGAGCGACTGTCGATACCCAAGTCGTATCGAATTTTATCTTGATATTGCCAAGGGCTCAGCGTTTCCAGGGGGCGATGCCAATGTGGCCGGCGTGTGTTGATCGCAACCTTCCAAGATGGATGCTCTACGTGCCGGTCAAGTTGAGCATCAAATTATTTGGCAGCGTCATTAATCTGATTTCTGATCAGGGTCATCTATTTTGTAAATTTCTTATTACCGTCGTGGTAGAGGACTGACACAGAGCCTAGACAAAGGGGAAAATGGTGGGTTATGGTTCTATGGCGACGACTTCGAAGAATGATCTCGGAATACCTACTGAGGAATGCTGCACAAAGCCAATCACATGTGCAGAGGTCGTGCCCCTTTCGAGATTGTTCTACATAATTTAGCCATTCTATTTTAATTAATGCCACGTTCGCTTGGAAGGCGAATGTGCACCTACCTTTCACATGTAGAAAACGTTGGCAGGTTTAAGCTTGCACGGTAAGGCAAAGGCGCATCAAGCCTGGCAAAGAAGGCTTATCTGTCAGGAATCATTCCATATTGTTTTACGGACCGCTGCAATAGAGAGAACGAAACCCGTTCAAGAGAGAAAGATACTCGGTCCGATTCCTTGGGTTGCAAGCTTGCAAGTCCCGGGCGAGAGAAGAGACGAGACGAGTTTCCAGACAGGCCGTGCACGTGTCCGATGCCCTGGGCGACCCTGTCGCGGAGGTCGAGATATGCTTTTGGCGTCCAGATTAATCCCTGAGGGTTCAAGTATTACAAGATCTCCATCTAGGTAAGGTAACTGGGTTGCCAGAGTAGGTTATTTGAGACGTTCTGCCTCTTGATGGGCTTACTACATCCACCCAGCTCCGATAAGAGCAACGAAGCCGCGTCACGGAATCCGTCCACCCCCTGTCGAGCCAAGGCTATGCCCGACATCCCCTGGACCTCTATCCTGGCAAATCTCCCTCCCTGCCACCAAGATCTACATAACAAAGATCGCATCTAAGCCATCTTGTAGGCTCAACAAGCGCTGTACATGACATGTCTTGAATCGGTGGATCCTTTGGGTCGTCCACGCGTTTCGCGTGGGATGCTTGGCTTCTCTCTCGACACAAGAGGGTCCGCTTTGGGCGTTTCGACACCCGTTTCATGGACCTACCCGCCGCCAGATTCGCTAGTGTTGAGCCGCATCTCGACTTTTTCGACTTTCAGAGAGAACTTGAAGTCTTGAACCTCCCTTTTCCACCCGCCTTGCGTGCAACTGGACCCGGGAGATGTCGGAATCTCCCCTATTTGGCCCCTTCAAGAGCCACTCCTCTCTAAGGACCCCGGCCGCTACGTTGCTTCGGATAGCTTAGTGAAGGTATCGGGGCAGCGCTCCCTATCAACCCCCTTCGGAAGCTTGGAGTCTTCTTTGATCTTTCTCGTTATCTGCCTGATCTTTCTCGTACTGTTGGGCAACATGTGGATGCTCTTTCAAATTGCATGTATCGTTGAACCTGACTGACCAGCCCATAGCAGTGGCAGCCCCTCTTAATATTTTCTCCAACAGTGCCCAATGCTGCTGTTTTCAGATACTGCTTCGTCATTGCAAGACACTCCTGGCTTATGGTGACAACTGGACTCCATAATTCCGTCATTTTGACTCAGCTTCGGATTCTTGATCATGTCCGCAGCGGCCAGCAAAACGTCCCTATCGCCGCACCGATTCCAATCAACCCCCAAGAGTGAAAATCCGCCAAGGCGTGCTACGTCTGGTTGGGACTGTCCGAGAACATCAAGCAGTACAGCCAGGACCAATTGAGTTCATGCCGTTGTGACACAGTTGTTTGTCTGAAGCTTCATAGTGGATACCGGGGCAATGCTATACACCTCAACTACGCCAAGATCCCATTCCATTCACATCGTCTCCACTTGATAGAGCGCTTCGCCTTACGGATCAGCAGCAACGATGCGTGCTCTTGAGGTATTGTTGAAACGCTATCCCAATATCGAATACCTGTGCTTCATGTCGATCTTTCCACGGATGACTCTACATACAGTCGCCGTTACCCAGTTTTTCTTGCCTCTCGTTCTTTCCTTTCCCTTGGCAACCTATACCCGCATGCTCTCTTTGCCCCTTTCCTAGCGGTCTGTTTTTCCATTTTCCCTATAGATTTCCTTGCGTTATTCTTTCGGTGCAGGTCACCGATTCACAACAGCCAAAATGGCCTTCAACTCTAACCAGGCCGGCTACAACGGTGACGGCAGAGCAGTGAGCCTCAACTTCGACTCAACAAATCAGTACAACCGGGACTATCAGAATTCAAATGGCTGGGTCCATACCAGAGAACCGAACACTCCTCGCTACGAAGCTCCAGTTACTCCTCGATACGGAGCTCCAGCAACTCCTCGATACCCAGGACCGATAGGACCCAATGGCTATCCAGAGGATCGAAAGGATCAAGACAGAAAAGTCCAAGACCCCTTCACCGTCGACGAAAGATCTGTTCAACCAACTCCACGCGAATCACCACGTGAATCGTTCGACATCGAGAAACAAAAGCATGAAGCCCACGCAGTTCCTCACGATCCCCATAAGAAGGATCCTAACCAGCCCAAGTTACCGTTTGGCCAACGTCTCCGTCACTTCACGTGGGCTTGGTACACCTTGACGATGAGTACTGGAGGTGTGGCCACGCTGCTTTCCGTTCAGCCCCACGCATTTCCAGGTCTCATTTCGATTGGTGCAGTATTCTATGTGGTCAATCTGGTTTTCTTCGCCGCCTTGGGTACTATGATGGTACTACGCTTCACCAAATTCCCGGGCACCTTCAAGGAATCATTGAAACATGAGAGAGAGGGCCTCTTCTTCCCCACGTTCTGGTTGTCCGTCGCTACGATTATCACTGGCACGCAGAAATACGTCGTTCAAATGTACGAAGCAGAACATGCCATGAAGGGTTGGATAATCACGAGCATGGCTATTGCATTCTGGGTCTACGTTTTTTGCACCTTCTGTCTTGCCATTTTCCAGTATTCCTTCCTCTTCATCGGACATACATACATGCTCCAGAAATTCATGCCTTCGTGGCTGTTGCCCATTTTCCCTATCATGCTTGCTGGCACTATTGCATCTGTCATTGCAGCCGACCAACCGATAGGGTCCAGAATGCCCATACTGGTAGCGGGACTGGGCTGCCAGGGTCTCGGCTTCACAGTAGCAATCATCATGTACGCTCATTACATTGGCCGCCTTATGCAGGCGGGCTTACCAAACCGTGAGCATCGTCCGGCGATGTACATCGGCGTGGGTCCGCCCTCGTTCACATGCCTCGCTTTCATCGGCATGGCGAACGCCCTTCCTGACGATTTCGATCTTCAAGGAGATGGGCTCTTGGACGCTCAATTACTGAGAACTTTGGCTCTCGTTGCATCATTGTTTCTTTGGGTTCTGGCCATGTGGTTCTTCATGCTGGCTACCATTGCTGTAAGTGTCCCTCAACTCAAAGCCTTGTACAGTTTTCTGACCCCAGATAGACGCTGCACTCTCGACCTGAATACTTCCATCTCGGATGGTGGGCCATGGTGTTCCCAAACACTGGTTTTGTCATTGCGACTATCAGCATCGGCAACAGTCTGAATGATGAGATCATACGATATGTCGGTAATGGATTGACTATTGTGATTATCACCATGTGGTCTTTTGTGATATTCTGCAATTTCCGAGCCGTCGCAGTAGCTGATATCATGTATCCCGGCCGCGATGAAGACGTTGAAGACTAGATATTCAGCCATCTTTAATTCAAACCTTGCAAAATCCGCATCCACCTCGACAAAGTCATTCAGCACAACTTTGCGTTCTCTATCATCAGTCACACTCTCTCGCATCAATTTGTCATTACTTCTTTCGCCAGCTCCTCAGCTCGCTCCAGCCCTCACGGACCATTTCTTTTGCTCTTTCCTAACGTCATTCGTTATACCCGGTTATTCACAAGCGACTATTACTCGACACTCTTTCTTTCTTTCTCGGAACATTGGGATCTCCTAGTTTTTTAAGGATTACAAAATAGATTCTCTTTGTACAAATTTATGATAATACTTTTGCATATCGGTGGGGAGTATCTGAAAGCATTTTAGGTATTTGGGCATATATAATTTAGGAAAACCGGTTGGCTGGGAAAATATAGCATAGCAGCATTATCGAATATCTACTACCATGAGCGCTCACTCAAAATCTACACAATCTGAACGGTCGATCTGTCCATCAATCTGATGCTGATCTTCAAAATCAACAGCCTCAGACAGCTTCCTTCTTCCCACACATCATCCCCAGACCAGACGCCAATGTCTTAAAATCTGTATCAGCAAATAAACCTTCGAATGAATGCTCCACGTACCAATTCCATCAGCTTCAATGATATAAAAATCACGGATAAAGCTTCCCCGACGAGCCATGGTGTTTCCATCCAAGGCTTGTCCACGCCTTGGTGTTTGACTTGGTCCAGAATACTGAGCCTGGAGACGCCCAAAGATAAGACGAAAACATTGGCATACCTTAAGGCGGCCTTGGTAGAGGTCGAGGGTTTCTTATATCACTTGGCTTCTCAAGAACCTTTCCCCGATGAGATGTTTGGTCTACAGTTTCGAATAGGAAGCCAATGTGTTTAGCAAACGTCTTGAGATGCGAGGATGAAGAAATTCGGGACTTGGTATTGAAGTGCGGGAGTGACTATGAAGATGTTTCTTTCCTCCCCGGGGGGTGAGTTTGTGGATATAACCCAGCACGACCGTAACATTCTTCGAACCTCCAGATTGCCCGGAAAGACCACTCTCCGCTCTCATCCAATTTCTCCATTTTTACCTCAACGCATATCTTGCAATGAATCCCAGCTTCTTCCTCGTTGCTATGTCAAGCTTGATGGTGCTCGCGTTTCCAAATCTCACCGCCGCGCGACCCATCCAGTCGGGCAACGTGAGGGTCAACTGCCAAATGTGCATATACCTCCCACATGCCACCATCACAACGCCGCCCTGAGCAATAAACTTACCCCTTTGGCCCCCCAATCTACATGCCATTTGGCAATCAGGGCCGCAAGACGGACGTGTTGTCATGTATATCACATCACATCACTATGATCAACTCCGTCCTTCATTTCTCCGAGAAGCACATCTTTCAAATCGACCGGCTATGCTTCCCTGTTCATCATCTCCTCTCAACAAATCATGTTCGGCATAACCCTCGGCGGGAAACCGTGTTACGGGTTGATGTTATTATGGGCCGAACATCGGCATTGTACCGACATATAGGATACTGGTGGAGACCTTTGATGCACAAATATACCGCCAAGATGCATGGGTGGTTTATCGATGATGCTTGGGTTGTCGTAGCTGGTGTGCGATGGTCCAGTTTTTATTTATTTCTTTCTTTCCTTATGATGGGATGGATTTCGCTCATGCACGCACTCATGATTGCGGGTTTTGGTTTTGGTTTTATGGACTTTATTAAGGGGGTTTTGACTTTCATTCGTTTGATATCCGGG